AAGAAGGTATATAGCGGCTAGAACGTCTTCGAGAAAGCAATAAGGAAGCTTATAATAAACAATATATACTTCGGAATACGCTGCTAGAGGTAGATAAACTTATACTATTATATAATTCGATTACCTAGAGCGATCTGCGTACCGATACTAGACTCCGATATCGATAGTTAGGACCTTATCGAATTACTACTATTAAAGGAAATAGAGTATACGCGTTAAAAGAGCTTAATAGGATACTTATCTATCACGCTTTCTTATAGCTATCGGATAGAATTCGACGCCCTAATATAGTGAATAGAAATAGGTTAAAGAGATTCTAGCCTCGATTAGATCTTCTCCTACTAAATAATAAGCGTCCTATAGTAGCGCTAATCTAATAATAAGGTACGATATTTTTGTTATTATTTTTCTCTTTTTCTTTCTTTTTTTCTTTCTTCTTTTCTTTCTTCTTTTTTTACGACTAGGGATAGTCTTACTAGAAGAGGGGAAAGGGTCTTATAAGCTTCGCTCTTCCGAGGAAGCTATTTTAGGAAGCTCTTTAATTCCTTTATTTCCTAAGTTTTTCGGCTAAAAAAGCCTTACTACTTTATTTTAATTTTAGTATTTAGATTCTTCCGCGAGATATATATTAGTTATAAAAAAGGGAGATAAAAAGGGGAAGAGATATTTAGTAGGGTTACTTATAATAAGTACTTAGAAAGTTTTAAAGATAGCTACGAATAATTATTAGCTAGTAGTTAAAACTAGCTCTTAGGATCTAGAGATAGTTCTAAATAGTTAGCGATTTAACACGCTAGAGAAGGTAAAGAAGAAGATCGAGAAATACTCTAAGGAAGTATAATATAATATATAGGTAGAAGTAAAGACCTAGCTCTATCGTAACGCTCTACTAGGTACGATAATAATTACTAACTAGCTTAATTATACTATTAGTAGACGAATATAGTAAAAGGTAATAATAGAGAAGGAATTTAATACGGAATAGGAAGAAGAAAGGAAGGATAGTAAAGCTTGTAAGAAGGGCCTCTCTTATATCTTACGTATAAAAGAGCGAGTAGCGGAAACCTAGGGTAAGGAGAACGCTCTAGCCCTCTTTCGGTTAGTAATAACTATATCTATCGCTAAAAGGATTAACTAGCTATATTTAAAATAGGTTTCCTATTAGTAAATATAGTTAGTAGTAAATAATAAGCTTTTAAACTACCTAAAAAGGATAGGTAGAGGGTATAGGAGGGTAAAATCTGCTATCTAAGGGGATTTTAGTAGAGTAGTACTTCGGTTCGATTAGACCCCGCTAAGCTTATAGGATCTAAGGAAATTCGACCTTATAATTAGTGTAGATAGCTTTCTTTAGGGGAAGGATAAAGGAGAGATAGATATTAGCCTAGATTTATTAGCTTCTTCACGATCTATGTTAGTTTAGCAGGGTATCCTTACCCCTACTCGGTCTATTTCGCTAGCTACTATAAGTAAGCTATCTATATTAGAAATAAGCAATTTTTCGGAAGAATTTAGTAGCGATTCGACGTAGCTTTCTAAAGCTTCTTTTAAGAATAGAAAGAAGGTAAGGGGATTAGTATATAACTATTAGATCCCTAAAGGACTCGTTTAGGGACTAGTAAGGAAGGAGGAACCGTATAAAGCTAGTAATTGTAAGAGGAAGCTTTTACTAAGACAGCTTAGGCGGTATATTAATTTATCGACTATCTACTATAAGTATATATTAGCTATTTACGGTTAGATCGGTCTATATATTAGAAATCACTATTATTAGGATCTTATTCGAAAACTACGTGCTTACTATTAGAATCTTAGGATATAGGAAAAGTTCAAAAATTAGAAGGCCTTATAGTTTAAGAAGAGATATCGCTTATCTAATAATAAACCTAGACCCTATCGCTTCCTATTTAAAGACTTCCTACCGAAAATCGATAATTTTATATCCTATAATCTCTCTATTAAATAGCTATTTAAGAGATATTTTAATTAGCCGTAGGAGGCTAATACTTAGGCTTTTCTTTAGGCTTTTCAGAATAGCGGGAATATAGTTCTATAGGGATATTATAGCTAGCTAAAGGAGATAAAGGGTAAAGCGACTAGGCTATCCCTTCTATAAGCTATACTTCTTAAGTTTAACCTCTATAACTACTACTATACGCCGCGACCTAGAAAGCCGCGATTAGGATAGAATAGGCTAATAATTTATAGTCTTATATAATAGCTTTTATAGTAGGATCCTACGTACTATATAATATATATATTCTTACGCCCTGATTATACGTAGTACCTTATCTCGTTTCTGTACTATACGAAGAGTGTATATCCTAGGGAAAATACTTAGTTCCGATATATTAATATTAATTTATTAGATTATATTACTACTAGAAGGGGAGGTAATATTATTCAAGGATCTATTTCTCTAACCGATAAGAACGTAGAGAACTATACTAAGATTCTGCTAAGGATTTATAATTATATTAAGGATTAGTAGGCGCGTATTTAAGATAATCCTACTACTCCTATCTCTAGATATATTTATAGGATTAAAGACTAGATATAGATAGATTAGGATACTAAAAGATACGGAATAGGTTAGGAGAAGGTAATATATCGTAGTAGAGATATATATATCTCTAGCCCTCTATTACCTTATAGATCGACTAGACTAACTACGATTTAACGCTGAACGATACTACTATAGTATATCTCGGTTAATAGAGACTATAGAGGATTAGATACTACTAAATCTAGTATATAGGGAGAGCTTTTAAACGGATACCGAGACCTAATACTTGTACCTAAGATACCTTCTAGTTTTATAAGTAGAAAATATTATACTATTATTTATCCCTTCCCTATAGCCTTACCGCTTACCGGGTTAGGAAGCTTATTAGATATCTTAGTAGGCCGAACACGCTATAAAAACTTCGTTATAAAGTAGGACCTTAATATCCTATTTAGGGATAATAATACTATCGCGAAGTATTTTATAATTAAATAGAGAAGGCGGGCTGCTACCCGGTTCTTCGATACCTTTAAATAAGTTATATAGGCGGAGAAGGCTACTTTTAGAGAGCGATCTTTCTTCCTTTTAAAGGAGTATAGATTTTAACTACCGATACCTATACTAAATACTAGAGACTAAAAATCTTCCTCGGAAGTAGCTCTATCTATCTATCTATAGTTTAGGTATTCCTTCTCTTCGAAAGGAATCTCCGATATAATCCCTATCACGGACTAATAATTATAGCGGCCGTAATAGTAGTAGGAGATTATAGTTCGTAGCGTTATTAGTAGCAAGATATAATAGTAGTAGAGGCCGCGCTAAGGCGAGATAGGATCGAAAGATACTTACTAGAAAGAGGCTATTAGAGTAGGATATAAAGATATAGGTACCCTACTTACTATTCTTATAGACTAGCTTATATAGCGCTCTACTTCCTTAATAAACCGGTAATAGAGAGAGCGTATAATATTTAAGAAAAGCTCTCTAGTATATAGTATATCGGGAATAGTATCTAGGCTAGGCGAAGCTATCGATACGCACTAGACTCGCTATCCCTATTCGATAAGTACTTTTAGCTTAGAGAAGTCGTCTTCGAGACCCTATACGGACTACTAAAAACCTTAGATATTAGTATATATTATAGCACTCTCTACTAACCGATCTCTTACTTACCTAAACGTAACTTAGGTTAGAATTAGGGTAAGAGCCCTTAAATAAAGCTATCGTAGAGGTCTTAAGGACCTCTACTAAGTAGAAGGAATAATAAGGTATAAGGGGGAGGTAAAAGATAAAGTATTAGGGGTAGAAGAGGAAGAGGGGAAGGAGATAAAAGAAGGAGAGAGGGGGATAGCTAAGAAATAGTAATATATACTTTATCTAGAGAAGTATCAGATATTCTACCTTAGAAATCAGGCTTCTTGCTATCTATAACTATAGAGTAGGCTAATAGTGAGAGATCCACGATAACTACTACTACTAGTTAAATAAGGTCTTCTTCTTAGATAAGATTGTATATTAATTAATATTGAATAGCTTTATTCGACTAAGGGGCGGTCGAATTATAGGGGAGGGAGGTATATAGTAGGGAAATAGCCTACAAAGGGGGATCTCTAATTAGAGGATATCTTTCTAGTACATAGTCCTTACAGGATATAGCTTCAGATCTCTAATAGGGAGAAATATCAACTCTTACACTCTCCTTGCTCTATCTGCTTCTGCTTTCTATAGGGGAGGCTTCCTCCATTGTGGTGTGTGGTGGTTTGTATGCTGGTTTGTTGAGGCTATATCATCCTGCCTGCATTCCCAGGCTTGCCGCTGAGCGCCCTGGTTCACCGGTTAGCTGTTTGGTAAGTGGAATGTGGGGATAACGAATCGCCGATAGAATCTACAAGCGGCCGAGATAAATCAATTGTGGCCTGTACATAAGATATAGTAGTATGTAGGGCTCTAGAGAAAATTCTAATATGTCCAATTCATATATGAAAAGCCACGGAAGTGAGGTTTCCCGATAAGTCGGCTTTTTCCTTGCGTAAAAATACAAAATTTATCATCATAAAAGACAAGAAATTTTCAGTACCTCCTTAAGGCCTAAAGAAATCCGATTAGTGAGCCCTAGACAAAAACAGTTTACGAAGCTCCTTGTTCAAGGAAATCAATTACTAATGATCAATCTATCGTGGGTGTTACTCGCCCTGGCTGACCTAACTCCGAGGGGAGATTGGTATTATCGACGTATTCTCGCGAAGCTGATTAGGGGCGTTCTAGAACTTCCCGCTTTTGAATAGATGGATTTTATCAATATTATCTTCCTATCCCTGTTTTAGATCGTTCGAAGAAATTCGTCGAGCGCAGAGATTCACCTGTAAGCTTGGAAGGGCGGTGTTTTTCGATGCATAAATACGGGTGATTATCCTCTCTATTTTCTTTCCATTAACTTCGCTGATCATTATACACACCTCTCCGTCCCACGTATGTCAACAGTTTGTCTCTTAGAATGTCCATCACGACAAACGGCCTGAGGGTAATCTTTGGCGGAGCTGCATTCAACTCAGCTTACGGCTCCACGCCAGAAAGTGTTTCCGAGACCCTCCAGTTCTTATTGCGGGAGGGGACCAGGAATATCGACTCAGGTCAAGCATACGGATATAGTGAAAATCTCCTTGGACAAGACAAGGTGTCGTATACTGGTTTCGAAGTTGACACCAAGGTAGCTGGCGGACTGTGGCCCCATGTTCGCCATACCAAAGAGACTGTCATTCAGGCCGGAGAACCTAGCATCAAGGCTCTTGGAGCAGATCAAGTATGAGTAAACCTGAGGACACAGTCATTAATGTTCTGCCCATCTAATTATTCATTTAGCTCGATGTATACTACATTCACGCCCCTGATCAAACGGTCACATTGAAGGACTCACTCGATGGTATAAACGAATTACATAAGATGGGCAAATTCAAAAGATTTGGCCTTTCCAACTTTCGCTTGGATGAAGTTTTAGAGGTTATTCGTATCGCGAAGAGAATGCCCTTATCTTGCCTAGTGTATACCAGGGCAATTACAATGCTATCGGGCGTGTAGCCGAGAAAGAGCTTTTTCCTGTTCTAAGAGAGCATAATATCTCTTTCTACGCATATTCACCCATTGCAGGCGGATTTCTCACCAAAACAAAAAAGGACATTACCGACGGCAAAGGACGCTTCAATAAGGACCTGCCTTTCTTTGGGGAGATGTACAATACTCTTTACAATACGCCTGCGAAGCTCGAATTCCTCATGGAATTCGGAAACATTGCAATCAGCGAGGGTATTTCGCAGGCAGAACTTGCATATAGATGGGTAACGTATCATTCATGCTTGAAGGCACAAAATGGTGATGGAATTATCATTGGCTCACGTTACGGGACTCAGTTGACCAATACTTTGGCTTGGTTGAAAAAAGGACCACTCAGCGTGGAAACTGCCCTGAAGGTCAATGATTTGTCGAAGATCATAGAACGAGAAGGTATACTGGATAACTGGAATGATTTCATTTCCAAGCAGCTGTGAAGAAATACGTGATGACGCGTAAAATTATTTTCATGAGCATGGACATTTTAAGGAAATTGAGATTAGTGTATCCTTTTTTAGCCCCCCTAGATCAAGTCAATTGAGATTGATTTAAATTTTGGAAAGGTGTCTACCCTGAGGTATTCAGGCGAGACTGTAACCTGGCCAACAGTATTGTTTAAGGCGCTTGTTTGCTGAACAGCTGATGGCAGATAACTTTAACAACTAATCCTTTAGTGGAACCTTTGGATGACAACTGTGAGCCTTCTATAGAGCAAGACACAATTTATCAGAGAAGATGATATGTTTTAGTTTATTTGGGCCTTTTCTCTAATCAATAAGTAATCAATTCAACAATTCAACCAGTCTCATGGCCCACGCAGCGGGCCTTCCGATCGCAGAGCAGGGAATCATAATGAGTATTCCGTAAAATATGATAGACAGGGATGATGTGATCATCGCGATGGCAACTCAAGCTCAAGGTCGTGGCTTAGAGGCGTGACAGCTGGCCATCTTGTTTAGTAACTGATCTCCGCCCTAAGATCGAAACTCCCCAAGTATTCATAAAAAAGACGCATACTAGCGTGATGGAATCGATAATTGGATGCAGGGGGTGTTCATCAGGGACCGCCAGGTGCTGATGTTAATAAAAGAGAGAAATCAGGGGGGAGGGGGGGCATGCAGGTGAAATACTGTTGGCTGACTGCTTACCGAGACATCTTACTGAGATCTGCTGAGACTTGGCGAATCAGCATAACCCGAGCCATGGGTTAACTCGAAACTTTGAAAGCCCCAAAAAACAAGGAAAACTACCTCCGATGATCTCCAGAGATAAAAAGCCCATTTTTCCACCTATGCCTAGCTTCAAAATTTACCTTTGTATATCCTCAAACAAAAACTTATATTACTGCATTGTTTATACTTATTTACGTCAATTTCTACCAATCATGAAGTCTATAATCTCGTTTGCTATGTTTGCTGGGGTCGCTTTCGCTCAAAGGGCTCAAATAGGACTGCCCACTGCAGGTCAACAACTCACCAAAGGGAATGATGTTATCGTCCAGGTCCAGCGTCCGGTATGCTATCCTTATAATTTATCACCGTACTGATCCAGTGACTTATTATACTAATTAAAATGGCAGAATTCCCTGACTGGTTCTACTGAATTGGTGGTTGCGATCGGCATTTCTTCTTGTGGATCCGAGCCATGCAAACCAGCTGATGAAGTCATGGGCACCATCCTCTACAATGGCGACTTCAAGCCCGAATACCACGAGTCTAGCCAGCCTCCCTACCAGAACGTCACTGTAAACATTCCCTCGTCATTTACCGAGGGTAATGCGCAGGTCAATGTTGCCCATGCTACCCTTATGGGAGTGAGTTAAGTCTAAGTTGGCCGTTTTGTTTCAAAGCTAATATTTTCAACCATAGGCTGGGCCTTACCCATACTTGGAAATACTCAACCAAACTGTGGTTGTTGTTTGAATGGGGTGTCTATCCTTTGAGTATACATTCTCATTCTGGAGGCACGATTGATGTTTTTCATTCTTCTATGGCCCTTTTGTGACGTTTATTCAGAATCTTATGTCATATGTATATAAAGACTACTACTTTTTTCACCCAATTATCACCTTTCAAAGCCGCTCCGCCAAGGCAGGCGCTGTCTGCCAATATATACCCGCGTAGTATGGCAACTTTCGAGGGCTGCACTCCGCCACAGCCGGCAACTACCGGGCGCGACGAAGTTTCATTTGTCAACGACATGCGGCCAGTGGTGTGATTGGCGGAGAAAGAAAAGTTGTCCAGGCGGAGTTCACCACTGGTGAAGAAGACATCAAACACCCAGTCCCATTGTTGTAGAGACGCTATTCGCCATAAGACGCATAGCCTTGCGCTCCGAGGTTGGAGTACAAAGTATCAACCCGACATATTCGACCGAGTTCCAAGCACTCGAGACGATAATAACTGTTTTATAACAAGAGTCGGAACTTGACATTGAGGATACGGCCGATTGACTCACAGCCCCCATAGCCGGGATACCGAATAAGAAGGCACTGCCACTGACGGCCAAGTTACTGTTAGTATGCCGTTTCCACGCGAGCCTCGGTCAAGTGGGGGTCTTGTCGATCTGTGGCGGCTCTTGGGAAAGAGCCTTAGAGACAAATGACAGCACAGCAAGAAACTAAAGCAATCCCACTTTAAGGGATAGATCTATGCGTCAAATATTAGCGAGAGTCACAAGTTGTTGACATTTATAGAAGCGGACCTTGACAAGTAGTGAACGTTGAAGTGACTGTTACAGTCCTGGAATAGAAAAGACGAAAACCTAATACCTCGATGGGTGGCAGCAGGCATTTATTTCCGAAAGGCTCGAAGCCTAGAGACTTATATTTTTCGGCTGTTGGCATGGCAGGTCTTCTATTGTTGTACCGGAATCAGCCAACAAAGTGTGTTCTCTGACTCTGAACGCCGCCACCAACAAGCATTGGACTACGCAGCCGATGAAGCTAGTCTAGCTAAAAGGTGCCACAGAATGGCACTAAACTTGTTGAGTGCAATGAGGTGGTATGATGATTACCAACGTAGGGGTATCTACCCATTCAACCAGGTCGGTCGATAAAGAGCGCGCTACGTGAAGGTATAGTTGGGAAATGGGAGTCGATGGCAGCAGGACGAATAAATGTCTTGACGGGTGAATTGAATGAACTTGATATATTGAATTGAAAGAATTGATACTTATATCAAGGTGGTAAGGTCAAGGTATTGCGCCTTCTTTCTATGCGTAGATGAATTGCAATCTTAGTACAGAATCATTCCTTGAATAACTAGTGGTGTTTAATTCTTGTTCTTGCCCCACGTGAATTCTGCTGCGTAAACTCGCCCACGCAAGTGTCTGGAAAGAAAGCCTACTACCATCAGATATTGTCGATCGATAGTTCATATATGTACCTTATAAAATCGTTATAGGTAATTATGTTACACAGAAGTAGAACCTGAAATTCAACGAATCCAGTGAACTTAGACAGAAGCAACCGAGAAGAAAGTCTAGGAGTTTTATGGCCTGCTGCCTTAGGCCTCTCCTAAGCTGATCCTATATGGAGATAGCAAGACTTCCACACAAATTATGATAAGAGGTCTTTTGCTTCCATGTCATAGTAGGAAGGAGTCTAGAAACATTCTCCTTTTCAGGGCACTGGGGACAAAATAAGCCCGACCGTCATCATGCGTTGCTGCATTCAGTTTTTTTAGGCAGGTAGCCTTGACTCCATCTCGATCTTAAAGCTTCAAGTGGGTCTTATTGTGCACCTGCAAAATCTGACACACTTTACTCGCTTGGGCAGTACGTACTGATTAGCATCCCATGTACACGCGGCCATCCACCCAAAGTATAGACCTACTGGTATTCCTATTAGCCTTAGGCCAACTCCCCATATCCGGGATATGCCGGTATCCTCTACTTATTTCGGTACTAACAAGCACTTTATGTGCACGCGGCCTCGGAATTCGGAAATTTTCACCTCTCAACGGAATAACCCGGTAATAAGTTCAAGTATGCACTAGACGAGACTATTGAAGCTACAAATTGTAGAATATTCCCAAATCTAAAATAGTAAACACACAAGGGGCCTTATATGTCTAAGTGAGTAGGTTGTGTTGAATCCTTTAAGGTCTATCGTGGGGAGAAACTGATTCCTCCAGAGAACAACTTTTGGATTTGAGAACAAAATGCACAAAATAGATCCCCTCGTCTTCATGTCTCTGCTTCTAGCCTCTTCTCTGTTTTGGCTTTCTTGGAACCTCCGGTCGGGATTCAGCATATCACAACGGATTGTCTACATGATTGGTGTTCTGATCTATTTTGTGGCTCTATCAGGCTTTTTAATAGCAATTTTTTGGGAATGTAGGTTCTCATTTGATCTCTATTGTCACTTCTACTTAATATCGGAAGCTCATCCCCTAAAAGCCCGAGTAAATTCGACACGTGTTAACATGCGCAATATATTGCTTCATTTACGAGAGTGCTATTCCGATCTTGAATCAACACCTTAGTACTATCTCTTACTCTCGATGACTTCCTATTTTGTTGCTTTTCTTCTATATACCGGCTGTGGCTTATGGAGCGTATGTCTGCGATTCTCCTTGAACCTTTCTTGGTTCCTGAATTCGTTGAATCGACAGTATCAACTTCGAACAAACAGCTACGGTATCGGTTTTGCAAAGGATTTAGCCTCTTCACACGGTGGCCATACCATAGAGCAGTGAATGTGATATAACCAAGCCAATATTCTTGATGATATGCGATTCTCTGGCATATTCGCATTTGCCAGTGTCTGGGAGTACTTGTCTCTTCTCTTTCCACTATATTGCATTGATCGAGGCGATCTGCGAAGGTATATAGTTAGACACTGATCACAGTGAGGCCATAATCTCGCTGTGGAGCCTTTTCGAATCAAAATGGTGTCTTCAAACGGGTATTTCCTTTAAGACCCCATCGAGGTCAACGCTATGCACCCCCTCGACAGAGGACAAGAGAACTAGAGAATATGGGCTTCCACTGGTCTGATTCAGATGTTAAAAGCGAGCCGGCTTATTAAAATGACAACGCTCTCAGGAATTTTATTCAGCGACTTCCCAAATTGGCAAAGGTCTCGCAATTTTTCCTTTCCGGATCGCCCTTCTGTCCAGCCACTGCTATCCCCTGAACTCGCGGAATCTTGGGAAGAACTTCTGAAATATCTTCAAGAAGGCTTGCTCAATGATGGCATGATTCAAGGCACTGTCGATAGCGACCTCGAGGTGAAAATAAGGTTTCAGACTGGTCTCGGCTCATGAAATGAAAACTCTGCATTTTATAGCTCCTATATCGACTGTCGCCGGTACGAGGATGGCTAGGATCTAATTCATAAGGAGCGGGCATGGTCAGTGGTCATTCTCACGCCGACGGTGATGATTCACTCAGCTCCACGACTATGAGCCTGGATTTTATTCTCTTGTTGAGTTTTTGAATTAGTACAGCAGCTGGTTGGTTTGATTGAATTTGAAAGAGCTCCGCCGAACGTTAATGAAATCTCCAGACATTTCTCTCGTTGCTTATTATGGTACCATGTGGACATAGAATTCAAGATCTTCATCAAAGTCCCTTTGACTCTGAATGAACAGTTCTATTTATTTACCTTTTCCTCTCTTTATCAAGGGTGTCACCTGCCTTGAAGACTACAGGATAGGCTCCGTGACTGGGGCCCCAAACATCATTTTGAATATTCGGGGGGAGGATCAGCTGTTGAACTGGACACCTTCAAGTTTGTCTTCTGTTTTGCCTGCTTCTTCGAGGCTTTGCTATCCGGATGATTACGCAGTATCATCGTCACCTCTGAATTTCGAGATCGCTCTTCTGGGGTGCAATATGAACCACACTTTGTTCGAACAGATGCTCCATACTCCAGTAGGAGTCGCGTCATTTTGATATCTCCCTCATATGCTGCGATGTGTAAAGCTCTTCGGTTATCCCAACCTTTCAAGTCCACGGGCACTCCATGGTCAAGGAATAATTGAGTCATTCCAAGATTACCATCTTTCACAGCGTCATGAAAGAGAGGCCTCTTATGTCCATTGAGGGCTTTCGGAGATACTTGACCACTTTTCAAAAAAAGTTCCACGATCTCAAAATGGCCGTTGTTCATAGCCAGACCAATCGGTAGATCGCCACGTGAATTTTTCCGACGCATTGATGGAGGGTCGCGGAGAATCCACCCTTTCGGCGGATGATGCTTTTCATGTTCGAGCACAAGCTTACACATTTCAAGATCACCACTTGATGCTGCTTTGTGGAGGGCCGTTTGATCGAGATGATCGGTACAGTTGGCCTGCGCACCGCTGTTCAACAGAAATTGAATCATTGGCAAGTCTCGACGATGAAATGCGCTCGTTATAAGCCAACCGCCACGTGAAGTCCAAGTGTGTGCTTTTCCCTGTTTGCACTCTATGAGAAGACGGGCAATTTCCAAATGCCCTCCCCTCACAGCTTCATAAATGGGAAATAGGCCGCTACCATCTTCGGTAGCACACGCGCCTTTCTCAAGCAAAAGGCGTGCAACATCCCAATGCCCGCCACGACAAGCAAAATGGAGTGGCGTACGACCTTGTGCGTCTCCATTATTTGGGTCAACTCCGTTCTCCAGATGCGTTCTCACCGTTTCGATGCGGCCGCGCGCTGCTGCCTCGAAAATTGTAGCGAAAGGGACGGTTTCATTTTTTTCCTTGTTAGGAATTCCCATTTTATGAAAAGTTGCGATGATGTCCCTTCCGGCGGATAATCTGTCAGGTTTATACGCTGCTCTAATTGCCCTGCCAAGACCGCTAGTCACCAAGCCTCGGGCAACCTATGATCCCATACTACAACGATGCTCTGATTGGACCTGCCACGTGATTTCGTTAAATTTCGCCTAAACAGGACTGCTTGACGCCGATCCAGTAAGATCTAACAAAATAGTGAGTCCTCGAGAGAGGTAATAATAGGGGGCAATCGATCTCAAATAGTATCGGAAAAGTGCGCCTCATGTTGATCTAAAGTACAAGATTTCAGCCTTTTCGAATTAACTACATTAAAGTCTGCACAACCTCATGGTCTCTTCAACCAACTCCCCTCATGGCTTCTTTCCGGTTGCCCTAACGTCTCTTCAAGGCAGTCGAGTGCATAAAAATTTTCCATAGACGATATTAAAAACACACAGATGAACTAAGAGTGAACTTTCGAGTTTCATCTCACTGGGGAATATGGGTCAATAAAAATCAGTATATGTTGAGATGAACCTTGTCGCTTGTTAGGCAAATTCAAATGCCGAGGGTGGTACTTTCGGTATGATCTCACCCGAGACAATGCTTCCGACGCGGGGCCGAACAGTACAAGTTTGCCGTTCTCCCCGCGTGAACACCAATTTGACGGCAACCTAAATGATGTCAACGTTAGCTATGGCGGCTGCGGAGGAAAAAAAGGTGATTCCGCTTAATATGTGTATACAAATGCAAGAACTGACAAGACACAAATAGATTATCGAGAATCTCCAGGCGAACTGGATCTGGATTCCCAACTGGGTTGATTCTTCGACTACAAACACAGTGGGCAGAATCGTCGACTTTGTTCGTAATGTCACTTTGCCATCCCGTCCAAGAAAATCACAGTTGCATTTTTCAGCGGATACACGATACAAACTTTTTGTTAACGGGACCCGTATTGCTGTTGGGCCAACCAGGAGCAGCCCGTTGATTTGGTATTACGATTCGCTTGATATTGCCCCTTATTTGGAAGAAGGGGAAAATGAGATACGCTTTACCGTGTTGCGATATTTTGCATCCTCTCGTGGAGCTATGGCTTTTGAGCGAACTGCTCTTCCAGGGTTGACTATTTTCGGTTGTGTTGAAACCGAGACTGAAACCATTGACCTTGGTTCTCAGCAAAATTGGAAGGCGTCTATGGATGAGTCCGTTCAATTTCCGTCGGGAATAGTCGACGACGCATTTCTTCATGTAAACACTGTTTGAAAATCCCTGAAAATGGCAAAATACTAATTGAGAACGATAGATCAGTGAACGTGTCATTCCAAGGGGCCCGGTCCCTCAAATAACGCCGATTCTGCATGGAATCAGAACATTAAATGGTGACATTGCTCCTTGGGCTCTTCGTCCACGGCCTATTCCTATGCCTGAATCAACTCCTGTTATTATCAATACGGTCAGGTCTTGTGAAAGCAGCGTCAGCTCAGATGACTGGAAATCTTTTCTCACTGGAAAGGCGCCTTTGCATCTTCCTCAGGACTCACAACATATTATTGATATACAAGCAGATTGTCATTCCACCGCGTTCATCACATTTTGCTTCAAGGGTAACCAACAGTCTTCTCGGATAAAGCTCAAAGTGACCTATTCTGAAGGATATGAACTTGAGCCTCGCTCCTATCCTTTCTTCCGATCTAAGGGTGATCGGTTAGATGCCAGAAATGGCCACATAATTGGTCCGTATGATGAAGTTATATTAGATGTTTCCGACGCCGAGATTTTTTATGAACCGTTTTGGTTTCGGACGTTTCGACTTCTCCGAATTGAAATTATTGTGGGAGGGGCGCCCATTGAATTTCAATCATTTCACGCAACCCAGGTCAACTACCCGATGGCGGTCAAAGCTAATTGGAAAGAGCGAGAAAATGCGCAAAGCGAACAGATTTGGGACGTCTCAATTCGGACAATGAGGAACTGTATGTTTGATGGTTATTCTGACTGTCCCTTTTATGAGCAACTCCAGTAAGTCCACCAAATAGCCCTCAGGTATGACTATGTTGACAATATCTTGATCCAGATATTCCGGGGACAGTCGATCCGTTGGCCTCTTTCATTACCTTTTATCTGGGGATGACAGATTGATGCGACAAGCTATAACAAATTTTGCTGCTTCAGTAACTCCTAATGGCCTCACCCAATCTCGCTTTCCTTCTCATTCACCACAAGTTGTTGCAGGGTTTTCTCTATACTGGATTTTGCAGGTGTGCGACCATTTCCGATTTTTTGGAGACGCACCTTTCACCCGCAACTTTGTTCCAAGAATAGACGGAGTCCTCGATTTCTTTGAATCGAACATTGATGATATGGGCCTTGTCAGTGGGCTTCCCGCGGAAATTTGGCAATATGTCGACTGGGTGACAACGTGGGGTGCAACTGTCGATCATCCGGATAAAGGTGTACCGACGTCTGGCCGAAAGTCAAACCGGCACACCTACTTCAGTATGCTATATGCTTATGTGTTAAAGCAAGCCGCTAAACTGATTCGTGATGTTGGGAGACCTGGGAATGCAGATGAGTATGAAAGCCGTGCTGCGGCACTTGTTGAAGCTATCCGTAAACACTGCTACGATGGTCGATTTTTCACAGATTCTACATCGGAAATAGCAGACAAGCTTTCTTATTCGCAACACTGCCAGGTCTTTGCTGTTCTTTGCGGAGCAGCAATACCCGATCAACAAGAGCGTATTTTGGCGGAAAGCTTCACCAACCCGCGGTTTTCCAAGTGCTCATATATGATGCAGTTTTACGCATTTCGGGCACTTGCGCTAGCAGGAGGTCAAATATACAACAATTTCTGGAATTCAATGTGGGAGCCGTGGCGCCAGATGCTGGCGAACAATCTGTCCACGTGGGAAGAGGACGACGTCCGTCAACGCTCGGACTGTCATGCATGGGGGAGTGTCCCGATTTTCGAATACTGTACCGAGCTGGCAGGTATCTTTCCGGTGGCACCAGGATCATCGAAAATAACTTTCAAGCCTCGTTTGAGTTTGAGTCCATCAATTGAAGCGAAAGTTGCTTTGGGGTTAGAAAATCTTGCTCACGTCTCTTGGAGACTGGGGGACGGCAACCAAAAATATGTCGAGTTGCGACTTGATAGACCAGTCGAAGTGATAAGTCAACTTCCTGGCCAACAGGCAATAGATCATGGAACTTTAGATCATCTAAGCTTGGTTTACAACCCATCTTAAAATATTCTGCGTATCGAATAATGTGATATATCTTCAGGCTCACAATGGACAAAAAAAGGCTTCATTTCTTCCATCCTGCATAGACGCACGTAAAAGACCTTGAGCTCGGATATTCACGAAATCTGGAGACCAAGAGTAAGCGAAAAGACCAAAAAGCACCCCATATCCCATTGACCCGAAAATAGATTAGTTTTCAGGACTCGCTCAATAGATTACGTCCAGGTCATCCTTATCAGCAATTGAACATATCATTGCAATCCAATTTGTACGACTGTCAAGCCAAATACATTGTGAAAAGCCAATGGACTTTAAATCTCCAAGGGCGGTACACGCCCTCTATCAAAGTGTTGCGCAGTACCTAAGTAAGCTCCTCTGTCCGGTGCCGCTCGTTGGCCTGCATTTGTACCTCAGTGACATATCCTTTGAATTTGCGAAGATTAACCTTTTTCTCGAACCTATATTGTATCATTAGCGGATATAGATTTCAATAGATAGAAGAACCAGGAAGCTCACATCTCATCGATCTCAGCAGGCGTTCGGAGTGTCAATTCTGGAAGTATAAACCAGGCAATCACCGTAGAAATTGTACCTGTCCCGGCAAAGCTGTCAAAATAATAAGCGTTAGCTGCGATAATGGTTAAAGTACGTGGAGGGTCGATATACAAGAATCCGGTTTTCACACCCCATTGGGCACTGCCATTGATCATCAATGGTGTACAGAAGCTAAACATAATCGCAATCATATTTGAAAACGCAAGTGCCCAGCCCGCAGTCTTTGCACGCAAGCGCTGCTGAGGAACCTCTGCAGCATAGGCATATCCAATAGCTGAAGCTCCTGTGGTAGATAAAGTGGCCAGGCACGCGAAAAATACCTGCATGTCATCTTTAGAAAAGTTCCTTGGTGACCTCGAGGATATTGGAGTTTATTACCAAAAGTGAACTAGTAGCTGTTTTGGTGTAATCGAAACATCCAATGATGCCTAGACAAAAGACCGAGATGCTGGTCACGGCGTAGGGATAGACTGTTAAAGGCCGACGGCCAAATCGATCGGTAGTAGTAGCGGTGAGAAGAACCGAAATCAGCTGAACACATGACAGAATGACGGTCACCGTAAACGGATTTTTATTTCCGGCGTATTGGACTGGAAGGGGCTCTTTGTATCAGGGAAGGACTTCAATTAGATCAACGGACAGGGGACCCACAGAAGTAAGTCGCATAAGTATTGAATACAGACAAGCCAACGAATTGCTGAACAATCTTTGGCCAACTCGCGATAATGAATCGAATGAAATTTCGGCCTTTAAAAACTTCCCATATCCCTACCTTTGAATTTTGCTCCGCAAGAATGCGTTCCTGTGCGACAGTAGTGGTCATGACTTCCTGCAAGGTGTTAGACCGTATAATGGAAATGAGTGAACATGAATATACAAGTTGCTCCTGAACATCATATCCATCAACTTTCCCATTGTAACTTTGCAAGACCTTGGCGGCTTTGTCGAGCTTGCCTTTGCTTACAAGCCACCATGGTGACTCTGGAAGAGGTACAAAGATCAAAGCAATGACACCAATCATAGCCCACTGATAGATAAATACTCTAGATTTAGCGATTGAATGATACAAAGATTTAGATCCGGAACTTACTTGTGTATAAATCGGAACTCGAAATTCAAGGGGATCATTCGCTTTGAGTCGCTGTAAGGCTACCGAAGCAAAAATTTGACCAACCACAAACCAGCTGCAATCATAATTAGCCTCAAACGCCACATAAAAAGCTTCATAATATACCTACAAGCTGTATGCGTTGATGTAAAATCCTCGGAGCTGTGTTGGAGCGATCTCAGATAAGTATAGAGGCATTGTAGATTGTAACATGCCTACACCGAGACCCGAAAATAGCTTGGCTACAAGCCAGTGATCCCAGTGTGTGGCAAAAGATTCAATAAAAATGCTCTATAAAGGAATATATTAGCATTCCTTTTCATCCTTAAATTCCTTGCTGTCGCTTACAATGACAAGACAGCCCCAAATAATATAAAGTGCAATTTTGCGACCAAATTTCTCCGCGGCAAATTGAAGAAGCTGAGAACATGTCAGCAGATCTGGATTCGTCCATGATGCACCATATAAGGTGATATAGGAAGAGTGGGAAAAGTTACAATCTGTCCAACTGTTTGACCTGTGGATTGGATGCCACCCCATGCAGAGGTATATTTAGCCGGGATTATCGTTGTGCCTGGAGAGGTCATCTGTTGAATAAAACCTTCATTCGAAACAATACCGCCATTGAGGTTGATTTCTAAATTCTTCCTGTCAGTTATTTATTTTGATTCAAAAAAAATAAACTTCATTATTCTCACGATAACCGTCGAGCGAGGCGCTAAAAGCAGCAATCATGGCAATCAATGACAGTTTTTTGAATCTGAGTGCACATCGCCATACACTGAGATCATCTTCACGCGAGCGCATAACAGGATCCCCAAGTTTGACCGGTGTGCTGGGTCTTTGCTCCGCAGAAACATCTTCAATGGCCTCCTTGTTCTCTATGCCGTCGTCCATTGGAAAATATTGGCACCAAATACGCTTTTTGACCCGGCGCGAAATCGCTTGGTTGAAGGCAACCGAATAAGTCTTTAGCGATAGGCTTTATAGTTGCTGAAAGAAAGCTTGAAAGACAGGCTTTGATATTAATCAAATAGACTGCTGCTGGCGAAGCTCGCGACTTATCTCGCTTCTTTTTTCCCAAAAATGCCAAGGAAGAAAATGCGGGGGCGAGAGCCCTGTGGGAAAGAGCTTAACCTTTCCCGAGCTAGACACCAAACATCCGAATACCCAAGAGCAAATCAAGTAAGTTTCTTCTATCCCTTCAACTTGGTTCATTAGCCGATGACAAGCCACGCTCCTCACAACCGAGTACGTGTAACCCAGAGGGCGGACAGCGAATGGTTGTGAGTGGGCAACTCATCAGCGCGGCAATTGTTTCGCACTGATTTACCCCGAACTCCTTGACAATCAAAATTTCCCAAAAGAGAACGCTACTCCTAGAGCGGCCTGTCATCCTATGCCAGCTTGCCCTAGCTTGGTTCAACTGAACTACGGTCCACATGCTCAATACACAGAGTGGTCCGACGGGTCAAGCCTACTTCTCAAGGGCTTTGAAACTTTCTCGAGCTCAGCAATGATTATATTTGTTTATTACTCTATAATTGTCAAAAATAATGATGATGAGCATTCTTACCTCTCAAAACATGACTATGAAGGAGGAATCATTACTCCTCAGGGTGTTGGACGTGTGTGTTCTCCACTTTGCTTGGCCCCATTTGGATAAACTCCTGCGGCACCTCCGAGATACTCCTTTCACAAGTCCAGCTTAGGATTTAGTAGATAAAATTATGCTGAGACATAATCAAGTTCTGTCGTGCACATGAACCTGAGCTTCTATGTGTATATTACCCGCCAAATTTAGTCTTTTCATCATTGATGTCAGAACACTTCTACGACTAGGAAAAAAACTCACCAGGGAATATTTGTTGATGTTTCGCCCTGTACAGAATTGTTGATTACCATGAACATTTGTAAACCCATGGCAACATGTTCACTTATGTACCCAGCATCGGGTTGCTCTGATCTGATAGGTCGATTCACGACTTAGGATGAAAGAATTTTAGATTTTCACACGCCCTTCAGCGAACACGTCCTAGATGAATCTATGGAAAGCAATCCAAAAGCATCTCCAGAAGATTTTCACTCATTCTTCAATAACTCTCAGTATACTGAATGGAAATACGAAGAGCTTGAATCTTGGCTAAATCAAGGGCGAGGTGATTCAAATGAGTTTGGAGCATATCTATTCATCGGAATTTCAATGCTCCTGTAGCGCTACACATCCCTGTTCAAAGAATTCAGTGCTGAGCTATTTTGGGCAAAAGTCTCGGGAAAATTCAAGCCGACAATAGCCGATTCAATCGCCGGTAATGATCTCTTCCAATACTAACCTATCACCATGTGATTTATTCCGAAACATACCTAAGGTCGCGAGGATCAATTACAGGGAATAAGCCCCATGGCATCAAGGAACATAGCCATAGTGTGGGGAAAGTAGATGTGGGGTTTGACAGACTGATTCTTGCAGAATGAGATCGCTGGATTCGCTTAAATTGACTCAAATGCCCATCAATATCTCTTGGCTCGCTTTATTCAGCATAATTATCCTATAGATTGTGTTTAACTGGCCTACAAAGGAATTCAGGATGGCTCGCTTTGTTCTACCCGTCTCTTTTCTGTTGCGAATTGCTATAGCGGCAGATTTGACCTTTACTGTTCCATCATCGCCGCCATCTAATTCCAGCACACAATTATCTGCCGCCCCCGTAGGTGTTTCGTAAGTGTCTTTGACTCATCTGGGTGAAATTTTATCGCTGATGACCTAGTCTTGAATTCTTTACATTCCCAGCCTACATGAATGACGTTGAAGCTACAACAACTTGTCTTCAAAATTTCAAAGATTTGACTGGAACATGGCCTCCCCTTAGGATTGGAGGCACAACCCAGTTAGTACAATCAATAAGTTTTTTATCGTGTTAGATTTGTGCTGACAGCTGTTAGGGACCGTGCCACATACGACGCTTCATTGAGTGAGGCGGTCGATTATACCGTTGCTAGCTCAGGAGATGCGCCGGATTCTCTCACCTATGGTCCTTCATTCATTTCGCTAGCTGCGGGCTACGGTGGAGAGGTCATTCTCGGTTTGAATCGCCGCCTGGACAACATCGCCAACACTATCTCTGCAGCCGAGCTTGTTCAAAGTGAAGCAGACAATCTCTATGCTATCGAGCTAGGCAACGAACCTAACTGTCAGTATTCAACTCAAACTTTCCGAAGTTCATCTCTGGGTCAGAAATGCTAAATCAATAATTTTTTCAGTTTACTCAAGCAGCGATCCTATTGCGAATAGCGAGTCATGGACTGCCGCAGCTGACTATGCCTCGCAGACCAAATGGCAGGACGAAGTCTGTGGCAATCTGTCTACGACTAATGTCATCTCAGCTGGTGTTTATTTTGGGACTTCACCGATGAGTATTGCTGGGCTTACCGCAGATGAAGGAACCTCAAATAATTATGTTAAAACATATTGCTCTCATAACTATCCCCAATCAGCCAGCACGGCTGATCTGGAAACTCTCATGGGACACAGCGATATTGCGTCACAGATCGCAGAATTTGCCTCGGAGGTGTCTGCAGCAACTGATGAGGGTAAACCCCACATCTTTGGAGAAACAAACTCTGGTAAATCTTTCCTCTTCATGATGGATAATTGATCTTACTGACAATCATTGTAGCAACTCAGGGGGAGGTGGTATTAGCCCGACATTTGGGGCCGGACTATGGATTCTTGACTACGTTATGCAAACTTTATTAATGGGCACAAAGGTATGGTTTTACAGATGCTTTGATATTGCCAACCACCATTTTCTAATCAAATGTCTGCATAGGCCCTTTACTTCCATCAAGGTACTATTGGAAACTGTGAGTTGAAGATTCTGTGAAATAAATAAAAGAGGTTTTACTGATAAATCAAAAGGTCAGTATTGTTGGTGGGGTCGATACGACATGGGCGCCCCCTACTATGGAGCCTACTTTGCGACTATGGCATTAGCGGATGCCGATCAGATTGCACCGCTGGACAGCCAGACTACAGCATACGCCGCCTACGCAATTTACAAGTCAGGAGTCCCTACCAAGGTGCTTCTATACAACTCAGATTATTATACCAGCGGAACGCGCTCCTCGCAGACTTATGTACTTTCCGGCCTATCTCCATCCAGTGTCACTGCAAAGCGTCTCACGGCTCCTTACTCTACATCCCGGGTCGATCAAGGAAGCAACCCAACGATTGCCGGCCAAACATTCGTAAATGGAACTTGCACCATTCAGGGAACAGAGAGTATTGAAACAACTACCGTCTCCAGTGGTAAGGCTAGCTTCATACTGGCTGCTTCTGAAGCCCTTTTAGTTTATCTATAAACACAGAACTAAACTAAAGCCTGGTTTACTCATGATTTATAGTTTTTTATGGTCAGTTATGTAGCCAAAATTGAGGTTGAAACAGGATTTTGATTCATAAACAGGTCACTACCTTGCTATATGCAGTAACATTAGAGAATACATCTAGCTAGAGACCGAGATATATCTTTGGCTTGGAATGCAACATAATTTGTCAGATCCTTATTCAAACGATCTTTCTTTAAATATATAGAGAGACCGAATCCGTACTCATGGGGAGTGGATTAGGTAACACAGCTTAGTTCGCCTTGAAATACGAATTCGAAGAAAATCACTCAATTTCTCGACCAAAGTTCTTGCATTGGCCCATTCTTCCCGTAAATAGGATCATAGACTGGTATTGGTAGAAGCTCACATTTGTAACGCTTTTTTCAGTTTCTACCGGCGAATCAAGTGCAAGCTCGGAATCGAAAGGCCTTTCAACAGAGTTCTGGTCACTCTATATATGGAACGCATTCTGAGTATATTTTGTTGAAATAATTTGAAAAGGAAAGACAGCATACTAACCAATGAATAAAATCCAACAATCTCATACCCTTCTTCCACTTCTGTTACAAAATGGGTCACTCCAGCCTAGGTTGTATTAGTAAAATAATAGCGAACACAAAGTCTAGGCACATTCTGACCGGAAATATAAAGACATCTCCAGCTCGAGAAACGAATTCAACGCCGACAGGATTTCCATCGCCATCTGTTTCTGGATCGAGAGGCGACTTCCCTAGAAGGTACGTAGCACTACCGTGTAAGACCGTGTACGCCTCGTGGGCAATTGAATGATAGTGTGGAGTGGCTGCCAGTGTTTCTTTCGAGATCTTCCATTGGCCACCTTTCACCCACTGACTCGTTTCGATAGCGGCAAGGGCACCCTCTAGTGTTTTATCAATCAGTGCATTCCGATACACAATAACTGGGATTGTCGAATTCGGTGAATGAGCTGTTGGTGGCACAAGGAACGTTTCGGGTGCGACTCGATTTACCGCCATTATAGTGAACGAGGGCTTGTGGTTTTTTCTCTTTCACGGCGACAACTGACTCACCAATTGGGCTGTTATTTTTCCAGAGATCGTGCAATTCCTATGCCCAGGTGAGTAAGTGTTACTATCTGAAAATTCTGGGCTAGAAATCAAGCGTGGGAACATCAAGTAAGTCAAAGTTGTTTGTCGGTCTTCATTGCATTTATTAGGTTTCTCATCCGATGCTGCCCGGGTTCAAATGCCAAATGCGGGCATCCGAGGCAGCCCGGGGGCTGTTCCCGAGAGACAAGCGGCAACCCAACCGACTGGTGCGGAATGCAGATATTGCCATACGCGAAGTCAAATGAGTCTGAGTATCAATACCCCCGATAACTTCCAATCCATGAGCCCTGCTGCAAGTGAAGCTATAGTGAAAGAGATCAGACGCACAACTTTGTTGGTTTTAAAATGAGGTTGTTGTTTTCTCTGCTAGTCTTGTCTGGACTTTGTCGGATATTCTCCATCTGTATTTTGTACTATGCATGGTTGATTATCTGAACAGTTGTTCATATGATAGTCAATTCATTACTACTCATCTTTTTCATGGATCAAAATAAACAACTTTGAAGAGCATATGTACAAGGAGGTACGTAAAAGATCAGAAGCCTTTGTCATGATTCTCAACAGAATCAAGATCAAGTTCATGAAATTATAGATACATCTAGTACGACAATAATGTGGCCTATCATTCAAAGGAAAAGAATTGCCAAATCAGAATTTACATCACCAAACAGTCCAATCGCTTTCAAGCTGCATCTGCAGAAACAAATGAAAAAGGATATCAGGAATAGGAGCACCGTGTAACTATCGAACAAGATCTTCTTTCCTGGTTGACTCTATTATGATCTCATGGTGAACCTGCACCGCCCCATTTGCTGACTCGGTCAATCGCGAATTGCTGCCAGATGGACTGACCCGCACGCCGTAAACAATATCTTCGTTGAGCTCATAATACGACAGGTCGCCGCCATAATTGACCACCTTGCGTGATTGAGAGCGTGAGGTACCGACTTCTTTCGATCCTTCGAGGTAACTGTTGGCTGGGCGGCGTGGATAGCTGCGCTTGCGAGACTTGCTGTTGAGTAGAAATGACATTTCAGGAAAGCATACTACTAGAAAACCCGACACTAACTCGGCACATCTTTTATTTTGTTATCATTATGAGCGATATAGAGCAGAGACAGTAAGAGCTCACCCCCAGAGAAGAATGTCCGGTTGAGTCCATGTGGTATCTACACTGTTGCTGTATTGGATACGGACGACGAAACCAACAGTGCTGAACACGGGGGCACTGCTCAAGTCAGTATCATGATTTACATTGGTCTGAGCCTTTTCAGTGTACAAATTGCCATACCATAAACCAAATGTGAACACAGCAATAACGAGAATCTTCTTGGTTCGGTTCATTTGCAGTTTCCAAGCAGCGTGCATAGGCAAAAGAAGAATGATATAGTCTGTAATCGTATTGAACAGGCCACTGGCGTTAAGAAGAGCCGAGACACTGGGAATCATTAGCCATTTACCAGAAATTTACGGACAGACACGTTGAGACGAACTTAACGCAATGCCCGGGAATTGACTTGTCGAAAATTCTAGCTCTCGGTATACACTCCAAGATCTTGACGAGAGTTGTACTAATGTAGAAGCCTAACATGATCGCGACGAGAGATAATATGATCATATCCAAGGGACTCCACCTAATGGGCGAGAAAACTCGTCGGTAAAGCCATAGCACGGATAGCTTGGTAAACATGATAAAAACACCGTATAACACCGAGGCGATATTAAACCACTGTGGAGAACAACAAAATATTAGCCAAGCTAGCAGTGTAATGAGAGCGATAGTTACCTACATATCCTGCATCTTCGGCCTGTGCTGTTGTGATGTCCCACGCGTGTCGCCCGCCATAGTGGGCCATGACGGTCCTCATGACTGCACAGTATGATACGATCCCGGCCTGAAAATATAAGTTATTAACAACTTCCCTTTTCTTCCTCTCTTTCTTCGTACCCATGATATTGTCACCAGCCCTATTTAAGCAAAATCAGTAAGTGGCTCAATATTAGGAAACAGCAAGAGTCCTTACAGTCTTCTACAATCCATGTCCTCTTTATAATTGCGCGGGCCCACACCCGACAAGCGAAGAAGATGGTGACAGCAGGCAAAGCTATACCAATCGTGATATTCGTCTTGTAAGTTAATGTTTCTGGGTGCTCGAAATTTGACTTCACGCCCGCCGGGGGATCTATCCACGGAGTGAAGGTCGACTGTGCGGCCGAAGCCGTCGTTGTAGTCATACTCAATGGCAGCCAGCAGATTCCTCTTGAAAACAAGTAGACTGTTGTGAGGAAGGTAAATGGCTGGTACAAAGACCACCTAAGGTAGAATTACTCAAATGATGGTGGAGCAAATAGATAGTAATTCAATTAATACCAAGCAAGTAGCCATTGCCCCAGAAGCTTAGTAACTCAAATAATAACCACTCAAGGCACGGAGAGCTGACATTAGTCTGAACAATAGGAACAAACCAAAGTTCACCCCCGGCCCCTCGGGCCATAGTTACATTTTTAGCAAAGTTTGTGTTGGGTGAGCGACCGGGGATAGTTACGGAAGAGAGATTGGTGGCAGCAGAACACGCACCAGTCACGAATCACCTGCAGATAATCAATATCATTCTCGGTACGTATTCGCGTCTTCTGAAAATTCATGCAGTGGGCACGGTCTCCTAAACCGTCTACTGTAGGTCTATGCTGGGACCATCTGTCCTCCATTCAGAAGGATACATACTACCTAGGACAAATATCAAACAGGCTGTCTCTTACACTATGGGAAGGGCTAGTGGCAAGTTCGAGTGGGCTGCTGAAAAGAAGATTGGGCGTTTGCCTCTCAACACAGGATTGCTATGCTACTGAAAGTGTATGCATGGCTTTGGGGGCTAAATCCTGTTTCGGCAGGATCTACCCGTCCCCCAGCCCGTCAGCACCAACATATGACCTGCCAGCAAATGAAATCCTCCCAGGAAGCGGGCGCCCCTTTTCTATGTAACGTGGAGGCGAGACGGGGATTGGCCTTTCTCCGCACGTGAACAGCTTTTGAGTGGTGCTTGATAGGCCATGCAGCCCGAAAGCAGACGGAAGAACGTGGTGAGCTTCTTTCTTGTATGTCGGCGGCCCCGCCCCCTAGCGGGCTCGTGTAGGTTCAATGGCGGTATATTCTAGATTTTAAAAATTGTGTTCATCAAAAATATTCTATACAGTTTTACTCTTTATACTAACTAATAATTCAACAATGCCAAGATGAATAGAATCTAGCTATAGGATCAGTTTATCTGGATGAGTATGGCTGAGTAAAATCTCAATTCTCTATAATCATTTTTTCGTATGGAACTTCTGCGAAAAGAAGATAATGCACGCCCTGGGGGATATACGGCGTGGCGGAGTGCACCCACCCTACTCCGTACTCCCCCTCGGAATGAGTGGGGACGCTGAGCGCCCCCACTTCGACCGTAATCCCATGAGAAATAGCGAAAGCTTAGAGAGGGATCATCTGGGATGGTTTACGAATCATAAGCAGCGTTACCTCTGGACGGTGTTAGTCAAATTAAATAAGGATTCATTTATCATGGGCTCTCAGAGTGGATTTCAGATCGCCTGGGAGCATGGTCTATATTCCAACCAGCCAAGGGGCTTTCGAAGGGTCGAGAAATTTTATTTCCACGCAGAACACGCATGTTTTCTTTTCATCTAGGTAGTTACCTGGCATTTGCTGTGCGGTTTCAAATTAGACGTGCAGCACAGTCATTCCTTATTGTTTGTTCCTTATTTCATTACCACTTCACGCGTATTTACATATCCTTCGATATTTTGTGATCGATGAGACCGTTGTGCGATATAATACGTAGTATTTTAGGAGGTTCTTTGAACCAGCAGTTGTATCTGTACCAACCACCGAGTATTGAGTACTTCATAAATACCATAATCTTATGGGTAGGACATGCCTTTTGCGCCACCTACAATCGATGTAACCACCACTGTTCCAATTCCCAGTGTTCTATATTGCCGCTAATAAGAGTGAGCACTCGCGGTCTCGCCCATGCCAGACACTAACAGGGGACGGCCACGACCAGTCAAATCTCACGGGCGAACCAGAAACGTACGACTAACAAGCGCCCCACTCGCACCATCAAACTAACGAGTAGTCCTGCATACTCCGTAGTCGGCCCCCCTTGTAAGTACAAAGATGCCACTCTCGGCGCACTTTCTTCCACTTTAGTTTTTGATTTTGAGACGCACAAAAAGAGGATATCTAATGGCGCTTCGCTGACTTCACTGCTATTTCCCTTCCGTCTCCTTAATTTTCCTCCTCGACCCCAGATAGCCTCCTCTGCATCCCAACCACGTTGCAAAAAATGGGGATTACTCCAGGTATTTTAGTCTTCTTCAGTTTTGAATTCTGTCCATCGATCGCTGACTCTCGGCAGAGCATAATACTATTAATCTGATGCCGGGTTCAGGCCGGCCAAGCGATGAGGATGGCCCTGCCTTTCCATCCAGCGTCGACGATGCCGCACTCGTCCGCAAAATTGACATGCATGTAATGCCAATGCTGTTTGCCATTTATTTCGTCGCATTTTTGGATCGGTACGTCAGTTGATCTGTCATTTGTTTATACCAGTGTCAAATTACCATCAATTGATGGGCGCATTTCATCCCTTGATTCGAGCTGATTCCCGCCCAGAGTGAACATTTCCAACGCGCTCACAATGAGCATGCCCGACGACCTGAATTTGTACGGCCACCGGGAAAATATTGCCCTTCTCATCTTTTATATTCCTTACATTATCTTTGAAATCCCATCCAACATTGCCATGAAGAAACTTAAGCCGCAATTCTGGCTGTCAGGCTGTATCATTGCCTTTGGTATTGTCATGCTTGGCCAGGCCTTTGTTAAGAGCTATGGTGGTCTTATTGCGACTCGTTTCTTTCTTGGCCTTGCTGAATGCGGTATCTTTCCCGGCAGTTTCTATCTGATTAGCTTTTGGTATAAGCGTGCAGAAGCGCAGAAGCGTTTCACCATGTACTGGTCCTCGGTTATCTTTGCTGGTGCCTTCGGTGGCCTACTTGCCTCTGCTATTGCCAAAATGGACGGCATGCGTGGCCTAGAAAATTGGAGATGGATTTTCTTGCTGGAAGGAGTTGCATCCATCCTGATCGGCATTATCGCATTGCTGTGCTGCCCTAATTTCCCCCAGCAGGCATCCTGGTTGACTGAAGATGAAAAGGCCGCAGTGATTGCGAAAACCCGCAACTACGAGGATGACGAGGCCCCGGTGACGAAATCTGACTTGGCTGAATTCTTCAAAGACCCCAAGTCGTACCTGGCTGCGATCATGTACTTCAGTAAGTTATCATTGTCCAGTGCTGCTTGTTCATGGTGGTAACCCGATCAAATAGCTATTGTGGTTCCTATCTACGCCTTCTCTTACTTTGCCCCGACCATTATCAAAGCCCTTGGATATGGAACTATCCAAACTCAACTGCATAGTGTGCCCCCCTTTGCCGCTGCTCTTGGACTTAGTTATCTTACGGCATATTTTTCGGACCGATGGAACATCCGTTACCCATTCATTCTCCTTGGTGATCTGCTGATCATTATTGGTCTGGCCCTCATGCTGACCATGCATGGAACTAGCCACTTTTCCGCGGAGTATCTCGGCATTTGCTTCATCACTATGGGCGCCTTCAGCTCCGGCGCTATTATCATCTGCTGGGTCTTGATGAACATGCAGGGCCATAAGCAGCGCAGTATAGGGTCCGGCTTTGTGATTGGTGTCGGTAATGCCGGTGGTATTGTCGCTGTGTTCTGTTTCACCAAAGATGATGCCCCATTGTACAAGCGCGGGTACTGGATTCTGATGGCTATGGCGCTCGTGGGCACGTTGATAACGGTGACATACGGCCTGGTGATTGCGCGTGAGCGCCGTCGTCAGATCCATGTTGACAGCAAGTCGGACAAGGAAAAGATTCTCTCCTTTTAGAGCTGTAATTTGACGTTTCCATATTTCTTGCTCTGAACATCCTTATCCTTTGTGGATGGGTGAAGTGGACAAAGGAATACATCGTCTCAGCTTCTTGAGATCAGTGATTCATATCTGGACCCAAGTCAGATCGACGACACAATATAGACTGTACTAAGAGTATAATAGCTATCTAGAATAAGTGACAGATAAAAATATCCTTGAACCCTTCGTGATCGAAAGGAAAATATCTATCAATAATGGTTGTGTTTGACTAGGCAACTGCCTAGTCGCCCTTCAAGGTTGTGTACAGCCCATTCTCACAAATTTTAACGGATTGTTGATCACCCATCGTTTGGTAAATATGATTCAACACTGTCAGACACAAAGATCCAAAGACACTCTGTGGGGCATAATCCTTTTTCGTGTTAAGTACTAGCGACGTCGCCTTGGTATTATATAGAGTATATATTTTGTCTAGAACAGATATCAAGTAATCTCACCCGGCTAATCAGTATGATGCCCTTAACATATATATATTGGATGTGGCAATGCTTTTTACATTTCTATCAAAAGTTCATATTTATGCAGAATCGTTGGTGATAGCTTTAAGAGGTAGTATTATATAAATTGGGTTGCTTGAATGGTGAACGGGAACATCGTTGATATTAATCGCTTCGAGTTGGAAGTGTTTTAAATCCGGATTACACAAGGAAAGATGAATATTTCAGTTATATACTCACCGTGACTCAGTCTACTACGTCAATTGATTAGCATATATTCAGTGATACCGACGACTGCTGGACGATCTAGATGCGTGAGCATTCATCTCGATATACTATATCTCGATTGATAGTAGGTACTGATGTGATGCACCCTTGCTAAATCTTAACCCTCAGGAAATACGGATAATCTCTTATGAAGCGACCAGTTTACGTGCTTAACATCACGCTCATAACGATATATAAGGGATTTCTACGGTCGCTCGCAGGATCCCACAAGCAATTAAATTGACATTTTTGGGTGGCTGATCGCGCACTTCAACCCCCTCAATTCAATTAGTGCGCCGTCGAAACCTTAAAAGATCTTCGCGTCAATGATACGTAATATCAGAGACGGAGATTTTTAAGATAGATGTGAAAAGTGACTGTTCAGCTTAATAAAAATCCAAGTCCATCTAGAGACTCAACAAACAGAAGTTCATTGTCTATTGTGGATCATCCGCTTGTTTTCGTGTCTATAATCGATAAAACAGGCCCAAAAAAGTCATCGATAGCGTATAATCGTACTGAAATGCGTGATAAATGTTCCAAATTTTCTGCTCTGCTAAGCATGTAACTTGTCGCATTCAGACGAGCCAAAGCAGGAGGTAAGATGGATGTGTTTCTTTTCTACGATTGACGGGAGGGGGATAGAGAATTCGGGATCTTTAGCAGAATATAGGTCCAGGAGGGTCTAGAGCCCATAGAATATCACATGCCGCTAATTTCAAGGCCTCCATGTGTTTGTTTTCGATCGAATAAAAAACAAATGCCCAGCCCATCATGGCCCCCATGATCCTTGAGCGCTTCACTGGAATCCTAGTGGGGCCACAATCGTGGAGCCTAGGCGTGCGTGATTTTGTATGAATCTGGTTCCGACAGCGAAGTGACCACTGAGATCTGCTGGAAGTGGGGGCATTTAGCTACGTCACCGTGAGCAGACAGTGGTGAAATCCTGGTGAACCTGAACCTTTTAGCACGCTAGTGCTCAAAAAAGGAGCAGCAAAACTCCGACATGGGAATGAAATACGAGGGAATCTATTTCGACACGCAGTGCCCCGATATTTGGATGTTGAGATCTAGCCCCTTGGAAATGAGGCGGGAAGGCACAGCTGTAAACTGTGGATCTTGGTGGGAATTGTGGATTCCGCCTAGATCTGCTCCAGCATTCTTTCTTGGGCGGTGACTACGGTCGATGAAATAGTCCGTATGCTCTTGTATCTTCACCGTCAAGTCAACACCTGTATCTTCAGGTATACTACATTGCGTGTCTCCATTCAACCAGTCTGTCGGGGAAGCGGCTGGGTACAGTACTGTTCGACGGTCGGCCCCAGTGGGGGAAAGCCTGTAGGCCCCAGTGGGCGCGCCCGTGGACCAAAAGCTCCGCACAGTGACAGCCTGCATGGATAGCAAGGCGAGGAGTGGATCGAGATATCAACATGTGGGCTTTATTGGCTCGTGGGCGATGCAGTCCGATCCACTGTTCGTCCGTGGCTAGCGCGATCGCCCCGTGTGTTGTCTTGTGTTTTTGTACCGATGTCACATCACAGATTTGTGTTGACGATCATCCAGTTGCCTTGGCTGCGCAAGAACTGTTCGCAATTGGGTGTGGCGACATATCTCAGCAGCGCGTTGATTGATGCTCTGTACAGGAGGTACTTCAGTATAGACCCCGAAGTTTGATACGTGGCCCGAATCCTACAGTGCCTGATGCATAATGCCGAATCCCAGCTGTTTCTTCACTGAGAGCGAGTTAAAAACAAAGGAAAGATGAACTAAGATATGCTCCCTTTGCATGGAATCAACAATGCACGATGTATCAAAATTTAACCAAAAAGAAGAGAGACGCGAGCTAAACCCCAACGCTAAAAATCCCAAATTCCAATGCGTAAGCAAGGTCTTTATACCTGCTAACCCTCCCTTTGCTCGCTTCTCATTACGACTCCGCTGTGACTCGCTTCAATCGTATCTCCAGCCCCTGCGCTCCCGGTGGAAGATCTGCCCCGTCGTCTTTGCTATCAAAGTACAACCGCCAGACCTCCCGGCCATCGACAATCCCCAGTTGTTGGTCCACTTGATCGCGATCGCCATCTTGCGGCAGTCGCACAGCCAGCCACCCTTCCCATCCATCGAGCGTCACATACTGCTCATCCTTGGTCCAGTCAAAGGGCCCGCAGATATGGCCCTCGCTGTCGGGGCGCCCGCCCCAGCGCAGCTCATGAGTCGCCTCATCACAAAAGACCCAGCGCAATGTCGGGGTTTCCTCGCCACTGACCGTGACCAGGCCGGCGGTATTGCTAGGCTTGAAGTCCGGATGTGTATAGAAGCCGCCGTTAAACGGCACCATGCTCGCACTGGGGTATTTGGTGATATAGAACTATAAGATTGAAAATTGTATACCCCTCTCCCACATGTGAGGAGGGAAAGACAGCCGGAGGGTCAGCATACCGCCAGATTACCAGGCCGGAGACAGTATTATTCTTCCGACGAGATGTCGGCTGTATGACGGAACTTACTTTCCCGTCCAGACCCACTTGGACCTGGGCATTGTGCACCTGCTGCCGCAGCTCCGGCGTGCCCTGGCTTAACGAGCACGTCGCCACTAGATGGCTGCGTTGCTTGCGTGCTGAGTTGCGCCGGTTTTCCTCCTGATCTCGGGTACTTTGCGTCGCCTCGTTCAGGCCGATCATGGTCGGCAGCATGGCCGCCATCATGGCAACTCCTAGGACCATGGTGATTGTCGTGAGGAACAAAAGGGCGAAAGAGGGGTAAACAGGGGATTCAAGGCGCAGGTACGATCTTAGAGGTTTTGGGAAAAATGAGGGGAAAGAAGCAAGCAATACGGGCGTGGGTTGGGGGATTCAAAAAAAATCGGAAATGCCCAACGGAGAGCTATGTAAAGGTAGCTCGTTCAGCGCGGCGGAGACCATGCAGACAGGTGGATCCGATTCAAGTGGAGAGTGGAGAGATTGACTCCGTCTGCTTGGAAGCTCAGGTGGACGGTTGGATATTATCCTTCCGGTCTGGGATATAGTTCAGGGTAGTTCGGTATAGTGGGATCCAGTAGATGCCATCGAAGTCCACTCCACCTCCATCCATTGCATCATCCTTTCTGCAGCTGAACCAAAGGAGCGCTCACAATCAGACCACAGACTCCGCTCGTGCTGAAAAAGATGTCAAGATGGAGACTTGATTGAGCAGATCGACGAACCACTCGATCTCGTCTAGGAGATTCGGCGCGGGACACAGATGACTGAATATTATTTGCTCTGAACTTCCTCCCCAGGGCAAATATCGTAAGCAGCATAAGCAGATAAATTGAACTAGAAATACTGGGCCAGCCCAATCGACCCTCTTGTGAGCTGATATATTTCGTCTCCTCCCTCGTCTCCCGTTCTATAAAGCTCGGTTCTCATAAACCCACCAGCCAACCACTTCCACACCCTCTCTCTCTCTCTCTTTCTCCCACAATGGCCGACAGGTATTTCAATCATCTCCTCCAATTCATACTTCCTCAAAAGGACCTCAGTTTCCTAACCTGGCTCCTTTTCCACCTCTCCGACCCTTCCTCTCCTCTCCTCCCTATCCACCCAACCCCCCAATCCCCTCCACCACCAATGTCCAAACGAAAACCCAAGCCTAAAACCAAACCACGCCCACCCCCAAATCCAAACCCCAAACGCAAGAAACCTGCTTCTCCGCCCCCCCAAATTCCCTCCTCAGCCCTCCTCCTCTCATGCCTCAGCTAACACCCACCCCTCGCAACCCCCCAGCACCACCCCAACCGAGACCCGTCCCTCCGGAGGCCGCAAGAACAAGAGCCCCGAGGAGGAAGTCGGCGATGTCGCCAACAAGGCCACCTCCGTGCTTCCTACGGGCGACATGCAGATCCCCGGCCCGTCGCAGGACGAAGACAAGAGCAGCCTCAAGATCAAGATCCACCTGAACATTCACGCCAAAGTGCGTCTGGAGCTGGACGCCCAGATCTACGGTGACGTCGTCATTGGCCTGCTGTAAGGTTGTCCAGTCCCCGTCCGCCCGTCCAGCTTTGCTGCCTCCTGCCCTGGGTGCACCATGTACCCTGGCTTCCGTGAGGTGCCCGTGTCTGGTCTGTTCGACCGTGCCCCCTTGAGTTTGTTTTCAGTTCTCTTGCATTGTGTGAGGGCATGTCCTATCTGATGCGTATGCCTAACATCTGGAGCATTTAGGTCTAAATGAGTGCATTTCTGCCATTATTTCCATAGCTAGCCTATGGCGTATAGGCTTTGTGAAGACTACGGGATTTTACGCGGGTTCTCGGCCGCGGGAAAGAAGAGACGATTTCCATGCTCCTCGGAGAGCGCGGTTGGGGCTGGGAGGGTGATATAGATGTTGGCTATTATGCTTGGATTCATTGGTGTATATATGTATATAACAGGGAATGTAAGGACGCACCGAAGTATACCGAATTCCCATGTCAGCACGGCTTTGAATTGCCGTCGTCCAATGACGAAGTTCGTTTTTCTTTTATTTCGGAAAACATGATACTTCCGCCATCAGGTTTGGGACCCACTATATTGCTGTGGGTATCAACGGCGTCTAAGCTTGAAAGCGGTTTCTATGTATGCCTGTGGGCCTTGGTACGAGGTAAGTATGCAGCTACTTCCAACGGTAGTTGCACCAGGAAAAGTAATTGTCTACAAGATCCACATTTGACAGGGCAGATTCTATGGATCCAGAAGCACGGACCGGAAATCTTCTAGAAGGAAGAAGGCATAGGTTATCAGGATGAGGAATTATATACACCAACCGCCCACTCAACACAAATGGGGTCGGGCCAGGGTTTCCTTCCAGCGTAAAAAAACACACAACAAAGCCACAGCCAAAGCGAGGCAACAAACCAGACTGCCAATCGAGCCGGGGTATCAAAGTCGATGAGACTGCACGCAGGATAGAAGGCGAGCACGAAAGGCAAACGAGGCAAAACAAGAACAACGCACACCAACGCCTTTTTCAGCCTTCGTCGGACTAATGCCAACGACAGACGGGTCATGTGAAAAAAGCAGAGAGATGAAGGACGAAAAAGGTATAAACGCTATGCGGGATGGGACGCCGAGGCCAAGACGGGAAATGGGAATGAAGAAGAGGAAATAAACCGCCCACATGTACGCATGATATACAACCAGTCCGGGACGTGGCCAAGGAGGAAATAGACTGAAAGAGGGGGGGGGGAAGAGAAAGAACGAGGAAACGATGCGGATCACGGAGTAGATCACTTCAGCTGCCCCTTCCGGATAGCGCCGAATCCCTTACTGAACAACTCGTGAATCTCAACCGAGCGACGAGGTACGCACGATTCCGCTGGCGAGGTCGGGTCCGCAGGGGATGCAGCCGCTGCGACCGAGGCGCGGTGTTGGTCGAGAGCAGAGCTCCCACTGTGGCTGGCGGTCACGCTTGCGCTCGAGTAACCCTCCATCTCGACTTCGTGGGCGACGGGCTTGGAGTCGGTCATGACGCGGGGCCGGGCGAGAAGTTCTTGAACCTGGCGCTCGCGGGCGTCCATTTCGATCTGGTCACGCGCGAGCTCGAAGCTTGACTTCTTGGTGCCGCGGTCCCAGCCCTGCTGCAGCTCGGCAGCAGCGGCTTCCTCGAAGCGCTTGCGAATATCTAGGTCCTGCTCGTATTCTTGGAAAATGTCGACGTCGGTGGGGAAGAAGAGGGCACGAAGGGTGGAGACGGTCAGCTCGAAGAGGACGACCGCCGCCACGGAGATCAGCAGCACAAGCCAGAAGAGAAGGTTGTCGCCGGCGTGGTGGAGGAAATTATCGGGGACGTCGTAGACACCTTTGCCAGAAGAAAGCTTGTAGCGCTGAGAGAGGATGATGTTCCATAGGAACCAGCCACCCACGGAAATAATGACCACAGCAAGTGAGACGTATGTCTTGTTATGAACTTCCAGGACCTGTAGCTTCAGATTGATAACTGTTACGCAGGCAGAGAAAGTGAGAAGGCCGAGTGCGAAGGTGTCGATATCGGATGGGTTGACATGGATCATGCCGAAGAGGCCATACATAGTGAAGAAGATGATCATAGCTTCGCAGGTTGCCATGAAGGTCCAACCCAGGTACAAGCGGATATTGAAGCCGCCGTTCCGCTGGCCTCGAGTGTAGAGCTCTGGCACCGCAAGGAGAGTCGATGCAGCGAGATCTTTGGTGAAGATGCCCAGGAAGATGACAGCAAGCGAGGTGAAGAGCGTATTGAACATACTCAAACTCCAAGACTCGTAGAGACTGGTGCCTGTGTAGCCATTCCAGCGCTGATACAAGGCTTGCGTCAAATAAAACAGCATTTCCTTCCAGAATGTACCGAGGGTATATTTGCATGCACGCATGTAATTCCAGCGTCCGTGGACCAGGAGGAGCTTGAGCAGAAAGCGGAATTGGCCAATCGAGTAGTCAGAGATACGAGCAGCCTGGAGGCCCTCCTTCCCTGCGATACCAATACCGACGTGGGCCTCTTGGATCATGGCAATATCATTGGCACCATCGCCGATGGCGAGAGTAATGGAATCGTTCACATGGGTACGGATGGATTTCACCAAGAAGGCCTTTTGCTTCGGGCTTGCCCGACAGCAGATGACCGAGTCCACGAGAATAGCAAGCTGGAAGAAATGTTCGCAAACGACATCATCGGCCTCAATCTCGGCCAAGGTCTGACCATCAACGACGACAACAGAGTGGGCAACACGGTTACGAGTAAGATCCGCAGTCAAACGGACGATAGTCTCGTAGACATTCCCATTCTCATGGTCCAGAATCGTGAGGGTCGAGTAATCCTTGACCAGCCGGCAGGAATGGCCAACATTGATAGCAGTCTCACGCTTATCACCAGTCAACATCCACATCTTGATGTTCGCACGACGCAGCTTATCAATTGCCTCAGGGACGCCCTTCTGCAGCTTATCCTCAATAGCAGTAGCGCCCGTCAGCTCCAGCTGCTGCTCGATTTCCTCGCCAACCTGCTCGATCTTCTCCTGGCGATCCACAATGCTAGTGCTAGCCTCATGGTAGGCCGCCTTCCACGATTTATAGGTAGTCTCGTCAATAAAGCGATGGCCGTAGAGCAAGGTACGCAGTCCATCGGTGGCAAAGTCGTTCAAATGTTGGAAACAACGTTCAAAAATCGCCGCCTCGTCCACCACAAGAGCCTCCTCGACCAGATCCTCGTCATCCTCGCCGTTTGTCGAGCTTCCAGAATCCGAGATAGCAGCCGAGTTCCGACCCATCTGAGCAGACGGTCGGGGACTGTAGTATTCGCTGTCAGCCTCACGATTGAGCATCCCGCCATCGGTTTCGCGGTCGCGCAACCAAACATCGATACTTTCACGCAAAGTCGACGCATGGTGCCCGGAAACAGACGAGCGGCGACGTGTAAAGCTGGGTCGACTGAGGCTGTTCCGAACACCGCTGTCTTTCCGGCTATGGTACTCGCTGTTGCGGCGAATGACTTGGTTCGCCTCGGCTGCCTTGCGCTTGCTGACACGACGCTCAATCTCAGCTGCCTTCTGTTGTGCCAGGTCGGCCTTCTTCAGCAGGCGCATGAGTGTGGTATCAGCGCCTTTGCAGAACAGGCAGATGCGGGAATCAGGCATGCGGACAACGACCGACATGCGCTTCCGGGCACTGGAGAATTCAATCACATCCATAATTTCGTAGGTTTCATCAGAGGGGGCTTCATCAGGGCCATTCGGGTACGAGCGAATGGTGAGTGTGTTCGGCTGGCGGTCCATTACGAGATAGCCCAACTCCTGCGCAGCCATGACCAGAGCCAGTTCGTCCGGGGAGGCGGCTTGAAGGAGACAGAGCCATTCTCGTCCTCCTCGGGAATACAGGTATGGCAGAGCGCGATGGAAAGGATGAAAAGTTTCGCTTTGCGAGCAAAAATGGTGTAAGGCTTGCGCTGGATGTACTCGAGCATCTCGGCGGTCCGGCTAGGAGCAGCACGACCAAGGCGACGCAGAGCATCAGCACCCGCAGACACGTTCGACGGGCGCGCAACGCTCATGCGTGCCTCGGAGACATTTGACTTCCGGTTCATAGCTTTCTTGCCCTTTAGGTTTCGCTTTTTGTGGATGAGCTTCTCGCCTTCGAGGGCGGCCTCTGCCTGGAGATCGAGGTCGTGCAACCAGGCGGTGCCCGCAACGCTCATTTTCCGGAAGCGCATGGAGTTGTTGGTCAGGGTGCCGGTCTTGTCGGAGAAAATGTAGCTGACTTGGCCAAGCTCCTCATTGATCGTGGAGGTGCGGGCTTCCAGGGGGGTGTCGGTTTCCGGGTCGTACATGTCAATGTCGTTCAGAAGAATCATCTGTACCACCTTGACAATCTCCATACTGACGTAGAGTGAAATGGGAATCATAGTATTGAACATAATGAGGAAGGAGGTAAAAATAGGACCATAGTTGACGCTTGCATCGGTGAGATACCATGAGCGCCGTTCCACGTCTTGCGACCAGTACTTGTAGGCGACAGTGCAGGCGACAGCCAAGATGACCACCAGAAGCACGATCAGCATGACAACGTGGTTGACCTTGGCCTGCAAGGAGGGCTTCTTGATTCGGGGGTTTTTGTTGGCGTTCATGCGGATCTTGCACTCTTCGCCCGTATAAATAACCATGCCGACAGCACGATCCGTGTTTCGGAGGATACTTCCACGGTAGACAATCTCGTTGTTGGTAAGCGGTAGCTTCTCCTGGGCATTGACGGTGACGTGGCCGTCGAATTTGTAGAGGTCCATGTTGGGATCTTCCACGACAAAATGCAACGCATTGCTGATGATGTCGTCGACGGTGGAGCACACTTTGGCCACTGGCTGGCACGGCTGTTTGTTCTTCAGATTGGTCTCTCCGTCAAGGGCCATTGTCTCGATGTAGGCGACCCCATTGGGACCATTGGCGTGGAGCAGAGCAAAATCCGCCGGCACTGGCTGGTCTCGTTCGAGTTTGATGACATCGCCGACGCGGATATCCTGCCACTTGATCTCCACCCAGTCATGGGCGCCACTTGCCATGGACGCACCGTCGGTGACTGGAGCTTGACCGGGTCGCAGCACCCAGGCGTACCGGTTATTTTCTTCTTTGTCCAATCGATACCGGCGCCAATCATCGAACCCTTCTTTACCCATCGAGATACCCACGAAAATCAAGAGCGGAATGAGGGTGGTGAAGGTACCCGTGGTGCTTAGACCGGGAATCATCTGAAGAATGGCGACCACCAAGAAGTAAAAATTGGCCAGTTTGGTGAATTGCGCAAACAGTTGGCGCGGGAAGAAACTCCAGAAGCTATAGCGGCTCGAGCGAATCCAATTTTCACAGTAGGGTTTGCCGGTGCGCTCATCGACCAACGTCTCCACCCGCGACGGATTCAAATCGATGTGGCGGCCGTCCTTGGTCGGGGGAATGTCTTTGATGCGCAGAATGAACTTCTGCAGGGTGGTCAGAAGAGCATCGACGCGGGCTGTCAGCACCGCGGTGGCGGCTTTCCTGCGGCTCCATTGCTTCTGCGCCGCGGCCATATAATACTCCTTGAGGGGTCGATCCGACGGGTCGGACGAGACGTAGGTCGGGGGTTCTTCCTTCGGGTTGGACTCGAGCGTGGCCGTCGGCGCCACTCTCAGCTCGTTCTTCTCATCGAGCGAACATGAGACCTCGGCGGCCGGAGCCGCTACGCCTTCTTCCGGTGGGTTGGTCGGGCTCTGGCCCGGGGGCTCCGCGGGCGAGAGGTCATCTTGATCCGACTGCGTTTGGATATTTTTGTTGAAGATGGAGCGGCGCAGGGAGTATCCCCGGTTTCGGGACCGCGACCGCCCGTTCGAGTCTGGACTGGTCGGGGAGAGGGGGGAGAGGGTGGCATTCGGGGCCGTGGGAGGTGAAAGAGGCGAGGTCGGCGACCGCGCGGCGGGACGAGGGACCGAGGGCGGCGCCAGCGCCGTGTCGATAGTCAGGCCGCGGGAGTTGGGACGTCGGTCCCAGTTCGGCTGGCGTGGAGGGTCGTCGACCGGTCGCTCCAGATCGGTCGAGAATCGCACGTGGTGCTGGGAGGGACGTCGGTCCGAGTCGGACATGGTACGCGACGACATGAGCGAGGGTCGGCGCACGACGTCGTTCTGCGGCTCTTCCGAATGAGCGCCATCGGAGGGGGGCTCATCGTGGTTGGACATGACGGGGAATGTGGTGTTGGCACGAAGATCGTGCTTGCGCGGGTCAAGCCCGGACGATCACTTTTTGTTTCTTCCTCTCTCACGTATACTTCTTCTTCTATTTCTTCTTCTTCCTCGTCGCAAGGTTGGCGTTCTGGTGCGCTCGCGCGGTCTATTTCTGTTTTCCTAGCGTGTCAAGCGTTGGTGGATCGAACTCGAAGCGAGAGAGCTGCCAGTCATTTCTTTCAGCGCATCGGGGGGGGAGTTGGATGTTGTGTTGGTCGGATTTGAAAGAAGGCAAGCCGGCGGGGGGAATCTCCCAAACGAAAGTGAGTCCGTCGGGCGACGGAGACAACAGAGAAACCCACGACGAAAGACCAAGCGAGGGCGTCTGGAGTAGTTGAGGGAGGGAGGAGAAAGGGGGAGAGGGTTCGCAAACGAGGTTTGCAGTGGTGTTGGCTGTTGACGGGGACGGGTTGGCCTGGACGAAAGAGGCAATGCACCGGTTTCGGCAACCCGTCAGGACACAGAGGCAAATCGAGGGCAGAAAAAATGGAGGGCAGGCCATTCAAGATCCAAAGATCCAACCGATTAAGGTCGGTGGAAAAAGTGGACTCAGGGGGATTCTAGAGCCTGTCAGGACTGCGGCGGTCGACGAACTCTGGGTTGGGAGGTGGAGCCTGCTGGGGTGGCAGCCAAGCGTCGTCTCTCGCGATCCCCACGCCCGTGGCCACCACGCCGAGCAACCGTCCTCCTTATTGGGCGTCCCAACCTCGACTGCTGCCCAGGCCATTTGCCATTCAACACAGCCCACGCGAGACGCTGGAACTCCCCAATCGATCCCCGAGCAGCCTCGACCCCAGGGACGCGTGGACCCTCCTTCCACGTCTCCCACTCCTCCAGGCTACAGGCCCTGTGGCCAGCGCCCGTCAACGTTGTATCGCAGGTACCGCGCCACCATGCCCTGCTTCTTCCAATAGGCGTGGAATGATTCTGCCTCAACGGCAAACGATCAAAAAAGGTCATGACCATCAAAGCGATACTCAACAATCCCGTTACCTTTTGTTTTTTCCTTTTTTCCCTTTTTTCCGTTTTTTCCGTTTTTTTTCCCTTTTGTCGTTGTACGTCCCAACTTTATTTTCGTCGTATGAAACCCCAGGAGGAATTTAGCCAATGCCCTGAATATTCGTGCAACCACCTCGTCATCAGCCCACCGAAGCGACCCGGCGGGCACTGGTGGAGCGCACCTCCGTCATCGCCTTGGCGTTCCATGTCCATATACGGAGACCCGTGATGGCTGAGAGGATTCAGATACGAAAGGCCAGACGCGGAGACACGTACGATCCGCTGGGATGCAGAGAACTATCAGTCGGACCGCCCTCGAGGGGAAGGTTCCAACCCCCTCTCCCCGATCGAAGCACACGTTCGATCTTGGACAGCTCAAGAGGCTCAGCGCGCATCCAGATGAAAGCCCCAAGGAGGTGGTGGCCTGGGCGGGGCTGGTTCCGGCTCAGACCAACGCGCAGCGCAATGCCGATCACCGGGAAACACCGTCTCGTGTAACGCTCGACTCGGGACGCTCTGCACTCGGTACTCGCGAACCTCCGCTGTACGCCTGGTAGGCCTGTATCGCGTTGGCTGTGTCCGCGAAGATCAGATCATCCCTGCTGAATGTCACATCGAACATACTAAAAAAAAAATAAAATAAAATAAAATAAAAGAAAATAGAAATAAAAATAAAAATAAAAAAATACTCCGGCTTTCCGTTGTTGTTTGTCCGGCCACTTAATAGAATCTCTCTCTCTGTCAATCAATTCGAGATGATGCGATGATTTCCTGCCCTTTAGCTCAAGGCATTTGAGGTTGAGAATATATCACGCCATCTTTGCGATATCGAGAGGCCCCAAGCGGGGATGGAACCTCTGTTGGTCGTAGATGCTGGGGCAATTTGCTCCTGGAAGCGCCAGCATGTCGCAAGGCATCCCCTTGGGGTTTCACGTCATGCGGGATTCGAAGGCCAACGAAGGGGTCTTCCGGGTTGCTCACCCTCGATGCCCCCCGGGGCTGGGCGACTGCTACGAAACGAAACATGCAGCGCGAGCTAAGGCGGAAAGGGATCGCGTGCAATGGAACCGGTATCATTCCACATCCTACAGGGATGACCATACAGCGATGAAGCGAAGAACTATCAGGCACGGAACAGATATGGTTTCATCCTAGGCGAGAGAGTTCAAAAGGGAAAAGAAAGAGAGAGAGAAAATGCAAACAGGCCAGGGAGGAAGGATACCTATCCGGCGTCCCATAGGTCTCTTCATTGGCAAAGGGAAAAGATACAATGAGAATGAAGAGCACATCATTTGCAGAAACACACGCCAAGAGGAAGAAAAAAGAGACGTGATCGTGTGAGGTCATTCCTCTGGCACCTAATAGCGACGCGGTGGTGGGGGTCCATAGCCTCCATGACCAGACCCCTGGGACGGGTAAGACCCTTGAGGTGGGTATCCTCCCGGAGACGTCCCGCCATAGCCGTGTTGCTGCGGTTGACCGTAACCACGGGCGGCAGAGGGGTAGGGAGGCTGTTGCGGTTGCTGCTGGTGTTGCTGCGACGGGGGCGGTTGCTGCTGCGGCGAGTACTGATTATACGGACTCGGGGGGTATGCAGGAGATCCTTGGGCGCTGTAGGAGTTCTGGCTTAGTCCGGGCGACGGCTGGGCATATCCGCCGCCATACCCCCCTGAGGAGCCGGCGGAGCACCACCGGTGGCACGGCCGGCGGCTTTCTCGTCCTTGGTGTCGTATGAAGAGTCGATAGCACCGAGCATGAGCTTGGCACACTGTTCGAAGAAAGCGACCTGGAGTCAGTGATATGATCGATATCCAGCAGAGATAGTTGGAGGACACAAACCCAGAGTTCACGCGTCAGATGCACTGGCGGGTTCGCCCGTGACATTTCATCCTGTTCTACCTCGAAGTCTTCAAGGAGGCATGGTTAGCTACAGACCGAATGGTGGAGACGAGACTGAAGACTTGGTCTTACTGGAAGTGCAGTCGATCAGCTGGCCAATGTGAGGGTCCTCGTCCAGATCGGACAGGAAATCCCGGGCTCGCTGGTCGTTGCCGACCTGGGAGAACTGGAAGGACACAGCACCACGACCGTAGCGAGTGCGGGAGGTCTCATCGACGGCGTAACGAATGGCGTCGCCGACAGTACTGTGCGCCTCCCCAGCCGGCTGGCCGTCGGTGATGGTGATGATCAAGACGGGCTTGTCGAGGCGGTTGGCGCGGGCCGGGCCGACCACCAATGGGTCGATGACCTTGCTACGAAGACTCGTGCCCAGCGGCGTCAGACCGGAGAACCGCACCCGTGACACCAGCTGGTTGACGTCGTCGGCGCTGCGAATACCGTCGCCCGTCTCCATGGAGTTCATGAATCGCACAGAGATGCCGTCCTGGTCGAACGTCGAGGCGGCCGTGGCGACGATGCCGAGGATCTGGCGCAGCTGTTCCTTCCGCAGGCCCTTCTCCTCGAACTCGATCGATCCGCTATCGTCCACGTAGAGGATCACATCGAACAGGGACAGCTTCATGACATCGGTGGCGACTTCCATAGGAACCGACCATTCGTGGATCAAGCGCTGCAGTCGGGCCGGTGCATCGTTGGCCAGGGACTGGACCAGGCGGTCCAGTCGCTCGGGCGGGTAGAAGCTCTGCAGGTTCTTTTCCTGAATCGTGCCGATCAGGAGGTTTCGGTAGGCGTTGACCTGCTGGGGGTCACGGGTGCCGCTTGGGGCGGGGGAGCACCACCGGGCGCGCCATATTGGCCCCCCTGGGGAGGACCTGGTGAGGGTCCCGGGCGGCCCTGGCCGGGGTAGGGAGAGCCTTGAGGCTGGTATGGAGCCTGTGTATGATGCCCGTCAGTTCTCATCTGCACATTCCCTCTGCACCGTCGCTATTCTATCCCGATGTCCTGGATCTCCTAACAGAACGCAGCAGGGGGTGGAGGAGGGGTAAAACACAAAACAAGGCATTCATCGGGAGCTCATCTGTACATAGGGCTGTTGCTGTCCAGGGTATGCGGACGAGGCCTGGGCCGAGTATGGCTGGGGTTGTCCGGGTTGTGCAGGTTGCCCAGGGTAGAGCGATTGCGGTTGACCGGCTGGTTGGGTGGGTGGTTGACTACCCGGGTATGGGGGCTGCTGTCCTGGGTAGGGCGATCCTGAAGATCCATAGGGCTGGCCTTGGGGGGTGGCGGCGGCGGACGTGCATAGCCCTGCTGAGGCTGTGCGGGGTAGGGCGAGGACGGTTGCTGGGGCGGAGCCCGGGCGTACGGCGCGGGCGATGTGCTAGGCGGGTGGTTGTAAGGCTGGTAGGGTTGAGCAGGTGAGCCGCCATACGGAGCATAGTCCTGGCCCGGACCGGGTCGATAGTAGTGGCCCGACATGAGTGTGGTGTAGGATGTGATGTCGAGGAAGGGAAGATCCGACGACGGTTGGCGGGGTAAAGGGAAAAAAAAAAAGAGAGAGAGAGAGAAAGAGGACCAGAAAACAGACAAACCCGGTGGGGGGGAGGAAAGCAGCCGAGAAAACAAGAACAAGGCAGATACTGAAGATCACCGAAGACAACTTGCAACCCCCAACGTAGAAAGAGCAGAAAGAGCAGAACAAGTAGAACAGGCAGCAAAAGAAGGGATAACGCTTACCGAAGCCTGTGGCGGCGAACCGGGATACGCTGCGTATGGCGAGGTCGGGGATGGCTGCTGCTGCTGCTGCTGCTGCATGTCCTGTCAGCACCGGGTTTGGGATGATTTCACGCATGACGTCGATCACCAGCATCGACCCTCAGGGCCCAACATTGACTTACGTATCCACCAGGCCGCAGGGCTGCCGGCGGGCCTCCTGGATAGCCGGTCGGAGGGGCACCCCCGTAGGTGCCTGCGCTGCCTGTATTGGATGGCATCGTTTGCGATGACGGCTGTGAACTCGTCTGACTGGGTTGGCTCGAGCTGTTCTGGCTATTCTGGCTGGCCGCGATCTTGGACGCAAACTATGAAGTCACTTAGGTCAGGTTGGGAGATCGGAGGGGTCAAGCGGGGGCAGAAGAGAGGGAGAAGAGGGAAGAAGAGGAGGCAGAGCAGAAGGACGGAGTGGTTCACATACACCCATTTTGGAGACACGAAGGCAATGAAGAAGGAGCGATGCCTGAGAAGTAAGAAATCGAGGTCAAGGAGTCAGCAGACGACGTGATGGGGCGGGCTGTGTTTGTCTACGTCGCGCTACACGAGCCAGTCGGAGCCGGTGGTGGATACGTAGTGGGGAAGCGGTTCATCACGAAAGAGCGCAAGAAGGCTTCTGCTGCCGCGGGGGCGGACCGCTGGACAACAAGACCCGAGCTGGCCAGGGTCGCGAGTCGAGTCGAGCACCGTGGACGACTCCCCCCGTCTGGGGCGGCCGAGACAGCTCCATCCTGTCGACCATCAGGACCGAAATCAAGGTGCCTCCCGATAGAGAGTGCTGAACCAGTCCCATCTCGCCCTTGACGCGGCCTCGTCACTCAAGTTGGTTCGTGGGGCCCACTCGATACAGGCACGACTCCACTGCTTCCAGAAGCCCTAGAATCGGCCGCCCAAAACATCCTGGTCCGACTGGTCGCCAGATATCAGATCCGATCAACGAGATCCGATGAGATACCACATACTACCTATAACCATCCCGACTCGCAGAGCCACACGGCACTCGTGAGTCTGGTTTACGAACCAGACGGCATATCCCATGTGAGGCATCTCAGTGCGAAAACGGGTCAATGGAGCAGTCCCAGGCTGTGTTCGATCCGGATCCGGCCTCGAACGCCTCCAGGCGCGCTATACTTCATGCTCCGTCCTACACCATCCTCCAATGTGCCTAGATGACTATTCTCCGTGAACCCCCACAGGTACTTTCCCTCACAACCTCCCCCTATCTAGCCTCCTCCGATCTATCAAGTCCGTCGCACAGCACCCTTCGCCACAATTCCACCCCCCACGAATGAAACCCAGGATCGGCGGGCATTCCCCAGATCGGCACGACCCATGGGCGCGTTCTCTGGGGGAAGCTCTCGGCCCACGGCCCCCAATCACGGATCCCCAAACCCGCCCAACCTCCCTGCTTCCTGGCCCTCGAATCCTGGCCATCCAGGCAATGGGGGTTCATTGGCCCAGAGAGATATCGCCTCTTCCTGGCTGGGCCTTTATGTCGGCCCAATGGCCCATGATGATCGCAGTCTCATCCCTTCTCAGGGGGAGGCCAAGGGCAGCCGAGCAGTAGTACAAGAATACTGGGCACAAACATTCTAGCTGCCTCCATTCATTCCTTTTCACACTTTTTCACATCATTTGGTCTTGACACTGGCATGCTGCACCGCGGGCGCATGGTTCAACGTGCTTCTCTCACTCGTCCGGTCTGAGACAGCAGCCTGTTTCTGTCATCTCCCATCCCCCGCCGGCTCTATCACACCCTGCCCTTCTTCTGGTTTCAACCTCACTTCCCATTCCTCCTCCCTTTACTTCAGCGATACTCACACTACTTCTTCGGTTGCCAGCACCAGGGTGTTTCCTACCTAGAGCTAACCAAGGTCGCTTGTCTAACTCCGACACGACTACTCAACCCTGGTCTCAGTGGTACCCTCACCACCAAGTCCCATCATGTCCACCCCGGTCCTGCGGCTCGGCATCCTGGGCGCCACCAACGTCGTCCAATCCACTTACCTCCCCATCCTCTCCTCGCTCACGACCTATTTCACTCTCACCACCATCTATCATACTGATCGTGACCTTGCAGCTCACTGCCAAAAGCAGTTTAACATCCCTCATTCCACCACGTCCCCCGATGACCTCATCCACCATCCTGAGGTCGAGCTTGTTCTTAACCTCCTTCCCTTCGACTGTCATGAGCAGTATACTCTCGCCACCCTCGAGGCTGGCAAGCATGTTATGGTAGATGTGCCCCTTGCCCTGAACATCCGCAGTCTACGGCGTATCCGCGATGCTCGCAAAAAGGGCGCCGCCACCCACAGCACCACGCCAAAGGTCTTTGTCGGATGCCCGCGTCGCTATGCGCCTTGCTTCACCGACGTCTTCAAGAAAGAACTCGCCTCCCTGGGCCGAATTTACTACGCACGTTGCCGCAACATCACAGGGCCGACACTGTCACCCGCAAATACTGATCTTGCCCGCCGTGACCCTTCCAACGGGCTTAACGTTCCCACTACCTCCCTGCGCGCCTTCCTCGCCGACACATTCGGGGCCGACGAGGACATGAGCGCCGACCGTGCCGCGTTCTGTCATTTTCTCGGCACCATGGGCTGCCACGATCTGTCCCTGATGCGCGAGTCGCTGGGCCACCCGGATGCCGTATCTAACATCTCCATTATGGAGCCCTTCTTCGCGGCTATGTTTCACTACACGGACGGCTCTCCGGACAACGGGCACCCCTTCACACTCGTCTACGAGGCCGGTATTGACGCTGTGCCCCGCTGCGACGCCCATCTCACCATCTACGCCGAGCGCAAGTCCCTCAGTGTGCAGTACGACTTCCCGAGCCCCGGACTCGCCGGCGGCCCAGAACCAACGGTGCGCGTGGTCATCGAAGAACCGGAGCCACAGCCGGCAGGCCTCGCGGTGGGCGTGGATGTGACGGAAAACGGGCACGGCGTCGCCAACGGTTCTGGAAAGAGCACGGCCCGGGCGTGCGTCCAGCGGCGGGAGTTCGTAAGCACCGCGACAGAAGCATACGCGCAGGAGTTCCGGGCGATGCATGCGTATCTGGTCGGCGGGGAGACCGACGCAGGTACCAATGAAGCGAAGACGACGACAGATGATGTGCTGGATGATCTGAAACTGCTACATATGATCTTCGAGCACTATGACCGGCAGTGCGGCACGATACGTACCCCGCTGGGCTAAGGGGAGAGGGTGGTTGGCAGGGATATTGGGACTCCTGGAATTCTTCTGAAGAGGTTACGGGCTCCTAGAATGAACAGCGCTGTGCCCGGATGCACCTTGAATACTGATTCCATGGGAGCGACTTTTACACTATGTTTTTTCTCTTTTTTTCGGATTGCTTTGGATATTATGGGACTAGGAGGTGGGCATTTACATCATTCATACTGACATCGCGTTTGAACTTATTGAAAGGTTGGCATAATATTGAACATTGTTGGTAGCACAAGCGCCAGTACTTCAGCGTCGAGACAACTAGTGTCTTGAATTGCTTCTGTAATGCTTCAACCTAAGCGCTAAGACCCGAATGTCACTATTTTAAGCTCTTTTGCGCCCGCCATTTTGGGAATGTTGGACCAAGAGGGAAGTTTGCGCAGTATGTCAAGATTTGAATGTCTAGATTCCAGATACTATCCAAAGCCGAGCGAGTTCGTGTCAAAAGGTATCAGGTATGCCATGTGCGATGTTCTGCCTGAGATCAGCGGAATCGGATATCCCAAAGAGAATGATTTCCAGAGTGGACGAGGAACCTCTTCCAGGAGGTTGCAACTTTAAGTGATTCAAGGACCTCAAACGCCAAATAAACGCTTTACCAACACGACCCCTGTAGGTAACGATTGGAGTCTATAAATAGGCGACTTCTTGTTTTGCGGAAACATCTGTTGGTTCTCCACAGTTCAGTTACTTATTTCAATCGAGTCTTTATAGTGGGCTAGATGTCTATAAGAAGAGGACCACACTCCATGCGAAGACAGGAAGTTCACCGGCAGACCGCTCGACCCAACAGCCCTCCCCTCATCTCCCAATCGTGATAAAACGATATGTCTGGCCGTTTTTATGCAGGGAATTCTAAATCGGTAAAGGGAGAGGCCAGGACGCTTCCATTAGCCACGTCCCGTCAGCCAGACCAAGGGCCTCTCGTCTTTGAATTTGTCAAAACCTCCTGGGGGGGGACTGATATCCATCAAGTGACTCTCCCGACATCCAGAAGTAGCGCTTCTTCGTCTGATAATTCTTCGGGCTGGATTGTCGATATCAAATCGGAGGATGACGTAGAAGAATTATTGGTCTACCCAACGAATGATTTTCAAGACCCTGTTCCTGACAGTACGTACTATTCTACAGCCAGCGCAAAACGCGAGTCGCACACCGTTATTTCTATCTATAAGAGACGCTCTTCTCAAAGCCACGAACGAACAAGGATGTGCTACAAGGAAAATGGAGGTCCTCCATCAAAGGCGACATACACCTTTAATATAACCCGCCGCAACAAGACTCGATCTTTCTACTGGAAATTCTCTCCGCTCTCTGTAAAAAATGGAGAGCCACTGCCCAACGCAGCACTTGACCTTGTGGAAATCTCACAGGAACTACATTTCACAATCGGCAAACTTGCGTGTCGTATCAACGAAAATAGCTCCAAGGGTCAGACGCCCCAGGTATCTGCAACTGTTATCAACGAATATCAGGGAGATAGAAATGTCACCCACAGACTCACTCTTTATCCTCGTGATGGGTTAGATACGGAAGAGCGTTTTCTCCTGCTGACGAATGCTACAGCGGCGCGCACATATTTCCGTCCTAAAATGAAGAGAGCGCGCCGAAACCTCAAACCTAGTAGAAGACCTCGACGCGGTCGAGGTCTAGGCAACATTTCTCAGCCCCGATCGCAAACAGGCTGATCCATGACAAAATTGATCATATGCGCCCGGCACCCGTCTTGGGCTTTTGAATGAGCTTCAGGGAAGATGCAAGGGAGGGAGTCGTTGGCCAACTAACCCGCTTTGCCAACAAGACCCCATATAGTGAGCAAGCTCATCCTGAAAATCCAAACTACTTGTTGAGGATATTCTCCGATGATATTTGTTTGTATTCTCCACTCAGATGTTTTGATGATCTACCTTGGATTGGCTTCTCTATAGGGAACTAAACACCTTTAAGAGGATGGACGCATTGCATATGGGGTGGGGTAAATAGGATATTCACCAGCAGCCCTTTCTGCCATTTTACATTCAACCGTTCTGGGAGTTTTTTTTGGTATGATTGCTTCGATACTGGAGCCGAGATAAAGGCCCGGTGTACTACTTGACAAGATACGAGGCTCGCTAGCAGTCTAATTATAGAAATATGATATCTTCTTCCTTTCCCAAGGCCAGCCACTTCACTGAAATATTTACCCTCATGTCCAATAATCCGAAGCCCCCATCAAACACGTAGGCATTTTGCTCAACCCAAGCTGCAGTAACACATCGCATTGTGGCCATTGGACCTACTAAAGCTGGGGACTTCTTGATTATGAAGTCTTCAACGATTTCTATATGCTTTGGATCTCTGATACTCTACCATTTAACGAACGTCTTTTTTCATCTTCATCATCATCATCATCATCATGGGAGCCGTGATGTTCGGTGCCTTGATAAAGTGACCGCCGGCTTAACGGAGATCTCGGAACTTGATATCGCGACTGATGTCTTGAAAGGACCAATCATTGAAGAGGTTAGGGTGATCATTAGAATACTGAAAAGCGGAGGCAGTATGCTCTCTGGCCATTTTTATGCACTGTTCTCTCTTCTATAATTCAACGCCGAATAAGAGGACTTTCCCATCCTGTCTCTCTTTGACGCATTGTCATAATGCGTCTCGAATGAAAATAACGTATGTGCGATATCTATGCTGCAGGTGTACGATACATGGGTCTATTTGTGCTTAGCCAAGAAGAAATTTTCAAGGAGTTTTAAATGTACAATCGTTTGGTGTTCTTTTCTCATCAATGCATAGACGTGATCTACTACATACTCCTTTTCTAAGCTACAACGGGTCAAACGCAACGAGCTCTATCACCCCGACTACCGTTTACCCTTCTTCTTGTTCTTCTTCGCGTTTCCTCCACCGCCACCGCCTGCTTTCTGCTGCGGCTGGGCCACAGACTCCTCTGTCTTCTCGGAGACAACGCCACCCTGTGTTCTGTCCGCGGCACGCTGCTTATTCTTCTTGCCCTTGGGTCGATAGGATGAGCGGTCCCGCAGCGGTAGCCAGCGCTCTGGGTCGGGCTTCTTCTCGGGATCGTAGTCCTTGGGGAGACGTGATTTGCGCACCCGCTTCGCAGCACGACCGTCTTTCTCCGCAGCCGCACGCTTACGGGCGACGGCGAACGCAGCGGTAGTGGCGGCCGACAAGCCTGAGGACACGATGCCAGCAGACTCAAGAGCAGAGACGTCGACACCACCCACAAGATCGGCAACGGAGGGAAGGCGGTCGAGCTGCGCCTCGATATCTGTGTAATTCAACGTGGCTTGGGAAGCAACGTAGCCGGCGACGGCAACGCGATCCGTGGGATCCTGTTGATGCAGTGACTTAAACAGGTCACGGGCGGTGGCCAAGTCGGCCTGGTCGTCCGAGTGCAGCAGGGAGGTGGCGGCAGCGCGCAGCAGCGAGGAGGGAGCGTCGGTCTTCTGGCGCCAATACGCGGCGGCCTGTGCGAGAGTTGAGCGAATCTGAAGCTTGCGGCCTTCAAGCTGATAGAGCGAAACGAGGGCACTGAGCAGGCCGGGGTTGAAACGGGCGTCCTGGTCCGCTTCGGAGATGGACTCCTCCAAACTGCGAAGCGACCGCTCCATGGCGGTAATGGCGGATGTGGTGTTGCCGGCGTTGACGTAGAGCTGGACAACGGTAAGGAGCAGACCGATGTCTTTCGGGCGCCGCTCAAGTAGTGGGAGAATCTGCTTCAAGGCCTTCTGGCCGGTTTGGCCCTTTGCGTGAGCCGCGGCGTTGTACACTGACAGAAGATTCGAGCTGCATGAAGTGGACGGATACGAGCTGCGTGCGAGTCCCTTCGCTGTTGACCGGATCATACCATCATACTTCTGAACTAGAAGATCTGCTGCATAAGAGTTACCAAGAAGGATATTATCTTGGAAGTTGAAGAGCCGATCATTGTTGATGGCATCAGGAGTCTCGCGAAGGGTCTTGTAGTGGAGATAAGGGTTGAGTGTAGACTGGCAAGCCAGAGTGATGTTATTTCTGGCAATCTTCTTCGTGGAAAGCTCTGAGATGCTAGTTATTGAAGAATAAATTAGCTGAATGTGATCTCATTTTATGACTGACACGGCCAATCAAAACTTACTCTTCCACTTGGATTTGCTCAAGAAGTGATTCAGCCTCCTCTGTCCTGCCTTGCTGGATCAAGACATAAAGGTACTGAACTGATATCGGTAGCAACTCTGCCTCCCGATCTTCAGCTGTAAGATCCTCTGATGTCTCGCAGATATCTGTTTATTCGTGAGCGAATAGTCCATCCTAGTAATATAATGGGGGTCCCTAACTCTTTGCGCGGTTCAGGAGGACTTCGCCTTGCTTATATGCCCCCTTGGCAATATTCAAGCAGGCAGCATTGTAGGCAGTTTCAAAGGATTCCAAATCCTCTCTGGAAGGGCGATCATGGCGCACATGCTCCCCCTCTCCCCTCCATTGCAATTGCGCATCTGTAGCCCACGAGTTTATGCTGAGGTCATTTTCCTCATGGCGGGAAGAAGCTTTGTCTTCGGACAGTTTTTCATAAATATCTGCAGCGCGGCGGAACTGCTCAGCTCGATAGCTCTATTTGGGAAAAGAAGTATTAACGTCAAGTCAAGAGACGGAGATGAAATCAGGCGACTTACAACTTGCGCTTCCAGATGACCGGCACCCCGACTAGCGCCGGACTGTGTGACAGCTTCAAGAGCTTCCTCCAACTTTCCACATTTATATAACGCATATGCGTATTCCAAGCCAGCTCGCTTCTTGAGCGCCTCGCCGCCGGACATGAAGACTCGCAAGGCGTCCTCGTAGCGGTCGAGTTTTAGCAAAGCAATAATCTTAATGTGCTGAGCATTCTGGTCGGTCTTAGACTTGGCAAGAGCCTCATTGCAGGACTGGAGGACCTCCTCATGATCGTCAATCGAAGCTCGCTGTAAGAGCGAACTCAGCGACTGCGCAACCATGGCGGGGGGTTGCGCGGGAACAAGGCGGATAAGAAGGTCGGACAGAGAATTTGCGCGGGAGTTTGTTTGAATATTATAAAAGATTCGACGGTATTGCGTCCACAGTGAAAAGGCACGATGACAGCAATTCCGAGATCCCCAGTTGAATCCACCTCCGCAAGACCAGAGTGTGCGGAATTGATCTTTCCCCATCGGGCAGGTTCTGCACTTATGGTCCACACAGAGCACCGTATTAGTCACACGTGATATCTTTTGGAGACCAAACGCATTTCATCCACGTCTCTGGATTATTTGGGTAATTTTCAATTTCGATTATTTTCACCTATTCTCCATCTAAAATGAAACTTTACACTGTCAACAGAATCACTTACAGGCTCCTCTTCAGCATTTGATATGGCAGCCCGAATCCACCTCATGTCTGGTGTAACACATGAAGTAGTATCCTTCCCCCAAGTATCATACAATTTTCGTCCACAATTGAGAGATATACAATTGTCTCTTCATCATCAAGTCTACGACCAGGGTACAGGCTACAGTATTACTAGTAAACTTTGTTTTGCACTTATGGGGGCTACATTCCGGTAATCGTTAATCGCTCTATTTTTCTTCATACTTCCCTTCCGCCTTCGCCTCAACATGTAAAACCGAGACTTGTAGCTCCGACGAGGGATAACCAACCAGGGAAAAATAATATGTTGGATGAACACACACCATAACATTACCTCACACCAGATATGTGATTCAAATGACTTCAGTTGTCGCCAACATAGCCCACAGATAGACAAATTCTGATTTGTCTTGCACTCAGCTGGCAAAGAGGAAAGCTTTCAGCCACTTCTGTTCACCGTGCAAGTATTTTCAGCGAGAAACGTCCAGTTTTATGCCCATGGTCAAGGCTATTAATAGATATGCGGTTTGTTTAGGTGGTCAAAGACTTGTGGATTGCAACCATACGGAGTACACAGTACGGAGGAGAATCAGCCCAAATCACTTTTAGAGCACAAATAAAGTGGAGAGGATCATCAAACAAATCACTTATGATACAGACAAGAAAGCTAGCATCAGATTTGTCCTGCGAGGATAATGCCCTGAATGGACTAGCGTCGGCCCCCAACACTAACTATGCAACGCCTCCTTGATTTACTAGATTCAGAAGGATCCGCCAACAATTGCCAACACGCTATCAACAGAGAAGGTCTGGCAGGGAAATTGCGAGGCTAAATGATCAATCAATGACCCGATGGTAATATAAATAGTGCGAAATCCGCTCTCTAGAAACCGTACACATTTCTCTGAAGCTCGTCGTTGTACTTGGAAATTATCACAAACAAGGATACAGGTCGCTTTTTGGCCAATACGTCAACAGCACTTTGGATTAATTGAGCCAAAACACCTTTCCACATCCTCCTCTTTCCATCATATTACTCCAACATGATCCTGACAATCCCAGATGAGTACCGCGACAAGGTGGAACTGATTGAGACTACGGATTCCCGGACAGATGAAGAAATCATCTCAAGCCTCTTGGAATACAAGCCAGTCACATCAGAGAAAAATGTTTGGGCTTATTGGCATTCTGGATTGAGCAATATGCCCAAATGGAATCAGAGAAATGTCATTGACTGGGTCCGCATCCTTGGCCCGGAGTGGACCATCCGTGTTTTGGACAGTATCCCGGGATCTATCAATAACATCCTTCAATTTATCCCGGAGAGTATTATGCCTCCTGCGTTCATAGATCGAACCATGGATGGACCGTTTGTGGGCCAGCATGGAGCTGATCTGACACGCACAGCCTGTCTATATGAGCACGGTGGAGTATGGATGGATGTTGGAAGTTTTCTCATGAGACATCTCGATCGTGTTTGCTGGAAAGAATTGGAAGATCCAAAGTCACCATATAAGGTGGCTATATTTATGCTCTGGGGCCTTGCAGGAGGCAATTTCTTCGTGGCCGCTCGGAAGAAAGACCCTTTGATCTTCCAATGGTAAGAGATAAACAGTTTTACTCAAGTCGCAGAACTAGAAATGAGCTCATGTTGATAACAGGCATCGTCTCTTCTCATATATATGGGGTGACAAGAAAAGCATTGAGGGGAGTTTGTCCCATCCTCTCATTGCACCAATCTTGCCCCAGTTTGCTGAGCATATGTCGGAAAGCTTTGATTATGACTGGATCAATTTTGACGTTGCCCTCAGCTATGCCACGCAGATCATATGTCTCACTCGCCTTTTCTGTCTCGAAGAGAACGAGAATGGCGAGGATGGACAGGCGTTCTCCGGGGTTGACTACTGGCGAAATCATGTTCTAGCCTTGGATGGAGGAGAAGAGACTGCTCGTGTAGAGTGGCAAAGGACTTTTGTGGGATGGGGTCAACGGGCTCTTGACATGCTAACGCTCCCATGCTCGGGACCCGACGCCGATCCGACATCAACAAAATACAAGGAGGCCGAAACCATGGTATGGGATATGCTTGCCAACTCAACGATCTGGAAAGTCACACATGCGCAGGGCTTAACACATACTCCTCAACTCGGAGTTCTACTGGATATGCCCGAGAACGAGAGCAAAGATGTAACACCAAACACATTCGGCGAGCTACTCCGATATGGTTCAACGCATCTCCGCCAAAAGAGAGAACATGTGGCAAGATTCCCCAAGCGAGAGCCAACTGTGACTTGGAAGAAGGGAGTTCTAGAGCCATAAAATGAGGAAATCGAAAGCTCCCAGGTTCAATCTGAGTGCTACCAATCTATTATATTGTTTTTTTTTCTGTTCTCATATAGTCAGGAGCGAGTCAACTCATCGATTTTCTCTTGATGTTAATGTGGCAATAACCTGGTGCGTCACCGTTTTTCTGCTATTGTCGGATATCGCCCATAAGAGGTTCATTTAATAAGCCTTATCTGATTCTCTATAGCTCAAAACTCTGTAGGGATCTTGTTTGTTGGCTTGAAACCAGTAGTCCCACCATATTTCATGAACTCGAGCAGCGTTATCGAAGCCCACGCGCTCTAGATGGGTAAAAATATTCTGGGACCAAAGAAACCGCTCCCAGTCCTTGGCGTGGGCGTATACACGTGAAGCCTGGGTTGCAGCAAGTACTCCGTAAAAGATGCCCCACGAATTCATGCCTTCCTGTCCGCAGTATGGAAGACATCTAAGGGCCTTGGCGACATGTGATATGGAAAGGTTATGCGCTTCCTCTTGATCATCGTCACCTTGGTTACTATCGGACGAACCAGCCGCAACACGAGACCGGCATTGATGAAGCAGAGGATTGACAAAGGACAACGATAGCCAGAAGAGAGTGTGTAGAATGGCATCGTTAAGAGAGGAGAAGCGATAGGCTGGCCCAAATAAATCATCGGTGGAAGGAATCGCTGTAATCAATTCACCCCTGGCGTATGTCGATGGCTCTCCGCCGATTTGTGCCCAGAAATTTATGTGAATCTGTTCAAGCGCCAAGCAATCGTCCAGCAAGGATTTAAAGGTACTGTGATCTGAGACATCAGTTCTATTGATAGCCGCAGTAATACGCGATATCTCGGTAAGAAGCTCGATATATTCAAACCACAGACCACCTTCATTAGGTTCCTTGAGCCACGCAATGGTCTCCTCGGATAGGAACATGAACCCTGCGAGAACCTGAAGACTGTAGTGAGAAGAAAATCATAATTGGAGGACAAAATAAGCCAAGGGAATTTCTTACAACTTTGAATTTCTGGTATGGGCCAAAGATAGCAGCCAAAAGGGGTGTTCTTGGCGTCTTCGGGGTGTAGTATCTCATTATCGTACTCAGTCCATCTATATGGGCAATCCATCCATCCAGGCTATTTGGGCAATAGTGTATCTACGTCAATGTGAGTAACAATATTGACACTGTTAAATTGGAATAAGATCCGAAATAGGCTTCTTACCTGAATCTGTTGAAAAATGACACAAGTATAGACAACATCATCACTGTAAGAGCTGCGATTAATAGCATTTGCAAGATGCTGAATTGCTTGGTTGTAAAGTGAAACTCCGTGCTGCAACATATGTTCGTCTTTATGGACACTGCCAAGGAAAACGCACGACAATGCGGAAAAGGCCTTTTCTAGCATTGGGCTCTTGCGAGGGAGGGCGCAGATGCCTTTAATGATGTATTGCGACACATCGATATCACAGGTGCGCTCCATCATTCGTGGAAAGTAGTCACTCAAATAGAACGAAAAGACCTGATCGCGTTTTGCCTGGCCCGGAGTCACAATCTGGGGTAAGCTGGTGGCCCTTGTTGAGGCCACCCACTTCTCACTTCTCGCCTTGTACTGTTTCATCGTGCGCTCAGTTTGATCACGGAAGACAAGTGCCCATTCATCTCGGTACCCAGGGCATTTGTCACGTGCACGAATACACTGCCCACAATGGGGGCGCTTCTGGTCGCACTATATGCAGACGGAATTAGCACTGTCCGGGTCGACACAAGAAACTAGACCAGCGCTTACTCGGCGTCTGATAGCTCGGCACGCTTCGCAACTCTTCGAGATCCTGCAAGGCTTAGTGTGCGGGTCCATATCTACCCAGAGGTATACCAAAGGGTCAATGTAATATTAAATCTGAGACCAAGTCTTGCTCGCTGCTCAAGGACGATATCATATGTATGGTGAAAGGCGCATTAAAGGTAGGGCTAAGCAGACATCTTCTGGTGAATTGAGCTCCCTCCTTAAATTGGCGGTCCCCAAGTGGCCCGCCCCCACCTTCCATTCTCCGCCTCCTCGCTTTACTCTCCAATAGGCTACATGTTTAGGTGAGAATTCAGAAGCGTGAACATATTGCTATCAATGAAATCCGTTGCAGGGAAACTTTTAAATCTCCAGTTCAAACACCTGGAGCCAGAGTGAGCGTCATATTTCGCGCCTCAGAAGAAAACAATTCTGTTTTGAGTTCCTCAACCATCTACATGCGGTCAATCCCATCCTACCTCTAAATTCAACCAACGGCTGGCATTACTTCTCCTGTATAAAGTTTTACGGAGGGCCCCTCGTTGTTCTTAGTCTCTTTAATGAGTTTTCGACTACTTCTGTTCTGGTGTGGCACCTCATGGAGTATCTGTTTATTTGGAGGGCGCGCCTATAGGCATATGGCCGCTGGAAACTGATTCACTGGCCCCTTCATCGTGGCGAAACTCGCGACATCCCGCTAAATGCACAGCTTCATAGGTCGTTGATCCGCCGATTGAGAGGTAATCCAAGTTACCGTCCACTGCACATGATTTTTATGATGAACAAAAAAGATCATGTTGAAAAAGTTCCGATCAGATCGGCTATGTAATGAGTCGCTATGAAAGGGGAGTTGCTCGCGAACCTATGTTCAACAGCGGTCTGAGTAGACCTCGCCAAAATCTAGCGGGAATTTCAACCGGGTAACTCAAAACCCAAGTTGGGTACAGAAATTATGGGAATTTTTGCCCCTATGTCATATCCTGAACTGCAAGCAAGCAAGCATTGCAAAGAATCGAGGGAAGTTCCTCATTTTTTTTGGTGTAGCTCGTTACAACCTGAACAAAGCTTTTTGAGAGCGAAGTATTTGTAAACATGGTATGCTGAGTATGGATTTGTTCTTTTCTTGTATAATTTGCTAGGCCTCTCTACCTTCTCGATGAGTGAAGGCTGATTCTAGGTGAATCCAGTGAAAGATACTCTGTTGGTGGATTGATATATAAGTTTGTACTATAATCTATAAAATAATATTTGTCTACACAGTTCTATGTACGTTCTATGCTGTATCCTGAAGTAATCTCCCAACCTTTGTAGGAGGTATCAAGGGAAGATTCACTCTAGCCGGTACAGCATCTTGATTCCAGTAGGCAATTCCATGTCGAAGCCAGGCCCCATACGTTCCAGGCACAATGTCAGAACCCGGGTTGTCTCGCCATAATGATCCAAGAGTGACCTTATTAACGCGCAATATGAGGCCATGGGCAAGCTTGAATCCATAGCTACGCGATAGACAAGCCTCGACAATCTCGCGAGCCTTGCTTTGCGCTTCTGACTCGCCTTCCTCTTTTTCTTTGGGCATAGAAAGTGACATCAGATCGAACGCTTTCTGTCCATCCCAAGATGTGAGCTCGTTGATAAGTTGCGACCCTTCCATGAAATCGATGGCATAAAAATGTTCCACGCAATATTTCGGCCCGTCCCAGTTGCTCTCGGGGTCGACAAGTCCCATAACTGCCGTAGCTACCTGGCCTTGGATGATATAATCAGTCAGCATGCGACTGACTTCCTCGGGTCCGATAAAAGTCCCATCCTCTTCCGTGATGGTGAATGCCCCACCCATCAGTGTTGTTCCGCGTAATAACGGGCTGGCATGCATTCCATCAGTGCTAGTTTTGCCGCCATCTGCCGCCCACAGAGTAAGAAGAAGACGATGACAACGTTCAAAGAGCGCGTTGTCTGGCATTGCTGCAAGAAAATAGTTTGTCAGGCTGTAGTAGTTCTCACTGGTGTCGGTGTAAGAGAGGACTTCATAAGGGGAGTCAGGGTTCGCGATCGTCTCGTTCCATAGTTTATCCAAATCACCAATCTGCATCAACCCAACATCCGCATAGACACCACCATATCGCAAAAGCAAGGGCCAGCGCACAAGGTCCGATGTGTGCTGGAGAGCGTAATAGCCCGTGAGATTTTCATCGATGAAGGCGCGTGGGAAAGTAGTATGGTCGGTAACATTCAGAAAGTTGGCAATATTGCTTTTCGATCCCGGTCGACGGTCCATGACCCGTACAGTCCACCCTTGCTTGCTAAATCGACGGTGCCATGCCCGTACATTGCGCTGCGTGTATGGGTGCATTGTTTCATAGCCAGAGTGCCAGAAGAACCAGACATTCTTGGTCCCCGTTACTGGCGGGGGATGCATCAAGTCGAAATCGATATCCACATCAGATCGCATGTCAAGCACTTGAGAAGGAATGACATGCATCCCGGGTGGAAGAGGATATTCCATAATGGGGCTGGAGGCCGATGAAGAAGAAGTTTCTAAGGTTGAAAGCATATCCTGCTGTTGATTTTGGATTTTCGAGATTTGACGGGATACTGTCCCCTTTTAATAGATACACAGGCCCCGCTAATATTGAAATGATTGCCATCTCAGGCGTGGTTCGAGAAGAATACCAGCTTTGCGTATCTAGGTAATTTCCACAATCTTAGCCAGTCATAATGTGTCGTCGGGTGAGCCATGATGAGTCACGTTATGTGGTTTGTTACCGTCGACTAGTTAGTTAAGCGTCTCCACCTGCTAAGCCTTTTCCCCACTCCACAAATACGACCCTGATTGCTTCGGACACCAGCAACGGCCATAGTACTGTTCCTCAAGTCTATCATTTCGATTCTGACTCTACTCGTTTAAGATCGAACTAGTGTTCTGACCTTAAGAACAGTTAAGCTACTGCGATATGGTGTCCCCGCTGTATTTCAAGAATCGCCTGATCGCTTCGAGGTTACTGAGACGGTTTCCTATCGAGACTCGACCCATGTAATGGCTGGCTCAGGCATCCCAACCCCTGAGGATTACTTTTACGCCATGGACCTTCCAAGTAGCTCTGTTCTTTTTGACTATATAAGACATCCCCCTCATATTATGAATTTCAACATGAAAGCATAAGGGAGGACAAGAAGACTTTGCCGTTTGCAACGTCTGAGAAAATTGATACCAGAAGTAACTCGAGTCGGAAGAAAGCGCGCACTTCTGTTTTTTGGACACCCTAATATATGACAGGTCTTCAACATTACTAAACGTCAAGGAGCCCACAGCCAGGGAGATTTCGACTATATTATAGAAAACCCACCTAGAGAATATCACTTTGGAAGGATAATCAAGAAATTCGATATCACTGGAAAGTCTGGGGGAGGTACATAGAAAGGCCAAAGCTCATGTGGAGGCATTCGAAAATTCAAACCCCGACAAAAGCTCTTGAGAAGGAGGAAGAGGCGAAACAATATACATCCATTACAAACGTTCGCTCCAATGGGGTGAGATTCTTCTTCCTGATCGGACTCCCTCAGCCAAACGAAGACATCTACTTGGTTGAGCCTGATATGGCGGCGTATTCTAGGACAAAGCAAAGCCGTTCGGGGAGCGCCCGCAGAGGCGGAGGTGAAGAAATGAAGAAGAGAAATTCACGTAAGAGACAGAGCGCGCAAGGCTTTTTCTTCTAGCATTCACCAGTCGAGACCAGTCTAATCAAGCATACTATTCATTAAGAACATGATACTACACCGGCGAGAGCAGGAGAGATAGACAGCCACGAACTTTCCGAAGGGCCGAGTTCGGCTATGCGAAAGGACCCCTGTCCGATGAGCAGACCCATTGCACATCCAGGAGATCGGCAATAAAACAAAACGCAGGGACTAAGTACCAAATTTACGGCGATTAGATGATGGGGAAATCGTCGCGGGCCTTACCAACTAAGCAATGGACAAGCCCCATCAGCAGAGCGGTTTTTTTTGGGACTCGGTCCTCCGTGGTCTTCCTGGGCTTACATTCTTTTAAGGGGCGGAAATCTCAGCCACCACCAAGATCATCGCCAGAGCATTACTAGGCCCGAACGGACGGGGCGAAATGGATAGATCGATCACGCCTGTGTGACCCTTCAACTGGACCCTGGAAGCCAAATCTCAGGTGGCCTGGCGGGTAACAGGTAATTAGATTCAGCAGAATCACCCCAGGTCCGAGTTGGATGACAGAGTCGAAGCTAGCGCGATCATCGACAGGGGAGGATCAACATCGCTAAACACGAAGGGTCCGACGACCGGATGGGAAATAGCAATATGGGGAATACCAACGTGTGAAGGCGATTGTCTCAGACTGGAATTTTCGCTCTCCAATGTTGGTTGGAATTCAGTTGGCTGTAGAAAAATGGAGATCTAAGGGTGACAGAGGTAAGAGATAGACTGAAGAAATGTTGAGGATGCTACTATGGAATGGTGCTGAAGCGTGTCGTAATATCCGGGCCCCGACTCTGGACCACTACAGCCCACAGATCGTCGTTAGAAGGCAATGCTGGGTGACGCGCGGACGTGGAGCGGCACCACCGCGAAAGGGCGAGTCATAGCGAGGGGCGTTGGTTGCCGGGTCTTGGCATCGGCTGGGATGCGAGGAGATCCAAAGCGCCGGGGCGTTCAACACTGACATACGGGGGAGGTGGGTGGGTATGTATACTGAGACAGATCAAGCTCGCTGACTGGTCTCAATGTGCAATCAGCCAGGTGCTGCTCATGGCTTGGTTGGGGAGGGTTGTAGAAGATCAAAACGCGGGCGAGACCAAACGCAGCGGCAAGACGGGCGACACGTGACCCCCGGTACGTCACTTCCAGGGACCAGCGAAGCCCCCTTAAACAAGCCCCAAAGCCCCGTTGGCCTCGTCCATGGAACCATGATCGTCCCTCGTCTTCCCGCGCCTCTGCCGTGGACTCGGTCGTGACTGGATTTTTTCCCTCTCCTCCTCTCCTCGCCCACGCCCGTTCTTCACATATACAACACCAGGCTCGCCAAACTTTCTTACGAAACTTGGCTTTCGCGTGTTCCGAGACCCATCTGGAGCGCACGTCTCCGCAATGCGGATGCACCCCCGGTGACCCTTCCAACCCCTACTCCGGATACGTGTATGAGCCAATCCTTGAGCCAAGCCTCTCTCCTCCCCTCATCGCGAGATCGCTCCACCCGACCACCATGCTGTTCAAGGGCTCGGACGGGACTATCCCGGCCTCATGGGCCTGGAAAAAGATGATGCGCTTTGTGGTCATTTTCCTCGCGGTGGCGGGTTTCGCCGCCTTGCTCTGGCCTTCGTCCAAGCCCAAGGGTCTCGCCCCGATGCGCGCCCAGTCTAACATCACCATCTCCAGCAACGTCAAGTGTGACCCGGACGAGGACGTATTGCATCGGCTGGATATCAGTAAACTGGCAGCATACACCCGCCGGGAACTCGTCGTGGATTTCACGGAAGAACCTGTGACCATGAAGCAACGGGTCGACTTACCGCTGCTGAATGTCAAGTCGAAGTCGAGACCAACCGAGATGACCAATGAGCTTGGAGAGCCGCAGGACGGCTGCTCGATCCCAACCCCAATCCCGGTCCAAGTCCCCCCGCGTCCGAAAGTCGTGGACGCCTCACACATCGACTTTGGAGTGGCGACCACGATATCTCGGTTGAACGAATCCCTTGATCAGTTTGTCCACTGGGCGGGATATTCGCGCACCCGTATCTTCGCTCTGATCGAGCCCGATGAAAGTCAGACAGGGGTGTCCTATGTCAAGGCCAAGGCCGATGCCCTGGGGATCAACCTCTTCATCACCGAATCGGACGATGACTACCTGCACCGATACTTCGCCCTGATTCCTCTTTTGGAAGAAAACATGCGCGAAAGCACCCAGTGGGGATGCATCATTGACGATGACACTTTTTTCCTCTCGATGCCTGCGTTGGTCGATGCCTTGAAGAGCTATGACCATACTAAACCCATGTACATTGGCGGTTTGTCAGAGGGCATGCCGCAGATTGCTGTATTTGGCATGATCGCTTTCGGAGGCGCTGGCGTCTTCTTGTCGCGACCACTAATGACCGAACTAGTCACCGTCTATGATGAGTGCGAGCGAATGACCTTCACAGGTGACCGCCGTATTGGCAACTGCGTATACCAATACACCACCACCCGCCTGACGGTCGATCACCGACTCCATCAGTTGGATCTGATGAAGGATGCCTCTGGATTTTTCGAGTCCGGTCGTGAACTCCCGCTCTCGGTGCATCACTGGAAGTCATGGTTCACCGCTGATATGCCCAAGCTCGGCGTCGTGTCCGATCTATGCGGTGATACATGCCTCTTGCGACAGTGGCAATTCAGCGACAATTGGATATTGACCAACGGTTATTCCATTGTCCAGTATACTTTCACTCCGGAGCCGAATGACCGTAGCATAGAGATGACTTGGGAACCGCACAATGGCGCCACCGAGGAGTCATACCTGCACGAGCTGGGACCTCTCCGCCGCAAGGACGACAATAAAATAAGCTACCTTCTGGCGGACGCGAAGATCGAGGATAACGGCCGTATAACCCAATGGTACATTTTACGCGACAAGCGCGACGGAGACAGTGTTATTGAACTCTCATGGCGCAAGCGTTAACAAGAACAAGGCATTGATTGACCTTGTCTGTGTATTGGTCTTTTTTCTGATTGCTTTTTCATCATCTCGTGCATAGGCTTCCCTTTATATATATACGGGGTCTCAAGGGTGGCTGGGTCGTCATCGCTTTTATGTGTTTTAGGGCCTATGCCCTCCTCTCATCAGCCCGGCGCTTGGGTCAGGGGCGCTTTGCATCTTTTGTTTATAGATCGGCGATACACCTTTTATGTCTACACTGTTGTAATGCCTAGGGATGAAGCACTTTTTTAATGTGACATGGAATATATGGCAATGTTTTTTTTTTGGTCAGAGAGCTCCGTAGGATCGGAATATCTTCCGGTCTCTAGCATGGCAATACGTAAGTAGCGAGGTACGCACCATCATTAGTATTAAGGTGCGTCGCTGTTTTCTTCGGGGTTTCATGCTCGAGGACTCCAGTCACCGGAGCATGCATTACGCCGTTTTCATGGCAGCGCACATGATGCGAACGTTCCCCGTCGACTGCGCAGATAAACAACGTTTGCAGTCGGTTTCTAGCCTGTTGAGCCTGGCATACCCTTCGCGTGTGGTGAAATTCAAGACATCCAACAGCTAAACGAATATAGCGGGATCCTCGACGTTGAAAGCACTTGTCTGAATATATAAGACACATCTCACTCAAGTCACATATGATCCAAAAAGACTGTCGGTACAAGATCTCCAACACAGGAGGCTCTCATCATAGTCATGAGGTGACAGCTTGTGATATCAAGATAGGCCTTCTTCCTTTTACGTGATCTCGGAACCGGCTTCATTGAAGTAGAGTAAAACGCCTCTGTATTCCATGCTCGGCTGCTGTTCTATCGACAGTCAGAGCCAAATTTCGATAAATGGTTTACGAGGTCGACCTCCAACCTGAACACATCAATGTTAAAGGTTCAATGTGACCCAACAATGAATTTGCATCACTCAAATCCCTCCTAGGCGAAAAAAAAACCCATCTGCCGGAACGCCGCTCAAAATTCAGGGCTATATTGTAGCGTTTCAAGTACACAGGGAGCGCGGCGCTCTACACTCTAGAGCCTTGGAAAAAAAATGCAGTTGGATGTGTTCGATCACATGTCGACAGAATTCCGAGCGCTGGTCAAATTTTAGATTGAGACGTTTGTAGAGGCTTCACGCATGCATGGCTTTAGCGTGCTTTGCCCATGAAATGAAATATATACATATCATGTCTTTCACAACTCGGTCAATTGGCTCAGCTAAACTGTCATTGATCTTCTACATCTTCCCAGAATTATGGTTTTATAGTGGGCATTTGCTTTGATTTCGCAGAGATCAAGTGTCTACAATTCCACCCCAGCTTGAGAGGTAAGCCCAGAGCCGTGGTTTTTACGGTAGGGTCGAGTTCGAGGATTCGGGTATGCTCAATGGGAATGGATATCAAATGTACAGGGGATATCATCATTTCCCTGATATAGATGCAGGGTGTGCTAGGTTGAAGTTGCCTGGGTCTTGGCCAAATGTTGAACAACATCGGCTTTAATTCATCCCGGTATCCTTTACAAAGTATGGACTGTTGACCGAGGACGTCGATTCTCCCGCCCTGCATATTCGATCACAGTCCTCACGAAGTGCGATCTTATGGGATACGAATTTCCTGCATGTGTCGGTAATCAGTTTCGCTGCAGAAACCGGATTTGTCTCAGTCTGAAACAGGTGCTGGATCCTTGCGAATCTCTTACGTGACTTGCGATGATGAGGAAACTCGTGAGATAGAATAGGCAAGATGTTGCCGTGGCAGACCTTGTTTGGCTGGAAAGGCGTGTCAGAGTCGAGAATTTCCCGGGCTGATCGGAGCGCCGGTGGCCTCGGGTTGATAATATCGCATGAACATTAAAACTGGGAATAGAATATGCATGGCAGTGGCGGCTCTATTTTGTACTTCAGACGCCCGAGGCGACAGAAATGGTGGGGATGGATTGGCTAAATGCAACGTAATCTACGATATCTATGCTTCCTTTTTCTCGTTGCTTTTTTTTGCCCTCTCTTTGCTTCTCACTCTTCTGACTGGAGTGGACTTAGGCTGACTGGACGAGCTGCGAGGGCTCAGGATTTTCCCGTTGCCCCATCGCGATGGATCTTGCCATCGGGTACAAGGTGCAATCTGAATTCTGATCGCGAACAAGCGAAATGAACAAGGGTCGATCGATCCGAACTATTAATGTCGAGATGGGCCCGTCGCCTGATGAACCGCGTGGGCCAGTGCACGACTTCCCCAGTGACATCACTCTAGTCACTAGTCACTAGTCATAGCGTTGGACATCGCACAGCGAAACTTTTTGTGGCTCTTGCACTTGGCTTTTTTTTTCCGGCAGCATCGCGGACCATGCACACCACGACCTGATGGGACTCGGGGACCCGGGGGATCCCAGGCCGCACCGGGGTTTTGGCGCTGCGTCAGGGGGGAGGGGGAAAGAGGGAAAAAAAAGCTGGATACCCCCTGTTCTACTAATAGAAATATGGAGACTAGCGCGGACATGATACACCAAGACACGTCTCAGCCACAACCATGTGGGCATCGTCCGGAGGCAGGCAGCCAATAGAAGCGTGGTCGCTCCCCCATTTAGTCCCCAGAGACGGCTGTTGAAATCAAGAAACAAGCAAGATTTCTGATTATGTGGCGAGTTATTGGCTTGTTCGGAATTTGAGACATCAAATTGTCTTTTCCGAGATGCACCGGACACCACGCGGATGCCTGCAGACGAGGAAAGCATAATCTCCGCATACTCCCGCTGGTCCCGGACGAGGTACACGCTGAATTTTCGTAAGAACAAGTGGAAAGGGGAGGGGGGGAGATGGCGTCTTCATAGTCGTTGGTCAAAGTGACCCAGGAAGAGGGGGTTACTTACTCCCTATGTGGTAGCGGATACGAAAAAGGTATAACTGACCGAATGGGAGGGAAAGGGGAAAGATCACGACAAAAAGTAGGAATCAGGAGAAGAGGCTGGGCCAATCATCATGGCCTAGGAGACCCGGAGAAGATGCCCAACTCGATTCCCCCCCCTGCTCTTTGGCACGTTTTCCCCCTCCTCCCCTTTGGTCCGTTAGAGCGATATACCGGTTTTTTTTTCAGCGGCAGTCGGGCACTAGGGCCAGTAGTGTCCTCAGGGTCGGGGAGTGCACAGCCTCGGACTGGACCCGGATGATACAGACCAGGAAGGGCTCGGGCCCCAGCGCACCGTCCATGTGGGTGCAGGATGTGCAAGACGGGCAAACGGGCTTTCACGGCTTCGATGGAGCTTCGAAATCCTTCTAGTAGGCTTCCAGAAGGTCTGCGAGAAGGCTTGGCACAGCCAATCCGGCGCGATTATTCCGCCTTCCGTGCCGTCTGGGTGGTCTGAGTGGTCTGGGGAGGGAGTGGAGTGGGTTCCTCTCCCTAGAGGCTGAACAGCCGGCGTCCTTCTAGCGCGCCTGGAAAGTTGAAAGGGGGAAAGAGAGGGGGGGCGATGGACAAGATGGGGGCGTAATTACCGATGGCCAGGGTGGCTCCACCGAAGCGTCACCATCTCGTCAAAGGGGGCTTGGTTTGCCATTTGCCCATTTGCCGGGAGTGAGGGAGGTAGAGAAGAGAAGCGGGACAGGAGAGGACAGGGGGAGAGGGTTGCAGGGTGGCACGTTGGATCTACGGCAACGACAGGTGCTGGGGCCTCGTGACAGAGCCACATCGCGTCCTGTGTTTTGGGACGCTGGGTCGCGGTGCGTGTGGAGAGGTCCGTCGAACCCTTCTAGAAGGCCATCACATATCGATTTTAGCCTTTCGCCGTCCGTGTCCGGCTCACAATAGTGGGAACAGGCTGTCGGACTATTCGTAGCCAAGAACTGATTTCGTCGAAATGGGGGAGACTCTGATTGTTCGGGTTCGACGGAGCATCTTGTGATGATCATCTAGGGCTGTGTGATTCGCCCGCCGGACGATCCTGACATTCTTACGGAGTACACGTCGCACCATGAGACGAATAGATGCATGTCATCCTCTCCTCAGGTCACTCAGATCTCTCTGGCTTCCCCCTTTGTCGTTGACGAGACTGCGATTGAGTTATCGGAGGACGGACACAATGTAATGATTCTATACTAAAAGTATGGAGTATGGAGTATGGAGGATAAAGTCTAGAGTATAGAGTACAGAGAGTATAGATAGCATCATGATATTCTGTCCGGCCCGTTCCCAACACTCGGATCCCGGCGCTTCTTTTTCGATCCGGAGAGAATCGACTGGCATGTCGCGGACAGTGGGACGCCCTTTCATGCAGAACTGGGGGTGGAGGGGGAAGGCACCGGGACGAGGTAATGAAAAGGGGCCGCACATTTGCCTGTTCGAGAAACCCCATGTACGGAATACAATCAACCCGCACTTGCCAGTAGTAGGAGCTCCGTATTTTCCGTACTCCCAACCTAGAAAATGGTTGGATAGAGTCCATTTCGTCTTCCGTCTTGAGGCCAGGGACAGTGCTGCCAGTACTCTATAGGTCGCGAGGAAGAGTCGCCCAGGGTCTCGAGAGGGTTTACACGGCATTGAGGGAATGCCGGGTCAGCGCGGCCCAAACAGCGGATGCGCGGATATACTCTGTACTCCATAAGGTTGGATTCCCTTGAAGACTTGCGTCATGGTCTTGATTAGCCCGGGATCCTCCATTGGATTTGTTGGTGTCACCAGTTTATGGGCCATATGATCTAGCTGTTCCGTGAGAGAACGCCATCAATCCGGCGGCCAAGCTCAAAGAGTGAATGAGACCGTCAGGATTCCAAGCCCACTATACTGTTCTAGGGGGTTCGAGTACATATAGGAGTATAAATTATAAGATACGGGAGCCTATACGAGTCAATCCGCGAGGTGCTGGGTTGTCCCTGATCAACTAGGTCCGGGGAGGGGGCCCTCTCCCCTAGTCAAGAAAGTCTGATTCAGATCGGCGTCACTATCTCGTATCCACTCTTCGCAGGGACGGGGGAAAGCGCACCTTGTGGAGCCGGGATGCTGACGGGGGCCTTCTGGTGCGGCCTGGTGTCCTTCTAGCGGGCTTCGCTGGGGCCGACTAGGGGCCACTAGGCCGTCGGAGTACGTTGGCCTTTCGATGCAGGGATGGCTAGTGTTACTGTTTTCCCTAGTTGTTTTTGGATTGGATTTTTTTTCCCACTCTGGACTTTTAGGGTTCCCTGGGGCCGGAAGGAAAGAGAAAATAGGAATCAGAAATCAGGAGGTTGGGTTTTAGGTACTATCATTGTTGGATTGGAGATGCTTGATGCTTCTTGGGCGTCTAAATGGGTCTGTGATCTATTTATCTAGTCGATTTCCTTCGATTTCTCCAGACGCCTACTCGAATCTAAACATGTCCCGACTGGGGGGAGATTTAATCTCACATAGTTGAGCAGTCTAGTACTTTAGTAGTAGAGAATCCTTTTCCGCAGTTGTCAGCATCAGGCAAACAGCAGGCTAGTCATAGGCATCCCCCATCGTCCTCCAAAAGAGCGGAACGGAGAAAAGGAAAACGATAAAACGGTGCTAATTTAAAAAAAAAAAATTGTAATAATAAAATAAAATAAAATAATATTATTGTGATTTCTATTATGATTATAATCATAATTCCCAGATCGCCATAAGGATTCAATTTCCAGGACAAGTGGGGGGAGGGGGCAAGAAAACGAGGCCGTAAATAATGATGTATGCGTCGGGCCCTGCACCTACCACACCTAAATAATCATCATCATCGGTTCTCCCCCTGACGCTCCTCCAACTCTCCCTCTTCCCCTTCTGCTTTCTTCTACATTCAACAACTCTAACCCTCTGCCATTCTCTCCTCTTCTCTCTCCGCTTACTCCCTACTCCCTTCTCCCTCGTCTCCCCCCGACCGCTCGCTCGACCTCTTTCCGCCTTCCGGCGCTTCTCCCTGTCGACCTCGGAACCTTCCCCCCACCGACTTTGTTTTTCGCATTCGCTGCACTTGTCGGGCTTCCATCCCCCTCCTCCTCTCTCCGTGACCACCCACCCCGACAACTACCGATACTCCCCGGTTCCGTACGAGTCGTTCCGCTTGTGTGAAAGGTCAGTTCTGGTCTCTATCCGATTCTCGATACCCTGCACACCATGATTTCCCCGGACTCCTTGCGGCATGTCTGTCCAGCGACCTTTGTTTTATCCCGGTCCCCTACTCTCCTCAAAATTCATGTGGTGTGGAGACTGCGACATGTGGCCGATGGTTCCTTTGCGTGGGTTTGCTCGTCTGGACTCCCTCGCGCATCCGTGGGATCACCGATGCTCCAAGGGCTAAGGAGCACTCGGACAGATGCGGATTTCGGGACTGCGCTCGAGATTACGGACTATCGAACCACATGGAAAAAGGCTCATCTGCGCGTTTTGGCTCATACTAACTCGCCTTGTTCGCAATAGGACTACAGCCCTTCTCACTTTCTCTCTCCCTTGCCACAATCTGACGATTTATCGCACCCTTCATTTTAATCGGTCGCTCTCAGCCATTACATCCTCTCCCGGTCACAACAAAAGGGTCTCTCCCCGTCCCTCTCCGTCCCTCCCAATCTCACCGGAAGCTCGGAGCTCCGCCACCGAAGACGCGTCTGACGTCTGAAACACGCTACCCGACGAAGAAAATCGATACTTGGGCAGGTTCCAGTATCGATCGAGCAGCCATCTGAACGTGAACCAGAAGAACAAGGCGCAGCGTGCTTCACTTTTTCTCGGCCGAACTCAACCGCCTGGACCCGTACTTTTATTTTGCGCATACTCGCATTCCAGTGCATGGAATTGAATACCTAGTCCATTCTTCGCCACGGAGACGACTAATCAGGCGCAGACTGTGCCATTACGGGCCAGCCAGGAAAAGGAGGCTTGTTTGAGCTATCCTTGGCCCCGGTCCGTCAGCTCATAGTTGAGTCGGGTCATGGACTTCACGACCATCCTAAACCGAAAGAACTCTGCCGCAGCAGCAGCCGCCGCCGCAGAAGCTCAATTACACCAACAATATCTGCAGAATTCACAGTTAAACCAACCGCCCACCATGAAGGCCGAACCAGGCGCTTCAGACAACCCGGTCAACGCATACCCTCCACACCCTCCCCCAGGTGTTCCAATGGACCAGGGCCTTGCTGAAACCTTCTATTACGCTCAGCCCCCGGGCTCAGCGCCTCGCAACATGAGCTATGTCCCTGGTGGATATGCCGGTGAACCTCAAATGCAACAAGTGCCAACTCCCTCTGGAAGGACTAGCGCTGATGCACCCCCGAAAACGTTCCATTGCTCAACCTGCAACAAGGGATTTGCCCGACGCAGTGATCTTGCTCGTCATGGTATGTTATTTTTCACACTTCGACGACGAAATAGACCGACTGATCCTAATTTTGTAATTTCTCAGAACGAATTCATACTGGTATCAGGCCACATGCCTGTGAATGGCCCGGCTGCGGAAAGCAGTTTATTCAGCGCTCAGCGTTGACCGTCCACTCACGAGTACATACCGGGGAGAAACCACATATGTGTGAGCGATGCGGCAAGGTAAGAGGCCTTGGGACACTTTCAGTTCGGTCTATTCTTCAACGGTACCAATGCTAACCAAATGATCGTACTCCGTAATAGCCCTTCAGCGATTCATCATCCCTTGCCCGGCACCGTCGAATCCATTCCGGAAAACGACCCTACAAATGCCCATATGCCAATTGCCAAAAGACCTTCACCCGTCGCACGACCTTGACCCGGCACCAAAATCACCACACTGGGACAATCGAGGAAGCGGCCGCCGAGACAGAGGCCAATTTGCGCCAGAACAAGGAACGCGGTCGTGGCCCCGAAGGCATGTACCCGGATCATGCCTCGATTCACTCGACACCATCTCCTGCGCACCACGCGTCGATGTCGCCTGGCGGTGATCTTCCGCCACTGACCATGCACCGCTCTGCTGGCGATTACTACATGGGGAGTGGGCCCATTCCGCCTCACGTTCGAGGAGACTTTTCCCAAGGCAGCCCTCGGGCTTCTCCAACGGCTACTTCCCCGTCGCTCTCGAGTTTTGGCAGTGCTCCTAATGCACGCCCATCCATGACTTCGCACCCATACGCTCCACCGCAGCCCCTCGAGCCCCCGGCCAACAACGACCACCGCCCAAACAGCGTTAGTGGAAGCCCACATATGACGAGTCTGGGGTGGGCTTCGCCCTCCCACGGGAGCATGCCGTCTCCTGGATCTGCCAACGACTTCACTTATCCGGAGCCTAGCGGACCGGCATATCCAACCTCGATGCCGCCTCACATGTATTTCCCCAATTCCACCATACGTCGACCAACCAGCACCGAGCCGGAGAACTACGAAACCAAACCTCGAATGGGTGATCACACCTGGTCCACCCCGGTATGATGCCGGTCCGGATTTTCGATTTCCTTTCCTTGTTTTTGGTCGCGTGCATATATAACAAACCCCCGTTTCCTTTGTTGATTTGCTACTTTGCATCGTTCAACCGATTCCCATGGAAAGATAATCAGTTTTCCATTGTTCATCGTTTTATCGCCCTCTGCTGTATTGTTTATTTGTCATTTCCTAGCTCTCTTTGTTTGTACCTATACCGAGAAGGAGACAAACATCTCCCTCGGAGGCGCGTGGGACGGTCTTGATCGTGTTTGTCAGGGGACTCCTCTTTTTCATTGTTTTGCTTTTGTTTTTCATCAGGCTGTCATCCCCACTGCATTATCAACATTTTGCACATCCCCTTCTCTTTTGTTTGATTGCTTGTGTGCGGATGACATGGCTTTATCGAGACACGACCAGACGAGGAAACAGCATAGATAGAGCGTGGGACCAGGGATCTTTATGGGCTAACATTGTATTGGATTTGGGAACAAGAACTGGGGTTTTCTACCTAGGAGAGACCCAGTGTGTGGTGTCTGGTTGGTATCTGGATTCGTTTTTGGTTTGCTATTTTTTTGTTGGTACTTGTTCGTTTGATTTGATTTGTTGCGCACTCTCTTCTGACACTCTTTTGTCTTCTTTTTTTTTTTTCTTTTCTGTTTTATATACACCTTAATCTTTGTGTTTCTTGTATTGCTTACTTTTGTTTTCTATTCCTCTTCTGTCTTTTCCCCTTTCCTTTTTCTATGCGAGATGTTTTGTGCTTTCTGCCCTCGCATCGAATACCATCTGTCAGTGGGATCGATGGAAGTCGATCCCATTGTTGTACGATAAGTGTGTTAATAGACCAGCTGCAATATCTATACTATCCACAAATTTTGTTTTCTTTCAAGTCTTGAACGCCGGATTGACCAAGTGTGTGCCCTAGGGTCCTAAGGGTTCGGAGTTTATAGTTGACAGATGCACTGCATCATACGCACAAGCAGATCGTTTATGTGCCACTCGATTTCGAAAAATCCGCCAATTTTCCTCCAACATGCGTAAGGCCAGTCGGAACTGTCAGTATTGAATGTATGGACACTATACGTCGCATCTAAATTTACCCTCTCCAGTAACATGCTATAATACTCATTCACTAAAGTCCCTCCCCTAGGGGTGGGATCTTTTCTTAGAGCACCGGGGTGCATGTAGCAAAGAAAACCACAGAAAATTAAAGACAAAGTGGACCATTTGACACGGTCAAGCCAGTCGCCGTCCCCATTATCGCTATAGTTCAGGGCTCTAAGATATCATGAAACGCCCCTCAGACTTGCCCGCGCTATTTATGGGCATGACTAGCGGGGGCCGCACCTGGGGACCTGCGTGTAAGGTGAGAATCCTCAGCCCAAGGCTCAGCCACGGGGCCCTGCTCCACTGGTAAGCGCTGTTGTGGGCGTGCCCGGTACTCCTAGCGTAAGGACTCGATACAAGATACAACGACACAGGAATGAGAACATAGTGTTACGTAGTGCCTGTTGCTCTACTTTGATCTCTGGGGTTTTTTTTCACTGCCATACGCTGATCTAAAAAGGGCTTTTGTTTTGTTGGTGTGGCTTTGGACCCTGGTTCATTGGGCGGCGCCTGAGACTCGTGCCGTGCTGAGCATCAGCAGGCGCCTGAGATCCTTCGCACTTGCTGCCTCGATTTGCTTCCGAGCTGTGGGCTTTTGTTGCTAGCAGGGTTGGGGTACTCCATCCGCAACAAAGCCGAGTCCTTGGGCATATAGCCCTGCCGGCTCTTTTCTGTGGTCCCTGAAGTCTGGTAAAAGCGTGGTCCCCTCGGGCTCGTGGGGAGGGAACCTAATTGATGGTCAGACTAGGATTGCTGGGGCTGGAGGTGCCCGCGTCTGACACTAGGCCATCTCCGCCTTTGCTTGCTCTGAAATGATGGCCGAAGACTGCTGCCGAGAAAAAAGGCCGTCACTGTGTCTCATCCGTATACCAATTGCAGGACAACATGGTCGTGTCGGATTGGCTCTTCGTATTTTGGTGGCGAGACATGCCTGGGGACCGTGGGTGCGAAGGTTAGGTATGTCTTGATGAAGGTTTCCCCGCGAACGGAAAACGCCGTGGTCGGTTCAAGAAATAACATAGCGAGTGCTTGGGTAGAGACTTCGTATTTGGTCATATGCTACGTAGTAAGTTCAATCAAATGACGCTGTGTTTCGCTGGGTCCGTGAGAGGTTGTTCGGGGTATAAGATCTCAGGTGCAGCGCAATGGGGATCTGGACACGGGAGAACTGTATATATCTTGATATACTACGTATATCGTTGACAGCTACCCAGCTCCTTCGAGCCTTTGCTATCTATTCAGTAACCATCATGTACTATTTTTCTAGTTCTCTAGTTCTCTTCCTCTCCAATCTCGCATTCGCTTGTACGTCTTCCCTTTCTCGTTCTCGTATGCTAGCCTTCCAAGCGCTGACTCAGGCCCAGCTGCAGTAGGGTGCGGCGATGCCGACGCCTGTATCGGCACCGAGGTCTGCACTACTGTCACCTTCACGACCCCAAGTGCCACCACCATCACCACCTGCGTCCCTACCCCTACCTGTTTGGGTGTTTATTGTAAGCAGGGATTCTGATTGGGGAATGCATCTTGCTCGCTGACCGAGATCCCAGCGGACTGCGTGCTGCCCGACAACACCCTGGGCAATTGCTGCTCGGGCTACTGCGCCGCAAATAAGTGTCGACCAACCGATCCGAATTGGCCAAACTGCCAGGAGGGCAACGGGCCTTGCCTAAGCGATGCCAACTGCTGCTATGGGAATCAATGCGTCAATGGGCTTTGCACGCGCAAGCAGGCGTGTGGTGCCTAGTCTCGCGCGTTTATCAGACCCTATGCGTCGTTCTACTTATACTAGTATTTCTTGATTCTCAGCCTCCCTTCTCTCGCACCCATCGATGTAGTTTACCAATTTCCATATATCAAATTGATCTATTTGAACTATGTTTTCTGTTTTCCCCAAAATTTGCAAAAAATAAAATAAAAATAAAAATAAAACAACAACCAGTAAATCTCCTGATATCCACCAAGGCCACTGAGTAGTGCACTGCATCAAACCTCATGCGTCCCTGTCGCCCAGTATCCTCTCCGCCTCTCCTCGAAGCGCCGCCATTCCAACCCGCCACAGCCCAGGCCCAACACTCACCCGCGCAACCCCCAGGTTGCCCAACTCGCGCACCCCCAAAAATCCCGGCTCCAGCCCCATCTTCACATTCACCAGCCCATCCAACCCGCCCACCAACTCTCGCACCTCCGCCGCCGACACGCCCCGCCCTCGCGGTCCACCCCAAACATACACGCACGCCGCTCCGGCCTCTAGGAACGCCCGCCCACGCCGCACCGCATCCTCGACGCCCGCTCCGGGCCCGCCCAGGAACAGCACGTCCGTCCGCGCGTTGACCACGAAATCAGGCACGCCCGCCTCGGCCGCGGCGCGGCGCACAGCGCGTATCCGGGCGACGGCGTCCGGCACCGAGCGCAGCGCGCCTGTCGCCCCGTCCACGTCCTCGATGTTGCAGCCCACAGCGCCAAGCGTGATCGCCATGGTGACAGTTGCGCCGGGGTCGGCGTACCCGTCTTGCAGGTCGACTGTGAGCGGGAGGGCGGGGTTGGCGGCTCGCGCGGCTTCAGCGATGGCCTTCACTGCGGAGAGGTTCTGGGTTGCGGTGAGGGAGGCATCCGGGACGCCGAGGGTTTGGGCAATGGCGTAGGAGGCTGTTGCTATGGCGGTGGCTGTTGGCAGGGACGCGATTGTAGTTGCTGTTGCAGCATCGTAGACGTTTGCTAGGATGAGGGGGTGGCCCGGCCGGTGGAGGGCACGGAGGCGGAGGGCGAGGGCGTTTTGGGTTACGGGGTCGATGGTCATGGTTATTGTTGTAGGGTGGTGCGAGTTCGGAGGGAGTTGATAATTGGAATAGCTTGAATCTTGGTGTGGTGGTGGTGGTGGTGGTTGTTTTTTGGTTGTTTTTGTTTTTGTTTTTGAACTGTTGGGGATAATGTCGATGTTGATGATGTGAGTGCTCTTGTTAGTGCCCCTGTTCAAGGTGGAAAGTAGTCTATTCAAGGAATATTTCTAATATACTTCATTGACATCGCCATACTGTCCTCGGGTTGAGTCATGGTATAATGGTGCTGTTAGCTGTGGTGGATACGAGAAATCTTGCGGTCAAATTCACCAATCCCAGCCGCTTGGGTGCGGAGAATTCGCTTCTGTTCCCAGGCAGCTGGAACCAGGCCGGAACCAGGCCGGAACGCCCAGGGTGTCCCACGGGCATTGTGAAGACGGTATCCTCCATAGAAAGGTTCCCCCTCTCACCGTTCCTGGTCACAAATGCAGAGTAGCTCAGGCAATAAGACCAGAACATGGGCATAGGACTCAGACGGTCAGTTTCGTGGACTGCAGCATCCAGTCTCCGCACCAATTATTCCATGCAGTAAATGCGATGCAGGTGTCGATCGGGGTCGCAAGGTGCATTGGGTAACATGGGTTAATTCCGAATAGTTGGCAATGGAGGGGAGGATCAATGCAGAATCGGGGCTCACCATTTAATATTCCTTGTCTCAGGCAGACTGAGCTATGGACGAGCTATGGACTTCCAAGTAACGACCCAATGCGACTAGTTAATTGTTCTACGCTGTCCGAGGCCCGGCCAGGGCAGCAAGGGGATCCACGTCTCGGTGCACCCACCCCACACCTCCTCTCGGCCCCATCAGGCTCGGGGCTTGGGGGGCTGTTGAGGAATGGGAGGACTTGGGCCGGACAAGGTGGATTACCTCTAAGCGCAATTCGCCAGGAAGCGGGATAGTACTCTCGATCAGTCGACGGTGGATGGTTGTTACAGGAACTTTTACGAAAGCATTGGGTGAAGACGTCACTTATGCTGGCGGCTCCTCATCTCGATCTCTCTCCCCTGGTTTAACCAGTCGGCACGGGGATCGAAGCGGATCTATTCGCAGGGGGGGAAATCAGCAATGGAAATGCAGCCGAACGAGTCGCCCTGTCAGAAGGTCCGGAAGGCGGCGGCGGCGGCACGCTGATTGGGGGCTTCGAAGAGAGGGGGGAGGGCGTAATGCGCATGAACGGAGCCCATGCGGCCGTGCAACGGAGAGTCCCCCAATCAGCGGGCTCGGAGGTGGGTGGTCGTCACCGTTGTCCAGGCTGTCTAGGTTGTGAAAGGATGGTCCGGGTCAAGGAGCGGCGAGGAGAGGCGAGCACGAGCATTTAGGGTTTATCGGGAGTGGCAATGGGCTGAAGATGATAATCCCTACCCTCCATTACAGAAGACCGGAGTACCGCGCCGAAGGGTACAGTACATCGGGACGCAGGACAAGGAGGTATGGTACCTTGATGAGAATCTGCGAGGTAATGGCGGATGATGATCCGTGTACATGCTGATCTATATGATCATCTGCGTATGGTCGTCTGTATGGAGTATCGTGAGTCGGTAGGAGTCCGTCGTCCGGAGTCGGGGACATTACTATACAACCTTCTTGTGAGAGTGTGGCGGTCATCCGGTCCGACTGGAGGATTTTCCTACTTCCCCCCCCCCTCCTCGTCTGATGCCCATCTGATGTACGGTGCCGGTTCGAGAACTCCTAGTTTCCCCATATAGATTAAGTGGAATCACGTTGGTGAAGCGGACAACCCAAGAGGGTTTAGGGGTTACCCCCCAATCCACGCTATTCATTGCCATTCTCCATCCGATCCATTCCAAAAGATTCGTCGGCCCTGTACGAATCGTGAAAGATTACTTTCCCCAAAAATCAATCAAAAACAAAAACATACACACCCATACACTCCAAAATAGGCCCGAAGCAGAAGGGCACGTCGTACGAGTTATGGCCCCAGCAGCGGACTAGGCTGCTTCGGCCTCTGCATTAGTAAAGCCTCTTGATCCACGGGGATTTTTAACCCCGACCTCGAGTCTAGAGGATGTACGCGGTCAATAAAATACGATCCAATCCTCTGTAGTCGTGGCAGGCGCCTCGTTTTTCCTTCTTTCACCGGTGCACTAAATCACCGGTACACTAGATAACGTAGACGTATGGAATAATTACAAGTCCGTCGGGGCTGTTGCTAGTCTTTTTTTTCCACGTTCGACCACTATCGAACTATGGCCATCGAGATCCTTTGCGGGCCCAACCTGGGTGTGGTCGTGGTACACGTCGTTACGCCAGGATCCCTGCGTGCATGAACGAGGGGCAAAGAACAAGACCCAGTACTGCACATTCTTCGGGGATCCCACCGGCGTCAGCGGGTGATCGCCCGTCACTGATTTACATGGACATGACCCTGGTCATAATTTCCAAGGACAAAGCGGGACAGCACGTTGGTCCTGGTATGGGACATACCAGGATGATGCAGGAGGCTGGAATTGTGCCCCCTCCCCTTCGCCACGGCGTTGGTTGGAGTGGAGAGAGGAGGGTGTGGAGGAAACAGGACTGCCCATAGCTTTGGGATGTTCACCAACCAGCCCCGGGGCTCGTTCCTAGGGGGACCAACACGACAGTCGCGCCTCGCGAGGGCCCGGCGGCAGCGCGCCCTCTAGGAAGCTGGCTGTCCCCTGCCCTCCACCTGGTCCCACGGTGAACAAACTATGTCAGCCAATACAAAATTGTTGGCTCTAGAAGCTCTCGCCGTCCGATCTCTTCTTTTTTGATTTTCTTGCCAATCATAGCCCCCCTCACTCCCTTCTCTTCCCTCCCTAAGAATTCGAGAATCCCAGCCTATCTCCACTGGGAGCGGGCGCGACCCAGGAAAGAACTACCCATCTCCGGCCACACCCGTTAATTTTGGACCGTTTGGGACAACTCCGCCCTAAGAAGAGTGGGTTGGGCTTTGCCTGGACTCGGGAAGCCCCATTTTTTTTTGGCCCGCGGATGGAGACAGGTTCTCCTCACACGACTCGGGCGTCCCGTACCACTTCCGAGAGGGGGGAGTACCCATACATCGACAGCGTAGGATAGATGTATGGATCGTACGAAATGGTAGTCCATGCTATACAGGGTTTATACATGGGTATCAGATTGATTGGATGAGGTTTACCCTGCACCAGGCCGACCGACAGGATCGAACGTGGTTATACCGACCAAATCCAGTGAGGCCCAGAACTAGAGCACTGGCGAACTGGCGGACAGATGAACTAGGGACATCGGGGGAGACGAGAGTCATGGTGGGTAGCCAAATAGCTATGTTTACAGAGTCGTATGACCTTGAGAATCCCATTCGAGGCTCCTCGGGCTTCGAGGAAATGATCTATACGGATCGCCCGTCGACACCGAGCATTCTGGGGATGCAGGTGAGGGCACGGGGAAATTCTTAGTCTCCCGGAACTGGACGTCTCGTCTGCGATTACTCATTCGATCTTCCTCGGCCCCATTGTACCTGTGTCCAATGTACAAGGGCCTCTTGGACCTATCTCGACGGCGAGGCGAGGACCGGTCAACCCGGGGCGTCGCTGGTACTTCGGGGACTCGTATTGTGAGGATTACGCCGTCAGCCGGGCGGTAGTGGTCGGCTGCGCTTAGTTCGTATTGGCAGGGTTGGACAGGGTCGGGCTGGACGTACAGCGTTACAGCATGCTCGGACACCCGACTCGGAGGAAAGGGAAACTAAGAAAGCAAAATTACCACGCCCAGAAGAGGGGAAACGAAATTGGGAAAATAGAATTTCCCCCCATTGGAGCCAGAGAAAGAAAAGAAAGAAGTGGGAAAAAAAGCCACACGAAAAGAAAAGAGCAAACTATCCGCATGGGCGGCTGGTGGTCCGTTGCTTTGTTGGAGGAATAATGGGGTTGACCTCCTTGGGGTTTCAGAATTCATGGATTGGGCGGAAGGGAGTTTGGGATTCGGATGCTTTCCCATTGACCGGACGAGCTACGGAGCACATTAAATGCGGATTCTGTCGCTGCAGCACGCCAGGCACAAAGCCCGAGACAAGTCGGACGGCGTCTCGCTCCACCACCGCGACCACCGAACAATGCGGTCGGCGCAGGTCTCCAGTAGAAAGAAAAGGCGCAGCAGCGGGAACAAACAAGATCCTAATAGATTTCGACTCATATAGGACGAAATTGGCAGCAGGCACGCATCCCATCCCCCTTGAAAGACTCCTATGATGGAGAAAACTATAAGAAAAACGATCAGACATATGGCCCGTAAGAGGACCACCACGGAGAGACCTATCCAGACTGAACGCCCATCACGATTACCACCATCAACTGGACCAGAAAGAGATTAGAAGAAATTTGCCGCTTTTTATTCTTCTCTGTCTCTGTCTCTCTCTCTCTCTCTCTCTCGTTCTCGCTCGCGCTCTCTCTTACACCCTTAGCTGTCATTTGGAACGCCAACAGGACAAGGCTTCAAGGCCCGAAAACAAAAACGCAGCCGGGGAGTCCCCTGTAATTTTACCGTACAGCAGGGTACCGCAGGGTACAGAGCGTACAGTCCCCGTTCCCCCCGTACGCCCAGTGTGCCATTTCCGACAAGGCAATTCCCTCTGGAATCACCCGTCAGCTCTCCCCACTCTCCGCTTTGCCTTGCTCAGCACCCTTCCCTTCTTCCTCTGACCCTCTCTCTCTCCTCCTCCTCTTCACCTTCGTTTCCACCCCTCTCATATTCCCCTTCCCACCTTCCCTTCCCCCCAAACATCCTCGTCCTTCTCCTCATCTTTTGTTTCTACCACCATTCTTGCCATTCTCCGGCCCTTCCTCGGTGACTCGATCTGATGCCGGATGGTGCTGCCTCAACCCGTGCAGTTGGCCGCCTGACCTGCAGCTCCCACGCTGCCGTCCGATCCTCCTCCCAATTTTGACTTCTCTCTTCCTTTTCAACCTCCCGGCTGTTGCTTTGATCACCATTTCAACTCACCATGCCGATTGGACTGGAGATTCCCGACGCCGGGCTGTCTCTCCGCCCCGGAGATCAGTCCGGTGACTCGGCCGCCAAACCAACCCAAATCATGCGGCTGAATCTGGTCCAGAGTACCCTGGATGAATTGATTCACAGCCTCCGATCCGACTCACCGGCTCGAATCCGCCTGGGCAAACACCCATCCCTCCACTTCGCCGGCAAATCCCAACCGTTCCACGCCTATCCCGAAACCCATCGGTCCGAGATCTACCATACCTCTCCCGGCAAACGGAATCTTTATTTTACGGGGGTGCTGAGCCACAGTCTAGAGGTGGAAAAGGCCAAGGAGGCCACCGCGGCCACCGACCAGGCCTTGGCCAATCTCGAGGAAAGCCTCAATGCCTTCGAGAGAGGCAAGGAGTCCAAGAAAACTCACATCATCCAGCACCCGGATGAACTGAAGGCTCTTCGGGCGGCGAATGCGGGCAGCACTGCTCGCCGGGCCCCGAAGACCAAGGCTGAGCTGGACAAGGATCGATTGCTCCGGACTGCGGCCAATCGGTCCCTGACCTCCAGTCCAACTCTGGGGGGGCCCAACTCACCTGCCCCGGCCTTGACGCTAACCTCCGCCCCGTCTTCCCAAACAAAAGACACCGCTCGCCGAGAGGCTCTCAAGACCCCCTTTATTCACCTTCTCGCCGTTCGTGCCGTCTCAACCAAGTTCCTGGCCCGCCAAACCTGTTCCAGCATTGAAGATTGTACCGCTCTGGCCCAGAAATATGGCGTGGAGAATCGAATCGACCGAGAGAAATTTGATCTCAAAGATAAGATCTACAAAGATCTTGACGTGTGGAACTTCCCCTTCCCGAACCAAGAAGACCGACAGGCCGCCATTGACCGAGCCATTTCCGCCTTCGATCGCATGCGAATCTCCAAGTCCGACAAGCAATGGCAGACCCTCCTACCCAAAGAGGAACGGGGCAAGGGGAAGTGCCTATCAAAACTCAATCTGCAGAACGGACTATCCAAGAAACCCGTCACGCCACAGATTCAGGTGGATGGCGCTGATGACCGGAAGGAAGGTGACACAACCGGCAACGAGACAGACCGAGGCACGGGCCTTGGTGTGACCTCAAAGGCCCGGGATGCTGCACCTCGATCGACTGCTACCACTTCTAAGCCACGGACGGAAAAGGACGCCCCCAAGCGGGGCCCTAAGAGCAAGCCCGCCACCAACACCACTTTGGCAGGTCGGGTTACGAAGAAGACGGCCAGCAAGGCTCCACCCAAGACTGAGAGCAAGTTCAAATCGGCAGAGTTCGTTTACGATTCGGACGAGTCGGATGAAATTATGCTCGATGCTGCACCTCTGCCCGCTCCGGCTCCGGCTCAACGTCCCAAAGAGGAGGCGGCGGCTGTGCCCAAGAAGACCCCGGCCACGGTCAAAGCTCGCACCAAGGAAACAGCTCCTTCTGCGCCTACCTCCAAGGCCCCCAAGGTCCCCAAGACCGAGGCACCCACGCCCAAATTGGAGTCTAGCAAGACAGCCTCCAAGCGACCACCGTCTCGGCCGTCCATTTCCCCTCGAAAACCCTCGCCCCTCGGGTCCTCTCCTCCTACCAATGCCTCCGAGGCGACCGGTCGCAGCCGCTCCGACAGCCAGAACCAGTCTTCCAGCTCGTCCTCGTCCCCACTTATCTCGCAAATTGCACGAGTCAACAAGACCACCGGAACTGCTGCTCGGCCTTCGAAGCCTGCTGTGCCGGCCAAGAGCCTCGGCAAGCCTGCAACTGCTGCCAACCCCTTGAAACGCAAGGCCGAGCCCGAGCGACTTGCAGCTCCCAGTACAGACGCACGCACCACGGTGAACCTTGAGCACAAACGCCGCCGAGCGGTGAGTACATCGAGTGGGGGTAGCACGGGCAGTGCATCTCCACCCATGGGGCAGGAGCTCGCCCGGCAGCGACTGTACGAGAAGTCGCAATGGTTCAAGCGGTTATACGCGAAGTATCATACTCTCCATGACGACCTTGCGGCACAGACAACTCCTTCACAGGTGCAGCTGGATAAGCTGCGCGGAATGCATGATAAACTCCAGGCCATGAAACAAGAGATTTGGGACGAGCATCGAGGACTGCGTAATGTCCGCTCATGATCTTGTTCCATTTCAACTCTGGTTCTGCTTTGCATTTTTCTTTTTCTCTTTTTTCATGTCTCATCCCTTTCCTGCATGGTGACGACTACGGCTTGTTCTCCACATGGCGAAAAATGAATGCACACTAGCACCCCCAACTACCCAATCCATCTCGGGTACTAAGTATTGAGGCGCCTCTTCGGCACTCAACAGATCGACAGCTCGGCGTTTTTTTTATTTGCTTTCTTTCCCCCTATCCCCCATTCCATCGTTCTGTGTTCATCTTCTGCATCTTTTCATTGAAAACATTTCCGTGATCTACGGCATAGACATTTGCATTTCTGCTCTCATTTTGAGCAATGAGTACACACGCACTCAATATCGATAGGAATTTTTTGAAGATATGATATGAGATTTTCCTTCCACGGTCTTTTTTCGTGATTTCCAAGGTTAATCCAGATAGACTCCGTAGATCCGCAGAAACAGTTTACCCCGGATCCGCGAATCTCTGGTTTGCTGTGTTGCTAGCGGGCCGGCAACCCCCTGCGAACAATGCGATTGGCAGGCTTTCCCACGTGGTAGATCACGGGTTCCATTGCTGTAATATTTCCGTCTCAATACGGTTGGACAGTCACTTTCGTTACGTCATCACCGCCCTTGGACAGACTATGCCACAGCGGGTCTAGCGCCGGCGGGAACTTGGGAAAGTCGACTCTCCAATTCCAAAGCCTGGAGACAGCAAACATCTCTAAGAAACTCCACCCCGCGCTTCCCTTCCCTTCACTATAGTTCTCGGGCAACGGAAGCTTCTGTAGGGGACCCAACACAAAGGAGAGTGCTCAACCATGACGCCCCCTGCTCGTGGACGGGGTACCAGCCAGCGGAGCCCGACCGTCCTGGTAAGAGCACTGCACCTATCCCCCAATCCCATCTCCCTCCCCAATTCCCCCAAAAGCATCGGCAAAAGCAATTATTGGCTCTATTACCAGGGTTCACCCTCTTGCTAACACAGCTGTGCTGCGCATCCTGTAGGTCACAGATTCCCGCGATCAGCAACCTGCCTCGACCCCCCGTCGTCGCCGATCCCCCGCGACTCGTTTCATCACCGTCGACAACGTGCTCCAGTATGCCTCCGACGTGCCATCCATGCAGCAGCGCCATCCGCCACCGAGCTCGCGCTCGCGACGGCTTGCCTCTGCCTCGGCGCTGATCAGTGGTACGGGTGGGAGCAGCGCTGCAGGTGCCGCCAGTTCGGCAGGCACAATTGGCCGCCTTGCGGCGCAGCCGCGTCTCCCCCTCGTACCACCAAGGTCAGTGAAAAGCTCGTGCTTCTGCCGGATACTGGCGGCGTAGGAGAACCAGATGCTGGCGAGGACGAAGACGATACCCAGGACGATGGCGATCTCGTGGATGAGGAGCTGGTGCAGCGGGTGGCACGGGAGAAGCACATCGACCCGGAGGCGGTGCGGCAGCAATTGCTGGCGCAGAAGCGGCTCGGTGGAGACTTTGGTATCGATAATAATGTTGCGCCGCTGTTGGCAGATGAAGAGCTGCTGCGGAAGCGGCGGGTTGGCCCGGAGCGCGCGAAGAGCTATGCAGAGCGGTTGCCGAAGGCGCGACGCACGGAGAAGCTCGCGCGAGTGACGGCGTACTGCACGGCGCAGGCGTATAAGATGGGGTCCGTGGCCGCGTTTGTGAAGGAGACACATGGGGCTCGGACAAAGTTGTATGATGATTGTCTTTACACGGCGTATCACTTACCTCTTTTGCCGGGCCATGAGGGATATCGCCTGCGGAGTAGCCCGGTCCTAAAATTCCCCGGCGGAAAGTCTCTGCTTGATGAAGAGATTGAGCGGAATGAACAGCGTGATCACCACGATGACTACATAGGCGAGGTAGAGGAACATTCTGTCGTCGGGCATAATCGACACGAGGACGAGCATCACCGGGACGCATCACCAAGGGACTCGGACGAGCATGGCTCCAGAGAGGAACGCCACGACGGATATCTGACCCATATATCCGAGGAGGAGAGCCGCATTCGGGATGACGATACGTCTGGATCAATGAATAATGGCTCCAGGGACAATCTTGCTCAGACAGGGTCTGGGGAGACCCAGGATACTCCCGAGCCTGCTCCTCGCAGGCGACGACACAGTTCCGACGACAGCCATGCTTTAATGCGGGATCGCCCGTCTCCGCCCCTATCCACGCCGTCATCTTCAAAGCCTCAAGCCCCAGCTCGGACTCTCTACAATGTCGCCGAGATGTTTGTTTTCAGCTACGGTGTCGTCGTCTTTTGGAATTTCACCGAGCGCCAGGAGAAGGACCTGTTGGCAGATCTAGCATTTGCTACTTCATCACTAACTGGCACTCCTATCCCACTGACGACTATGCCCCTTCACGAAGAGGATTTTGAAACTGAAGAGTTTCATTTCGAATACTCCACTGAGATTTCTCGTCCTCGTGTCTTTAATGATATGATCACACTGCGTAGCGGTGACCATATGATTAAACTGGCTATCAGTCATGGCATTTCTCAGAGTACCAAGCTGTGTTTCTTTGAGGAGGTCATGGCTCGCCAGATGGCAGACGCGAAGGATGTACCCCGACGACTTGCCATGACTGGAAAGTTGGGCATGAAGCGCGAGGAGGTCTTCCGAATTCTGGGTCGTCTTTTCAAGAGCCGCGTAGAGGTCAACCTTTGTGAGTCATGCTGTTTGATTCTATTCCAATTCTTAAACCCCTTTTCTAACATGCAGGTCAGCATCCAATATGCTCGATGTCCCAAACTTCTTCTGGGAGAGCGAACCAACCCTCTACCCTCTTTACATCGCCGTGCGCGAGTATCTCGAGATCAAGCCCCGCATCCAGGTTCTCAACGAGCGATGTCGCGTCTTCTTAGATCTTGCTGAAATCCTGTCTGATTCAATTGCGGATAATCGCACTTCTCGTTCGTTCTCTCCCTCTTCTCAACGTCATGCATATCCTCTGGATAGTCCCTCTAACCGTGTTCCACAGATCAAACCTGGATCATCATCGTCCTCATTGTCATCTCCATTCTCGTCACCATCTCTGAGGTTTTCCTTCGCTTTGGTCTTCTTCACGCCCGCGAAGGCGCCGCTTCCAGTCCCGTCTCCATTCTTGCTCGCGCCATGGGCCGCGCCTCCCCCTCAGCCCTCTCGTACTCCCCAGTTAACACACCGCCAGGCTGTATCTGTCCCTCCGTGCCCCCAGCCGGCGGGCCAGATATGAGCGTGAGTGGTATCATGGGGCTGGGCCTCTGATACTCTCCATGCACATATCGACGGCTCAAGCCTCCGGCCCGGCCATGTTCAAACCGCGAAATCCTGTTTTCTTTTTTCGGCGTACTATTGGCGTTACTTTGGGTGGGGATATGGACAAATGGACAAACACGCTTCTGTTCCTGCATATTGTTTAATTTTACTGAAAGCGCGTTTCTCTTTGATGAGTAGACGTCTTCGGCTTTTTACTTTTTACAAGTTATCCTCGTTACTGATGCTAGTCTCTTGCCTTAAACGGGCACAATCAAAATCACATAGTAAGGTTCTTTTGAATATACTGTGCTCTCTCTAGCGGCACGAACTCTGGGGAATATTTCGGTGGAATCATTTCCTATTATCCTGTCTCATTTTTCTCTTTTAAGTTCTGCTTCTGTGGGCTTTCTTTGCGAGTTCATGGACGCGATGGACGCTTTTCCAGCCCTGGATAATGCTGGTCTGTTACCTAGTGTCCCCATGATATCCTTGATTGGCTTTAGAGCTGCGCATGGAGAACCAAAGCTATCCTCTGTCCAATTAATAGCACTGCTTTACTAGAAAAGTTGCTTTTTTGGTATTCCGAATCTTTGATATTTGGACCGACTGTAGCGCATGAGCTGTGCCCAACCTCCTCCCACCTTCAAACTCACTCTGTGATTGTAGTCATTCCCTATCATTGGCTTTCCATCCTTCGGTGTGTTTCTTGTCCTCATATCTATTCATAATTTGACCTAAAAGATCCATCCTAGTGACCAAAGCCACCTTCGACAGCAGTCGACATCAGTTGCGGTAAAGTCGTCCAAGCCATCATCGACCAGCTTGGTCGTAGGCATTATGGATACAGCCTACAAACGCTGCCCCCGATATCGTCGATTCCGAGTTGGATCCGCACCGGATCTTTTTGACGGAAGCTCTGCCGGGCCGATCCCCTCGCTGCGGGTGGAGGAAGTAGCCGGCTTGGTTTGATCAATTACACCATTGGACCATGGATTCAGCCCCGAATGAGGGCTCTCCAGGGGGACAGTGGTGCTCTGCTACTATTGCTTGACATATTGGGGTCTTTGGAGATCATGGAGAGGATGTTTGTTTCGGGAGTAGTGAAGATTCTTGTTCTTGTTTTGAATACAGCATGTTCGAAAGGGCCATAGTGGTGTTCTAAAGGGGTACTGGAGAACGTAAGAGAACAAGAAAAATCAAGAAATTCTTTCTACAGTAGAGAATGGGGTGGTGATGAAACTAGAGCGTCACGGAAGAAGGACTCGGGCTGAACGGTGGTAGGCCTGGAAGAAGATTGACGCCGGGTGAAGGTTTAGCTTGTGCCCTCATTATTAGAAGACTCTAAGAGTATATCGGTCGCAGAGAGATGCAGATTAAAGATCGATCCAAAATCTCCGTTGAGATGGACAAAGCCAAGCCATGCTAAATATAAAACACAGAGACATTAGATATCAGTACAAGCGCCGCGTCGGAAAAGAAAAAAGCCGCCAGAAAAGCCTTTTTCCACCGCATCAGCTCGGTTTCCCTTTTCCTTCATTCCATTCTTTGGCTGTCTTCCTTTATCCCCTTTTGTTGAAAAAAACTCGTGTAAATTTCACGTTTAACCGGTAACCTTGAAGATGGACTCAGCCAGTCTCTTAACGTTGCCGGTGGTGATACCAGCGACGGAGATACGGCCATCCTTGGTGGCATAGACGGAGTGCTAAAAATTGCAATTAGTTCCGTGTACTCATATAGGGCAAGGATATAGAATATGAAGGGAGGCTTACCTCCTTGGCAAGAGCATCCATCTGCTCGGGCTTCAGGCCAGTGTAGGCGAACATGCCGATCTGGCTGGTGATGTGGGACCAATCGTGCTTGCTGCCGAGCTCCTCGAGGTTCTTGCGCAGCAGGGAGCGCATCTCAATAATGCGGTCGGCCATGCCCTTGACCTCACCGAGCCATTGCTGGTTCAGGGCGGGGTCGTTCATGATGGTGGAGGCGACGCGGGCACCGTGGATGGGGGGGTTGGAGTAGAAGGGGCGGATGAGAATCTTGATCTGCGATTCAACGCGCTTCTTCTCCTCGGTGTTCTCGCAAACAAGGGAGAAAGCACCGACACGCTCACCGTAGAGACCCTAGTAAAAGCAAAAGAATCACTAGTTAGCTGACAATTCTATGAACACGGTTCAGATTAAACCCAACTTACCATGTTCTTGGCAAAGCTCTGGCACAGAGCAATGTTGTGGCCCTCCTTGACGAAGTGGCGAGGGGCGAAGGCATCCTTGTCAGCGTTACCGCTGGCAAAGCCCTGGTAGGCCATGTCGAAGAAGGCGAAGTGACCCTTCTCCTTCATGACATCGCTAATCTGGCGCCATTGGGCCTCAGTAGGGTCGACACCAGTGGGGTTGTGAGCACAGGCGTGGAGCAGGATGATGCTGTTGTTGGGGGCAGCCTTGATATCGGCAATCAGGCCCTCGAAGTCCAGGCCGATGGTGTCCTTGTTGTAGTAGCGGTACTTCTCGACCTCGAGGCCGGAGTCCTTGAAGACGGCGTTGTGGTTGGCCCAGCTAGGGTTGGGAAGGTAGACCTTCTTGGCGTGGGGATAGAAGCGCTGGAGGAAAGCACCACCGATTCTCAGGGCACCGGTACCGGAGATGGTCTGGGTGATGACGAGGCGGTCCTCGGTCAGGGCGGAGGAGTCGGCGCCGTAGGCCAGCTCGGCAGCAGCCTTGGTAAAGGCCGGGACACCGGTGATACCGGCGTACTCCTTGTCGAAGCGCGACGCAACGACCTTGTCCTCGGCTTCACGGACAGAGGGCAGGACGTAGGGCTTGCCCTTGTCGTCACCTATACGCGATAGAAAACTCAATTAGCAAACCCGGACCCCTTTTTGTCGGATGTGATTTCAGCTCCTGTGCTTGCATCAATGACTTACGGTAAGCACCAACACCCAGGTTGATCTTCTCCTTGAAGGAGTCGGCCTTGAAGGCCTCGGTGATACCGAGAATAGCATCCTGTTAAAGCTCATCGCATCAGCATTGATGCATCCAATGCCTCAATCGTACAATCGCATTGACAAGCGTATGATTGAGTAAAATTCCAGGCTTCGAGCTTACAGGAGGGCCCTGGGGGACGTTGGACCAGGCCGAGGCATGTCTAGCACCGATGACGACGGTGCGCATGTTGGCCTCGCGGGCGGCAGCCGACCGGCTGGCAACACGCAGAGTGGAGAGCATTGTGAATGGCAAGGCAAGAAAGATGAGAGAAACGGGAGAGTCAAGCTCAGTCTCGGAGGGGGGGGAAGAGAAACAGCAGAGGAAAGGGAAGAACCGGGAAAATAAGAAAAGGTCGGAGATGCTGCGGTCTGTTTGGGCCTGACTCATGTGATAGCGGTACCGGGTACTTTCGATTCGGTGTGGGGTATTGTGCACTCATAGGTACCCGGGACTTCAGCGCCCGGCGAGAACTGCGACCGGGTCGGATTGGCTACGTCCTCCGCACAATTGCAGCATTTCTCGTGCTAGTGAATTGATTGGAGACACCTGAGGACGATCTATGTCTGTCTGCACTTGTTTTGAGTCTCCTCCCTTTGTTTCCTCCATCGTTTCTTTTCTTGTGGTGAGCAAAGAGGGAGGAAGGGGTTTCCTGGCTGGAGTATTGTCTTTCTTACTGCCAACATACACACTATGTACACTACACGGTTGGAAATAGAGCCGCTCTCCAGACTTTCCAGATGGTGGTCCTGATCTCCCCGACATTGCGCGACATCGGGATCTCTTTCCCCGGTGAGCTGATTAAGGCTGTCAGCTCCACTCGACAATTTCCCCTCACGCACAGTTGGGGTAAGCCAGCCGTGCGGGCAGCAGCAGACCAACCAAGCAACCAAGCAACCAAGAGACGGTCGGGGTTTCAGGAGACATCGGAACAAGACTTGCAGGCCATACCGAAACCCTGATCAGGCTGCCCCTTGCTAGGAGCTAAGGACCAAAGCACATCGAAGGCAGGCGACTCGGTTAAATAGGGCGAAATACCCGGGTCTTTCCTTGGAGGAGCCTCCCCACACGCGGAGAGCGCGTTGGCTGATCGACGCCTGGAGACGACGGCTGCTCATTACGTAGCGGCGATTCGGTGTGTTCGGCGTTCGGCAGGACATGACCGAAACAGCTAGCGGGTCCTATCTGGATCATTCCCGAGTCGGCATAGCATGGCTAAGAATAATATGACACCATGGCACCTTCAGGAGAGGAATACGGATGGCATGCATATTGGGACCACCGAGCAGTTCGCATAGTGCTAATCGTCAATGGGACAGGATGATGACTTTACTTGGGCAATACGGTGAAAGGAACGCTCTTGGAACCAGGGATTATATTAGGGCGCGGAGAAATAGCTCCCTACCGTACCAACCGTGGTGGCTGTACTGTGGCTGTACTCATCGAACTCATAGAATCTTTCCGAGAGTGTCAACATTGGAAAGAGGATATCATTAAGTGATCATGTTCGCTGCTCTATACATACAACACAAAGCAAGGACTGCGTCGTGCCGAGCAATTAGCCCAGACGGACACCAGCCTGGCGGTTCTTGCGCGCCTGTTGGCCCATGGCATTGTTCATGCCGGTATGCTGACTGCTGTCCAAAGCACTCATGGCCTCACGCTTCTTCTCCTCTTCAATCTTCTTCAGCCGCTTCTCCGTCTTCATCTTGCCACTGCCCTTGCCATGGAATTGGTGACTGAGGTGCTTGAATGCTTCCTTCTGGTTCATGGAGCGGCCATACTCATCAACATACTTGAGTTGCACATCGGGTTTGTACTCGCGGTTGAAAATATCCGCCATCTGTCGCGCTTCTTGCTGATCACGCTGCTTATTCTCATAGCGCGCGTATTCCTCGCGCTCCCGGGCCGACATACGGTCAAGCTTGCCCGAGGCACGGTCGCGCTCACGCTGCAATCGCGCGCGCCGTTCGGCGTCTGCCTCGCGGTTCGTCTTGTCTTGCAAGAAGCGCTGGCGGTCTCGCAGTAGGGCATTCGAGCTGTTGCTATCGGTTTCCTTCACCAAACCACGTTGGCGCAGCATCGACAATGTAGCACCAAGACCTTGGTCCAGAGTAGCTTCCTCCTCCAGTCCGGTTCCAGTAAGTTCCTGTTGGGCCTGAATAGATTCCTCGCGCTTGAGACGTTCCTTGAGGTCTTCCTCGTCCTCGACGTCATTGTAACTCCGCTCCATATCCACATCCTCGGGCTCTTCTTCAGGCTCAGACTTGCCAGTAGTCTCTGCGGTTGGGGTCGCAGTTTTCCGTTCTTCCCGCTCAGGGATGGTAGGCCTCTGGAGATTCGATACAAACTCCGACGTCTCATCAATGATGAGCCCGGGCTCCTCAGACCCATCTTCGGGGGTCTCTACTTCCATCGGCGTCTGAGATTCTTCTTCACGAAGCTGCCGTGCGAGGTCTTCCGGGCGCATCTTCTTGCGCTTCTTGAACGCCGCCCGTCGCTGGAGGGCAAGCGAAGCTTGTAGGTCATCATCGTCCGCAAAGGAGACATTCTCATTCACTGGCTTTCGAGCAGCCGGGACTTGCACCCCATTCTGCGAATCAATGTCCATAGATGGAGCTCCATTTGACGCGCCAGTAGACTCTGGGAAAATATCCTCGTCGTCCATGACCGCTCTCTGTTTTGTGGTCTTGCTCTTCTTCTTCTTTGGCTTCTTAATCTTAACCTCGCTGATGTCCATGTAATCGGATGTGGCGACTTCGGGTTCGAAATCAAGACTGATTATTCCCTTCTTCAATCGATCTGAAACTTCTTGTCGCTTGCTTTCCCTTTCCTCTTCAGTCGAGCCCTTGGCATCCAGTATAAATCGCTTGCGCTTTTTGCCTTCGATCTCCTCATCATAATGGGAGAGAATGCCCTGATTTTCCGCAGTAGGATCGTAAACGGGCTTGCGCTTCTTCAGTTCGAGCTTTTCCTGAGTCTTTTCCCTGTCGACCAAATTAACGTCCTGGAGCTCATCGCCCTCCTCCTCGTCATCCACCGCCGCATCCTTCAAAGTGAGAATATGATCCTCGCCACCGTTGAAGTCTCCGATCGCATGTCCGACCTTGATGCCAGCCAAATCAGCTGCTGTGTACTCGGCGGCCGCAGCGCGCTCCCGCTCCTCTAGCTCCTCAGCAAGCCTGCGCGCCCGGTCTTTCTCGATCTTCTTTGTGCGTTTTTTGGATTGCATGAGCCATGCTTTTGTGTCCAGATTTGCTCCATCCGATTCTCCGAGGGTAGCGCCCTCCAGCTTCAGGTTTCTGAGGGCGATGTCACGCGCCCTTTTGATGGCTGCAGTTTTCGCCTCGCGTTTGCGCTTTGCGTCGGCTTCATCCTGGAGTTTCTTCCAGTTGTCATATCCCTGTGCTTGTCGAGTCTCGATGGTACTCGCTGGGTCGTCGTCGGAGTCAGATGCGCTTGCGTCGTCGTCCTTGAAGGATGGGCCTGTGGCGTCGGCATCGGCTCCAGGGACAGGTAGGGGTTTGAGCCCGAGGGCCAGCCGAATCTTGTTGTTCTGCTCGATTGAAAGAGCGTCAGCCATCTTGCTGGGATGTGCGAGCACTAAGAACCAGCTAAACACGAGGTTGAGATCAAAGTTGTTCCAAAAGAACAGCCCGTGCCCAGGCGACTCTTGATAGCGGAGCCTGAGATATCATCACGTGTATCGGCACGCTAATCCATATTTGGACTAGCTCCACAAATTTCTTGAGGAATAAATACGAAAGCTCTGCCGCCGTTTCCTCTTCTTCTTTTCTTCAACCGTACACACTACAGATCTGTGGCTAGCTTTCCTGTTCACCTCACGGTGTTTCGGTTGAGAGCTGGTCAGTTCGGCGATTTCGGGAGCCATTCATTTTCTCACGCGTATGGTCCAAAGCGTATCCTGTCGACAGATCTCATATTCAATGTCTGCGCCGGGCGTGGCTCGGGTCTTGAGCTCCCATCTGGTGAGCTCGGCCTGAGATCCCGGTTGTGGACGGCGTCATATTCCTCCTCCCTTCACCGATTGGCCGTTGGCCTGTGAGGTTAGGGAAAAACCATGACTTGCCAACATACCTTCTTAGAGAACTCTTATATTTAGCCGTAGCCTTCACTTCTTATCACTCCCTGTCTCTACGGGGTAAAGTGGATTCCAAGTGAACATTTCACTCAACCAATCTTGCCATCATATAATTGGAGTTTGAATGCTGCAGAGCTTTGGCTCTAGATCTCTAGGCCGATTCTTTGATCGACCTGGATGGGTCATGCCGCTCCATTCAAGCCACAGCTCTCCGCTATGCTACAAACTCGTCTGGTAGCTTGGGGTGTACACTGCTCATCAATATCATGATCATTCTGGGCCTATATGCGCACATGAGGGTATGGTATCGTGTATGGTAGTTTACAGTAGCTTTAAGTGTCCTGTCACGCCGTCGACGACACTCTTCGGTCCCAGAACACCAAGGACAGTGCGGCTGCCGCTCGCGATCTGAGTCCGGCCTGCATCCTGAATAACGCGCGCGCAGAGTCCAAGGCTCATGGCCTGGGCCTGGAGCAGCAGTAGTTCATCCTCCGACTTGATCTGCAGCGCAATCTTTGCCTGGCCGCCGCGCTCCCAGCGGCGCAGGATCGGGGAGTCGGAAGAATGCGCGATCAAGTATTTGTAGCAAGCGAGGGTAGCGTGGGAGCATTGCGCGGCGATTTTGCCTGGAGGGAAAAGAGCAAGATAGTCAGCGGTCATTCTGCGTTCAGCACGGGCTAGGAAAAAAATATGTCCCTCTGAGTAAAGCACACATACCCTTCGTCATGCCCAAGTCTGTCCGCACAACCAGCACCAGCTTCACTTCCTCGTCGTTGTCTTTGAAGTTTGAGAGCTCCTCTCCATTGCCTTCGTCCTCGTCACTTTCGTAGTCTTCCGAGTCCTCGTCGTCCTCCTCATCGGAGGAGTCCCGGTGGACTTTGACGTCGTAGCCGTTCGGCCAACCTTGCTTTTCTTTGAAGAGACCCAGCGAGGCGCCTTGGCCGATGAAATATCCAGTCACTCCCGCAATGATCGCAGTTGCAATTACATAGGCGGTCGTCGTAGGAGGCATGCGATCTATGGGGGCCGCCATTGTTGTCTGCGAGATGAGGAAAGGGGGGGCACCTGAGACAAATATTCGATGTTGGGTTGGCGATGGACCGGTGAACTTGGTTCAGCGGAGTTTCGCCGCCTGCTATGATTACACACCCGCCGGGCACTCTCTTTTGCGCCAGGGCTGGACAACACTTTAATTTTCTAACTATCACCAGATTTCCCATCGTACAGCAAGTAAGCATCTGCTCTATTGGTAATTCAGGCGGGTTTTCTATGTTTGTAGTCCATTTGATTTTCTGAATCGACGGGAAAGGATGCTCTAGAATCCACAAATCCACAATATATATTGCGTAGAGGCTCTCCCTAGGAAAAGCGCTTCGAGTCCAAACATTACACCGTGCAAACGTGCATGTAGTGAACGTATCAATCATAGTAATGGAATATGGTATTGATTCCATTACCATCGAAAATAGGTATACAAAATTTAATTCCAAGTCATTCCTAGCCTTTACTGACTCTGTACCCAAACCTGCCTCATGCCCATAACCTAGGCACCGCCGTTTTCATTCTCGGTTGATCATCACTTAATAACCCACATGACAACTTGGAGGTTATCGGAAATTTCGAAAAGGAAAAAAAAAATTGATTAAAACATCTTTGGGAGCTAGAGAAGCCATGGATCCGTACCAAATGCCCCTTTTTGCACGCAAGGAAGACAGAAGAACGAGGAATTCATATAACCCAACCCAAATGCATCAAATGATCCATTAATAGGCCACTGCCCGCTATTTACATCCCAGAAAAGAAAAGCATGGTATATTCGCCAAACAAACCCTCTAGTTCGCACTTCCGGCAGGCGCAGGACGACGAGCGGGCTCAGTACCAACATTACCCATGCGGCGGCTCCTGAAATTGCCAGATTAGTATGTACCGACTTATCGGGAAATAAAGGGCCAACTTACATGAAGGTACGGCTGAAGAAGCTGATGCCGATCATGAACATCCAGCTGGGGATGGCACCAATGGCGAAGATGGCGTAACCAAGAGGCACGTTCAGCTGGTACTGAGCGAGCAAGCCGTCGATGGGGTGCAGAATACCTTCGTAGGCGGGGACCTTCTCGAAAGTCTTCTTGGAGTGAATCTGGTAGAGCTCCTCGGGGGTGACGGTGGTAGAGTTCATGTAGACGATGTGGAGAGGAGTAGGGAGACGCTCCTCGCCCAGGGCCGGGGCCTGAGGGACCTGGTAGTAGAAGACGGAGGGGGCACCGGCAGACCAGGTGGCGCAGAGGACACGCTCCTCCTCACAGTTCAGCAGACCCAGGTTGGGGGCGGTGGGGTCGGCGGAGAAAAGGAGGACGGATTCCTGGGATCGGAGGGAGATGGTTAGATTCTTGCCTTCAATATGGTCCATCAGTCGCGTCAAACTCACCTTGAAGGCCTTTTCGGCGTGTTCGCAGCGACCAAAGCAGGTCTTGTTGCCGCCGGTCACAAAGACAAGCCAGTCCTGCTCCTGCTCGGCGGGAGTCAGGATGGACTGCCAGTTCTGCATGGTCACATCGGTGACGCGCTTCTCCGCGACCTTCTCGGCCATCTTCTCAATTGGGTCAGCCGGCACAGCCGTGGGAACGTAGGCCTTGGCCTTGTTGAACCAGCCCTGCACGCGGTCGGCAAGAGGCACCTGCTCCTGTGCCAGGGCCAGGGCAGGGAGGAGGGTGATAAGCGAAGTGAAACGCATCTTGATGGCTGCGACGTGTCAGATACGTTGGAGGGTTCAGATGGAACGAGGGAATCAAAACATGAACAGGGAGATGAGAGGCAGCTTACCTGGATAGTTCAGACGGAGGAAGATTGATTGACGCAGCGGCACCCGAGGGATAAGGAGGAAAGCAAGTTCCCCATCGGGCCAGTCTGGAAGGACGACAGCTGGCCTGAGCGCCCGAACCAACCACGGCCACGCAATTGGCACGCGCGGGGATCTGATCCACCCACACCCGCTCGTGCATTGCGAAGCAGTCTGATGCACGATATCTGCAGTGGTATCGTGGACAGCAATGCTAGATTATGTATGTAATGTAAGGAACGTAGAGTAGCCCCAGCATTTTCGTTTTGTCTTTTCAAGACCAAGGGGAGGCGCCGAAAAGAAACAAACACCCCGCTCGTAGATACGCGTCTGCATAGCTTCGGCTTTTCTCCACTTACACTCTAAATATGATTTGCAGCTTTCTAGAACCGTTTGTGGCACCTCTCTAAGGGCCGTGCCGGAAGATTATGACCACCGCCATTCTCTCCCTTTCCCCACCAAAGACTCTACGGCTGATTGTCGACAAATATCGGTTCTGCGCTGTGAGGGAACGTCGCGGGTCTGAATGCAGATTTGTCAGGGTAGCATTGTGACCATGTTTATTCGTTGGAGAATCTGTCATTTTAGAGGGCTCTTTATATGTTATACATTTGTTAAAGGACCATAAGGAGGCTCTGTGGATGAAGATTCCGGAAAAGCACCCCGGAAGGGACAGGAGGGATCGCCAACTGTCCCCTGATATCCGCGTACAAGTTGTCGAGGCCGGAGATTAGAACGAAAAGGTTGGAGAATTTCAAAAAGTGACTAGTCCTCAAATCGAGGCGAGGGGTATTCTGCTAATTCTCAATCCACGAAGCTCAAAAAAGTGCTATTGAGGTTACCTGATAGAAATTACACTAAGCGCGGTACGCTAGTGAATTATACAATAGCAAATATAGCTGAGGGACCGGGCTCTGGGCCCCTGTAGATCTCAAGTGTATTATCTCATGGATTTCACAATCAATAATTACCCTGGGTCTTTTAAGTCAATAGATAAAGAGGTTACTGAATACGTTAGGAGATCATTTGGATCTCAGCATACACTTGCTGACCGGGGAACTTGTTCGATTGCTTGTTAGCTTATCGACATATCTTCTCGTTGAATAGACTCTTGATGCATAGCTGGGACTTGGCGAATAACTTAGAAAATTATACCGAACAATGATCGTTAGGGTCTTTACATGTTTAGTTCATGACTATGCCACTTCACTTTCAAGGTCGACAAATGATCAAGAAATAGAGACACTTAACTCTCTTCCTTCCCCAGTGACTTTTCCCCTTTGCGATTTAAACCCCATGTCTAGTCATGCCCCCTACCAACCCTCGCGCCCTTTGGCTACATTCTGTGAGCCTCTTCATTGATGTTCTGCTCTTCTGCTTGCTTGTCTTCCTCTCTCCTTGCACGCAATTGCTTGAAACTGATGATTCCGCTGATGCAGAGCCTTTCGGTCTTCGAATGCGCTGTAAGTCCGAAGTAACAAAACCAAGCCAGATGGGTCCTTCTCTAAGAAGTGCCTTGCATATATACAGATGGGCTGATGTATGCCTTTATTTCTAGGTAGCCTCAGTGACTTGCTCAGATCTGCTCAGCGCGTCATGTCTCACGAGAGCAGCAGCAGCAGCAGCAGCAGCAGCAACAGGAGTATGTGTCAATATGAGGTGGTGAGAGATGGTCGAAGAAGGGAGAACTGAAACTTCACAGATGCTAACGAGCAGGGAGATTCCGATATGGTGATCATGGGGTATTCTTTGGTTCCGGCAGTGATGGCAGTCCTCTATGGGAAGGCGTTTTACTTGCCGAATATGGGGCTAGGTCACGATGACGACGATGATTGAACAGAGCCATTATCATTATTTTGGCCTTTGTCTCTACCGTTGAGTATGTGAAAGTACGACTCGGGGGAAGGGCATTTGGCAATGGTAGGGTTGTCCTTGGGGGAAGCAATAATTTATGAGATTCACACAAGTCATACCCAATCATAGTTGATCGTAGCGCGCATCGTCCATAATTATGTGAGGGAGAATTTCTCGAGTCCGCCCTTCGCCCATGTCGATCATTACTGGAATCTTTTGAAGTACACTCGAGATTCGGCTCTACATAGTAGACTGTTCACTGGTGCCACATGAAAAGGGATTGATGACAATGCCGAGAGAAAGAAAAGGGCCTTGACAGTCGCTCGAAAGAATGAGGGAAATAATTTGCTGCTATCGGGAACATCCCTGTACATCTAAGTATTATCAATCACCAAGGGCCGCGCCCCTGGCTTCGGTGAAGGCTATAGGGCATCCAGGGTTTGAGGCCGCCCCCGCCATGGCCGATGTCGGTTGTCTCCGACGCAGATAGTCAAGAAGGGCAGAACAAAATGCCGAGCTCCCCGCGCTGTCAGGTGGTATAAACTATGGTGTATGGGAAATTGAAAAAGAATTCTCAAGGTTTCAATTGCATAGCTGCCCAACAAAAGACCCCAGAGAGAAAAAAAAGAAAAAAAAGCAAAACAAAACAAGTTGACTCATGGTCGATGAGATCCCCGTTCGCAGCCCATTCCCGGACGCGGCCTATGAGCGACGCCGGCGACTTCCCCACCCCCAAAGCGCCGTGAAATTTTTCGATTTTTTGCCGCCGAGCGAACGAGCGACGATTACTACGCAAAAGAACCACACCGCCCGCTCCACTTGGTTTATGACTCCTATGACTCTTACTTCTTCACCCCTCCATAAATATCCTTGTGCTAGAATTTTGGATTCAAAGTCCGTCTGCTTCTGAACATTCTCCCTGCTGTCCTCGAAGCTCCCCCCTCCGCAATTCCCTCCTCAACCCCACCACCGATAACAACCCTCTCCCCCCGCTATCGACGCACAATGTGTCCCGGACCCGAAACTGAGCCCAATGGGCAGGTGAACGGTGCCAACGGCGCTGCCAATGGTAACGGTATGGATTGATTTCGGAATCTTTGCGATTTTGGGTCCCAGTATACTCATCTAAAACCCTGGAACAGGCGAGCACCCCGGCTTCACTGGCATCGAGACCCGCCAGAACCCCCACCCTTCCGCCTCCCGCAATCCCTATGGCCACAACGTCGGTGTGACCGACTTCCTGAGCAACGTTTCCCGCTTTAAGATTATTGAGAGCACCCTGCGTGAGGGCGAGCAGTTCGCCAACGCTTTCTTCGATACCCAGAAGAAGATCGAGATCGCCAAGGCCCTCGATGACTTTGGTGTGGACTACGTGAGTCATCGATCAAGAAAATTGACTGAAGATTGTACCATGATCGCGGAATTGACGAGATTTTGTGTCTGTAGATCGAACTCACCAGCCCCTGCGCTTCCGAGCAGTCGCGTGCCGACTGTGAGGCTATCTGTAAGCTCGGCCTGAAGGCCAAGGTACGTTGCCATATGCCCCCAGCAGCGAAACATGCCCATCTCTAGTGGAATCAACACCGTCTAATCGCTCTCCAGATTCTCACTCACATTCGTTGCCACATGGATGATGCCCGTGTTGCCGTCGAGACCGGCGTTGACGGAGTGTAAGTGATCCCGCATGAAAAATTTCCTACACTCGAATATAGACCCTGACTGGTTACCCCAGTGATGTCGTCATTGGCACTTCGTCCTACCTTCGCGAGCACTCCCACGGCAAGGATATGACCTATATCAAGAACACCGCCATTGAAGTTATCGAGTTCGTCAAGTCCAAGGGCATTGAGATCCGTTTCTCCAGCGAGGACTCCTTCCGCTCGGATCTGGTCGATCTCCTCTCCATCTACTCTGCTGTCGACAAGGTCGGTGTTCAGCGTGTGGGTATTGCCGATACCGTCGGCTGTGCCTCTCCCCGCCAGGTTTACGAGCTCGTCCGTGTGCTGCGTGGAGTTGTTGGCTGCGATATCGAGACTCACTTCCACAACGACACTGGCTGTGCCATCGCCAACGCCTACTGTGCCCTCGAGGCCGGTGCCACTCACATCGATACTTCCGTTCTGGGTATCGGTGAGCGTAATGGTATCACTCCCCTCGGTGGTCTGATGGCCCGCATGATGGTCGCCGACCCTGAATATGTCAAGAGCAAGTACAAGCTCGAGAAGATCAAGGACATTGAGGACCTTGTCGCCGAGGCCGTCGAGGTCAACATTCCCTTCAACAACTACATTACCGGTTTCTGTGCTTTCACCCACAAGGCTGGTATCCACGCCAAGGCCATCCTCAACAACCCCTCCACCTACGAGATCATCAACCCCGCCGACTTTGGTATGACTCGTTACGTCCACTTCGCCTCTCGTCTGACTGGCTGGAATGCGATCAAGTCGCGTGCCCAGCAGCTCAAGCTCGAGATGACCGATGATCAGTACAAGGAGTGCACTGCCAAGATCAAGGCCTTGGCTGACATTCGTCCCATTGCCGTCGATGATGCCGACAGCATCATCCGTGCTTACCACCGCAACCTCAAGTCCGGCGAGAACAAGCCCCTCATGGATTTGACTGCCGAGGAGCAGGCTCAGTTTGCCGCCAAGGAGAAGGAGCTTGCCCTTGAGGGCCAGAAGGCTTAAGCGGTGCCTTTATTGTGTTCAATAAGCGTGTTTATTCGCCAGACTATTCCCCATGCCTCGACATCTGCAGTGATATTACCGACTTGCCAGATAAAGATGCAGTGGAATTTCTGATGATTTGATGTGATTTATGTGTTTGGGATTTTTTTTTTCCTTTTCATGGTCAGGTTCTGAAAAGTGTTCCTTTTTCCTTTGTCTTGCCCCCTCATTTTCTCTATCTCTGAAATCGTTTGATTCAAACCCCAAAAGAACCGGACTGGACTGGTGTTTAGAGAGAGAAAAAGTCCTCTTGTATATAGGCGTCCCAACCCAATAATTGGCTGTGACCATTGAATTAAGTGACTTCACAATGATTTCTCTCTCGAGTTTGTAGTATATGAAGAAGGCTTGTCGGACTGACAAGTTCAGCAAAGAGAAGAATTAGGATGATAGTTGCCCAAGATTGGCATTGTTCAAAATATCCAAAACAAGACCATTAATGCTTAGAGATTCCTGCATGAAGGTCGCGGCTTAGCGTAGCGAGCGTTGCAACCTTGGAACCCCCCATGGGCGGTGTGTGCGGGATCACCTGCGTCAGTGGCGGTCCGTTTAGTTCTCTGGTTGAAATCGCTTATTTCCCGCACATCCTGAGTTGCTTTCTGCTGTGTAACGGAGAATCATGCATGAGCATTTAAACTAGAATCAGAGCAATGCACAATGGCCAGGGACTCCATGGATTTTGTGGCCAGTCTTCGCCATGCGATCAAGTACGTTTGCTTATTGCTCTACAAACCCTCATTTTGTCTGACTGGATGTCAGGGGGCCCCATGCAGCCATACATCGACTAAACCTCTCTCGTATCGCCTTGTGTTTACCGCCGCAGACATACAGTCCGTCACTCTACACGCTGGGAATCTCTCGCTATGCGGAACTGTACTATGGCATTGAAGAGGCCTGGCTGTCGATCACTGGTGATCCGGGGGATTGGATCTGTGAATCCGACAATATAATTCAAAATCTGCAAAGTATTCAAGATGGAAAGCGCATCCAAGCCCTCTTGCGTCTCCTATATATTCCAGGACTACTCCGGACAAAGGCTCTCGAGGCGGATCTGTGTCGTTTACAATCTCTCAGTGGCGTCCAGACTGCGCCCGTCGAGGAGCCGAATCTGGGCAGCGAAATGCGCAAAGACGTTTACCAACGCAGTTTGATGAGTCCACATATTCTTGTGGCTCACATATGGATCATGTATTCGGCCATTCTGTATGGTGGAAGTGAAATTTGCGCTCAGCTTCGCAAGGCTGGTCCGGCATTTTGGGGCTTATCAGCGGCAGAGCTCTCGTCTCGACAAGCACCATGTCCACTATCCTTTTGGCATTTCGATGACCCTGCCACCACAAAGGTCCAATTACGTGCCCGGGTGGCTGAGATCGAGTGCTTTCTAACTCCTCAAGAACAACAGGATGTCCTGAGTGAAGCCAAGGAAATATTCCGCCAGCTTGAAACATTAACTTTGCATCTAGATAAGAACGCGAATCATGTCCCTGAATAGAAGATACCTGCCAAGCACACATCTTGGATACTCTAGCACCCCTAATTCATTACCTCCTACGAGCCTTTAACTTTGCATTTGTAGCCCATTAATTTCCAAAAACTTTCTATTGCAATTTGTGCAATTCCTATGTAATGCCCACGGTAGTACAGACCAGGCATCCAATCCGTCCTTCATGTGGCAACCTCGAACGAAGCCTCGGCATGACGCTAGGCTGGTCGCGGCCGCCCGCGGGAACGGACCATACTTAACGTCCATCTCTCCGCCCAGACCTCTCCGGTTCCTCTGGCGTTCCTATCATTACACCTAGAGACCCCGCGGCACAATGACTTCCTCGGCGCTTCCCGTCGCCCTGCAGAACAAGCTGCTAGGCTATGGCCGGGCCTCTAGCGCGCATCTGTCCGCTCTGAATCTGGACCTGTAAGTTGAGGGTGGGAAGGGTCCAAAGGGCTCTTGCCTATTCGCCGCTCCCCTCCGGGGACCTTCACGATGATCGTCACTCACAACCCATGATCTAGGATTCGCAATATCGTTTTCATACTCTTCCTTCTTCGGTATACACGCAAGACATTCTACTCGCTTCGTGGGTATGGCTTGTTCGGCAGTATTCGCAATGTCTACATCGCCGTCCGCCTCTTCTGCTACTCCATCTTCCTCCGCACCCCCGGCGTCCGTGGCCAGGTCGATAAGCAGGTCTCCACTGCCATCGAGAACCTGGAGAACAAGCTGGTGCAGACGGGCCCAGATGTGACTCGGTACCTCAGCTTGCCTAAAGAGGGCTGGTCCGTGGACCAGATCCGCGCAGAGCTCAATAAGCTGGCTGGCCTCGAGCATACCCGATGGGAGGATGGCCGGGTCAGCGGTGCAGTCTATCATGGAGGAGAGGATCTCTTGAAACTCCAGGCCGAAGCCTTTGGCCAGTTTGGTGTCGCAAACCCAATCCATCCGGACGTTTTCCCTGGAGTTCGGAAAATGGAAGCAGAGGTTGTCGCAATGGTGCGTTTTGATTGACCTGGTCCGGCGAAATGTTTTGCGCATCTAATCATGTTTGCCCTCGTAGGTTCTCGCCTTGTTCAATGCTCCTACAGATGGTGCGGGTGTCACAACTAGCGGTGGTACGGAGTCGATTCTCATGGCCTGTTTGGCTGCCCGGCAAAAGGCATTCTTGGAGCGCGGAGTTACAGAGCCAGAAATGTGAGTCAATGCTTATTCTTGAATGAAAGATAGTGCGGTCGCTGATAATTCCCTAGGATCATTCCTGATACTGCACACGCAGCGTTCATTAAGGCCTGCAACTACTTCAAGATCAAGCTGCACAGAGTCCCCTGTCCTGAACCCGAGTTCAAGGTTGACGTTCATGCCGTGCGCCGTTTGATTAACCCGAACACTGTTCTTCTCGTGGGATCAGCACCAAATTTCCCTCACGGTATCGTTGATGATATTCCTGCTTTGTCGCGTCTTGCCACAAAGTATAAGATCCCGCTTCACGTTGATTGCTGCTTGGGATCGTTCGTCGTTGCTCTTCTCAAGAAGGCTGGCTTCCCTTCACCATATGAAGAAGAGGGTGGTTTTGATTTCCGTCAACCTGGTGTCACTAGTATCAGCGTGGACACTCACAAGTATGGCTTCGCCCCCAAGGGCAACTCCGTTCTCCTCTACCGCAACAAGGCCTATCGCAGCAATCAGTATTTCATTTACCCCGACTGGTCCGGTGGCGTCTATGCATCTCCCTCCGTGGCTGGCTCGCGTCCAGGCGCATTGATCGCTGGCTGCTGGGCTAGCTTGATGAGCGTGGGTGAGACCGGATACATCAACAGCTGCACCGAGATCATGAATGCCGCGCGCAAATTCGACACCGCCGTCCGTGAACACCCCGTAATTTCACTCCACATGGAGGTTGTGGGTAATCCGATGGTCAGTGTTGTCGCTTTCCGCAGCAAGAACGGTGCCATTGATATCTACGATATTGCCGACGACCTCTCCGCTAAGGGCTGGCACCTCAATGCCCTGCAGTCTCCGGCTGCTCTCCACTGCGCTTTTACTATCCCTACCGCCAAGGCCGTTGACCAGCTTGTCTCTGATGTGGTCGAGGTCATCGGCAAGGAACTGGAGAAGGCCGAGGAGCGTCGAAAACAAGGAAAGGCCTACATCCTGCAGCGCGGTGACACCTCCGCTCTCTATGGTGTTGCTGGCAGCATTCCCGACAAGAGCATTGTTAGCCGCTTGGCTGAAGGCTTCCTCGATACCCTGTACAAAGCCTAAATCCAAAGCCTCATACTTTCCTTGCTAATAAATCATCGATAACCTCTTGTTTTTCATGGTCAGCCTGTCTCTGAACCTATTTTGTCTGGCCCCTCGCCCTGGTGCGATGTTTGCAACGTGCTTCGCATCAGCGCGAGAAAACGTTTTGGCGCCTCTATCATTAGCCCTTATTTTATTCAGATTGCACATATTTGCTTCAGTCAATTCCTCGCCTTTCGAGTATGGGTAGTTTATATTGAGATAGCGTCCCGTATAGTACAGCAGACGGCAAGGCCGCCAAGAAAAAAAAATAGGTAGACGTAGAGTACATGACATAAAAGCTCGCTCCATGCAAAACCGGAATGAAAAGCAACAAGGAAAAACAGAGAACTCAACAGCCCAGCAACATGCACGCCAAGTAGTGCATGCCCCCGGAAGTCATGTCAATTTCGAACAGCCCGAGTGTATGGAAAATGAAAGATGCCCTAGGTGATTCAAACTGGAGTGAATACCTCACTGTCCGTTCAAGTCATTCCGTTCCACAGCACTTGTCTTCTCGACATAGTAGCCCGGATCGGGCTTCCGCTCCAGGTGCACCTCTTGCTTGGTCAGCGCCCGGTCAACTTCCTGGACTGAAACAAGCTCCTTGACCTTCATGATCTGACCGGCAACGGACGGAGACACCCGGTGAAAGACTGTGGCCATGCGCTTCTTGAGGCCGAGGGCCTTCAGAACGTCTGTGGAGCGGCGCGGCAGACCGATCGCGGAGCGGAGGAGAGTGATGCGGAAGTAGCTCATTGTGATGAAAGCGGACGCAATTCGGTGATATGGAGGCGTGCGAGGCGGAGTGAGTGATTGTGGGAGTCGGAGGATATGGGGGACTGTGATTCGAAAGGCGTTCTTCGTAGAGAGAGCCGGATTGTTGGATCCTCAGTTGTGGAACATTAACCGATTGAGCAATCGGTTCAGAGGAAATAATAAGATTAAAAAGAGGGATTGATTGTGTCAAAAGCCTTGCGCCGTGCACGAAGAAGTATACCGGCGTTGAGCAATGTCTCTCTATCTGCAGTTTAGGTCCAGTGCATCCGCGATGTTTCGTAAAATCGGGAGCGGTGAATCACGTGTTACTATTCTGCCGCATCTAGGACCGGGGCGGCAGCTCCGCAGCTCCGGAAAGCGGGTGGGCCCCTCAACTGCAGTTGCTCAATCCAGGGCCATGCAGCGTGGTGTTTGGGCGTCGCTTTTCTATAGTACCTGCTGATTGCTGCCTCCATACGACGCATCTCGGATGCTCCAGACCTTATCCGCCTCTAAACAACCCCGCATCTAATACGCGAACTAGGCTGGGTTGTTCTCCTCTCAAGCATCAATAGCGACAACACCATTCCTCCCTCCCCAATCGATTATACCCAGTCAAAATGGCACAAACGAGCAATGCCGATGGCACGGTATCCATGCCCCGGCTAGAGGATATTTTGCGGCACCCCGAGGACTTGGACAAGATCAATGGCCTTAAAGCCGAATACCAACGGAAGAAAGCGGCGGTCGATTCCCGGCTTCGAGAGGGTCTTCGTGACCAGTTGGAGGCCGTACAGCGCAGCATTGGCATTTTGACTGAGGGACAACGTCAAGTGTCCAAAACCAAGGACGAATTGCAGGGGATTGATAAGCTGTGCGCTGAGTCCCAGGACAGTGTGGAAGACTTCGCGCAAATTGACAAGCTGGCCAAGATCCAGCGGCATTTCGACGCCACAATCATGATGAAGAAAGGGCTCGAGAGCTTTGGTGCAGACCTACAAGAAGTCGAAGAATTATTGAAAGAAGACGACGATGACCTGGAGAACCAGCCGAACCTCCTCCGAGCTCATATGCAGATATCCCGGCTACGGGATTTCCGAGATGAAGCCATGGATCAGATTCGCAAGGCGAAGGATCAGAGCAGCGAGGAAACGTTGACTGAATATTTCCAAGGACTCGATTCGGCTATCGACTGGTTTGATGATCACCTCGGTACTGCCTGTATGAATTTAATCCCGCTGGTTCAGGAAGATAATAAGAGCATGGTTGTTCGGCTTGCCGTGGTGGTCATGAACGAAGAAAAGAATGATGACACGGTCACAGCCTTACAAGAAGCTCAGAAAGACCATAAGGACTTGGCTAGTCGTTTCAAGTCAATGAATATCGGCCCCAAAACTGTCCGCGGATACAAAAAGAAGTTCATACAGGCCATCGAATTCTATGCACAAAATCAATTTGAGAATACGAAGGATGAATTCCTTGAGGACCCCGATAAGTTGGACAAGAGCTTCCGTTGGTATTTCAACGACCTTTTCACTGTCCAACAAGGCATGCAGAAGCTGGTGCCGAAGAAGTGGAGGATCTACAAGACGTATACCGACATCTATCACCGTATGATGCACGACTTCCTTGTCGGCATGATTGATGACCCCGACATTCCTGCGGACAATCTGCTCAAGATCATTCACTGGAGTGACAAGTACTACAAGAAGATGAAGAAACTGGGCTGGAATTCAGCAGAACTCCAACCAAACCTTCTCGATGACCGTGAACCTGAACTGGTCCGGCAATGGCAAAGCGTTATTATCAATGCGGTTGAAGAATGGATGGATCGTATTTTCGGGGCGGAGAAGAAAGGTCTTGTGGAACGACAACCAGATGCCCTTGATACAAATGCGGATGGGTACTTCCGTACCAAGACATTGGCGGATATGTGGCGAATGCTCCATGAGCAAGTCACGGCTGCTAGTGCTTCCGAACGAGCCGATGTGGTTGAAGGTGTCATTGATGCGATGTTTAGAGCTCTGAAGAGCCGCCAGAGCGCTTGGCAGACACTGATCGATGATGAATGCAATAAATCCAAGGCTCCTGGCGGTGATGGCGAGGGCGTACAGTTGCTGCAGGATTGGTTAGTCGGCGTGGCCAATGACCAGATCGCCTGTATCGACGACAACGAGGAAACTGGCCAACTTGGCTACCTGACGAGATTCAAACGTGACCTTGAACCAGTTGTGACGCCCAAGTACATGGCAACTCAGGCAGCAGCTGCACTGGATGCCCTGCGTGATGGCTATGTGGATCTGAGCACGCACTGTCTGGCACAGTTTGTCTCTGTCGTCTTCACAGTGGATCTCAACAGTGTTCTTCCAGAACTCTTCACCCCAAGATGGTATGGTGAATTTGCAATCAAGCGAATTACTACCACCTTTGAGGATTACCTGGCCGACTACTCTCCCGTTCTACACCCATCTCTTGTGGACATCCTGGTTGAAGAACTCTCAGATGAACTGCTAGTGCGGTACCTGTCGTCTGTGCGTAATAAGGGCGTCAAGTTCCGCCGCCAGGGTGATCCCTTTACGGAGAAATTCAAAGACGACATTCTCACCGTATTTGACTTCTTCAAGAAATACGAAGATTCTTTTGAGAGCACTATCAAGCAGAAGTGGCGACTTGTGGACTGGTTAGTCCGTTTGCTCGAGGCCGAAAAGGGCCAGGCTATCGTGAACGTGTATGAATCGTTCAAGAATGAGTACTGGGACCTTCAGCTATCTTGGGTGGAAGCCGTGCTGCGTACCCGCGATGATTTCGAGCGCAGCATGATCAGCGGTGTCAAGGCGAAGGCAGCTGAACTTTCCGTTGAGCGTGGCATGGAGACTATCATGAGCCGGCTAAGATGATATTTCCAGTGATACCAGTCTTATAGAAACGGATCATTTACAATCGCCAGTTCTTGGATTGGTATGATCATCCAATACCTGGGTTCATTCCTCAGATCAGTCCAGCTGGATCATCTGCGATGGGCGTCTTGGACCGTATACAAACTAGTGCCCCGTTCTAATTGTCTTGTGGGACCCGCAGACTGGGCACAGTACGCTTGAGTGCTCGAATATCTCGAATATTGGCAGATACATTGTTGATTTCTCCCAACTGCCTTGTCTAAGGTCTGACACGGAAGGCGATACAGTGGTGCTGCGTCTTTTGCGTAAAATTTAAATCATTCATTACAGGCCTGACCGAATCTCGATATCATCAACGACGAAGTGGAGTCAGAAGAAGAATAGGCACATGTTCCGAGGTTGTGTTTTTTATCTGGTGTTTGGAAGCCCCCAAGCTGGCTTGGGAGACAATACCCCTGTGCTCATTTCTGCCAATGATCTCGCATTTAATTGTAGCAATGAATAATATGTGGGATATTTGATTTTCTATGAAGGAGGATATATTCTAGGTTCCACTGGCCATTGTAGTACAAACCTCCAAAGACGAGAAGGTATGGAATAGCTAGCTAAACCTCACGCTTCCATCCACATCCTCGCAACTTCCCTTTACCGTTGGCATTGAGGAATGCAATCGCCGCTCTGCGACAACGGTATACTTTTCGCCCAGTCTTTCATTCAATACTGGGGTCTCGCTGCCCTCGATAGTGAGCTTCTTGGCGCCCATTTCACAGATACAAACCGAGTCAAGCAGTATGCCTTTGGCCCATACAAATGGGTACTTCGGAAGACTAGGCGTAGACCTGTCTTTGCGGGTTGAAACAACTTCATCACCGTCTGAAACAGCCGCTGACAGTGAAGAGGGCTCATCCTTGGAGATGGCTTGGGGAGGATTTTGTGTTAGTCCCGATGATAGCTTTCCTCGAGAACAGTCAATAGTTGGGGTAAAGGCCCGTGGTGTCGCTCGTGTTTCATCTATATAGAAATCCTGATACTTAGATAGCAGGCTTCGAGCGTCTAATTCGAGCCGTTTTTTGATACGGCTCCTTTCATCTCTAGGATTTCCTACAACCCCCTGCTCGAGACTTCGGCGACCACGGACGTAGATTGTGTTTACAACTGTAGCGTGAAGAAGAAGCGGTCGCGGTTTTGGCATCCGAGAACGCGCGATAGAATAGGGATCAGATTTCTCTGGATCGACAGCAATTCCCGATTCTGGAAGGGAATTTGGCCCATCATCAGATAGAGCTACGTCATCTCCACGCATATCTTCGCAATGAGAAGCTTTGCCGGCGTTTTGGGGTGCAGGAATAGCCCGGGGGACTTTTTTATCCCCTGCATGCATGTCCTTTGACTCTCCAAGGATGAAGCCAGCTTCAATGAATTTATCGCGCAGCATAAAGCAGAACGGATACAAGCGTCCCGTTGGGTCCTCAGGTGAAGCGTGTAAAACAGTCGCTGCTTTGGCTCTGGGTAGGGCATGTAAAGACTCCAAAGAGATAGAGAATGGCTGAGCCCCCTGCGATGTTTTTTCTGTAGATCCCATAGTTGTTGACGTAGATACTTGCGGGGTCGAAGATCGCTTTTGGCGCAAATTGATGGCGACTCGTTCTGCCTCCAGCATCAAGCCAGCCAGATCGAGAGAGTGGAAGAAACGAAGTGCCTCATCGAGTGTTTCCTTTTTTGGAAGACTCATTACACCCAGGGTCAGATGCAGCGTCCCTAAGGGGCGGATCGCACCTTCGGGAATAAGTGGGTGTGGAACAGTTTGGTCATTTGTAGATTGGCTTTGGACATGCCTCAAATCCGAGGCCTGACAAGGAAAACTAGCAGCCTTGAAAGCTGCAATAGAGGATTCCAGCTGAGAAATGGACGTAGAATTCACCAACGGCAGGCATAGAAAATGGGTCAGAGGTGGGCGCTTCGCTGGCCGTGTTTTCCGGGGTTGCTGGTGCTTTTGCGCGTTGTTATTATTGCGCATCATCGTGGGCTGGGTAAGAGTCGAATAACTCGCACAGTTATTTCCAAGAATGTAGAAGGAATGGAGAAATCTCCCTGACCATTTGACGCTCATCTGGCGAGGGCAGGAGAGACGGATTGTCTCGTTAAGTTTGATGTTCCGGACAAGAGCGGAGCTCTTAATTGACGGATAACTAGTCACTAACTAAACTTTGCATCATGGACTTCCGTAAAGCTAAAAACCAACTAACCACACTCCTTTCGTAGTTGTAGAGCAGTGTCCTTGAACTATTCTAGTTTCTCAGCTAAGACATGTGAGCAATTCATTATTGCTGGAGAACATTGTGCCAAAGGTAGCTTATTTTTATCCGATCATTTGGAGCGATAAAGCCTGGGGATTCTGGAAAATAAAGGCTTGGAATGCATAATGTATTCACATCATTTTAGGGTATCAAGTAATTCCAATATCACATAGCATTCGCAGTTGACTGGGTAGTAAAGCATCAAAAGCGAGGAAGGACAGCGAAAGGCATGAAGAAATGCCAATAGCGCTATTCGGCATTTTTCTTGCGTCCCTCGAGAACACGCATCACATCGTCTGCACTGTCCTTGTCACCTTTCTTCTTCTTGGGTCCACGCTTGCGTTTATTCCCACCGCGGGGCTTGCCCTCGAAATCCAGCAAGGGGCCCTCTTCGTCCTCGTCATCCTCAATACGACTGCCGCCGAATCCAAGATCCATATCAGCAGCATCCATGGCATCGCGCCGTCGGGCCTCCTCAAGGAATCGTTTATGGCGAAGGGAGGACTCGGCAGACTCATTGTCATCATTTTCAGACGGAGAGGCCTTCCGAAGAGCTGCTGCTCGCTTAAGCGCAGCCAAGATAGTGGGGTCTTTTGTAAGAGGGTTGGAGCGGTCTTCTGGCTCCTCGGGGGCTATCGAGGAAGTCGAGACACCGAAGTAATTGCGTGGTTTTACAGATTGTGCCTGAGGTGCATCGGCAGATCTTTGGCCTGGTTCAATGACAGATGGGTTTTGTGATTTCTCGGGTGCATCATCTTCATCGGATGAATCGTCCTCTTCCTCAAGGTCAGCAAGAGGATCATAGTCGGCACCTACGCCGGCAAAGATATCGTCATCGTCGTCTTCTGGCGCTGTATTGGCAGCAGTCCGAGCAGCAATCTCCGCCGGTACCTCCATTCCGAGAGGTTTGGCGGCTTTGTCAGGCATGAGTAGATCGGAAGATGATCCGACCGACTGGCCTGGCTTGTCGAGCCACCGCACTTTCCGCTTGGTGTTGCCCTGAGCATCGGTAATGAGCAGAACCTCTCGACGGCGGCCATTCTCATCCGTCTCAATAAATCGTTTTTTCTCTGGCTTTCCGTCACCCAGTTTCTTGAACCTGGAGCCCAAGATCGGTTCGGGGGGCGGAGCTGGCGCGCTTGCGGCTGTGCGGCTCGCTTTGAGTTCTTTAAGGATCTCATCTCGAGTCTTCTTTCGTGGTGGGGGGGCCATGTTTCCTTTCTTCTTTTCTTTGGGTTCTTTCGATGCTGCTTTCACTTCCTCCAAGCCCTTCTGCTCCATCAGACGCTCAAACTCCTCCTCAGCATCTTCGCTCGTCAGAGGTGCTTCTTCTGCTAGCGTCGGATCAGATTTGAGAGCTGCTTTTGAGATGTCTTCACCGGCTTTAGCCCTTTTCAATAGCTCCCAGTCTAGACCTTTCACCAAATGCGTGCTCCCAGTGTCACCACCAACACCAAGTTCCACACATAGCTTTTCGAATGTCCCCTGATCAATCTGGCCCAATTTCACCATCTCTTCTAGAGCAGTGACCCGCTTTTGTAGATCATCTTCACTTTCGCCATCTTTCTGTGCATTTCGTAGCTGGGCACGATCTTGATACCCGGAAGGCAATTTACTGCCCTTCGGAGCAGCAGAGGACTTGAACTGTTTCGCGGGATGTTGGTCGGTCTCGCGACGGTGCTCCGCAAGCTGTCGCGCGAAATCAACACCAGATACAGAGCGACTAAATTCAGCAGCATGTTAGCACCAGCTGTTTCATAAATAGAGGGTACTAGAGGTTAATGGCGTACGGCGTCATGGGAATGCTCGAGCGCATTCGGGAGCCCAGAAGCCCACCTGGGGTTGCGCCACCCGGCACTCTACTCTGAGCGGGGGTGCTAGAATTGACATTAGACTTGGAAGATGACGGATTGTTGGCGAGGAGCCGCCGAAATTGCTCGTTATTCATGGCTGTGTTTTGGCTTAGAAAGAGGAGGTCGCCGACGTCAATTTCGAGATTGAGAAGGTCCGTCTTGGCAACCGATAAGAAACCTTATCGTCTCGAAGATTGGCAATGTGAAGCCCAGAAATAGCGAAGATATTATTGCACACCCTGGATAAAAACAAAGTATACTGGCATGTTTATCTGCTCAGAGCTATTTGACTAGCAATACTTACAATGGAAGGGCATAGGATAGCGATCTGATGGTACCATTACTTTTAGATTCTTACATAATTCGGCTCAAACCCGATCCTACGTCTAAGACTAATATAGTTGCAGTGCACCAAATAATCGAAAATATGAGGATAATCTTTTCTCCAAAAAGGCTGAACACGTTATAAGGATAGAAAAAGGGGGAAATGTATACAACAATGCAAAGAAAGGTACAAGAAGGGAGGTGGCGCAGAGGGAAAAGACAAAAGGGACTAGACAAAAAGCACAGTTTGTCAAGGCCCACCATCAATCAATCAATATCTAGTGCAGCAAATCCAGCTTTTTATCAATAACATTCATTATATCGTTTCCCACCCACCGTTGTTGATCTCAGACTCTAGCTTGCGGCTGATTGTGGCAGGAATAGAGTGTGACAGCCACACGTCACGCAGCAGCCGGTCATATCGCTTCTGGTTCAGAATGAGTTGGCGGTTTCGTCGCAGACCTGGGTCAACTTCGCCATGGCGATCAAGGTAAGGTGCATAGTGCCAAGAGCCATTGTGGTTGTGGAGATAGAGCACGGTGCACTTGCGGATGTTGATGAAGAGACCGATATTTTTACCACACCTGGTGAGAATAAGCATATTAGCTTCGCTTACAGGAGGAAGACTGTGTGATCCGTAAAACTTACTTTTGAAGATGCTGGTTACAGCCGCCAAGTTTGTTGTGCATGCAGCACACTGACTGAGAGCAAAAGATGTCTCCACAGAAGAGGCAAATGCTTGGGTCACTGAGTTCCTTCTTGGAATTCGGACAACGACGTCGGTTGGCCTCTTCGATGAGACTGTCGAAATACTTTGGCAGTCCCACAAGCTCAAAGATCGCTGGGTGCGGTAAGCTCGGCCAAAGGCGGTGATCTTCAAAGCGGATGCCCGACCGGGATGCGTTCCAGTGGAATATCCATCCAGAGATGACAGCGTCAAAAGGACTACTGCTATTCCTTGCGGGGTTCACGGATAGGAAGATCTCATCGAGCGAAGGAAGATGCAGAGTCTTGGTCAGTCTGTCGAGTTCTGAAGTACCAACATCACTGAAACCTGTATTAGGAAATTCAACACCATGCTGAACGTGAAAGAGAATGACCGCCTTTCGGAGGAACGTAACAGCATAGCTGGATACGAGACGTCGCAGAGCAATGATGATATCTGGGGTAGCAGACTCCTCTCCGTCTTTCACATAACCACTCTCTGCAGGGAACGAAGAGCCCTCGGCACGCCCAACAGAGTTTGCCTTGAGCTCAGCGACAATCGAGTCAAAGAAATGCTTCGTGAGCCCAAATTGATTGTTGGAAATGAATGATTCGGCAATACCATTGTCTCCGTGCTGAGATAGTTCTTCTTTGAGGCCAAGGGGCCACAAGATGAAGGTAACAGTCACTTTAACAATCTCAGCAACGTAGCACACCTGAACAAGATGACGCACATCAATATGGAGAACCGGCAGCAACGAAAGTGAACATTCGGCAAGGAAGACAAAGGTGTCCGTAGCAAGCAGTGGCTCAATATTTCGGACATCATTGAGAAGCGGTGTGCCACTCAAGCAGGGATGGCCGACGAGCAATTGGCAAATCTTCTGTCGATGCATTTCCTGAAACTCTTGGGTAGGACGGTTCTTTTGGCTATTGTTTGAATTGACGCATCCAACAGCAGCATATGTTAATGCTGTTTCCGCCAAGACACGGAGATGCGTCAAGGTCAGCGGTGGGATCTTGTCCAACAAAGTCGACCCGGCCTCTGATTCAACACCACGTTGAGCAATTTCAACCGCAGAGATGCTGAAACCAAAGCTTCGAATCAATGAATCAGTATGCACCAGATCGTCATTGTTAAGAGAGTCTGGACTGTTGTTGAACATGGAGTTGATGTGATTCATCTTGATGGTCTTCTTTAAACGCTTATAGATTTGAAGCAGCTCCGACATGGGACTGTCTGAAGGACTCGAAACTTGCTGCAGAGGACTGGAAGGAGATAGCTCGTCCGTAGAGAGGAAAATACCAGGCATTGACATTCTAGATGTCGATGAAAGATAGGGTGCAGGTGGGGCTGACGAAAATGGGAATGCTACCAGTTGCGAGACCTTGGAAGAAAGAGAAGGCACCAGCGTTTTCGAGAGATAGTCCATGAATAATTCGGAGTAAGGTTGCTGGTAAGCTTTATCTTTTTCAATCATCAGGACAGGGAAGTTCTGTGACTGATTCAAGGCGGCTTTAAGTCCAGTACCCATCCACTCATCGAACGAGGTCGCTGTATTCAATACACCTGGATACGACTCCTCCTTGGCCTTCCAAGTAATTGGTAAGAAGGCATTGCCGAGTGCCTTACAAAGTGGGCAAACAAATTCTTTGAGCATTGTGTTTTCGGGATGATGGCGGGCAATCTGCTGGCTGTGCCGTCTTTGTGTCGCCGCGTAGTACACCTCAAAGCAAGAATAATGCATTATATGGCCACAGCCCGTGGTGACTGGACCACGGAGAGTGCTTTTCGGGCTGAAGCCTTTACTGAGACCAACCTTCTCGCTGATGACTTCGTCTCCAGAGGAGTCCAGACGACGGATTGTGGTACGGTTTTCCCCGGCCACGCCAAAAGGACGAGAATCCTCGGCAGATCTGTCAAGGCTAAGAGGAGTATTGAGAGCTTCACGGATCCTATCTGGATCTCTAATATCGGTCTGTCGTAGAATGGTACTATCTTGGATCAATGCAAATGTACCGTAGAGCCTCGAGTCATTGGTCTCCTCTTGACACAGGATGCATGTCCCACTAGGGAACTTCCAGACCTTGGTTTCATGGGTAGCCTCTGTCTCCGACTCGAGATCGCTAAAGTCTTCCTCGCCCCAATCAATATCCCCTTGACTGTTCAGGAAATTTTGCTGCTGTTGCTGGAACTGGGCCATGACTCGGGCCTGTCTTTCCAATGCCTGCTTTTTCTTGATCTCTCTCTCATTGTCGACGTCAATTGCAGGCGAATTGGTATCAATTCGATCGAATGGGAACTTGAGGGAAGCAGTCGCTGAAGTATATGACTGGGGATGTTTTTGCCAGAGTCGCTTGAGAATATGGCGAATCTTAGGGCCACAAGCAGCAAATTCATTCATCATTGAAATCTTCTCGAGAAGCCCCACGATGGTTAGGTTGCCAGCCTTGATTTCTCGAGTCTTGGTCAAGGCATGCAAGTTAAATGACGGGCTACGATCTGCCTCCACTTCACCTTCTTCATCAGAGTTATCTTCAAGGACGGCAGCAAGTACTAGATGAAGTATGACCTGAAGAAACGTCTCCACTCGTGTCGGCGGGATAGTAGGTGTGCACTCTTTAGACGAGATAACGTACTCGAGACACTGATGAACAAGCTGTGCGAATAGCATGGTACCAGTGAAACGCGGCAAATGAGAGAAAACACCTGAGCTAATAGGTCGAAGCTTTGGCTCAAAGACGATATCGGAAGCCTTCTTGCCTGTCTTCTTTGCCTGCCACTCTTTGTAGATGTTCTCCGCTTCATCTCGCTGGTTCTTGGAGTAGTGTGCACTATATGGGTCCACAAGGTCCAAATATTCGGACTTCAGTTCAAAGGTCCCGGAGTCACTCAATCCTTCTGGAGGACGGAAATTGGCGACTTCTTCAAGTACATCTTGGAACATGTCTGAATCAAGCAACTTGTCACTCAGGCGGGTAGACAGGTCAGAGAACGAGAGTGGCTTGAAGCACAAAACATGGGCTATGTCACGACTGATGTTTTCATTAGTCAGATGAGTGCCGTCATCGATAGCAGTCAAAGAGGTGCGATCAGTCAACAAAATGACAAGCAAGTGGACGAATTCCTCTGCGACATCAACGATTTGGGAATCCTCATAGCCAGCACGAGGCATGTAGTTGCGAGACATCCAGTCCACCATTCCGAATCGATGCGCAATAGATGCAAGGACCCGACTTGGGTCACAGGTTACCAGTGCGGTCTGTAAAAGGAAAATATCTCGGTAATAGGCGAAATCTCGAGACGAAACACCGCGGTATTGCGACATTTGGTGTCGGAGACTGAGACCGTTGCGAACCCACATACCAGCTTTCATTTGCGCAAGCCAGGCACAGACTCTCAAGGGGTAGTCGAACATTGTCAGTAGCAGGTCTTCGGGGCCGAGAGCGAGAAGATTATCATCGATCTGTTTACTATTCTCAACTTTGGCTGCATGAAGCTCTGCCCGGGCAGTGTTTGCAGCTTCAAATAGGACGCTGCGCATGACCTCACTGCTCACTCCACGGCCGCACTCGATCAGCCATGAGAGGGTATAGTGAAGTGCATGATGGAAGCTAATCGATCCCTTTTCAACGATAAATTCGACCACGCGGTGGCAAGGAACCTCCCCAGAAGGGCCAATTTCGAAATCAAACGGGGGAAGCGTGCGGAATTTGACTTCTTCCTTAATTTCTGCTTGATCGAAACGCTTACGCTCTACCCCTGCAGAGTGAATGATAGCAGTGATAGTAGTTGTCTTGATTGCCTGAAGCAGGTTCTGCCCATTGTCAATTCCCGAGTCGCGGAATGACTCGCAAAACTGTCGGCAAAGACGATTAATTTCTCGCATGAGAATCGAAGCACTGATCCACGCATCCGTCTCATATTCGACATGTTCACCGACTGCGCGCACATTAGGGCAGATACCCTGGGAAAGCTTCACTAGATCCAAAAATTGAGGCAAGTACTGGTCTTCGGTCCTCACGCGATGTTGGACGTACTCGGATTGCAGAAGGTAGCGAAGATCCAAGAAGAAGTGATAGAGGCGTCTGTTGGTCACTGAACCGGCATCGAAAGCGAGGGTGGCATTGGGATTGACGGCTTGCGGTTCGCCAACCTGCCTTGTGGTCAGGAAAGTATACAGAATAGCCATGACTTTGGTCAAGAAATTGCCACGGAGGACGATCTCCTCCGTAATAGAAGGCGTTGTCAATAATTGGAGAGAGAGATTGACAATCGAGTGATCGGGTTCTCTGTCTGCAATCAGATATAGCTGAGCCAGTGCTGTATACAAAGCAGACAGGCGCAGACCCATAATGCGCTTGAATTGTGGCACATTGACCACAGTGCTAATATAAAGATCTCGCAAGTCCGTGCGAGTTTTCTTCCATAATCTTAGGTCAAAGAGGACGAGCCAGTCAAGACGGGTACGCTGCCAGAGGTCTTCGTAGGGTGCAATCTTCTCTTTGGCGGTCGGAATGGGTGGTCGTACTTGCCAGTGTCCTTCTGATCTAGCAGAAGGTGGCCTAATCGTACCAGATGGCGTCTTCGGAATGGGGACATAGCTGTTGGAGGCTGAAAGCTGGCCGTCAAGCTCACTGGGGGAGACTCCTCTTCTTCAGCAGGCTGTTGATCTGTTTGCTCCGGGCCCGGGCGTGGCACCAGTGGATGCGCGCGAGTGAGGCCCGCCAAAATCCGTTCCGCAAGCGCCAGTTCATCATCGATGGTACCCATATCCATATCTTCGTCTTCATCTCCATCCGCCTCGGCCTGCAACCGGGCAAGCTCCATTTCCATGTCATCCTCCTCATCATCTGCATCGTCATGGGCTTCCACATAATCCTCATCTTCATCTTGCTCATTTGCATCATCCGCATCTTCATCATCCTCTTCTTCCTCTGCGGTTGTCAGGACTATTTGGCCATGGGGGGCAAGTGAAGCATAACAGTACGGCCGGGAAATCGGTTGTCTGATCCTTCGTGATCATCAATGCCCTTCATACCAATATTTGCGTTATAGGCGCCACTCCCTTTCCGCCAAGAACTCAGTAGCTCTTCGCAAATAATTTGCCGGAAGATTTCATTGTCCTCGAGGATGCTGCATCCGGCAATGTCAGCCAGCCATTCAACTATTGTGCCGCACATTTGCTCTCGGAATGTGTCCCGTGCCGAGCGAACTGTAACAGTCACTTTGATTTCCTCGATGATCTTAGACACTGCCAGCAGTCGTTGCAGATCCTTCGAATATTTGATGACGCTTCGGCCGATATCATTTGTTTCATGTGCTCTCGCGACACCAAAGCTGTCTCGCTCGCGGCAGGCGCGAGTGACCTGATGGGCGACATCTCGAATCGTGTGCTTCTCGTCGTTCCATAGCATGACGGCAAACTCGGGTTCTTCTTCCTCTTGGTCGCCTGAGCCATACCAGTCGGGGCGCAATCTGGATGCTTCCTCATCTTGCTTGATGCCTTCGATAGTCTTGGGTAGCCGTAATTGTTCCGGCGAACAGGAGATAACATCACAGAAGTAATCGAGAACGCGTGAGATAGTCAAGCGAATTGTAGATACCAGTTCAGAGGGCAGTTCTCGTTGAGAACGCTCCTTGCCCTTGGCATTGCCGCTGTCAGTATGGATGGCGCAGAATAGCGGGAGCCGCCAGGCCTCCTCATCGCCGCAATCACAACAACCACAGTTGCCTGATGACAGTGAGATCTGATATTGGTGGCCAGTATGATCAGACGAATCAAAGCACCGACTGCAGAGCACACATGTATCATCAGCAGCGCAAGTTACGCAACGATACGTCGCTTCACCCGCTCGGAAGATGTGTCCGCAGCGCTTGCCCCGCGCGGCCTCGCTATACTCTGCTCCTTCGCGAGCGCCCTGGGCATCAGCCAATTTCCACGATCCTACAGGTGCACCATTAGGGAACAGATGTTGTATAAGCTCCTCACTATGTCCCACGAGCGACCGAAAAAGAAGCTCTAACAGGTCCCGTTCAGCCTGGGGGCCATAGCGGTAGTTGTGTTGTAGAGGCAATCGAAGAAGACCATCGCCGAGGATTCTCTCACATTCCCCGAGCATGTGCATGGCTTTTGAGCGGTGGCCGGCGGTGGAGGACTGGAAGCCGCTCGGCTGTCACAGGTGTGTGAGAGGGCGGCGGTTCGCGCGTTGAGAAAAGGTCGAGGTGGTGGGAATCTGGCAGCACGAGTATATCGGAATCGTCAATATTGTGCAAGCAAAACACAATCTCAGCGAGTTTGAATCGAGGTCGGAGGGAAGTAGCTTGTCGTCGTGAGGTCAGGTCGCCTTTCTCTTCACGGAAGAACGTAGTGGGGGAAGCAGGCGAGGTGTGGAGCGGAGCGATGAGGTCGACACAAAGCAGCTAGGTCCAGCCACAGTGCATTCGTCGAGTTAGTCAAGTGAGGCTATAAGGACGAGGTTTCCTTGAGCCTCTTTAACAGAAAGTGCAAGAGACGGAACGTTACAATTCTATGGAAGGAGAGGAGGTGTTGGGTCCGAAGACGCCGCAATTTCTGCGATGACATCGACGGAGCGGTCTCGCTCCCAACGCCACAGCGATCCGCGCTCCGACCTCATCTCCCGCATTACCGCAACATCCAGACGCACAGCGCAAAATGAAAGAAGACGGAGAAAAAAAAGAGAATGGATAACGATGATCGTGTCAAATACAGATTTCCAAACTTCTATCGCATACACTTCTGCCACTAGAATAAGTAAAATAACAGGGTGAGGGCAGATCCCATCATCCGCTTTTCCGCCAGATTCCCCTTTCCCACGGTCGACCTATAACGAGGCTATTCAAGCTTTCTACCCCGTTACTCATCATCCTCCTCAGCGTTGTTCATATACTGGAACTTGATGTCCTTCCATTGGCGCTGTAGACGAGAATGGGTAGTTAGCGAGAGGTCTGGTTGGGATCCCTTGTCCCAGCAACATGGGCGCATTCAGACATCCAAGGTATAGGGCGGGGGTAACCTACGCCGGCGTTCATGGTGTCCCAGATCTTGTTGGAGGTGGTATCGAAGGCACTATTTCGCAATGGTCAGGGCTTTGCTATGAGCGAAAAGGGTGGGGGGCCGAATGTAACGCACATCTCGAAAGCGAAGGCACCGGCGAAGATGGTGGTCAGGAAGATAGCATTCTTGCGAATGAAAGTCCTAAATGCGAGAAAGGCCGATAGTTAGACTCCAGAAGGCAATTGTGACCGTTTGATCCGGGGTGATGGGAAGACGTGCTGGTAGAGAGCGTTGGAGATCTGTCATGCGCGCAGGGTCAGTCAGAAAGCTCGAGTTGCAAGATACAGAACACGATCGGAAAAGAACTGGAGACAACATACGCCGGCCATTGTGACAGAAGGAGGTGCGTGGACACGAGAGGTGGATCGAAGAGAGACGAGGTTGGAAGATCGAAGTCGGAAGTTCGCGAGGACTGAAAAGCACGGGAATTCCCGGCCCGCTGATTGGCCGGCCCTCCGGCCATCCGCAACCCGCAACTGTGACTCCCGTGGTTTTGCATCTGCGAGCTGCTCGGTTGTGCTTTTGTGGTGCCTTTACAAGCTTCTGTCTGTGTTAGCCAGGAGGATCTTGACGCCTCTCTGGCTCCCGTACGCGTTATCTCTGATTGAGCCTTTCGGATTTTCAACACCTCCAAATCCACTATGTCCTCCAACGTCTCGTCTGCCGGCATCACTACAGACGCCACAACCGGCGAACGCTACATCCCTTCCTCTCTCCGTGCCGATGGCTCGAAACGCCGCGAAATTCGTGTGCGTCCCGGCTATGAGCCTCCGGAAGATGTCGAGCGCTACAAGAACCGCGCTGCCGCTGCCTGGAAAAATCGTGGAAAAGGTGGGGTGCCGGGAGCGGAGAGCTTGAACAGCGAAGACAAGTCCCTCCAAGGCCCCAGCAACAAGAATGCCAAGCGCAGAGAGGCCAAGCGCAAGGCCAAGGAGGGAGAAAACAACGATACCCCTGCGGAAGCTTCCGAGAAGAAGGGAGCCAATTCCGACAACTGGCGTGTCGCAGCTGAGAAGGACCAGCCAACCACCAAAGAACCTGTCGAACCAGTCGATCCCGAGGCAGAGAGGGAGAAGAAGGCCCGCAACATCAAGAAGAAGCTGAGACAGGCCCGCGATCTTCGAGACAAGAAGCATGAGGGCGCAGCTCTCCTGCCGGAGCAGCTCGAAAAGCTCATCAAGATCCCAGAACTGGTTCGTCAGCTAGAGGCGTTAGGATTTGACTCGAACGGGGACAAGAAGGAGACAGAGAACGAGAATGAGTGCCCCGAAACAGCCTGAGCCAGAGTCTCTAGGCTTCAGCAACGTGTCATCGCACATTTTTGAGCCGAACATTCCATCTCAAATTTAGTTGCAACCACCGACTTCTACCTATAACGCTATCCAGGTTGAGCCTCTGTCAAGTCGATCATATTGTCACATCCCGTCGCTGTTGGGCACTGTCTGGAAGTCCCGATATCAGTCGAAACACCAAGCAAGCAGGCACGCACACGCTCCCACAGGTACACACAGGAAACTTCTGCTATCTCAAACAGAGGAGCGTACCATTCAGCAGCCGCTCTAATCTCATATTTGATATGGCACGAGAATATCGCTTACATCTAGAGCGTTGCGGCTTCTGTTCGACTAACCTCGGCCCCTCTATCTCCCGGGCAACGAAATGAGCTTCGCCAACCTGAAGAGTGTTTTCTTGTGTTCGTCCTTCTAGTGCAATATACTTCGGGAGGTATTGCAAACTCAGACATCGACATGCGGTTGTCGTATATGATTTCGACTCGATCATGATCGTCCATATCGACTACATGCATACTTATGCAAAAATTTGATTTCTGTTCATCATCCATCTACATTCTCTATAATTAATTCCAACAATGCCGACATAGAAAATCAGGCCCCTCAAGGGAATAGGCAACTTGAGCCCAGAAAACAGGATTTAACACTCGCCAGAGAATTAGTTACTGAGGCGCCAATCTATTCGGATCCAAAGACGTAAGCGGCTCCAGATCGAATTTAATGTCCAAAGACCCCGCATGATTAGTTCTAGTCCATGTCCAGATCTTACTGATGCGGTGGGTTCCACGCGCGAACGCTCCAATGACAATAGCTGCCACAAAAGCACCAATGGGCGTCCCAAGTGCGAGATCATATTGTTCCGTTCCGAGAGGCCAACCAATAGGCTCCTGGGTGTGTTTATCCGAAAAGTTGAGATTTACGGTGCAGAAGATTGGATCCTCGAAACAGGCAACGGTAGCGTCCTCGACGACGTTGGTAACGAAGACATACCTCAACGGAATTGAGTGGTCAGGGTAATAGGCTTGGTAGATTGCCAATGCAACTTCAGACACATGGGGACCGTTTCTCCTAATAAGGGTTGAAAGCACAAGAACGCCGGGATAAACGAATGCGGTAACATAATTATAAAGCACGCCCGGGTCACCGTCCTCCCATTGTTTATCTTTCACCCGGATTTTGCGGAACTTAGCCTGAGGAGGGCAAATCTTTGCGATCTCTTGAAGGATGCGCGGGCTTTTTATTTGCTGTCTGAAATCTTCCACCTCATTGTCATCATTTCTAAGATGATCAAGAGTGAGCAAGGATCGCAAAGGGCACTCTCTCCCGCTCGGACTAGGCGACGCATACTCGGGATCATCCATCCATTGACGATAGTCCTTCCCACGAGCTAGGGCGCTAGTTCGGAGCTGATTGGATGACATGATGATAATGGCTTGGGACATTGAACTTATAAACTGACTGTCGAAACGGTTAATTCTGGGATACTCTTCGAATCACTTACCTCAGGGCAGCCTTTCCGGGTTGTGGAATATTGGGGTTCGGTTCACGGCTTTGACGGCCATCCTGGAAAGGATAGGAGAGGCTTTTATATAATTTTCCGGCAATTTAATCTCTTTGACGCTCGTGAATGTAATTCAAAGAGGTATCAATGCACAAAGAGAAGAATGGAACCCATGGAGAGAAAGAAATTCAAGACTCCATCACAAAGATAAAATTAGACCTGAAATATGAGACGACCTATGAAATCGATGCCGAGAATGACGGCTTCTTTATTAGCCTTGTATGATCCTCTAGAGCTCTTGAAGCTTGATCCCTGTAAACAGGCCCGGTTCCAGTCTTCGAAGATTTCGCTCGTCTGGAGAGGACAATCTTGAACGGAGGTTTGGATTGTGGAAGCCTGACCCTACACAGCCCGCCTAGTTCCTTTCCAGCTTTATCGGTCCCAAACCTTACACTGCCTTTGACCGGCCACGATGGAGGGATGCTGTGAACAGCAACCGCGCATAAAATGGTGCATGCATGTCTCCAACAAAAAGTCGCCCTACATTCTTCCATCCCATGACTGAGCTTCACGCCCTAGGGCTGGGAAATTACTTTACGCGCTGGAGGTTCTTGGTAAAGTTCGGCCACATCCTCACGAGGCTTCGGGTTCGGCGAAGGAACGGCTTCTGCAATGGTTTTTTTACGCCAACGTCGTCGATTGTACCATGTGGTGACGAAGGCGCATGCAACCAGCCCTCCGACTATGAGTCCAGCAATCCATGCCTTTAAAGATCCTCCCTACGATGATTCGCTACTCTGATCTGTGACTGCAGTTGTTGCCGTAGCCGAGGATTCTGAAAGTGATGCCGTGTTTCTCGCGGTTTACCCCATGCTAGTCGTGATCGAGTCTGCGACGGTTGTTGTCACCTCAAAATCGGATTCTTGTTACCGAATAAAAATCGCTTTGGCATTCAGTCCAGCAGAGGTCGTCATAGAACGGGTCGTTCCGTCTTTAGTGAATGACCATACATGTTCCGTATCGGTCACAGCCGAGGTGCATCGGTTAGTCGAGTGCTAGACCAAATTATTATCCACTTGTGCAAAAAGTCCCCTGGTGATATCAATGTTACTCCGTATCCCTCATTTATAGAATACTAATGGTGATTTGAAGATTTTAGTTCCCTGATGCTCGGGCCCGTATGGATTAAGTAAAAATGGGGGAAAGTATCATGTATATACTCAGAAAAATATGGAGAAAACCAACGAGCGCTACCTATCTCTTAGGCAACTAATTGTTTGGGCGATGGTATACATGTATGTAAAATTTAAGGCGGTGGCATTGCTTCGGTACCTTCAAGGGGAACAAGAGCCTTAGAAGTGGGCTCAAAATTGTCTCCGTATTCTGTTTCGTTGTTTCGATTGACTCTCAAAATATCGTCATTCGAGATTGATGTGTGCGTATGATCAGCGACTGTCCATCAAATGTTGCAATTTTTTTTCTTCTCTGCAGTCCTGGCCCCATAAAGCCTACAACGAGAACTATGAACAATATGATCCGTTGAGCCCATGACAAACTCAAAATGAAGCTATGTGATGGTGTATTGAGGAGCTGGACCCCCAATTCATAATTAATCAATCAGATATAGGAATTTACAGGTCTGGGTATTACACAATCAAAATATGAGACTAAAGCGTCCCTCCCTATCCAAGCCGATCACAAAGGTCTATCCTAGAACATAGTATCCGGTGCACCATTGTTGTAGTCCTTTGGCTTTTCTTAGATGCTGGACTCAAAGTGTCGCACAGGCGCTGTAGGGATACCGCCTTCCAAGTCCCAATTCTGATAATCGTATTCCTTCCACGGATACCACTCTCCAGAGCCAACCCGGAGCTGATGGCGGCCGACGCCGTGGGTAGCTGCTAGAATTCCCTGCCTCACACAGTCGCCCACGCCAACGCCCGTCCATGAGTTACCGGCCAAAATAAGTCGCCTATGGAACTGATCCCGGATTTGGTTGGATAAGTTGTACATCTTGCCAAGGTGTGCAGGCCGATATTGAGGGATGGCGTCTTTTTGTAGGCTGCTCCGTGCAACGGTCGGGGCGTCCGTGATCCCAATATGCCGTTGAAGCATCGTGCGAGCCATGCGTATAGCAGTGTCATGGTCTGGATAATCTTCAGGCGACAGATGGTCCCAGTACCAGCCACCAAACATCACAGTGATCTTCGTGCCAGGCGCGGTATCTTGTGCAACCGATTCGTAAGGCGCGACAGCAGACGTTCCTACACTGGAAGAAGATGCAAATATCACACCCAGTCCACACTCAGGGTTCTGTTCATATGGAATCGATCGAGGTATTAGATACCCGAAACCTTCAACAGGGAGAAGGTTGGGATTTGAGTAGTATAAATTGACTACCATCACAGTTGTTCCCGGTTCATTATGGCCGTGCAAATAAAACTGGAGAGGTGTCAAATCAAGTGGTTTAGAGTTGTTTTGGATGGCCTTTTTCTGTTTCGCGTCCAGTTCAGAGTCCAGAATTTTGGTCAAAGAGGTTACGGGAACTGTAGCAATGACACGGTCGTATGATCTGATGCCAGTCTCGGGCGTGGTAATCTTACATATATCAGCACCGATCAATTTGAGATCGCAGAGCAGGGAAATTGGAAGTTTGATACCTTTAGCTTGCTTTGAGGGCCAGGGTCCAGGGGTTTCATGGTTGTGATTTCTGATTTCGTTTTGATAGTAATTTTACTCGATGCCTGCAAGGCACCAACCAGGCCTTCAATGAGTTGTTGGGTTCCTCGCTTGAATGTGAATGTACTAGCGGTCTTTATCACATTAAAGATGTCTTGAGATTGATCTAGTGCTTCTGGTGATTTAGCGATTGCATCCACAGCCAGAAAATCATCCATGAGCCTGGTCTTCTTCCCGAGAATTGAATTAGTGATAAGGCTGTATAGGATGCCACCATCCTCCAGGTTGCGCATTCCGCCCAGCAGCGCTTGGGCACTCAATCCGTCAATGTCACCGGCATAGATGCCGTGCATCACCGCAGATACTAGATTTTCTGCGACATGGGAATTGAACCGTCGTGAGATGAATTGTGAGACACTTTCGTCTGACTGCCACATCGATGGCGGCCGCGCAGGCTTAGTATGCTCAAGAATGAGAGCTGGTAGAAGGCCTTCAAAGAGTGGCTCATTCATCAGTGCGCGAAAGACATTTCGAATATTATCGCTGACTGAGAGAGCAGGGTCGGGGGTGGGCAAACGGACGAGATGATCTGGATAGTAGATATAGCGGTTGAGCGCCGCAGGGCTCCGTTTTGACGTGGTGATAAGTTCGCCTAGTAAGCCTAAATTCGATATCTTTGAAAGCCACAAGACATCACATTAGCTTTATTGATCAGTATTGGGGGGTGTAGCTATAGAATGTGATGGTACCAAGTAAAGCAACGGCAGCGATGCTGGCATTGCGCTTCTCAACGTGCGCGGCCCATACTCAAACACCACGTTTCCGCCTTGTACGGGGATTGTTTCAGATCTGAGCCAGCCACCAAGTCGGTCTGACTTCTCGTAAAGCGTGATCCCGGAGCATTGGGGGTCTTGCGCCAACTGCCAGGCGGCTGTCAGGCCAGTGATGCCACCTCCGATGACGGCAGCATTGTAGGCGCGTTGTTGGCACCGGGCTACCGAAATTAGCGGCTTCTGGCTGTGTCTCAGGCCCTTCGAGACGCGCAATGATCGCATCTCGACAAAAGGAACCAAGAACAAGTGAGTGTTCGGGGTTGCGGCGGACGCGGAGGGTCCGCGGAAGTTCGCATTGATCCTTACTTAAGCCGAGTTACCTTGTGAGTTCCGAGTCGTCAGTAATGGGCACCTTGGAAGCCAGGCATACATTACTACGTTAAGAGACATTACTCCAAGAAATATTTTCGAAGAAAAATTAAAAGTCGTGTTAAGCAAGATTATTTTCTCTCGCGTCCTTCATTCTCACGAAATATCATGGGATATCTATGTACAGGCAGAAATAAGGGACTATAACCATCCCACCAAGATAAGCAAATGCATAAAGTATGAACGCCCTCCCTAATCACTTCGTTATCACAGATCAGATTGTACACAATACTGCTCCATCAAGAAGCATTTTTGTTCGTGCGGTTGAAAAACATGACACTCGTCAATTGAGGCGAAGTCAGGCGATAAGCTCCTGGCCTTGAGCGCCGTCCGCGTTATCAGGTTTGATCAGCTCCTCCTGGACATTCTCGTCCTGAACAAATTTACGCTCGCTCACATGGTTGCCGGATGCTGTCCACACCTTGTCGGTAAAGGCACCTCGCTGGCCATCAGCATGCTTGTATGGGCAGCTTCGATTCATGCAAGGGTTAAATCGGCAGGCAGTCGAGACGTGAGTGAATTTGCACCCTTCGTCCTTGCAATCGGCTCCATTGCGACAGAGTGGCATGTCGGGGTGTTTGAAATGACAGTGCGGGTTGGTGCAGTTGGGGAAGAATCGACACATCTCCTCGGCCTGGTGTGCGGACTTAACGGCTGGCGATGGGTGGCGACCAGTACATTTCCGGTTTTTGCAAGCAGCACCAAAGGAACAGACGTCTGCTACATCAATCGAAGTGCCCTCAGGGGCAACAGGAGATTGGTGTGCAAAGGGACAGTCTTTCCGTGTGCACCGAAGATTGAAGCGGCAAATGTTATCGGTGTTGCTCTCATCTTGGTCGCCATCCATCGAGGCATCCATGTCAACATCGGCACCTTCCGCCCCCTTATTCCGCGAGTGATGCCCCCCACGTCCTTGGTTCTTCCCTCCACGACGGCCTTGGCGCTCGACACGGTCAAAGAGCGAACGACCTTGTTGGCCGCCGTTTTGGAAGGCCGGGTTCACTGCAGGGGGAACAAAGCCTGGCATAAGTTGCGACATCATCTTGGCCTGTTCCTCTAACATGGCCATGATCTGCATCTGATTCTCGGGGCTCATTTGCTGCATCATACCTCCACCCATGTTGCCGTGCATTCCCATTCCTCCATTATTCCGGCCTCCTCGCCCACGGCCACGGTTCTGTTGGTTCTGGCCGTGACCTCCTATGCGCCCGTTTCCTTGTTGGCCACGAACGCGGTGAAGAGCGTTATCATTTGCGCGATCGAGGTTCCGGTTGATTTGGTTCAGTAATCTTCCTCGACCACCCTGTCGTCCATTCCGCATAGCTTTCGGTCCGGTGGGTCTGTGATCTTGGTTAGTATATTCCAAGGTCTGTCAGATCTCCTTTAGCAAACCTACATAGAATCGCCCGCATCTCCCATTTCGGCATCCTGCCCACTTATTGTCGGGATAGGTTCTTGTTCCATGACCGAAGGCACCTGCTGTGCTCCAAACCCATTTGCTCCGGATGAACCGCCATTGATTTGTTGGTTCAGGATCTCCACTTGTTCAAAGAGCCATCTTGAGAACTCGGCGGCTGAGGCGGCCGAGTCGTCCGCGAGTCCCAGGAAGTCGTTTGCAAGTTCTGCCGCGATTTCTTCTTGTGTCTTGCCGTTAACCAGCATGAGAACGATGTAGTCAATGACTGTCGAGTCTTGGGCATCATCTGAGCTCCATCCGATTTCCACGAGTTTCGGACCGAGAACCTGGGAGACAGCGACCGCAAGCGGCGAGCCCTGAGCAATTTCCGGAAGCATATTGAAGCGAGATTTGTGAAATGTGAGGAGCAGGGTAGGTGAGAGAAGCGGAAGGACTAGATTTTCGAAGATTGGAGGATTGTTGGTAGTTTGCGCCACCGGAACAAAGGCGCTTTCTCCGAAGGGTTCAGGACTGAGTATCCAATCTAGGGTGAAAGAAATGAACGATGGGCCAGAGTGCTTAGTATCTGCGAATGAACTTTAGGACAGTAGTGTATCTCAACCACCAGTCAAATGGTGTTTCAGCGTCTGTCCGTGGAGGTTGACGCGGTGTCGCGGCTCCCAAAGCTTTCATCGACGAAAATGACCTGGTATGGTCATGTGACTGACTGTTTCAGAGATGCAAACAGGTCAAACAATGCCACCCGAGGGGCACTCCAGGCATTCACTTATTATGATGAAATAAATTAGCCGCTGTTTTGAAAGAAACTCAAAGGGATTCGAAGAGGAAGAGGCAAGCTGTCGGGCCTACTTAGGTCCTTATTAGATCCTGGAAGTACTCAAACCTAGGGCTTGAGGTTGTTTCAGCCAAAGTTTCCAGCTCATTGCTTTGTAGCTTGAAAGGTGATGATGTGCTTTAAATCGTGACTCTGACAATGCTGCATGATGGCATGTGGTAGAGGACTTTTGGCACCTAAAGGCTCTCAATGTACCATTTAAGAACAGTTTCAGCTCTGGTTGTTTGAAAATCTAAATGTTTTCCACTCATTTTTAGAGTATTAGGTGTTGAAATTGTCCTAAAATCCTTATATACATATAGTGGTGCATCTGGATTATGTGCTGATCCGAACCCCTTTGAACACCGTCAAAGAAGCCCTCTCACTCTTTTGAGCATTCAACGTCATCGCTTATTGTAAATGCGTGTCAGATATGAGACGTCAGGATTCTTGGCGTTCCTGCAGCCACCCCCCAGGTTCCTGGCCAGCTGCATAGGATGTTAACTCGTCCGTATCAGCTCTTCAATGAAATGTGGTATCGGGATCTCAGAAAATTATGGCTAGCTCGGTAGGAGATCATTGGAGGTAATACATAGTATAGTGTGCATCGTGACCCGCACCCGCACCCGCGTTGAACCGATTGATCAGACTGATTAAAAATTCAGCTGTAATTGATATGAATATGTTTATGCCAGGTACCTGCTCTCCTGCATTCTTCACAATGTTTGTTTGAAGGTGTTCAGATATGGTGTGTCCAAGGACCTCCTCGGTTTCACTACAAAGCATCTAGTCTGTTGCATCACTACAGAATTGAGACACCAGGATGCTACGCCGTTGGTGACTTCCTTGTCCTTTCTAGAACGGGGATGAACCAAAGGCTCCTTGTCAAGGCTTCTTGTCACCGTGGAGCTTCATTTTTGTCGGCCTAGCATTTCACAATATCAAGCAAAATAGTACGGCAGGACCCTGAAACAAGACACATGAGGCCATAGATCTCCACCTCGGGAATCATATGCAACCGCATCCATGCCGAGGTCCCCCCGCCTGTCCAAGAGAAGTTCCCCAGATTCCCAACGAGCAACCCCAGAACCAAAGATGTGGGGGCCTGCGTCGAAAAGAGGTGTGAGGAAATAATTCATCGCTGTGTGATCTCCAAATGGAGAGATTGGCCAGTGTAGGTCGCTATGCTCATGCATCAACACCGGGAAGGTGTGGGCCAGCGAACCGGTCCCAAGAAAGTGCCCCCTAAGTGGGGCTCGCAAAGCACCTCGCAAGGAGTTCTCAAAGGAGCCAGGCGGTTGGACTGCCGAGCAAATCAGTGTTTACGTACGAGGCGCTTTGTCCGAATTCTGGGGATTCGGGTCCATTGTGCCCCGATTGATAACCGGCTCCATACGACTGGCCACTCCACATTCTCCGGACCTTACATGACGAGTAGCCGACCTAAATTATCCTGCATAGCCCCCAATAACTCATCATGCGCCGTGTGCTTTGCCATGTGCTCTCATCCAGAGCCGTGTGGAGCTCCCTTCGTCATATATTAAACCAGACCCCCTCCATCGACGTCTTTGGACACACCCCAATCCTATTTTGAGCCGCCATCATGATTGAGGAATTCCTGGCGGGAATGACGCCTGGGAGGACATTTTTATGGTCTCTCGGTGTATTCGTAGCCTTCTGCGTCTTTCGAAAAATTCAGGCAGCGGTACAGATTGCACATCTCGGCGCTCGCGCCCCCAAAGTCTCCTTCCGCCTTCCTTACGGTATGGCCAACGTCATGAAGCGGATATTCTAACTATGTGCATGCATAGCAATGCTAACAAGAACTGAATAGCCCTTGACTTCATCTACAAAGGCCAAATAGCCAATCTCAAAAACGATGATCTCAAGTTCTGGCATGATACAATCATGTCTGCCGGAAACAAAGCAAACTGCAAGACCGCAGAGGTCGACGCAGGCATCTCCACCCGTGTAATTCTGACGATGGAACCCGAGAATATCAAGGCCGTGCTCACCGGACAGTTTGCCGACTACGGCAAGGGGGAGTCATTTCACAGGGAATGGAAAGAGTTCCTGGGCGACAGCATCTTTGCTACTGATGGCGAACTATGGTCGCGTTCGCGCCAGCTCATCCGCCCCATGTTCGCGCGTGATCGTCTCGTTGACACGGAAATATTCGAGAAACATGTGCAGAAACTAATTCCCCTGCTCAGCGGCAACCCAACGGGGGGCAAGGTGGTCGATGTCGGCTCCCTGTTCTTCCGATATACTCTCGACGCGGCGACAGACTACCTGCTGGGCCGGGGTACTGACAGTCTGGAGAACCCTGCCACTCGCTTTGCAGAGGCTTTTCGATATGTACAACAGCGTCAAGCTGAGCTTTTCCGCTTCGGGTAAGATTCTCGATTTCTGTGTGATGCCAGTGATTCTTCTCATTGGCGGCCCTACATGGAACACTGCTCCAAAGTTTGACCAAATCTCTGATCCTCGAAAATAGAGTCTTTAACTTTGCCATGTCGCGCAAAGAATTCCGCCGCAATCTCAAGATCATGGATGGCTTCATTCAGCCCTACATTGAAACCGTGTTGGCTCTATCGACCGCCGAACTTGACCAGAAGCTTTCGAAACGCGAGACCTTCTTGCATGCCCTTGCTCGTTTCACTCGCGACCCCAGGGTGCTGCGAGACCAGCTCGTGGCTGTTCTCCTTGCCGGCCGGGATACCACAGCTGGAACGCTTTCCTTCTGTCTATTTGAAATGGCCCGCCACCCCGAAGTTGTTGCGAAACTGCGCGAGGAGATTCGGCAACGTCTTGACGTCGGCGCCAACGCCCAAAAGCCGACTTACAACGACCTGAAGGAGATGAAATACCTGAACGCCGTAATCAACGAAACCATGCGAGTTTACCCCGTAGTGCCCTTCAACGTGCGCTATTCCCTGAAAGACACCACCCTCCCGCGCGGCGGCGGGCCCGACGGCCTTGCTCCCGTGGGTGTGCGCGCCAACACGCGTATTATTTATTCGACGCTACTGATGCAACGCGATCCTGATCTCTACGATGGGCCCGAATCGAAGAATTACTTCGACCCGCAACGGTGGATCCCGGAGCGCTGGGTGGATGGATGGCAGCCTCGGCCGTGGCAGTTCATTCCGTTCAATGGTGGTCCTCGCATCTGCATCGGCCAGCAGTTTGCGACGATTGAGATGGGATACACTATAATCCGCATCCTGCAGGCCTACGAACGTATCATCGCCCTGCCGGTCAGTGGAAAGGAGCAAGTCGAGGATCCTGTGTTGCGGTTCGAGGTCACACTCAGTCCGGGGTCGGAGTTCAATTGTGTATTTTTGAAGGAAGGTGAAGACATCGCACGGGCTGGCTTCAAGAATTAAGGTATTGTTTGATTGCCTTGCTCTATTGCTCGCTATTCATTTTATGGGATACAAGACGTTGTGCAGAATGCACGTCTGGCGCGACGATCCCCTGGTGGCGGCCCATTTGGGGCGAGATACAAGACGTTGAAGTGGTATAATAGCGCTTCCGGGCTTTAATCCCCGCTTTTCTCTTGAATAGCGTTTCGTACCGATTGAGGATGATGAGAAACGAAAATGATATTTATAGTGTTTTAAAACAAATTGATTGCTCTCTTTCATCCATGTTATTACATAGTAAGAACCCATGGTCACAATAATCCCCGACCTCCGAAATCTACTCCGGCTTAGTCACCGACATGAACATCGTGATGCTCAACACTAGAGTTGACGGGCCATTGAAGACGAAAAGAAACCCCGACCAAGAAGAAAACTGCTTTTGCTGAGGTCAATAATAGCTTGGCTTCAGCTTTCGTAGTTGCTTAAGCTTCTGCAGGATCTCAATTTTCCTCAGCTCCAAGAATAAATCCTCCTCATCAGCCTCGTCCAGATCTCCAGATATACTAATCAAAGATGTTTTGGCCGGCGAGAAATCTACATCCACACTTGGCGTGCGCATCTTCACCTTCAGAGCGGCTCCAAATCCACCCGCGGGAACATACTCCGCGACTGGATACGAGTGTGTTGACTTCGAAGTAGGCTTCGGAGTCGATACCTCCAGGTTATGAGCCGACTCATCAAGCGCCCCATTTATCTTGGGCTCGGGAGTCTCAGTCTTGCTTTCGGCGTCCTGGGACTCGTCGGAGCTAACCCAACCCTTACTCATCTGCACGGCCTTTTCCCATTCATTGAATTTGGTCGCACTCTCTTCGCGCGTGACAGACGGTTCGAACACTGCGCCGCCAGCACGGTTGATATCCCGGAGCTCGGCGAAGTTGCGCCACATGCCCACCGCAAGACCCGCGGCAATTGCAGCGCCGAGAGCAGTAGTTTCCCGCATCTTGGGTCGGTAGACGGGAATGGAGATAAGATCTGCCTGAGTCTGTTTCGAAAGATCGTCAACTCAATTCCAAAAAGAAAGAAGCAACATTGTGCTTGGAGATTCTGCTGGTCGTACCTGCATGGCCAAATCCGAGTTGCTCATTCCTCCATCAACCGCTAGTTCTGAAAGGGCTTTGCCACTGTCCTTCTCCATCGCCTTCAGGATCGCTTTGGTTTGGAAGCAGGTCGCTTCTAAAGTGGCTCGGGCGATGTGGCCTTTCTGTGTATACTGGGTGATCCCAACTGGTTTACGAAACTTGTGAGTTCTCGCCAATCATAGGGCGTCAAATTGAGAATACTTTGAGAGGGGCTAAAGAGAAGAAGGGAAAGAAAAGTACTTACAGATTGTTCCCTTCGCATCATCGATCCAGTACGGAGCAAAAAGTCCGCTGAATGCAGTGACAAATACGCAGCCGCCATTATCCTCTACGGTCAGGGCAAGGTCATTCACTTCCTTCGCCTCTTGGAAGAAGGTCAAATTATTTTGCAAGAACTTGATGCCGGATCCGGCTACCGCAATACTTCCTTCCAAAGCATAGACGGGCTTTCCTCCAAAGTCATAGGCTACCGTGGCCAGCAGCCCATGCTTCGAGAAGACAGGCTTATCCCCAACATTATACAGTAAGAAGCACCCGGTCCCGTAGGTGTTCTTAGCCATGCCCGGCGAGAATCCCTTCTGCCCAACCAGCGCCGACGACTGGTCCCCAAGGCATCCCATGATCGGGACACTTTCCAGTGCCCCCGATGCAATCGCCCCGTACGCTCGCGGGTCCGACGAGGGCACAATTTTGGGGAGATGAATCTTGCCCCGGATGCCAAAGAAGTCCAGCAGCGTGTCGTCGTACTGTAACGTCTCGAGATTGACGAACATGGTGCGAGATGAATTTGTCGAATCCGAGACAAAGACGTTCGCCTGGACGCCGTTCAAACGGTAGACAAGCCAAGCATCAACGGTGCCAAATGCCAGGGTACCGCGGTCGAACGCCTCCTTGACTCGCGGGACGTGCGCCAGCATCCACAGGAGCTTAGTGGCAGATGAGTAGGTGGACAGCGGCAGGCCACAGCGGCCCTGGAGCTGTGCCGCCCCTGGGCGCTGCTTGAGCTCATTCACAATGCCCTGTGAGCGAGTGTCGGTCCAGACAATGGCATTGTGCAGGGGCTCTCCCGTCTCGTGATCCCAGACGACGGTGGTTTCGCGCTGGTTCGTGATGCCGACGCACTGGATATTACGGCGGGAGTATCCGCTGGCCTCGAATGCGCGTATAGCTTCATCAATGCAAGTTTTTACAGAGTTGACAAGCTCTAGCGGGTCGTGCTCGTGCCAACTAGTGAGAATGAGAATGTCTGTCAGTTGCTTGTCGGGTCTGCTCTCGACCAGCCCTCCTACTCACCCTGGATGAGGGTATATTTGGCTGAACTCCACCTGATGTGAGGCCACAGGCTCGCCGTCGCGATTGAAGATAAGAAATCTGGTGCTTGTGGTGCCTTGATCGATTGATCCCACGAAACTCTCAGAAGGCTCCATAGTAAACGAAGGATGCGGATTCAAGAAAGAGAAATCCATCTACCTAAACAGAAACAAAATGCTCTATAAGATCATTAAAAATGCGCAGAAGAATGGCATCGAGCAATCAAATATAGCAGGGCATGACTCGATCGAGCAGAGAGGAAGAGAAGGCCACCACGTTGTACATATAAATAGCCCCGATGGTAACACAGTCTTCCCGCGCGGGGTTTCAAAAGCTGGTGAGATAGTGGGGGAATGAAAAGAAGGCCAAGATTGGTGGAAATACGAGGGACCAAAGAGGCCAGGATAACCAGGGGATTCAGCGTCGAGGACAAATAAGGCTTGAGCGTTACGAGGCTTGGAAATTAGCGTTGATTAAGTCGCTTCGATCACGGGGCCGCACGACGCTCCGAAACTCGAGATGTCCGCAGGTTGCTTCATGTACGCTTCATGCGTCCTGTATGCTTTGCAAGCCTATCCTTTTCATCGCCTGTTCTGAGATCACACGCTTCCGCCCAGTCCCCACGATCGGCACTGACAGACTCCACAGCGACGATCTTTCTGGGGTACGGAGATGCGACTCCGCCCCCAACCCCCAATGACACCCGAACCCCAAACACGAACTTCAAATGGCCATTGTGCAACCTCGTCGCCTCGCTTTTCCTCTCCATGCCGCCTCCACTGAAGCCACGCTTCTTGCTCTCGAAACCAGGCCTGATGCTGGCCAATGCTGTCCAAATGCGGGGATGGGCCAGGCGGACGACTCAGTTGCGTTCACGAAGCCCTTCCAGAATCAAATAGCTCTGCAGTTGCAGGGTGGAGCCTCCTTAGCGACTAGCAACTCCACTCTTGTGATATGATGGCTGCCATCTGTGCACTGATGAATGACGCCCTCGCCGCACATCGTCCCAAGCATCTCATCACCGAGCCACACGAGACGTCGTCCTCGGCCGACCAAGCCCAAACTGCAAGCCCGCAAGTTGGAATCGCAATCCGGGCACTTTCTAGCCATTCTGCTGGGCCTGCCGATGTCGGTCCTGTCAGTGAGCGTTGCTTCGGCAATATCCGAGCGTGATGACAGCCGGAGAGACATGTCGCCTCCTCTGGCTTCTTTCCCTGCTTCAACCGATGTCATCCTGGCTATGATCCTGGGTCTACCCTGGCCCGGGCGATGCGACAATACATGGAATGGGTGGTCACACAGGTGTTGGGCAAAAAAGGTCAGTCTCGAGAGTAAGAATAATAAGCGCCACGGATGTTACCCGTCAACCACCCTCGACCATCTCGAGCTTCCTCCTCTAGGGTGTCAGAGCGACGTCCCAAATGATTGCTATCGGTCAGGCATTCCTGGGGATGATCAGATTTGATGGGAGCCTTCTTTTCTCTATGTTCATTAATTTTATGCTGCGTCTGAGAACAGACTCCCACCAGGTCGTGGGACAGCTCGAACTTCTAGAAATTGCAATTGGGCCTGCGTGGCCTTCGTTCTCCCGACAAGTTGAAGATGGGTAACAGAAGCAATAGAAGGTTCTGTACACCCCCAAACCCACTGCCTCAAATCGATGTCCTCATCTATTAGACAAGAGCGAGTCATTCACCGTGTCACCGACAAGAACTGGTCTCTAGAGCCGAAGCACTTAGATTCCAATAATGAAGCAAAAAGGAAAAAAATAAGAAATGGACCGGCATTTTCTGGTTGCCCAGACCAAACGGTTTGTAACAAACGCTGCCCATTGGGCTTTAAGAGAATATGTGCTGTCAGAAAGGTTAAAAATTCTATTTTTCTATTTTCTTTCCTTACCACCAAAAAAGAAAAGGAGAAAACGTCGGCTCCAGTTGTCTTGAGCTGTATGAATGCTGCTCCATTGAGTCTGTCAGCTCAAGTCAACACGGACATTGTCTGTACCTGGGCCACCTTCCTGCACGCTCACGCGGTCCTTGAGCAAAGAAGAGAGACATACGATTCCGAGGGCCTTGCATTGTCCAATCGAGCTCATTGACTACAAGACTGCGAGAGTTAACTTTCATTCGAAGGGTTACACGGTGATGTCTTGCCTCTGTTAGTTGATATACCGCTGGATAGTTCCACTGCCGTCTCTCTCGAATATCTGATATCCTCTTATTAAGTCGCCTTTCCCCGTTCTTACATTGATTTTTCATGAATACCTGGGTAGAAGCTACATTCGAGCCAATGTCGACCACGCACAAAGAGATAGGATCCTCCGGGAGCCAGAATAGCGGACGCACTTCTCTGTATCTGGGGGGTAAGCATGATACAACTATTCACGATATCACGCCTGAGCTCAGCTCTTCTACCGTTTCATCGTCCCTGCTTTGGTGTCGAATCCGAGCCTATGGACGCGATGCATTCTCTGAATTTCTTGGTACGATGATCTTGGTTCTTTTCGGTGACGGAGTTGTGGCACAAGTTCTTCTCAGTCATGGAGAGAAGGGTGATTACCAGTCAATCTCCTGGGGTTGGGGGTGAGTCTCAACTATACTTTTATCTTTCCACTCTCTAACCAAATTGGTTCGTTAGATTGGGCGTTATGCTTGGTGTCTATGTCAGTGGTGCTTCCGGCTCTCATATCAATCCTGCAGTGACCTTTGCAAGCTGTGTCTTTCGGGGCTTTTCGTGGCGCAAGTTCCCTATCTATGTTTTGGCCCAAGTCCTCGGGGCTATGTCCGGCGCAGCCATTGTCTACGGCAATTACAAGTCGGCTATCGATGTCTTTGAAGGAGGTCAAAATATCCGTACGGTCCCAGGCTATTCAGATACCGCAACAGCTGGCATCTTCTGTACCTATCCTGCCAGTTTCATGACCAAGGCCGGCCAATTCTTTTCCGAGTTCCTAGCCAGCGCAATCCTGATGTTTATGATATTTGCCCTGAAAGACGATGGGAACCTAGGTGCCGGGCCTCTGACACCGCTTGCACTTTTCTTCGTCATCTTTGGCATCGGTGCCTGTTTTGGCTGGGAGACTGGTTACGCGATTAACTTGGCACGAGACTTTGGTCCCCGTCTCACATCCTACATGCTTGGCTATGGGCATGAAGTGTGGGCCGCTGGCAACTATTATTTTTGGGTATGTAAACCTCGTCTCTTCAAGTCGAGACCCCATTTGATTGATGTGAATTGTATACAGGTCCCCATGGTAGCTCCTTTCCTGGGTTGTACATTTGGTGGCTGGATCTATGATGTTTTCCTGTATACCGGACTAGATAGCCCGATCAACACACCGTGGATGGGACTCAAAAGACTGATCACCCCTTGGCAACGAAATCGAGCTACCATCTCCAACCCAGTTTGATGATATCTATATTTTGCAAGATGCAATGACCGATATGTAGTGCTAATTAAGCCATGCGCAAAAGGGGGAGGAAAAGAAAAAAAATCGGCCCATCTTGCATAGCGCAAGCGGGGAGTTTTTCTAATTTTCATGTCATGGGATTTTCTCATTCCGGTTGCAATTCTATACATTAGCTTCATGCAATTGAAACACGCTACTGCCTGCATGGTTTTCTTCAATGACATCAATTTCTGGACCACAAGGATTTGGTTCAAGACTGGTGCTTGCATTACTAAAACCTATCGTCATGGGAATAGCCAAATTCTGCCCCTCTAATTTCCGGAGCAACATACTCCTGTTGATATGAACATGAAAATCCCAAAAGTTCAATAAACTATATTTACAGAACAAACCCCGCTAAACCATCTAAAGAAATCAAGGCCTCAGCACTATTCATAATACTATTTCAGCTCAAACTGGATAGCGGGAAAGATATGCATGAGAAAAGCTAAGGGCATCAAAGGGTTTTTTTTTTTTTTTTTTTTTTTTTAAAAAAAAAAGAAAAGAAAAAGAAAAAGAAAAAGAAAAAGAAAAAGAAAAAGAAAACAATAGGAAAATCAAAGAAAAGCAAAATGGTTTGGTGAATAGGATATAATTTTTAGGGACTTTGACACGAAGTGTGGCAAAATGTTGAAAAGTACCCGTCCAGCCACTCTGCATAGCGCGCTTTATCTTGCCGGTTCATCATTGCTTATCCACCTTTTTGCGTTTTGCGTGTCATGCTGACACGCTATCTGGGCTGCAGGATAAAGCAGAAGAGGAGGAGCACGACGTATGCAGGATAGGTTGCTTGGGCAGGCACATGACATATGAGCAATGTTTGCTACGTTCACAATAACATACGTTCGCTATCATGTTGGATGGTAGCTGAATAGTATCACAGCTCAACTTCGCGGTTCGAGAGAGGCGTCCCCAGTAGCCAATTGGGTCGCAGGAAGTGGTATTTTTCAATCTCACCCTTGCTCGAGAGCTAAAGGTCGTTACACTGGATACGCCCAGTAAACTTCTGGACTAAAATGTAGCCCTTGTGTACAATATTCGCCCTGGGCTTGTCAGTAGATTTTGAGACACTGTCTAAAGGTCCTAGGCCCGTTCGTAGGTACACTTTTCTTTGTTGCTGCGGTTCTGTCTGCACTTTTTCCAGCTTTCATGGTGCCTCGCAATCAAGTATAGGGCAAACCTTGGGGGAATCAAACAACTACTTAATAGGGCTAGAAATCGGGAGAAAGACACGCCGGGAGGGGAATGGGAACTGTGTTTCAGTTTTCTGTCTCTGTCCATCTGATTTTCGTTTCCGCCCTCTGGGCTTTATAAATGTGGAACCATTCCTGCATTGTGTCGAGGGCAGAAGTCTGGGACTCAACATTGAGAATGTCATTCATCCTCACAGAAAGTTGGTTTGAGAGGTCGAAGACTGGGATCTTGCAATCAGTCTTTCCTTCTTGTAGCACCACAATCGCTCCTAGAGCCTTCACTTTCTTGACCGTTCCGGCCTGGCCGAGAGCACTGGCAAGCTCGTACACGTCGAGTGGGTCGGGATCTCCAGGGATCTGTGTGTCAGGGCCGAGTATCTTAGTAGCAAGATTCCGCCCTGTCTACCTATAGCTCTTATTTTTAATACAGATTAGGAATTTTGGCCGGTAGGTCGGTTCATGGCCGGATAATTATTTGAGGGCATATTTGTGACAGAGCTCCGCGGTTCTAGGGACATTTTTTCATGGGGGAAGGTGTTAGGAATATATTGGAGTCGATCACCGAGAATCGACTGACATAGATTCGAAAGTTTCTGGTAGCAGGCTTCCCTGCTATGGGGAGACTTCGTACTTGAATGCAGCGACCATGACATCCAAGCAGCGAGCACAACGTTGATCAATACGACAGTAGATAACAGCAAAGACATACGGAATTAGGTCTGGTATAAAAGATGTTACTACTTTTCACTATTGGAGAAGCAAAGTGTAAGTCGTTTCGCCTTCGAAAGCTAGACGTAGCATCAATATGACAGCATGCACTGCCCCGAAGAGCGTCCAACTATACTTGCGGGCTTCCATGCAGAGACCTCCATTCCTGATTTAAAAGTCACAATCTGTGGGGTCTGGGTTTCTTTCTATTGTGGGAAGCTCTCATTTGGTCTTCTCGGAATGTGAAATGCGATATCCAGCCAGTGCTGGACACGACCTTAGACATCAAGCATGTATCTTCCGGCTCGGGAATCTAAGCACCTTTTTATGCTCTTCACCTTGAGCCGCGAGGCCTTATAAGTTTTTCTTACTTGAATTGTTCATTTGGCAAAAATAAGTTCTTGTGCGTGGTGAGCGTCATTGATCTGCACCATATATCTGCATTGAAGGAGTGGAATCCATGATCGTTCTATCAAAATTACGGGGAAAAAAGTTAATACAGCAAAGTAGCCAGGCCAGAATGCTTGCGCATCGCGCAGCAGATAATCCATCAAGTCCGTTCAGTATGTATGTACCGTAGCAATAAAGCATAAACAATAGAAAGCTCAGGAGGTCATAAGCGCCGATATGCAGGACCCTGTATCATGCTGAACCCATTAAAAAAAATCATTGTGGATCCATTGAGATGTTGCGCTCAATGTTTCTTTATCCGACAAGAAAGTGTATGTGTTGTGTGTCGTAAACGCCGTGTCGAGTTCATCCCATCATGAATAATAATACATTTCGACAATGCCATCGTGTTTTTGTTAGGATTTTCAAAGTAGGGCCAAGATGCCACCAATCAAGGCACAGATAGAGCTGAAAAGCATGTAGTCTTGGTGCAGCCTAACTCCGCCACCTACTGAAGGAGCGATATCAGAAGGAGCATCACCCGTTGGAGTAGGCTGACTACCAGTGGTAAATTCGTCGGTTTCGGTCGCCGTGGTTCTCGTTCTGGTCTTGGTCTTCGATGTGGAGGTTATAGTTGCGTGTCGGGTCACGTTTCGGAAAGTGCCTTCAGTGCCAGAGAGGGAAGAGACAGCCGACGAAGAAACCGAGGACGCTGATGTAAAGCGGGAGATAGACTGCGAGGGCAAAGGGCCTGTCTTAGTTGTGCATCCCAGGGGTGTGTTGAAGGGTGTTGGGGAGAGCTCACTCACTGAACCCCCGCCGGGTGGCTGAACCCAGCTAGATCCAGAGTCGTAATTAGTGTACAGACTACTGGATGATGTGGGCGAGCCTGTAGAAACAAACGGCCAGATATCGGGGGCGACGAAACTGGAAGTCTCCTTATGGGTTCCACTCCAGGGGATGGGAACACTATCCACGGTAGACGTAATGGCGGGGGCTGATTCAGTTGAGGTTGGTTCATCGGCACTGTTGCCATTGACCTTACCTCCATCGGCAGTGATGGACTCCCACGTGCCGGACTGGTCCCCGTAGCTGTACGAGGTGCCAGTCGAGTAGTCGGTCACAGTCATTGACTTCAGGTACATGTGAAACGGGCCGTCACTGTAATCGGTCTCGCCGCCAGCCCAGTCTGTAAAAGTAGTTTGATTAGCATTTCCATCATACTCTTACAGAATCGACCCCAAACACATAAACTGCAACTTACCAATCACACCCTGAGCGTTACTTGGATCACCGCCAGCCCAGACTCCGACCTTAATCATCATGGGAGTTTGGGGGTACTGGTTAGTGTCTGCGGTTGAAGGGGTGAGCACGCGAACTGTTGTGCCATCAATCGCCCAGACAACTTGGCTGCTGGTCCAATCCACGGAGTAGGTGTGGAAATTGTCATGGTTCCCAGTGTTGTCATGATAGGCGCCACGGTCATAGGTGCTGGTATCTCCCTTGCCGAAATAGTTGGTCTGGACCTGGGCATTATTGCCGCCCAGCCATTCCCAATCGATTTCGTCCAAATCGTCCGATTGCAACACGGCGCTGCTCACGATTCCCGTTCCTCGCGCAGCCTTGATCGTGTATTCCACCCGGCCAAACATGATGTACCAGTTTGACTGGATTAAAGGCCCATCGCCTTGCTTGGAAATGGTGAATGTCGCGCCATTGGTGCTATCGTAGGTGACCGTTCCTGATGCCGTAAACTCCGACGAGGCGCCCGAGGTGAAATCGAAAGATTGGTCTGCTTTGCCTAGAGCAGGGTCTGCAGGACACGCTGTTTTTCAATTAGCCATCTACCCAGTGTCCTCCCCCACATCCCTATTTTGAAAAGGACTCACTCGTTTTGAGCGGGTTACAATCCGTGTATGTCTGGGCTGAGACCAGGGCGGAGGAGGCCAAAACGGTCCAGGCCGCTCCAAGTAGGAACTTCATGGTCGGTACCGCTTCGATTTGGACCGAAACCTGAGCAAGGATCCAAATATAGAAATATGGAATGCAGTCCGAAATTAAGACAAAATGCAAGAATGGGATAGAAGTTGGGGAAGGGTAGAACTTGGACGCGAGGGAGAGAGAGAGAGACAACAGATGCGATCGGGCAGGCCCGTTGATCTTTGCCAGCAGTGTTTTATACGGCAGGGGCGGAGGCAGGAACCAGCCTCCCTGATTTCGTGATTTGCCTACCATGACTGCCTTGTCCTGACCGTCCTTGGACTGTCCTGACACTGGCGCCTTCCCGACCTTCCTGTGGTCCCTATTTTGTCGAGTGGAGCTGCGACTGATTCGATCGGGTTTTGCTGGGCATCACCGCCGTCGATCCGTGGGTCCCGCCGTGCTGTCATTTGTCCAATCAACGAGGCCGCCACGTTGTGACAGGCGCATTCTCAACGCCGTCGGTCTATCGCAAGTTGATCTCGAGTATTGCGATCGGGCCTTCAGAGAGTGACCGTTAGCCGGCCCATCTGGCTATGCAGAATATCGTCGTTTTGGACTTCTCGGGCTACCCAGGGGATTCAGGGTGCTCGTACCGGTGGAGGCGAGATTCAGGGTCTGGACAAAAAGAAGGGGGCAGGAACTAAAGTGGAGCCGAAATCCCCAGCCCCCGTGATTCCCCCCCCCCCATCGCATCCACCTGAACCATTCAAAGTACAGAGTACGAGGCCAGATGACAGCGTGAATCGAGGAGCGTCAGAAGAGACCTTCCTACTTTTTTGTCCGATAATGACATTGAAAAGATATTGATGGCACCATGACAATAGCATCGAGCATCGACAGAGTCAAAATGATGTAAAACTCGATACCACGTATATAGTTCATGATAGCTTCACCGAGATACAGAGTGAAGTGCTCAATGATGGACTCCTCACATCAGCTGATATTGATATTATGACATATTTATTTATCCCAGAATTCAAATACAGTTCTGTCATGACGGATTCGTTTTGCGATGATCAAGATATTGGCTCTCTCCAGGTAGGCAATGCGTTTTCTATATTATCTAGAGATAGAATACATGTCCATTATTGCGTGCCCTAGACTTGCTTTATCAGAGTTCAATTTAGTAGTTAGATACCAAGCTGCAAAAATATAGCTAGAAGGCATAGAATTTTCAAATCAGTACTAGCAAAGAGCCGTTGTAATTGAATATGATGCTAGAGTCTCATAAATTAGACATTCGCTAGATGTGATTAAGCTTCTCGAGTCTGTAGGTGGCTTTTTTTTTCTGGTTCATTCAAGCTAGCGGTCAAATCGGGTATTCTTTTAGATGCAACGTTTCGTCCCTCTGTCATACACCTCGACGTGGACTCCACTCCATGCCCCGGGCAGCTCTTCGATCGAATCAGCGGAGCTGTGGCCGAGATGGTAGGGCTTTTCTGACAGCGGAACAAAGCCATTGTATGCTTTAGGGCTTAATTCTCCTGGGAATTCTGGGTCTCCACTCTCGGATAATGGAGGGAGACTTTGACGCTTTAGAACTGGTTGACGGGATTATGAAGTTTCAGATGGAGAATACTAAATCAAAGCGCTCAAGCGACAGCATATATACATGACCATATCCGATATGATGGCTCCTGTAGAGCTGCCCTTCCGGCCCACTGGAGCCCATCCAACTACCTTCCAATTGATTGCAACACCACTTCAACTCTTCAAATTAGGGCCTTGCCAGCTCCATCGGATGAGGAGAATGGAACGCTGGTCTAGAAATTTTGTTATCCGTGAGCAGGGTAATTCTATGTTGAGATCAAGAGGAACCGGAGTTACAGAGCCATTCTAAAATAGCGGAAGATCAATCACCCAATGTTGACCGACTGGCTACTAGGATGGATGTATGAATGTGCATGCATAGAATGTGGAGCTTTCTAGGCGGGTATGATCCGTTGCGATTGAAATTTCTCAGTTGTCGCTCATTTCCGCCATCAGTCGCAGGTATCTGGATATCCCTCAGATCCAATGAGCCTCCCGAACCTTTGAGACGCCTTTCCATGTCCTGAAGGATTCGGAATGAATCTTGCATCTGCGCTCTCGTCCGCGACAATCCTCCATGTGCAAGCCGTTCCCATCTACTCACCCACACTAGCCCTACGGGTCGAGACGTGCCGGTGACTGGAGGTAATTCTGGCCTGAGTTTGAGTTCATTAGCCAAACATTGATCCTGAGAGCATCTCATCTCACTCTCGCCACCCACTCGCAAGCCAAGGGCCGGGCTGCGGTGACAGATCTCCGCGCCGATGCGGAAGCGCACTCGACGAACCCAGATACTTGTATCGACTTCTCTATTCTGAATCTGGCCGATTATGACTCGGAGTTTCGCTTCATTCAGAAGGTCAAGGCCAACCTTTTGGAGCTGCATATTGCCCTTTGCCATGCCGACATCAATCATTTCCACTACAGACGCAGCAAGAGTGGCTATAAGAAGATAATGCAAGGTATGCCTCGCGTTCTTGCCTGAACACATCAGATGAGGCAGGTCTTTTACAGGCTCTTGAGTATTGTCATGAAAGCTAACCAAGACCTTGGAAGTCAACCGCTATTCCCATTTCCTACTCGTTCTCAACCTCCTTCCTTTGCTGCAAGGCACGGCACTCCAGCGAGGATGCTCGACTCGAGTCCCCATTGTGAGTTCCTACAGTCGCGTCGTGCAGAACAACCTCCCATCGCTGTTGACGAAACTATCTTGGGCCCTTACGATGATTCCCGGAAGTTTCCCTGAGTTTGCCGCTACCAGGACAGTGAGCTGACAGTCAATGCATGTGTGCAACATCTCGGGACATTTGTCTCGCCATCCGAGGTCATCGTGAACAGTGTATGTCCGGGCATCATTGCGACCCAAATCAACCGCAGCTTGTCCGTCTGGATCCGGCCCCTGATGACTATGATGTCTCTTTTCACTGCAATTTTCAGAGGGAACACGGACACTGATCCATTCATCCGTGTTGACAGACAAGGAGAGCCATGGCAGATACTTGCAGACAGGCAAATTTCATCTATATGGCTCTTTCCATTGTTCTGAACCCGTGGCTTTGTAAGGTTATGTGATTTACGTTTCTTACCCAGCCCGAAAGAGCGGTCTCCCATTTCTGTCTCTCCCAGCTATTCAAGAGCATATTCAGAAGCTCTGGGATGAAACCGTTGAGGATAGTGTGATAATCAATCCGTGATTGAAGACTTTGGACTCTAGAGCAGATGACCCAGTTCCAAAAGCAGCTATGGGAAAAGCAGGAGAAGCCTTTTTTGCCCAAAAAATCCTGGGCTCTTAAGTTCCCGGAAATGGCAAGCTTTCCTCAACCTCACTATATAGAAAGCTACATTGGTGACTGCCCAGTTCGTATGCATTCTGTTCCCTCCAGGCTGTGGCAAAGAGAACACAACAAGTGATACATAGGACTATGCTTCAATGCCATAGCGCAATCCTCATCTGTCAGCATATTGTTACTGTCTGATGCTAGAACAAAAAAAGTAATTGTACCAATAGATGACAAGGTCAGAATGTTGTGGGAGTGGATCTGCTCGGAGGTTGATGTCCCTTTGGTCCAAGCCCCAAGGGCTTCCCGAGCTCCACCGAACTCCCTGTCAAGCACGGACAACCTCATGGGCCACATCTTCCCCCTCCTCTCCCCAGACCAATAACCCCCCATGTCCCAGAGTCCCAAAATCTCAGAGCCTCAAAGGGTCAGAGTCTCATATTTGTGCATCTGCAGTCTTTGATGTATCCCTGTTGTGAATCTGGATCGCCATTCCAACCCCCACTCTGTGCCCTCGCTCTCCGTCGTCGCTTTAGTCTCTAGCGCAAGAGCCTCAAACCTCCCTCCGCCTTCCTCCTTCATCCTCCCCTAACTCACCGAAACCCTTCGTCTTCATCGAGCTCCGACCAGCCTTTGTCCTCGTGGTCTCGGGATCTTCGCGACTGACGTTTCTGAAGAGGAACCCTCCCTTCTCCTTTTCCGGATTGTTCCACCTTTCGTCATTCGCCAACCATCACTTGCGGTACTTGCTTCGGATGACGCTGCCAACTACCTCGCCTGCCATGTACCCCGTTGGCCCTTGAAAATAACAACCACACTCCTATTCAGACTATGCTATAGAGCCACGGTCGCGACTCCTCTGTGTCGGAACGTCCTGCTTCCCCCCTCTCCCCGCCGCACAGCTTTTCCCTCGAAACGCGCCCGCCTCCCACGCCCCGCTGGTCGATGAGACCTACCACGCTATTTTATCGATTTTCGACTGTCGGAATCTAGTCAAACGCAACACATCCTCCCCATCGACGCGTGCCTGACCCCGAGCTTCGCAGCATACCCCCAACTTCCCAGCCGTCCGCAGCTCCCAAGTCCGTGAGCCGCACCTCACCCTCTCCTTATTCCTCCAGGCGCATCCCGATCTTCATCGCGTCTTTTGATGGTGACCAATACCGATCACCCACAACACCCAGAAAGACAGCCCGCGGTGACTTGATCTAGCTCTCCGTGGAGGGATTCGGCCGAGTCTGGGTCCAGCCATGCCCGTGCGCGAGCACGAGCAACCGGACCGACAGGGTTCAGAGAGCTCTGGGAATAGCAGCTGGATCTCACAAGAAACGGTGCGAAACAACGAAACTGCGCGTCAGGACTCAAACCAGCCTCCCGTCAACGGTCGCAATGCCGACCCTTTCCCCGGCACCTTGAATATGGATAAGTAAGTACCCCGTCTCTCCGCGGTCACTCGAGAGGTCTTCTCAACCCCATGCGGGGATAGCAACACGCGTGCCAGTCTCAAAAGCCGCATGTGCTAAAACAACACCATAGGTCCGAGTCTTCCAAGGCTCCGGCAATCGACTGGGGAGCTTCCATGTGGTCATGGAGCTCTCCAGACATATCCCCCACTGAAGAACGCAAAGGTTCTGGCTTTAGTAATCATCGCAAGGCACTCGCGGTCCTTGGAGCCAACAAGAATGATCCTTCCCGATCGTTTTCTTCGAGTCCACGACCTCCGCCTATCAATCCCACTCGTCCCGATCCTGGTGAGCTCGACTCGATTGCTCCATGGGCTACGACTGCGGGCAGTGAGGGCCCTGGAACATTCTTTCACGAAAACTCCGAGTATGAAGCGTCGCCCGCATCCGCCACCTTTCGGCCTACAACAGGACGGACATTCGCCAGCGAACCGGCTGACCTAGACTACAATGGAGATCATCGACGGCCGTCGACTGCGAGTATGACCAGCAGTCAAGGTTCAAAGTCGAGTACTGGCCAAAAGCTCTGGAAGAAGAGACCCAAAATTTCCGGTGATGAATGGCCTGTACCCGACGATGCCGATGATGGTCAGCAAAATCCCCCAAGCAAGCGAGGAGGCCCAATCGATAAGGTGAAAGCCAGGGAAAGAGCGAATTCGGATGGCTCCGATGCATCTCAGCGAGCCCCTCGTCCAGGTGCCGCAACGCCTATTCCTTCAAGCGAAGTCACTCCTTGGATGTTCCAGAATATCAAAGATATTCCGCAATACGGCGAGGCTCCCGTACGACAAGTACCGATCGGTCCTGACGGCCATCGTCTCGTCTCTGCTGGCAGTATACCACGCCCTTCGCACAGAGATTCCAATCGCAGAACGCCCAATGGACACCGTCATTCTCGAAGCAAAGAGGAGAAGCCCACTCTCGCAGGTGATCTAGCGGGATACCAGTCTCGTCCTGGTGGTCGTGATGATTTTTCTGTTGGATTAAAACCATTTAATGAGGGTTATCTGAATTCCTCGACTGCTATGAGTTCTGTGACCACTCTTGGGGGTCGTTCGACCAGTCCGACCCCGAGCGTGCAGAGTGCCATTTACCGCGATCATGGCCATAATTCACCCGGGGGGCTCCGCAAGATAAAAGAAGCATTTTAAACAGAATTGGGCGTCACTTGCTACCGGGTCATAAGCCTCATGAGAAGTCTAAGCGTGATAACTCTCCTGCCAGAAGAAGACAGGGAAGTATCGAAGGCACCTCTAGTCCTCGCTTGGACTCAGCAGACTCCGACCGAAAGAAAGACAATGGAAAACGCAAGTTCAACCGGCCGAGACTTGCCAATCTCACCGGAGAGCTTCACCACCTTCCTCGAGATGATGCAGCCCAGGATGAAGAGGGCCATGTCTTCAAACTCGATACCAATTTCAAGGATCTTGATGATATAGTTCGCGCAGCTTCTCCCGGTCATATGAAGCGTGGTTTTGATGGAACGACTACACCACGCGAAGATCCAAACAAACCCGAGCAATCGGGTGGCTTGGACAGTTGGCATGCGCCTGATAGTTGGCATGTCAAGAAGCACAACGATCCACTCTTGGAGGCTGCTGAGAGTGGACCTCCAGTTCCCAGTGGGATGAGGGGTCGCGATGAAGCGTCGTACTTCATTCGTGTTTTCCGTATCGATTTAACATTTGCTACCCTTTCAGCTGGTCTGAACGCAACTGTCGCTGAGATCCTTTACATGCTTGGTCGGAAGTCTTTCTTGCAGGATCACCTAAATAACTATGAGATTGTGCTCCGGAAAAATGATTTGTCGCGACAGCTTGATCACAAAGAGCGGCCAATCCTCATGCAGAAACAACTTCTTGAACAGGTTGGCTATACCGATAAGGACCGAATTGAGGATATTGGCCGTGAAGATCACAGTTATCTCTGTCGATTCATCTTCTTGCCGACTAAGCTCAGCGGTTATACCAGCCTGGAAGCTGATCCAGGATTCAACAAGATGCAGAAATTCAGCCATGTCGATCTTCAGGGCCGAAGTCTTGTCACAATTCCAATCACGCTGTATAAGAAGTCTTCGGAGATTATCGCCTTGAATTTATCCCGAAATTTGTCTTTGGACGTACCGAAGGACTTCATTCAGAGCTGCATCAACTTACGAGAGATCAAGTTCATTGGCAACGAGGCCTTGCAGCTTCCTGCAAGTTTCAGTCTGGCCAGCCGCTTGACTTACCTGGATGTGTCCAACAATGTCCTAGAAGACCTAGACCATGCACAGCTTGATCGTTTGGCTGGACTAGTGAGCATCAAGATGGCAAACAACCGATTGACCAAGCTGCCCAGCTCATTTGGAAATTTCCTCTCGCTGCGAAGCTTAAACATGTCGTCGAACAACTTCAAGGTCTTCCCGGAATTCTTGTGCAATTTAAGAAGCTTGACCGACCTTGATATCAGCTTCAATAGTATCGAAGAGCTGCCGAATATTGGACAACTAACTACACTCGAACGCCTCTGGATGACGAACAACAACATAAGTGGGTCCCTGGACGAGTCTTTCCGAGATCTCGTAAACCTGAAGGAGATCGACGGACGCTTTAACGCGATAACCAACATTGATAATCTTTCTCGCCTCCCACGATTGGAGCAGCTCTACTTTGGTCACAATCTCATTTCAAGGTTTAAGGGAGCTTTCCCAAAATTGCGCAGTCTGCACTTGGACCACTGTCCCCTGACACAGTTCGACATTGATACTCCAGTGCCCACCCTTTCCTCTCTCAATCTTGCATCCGCAAAGCTGTCACAGTTCCGTGATGCTATGTTTGAAAACTTACCCAATGTCTCCAAACTTATCCTTGATAAGAATCACCTCTCCTCGATTTCGCCGCAGATCGGCAAAATGCGCCGGCTGGAGCACTTCAGTATTATTAAGAATCCTTTATCATCGTTACCTAGCTCAGTTGGTTGCTTGGTGGAACTTAAAGAGTTCAACTTACGCGAATGCAATCTCAAGGCCTTGCCAGCCGAGATCTGGCATTGTTCGAAGCTGGAGACCTTGAACGTTTCCGCCAATCTTCTAGCGACCTTTCCGAAGCATGGTGCCCCACAACCCCCTGTCCCGGGCGAGCCGACTACCACGCCTGTCACAACCCCTGGTATTTCTGGAAACCCTAGCTACGAAGAGCTGGGTCCTCTAGATGAGATAAATTTCCGGCGGCCTAGTCAGACCTCTGGCGGCGCCTTGGGATCAGGCTCTTCACCAAGTGGCTCATACCGGAATCCGTCATCCACCCCATCCATCGGGCAACAAGGTGGTAGAAAGGTATCTACTGCTTCACGATCCGCAGGTACCGAAGGAAGCTCGTCTTCTCGAAAGGATTCGAACTTCTCGCAGCACGCAGCATTGCTGACATTTGCGGGATCTCTTCGAAACTTGTACCTGGCGGATAACCAGTTAGATGACGATATATTCCGCGAGTTGGCCCGCCTTCCAGAGCTGCGAGTTCTCAATCTCTCGTACAATGAGTTGACCGAGTTGCCTCAGGGTGTTCTCAAACGATGGCCCTATATCTCTGAACTCTATTTGTCCGGTAACGAGTTAACGTCCTTGCCCTCTGATGACCTGGAAGAGCAAAGCAATCTCAAGGTTCTGCATATCAACGCGAATAGGTTCCAAGTTCTACCGGCAGAGCTGTGCAAGGTCACTAAGCTCACCATTCTTGATGTGGGAAGCAATGCTTTGAAGTACAACGTTTCCAATTGGCCATATGACTGGAACTGGAATTGGAATCGCAGTTTGAAGTATCTGAATTTCTCGGGCAACAAGCGTCTTGAGATTAAACCAAACATTGCGTCGCTAGGCCCGCCTGCCACCAATGGTGCTGACCTGACTGACTTTACATCCCTCACTCATTTACGAGTTCTGGGATTAATGGATGTGACACTGACGATCCCTACTATTCCTGATGAGAACGAGGATCGCCGTGTGAGAACATCAGCTTCGCTTGCTGGTTCTCTTGCTTATGGCATGGCCGATTCTCTCGGTCGCACCGAGCACTTGTCTATCATCGACATGATTGTCCCTCGTTTGAAGCCAGACAATGTGGAGACCTTGGTAGGCATGTTTGATGGCTCGACTATGTCCAGTGGCGGCTCTCGGGTCGCCAAGTATCTGCACGAGCATTTTACCTCAACCTTTTCTCACGAACTGAAGAGGCTTCAGCCAGATCAACAGGAAACTCCTCTTGATGCGCTACGGCGTGCATTCTTGGCATTGAACAAAAACATGGCCGGGTCAGCGTACAGATCAATTGATGACCGTGAGGTTCGTCAGTACCAACGCAAGCCATCTGCCTCCAAGCAACTCAACCAAGATGATATTCATTCCGGTGGAGTTGCCACGGTCCTTTATCTGAACAATATGGATCTGTATGCTGCGAATGTGGGTGATGCACAGGCGATTCTTGTCAAATCTGATGGGTCGTTCCGTCAGTTGACACGAAATCACGATCCCGCCGAAGCTAACGAACGAGCACGTATTCGTTCCGCTGGGGGATTTGTTTCTCGCAATGGCAAGCTCAACGATGTGCTCACGGTATCGAGGTGCTTTGGCCATTTCCCCATGATGCCTGCTGTCATCGCCGCCCCGTCTACCATGCATACTACCTTGACTGAGCAAGATGAGATGGTCATCCTAGCTTCAAAGGAACTGTGGGAATATGTGGCTCCTGAATTGGTCGTCGATGTCACCAGAGACGTCTACCCTGACTTGATGCTCGCAGCTCAAAAGCTCCGAGATCTGGCCATTTCGTTTGGAGCAACCAATAAGCTAATGGTCATGATTCTGGGTGTGAGTGAGCTCCAAAGGCGACAGAAGAAGTGGTCTCGTCCTAGCATGAATCTTGAGCGCTCTGCATTTCCCGAAGAGCAAATCGTTCCCAAGACCAAAATCCGGCGTAAGCCTAGGGACATGCCAGGAGATTCTCGACTTGCTCGATTTGATTATGTGGATGCCCCAGTCGGCGAGCTAGCGATCATCTTCACCGATATTAAAAAGTCAACTGGTCTCTGGGAGACTTGTCCAGATGCAATGCGCTCTGCTATCGCCATGCACAACGACATTCTGCGACGACAACTTGGAATTGTTGGTGGGTATGAGGTCAAGACTGAAGGCGATGCCTTCATGGTCGCATTTTCTACTACGACTGCCGCTTTGCTGTGGTGTTTTAATTGCCAGAACAATCTTCTCGAAGCTGAATGGCCCACAGAAATTCTCGATCAGCCACAATGCCAGGTCGTCCCTGACATGGAGGGCAATATAATTTTCCGCGGCCTATCAGTCCGCATGGGTGGACATTGGGGTGAACCAGTGTGCGAGAAAGACCCCGTCACCAACCGTATGGATTACTTCGGACCTATGGTCAATCGAGCCTCCCGAATCTCGGCTGTTGCAGACGGTGGTCAGATCTTTGTGTCTTCTGACTTCATGACTGACATTCAGCGCAACCTGGAGATCTTCGCTGATAGCGAGCGCTCTGCGTCGACGAGTTCATCTGACAGCCACCCACGTGTCGACAGCCTTGGGCACAACATTCGTCGTGAACTAAATCAGCTCAATAGCCAAGGCTTCGTGATCAAGGACCAGGGTGAACGAAAATTGAAGGGACTCGAAAATCCAGAGCCCCTCTACCTCGTCTATCCCCACGCCCTTGCTGGTCGCCTGGCAGCCTCAGAAGAAGTTCGAGAATCAGAAGGCAAGGGGCCTGCTATCATCTCGTCTCAGTCCGAGTTAGACCTGAAGACAGATTGGATTTGGCGCTTGTGGGAAGTCACTCTCCGTCTCGAACGCATTTGCAGCGCTTTGGAGAACCCAGGCCAAGCCCAGCTTCGAGAACCAAATGTTGCTCTCTTCAACATGGTTAAGAACCACGGAGGCGAACTGAATGATTCGACCGTGATCAGCTTGGTCGACCAGCAGGTCACCCGTATCGAGGTAGGTTTATGATCTTGCAACCCTCCGTATCAGCTTTGTTGCTAATCCATTTTCTTAGTCAAATGTCAACACACTTTCCCTGCGAAACATGATGCACCCATTCAAGCCGGGCGATAAACTTGAAGACCACGCCGTTCCCATTGGCGAAGTTATCCAGCAATTGCAGACACAGATGGCTGAATACCGCGCGCTCAAGGAGCAGATGGCCGTCGGTGCTGCAGGCATCCCCGACGGATCACCGGCCCAATATGGCGCCATTCCTATGCACTCAAACCTTAGTGTCGATAGCAACACCACCTCCACCTCATCCTCCTTTCTTCATCTATCAGGCTCTGCCGACACCCCTCGCTCCTCCGATCTTCAACGCAACCACCGTTGATCTGGTTGTGTGCACATATATTATCTATGGCCATTTCATGATCGCTTTAATAATGACTCTCTTGTGTTGCCAGTCTTCATCAACCGTTTTACTCTTGTTTCTACACCTTTGATGGTTTGTGGGCGGCGTCTCACAGGGTGCGGAGTCTTTAAGATTGTTTTGCGCAGCATTAGGGGGCATGGAGCCATGGTGGATCTTCTTGTCTCTACTTTTTTTCTAGCTGCTTTTGTCAACGCTCTATGCACCCGCCTTTCGGACATTTATTCGCATGAGTCGTGAATATATGATCTTGCCTCGTTTAGACATCCTTTATTTTTTGTCTTCATCTCTTCGTAATTGACTTCTTGGGGACTTGCTAGGGTGTACAATTTCCAATAATCCAGACAATCGGTATGAGTAGACGAAAATTCGGGATATGTACATAACAATTACATTTCTCCATACCAATGCCGTCAGTGAACCCCCTCTAAGCCACTGAATCCCCAGATAAGCCTCCCTCCTTCAGTATAAAAAATGCCCGTTGAGCAAAATCGACGATGAGTTTTTCTTCAAAATTGCCTGAACAGTGTATTCAAGGGATGTCGATGGCCCTTTTCCAGAGATAAAGAGGTGGTTGAGTTGTTCAGATAAATGGAATTGAACATTAGGATTGATGCCAAGGGTCGTTTGCCAATTTTGATAGCCATCTCGAACGATGACCTGGTAATCTCTGACATTCTCCATAATAAGAACAGGTGTCTTCAGACAATATGAGGTCTCAATGGATTTGAACTTGCAATATTCCAACCAATAAAACGCACCTATCTCAAATGAGAGCTACGCTTAGTAGGTGTTGTAATGAATGGGGCCAAATGCTGTTAATTTAAGCTTCATGGCGCCTGTGTCTTATATTTATGGAATCTCGAGTCTTGGTTGATATCACAAGTATCGCACGCCTGGACGAAGAATCACAGGATATTAGAAAGAAAGAAAGAAAGATCTTTTTAATGGTCAAATGCTGGTAATCCTGTTCTTGCCATAATATAGAGCTTGTCTCGATTTGGAGGTTTGGGACAATCTTGATCTATTTAAACGATTCAGTACATCTGATAATATTCATAAGCTCGGACAAAGCTCAGCGATTTATGTCCTACGTTACAGGATCTCCAGAGCTGATGGGTGTTGCACACGTCCAGAGGTCTCATTACGTAGCGGTGCTTGTATTAGAGATAGCGGAATTAAATCAAGTCAGACTAATTTTGATAGACAATGATGAATCGTTGGATGATTGAGCCTCATCACAGAGTAGTATTTATGACGGTATTTAGCTTTGCAATAAGACCTTTGGCATGACTTCAACCTCGTTCATGCCTCACGGTGAGATCAACATCACGTGAGATCAAGAGGTAACAAGTCACGTGTTGGTTATGTTTGTTGTCTGCGTCATCCTGCAACTCATTCCGGCTTCTGCTCTTTCCACCGTACGGCTTTTCTTTCCTCCTTTCCTGTGCTCCTGGCTGGAAGTTGGATTCGTATTTTCTCAGAAAGTCTCTCTGATTAAGTCGATTTCAACCGCGCTGGCCAAGCCGATAGACTCAGCACTGTGCAGTTTAAACCGCCCCGCCTGTTGCCCTGGCTACGAACCTGACCAACCGTCTCGGGTTTAATTGACAACTGGACAAACATCCACCTCATTTTTCCCTGCTCAAAACCCCAGTCCATGTTCCAAAAGAGGAGCGATCGGTGGATTAATCTTTCCGTTACTTGGAATCCAGACTGGACCCCTCGTGCCGTGTCATACATCCTTGTACTTGGCTGCTTGATTAACAGTGACCGCCTCGGTCAGAGCCTGCGTGTCCAGTACTGGGCTTCGTTGCTAGATCAAAAACGGCTGCATTTCTCCCCACACCACCCACCATGGCGGACGAACTTGATTACCTGCAGTCAGACTTCGACCTGAATTCCCTCACCGTGCCTCGACTTCGATCTATCCTCGTCAATCACGATGTCTCGTATCCAGCCTCCGCGAAGAAAGCCCAACTCATCCAGATTTTGGAAGACGAGGTTCTCCCACAGGCGAGAAGACTCCTGCGGGATCGCGAAAGAGTTAGGAGGACAAGCGCAGGGATCACTGATATGGGCAGTCGGGCAAGCTCTGTCGTGAGTGAAAGGGATGATCGTGATTCAATGCCACCGCCCCCAACGCCCTCCACTGTGGCATCGACAACCGGCACAAGGCCAGGCACATCGCGGAGAAGTGCCCGTGCATCAACCGTAGAGACCGATCGAGGTCTTGCTCCGGCTACACCTGTGACTGCCACAAAGCGGAAGAGCGCTATGCGCAAGCATGCTCGTGCTTCTGATACCGAAACTGGTGACGATTTGACTGCGACCCCCACTGCTGCAGTGGGTGTATCGCCTCGAAAATCTACAGCAAGGAAGCTGAGACGCAGCGAAGTTTTGCCATCTACTGAGGTGGACGACTATACCCCATCTATCAAAACCGAGCCTAGGAGTGAGAGTGTCTTCACAGACGACAACCCCTTTCAGAGCGGCAGCCCTTCCGAGCCTGCGAGCCGCAGGACCTCTGGCCACAGGAAGAGTGGCTCGCGATTATCTACCGAGAGTCCTGTCCCGAGAACTAGCCTGCGGTCCCGGAAATCAGTCACACCGGCTAGTCTCAAACAACAGGGCGATATCAAAGCTCCCAAAAGAGAATCCTTCGACTTTGCCTCTCGTCTATTGCCCACTAAAGAAGAGCCAGAGGAGTCTGAAGAGGATGAAGATGAAGAGAGCGAACTAAGTGCTGGGGAGGAATTTACCCCAGAGGAACAATTAGCTCTGGAGAGTGAACAGTACGCACCACTCACTCAGGCGCGAAAACCTGCAAAGAAGCAGAGCTCTTTTAGCACCATGGCCTCCTGGCTCATTATTATTTCGGTACTTGGCAGCTTCTGTGTTTGGTGGCGCAAGGAGAAGATTGAGATTGGTTACTGCGGCCTTGGAAAATCGACTTGGTCGTTGACTGAAACCAATGTGCCAGAATGGGCTAACGCTTTGGAGCCGCGTTGCGAACCATGCCCACCTCATGCATTCTGCTACCCTGAATTTGAGGCTCGCTGTGAGCATGACTTCATTCTCAAGCCTCACCCCCTCTCCTTGGGCGGCCTATTCCCTCTACCACCAACATGCGAACCCGATAGTGAGAAGGCGCGTCGTGTTAAGGCGGTTGCAGATAAGGCCGTGGAGGAGCTTCGTGGCCGAAGAGCCAAGTGGGAGTGCGGTCAATTGAAGGAAGATGGCAAAGATGCCAAATCTCCCGACATTACAGAGTCCGAGCTGAAGGAAGAAGTTGCCAAAAAGCGCCGGAAGCGCCTGAGCGATAGTGAATTTGACGATCTCTGGAAGGGCGCGATTGGCGAAATTCTTGGGAAGGAAGAGGTTATAAGCAACACTCAACAGTAAGTTTCTACTTACCCTCTCGTGTAGACATTTTCATGTCTCTTGGCTACAATCATTGTTCCGGGTTACCTTATCCCGCGGCCTATCTTCTTACAAAGGTCTTGGTTCTGACAATGTGTACCGGAACTAACAGAGGCGCCCTCGCTATTACAGGCCTTCCGCCGTCCTCGTCCTCAGCTCAACATCTACTGCCCGACTCCCACTCACCTGTGCCGTCCGCCGCTACGTCCGACTCGCTCTCCTCGCGTATCGACTACCTCTTTCACTTCTAGTCCTGGCTACTTGTACTGTTGCTTATGCTAGAGCTCGCGTTCTCGCGCGCCGCTCTGATATCGCCCGTGTGCCTGAGCTAGTCGCCACGACGCTTGACCGTCTTGTGACGCAGGCCGCGCTCCACGCCCGCGGTGGTGCCCGAGAGCCGTACATCCCCATCGGCCAGCTACGTGATGACGTGTTGCGTTCCGAATTGCATGGCAAGCGGCGTGAAGAACTGTGGAACAGAGTTCGCCGCGTTGTCGAAGGAAATGCCAACGTCCGAGCTGCGGTTCGCGAAGGCCGCAGTGGTGATGTGTCCCGTTGCTGGGAATGGATCGGTGGTATCAGCAGCGTCGGGGCCGCTAGTCCTGGTGGTGGCGAACTTGATAGCAGTGTCCGCCGTGATAGTGGACGGTTTTCCATGTCTTCACCCTTAAGTCAAGTCGATGTAGATCGCCATCACATGGTTGCTGACAAGGATGAGTCTGCAACCAGTCCTCGACAAGCTCGCCGCTGGGACGAGGGTCGTCCGATCTACTAATGACGGGACCCGCTTATTCGCTTGGGAAGTTTGAAAGTGGGCAGCCTTGCATTCATGTGCACTGCGCTAGAACACATTGTTTCCTTTTTTCTTTTTCTGTACGAGACATGGCCTTTCTTTTTCTATTACCCCCGTCATTCCCATATGCTTTGATCCTTGCTACTGGGTTACTTATATGTACATATTCCTTTCTCTGTCTATTTATTCTATTCTAGTTTTTATTCCACAGGATGTTCAATACCCCCTTACTGATATTATTTGCAGTTTTTCTCTTCCAACCATAGTGTCTTCATAGTACCCCTCTTTCTCCTCTGTCTCTTAATCCCTCGTCTGTATAATTCATTTACTCCATTGGCTAGTAGAATGCACATAGTCTGAAAAAAGCTGATCGACATATTATTACAATGTTTTGTGCCACTTCACATGGCGATCTTTTCTGACGATCTGTGTGGCTGACCCTTGCTGGTCCCCGAACCTAGGTTGACAGGTCCCTGAGCTGAAGCAAGCGATCCTTCGGCCGAGCCGTCAGCTTTATGTTCGTTGTTACTACACTAGTCCCATTGCTGCATAACACGCGTTGGGGAGAGTGAGCGAGGGGGTTCTGCAGAAGGCAGTAGGCACAGCACTCTCAATTTGTCCATGAGATCTACGGCTTGGGCCAAGAGTACGCAGCCTGGTGTAAAACGTTCTGGTAATATGACCGCCGTGCAAACTTAGCCGGATCCAAAGGGAGAGCGAGGTTCTAGAGTAGATTATTCTACGGGGTTCTAATATACTACATGATTCGAACCTTGCCACAGATCGGGGAATAAAGGTTTTGCGAGGTTAAACTCTATTGGTGTAGGCAGGTAAAGTATTTGGCTTCCTAGTGTAGTTTAAACTCCAAGCTGCCTTCATGGTGCTTGCTGGGTTTAAAGTTCATTGTAAGCCTCGATGGTATATAGGAGGAGAAAAAAAAAAGAAAACCTGGGAAGCGGCAAACACCTAATTAAACTGAATTCTCATCAGTCCGCGTGGCATGGGTAACACAGCGTCCTCAGAGGTCATCAACCCCGTTCTCCAGACAGTATAGAGCCTGCAGGACTGTACTGCACTTCTATGCAAAGAAGTAGCCGATACACACGATACTGAAAAACAAATATTTCGACGGCCAGCAAAAGTATACTATACCAATCGCGGTCCAATCAGCGTCCACAACAACAGAAGCAGGACGGGAGAGAGCTGCGTCATCTGAACGTTTAACTGGGCGAAACGACGGACGGCCTGCTCGGTTTCAGTGGAGGCTCTGACGTCTCGAGTATTAATTAGCTTGGTTCATTTTTCCCGCGCAGACCGCAAAATTCATTTTTGACCGCTTCTTGCGCTTCTGGCAGGATGGGCATATCATCGGCGAAGCCATATCCTATCACCGACACGGAAGTCGTGGGAAATATTGGGTGGATACAAGGGGGCCCAACGCGGTGGTGGGCGAGACACGCCCCGCTCTCGTTGTCCTTTTGCCTGGCTCGCTTCCTGCCCGACGTATACGGCCGGTCTAACGGAGACCGGTGAGCTTTCGTTCATGGTTGGCTGGCCCGTATCGATCATTTAAGGGAGAAGAAGTTCCATTCGATTAGAATAAGATCAGCGATGGACACGTGGCTGCATATTGAGGTGAACAAGAAAGAAAGGGTTTGTGTTGGAGCAAGAAGCTGATTTCAAGTTGCAAAATACTAAGCTGCCATACATTGAGTCCATCAGAGAGTGGCGGGCTGTGGTACACGTAGTAAGTACGGAGTATAGGGGTAGGTCCGGGCGGGTTCCTTCCTGTATCTTGGACAGTATGCATAATCCATCGAACTGCCCGAATCGAGACAATTACAAACCGCCGACTGGTTCAATTGGAAGACACTGGGAGCGGCGTGGGAATGCAGGCATTGGTAATCCAAAGAACGGCCGTCTAGGGAAGGACTCGGACTTGGGCCAATCCCCTCCATGGTCACAGACGCCGCAGGGCTCAATCCGAGTCTAGTGGTCTAGTGTAGCTTGGTGACCCGGTATTTGGGCCGGGTTGCATTGACCTAGAATAGTAAACGCTCGAGAGGCTTGCCGAGAGGGGCCACTTGGAAAAATCGGGTGAAAGATCCGCTGGCAAATCGCCGCAGGAGGAAACATTATCCCCCGATCAGAATGTCAAACATGAAAGCGCGGCACCGATGGGCTTCCAGGGTTGCCGGGACCAGTGGTTTGAGTGGTATATGTGCAGTATTTGTATAAGATCCTCTTTTATTTAGGGTTTCAGGGACCATTTTGTGTCATATCTGCCAATTAAAAGGGGGGATTCTCTGCAATAAGTGAGTCATGCCTCCCGTCCATGCAAGATGCGATGGATGCGGAATGAGTTTGAGGGGGAAATAGTCCCGTAAAAACGACGGAAATCTTCGCCGACACCACCCAGGGCCCTTCAAGAGTGGTTCCACATGGTACCGATATGTAGTTTAGATGCAGCGATGGAGTGGCAGATTCAAAGCCAATCACCGTGGTATAGATTTATTGACCAGGCAAAGGCAATACACTCCTAGTCAATAATCCTCCCTGATACTATAACACGGGGGACATACAGCCCATCCTGATTGAGGACATATGAACTATAAGCGTCGCATTGTTAAATGAATTGATGTCATTTGGGAAGCAGCCACTCTGAGATTGGTATGTCGGCTTACGCTGTCCACTCAAGGGGGCAAGTTAGGGCAAGCGACACGGAGCTCTGCACTGGGCCAAGAGATGAGGTAGTCTCTCAGCCACCATCGTCACTACTCTTGAACAGGACCGAGATCATCTTAGCAAATTTCAACATGGTGATTTGAAGTTGATCCCCGGAGAAGCGCCACGCGGACAACTCCGGTGTCAATGCAGCGAATGAGGTTGATCGTGCCACGTCTGTCGTTCGTCTTGCGTGGGACGGCTTTTCCTCTCGTTCTGTATCACATTTTGCTGCAATGCAGAGTCTGGGGACAAAGCTCGACCAGTGGTAATATTGCGCCAACAGTGGCGAATCTCGCCAGCCCCTCCTAAACACCGCGTATCATTTGCCCGACGAGGGCGGGAGAGGCTTCCGCCCAACCATGTTGTAGAATTAGGGAGCGCCAAAGGGCCAGAATGCCTAAGCGCAGGCATTGCAGACCGACAAGTGCAGGGAAGCTTCTATGCTTGCTTTATCGCCCTCTGTTTCTCTGGTGGCATTACCGACCATGACTCCTCGGATGATTGATCTTTCTAGGCCGGGGACCGCAAAAATCGGAGGACATAACGGCCTCCCAGCGGCCTCTCCTTCGTGCCCTCGTGGAGTGGCGGGAAAGCCACAGTGGGGTCGGACTCTTCGCTTGGTGGGGATTCTTTCTTCCCAGTCTGCAGTCTGACGTTGCGAAATCTCCAGTGGCGACCGGCTTGGGGGCCAAATATTACTTCCGGCGAAACGACGAAGTTTCCCGGTTCCTTGCGCATGGGGTATGCAGATGATTTTCTTCACGATGAAACTTCGGACGGCGGCTAGGCCCGGTTGGGCCGCGTGATTGCCCTGATCTATTTGATTTTGGATTAAATTTGTGGGATTGGAATGGAATGCAGATCGCAAACGATGATTTATACAATTCTCTTTTGGGAATCTTCTTTTTCTTTCGTTGGCTCGGTGTGGAAAGACACATGTGCTTTGGATAGACCACGATGTGCGGACGCATGGATGGATCCGATACCAAAGGAGGTACAGCTGGTTATGATTGCTTGGTCTGTGGACGGAAATAATAGGCGTCTGTAAGTCAGGGAATAGCCCAGAGATAGCCCGGCTATCTTGTTCACCTTCAGTCTTAAGTGGATGTTAGCGGAAGTACCAGGAGAAATAAACCTTGGAACCGGTCTCCTCATTCTATTCCAGATCAACCAATTGCCTCCCCCAGCAGGCTCGAACGGACCGATCGTCCTACCTCCGTTGGAAAAGAATGGTGACGCCAAAATGACCAGGGCACGGTCCATCAGCCTATACGGAGATGGTTTCCGAGCCAGTCAACCAATCTCAATTACCTCCCCCATGCTTACCCACTCCCTCGGTTTTCGACGGTTGCCCTGGTGTCCTCGGCTCCGATCATAGCATAACAAAATGGCCCGGCATAGTAGTCTAATATCGAGTCTGTCTAATGTCCTGTGGACAAGACTATTACATCATTCATAGACACGCACGGCATCAGTAGAAAAACCAAAAGGTCTAGACGCCCAAACACAGGTCGGGCGATGTCCGAGATGTCAAAGTCGAGGTGTACAGTATGGTTACCGCATTCTTCACCGTGTCTCGACCAAGAAAAAAGAAGATCGATATACCTATGCCGCAATGATTCCATCATGACTCGATCTATAACATTTCGAATTTGGGAACCACTTTCTCACACTTCCCCCCGTTCACCCTCTACCATGATGTTTTTTTCGGCTTTTCCAGGATGAACACGAAGCTAGTCAGAGAGGCTCCGGGGATACAACCAAAACAGTATAGGCCGTGCGGTAGGGTCTGTGGGCGCTGCTACGCCCCGTGTGACTGCAGAATCGCCGGCATCAACCATTGCCACACGCCTGAAGATTGATCGGATGTTGAAAGGGAGGGAGCTGATGCCGGAGGTGCTAGGTGGCTCTCCAATGGTGTTTCCACGGTAGTCGAGGCGTGTATTCATGTATATAATCTAGGATCAGGCGCACAGCCTGCCTTGGGTGCCCTGAGAGTGGATGAATAGGCAATGATCGGTGCTGTGGCGTCCACCGAGCCAAGACGCAGAATCACGTTCAAAGACGTCTTATGGAGGGGGTAGGGGAGGGGAGAGCAATAGATCATGGTTCCTGGCCACTAGTTTCCGACAGTGCGGTCACCCATGGAATAAGGGTCACGGTGTCGGCAGGCCTGTTGAAGTAGGCTTTCGGACTGGGGCTGTACCGGGAGAGAATGATTGATTATTTGATGATTTTGCTGTCCCCCATTTTAATTTTCTATTTCCGTGTCCCCTACAGGAACTAGCTCCTCTTCCCCAGTGACTAGGCCACTAGGGTAGTTTTAAGGGTGAACTGGCGGTCCTCGGGCACCTCGCGCTCGTTTCTCCTTCTTACTCTTCTTCCCGAGCCCCGAGATTTTCGACTGTACGACTGGAAGTAAACTCCTAGGGAATGTCAGCTCGAGCGAAGCTCCACTCTCCCGCCACACACGCCGCTTCTCGATCTTCGCCCATTTTCATTTCTATTTCCCAATTCTCACCTTTTCTATTCTCCTGATTTCCCCTCCTCCCCCTCCTCCACCTACCCTTTTAGCCCTGGAACTGGGGCTGTGCGCTGCAGAGCTTTTTTTTTTTCTTTTATTTTCTATTTTGCAGAAATTAATGCACATGGAGAGGGGCTAGAGTGGGAACAAATCGACCGCCCTAGCTCTTCTTTGGCAGCACTTGCACACACGGAACGGGTCGATTGTTGATAGGATTCATGTGGGATAGACTATGTTTCTAATGGTGGTGGCTTTACCTTTGCCTTTCCCTGATAGAGTCTTGACCGGCTCATTGGAACCCTCTTCTTCGTGATCCTCTAATTATCCTTCATTTTTCTTATCCTTCTTCTTTTCGTCCCCTCTTTTTCTTGGTGCCGTCCAGGTCACCTCTTCCCTCCCTCCGAACACCGCCACCTTTTCCTCTCTACGGTTCTTCCACGCCATGGGCGAAGTAGGCCGACCCTTAAGACCCATTGCTCCCCGAACCATGCCTCCAGGCGGGCCAGGAGGTTTACCACCGCATGGGGGCAATGGAGGAGGTCCTCCGGATGATGGCCGCATGAGAAGAGCTTCAACTGCTTGTAAAGAGTGTCAGAGGCGGCGAACTCGGGTAATTTGACCATTTATTTCTGCATGATTCCCTCCCTAGGCAACCCCCCACCCTTACCGTGCTTTGATCCACCCCTCTGTTTTCTCCTATGATTATTTTTCAGCTCCATATCCCGTCCTGCCGCTTTTCATTTCATTGTGATCTTCTTCTAACGATTTCCTCTTTTTTCCTCGCCGTGGAATAGTGCAGCGGAGAATCACCTTGCTCAGAATGTCTAGCGCATGACCGAGAGTGTATAGTTGATGAAACAACCGACAAGCGCCGCAAAGCTTCTCAACGGCGCACCCTAGAGGAATTAAACAACGTCCGCGAGTTTTTAGATCAATTGCTCGCCGTTTTCCGGAGTAGCGATACCGGTACCGTCCAGCAACTGGTTAACATAATCCGCGCCGGGGCGTCGCAGGACGAGCTGCGCAGTGCGGTCCAGACTCTACATGCCCAAAATCCCGAAAATCCCGACTTTCTTCGGCGCAGCGGTCCTTCACATCCACACCTTGATAATAATGATCCAGGCCATATGGGCAACTATTTCGACCCCCAATAGTTCCCCAGTCTTTTTTTTCTTCTCTCACATTTCTCCGATCTGGGGGGAAGGCGGATGTTCATGTTGCATAGCACTGGAGTGTGAAATAACTACCATTTCGGAGTGACTTGGGATTTTGATTAATTCTTCCATTTCTCCCACTTTCCATACTGCCAAGCGATCGCATACACGAACGACATGATCCTACATATCGCCAACAAAAGTCCACTTGAATTTGGATATCTTTGGTTGGTTTCTTGCTTTTTTTTTGTCTTGACTTCTTTTCTTTTTGCCTAATTTGATGTTGTCTGCTTGGGTCCTGGGACGATTCGTTGCTGTGACAGCGACATCAGATCAGAATAACTTCGCCCGCATGGGGCTACTAGAGGTCCTCTTGTCTGAGATTCCGCCAGGGATTCTATAAATCAAATGACCTTGCACACCTGTACATCTCTTACACTATTTACTGTTGGGTTTGATCTTTCAGCTGTATCTCGCTACCTGAGTCAGTAGTCAATGCTGCTGGGTTCTACTCTCCGATCTGAACATATCCCTAGAGGGCAAAGGCAAAAGGCTTATAGGCGCATGCTTCGCATGCAACCGTCACAGATCACCTCCAAAGCATGCAATAATGCAGCTCTCAGTCTTTCATCCATTTCTACGAAAACGACATCAACAGCAACAGAACCTCGATGCCTCGTTCTCTACCTCCTCTTTCACAATTCTGTCATGTGATATTCTCTGCATATGGGCCCCTTTGACGAACCTTCACACCACGGCTTGTGTGTCTCCCCGCTCAGCTTGAGTCTCAAGGTGGATGGAAGGTTGATATCCAATGGCACTAATAAAATGAGAAAGGGGGGGAGAGGCGTTCTCGTAAATACTTCAAATTTGGAGCGTCTTGCCTATTCATGTCATAATGTATCAGTGCTTCCAGTGTTCAGCCATTGGGAATTGCTCGGGTGTTTCTATACTTTGTGAATGTTTTGATCGGTAAGCGTCCGTTGGATTCCAAGGTTGGACTTCCTATATACCCAACTCATTCGAAATCAATGCCATTTAAGGCTGTGAAATTTGATTTCTATCCGGGTATTATAGCCACACTGGGTTAATCCGCTCTGTGCATTCGATTTCCAGAAAATCTGCTCCCTTCTTGGCCACCTTCGCGACCAAGTAGATAAAAACGAGGCATGAATAGGAGCAACATGTGTAATTAGTCTAGAAGCAATAGGGGTGATATGGCTGTCACAGTTTATCACGATGAGTTCACGGAGATCTAAGATTGAAATGGAGCCCAAGCTTTTGTACCAAGGACTGTACATAGTTCCTCCCATTGTATCGGGACCAAACGAATGATTCGACCGCAATCGGCTATGAGATGATGTCATTGTATTGTTTTTGTCCATATGAATGGCAAGCACATCGGCATCTATACTGCTTGCATGCCAAATCGCATCTCATGGCCTTGTCAAGATGTGATGGTACCCTAATGCAGTGGTACCTGAGTTCGGCAATTGGCAGATGCAGGACGAACTATCACCTCGCTTCTGCAGTGTTTGATCACTTAAATGACCCATTCAGGTTCAAGACTCGGCTGGGTCCAGACACTGCATCTATCATCCGTTGTCCCGCTGAACAATGGAATAGTATTATTTCACCTACATCGATTGAAAGGGTGTTAGAGAAAAAATCCGGGGCAGCCCGCAAAAAGGTGGAGAGGTTACCCCCCGCACCAACTCGCGACTGGTTGACCGAGTACTCCACATTTCTCCCAACACCTCGGATTCTTCTCCTTCCCCTCTCTTTTCCAAGTCAACACATATCACCGCAACTGACTCTCGGTCCACTGTTTGCTTCGGAAACCCAACACGCCTAATGCAGACCCCCATGTCCTGCTTGGCACTCCTGGCCCGCCGATCCCAGCATGACGACTGCTACTAGCGGGGCCTGGCCAGCCACGCAAGGGCCTACTGGGTCTGGAATGCTCGAAGATCCCGCCCACGAGGCGGAATCCCGCAAAAGAAAAGCCTCCGGGTCCGTGTCAAGTAAGAATGGCCGCCGTCAGAAAATTACGAGAGCTTGTGACTTGTGCAAGGTCAAAAAGACCAGGTGTACGGGCACTCTCCCGTGCACGAGGTGCACGCGGCTGTCGCTTCCATGCAGATACAATGCAGCATACTCCAGAGGCCTGCCACCGGACCCGCTACCTGCATCTCCCGCTCCCGACCTTTCTACTTCTGCGGCGACACTTGCATCGACGAGGACAGGCCGTCGGGATTCTAGGCCTAGTCATTGGTCCAGTGGCTCCTCTGGTGGCAGCACAGCCATTCAAAGGGCCAGCAACGCGGCCAGCAGCCATCATGTGGACTCAAGCCAACAGCATCAGACAACGTTCTTGCGAAACTCTCCCGAGCCCGGGTCGACGGATTTTGAGGGCAACTACATCGGCCCTGCTTCGGGGGTCTCATTCATCAATCGTGTTTGGAGCAGATTGCACCAAGACGAACGAGCGCACATTCCCGATATGTTCAAGGATGAGTCCTCGACTAATACCGCCGTCTTCATGTTTGGCGATAAGCCCTACAGTCATGACCAAGAGGTTGACTTTGTCTTGCCGCCCTTTGACAAAGCAATGGAGTTGATCGCTATTTACTTTGACTTCTCGATGGTGACATATCGCTTTTTGCATCGAGGCAGTGTGGAGAACTGGGTTAGACAAGTCTATGCGAACAATATCTCCGTAGCAAATCTCCCCGTAGGCAACCTGGTTGCCAGAACAGCCATTGTCCTTATGATTTTTGCCGTCGGCACTATCCACCAAAGTGTCCAGCCCAGGGATGGTCCGACGGAAAATGAGCGCTGGTATGCGGCATCCAAGTACATGTCATCCTTGGAGTCGGGTCCTCCACGTCTGGAGACTATCCAGGCCCGATTGATACAATGTCTTTTTCTTCTCTCTTCCTCTCGGGCTAATGAATGTTGGTATTCTTTTGGTACCGCCTTGCAAGTTGTCACGGCCCTGGGCTTACACCGGAAATGTCCAGTTAATCTATCAAAAAATGGGTGTTCATATTTCGAGCTGGAAATGCGAAAGCGGATCTTTTGGAGCGTATATACGTTGGACAAATACCTCAGCATTATATTCGGGCGGCCTCGACTTCTCCATGATGAAGATATCGATCAGGAACTTCCTGACGAAATGAACGACAATGATCTTCTAGAAGATGACCCTGCAAGACGGACAGGTTCCACAGACAGCATGATGATTGCCTCTGTCCTCCATTACCGGTCAGTCTTTTCTTTTTACCTGCTATGGCCATTTTTCTTTTCTCCTGGTATTCTCCCTAACGCTTTGTCTAGGCTCGGTCGCATACTAGGAGAGATATCCCGGCAGCTCTATAGCATCAATCCCCTTTCCCGAGACTCGCCCCTTGAAACTGCTGTCCGTCTTACCTCCGAGCTAGAGCGATGGAAGGAAAGTGTGCCACCTCTCTTCAATAGCGTCAGGCCTTCTAGTCTAATCCCACCACTCTGTCGGCAAAGCCAGGTCCTCCAACTCGCCTACTCCCACGCCATGATACATGTGACCCGCTCATTTCTTCTAAACGACTTCACCGACCTGAGCCGCAGACCAAGAGACCCCCGCCCGATGATAAGCACCCATATACACAAGTGTATTTCTGCCGCAGAAGATATCATGACTCTGGTTGATGATTTGGCGCAGCAAAAAATCTTTATCCAGTCCTTCTGGTTCACACATTACGTGACCTTTTGTGCCATTCTAGTTGTTTATATTCATATTATCCAACAACACCGTCAGTCAACTGCACCGAGCCCTTCTGCAGGAAGTCCCGCGGATGTCAACAAGTTACACCTTCTATTTTCTCTTGCAGAAACCTGCCAACAACACCTTGCTGAGGCGACGCGGAAGAATTGCCCTAGTCGCAGATATAGCATCATCCTCGAAGAATTGAGAAAGGAGGTCCATAGACACATTGGCGCGGCTGATTCCGCCAGTGCAACTCTGGCACCCGTCATGCGCGATGATAATAACGATACAATAGATAGACCAGCAACACCTGATGTAGTTGGGGAGACGGTTCCTTTTGATATAGAGAACATGAACTTCGCACCTATGCCCAGTATTCTGGGACGCGTAGAGCTGGGAACATCCATCGCTACTATGGAGGATACGGGACTGCTTGAAAGTCTTGAGGGCTCGATTTGGTGGGCTCAACTTGACTCGTGGGTATGTACAATGCAAAGTTATGGCTTTAAATTGTGCTGGGATAACTGATTTCTCTATAGGCCCTGTCCAGCTTTCCTAATGATCCCTCGACATTTGATTTCTAGATACGGTTTGTGGTGGCGTTGTCTTTATTTCTTTGTAGATGGACCGGAATGAGTTATGATGGTGTGCTACTGGATTTCGAAGGACGAAATCCCATGTTAGACGTTCTCCTGCTGTACGAATGAATCTAAACGTGTTCAGAAATCCTGTGGGTTGGTCATACTGTGATTTTTTCGTAAAAAATTCAAGGGACAATGAATGTGGAGTTTCGCCTCTCTTTCTGTGGGAGAGGAACGAGACAGGCGAAGTTGAAACAAAAGAAAACAGGAAGAAAAGAAAGGAAAGAAAAAAAAGCCACAAACTAGGCAAGCCAGCGGAAGAGGGACTGTTGGAGGGAACAGCAAAAAAGATGGACTCGCGGGGAATCGAACCCCGGACCACCCCCATGCTAAGGGGGTATTATACCACTAAACCACAAGCCCATTGGATGTTAGACCAGCACAGAGTTGTGCTTTATGATACAACATTAATTCAACTGCCAGCAGAGCGCGCATCCAAACAAGGATATCAGGTTCATCTAGCGCCCATGCAATGTCCAGGCACAACGATCATTTTGCACAAACTAATCAGTTCTGTGGCTCTATTGAGATTTTGAAAAGCTGTTCTGGGATTATAGTTAGTAACATTGTGAAAGTACGGACATGATATAGGTGCTGAAGTAGTTGTTGCCAATTTTGGCACTGGTTGAGGTGCATATATATCTCATGTGGCCCGCAGGTTAGATCCATCTATGCAAACATAATGTGGTAACTTTTTTTTTTCTTTTCCTCCACGCCCCATCCAAGACGTCTCTAGAACAGAATAAAATACAACTTATACATACATATGCATATTCAATACAAATTGTGATATTCCCCAGGTAGATACTTAACTCTATGCGCTATTGTCTCAATAGGGAAAAGAGTATACATCAACATCAATCATTGCATCGTAGCCCCTATTAACAATATATATGCGTGCAGATTAGTCGAAATCCACAGGCGGCAGACCTCTCTTCTCCAATGCACCCTGTATACGTCGTTTCATCGAGTCGATAGCATCTATCCAGGCCACTATGCCTTGTCCACCTTGGCCGGATGGCGGGCTTTTGTTTCCCCCAGGCCCACGCTGGAGTGAATCTTCGTCGACGAGCCATATCAGCCAACGAACCACAGAAACGGCTTTATCAATATCCCTCTCATCTGCAACGACGCGGAAAAGATAGGTGCAGAGCACCTCCGCATCTTCACTGTATGGGCCGTCTGTCGCAAAAGCAGCATGCCAGGCACTCACGGCATCCCGCAAATCCGGCAAGCTGGACAGGCGGCGGGACGTGAACACGGGCCGCTCGGGGAGAGGAGAGAGATGTAATGTTCTCTCGACCGGGATCGGGGCAGGAGCCGGTGCCTGTGGTTGCGAAATTGGCCGAGCTGCCGTAGATGGGGCGGTTCGAGCTCGCTGGAGCCTGGCCCGTTCCTGGTCCTCAAGGACCTCTCGTCGAATATCCTCGGGCAGCGCAGCTAGAAATTCAGCAGAAACACCCGGCTCTTCAACAGCCGGAGACTGCTGCTGAGGCCCAGGAATTTGATTTCGCACGGCCATGGCAGGATCAGGTAAAGCCGGTGGGCGCGAGAAACCAAAGGTGGACTGAGCCAGAGCCTTATTGCTACTCGTTGCAGACTTTGGCGGACGTCCCCGCCGTTTCTTCGGTGGTGAGGCTGGTCGTCGTAGCCCAAGGGACCCACCTGGTGCAGGCCCTGGCCAAGATAATGCAGGAGCCGCTGACTGAGCGGCTGCACCGGGTGGTTGACAATAGTATCCCAGGACCTCATTTCGAACATCGTCGGGCAATGCCGCCAAAGTTTCGGGATCCAACTGTGACTGTGGAGGGAGATCTGTCACACTGGGTCCCAGAGATCGACGGGATGGAGGGCAAGGGGACCGGGAGTGCGAGTCACGTCGGTCTTTTGCCTGGGCCACAAGCCTTGATCTGATATCGCCCGGTAACTCGGAGACAACCTTTGGGTCTGCCTGTGTGGGCATGATAAACTGGGAACCCGAAATGTTCAATGGCTTGTGTGCACTGTTGCTCAGTACAGGATCAACCTGGATTCGAGCGGAATATCCTTTGCGTGGGCTCTCCAATTCATCCGGATCCGTATTGACGGGTTTGCGAGATGGGGATTTTTGAAAGTTCAATTGGCGCTGGCTGCTTTCAAGGCTGGACGAGGGCCCAGGTTTCAGGGGTTCTAGCTTGGTCATTTGCACCCCGAGACCTCTGAGATCACCTGGTGAAAAATTGAGGCTTTTCAACATCGAGACGGCTTCCTTTGCTAAAATATCTGCGGTGTTGGTGGTCACGCCAATGACCACACTTTTGTTGAAGACATCGCATTTTCCATGGCCAAGATGCTTGACGGGCTCCAGTGGCGCATCCATAGATCTCCGCATGACCTTGAGGGTTAGTTGTTTGCCCTTGACGAGATTCTCAACCAGCCTTCGGCTCAATTCCTCGCATAGGGACCGAACAAAATCATCGGCTTGGTCCTGATTAACGAATCGAATGCCCCAATTGACCTCTGCCGAAACCGACTTCCTCATGACTTCATTGCCAACTTCCGTCTTGTCAATGCCCCGGGCATATTCCCAAATCCTAGTGCCCGTCTTTGGTCCCAGGGTAGAGGTCAATCTTTCTTTGGTGAGATCCCGGGCGTCTTTGACATATTTCACTCCAAGTTCTTCCAATTTTGACCCAAGGCTATAACCGACGCCCGGTAGATCTTGCACAGTGAGATTTCCAATGAAATCCAAAACATCATCCGGCTTCAACTGGAACTGACCAGCAGGCTTCGCCTTACGCAATGCCACCTTGGCCATCAAAATATTGCCGCCAATTCCCACCGACACAGCACATCCGGTTCTCTCCTTAATCTGGTCGCGCAAATCTTGTGCTATCTCGTCTGCCTTGAGTTGCTCGCGGTAGATGGAACCTTCTGATACAGCCTTCCCATCTGAACCACCCGCCTCCAGGCACAACGTTGTGACATCGATCAGGGCTTCATCAATGCTGACGCTCTGAGCAACACCATCAATAGACAACACTGAATTGTAGAACTTTCGACTGGCATCTTCATAAGCTGGGAAGTCGTAAGGGAGTACCTGCAGCTCAGGACAGGCCTGCAAGGCGCCTTTCATCCACATTCCATTTTTGACACCACGACCACGCGCAACATAATTACAGCTTGCGATTTCAGAGCCAGAACCAGAGCCATGAGCAATGGCCACTGGCTTTTCCCGCAGTTCAGGGTGTTTGAGGATAGAAACAGCGGCGAAGAATGAATCGAAGTCAACATGAAGAATGTATCTTCTTGCCCCCGGCGCCGGCTTTATAGAGGCTCGTAACAAAGCCTTTTCTCTGGTAGCAGCCTGAAGCTGAGCTTTCAGTTCAGCTTTCCATGTTGATAAGTGATGAAGGCGAGATTCTCGATAATACTGCTGGAGAAACTCCGGGTTCACAACACTTGATTTCCTCATTCGAGGGTCAGATAGGAGCTGTGCATTATATTCCTCTGATGTCATTTGCTTGGGTGCCTGGGAGATATGTGTATTGTTCATAGGCGATCCGGATGCATTAGGTAAGGGATCTTTAGATTGGGTATCAACAGAAGCGATCTCAGGATCAATTGAGGCATACATTTCCCCTTGGAGATCATTGCAAATGCCAAGGGTTCGTTCTCCCTCAAGGACCGAAAAGCTCGGGAAATCCCCATAGTCTGATTGAGTAGGTTGAGATGGTACTTGAGCTGCTTGTGGTGGTAGTTTTGATGGGGTGCTTGGGTCCTGATTCAAGTTGATCGGGCTTCTGTCAGTTGTGCTCATAGCTTGAAGTTGAGAATTGTACCAGCTTGTCTTGGATTGGTCTCGGTAGCCCGACTGCGGCGTGTTGGTTTGGCTGGTGAAACGGCCATCGTCAAATTTAAGCACTTTCTGAGCCTGACCTTCATCCACTACCCGAAACTCATCCCAAGGCAGTAGTCGTCCAGCCTTAATGCTTTCCGTCACCCAGGCTGGCTTCACGATGCGGTAGCGTCGAAATTCCTCGCGCTTCTTGGGGGTCAAGGAACTGGCAATAATGTGTGTGGCAATGGTCTTGCTATCGAGATACTGCAAGAAACCACCACCATGGCTGACAATCAGACGATGGAGATCTTGAAGAGAGGGCTGCGTATAGCCATTGACATGCGCAACCACCCCGCGAAAGATTGGCGAACAATCACCCGACGTGGCTCTGATCTCCGCATCTAGATTCTGTAACTTCACTTTCTTGCGTCGCATATAGTCGCCAAATCCCCCAAAGCTGGATGCTTCGTATTCTTCACCCGCTTCATCTTGGAAATCATCTATAAAGTTGCATCATAAGTATGTAAATCGCCAGGCGAAAGGGCGCTAGGGGATTTTATAGTCAGAACATACGACTTTCAATCCTTTTACGCACGGCGTTGGATGTCGCATCAAGACGAGAGCCCATGCTGGGCCAGCTGGACCACCATGACCGTCTTCGCTGTCAACGAAGTCAAAGATCGCACTTTGCCTCGAGGCTCGCGCGCCACGAAGAATCACGCGTCACTGGCAGAAATCAGGTGAGAAGGGGCGGTGTAAAGGGCGGTCCGCCAATGGAAATGGTCGAAGCGGTGAGGCCTGTGCGTTCAATATAATTGGCCAGAGACACATGGCAGAAAAAATTAATTTTTAAAAAAAAGGCAGAGAAGCTCCGGCGGATCTGGTTGCTACAGCTGCGGGTCGCATCCATCTTTTCTTCTTCATCCACGCCCATTTTCTCTCGGTGGTTCATTTTTTATCTCCCCCCTCTCTCCCTTACTCTGTTTTTCTGGTTCTCCCCTTATTCAATCCTTCAAAATGTCCGCAGTTCAGCCTGTTGCTGTCTACGCCCTCCGGGTCCCTCCCGGTGCTATGGTGCCCGCTGTGCCAAATGCCGCGGCCTCGGTCAGTCCAATAGTATTTTGATACCGCGCACACTTCAAACTGACATTGGATTCTAGTTCCGTGTGAGCATGGCTGCTATTGACCCTGATGAGGAGCCTGAGTTCGAGGATGGTGACTCCAGCAAGCCTGCCCGCGCCACCCTGAAGATTGTTCGCCCTCCTCCTGGTCTCGATATGGATGACTCCGATGACGAGGACTACAGCGACGAGGAGGATGATGAGGACGACTCCGATGACGAGGAGGTCAACGGTGGCCCCAGCGACAAGGAAAAGGCCCGCAAGCTCAAGCAGGCCGCCGCCCAGAAGGAGCTCGAGGAGGCCATGGAGGAGGATGACGATGAGGACGAGGATGATGGTGGTTTTGATCTGAAGGCTGCTATTTCAAAGCTCATCAAGGGCAAGGGCCCTGCTACCGATGATGATGAGTCTGATGATGAGTCCGACGAAGGTCTCGACCTTGACGAGAGTGTCATCTGTACCCTGAGCGCCGACAAGGTAAGGCAGTCGAATTATCAGGATTGACCAAGAAACAATGTCACTAATATTTTTTTCATAGAACTGCCAGCAACCTCTGGATATCACTGTCTGTGAGGGTGAGCGTGTTTTCTTCAAGAACACCGGTAGCCAGACTGTCTTCCTCACCGGCAACTACGTTATTGGTCTTGATGAGGGCCACCCCGACGAGTATGATGAGGATGAGGAAGATGACTACGACCTCTCTCCTGACGAGGATGAGCTTGATATGGATGCGATTATGGCCATGGATGACGACGAGAGCGACGACTTGGATGGGATGGACGACCCTCGCATCACGGAGGTCGACAGCGAGGAGGAGGCCCCCAAGCTTGTTCAGGCCAAGGGCAAGGGCAAGAACAAGCGCGCCGCCGAGTCTGAAGAGGATGGCCTCGACGACATGATGGCCAAGGGTGCCAAGGGCAAGACCGCCAAGGAGGAGCCCGCCCTAACCAAGGCTCAGCAGAAGAAGCAGAAGAAGAACAACGGCGAAGCTGCCGCCGTTGAGCAACCCAAGAAGGAGACCAAGACCGACAAGAAGGAGGCCAAGACCGACAAGAAGGTTCAGTTCGCCAAGAACCTCGAGCAGGGCCCCACTCCTTCTGGCGATAAGCCCACAGGCACCCTCGGAGTGAAGGAGGTCCGTGGCGTCAAGATTGATGACAAGAAGCTAGGTAAGGGTGTCGCTGCCAAGAGCGGCAACACTGTTGCCATGCGCTATATCGGCAAGCTCGAGGACGGCAAGGTCTTCGACTCCAACAAGAAGGGCAAGCCCTTCACCTTCAAGCTCGGCAAGGGCGAAGTCATCAAGGGCTGGGACATCGGTGTTGCTGGTATGGCTCCCGGTGGTGAGCGCCGTATCACCATTCCTCCTCAGCTCGCCTATGGCAAGAAGGCTTTGCCTGGCATCCCTGGCAACTCCAAGTTGATTTTCGATGTCAAGCTGCTGGAGATCAAGTAAATGCCTAACCAGGCATGAAATTTACCATGTAACTGTTGCGGTTTCGCTAGGGTGTTTTGTTTATTTGGTTTGCCGGTTTATTGCATGATTGTCTCGTGGTATCAGGCTTGTTTTACTATTCGTCGTGGTCATCACGAGGAATATTCGTCCCCCTGCATGGAAAAAGTGCCCAGTTTTGTTTCATAATCCTTTATCTGGCCGTCTGTATTTGAATGTACACAGCCTTCTGGCGGTTCATCTATCTACCATTGTTGATTGTCCTTTGCATAAATCTATAATATAGAGAGTTTGTTTCGCGTTCGGCATGAATGTCCATGCTTGTAGCTCGATTTTGGAAGGCGAGCTAGAAAGTCCCCCGAAAGCGCTTGCCTCCTGCGGACATGTGACTTTATAACTTCTTCTCCTGCAGTAGCAAAGCAACATGGACTCATAATCAATGCAGCTGATCACATCTTGCCAATATGCTCTATCGTTAATCAAAGATCGCCAAGCGTGGATGCTTTCGCTATAAATGATCATCATTCTTTGACCTCGCGCAGCGCATCGCATCAACCACATCGCAAGATGACAGTCTCTTACGGGAAGAAATTACGACATCGACGAAGTGTTTTCGGTCTTTGGATCCCGACCAAAGTTGTTGCCCACCGGAGCAAACCCAACGCATCTCCCCCTGACTCTGCAGCATCAGATAGTCCTGCTTCCCGCGAATCTATCGCCACTGGGGCCAATAGAGGCCTGTTCCGAGGTCGGCTCACCAGAAGCCGCTCCAAGATTTTGTTTTTTCTGGGACTAGGAACTTTTTCCAACAGTAAGCTCATGAAGCTCCCAAAGCTGCCTGCAAAAGTGGATGGTATCGTTGATCATGAGTTGCAGGCAATAAAGCGAGCGCCGGATCTGACTCATGTGAAGCTGTTCGTGGTTCAGAACAAGACCAAAGAATATCATCCACAGGTTACAATCAGCCTAGTTCAGTCTATGAGAATGATTGTTGTTACACCGAGAGTGAATCTCAATCTACCACCACGTCCGACAACGCTCAATTAAACATTGCCGGGACATTATACACAAGCGATTATGATGTTGTATCTCCGACTCGCAAGATTAACGCACAGCTTGACGGGGAAGATGCCCCTCAAAGTGGGATTGAGAGTGATGAGGGCGGCTCCAGTCTGGCGGCGGAAGCACAAAGCCTTTCGGGCTTGAACCTCGTGGACCGGGTTTCTCAGAGACTTTCAGTAACATTTGGCCACCCTACCGTTGTTCGCCGAGCTCATTTGCGGTCAAGACCAAGCATTCTTTTTCTCGATTCTCCAGTCACAACCAGCTCGAGCAAGCAAGGGGATGGTGCGAATGACAGCTCGGATCCATCGACAACGCCAAGTAGCAATAGCTCCCCCGTCAGTTATTCCACACAGTCGACGCCACTCACATCTGGGGAGCCAAGTCCTTCTTCTGAAAAGTTCAAAGCCTCTCATACAGAATGGTCCGCCCTACCAGGCTGCGTTGCCGATCAGGGCTCCTCTTCTGGCACGAAATCACCCACCATTACGCCATCTATTGTCACGGTAGAAAATGCCGCTGTGGCCAAGGTATACTTGGAGCTTTACTTCAACTCAATCTTTGAAAACCTGGATCCACGTGTGGAGCGTCAACATGAATTAGAGCAACATATCTACGCTTTTCAGCTCTCTCCCGAGGAGCAGAGTGCTGTCAGACGAACCTGGGCGGTGCAAGAAAATGAGTACCTACGTCAATGTCGGACTCTCAAGACCTGCATGAAGTCTTCTCATGCAGTGTCTATCGCTGGATATGAGGTGATCAAAGTCCTGGGCAAAGGGAGTTTTGGCGTGGTGCGCCTCGTCCGTGAAAAGGGAAATAATAAGACGACCGCAGCTGACGAGACTTCAGCACGGGATGCAAGTACTATTAGCTCAAGAGGAAGACACCTGGAGATGTTGAGATCGGCAGTCGATGGGACCAGACACAGCCGGCGAAAATTTATGACGGGGGAAAAGAAGGAAGTATACGCGATGAAAGTGATCAAAAAATCTGATATGATACGCAACTGTCAGGAGGGCCACATTCGAGCCGAGCGAGATTTTCTGGTTGCATCCGAGAAGTCTCGCTGGGTTGTACCCCTGATTACAAGTTTTCAGGATAGCAGTCATCTTTATCTCGTTATGGACTATATGGTTGGTGGAGACTTCCTCGGTCTGTTGATTCGCAAGGATATACTTCATGAAGAATGGACGAGATTCTACATTGCTGAAATGGTTCTCTGCATTGAAGAGGCCCATAGGCTTTGTTGGATTCACCGTGATGTCAAGCCGGACAACTTTCTGATTTCTGCCTCTGGTCACTTGAAAATCTCTGATTTCGGACTGGCTTTCAACGGGCACTGGGCCCACGATCAGACCTATTACAACAATCACCGGTACTCTCTCGCGGACAGACTAGGCATTCCTGTTATGGGCGATGTTGAAGACCAAACGCAAGCCGCCGAAGCAATGAATCAATGCGTTCCGGAAGTTAGACCGCAGGGCTTGGGTGATTATTCCAAATATCAAGTGCCGTCAACGGATCTCCTTGAATGGCGCAACAGCAAAGAGAGGCGGCGGTTTGCAAAGAGTGTTGTTGGAACCAGTCAGTATATGGCTCCAGAGGTGATTCGAGGCGAAATGTATGATGGGCGATGCGACTGGTGGAGTTTGGGTATTATTTTATATGAGGTAAGATGAACGCCCAATTACATCTAAGAAGTCTCATCCTCACGAAAAATCCGCAGTGCTTGTATGGGTTCACCCCTTTTGCTTGTGAAAATCGGCACGACACTAAAATAAAAATCCTGGTAAGGCCTTACACCCGAAACTTTTCAAGCGATACCTCAGACAATAACATAAATGGTTCTAGCAACATTCAAAGACTCTTCAATTCCCCCGAGAAAAGCCCACAGACAAGCTGGTATCTCAGGATGCAATTGACCTTATGGGACGAATCCTCCGGGAGCGTGAATTTCGACTCTGTTCGCAGAAATATCACGCCAATGATATGTTAACGGGACGTCCTGTTTGCGCTCAATTCCTGTACTCCATGGACCCTCGTTATAGGAACATCACCAGCTACTGGGTATACCCCAATGACGCAGCCGATATCAAGGCTCACCCTTTCTTTAGAGACATCCGTTGGAATGAGCTCCATCTTAGCCAGCCCCCATTAATCCCGCGAGTCAAAAATTGGGAAGATACTCGATATTTTGATGACTGGAAGACTGTCGGAAACATCAATCCAGAGCCAGAGAATAGCGACTCAAGTGAGACAGAGGATGACACCGACGTCCAGCTATTGCCAGGAGCCGATCCTGCAGATTCCACGGCTCCTCCGCCTCCGGAACAATTGAAAGGGTCAAATGAAATCGCAGCAAAAGTACCCAAAGCCCAGAAGGCTGAGAATAAACGGGAGAAGAAGCGTCCACGCGACAAAATTTTGCGGGACAAGAAAATCGGCAGAGCGGCTTTAGAAATTCGGAAGAGGGGTGCATTTTTGGGATATACATATCGCCGACCGAAGGGCCCAGCCATGGCACTCAGTGCGGAAAGAGGTCGCCAGCCATTCGTGAGAGGAGCCTTGACAGACCTATATGCTCTATGAGAGTGTGGGAATTGGGTTGAACAAGACCCTGACAGACGCTCCGATACGTCGATGAACACTGCTTGTTTTGATTCGTCTATTCATATCATGTAAATCTCGTTTTTGACCCGTTTCTTTCCTTAACCTCTCCAGTCTTGTCCGGTGCTGGAGCTGTGGTTTGTTCATTTGTCTTCCATTCCTTTTGTATATTATTAATAAGACTATCGGCATGTTTGAGATTTCAAGTCTTTCTGTAGTCCCAACAAACTAGGCGGCTCTGTCCGGCGGTAGGGTCTAGTACTATCAACTTATGTACTTATTGATACTTTGAAGACGTCAATCTCCTGTCCATGAGCTACACCAGGTTTATGTGAAACTTGGAAGCATTATTTGCAACTATACTATGAAAAATGACAGCCTTAAGCGCCAGAATCGGCCATCTTTCCACTTGTGACCTTGGATGGCGAGTCACTGTCTAGCTGCCTACCATCCTATCCTGCCTCTATTCTAGTTATCCTCCCAGCCTGATCTTGGAACTGGACTTCTACTTCTTACCGATCTTTCTATTACGGAACAACGAAGATTGAGGTTGTGGCTCAGGACCAAATTCTTTCGTCTGTGACGTGATAAAGGGCTATAAAGAAGATTTCCATTTCATTGTTCATTATTCTCCATGCAACGCCTTTATTAGCATAGGAAATTATCATTGAAATAAAGATAAAACCATATTTACGAAGTGATTCTGGAAGTGATTCAATTATTGATGACACAATGCTACACAATTAATTTCTCTGTTTTCATCCCCAGTCAACAGCCCACTGCCCTGTCAAGCAGTATCCTTGAGAATTCTGGTACAAATTTAATTATTCTAAAGGCCCTATAGCCTAGAGGCTAAGTACTGATTTCTTTTAACTAGTGGTAACAAGCGAAGGTGGTATGTGTAAAGATGATGTTCCATTTTCCTCAGTAGAGGTCGTGAAAAGCTAAGCTACTGACGTAAAGCAAGCTGTGATGGTAGTTAGTTAACTAACACCTATGTAGTCTTGATTTTTTCTAAAATTGGTTCTAATTGTAATAACTATATACTGTACCAAGCTGCCACCTAACACTAATTACGCCTCTATGGCTCAGTGGTAAGGCGTCTGACTTGTATTACTACAATCCATCAGAAGATCCGTGGTTCAATTCCGCGTGGAGGCATTTCTTTTTTTTTTTTCTCATTGGCCTTCTCATTGGCCTCCTTTACGTACACACCTTTAGATACGAAGGTTTCACCTCCATCTTCTTTCATAATGTTTTGATTAACTTCTTATTTTCTCTCATCCACTTGATCTCAATTTCAGGAGTAGTCTTCTTGTAATCACCAGAGCTTGCCTATGCCACAAAAACCCAAAATAACCTATCGTCCCAGGCAGATAGAAAGAGGATTCTACAGGATAGTGTGGTTAGTCTATTATGCCTTTAGGCCGGGATGTGCAAAGGTAAACGGTTCTTATAATTCACAGGGTCTCAAGTCCTAATATTGCCAAAAAAAATCCAGCAAGTTATGCCAAATGGGTCTTATGCTGCTGCTTGACGTAATAAAAAGATCTCATCACACAAAAGTACAGGCGTATTCCCATTCTCATCAAAGAGTGTGCGTTATAAAGAAAACAATGACTACCGATAATAAAGTCATGGGGGTGGGGTATCAAATCGGAACAAAATGAACACTAGGCGCAGAAGAACTAGAAACGCGGACAGTACTCTGAGGCAATGCGATTAGAGGACAGGGGCACTCATGGAGAAAGCCGAATCGGTAACACGATCCTCGGGCTTCATAGTACCATTGAGCAACGGACAAAGCTTTTTGTTTGTCTTGATATGTCCAACCTGACCGCAATTTGCACATTTGCGCTGGGTACCCGTAGGCTTTCCATCAGCAGGAGAATCCCCTGAACGAGCAATACCCTTCTGCTTCTCACGAGCAAAGCGGCGTTCTTTGTTCCGATTAAGGCGGATAAGTTCAGCTTCCAGCAACTTGCGGTTGCGAGCGTCGACCTCGGGATCGCCTGTAGGCTGCAGAGATTCAAGCTTGGTAGTGAGAGCCTCCGTACGATGGCGGTGCTGAATATAGTGTCGAATGACCCGTGGATCCCAAACGAGTTGCTCTTTTTCCAAAATCTCCCCATTGGGCGCCTTGAACTGACGGGTGATGCGTAAAACTTTGCCCTTTTGGCTGGTAAAGCTCATTCTGCTGAATTGACTGGTGGTCTCATCATCGTATCGGCTGCGGTTCGGACCGGGAGTCGGCGCTTCAGAACGTGGCGTTGGCTTGCTGAGTTCATCTTCGTCGGGTTGATCCATATCACTCTCTTCATCGGAGTGCTCGACAGTAGAGGACAAGCTTGCTTTCTGGGCATCCCAGATCCGGCGAATGGAAGTTTCGTACGATTTTTGCTGACGCGCCACATTGTAACTATGACCGCCGAGCTCCTTGAGGCGCTGTGCATCCAGCTTGTCTTCTACACTCTCACCAATGGCTTTGAATCCGCCCTTCATGGATGTCTTGATGAAGTTGAAACCTTCACCACGACCAGTTGGGTCACCCTCGCCATGGAGCTTTAGCATAGCTTTGCCCTGTGAAGCAAGCAAGAAATTGCGAGTGGCCTTCCAAGGAGCCATCTGCTGCTCAAAGCTCTCGCTCTCCTCATCTTCATCATTCTCATTGCTATTTTCAGCATCGTTTCCGAAACCAGTATCATGAAGATGTTGTTGACCGACTTGCATCGACTCTAGCAGACAGACATCTTCAGGCTGAACCCACGATCGAATCGTGTCTTGATCTGGCAGGACTGGGTCTAGAGGCTTCCAATATTTGGTGTCTTTGTCGTGCTGAAGAAAGTCTTTGACCTTCTGTCGATTCTGCATGTCAGTGGTGCCAGGAATGTGAGCCGTGACATCACTGATTGAGAGCCGCTCGTCGGGGCTCTTCTTGAGAAGCCGATAAACGAGCATTTTCATGCGATTTTTTGCGACGGTAGTAACCTTGCGCGAGTGTGGCCCAGGAATGTCGACAGAGGGGAATTGCTGTCCAGCCACAAAGAAATTTTCGATGTTACGCAGGAAATAATTCATGCCCCCAGACCCAGTAGTGCTGCGAATGACTAGGAAGTCCGTTGGTTTGGTTTGGTGCGGAAACAGTGGAGCTCTGTACATTGAATTTGAAATTGCGGGGGTAGTCTCTCCAGGGTCGACATGTCCAAAGATAGAGAACGGACTTTTGTCTTGCGGCAATAAGACAGCTGTTTCGCCAAGCTCGCATTTGGGACGATTGGCATCGTCTTGGCCTTTTCTTCGATAATAGTTGATAAACCGATTGCACATGCCAAAATTAGAGAGAGAAAAGGGGGCCTCTTCAGAGTATTCCACCAATAGCACACTGGAGTTATCGCCCATTGATAGTGCCTTGGTTGAATTGTAAAGAGCCTTGGCATCCTTGCCTTTTTGATGCTTGCGCTTGAAATGCACCGTGTTCTTGAACCAGCTAGTTTGACCTACTCGGAAATGCATAGCGGGCCGGTGGAAAGATCTTGCTTCGGTCTTCTGCAGCTCGGTCTTATAGTATGGCCACTGCAAGCGCAAAGCTGGTAAAGCGTGCTCGAGTGAGACATTTCCAAGAGTGCTTCGAATCTTGTTTTGATGATTCTGCTTCAACATGTCGTAAGCTTGGTCGTTTGAGATGTTGTATCGCTGAGTTATACGGCGCGTTAGATTCACATCGACTTCTTCCCTGGTTCGAGGGGCGGTCTGTTTTGGCTTCAGAATTGCAGCTTCTGGCCTCAACTCCTCAACCAAGATGTTAGGATCATTCAAATCGATTGTGACTTTCTTCGCAATTTGAGCTACGGCCTGTTCGGGGTCGTCCAAAAGAGGGATGTCCAGGTGTGAAAGAGCAATCACATCCATGGAAGTTGGTCCAGTCTTTCGCTTCTTGGATGGATGGTTCGCGTCAATTAACCAATCCGGCTCATCTTCCTCAAAGCTATCAGTCTCCTTCGATGCAGGTGGGGCTGGTTCCTCCAAGGTGGAAAAATCCTCATCTTTGACATCCCAATCGGCGCAAATAGTTCGCAGGTCCTGCATGCTGAAACCCCCTGGAAGAATCTCATCCATTTCCACATCGCCGAGATCGAAGTCCTCTTTTGCATCTTCGTTGTCTTGGACGGCTTCTGTTATCAGCACAATCCCTAATGCATCTTGGTCAAGGCCCCTTTTATTTGGTTGGCCAGTTCTGAAGACACGCTCCTGGTCTGGGGCAAGCTCGATGTTAACTTTTGTTGGGAGAACTGGCTTCGGGACCTTGAGAGGTTGCTTGCCAAGGTAAAACGCTTTCTTGTGCGGAATGAGCTCCAGCCAACGAGGAAGTGTATCGCGGTCAAAACCAGGGAATAACGAATGAAGAAGCTCCTCATGATTCTCTGGCGGTGCAGGCGGATGCTCAGGGTCATTTTTGCCTGACATCGCAAACAACTGCTGCTGGAGTTTCCAAGCACGAAGGGTGCTTTCATCCATTTCTTCCGATATAACACTCTCATTATCCAGGAGCTCATCATCGTCTACCTCCATATTTTGATCTTGTGGTTCGGGTGCGGGGGGAATGGGAGGTAACTCGACAGGTTGGTTTGTCAGGGATGGCTCTTCATCTTCGAAGAGACCCTGCGTATGATCCATCTGGCCAGCAGGTGGAGGGGACATCGGCTCTTCGCCGAAGAGATCATCGAGGTTGTCTTCCTGTGTTTGCGCGCCATCATCTGCACCCCCAAAAATGTCGTCTCCGGTCCCAAAAAGCCCGCCATCATCTCCCTCAAGGGTTGCGAAAGGGTCGTCATGGGTCGCATCGTTGTCCGCAAAATGCGGCGGAGCTGCGACTTCCTCTTCTTCGGGGAGATCATCATCGTCGAAATCTTCATAATCAACGGCATCGTCTGCCTTCTCGCCAACATCCAGGTCTCGCGTAAGGAAGTCAAACTGTGGGCCACCTTCGTAGTTGTTCAGCTGGCGCATCACATTATCGAACTCGGCATCCTCCGGGGCCTCTGAGGCCGCACTTTTTGTGGCATGAGGCATTTTGGACTTCTGTGCAGGAGAAATAGGGTCGATGGTGACTGAGAAGATGTCAAGAGCCGTCTGAAGCTAAGGAGTCCGAAAGGACGGCGAGAGAATGGACGTAGGCGGTGGCGTGAGCCAGGCGGACAGGCAAAAGGGCGGGATTAAAACATGTGCATCGAGTTGAGTTTCCTGCCTTCCAAATATAAATGCAGATCTGCCTAGCCAAACTGGACAGAATGAAAGAGTGAAGAGTGAGCGGTTAAGAACTGATCACAGGTCAGTCGCGGGACGGCGGCCTGAAGAGCGGCGAGCGACACGCGCAAAAGCCACAAAATACGCTAACCCTAATAGGCAAGAAGCTCGGGTGTGCGGACTCTAACATCGCTTTATGTCCCATGCACTCCAGATCAACATTATCCTGGACCAAATATTCCATCCATATATATATTGATAATGAGTCCTTATGGATACTGTGTCAAGGAGCTTCAGGCTCTGTTGTTATTCCTCATTCACATAGAAGGCATCAGAGAACATCCGGGCTAGAGTTGGCTCTTGAATAAGGTATCATGCTATTTTGGAAGTGGCATAGAGCCCCCAAGTCTCCTTGATCTTCCACTTAATCTCATCTCTACTGATGCCTCACATTAATTCTCAAATTGAACAGATTGTAATATATGGCCTACCTATATCAAAAAAGTTCATTCATAAAAGCATTTCCATTATTATTCATATTCAAGAAGATAGAAGAAGCCGCTCATTATTTTACATTGAAATCGCCGTAAAAGACACACAGTGCCTTGCTCGCACCATCCATACAGTAGTGCACGACGGCTGTTTTGCGCCTATCTGGGGCGTATTTTGCCAGTTGTCTCACGTCAGAGGATCTGGGCAAATAGAGCGCCATATGGGGAGTAAAAGGGAGTATTCTTTGTAGAGAGTTTCCAAAGAATAAGGCTCCATGGTGGATAAGTTGAAAACCTGATCTGAACGGTATCCGGGACCTAATTTTTGATCATGATTCAGCTAATTTCTTCAGAAAGGAGGTTCAATTGAGCTTACCACCCCAAGGAGGACTGGCAAAGATTATGCTGTAAGGTGCAAGATCTTTGAGTTGATTCTTTAGAATCTGGAAGCAATCGCCTTCAAACCAGGTGATTAGGTTCTCCACACCGTAGATCTTCGCGTTGTGCTTAGCACATTGAAGAACAGCAGGGTTCCTTTCAATAGCATAGACCCGTTTCCATTTGCCTGTTTTTGCAAAGGCAATGGTATTGCCACCAGCTCCGGCAAAGGCATCAACCAGGATGCTACGCCCAGCCGGAGCAGACTCCGCGAGGTGTGCTGCTATTTTACTATATGAAGTATGTAAGCTCGCGCAAATGTGTAGATTAAAACGAACAGAGAGACACAAACTTTGCAACAGGTTCCGGAGTCACGCCAAACCAAGCATCATCTGTAAGCCATATTCCCTCATCATATTTGGAGAAAATGCGGTATCGTTGAGCCCAATAGCTATGCAGCAGGTCAGCTGTCTGAGATTCATAACTTTCAAGGTGTGTAAACTAACTTCTGAATATCCCAAGGAACTTCCTGGAGACTATTGTAATGATGCACCTCCGGTGGTGCGTCTTCTGTGTCTGTCATCGTGCTCGTGTTGTGTAGGTGTCGAGGATATAAATCGCAAGTCTTCGATAACAGCGCCGATAAAGACCAAATTGTGTTTGTGGTGTTTGCACTGCATCCGGCCAGCTCGCCCGCTGCCCGCAATGGATAGCTTCTCCAGAAATTACATGTATTACTGGGCCCTCCCACAACCTCATCGCTTCTGAAATTTACTTGGTTATCGCAATGTTTGGTGCGCTTAACCGGTTCATCGGCCGACTGGATGGTGAGCCCGCCCAGCAGCCTCGGAATGGACCGAGCGACAATGCCTTTGGATTCCAGGTGCTTCGCAACAAAGACGCCGAGCTCCCCTTAGAGCCATGGTTTGATTTCATTGTGGGAATTAATGGACATACTATTGTATATATGCTTTCTTTTCCTTACCTTCTTGTAAGGCATCTTCGCTGACACTTCCATGCCGATATGTAGGAGGACCCAGACCCAACCCTGTTTGCGACAGAGGTGCGCAACTGCGCCGGATCAAGCCTGACACTCGAAGTCTGGAGCGCAAAGGTAAGTCCGGCTATGGGTGGCTATTACACGACTGCTTAATCAGTTCCTTACTCGCTCTGCAGGGACAACGGACACATACCGTCTCAATTCCTGTACCAACAACAAATCCGTCTCTTGGTCTCGCTTTGCAGCTCGCCCCCCTTTCCTCCACACAAAACATTTGGCATGTCCTCGGCATTCCGTCACCACTGAGCCCAGCCTACCGAGCGGGTCTTCTTCCACACTCGGACTACATTATCGGAACTCCAAGTGGAACATTACGAGGGGAGTCTGCCCTCGGGGAGCTGGTAGAGGACCACCTTGATCGCACATTGATCCTCTGGGTATACAATAGCGAGTTCGATGTAGTACGAGAAGTCGAGATCGTCCCTACGAGAGGCTGGGGCGGTGAAGGTGCTGTTGGTGCAGAGCTAGGGTTTGGCGCTTTGCACCGATTGCCAATTGGATTGGGTGAAGAGGTTGAAGGACCGGGCGAGGTTGTCTTTGAAACCCGAGAAGATGGGACTTCCGGACAAACTCCAGATCCCAATGCCGTCGCCCCGAGCTTTGGAGCACCTTCAAGCTTTCTTGTACCGGCCAATATGGCCTCGCCTCCTCCTCTGGCCGCACAAACTCGAGTTGTTTCGCCAGGAGGAATATCACCGTCCAACCGTCGCGGAGCAAAGCCGCGGCATGGAGTTTCCCCTAATCGGACATTTGATGATTACTTTGCCGAAGGTGAACAGAAAAGCCGGGAACAAGACTTCGCGCCTTCACGGAAAGGAACCCCTCTTCCCCCGCCGCCTAAAGCAGGCGTCTCACCGGTCCATGAAGACAATCCAGCCTCCGCAGTATCAGAGCCAGTGGAGGGAGAGCCAGGACCGGCGGAGGAATCATAATGACATGATTTGCATGGAAAGCGTTCGCTGTAGAGTATTAACTATTAACGAGTTGACCATTATACCAATCACAACTATCTTACATCATCCTTCAGACCTTGAGGGGAAAAGGTTGTTTAGAAACAACAAACAACATTGAACCAATAAATATTTTTTCAGACAAAGGGGACTGGTCCGGATTAAATCATCGGATCTACGAGTTCTAGACGTACATATGCAAGAGATGAAACTCCCCCTTCGAGCCACCAAACAGTGGCTGAAATATCAAACCAGGCTAACTCTAATGGCCCTTGCTCACCAGCTCCTCAAGCTTCTTCCGAGTCTCACCAATCTTGTCCTCCATCATCTGGCGGGCCATCCCGCTGTGAGCAATTCCCGTGTACCAGATATGCTCCGCCCGCTCCCGGAGAGCCAAGTGCTTCTCTGCAACAACAGGGAACTTCTTCTCATACTCCCACGCGAGATCCGTGACATTCTGCATTGTCACAGGGAGCAGGGTGAAAGCCGCGACAGTACCGAAGGTAAGCGGGGACAGAGTGCGGAGGAAAATACCGCGGTTGCGTGACACGATGGAGCCGGCCATAGCGGACACGACAACGTAGATACCGCCAGGAGTCAGGCGTTCGCCAGACTCAGCAGAAGGAGCGAGCGATGCGACGGTGTTGGTGAATGCATTCTCGATGTGCAGGGCGCGAGACAAGAAGTCATTGAAGCCGTTCTCAGCGGCCAGGGAGTGAGAGTATAGGAAAAGTCGAGCCTGCCGGATCTGGGCAGTCAGGATGTCTGTCGGAGTGGGCGAGGAAGAGGAAGATTGCGAAGGAAGCAGAGAGATTGCCTTGGGAGCCGGGGCCGCGGGCTTGGAGGGTTCCGGGAGGTCAGATGGGAGGTCGTCGTAGATGGGTTTTCGCTATATTGGGCAAGCAGTCACATGTCAGATAGATCTATCCTTGCGTTGATGCGTTTAAATATCGGGTCTCGGTGATCTAACCTCGCGGGGCTCTTCTGCGAAAGCAGTCTGCTTGGGGTATAGGGCGATACCTCCTGCTAGGAGGGTGGCTGCGATCGGAGCCACGGCGCGCTGGGGACGAGTCAGTACGCCATTGACGGATCAATTACACCGGAGGCGATGCGATGCATCTAAAGAAAAACAAACGTACCTGCTGCAACATCGGCCGGAACGACATCCTGGAGGTGTGAGGGGGAGAGGGAGTAGAGGGAGGTGGTTGAGGATGAAGCAAAGTCGGGTTGAAGCCAAGACGGGAATTCTTCGGCTCGGCGGAAACCACGAAAACTCCGTCATTGCCCGCGTCTCCTTGCAACTCATTCATTTACCCCAGGTTTCTTGGTTATTTCCGCGCATCGGTGGCTCCCTGGGTTCTTGAGCTTCATTTTACCGTCAACACTGTTCCTGCCATGCTTCGCCCTCTTGGGCGTCAGTCGTGGACGTGCCGCCAATGTCTTTCGCGTCGGCAATCACGAGCGTTCGCCAGCGCTGCATCGCAAGCTCCGAGATCTTATGTCGACTATGTCCCAACGGACAATAGCATACCGGCGAAGAATGCTGACGATGACACCTTACGCCGTGTCTTTGATTCACAGGCTTTCTGGCGAGACTTTTCAAACAAGCGAAGCTCCACAGCCAAACGAGCCGGGTTGGTTCAGAATCAGTATTTGACCAGCCCAGATGGCTTTAGGGCGTTCGCTCATGCTTCCCTACAGAAGTGTCAGGCAGTCGTCGGCAAAGTATTGAATGCCTCAACCCTCGAGGAATATCGAGATGTCGCTCGAAACCTGGACCGCCTCAGCGACCTTCTGTGTCGTGTGATCGACCTTTCCGACTTCATTCGAACGATCCACTCCGATCCCCGAATCCAAGAAGCAGCGACACAGGCATATGCATTAATGTTTGAATATATGAATGTGCTTAACACGACGACGGGGCTCCACGACCAGCTCAGCAAGGCCCTCTCGAATGCGGAGGTGACATCACACTGGACGCAGGCGGAGACGATCGTGGCACAGATCCTCATGAAGGATTTTACCAACTCGGCAATTCATATGCCACCAAGTGATCGCCAGAGATTTGTTAACATTTCCAACGATGTGAGCCAGGTCGGCTCAGAGTTCTTTAGTGGTGGCGAACCAGCCAAATCCCAGGTCGTTTTTAGTGCCAACAGCCTTCAGGGATTAGACCCAGTAATGGTCCAGAGAATTAAGAGGTGGAATAATAAAGCGCCAGTTCCAACTATGGGAATTATTCCTCGACTGGTTCTGCGGTCTGTTCGAGACGAATCGGTTCGAAAGGAAGTGTACTTGGCTACTCGAACCTCGAGTTCTCGTCAAATCCACCGACTGGAAAAACTTTTGACGAAGAGGGCGGAGCTCGCCCAGCTCTCAGGATATAATAGTTTCGCCGACATGGCGCTGAGCGATAAAATGGCCAAGACTCCGATGGCTGTGTCAAACTTCTTGACATCGCTGATCTCGAGCAACCGGGGTCTGGTCAACGAAGAGTTGGCGCAACTTCAGCAAATGAAAGGCAATTCCCTTCAGCCGTGGGACCACGCTTTCTACGTTCATAAACGAGTTATGCAGTATTCTCAGTCCCGTCGATCTCGTGAATTGAGTGCTGTTCCCGAATTCTTCTCTTTGGGTACGGTCATGCAGGGCCTCTCAAGACTTTTCGACAGGCTCTATGGTGTGCGTCTTGTTCCCCAAGAAGCAGCTCCCGGTGAAACCTGGAACTCTGGTGTCCGTCGCTTGGATGTTGTGAATGAGTCAGGGCACCACATTGCTGTCGTCTACTGTGATTTGTTCTCGCGCCCGGGGAAACACCCCAACCCGGCCCACTTTACGTTGCGTTGCTCTCGCGAGATTTCTGCCGAGGAGGTGGCCGAGTGCGCATCCATGGATTTGTCTGCGCACCCAAATGATGGCATGGCGACTGCAGTTGACCCACAAACCAAGACTCTGCGTCAGCTCCCGACAATTGCTCTTGTCTGTGACTTCCAAGAACCCGCTACCAATGGCTCTGGCCAGCCGACACTCCTGAGTGAGCAGAGCGTTCGCACCTTGTTTCATGAGATGGGTCACGCCGTCCACTCCATTTTGGGACAAACTCCTCTTCAATCTATTTCTGGCACTCGATGCGCGACCGACTTTGCAGAGCTTCCTTCGGTGCTCATGGAGAGCTTTGCCACAGCACCAGAAGTTCTTTCCCTCTATGCTCGTCACTGGAAGACGGATGAGCCCCTCTCGCAGACCATGATGCGCAGCATGGAATTGGATCGTACTGCTCATGGGTCAATCTATGGGGCTGTGGAAAATGAAGCCCAGATCCTCATGGCCCTTGTTGACCAGGCCTACCACTCCATTCCTTGCAAAGATGCTGTCAACGGCATCAACACTACCGATATCTATCACAACGTGTTTTCTCAGTATTCCAGCCTTCCCGATCCGGATGATATTCGGCCTCGGACCTCCTGGCAAGGCTTTTTCGGACATCTCCATGGCTACGGGGCCACGTACTACAGCTATATCTTCGATCGCGCTATTGCCAATAAGATCTGGCAAGATGTCTTCCACTCCGGCAAAGCCGCTGTGGATCGTGCGGCTGGCGAACGGTACAAAAATGAAGTTCTCAGCTGGGGAGGAGGGCGGAATGGCTGGGAATGCGTGGCTGGCGTTCTGGGTGAGGAGAACCCGTCCAACGCCAATGGCCGATTGGTTGAAGGCCGTGATGAGGCTATGCGTGAAGTTGGCCGCTGGGGTTTGGGCCGAGACGGAGTTTCTGGCTAGTGGCTCCTATGCCCTGTAATTTTATCATGATATCCCATATATTCCAATGCATATCTAGACTTGACTAGAATATCTCACAGGTGCTTGCCTATGTCTGATCTCGGGTGGGGATTGGGCCGTTGTCGATCGTCGCAGACAACTGCTCTCTTGGCATCTTTACGCCTTGTACCACCAGATAGGAGATGCGTATTGGCCCCACTTCCACATTGAATGGCACCGTCTCACACTATGTAAATGGTACGCCAGCTTTCATCGGTGGCGTCCGGCGCGGGGCTGGTCACAGTGTCTCACACTCTCTTTGACCGTGTCTCAGCGAGCAGTAAGACCGCCATGCAGCCGATCGTTCGTCTACATTTTGAACAGACGGAATCTGAATGCTTAACAGACTGCAAATACTGTTGGTGGTATAATAAAAATGAGATTTATAACTTCATTTTTGTGAATATCCAACTTTCTGGAATTTACCCCCTTGTTCCCACTGGTTCCTTTTAAGACATCGGTAATAACTGAACGCGCGACACGACCCTAGTCGCATTGTGCATGTGGCTTGCTGTAGTGGTACTCCTTGAAGGAAAGAACTATCTACGGAGAAAAGGGACCTGTTTGTGGAGCTTAGACGGCCAGAGGCATGTGCCCAGGGCTCGCACCTATTCTCAAGACTTGAACACCTTATATATTACCTTCCCCCTCTCTCTTTGTAGGGACTTGAATCGGTGTTGACCCTGGCATGCAGGGATCATTCTCCCCGCTATCCCCGCCTGATTATGCTGAGTTCCTATAGCTTCGTGCAAAGCCAGTCATACCTCGATTTACTCCAGTAAAAAGACTCTGGCAGTTCGGCTTGCATCACATGAGCAAATGAGTTTTTGCTAAACTTTTGGAATTTGAATGAGAGCGGTCCTTGTGAATACTTCATGAGCTATCCTTGCCAGTTGGAATTTCTCCCTCGCCCATCTTGTCAGCTGCATGTTTCCTTGCCAGAATAACCCAGCAATCTACCTTCTCACTATGCCGAACCATCTCAGTACGAAGGAGGATTCCTCTGTCTACTCCGATTCTACTACCTCTTCTTTTTTTACCGCCTATCAGTCGGATCAAATCCTTCATCGCCCACTCCGTCGCCAGAGAACCGTGACACAGCTGACTCGATGGGTTTCGAAAAGAATATCGCGCTCTTCGGTTAGCACCAGAGAAGGGGATGTGCTTAGCGAGAAGAATCTCAATAAATTGAATAATGCGATTCGAGCGGATGGGAAGGAAGAGACCGATGTAACTGAGCACACAAGTTCCTGTGATACGACGTTGGTCGAGAGGCGGAAGTCGACGATTGAAGCTAGTGAAGAGAAGCCTGAAAATCCAATCCAGAGCTCTGATCCCGATCAAGAGACACAGTTATGCCTCCGTCAATCCTATGCAGCATTCTGCGAGGATTTCACGCTGTCTGGTCCATCCTGTCCGAAAAGAATCTACGACATGACCATGGGAATGGAAGAGGGAGCTGGCTGGGAGGAAAAAGGAAATATCGAGGAAGGAGAGAATGAAAGATCCACGACATTCAACACTGAAAAAAAAGAAAATTGCCAATATGGCCCATCCCAATCCTCCATGTCAAAATCATATTTAAAGCTTGGGAGAGGCGAGGCCCTAATCAAGTCATCAAGTCTAGCCCCAGACCCGACGGGGAAACAAAATGCTGGATTCACTACTCATGACACGAAAGAACCTGACGTACAGCAGTCAGAAATCGTGAATCGTTCAGCCAACCATCCTCGCCCTCCTTCCCAGATCATGACGCCTTCGACCTACAAGGAGATGCATCGGGCAGCGCGCGAAAGGAAGATAGCTCGGAGAGAAAAGTCCTGGGGAATCTTTTATTCCATACTATCAAAACGGTCGAAACTTGTGTGAACATCGATATGAAGAGGAATAGAAGATCTGGGTATCGGAATTTAGCAGTGGACGTATGTATTAGGCTGAAATTATTGTTCTCAGCGCGCATTGATTAGAGTGGTATAGCTCGTTATAAAGGGAAGTCAGGTGGCGGTTCTTTTGATTCAATGTCTTTTGAAACATTCCAGCACGAGAAGAAGACTTAGTTTCGCCTATGTTGCAAAAAATCGTTGTCGATATATTCATCTACCGAACCGGAAGTGTGATGATACTGTGCCTCGATATGTCATTCAAGTGGATGAGACAGTTATGTACCTGTTGAGATCATAGCAATGTGTAATAACCATTTAGAATGGCGTTCGTATAGAATTTGAGGATGATTGGTACATTTTGTTGGGCCCGGTATGGATGACGGGGTGAATACGAGATACTTGGCGACACCCCATACCTTATAACATGGCTCCCCCAACAAAACCACGGCATTCAAGTCCTTCGCAATTTGGCCTCCTCCGAAACCCTTTTTCATTATTTTCTTATCGGTATGGATAATTCTCAGGTCTACGATGGTAGTTGTCATTGTGGACAGGTGAAATTTACAGTCAGTATATCACCGCCCATATCAGAACAGACTGTGATGCAATGCAACTGTAAGTTTGGATATCTGTGGCATGAGAAGCTATATTATTTAGCTAAATCAATCGCCCGAATGCTGATCACCCAGGTACCATATGCAATATAAATGGCTATCTCCTGGTCTACCCCAAGACCACGAACGTAACCTTCCACCACAGCGATGACGCGGTAAAGGTCGGTGGACAATGCAGATCATATTTTGAAATTATTTAACATTGAAGTAGGAGTATCGTTTCGCAACCAAAAATTTCCCACATTATTTTTGTACAAACTGCGGAACCAGCGTGTATGCGCGAGCCGAAGCTCCAGAGCAGCGACACATCATGGCTGTCAATGTGTGACTATGTGGGTTTCCGTTTCTGTGATATGTCACTAACACATGGATCTGTAGGTCCGAGCTCTGGTTGATGTGGATATAAAGACACTGAAGATTCAAGAACATGATGGCAGAGGGAATAGCAATATCTAACTGCTTTTGCCGCCAGATTCTACAGCTTGAGTGTCTATGGAAAGAATGAAAGTTCAGATGGAATGGAATAGTACATAGTAATTTCAATTTCAAGATGAGTTGATCGTTCAAGTTCTCGGATCTCGGACTTCGAGCCTTTCAACCCACGTGTAGATGACTCTACCTCCTTTGACCATCTGATCCAGGGAGCCATTTGTATATATTTCTGCCCATCCCTGAGCCTAACACTTTTTTTTCATAAATTAAGATTCATGAAGCTGACAACTCATAAAACTATCTTTTCTTGGACTGAGGACAATTAGTGCTTAAAATGAGGATCCCCGCCAGTAAGCTTATAATCATTAATTACTTTTGCCGATGATTCATACCTGGCCCTTGTTAATATGGTAAAGTGTGATGGTGGATCCCGGAGATAAGTGGCCATTCATAATCTAGATTTCTGACCTCTCCACATCAACTAGCATCATTGGTCTAGTGGTAGAATTCGTCGTTGCCATCGACGAGGCCCGTGTTCGATTCACGGATGATGCATGAACACTCAGAATTGAGATTAAATCTTTTTTTATTGTAGATAATTTCTGCTGCCTGGGTGATAGATGCAGGCTGGATTGGCTTCATTGATTGGCCATCTGCTGGAGTGCCCTATCACGCAAGCACTCGAGAAATAATAGTGGGAGATGAAAAATTTTGTTGTCAGGTTTGTAGCATGATTGATCAGAGACATGTAGCCCCGAGAAGGACGTTATATATACAAACAACCTGACCTCTCAGGAAAGCAACGATGCAAAGTCATGCACATACAAGGACCTTGGCATAACTTGGGGCCAATGGCCATTAAACAATAAAATAACGTATTAAACATGAAAAGGCCAGACAGAATCCGGCGCAAAAAGGCAAGATAGGGTATCCTGGGTCCTATTACATACACGAAGCAACGGCGCGAAGCGAGCGAAACAGGATCCAACATAGGAAATTATGCACCACCATCAGGCCAAATACACAGACGACGTCCTGAGGAAGTTATCGAGACATACCAAGTCTCTACCGGGCGGCAGAGACTTCTTCAAGCCTGCTACGGCTACCCTCTGATTCAGGAGCTGATGTTGCAGTTTCGGGTTGAGGGGTCGACGAGACGCTCGGTGGGTTCGGGGTGGCTCGGCGCGACAGTTGAGCCAATTCACCGATAAGCCTGCATACCAACCGTTAATCTCGGAAAAAGAAACGCCATAAAGTCTCCGAAATGCAAGGGGGTAGAGGGTAGGTATGACACTAACCTGCGATGGTCATCGTACCACTCATCGTTGGCGGAACGGATGTGCTTAAGCTGTTCCTGAATGCTTGCCATCTACGGACCAAGAATTTTCGATTAGTATTTGTACGAAGAAAAATTATAGCCTCAACTTCATGTAAATGGATGAAAACTGGGCAAATCTGAGGAGTAGGACTTCAAACGGGGATCTCCCACCGTTCCCTCAATGGATGAACCGAGGTCCTCACCTTCCACTGCGGCTGGACCTCCCTCTTCAGCGTTCTCGCTGCCCTCCTCCGCTGCCGATGCCCATCGGCTCGCACTCAGACCGGACGAGGTGCTCTTTTCATTGTCGGCCTTGAGCGCAGCCAGCTCCGCTTCAAGCTCACGGACGCGTCTCCGGCTGGCAGAAATCGTCGAGTCAACGTCACCGAGTTGGTTGAGAAGCTGCATGTTCTTGTCGATCTGGTCATTCAAGTCACGCTCGCCAGAGGCGAGCTTCTCCCCCACGGTCTTGTTTTGAATTTGAGTCTCCTCTAGCTCCTGGCAGACGACATCATGCTTTCTCTTCAGTGAATCAATTTCTTCCTTACACTGAGAAAGCTCTTTTTGGACGGTTTCCAGTTCGGACTTGCTGGAGCTAGTTGCTGCAATGGATTTCTGGAGTTCCTCTACTTGAGCAAGCGCTGCCTGATGCTTGTCAACCAGGGCGGCGTGTTCGGCTTGAGTCTTGGTAATCTCAGCAACGTGCTTGTCCTGGAGATCTCGAGAAGCAGCTGTTGCTGATTCCTGGACAGCGGCATGGGCCTTTTCCGAATCAGCCAACTTCTGTTCAAGCTCGGCAATAGTCACTTTCAGGTTGTCAAGGGCAGAGGTGTCCTGAGCGACTGCGTTGGCAGCAGAAAGTTGTTCATTGACAGTACTTAGAGCGGCCTCATGGGACTTCTGAAGATCCTCAAGCTTGGCGGTGTTAGATGCTTCCAGCTCATCCCTAAGGCCGGAAATCTTCGCCTCCTGGAGAGTCAGCAGTTCCTCAATAGCCTTCCCATGCTCGGCATCAGCATCGGCTGCCTTGGAAGCTTGGGAAGCCTCAAGCTCAGCCTGGAATTTGGCTTTGGTCTCCTCAAATCCCTTCTGGAGCTCAGCGAGCTCCTTGGCGTGGGTCTCTTTATCAGCTTGGCTGGAGGCCCGCAAAGAGTCCAAGTCGGACTGCAACTTTGCCTTGGTCTGTTCAAACTGGTTCTGGAGCTCAGACACTTCCTTCTCGCGGGACTCGTTGTGGGTCTTGATCTCTCCAGCGTGGCGTTCAAGAGTTGCCTTCAATTCGGCATCGAGCGATTCAACCCGAGTGACATGAGTTGCATGGCTCGATTCAAGCTCTCGGTTCTTGGAGAACAGGTCGTCGTGTTTCTGCTGAAGGCCAATTAGCGCGCTCTCGTGAGAGCTGGACGCATCCTGCTTGGCCTGCTCCAACTGGGCGGCATGTTCGGCCTTCAAACTCTGCAGATCCTGAGTTTGCTGCTCAGAAGTAACAGCAGCCTGAGCAGTGTATTCTTCAAGCAGACGTGTGGCCTCTGCAGCTTTATCTTCCAGAGCCCTGAGCTTGCTTTCTTGTTCCTTCAGCTTGTTATCCTGTTGAGCATCCTTCGACTTGAATTGACCCTCTACATTCTTCAGGCTGTGATAAAGTTCCTCGGCTTCGGTCTGCTTGCTCTGCACTTCCTGCTGCAGGGCCTTGATCTCGCCGGTGCCAGTGGACAGCTGGGTTTCAAGGGATTCGACTTTGTGACGAAGAGCCTCAATCTCTTGGATGGCGTCTTCCTGAGCATGAACATTGCCCTCCTCGAGATCATGGCGGGAATCGTCGAGCGCTTTCTCCAATGTCTCCAGTTTCTCTTGCAGAGACTTGATTTCGAGCTCATGAGCGGCCTTCAGCTCGGAAATGGCACGAGCCTGGTCATCTTGGGCAGCAGATTTGGCGGACTCGAGCGACTCCCGTAGCACGTCAAGTTGTTGGGAATGCTCAGTACCAGTTGACTCTGCAGCTGCCTTGGCGACGGCAAGCTCTTCGGCATGGGAGGCAGACAGAGCATTAAGAGAACTGTCATGCTCAGCTTTCAGACTCGCAATTGCGGCCTCGTGAGCAGACACCAAATCTTTCATCTTGGTGTCCTGGTCATTGGAAGCTCCCTCACGGGCCACCTGGACCTCATTTTGAAGTTCTTCGATTGCTTGCTTGAGATTCACGATCTCGTGATCCTTCTCAGCGAGAGAAGAAACGGTTTGCTCTGAGCTTTCCTGAGTGGCAGCCTCAGCCTCGGCAAGCTTGGATTCAAGAGAAGCAACCTGTGATTGCAAGGAAGAAATAGACTCCTTAGCAGACTCCTTCTCCGTGTTGAGTTCTTGCTCCTTGGAAGTGGACAATTTGTGAAGTTCAGTTTCGAGGTTATCAATCACTTGGTCCCGACCTTTCAATTCTCGTTGCAGACTGTCAAGGGCGAGAGCCTTCTTTTCATCCTGAGTTTTCCTTTGAGATGCAAGCTCCGCCTTTAAGGTAGAAATTTGCTCCTCAAAGGCCGTGGCTGCAGCCTTATGCTCCGCTAGCTCCTTCTCAAGCGATTCAGACTGAACCTTGTGAGTCTCCTTCAGCTCCTCAAGAGCAGCAGCCATTTGATCATCACCTTGAGCGTTGGCGGCCAGCTTGATCTCTTCGAGTTCCTTCTGGGACTTCTCTTCCAGCTCTTTGCGCTGAGTCTCGGCCTCCTCCAGACGTGCCTGCAGAGATTGAAGCTCATCAGCATGACCAGCGGTCAGCTTCTCCAGCTCTGCAGCATGCTCTGCTCGGATAGACTCCGTGGAATCGACGTCCTTGGCTTCCTTCTCAGCGGCAACAGATAGTTGGCTCAACTTCTCGTTGACAGATTCCAGTTCGGCTTTGAGGTTGACCACAGTCTCCTCGCTCTCTGAGAGCTTCGTCTGGAGAGACTGCAGTTTCTCCGCATCCTCGGCGCTCTTTACAACAGAGCCGGGGGCGGTGCTGAGTCGCTTTCTCGCATCCGTAGCTGAAGAAGTTGTGGGCCGTGACGAGATTGTCGAAGCCGGGCGAGTTGTTGGACGTGTAGTCGTGGTGGACGAGGTGGGACGGGCGGTTGAAGTTGCCGGCGATGTCAACTTCCCCATGGGCCTAGTTGCAGAAGTTGGAGTGCGGGAGGTGGTTGAGGTGGCAGTTTTTCTCTCCAGAGATGATGCGGCAACACTTGATCTGCGGTCAAGCGTGGAAGTCGATTTCAATGGAGCGCGAGTAGAGGTATTACTGGCCAGGGACATGCGCTTGGCAGTTCCCGAGATCCCACGCTTTTCATCGCCTGAGCTAGCAATCGACCGAGGTTTCTCGTCTGCAGAGCTGCTGACGGACGGCCGGGATCGGTGGGAGGACGTGGTCGAGCTGCTCAATGGTTTCCGGACCGTCGTGGTAGTTGTGGGCCGGGTAGGGGGCCGGTTCAACGTGGTCGATGTTGATGTCCGTGTGGCCGAGGAAGCCGTAGTCTTGGAGGTTGTTGCAGACGTGGGCCGTTTCGCAGTTGTAGAGCTGGACACTGGGCGCTTGGGAACTGCTTCAGTGACAGCGGTAGGCGAAGTTTTGGCCGGAGATGCTGGGATATTTTCCTTAGACGCCTCAGGACTGGATTGGCCGACCTCTTCGCTTTCCGGCGGCACTGATGAGTCCATCAGAGCATCCGCGTCCACGGGAGTAGCCGGAGAGGTATTGTCGACCTCCACGTCGGAAGGGATCGAGACGGGCTCTTCGGTCGACGCCATCTTACTCAATAAGCCAATTGATGTATCAACGCAGAATTCGAATGAAACTTCAAGCCGAGAAAAGAGCGCGGGCGAGGTAGGTCAATTGTACAAGAATGGAAATCTGGAGCAGGAGAAAACGGCCAGTTAGCACCTGGTACGACCGAAATCAAACAGAGTATGGTGATATCGTTTGCAATATGGATCCATGATTTCCAACCTGGCACAGACAGCAGACGGGATAGCAGACGGGATAGCAACCGGGGTCATGCCTGCCGCTTCAGCAACAGTAGAAGGCTCGTTACTGCAAGCTCCGAAGCTTGATGCGACCAGCAGCTGGGCAAGCGCGGCAAGCAGCAGCCATTGTCTGTCCAAATAAACTATGCCAGCTGCTATGACCTGGGACTCGTCTGGACGCCCGAGCACCGGAACGGTGGAGGTGTATGGATTGCACGAAGCCTGTAGGAATAAGGATGGTACTCACGCGGCGCGTGTAGGTTCGATCAGGAAGCTTCAGGGGCTTCTCGCAACACTGGGACAGGAAGGGCCGATTCTCAGTTGAAATCCTGATCACCGACCAGAAAAGCGACCATAAACCAGAGGGGCAAAACAAGAGTCGCGAGCGGGGCGCAAAGGGGCTCGATCGGAGGGAAGAAGGGAAAAGGAGAAAGCGGGAAAAGTGAAAGCGGTGTCAATGGAGGAGGGGGGGATCGTCGCTGGCTCAGCGTGTCTCACGCGGACCCGAGCTTGGGAACTCACGAACGCTCCAAGGGCTCGTACTTTTGAAAGATAGAGTAAATATAGATGTACTGTTGTCTGATGTTCCTATAGTTCTGAGTTGAGACAGAGCCTGATATAGCATATTTTGGTGTTGCTTTCCTGAAGGGAGCCCAACGTCTGCCGATCCCTACTCCAGATGAACGATTGGCTGTTAAATAAACGTTGGCCCCCAGATTTGCATGGAGACCTTCATCTGAAAAAGATCCTCCATGCACTCATGTTTGTCTGTGTTTCCAGTTTAGCGGCGTTGCGTCTCGTTACTAGAACACACTTCGTGTTGTTGACCCCTTTTGTTGACGAGAACCACAAACACGCGCCATCCATGGTTCGCGCTACCCGACCCGCGGAACCCGATGCTGGTGCCCGAGCGGCCACCAGAGTTGCGACCCGAGGCTGGCTGTTTCTGGGGTTTCTTGAATGATATCAGTGACTCTTGGGCGGATTTTAGATGCAGATGGAAGACGGAAAACCATAGAATGCTTATTTCAAAAAGGGTATCCTGCTGTAAACTATAAACGATATGTGGGCATTTATGGACGTGAAAAGGCATCTCAATGGCGCGAGAACAGTTATGGAAAATGAAACCCGAGATAATTTGGCAAGAAGGTCGAGCGCTTTATGTCAAAGCCGCATCGTGGCCTGAACAAGATCCTGATAGGTGCGGTTGCGGAATTGGTCGCCATAATACCGAAAGATCAGGGCGATATGGTTGTCCTGGCCTGAGGCTATGATTAGCCGTGGGAACAGTAGCCAGAGATTGAGAGAACTACCTACCCTCAAATCGTTGTAATCCAGCTCGTAGGGCCTGCATTTCCACTGACGTCCACGGCCGTTGTGACGTGGCGACATCACAAGCCAAGATGGTGTTGTCTTGTGTCCACATTGGGTCAAGCTGGGTGAAAGTTGTATCTTCTAGGCTGGCGGCAAGTTGGTCTGCACCCACAGCAACTTTGCGATTCAAATCACCCGAATTGAGTGCTTTCAGGACTCTTTTCACGGACAGGCGAAGATTTCGGGATCGGGCCTTCACATTGTGTAGATACTCATCCAATTGCGAATAATCATAGATTCGCGTGCAGCACCATAGCAATAGCTCCAGGATTCCTTCGAACTGGCTGTATGCCGGGTGGCCCATCTTCTTGTAACATCGGAAGCCAAACATAACAAGGAGAATGATTCGCTGTATTTGATGCGCCTCAAACTGATCAATAAGGGTCGCATCTCGGTGTTCTTCCGCGGCGGCCTGGAATAATCGAGTGGCCTCGATTTTAATGGCCTCACGCAGATTCTTCATTTGATTTTGAATAGCGGTGGGAAAGGTTGAAGCATTCTCAACTTCAGTATAAATCTGCCGTAGTTCAGAAATCTCTTTGGAGGATCCTGTAAGGTACTCCGGCCTGGGTTTGACGGCGAATCCTCGCAAGAGTCGCCCTTTTTCTCGAATCTTTTTCCACTCCTCCTTCTGGGTGTTTTGTTGGATCTCCAGATCAAACCAGGTTTTGAGGTCCCGGATGATTGGATCTTGTAACGACGGAGCTGGGACTGGCCAATTAAAGGTCTCTACATTATTAGTATCTGCATTATCAGCATCTGCATTACGAGCAGCCTGCTGTAGCTCTAGCTGAAGATCCAGGTCAGGGTCTTGAGAGCCTGACACCTCATGTGCCTGGGTATTCTCCGCAGTTCTCGTCGTGGAATTGCTGTACTCCGGGTTGTTTATGACAACTCCAGTCGCATTGGATTCGGACGGCGGAGAGTAAGTTATGGTTGAGCGTGGAGCAATGGCAGAAGTACCATGATAGATCGGGGGTGACAAGTTGGAGAAGAGTTCTGCTGCTGTTTTCCGATCCAATTTCTCGGGCTGATTGACAAATGGCTCGTCGTCATCGTTGTCGGCCTCGTCACTTCCCTTATTATCGTTGCTGTTGTTGTCAACCTCGACAATCCTAACATTGTTCTCATCAGTACTGGCATTGTTCCCATCATTTTCAACAATTTCAACGATATCCGCATTGATTCCAATGCTATCTTTATCGATTTGTATGTCTTCGCCGTTGAATCCACTCTCATGGTATTCAGTGAGCGCGATGTTATTTTCATTGCCAGTAGAATCGCTGCTATTCTCTTCTTCATGAAAGCTGGATTGCCCACGCTCTTCACTTTCTTCGGGTGGTGATTCATGGTAGTTGGGTTCGGATTCAGGCTCAAGCTCGGGCTCGATTAAAGAGTGGTTATTATGACTTCGAAGTCGCATACGCAGGGGCTGTTCCCTGGGCCCAGAGGGTTCACGCAGGACTTCAGACGTGGAAGAAGAATCGATGGTATGCGACTGTCTCGTGTTTCGAGTTCTGCGCCTTGTGTTTGTTGTCGTGCGCTGTCGCAGGGAAATGTCCGAATCACCGATATGATTGAGGATATCGAGGGAATTTTCGGTGAAATCACGCGTTTTGCGCCTTTTTGCGGGAGCCATCTTCATCAACCCCAAAGGGTCTCTGTTGCGAAGGAAAAGGCCTGGGGGCTGGAGATCGGACCTGGAGAACCGCGCACGAAGCTTGGGGCGGAGATCATCCGCGCACCGTCATCCCGCCTTCCCCTCCAGTTCCGACCCGCATTCATCTCCCAACTCTCTGACCTTGTTCAACTGTTCAACCCCCATATCCTTCAGCCACGATGTTCTCACATCGGGCGACTCGCATCTTGCCGGCTTTGGATCCATCAGCTCCACACACTTTCATCGCCCCCAAGAAGAGGATCCATGAATCGCAAGATGTGTCGGTCTTCTTGATCTCGAAAGCCTACGCGGACATCATGACCTTCATATTACAGCTGAATCGCTCCATGTTCCCCGAAAGTCTCGCCGACGGATCTGCACAAACTTGGCCATTGAATTCAGATGCAGTGCAATTCTCTGCGCCTGTCCGACAGCTGCAACGACTACTTTCCAAGGTGGAAGACATCATAAACGAGGTTCCACCGGATACCGGACCGCGCAGATTTGGAAATATCAGTTTTAGAAAGTGGCATGAGGTTTTGGAAGACCGGGCATCCGATTTGCTTAGGGAATGCTTAAGTATTGAGCTTTTGACCACACCTTCAGCTACCGAGGACGATGTCACAGCGGAGTCGGAGCTCAAGGCGTACTTTCTGGGCAGCTGGGGGAGCGGGCAAAGGCTGGACTATGGGACTGGGCATGAATTGAGCTTTTTAGCCTTTCTGGGTGCGATTTGGAAGCTGAATGGGTTCCCTAAATCCGAATTTGGGGTTGAGGAGAGGGCAATCGTACTCGGTGTCATTGAACCGTGAGCAATCGCGCCATAGTGAAATCGCGACATTCTCTTCTAACAGAAGTCACAGATATTTGGAGCTTGTGAGAACTCTCATTAAGACATATACCCTTGAGCCGGCAGGCTCCCATGGAGTATGGGGACTTGACGATCATTCTTTCATCCCTTACGTCCTGGGCTCTGCACAGCTTTCCCCAGCAATCAGTGTCACTGATCTTACCCCGGAAGAAGGGTCATTGCCCAATGCACCCGATCCCGGCGGTGTTGCTAAGCACAACGTGGTGGAACGAGAAAGGGAAATGAATCTATACTTCTCGGCTATCGGGTTCATCTATGATGTGAAGAAAGGCCCTTTCTGGGAACACAGCCCTATGCTTTATGATATTTCTGGCATTCGAGCTGGTTGGGGTAAAATAAATAAGGTTAGTCATGCTAGCTCCTCTGACATATTCACCATCTTTGCAGAAAAGATTTGACAGATGATTCCAGGGTATGGTCAAAATGTATAACGCAGAAGTCTTATCTAAGTTCCCTGTTGTTCAACATTTTCCTTTCGGCTCTCTGTTTAGCTTTGACCGCGATCCGAATGCGATTGCTCCACCGACAACCATTCATACAACTTCCGGTCCTCAAGGACGTCCTGTTGTGCCAGATGCAGGCCCACCATCATCGGCTACAACGCGGCCAAACATTGATGCAGGTACCAGTGCCCCTTGGGTAACTACGGGAGCTAGTACTCGTGTACCTCCTTCCATGGATACAACTGCAGCGCCATGGGCCACTGGAAGACCTGATGCCCCTCTAGGAGCACGTCCAGTACTGCCCGATACTTCTAGATTGCCACCCGGGCCTATGGCTCCTACTAGAGCACCCTGGGTTTGCGGGCAAGCCCCTCCACCGCCTGACAATGGGCCTACTAAAGCGCCCTGGGCGAAACGAGATTGAAAATATGATACCCAGTTTAAGAATACCATAGTGCAATCAAAAGCATATTGTTTGCCGTAAATTCCGTTTTCGAGTGGGAATGTCTAAAGAAGGGTATTCATCCCGTTCTGAAATTTCTATCAAGTCAAAGTTGGGTATCATAATATAGACATAACACATAAGACCAAACAACCCCGCTATTCCGTGTCAGAGTCGTAGCCCACCAGAGCCGGAGGAGGTCCCAGCGTAGGCCGTGATTTTTGAATATGATCATCAAGCCCCTCGCTTGGTGGACTTCGCGTGATTACCGAACCAGCGGGATCAGTAAACCCTGATTTAGATTCAACGCCTTGGCGAGAGAGGATCCCTGCCGAAGAAGCCTTTTTTCGTTTCAGGCCCGGCCGCCAGGCATCTTGGTCACTCCCAATATCATTCAAGAATGGATCAACCGCGGCGCGGGTGTTCCCCGTCAATTCATGGCGTAGAGACTCTCTATGTTGCGCAATGGAGCCCGTCTTTCTGGTGACCCGCAAGCTACGCTTCTCTTCGTCCTTATCCTGCTTCCGACTCTTGATGGTAGGGCTGTGGCTTAGTCGTTGGAACATGGGTCGCACTCGGGTTACCCGTGCAGCTTCCGTTCCGACTATGCTTTGATCTTCACCAAAATCCACAATCGCGGCACGCTGGCGATCTTCCTCTGTTTCGTCAACAAGGTCGATAGCAAGGCTCATTTTGTCTTGAAGGGCTTCGCGATTGGCTGCCAACCTTTCCAGTCCCTTTCGTTCAGAGCGAAATGTCCGCCGTAACCGTTTCGATTTCTCGTAAGGATCATCCCAGTCTCGACTTTGGCGTTCTTGTAACTCGAGAATGCGACTTGCCTCAGTCTGTGCGCGCCGTTTGTCTTCAACCTTCCCTTCAAGCTTCGCGAATGGGTCTTTCTCCGCAGGATCTTGAATCCCAAGCCCGGGAGGACGAATCGCGATCTCCCCGGGCTGCAACTCCTTGTCATCGCCCGTGTCCTTTTTCCTCCCACCTTCTACAACAACATAAGCTGTATTTTTCGGATCCGTTTGGATTTCAATCCAGCCACCACATGCCGTATGCTTCATGCGGAAGCTGTATATCGGGGTCGAGTAGTACTTCCCGACTTTCTTTTTCTCGGCGTTGAATCGCACACCTTGCCCAATCAAGGTCTCGTGGGGTTTGCATGTTGTGCACCATACTGCGAATGGCATCTCAAATCGGACGACCAGGGCACCGGTCGTGTGGAGGTGGCGTGCACGAGCACCGAGGGGGTGTTTGCCGGCTAGTTTGTTGGCGGAGGTGACTCCTTCTTGGTCCGGGGGGACATAGCTATATGGGATGTTAGTCTCCAAGGCACCTTGTTACAAGTCAAGGACGTGCAAACGAACCGTCCCATATCTATCGAACATGTCAGCTTTCTCCCCCGTAGGCACGACCGTGGGGTCCCGACGTACTGAAACCCTGCATCTTGAGGGCCGTGGGCGGCCTCAGCCCAAGAATATGTTGAGACTGGAGAGCAGTAGAGATTCTCGGTGTTTAAAAACAGGAATATAAGTATGTCGCAGCTGTTGACAGCTGATCGCCAACGACAAGAGTCTCCGCGCTCACGACCTGAGTTGGTGTAGAGTCTGGCGGCGTGGCCGGAGTTAAGCGCGGATATACTATGCTTACTAACCACACTACCCCGACTCACCAAGTTAGTGCTGGGCACCGGTGGAAGCGTTCCCAGGAATTTAGGTCGCGTTCCCACGGAGCCGGAGGAAATATAATTCCGTGTTTCTGGGAACGCTTCCACCGGCGCCCCATCATGATTAGATCTGATGAGATCCCTATCCAGATATATAGAAACCCTGAAGATATTTTGTACAGTAGACAATCAAATGTATAATTCTACTAGGGGATCTTTATTGTACTATGTGCTTTGATTAGTTGAAGGAGGTTGTACAGTAATCATCATGCTCTGAAAAAGATTTCAGTGTCGATCTTGAGGCTCGCGAACTACTAGCAAATGCACGTGATCTACCGGTCACGTTCGTTTGTTCCGAAACGTCTGTTTTAATTTTGTTAAGCACTGCAGTATGGAAATGGCCAACACTCTGATTGGAGGATATCTTTCTAGTACACTGTCGTTACAGGATATAGCTTCGCATCTCCGATTGGGAGAGAATCAACTCACACTCTCTTCGCTTCATCTGCTTCTGCTTTCCCTTTTGGGAGGCTTCCTCTATCGTGGTGTGTGGTGGTTTGTTGGTCTGTTCGCCGACCTATCTCATCCTGCCTGCATTCACAAGCTTGCCGTAGAGCGCCCTGGTTCAGCACCTACAGATTTAGCGTCATTTAGATCAGTTCTCTGTCACATCTTTACCTGTTTGAGACTACTCACAGTGATTAACCGGCCCCTCGTAATTTCATTCAGACAGCACAGCCTAACAGATAAAGAGAACAGCCCCCGTTGGCTTTTCGGCCCATTTATTTACCTGGAAATATACGAAACGGGCTATACTGTAGTTCCCTTCTGCTATTACAATCTACAATCTTTATTTTTCATTTTCGTCCAAGCCAATTGCATATATTAATATTTCGTTTTTTAGGGGGAAGAAGCTATCAGCTGCAAGACCTAATGAATTTCCTAACATCTGGTTTTCGATGCTTGCATTTTCAATTATTAGCGATACTTTTCATTCTACTCATACCGATAAGCTATGCAACATGCTAGTGGCCAAGTGGAGATATTCAGGACAACTATGTACAATGTCCAAGTGGGCTAAGCTGCTGCTTGAAAGGCGAGACTTGTTTATCGAACGGGCTCTGTTTTACCGCGAACTTCGGGATTCTCTATCGTGGCGCCTGTGCAGATAAATCTTGGCCGATCGCAGAATGTCCTCGAGCATGCTATACAGGTAAATAAGTACTCTGCTATCCGCAAGAAAAATCCTATGAGCTAATTATGACTGGGTATAAAGAGATTGATTATAGCTTGGCAAATCTATTTCAATGCACTACATCGACCGATCTATTGACATGCAGCCATAAATATACATCCGCTGGTATTGTCTGCGATGGCTATGGGATGGGAACATATGATGGATACACCAGCGCCAATGTGACGGCAGCCCAAGTTGGTATAACAGACGATGCAACGACAGCCAATACAACGAATTCGACATCTACAAGTTCGACGTCTTCAAATTCGAGCTCGACTTATAATGACGGCTCAACCAATACCGGTTCTTCAGCAGGTCCTTCAGCCACATCATCCAAAAATTGCACCGAGCTTCTTGCCTTGGGTATTGGCCTTGGTGCGGGACTCGGGGTACCTCTGTTGATATCGACAGGACTCCTGATATATTGTGGAGGCCAGAATCGGAAACAGAAAAAGGAAATCCAGCGAATATCTGATAATTCCCAAACTGCTAGCCTCCAAGCCCAGAGGCGAGGTTTTTCAAATCGGGCAGAGTTAGATACGTCGGTTATGTTCCCAGAACTGGAAAGCTCAACTGCTAGCAAGATGGAGTTACCAGGATCATGCCCGTCCTACAACAATTAATATTGATTGGCAATTCAAACGTTCTCGTCATGAAATATATCTTCCAAGGTTAGACTCCAGGGCTGCCTTTGTCAACCTTGAAGCTAACTTTGACATCCCCTGCCACCTGGAAATCGGTTCTTGTCCCAGTGCATCAAAGCTGAATCGCGAAAATATGCTCCACATAATTCCCCACGGTGACAGGGATGGTGCCATCAACAAGAAGCAGACTGAGTGATCCAAGGAAGATAAAATTTAATACTCCGCTAACTTGAATGCTTTCAACGGTTTCTACTGGGATTTTTATCTATGTCACAAGGAGTTCAACAAGAGGAACGCCCTGGATCAGCATCTCAACTTGCCAATGCATATTGGATTGAGATTGCTTTAAATGGATTGAATTCGATCGAAGTTTATCAAGTTCAGGAGTATTTTGTATCTCCTGAATATCCATTTACAGATAATAATGATATTCTATATTTTATTTAAATTGGAAAGAATTCTCTTCAAGAGATTTCAACCTTTATAATGTAATTCGTTATTACGTTAAGAGTGATCTCAGAGAGACTTGGGATCGCCAGGGGGTATCCTGCAGTAAACACAAGGTGATTGAGCTTGAACTTGCCACTCTTGGTGGCAAACTGGAAGATATTTTAGAAGTTGAATTCGATCGTGTTGACGAGATCGTAGGCCTGTATGAGGATGATTTGTTGCTCAGAGTAGGCCGAGTAGGCTACTTTCAGTCACGCAACAGCATTTTCGAGTTTGCTTTCATTGGAGCTAGAAGGAATCAGATGGGCACCATGCTCAAATGCAGATTCAATGACGCCAAAGCCAATGCAAGAGGTGCCGCCGAAAATGAGGACTTGTTGGTTAGCGAGCTTGTTGTATACTGAATGATGGAAACCCCATTGCAAGAATTGCAGGTTCAAAAGAAGAACGCGGAAAGAAAATGGGGGCGTAAGATAGAGATCCTATGATTGATAAAGTCCTTCATTTATTTTTGTACACTTACAAGCTCCTTGCACTTTTAAGATTTACGGCTTCGTGACAATGAGGGCGGATCGAAATCGTCATTATAGAAATCCAATAAGCTAATTCTCTGTCGACAAGCTCTCACCTGTAAGCCTACCACATTTAGGCGGTAGATTGTTTATCATATTACTCAAATATTTTGTAGCCTTGAGCAATGTCAAAATTGCAAACAAGTGGTCTGGAGACTAGAGGTGGCTTCCTTCTGGGTATCAAGGCAATATACTAGCTATCAGCAATACAAGCTATGCAGATTCGTTAATTTTCTGTTTCGAAACAGCAATATAAGTACTATCTGAGTATCAAATAGAGGCCATCAGTAGATTTAAGAAAGAATATCTCGAGGCTCAAAAGAGTCGCAAGTGTAACATAAGTCACCACCATTGAAAACGGGCAACAAGGAACTGGTTGCATTATGATGTGGTACACAAGCATCCTTCCAGCAAAAATAGAGGGCGCTTGGTTTGACGATGCACCTTGTAAAGTCTATTATTCCTCGGTCTCATTTGGCTTATAAGGACCGAGATCCGGGCGCACAATGGGTGAATACACTTGACAATACTTCGGCATTGAGGAAATCGTGGAGCTTACTCGCCGAGGATGAACATGGAGACAGCGTCTGTTCATTTGAATTAATAATTCATTCCACCACTTCGGTAGGGATGAGTAGAAAAAGCTATTCTATAAAGTAACCCCCGTGGGCGCAATTCTTGGTTTCCCCCGAAAGCAGAAAGATTCGCAACCCACATAGACATTTCGAAGTATCTAGTATGGATTTGTCACCGTGCAATCAAAAGAAACATTCGCTAACGTGTCGATCAACAGGTCAACTAGAAGGTTTTTTCTCGCCAAGAAGCCCCACTTAGAATTGCCGTGGTTGTATCTAAACATCAACATGAAATCCATAGCTCTTTTCAGTGTTGTCTCAACTCTTCTCTCTCTCTCGGAGGCGATCATCAGCAACTACTTGATATATACCAAAGCCAATACAACTGACATCCCGGCTCGACTACTTTATGTTGCCAATTACAACCCCTGGGGACCCGTCAGACCGGTGCTATTAACCCCACAATCTCCCGGATTCAACCTTCAGCTCAATAGCACCCTGGTTAACTCACAATTTACCTTTACTGTGGGAAACATTGGGGATGCGGGTGAGCTGTTCGTTCAACATACTCAGGTAGTAACATGGGGCCCCACAAAATCCCAATGGTCAACGGTAAAGAGTGCAGCCGGATGGTTTAGTATATACGTGACAGGAGCGAGTTCGACCAGTGCTTCGAGATGCTGGCTCCCAACACGGATCAATAGCAACGTCATGTTGGTACCCTGCCAACCGTCCGATCCGACGTTCGCAGTGTGGGGGTTTTCCCAGCTTCCTAAGTAATTGCGCGAACATATTATGTTTGTCTCGAGGGGGCCGGTAGCTGGATTCAACATCCTCCACTGGTTCCATAGGCCGTGGGCCACATATGTTTCTATGTAATCAGTGTATATATTATTCAGCTTATTAGGGTTAGCGAGCCGTTCTTATTTTAAAACACACACTAGTTCCAACAACTGGGTCTTTCATGTTTACTCGAATCAAGCTTTGTCCTGCTTTGGTACATTTTCTACTCTGTATCTGAATCCCACATATGCCAAGCCCAATATTACTGGCTTTAACTTTCAAAGAGATACTCCCAAGCAGAAATAGGGCCCTGCTCCACCCGGCCTCGTTTCTATAGTCGATGGGGAAACAGATGAAGCCTCGGCTGTCAAAAGAGGAGTCCATTTCCGCTCTGTGAAAAGAGATCGGGGAATTTGATCCAAACTGGAAATCAAATATCAATAGTCTGCTGCAGCAAGGGATCACCTGGATCCACTGATGCCCAGGTTCATTCTTCCGGTTCCTCCTGAACGGTGATTATTCGGTGGTGTTGATCGGCTCCCATCGGTGACGTCGGGTCCAGAACAGCGCCAACCTCGGAAGTTCCCACCTCACGACAACCAAGATTTCCAAACCTGAACAACACACGAGGGCGCAATTCGAAATCGTGGCTGCCGCCGACCCACTTCAGCGCGGTTCCTTGATGCCATTGCATCATCGCCCGCTCGCGCATCTGATCCCGTGCGACGCCCGCATCGTGGCCCTGACGATCGCTGATCGATCGAGCGATCGGCCACCGCACCAAAATTACGTGAACGCTGATCTCGCCAGCTTTATAGCGTCAAGAACAACTCATTCGCCCGCTTTTTCAGGGGAACCATGGATAGAATTCAATAAGAGATTTTTGATTGTGTGATGAACTCGACTTGGATCGAGCATGGCGATCGTCCGGTCTGGTTTAAAGACCTAGAATCCGGCGCCGCAGGCGATTAAAAGCTCTACGGCGAGCAAGGATCTGGTGAAAATGGACATACCCGATATTCCAGATGACCGTCCACACAAGACAAGCTCGGTGCTCTCCTACGCGCCGACGATTGTTCTTGATGAGGCTGCGCAGGATGCGGAGCTTCGCGATAACCCCCTCAGCCAGGACCTGCACGAGGTTCCCAATGGCACAAATCAAACCGTTGACGGAAAATTTCAGCAGCTTGATCTCAACGGCGATAACTAGTAAGAATGAACATTTGCATTGCACGAAAATGCGAGCCTAAAATCATAAATGGAGCCGACGCTAATTTTGCAGTCTTACTTCACCCAGTTCACCAAGTGACCTAAACTCGAAAACCTCCCTGAAGTCGGTTCGTCGCAACTTCTACATCAATGAACTTCCGCTTCTCCAGGCGACAAACCCGTACGATGGATCCGACCAATTCAATCCATTCAATGAGGGAAGCGAAGACGGCTTCTCTTACGATCTCGTGGCGCCGTACGAGGGCGACATGCCTCCTCTCCACGGCCTCGAGCGCCAAGCTGATGCAATGTTCTCGGCGGAGCATATGCTGGTCATCCTCAACGATCCGCGGTACTTGGCACGCTTCCGGGAGTTTCTTGTCGTGGAACGCCCAAGGTCAATTCCGACCTTGACTTACTATCTCAATGCCTGCAAGGCACTGAAAGCTATTCAATATGCCAACGCGCTTGTACGACTATCGGTCGATGTGCCGACGGCCGGAATAGAGACGGCCCAGAAGCCTGTGGGGTTCACGACGAATTCCGCCCTTGAAGTTCGCGTGCAGGACGCGCTGAACGCTCTCACAGGGGAAGAGTTACCCGCTTTTATTACTTCTACTTGCATCAATATCACTAGTAAGGTAGTCGAGGAGCGAGTGCGAGGAACACTCCCCGATAAGTTCCAAGGAATGTCCGACGCGTTGGCGGAAGTCTTTTGCCTAACAGATCCGTCACGACCGGATAATCCCATTATTTTTGCTTCGGGAGGTTGGTTTTCCAAGGCATTATCTTCATATTGAGTTTGCGAGACTCACAGGCATCATCTAGAGTTCCATCGCACTACACAATATGGCATGGATTACGTGCTTGGGCGAAATTGCCGGTTTTTGCAAGGCCCAAAGACAAATCCCAATAGCGTACGACGCATTCGAGAAGCTATTCATGAGGGTCGTCATCATTCCGAATTGTTCCTCAATTAGTACGTCATTTTTGCAAGGGTCTGAGCTTCGATTTTCAGAAGAAGAATAGCTGATTTGAAATTTGCAGTCGTCGTGATGGCTCCCCTTTCATGAACCTTCTGCAATGTGCGCCGCTCTGTGACAGTCAAGGCAAGATTCGCTATTTTATCGGTGCTCAAATCGATGTTTCTGGGCTGGCAATGGAAGGAGCACAGATGGAATCGCTTCAAAACTTGAAATTGGAAAAAGATGTATCTGAAGAAACTGACGATGCGTCTGGGCGAAAGCCCCTCCCAACAAAATCAGAATTCCAACAACTTGGAGAATTATTCAGTCCCCGTGAGCTGCAGAATGTGCATAACTACGGTGGTAACTTGTTCCATCCAGTCGTGGATAAACTCAACTCAACAAACAGTCGATTATGGCTTCAAAGTCCCGAAAATGAAGCAGAGATTAGACTAGGTGGAGTTCAGTCGCCTATTTCTACTAGAGGCTCCTTAACCGGTGTATATAAACATGTATGTGATTTCGATACCATTTATTACCCAGTATTTGCTAATTCTACTGTACAGTATCTTCTTGTTCGACCATATCCCTCCCTTAGAATCCTTTTCACCTCGCCTTCTCTCCAGATCCCGGGCATGCTACAGTCCTCTTTCCTTTCACGAGTCGGTGACACTGGGGAAAAGCGTGACAGGATTTTACATGCTATGATGGCAGGTCGCAGTGTCACGGCACGGATTAAGTGGGTGACACGCTTTAGCGACCAAGGTCGACATCGATGGATCCATTGTACTCCGCTATTGGCGAATAATGGTGAAGTAGGTGTTTGGATGGTGGTCGTGATTGACGATGAGGATGAACATCTTGTACAATGAAAAGGAAATTGGCCCATAGCCTAAAATTATTCCAACTTCAATATTCTTGTACATACTTTTTTTACGCTCCGATCATAGAAGTGACGTATATATTTTGAGTTCTGAAACAATACCCGGGGATGGTCAGCAGAAGAAGATTTGATCTAACAGGATTCCCATATATATATTTGGTGAAACGTAGTTTTACTCTATTTCGCTCGGATTGCCCCTATCTCACATGTGAACTTTGAAATATATTTGACTTTACAAAAGAAGTTTGATTTCAAGATAGTTTAATCCAGTGGTAGTCTAACGGAATGGAAAGAAATGAGCATAAGATTGAGAAGGTTTTAGGACCTGACAGCTAGGTTCTATTGACAACTAAGGGGTGGCAAACCAAATAAAGAATGAGAATTCAGAGATCGAGTGGAGATAAACCGAGAAAAAAAACTATAACGAAATTAAAACAGGACATCCAGGAAGACTATGGAAGCGATAAAGCAGAATATGATGGGAAAGCCAAAAATGAAAAACAGTCGCTGATGCTGGGCAGGCTGGTAAAATGCTCATCCATCCTCATCAGATATCAAAACGGCGTTCTATTCTAATTCATACTTGACAACGTAAGATGACTGCTTCGATCCATCTGAATCACTCATAATGGCCGCGGGGTCCAATTTTCTCTCGAAAATCTTGGCGACATCTTCAAGAGATCTGCCCTGGGTTTCTGGGAAGAAGAAGTAAACGAGAGCAAGGACGACGACGAGACAGCCGACATAGATGCTGAAATACCTCCATTGAAGCACCGCAAATGCCACTGGATTGACATACTGATTGAAGAAGCAAGCCAATGAATCTGTAGTAAGCGTGATTGCAAGGCCTTTTGCACGAAGTTGGAAAGGTAAGATCTCGGCTGGGTAGGCGATGAAAAGTGGCATATAGGCAAAATCGTATGCTGCACAAAATAGGAACAACATTGGAACCACTGTAATTCCCGCCTCAAGTATATGGGCCTCGGAGAAGAGGCCAGCCATGACCGTAGATGTTGATAAGAATATCAACATCAAGGTCGTCGCACATAACCAGAGGACTCGTCTACCGTATCTGTCGGAGGTGCTGGCTCCAGCTACGGCGAACGCTAAGTTCCAAATTTGGAGACTTATATTGACAGCGGCCTGGTGGGTTGCATCGGTAATGCCGACTGAGGCCAAGATGGGAGGGAGGTAGTATGAAGTGACACCTAGTAAGGGCTCTTGTTAGAGAATAAGTTGCCTTGGGACGTTCCGTAAAAAGCTTCATACCGTTTCCAGTCCATTCTTGCATAAAACCCAAGAGAATGCATATGGTTAGACGGTGAACATCCCCCCGAGATTTGAAAAATGCGGACCACCGAGAGGCAGACTCCTGATCCATCGCCTGATTGATGCTCATGCATATCTGATCAAACTCATCTTGAACCAGCTTGTCGTCTGCACGTCCATTTGCGTGATATCGGGTCAGCAAAGCCAGTGCTTCCCCCTTCCGATTCTTAGAAACCAACCATCTCGGGCTCTCAGGAATGATGAAAAGCGCTGCTATCTGTAACGATGGAAATAGTATTTGAAATAAACAAGGCACTCGCCATGACCAAGAATTTTGGATGGATAATGTGGAAAAGGCAATCGCGGCGGCTGTGATTGACCCGCAGAACCATACCGCATTATATAGACCTGTTAGCGTCCGCCGTTGATTTGGATGTGCTGTTTCTGCAATCAATAACGGGGCCGCTGTTTGTGAAAATCCAACGCCAATACCAGTAATCACTCTTGCACCAAAAAATACCCAGTGGTGCGCAACTGCAACCTGAATTATTGCCGCAATTATAACCAGTGTAGCACCAATACTAACGCAAAGTCGCCGGCCGAAATTGTCGGCAACATATGAGGCCGGAATGAAAGACAGGAAGGCACCGAGTGAAACAGAGGCGATGATCAGACCGGTAGCGTTGGAATCAAGTCCACTTAAGAACTTGTTGACTGCTTTTATATCAGTACCTAATCACTCTCATTCGGAATTTTCGTCAGTAAAAATCTCTTACACTCTGGAAGAACCTGCAAACTATTGATCTGACTAGCGTTGTACCCTGATGTAGCAGATGCAGCTAGCATCAAAGCAATACCTAGGTTCAACCTCCGAAGTCCATGATCAGCACCCGAAAATAGTGACATGTTGTGGCAAGACGGTCGTAGACAGCCACTGCCAAAGCTCTAGCTATAGCCATCCCCGGATGTCAGGCTGGCTTTATTTTATTTTTAAGTCTAGGCGGGCAATTTCTCGGATAATTGTAAGCTGCCCACATTCTTCGTGACTCTACTTGCGCCGATCCTGCCGAGTAGGGTCACACCTGTTCACTGTACGGACTGGAATGTAGGGTGAACTTTTCAATGAGCGAATCACTCCATCAATTTAAACCGGAAGGTCACTGAGCCAGCTTCTTTGAGTTCAAAATATGCAAGGACTAACCTAGCTTCGCGTTTTAATCAAGAATAGATTAAAAATGAGTTGCCAGCTCTTGCCGGACTGCGTGTCTTTCTCAAGGGGGAAGCTCAGAGCTCTCGTTCACCCGGATGACGGCATTAATGATTTTATGTCTTAAGTAGAAATCATAGAAACCTACTTGAAAGCCCAAGATTAGATTAGTATTCTTGTATCTTATGTTTCGAGTATATATCAGTTCGACCGCACTCCTTGCTAATCAAGACTACCGGCGTATCTTTAGACTAAGCTAAGAGTTGAAATTGCTTTCGCATCTAATACGAAAAAAGTTATTCGGCAAGTCAAGTATCTACTGAGTGGTTTTGACGAATGACCCTCCGAATTTACGTTTGCCGCCTGTGCCCCGAGAAATTTGACCCCAGCAAAGAGCCGCGTTTAAACGAATATGACACGCTGTCTTGGCCCCCTAAGGCAGCAGATCAACCTGCATTACATACTTAATTGTAATATACATTCAAAATTTGGCATAGGAATGGCCGATTAATATAAGCTCCGAAGTGATAATATTCAGTGCAAAGGGCGGAGAGGGGTGGGGGTGGGGCGTGGTTGCAGCCAGGTGTCGGAGGCAATGGGTCACAGACGAGAAGAAGGTTGTAACTATCAAATATTACTTTCATATGATTTAAAAAGCCCTTTGAATACTAAATTTACTCGAATATCAGTTATATACCTCTTCATTCTTCCTCTAGTCCGGAATTTTATAGCTTACGTTTGCAAAATCCCCATCCGCTCAGAGGCAAGACAGAAAATGGACTCTTAGATCGACCTAATCCTAGGAAATGTATTGAATTTTTCTCAGTTGAGAATGCTTAGGGAATCCCATGAAGCAGCCGTGGGTTTGTGGGGATCATCCTAGAAAGCAGAATTAGCTCCTTGATATCTCGGGTATCCATGTTGGAATTGTTGTATCACCTGATCATGATGCCTCCACAAGCTTGGCCATATCTTCTTCATCTCTATCTACGCAGTTATCATTATTGATTAAAATAGCATACGACAGACACTTTTCGAATACATAGGTAAAACTATCTCAGAGGCGTTTCAATTCATGGATAATTTTCTATATTGATTGATTCTCCAATATATTAAACATTACATTGTGCACAGTGCAACTAGTCAGAGGTCACGAATTACCCATGAACACATTCCTCGGGCGTTAGCAAATATTAGAGACTCGGAATTATTCATACTGCACGTGACTGTGGGCCAGGTATTCAACATTTATTGAAGCACTGACTAAATATGAAGATGAATCAATGAGAGTGGAGACAAATTTAACTAATAATTCTTCAATCCTTCAAATCGATGTTCCCGTTTCAGAAATGCTGTATGGGCTTCAAAGTGCTGCCACCTCCAAGGCGTAAATTTTATATTTGGATACCTATGGAAGGATGAAATGAGAATAATACAACAGTAATTCAGGAGAATAGGGGGAAAAGTCGAACACAACAAGATCTCATTTCCGCCCTTGAAAATTTATTAGATGAGCCTTCTTTTTCAATCATCCGATGTATACTGAGTCCACTATTTGATGAGCGAGAAATTCATAATAGTGTACAATTAAATATTAAATGTAAATCAAAATATTTGTAAATCCACTTCTCTAACGGACTTGATAGTTGCACCAGAGAGCTACAGTAATATGAAATTGAATGTCATGTGCGTCTGTCATAGAATTTGGCTCTCTTTAATGTTTTAAAAGCCCCGAGAAAGCTTGTAAGGGGATATATATAATCCATCAGTATGCAGTATTTAATAACCGTCATTCTCGATTTATTTTACGAAAACATATTTGTCCGAAGTCAACATGTAAATGATGATTTTTGATCGAATATGTCCGTTTTATCTAGTTTGATATGATTGGAGAGACTGAAGCCAGTTGTTTGAAATGAATGTAATTTCGAAGGAGTTGATCCTAAAAGAAATTTAATTCCTGCTTCGAGCTTATGTGGATATATTTTCAAAGCAACTTTCGAAAGATTGTACGGCCAGAGTGCTTGGCGGACCATTTTCGCTACCTATCACATCATTTTCCAGAGTGAACTTCCAGGAGAAGAAATGACCGTCCAAAGGGGTCAGCCGAGGAAAATTCTTCCGTGCTTACGGTACTTCATCTCCATCCTTCACGGGGATAAGGGGCGTCTTCAAATTGTTCCCAAAGGGCGAAGAATGTCGGATTGATTTTGGTGAGGTTCCGCATTCGGCAAAGACACGCGCTGACGGATAGACAGAAGTACCGAGCTTGACTCATGAAAACCCCCCTGTGGACATGAATATGCATCATTAAAGTTCAGCTCATGACGAAACAATCAAAGTTCCGGATCAATTCCATGCCGTTGAGATCACACCACGAGGACCTGACTGACATGCTTGGATACCAGTTGACATCATTCAGACCGTGAAACCCAAGCTAGTATAACGTTTTTAGAAGATGAGCCCTCTGATCAAGTCAAGTGGCAAACTGAAAGCTTGAAATCTAGCTTTCTTATTCGAAATAGGACTCCGGTCTTGAGGAGCGTCACAATTTGTGGCACAAGGAGATTTATCACGCTTGTTGAATGTGAAGCACCCCGAGATGCCCCTTACCCACCAAGGACGTATTGAAGAATAAATGCTCATCTGAATGAAAATGCACATAGACTGTATTACTAGTTCACATACGATAACTTCACATCACACATTTATTTCATAAAATAAAGATCAAAAACAGGATGATTCTTCAAAAAGACATCCCTATTTGAGCCATCTCACCTTTCCAGAAATCCAGCAACCTTCTACATTGCCGTTTTTCTCCTTCAAGTCTACCTGGATTTCCGATGGCCTTCCCATACTCCATCCCTGCCTTACAACAATCGGCTTAGCCGTTCCAGCGGCTATCTGACCATCATGCAAAAGGCTGAACACAAGTGCTGCGGCTGCAACTCCCGTTGCAGAGTCTTCCTTATAACCGGAAGATTTTGGGAACTGCCGGGCTTCAACAAGTTGGTCCTCAGCGTTCAGAATGACATACGGGTAGAGCCCAGTAGAGCCAATCTTTTCGCAAATTTCCCGAACTGAATTCGACTCAGGATTTATTCCGTCGAGAATATCACGATTCTTGATAGGTATCAGAGTTTTTGTTCGAGAAGTGCGTCCATTTTGCACTTTATTTGCTGAAGAAAGTTGGTCTGTCGTGATTTTAAGACAAGAGACAATTTCAAGGACATGGTCATCAGACAGGTTTTCCACTATACCTGGTGGCTGAGAAACAAGGATACGTGGTTCTGGATTGCCATGTTCACGAATAACCTGTACCTCAACCCTGCCAGACTTGGTCAGAATAGATGTTTTGCCACTATTTGGTAGCAATCCGAGTTGGTTCATGATCCAGACAGCCCCAACAGTCGCATGTCCGCACATCTCCATTTCGTGATTCGGGACCCAGTACTGCATTTGAAAATCACAAAAGCTGTCCTCTTCTACTTTGATAGAGGATACAAATCCGCATTCATGCCCGCTGTCCTTTGCTAGGGTATGCATCTCAGTATGACTCATGCCGTCGGCATTGAGGTAGATTGTTGTGGGATTTCCTCCTTGCTCCTGATCATCTAGAGAGTATGGGAACACCGAGAGGTGATAAGCGTTGATATTATCCATTGTAAAAAACAATTTGTGATGAGAATGTATCATAAGAGTTCGAGGAAAGTGATTCCGTCCCATAATGAGCAGGCTGCTGATGGATGACTACATCCCCGCTCGCTAACCAACTAGGGCTCCACTGACCAACTCTCTAGCACCAAAACGGGATGGTTCGGCTTGTGCGGAGTACTCCAACCCAATGCAAGATTTCCCGTTTGAGTATATTTGTAAAAATTTGATAAGACTAGTGAGGAAATGGGGTGTCGCTTATCTATAATTGCCAGACTACATACGGTCCTTGCACTCCCAGTGTCCTGGTTCGTCATGAGAAATAGCCCAATATTTCCCATAAATCCGATATCAGTATAGTGGTTGAGTGCAGTTCGTCTTTGCATATGTAGTCTAACATTTAATCACAGATAGTCATCCAAGCAAGGCAAACATTATCTTGGATGCTTAGAACCTCGAGATTCAGACTCAAATATAGATCATAATATAGACTTGAAATTACACCTGTGAATCCTGCTGCAAAATACCCTACCAATAAAATTATTTTGCTAGATTCAAAGTCCGAGTTACTATGGCCCATATTTCTTCAATTAATTCCCAAATTGGAATAAGTCTTTTTCAGGCCCGACTTCTTTCCAATCCAGATTTGCCCCAAAGAATTTCTCCTGAGGTTGTAGTGACTCGATCCACCACTGGATGGTCAGTAGACTCGCTGGATACTCGAGACTAAAAAATACCATATAACCTTGAATTAATTCTTGCTGGGCCAACTCTGCCATTTCAGCTTTCTTTTGTGCTTGCAGAACCTTTTCATACCAATATAGGCAGTCGAGGGTATCTTGATTTGAGGGCCCGAAACGCGTTTTTATCCCATTCTGCGCCTGGAAAAGAAGAGGCTCTGCATCAGCGTATCTGGCCTGGCGATAGTACGCTAAGCCAAGCCAATAAGTGGAACATAAAGTATCCAGGTCATATTCTCCATATTTGCTGTACCGTCGCGAGTATGCTTGATTGAGGAATATCATGGCTTTTTTGTACTTTTTTTGGTAGTACATAGATAAACCCAACCAATGACTCGTTGTCATGCTTCGGGTGCCTTTTCCTGTAGTAAAAGTCCGACGATAAGCATGCCAGAAAGCTTCTTCAGAATCGGAATATTTTTCCAGGTCAAAAAGAACACATCCAAGCCAGAAGGCGCATTCAATTGTCTCTTCTGCTCCCGGACCTAGCAAAAGCCTTTGTCTTGTCAAAGTTTCTTCGAGGATTGGTTCAGCCTCGCCAGAATTTCCTTGCTTGTACAGGGTGAATCCAATCTGGAAGGAGGTGTGCACTAGACATTGGTCATATTTGTCGCTTTTATGTTCTAGTTCTCGGAGTGCAGAACGAAAGACTTTTTCGGCCTCACTGTATTTTCTTTGCTTAGAAAGCGCTAGTCCAAGCGCATACAAAGAATCCAACGTCTTCCTGCTGGTACTACCTAGGCTCTTGCTGAACCCGTCTGCGACCTCACTAAAAAGATGCTCTGCGGCTTCATAGTGAAATAGCTCAAATTGATTGCGACCAAGCCAATAGAGAGCATCGAGTGAATCAGCATGTGTTGGTCCCAAGCATTTCTGAAGCCCCTCCGTTGCCACTTCGAGATAGTTATTAGCAGTGTTATAATCTCCCTGTCCGTGCAACCTTTGACCAAGTTCAGCCATGGTGCGATAATGAGTTTCAATTTTGGTCGAGCCACCCTGCTTAGGTTTTGGCAGAAGCTTGGGAGAGTTGTGTGGTAATAGCACTCTGACATTTGCCGCTCTATTTTGAATTAAGCCTCGAATTTTGACTGCCGCTGTTCTCGGAAAGAGCCGAAACTGGCGAGAGCTTCGCTGAAGTAACGGCGCACGGTCCCAAATCATTTGCTGCATGGAGCTTGTGGCTTTGTCTATCTGGGCGTTGATCTCTTCAATTTCATGAAGCGTAGAAGAGGTATGTGGGTGAAATACCCCGAGCACACATTTTTGGGTTTCTACCACTTGCTGCAGAATAGACAGTCCTTCTGGGTAATTTCCTTCTCGAATTGTCATGGCTCCGACCCGATAGCGGGATCTGAGTGTGGATACACAATTCGAACCGTGCGCCTCTGATCGATATTCAAAAAGCTTCTGAAACACACGTTTGGCTTCCGAATATCGGGACATATAGTAATAAGTAATACCCAGAAGATCGTATGAGGTCCGAGTGTCCCGATCATCTAAGGTCAGTAATTTCTCTCGGCCCTCGGCCGCTCTTCGGAGATAGAACTCGGCTGTCTTGAACTCATGATTTTGGAAAGACTCTACCCCTTTCTTGTGTAGATTTAGCCATTTTCTCAGTTCCAATTGTTTCGTGCCTTCGTATGATGAAGAAACAGTTTGAGTTTCTGAGGACTCAGACTTCACTGCAGTAGATTCTTTTCGGGTGGATAACCCCCGATAGGGCAGTACATATGCCTGTACATTTTTATTCGTCGCTGGAGACAAGTTATGATTGTCGCTATCAGACAAAGGCGAAGACTCTTTCTGCAATGGCAAAGGCAAAAGCGAAGGCCGCTCCTGCACAGGCAAAAGCGAAGGCCGCTCCTGCACAGGCAAAAGCGTCTCATGGAATTCCTCGATTTCACTGCATCGGAGCTTTTCTTCCTTGATTTGCATGCTCAATGTTCTGGTAAGATGAAATTCCCCCTGCCGCAGCCACGCAGTCTCCATTGCCTCTTTTGCAGATAATCTCTCCGAGGCATGTCGAGCCATTGCGGCCTTGATGAAGCTCTTGCAATCTGAGCTAATAATCTTCGATCGAGGTTTGGGAAAGGGAAAGTTTCCATCTTGCATATATTGTTGTTGCACGCTGATATCTTCGGGATCGAATGGATGATCAAGGAAAACCATGTAGAAAGTTATAATACCCAACGCCCATATGTCAACTTTATTTGTATATGAGTTCATGGTGTCCTTGTTATTCATACCAGTGAGGTACACGTTTCGAACCTCAGGAGCTAAAAATGCCGGTGTCCCAACCAGTGATCGAAGCATGCCTTCCTTCCCATTGTCCCGTTTGCTGAAACCGAAATCACCGATTTTGACCCACCATTTGGGGCCCTTGCGAAAGACAAAGATATTCTGCCCTTTTTAGTCGTATTATATTTTATTCTTGAGTAAGATCTTCTTACCGCGGGTTTCAGGTCTCGATGAACAAATCCATTCTCGTGAAGAAGACTCAGGCCTTCCGCTAGCTGGAACGTAATCAACCTAGCTTCGCTTTCAGGCAACGGCCTTTCGAGATGCGAATCCAGATCGCCGTTTTCAATATACTCCATAACAATGAATACGTGTTCAACATTTTCATACCATCCAATGAACTCGACAAAAAGACCTTCGTACTAATACCAACCCGTCAGCTTGCAATGCTCGAAGCAGGTTGATGCCGAGTTCTCAGACCGCAAATGTTATACCTTCTTCTGTGAGAATTTCGCGATCGCTTCCAGCTCCTTGAAATAATCGATTCTCTTTGGTAGGATGGTCTTTTTAATTTTCTTCACGGCTTGCAATTCCGCTTTGTCGCTTGTCAGGCATCTCTGGAGAGAAACAGTGCCATAAGCTCCTTTCCCCAGTTTCTTGACTTCCTCCCATACATCCTTTCGCGGCCTACGTCTCCCAAATCGTGAAGAAGACAGATCGTTATGCATAGTGAGTCGATGTGTGTAGTGATGGTCGAATTTGACCTCGATTAGGCTATCGAGAACCAGATCGGAAATGAAAGAGTCCATTTTTGGCTTCCACTTGGAACACGCAGCTCATAGGCAACTTGAAGATTGAATTGCGGTCCACTTTAAAAGGCGCAATGGGGTCCAAAGCCCCTTTTAAGAGGGGAAAGTGAAGTTCCGTTCCAGCGTACCTGTGGCAGACGGAGCTGCAGGTCTAGTTGACCCTGATGTGGGTCTTGTGGACAGGGATCTATGCCACCAGGATTCCTTAGGACGAGGAGAGTACGTGACTCATATTAAATGTTATAATCGAGCACAACTATATAAAAAGCCTTTCACCATTATATTTCAAAATACTCAGAATAATGCCTCTGGTATTAAAGTTGACGGATATGTCCGACAGTCTCGTCGAGGGAAACGAGACATCATGTTTACGAATAGGGACAGATTAGGGGCGAAAACAGGGATAATCGCAGCACTACAGGGATTAAATGCGCCACTAGTATCCGTAATAGCGAAATAATATCATGGGACCTAATTTTAAATCCTGGTTTTGTGTGATGAACCGGCATACCTCGGGATGACTGGAGTGAGATTAATGGTTCATAACTCAGCCCCCACCATCGATCAATTAGTGGCACCAGAATAGACATTACTCCGTACTAGTGGCGTTTGGAATAGAGGCTGTGATAGTGCGGGGTTTGGCTTCTGTTTTGTTTGAATTCGAACTCGTTGAATGTGCACTTGAGCAGCAAGAGTAGTTTGAACAGAGGAACGCCCAGTTACTGCGCCCGTAAACTCCACTGAACTTAATATTTGGCAACAACTAACCAGGCACTTGAATCTTCATTTCCTTGGCACTATACGAAGGAAATTCTGGCCAGATACTCACAATCTGCAATTTCCAAAAATACAGGAGGCTGGTCGTAGCACTGATGATGTCTTTGGTGGAGGTAATCACAACTGACCCCACGTATAAAAGACCATGGAGGCATACAACCCGAGATCCTGCTGATTACTGGTGCTTTCTTGCGAAGACTGGCTATAGAGAACGAAGGGCGGAGTTTGGATGAAGAATAAGTGTTGAAAATGAGGTTTCACATAGCTTGACAATCGAAGCTGGTTGTTAAGTTATTTGAAACAATGTCGATCATCAAACTTTCTTTTTGTTCCCTCTGTGTCTACAACTAGGTGTGATATATTGACACTGCTATATATTTAGAGTACAGAGTATCAGAACAGGTTATATGTCTCTCTGATACCAGCCGCCTAAGACGGAGAGGGGCACGCAGGCCGACGAGCTCAGAGAGCGACGTTACAGACGCAGGCCATGCCAGTGCCCAGCTCTTAGGAGAAGAGCCAGTATGTTCACTTTCACACTACCCATACATATATATCACCTACAAAAATTACATCTCCCAGATGCCTGACGTCTATCGAAGGCACGACGGAGGTATTATGCTGTTCTTTTCGGAGAGGCAAGAAACCATGACTCGGATCTGCTAGTGAAACTTCGGAACTCAAAACTTCCAGATTGTGGATTTCCAGACCGAGTATACGGTTTTTCAAACTACTCCTAGAGGCACTCCTGGATCGCCTTGCTGTCTGCGTGATACTATACAATGTGAGTTTGCTCGTGATATATATCGACTCGTCATCTTCAAGAATTAAGAAAATACAGTATGTTCACTAGCGACTTGCCCGGGACACATTCTTGATTTATTCACTGGCAGACCCTGGCCTCCTGAAGACTAAACTGGACACCGTTACTGAAAGCCAACTGAAACAATCGTTTTCAACCTTCACACCCCAGGCTAAACATTTAGGGTTCTTCAATCTTATATTTACGGAAGGAAGGATGGAAGGATAAATTCTCAAATCGCGATGTTTTGCCGTCCACATCAATGAGACTGAGGTTAGTACATCTTCATCCTTATTCAATTCCGACTCCAAGGCCGGAAACTGGACTCGGAGAGTGCCGAAGTGTCTATAGTCTATAGGTTCCTGTCAAGCCTTAGTGTGATTGGTTCGCTGGCGGGTCCGCCTCTCAAAAGTATTCACGGAAGATAGCATACATTTGGGGAGGGAGGTTTGGCGGTTTTTGAGTATTGAATTGGACAACCTAGTCCTTCAAGAAAGGCCTTGCAGCATATGAAACTAGGTCGTATTCCCAAAAGATTGTGAGCTGGCTGATGGGCTCCATCTAATCTGGGATCCTAGAGACAGGCAGTCCCATAGGTGATTTGCTGAAGGTGAATGTCTTTTTCCCGGTCATAGATCCACAGCTGATGCGAATTGGGCCTGCCCTTGCTCTTCAATAATAAATATACCAATAACAGTTTTGAAATCCTCATATAGTTAGCTTTTAGTACTCTGGACTTTAAAATTTAGGAGTTTGGTACCCCATTCATTTTCATTCATTTGTTGTCCATTGAGGGCAGCCAAAATCAACAGGAAGACAATAGTTTGGAGCCACGAAAGCAGGTTCTTAGGCGACCTAGTGTGAAGATTTAATGTCTTTGTTGAACAAAGTTGGCAGAATGTGAGACAAAAAAAGACTTGACGTTGGATTCTGAGCGATGTTCAGAAAAGTCTTTTCGAAACCAGGGCCAAGCTGCGATGGGACCACAGAGAGTCTTACGACAAGGCAGTGAGATCGATGCCCAGACGGCTAATCTTCGCGGGGGCCGAATAGGATTGAGAAATAAGCACCTTTTATGGTGGGTCTTCTGAATACGAGGCAAGGCTGGGAGGTTGAATTAACCTTCTTGGTGAAGTGGTGAGTGGGGGCCAAATTCCATGTCTACTTTCCAGGCGAGCAATGATATAAGTTCTCGAGTTGCGAGCATTCTTCAATGAAATCTTCATATTCAAAGTTCTATTAATAACCCACAAGGCTCTATAGAGGGTGATGAGGAAATGAAAAATGAAAAGAAAAGAAAATAGAAAAATAGAAAAATAATCGATATGTGTGTCATGTCTTGGTAGGTCGTGAATAATGGCGAAAAGAATTAAGTAGGAACAACAAGGGAAGATGCAAAATACGGCTATGTACAAGTTGGCGAGAAAGTCATCACTTCTGAATATCTATTGCCAGTTTGGGCACCCAGAACGTGACGTTTTTCGTTGATGAGAAGGCCTCAGTGCCAAACTGGAAGACTCCCATGTAGTCCGAGCTTGATGGATAGACATCACCGGAAAGCGTGTAGAGATCCGTGATCAACGGGTAGAGGTCTCCTGAGAAGGTCTGCGTCGTCGTTTCCGCGACCCAGGACAAGACATTTTGTTCGTCTGAGTTGGTGCCAGTGTATAGGTTGCTAGAGAGCGAGACAAGGAAAAAGGAGAGAGTCAGAAAAAGGAGCGACAAAAAGAGTGGGCATCTCAAGAAATACGTACAAAGTGGTTCCGTTCAGGGTCTTGGTTGTGACTGCGCCCGACGATAGACCGATGGGCTGGGCGGAAGAACCGTAATCGGCAAACCAGACCATGACTTCGTACTTGGCTTTGGTGCTGTTCTGGGCGGTTTCCTTGTCGGAGTCAAAGAACATATCGATCGCGACGTTGGTTTGAAGGTCATCGTTGTCGAGGGCGGTGTCATCGGTTGACTCTGCGACGACGCTGCCCACCCCATAGGTCCAGTGAACGTCGAAATTGACCTCGGTCATTTTGCCCAGCTCGATCGGCAGGATGTTATCGATCATGATGTTGGGGAAGGCGTGCACGGGCTGGGACGTTGGGCCGGTATCGTATTGCCAAGTGACCGAGAAGCCCGGAGCCGTTGTCGAGGTCGCATAGGTTTCATTATTATTAGTGGTCACCTAGTTCGCCGCTTTGTCAGTCGCAGATCTCAGACGAGATGGAGCCGGAGGATATGCTTGTCTCAGACTTACATTCATACATAGTGATCCGCTGGTCGAATCGGTGACACCCCACTGATTGGGGTTGACTAGAAGACAGAGAGACCAGTCAGCTATTGGGCAGGGAGAAAAGGCACTTGAATCGCGAAGACCGGAGCCAGAGCGGCAGGATGGTGATCGATTTGGAGGAGAGTCCATGGGGCGTCCACATACGGGTATAGTGCTGGCCATCGCTCGGCGGCGAGATGCCCCAGGAGAGTTCGCAGTATTGCGTGGTGGTCACGCCGTTGTTGGTGATGCTGCCACTGCCGCCGGTGCCGCCGCCGGTGCTGTCGCTGCCGGAGCCGCTCCCTCCAGTGCTGCTGTCGCCATCGTTGCTGAAGAGCGGCGATTGTCCGGTTGCTGCCCGGTGTGCATCGATGCCAAATAGTGTGCCGAGCGCGCCGCCGATCGGGATGGCCAACAGTCCCGTGTTGACGAGGAGTCGTAAGGCCATGATTGCGGGAATCGCGAACTAAACGGAGAGTCGGGGAGTATATAGAGAGGTGCGGGAAGGATGAAATGGAGTACCACGCCTTCAGCTTCAACAGGGCCTCCGGGGGGGGGGGGGGAGACTAGGTAAGACTAGGCAAGACAAGGCAAGACTAGGATAAAGATCGCAGATGTGCTGTCTGGACGAGTCAGAAGTCGGGAAGTCAGCAAAAACCAGAGCGCGAGATTGCCAGTCTTTTTCCGGACGCGGATCGGAACGAACTGGTTATCAGCGCCACGGACCAGGTTCCAACCAGACGGAGACGGACCGGGTTTAGCGGCAGGTACCTCACATCCCAGCCAACGCTTGTTCCTGATAAGTCGGGCCCCGGTGGCCCGTCCGCCAGTGGTTGGCCCCCTGCGTCCGGCGCTGTAGGACGATGCAGTGAAACTGGACCAGTCACGCTGGACTGCCGAAGAGAGGAGGGGACCCCGAGACACTTGGATGATCGTAATTAATCTATACTCTTTACTCTATACTCTATACTCTATACTCAACCTCTTCATCCTCTTCATATTCTTCATATTCTTCATACTCTTCCTATAACACGTAACACGCATTACACTTCTCACTTGTTCGCCGGGAAAATCCCTGACCAGGAGCCTGGTGGCGGGGTTGCGCCGATTCAACCTTGGAAAGCATCTGGCGGCTCGACCTATCGGCTTCCCGCAGTTGAGAATTCTAAAATTAACCCTCCCTTTCGGTGGGACGTTGACCCATAAAAGAGGCCAGAAAAAGGCGAACTGCAAAAAAAAAGGTAAAGAAAAAAGCAAAAAAGGCAATTCTCACAAGAAAACTCTTCAGACTGTTTTATTTTTAATTGATTGGTCTTTGGACCGGGACAAAGCTGTGTCCCTGGACCAAGTCCAGCCCGATGAAACCCCGAGTGGCCGAGTGTCCTAGCAATGATGACGCAAGCGGACCAGCGTCGGGGTCGACCCAATGAGATCCAGGCCATGGTGGGATTCAGGAGTTGATGGGGGTTCCTTTTTTCTGTTTTCCTTTTTTTTTTTTTTTTTTTTTTTCAAATCGTTCTCTTTTATGGGGTTCCTGTTCCTGAGTGCCAGACTCTTATGTCGTTTCTGGGGAGTAATTGGGAATCATGGGAATAGAAGGGGTCGTGTGCCCGCGGAAAAGGGTGGGGAGGGTAACGAGGGAACTATAAACGGTCTGGAGTCGGGCGTCTCCAGGGCTCCGTAACGAGCGACTCCCCCGGCCAAGCGCACAGCTAGGGTCAACTATATCTCAACGGTCGCAAGACGCGGACCACACCACGCGAAGGAGGAGCGATCGGGATGATGCCGTAGTTGTGCGCCACGGAGAGGGACGGAGTCCATGTCTCAGAATCTCGAGAAGCATCGCAGGGCCCGCGGACGCTGAAATCAGGATTTTCCGGGCGCGAGGCCCCAGTCTGGACGGAGTTCCCACGTCCCCGAGTCCTCGAATCCAACAGTGCCATTTACCCAGCCATGCCACAATCCCAGAAACCCCATAATCTCCTCAATCCCATGATCAGATAAACCCAACCAATCCAACCAATCCAACCAATCCAATCAATCCAATCAATGCAGCCCATCTAACCCATCTAACCCATCTAACCCATCCAACGCGCTATCACCCCAATCCAGGCGCCAGGTCGGAGCAAATCGCAGCATCTCGATACAGGGTCTGACAGACCAATCAAACAGGCCCAGTAGATGGGTCGACCCGAAACAGAAGCCCAGATCGGCCGCTACTGGATCAAGTGGAGCCCTAGCCACAATGCGACGAGACCCGTCCAGGTACAGCGGGACCACCCAACCCCCACGACCTGGGCCGATCGATGATAAGGGCTCCAGGGCACCAGGGCATCGCCCTCCCCCCCCCCGGGGCCCGCATACGTTCAGTACACTCATACGTTCATACGTCAGTACTTTTCAGACGGATGATTCCAATTCCCTGCTTGGCTCTGCTGCTGGCCGTCATTGGTGCGGTGGGTTTTCTGTCGCGATCGCTTTTCTTTTGTGCTTCCTCTTTCTCTATACTTCCCCTCGACCAATTTCCTCTCTTCTTCTCTCCACCCCAACCTCCCCTCTATCTCTCTCGCGCCTTGCTTCTTCTCTCAGGCCCTCTTGCTCGACCGGGTTCTCTCGTCTTGCTTGCTGCACCCGCCTCATTCTTCTCCAGCGCTTCGGGCTGGTCACATTCGTTTGCCTGGTTTCTTTTTCTTTTTCTCTTTTTCTTTTCTTCTCTCCTCTTTTCTGGCGAGGCTGGAGACCATCAATTTCCGATTCTCGATTCTCTTCACTTCATTCTCCTTGCCTGCCGTGGATTCTCATCTAGCTTATCTACCGGCCGCTCCCCTCGGACTTCTCCGTGGGAATCGACATTGACCTATTCCGACACCCTTCCATACCCCGTCTTCCCGCAAGTTCGCGTCGAGGGCCTGTTGTGACCTTTCCCCCATTCATGATGAATGGGAATTATGGCGGCCCATATGCTGCCCACTATGGTGAGCCCGCGCCCAGTCCTGGTCTCCATGACGAGGAAACCGAGGAGCTGGTCGAATTGAACTCCGTCCGAAACTATCGCAGTCCGGCCACACCCGGCGTGGATCGTCATGGGAATAGCTTCGATTTTCAATTACACGAACAACCATCTCCTCGACCCGCCGTGATTCCCTATCGCCCAGGACATGGTCACAGCCCCCCAGAGTATAGTTCGCCGACGCTTCAACCCACCCCGCGCACCTCTTTTGCCCCATCTTTTGCCCCATCTTTTGCTCCAGATTCCTACGCAGGCACCCCCTACGACTCTCGCTCGGCATCTCCAACCCTTGTAAGTCTCATTTTTCTTGGGGGAGATGTTTTTCCTTTCTTTTCTTTTTCGGTTCTCTTTGTTTGTAGAAAGAGGGGAGCAAACTCCGTTTGAAAGGAACCAGGCACTAACGTACCACCTTGTGTCACTGAACTAGTATCACCATTCCCAACTGCAGAGCCACGCGAGTCTGGCAGCGGCTCCTCTCGTCTCAACCCCAGCCCTAGGCTTTTCGAAAGAATGGGTTCAATCGGGAACCAGCTCCATTGCCCGGATCAGTGACCGCGATGATGCGGATATCTGGAAAGGATGGAAGCGCTGGCTCTTCAGCCTGACCCCATTCCTGACCTTCGCCAACACCTCTCTCTACCTGTTCTACCTCGGTCTGCGGATCTACTGTATCATTATGGCCCAGAATGCTGCCGGCATCAGTTTCGCCGGCGCCTGGGTGTTTGTCGGAATTGAAATCGCCGTCTCGATTCCCTCGCTGATGCACAACTGCTGGACCATGATGGCGTTGAAAAAGCGCGGCCGACCCAAGCTGCGCCTGACAGGCCACGACTGCCCGACAGTGGATGTCTTCATCACCTGCTGCGGTGAGGAAGACGAGGTCGTTCTCGACACGGTTCGCGGTGCCATTGACCAGGATTATCCATTCGAGCGGTTCCGAGTGATCGTGCTGGATGATGGGAAGTCTGCTACGCTGGAAGACTCCATCAACAACTTGGCCATCACCCACCCCAACCTGTACTATATGGCGCGCGAGAAAATCCCCGGCAAGCCTCACCACTTCAAGGCTGGCAACCTGAACTACGGTCTGGACCAGGTTCATACGTTGCCCGGAGGAGCCAGCCAGTTCATGGCCGCTCTGGACGCGGATATGGTAAGTCACAACACTCCTTGCAGCGAGACAAAAAGCGACCGCGTATCGATCTCGGTGCATTTTTGTTTTGAATATATTCATGTGCTTGGCTAATCAGACCTCTTGTAGATCCCTGAGCAAGACTGGCTGCGTGCCGTGCTTCCCCACCTCCTGGTGGATCCGAAGATGGCCCTTGCATGTCCTCCCCAGCTTTTCTACAACACCCCTGCATCAGATCCGCTGGCCCAGAGTCTCGATTTCTTCGTGCATGTGATTGAACCCATCAAGGACGCGCTCGGCGTGGCTTGGTGCACGGGCTCAGGATATGTGGTGCGACGCGAGGCGTTGGATGCTATCGGCAACTTCCCATTGGGCTCGTTGGCTGAGGATGTCGCGACCTCCACGCTGATGCTTGGAAAGGGCTACAAGACGGCGTACATCCACGAGCCGCTTCAATTTGGTACCGTCCCCGAAGACTATGGCAGCCACCTGAAGCAGCGGACCCGATGGGCCATTGGAACCGTGGACACGGCGTTCAAGCTGAAGTTCTGTCTCTGGGGCGACAGTGTTCGCGCTATGACTATTGCTCAGCGCTTCTCGGGATTTCTGTATGCCACCCTAAGCTTGTATACGCTTTTGCTCACGGCCTCTCTCTTCGCCATCCCGATCATTCTGCTATGGGGGAAGCAGCTCGTTGCCTACGCCAACCAGGACCAGTTGCACTGGCTCATCTGGGCGTGTTTCGCGTCAACCATCGCCAACCGTCTCTGTGAGTTTGCGCTGTTCATTCCCGCGGGCTATCATACCGGCCAGCGAGGCTCTCGGTACCAACTCTGGATGTCCCCATACATTGCCCTGTGTATCGTGCGGTCTTTCATGCTGCCCAAGTGGCTAGGTGGCCAGACCCAGGCCTTCAAGCCTACGGGCTCTCTGAGCTCGGCCCTGAATGAGCGCGACCCGAAGCTGCGCAAGAACTTGTTTGTTCGCCTCCGGGTGATTCTATTTAACTTCATGGCCTTGTTCCATTTCGCCTTTGTCTATGTTACCCTCGTGGCCGTGGTTATCTCGACCTATCGCTGCTTCTCGATCGAGAGCGGCTTCAAGGGCGTCGTGATCTGCCTGATCACACACGCCTTCTGGCCACCGCTGACCTTCCTCTTCATCTGCACATCGCTCTGGACGCCGGTCTCCTATGCCATCGATCCCCCCTCGATGCCCGAGCGTGAGGACCTGCTCACGCGCGACCCGAAGACCGGCGTGGCGCACCCTACTAAGAAGAGCAAGAAGATCGCATTTGGTGGCCAAGCCGCCTGGTTTGAATTGGAGTACACGGTGGCGACGGTTGCAACAGTTCTGATTTTTGTCTATTCTTTCTTCTTTTTAAAAGACTTCATGTATATAATGCATTACGAGTGAAATATGCTCATCATAAGCAATGCCCCCCCTCCTTTTACAACTATCTAATGAGATCATCCTTACCACAAGACCTGATTTTTTATTTTACTTTTTTTTTTCTTCCTCTCTTTATCCGCTTTGTTGCTCTCGAAGGAAACACATTTGGTCGCATTGTTCGTTTTCGTATATCCCGGGCCGAAACGACCTCACGCCGTTTCCGTCTTCGGCTTCTTCTTCGGCGGCCGATCGTCCTCCTCGCCGAATACCACCGCCCAGGACCCGTCCAGCACGCGTGGGTCATCCCCATGCATCCCCACATCATACGCATGCTTCATTCCATCCAGGCAGATCTTCCGTCTCTCATCGAAATCGAACATCGGCGCTGGATATACTCCCGCACTCTTCTCCGCGCTCCCATCGCCGGTAATACGACACCCCCATTTTTCCTGCTCGCCAGCCGGCGCCTTCCATGGCTCGTAGATATACTTCTTGTCGAACTGCGCCAGCTCAGGCACATACCGACGCACAAACGCCCCCTCCGGGTCCCACTTCTTGCCGAAGGCAACAGGCGAATAGCACCGGTAGAACTGGGCGAAGAACGCCGTGCAAGACAGCCACATCCAGTTTCCAACATTACAAGCCGTCTCGTCTATTTTAATCCGTAAAAAACCCGCCACCCCACCGCCACAGCGGAGGGGGAGAGAGAGCGACAGATGTTAGCATGACGCGTTGCGGAATGAACACAGGGAACAAGATTTTCCCACCTCCCGGCAAGGGCAAAAGGGAACAAGAAAAAAAGGGCGGGATTGAGGGACAATTCATGAACGGGGCAGCCTTACGGTCGATCAACAGCTCCTCGAATACTTCCGCTCCCCGCTCCCAGCTCACGTAGCACCCACCGCGGGTCAGGAAGCACGCAACGCTGTGCCGGCCCAGATGGTGGATCCAGCCCTCCTGTCGCAGCTGGCGCATCAGCGCATCGATCCAGGGAAACCCGGTGCGCCCTGCTTTCCATCGCTGGAACCACTCCTCCGCGGCGGGCGAGTCGATCTCGTAGTCGCGGGCATGGCTCACGCCGTCGACCGCCGTGCCCGGCGGCTTCGATGGCAAGTGCCAGTCAATCACGCGGACTATCTTGTTGCCGTGGGTGCGGGCGAAGGCGTCACCGACGGCAGCCTGCGCCGCGAAGTACATGTCACGGAAGAGCAGTTGACCCGGAAGGTTGGTTGGGATGGTGGCAGTGGGTTTCTTCGCGTGTTGGCGCTTCGCCATGTCCTCCTGGACGTCCCACCAGAACTTCCGGACGGAGAGCGAGCCAAAGTGGAGGTGCGGCGAGAGTAGGGTCGTCGATTGGGGCTCGAACGCCGCCGGCGAGGTTTGCGGTTTCTCGAACGTGCCCACGTACTCATCGTCCTGGATGTAGCCAGCCAGCGTCTCCAGGGCCACCGACTCGCCGCCTCGGTGCGGAGTCGTCACTTGGGACGGAGCGATTCCGATCTCCTCCAACGTGGGCACCCCGAAGTCGTGCTTAGGCCCCATTATATCGGTGTATTGCTTGTCGCTGGCAGTTCGGTGGTCTGCATTCAGGTCCGGCTGGGCTTCTGCCACCTTGTGGTCGAGACTGCTGAGATCCATCCTATCCTTCTCCCACGGGCCTGGGATGGTTGTTGGCGCATCCAATGGTTTGTCGGGGTTCGCGTCGTTAATCTGGTGGGCGGCTTTCTCGACCTGGCTCATGCTCATCGTCGGCTTGCCGCCATTCTTGCGCACCAATTCATCGGGATCGAAGAGCGTGCGTCCCATTTTGATAATCACCTCCACCCCCGCTTCTTTTGCCAGCCTCAAAACAGCCTCGTCGCGGGCGCGCGTATGAGTCGGTGTCCTTCTCGAAGACGAGATGAGTGATTCCCCATTGCTTCCAGAGCTTGGGAAGGACGGACTGCGGTGCTTCGCGTATTACCCATAGTTTCTGCTTGGCATTGAGCTTGTGATACGATTGAGAAAGATCATTATGGCAATCCAAGAGGAATTGCCATCGATTAGGGCCAACCCGAGACCGATAGACGTAGTGAGGGTCCCAGGTCCAGATTGGAATGAACACGGAGGGTTTCAAGGCCAATGCCGCATGTAGCGCAGGGGAATCGTGAAGCCGGAGGTCAGTCCGGTGCCAGTATAGGACCACTTTGTTGGACGTCGAACTTGACTTCATCTCGCCCACTTCCTGTCGCTGGCAGTCTAGGGGAATTCGATTGCGGAGACTTGTCCAATTAGGGGAACGTCTTGAAGGCGTGATCTTCAATTTCCCAAACTCAATGGTTGAAATCACGAATTCGAACAACGAGAAGCTAAGCAAGATGGATAAAGAAGGATTGGATTGATCGTAATGTTTGATTCCTTGTAAATTGACGTTGAAAAATGTATGACGTCAATCTAATGCATGTGCATGTGTCTATATAGACAAGATAAGGTATGGCGGGTGGGGCTTTCCTATCTCGGCTGCAGCTGCTTTTATGAGGGCTCTCCGAGAACTTTAAGGTCGAGGAAAGACGCTATACTAAGCTTCGATCAGAGCTTTCTACATAACATTCGAAACGTTACAACTATCAGCGTGCCTAAAACAAGGACCCAGTAAGCCTACGCGTGTAGTTTGCGCTAATTGAAACAATAATCAACGACAACGGTATCCTTGTCAACGATATCTCTAGCTTGGATAAAATAGGCTTTGCAATAGGCTTGATATCTACTACTAGAACCGTTATTATACGGCAAGATTTCTATAGTCAAAGCTCTTCTACAATTAGGGAATCGGGAGTAGGTAACAGCAATTGAATCTATACTGGCAACTAGATTTTCGCTTCCGCTGTATATATTTCTTAAAGGAAAGATCTATATTACTAGCTGGTTTGATAATCTTCCTTGTGAAGTTACAAACCTTGTGATTAGGGATTCGAAATAACACCTAACGGCTGGACAATCGATATGATAGGCTAACTATAGCTCGGAATATTTTGGTAACTATTAGGCGTTCGCAAGGTAGATATCGGTTCTTGATATTGGATAGTCATAGAAATCATCTAAGTTCACGCTTTAACCAAACCTACTAGCAAAACAATACTATACCAGTCTGCATGTCACCCTACTTATCACATCCTCTATAATCTCTTGATATCGGTGGTTTTGCTATATTAGAACGCTCATTCAGTCATTTAATTGAGTCTACAGCCCGCTTAGGCTATATCTTTTCACTGAAGAGTATGCGTCTAGGGATCAGTCGATTGAGCATGGGGTCATTTGGTTGAATTAACCCATCGACTCCGCCATGGTCCGTAGACCGCTACAAGAATGGGGCCGCTCGATGATCTCTTTGAAAGCGACACCTCAATAATATCCATTTTGGCTCATCTTGAAAGATACAGAGTGCAGTATTTGTGCTGACGCACACCATGGAGGCACTGCAAGCTGATATTGTGATCGCTACTGATATAGCGAAAGAACTTTTTAATAATGCTTGATGTTATTTAAATCCAAAATCTGACAGGGCGCTGGACAAGCTGTTCTACTACTGGAAGATACTTCTATTTCTAGGGCGCCGCGTACCTTGCTGCCTGGGCACTGACCGAAGTGTAACGACTAAGAGATCAATTATAGCCGCGTTTAGCATAGATATGCATCTCCAATGTACTTAGCCACGTACTAGGTTCATTAAGATATCAGAGCCAGCTGGGGAGCCTGTGGGAGCCTTCTAGATATACAGCCTACCAAATGGCGTAGTAAAGCATTTTGAATAATGTTGAGAGAGGGGAAGCAATCCTCTTAAAGAGAATGCTGAAGGGTAAAACACAGAATGCGGTGATTTTGAGTCGAAATATTGCCTGTCAATAGAATGACTAGGTATGAGGCTATTAAAAGCTAGGTCTTGTATAACTTGAGTAAGCTTCTCTATAATTGTATGTAGAGATAGTCTTATCTTCACCTCTTTTGATATGCATATTTAAAGGTCTGTCGCGATGCGCCGCCACTCGGAGTTACTCTATATCCTTACGACCCGGTGAAATGGCCACGGTTTTACCTGACCCTCATCTCAGGATCATTCCTGTCATTGGATCAAACGTGGCTATATTAGTGCCTTGGCTTGGATGACTATTAAGGCTCGTTGTGTTTCTGAGAATATATCGTAGTATTAGAGGCTTATATATCGTAGCGATTCAGTCATGAGCCCTTGCGTTTACTATATCTCTTATTTCCTTTCAAGAATTTGAACACACGGGGACAATCAGCCTGGATTTAAACTCGCCATCATGCCAGACTCTCACTTCGCCAAAGTTATGCCTGTTAGCCCTGAATTGTGTCGGATGGTCTTGGTCATCGAATGGAGTCCCTTGTACCGTTAGTCGCAATACTTCTCCTTCGTCCCATACCGTGCTGTTAGGCCATATTTCCACCTCAACTTTAACTATATCACAAGGTCGGAGCCATTGACGACGAGCGTGGGTATGATAAGGCCGGCCAGGAAAACTCTTGTCTGGATCCACCTCGCGATGCGAAGCCCGCAGCCAGCCTAGTCCAACGGGAGCGTCCATTTTCTGTGTTTTGTTCCAGAACAGGACTTCCTTTCCATTTTTATCTATCTTGTTGACAGCAATGTAAATATCTGTGTCAGGATAACCGAGTGCTTGGATATAAAGCTCGGCAGTCGAATGTCCTGTGATCTCGGTTTTAACGGGGAATTTGTGCTCAAACTGAACACAAGACTTGGCAGTATGGCTTGTATAAGAGCTATACCCTGCGGTTTCTGTTGACTGATTTTCTGACAGGCTGTTGCTTTGTCCAAGATAAAGACACTGTAGAGAGGATTGTGGAGGTGGAAAGCTTGTCTCTTCTCGACGGATTGATTGGTTTCCATCAATTCTGACATCAATTTCGACCGGGGACCACGAAGAGACCTCATTGTCCACTCCTTTCAAAAAGTGATCCCAAAAAGCTTTTTGCTTTTGGATCCCACTGTCTTTGTAATATTCACTCCATTCCCGGCCGCTCTAAATAGTGTGAGTGATAAATGCGATCATCTTGGCACGTGAGAACCTTACATGAATGAAGAGATATTTCCTCTCCGACGAAGATGCTCTCCAAGCTTCTATTGTCCCACGCAAATGCAACCCCAGGGACGACCAACCAGTAACTGAAAACATTGGAATTTTAATCTGGCTCCAATCGACAACCTTCGACTGCCAGACCTTATCAAAAAGCGGGTGTTCTATATTGAGAACAGCATGATCCTCCGATTCACGCAGACCGTTTCCCGTGAGATTCATCCAAAAGTGTTGGAAGGATACAGCAGGAATGCCGCCTGGACAATTCACTTCTCGATAGATGTCAGAGATTCCTTCCCATGGCATGATTGCCGTTAGATGAGGTGGTTGTAAAACTGCAGTTTGGTAGCTGGACATGGCGTAATACGACACCGCGCCCCATCCAATTTTTCCTGTTGACCTGCTCAATAGGTTAGTAGGACGCGAAATTAGAGGGAAAGAGAGTAACTGGGCCTACCATTGTTGTTGTGCAACCCATTCCACAACATCATAACCATCTCGCCCTTCCTCTGGGGACAAGTAGTTGGCTTCGGTTCCTTCACTCCACCAAGTCCCGCGAGGATCGACCTGGACAAAAGAATAGCCCCATTTTCCACACCAAAGAATGGGGTCCGGGAGTTCCCATTGGGTGTACTTGCTCAGCTTGTCAAAGTCGACCCCCATATTCTGGAACAGAGCCGCTGGAACAGCGCCATGCTTTCCAAATGGTGCAAAGAAAACCAGCGTGGGCGTCTTTCCCTGGACCTCCACAACCGGTCGATACACATTCGCATACAGGGTGATGCCGTCTCTCATAGGGATTGCGACATCCTTCTCGAGTAGTGTTTTCCCATCTTCTAATACGGAACACTCATACTTCAAGTCTGGGGCTGGCTTTAATGGTTTGTCGACCTATACGGAGGTTAATTCGCACCCTGTTTACTACAGTAGACAACCAAGTCGTGAATGATAGGGCTTACCTGTTGAGGATGCACCGACTGCCGGTATGGTGCAGCTAGCTCACGAGTTCTAATTTCTTTCATCTTGATTATTTTGACTCAATAGAGATGTTTTACCACCGAGGGACAGGCCGGGTCTAATAGTCCAGAAAACGCCGTTGAAGAATCAGTCCACATCCGCCTTCCTTTCCCCCACATTCCGGCTTTCACCCCACCTTTTTCCCACTTCCCCATCTTTAGAACAAGGAGACTATTCGCAGGTTACATGAGCTCTTCCCCATCTGCGTCCAATGGCGGAAAAATCTCGCAAATATCCGTTTCTTGCCGTGGGTACACTGTAAAGACACGGGTCTAACTGTTTTGGGTGACGCTACATATAAACCGATTTTGTTTAGAACGGGATTGATACGATCAATATGAATGACTTAATGATTAGACTATTAATATGTTCCACCAAATATTTTACTATGATCGAAAATTGTATCAGGGTTTAGGAAAAGCATCTGTTTACGTTATCAAAGCACTAATCCGTAGTTAGTTACCAGGTGCTTTACATGACCTTGTTGAGAAGTCAAGGAAGGCTGGTCTTGGAAACAGTGCAGAAGAACCAATCGCAGGAAGCACAACGCCTCAGATCTCTTACGGTGACGAACGAGCCAATAAAATAGTATAATAAGATTACTTTGCTTACTATGAGTCACGCCCTAGCCCCCATCCCGTATAGTCCACCCGGAGACTTCGGGGTCCGTAAAGGTAATCGGACCCACAAATATCCCGTTAAGCAAGCCAAGCAGCGGGGGTCTGGGGATTATAAAAAAAAATTTCCCGGGCATCTCCAGGTTTGACTCCTCAGTCTATGATCACAAAACCTCTTTGTCTATTGCTCGTCTACAGCGAAGACCTCAAGGCAAAGATGGCATCCGACATGGAAATTATTGAGACATCGCCCCCGGCCCGGGGCAAGCTGCGCGTTGTCGCGACAATGCTTGCGCTTTCGGTGAGACCTTGCAAGACCCTGATTTTGTCGTTTCCCCCAGGATCTAATGTCAAATTTAGCTGTCCATGCTGGTCGCTGCTCTTGATCAGACTATTGTGGCGACAGCAATCCCTACAATCGCTGCTAAATTGCACTCTGCTGCCGGTTACACATGGATCGGTGGCGCTTATTTGCTCGCGAATGCGGCTGGCTCGTGCATCTGGGTCAAACTATCGGATATCTGGGGACGCAAGCCGATTCTTCTGATTGCGGTAGCTTGGTTCTTTGTTGGATCCATTATTTGCGCGGTTGCCGTGAATATGCCAATGCTGATTGCCGGCCGTGCCCTACAAGGTGTCGCTGGCGGTGGTCTCATCCAGCTCAACACGATCGTCATTTCAGATCTCTTTAGTGTTCGGTAAGAGATGCTGGAAGCTTGAATAATTGGATTGAATGCTCAAAGCTAACTGTTTACCAGCCATCGAAGTCTATACCTGGGTTTGATGGAGTTCATATGGGCATTCGCCGGTGGTATCGGTCCACTCCTCGGTGGCGCGTTCTCGGAGTATGTTACTTGGCGCTGGAACTTCTGGATCAATCTTCCTGTCTCTGGCATCGCCTTCCTTTTGCTCGTCTTCTTCTTGGATGTGCATAATCCTAAGACCAGGATGATGGAAGGTGTACGGGCCATCGATTGGTTCGGTAGCTTGTCCATGCTGGGCCTCACGCTGATGTTGCTGCTGGGTCTCGATTTTGGTGGAGGAACTTTCGCCTGGAGCTCGTCACAAGTCATTTGCCTGATCGTTTTCGGATCTCTTTGCTCTCTATTATTTATCTTCAGCGAGACACGACTGGCGAAGTACCCGCTCATGCCCATGAACATATTCTCGAAGATTTCTAACATCGCTACTCTTGCTGCGGCTTTTGCACATGGCTTCGTAAGTCATGTTCATCAGTATTTACAGACCATGGCCAAAACTAACATATTTCTAGGTTTTCATCGCAGGCGAATATTATATTCCCCTCTACTTGCAATCCGTGAAGGGTGCCTCGCCTCTGAGGTCAGGCGTGTTGCTCTTACCACTTTCACTTGCCGAGGCATGCTCTGGCATTGTCACAGGCCTAGTCATTCACAAGACCGGTAGATATTTGGAGCTTGTCTGGGCTGGTTTCTTGTTGATGACCATCGGAAATGGTCTGTACATCCACCTTGGCGTGGGATCGTCCCTCGGCGAAATCGTTGGATACCAGATCATCGGCGGTGTCGGCGCCGGATTCCTCTTCCAAACACCCATCATCGCCATCCAAGCGATGGTCTCTCAGGAGGAGACCGCCACAGCAACCGCCACCCTTGGATTCATCCGCAACATGGCTACCGCGTGCTCGATTGTCCTCGGAGGTGTTGTCTTTCAGAACAGCATGAGTGAGATGAAGGGTAGTCTCTTGGCATCCGGAATGTCTGAAAGCCTCGCCGAGCAGATGTCTGGTTCTTCTGCAGCGGCCAACATCGAGATTATCAAGGAAATCACCAACGTAACACAGCTGCAAGCTGTGAGAGAGGCCTTTGCGTGGAGCACGCGGAATATGTGGATTCTCTATACGTGCATGTCGGCTATTGGCCTTCTCGCCTCTGGATTTATCGCGAAAGCACATCTGAACAAGGAGCACGTAGAAACCATCACTGGTCTGAGCCAGGAGAAGCGATCGGCAGTTACAGATGCCCAGCCTGTTGCTGGATAGACCTTCAAACTAGGCTGACGAGCTATTCAGTCTTATTGGCGGTTCAGCCCTCAGGGAAGGTAAAGTGTAAAAATTTGAGAATTTGAGTACATCATGTGTGAAATATAATTATAGTATATACAACACTGGAAAAAAGATTCCAGAGCAGCACAATATTAACACTTGGCGTCAACGCAAAAGGCCGGATCGTAAGATAAGCCAGGTAGACAAGCAACAGAGACAGAGCAGAAGAAGGAGATAAAAATGAATGCACCATATTCTCATTCGGAAGAACATTCTCCTCCAACAACGCAACTGATAGGAAGATCGGCAACGCTGTTACCAACCCAAAGCTTGATTCCCTCGCCATTGACAGGTGCTTTCCAGTCCTGTACCTCAACATCCCATATGCTGACATCCTTGCGAGTGATGCTGAGCGTCAAGGTCTCAGTCTGTCCTGGGACAAGGGTGCTCGTCTTCTCAAACTGCCGGAGCTGGAGTGTCGGTGTGTCCGCAGCTAGGCTAGATGGAAGCTCGACGTACAACTGGGCGACAGCTTTACCATCCCGGGAACCGGTGTTCGTGACATCAACAGAGACCGTAAATGCAGTATCGAAGAGAGCTGGGTTTCCGCCCTGTCCGCCTCCAGCTCGGGGCTCGGGCTGGGTCAGGTTGTATCCGACGGGATACGGATAGTCGTCGGAGGCGGTAATAGACTCTGGGTTGTCAAGATAGGGGTATAAATAGCGCCAAATACGGGTGAAGCTTGTAGAGGACCATGCAACCTCCGAAGCAGCCGGGATCGAGTTGTTATAGACAGGTGTGGATCCTTTTGCAGGTGCTGCAGAAGGGTAAGCAGTATCGAGCGCGGTCACAACAGACATGGCAGGGTTCGAGAGACTGAAGGTAGTGTAGGAAAGTCCATGTCCAAAGGGATACCGGGGAGTGATGTTTGCATTAATGAAGTGACGGTAGTCGATGTAAAGCCCCTCTGTGTAAGTATCTTGAATTTGGCCAAAAGGTTGGTTGATGAGGCTCACGCTGTCTGGGTAGTCGGACTCGCTTTGTGGGATAGTATAAGGCATGTGCCCACTTGGGCTATAGTCACCGAACAACACGTCAACGAGGGAGTCGCCTGCTTCTTGTCCTGGAAGGTGTGCGACAAGTACAGCCTTGACAGAGTCAAGGTCGATCCACTCTTCCATCACGATAGGACCAACCGTGTGAATAACCACAACAACGTTTGCAAACTTTTCGGCTGCAGCCTTAACTAGATCATCGCCATTGTGCCAGGCATATAAGCCTGCTGAATTTCGGTCTCCATAATTGCCCTCAACGGTGATATAATTCTCGCCAGAGTCGGCATTGATGAATACGACAGCAATATCATTGGCACCGACCGAGACATCGGACGGAAATGAGTCGGTAATGTAGAACTCTACGTTGTTGGTCATGTTTCCGATAGCTTCCTCAGGGGTAATAAGATAAGGAAGCCTAGAAGTTCCGCTACCCCATCCCATAGTCAGGACACCCTTGTCACATCCTTGGTCACTGCAGGAATTCAGGCCCCCCGAGTTTGCTCCGGCATCAGTCCCAAACACCTTTAATGAATCATTCTTTTGCAGTGGAAGTATATCATCGTCGTTCTTCAATAACGTGATGGCTTCACGAGCCACAGCTCTGGCGGTGATATTATGGTCGCCCTGAACATTGACGTACTGGTTGACGACGCCAGAGGGAGAGAATAATGCGCCAGGATATAGCTCTCCAGTTGCATCTTCGGTATTGGTTGAGAAATTAGGCAAGGGATAGTCTTGATCTTGGCCCATTTTGTACCATGTAGCCACGATTCGAGTGACCTAGATATGGTGGTAAAAAAAAGTAGGGTATTGCTGCTCAATGACACGTACCATATCATTCAGTCTTGAGACTGGGATGCTGCCATTCAGAACAGAGCGCGACAATTCAGACCCCCAGTAGCTATCACCCAGTAAAGGCACGGCACCGTCACCGGGCATAGCCATGTCGAGGCCAGCGAGGGCAGAAGCGACGCCAGTATAATGACCAAACCAGTCCGTCATGACAAATCCTTGAAAGCCTAGCTCATCTTTAAGGATGCCATTGATCAACTTGCTATTTTGGCTACAAGCAGAAGTGTTGACCTTGCAGATATGTTAGTAATCCATATTGGGTACAACCTCTAAATCCTCGAATCTCTCGGGTAGTATACTCACATCGTTGTAAGCGGTCATTATAGATCCAACACCTGCGCGAACTCCCTCAGCAAAGGGCCAAAGGTATAGTTCATGCAGCGTCCGGTCGTCGATATTTGATGAATAGCCTTTGGTGATAATGCTGCTCATCCGATACCTCTCTTGTTCGTTCCCAATGTAGTGTTTCAGAGTCGCAATGGCACCGGTGCTCTGCATTCCCTGGATGGTCAGAGCCCCTCCAATAGCCTGCAAACTGGGATCAACCCCAAAACCCTCCCAGATCCGACCACCACGTGGTTTGCGCCCGAGAGGACCAACAACGGGGCCCAGTTGGATATTCACACCCTTGCCGCGCGCCTCCTCACCGATTCCCACGCCGCGCGCATACATCAAATCCTTGTTGAAGGTCGCGCCAACGGTGATCCCGGGCGGAAACGCCGTGTTATGATCCGAGTTCCGGATTCCCAAAGGGGAGTCCTGTAAACACAGATTCGGGATCCCGAACCTTTCTGCGCTGCCGACCTGCCCTACACAGGGTCCCATCAAGTACCCGGTGCCAGTTGTCAGATTGACTTTTTCCGCCAAGGTCATGTTGCCGACGACTTCTTTGGCCTTTGCATAGGCGTCAGCCCATTCAGAGACCCAGCCCCCAGGGGGGTCGGGTAGTATGGCGGAGACTCATAGCCTTCAGCAGCAGCGCGCTCGTTCAGCTGCACAGTCTCGGGTGCGTCTTCTGACACCGAGGACGAGTACACAAGCGCGACGTGGGAGAGAAGAGGCACGAGGGCTAGACGCGTCCATGGAGCCATGCTGTCGAACGGGTACAAGGTTATGGGTCACAGCAGACCAGATGCAAGCACCCAAGTTGTCCTACTTCATGAGAAGACAAGCGATATAGATAAGGGATGGATTTCCCCTCAAGAAAAGGGAGAGGGGTAATCGTGCTGGTCCACGTGCCATGTTGGTGTCTTCTGCAGGCGATCCTGGCTCGGTGGAATGGATCTTCGGGGATATGGGATCCCGTCCGTAGCCTGTTCGCTTGGATAACCGAGCATGGAGTCTGGGCATTCCCGGTTGCGATAGGTGGAATCCCTGCTCTCACCTGCATGAACTGTCCACTAAGCTGGGACGTTGCAGTTCCTGGCAGCGATGGCACGGAACTATCGGCGACGATCGACGCGTTCCGGGCGATCCTTGCCACAACAAGGACCCCCGTCAGGGGCACAACAGCGGAAGATGGGGGAAATGGGGAAATCGTGAACGTTGCTGTCGAGCCTATGCCGATGATCTATGACTGGGGTGGAGTATAACATTCTGGATGTGGCGCCGAAGTTTTCCCGGACTACACTCTATCAAGTATGAAAGCCGTGAGGAACCCCGGACAAAGTGTAAATAGTTGGCTTCATCACAATTGCCAAGTTCTGCGAAAGTAAGAAAAAAAGCAAAAAACCTTGTTTTTAATGACAATCGGCTGCTAGGACTACATTGGTCCCATGCATGCTAATTACCCGAGGGTCCTATTTTTATATCTTCGTGAATCGCAAGTAGGGTTTGACCTCACGCACGTCGCCAAATTTCTTCTTTGCATCGGCCGTTGTCACAGACGGGGGCACAATCACGTCGTCGCCCACCTGCCAGTCGATTGGAGTGGTGACACCCCTTTTGTCGCCAGTCTGCAGGGAGTCAATGACGCGAAGGACCTCGGCAGAGTTGCGACCAGTCGAGGCAGGATACATCATAGTCAGACGGATCTTCTTGCTCGGGTCAATGATGAAGACAGACCGGATGGTGAAAGCAATGCCCTTTTGATCAATATTGTCCAGGTCCTGCTGATCAATCATGTCATACAGAAAGGCAACCTTGCGGTCGGCATCGGCGATGATGGGGAACTGGACCTCGGTCGAGCAGACCTCGTTGATATCCTTGACCCACTCGCCATGGGAGCCAATGTCATTCGCACTCTGCGCCAATAACACGACAATGCCATTATTAGCCTTTGAGACTGGCTGAGATTATTCATTTGACATTCAAAGAAAATCACTCACCAGACCAATCATTTTGACCCCCCGTTTGTCAAACTCATTCTTCATTTTGGCGAATGCGCCCAATTCGGTCGTACAGACAGGGGTGAAGTCGGCCGGGTGGGAGAACAAAATCGTCCAGCTGTTGCCAATGAATTCGTGGAAGTCAATCTCGCCTTTTGTTGTCAATGCCTTGAAATTGGGTGCTTTTAATAAACATTTAGCCTCCAGGTGATACTAATTGCGTATACAATTGATGGGCATACCGGTTGAGCCCAGGCGTAGTCGCGGCTGCTCCTGGGTAGACGAAATGAAGCGGCGAAGGGCGGGCTGGCCACAAGGCACCTGCGCGGACAGGCTAACCCAGGGAGCAGCTTTCGGGGCAGCTCTAAAGGCACGGAAGGCCATCTGAGGCATGAACATGGAAGTCATAGTGGATGTGATGCGATGTGATGTTATGCTATTTCCCTCGCAGCTCGATGCTTCAAGCTCGAGTTGCTTTACCGAGGGGATGACCTCAGGAATGACGTCATTACGGGAAACTCGTCGGTTCAATTCAATTGCATTTTCTCTCGAGTCGAGTGAGCTTGAGAGGGAGAAGAAGTTATGAACATCATATTTGATAAGAAGACGATAAGAAAGATTATTTGTTTTCCTGCTGATAATGCCACTGGCCGATCATACTAGATTCAAACTGCAAATCAGGCGTCCACACCTTGATCAAAGTCAGCAGTTCGTTGGCAGCCAGGGTCTAACCGGATCAAGTGCGCCTCGAGCACCTTGAGTTAAGCTTCAATTCAACTCTATACATATCAGTTGCACTTCACCTGGATTCACAAACTTGTGCAGAACACCAGACTGGGTTGCTGGCAGCCCATAGTGGGTCCACGACCATTAACTTAACACGAACGGTATGGTCCGATTACTGAAGATACTGGAGTCCCACGCAAGGCTGTTAAGCCATAAATGTAGGTAGATCAACAATTGTGTGTCGATCCGGGACCACCGCACTCCAGTAAATGCGCAGAATCTAGCACACACTAATTAATGGAACTTTCTGCCATGCTTCTGTCGGCTATCAATATTAAGCGATGGACTTTCGAACCGGACTGCTTCTCAGTCGCACTGATCTGTCCAGTCGGCAAAAGAAGCAATTCTGATAGTACTCCAAGTTCGTCTGCAGTAATCAGGAGTAGCTAAGTAGCCAACAAGAAAAAATGTTCGAAAAGAGTTCAGCTCCTCCACTCCCCAGGTAACCACGAATTGCTACTGCCTTTTCAGTTCCAAGGCCTCTCTCCCTCTCTCTTAGAGGGAGGAGCCTCAATTCTATTCCGCTATGGCCCGTATTTGGTGGAGCATCATTATGCGCTGTCTTGGAAAAATGCGAACGGTGGAGAGACGGTGAGGGAGGAAACAGTAGTAGTACACAAAAAATATGATGTTGAGGAAGAGGCGAGCCGAAAAGAAGAAGAAGAAGAAGAAGAAGGGTAGATTGAGGCTGAGGACAAGGCTGGAGAGGAGAGCATACAGAAACAGGCGGAGCTAGGGTCATAGAAGTGGGCAGGACCATGTGTTGTTGTATCTTATTCCATATAAGATATAAGGTTGTTTACGGAGGGTGGGCCCATTGCGCTTTCGTGTGACGAACGAGATTGTGTTCTAACCGATTTACCTAGCGTTGGCATTTCTTACTTTTCATGGACCTCAAAAATCTAGAATTTCCGGTACACTTCTATCTGGGCCTTGTCATCACATACAGACGCCATCTGCATCGCGAGCTTTCAGAATCTCATACGCCATGGGAATATCAGAGACGTCCTGGAAGAGAAGTATCGAGCAAAAGGGCGAGTGTTCACATAACTCTATGCCCAAAGTCGAACCCATATCATAATTGGGCTACGGTATATTCGAGCGAGGACACAAGAAAGAAACCTGCAATGCAAAACCCATCAAAATGATATCCATTATCCAAGCCACGCTATGCGAAGAAGGTCGTCCCAAAAAGACGAAAACCGAAAACAAACAAACAAAAAAAAGGTAACTCTGAAGGCGCAGAGGGAACTCCGCCGGTAAAAAAACCCCCCAAAATCCCGAACACCCTTCCCTATATACAATAACTAAATTTGAAATTTCCATGCAATCACTGCAAAGCCCTCCATCTTCCTTGATGTCCACATATTGGGCCACGCCAGCCTCACTGACAAATCTGCGCCACTGTCGCCCCATAGTTCACTAGTGGCAACGCATCCCCGCTGTGCTTCAGAAACTCGGCAATTAGGATCTCAACTTGCGCCTTAGCATCGGCCTCATCCCTAGCCTCCCCAGTCACAACCATGGCAGGCGGCACCAGGGCGCGCATGACGCCGGCCACCCAAACTGGGGCGACGGAGTGGAGGGAAGGCTTGTCCACGGTGGTGTACGTCTCCCGGCGGATGTTGTGGAAGCCACCGGCCGTGATCTCATTGTAGACACGCTGCGGGGCGAACGGCCATAGATTCAGCTTCAACATGGCCTTGATGACGGAGTGGCGCATGGCGGTGACAGCGGGGATGTCGGGGCTGGCTTCGGTGATGAAGCAGGTGGTGTCGACTTCTTCCCACTGGATCCAGCCGTCAGGTTCTACGAGGGTACCCCTGGTTAGTATCAAAAGATTTCCCGCGAAGTCAATTGTCAGTCCCCGGACAGAAGGCGTCCATTGAAACGGCGCTGTTAAGAAGGATACGGTGCCAATTGCCGGGAGGAGAGAGAGGTTGGGAGGGGGAGGGGGAACCTACTGAGCAATTCTCGCGCATGCTTGAGAACGGCGGTATAGCCGTCCTGTTTCAGGCCGGCTGTGAGAAGGCGGATGTGGACAAAGTCATAGCGACCCCGATGTTCCGGCGGGTACTGGTGCAAGGCACTGTGGACAGTAAGTGGGATGGAAGTCGATCGACCGGGAGTGAAAATGCGGTGGGAGGGTGGAAACTGCTCGCCCGAGATGTCGAATCCATGGAGGTACACCGAAGAGTCCTTCGGGAGTTTAGTGGCTAGATCCGCCAACCAGATCCTGCGAGGGAGGCGTCAGTAACGTGTGCACAAGGCTCAGAATAGTTATCCACGGGTGATCCAGATGATGCCCAAACGACGCGCCATATGCCCTGTCGGGTATCTGACAAACAGTCTCAAGTGCAGGTGGAGTAGGACCGAAAGCAGCAATAACGCGCCCCCTCATGACCGGGGGGAGGAAATGGCGAATGGTGCGCGGGTCCACCATCTGGAGTGCCCGAACAGGATTCTTAGGCGCTAGTTGGGGTTGGCTTGATGGAAGATTCTTTGACATACCCAGTTCCAGTGCCGATATCTGCGACGGCTGTGATGCGGTCCTGGGGGATGGCGGGGTGAATCAAGTGTTGCCCAGAGATGGCCACGAGAAAACGATGTTGCTTATTGAGCCTAGCGAGCTGATTAATCACTGTACACAGAGAGGCCACTAATGCCAGAGTCGCCAGGACCGATGAGACCGATGATCTCGTTGAGAGGGGTCTATGAACAGAGCGTAGTAGTGTGCCTGCATAGAAAAAAAAAGTGGATGCGGCTGCAGATTGGATGCCAGAGTGTCGGGACCCAACCTGTAGGTCCCATAACCAGGGGACAGCACCACGAGGGGATCGGCCCGGAAGTTTGTGGGTTCAAGGATTTTTTTTGGCAGGGAACAGTGGAGGCAGTGGGCAACAGTGGGACTCTCGGAGATTAAAGCTTTCCAGCGGAAGAGACTGGACGGTTGGGATTCGGGGAGACGGGAAAAAAAGGATAAGGAATTGGAAGCGAATGCAACAATCAGAACTTACCGTTCAGTCTCGGCTTCACTGCGACCCAGTAGGTAAATATTCTGGTCCTTCTCGGGCGACGTGGGGCTGGCCATGATGGTGGTTGTTTGTGCCGTGTTGGGCGTTGCGGTTGTGATGGTGGTGGAGCTCATGATGTAAAAAAGTCGGCGCAAGAGGAAGTAAACAGAGGCACACGAGGAGAAGAAGTAGAAAGAGGGGGGGAAGAGAGGGAGAGGGAGAAAGAGGAGAGAACTGGAGAGAAGGCGAAGTCTGGAACCTCGGGAAGCGGGAGGAAGCAGGAAACTAGAAACAGGAACACGGGACTCTCTGATATTATACTTTTACCCCATTTCGCCTGCGATATCGTCGAGGAGCCCGAGCCCCCGTCCGCCGGTCTCCTGTGCGCTCTCGCCGGGCGTTCGACGAGGCTCGACATGGTCTGGTCCCCATCCCAGACGGGTCAGGTAGGACAGCCCTCCCCAGCGAGGCAACTCGATAGAGCACGACCGAAGGCAAACCAAAAAAATTGGGATGGAATCGGGCACTCGCTGGGAGATACAGTTGCAGTTGCCACAGGCTCCGATCTGCAGGAGGCGCGCAGCATACGAGTTATACTCCCTGCGCTGCATCGCGAGTCATGGACCGTGATATGAATGGCTCCGATCGCCCGGCTACACGATATGAAAGAGTCAGCATCACCGTTGCAGACGATCCTGCGATTCGACTCCTTCCTGATCGGAGCCGTCCCTTGGTTAGCGTTCGCCCTAGTATGGTCTAGTGGTTCCCGGCCGACTGGCTTCGCGTTTTTGCTCCAGCCGGGTCGGATATGGATGTCTCTTAGGCTGAATATTGCTTGACGAATGACGAGAGTCCGGAGCCAAACCGTGATATCGAGGAGAAGCACGAGGAAATGGACCACCACTTAAGAAAAATTGATCAATTCCGCCGAGCCGGCCGCTTTTCGCCGGGAAAGTCTTTAGGGTATACAGAAGTATGACGATCCTATCCACCGTTTCAACGTTGGGACTGGGGATCTTCATGCGGGGAACCGAGATGGAGACCAACATGAGACACGGTGGAGTGAACATGGGCACGGAAAGGGGGTGCCATCACGGCCGTACAAATGAAAGGATAGGTGGGACTGTCTACGAAGTACGTTGGGGGAGGAGAAGGGGGAAACATGAAGAGTTCAGATATACTTCGTAATCCTTACCGACGGGTGACAGGGGGTTGGCGATGAAGAATGACAGGGGGGGAGAGACGGCGAAAAAAAGGAGAGAACAATAGAGTCAAGGGACATAAGAGCATAAGAGCGATGTACAAAGACGAATCAGTACAACCAGAGAAAAAAGAGCTCGGCCTTCAGAGCCTAATAGGAAGTACGTGCGAGGAACTAGCGGGCAGCTGTCGGAATCCGGCATGCTCTTCGATTTGGTGTATACCGAGAACGAAGTCCTGGACCCGATGGCCTGGGCTCGTCCCAAAGCCTCGGAAGCCGTTACCCGTCACCCCGGCGCCAACGGCCTCATTCCCCCCCTCCAAACCCCCCAAAACCCCACCAGGAGCCCACTCTGCCACGACAGTAACTAACGCCATACGGGAAGTCGGGAACCTCCGGTCCACAGGAATTCTCGATTTTTGACTTGCGCGGAAGAGTGCTGGGAAGGATCCGTTGCATGAGCATTGCAGGACCCTATCCAATCAACTCCAATGAGGGTTGTTTTCTATGCAGCATATACTTGTACACACGGGACCAGCAGAGAACACCGGCAACAGAGGAAATGTACCAATACACGAGCAGAAGTCAGACAGAGAGAAGAAAAAAAAAAGCAACATGGCTCAAGAACGAGAAAAGAGTGGATCAACCACTGCAGACGCGCAGATACCGAGAAACAAAATTACCGAGCGATCCAAGTTGCCCACCTCCTTGCCCCCCTTTTCTGTCGGGGATCACGTTTTATCCACTAAGTGCGCAAACACGTACCGGAAAATCTCACGGCTCTTGTACAGATTCTCCACGCGCATGCGCTCGTTATCTAGATGCGCATTGTCGCTGGCCTGGCCACAGGGCAGATTCGCTGCCGGCGCGGAGAACTCCTTCTCCAGGAACCGGATTGTCGGGATGGACCCGCCCTCACGGATGAAGATGGGGGTTACGACCGCGGGGGAGGGGTCCGAGGCTACGGCCCGCCCACCGGACAGGGCGCCGAGGCTGCTGGGCGGCGTGAACGTGGTTCGCGTAGGCAAAGCGACCGGGTCCTCCGGCGGCGTAGATGCAGATTGTGTCAGCGTCGAGGAGGTGGGCACGCTGGCGATCGGTTGGGCCGAACGCTTGCGAGTGCCGGCCGCCGAGGAAGTCGTGGTGGAGGTGATCACCCGGTCCACATGGGAGGCGAGGCTATCGGAGGAGTCTTTGCGGAGGAGCTGCCCCGGGATGCTGGCAGGCTTGGCGGAGGCGATCGATGGGCCATGGATGAGTGGCGGCAGAGAGGGGTATTGGTGCTTGGAGGGGGGTCGGTCAGGGGTCCATGCGGCAGTGATGGCTTCGGACAGCGTAGCGAAGATTTCGTTGTCCGGGTCGCCCAGCCAGGCATCCGATTTGCCTGTAATCTCGACCGTGAGGTCGTTCTGGGACTCGAGTTGGTCGAACTGTTCCTGGGCGTACGCTGTCAGATTCGCTGCAACCTCGTCGGCTTGCTGATCGGGCACGATGCGAATCGAAAGGCTCGCCTTGGCCCGGCGAGCGATGGTGGCCGTGCCACTCTTGCTGCCGGGGACTTCCATGGAATGGACGGTCAGTGACGGCTCCCGCCAACGGTACATCAGCGACTTGATCAGGGCCTGGCGGTCGGAGATCTCAGGATGTTGTGGGAGTAACACGTCGGCAATGGCCTCAAACCGCTTCTGCTCGGCCCCAGTCAGAGGACGGACCGGATCATGGAAGCCAGGTAAGTTGATTTTACCCTTCCGTCCCACTAAGGTAGACACTAGAATCGAGAGGTCCTTGACCGGTTCATCGAGTAAGGCACTCCCGTCGATGCCACTGTGAAGATCGGGGTGGTCGCTTGTCACAACCAGGTTCGCATGCACGACACCGCGCAGTCCGTACGTCAAGCAAGGGTTATAGTCATCTAGCCAGTAACTGTTGGCCAGTAAGATCCAGTCCACCGGGCCAATCTGGACCTTGTGGTCCCGGACGGTCTGGTGGAAGCCTTGGGAGCCGGATTCTTCTTCGCCCTCAATCAGGAAAACAACGTTGCAGCGAAGGGCCTTGGTTCGAGCGAGATCGGCAGCAGCATAAAGAGAAGCAAGAATAGGTCCCTTATTATCGGAGACCCCACGGCCGTAAAGAAACCCATTGATCGAAGTCAGTTGGTAAGGGTCTGACTTCCACTTGGGTCGATTAGAATCGGCCCCGACAACATCATAGTGGCCATAGAAAAGAATCGTCTTGTCCACCTTCTCAGGTGAAGTAGCATTGAATCTCGCATACACGATGGGATTGGTGTCTTGACCAGTGGTCAGGAGTTTTGTCTTGGCCCCGAGATAATTGCAGTGTCGACGAAGGAATGCAGCACCTTGATTGCATTCGCCGGCAAACTTGGGGCTTGCCGAGATGGTCTTGAACGAGACAAACTTGGCCAGGCTGTTGACCATTTCATCTGTAATTTGAGTGCATCAGAAAAAGATCCTGTTCCGATAAGACTGCGGGTGCTAGATACGTACCATTGCTGATAGGGGGCAGCTCTTCTTGGGTCAGGAAGAATTCGGTCAAATCCCAGATCCCGACAGTGTTGTCGTTACCGCCGGTAGCATAAATGTGTCGGTCCTTGACCCGACTAGCGGCGGAAGCGAGCATGGTTCCTTCGTGGGCAACCCACCCGCCTACTTCTTCAAATCTGGAATTGAATTTCTGGCTTATGTGAGTACTTAGGTAAGATAAAATGCTGAGATTGACCCGCATTGAACCGGAAGGGGGAGAAAGGGGGCAGAGGAGCATACTTTGACTGTACCCGTTGCATCTCCGCAGATTGCAACTCCCTGGATGACTTGGACTGCCCATAGGTCGTCAGTATGGCGGGCGATTCGCTTGACTAGCTGATGAGAATCTAGATTCCAGATGTTGAGAGCGCCACCCGAAAGTCCACAGTAGAGCAGCGATCCTTCAACTGCAATGGAAAGCACGGGGTCTCCATTCTGTAGTTTTGCGATCTGGGTGGGCGCCACTCCATTCTGACCAAGCCGCCACAGCTTCACCGCACCATCACCTGCACCAGTCAGCAGGGCCTCCTCTGATGGGACCGACTCAACCAGGCCCTTCACCAAGAGCATGGAATACACATAGCCATGGTGGGCAAAGAGCTTGTGATGGTCTCGCTTGAAAGTCAATACACGGCCGCCCTCTGAGACCGAATGGGTCCCGTCTGAGGGCCGTGGTGCACGGCTTCCATCCGGGCCTCGAGAGTCAAAAAAGCGATGCGCGCGCTTTGATGGATGTGCCGCCGATGTTTGGTTCAGCGTCGATCCCTCTTCGGATAGATCGCACCACTGGGACAGTCAGAGAATGACCAAAAGCAACGGGATTCAATAAGTGAGAAAACAAGGTTACCTGAATACTTGTATTCTGAGCACCACAATAGATGGTTTGGTTACTCGATGAGTAGACGACTGTGAAAATATCACCCACGTCGTGGTGCGAATAGATCGAGTAGAGCCGTTCGAACGTTCTCGTTGACCACACCTGTTTACAAACATTAGCTCCTCCTCATGGATTGTCGTGATGAGGTCCGATAGCCTGGATTGCTACCTACATTAACTACAGAATCACCACCGCTGGAGAAGAGAAGGTTGCCATCTTCGGAGAGGTAGAGGCCCAAAACACTTTCTTTGTGGGCATGTACCGACAAAACCAAGTCGTAGGTCTCGAGAGACCAGGCCTAGAGCATCTGCAGTCAGATATACGATCGACAAGGCTAGGAAACAAGTGCCGCTTATTGATACTTCGCTGGAGCTTGACTTACCACAATGTCACCGCCCTGCAGACCGGCAAACACACACTCTTCGTCAATCACCAGAGCCAAAACGGAGCGACTGGCCAGCACACGATGACCAATGCCACAGTCTCCGTGTGGGTGGGCATTGCTCGCATTGTCGGCCGTCTGGAGAATCGTACGCGCATCGGAGCCCCAGCTTTTCGACTGGTCCTCGACCTCGGACGCGCTTCCCGAGTCCACTGTGTCCATTGCGGACAGAACCGTCAGCCAAGTTTACAGGATCTCGGAGCTCAATCTTGAAACAGCCACAGCCACACAATCCACTGCCAGTGATTCAATTTCTATCAATTGGCAGATCCTGTTCGATTTAACCTGTCCCTGGACTCCGGGGGTTGGGGTGAAGGGCAAAAAGAGGCCGGACCGGAATGAATCATCGGGCGGTGCGGGAAGCACCGAACACGAAAATCAACCAGCAACAACAACATTGCACCATCGCTAAGGTATTCGACTCACCATCCCTCGCATGTCTCTTATTCCAGCAGCAGGCGGGCCTAGACGGAGCACAACATCACAAAATCGAGTCAGTCAGCAGTTCGTGATAGTTTTTCGAGACGTGGGGGAAGATCGGCTCGGCTCAGCGTGAAGCTGCTCGGTTGCATCCCGGTCGCATGGCTTCTTCATGCTTTCATGCTTTTATGCTTCCGTGCTTCCATGCGTTCATGCTGGCTCTCTATGCACTATATGCTCCACGTCCTATGCTCCAGATTCCATGATGCCGTATGATACTTGCTCCATGCTCCATGCTCCATGCTCGTCTTGCCCCATCCGCCCCCGCGGTTCACCCAATCGCGCTACTGGACAATGAGGGTCCGATCGACGCCGCCGATTTGAGCTGCTGAAGGAAGCTGATTGAACTCACCTGGGTTCCCAGAGGAGCCGGGCCACCGGCGGTCGGAATGGATGGTCGCTTAATACAGCCATCGAGCCGGCGATGGTGACTTTGCGGGTTCGAGAGAGCCGCCAGATCCAGAGAAGATCAAAGAAACAGAATAACAGAGCTCAACGCCAGCCCCGAGATTATTATCCACGGGCTATATCTAGACACTGCTGTGAACTGTAGACTGTGGACTGCAAAGAAGTGAAGTGAAGTCAGTGACAGATGGATCCCCATACACCGATGTTGATCGACATATAGCCAGCAGGGGCTCCCGGAAAGATAAGCCAGATGCCCATGCATCAAATGGGCTCTAGGCCTCGTCCCTCCCCCCTCCCCCTGAAAGGTTGGGAGGGCTTCGTCATAGTCTTGCCGGGAGGCCGAGCAATATTCTTCACCGTCCTGCAACTGGCCATTTGATTTGCTGGTACACGACAGGTGACCGGAGACAGGCGCAACCCGTTGATTGATCCAGATAGTCTGCAATTTGTGATTGGGGAGGTCACCACTGGCTAACTACCTATACGGAGTACGTAATGGCCCTTTCTCTCTCGTCGCGCAGTTCTCCGCAGTTGCTATAATCTCTCTGCATACGTTCTTATCCTGCTGTTGCACAGCCGTGATGGCATCATTCGACGTCTTCGCCCGGATTGGAATTGGTGTCTTTACGGTTGCTGCCTCTATATTTCGTGCTTCCATATAGTCGGAAGATTGCTTCGATTGCCTATCCAGCCAAATATACCAATAAACCGTGCAACCAGCTCACCTAGTTCACGCAACCAATAATCCTGGTTCTCCTATGCCACCATCCATGTCAAATAATTCATCATGAGATCGTGTCGGACGGCTGAGTGTTGAGAGCACCGCCACATTGTGGCTTGTCGGAGCGGCCGGAGTACTTCTCGTCCTGGTGACAGAGTACCCGGGACCTGGTGTCTATGCATGGGCTCCATACTGTGCCCAGGTACCCTTTGTGTACCCTCCCGGTACCTTGGGCACCAGCCACAGTGGCGGTGACGAACTCTTCCAATCACAAACCGTTGGTCACCGCTTCTTCCGGTGTTCGCATGTGTGATTGGGGGAAGCCCCGCAATGTGATATTGTCATCTTGTTTTTCACTCCCAAGGCTAGTGATTCAGTTACTATTGTTATGGTGACTTGGTTCCTGGACGGCCCAGACGGGTAGCATGCTAGTACCCCATACCGTAGATGAAATCTCCTGACTCCACGGAGCCTAGGCTTTAATTAATATGTAAAAAGTCAGTGAAAACTCCGGAACTGATTAATTAGTATGTTATGGTACAAATACCTCGTACAAATCACCGTTCGGACCTCCTTTGCAACCCCCGCCTTCGGAGTCCCTGATAGTCCCCGCTGGCCCATCACACCGATCCTCCAAGGCCGAGGATTTCTCCCTGCCCAACCACTTGAATGGGTAGTCGTGGCGCTGATTGGAGATCGGAGCTGCCAATCGCTGGAGTGTTCGCTTCTGCCTAGGCACTGGGACTAGTACCGCCGTACAACGCATCGCAAAGCATCGCATCGCTCGACTCCCTACCCAACCGCCTCTGCCCTACGGCCCCAGAGGAGCTCCTGTTCGCTGCTCTGCCCAACGCCTGCAGCTCTCCTGCACGTTGATGCCATCGTCCCCAGCTCCCTCGACTCAGTCGTCCTGCATCGTTTTTTCCTGGAGTACTACTCGAGTTCCTTCAAACGACTTGCTCGGTACTCGTGCTCGATTCCTCCGATCGGACTTTTCCGCTGATCCTTCTTGCTGTCGAGTGGGAAAAATCTTCCTCCTCAAGTCCTTTCAGGTAAGGAACGTCACCTGATTAATCATCTTGGGCATTTCGGCATTGTCTCGCAAGGCTATTCGTTTTCTACTCCAGCTGGGTCTTATTTTTATATTAGACTTTGGCGGCGCTGACCCTGGGATTTTTCCTTGCCTTCAAACTTTCACGCTTATACTTATACCTTCTCGACCAGGGCTGATTCTGCATTACTTTTGAACGACCTGCGCCTGGTGCTCTACACCGCTTCGTCACTTCATCGACCTGATCGTCGTTATCGCTTTCTGATGAGTGTTTTTCCCCGACCGGCAGTCGGCATCGACTATTGTTTGTGATGGCACCCCTCGGCCAGACGATCGCCGTGATTGACAAGTCCGGCAAGGTCGTCAGCACGGTAAGCCAGCCCTTCGCCCGGCCCCGATGCTAATCAGCTGGCTATTTGATTGTTGAATTCGACATCAAAGCCAGCGTGAACCTAGACCACCCCTCCTGACATCTTGACAGAGTAAACAACTATTCGGCGTCTTCGCTCAGGCCAAAGCCGCATACAAAGAGCGCAAGTCTCACTTCAACTCGGAGCGCAATGCCAAGATTGCAGAGCAACAGGCGCTGCGTGCTCTCGCCACCTACCAAATCGACGATGCACCCTCCGCAGCAGGGTCTCGACGAAGCCATCGTAGCCGGTCACGGCATCACTCGAGTCGCAGTCAACATCCGCGGGCCTCGTCTCGCTATGAGCAAGACTTGCATTCGGCAACCGGGAGGCCCGAATCTCACTATGGCCCCGCAGAAGGTCTCCCTCGCCGGCATACTCACCACGATGTCACCGTCCGTGAACCGGCTCGTCCAGCTACCGCTCGTTCCAAATCGGATGCTCACATCGACATGGATCTCGCATACGGAGAGGCTCACCCAACAGCTTTATCCATGTACAATCCCCCCGAGCCTGCCCAGAACGACAAACAGCAAATGGATGGCCTCGTTAGCCGTGCCCAGTGGCTGTTAGAAGAGGCCCACTGCGTTCAGCATAGTGCAACAGCCACGATCTCCCATCTCCAGAAGAATCCCGATGCCATGGCTGCTGTCGCTCTCACCCTCGCGGAGATCAGCAACCTGGCCAGTAAAATGGGCCCGGCCGCCCTATCCGCCTTCAAGACCGCCGCGCCTACCGTCTGGGCCCTGCTCGCCAGCCCACAATTCCTCATCGCCGCCGGTGTCGGTCTTGGCGTGACTGTCGTCATGTTCGGCGGCTACAAGATCATCAAGAAAATCCAAGCGGGCGGCACAAGCGAGGGGGAGAAAGAATCCACCGGCATGGACGAAATGATGGAGTTTGATGTCCAAGAAATGAGTCGCGTCGAGATGTGGCGCCGTGGCGTGGCCGACATGGAAGCTGTCAGCGTCGGCACATCCGTCGACGGCGAGTTTATTACCCCCCGTGCTGCCGCCCTGTCCGGCATTGATGTTTCTACCGCCCGTGCCCAGAAAGACCCGCGCTTCAAATTCAATGACGACGGCTCTGTGGCATCTTCTCGACGGTCTCGGCGTTCACGCGCTTCCCAGGCCACATCCCAACCAGAAACAAGGCGTGGTCGCTCCAGAAGAGAGCCAGAGACTGCATCTAAAGCCCCATCGGGATTGTTCACGCGATCATCGAAGCCATCAAATAAAGCGCCTAGTCGCGCACCAAGCCGGGCGCCAAGCAAGGCGCCGAGCAGAGCCCCAAGCAATGCACCCTCCAGGACCGGCACACACGTGTCGGAGAAAGAGAAGCGCCCGAAGGAGAAGAAGAAGAAGGGCCCAAGCCGCTTGCGCCTAATGTTCACCGCTTGAACGACAGAATTCGACGGCCGCCTCTTGCAGCGGCGGTGCTCAATTCCATTATACGTGAGCCTGGCCTGTATATTTTCCAGCCTCCTCTTTGTACAACTTCCTTTTCAACATGCGGCAAACCCTGTTGACACATAAACCACTCAGATTTTATGATTATGACCATTCCAACATGACTATCTAACAGTTTCTTGTTATTTTCTGTTCATTCCTTTTTCTTGCCCTTTTCCACCCGGGCTCGCTCATTTCTCGGCTTTTTCTTTTATCTTGATGCAAGCATGAATCCCATGGCGTTAAATAGCGATTGTGATTTTATTACCGTTATCGGTGTCCAATGGTCGGCTTCTTTCTTCCTAGATACTCTTCTAGAACCAAAAAAAGCTATCTACATCATTTTTCACTAAAGATTTGATATTTTTATGGCAGATCTCGATGGTATGTCATGAACATTGAATTGCAAGTAGATCCAGGAAGGCATGAGTCTTATTGTCAGTGCCATGCGAATCATCGTACAAAATCCACACGCAAGTAAGCTTCGCAATCCTCTTACAATGATATCACCCAATTGCATATTCAATTCATTTAGTCTATTATCATCAATAGCACATAAAAGAAGCATGCATGGTATGGCCCAGTCAAATGGTCGGCCTTTTTCATACCTCCGGGGGATCACTGAATATTGGAAAAGTGATTTACACACCATTTCATCCTTGGCACTTAACCCATCATGTCATTCGTATCACAGTATCCTCCATAGAATTTGACGATGAGATTAAGTTATATTTTCTCGATATGTTGACCAGCACTCTTTGCATTGACTGCGTCAATTCTGGCCAATTCTCGAATGACGGTCTGATAAGACTCGAACTTGCGGGCCGGTACTCGAGCCGCAAAGATCTCGTCCAGTTCCTCGAGAGACCGCCCTTTCATTTCAGGCATGAAGAAATAGAAAAAGACTACGCAGAACATATTTGATGCAAACCAAATATACCCGTACTGCGCGCCCTGTGAACGAAACAGAGAAAAGTTAGCATTAGCGTCAATGTCTCTTAGCGTCGCTTACTCACCCAATTCAGGTGCTCTGGATTAATGAAATATGGCGTGCAGAAATTCACCAGCCAAGCCAATAAATACCCCAGTGATGTCGCCGTTCCGACTGTCCACGCCCGCAGCCTCGAGCTCACCAGCTCTGTCGCAACCGGGTAGCTTGCCGCTCCGACACATCCGTTGTAGAAGAACATAAAGAGCGCGGTGAATGCCACCAGCGTCTGGCCCGTTGGCAGCGTATTTGGACTGACCGTCGCCGCCACAGCGCTGGCCAGCTGACACAGGCCACAGGCTAGGGCGCCGAGCATTAAAATCGCGCGCCGACCCAGTACCGCGCGAATCGCATACATACCGATATTCACACCTAGGAAACCGAAGCAGGTGTTCATCACAGAGTACTCGAAAGCCTTGGTGATACCGCACACCGTAAAGAAGTATGTCTGGTAGCCGATCAAGAACCACACGCCCGACGCTGTCTGGCAGCCGATCATGCAGTAGCATAAGATCGTCCGGCGGAGGTCCGCGCCTGCGAATTGGGTTAGCAAGGGTATTCTTCTTTGTCATAACAATTTCAAACGGTCTTAGGGATTAGTGGCTCTATCGTACCGCGGAACATATCCAGCGCGGAAACATCCCCTTGCTCGCGCTTCTCCTCTTCCACGCCCTTTACCATCTCTGCCCACTCGATCTCTAGTAGAGTTGGTAATGCGTTTCCACTATCCCCTTTACAACGCTCATCACCACTGTCGACGGGACTCGAGGGCGCCAGGAGTGTGGCGTAACTGCGGCCACGCAGCTGCTCCAGTGCCTTGCGAGCCGCTTCGTCCCGGCCGCGATGCAGCAGCCAGCGTGGACTCTCGGGAACGAAGAATAGCGCGATAAAGAGCAGTGTCGGGACGATATACAGGCATGCCAAGGGGATGCGGTAGGAAAGGGCATCAAGTCGCTCCTTGGTTTTGTTATCGACGACTGCGCCGAGGATGCTCCCGATATTGACCCAGTACGCGAACAGAGCGACCATGACGCCACGCATGTGTGCTGGCGCAACCTCCGCCGTATAGATGTTGGAAAATGTCACGAGGAAGCCATTAGCGAAGCCGAGCAGCAGACGACCAAAGTAGAGCACTCCAGGAGAGGTGGTGCCGATCTGGATACCGCAGGCGATGGCATTGACGATGCAGGCGAGCCAGAGCGCATGCCGGCGGCCGAAATAGCTGGAGAAGAAGCCAGCCACGAGGGAGGAAACAAAGGAGCCAAGGGTGAGCAGGGAGGTAATTAACTGCTGGACGGTACTCTGCAGATGATTGTTAATTGTGGTGGGTTCAGGCACGGGTGCGGCCGCGTGGTAGTCCGAGGTCTTGTAGATATACGAATATATATTCACTCACGTCTATTGCATAGCCCGTGTCCGATCCAGGATCTGGATAGCCAAAGACCTTGAGAAAGCCCGGCATGGCCTGCAACGAGCCCACTGCGGCCAAATCAAATCCGTACTGCATATTGGCCATCGAAACTAGACAGCAGAGAGACAGACATTTCCGGTTCTGCCAGAGCGACGTCGTCGATAGATTATGGTCTGACATTGCGGTGGCCCCTTCCTTATGGCAATGGGTTTTCGAGTGGTTATTCAGTCAATTTTTCTCATCCACAGAGCGACAGCAGTATGCACTTGTTGTATATTGTCTCCCCCACATTATCTTCCTGTTTGCATGGGGTGCATCGCATCTATAAACAATCGGCACCCACCCAAAGTCCTCTGTGCCGAGATCTTCGTGAGGGGAAGAAGCAAAGACATACCCTGGCTCCGCCTGCCGACCAAGAAGACTCTAGATCGAGAAATTGCATGACTCAAACAGCTGGCTTGATCAGGTATTCGCTATCAGCGATCGGGATGCCCAACTTGGGTGTCTGGGAAACCCCCACAGACCCCGCAAAGAAACGAGTCTGGGGAAAAATCTGGGGCCGTGGGCCCCACTGGAGAATTCATAAGCATACGTAGTAGTCAGATACGCAAGCTCCGTCATTCCAGATCTCATGGATGGACCTAGGGCCTATGTAGCGGATCCTATCCTGGCTATTGATGTTCCTAGAATTGCTGATCCTCGTTTTATACACATGTTGACTAGGTAACAGAATATTAGTGAAATTGGCCATGGAGAATTGAATGTTTGATCAATTCCTGGTCCACAAATTAATACCCCATTTATCATTTCTTCAACAGGCATGCTGAATGTGGGGCTTTGCCCGCATTCAAATGAAGACAAGAGGAGAGTTCCCAGTGGAGACCCGGCTCCTTCCATACGAGATCCTCGATGACCCTGATACATCCCTAGTGATACCAAGACATCCTGCCCCGCCGGATCTAGCGGTCATAAAGTCGTCGGCAGTAATCGCTCGAAGGTGGGGTCAGAAATGGTAATCAGGCATATTTACAGGCCATTCCATTGGAGGCGGCTCCTGCATATATAGATCCTGAGTCCAGCGCAACGCCAGCAGTGATCAGGCGCTCTTTAAATTTAGCAAGCAGCGGCCACCCGCGGTCACTGAAAACAGGATCTGAACTTCAGGATGATTGTCGAAAAGGTTGAGGAGCTCATCGCCCTCATATCTGCCCAACGTATTCTGAGCCAGCCATCATGGAACCAGGTCAGGGTTGCCACCCTATATCCCTGGGTGTTGGGTGTCATTGGAGTATGCCTGATGATAGACTACGCCCGCATGCTATATTTGTATTTTCAGATGGCAAGTTCACCTCAAAAAGGCCAAGGACTCACCCCAGTGGCCGGAAACGCGTTCATACTGACACTGAATCCTGAAGCCACCCGGCCCGCTACCTTTACCAATCATCGGGAACACGCACCTCCTTCCACCGAACAAGCCATGGATCTACTTTGAGCAGCTCTCAAAGCAATATGATTCACCCCTGATCACCTTCTGGACCGGTCGCCGGCCGACCATCTGGATCTGCGATGCCTGGGCCGCTAGCGAGCTCCTCGACAAGCGCGCCGCCATCTACGCATCCCGCCCGCGCATGGTCGTCTTCAGCGAGCTGGGCGCCGGCCAGTCTAACCTCGTCAACATGTACTACGGTGATCGTTGGCGTCTGCACCGGAAATTGACACATATGGGAGTCGGCCTGCAGCAAGTCCGCAATTATCGTGGCTTCCAGAATGACGAGAGCAAAGTGGTTGCGCTGGATCTGCTGCAGGAGCCGACGCAGTACGTCAAACATTTCGAGCGGTATGCGACGAGCGTCGTCTCGATTATCGGCTTTGGGCGGCGCGTGGCGACATTCATGGATCCAATCATTACGGAAGTAATTGCAGTCATGCAGCGCGCAGCGGAGCTGAACGTGCCCGGGAAAACCTTTCCCATGCTGATGGAGTCATTTCCATGTACGTGGACCCTTGTATTGGTCAAGTCTCATGAGGATTGAAACATTTGAAGAAGCAAGCGTAGAGTTGCACTGAATTACAAGACGCTGATACTCTACAGTCCTCGCCAGATTTCCTAACTGGATGGCACCGTGGAAACAGGGTCTGGGTGGAGGACAAGGCCGTGGCCGGCCCTTCTTCTACGCGTTGGCCGAGGAAGCAGCCCAGAACCCGGACGCAGACCAATGCTACGCAAAGAAGATCTTCGACGAAGCGCCAAAGCACAACCTCTCCCGGATGGAGATCTCCTCGCTCTCAGGCAACCTCTTCGGCGCGGGCAGCGACACCTCAAGCTCGACGCTGGTTACCTTCATCCTCGCCTGCTGCGCCTTCCCGGAGACCCTAACCAAAGCATGGGACGAGCTAGACCGCGTGGTGGGTCCACATCGAAGCCCGACATTCCAAGATGAGCCAGAGTTGCCGTATGTGAAGGCTTTCATGAAGGAGGTGCTGCGGTGGAGATCCGTCGCCATTATTGGCGGACAGCCGCATGCACCGATCAAGGACGATCGCTATAAGGTATGGAAGCCAAGCAGCTGTGCTAAGCACTTTCCCGCATCCTGGCAAGCCAGATCCAACTTTCAGAGTCGGCTCCAAGAACGGCGTGGATATTATGAGTACTGATCACTTGGCCTCTAGGGCTGGCTGATTCCCAAACACACCTGGGTCCAGGGGAACGTCTGGGCCATCCACCACCACGAGCGAGAATTTCCTGAACCAGACCGCTTCAACCCCGATCGCTATATCCAGGGGAGTCCTGACCAGCGTCCATTTCCAAATGAGAAGGGGTACATGACCTTTGGATGGGGGCGGCGCGTGTGCAGTGGCCAGGGACTGGCGGAGCAAGGAACATTCATCACGATCGCACGGCTGCTTTGGGGATTCCGAATCGAGAAGGCGCTCGATTTTCAGGGCCAGGAGATTCCCGTGGACATTTTTGATTTCACGTAAGTGCCCTCTTCCCAATCCAAGTTCGGTGTCTTCTTCTTTCATGTCTTGACACGTACTCGGTATAATTGAAACTAATTGCCGGGAGGGCCACATCCTGGCCCGCGAGTGACCCATCTAGTAATGGCCTCAATATGCGGCCTAATCCATTTGAGTGCCGGATCGCACCGCGCAGTCCGGAAATCCGCACGACCATTGAGAAGGAGGGAAGGCTGGCGTTGCAGGACCTATCTTCCTATGAAGGGGAGACCAAATATCGCATGAGCACATATTACGCCACCGAGACGCTCTGACGGGGGTCTCTACTTGATTTTCTGTCATTGAAGAAGTGGACATTCGCCGGCTAGGATGGTGAAGACAGATGCCGGGGGCGATGAGTATGGAAGGCAACCTTTGAACCTCTTTGGCTTTTTGTATACTCCGGCAAGACAGGTCCTTCTAGATCAGCCGAGGGCAGGGCCACAGTGGGTACAATTCTCCGCAAGCAAGGACGACACTGGTGGAGCTGGCATTGGATAGGCTGGCGCAATTTCAGAGGGCACCCCGACTCTATACTCCAGATGGGGAAAGACCCATGTACGATGTATCAGAGAGAAGATTATCAAATTGACACACGTTTGCGATTGACGTCATAACCGCTGCCATCCCAAACTGACATTTGCCCGAATCTGCAATGCTGGCGAGACTCAATCCAACTCATAGCAAGGAGGATTGAGTGGCGCGTCGATCCACGCGGGAGACGGGTAAAGCTAGAAGGATGTGAATGTCTTGATGACTCGACTGGCTTTAGGGTCGGGCCATCGGACAAGGGGGCCATTCTCCGTGAAGAGCCGGTTCGTCGAGCGCAAGCTAATAATACCACGCGATAACCTGGCTCATGGCCATTGACCTGGGGTAAAGGTCATGATCACCCTTGGCAAACTCAACGGGAGCGTGCAATCGGCAAGGCACGAGTCCAAAATCTGCCGTGTTGCCCGCAAATCCCATGTACGAGCAGCATCACGAGAAGTCGACCGGGGAGGAATTAGCGTCGAAGGTCTGCGCAATGTTCCAGGATTCCGGCGGATCTTCGGAGGGGAAAGATAGCACATTTGAGAGCGGGCGAGAGGTCTCGGCAGATGAAGCAGCGCAAAAGAGCCGGGGGTGTCGGTCCAAAGTTCTCGGTTCCCCAGAGACCCAGTGAACAAGGCTTAGCGGCCAATGGCGGAGCCCGCCAGTCCCCCCGATCGCCTGCTTGCCGAGCGGCGACTCACGGACTTCCGAATGCACGCCACAAAGTCAATGGGGGCAAAAAATCGAACCTCAGATATCGTATTGCAGGCTGTAAAGCTGAGCAAGAGAGCAGCAGTGTACTGATGAGATTCTGCTTTGTATAGTGATTGTCCCTGAAGCCCCGTCGGAGGAGTCCAGGGCAACAGTTGAACCTTCCACGTTATCGGCCTCGTCACTCCGAGTCCGTGAACAAACGGGGCCCGCCTGGAGCCGCCCAGTGCCATCCGGGCTAACTCCGATCAAGCAGTGAGACAGCTCTCGATAGTCGGTTCATGCTGGCATCCTGGTGCATTCCCCAGTCTGTGGAGAAGCAAGAGGGTCGCGAAAGGCCGATCAGTGTGCCCACCCCCCTTTTTCGCTAGAATCCCGGACAAAACCATCAAATTAAAGCGATGGGCGGAATGTATGTTAAAAGGGAGGCAGGATGGGGTTCCTGTGGCACGGGTGGGACGGCAGACGTTCGGCCAACTAAACAGCTCACCCGCAAATTGCAATTTTTCTTGAAATAGCCACCGTTGGCCAGGGGCATACGAGTCTTCAATCGAGATTTTCTTTTTTGCTCTTTGCGTGGGTAACGCTTTCGCTTGTGGTCTTGTATTCTCCGCGCATTTGCACTTCTGGTATAGGTCGGGTCGAGTCTGTTCAAAATTTGTTTCGCCCAGCATGAAGGTGCAACAGGCAAAGGTGCCATTGGATGTGATCGTAGTCGGGTATGTACAAAAATGATAGCGATCGACTATGGTAGACGTCCAGGTATTAACATCCTCTAGGGCCGGTACGCTTTCTTCCCAGATTACATATCATTGGGGTGCTCTCCAGAGAGGAGCTCAATTGACGAATCCTTGTAGGCATTGGCGGCATAGCGGCTGCCCTGACGCTGGGACTTCGAGGTCACCATGTCGTGATTCTCGAGGCTGCCCCCAAAGTATGCTATTCCCACCCCTGAGAAATTGAAATATTGGCTGCGATGGTGTGACTAATAATTGCCGGTCTAGCTGATGGAGGTTGGAGCTGGAATCCAGGTCTCCCCAAATATGTTAAGACTGTTTGAGCGTGAGTCAACCGCGGCTTCACTCAATTATCTTTGAAGAACGCCACTAACCGAGGACCTGAATTTCAAGGATGGGGTGTATCGGATTTGATCCATGCTCAGGACGTGGCACTCGAGCACATTCACGTCCGACGATGGGCAGACGGCGAATTGCTCGCAACTATGCCCGTGAACAAGACGTTTGGGCAGCAAGTGGTCATCCACCGTGCAGACCTGCACAATGCTCTAATTGACAGGGCATTGGCTTTGGATAACGTCGAGTTGCGGGTGAATTCGACGGTCACGAATGTTGAATTCAGTCCGGCTACTGTCACACTTGCAAACGGCACTGTCGTCCGCGGCGATGTTGTGATCGGTGCTGATGGCATCAAGTCGACAATTCGTGGACATCTACTGGACGATGCGTCCCTCAAGGCGATTCCCACGGGTGATGCTGCATACCGCATTGTGCTGCCGCGCAGTGTGATGGAGCAGGATCCTGAATTGAAGGAGCTCATTGACGAGCCGCAGGCGACTCGTTGGCTGGGGCCTTCGCGCCACATTATCGCATACCCCGTTCGCAACCATGAACTGTATAACGTTGTCCTGCTTCATCCAGATCGGCAGGAAGTCGAGGAGTCATGGACGACTAAGGGCTCGAAGCAGGCGATGGTCGACCATTACCAGGGCTGGGACCAGAAGGTGCGCAAGCTGATTGACTTGGTGGACGCCGACGAGGTTCTCGAGTGGAAGTTGTGTCTGCATCGTCCACTCAAGACGTGGATTCGCGGGTCGGTGGCCTTGATCGGTGATGCGTGCCACCCCATGCTGTAAGTAGCAAGAAGCCTCTCTCCCCTGCTCGTTGTGCAACGCTAATCCGGGCCAGTCCGTACGTCGCTCAAGGCGCGGCTCAGGCCGTCGAGGATGCGGCTGCCCTCGGCGTTCTCTTATCCGCCATCTCGGCCCGGCATGAGATTCCTCGAGCTCTCCAGGCCTACGAGAGGTCGCGGAAACAGCGTGCCGACACAGTGCAGCAGTCTGGCTCCGAGAACCGTATCACCCTGCACCTGCCCGATGGCCCGGAGCAGGTTGCGCGCGACGAGCAATTCCGGGCATCGTCAAACGGATCCAATCCGGATAAGTGGTCGGATCGCGAGACCCAGCGCATCCTCTGGGGCTGGGATGCTGAAAAGGCCGCCCTGGATACCTGGACTGGTACTTGAATCCATACCCCGATTCTTAGTCACGCTAACTTGCCGCCAGGTACCGATCCAGAAGCCAAGGTCAACGCCAGCCTGTAACATGGCTGATACCGCTGAACTCACAAACCATTACTATTCAACATAATAAGCTGCATGGCATTGCCCCAACAGAGGGGCATTTACGACTAGACTCAACAGATAGGGGCTCACGACTTCATTCCACATGACGAGACCCGCGGTGACCGGGAGCCTCGGTGGCTGGATATATGCATTCAAGCAAGTGTAAATAAAGGTTCATCTACTTCATCTATAGCCGATAGGCAGAATACAAACATACTATATGAGAACACAGAGGAAAAATTTCCACAATTGCCACTTTTTCTATTTCATTATACAATTCATTCAGTCGGGGAAACAATTCACTGCATCGTGGTAAACATGAAAGGAAATCCCAATTTTTTGCCTCATGAAAGCCAGTGATGCTCAGCATATGGCTTCAATCTGACTAACCCCGTCCGAAGGGTCGACGAGATCATCAAGAGTATTTTTGCTCCATTTGCGTAGAGGATATTTTACAGCTTCTCGCCAGCAGCGGCCTTCATCTGGCCGTACTTCTTCAGGCGGATAGCAGAGACGTTGATGAAGCCGGTAGTCTCAGCGGGAGAGAAGTCACCGATCTCGTCCATGGAGGACTCAGTCATGTCGTACAGCTTCTCGGTGTCGGAGTGGCGGCCCAAGACGGAGACGGTGCCCTTGTAGGCACGGCAGCGTACCAGGCCGTTGACGGACTTCTGGGAGGCGGTGATGGAGGCCTCCAGGAACTCGCGCTCAGGGGAGAAGTACATGCCGTTGTACAGGAGCTTGGAGTAGTTGAAGGTGACGAACTGGTCACGCAGGGCACGAACCTCACGGTCCATCACAAGACCCTCAAGGTCACTTGAGACCAAGTTAGTCGTGTTCAAATGGAGGCTTTTAATTTGGGACATAACTCACATGTGAGCGGAACGCAGGCAGGTAAGACCGGGGGTCTCGTAGCAGCCACGGGACTTGATACCGATGAAACGGTTCTCGACCTAGACAAGGGTCAGTAAATAGAGTCAGGGAATTAGTTGGACGCATTGAAAAAATAAAATAACGTACGATATCGATACGGCCGACGCCGTTACGGCGGGCAATAGCGTTGGCAGTCAGGAAAAGGTCGACGGAATCAGTGACAGTCTTCTGCTGGCCCTTCTCGGTGTACTCGAGCTTGACGGGAATACCCTTCTCGAAGTGGATGGTGAAGTCCTCAGGCTGGTCAGGAGCAGTCATGGGGTCCTGGGTAAGCTTCCACATATCGGTGGGGGGAGTGATGTTGGGGTCTTCCAAGATACCGGCCTCATAAGAGCAGTGGGCCAGGTTCTCGTCCATGCTCCAGGGCTTAGACTTGGTGGAGGTGACAGGGATGCCCTTCTCGGCGGCGTAGGCGAGGAGATCGTTACGACCGACGAAGCGCTCATAGAAGACGGGATCACGCCACGGGGCGATGACCTTGATGTTGGGCTGAAGAGCATAGAAGGCAAGCTCGAAGCGGACCTGGTCGTTACCCTTGCCAGTGCAGCCGTGGGAGACGGCGAAGCAGCCCTCGCGCTATCGTAGAAGTTGCTGGATTAGAAACTACCGACCACATGAGGAGGGAAATTTTCAGGTATCCTACCTGAGCAACGGCAATCTGGGCACGAGCAATGACGGGACGAGCGAGGGAAGTGCCTTGAATGCCGGTTAGTAAAGGGATAAAAAGATACGGATGCCTCAAGAACAAAAAGACAACTTACCGAGCAAGTACACATTCTCGTAGACAGCATTGCAAGCAATGGCGGGGAAGCAGAGCTCCTCGATGAACTCACGGCGGATATCGACGATCTCGCACTTGAGAGCACCGATCTTCAGGGCCTTCTCGCGGGCAGCCTCGAAGTCCTCTAGGGGGGAAGTTTTAGCGAGGCGTCGCTAGACCGCGGGCATTGATTTCAACTATACCTTCCTGGCCAACATCGGCCACTGCAGACAGTCTTAGCATTTATTTTATAATAGCCCCCGTGATGGGGCTCTACTAATGGCGCATACGACTTACTGAAACACACAACCTCATAGCCCTCCTCGATCAGGTACTTGACTGGAACAGGGTATTAGCGATTGCCATTGTGCAATTGAGGGCGATCAATTCTGCAGCAGATAGTCATACGGATACAGCTGGTGTCGAGGCCACCAGAGTAGGCAAGGCAAACCTATTCAATCAACGGGTCAGCCGAGCTGGGAGAGGGACAAATGGAGGTGTAGCGGGTGGGATGAGAGTGGCGGTCTGGAAGTGGGCAATCGAATTTGCGGCGACCGCGAAGCATCCAATTGAGGCGACATACCTTTCCCTTGGACATTGTGAGTGTTTAACGGTGTATATGAGACGAGCGAAAAGGCGGATGGAAGCAGTGTTGAAGAAGGTCAAGAAAGGAATTGAGTCATCCGAAAAAAAGGCGGGTTTTTGGTGCGGGCGGGGGGAGTCACACCTCTTGGCGCCGACACCGGCCGATAAGCCCTGATAAGAGTGAACACACACCGCATCCACGGGAAACGCCAGGGCGATCGGATTATCGATTTTGACTGCACAAACTACTGGGGGGAGGGCTCGTGCAGGGAACAACCATCTCCACTTACTAGCTGTGTCTGCAGGTAGCTCCCACAAATAGCAATGAGGGTGTCACGAAGCGCAGCAGAATTCCTGCTCCCCCGCCATCCCTCTAATTCTATGACTAATCTATTGGTTTGCCCAGGCAGGCTGTTGACTGTAAGTGCGGACATTCCGGGATCCATACGGACGCCGAGCTAATGCTTCTACTTTTATGCTGAATGGTATGAAGCAATACAGGAATAACCCGACTTTCTAGGATTGATCGAAGTCACATCCACCTTAGCTTTGGCGCACGGTTCCCATGGAAAACAGCAAGAGCTCTTCCGTCATAGCGCCTCGGGAGCCGCCTCCAGTGTTTGGCCTGTTTGTACGGGCGGTTATTCGCGGCGCATCCCCCGCAAACCCCCCCGATACGAGACCAACTGGAGAAATGCCACCCCATAAAGTGAAGTCAGGGCCCTGACGGCACTTTCTTCATGCGTATGTCCTTGGACTCACATATTTCTATCCTTCGTCTCTCAACGACTCAGAGATGGCGTTGACGCCTGCTGCGCGGGGTCTGATCCCTCGAGTCTCTCGCCGATGCTATTCCGCAGCTCCATCCCCGGCGGCAAAGCTCAACTTACCGATCGACTACAAATCCACCCCCTTGCTACATCATACACCCTCTTCATTATCAAATATCCCAGATTTCCCAGCTGCAGCCACTAGCAAGCGGATGAACTTCTTCCAGTCCATCAACTCCGCCCTTCGAACCGCCCTATCGACCTCGGACAAGGTCTTACTTTTCGGTGAAGATGTGGCATTTGGAGGTGTCTTTCGCTGTTCTATGGACTTACAGACGGAGTTTGGCTCAGATCGAGTATTTAATACTCCGTTGACGGAGCAAGGGATTGCGGGATTCGCCATTGGCGCCGCCGCCGAGGGCATGAAGCCCGTCGCGGAAATCCAGTTCGCCGACTATGTCTTCCCGGCGTTCGATCAAATCGTCAACGAGGCGGCAAAGTTCCGATACCGAGAGGGAGGGACAGGCATTAATGTGGGTGGCTTGGTCATTCGAATGCCATGCGGTGCCGTCGGGCACGGTGCACTGTACGTACAGCGGATGCGTCTCCCTGGCCTTGAAGGTAGCCTCTAACGAAAGTCTGGCATAGGTACCACTCACAGTCCCCAGAAGCACTTTTCGCACATATCCCTGGCGTACGAGTGGTGATGCCACGCTCTCCTTCGCAGGCCAAGGGCCTTCTCCTGTCCTCCATCTTCGAACACAACGACCCTGTCATCTTCATGGAGCCTAAAATACTCTACCGAGCCGCTGTTGAACATGTCCCCAACGAATACTACACTATTCCATTGAGCAAGGCCGAAGTAATCAAACCAGGCAAAGACTTGACAATCATCTCCTACGGGCAACCTCTGTATCTTTGCTCGGCTGCCATCTCTGCCATCGAGAAGACCATGAAGGGCGTGAGTATCGAGATGATCGATCTGCGCACAATCTACCCGTGGGACCGTCAAACCGTTCTTGAGAGCGTCCGCAAGACCGGAAGAGCTGTTGTAGTTCACGAGAGCATGATCAACTACGGTGTTGGGGCTGAGGTCGCCGCAACTCTGCAGGAAGGCGCTTTCCTCCGGTTAGAGGCCCCTGTCAAGCGAGTTGCCGGATGCACCACACACACGGGTCTTTCCTATGAACAGTTCGTTCTACCTGATGTTGCAAGTAAGTTTCACTAAAGGCCTGTCCTCTTGAGCATGGTATGCTGACCAGTCTTCCTATTTGTAAAGGGATCTACGATGCCGTTAAACGGACACTGGAATACTGAATTGGCTTTGGGAGGTCTTTTGGAACGGCATAATAGATCACAGTGCATCATTTCGATATCATTTCTTCAAACAAAGCTATAACAACGAGATCAATAGAAACAATACATTGCTATGGCCATCAACATTCCACTACCGCCCGGACGATTTCGCTAGGTAGAGAAATGGCCTCCCTGGAGCCTCCTGGGAAGCCAAGTCCGCCATTGGGCATCGATACTTGGAAGAATCTGACGCTAGGTCAATGAGAATTGAGTGTCCGGTTAGGTGTAAACGCCTCTCCGGTGCCTTGGTCGTCCGGTGTTTGTAAACCATTAGCGCGACACTGGTGCATGGAACAAAGATATATTGTCAGACGAGGTGGCTCAAAATACGTTTCATGAACTTGAGCTTCTTAATCCATAGGGGCATAAAACAATAGTTCAATCTGCCAGTTGTAGCACCGGTAAATCGATATGGAGCCTAAAACTGGCGATACAAATCTCCAGGCTGTGCTGAAGATTTGTACAGAGAGCATATGCTTGAGTGGAGAGAATAATGCGACGGCACTGGAGGCAGGCCTGTACCATCTTATTATTGTCTTGGGTTGGCTCCAACATATTCCACCACCAGTTAGAAGCTTTTCAGATTGGAAAATATACTTATTACATCATACTGTCGAGGTGGGTGCCAAGAATCGGCAATTGCGTGTCGGGACTGCGATGGCATGGCGTTCCACTGCGGCAGGCCCTCACGCGGCCCGAAAACCTTAAATCGCCAGGATGAACGACACCCGAACCATCACAACAGGAGATATTGGCAATTTCTAGCCCATATTATGATTCAGATCAAGATTAAACTTGGGGGAAGCATAAAAAGTATCCCAGAGCTTGATTGCTCAAAGTTCAATGACCTGACATCGATTTTTGAGAGTAGACTTTGTGTAAACCGAGATTGATCTATGTGAATGCTGTGCGAGCATAGCCCACCCGACACATTTACAAAAGCTAACAACTGCCTCAAATGCCCACGAAACTGGGCCAAGACAGATAAGCTTGAAGATTACTATTTAATGGCTAATCAACCTTAACTTGAACCAAATCGGATCGTAGGGGGGCTGAAGATTTCACAAAGAGACCTGGGGTTTGTCCTATGAGATTGGGATTTTTGAACTAAATATAAAATCCATAAAACCCGATTTCTCACCCAGAACACTTGGTATTCCAATTCTTCCTTGAAATAGGCTTGAAAGAGTGATTCTCAACAGACGAGATAGTTTTCAGCGACTTAATAGACTCGATGGTAGCCATAGAGGGTGAAAGGACATGAAACCATGAGCATAGTTTCCTGAAAGGCACCGCACAAAAGTGAGAGATACTAATCGGGATACCCAGGGACAATAACATCAACATAAATTGAGACCTCTCACACTCACACAAGTTCCTCTTCTTTTCTCCTCAACTTTTTCGCACACTTGCCCTCGTTGTCACCAACAACGAGACAACCCGTCCGAAGAGCGTCCTGAACGTCTTTTGACATTTTTGTATCCCTTGCGCAAACAGTCCTAGCAATGGGGCTGTTCACCGACTTCATTGCCCCGGTCTTCGGAGTGATTTTTTGGGGCTTCCTGGACTTTGGCCTCCGCCTCGTCGCATGTGCTGCACTATGTGGCCTTCTTGCCTTTGGCCACATCTGGGCGGTGCGTTGGGCCAAGTCGAAGGTTCAGGACGTGTGTGCCCGCATCGGCCGCTCTCTGCTTGCAGTGAAGTAAGTTGATATGTTGACATGTTCAAATGACGTGACATGACCCTCCCTCCCATGATGTGACCACATCAGGCTGACTAGATCAAACAGCGATGAACCAAAGGAAGTGCCTCTACCCGAGGTCACCACGACGACCGCCACCAAGGCGACGACCAATCCTGAGTTCACAACATGTGAGCTGTCCAAGTCCGAACTGAGCAAGCTGAAGCTGCTCCGCCGAATCAGCCACCCCACGTCTGGCAGTGGATTGTGGGACTCGCTCCTAATCAATGGGAAGGCTGAGTCTCTCTCCGCCCGCGAGGCCGACCTCGCCAAACGGGAAGCCAAGCTCGTGCGTTCTCAGCACCAGCTGGCTCGCCAACGTGGACTCGCTGACGGGCGAGAGGCATCGCTCGACTCGTTCGAGACGCACCTTGAGGAACGTGTGCAGTCACGCCTCGCCGTGCTCATCCAATCTCAGCAGGAAGGCAGCAATGTCATCCACCGGGATGCGGCTCGAGAACAACTGCGCGCACTCTTTGAGGCGGACATGGCGCAACAAAATGCCAAGCAGGAGGAAACCGTCACCAGCCTGCGCTCCGAACTCGAGAGCTCCGCCTGCGAGGTCCTTGAACTCAAGGACAGACTCCGGGAGCTCAAGGGCAAGGAAGCCAAAAACGCCGGCAACAAGATCGACCGAGAGGTCGTTGCACAGATGTCAGCAGAATGGGAGCGGGACATGGCCGCTCTAACGCATCAACTCAAGGATGCGATTGACAGCCGCGCCCGCGCCGAACTGCAAGACCGTGCCACCCTCGAGGCGCTCAATACGGCCAACGGAGAGCGCTTGCGCCTCCAAGGGGAATGTGTGAAGATGAAAAATCGTCTTCGCAATGCTGCTGCCCGCAGCAGCCAAGAGCAATCCGGCTCCGTTTCTCAAGAGTCCCACGCAGCCGCCCTGGCCGAAGTTGCCCGGCTCAATGCAGTGGTCGATGAGCTTACCCGCCGCAACATGGCGAATGACGAAGAACTGCAGCAGCAGCGCGTCAATACCGACGCCTCATTCACCGCGTTGCAGGATGAACTTGCCCGGGTAGAGGAGGAGAAGCGATTGGCCCAGGCCAAGGTCCGCGAACAAGAGTCGATTGTCGGAGAGTGGTGCAAGAGCTGGGCGGATGAACACGCCCAAGGCATCGCTGTTGTCATGCAGAAGGCGGACGCCTCGGTGAAAGTCGCCCACGCCCAACTTTCCATGGCAAAAGCAGAGATTGCCGCGCTCAAGGCATTGCGCGACGACCCGGAGAGCTTCTTCGAGGGCCCTCTGGACCTGCACCACGAGCCTGAGCCGCTCCGCAAGCTGAAGCAGGAGATCGAGCAGGAGCGAGTGGTTCGACAGGATCACCTTCGCGACCAGAAGCCTCGCCTGCAGAGGATCCGGAACGCCTGTAATGGCCTGCAGAAGGCATTCCAGGAATGCGAGGATGCGTGGGGCCAAAACGACCCTTTCTTCCATGCGAGCTTCTTCGCAGGAGACAGCGAGGTAAGGGCCCACCTCCGCAACATCCCAGCAGCCCTGGATGCGCTCCATGAGTCGCTGATGCGCGACGTCGACGGCAATGAGCTGCGCACCCCGAGTCCCCTGCCGCCGCCCCCACCGATGTTTGAGGAGTCAGAGGTATCTGAAGAGGATCCATTCGAGTGGAACCCGCCTCGCAACCTCGCTGAAGTGGACCCAAGCGGCCCCGGTGCTCAAGGCAGCGCAATCCTCGCCAGTGCTGCGGCGGCTGTCACCATTTCGCCGGCCGAGGCCAGTCGGGAAACCGACCCGCCTCCCGCTGCTGCGTCTGGCCCCGCTGCCCCTGGTATTGCCGCCCCTCGTCTCGCCAATCCGATGCGACAGATTAGCTCTCAAAGCAGTGTTGCAAGAAAATTGGCCCGGAGAAGAGGACGCCGATTGTGCTAGTCATGCCAGACGAAGCACCGCTGGTTGAAGGAAAAAGAAAGCTGCCAGAAGTGCCGAGACCGGCCCCACAGGTTGAGAGCCTAACCGGCCAGGTGTCGATAGCGCACGCTCCGCTCGTTGCGATTCGTTCACTTCGGCCCCCTCGAAACCCAATTCAGTCCAGTCCCGATCAACTCGTGCAGCCACGAAACGCCCGAACGGTGGCTATCACCAGTTTCCACCTTATGCGCAGTTTTTTTTTCCTTCCTAGTGCCATCAGCTCCATTTTTCTTTTCCCCGCCGACTTTCTGTGTTCGTGACTCTCGCTACTCACGTCCCAGTCCCGACCTCGACGTAGAGCGACCCTCATTTCGGCGTCAACAAATTGCAATGTCCTGACCCTGCCCAACCTCTCTTTCTCGACCTCGTGGAGACTCTTGTGTGCTCGCGGTGATACAGGGGTGATACATCCTGATACATCCCTTGATATCCTGATATCCTTTCTGGTGTTCCGATGATATCCATGACGATGACCCCTCCTTCACTCCGTCTCGTTGCCGCCCGGCCTATGATGCTGGGACTGGCTAAGCTCATCTTCCTCAGCTTCTCTCACCTTCCGCTCACGACGGCAGCGCCTGTGCTGTCCACCTACCTCTCATCTCCCGATTCAGAACCCCCAAAAGAACCGACAGATCCCAGCTTATGGTTGTACCTGGGAATCTCAGCAGCCCTTGTCCTCAGTGGCGGCGCGTTTGCGGGGCTTACCATTGCATTGATGGGACAAGATGAAGTGTATTTGCAAGTGATCCAGACATCCGGTGAAGAGTCCGAGAAGAAGAATGCGGCCAGCGTCTTGAACCTGCTCAAGCGGGGCAAACATTGGGTGCTTGTGACTCTCCTCCTCAGCAATGTGATCACCAATGAGACATTGCCTATTGTCCTTGACAGGACCCTCGGCGGGGGATGGCCGGCGGTCCTAGGAAGTACAGCGTTGATTGTGATTTTCGGCGAGATCGTGCCTCAGTCCATCTGCGTCCGATACGGTCTCCCCATTGGGGCATGGATGGCTCCCTGTGTGTTGGTGTTGATGTACCTCATGTCCCCGGTCGCCTGGCCTGTCGCCAAGCTGCTTGACAAGCTGCTCGGCGAAGATCATGGCACCATTTACAAGAAGGCCGGTTTGAAAACCCTCGTCACGCTTCACCAAACCCTCGGCGAAGCGGGAGAACAACTAAACTCCGACGAAGTCACAATCATCAGCGCTGTTCTCGACCTAAAACAAAAGTCCGTGGGAAGGATCATGACTCCGATGGAAGACGTCTTCACCATGTCCGCCGACACAGTTCTCGACGAAAGAACCATGGACTTGATCCTTTCCCAAGGATATTCTCGAATTCCGATACACGCTCCTGACAACCCACTGAACTTTGTTGGTATGCTTCTTGTAAAGATGCTCATCACGTACGATCCTGAAGACTGCAAACGTGTCCGAGACTTTGCCCTGGCAACCCTACCAGAGACACGTCCTGAAACAAGCTGTCTGGATATCGTCAACTTCTTCCAAGAAGGAAAGTCGCACATGGTGCTTGTTTCCGAATATCCCAGCGAAGATCGCGGTGCTCTTGGGGTTGTTACCTTGGAAGATGTTATTGAAGAATTGATCGGAGAGTATGTGACCCCAATTTCCCTTCCCCAACTCGCTTCTCTACGACTGCTTACTCACTATTTTTTTTTTCCAGAGAGATTATTGACGAATCCGATGTGTTTATCGATGTTCACAAGGCGATCAGACGAATGGCGCCGGCGCCGAAAAGCCGCGTTCCTAAGGGTAAAATTGTCGAAGAACCACCTTTGGTATCTTCCTCTTTCACGGAAGGCGAGCTCATTGACCTTGATGGGATCACAAACACACCATCTTCCCTCCCGCGGTCATCAGAATTGAACCGCCGTCGCAGTTCTGTCGAAGCACCACCACCTCGCTTCCAGCTTCGCAAACAGAACGCCGACAATAGCTCCAATCCGTCCGACTCCTGGGTCACCCAAAGAGGCGCAACGGACGAAATCAGAGAGCATTTAAAACACCTAGGTCCTTCCAATCTGGCAAGTCGACCCCGTCAAACTCGCTATCATGCCGTGAAAATCAAACGCAATAGCAATTCACCCTCACGATCGGCCCAGACAGACTTTGAATCTGGCCAGAGTATGTCTGACTCCCACATTCAAGTTACTTCCACTGGCTATCAAGGCGGAATTGGCGCAGGACTTGTTACCTCTGGAGCTGAAGCCAAAGATGGCGCTCATGCGTTGAAACTCGGATATGGCACCCTCGGTTCCCATGATCATGTCACGAAGGGCACGAACGCCCAACAATACAAAGATCTGCCGCAGGTTTCCATCCCTGAAGCTGTCAACGAAGAGCACGACGACCAACTCCACTCCGGGTCCACGCGAAAGGGCAGCAGCGGCACTGTGAGCATCAAATCAGAAACTTCTCGGTCCGAGTTCATCTACCACCATCGTGGACCGGCTCGCAGCGGCAGCATTACTGAACAAATCGTGGATGTGAACGGAATCCGCAAAGTCGTCCTCCACACCAATGGCACCAGCTCCTCCGATGGCGAGGCCACCCCGTCCCCTCGCCATACCCGTGACTCTTCACCAACCTACGTTGACCGTCAGGATGGTGCGACCGACACGAATGACCACCACTCGGACCCTCATGATTCCACTTCAGGCGCAAAGAAAAGCCGTCGCAAGAAGAAACGTGTGCATCGCTCTAAGCCCAAGAGCGGCGGCGGCTCCTCGGAGGACCAACCTCTTCTGCATTAATAATCCAAGGAAAAACAGCCCATGCATTCATTCACCATTCAATCTCAAACCCTTGGCCATTATTCAAAGCCCTCAACCTACTGGTCGACGTTCAAAAAGAAGCTGGCTTCTCTTCATCATGATGGACCCCATGGAATCAATGACACGCACAAATTGCATCATTGATCCGCAAAAGTCCGTTACAACACGATGGGATAGGTGATGTTTGGAGACGGTACTAAGCCTTTCCGGGAACATCATCTGTGAACCATGCCTTATGGACTCATCGAAAATTCTCACTTCTTTCTTCTTCCTGCAACCACTTGAATATATATATCTCTGTGTTCCTCAAGTGTTTGATCCACAAATATCTGTCTCGTTCATGTCGAGTCATCTGTTCATTTCACCTTCGAATCTGGGAAAGATCTCCAACCAAGAGGTCAACTTTCGTCGGTCTTGCAAAAACAACCGACACCCGACGAAGAGGCCGCGTTTGAAGAACACATTCTATCATTCATTGTTTCGGTGGTCTTTTGGCACCAATATGATTGAGTGTGTGGGAACTAGTTACGATATTACAATCAAGCTCTGCATGACAATTTTTCGCGGCGCGGAAATACCCGAGTCCATCAGAGACACCGATGATGGATTCTTCCAATTTCGAAAAAAAAATCCAAAAGAAATCCAAAAAAATCAAAATTCTACCTGATGATCTTCCAATAAACACGGCTGCAGTTTTGTGCACAGTGACGCACTCATCGCGAAATCATACAACATGCCAATGTGGCCTCGTATATTTAAGTCACTTTTGTGTCTGACAAGGATCTCAGTGAGGAGATAATTATAGAGACTCACGAAATCTTAACCTAACGAAGTGAATGCGAATAATGCAGCCGACGGCAATATTACACCATGGACAGAGTACAGTGGTATTTATCGTACATAAGAAGTCTCCATCGATCTCCACCATTCCCCATCCTAGCCTTGTACCCAACAAAACGAAGGCAATGACCCGTGAACTTCAATCGGATCTCAAAGTAGCCACTATCAAAGGCTATATTGATCCCATCGCCATTACCGCCAAGTACACGCACATCCTTTTTATCCTTCATCCTTTATTGATGGCAATGGACATAAGTGCCGCTGGATGCTGAACTTTACGCCGTGGAAGCTGGGCGGTTTTCTTGTGGATATTGATGAGAACGAAGAGGGACCGCTTCTTTATCTACACGTCGCGGTCAATCCAGATGCACTCGAAGATATTTATGAGGGTCGTGAGAAAGAGGAAAAACCGATTATGTACAAGGAACTGGGAATTTTGTCATGTCACATATTTAGAAGGAAATGCGCAAGCAGTTCAACACAATGCACAACGTTTAAGGAGGTTAACATCGTTGTATGAGGGTGGGTCGTTGAGCTTCTTTAGTTTTGTAGGTACGAAAGTTTTGCTGCAGGAAATATCACGTTTATTCGAAAGTCAAGAACTAGACGGAAGATAAACTACCCAGGAAACCAAAGAATACATAAGAGCGCCTTCAGATATGCAGTTGTTGAAATGCGCGTTACCGTAAATATTCAGATCATCACCATGCATTGCAATTACGTCCATCATGAATCCAGGAGATAGTCATGGAGTTTGTACGTACTCGGAAACCCAAAACTGAGTTGAAAGACATCCTTCTAGTTGAGATGGAGGAGGGAGAATCCGGACTGGAACATCATCTTCAACATCTCGTGCCCGAATAGAGGTTTATATCGAGCAGAAGAATGAGGGAAGGCGCGACGGGAAATCCAGCCGCATGCCAAGTTCCTACTCAGAAATAGACAAATGCTTCTGGCAATCGTCCAGTAAAGAGGTAATGAGCACACCGGGATGAAGGCCAGGCTTTTGTCGGTGGCCAGATATTGGAGCCAACGGTAAGGGTGGGTAATTGCCAGCAATAAAAGAGAGAGCCGGATGGGGCGATCATTGGAGAAGAGGATCCTAGACATGTTGTTAATATATAATACAGATATTGGGAAACCTCAAGAAAATACATACCCGGAAGTGTTTCTGGAAGTTGTTAGCTCTCTCAAGACGGGCCTTGTAACGATTCTCCTGGCGAAGGCCACGGGTTCTCTCGCGACGTTCCGCGACAGCGACAGTTTGCTTTTGATGATCACTGGCACCGATCATACCGGTTCCGCCATTGGCGCGGGTGATAAGAGCACGGTTTTGGTTGCGGCCCCGAGATTTCTCTTCTTCTTCAATTTCGCCATTCTCAATAGCAAGCTGCCGAGTAGCTCGCTCTTCTGCGGTGGGGTAGTTGTGCAGGTTCTGGCGATAATACTTGGCGAGTGAGCGGTGACCAACACTCTTACCAGATGGAAGATGGAGTTCCCATTCATCTTCATAGATGAGGGGTGCTTTTCGGTGCGAGTGTGTCTCATCGCCATCAACAGAGGAGGCGGAAGTTTCAGTCTCCCAACCCTCATCATCTCCATCAGAGCCCTGGACCTTGACACCGCCTGCATCAGCCATATCCTCATCCTCATCCTCGTCCTCATCATCAGAGTAAGTGCTGCGGAAATCGTAGTACTGGCCAATCTCAATCTGCTCCTCTTCAGCCTCGAAGGCAATCATACAATGGCCCTTGTCGCGCATGTGGGTGCGAGCACCAGCAGCATTGTTGCGAATGGCATGGCAGTAAAGACATTCATGGTTTTCGGTGATTTTGCGATAGAGATAATGAAGAAGACCGTCGAGGTCGACCAGGTAGTCTCGTTCCGGAATGAACATGCCGTGAGCCTTGTACATATGCTCCACGTTGGTCTGGGCATCGGCAGAGTCGGCACGGCAGAAGAGACAGCGAGATACAGAGTAGTCATCCTTACCACCTTGAATCTCCTCATCCTCATCATCCTCTTCTTGAATAGTGGTGGATTTAAGACCATCGGTGACCTTGGCCACCTCATTCTCATGGGATTTGTTGACGGGCTCGCCTAGAGAAAATGCGGAACTCAGTACTGATGCATCATCGCCATCCTTACTGAGGCGGGCCTCGCGCTGCTTGTGCTTGGAACTTTTGATGTGGTTTTGGTAGGAGTTCTCGCTGTAAAAAGTCTTCTGGCAGGGATGGCATGTCTTTTCGAAGGAGGCCTTGGCGGCGGCCTGGCTTGATGTGGCTTTGGCAGCAAGAACTTTCTCGTTGAAGGTATCAAGAGCAACTGGCGGAAGAGACGCCATACGGCGCTTCATATTGTATAAACTAGAACGCAGTGTTGTTAGAAATGACTCCTATACTGTATTCACACTGACTGGGAACTTACTGCCAGTCTTTGCGCATATGATCTCTCTGAGCATCGCTCCTGTGGAACGCAACAAGACAGGTATTGCAGGTGTAAGGTAGAGGGGCCGCAGAGGCCTGTTCAATATTGGTCGACATAATGACCGTTCAACGTTCGATATGGTGTGCAACTAAAGGACGAACGACTTTCTCGGTCAAAAAAGTTGACTGTGGGACGAAGTTTTATCGTAGGCGGGGTAGGATGAAGGCTCTGTCGCGACTCAATTTCCACCCTTTTGATAAGGTTCTTTCGGAAGTATTGATCGGACCCTTTCAGTGGTAATGGATCCGCTAAGCGAAGGTATCCGGTATTTGTCAAAAGTGAATGCGAACAAGAGAGGCGAGAGCCTTGATTTGCAAGCAACGCTTATCGAACCGCACAGAAGATGACGCTTTTCCTGATTCCTGCAACGCTAAACCGTAATTGGAAATATCACTTCCAGATACCAGTCTTCACGTGCCCTTCGGATCAACACTTAACCCGACCCCGTACTGGATGCCTCAGGCGGGGGCCCCGGCGGTCCCGATGATATCAGGTGAGGTGAGCCTCCGGGTCCTCTACATATATCGTTAGGTCAACGCTTAACCTTGCGGCGTTGAAGTCGAGTGGTTTGACTTCTTTTATCTTTTAGTCTGGATATGCGACCTGCGCTCTCACGATGACCAGGCTCCGCGGAGCTTCTCTCGACAATCCAGACATCGCCCAGCCTAGTGGTGGGCGACCTCAATATTGTCGGTCAAAGATCCCTCCAAATGCTCCTGAGGTTGTGATACAGAACACCACCGATGTGTCAGATCCTTTGCGGATCCTGCCGTGGTATCGGGATGAGCGACGGAGGCGATACAATGTACTGGTGCGCAGGTGAGTAACTTGAAAACGTCGAGTGTTGACAAAGCGCCTGCATCAACCCGCGACGGCGCACTGACAATGTTGGGACAACAGATACAAGAACCAGTTACTTCACGGATGTGACGATCCAGGCTGCCATACACCTACTTGCGCCAGTCGTCGCCGCAGAGTTAGCGAAGGCCCATATCGCCGGTACACGGAACTAAGCGCGCGAACCCTGGCCTGCTATCTCGCCAGCTTGGACGACGCGGAGAGTGGTCTTTGTTGCAATAACCCGAGATACTCTTCCGAGTTGTCGATTCATGACTACCACCGCATCTCCTTACAACGATCTCGTGCACTTCGAGCGCAGGCCGCCGTCACGACCTCGCATCCGACTTATACAGCCGACGACGATCGGATCGAACCAGCCAACGAGTCTACCCAGAGGCTCCCGCCGAGACCCCGAGGTAGTTATACATCGGCAACCGAGGATGCCATAGGCTCAACATCCTCTGCCAATATCCATCCCAACACCTATGATTTCCAAGATCTTGACTACGCTGCCGAACAACCCCTCAAAGATCCCAAATCCTTTACGCAGAACCTTTTCGACACATTATCATTGCGTATGGTTGAATGGCTCCCTTTGAGGAGAACACCGGATGCTTTACCTTTGAAAACACAACCAGATCTCCCGCTCAGCGGTAATGAGCCACCAAATTCAGAGAAACAGCAGCATGAGCAAGAAATGGAGACCAGTAAACCTCCAAAGATACAGGCTACACATCATACACCGTCACACACACAGCCACCTCCACCTCGAACCCCCTCCTCTCGATCATCAGGAGCTCAACCATCGGCGGTTGAGCTGAAATTTCAAAACCAGCATGTCAAACGACTATCTATCACCGAAGTTGATCATTGGCGACAATCCCCACGATCTAGCCTAGATGAAAAGAAGAAGCCTGAATACAAGAACCGCAAAGTCTCCGTGAATTCTCACCTTACCTCGAACGAATTTCCAAGCATCCCCTCTCCGCCGGCTTTGAAGCACCGCCCTCACAAACATCGCGGAAGAGCAGGAGATTCAGACACCATGCGTCCGAAAGACCGATCCAAAACCCAGCGTCGGGTTTCATGGGACAGCGAAAAGATATTCAATCAGACTTCTGTCGAAGCAAGCACAGATAATCTCCAACTTCAGGCACTTCACTCTGAATTTGATATTGACACACCCACAAATCGGAAGCCCAAGTCAAGCTCTATGCGTCGCACGCCTGATGTCAGGCCACTTGCTCAGACTGTGACTCATTTAGATGCGGATATTATCGATGGTCTTGGTCAGATCATGATTGAATCTGAGGAGGATGCCGAGATCTGGAGAGAAGAGCTCGATCGTATACAGTCCATGGGAAGCTTTGACAATCCCGACTGGCAATATGCAACAACTCGTCAGCGTCAGGCTTTCCCATTTATTGCGCAGAGTGTCTTTTTTGTGTTCAGCAGCGCGAGGCAGATTCTCCAATCATTTGGGAAGGATGCTCTGCAGCTAGAGACCTCACATCACAAGGTGGTGGCCAGCCGACTAGATATCCCAAGACTTCGAGAATCTTTGCAACGTCTCTTCAGCATTTGCCCCTGGGACATTGTTCTGCACAGCCTATGGACCACTTTAGACAAGCTTTTCGTACCTCCGGATGATTTCACATCATCTGCCCGGCATTCCCGCCGTTCATCCCGAAGTTCCACCATGGCTAGCTCCGCTTCCCCAGTCGTGCGACGTCTGTCTGAGTCGACCACTGAAGATCATTTGTCAGACGCGGACGCGGCTTACATCGCCACTGTGGCTTTCTTTGTCTTGGTTGGCTCTGTTCCTGACCTTGACGCTCCCACTTGGCGTGGTATTCTCCGAATGCGTGCTGCAGGCACTGTCGCCTCATCTGCTGATATGAGCAGGTTGGCGCCCGAACATGCCCAGCAGGCTGTAGAGGCTACAGACAGGCTTGAACATGAGCTGGCTCTCCGTCTGATCAATCGGCTGGTTCGAGGGTTGACTGCTAGACTTGCATATCATGAAATATCCAAGGCACGTCAAGTATATAGCCTTGATCTACCGAAGCAACGTCGAGTCAGTGTGCTTGACCGCATCATGGATCATCTGAGCGAGCATCAACTGTCTAAGGACACCGCGGACAACAACGAATCCTGTCAGTCGGCTGGCCCCACTGCTCTTATTGTTGAGTGGCTCCGAACTCTCTTCTTACGCGAGTGGGATGGGAATCCTGAGATGGCTCGTAGCAGCGCAGCCGGTGGCGCTATACAAATAATTGCTTTGATGTACAAGGAACGCACCAGGTTAGGACTCCTGGCAGAGGACTTCCAAACACCAATCCTTGCGGAGCGGCTAGATCCTCTGGAAATGCCCGTAGCATGGGTTGAGAACCTATCCAATAATCGTACGATGCATCTTCTATCGTATCCATTCCTGTTCCCGCCTTCCTTCCTCGTCATCTATTTCCGTGCTTTGAACTACTCCGCAATGTCCAAGTACTATGAAACCGCCATGACGACGACCAGACATGTTACACAAACTGCTTTTGGCAGCATATCGATTCTCGATGATGCTGCGTTGTTGACTCGCATGAAGAAATCTATGTCAACCTATTTTGTTCTTGTTGTTCGTCGAGACAATATCTTAACCGATGCTCTGAACCAGCTATGGCGCCGAGAAAAGCGAGAACTAATGCGCCCGCTTAAGGTTCAAATGGGCATGGATGAAGGAGAAGAAGGGTTGGACCATGGCGGTGTGCAGCAAGAATTTTTCCGTGTACTCATGATGGAGGCACTGGACACTTCTTATGGCATGTTCACTATGGATTCTCGGCACCGTATTTCTTGGTTCCGCCCTTGTTCTTTGGAGCCACTTTACAAATTTGAGCTTCTTGGCCTTCTGCTGTCTATTGCGGTGTACAATGGTCTCACACTACCAATCAATTTCCCAATCGCATTCTATCGCAAGTTGCTGGGGCTCAAGGTCAAGCATCTGGACCACATTCGAGATGGGTGGCCTGAACTCAGCCAAGGCCTTGAGATGCTTCTCTCCTGGAACGATGGGGATGTGAGCGATATCTTCACGCGCACCTACGAATTCAGTTTTGAGTCTTTCGGCGGCGTGGAGAACGTCGACATGTCGAAGGTTGGCCGCGACGCAGCATGGCCCCTTCCATCTAGACTTCCCATTGCGAGTCCTCTAGGGGTTGCATCAGCCTGGTCTGACGTTCCAAACTACTGTGACCCGGCAACTGTGAGCCCTCCGTCTTCCATGGCAGCTGAAGCGGCGGACATGACGCCAAGCGCGTCAGTCTCAGGCGAGCCTACAAAGTCGATGGTGGACTCTTTGACGCTTCAATCGCCTACGCCTCCCGGCGAGGAAGCCCCTCTTGTGACCAACCAGAACCGGCATCAATTCGTCAAAGACTACATCTTCTGGCTCACTGACAAGTCTATCCGCTCACAATTCGAAGCTTTTCTCCGAGGCTTCCATACCTGTCTTGATCGATCTGCCCTTTCGATTTTCACTCCTGAAGCTCTGAAAGCCGTCGTGGAGGGCACGCAGGAGATTGACCTGAAAGAGCTTGAAAATCATGCTCGGTATGAAGGTGGCTTCGGACCAGACCATCGTGTAATTCGCGACTTCTGGAGTGTGGTTCAAAAGTACGCTCCCGAGAAGAAGGCCCAGCTCCTGGAATTCGTCACTGCCAGTGACCGTGTTCCCGTCAACGGAGTATCAAGCATTATGTTTGTGATCCAGAAAAATGGAGTGGGAGATTTGGTACGTGTTTAGCCAATCCTTATTTATCCCCGTGATTTGACCATTCGTATATATTAACATATATCTTTAGCGTCTTCCCACTAGCCTGACCTGTTTTGGTCGTCTACTACTGCCAGAATACTCGTCCAAGGAGGCACTGGCGGAGAAACTTGACAAAGCGCTTCAAAATGCTCGAGGGTTTGGCGTTGCATAAGGCATTCAGGGCGAGCGTGACGGAAGCCGATCTATACATACCCATTTCGTTGTCTGATACTTTTTTTTGCTTCAATGAACAAAAGCCATGATGGTATTCTTAAGGATTCACAGGCTCACCCTTCCCTTGTAGCGCTCTTCCAAACACTGCCATCACAAAGTTCTATAGAGTTGGTGTAGGTTCGATCCGTTTTCTCGACATGCGGCCTAATACTTTCACGTGGAGAGCACAGGTTTCTCCAGGCGAATCAGAGCAAGTGACTCAGCAATGCGGTTCCGAGTTTCCCATTTGGTTCGTCTGATTTGCGGCGGAGAAGTGGCGATCCCGCAAAAAAGACCAAGCGGCGGAAGCCTGCCCTCCGATGAGTCTTCACCTTCGCACGGCTACTTCTCGCTATTGCGCTGCTGTTTGTTGAGTTCCTCTCTGCATTGACTTTCGCGCGCTCGGTGTTGGCCACCGATTTCCTTCATAATTCAACCTTCACGGTAAGATTGTCTTTGGCCCCTCAGCGACACCGCTGCACGATCTCCGCTGCCCCACGTCTCCCCCCCATAAGAGTCATCGCCAGGGTCCTTGGACGTTTTCCACCTGAGATCTGCTTGCCAGGGCTGACAAAATATCCCTATAGCATCAATTACTTTCGTTCTTTTCACTCTTTTATCATGGCTCCGATCATTCACTGTGTTCGCCACGCGCAAGTACGTTTGCACCCCCCCCCCGCCGATCGGTCATGGGAGAGTCCCGCGCCGGAAGAAAAAGAATGTCGGTTCCTTTTGCCGGGTGCTTCGTGTACCTGGGTGATGGACTGTTGATTCGGCATTGAGCTAACCGTGGGTCTTTCCAGGGCGTCCACAACCTAAACACTGCCAACCACGTCATCCCCGATCCTCTCCTCACTGATCTCGGCCACGAGCAATGCGTCAAGCTGCGCGAGAGCTTCCCGAGGCACGCGCAGGTGGATTTGGTCACCGCGTCGCCTCTCCGCCGCACGATTTATACAGCATTTGAGAGCTTTGGCCCTGTCTTCGAGGCCCACCCAGAGATGAAATTGATTGCGCTGCCGGACATGCAAGAGACCTCTGATGTGCCCTGCGATACAGGCAGTGAGCCCCAGGCCTTACGGGAGGAGTTTGCGGGGAAGCCCATTGATCTGGATATGGTCCATGAAGGGTGGAACAACAAGGTCAGTAGCTGGTTATGACAAGGACATCTACGACACGAATGGCCTAGACATGTTGCTAACAATGCGTCATTTGAGAATAGGCGGGCCGCTATGCGCCAACGAACCATGCCCTGAAGGAACGCTCTCGTGCCGCACGCCGCTGGCTGAAGGCTCGCCCCGAGAAGGAAATTGTTGTTGTAACACACGGTGGCTTATTGCACTATTTCACAGAAGATTGGGAGGATGGTAGCCGGTTCCAGGGTACGTGATACGGCAACTGCAGTAGCAACGCGAGAGGACCTATCTCTTATCTTTAATCTATTTTTGACAACAGGTACCGGTTGGAGCAACACTGAATACCGAACCTACAAATTCTCTGATGAGGTGCATACGGATGATTTGGAAGGCTATGAGCTGGAGGGCGATAATGCCTCCCTTGTCGAGACCCCCGAGTCCCGGCAGCGTCGTGGCAAGGATGGCCCGATGCCGAATCGCGAGCAGCAGAAGATCCTGTACAGGCTTGGCACTCAGGGTTGGGATGAGCAGGGTCTGCAGCTTAGCACGGAGGAACGGGAAGCCGCCAAGGTTCCCGCGGGCCAGGAGATCGATGGCGTGCGGGTATAGAGATGAATGTTCTTTCAGATACTTGCACATAGGCTTTTTCTTTTTAGAGAATCATTCCATAGACAAGCTAAGGATAGATGTTCATTTATTGGAAACAAATAGACCAAAATAAAAGGAATAATTGAAGGATCATTTGGCTCCCGAGTTGTTTTTGCTGCTGCCGCCAATATACCACGTTGTTACCTGAAAGCGAAAGCTTTTTAGTCTACAACATAATGTCTAGTTTGAAGCTTTCGCTTCTTGGCTCTATAATGCTCCATACCTTTCTTACCCACAGTATTCCTATTCATGCTACTCAGTTTCCGCGCCCTGGTGGTATGCGATAAGTGCAGCGGAATAGGGGGGCCAGGAGAAGGCAAAGAAGTAGTGATCCCAAGTCTATTCTTTTCTTACCGACAATATCCAGAATAAGAGGACAAATTAAGTAGAGGGAGCCTTTTGGCCCGTCTACCTGTATTCTACAGCTTCATATTTCCATTGCCTCTTTCGACAAATGTCGAAAACAATGGTTTTATACCCTAGGTTGGGTGAGACAAGATGATACAAAGCCGACAAAAATCTGTTGTCTGTGAACTTGTTAATCTTAATCAATGAATACCCCTTCGACTGCTATTTAAGCTGAATTGTGCTCTATCTGGATTGAAATCGGGGTCAGTATCATATGGCAACCAATAGATACCAGAGAAGCCTCTTTCTCATAAATCAGACATCTAAGTGTCTTTTGGCTTGCGCATTCACAGTACTTGAGCCGCTGATATGTATATCTCGAAGGCTTCTGTGCACGCGGGTACAAGAAGGCTATCTTGTCACCAACCAATTTTTGCTTGGGAATCGAAAGACCATGTTGTAGGTTTGTTTCTTGCTCTGAAATCCGAGTTACAGTGGCGACCGTTATTGCATTACATGTCCGAGATACTTTTTCATGCCCTAATCACATGATGAACTAAAGGAAATGTATACTAAGTGTAAGTTACCGGTTCTATATGTACAGACCCAGTCTTCCACTGTACAGACTCTACATATGTCCCGGGATGAATATAAGGACAACTGTTCCTCGCCCGTTTACAGCGTTCCTCGTGCGCGGGTCAATATGGTGAAAATTTCCTGCAATTTTAGGCCTTTTTGATGGCTATTAGCCAAGAACCATGTTTGATGTGCCGAAAACTTCGAGCAATGACAACCCTAAGCGCCGCCGGCATTTGCCTTGAAATGCAAAGGCTAGGTCATAAGTAGTTATCACATGATTTCTTGCAACGTTTGACAAACACTGCTTCTTGTTGCGGAGGGTTTTGGTTTTATAAAACGAATTCGCCTCCGATGCCTCTCCTCCTTCGATATCATCAATCACCAGTATACCTCTTTTCCAGAGCCCTACTTCGTAATGAGAGTCCGATTCAAATCATAAGACTGCGTGAACAAGCTGACGATAAACATCAACCCAGAAATTCCACAGCAAAATGCCCACACGATTCTTAAACTATCAGCGTAGGCCTGTTGAAGATCCATCTTAACCTGACCATGCATTCCTCTGATAATTTCCACCATGCTAGCTGCATCACCGCTGTATTTATCTGCCACCGATTGTAGGGCAGGAGAGTGCCATAGATTGTTCTTCATCTGATTTTGGAAGATGACACCCCCAATCGCCACTCCTATAGACTGACCAAAGCCTCGGAAGGAAGTAGATGCGGCTACTGCAATCGCTAGGTTCTCAGCAGTTGCTGATGCCTGCACTGCTAGTGCGACGGAAGGAAGAACCATTCCGATACCAATGCCAGGCACGAGATTCAAGAAGACCCAAGTGATGGTCCCAGTATTTACTTCCAACAGACATAGCAGGCCCATTCCAATAGTCGAAAGACACCACCCGGTGCAGACAGCCCAGTAGTACTGACCCGTTCGACTGATGAGAAGGCCAACAATAACTCCGCTCGGAGCGACGGTGAATGTCTCGGGGAAAAGAGCGATTCCGGACATTATAGGTTTGAATCCTTTCACGGCTTCGTAGTAGAGAGGAAGAAAGTATAGACAACACCAGATAAGTAGACCCACGACAGCATATCCCGCGAATGATATGAGGGCCGTTCGGTCATGAAATATTGCTGGTGGGATCATTGGGTGTCGCGCAACTCGCCATTCATAGATCGCGAATATGCAGAGCCCAACTGACCCGATAATCAACGGGGCCAATGTGTGCCATGAGTACCAGGGGTATAGCACACCTCCCCAAGTCAGTGGTATTAAGAATGAAGCAGAGCTTGGAATAAAAATGGCGATTCCAACGAAGTCAATCTTTCGCATTTGGGTAGCAAAAGTCTCCTTTCCAACCCAGAAATGGGACGACCAAGAAACCAAGATTGCCCCGATTCCAATGAAGGGGAAATTAATATAGAAGATCCAGCGCTAGAGATAAGTTTTATCAGAGCTGTCGTCAAGAAGAAGGCATCATGCGTACCCATGAGATTTTCTCTGCAAAGCAACCGCCAATCACGGGCCCTACCACTGTTCCCAAACTCCAGATCGCACTAAGCATCCCAAAGTACTTCGCTCTTTCACTAAGAGGAACGATATCGGCAATGATGATAGCAGTGAGGGTGATGACACCACCGCCTCCAATTCCCTGCAGAGACCGACCGATGAGCATGTGGGTGAAATTATTGGCGACCCCGGCCACAATTGTTCCAATTGTAAACCATGCTATCGCGGCAAGCACCAATGGTTTCCGACCGAACAAGTTTGATAATGAGGAAAAAACTGGCTGAAAAACTAAATTGTGTTGGTTATATTCTCGTTTCAGCTAGCTTTTGACGTACCGGCAGAGCACAGTGTAAATGAGGTTCCGGTCCAGAATGCTTCGATTGCGGTTCCTCCCAGCTCATGAGATATTGTCTGAATTCACTCTAAGTCAGTGATAAACACATTTTGACGAAAATGAGGTTGAATAGATACCGGCAAAGCAACCGAGATAGACGTTCCATCCAGCGCGGCCATTAAGCTCAGGCTAGCCATTGACAAAAGTATCAAAATATCCTGTTTTGAAATCGAGAACTTGGTTTCTCTCCCCATTTCCTGCTCATTAACAATTTCATTCTTGTTGTCGCTCTTGTGCCAGTGTTGTGGGTTTGGGATCTCCATTTTGCCAACTTCACGACACGGGAAATTAGATAATGGGCGCGTTTACGATTTTGGAAAACCCTTTGGAAATATAATGATTGTAAGCACTTTTTACTCCTAAAAGCTTACCTGGCTGTTGATCTAGCACACGCTTACTATAGATCATGATTTAATTTTGTTAATTCGTCTGCATTGTCCCTTGCTTATGCAGGATGTATTTGAATGCAGCTTTTCAAGCAAGGAGTGTTCTATAGACTGCCCAGTTTCAATAAAAGCCGATCAGAGATGCAGCCGAAGGGTTTCGACCACTGAATTCGAGAAAACACCGCTAATGTTTTGCCGCCGCCAAATTTGACAAGTACTTGATTGGGTTTGAAATGGTTGAACCATTTCATCGGAAGTTGTGTCAGACACTAAGTTATCTTGCCTTGTTTCGTATTCGATCTATTGACCTCGGGATGGCTGGTGAAAACCTTCGCTTGTACTAGTTCCCTAGGCTGTCTTAGTGAATATTTGACTGCTCACATCCTGTTTATCAATATTAAGTACCAGTTTATTCTCAAAAGCTCTACTTTTGCCGTTGTTTTTGCTTTGCTCCACGGTGACGGGCAGCATCGTGTACAAGTCCATATTACCCAACCAGGTCAGTGTATAATCACTCTCTCATCTCTTATCTTGGATAAAAACTCTCATTCCTATCAGTTTTCATTGACCGACCAGCATGGTCACCGCTTACCTTATCCCCACCTTGAGTAAGGTGCTGGGAGATATGAGTGCGTTGGGTGATCGAATTGACTGGATTCGGCTATGGTTCACTGGCGGAATACCCATAGCTGCGATAGTTATCGGCAGTTTGTGGGTACCTTTGCAGTCTCAAACTGCGATTTTTGCATCCATTTACGCGACGGCCTCTGGCATTAGCATCACTGCTGGTAAATAGAATTCATCACTTACATGCTGGGTCATCTTTTAACGGCATGATAGGGTATCATCGCTTGTGGGCACACCGGGCCTACTCCGCAGGGACGTTTCTGAAAATCGTCCTAGCAATTACAGGAGCCAGTGCAGGACAGGCCTCGATTAGGACATGGTGCAGGGACCACCGAGCACACCATCGCTATACAGATACCGATAAAGATCCGTACTCTGCCCAGAAAGGTCTTTTCTATTCCCATTATGGATGGGTCGTAGTTAGACGGAAACCAGAACAAACAGGCCGAGTGGACATTCAAGATCTCTCAAACGATCCCATTGTCATGTGGCAGCGTGAATACTACCTCACGCTACTCTTTCTGACGGTATATGTATTCCCGACGTTATTCTGTGGGTTCTTGTTTGACGACTTCGCCGGAGGATTCATATGGGCCAGCTGCATCCGACTGTTCCTGATCCAACAAGCAACCTTCTGTGTTAATTCTCTCGCTCACTGGGTCGGAGATCAGCCTTTTGCAAGTAAACTCTCGCCGAGAAACTGCTGGTTTGTTGCGCTTATCACTTGGGGAGAGGGGTATCACAATTTCCACCATGAGTTTCCAGTCGACTACCGCAATGGAATCAGATGGTACCAGTGGGATCCGACGAAATGGTTTATCTGGCTCTGTGAGAAGGTAAACCTCGCCTCAGACTTGAAGCGGTTTCCAGAAAATGAGATTCAAAAGGGTCAATTCCAGCAGATTGAGCGCCAGTTAGAACTTCGGCGCCAAGAGATTTCTTGGGGGACTCCGATTGATCAACTGCCGGTTTGGAGCTATGGAGAGTATATTGAAAATGCCAAGAATGATCGCTTTTTACTTGTTATTGACGGTATTGTTCATAATGTTGAAGAGTTTGTGGGTCATCATCCCGGGGGAGAGAAGTATTTGCTGGAGTATATTGGCAAGGATGTTACGAAGTTGTTCCACGGTGGTGGAATCCATGCTCATTCAAACGCGGCTGCGAATCTTCTCTCAGCGATGCGACTCGCGAGAATAGTGGATTCTGATCATCGTCAAAACTAAACTAGACAATTTTGTCATTGTCTTTTGGTACAAGATCGACTTAATATTAATGTGGTGTATCTGGCCTTGGGGGTAGGAATCGCGGCGTCCATGGGTGAAAGTTGGTTATAATTAAACGCATCCCAATTCATCGATAAATACAAGATGATACGACCGACGAAACTCAACATCCATTGTTCTGGTAGATATCTATATTAGTTGAGGGTTCTTTTGTTTTGCCTTTTGCTAGGCTTTCCTTTTTGAGCAGCAACCCGGGAAAGGGCTCGTTTGGTGCTGGATGATGATGGTAATATGTTGAACTCACCTCATGGGAAGATTGTCATTTCTTCGACGTATAGACCGTACTTTTTAGCGAGGTGGTCACAAAGGGCGTCCAGCATGATAGAGGTGGTGTACCTGTGCATAGTTAGTTACAACTATACCGCTCGCTCATGTTCCATGCGTTTTGCGTTCTTAACATACATCTCTGGAACAAGTCTTTGAATATGGAATTTTAGCGTCTCATGTAACTAGGGCTTGAAAGATTGTGTATGTTTCCTGATATGGATGGCAGTAACGGCTCGCACTGCAACATATTACTTAGATGAATATCCTGAGACGATAATCTTGAAATTTATGAATACAGCCTCTTCTTTTCCGTCCCTTTCATTTAATTTCAATAAGTGAATGCCAACTTCATACAGTTTTCCCTGGGAGCCGCTTGCTGAAACGACCCCTGAAGCAGTCTCCGATCGGGGGAGACAACCTGCAAAGTAAGCCCTCCACCCCTGAGGTGCCTTGCTAAACAACATACTAGAGACCGTATTTATACGCTTGTAAAACACCATTTACAGCCCCTCACCCAGCTTGTTTTCTTACATGCAGCTTGTTGTTCACAGTGGTCTTCATTGTACAGTTCATTGCTGACCACTAGAGCGGTCGGGCACAAAGCGGAAGATGGTGGCTGAAGCTGCAAGTAAATCAAGTCAGTAATGATAGCCCGAGAAATCGCATAAGATCTATTTTGAGTGAACAATTATGGAAGCTAACAAGCGTGAGGGGCGGTATTTCGTCGCAGGTTTGCCAATCCTGGCAGTTCTCTGTTGCAGAATGATGATGAAGATCGGCCCCAGGATAGACCATGAGGGATCAAGATTCGTGGAATATAAGGATAGGAAAACATGGCCTAGATGGCCTAGATGACTGAGATAGGTATGCGGGGAATAGTATGATGGACAGACTGTAGGCAGCGAGATTCCGGGTACCTGCAATAGGAATGGGTCGTATAGGGGAATTCTATAAAGGACGGCAGAGTGCATAGCCCGTGCAGTGGAGCTCCTCAGAAATCTTGATGCCTCCTTGAATCTCGATTGCCTGATTAGTTCCTCCAGTTTGTCCGATCCGTTTGTACTCTATTCTGTCAAGCCTACTAGCCTCGTCCCTTGCCAGGGTGAAACAAACGAGGGTGCGAATGAAAAATCGCGGGGCCGCGGGCTCACTATTTTTAGCGTGCCGATCACACGCATCCCGTGGCGCAGGCTGTTGGACCTCCAACCCGATCCTGACCTGTGGTCGAATATAATTCTCTGCCTCCAGCTCCGCTCTCTCTCTCCAAGCACTTCATTTGATGGAAAAATGATCGATGAAAACCTGCCGAGTAAGCTTGTCAGCCCAGTACCCCGTTTCTTTGGCTGGAAACGGGGCTACGTCATTGCGCGACCCCCTCCCATTCTTCACCCATTCGTCCATTCTTAGTACGTGGCCCACTAACCACCCTATCTCCTAGCGTTCTTTCTCAAAAACAACCAGCAGAATGTCCAGCTAAGTACGATATACCACGGTCAACATGGAAATGAACCAGAACCGGCCTACAACCTTCGGTACCTGGACCCCAATGTGCCCACGTCACGAAATCGCTACGGCGTTGCCCTGTACGACCCTTATGTGCCAGATGTCGTGTTCGGAGAAGTCGCAGTCATCCCAGAATGGACCCAGCCCAGTCTTTCAGCAGAGACTATTCGTGCCAATGGCGGCGCACCACCTCCTCCGGAACCTATTCTTCCCACCGAGTTCGCTATCCAGCTCTACAATCCCGATCAACAGATTATTGTGAAACATCAGCCGAAAGCATGGAACAAGCCGGCGCGGTGGGAATTTGAAATGCCGCAGCGCACTTTTCGCGTCCCATCGGCGTCAACGTTAGATCGTACTCAAAATGACCCCGCTGTGGCGGATGTGACCCCGAGGCTGCGCTTCAGCTGGCGAAAGGATGGGAAACTTTCTAAGGATCTGTCCTGTGTGTTGCATGGCAAGTCCACTACAATTCCCGACTCACGAGCAAAGACTCGGGAGCCTGATATAACCGTGGCGCTTCTCCAGAGTCTACGCGAACTCACGCTCTACGAACCGAATCTCTATCGAGTCGAAATGGAGGATTTTAAAGGCCTTGAGGTAGTCCTTTTGCTTGCGGCAGTCGCGATCCGTGATATATTCTTTGGTCCTGCTAAGGAAGCCTTTCACATTGTACCGGGAGCGTCCCCCATTTCTTCTGGCCCGCAACAGCAAGCAACCTCACCTGCGAAACACAGCCCGCAGGGTCAAACTCCTCCCCAGGCCTTTGGGGCAGCTGTAAGCCGCAAACCTTTCCCACCACACCTCGCCATTCCCCAGACACAATCTCCAGCTCCGCAGGCACGGAGACGACAAGACCAACTCGCGCAGGAAGAAGAACGCCGCACGCAGGAACTCCTTGCCGCCGAGAGAAAGGCCCAAGAAGAAACGAGGCATAAGCGTCGACAGGAAATTGACGAGGAGACTAAACGTCTACAAAAGATCTACGGTCAAGAAGAACAACAAGCTCGCCTCCAAAAGCCAAATCCTGCGTCGCTCACACGACCTAATCTACCGCCTCGACCCAATGGTTCAACCCGTCCGTACTCCTACCACCCACAATCACAAGCCTTCTCTCAACTACCCACCCAGCCATCCCAACAACCCCCTTGGCACACCCGCCCCCAATACGCCCAAGGCGCATCTGTCCCTACATTCGCCAACAGCCCCTACCTCCATACGTCTACCGTGGATCCTCGGGCTCAGTCTACCACACAGCTCATGCAGACACGCCCGGTGTCGACTGTAGGATTCTATCCATCCCCAACCAGTAGCGGTGGCCTTGCGCCTGGACAGCAGCCCAGCCCGCAAAGGCTGCAGCCCAAGAAGAGCAGTTTCTTTGGGTTCCTTCGCAGTAAGGAAGAGAGCAGTGAGCGGACGCGACTTGATAAAAAGCGGAGTTCCATGTTTTGATCGTTTTGTTTCATAACGATACCCTGGCGTTTGATTGCTTTAATATAGTAGAATACAGTATGGGTTTGTAAAGATGGGGTCCAATGGAACGTTATGCTCAATGTTATGATATGTAACTGTATGAACTATCTGGCAGGGAATGTTGAACATCTCCTACCTCGTTGACTTGCGTTTTACAGCACTGAGTTCCGAGTCTACCCGGGATACTATACAAAACTAGTAAAGAATCGAGTATATCTATAATCGCGAGACGTATAGTAGGATATGTGATTACTCGCTATATTTAGTAGCTTCTCCTCGGTATACCCTGCTAGGGATATCCTGAATCTTGTAAATATTCCATCTCCGCTGTCTCCGTGAATTTGTATCTATTTCCTATTTAGGAAACTTGTAATAGAGATGCGATTTCTTCTATTCGGAGCTATTCGATGAAGTCAGCATAGCGCTGCCGGGAAGGCTCTTCGTAAGGCGATCTGTTATGGAACAGCCAAATGTATAATACTTGATGTTATTCCGGCCGACTTCGGAATCGAATGGTATGCTTGACGCATATGTTTAGTGAAAAATGACGATATATGTTCATAGGGAATAACAAGTCGGATTCGGACTCCTTTATCGTCATACCTTCAGCAAACAGCGGAATAACGATATTAAGATTATAGAAGGAGAATTCTCCTTTCGAACTGAATCTTGAAGAGATTCAGTTATTAGAAATATACACCTTTACTATTTTTCTTCGATTCTATAACAATTTAATATTGTATTTATTTTCCTTACCTAGCTAATAGGCTGCTACCTATAAGTAGCACCCTCATAATTTCCAAGTCTTCTACTTTTAGTTACCTAAGGAGAATATAAATACTAGATAAACTACATCTTCCTCTATATCTATTCTAGATATAGAAAAAGTAGCAGGACCCCCTAGAAACTCTAGAAGGATTAGTCCTATCGAAAAAATTTTATCGATAATCCTTTCAATTTAAATCTAGTTTCAGTCGAAGAAGACAATATTCGCTTAGCTAGAATATTAGAAAAGTTATAGAAATGAAAAGAATTAAAGAAGAAATTGGAAATATTTAATAAAGAATGGAAGAACTTTCTAATTACAAAAATTGCCAAGTTAGTTAACTATTAAGATGTCTCTTCCTAATATTAGGCTTATTACAAAAACATTAACTTTAGATTAATTAAATTTTCAAATATCTTGGAGACATTGAGATTTTTTTCCTTTTATTTTAACTTCAGTCTTAATAATCACACTAAGATAGCTATAAATAATAATATATTCTAATTAGGAAAAGCGTCTTGATTTTATAGAAACAATGGTCGCTAAGGGTCACCCATATAAGGGTAGGCGAAGGTTGCAGGTCATGTAACCCTCGCGAGGGTCGGGTCGGGGGTCATGCCGAGGCTATTCACTATTTGCTAGATTATAATATCTAACTTATCTAGTAAAGATATAATATGTATCCCTTAGGCCGTGTAGAAGGAAATTCTACACGATTATTAATATAATCGATAACCTTGGCAATAGGAGAAGGACCGGCGATTTGAACTATAGGTGTGGTTGCTAGGAGACCCTATATAGTCATCAGCCAGACGTCTGTCAGACGTCCACTAGGTGTTTGACTTACAGAAAGCTCACTGCTGTCACCATCAGGATCCTCCTCATTTAAGCTTTCAAGAAAATGATCGTATTGCTCAGAGATAGCGTTCATACTGGACAAGTATAAAATTGTAGTAGATAGAAGAGAGAAAGAGATAGGAAGTTTGAATTTCGTGGTAGAACCCTTTATTTAAATGTGTAATATTGTCGTTTCAGCGAGGAATATATCCACCGATAATCCAACAGTAGGGCTCAAAGCCAGAAATCCTTACCTCAGTAGGGCTGGTATATGTTAGGTGAAACTCTGTTTATGTTAGCCTGACACATACACTCAGTTGACACAGGCGACTTCCATACGATTTCATCAGACATTGTTTCATCAGGCATTACGCGTGACTTATACCCAATACCCCACTATTGGGAATCATGGCTGAGTACACAGTCTTTACAGGATATAGCTTCGCATCTCCGATAGGGAGAGAATCCACTGTCACACTCTCTTCGCTTCATCTGCTTCTGCTTTCCCTTTTGGGAGGATTCCTCTATCGTGGTGTGTGGTGGTTTGTTGGTCTGTTCGCCGACCTATCTTATCCTGCCTGCATTCTCAGGCTTGCCGTAGAGCGCCCTGGTTCAGTATATAACATACGTTACGCTATAGATACATGGTTACGTAGATGGCTTGGCACATTGACAAGGCATTTAGTCTACCGTCATCTTCTCGATGAATCTGTCTCTCTCTTCAAGAGAATCTTCAGTGCAATCACCGTCATGTATTCCCAACTGAGACCCATTCACTTTGTGTACAACCCTATTATTGACGCTGGTAGAATATCATGAAAAGGCATTTGTATATACTCCCTTCACTCCGATGGGATCTAAAGGAGAATGTTGCAGTTCTCCAGATGGCTGTTCAAGATAGCGTTTTTCGGAGTCGCCGCTTTAAACTGCTAAAAGGGTTTCCATCGATAGCACAAGGAACTGTAAAATGATGTACTTGGAAAAGTCCTGGCGTGTTGTACGCAGATTGTTGCGTGTTTTCTTCATTTAGGCTTTGGGGAGTTTTCTTGTATTCATATTACGCCTTCGCTCTAACCTCCCGATACAGCTAATTATGAGAAACTAGGGACTCTTTCTATCCCTGGAGATACTACTATTTTTACCTTGTAGCTTCAATCCCTAGAATCATGGCGAAAACTCTCGGTATCAAGGTGCTTTGATGCATTCACTGGACAGCTATGATCAGTTGATTTGGTTTGAATACATGTATATGCATCGAACCCAACTTTGAATTTGATAGATTTTGTTTTCATTTATTCTGGGACTAGTGAGTTGGAAGTAATGTAGTATGGAGACTGACTCTGGGCAGCAGAAGCTTCGGTGGACCGTTGGTTTCGTGAATGGTCATTATAGATGTAATCCTTTCGCCCTGATCCGTGCAAGAGCATGCCTCCATTCCTCTCACAGACCAAACTATATTTCCTATGCGAGTTCTTCATCGTTTCGCAATGTTGTGTGGTGGTTTGGTGATCTCTGTCAATCGATCTGTGGTTTCACCCTTCCTTTTGAGCTCCTCAGTCCCATAATTGAATAAACCTATAGATGTCCTTCTAATGGCATCTGATCTCCACTTCACCACTATAAAGTACTTCACTAGATTGTCTGAGACTAATGTGCGGTGCTTTGTTATGGCGGTATATCGCTGAGACCCTGCGAATCTGGGATTAACATCTCTAATAAGGAGTCGAGGGTATAGGCGAAAGATTACATGCGCCATGATCATCCAACGCCGATCCTGCTCTAGATGTTGTGAGATTAACGTATTGCATGGTACAACGTGGTTGACAGATCTGGGTGACAAATTCTAGTTAGCTCCTTATAATCAGTCTACTGCTCCAGCATTCTCGGAACTTTAATATCCGATCTTTATGAGGGTGGAATGAACGGCTGGCCGCCGGAGTAGTACAACTGCACCCGCGTCGGGTTGTCCTATTTGGGTAGCTCGTTATTAGTAGCTAGGAGCACCAGTTTGCTCAGGGAAAAGCCACAGCGAGGGAAATACAAGGATACTGGCGCAGGGCCACCGAGCCAATAAATCAGTGATTGGGCGAGTTTGCCCCGAAGTTCTTAGTGAAAGCCTAATGTGGCCCCCACACCCAAGCCCCAGGCATACTTCCCGTCAGCCACAAAGTAAATCTCAAGAAAACAACCACCACAGAGACAATAATGACGAGTGGAGAACTGTGCACCAGGAACGGAGTCTTCCGTTCACATTGGTAACCTATGACTGGCGAGTCCGGTATGCCTTGGGTTTATCATTATTGGGAACTAAACACGAAACTACGTCATGGTGAAGGCAAGTAGGAGACAAGTCAACGGGAGTCAGTCCAGAGACCAGCCGAGGTGAAAATCCTTACCTATCTGTCATTAAGGCCGATTGAAGCATGGGGGGCTCGAAGTATAAAGCGGGCTGGTCGTGCAGTCGTGATAGTGCAAGTTGGCAAGAAATTTGTCTACCCGATACTTTCCCCATCACCTCGCCGATGCCATGTCCGTTTCCGTGAGGCTCTCTTTGGGGCTCACTTCCACGGCCACAGGTTCATTTCAATCAACAATCCCGAGGGTAGCCTAGTAGGGTCATTCTCGGGGCCATGGAGAGAGGGCCAAGAAAAAGCGCGCTCCGATACGTCAAGCCAAGAGAGGGCGCTCTTCGTCCGCGTGAAGCCAAGAAAAAGCGCCCTCGCGTGGCTTACCGAGGAACAGTGTAACATCTTGGCTGTCTCGATCCCTCCAAACCCCGCGAGATGATTTGCTGCATATTAGATATGGAAATTGCGAGCAAAGACATCCCAACGAGCTCGTGTTGGTCTTGATGACGAGCCAGTCGTCGTGTTGGTTTTGGTTGGGCCCACTGTGCACAGCTGGCCTATCATCCGGCTTTGCTCGACAACAGCAGAACAAGGATCTCGGATGACTTCTGAAAACGGCTATAATTGCCTTGAATATTCCTGGGAATTCACTCGGCGAATCGCGGAATGGATCGCATGGGCCTAATACAATGCCTGAAGCTGCGCAGAGTGGCTGTTGGGGCCAACCGCCAAGCTGTGCCACACCGTCGCCAAGCTGAGCCGTACCGTCGCCAAGCGATGCCATAGCACTGCCAAGGGTGTTATATGTGGTGTCCACCGGCGTCATTATTATTACCAAAGCTTTTGACTGGGACTCTGGACCAGTCATCTTCGGGTCGCTGAGCCGCCCCCCAATCCTACACCCCGTGGAATTCCCTATCCCCGCTGGCTCCGATGTTTTCCCCGTATCTTGGCCAACCCCATATACTGGAGAAATCCGGGCAGCTCGGGTTACTAGATCTGTCAATCCGAGACCGATGTAGAAACATGAAGACTATTTAACCCGAAAGATGCCATATTTTCCCTGTCTTTTTGCTCTGAATGTTTCGGTTGGTGTTCGCAACTTGCGCTTCGTTCGACTATCATGTTCGGACTTCCGAAATTCTTTGGCTTCCGAGGCCGGGCCCTTAACCTGGCCATCAGTTCTCTTGGCAGCTTGGATTTCCTGTATGATTACTCTATCACTTGGCGCAATTAACTAGCTCCGAAAAATGCAACTAACTATTATCACAAAAAGGCTTTTCGGTTATGACCAGGGTGTAACTGGTGGTCTTCTAGACGTACCGTCTTTTATCAAGTACTTCCCGGATATCAACTCCGATGATCCAACTATTCAGGACAACCCGTCTCTCAAATCGCAGCGCAGTACAAATCAAGGCATTGCAGTGGCATCGTATAACCTTGGCTGTTTCGTTGGCTCTATCTTGACAATCTTCATCGGGAATCCCCTGGGTCGACGAAGAACTATTTTCTGCGGCTGCGTTACCATGGCCACCGGCGCATTATTGCAGTGTACGGCATATAGTTTGCCGCATCTAGTGGTTGGCAGAATCGTCACGGGAATTGGGAATGGCATGAATACAAGTACTGTGCCCACATGGCAGTCCGAGTCGTCAAAAGCCCATGATCGTGGCAAAATGGTCATGATTGAGGGTATGCTCATTACTGGAGGTATCACGCTTAGCTATTGGATCAACTATGGTGAGTTGGGCCTATATTGCTTATTCAAGTTCCCACAAGTGCTCATGAAAAACAAAAAGGCTTTGCGTTCATCGGAGAACATGAAGTGGCCTGGCGTTTCCCTCTGGCTTTCCAGATTCTCTTTGCAGTAATTATTTTCTTCTCTATCTTGAACTTACCCGAGTCCCCTCGATGGCTCGTGATGCAAGGCCGGAATGATGAGGCTTTGGAGATTCTCGAATGTCTTAATGAAAAGTCCCGTGACGACCCTTACATCAAGAACGAACTGATTGCCATCCAAGAGACTGTGGTTGAAATGTCCAAGGGATCTTACAGAAGTCTGTTTGATATGAGTGAATATCGAGAATTTCACCGTGTGGCATTGGCCTACATCAATCAGATGTTCCAGCAGATCTCTGGAATTAATCTTATTACCTACTATGTAAGATCATCAGCCCCTCGATTCAACCGCTTGTCGCAGGATTGGATACAACTAACATGCTCATAAGGCACCACAACTGTACAAACAGATCGGTCTCGGACAAGGCAATCTCCCAAAACTGTTAGCCGCTTGCAATGGTACTGAGTACTTGATGGCCGCTTTTATTCCCATTTTTATCATTGAAAAAGTTGGACGTCGACCACTCATGCTTTTTGGCGTATGTAACCTACCTATTCACATGAAGAGCATATCCTCTGACGAGATTTCGATTTCTAGGCGGCCGGCATGTCCATATCTATGGCTGTTCTTGCGGGCACCAACTATCGTTTAACCCACTTGAATGATAGTAAAGCGGGTATTGGCCAAGCAGTCTTTCTCTTTGTATTCAACACTTTCTTTGCTATCGGCTGGCTTGGAATGACCTGGCTATACCCTGCTGAAATCGTGCCCTTGCGTATCCGTGCACCAACAAATGCACTCGCCACTAGGTATATAACCTCGATCAGTTTTTCCTGACTATGATCTAACCATTATCGCTAGTGCCAACTGGATTTTCAACTTTATGGTGGTGATGATCACTCCAGTTGCGTTTGATAGCATCGGATACAAGACATATATCATCTTTGCTGTCATGTTAGTTTCCAATACCCCTCAGCCAACCAAATTGAGCTGCTTCCAGGAGCATAAACTGACAATTACAGAAACGCATTCATGGTCCCCTCTGTTTATTTCTTCTTCCCTGAAACGCGATACCGCTCATTGGAAGAGATGGATGCCATTTTCAAGAAATCAACGAATGTATTCGATGCCGTTACTATTTCGATCAAGGAGCCCTATCGTTATGATAAGCATGGTCAGCTCAAGCCGGAGTATCTGGAGGAGGCGATCCGTCAAGGAAGCGTGTCTGTTCACAACGCTGGTGAGAAGTTTGACAGCGATGAGAGTGGCAACTCGACTAAAGCTTGAGGGGTCAAGAATATGATAGTGGTCATAGATGTTGTGTTGCTAGAGTGTATTTAATCTATACCCGCCCTGCCCATTTGGGTGATTGCGAGCGATGTTGAATATTCTGTGCTTTAATAGCAAATTAAGTTCTTTTTTTGTCGCAAATATATATTCGTCTGAATCATTTGTCCCAATTGTCTGTGATGGCGACCACCGCTGAGGGAGTAGATAGATATACTGCCAAGCATTTCTAAATATCATCATAACTTAGTTGTTTCCTTGATATCCTGTGTTTTTATGCGGTATTTGACGAGAGCGCAAGGTAGAATATAATGATTAGCTCTCATAGGGGTGACGTTAAGGCCAATATATTCTTTGCGCAACGTCGTTTCAGATGGTATGTTCTCTTTTTACTTCTTTGGTTTCTCCGATATAAAGGGTCTCTTGGAGCAGCTTTATTGTATGTCCGGGGACATTAGTTCCAGCGGCTCTGCCACCTGTGAACTTCATGATAAATCTACCAATGAGACGGGAATCACGGTCAAATTAAGCGAGGTGTTGAAGAAGTCTATCCAAGTTGACAGTTGTCAGCAAAAAAATCCATCCAATGCCAGATACACTAGAAAAGCTAGAGTCCTTTTTTTTCAAAATAGTGGATCCGAAAATCTTCGTTCACATTGAGGAGAAAACAACCGCATGCCGAGCAGGGGATTCCAATCACTTCACCTCGGGACTAAATCAAGCTTGTGGAGCATATTAGAAATTCCGATTGGCATTCTCATGTGCATCAATTTGCTATTCCCTCATTTCTCCGCAATCAATCAAACTAGGAAATCGAGATAATAAAAAGGCTACAATGAGTACTGCCGAATTTGTTCCCCACATTTTGATCAATGCGTGGGGCGTCCCCTCAAGCAAAATCCTTGGTTTCCTTGGCATGGAAGTAGATAGCATTTGCAGCGTGCGAGTGATGTAGTACAAATTATCATTCGGTCTCAAGAGAGTGGCCCCTCGAGGTCCTGTCAGTCAGGAAGTGTAAGCACTGCGCCATTTATCTTGTATCCATTTCACCAGAGCCTAGATTTCGCTTATGAATTGCATCTGCCGTGTAGAAGTCCCGAGAGTGACCCCACGGGGAACTGCTCCACATGCATGTTCCCCGCATTTTTACTTTGATGCGTATGATCGAAACTTATGATCCCTTCTTGGATAAGAAGCCACTTTGTCCTTTACCAGATTTAGTTTGGACTGCCGTGAAAGCATGGAAAAAAAATTTAATCTTGATCAACGCAGGAATGTAAACAAGGAAATTACTTAGCTTGGAGCCATAGGATGCTATAATCGTACCAAGCAGATGCTGGATTTACGTGATGTGGCGGTGGTAAGAGTCTGTTCAGTCAGTACTGTTGAGCTCGTACATATTCAAGTTTAAGATCCAATCATTGCGCTCAGTAGATCTTCGAATTTTTCGTGTTTTGTAAGCAACTTGATTACACTCTTTCCTCAAGAAAGAAGATTCCCCGCACTTGAGGCTTCTTCGAGATTAGTTGCCAAGTGGCTCGGGCTCAGAGCTCATTGAGCGAACTGAAACATTAAGCTATTCAGTTCCGATATTTACCCGAACAAGCCTTGATCAAGTGGAAGGCTCGAGGGTTGCAGTGATGTAACGTAGTTTCCTGGCCAGGGGATGAGTCGCTTAGAGATGGCCCTGGGAGCCATAGGGATTTATATAAAGAATCATAATCCCACCCTATTCTGGTCTTTGTTAGAATTGAGAAAGGGATAGTATCGCTCCTTATTTTCGCAATGTTAAACTCGCTGGGAAAGGCTGGTTTGCTGGTGGCCTTTACCTTCGGTACGGTGACCACTGCCGGTAATGTGATTACTAGCGACACCTATTTCTATGGTGACTCACCTGCAGTCTACCCTACTCGTGAGTCAAGCTTGCATCCATCTTTATTGTGTTTTAACTCACTAGAAAGCCGAGGGAACTGGTGCCGGTGATTGGGCATCTGCCTATGAAAAGGCCAGGGCCTTTGTTGGAAAGCTATCCGATGACGAAAAGGTCAATCTGACAGCAGGCACGAGCTCTAAAACCGGTTGCTCTGGATTCATTCAGGGCATAGAGCGCTTGGGTTTCCCGGGCATGTGCGTTAGTGACGCTGGAAATGGCCTGGTGAGTATCTGAGTTCCTTTGATGTCTTTCGGTATTCGATAATCAAGTTAATGATAAAACAATTGCGCAGAGAGGGACTGATTACGTTAATGGTTGGTCGTCTGGAATATCTGTCGGGGCCAGGTAGGCCATTCCCAATATACGACCCTATTCAGAAGCCTCGTGCACGTCTGACTTTGGTTCTCTGAAGTTGGAACCCTGAACTTGCCCATAACCGAGGAAAGTTCATGGGGAAGGAGTTCCGTAAGAAGGGTGTGAACATGATTCTAGGGCCGGTGGTTGGTCCTTTGGGCCGCTTAGCACTGGGTGGTCGAAACTGGGAGGGGTTTGCAGCAGATCCTTACCTCAGTGGAATTCTGGTTTCCGAGTCTGTGAAGGGTCTTCAATCCCAGAATGTTGCTACGTCTCTCAAGGTATGAACTCTGAATTCTTTGGTACATTAATACAAGGCTAACAATTTTGGCAGCACTACATCGGAAACGAACAAGAAACTAACCGTAATCCAAGCACGAATTCTGATGGAAATGCTGTTCAGTCTGTTTCATCCAACATGGACGATAAGACTATCCATGAACTATATCTTTGGCCTTTTCAAGATGCGGTTCTCGCTGGTACGACGTGTGTTATGTGCTCATATAACCGCTTGAACAACTCATATGCATGCCAAAACAGCAAAACCATCAATGGCCTTCTGAAGACTGAGCTTGGATTTCAAGGTATTTGATTTTGGTACAATGATTCTGGAGATGATCAGGCTAATTCTTTTTCTGTCACCTTTTAACAGGTTATGTCGTCACGGATTGGGGTGCTCAACATGGTGGAATTGCTAGTGCGAATGCTGGACTGGATGTTGTTATGCCATCATCGTCGCTCTGGAACAGCAATCTTACTACTGCTATTGCGAATGGAACCATGGAAGCCTCACGCTTGGACGACATGGTCACTAGGTATGTTGGCGAAAGAGTTGATATGTTTGATTGGATCTGACATATTTCCGTAGGCTGATGGCAACGTGGTATTATCTGAATCAAGATCAAGTGTTCCCCAATCCTGGTATTGGCATGCCTAGCAGTGCCAAGACAGCTCATCAAGCCGTGATTGCTACATCCAAAGAGGCCAAACCGGTCCTTCTCCAGGCAGCCATTGAGAGCCATGTCTTGGTGAAGAATACCAAGAATGCGCTTCCTCTGAAGTCACCGAAGTTGATCTCAGTGTTTGGGTATGATGCCTATACCCCCATGTCTTTTGACCTCACTTCGAGTTTCAATTTTGGCTCTACTGCGACCAGATCGGACCTTTATCAAAATGGAACTCTATACGTGGGAGGTGGCTCTGGTGCGAACTCTCCCGCCTATGTCGATGCTCCCTTTAGCGCCATTCAGCGACGGGCTTACGAGGATGGATCATCCGTTCTTTGGGATTTCACTTCCGAGAACCCTTCTGTTGATTACACATCAGATGTGTGTCTGGTCTTCATTAACTCATATGCCGAGGAAGGGTTTGACCGGGCAGCCCTTTCCGATGCGCATAGTGACACGATTGTGACCAATGTCGCCGACAACTGTGCTAACACCGTGGTCGTGGTTCACAATGCTGGTATCCGTACTGTGGAGTCATGGGTCCATCATGTCAACGTTACCGGTATCATACTTGCCCACCTTCCTGGCCAGGATACCGGTCGCGCTTTAGTCGAGATTCTTTACGGAGATTCAAACCCCTCTGGCAAGCTTCCTTATACCATCGCAAAAAAGCAGTCTGACTACGGTTCTCTTCTCGAGCCTTCGGAACCCGAAGGGAACTACGTGCTTTTCCCCCAGTCTGACTTCTCCGAAGGCATCTATATTGATTATCGTGCATTTGACAAGAACGGAATCGAGCCGCAGTATGCATTCGGTTACGGCCTTTCCTATACCACATTCAGCTATTCAAATCTGAAACTCTCGAAGAAATCAACCTCATTCTCAGTCTACCCCACCAAGTCACGGATTCTCCCAGGGGGAAATCCTCGACTTTTCGATGGACTTGTGACTGTGTCTGCCACTATTAAAAACACAGGAAGTGTTGATGGGCAGGAGGTAGCTCAGCTTTATATTGGCGTACCCAATGGCCCCATTCGTCAGCTTCGTGGCTTCGAAAAGGTCTCGATCAAGCCTGGCAAGTCAACTACTGTCAACTTCAGTTTGACCCGAAGGGACTTGAGTACTTGGGATACTAGTGCGCAGGAGTGGGCTCTCCAGCGAGGAACTTACAAGATCTATGTCGGTCGTAGCAGCAGAGACCTCCCCCTTGAGACAGTTTTGACTCTCTGATTATTGGATTGGCTCGGCAGCTGGAGAAAGGAACGAATGAAACTGGCGGTGTCTAAAACTAAACCCCCTTCCCCCTCGCAATACCTCTGCCCAGACTTTCTAGCCATTCGTGACTTCAATAATTTTTGAATAATTCAAACCATGTTTTATGATGACCTTTTGGGGTCACAGTACGAAGACCTTTTATCGGAATATTTCACTCTTCCAGTAGGACTTTATACAGGATTACGGCTGCTGTAGAAATTTCACTCTTTTCATCTGTCAAAGCGTTTGCTCCACTCCGTCTTCGCGAATTTTGGATCCGATGTAAACCTCTAGTAAAATCAATTTTTTTTGCAACTGCTGTGTAATATCAGCCTCTTGGGTGATCGGATTATTCCACAGGGCATAGAAGCTAAATATCATTGGAAAGTGCCGGCGTATGTTAGGCAAGATCGTCTTACGAAAATAATGGAAAAGCCACGACCCTCCATCCGGAGAGTCATTATCTAGAGTCGAACATGAAGTATTTTATGCAGATATTGGGGAACAATCGGCCTTTTGTATGAAGTCCCGAAATAATGTCTACCGTGGTTGAAAGGCAGTGTAAAAGCAATCCATTGTAGGACGTTGAGTGAGTGAATCATCATGTTGACCGTCTTCATCGTCGGCAAACCCCCTCCAACCCCCAATCCACTTCCCTGAAAGAAATAAGAAGCTCTGCAGAAAGGGATCATAGGGTCACAAAACCTGCGCTGAGTACCCCACCCTCCTTCACCAAATCGACCGTCACCCGTTGCGGGACAACCCGGTCGATGCCTAGAATCATAAGAGCCTCTTTTGATCCAGAGGCCTCTTCCTGCACCGGAGTCTCGGTGGTGCCGTCTTTGGTGGGCTTAGTCTCATTTGGGTCATCACCCACGGCCAATTTGGGGGAAACTGGGGCAACAGTCATGAAGTTGATATTGACACCCTCCTCTCCTAGAATGCTACCCACAACACCGATCTTTCCAGGCGAATCGTAATTTTCACAAATGAGCAAAGTCCCTTCTGGCACGAAAGAAGCCTCAAAGCGGCCTAGCCGAGTGATCAATGGTTGGTCCCCAGAGCAGGTTCCCGAGATCACTCGCTGTGCGGGAGGTTGAGATATCGCTCCGGTGGCATCGGGGACACCAGGAGCCCGAGATGATGCGCGAGATGGCGGTCTGGCAACAAGAGTAACCAGTGATGAATAGGAAGAGGAACGGTCCGCCGGATCGCGAGAATGTTGTTCGTTCACGAAGATTCCACGTTCACGAGCGACTAGCTCGGCATTGACGATGTTGATATTGATTCCTTCCGATCCGCTGATGGGTGCTAGAAGGCCTTTGATTAATGCAGCGAACAAGGGCTTTGTGTTATTGATACTTGCGACCTCGCCTTGGTAGATCAGGTCGAATGTGTTCCGCGTCATGGAGCCGCCTGGCAATGCAGCGTAGTGTTGGGTGTAAAGGCTGCCCAATTTTTCGACCAGGCGGACAAATGGCTGTAGCTTTTGATATTCTTCAGGAAGAATGAGAGGTGCGTTGACAGCGCTCCGGGGCAATGCTCCTTTCAGAATTTCCAACACTTGCTCACATACATCTACCGAAACATTCTCCTGCGCCTCCACGGTCGATGCGCCAAGGTGTGGAGTTACCACGGCGTTTGGGTGGGCAATCAGCTTTGCTGCTGTACAATCCGGACTGGGAGGCTCGGATGTAAAGACATCAATTGCTGCTCCCGCTAAATGACCTGAGTCTAGAGCTACCAGCAGTGCAGCTTCGTCGATTGTTCCACCTCGAGCAACATTCAAAATGCGAGAGCCCGGTTTCATCTGACACAGTTCTGCTTCTCCAATCATGCCTCGGGTCGATGCGATGAGAGGTGTGTGAATTGTGAGAAAGTCTGCTGTCGATAAAAGCTCTGGTAGAGATGAGACAAGAGTTACAGAGGCCGAAGATGCAACGGCCGGAGACGCATATGGATCCAATGCATTTACAGTCATGCCGAGGCCTTTTGCCAGCCGGGCCACGGTCAAACCCACTTGAGATATTGGTCAGATTATCACTTTGATAAGGGTGCAGGACTAAGTTTACCTTTTCCAAGACCAATAATTCCCAGTGTCTTCCCTTTGACCTCCACGCCCACAAATTTGCTGCGTTCCCATTTTCCGTTCTTTAAACTAGCACAAGCTTCCGGTACCTTTCTTGCCATGGACATCATAAGAGCAATGGTGTGTTCTGCGGCCGCTCCAATGTTTCCGGAGGGTGAATTGACCACGACAATGCCGAGTTTTGTAGCTTCCTCGACATCTATAGCCGGGAAAATGTCAGGTAAGAGACCAGTTCCAGCAAATATGACATGTATTGCGCGCTTTGATTTGATACCTACCGACATTGTCCACTCCTACCCCGGCACGAGCGACGACTTTCAGGCGACGGGCGGCACGCAACACCGTTGCGGTTACCTTTGTCTCCGATCTGACGAGCAAAGCGTCATAGTTAGGGATGATATCCAGTAGCTCCTCAGGGCTGAGTCCCTTGCGCTCATCGACATCGAGCGAGCCTCTTAGTAAAGACAGACCATCTGGTGACAACTTCTCTGGGACAAGGACCTTCGGCGGTGCATCTGTAAACAGAGGCATGCTGCTAGATAAAATGCTCAAGTTGGAAGACTGATAGGATCAAAAGAGCCAGATTGTAGAACAAACTCGACGGTCGAAGTTCAAATAAAATGGTTCACGGAGGAATAGGATGGCTATGAATGAAGAACAAGGAGCTGCAAGCAACCCCCCAGCAGACAAGGGCAGAAAGGCCAACCCGATACCGCAATCAACATTGCATCACCGCGGCAGGCGCGCCCCAAGAGTCCAGCGACCTCGCAGATGCCGGGACTTTTGGTCCTCTCAAGGGCATCCCAATGGCACTTGGGTACCTTGGATGCAGGCGGTCCAATCATGCTGGAGGCGAGTCTCGGCCTCAGTAGCCCGCCATCTCAGGGCAACACAAAACGCGGGGTAATGGCCGTGCTGGCCGGTGATTGGAGACCCGGCTGCGACTCGGGCTAGTCGGGATTAGAATAAGGGTACGCGGAAGGAACCTGCGGTGTATTTTAGTCGAAAGCAACACCAACACCGTCCAGATCGAAAGGAATTGATGTTGGGTGTTTGGGGTTGGGTGGGAATGATGGCGAGGATGCAGTGTGATGGGCGACGGTCCCAGGTGCCAGGATATAGTTCCCTGACTTGCGCTGGGATCTTGTCGCGAACCATGAACCACCGAATCGGTGCGGGGTCGTCGTGTTGCTTGTCTATTGAGGACGAACTGGATGTGATAGACCGAGTCCCTTGATTGTTGCGGAATCGTCGATTTCAGGTGCGCTATATTTTGATTATTTTGACCAGGCCGGCTACACCCTCCCAGCTCTCTTCCAATGAGCATCCGTTCATTCTCTCGGTGTCGAACGGTGCTGAGTGCCCGCAAAGTCAAGCTGAAAACCGGTCGCTTCCCCAATTTGTGGACTCAAAGAGGGGCTTTAAGGATTTTGAGATTTTATGTTGCCGGGACATTGTCGACCGCAAACTACCGGTTATCAATGGCTCGTTGCGTGACCAATGGGGATGACTGCCAGACTGATCCTGACTGCACCAGACCAGTGGACTGCGGGTTTATCGTGTTACGAACGGTCTGGGTTGCCCATCTATTGGATGGTTATTGGGACGAACAACGAGGGAATTTGCCTCCATTCATGCTGCTTACCGGGGCTCAACAAACGAGGTATACCTGGCATTGGGGCTGAGTTCCTGATTCTCCTGATCGCGACTTTGTGGCACTGCGGCCTCGTGCATCGTGCATCGCACATCTGGCATGGCGCATCGCGAGTCTAAAACACGTTGGCGCACATCAAACTGTGGATCAGCGTGCGCGCCAGTGGACGCGGCGTCGATTAGCGGGCTTTTGGACCTCTCATCGGCCCGTCTTCGACCAGGTCTAAGTTCTGATACCTGGTCAAATAGGCTCCGGAACGCAATCCCGGAACGCCATGGTAAAAGTTCGCTTGTTTAGGGCCCAGCTCAAACCCCTGTTCGTTCTTTCTGTCCCTCTCCATCCCCCGCTCCCTCGGTTTTTGGAGCTTGCCGGCATTTCCGATGCTCTATTGTTATCATGGCCCTCAAGTTCGTGGCCGCTCGGGACGGTCTGGTGAAGCCCCGAATCGAATTGGGTCTACGCCAAGGCCTAGTCCCTCGGCGACAACTATTGATGGGAAATTATTTAAAGCGGCTGGCCTGGACTGTTGGCGCTGTCGTATATGCCCCTATGCGCGCCGTGAATCTATAGTGACAGCTGTGATTGACAATGGTGGGCGTTCCGCATAGTACGGGCTGCGCCCTTTGTCGCAAGAGACATATCAAGGTAAGTTGAAGAGCGAGGACTGCGAGCCCGAGGCTGTTGGAGTTATTTGTCATCTATGAGTGACTGCCCCCTTTGACCAAACCTTTTAGTGTGACGAATCAATTCCTGGATGTTCGCAATGCCGACGGTATGGCCGCCCCTGTCCGGGGTACCGTCGCATCTTTCGATTTCAAGATGAAGGCCCCAGCTTCCAGCAGCGACGTCGGTCGATGCCACGAGGAAAAAGTCGTGGGGCGCCATGGGGCTTGATTACTTTCAGTGCTCCTTCATCCATCATGTCCATCTCGGTTAGGGATGATGGTAATATCGAGGAGGTGCAGCGAAAAGAGAATAATAGCGCTGCTGCCCTTGGGCTGTGCAGCCCTTTCATTTTGTTCATTGCATTAGCGCTTCCTGGCCTACGCTTTATTATCACAACCGCTTTCGTGCGGGAAAGGGGCCGGACTTTGCGGAATACGTTGTAAAGCTCATTGGCAAAGATCAGTATTTGGATGCTGCCATCTCGTGTCTAGGTGCAGTTTACATGGCACGTGTGACGGAGAATCCGATATTACTTCGCAACAGCCGAGAGATGTATGGCATCTCCCTGCGTGGACTCTTTCGTGCTCTGTCCAACCCCGATCAGGCCCTGTCTGATAGCATGCTCTTCGCGACCATGATGCTGAGTGCATACGAGATGTATGCCCGAACAAAACCTGAAGCCTGGGTTATCCATGCCGATGCATCTAGAAGGCTTGTGGAAGCTCGTGGCCCGAAGCTACACAAATCAGGTTTTGGACGGCTATTGTGGTCGACTTTTCGGGGCTTCTACATTGCGACGGCAATCTATCAGGGAAAGGCATGCTTTCTCGATGAAGAGGAATGGCGACAATATACTCGACAATTCATGGCCGAAGACGCCCAGAAGCCTGGAGAGTGGGCTTGCTATTCTTACCTCTCAGACAGCGTGTTCATGGAAGCCGTCAAATGCCCAGGATATGTTGCTGAAGCACGCGAAATGCTTTCAGACTTGGAAAAACCAGACCCGGAAGCCACCCATTCGCTCATGCACAGGATTGCAGAGACATCTGAAACACTGCATAGACTCAGTCTGGCGCTACGCTCCACCCTCAATGCTCACGCCGAGCGCCAACGGGGCATCATTCAGCGACCAGAAAGCTTTATTGGTCCTGCTCCGGAGCTCTTTCCAGATACCGGGCCGTCCCTAGTTGTCAATGGTGCGGACGACATGCAAGCCGCACTTCAGCAGTTATGTGATTTACTTCAAGATCAACTTCGTATTGAAGACACGGACGCTCTCTCTCCGGAGACTACCACGCAAACTCCATCCAGCGATGGCAGCGCGGCTTCTCCTGCGTTGTCTCATTCAATTCCAAAGGCATGCGCTCTCCCTCTTCGGATCTCTTCTGAACTTGGGCGTGGTCCCTTGCGGGTTGCGGAGCATAAGGATTCTCGAACCACCTTTTGGCTGGATTGCATTGGCTCATCAATGGGCATGCTGGGTACGAGAATTGTAGAGGAAGACAAGGAAGAAGATTATCGCGCGAGTCTTTTTGATGGAGACACACCTTGAGAATTATTCTAAGATGATCGAGTGGTCCCATTTGTTATTTATGATGATATTGCTCTATCTTCATTAATATATGTAGGTCAATCAGTTGCAATGTAACTTTGGCCTTTTGCAAAACTTTGTCTATTAAATGGAAGCTGGAATGTGGAAACTCATAAAAACCTTTTAAATGATGACTTGTTAATCTTTTGCATAGACTTAAACTCTGCAGACTGTTACATATGGCTTTCTAAGGCCTACTATATGTGAATGACAAGCCAGAACCACTAACAGCCCCCACTCCAAAATCACAAGAACCTTAATAATCCAACGATTCTTCAAGTAATTTCCTTAATTCCCCCTTCTCCGCCTCCAACTCGTCGCTCAAGCTGGGTGCAAGCATAAGGACCCGCTTCTGCGGGATCGTCCCTTCAACCAAACCCTCCACATCGCTCGCTTTGAAGCCCAAATCTTTCAATCCTCGGGGCTGATCACCCAACTTAAGCAAAAATTCCGCAATAGCATTGCCGAGCACTTCTCCCGCGCTTTCACGCTTGACGTTAGAGATATCAACGCCGAACGCCTCTGCGGCAGCCAAATGGCGGTCTGGGTTCGATGCTGCCGTGAAGCGGAAAACGGCTGGCGCAGTAACCGCCACGGACACGCCGTGGGGAATGATTGGGTGATCAACCTGGTAGCCAGCATGCTTATATCCCGGGTTCTGGCTAGAAATCGGGTAACTCATTCCGTGGCAGAGGTGGACACCAGCATTTCCAAAGCCAACGCCGGCTAGGGTAGCGGCAAGGAGCATGTTTGACTGCGCCTCGTGGTCATCTGGATCTCGCACTGCACGGGGAAGGTATTTTACCGTGCTACGGAGGGCTTCAAGAGAGAAAATGTCGGAGATAGGGTTTGCACCCTGATATGCAGGACGGTTGATAGGGTTAGTTGGGCGGGGTGTGCGCTCATTATATGGGATCGCGGTCCAAGACTCGAGCGAGTGGCACAGAACGTCTAAACCAGAGGAGGCATGAACAGCTGAGGGCATGGTACGAGTATTAAGAGGGTCGCAAATGCCCAAGGTAGGTTTCAGGTTGCGGTGAGCGATACCAGTCTTGGCCTTCTTAGAGACTAGGTCAAAAATGGCGGTTCCAGTAGTCTCAGAGCCTGTGCCTGCTGTAGTCGGAACGGCAACTAGCGGCCGTAGGGGCTTGTCAACGGGGAGACCTTTGCCTAAAGGAGCATTGACAAAATCGAGGAAGTCGGCGTCTGGGAAAACAGTGTACAGGTTCATTAATTTGGCAGTGTCGATGACGGATCCACCACCTAGTATAGATGTTAGAGCAGCTATATATCTAATACGCCCATGGTGTCATCCTAGACTTACCAACAGCAAGGAACGCATCCGGGTTGTATGGTTTTGCGAACGCGATAGCCTCTTTGACTCTATTGTCTCTGGTCAGCAATTCCGTTCATTACCTAAACCTTTGCAATTTGGAAACATACGAGCTATCCTTGGGCTCAATCCGCACTTTATCAAAGATGGTAAACTCAATGCCCTCTCGTGTCAATCCCTCAACAGCCTGTTTCATCGCATTCAATTTGAGGACCGTGGAATCGGTAACAATGCACACACGCTTCGCGCCCATGTTCTTAAAGTCCATTCCAACCTCCTTCGTCGCACCGGGTCCGAAGCGGATACTAGACGCAGCCATTTCAAAGGCATACTCTTTCTCGCGTGCTGGATCCACGGGGGTCGCGAGGTGCCGACGGACATGGCTCATAAGCGAAGGCTTGTGGTGATGGTGGTGGTTGGGATTGGAGTGGCAGGGGCAGTTCGGCGGGTGGGTATACTGCACTGTGCGAAGCAGACTGCGGGCTCGACTGGCGGCTGAAGTGGCCACCCGAATCGCTGGAGCAACCATTTTCTCGGTGATCGATAGCCTAAAGAAAGAGGATGAGAGGAGGTGTAAATCAAATGAACAAGAAGAGCGGGTGAGGTTCGGTGGAAATGCGGGAGTTGGAGAAACGGAGGAAATGCGGGGATTCGTGGGTTGCACCGAGTCGGTCTTCTATCCGAGGTACGCGTGGCTGCAGTACAACTTAGCTTTGAGTGCGTAAACTATAATCTGTCTTGCCCATTCAGTTTACGGACATCGGCTCGATCATTCGAGACTCAGTTCTAGCTCCACCTATCAAACCTTTAATTGGCGTAGTCGATGCTATCGGCTGCTTCTCGGAAGTCTGACCTACTCCCTTGTTCCACCAGCCGAGGTCCAATCGTGCATGACATCAGCCGCGGGAGCCCGAATTTGGCGACAAAATTGGAGAAATTTGGAGAACTACTAGGCGCAACTGATGCGACAGCCTTTTTATGTCGTATTTTATTTCGTATAGCAGTAGCTTTACCATCCTGTAATTGCTGCCGATTAAGTGCGTTGCACAAGACCGTCCCGCTCAACCAAATACTGAAGTTGTTCATGGGGGATTTTTTGGATCATTGTAAAATTATTCGTACAGATTCGCAGATATTCAGCATCAGATCGCGTTGAGAATTATCGCAACTATCAAGTCCCACCCATCCAAGACCTTGAATAGTCGACTAGATTGTCAGATTCACTGATCCTCTATTCTTCCAACACAACACATCCGGCTCATCCCAAAAGCTGATATGTATATTGAATGGCAGCCGTGGCTCGTATATAATCTAGCCCCCATTCAGACAAATAGATCTTTCAGCTCTCTCACAAGAGATTGTTCTTTTCATTTAACATAAAGTCAAGACCAAATCTGTCGACGCCGCCTGCACACGAACCTGGCTCCCGGAAGGTGGAACTCCACTTGCCCACGCAATTTGCGGCTCCGATGGGCTTAGTACAACCGGATGTCCGGTGAATGGGTCTCCAAATACATCTGACAGGTCGTACCAAACCTCCTGTTCATTGAGGTTGTAAGCAAAGATGGTTTGCGGTGCACTTTTATAGAGACCGTCTCTCGAGGTGCTAATTTTCAAGGCAATACCGCCGGTAATAGTGTCGTGACGAAACTTCTCATAAAAACGGCCGCCAGGCCAAACAAGCTCCACTGGTCGGACAAGCGAGCCTACTGACCACACAAAGATCGGCGTGCGGCAATGATTGACGATAATAGCACGACCGAGGCGACTGTTGACTGACGAGACTGGGGTTGGCGTCTTAAGCGAGCTTGATACCGAGGAGGATGAAGGTGGGAATGCTCCGGATGGAATTACGTCTGAACCTTTTTCAACTGTTGGAGACGAAAGGGCCAGACTGGCCAAAGTGAAGATTGAAAGAATATTGGAAAATATCATTGTGGTCTGTAGAAATTCCGATGAAGAGCTCCGTGATATGCATTCGTTTATCCGATCGATACCTTGATGGTACGGAGTAAAGGTGTCTTTATATAGCCTTGGGATCATGAGAGACAATTGATCAGCAAAAACGCGGCGTCGATGCCCATAATGCACGGGATGCAACATCCCTGCAGGGGTTTACAGCACGTTCCAAATACCTCTGAACTGATTTAGCCATATCAGTTCTTCAACGCCACTACATATTGTACAGACGGTGCACAATGAAGGGATATCTCAGTCCCACAATGTCACTCTCAAAGTAGAGGACCCAATTGCGACAGAGAAGACATCGGTAAAATGTTACATCTATGCGGCTTGGTACTTAATTGGACATGCAACCTCGTGCGAGAGATTGAAATGTGGTTGTCAGGTCCGATCCCTTGTTAGTAACATCTTGGCGGAAAGGAATGTGGGCTCTGGCTAGAGAGTTCGTCGTGGTCTGGGCCGATTCGGATATTTTTGACGAGCGGCGGCACATTGATTGGTATGCAAGCTGTTATGGTGACAAGGCACCAATGATCTGATACTTAGCCATGGATTTTCCAACATTGGTCTTGGATTATCAAATGATTGTTGTTGTATTATACAGTTAAAGATTGTTCGGTTTCGATCGAAAAGGACGGAGAGGCTATGGAAATGCTTTTTGTTCTGAGGTATTTTTTTTATCACACCCTCACCAACCTGCCTTAAAGAGCCAGAAAAACAAGCCGCAAGTCGCTGTTGTCTGGAGATTTTGATAAATTAGCCACCCAGGCCTTTTCGCGCACAGCCACTCTGTGTTGATCCGGTTTCACTGGAGATATGATCAGTGGCTTCCTTGGCGTTTCCCCTCCGTCACGCATTTCTCACTCCATCCAACTCGAGACTCACTCCTTTTGGTGTATTGATGATTCAAAAGAGTTTTCGGGGATTTTTCGGATATCAACATTCATCTAATAAGGCATAAAGCCAAGGTTCTATATTCTGTACTTCCTGATGTCGTACAATTCAAGCCTTAAGCGGAGAGATGTCTTATGCTGCTCACAGACCCCTCTCGATAACCAGGAATATAATTGGGATACTCACACTTACCTGCGCGGTTTCTTTCACTATCATTTACCGCGCCAATGAGATATCAAGAGCAAATGGCGATGCGATGGCCACCTCTCACCGATTGGTGAGTGAGTATGAATTAGCTGAGCTGAGCATGCCGTTACTGGAACATCCTTTTCCTGAAATTCCAGACATATTCACGGGAAGGCCGAGGGCGTTTTCGATAGAAAGCCCCAAAAGCAAATAGTGCTATAGCATCGGATCTCAATACAGCCTTTTCACAAAGGTGGTATATTTCAACCATCTCACGTTTTCTCGAGTTCCTTGGTTATCGTTTCATGGGTATCAAGAAAAAGCTCAACGAAGACCTTGATGCTATGGTCAATATAGGGACTAAGCTGAATTATATCTACCATGCAATCAATCATAAGTTACTTAGCCGTCAATGGCTGACCTTCCTGCTTCTAAATTTAAAAAACAGGCACCAGTCGAGTAACATGGGAGGCTAGGCTGACCATGGAGAATATTCCGCAACAGGGATCTATGATCCGAATTCAACAAGAAAATCTAAAGGCACAAACCGCCATGCTTTTTCAGATCATGGGAGCCTTCCGTCTCCATATTGATGATGTGGCGGCAGGGGTCAGAGCTGTAGCCGGAATTCCACTCGCGCAGTTTGATACAGATGGTGTCCTTGGTTTACTCTTGCGCCCTTCATCTCTTAAAAATCCTTCCGAAAGCGAGACTAAAGGTTCTCCATGAGCAGCCTAGCGGAAAGGGTGAATATGAGGAGGCATGGATCAAACTGCGTGGCGGTCTTTGTCTAGCAACGGGAGTACTCTCGCCTTGCTTGGCTGGAATGTGAGATTCTGATAGCAATTATCGGAATTTCAAGCCGAGCCTAGTGGCGCAATCAAGATCTTGATTTCAAGAATTTGAAAGAAATTACTTAGCATATGACCCAAGAACTGTACAGAAACAAAAAAGTGAGTTTTTCCATAATGTCAAAACTAGGAATAGCGCAACATGAAAACGTGACCAGAATATATTCGCAGACTGGATTAGACATTGAGATAAAACATTAAAAAGATTCCTACAAGGCCTGATACCCCGCTCATTGTAGGGTGAGATGTAACATCAGGTGATAAATTAGGTTTGTACAGGACAGCGCGTGGCCGGGTCTCGTCGTTTCAGCGTTCGCCCCTTTTAATGCAGGATTAACGTCGATTCCACTATCGATCGTGGACACTTCGCAGCCCCACGCGGGCTGTTCATTGATGAAAACTTGAGAGGCTAGTTTGAAGGGCTCTTTTTGGAAACAAAATTGATAACCATAACAATAAATCATATTTACAAAGTCTTCAAATCACAACAAAATATATACATGAATAAATAGCATTCACGCGCGATACAGGAATCAACCCCAAGGCCCAATACATGTCAGTCTTTATTCCCAAGCCGACCCAAGCCGACAAGATTGTAGTAAAAGACATTGACATCATGTAGCAACAGCTGAAAAAAAACCAAAATCCCCCAAGTGAGTTGAGATAATGTGAGAGAATTGCTTTCATTCTAGAACGAAACAATCTCGGATGTACCAAGCACATTGTTACCCTGGCGGGCGACAACCTGAATATAGTTGCTAGGCGGGCTAGTCAGGGTCACAATGGTCTCGAAGCCATTGCGCTTCGCAGCACCGATCTGAGTGTTGTTGGTCGAGGTCTCTGATGTCGCCGAGTAAACAACCCAATTATCATAATCGGTCGCACCGTTCCAGCTCATGTACACTGTAGCGCCAGAGGCGGTGCGAGTGACATTCAGCGAGGGCTTCCAGAAGGGAACGGCACTCCACTGCGCACGATAGCCACGGTATGAGGCTACAGCATTGTCCTCGCCGAATTGAGCGCTGAAAACGACATTGCCATCGCCGTCATACTCCTTGACTTTGGAGATGGAACCATAGTCCATGAAGACGTGACCGTTCACCTCATTCAGCAACTGATAGCTGCCCTGGCTGACAGAGTGGATTGGGTCATTGGGATCACTAAGGGAGCGCAGGCCAGTGACCTTCTTCTGGACCAGGTCAATAGCCAGGCTGACCCCTGTGGTGGGATCCGCAGTGTCCGTGGGGGTGTTGGCATTGTTGAACAGATTCAAAACTAGGCCCTCGTCTGTCTCGTTGTACACGCGCATGTCGTGTTGCCAGGAAAAGTTCGCATTTCCAACCTGCGCAAAGTCACCGCCATCTTCACCACTGACCTGCCACATGATTGTGCCGTTTTGGAACAAATAGTAACCGGACCACATGTGACGCAACGAAACTAGATAGCCATTGTTCGTGGGCGTGATAGCATTGATGTGATAAGCATCATAGGGTGCATCCTGTGTGCCGACATCTTTTCCAAGCTTCTGGTGGGAGGAGGTAAGCGGAATTTGGTCCTCATGATCCAATGCACTCCATGAATTGAGAATCTGATTGGTGGAAATATCGATCTCATAGAAGTGACTGTCGAGCATCCATTCTGATGAGTTACCGCCAAGGGAAGTCAAGTCGTGCTGTGTCAAGTTGTAGGCGGTAACGAGAAGGGTATTTCTCGGAGTGATATGGCTCTCGTGTAAATCGATATACGAGTCTTTAATCGAGTTGTCCGGTGTGACAAAGGGACCGGTGAGAGTCACGGTATGGATCTCCTTGTAAGTATTGTCAAGGATATGGACCGTTCCATAGCCATACCCCAGACTCATCATGTCACCAGCCCAGAAAGTGATCACATCTGAGCCATTGAGTTGCTGGACGCGGAAATTAGCAGTAACTTCCTCTGGTCCCTCGTAGACTAGGTTGCCCTCATTATCATAGATCAGCGCAGCCGTACCTGCCGGCTGGATGCTACCGCGAGGACCAAGAAAGAGATATCCAGGCTCAGTGGTGCCTGTTGTATTGACCTCCAGCTTTGGAGGCTGGAAGTCGATTGAACTATATGAAGCGTAGGGCCATGCTGCAGCACCCAAAGAGCTCAGCAGTAGGGTGCTACTAGCGGTATACCACCAAGGAGTCATTTTGAAACCTTTCGTGACTTGCGGGAAAGGAACCCTCAGGTGACGGGTCAAAAGAATAGAGTGAGTTTGGAAACGAATGAATGGAAACGAAACTAAAAGAGTGACAAGAGTGAGAACTGCAAAAGCGTTTTTTTCTAGAAAATCAAACGTTCAGCATCTCTGGCCGGGGAGAGCCATTTTAAATGGTCACCACTCTTTACTCCCGACATTGCCAGGAATAGGGAAGTACCAGGAAACCCTGGGCCCTGAAGATCATTGCCTCTCGACAGCCGATGGTGAGTGGGTTAGAATCTCGCCATCTTCCAACCACCGTCCATCAGCTAGCCAGATCGGCTTTCTTGACTTCTTCTTCGGCACAACGGCTATTCTCAGGAAGTTTGGATACGCAGGCTTGGCCACCGTCACTGGGTGGGCCAGCCACCCAAGCGCTTCATCTATCTGCAAATTGGAACGTGGAACCTGTCAAAGCCTTGACCCGACAGTGGTCGTTTCACCTGCGGATAAAACAGATTAACAGGGCATGTACCTGCCATGGCATCTTCCTCTCCTGGATCAAGAGGTTGCAATCAATAATCTAATCGACAGACCAACCAGACGGCGGCATCCAGGATACGCTTCGAGGCTAAGACGTGCGATCAGCGAGCCGATCGGTCTTGGCAGGGTGTTTCGCATGGCCCAAGTCTCCACCATGCTACGGCGGCGCACATTGGAAACGAGGAAGAGGGCAGCCGTACCTTTTGTCAATGAAATGCATTGCAATAGGCCACTTTACTTTGCCGGGCGGGATAGAGTCCGCACAGTTTATGTAAGTGGCGACTCCGCCCCCATAGAACCCTTGGTACTCCGTTCAGCGTGTGGGAACCCGGAGCCGAAATGTCGCCCCTGAGCAAAATGCCGGAGCGGCAGACGGGAATAGCCCGGTAACGATCGGCTCCGGCGCTGCCAGTTATGGCAAGTCCCGAGAGGAGTCTCGGAGTATCAGTCTCAAAGTTGCAGGATTCTCTGGAGGCGTCCCGAATGGAATAGGACTACAGAGCATTGCTGGCAAGGACCGCTGGTGATTCGCGATCCGCTTACTATCCAAAGGTTCACAGATAGACAATTATGTATGAGATATGACGGATATTGAGATTTGACGAGCACAGGATAAGACATGATAGATTGGGCATGGCCAACTTGAATTGCAAAAAATATACGTATGTACCTACTGAATGTACCATTGCCATCGCATTGGTTTTTTTTTGCTTTTTCTTTTTCTTTTTTCCTTTTTCCCAGCCGCGTATTTTGAATCTCAAGATCAAAATGTTCTGCATGATGTTTGGGGGAACTGATTGAGATACTCCGATGCATAATACTAATTAATACTTGCGCTAATTGGAGCCACCAAAGCTGTTATCCAAGCCGGACTCTCCGCACGGTCGCATTTCTTTTCAACTTCATCTTGAAAGACTACCGTTGGCTCTCTAATGCTGGTGGAGGCTGAATCTGACGGGCCGTTGTTCTAATCTCGTGAGAGTCGAATATCTAGGCATGCTAAAATTGAAAATCTATGCTTAACTAGACGACAGAGCACAGAAGCACAGAGGCACAGAGGCCAATAAACCAGAAAAATGGAACAAGAACGTGAGATCGGCTTTTCCGACGCAAGCCCGCGAGGTTTTAGAGATCTCTTGGACTTTGATACATTTACTCTCATCGCGATCGAAAAGCGATGTTCATCTACTCCCCCGATCGAGGCAAGCCATGCCAATCCGGGGTCGTTGGTCTGGATTGCGGAGTTGCTCGACTCCACTTCCACCCACCATGACTTGACCTCGTAGTTTCATGCAAGAAACAGAGAAGTTCAAGATGGTCCTCCTGACTCCCCGACCATTTCATCATTTGAGCCAAGGATGATCCCATTTGCCTTGGCCATCAATATCCAACCACATCACCCGAGAGCCAACAGGGATGGTGCAGGCCACGCGCAACCAGGTCTGGCCGAAGTTGTTTTGGCCCCCTTGCGGTGGCCTGGAAAACTCCCCGTTGGGATCGACTGATTTTGTTCCCCGCAAATCAAATCCCAACCTGGAGGCTGCCCAGACCCCCGCTCTACGTCTAAGCTCTTCCCAGACCCCAATAACGGTGTGCGCTCCATTATACTCGGTTGCGAGCCGGTCGGCTCTCGCGTGGCTGAATCAAAGAGCTTCGTGATGGGGCGGGCCCTGCACCTGAGGTTGTACTGGCAATTAGATGCATCATCTCGACAGACCCTGTGCAGCGGCTAGTTCATCCCTCAGATGATCTGCCAGCCATAAAGCCTGCGCTGTGTGCTGTTGTTTGCACTGCGTCTGTCTCCTTCTTTGCTCCGCACGTCTGATCGGCATCAGATCCCCCGTAGTCGCTCTTCTAAACCCCCAACAAGAAGATTTGGCGCGTCATTTTCAATTGTTCTGGCGGTACAACGCAGGTGACGGCGCCTGTGTGCAACACAACTGCTTCCTACTAGCTTTGATTGCTCTCTTCCTCTCATCTTCACGTTGCACACCTCACATCATCGACCTGCATCATGGGTCGCAAGCTGGGGCTCTTCCGTGCCATATATCTGGTCTCGGCCAGCTGTATGGGCTCGTTTTCCTTTGCTTTTGACACCGGTGTTATTAGTGCGTGGGCTTCTCTCCCAAAATTGACTCGGAATGTTTCAAAATTGCGTTGGTCTCTCCGTACTGACTTCTTCCCCCCTGTCATCTAGGCGGCGTTCTCTCTCTCCAATCCTTCCAAGATGATTTCGGCTATACTAAAGCACAGAAAACTAACGTGAACTCAAATGCTGTGTCGATTCTCCAGGCCGGTGCCTTTTTCGGCTGCTTCCTCGTCTCTCCGATCGCAAAGTTCTTTGGTCGCCGCACTGGCCTGATTATCAGCTCCCTGGTATTCACCCTCGGTACGATTTTGCAAGTCATTAACTCCGGCACATTGGGCACTTTTTACGCGGGACGTGTCATTGCTGGCTTCGGAATCGGTGCCGCCACCGTATTGATCCCCATGTATGCGGCTGAGATGTCGCCCAAGGAAATACGTGGGCGGCTGGGTGCTTGCTTCCAGCTGTTCTTCGCCCTGGGAGTCATGATCGCCTATTGGGTAACATATGCCGTGGACAAAGACCAGAAACCCGGGACCAGCCAGTGGCAGACTGCGTTGGGCCTCCAGCTTCTTGGATCGACCTTGCTACTTGCTGGAATGTGTACAGTGAAGGAGAGTGCGCGTTGGCTTGCCGCGCGAGGAAGATTGGATGAGGCCCGCGAGTCGCTGAAGTGGGTACGTGGAGGCGAAGAAACTGAAGAGCTGCAGAAGGAGTTCGATGAGATTCTCGCCGGCATTGAAGAAGAGGCGCGGGTGAAGGAAAACTTGACGTTCAAGGAACTACTGCTACCCGTGAACCGATACCGACTCTTCATTGCTGTCACTATTCAACTGTCCGCTCAACTCACTGGAAACACCTCTCTCGCATACTATGCGACCCAGATCTTCAGCGCCGTCGGGGCTGGGAGCTCATCGAAATTGGTAACCGGCTTTTTCGGTCTCGTGAAGGTCTGCGGTGTCAGTATTTTCCAACTGTTTGTGCTGGATCGCATTGGTCGTCGAGTGCCGTTCATGGTGGGCGCGTTTGCAATGGGCTCGTTCATGCTCATTATCTCCTGCATTCTAGCCACACACCCCACCAACGCCAACGCCACGTCGCCAACAGCGGCCGGGATCGCATGTATCATAATGACCTACGCCGAGGCCTTCAGCTATAACATGTCCTGGGGTCCACTGCCCTGGCTCTACGTGGGGGAGATCTTCTCCAGCCGTACCCGTGAGCTGGGAGTGACGGTCGGCGCGGCATCCCAATGGCTGTTCAATTTCATGATGTCGCAAGTCACACCTCATGCAATCAACAACATTGGATGGCGCATGTTCCTGATGTTCGCTATCTTCAACTACGCCATCATTGTGTATGCTTGGTTTGTCCTCAAAGAGGTAGGTTCTACAATGCTTGTTTGAAAGCTGACAGCATAACTGACGTGTTGAGCAGACATCGCGGCACTCGTTAGAGGAGATGCAGGAGGTCTTTGGTGGTAAGAAAATGGAGGAGAAACATCTCGAAATGACCCATCATGAAGAGCACACAACAGGTGCTCCGACGGAAGCCAAGGCATGATCTCTTTGAAGCTTTTAGTTGAGCGACCGTAGATTCAGATACTCTCCAGGAAGCCTGTGGCCTTTACAAAACATAGTTTGTCGTGGGTGGCTTTAACTAATGACATGAAACTTATGAATCCACCCCGCCTGCTACCTGAATCACACCTCCGCTCCACAAACACGAGCCCCCTATCCCATCTAGTGTATTCTGGTGTGGCCACTCGGTCCGTGTCCCTTGAGAGCGCGTGGGGATTGGATTCCCCGGGTTTCGGCCCCACGTCGAACGGGCAAGACGGGGAAATAGCGGAGCCACTAACCCTGTCCATCATCGTGCCATCATCTCCATCCCCAGCTACGGAGCACTCTTGCTGGAGTAAACTCGTGGTTTGATGTTTGTCATGGAGCAATCTCGAATATACGGAATTCCCATCGGGTTTGCGGTTGATGGGACCTCACTTATTCTCCTCCAGGTCAAAGGATATAGAGGACCACTGGGCCCTATCCCCATCCCCATACAAAAAGCCGAGTTTAGCGGACGCCACCAACTCTGTTCGTCCAGAGTCATGAATCCACCATTCTGAATGGCAGGTTGTCCCCGCCCAGGTAGGTGTCAACCCCCAAAGTCAAATGAAAGCTGTTCTTTGCCGTTCAGCACGGAGCACGCGACAGATTTGGCGCGCAGGTACTCTAATCCAGCGCCGCGACAGGCCTCAGGCGAGAGGATCAAAAAGCCAGACGGGCCCGATGGAGACATAGGGCTGGCATCCATTGGTCACAAATTTTAACCCCGGCATCCCACTATCCTTAAATCGATGAGACCAAGGGACTAGCTCGGTTTCCATTGACTCTCCACTTGACGAGATCGAACTCTTGTGTGTCTGGCCCCATCAGATCCAAAGCTCTCTTCTCCTGGACATGAATAAAATAAGCGACAAGCAGCAGCACATGGATGAGCATTCGCCGATGATTCCCGAGGTAACCATGACCTGTGCTGAGAAGCTACTGTAGCCCGCGCCACCAGGTCCCCACGTAACGCAGCTCAAATTAAAAATATCCTAAAATACCCAGGAGTAAAATGAAGCCCCTCTTGCTCCCGGGGTAGAGTTCTAGCAAATCCACAAATGCAGGTTACTTTCAAGGGTGGAGGGACTGAGTTTTGACTATTTTTGATCAATGTATTGCAGCTGTGTTCGTTGATCTGGTCGGACTTTCCTGTAGAGTTTTGTAGTTCGGCCTAGCCAGCCAGTCAGGCCTCCTAGTGAGTCGGCAGAACAAGGACCAAAGCCAGACTGGTCTTTGATTTGTGCTATTCTTAACTCCTTTGTAGGTAGCTCTCTCCTTTGATTCCACTATGTCTCTGTAGTCGAGTCTTTGGCCGGGTCGCCTTGGCCCGGACTGCTAGCGCAGATGACTGAGGCTATTGACAGGGACTGAGAGTTGCGTTAAAGCTGCGTTAAAGCCTGGACCACGACTCCCCGACCCCGAGGAGTCCAGCTAGTTCAAGCTCGGGCCTTTCCTGGCGAGCCACCCCCCGAAGTCTAACCGCTTGTGTGCAACGGCGTTGAACAGCACAATACAACGGCGCATTTTCACCCCTCAACCACTTCCTCTTTCTTTCACCCTCGCCTCTCACTACTCTCTCTCTCACCACCGTGCAATTCTCTCGCCTTTTTTGTTCCTACACTCAATCTCGCTGTATTTTGTTCACCCTTGGTCCTGTCACTCCGATCTCTCACTTGTCATGCTAAATACCATGCACTGAAGCCGCCATGACTGAGAACGTTGGCCGACCTACCGGTGATGGTCTGGCCCTCGAGGCCTGGGGCCAGGGTCTGATGGTGGGCAGTCTCATAATCATGTCTGCCGTCACGATCTCCAACATGAAGAAGCATATTCTGCTACACAAACTAATCTTCGCCGAAGTAAGTCACATCCCCGCATTGCGCGAGCAACTGATATTCGTCTCCCCTGCATACATCACTATATACAAGCCTCATTAATATGGACTATCTTGTGTTTAACCAAAATCTGCAGCTGATTCTGGCCATGGGCCATGGCACATTCATCTTTCTACATGAACCCGCCTATGGCTGGTACCTTTCGGTCACCGCCATCGGTCTGAACGTCTCTTGGGCTCTGCATAACGTCATTGCCTGGATGAAGAATCGTCCATTCCTCTCCCGCCGTGTCTCAATGATCTATATCGTGACGGTCGTTCTATGCTGGCCATACTGGATCCTTGAGATTTATGCAAACTTCTCCTATTTCAACAACATCAACAACATCTTTCATATGACCCGACCTCTCGAGCCTCTATTCCGGTAAGAGCTCTTCCAGATAATCATAATTGTCACAAATTTTGTTGATAATAACCCTGATCCAGGGACCCATGGTGGGTCTTCACCACATGCTCACTCTTTTACACAATCAAGAAGGAGTACAACTTCGGCCTGTGGGAACTGGTGAAAGTCAGTCCTCGATTTGGAGTGATGCTCCTGTCGATGTGCCTTTCGATAGCGTTCATTGTAGTGGACACGTGCAGCGTGCTCAATGTGTTCAGTGATGCCCTGCCGCAAGGAATAGAACCTTTCTGGAAGGTATGCATCATACTCTCTTTGTTTTACTTTCTCAGTCCAAGTGAAAGCAATCTGAACAGTATTCCCTTCACACATTGGTGCCGTACGGGCTCATATTTCGCTCACACATTTCTAGCTCTCATTTATCTTCAAATGCCTCTGCGACACAGTGATCCTCGATGATTTTAAGACCGCGCTTGATCGCATGCGGGCATATTGGCTTCGCAAGCAGGCATCGGGCGAGATTCTCATGACCAGCCCGCCATCTGTACGGTCCCCACGGCATGGGCGCATGCTATCGGATGATATCGAAGCGACTGCTGCGGGTGTGGATACGCATCAACTTATCCGCAACAATAAGTCGTTTTCTGTCCCACGCGTTCTGTTACGAGAAAATGTACGATGAATGACCTGTATCTGTGTTTCTTCTTGTATCATGTTATTCCAAACAGCTTTCTTCATTAGCATGGCGTCAGGGTCTGGTTTTTCTTCTTTCTTCCTTTTCTCTACTGTAATTAAACGGGGATAGATGGCAGGGTCCCCAGGGTTAACATATGGATTTCCAGGTTGAAATCATGAATGAACAAATTCTATGAGCTGCCACGCCGCAAATGCAGTACTGAGTCTCAATTCCCTGATAAATTAGTAATTATTTCCGGTATACGGATCCTGAGAGGTCTCGTCATTGGGCTGGCAGCCATAGCATCTCACACCGCGAAAACTCCAGAGCCAGCCCGGGTCTAGTGCGATCTGGTCCCGTCGGCCGATGCAGAATTGTTCCTGAAGGGTCCTCAACACATAAAGCCAAATGGCCGGTCAACGACATGATTGTAATATATTTGAACTCAGAAATTCGAGACCCTATTAAATAATCCGCCTTTTTCCACTGCTTGTGCTGACCACGATTGCAACCGCTGACTAATGCCACTTGGACGCCTGAAGTAGCTGTGGGATGTGCCAGCCTGGAATGGCGAATGGATTTCTTCCACAGAAGCTCCAGGCGGTGAATTCTGCATCATCATTGAAAGCAAACAAAAGTTCTGTTTCTATGCAACTACGTTAGGCGATGAGAAATCTGAGCTGTCTGGGTGTCTTGGCAACCATTGCGCGTGCTGGAGGAAATATATGTACTATTAATCGAAATATATACGTGATTGGGCAATTTGAATCCTCGTATCACTATTCCAAAAAAAGTCCTGGGGGCTTAAATGAAGAAAGAAAACTCGACAAAATCATGAACTCACTTCCATTATATGAACTCATAGACAATAACTCGCCGGAAAACACTGGCTCTCTCTGTTTGACCTGTCTGTTTGCCGTGTCCAGTTCTCATCCTTTTTTGCCAGATGATAGGTTTTATTGTTTGAAAATTGTGCCTTCAAAGCATGGCCTTTGCTGTTCAGAGAGTCATTACATTCATATGCTCTTCATGTTCTTGCCTTTCCAGGTGGTATCAAATATTCCTTTGATTTAACTAGTTCAGGTCCCTATTCTAGGCTCGAGGAACATATGATCTTCTCCAAAGCTCGGGTCTTCAACCTGACCAGAAGCTTTTGCGGCATACGCAAGTCGTGTGACCTAGGATGAGAGTGGAAACAAAGAAACATCTCACGGGAGATGAATTATGGAGAAAACAAAACGGCGGAAGGAATCTACTTTAAACGAGTAGCCACAATAAATCATATCTTCGGTTCTTATCTTGATACTCATCTCACTCCATGGAAGAGAGCAATCCCAGGCGCTTTTGATTTGAGCTTCTCACATCTACAAAACTGTGAAATTCATCTGTTCAACTGCGTCGAAGCGGCCTGCAGTGATTTTCAGAAGAAAACCAATCCATCAGTGGTTTGATAATTATTCCCTTGGCCATCCTGGACAGAGATCAGACCTTCAAGTCGATGGGTTATATGAGACTGCTGAATTCATCCGTGCCCTGATCACTCAGATGTTTCGAATTTTAGGCGAGGGAGGCTACCAAAAGGTGATTCTGTTGGGCATAAGCTAAGGCTATGCTGCCGCTATTTTTACGCTGTTGGGCGGCTGATCTGATGGCACCGAGACACAATCCCTTGGGATATTTGTAGGGATGAGTGGATGGTTACCATTTGAACAACAGTTATATGATATCTTCGGATGCGACGAGCCCACAGAATTGGCTGAAAATTATGTCTGTGAAGCTCGATCAGATGGCCAGGGCATAAGCGAGAAAACGAGAAAGACAGCAATCCTGATGAGGAATTGGATCCAAATGGCCTTATTGAGTTTGACTTGAAAAAAGATCAATTTCAGCAGCCCAGCCGTTTTCAGGATTAGCTGAATCCATTTGCATATGAGGCCGAAGAAGAGCATCCTCTCATTATCCAAGCTGTTGGCTGCACTCGGGATGTCCTTGATCTTCCTTTGATCCCTGCCAATGATCAATCACCAGAGGACAGTCTGTCATTGTTGAACTTGCCTCAACTTCATACACAGTTTCTCGTTGGTAACGGCACAGAAGATCAGAAGATTTCGATACTCCTCGGTGACAACATGTTTTTCATGCTTTCAAAATTCCTTAAGATGAATGTGACATGGAAGCCCTATCAAGGACTAGGTCATTGGTATCGTGTTGAAGACCAAATTGAGGACATTTTGAAATTTCATGAAGCCCATGTCCGCATTCCACTGTGAACTGGTAATCAGGCCATAGATTCCGGGCACTGAATGTATGTGAAAGCACAGAGTTGCCCGTTCCATATAAACTTTCCTAAACTAAGTAAATGTACTGGGCATTCACAGAGCATTTTCATGAGTTACCTCGTCTTGTTGCATCTGCCTCACACGCTTCATAAATCTATGAGCTTTAATATCCATATTGAGTGATCTAGGTCCTATTTCTGAAGTAAGAAAACCTGCCCTGGTGGGAAATAATCATGCAAAAGACTACGAATGTGTTCGCCACCTGATGCTCGAAGCTCGGACCCGCCCCCGCCCGGCGAAATAGCTCGGAGAAATGCAGATTGCAGAAATCACCTCGAGAAACATCGAGCGGCACTCGTAGCATATGGAACATATTGGAGAAATAGCTTGTTTCTCCGAGTTTGGGCCTTTTTCTTGCACAAGAAACCGTGCTTGGACCCTCTGGGGTCATGGTCACCCTCACAGAATTAGTCAAAATCCATGATCGGCGGGGCAACATTGTCTCCCAAGGCTCTAAACGAACTCCGAAAGTGTAGATGTATCAATTTCACTGGCTGAAAAGATGGCATGACAAAGTGTATCACCACGGTCAGGACTGATCATTATGAAGCGCACGTTGCAGTTCTCTTTAGTAATAATATTTACTCCCACGATTAACAATATAAAAAGGCAAAGTTATCTCACGTTAGGCAATTCTCTCATCTCAAATCCTCCGCTTTCCTATCATCTAAGTGTCTCGAAGTCATTATGGGCTCAATCGATATTCCCAAAACCCAGATGGTCGCACTCGTGAATAGTCTCGGGGGCAAAGTAGAATTCAAAACAGACTACCCGGTACCAGATCCAGGACCGAATGAAGTTCTCGCCAAGGTCCTCTATAGTGGTGTCTGTCAGAGTGGTATGTGTTGCTTCCCGATTCAGGAGAACTGCCATCCAGTCTGCAAAAGCATGACAATAACACTTTCAAATAAGATCTCCACACGAAGGCCGGCACTGCGGCTGGCCCAGATGGTAATCCAATCACGAAGATTAAGCTACCACATGTAGGCGGCCATGAAGGTATCGGCCAAATTGTTGCACTGGGGCCAAACATCACGCACAGTACAGGTCTTAAGCTTGGCGTGTTAGTTGGAATCCGATTTTCGAGTCGAATTTGTCGCCGATGCGAGTTTTGTCTTGCTGGTACAGAACAGTACTGCGTGCAAAGCACGAATCACTTGCACCATGAAGATGGAAGTTTTCAGCAGTATATTGCACTTGATGCGGACTATTTGACAATTCTGCCGGATGATATCGACCCAATGTTGATGGGTCCAGTACTCTGTGCTGGATTAACTGCGTACAAGGTCTGTTATAAACACTGAAAATAAATTAGCTCGTTTAGCTCTCCATTGACTATAGATAGGCAATTTTGAACGCCAACATTCGCCCTGGCAACTGGCTGGTCGTTGTCGGTGCAGGAGGAGGTCTTGGGCACTTGGCAGGTACGGTGGACATACACCCCCGTTTTAGATGTTCGACAAGAATTTTTAACACTCAATTGACACAGTGCAATATGCGAGAGCGCAAGGGGCATTAGTCATTGGAGTTGACACCGGCACTGACAAACGAGGCTTCGTTCTTGGTCTTGGGGCAGAGGAATTCATTGACTTCGCGACCGAGGATCCGGTCAAGAGGGTTCACGAAATCACCGGCTTAGGGGCTCATGCCGCTGTTGTAACGGCAGGTAGCTCCAAAGCTTTCGCTCATGCTTGTGAAATGCTCCGGGTCGGAGGAAGTTTGAGCTGTGTTGGCATTCCTCCGGGCCGACCTTGCCTCGAGACGCCAATATGTATGATTGTGATTAAAGGATTGAGAATCACTGGAAATCTTGTCGGATCTTTAAAGGAATGTATGGAGGCGGTTGATTTGGTACGACGAGGAGTTGTCAAGCCCGTTATCAAGGTGCGCCCGTTCAAGGACCTCCCGGACGTATATGAAAATATGGAGAAGGGCGATATTGCGGGAAGAGTGGTTCTTAAGATTTCCGATTAAAATTCCAGCTTTGGAAGTATAATTCTGGGATGCTTCAATTTTGGAGTGATGTTTCATAACAAATTCAAGGTTTGACCGCCCGCAGGGCTATCCATTTCTTTGCGAATATTGGCAAATACAGAAGAATCTTCACTCATTTGTTTTGACTCAATATTTATGGCATAGCCATCATTTTCTCTTAGTCGATGAGACTGAGGAATATCATGACCCAGGTCTATTGCTAGTAGACGTGCCGGTGCTGTGATAAGAATTTCAGCAGTCTTGGTTCGAAGTATGGAGTTCAAAGCTTCATCATGTTCCAAAAATGGCAGAAGCTTCTGGTATAAAGCATGCAAAAAGTCTTGCGGACGCATTTCAAACCCGCGATTGAAGCTAGCAGAACTTAGAAGAATAGTATCTGCCAAGGAGTTTGTCACTTCGAAACATTTTAAAAGCTAACGCAATTGTCACTCAAAACCTCACTTATGCTCAATCCGGTAATCTTACCTGGTCCCGCCCCAAAGGTAGCAAATCGGCTTCAGAGAACCATTTTAGGGATTGAAGTAGATCGTGACCAACTTGTGCGGGAAACCCGAAAGTCATAATGGTATTCGGCGAGGAGGAAGACAAGAGTCCCTGCGACAAAGCCTCTTGCCATATCATAGTTCTCATCCATTCTCGTGTAATGTGGCAATCTGCCGCCCGGGTTGAGACTTCCGTCTTGATTGGCCCCAGAGCAGATAGCTTAGTTTCCATCATCACAAAGTCCGTGATTGAATTTTCTCCCATATTCGACTTATGTGTCACAGATATATGATCGAAGGCGATGAACAATCTTACCAGGTCAAGAAAACCACGAATATGAATGTTGGTAATAGCACCATTCTCCAGATTCATCAACGACGGTATTCCATTATATGAAGGGGTTACGCCGAGATGCAGTGAATATCCTCTGCTCGATAAATTAGCAGGTATCTGTTAAAATTCATCATGATGGAATTACCTTTCTGAGACCCATAGCAGAGGGAAAATAAGTTCTTTGTTTGAAATGATATCATCATTCAGATCCAGGACGTTGTTGGGTTCTGGAGATGACATATCATCTTCTTCCAGAAACATGCTTTGGGCCATAAAAATAGCCTCTTGTATGTACATCATAGCAGAAGTTCTTTGATTCACCTTCGCATGATAAACATGCAAGAAAAAGAAGGTCAGGATCTTGATCATACTATGAGGTTCTTGATCATCGCAAAAATTGTCTCGAATCCAAAGACATGTATAGGCCATGGTTTTACTATTCACAGCGTTGGAACCATCGATCATTGGAGTGAGGTGTAACTGGGCCATTGTGGCAGCACAAAGTGCTGTCACAAGACAATGCACATTCTTTGAGCTCTGACCCGCATTTTGCGGTTCAATGTCATCAACATAGCCCAATAGCACATCTGAATTCACAATGGGCCATACACTAAAGGAATTTTGGTGATAGAGACGGACAATAGATGCAAGAAATTCTTTTGATATCCGATGGGGGATAATGGCCTTCCCTGCAGCAGAGGCATGGCGTCCATTAACTTGAAAGGCAGAGCCACGCGTGCCTCCTATTTGGCCTCCAAGGTACTCTGGAAATCCGGAGCTAGCATTATTTTCATGATTCTTCGCAGCCAGCTGTCGAATCTTAGGTCCTCTCTTGCGCACTGGCCTCAAGTAAGTACAAGGGACTTGTTTGCTAGCATGACAGCAAGTATCACAAGGCCAAGCGCCGTTGCACTTCACCTTGCGTAAAATGCAGATATCACACGCTCTCTTTGATGGCTTTGACGGCATAGGTGCTGCTGCTGTGATGTTAATTGCGAACAGCAAACTAGAATGCGGAGGCGGAGGGGAAGACATGCACTTCCGGCAAGTTTGCCGACAACAAGAACCCCACCCTCGTGGGGGTTGCCATTCAAGTTGCCTCGGGAGAAAATAGTCAGAAAAAGATCTTATCACTAGCGACAGCTACTACCTATTTACTAACGATGTGTTTTTCTTTTTTTTCTGAAGTTTCAATATTAACAACTATTAATATCATGAGAAGATTAACCAGCGGGAGATTAACAAAATATATTCAAAATGCATTGATGGTCATTGTAATTCCCCTCATAAATGATTCTTCTTATCCTGTTGTACCTATCAAAATACCTGTTAGAAGACTCCGGCTAAAATATAGTAGAAAGAGATCAAAAGGAGAGAACATTGTGTCCAACCACTGTAAATGCACCTGACATCGCTTTTCTTCTTTTTTTTTTCTTTTTCTGTTTCTTTCAAAAGTCTAGTATCTCATTGGTCATTAGAGTCTATTTATCTCCAAGAATTACGCAGCAGAGTCCATATCATTGCACCCATGACCAACTAGAATCTTACGTACCAGCATATACGTATATTTTCTTCTATAAAGAGTCCAAGTACCAAACCAAAGCGCCAATAATAGCAGCAACAGCGTCCATCCTTGAGAGCCAAGATAGAGCCTCGGTGGTAAGGTGTGTTCCTTGCCAATTACAATAAGATGTTTACTCTGTCCTTGAACGTTTTATTATCTTGAGAAACTGGCAAGGGCCAGCGAGATGCCAAGTCCCAAGGCTCCACTGGTGTCCCGCTCTGTTCTCCGATCGGGGCAACCGCCAGCGATATCTGTCAACCATCCAGGCGTCCCTGATAAAGCCGTTGATAAGAGATGGCTTTCACCACTGAAAATTTGCCCACAAAGAAGAGTCCCAGGCATTCCTGTGGGTGGCGTTAGAATGTCTTGAGCTGGAGTGCAGTATAAAAAGAATGTAAAACCTACGCGACGAACTTTTTGAGCCGTGTTTCCCTGACTCTGAAACATTCCGCCATGGAATCACTACACCCACTCGACGCGGATAATAGAGACCAAAAGATCGACACTGATACTCAGTCCAATAAAGCGCAGGGGTCAATTGAGGCTGTGGAAGCCAAAGAGCATCCAACTACTCGTGGTCTCTCCTCTCGTCATGCCCAATTTATTGCACTTGGAGGTACTATTGGTACAGGATTATTTGTGAGCTCAGGTCAAACATTGGCAACGGGCGGGCCGGCTTTCTTGGTTGGAAGCTATGTATTCATGTCGGCCTTGGTATATCTAGTTCTCGTGTCTATTACCGAAATTTCCGCCTATTTGCCTTTGTCTGGTGGGGCTATGAACTATTATGGGAGTCGCTATGTGTCATCCAGTCTGGGGTTCATGATGGGATGGCTATATTTCTATTCTTTCGCAATCTTCGTTCCATTTGAGCTGACTTCGTCGGCGATGGTCATCAATTATTGGAACCCAGGTTTTAATAATGCGGTCTGGATCACAATCATGCTTCTTCTCGTCGTCGGTCTCAATCTACTGCCTGTTCGATTTTATGGCGAATCTGAGTTTTGGTTCGCAAGCATCAAGGTTTTGCTTATTATCGGCCTCATTATCCTCTCCTTCATTCTGTTCTGGGGAGGTGGACCGAATCATCAACGCCTCGGGTTTCACTACTGGAAAGACCCGGGGGCGGCCAATACACTGATTGTGGGCGGGGATTCTGGAAGGTTTGTGGCTTTGTTAGCCACCATTATCAGCAGTGTTCTTCCGTTCACCTTTTCGCCCGAAATGATCGTTGTCACTGCGGGTGAAATCCAGTCTCCGAGAAAAAACCTTCCACGAATTGCCCGAAACTTCTTTTGGCGTCTGATCGTGTTCTACATTGGGGGCACTGTCGCAATTTCTGTCATCTGCCCTTCTAATGCCTCCTCGCTGACCAGTGGTGGAACGGGAGCTGCATCTTCTCCATGGGTTGTTGGCATTCGAAATGCTGGGATCGCCGGTCTCGATAGTGTCATTAACGCCGGAATCATCACAGCGGCATGGTCTTCTGGGAACTCATTCTTATACCTGGCGAGTAGATCGCTATACTCTATGGCTCTTGAAGGCAACGCCCCTCGAATCTTCAAGAAATGTACCAAGCAAGGGGTCCCGATTTATGCTGTCGCGACAAGCTCGCTTTTTTCATTACTGGCCTACATGAATGTTAATTCCTCTTCGGCTGATGTGTTCGATTGGCTGATGAATCTCGTTAATACCGGAGGTTTCATTTCATGGGTCTGCTGCGCAATCGTCTATATAAGATTCCGCAAAGCTTGTGACACCCAGAAATTGCCAGCAGAACGCTTTGTTGCTCGGTCGGCTTTGCAGCCGATTGGGTCATGGATCACTTTGGTGATGTTTATCTTGCTCTGCTTGCTAAATGGATTCACGGTGTTCTTCCCTTCGCAGTGGTCCACTGCGGATTTTCTCTCCTCATACATTGGCCTTCCGCTGTTTGTGGCGATTTATCTGGGGCACAGGTTTTGGCATCATTGGGAGCCATGGGCAATTGACTCTCATTTAGTTGACTTACACAGCGGGCTAGAGGAGATTAAAGAGGATGAAGTGACAACTATTCCTCAAGAATCATTGGTTGAGAGGCTTCAAGGTTTAAGAAGGCTCGTTTCTCGCTACTGGCCATCACGCTCTACTACGATAAAAGATGAAAGTATTTGAGCTCCCTCGATGCTTAGCCAGATGATTAGAGAGAAAGAAAATGGGCTTTCAAAAATAATACTATATCAAAGCAAGGCCTATTCTGCTGTTAGTTTAAAATTCAATCCTGCTCCACGGTTTTTGGCAATGAGAGCATCCGATGCGATACGAATAGAGAGAGTCGCTAGCAACAGTCCTCGTTTAACCGGGCATGATTATCCAATCACTGGAAGCAGATGTCAATAATATCCTACTGGTAATTGTTTATGCATTATTGCTCAAGAATGAACAAGAAGCTCCGACGGGATTTTCTGATAACACGGCTTTTCAAGCCAATGGTGGATTTCTCCACAACCCCCTCAGCCGACGCAACCTAGTGCCTTCATCCCAAAAGTACGTGGCTTCCGTCCCCCGCACCAGTCACTTGTTATCATATGCGATCGCAGGATCACGAATGACCCCTCACGCACCTTGATCGCGGAAACAACTACTCTAGATTCCGCTCCATGTACCTAAAGTTATTAATACGAATGGAAAATGCCTGTGAACAACTTTGACACAACATACGGCAATCTTTAGTCAGGATATCCTCTTATAAAATAGCACGCAAATCCCCCAACCCCCCAGGCCCATTTCTTGCAAAGCGGAAATTAGCATCCTTCCCACGCCGCATATATTCATTCCTTGTCTATCATGTCTATGCTGACTATTACGCCAACAGAGACAATATGGGGTCATGGAATCGGCCTTAGCTCCGGTCAACGCGAGCCACAGTATGAACTTTTGACGCCATTTGAGTCAATGCCTGAAAAAATGACAGGCCGGACTGTATGGACCAAAGAGGATCTTGAAAAGAACGAATCTCACTGGATTCGGCCATTCTCCCCAGAGGAGGTACTCCACATTGAAGCGGCGATCAAAGATGCCGAGAGCAAGAACTTACAGCTGTCGGAGATTGACCAGTCATCCTTTCCACTGCCTCCTGAATTCAAGGCTTCTCTCGCTGAAGTCCGAGATGAGCTCATCAATGGGATTGGGTTTTGTGTCCTCCGCGGCCTTCCCGTTCGGTCCTGGACCACTCGCCAAGCTTCAATTGCGTACCTAGGCCTCGGCTCCTACATCGGACGTCGAATCAGTCAGAATCGTCATGGGCATATGCTTGGTCACGTCAAGGATTTGGAAGAGGGGAAGGAAGTCAATGGAGAGGGCAGACTCTATCGTACTCATCAAGCACAAACCTTCCACTCGGACGAGAGCGACATTGTTGGCCTTCTCTGTTTACGCCAGGCTATGGAGGGCGGAGAATCCCAGGTCGTCTCCACTCATAATATCTATAATGTCCTCCGACGCGAAAGACCAGACATTCTGCGGCAGATGTGCCAAGTTCAGTGGTTCTACGATCGCAAGGGCGAAATCAATGATGGAGAGAAAGAATGGATGAATACACCAGGATATTACTACTACAAGGGAAAGCTGAGCATGAAATGGGATTCATACTATGTGGGTGCTCTGCAGCGATTCTGGGAGGCTGGCCTGCTTCCACAATATACGGATGCTCAACGCGAGGCCATCCGGGTGATGGAGGACACTTGTCATCGCCTGTGCCTCGAGATGACGCTACAATGTGGCGACATCCAATTCGTTACAAATACCCATAACTTGCATGCCCGATCGGCCTACAAGGACGACAATAACATTGACGAAAAACGCTGGCTACAACGACTCTGGCTTGCAACTTGTGAGGAGGAAGGTGGATGGCCACTGCCATTCGCTGACTCCTGCTATAATAAGAGGGGAGGTGTCCAGGTCAATCTCACTCCTGAATCCTATCCTCTCGAAGCGGAATGACAAACTAGGAAGATTGCGACTCTCCGAGACAAGCGCTTCGTCGCTCGTTTTCATCTTTCCAAGACCCTTTTTTCTGGCACGAAGTTTGCCACTTGCTACACACAAAGCGTCTTGGCTCATTATATTGGCATGAATGACTAGAACGCAGATAATTAGGTAGCTGGATCACAAAGTCTTGAGTTTAATTCCAACTTGTAATGTGGTACAATGAATGGGCTTACACAAAATAAGTATGCTAGGGTCTTTATCGATTAAATCCCCAACGAGTGTCTTTTTAAGAATTGAACACACTTAAATTGCAAAGGGGAATAAAAGGTAAATTCCTAGAATTCTAGAACAAATGGGCGCCGCGAAGTTCCATCCGCGGTCCCACGAGAGCTCCATAGCTCCACCCTCCAAGCAAAGGAAGGTCCATCCTATCTCCGACGTCACCGGAAGCATCCCGCACACCCCACTCTTCCCTCTTCATTCACACCCTCCTCGTTGACTCACTTCCCTCCTCCTTCTCTGCAAGAACAAACACCTCAATTCCTTCACAATGGCTCTTTCTGCACCTAGTACCGATGTGAGTATTACGCTGCGCCTAACTCACTTCAATCCAATGGCCCTAGGGCTAACATTCAATCTCAGCCAGCAGTTCTGATCGCTCAAGAAACCAGCGATGAGTACATCTTCCGTACTTTTACCAGTGAGACTGCCTGGACCCTGGGCACCGCTCTCCGTGAACGCCTTCTTTCCCTGCCCTCTAATCAGCGCAAACCGGCCCTGATCTCCATCGCTCTGGCCACGGCCACCAGCGGAGGAACCCCGCTCCATGTCGTTTTCCAGAGTGCGACAGAAAATGGGACGATTCCCGATAATGAGAACTGGGTGCGGCGGAAGCGGAACACCGTTCTTCGCTGGGGTGTGTCGAGCTGGGCTATGCGCATGAAGACGGTGTCCGGGCTGGCGACCGGCGCAACAGCCAATGAAATCGAAGAGGCGTTTGTCAAAAAATATGCCCTGGCCAGCTCCAATGGTGGGGCCGTCGCAGATGAGTATGCTATTCACGGTGGTGGGTTCCCCATACGTGTGCGCGGGGTGGAGGGCATTGTCGCGGTGGTGGTTGTCAGCGGCCTCAAACAGGAGGACGATCATGCGGTGGTAGCCGAGACGATCAAGGAGATTATCGCGCAAGGAAATTAGGTTTTAGTCGGGGCTATGTGATGAAATGTGATAGGTCAGATGTTTGGATGCATAGCTTGGTGTTCACACTGGGGGAAAGCCGGGACCTTACATCGGCTATACATGGCGCTTCGGGCATATCATGACGACCGTGACCTTGCCGAACGGCGAATACATTTGGATATCTGTGTCAAATAACAAACAATCCACCCTTCTATGCAACATAATTGGACACTGGGGCTATAATGCGTGCGTTATTTCCAAAATTGAATGCCAGCGCTTAGTGACTCATTCGCTGTTGGAAAACGCCTATATAGATGATCGCACGCATAGACACGGATCCGCACAGCCACAGGCCCCTCTCAAATGCCCCAGATTCGTTATACCTAACCGGCCTGAAAGTGCTGGCTCACCCTTTTAAAAATCTGTCGGACCTCCTACTAGTCTCCATGGTATTCGATCCGACAATGGACTCATCACTGCTGCTAGAAAAGCTCCCCGCGGAGATCCTAGATCAGATCATTGGGGCCATCCGCAACAAGCAGGACCTCAGATCGATGCGCAAAACATGTCGTGCGATCAACAATTTGGCCCAGCGGTGGAGATACCACGACACATACATTGATATGGAGGGCTTTCTCCGCAGATTGAAATATAATGATCTCAAGCGTTTTCGGGAGCACCTCAAAGAGAACGGTCATCTCATACGGGAAGTCTACGTGCGCGGAGAGAGAATTGCTCCTGCGTGTGGTATGCTGAATACATTCAATGTTGCTCCATTCCTGGAGAAACTTCCCAATATGCGAAAGCTGGAGATCAGTGGCGGATGCGGCTCGGAGTCTATTGCAGATACTATTCAAGAATACATCATGACGCGCAGCGACAAAAAAGATCATATGTATACCGTTCTCGAGCGAGCGAGTCTTCTCACACCACCACGAGAGAGGGCTCTTCAAAGCCTTCGTTCACGTAAGTCCTTTGCTTTTTACCTCAGAGTCTATAGATTTGCAGGACATGCGAAGCTATGGACCTCCCTATTTGGTTTATACTAAACTGCATAGTGACCCTCAACCTAATCGTAGGTCTTAGCTCCGACTCTGGTTCTGACTGGCATCTGGACGAGATTGGTTTTGTCTTTCTAATCGAGAACCTAGAAGACTTAACACTGAGCCGAGTAAATCTCGGCCCATCCGATCCTGAAATACCTCTTGAAGAACCACTGAACCTGGAACAGTTTCGAGGGAGAACAAATCTCCGTCGTTTGACAATCACGGAATCCCATATCAACCTCGAGTGTCTGGAGAAGGTTCTCACTTTCCCGCGTGCTTTGACACATCTCAAACTTGACCATAGAAAACCTATTCTTTCCGACTGGGAAGATGAGCAACTCGAAGACTGGGAAAAAAAGCCATACACACCCGATGACCTCCACCGTGCGATTGGACAACAGCGCTTCTCACTTGCGAGCCTAGAAATCAAAGGTTGGGATCTAGGGTATTTGACCAAACTGGAGTCTCATCTTTCCGATTTTCCAACTCTATGGGAATACATCGGGTGGAAAGAAGCTCCACTTGGAGAGCTCGCGGAGTTTCCTTTTCTGGGAGAATATTCTGGATGGAAGCAAGAGCCTCCTGAATTTAAACCGGACCGACGAGTCAGGGGTCAGCAGTTGGGGATCAAACAGAAGCAATACAGGGGCGGGAAATTTTATGGAAGCATTTGAATTCTCATGCGCATTATATACCCATTGTTTTACAACTAGCATCGCATGATCTCATTGCATTTTCAAGGACGTGTTATGAGCATATCCGACTAACCGTAGCCTTAGCCCTGATCAACTATCAACTACAGCGAGGAAAAGAGGAATAGTTTGTATGCAGAAGGTATCATGGTATTTGGGAGCCGGTTGAATCTGAACCAGGCTCAAGCAACGGGGGCAACCCGTGCTAGATCTTTAGTAAGACTAGGACACACAAAAAAAAGCAAACAAATAAAGAAAACTCCAGGGGTAATGCCTCAAAGATAATTTTACAGTTCATCGTGGTCCATGGGCTCGTCATCCTCCGCGGGAGCACCAGAGCCGTAAAGCTTGCTGGTGATCGGGTAGGCGACGCTGGACAGCTGCTCCTTCTGCTCCTCGAAGTCCTCGGCGGTAGCAGAGGCGGCGTTGTCCTCAAGCCAGTCGACGGCCTCCTTGACAGCGTCCAGGATGGTCTGCTTGTCGTCCTCGTCGATCTGACCGCCAAGGCCGTTCTCATCGTTGACCTGGTTCTTGAGGCTGAAGGCATAGTTCTCCAGGCCGTTGCGGGCCTCGATCTTGGCCTTCATGGCCTTGTCCTCCTCGGCAAACTCCTCAGCTTCAGCAACCATGCGGTCAATCTCCTCCTGGGAGAGACGGCCCTTGTCGTTGGTGATGGTGATGGACTCAGCCTTACCGGTGCCCTTGTCGCTGGCGCTGACCTTCAGGATGCCGTTAGCGTCCAGGTCGAAGGCGACCTCGATCTGAGGAACGCCGCGAGGAGCCGGGGGAATGCCAGTAAGCTCGAACTTGCCGAGCTGGTTGTTGTCCTTAGTCATCGAACGTTCACCCTCGAAGACCTGGATCAACACGGTGGGCTGGTTGTCGGCCGCAGTAGAGAAGATCTGCGACTTGCGAGTAGGAATGACGGAGTTACGGGGGATAAGCTTGGTCATGACACCGCCAGTAGTCTCGATACCCAGGGTAAGGGGGTTGACATCCATGAGTACGACCTCAGAGAGAGTCTCATCACCACCAAGAACACCAGCCTGAACGGCAGCACCGAAAGCAACAGCCTCATCGGGGTTGATACCCTTGCTAGCTTTCTTGCCACCGAAGTACTCCTCCAGAAGAGCCTGGACCTTGGGGATACGGGTAGAACCACCAACAAGAACGATGTCATCAACCTCGGACTTCTTGACCTTGGCGTCCTTGAGCACCTGCTCAACGGGCTTCAGAGTCTTCTTGAAGAGATCGACGTTCAGCTCCTCGAACTTGGCGCGGGTAAGGGTCTCAGAGAAGTCCTCGCCGTTGTGGAAAGCTTCAATCTCAATGCGAGTCGACATCTGGGAAGACAGAGTACGCTTGGCCTTCTCAACCTCGCGCTTCAGCTTACCCATCGCCTTCAGATCCTTGGTAACGTCAACATTGTTCTTCTTGTTGTACTGCTTGACGAAGTAGTCCATGACACGGTGGTCAAAGTCCTCACCACCGAGGTGGGTGTCACCAGCGGTAGCCAAGACCTCGAAAATACCATTGTCGATAGAGAGAAGAGAGACATCGAAAGTACCACCACCAAGATCGTACACAATGACCTGGCGCTCGTCACCAGTCTTGTCCAGACCGTAGGCGATAGCGGCGGCGGTGGGCTCATTGACGACACGGAGGACATTGAGACCGGCGATAGTACCAGCATCCTTGGTGGCCTGACGCTGGGCGTCGTTGAAGTAGGCGGGGACAGTGACAACGGCGTGAGTGACGGCCTTGCCCAGGTAGCCCTCAGCGATATCCTTCATCTTCTCCAAGACCATGGCGGAAATCTGTTCGGGAGTGAAGGTCTTGGGGGTCTTGTTGACGTCGACCTTGACCATCGGCTTGCCATCCTTGTTGACAACCTTGAAGGGGAAGTTCTTGGTGTCCTTCTGGATGTCCTTATCGTCGAACTTGCGGCCAATCATTCGCCTATGAGAGAGATGTTAATTTTTTTTTTCTTCTTTTTCTTCTCCTTCACGCCACATGGGCACAAAACTTACTTAACGTCAAAGACAGTGCGAGTAGGGTTAGCGGCGTATTGGTTCTTCGCGGCGTCACCGACCAGACGCTCCTCATCGGTGAAAGCCACATAGGAGGGAGTAATACGGTTTCCTTGGTCGTTGACGAGAATCTCGACCTTGCCGTTCTGCATCACACCAACACAACTGTAGGAAAGCGCGAGTTAGTCGAAATCAATCACAGCCATGTCCCCAGTAGAACAGCAGAGCCGTCACGTACGAGTAAGTAGTTCCCAAGTCAATACCAATCACAGTGCCATAGTTCTCCACGGAGTCCTCCTCGGCGTGGGCGGTCGTGCCGAAGAGCGCCAGGGGCGCAATCAGGACAAGAAGCAGGTAAAAAACGGTGGTCCAGGTGAAGCCCTTGGACGCGCCGTCGCGAGAGGCAAGTCGCGCCATTGTGAGTGAATATATGTAGATTGCGAGGGAGCGGCAAAACAAAAGAAGCAATCACAGGTCGGGGATCAGTCCTCTCCAGCAGGACGAAGAGGCCAATGAAAAATATGCCGAATCCGAAAGCTTCAAAGGCGAGGTCGGAAGTCAATACCGAAAGGCCGAGACTTTAAAAAAAAAAACCCTCAAGATTGGTGACTAGGCGGGAGGGACCCGGGAGGGAGGGGAATGGAGAAGGGGAAAGAGAGAAGAGACGAACGACAGGGCCATTTGTATGGAAACGAAGGGACTGGCTTCGCGCAGCGGCCATGCTGGCCTTTTCCCAGAGGTCACTCCTCGCATTCTGATTGGCTCAGAGGCGGGCTGCAGGAGCTGACTCAGCCGCAGTCAGGGCCCGTCGGGGAACGATGGTCACCGCCTTCCCGATATAGATGTCCACTAACCCAAATCGGGAAAGGACGATAGACCCCTGGCCGCAGAAGGCGCGCGTCGTCCACCAATCAAAAGCGGCCACCGGTGTCGAAGTTACTAGAAGCAGCTAAGCGTACGTGCCCTCGACTGAAGCGGGTTCCAGCCAAGACACGTTTCAATATCGAGGGAACCAGACAAGTGGCCTGTACCACGTCTATGGCTCACAGTAGTCGAGGCAAATGGAAGAAAATTATCCGTATTCCCATGAGTCATGTCTGATGGCCCCAGATGGCAAAATCCTTTCGCCACTTGCGAGAAGTGGAATCTGAATATGTGGTCGATCATGAAGCATGGGGGTTCTTAGATCCTGGACCAGGGGGAGAGAGATCTACCGAGCCTCACAAGACCGGGGGTCAAAGTATGTATAGAAAAGTATGCACGTCGTATAGGGGCCAGGAACCAGGGGCTCGGAGGGGTTCAAGAGACAGAGTCTGAAATAGTATATTTCTAAATTTTTACCAAGGAGGGCATGATGGGATTCTTGCCCACAAGGGCCGTTGATATGCAGGTATAATCTGTACACGTATACAGTTCAAGATGGATGCTTGACCTGGGAATCCAGGCTGCTATTCCAATAGTCCCGCAGCCACGGTCGATCCCCCCGTGCGGAGGACAATGCGAGTCGGCGCCTCCAAGGGCACAGCCTGGTCCATCTCCACCACGACGCGCGCCACCGTCCCCGGGGCCACGATCTTTGGCCGTTTCTTTATTGCCGCCCCGGAGGCCTTATCCAGGGAAGCCACGATCTTAGCGATTCGGCCAGGCACATGCAGACGACCGCGATGAATGTCCACGAGCATGGGCATGAGATGCTCAAAGGCAAGGACCTTTGCGGTGAAACTGGTGATGGTCTGAATAGGAGCTGAAGCGCGGCAGATCACGTCGCCAGAACGCAGGTGAACGGGGTCAATGTTCGCCAGGGTTCAGCACCACGTTCTGACCCGCGACTGCCCAGTCGTTGGGCGCGCTGTCTACCTCAATGCTGCGGACTAAGGCTGTTTCCCCACTGGGCATCGTGAGAATCTGGTCGCCCACCTGTAAACTACCGGCGTCGATCCGTCCCGAAATGGAAATGGGGTTCTGCACGCCGCCCCGGAAGACATCGCCAATCGTCATGCGGAGCGGCTTGTCGAGCGCATACGCATACGGTTCTGACGTCTCGAGTTCTTCAATCAAGGTCCGGCCGCTGTACCACGATGCTTCAGGGGCTGTGCTACGTCGGGTGATATTGTCTCCCAGGACGCCCGAACAGGGCACGAACGAGATGTTCGTGGGTTGGAAGCCAGCGGTCGTCAAGAATGAAGAAACTTGCTGTTCAATCTCTTCGAACCGGCCCTTCTCCCATTTCACCGCATCCATTTTGTTAATGGCAACAATGATCCGCTGGACTCCCATGCTGCGCACCAGCAGAGCGTGTTCCTTCGTTTGACCCTTCAAACCAGACTCGAATTTGCCCACGCTAGAATCAATCACCAGCACCGCAAAATCGGCCTGGCTGGCACCCGCAATCATGTTGGGGACAAAGTCACGATGGCCAGGGGCATCGACAATGGTAAATGCAGTGGTCTCGGTCTCGAAGTTGTTCGTGGCAATGTCAATAGTGACACCACGAGCGCGCTCTTCGGAGCCCTGGTCCAACACCCACGCTAGGGCAAAGGACCCCTTCCCGATCTTTTCAGCCTCTTTTCGATACTTGTCTAACGTGCGTTGGTCTATCGCTCCTTGGTCTGCTAACAACCGACCCATCAGTGTACTTTTCCCAGCGTCGACATGCCCTAGATATTGGTCAGTTGATTCGCCGGTCTAATCGCTCAGGTAGAACCCACCAATAACCACAAAGTTCGCCGACTTCTTCCGTTTAGACTTGTTGTATTCAGCGATGACGTCCAGGTTCTTGCTCTTGACAGTCACTTTCTCTTCCACGGAGAGATCCTTCATGCCTCCAGCAAGATCACCTTTCTTATCCGCCACCTTGGTGGCTGCGGGTTTAGATTTGAATCCTAGACGTTATTAGGCGAGCGGCTTTTTAAACCTTTCTGCGGATCGCCAAACCTTTTGCTGTATTTTGCGCATTCAGCACCATATCATCCGGGCTGGGGCCTGCAAAGTCAAAAGGTTCAGCGTGGTCCTGTCCGTAGATCTTGAGTAGATCCATGTGGTTTGAATCCAAGTGGCTAGGCTCGGCCACGGTCGGCCCTTTTGCATTCCCAAGGATGACGCTAGCAAACATGGAAGGCGAGGCGCGCATATCAGGGGCCTGCGGCTCGGGCTCAGGCTGGTTATTTTCTTCCTCTTCAGTTGTTTCAGGTTGAGGTGGCGGAGTTATCTCGTGGGTCTCCGGTGGAATGTGTTTGACAGTTGGTATCGGTGTAGACGTGCCTGATTTCCCCAATCGTCGCAGAGTCCCATTCGCTTCAGCGGCTTTCCTGGGTTTACTGGCAGCCAATCTCTGACTTAGGGATAATGGAGTCCCCTGAAGCTTTGGTGAAGGTGCTTCTGCACAATCAGGCTGCAGTGTTGCCGCGGCTTTTTCGCCTTCCTTCTTCTTCCTCGCTGCAGCCAGCGCCGCGAGCTTGGACACTTTGCCGCCAGCTTCGGGGGCACCACCCAGAAGACCAAGTCGAGGGTATACAGGCTCGACCAGGATATCAGCCTTGCGGTGCGCAGGAACATTGAGCCAGGGACAATCACGAAAGAAATCTGCGGCGGAGAAATGCGCTATCGAAGATGGGGGCGCTGGGTATGCCGGCACTGAGAAACCTGTTAGAACAGTGGCCAAACTTCGCGGTGGTGTCAGTTTGAAGTCTTTGAGCGATCGGATGCCAGGTTTAAAGTAACAGGGGACCTCGATTACACACCTTGAAGACCTTGTCGCCATCAATTGCGAGGCTTGAAACGCTTGTGACGGAGTTTTCCCGAGCCCAGCCACAACTCAATCCACGAATATAATAGAACGATGCTACTTACCAGATTGACCCTTGTGCTTTGGTGTCGCAATCGGGGCTTGATGATTTCTTATCTCCTTTTCCTTCTTGCCTGCCCGCATCGAGTTCTTCAATTAGCCTCATTCTGAGTCATCTCGTGGCCTTTGGATACGTTCGAGTATAACTCTCTATGCCCGTATAGATTGAATAGGGATCAGACATACCCCTCAAGTAGTTCACCGACTTTTCTATATCGTTATAGTAGTGCCAAAGAGCTTCCTGAACTTCCTCCTTCGTCGCCGTTATCGACGGCAGCCCCGCGCGGAGCTGTTGCAAGACCGCCGCAGTGCACTGCTGCAGGAACTCCTGCTCGTCGGGATCAGGGGACTCATATTCATCATCGTCGTAGTAGTCATCGTCATCATAGCCAACATTTTTCACGCGATGTCTCGACATGAAGGGCGAGAATTCGCTGGCGCGGGGGGGGAAAGGTGATCGCGATTTGGCGGCGAAGAGGAGGGGGGCTCGGGGTGGGGTAGCGAAGCAGGTGAATGAGTACAATGCAGGACCTAGAAACAAAGAGGAGAAAAATTTACAGGGGTGATGATTGACGAATGAGAGGCAGAATCTGAGGGTGATTCTCAGTTGGAGGGGGTTGTTGAAGATGAGAGCGCAGGCGGGTGTTCGTTGGGTCGAAGCGGTGCGGCCCACGTCATTCCCCACCGGCACTACACTGACGGGTCTTGGACTCGAAGGACTAAGTGTGCTTCGTATGAAAGCTGCCATCCCTCGCTCAACAGATTAACAGTTCATGAATACAGCCCCCTCCCCCCCCGCCCAGCGGCCTTCAGAAGGCTGACAGGGTGCATCATTTTGGCCCATGGAAGGTGTACTCACCAGTCTCCAGACCCCGAGAATCCAAACCAGGACACAAATACGCCCAGCCAGTGTCATAAGATATGTGGGATTAAATTTCACAGAAAACACAGGGTGTGTATGTGGAGCTTGTTTCAACCAAAATACAATAGTTGTTGTATGTTTCATTTCATCTTGATCAGGTCAAAAGGTCATAGAAGCTGATCTTCGGCTCGCGTTGCTCAAATGGAGCAACAGACCTGGTGTTCTTCAGAGTGTTGGCAAATTCAGATCGATCTTATTCTACCCTCTTCACCTTCTCTCCAATCATGCATTAGCCTCACTTTTTCACGTTTAAACATACAGAGATATTCAATGTTTAGCTGGCTGTCCGCCATTCTCATCTTCCACCGCAGTACAAACAGAAGAGATTTACTTTACCCAATCTCGCGTCGATATAGACTATTACCACCTTTCTTCTCCCTTCTCTTGAGCGTAAGTCAATGACTGCTTATATACTCCCAATGGTCTTTGTAACGACTTTCATATCCGTCGTAGACACTCGTACCCAACAGATAATTCCAAATACCTAACTAAATTCAACTTTGACCAGTATACATAACCTAGAGGTAGCCTTAAAATCCTGGTTGTGTCGCAAGAAAGCCAACAACAACACCTGAAGGCTTCCTCATTTCTTATGCTGAAAGTCCCAGTGTTATTTCTGACTCTAGGAAGTCCCGCCTGTGAGCCTAGTGCTAGACCAGTAATAGATCATCACCTGCGACCGACTGACAATTAGTATATGGCAGGCCCTCCGCTCTTGGTATAGATACTAGATAATTGCTCAATTCAGCTAGACAGGAACGCTATCAAATATAGTGACAGAATTCTCAAAGCAGATTGCATGACATTAAGTCGTACGAATATAAGATTTCACCATCCAATATTATATGTAAAGAGGTTTGGGGAAAGATTGATAAGTTCTAGATATTGCGGTGGGGAAACAGCCTACAATAGCATGTGCCTGATCAGAGGATGTCTTTCATTTTACACAATCTTTACAGATATAGCATCACATCTCTGATAGGGAGAAATATCACCCCGCTGCTCTTCACGCTCAGACAGCGTCTGTTTCCTCTTTTGGAGGCCGCCCTTCATCGTGGTGTGTGGTGGTGTGTTGGCTGATCCGTCTCACCCTGCCTGCATTTCAGGCTTGCTTTAGAGCGCTCTGGTTCAGTATTTTGGTCCATCGGCAAGCGGGTCATCCGAGTGTAAATTTTGTATTGCATCAGTTTCGCAGCTGCTGTTTGCACAAGGCGCATATCTATCGGACTACGGAATCGTTGGGTGAGGAGTGGTCCTGACTTCAATGATAGACAACTCTAATTTCAGACGTTTATCTTGGAATAACTAGCCTGTCACTTTGTATGGAATATAGGAGAAAGAAAGATATTGTGAAGCGTTTGGTCGAAGGTAATGTATCGAGAGCCGTTAGTAGAAGCTTCCAGTTCAACGCTCACGTATCGTATTGTTGCACTATACCACGAAAGATCTAACAGCACTGGTGACTGCCGTGCACACACACTGCGGTGCGCTACCTTGCTGGCCTCGACCTACCGAAATTAAAGCAGGATTGAGTCATAAGTTACTGTTGTTACGGGTACCCGTTTTGGTCGCTGGGTCGGGTTCTTAAAAGAGGACCACGGGTTTGCTGACTAAGACCCGAACCGGCCCATGGGCAAGGTTTGGGTTCTGGTGAGGCCTAGCTCGGGGACATCCTGGGAGCTTGGTAGCCACTCCTGCACTTCCTACGTTTAACCTTGGGTAGGGAATCTATCTTGGATGAGCTTCCTATTACACACCGCTTAGTTCCACATTAGGTGGTCATCCATTTTATACTTCGATGGAAATCTAGACCATCTCGATCCATAAATGACTTTCCCTAAGAGAACCTTAAAAGTATGCATCATCGGGGCTTAAAGTGTCTACATTTCTTTCATTAAATTTATTTCATGAAGCTGTGGCGAAGGCCGTAGACAATGACCTTTAGGTTTGACGTTTGCGGTATTGAGGAATGTCGAAAAGCTATACGCCAACTAGATGAATCCGATAGCCAAAGTCAAGCCTTATGATGGTGACGTCAATACCTGTGAAGCAATAATAAGTATAAAAATATAGACCCTGAATCGTCTAGCTAACTATTGATGCTATTGTATATCATGTCTCATATTATTTATTACCAGGCATTGCCATTACTATCCAAGTCCCACACCATCCTCTCCGCTTACCTCCCGCCTCTCGGCAATATAGCTGGCCTTCTGACGTATTGTCATCTGGTTGCTCACAGTTGAGAGAGTGCTGCTTTGAACAAGAACTAGTGGCCATGGCATCGTCTACCGCCGAACAAGCGCCGGTTAAACTTCTTGCGATAGATGGCGGAGGGGTTCGGGGGCTTTCTGCCTTGGTTCTTCTGGAGCAGGTGATAGATATATCAAATAAAGAGCGCGAAAAACGGAACCTTCCGCCTCAGGAGCCATGGGAAATGTTTGATATGATTGGAGGAACTAGCACAGGAGGGTTAGTTTCCCTGATATAGCTTTCCCCGCTAGATCAGAGCTCAATACTCTTAGCCTGATTGCGGTTATGCTTGGACGATTGCGAATGTCTATCAAAGACTGCAAGGCCGCATACGAGAACCTCGCACAACGTGCCTTCACAGAGAAAAATTTTATAGGTCGAGTGAAAGGCACGGTTACCGTCGGACCTCAATTCGAAACTCAGCCTCTAGAGGATGCTATCAAATCAATCATTGGTGACGAATGGGAAACAATGCTCTTTAATGAGGTTAACATTGGCTGTCGAGTGTAAGCTGTTTGCCAATTCAGCTAGGCAAAGCCTACCGATACTGTACTAAAAGCCAATAGCTTTGTCGTAGCTCACCTTCAAGAAAGCAATGAAGTAGCGATATTAAGAAATTATCGAAACTTTTTTCGATCGAAGGCTGAGTCAGATATACTCCTACCTCGTTAATCTCGCCTGAAAAGTAACTCAGATCTTTTTGTTCAGGCTCGAAACGATGCATATCTGGCAAGCCTGCCGGGCGACATCAGCGGCGCTAACATACTTCAAGCCGATCAAGGTTGATGGCAACACATATTCTGATGGTGGCCTTCTGTACAACAACCCTGTTCAACTTCTTCATAGCGAGGCAAGTGAAGTGTTCGAGGGAAGAGATCAACTCATCGTCAGTGTTGGGACTGGCCTTGAGAAAATTATGAAATGGCAACCGTCTCTTGCCACGGTCGCCGAGGACTTAGCCCGTCTCGCAACAGAAACGGAAAGAACTGCCGATGATTTCTACAGAAGAAATGGAGCAGAGGCTGCGAAAGCTGGCAGATATTTTCGTTTCAATGTACCTGGGCTTGGCGACATAGGACTCGAGGAGTCTGGGCAGTTGCGTCACATAAAGCGATTGACTGATCGCTATATAAATCAAGCGGAAGTGGGTTATAAGGTCGACTCCTGTGCTAAGCAACTCACACAAGGTGTGTGCGCTCTGCTCGATGTTCCTACGCCCCTTCAAGATTTACCAAACAAAGATTCAAGATCCCGGGCCAACGATCTAGAGGAACGATTGCAGAAGCTGAAGGAATCTTAATATGTGCTAATCCGGTCTCTAATCTGGAATCAACGTTGAATTCTTCACGGTCACTGCTGATTGAAGAAATACCTAGACACGCCAATCCTCCAACCAACCCCCCAGCCAATCCCCCCATCAATCCCAGCAGTTGAAGCAGGAAAGATTTACCGCCTCTCTATTACTGATGATGAGACCCTGACAGTTGTGAATCTCGACGGAGATGTGAAGCTGAGACCTCGAAATGACGAACACTCGCAGAAATGGAAAGTCGAAACAGCCGACAAGGGGACTTTTGGATTTAGGAACATGTATAACGGGGGGTTACTGGGGGTTAATGGGGGTGGCTGGGTTGGAGCTGGTACGTATGAGCTCGGAGGATGGGAGAAGTTCTTTTTGATTCCTGCTCAGCACGGGCATCGATTTATAGTTGCTCAGTGGTGGAAATTCCAAAGACTACCTCTCATGCAGTTGGCGGATTACCTAGAAGTGCCACGTCTCTTTGGCCTCGGTGGCAGCGGTGGTAGACATGCTACTATTATTATTACTGAAATCAGAGGTTGAGTTGGAATTTCTCTGTTGTTTCATTTGCCTGTGAAGCATGAACTTGGCCGAGACCCCGTTCCAGGATATCTAAAATTGACTTTCTGAAATGGATTCTGACCTGGCTACGAAGCTTGCCAATAGGCATTGTTATCCAGTCATCGCAGGAACATCAATGAACATCATTGCTTTATGGTGCTAGACGCCAATAAGGAACCTATGTGAGGTAGTACCAATTTAAGACGTTCGCCAACAACAAAAGGACGCCTAAAAAACGCCAGGTAAGTTGAAGCTATAGCTGACAGGGCCAGTAAACTGAAGAACACGATCAGGGTGTTTCTTAAACTACAAACCTAAGCCCTTGGCAGTATTACCAAGAGTCTTGGTCCGAGTTACAGATGTAGTCAATTCCTGAACGCTAGCACAAGGGAACACGCTATAAACATGGATGATTGAATATCATGAGATCCAAAATCGGGATCCGCACACAGCGAAGCTGCTCTTATTACTTGCGTACTTCGATTATTGAGATATCTGGTATGAATCGACAATAAGCAGCCGCCGTAGCAAATTTTCCTATTTAGCTTGAAAGGTCTATATCAAGCGGTCTTGCATATAGAACCGATTACTGCTTCATCCTAGTAGATAGTCTCAGTAGCGGGTTTAGCTAATGTTTTCTGTTCGGTTGGGGCATAAAGTAACTTCCATTTGGACTATATAGAACGTATCTCAGAATCATTCACATCGCATTTATTTCCAATCTTTATTGAAAATGATGGTATTTGGCGAGGTTGGGAGAGATCTGACCTTGATAAACAAGGGGACGACTCTACTGAAAAACCGATGTACGTAATGTTATTATCTATTGAACATCCATGGACCTTGTCTCTACAACTATCCACTGCTTTTGTTTTCTGTCGGAAGCGAGGTAGATCTCAATACCGGGAATTCTCCACATGCATACATAGGCGTCGGCGACATACAGGAATACCCAAGTTTCTACCGCGTTGTATATGAAAAGCAGGGTAGCCCCGGATTGCTAGTGCCGTAATGCAGTAATGGAAGAAGCAGGGTATTGTTCAACCAGCCCTAGCGAGAGATTGGCATCGAGAGATTAATTTTAAAAACACCGTCAATGTGATAGGCGGATTGCTATACCAATAAATACCAAATCCTGCCTAATCCTATATTTTCTGAGAGGTAACTGAAGGTCAGGTTACATGGAAACTTGCATAATTCTATCCTCTACCAGTCAAGACGTGATGGACCAATGATTGTTAACCGTCAACCGCCCTGACTCCCTTATGCGTACCAGATATACCCGTTGCTAGGTCTGTCAAATGGCTGTATGCTTAGAGCAGCAAGAGGAGTTGGGCGAGCACCAGCGTGCTTCTTCACGGGATCTTGACTAGGTGCAGGGCTAGCACTAGAAGAGGAGGTATACAGGCTTGTCCTAAATCCAACGTAAAAGCGAAACAGAGAGTCCAGCACTTCTATCGCAATGGGCTGCCTCCAAAAAAGTCTCCCGCGCCGGGGCCAGAGAAAGTACCATTGCTCGGTGTCAAGGCGATTGATCGCCGGAAAGCCTGGCGGGGAGTTGTAGGGGCGCTTGTAGGTCCAGGCGTTGTCACAGCCGCACTAGTTGAAACGGTCGATACGGCAGCAGCAGCGTCTCCACTCGCATTAGGAGTACTAGGAGTATTTCGGCCGCTGTTGTTCTGCATCGTGACTGCAGTGCCGGGGCGGGAGAGCACGGCAGCAGTTCCTCCGTTCTTGGGAGGAGGTCGGAAGCCTAGCTTCGAGCCTTCACGGAAGATTTCTTCTAGAATTTGAGCAACAATGCCTGCATCTTCGTATTCTTGGAATTTTTTCCAGAGACGCAGCGCCATTCGGGCATCTTCAATGGAATCGTGGCCATGGACAATTTCCGTAGTGGGCTCTTCCTGGATGAACTCCTTGAAAACGGCCCAAGCAAGATAACGCAAGCTAAGACGGCGGTTCTTACCAGGGTGAAAGAAAAGGTATTGGGTATCCACAGTCTGAGACTTCGGGACTTGGATGTTGATTTTGCGGAAATCAGAGGCCAGACCATGCCCCACGAATACGCAGCCGAGGTTCAGAAGGAGCCAGAGCTTTTTGTAGGCGGCCTTGAGGGGAACCAGGTTATGATCGCTGGTGCGAGGGTCCAGATCTCCAGGTTTGATGCCGGAGTATTGGGTGACATAGTCAACGATCGGCTCTCGAATGGTAATATAGTCGTCGATGAACGGAACGCCCTCGTGAACCCCTGAGCCTCGCAAAACGGAAACTCGCGCAAGACCGCTCTTATTGGGCCGCACGATCTCCTGCGATCCGTCTGCTTTAACGTCAATCTCGGCCTTTTCGAGGTCGACGAATTCGGTGTCGAGCGCCAGAGGTGTTCCAGGTTGCGGCTTCTCTTCTTCGGTGAGGGTGCGGCATGATTCCACTTGATGGCCGCCATTCAGAGACCACTCGCGGAACAGTAGTGTCGTATCGAGAGAATTCTTCCATGAATCGTCGACCGAGTGGCGAGCATCCCTAACTTGAAAAGCCAAGACACAAGGCTGCTTCCAAGGCTGTGTAAACCGCAGAGCTTCATCTTGATCCACCTCTGTCACTAGAAAGTCGTTGAACAGATGCCACCTATTGTTTAGTCCCTGCTTCTCTTTCTCAGAAATAGAGACATTGATAAAAGAGACCAAATGCGGCTTCTGGTGCTCGGGAATATCAATTTCCGATACCAGGCCGACTAGATCATACACTACAAGGCCAGGGGTATTATTCTGTTCGTGTAACTTGAGATCCTCGCCTTCAAAACACAGGACCTGCCCGTTGTCGATGACCACGCCAACCGCTTCGGGTAGCCATCCAGGAATTGCCCACAATCGGCGGCAGATAGGATTTGTCAACGCCGCATTAAGCACGAGAACAAGGGGCATACGATGGACAGTTTTCCGTATCATCACTTGCTGGTATCGGCGACAATAATTGCACCATCCTCGGTTCTGTGTCTCACGCTCAATGCTCGCACGTAAGATGCTTGAGAATCGGAAGGCCGGGTTGCGTCGCGCATGCTTCATATCCAAATTGGGATACAAAAGTTCGTTGGCGAGGGAGTTGCCCGGTCGCACGGTCTCATTCTGGCAGAACATACACCGAATAGACTCAGAGGCGATAGTGGCAAGACGTTGGTCTAGTTCTTCGGAACTAGGTTGAATCATGCGAAAGTCGTGTGCGATCTGCGTTAAGAAGAAGCGATTTACAGCCTGAATGGCCGTCGAGAGGGATTTGTTGGTCAGGTTCTCTTCCAAAAGACCCAGGTTAGACGCTTCTCGGAAACTGCTAAATGTCTTTAACAAATTGGTAGCTTGGCAGTTCTGGCCATTGGCTTTCTCTAGCATGTCGAACAGGTAGCCTAATTCGCACAGAAGACAGTGTTCGAAAATACAAGATCCAGCGGCATGAGTCAAAGCAAGATTTCGAAATAGAGGAACAAACTTGAAGAGCTGAAGAAGAGAATTTGTAAACGAGTTGGCAATGTGGGTTTCGAGGCCGGAAAATGTGGTCTTGTTATAAAATCTGAAGTAGTGTCAGCTCAACTGGGAACCAAAAGATTCCTTACAATCTGAGATGGGATAGACGTACCGAAAATCAAAATCATCGACACCGAATCGGCTATACTTGATCTCCACGTTACTGTACTTGAGCAATGGGTCATCATCACTCTCACCGTTGATCTTCGCGCCAGCCAATGCCTCGGCTGCGTCACTAACGGAGCCTTTGGAATCCGACTTGCTCTGATCCCGAGCTTTCTCGCTCAGGAACTTTGGAGCAATAAGGGACGGCTCGGCTGTCGCCAAAGCACGTGTATTTTCAAGTTGATAACGGCGAGACTTTCTAGGGTTTGGTGCGTGATGGCCGACCTCTGCCTGGCGTAGATACGGAAGCAGCGACTGATCTAATTGAGGTGGTGGGCTGCCGACCTCGAACACAAGATGACTCGGCCATGCAGAATAGAGACGGTCGTGATAGTATGGAAGTCCGACCATATTGAGTGGCGTTTCAGGAGACCAGTCAATTGGTGGTGGCCGTGTCGGTACATCTGCGAACTCGGTCTCTTTGCTCATCTCATTGAAGTGGATCTTAGCCGGGGATCCCCAGAGATGAATGGAACATTCAGCATCATTAATGGCCAGCGCTTCCCCCGATGGGGAAAGATCAAGCCCTAGCATCAGGGATACATTGGCTTGTCGAAGATTGATCGCATTCGGATTCATAAGATCCACCACCTGAAGTTGGCCAGTCTGTGAAGCGACAAAACTGGTCGTATGGAGTTTAGGGTGCATGCGGACATATGCTGCGCCTGCGTGGAATGGTATCGGGGGTAATGGCGATAATGTCTTCAAGTCATACACATTGGCCAGGGGATCGACGATGGGGGAGCCGAGATGGCGGACAGAAAAGCCACAGGTGACCAGCAAGTCATTGCGCGCATCCATGTCATTCACAGCAGTCCCATGGGCCTTCCATGACTTGACGACCTTGAAGTCCGTTAGGCTGAGCGCGTTCACCGATCCGGTATCCGTAGCCGCGCACAGATAACGGCTCTTCTTCATGAGGGTATAATTATGATCGGTATCCAATTTCTCCACGATTGTGCCTTTATCAATATCAACCGTGAACATCACACGCTGGCAGCCTGCCACAAGAATCCGATTCGTCTGCGCCGTAAAGCTCATGCAACGAAGATCAACCATCTCCTCGTGCGCGAGATGCCATTGCGTCAGGCCACGGCGCGTGATCATATGCACACTCTTTGAGGACAGCGAGATTACACCACGTTCATGGAAAAGAATCTGCCGCACCATACCCTCCGAGACTGGGTGTGCTCGTACAGAGGTATACCGTTGCAAATCGGGTCCGCAGAAAGACGATATTCTGCCCTGAAGAAACAAAACCATGCCACATTAGCCCTTTCTTTCAGCGCCTAGCGTTCCAAGCCACACTTACATATTCGTTTCCCGTCCACAAAAGTTCCATCACATCATCAAATGCCACCGCCGTCGCAACTGTAGGAAGTCCATGCGGACTCGGCGGCGGCATTGGAATGCGTGCCAGCTCATCCCAGTCGGCCTCCATGGCGGTGGCAGCCTGATCCGGGTTAAGACCGGAGATATACTGGCCTGTGCACCTAGATAAAGGTCTGAATGCTTTTTAAGGAGTGCAAACTTCACCCTGATGGAAAAACACCGAGGCCAAGCATCGTCTGCGAGGGGAGACGCGATTGCGGGGAAGCTATCCAGACGAGGTTGAATCGAATCCAGGCGGTGTGCAGCGCGTATAGTCAGTAATCCAGGTTAGGGTTTATCGTAATAACACACTCCCTGGTCGTCCCCAAACAAGACCTATGGAGATGTCCGAGTCGATCGGAAGTTGCTTGTTGTTCGTGAACTTGGAACTGCCACGGGACTGAGGTGCCTATGATCACGTGATATTGTCCGATAACGCCTTGAGGGTAATAAGATGAATCTAAAGACTTTGTAGTAGCGAGATTCTTCAAGAATTCAGTCTTGGGAATCATTTAATCAAGAGGCTACTAGTCACCCTTTGAACATCTATTGTATGAGGCGTATTACCCATTACCAACTTGCTTACAACTAGCATCTGAGAATCTGTGAAAATTGCAGGATAATCAAGGTGATTAGGGTTCGCTGTAGATGCTGACTCGAGAACGCTCCCTTTCTATTGCCTTCAGGAGACTCGGCGTTGAGTATCCCAGTTTTGGGATAGGAGGAGCAGGAGATAAAACGGTGAGACTAGATGGAAATAATTACAATGGTCATGTACTGGTATAGAGATAACTGCAAGAAGCAGGAGCAATCATATTGCTAATGAGAAACCCCGAGGTATAAAAGAGCATATGTACTGGCATACAACTTAAACCGGCTGTCAGAAATCAGCTAAATACACGGCAGACAACAACAAGGCTCAGCAACTTAGCGGCGAAGGTGAATAGAAAGAACAATCCAATATCCAGCCGGGAGATTAAGCGCCACATGGCAGGATTCGATATCTATTACCAGCGGCTGCCAGGGACGGCCTTTTCATGATTTTCATCCTATCTGTAGAACGAAGCTGGGTTCGATGCAGCAACACCACCCTGAGGTGGTTGGTAGGCTTGGTATTCCCCGGCAACAGGAGGTGCTGATGGAGCTGGATTGAACGCAGTGTATTGCTGGGGAGCTGGGGCAGTGCCAGGAATTGGGGGTGGCTGGTGTGATGGAGGGGCTTGTTGGGGAGCAGGGGGAGATTGAGGGTATGGGAGTTGCTGTGGCGATTGCTGAGGCTGCTGGGGTTGCTGAGGTGGCTGCTGGGGAGGATATTGATGGGGGGATTGTTGGTGCATTCCAGAAGCAGGCGGCAATTGAGGTGGATTGTCGGTCGAATAGACTGAGGGCGAGTAGTCATCTTGTGCCGATTGCTGCTGCTGCTGCTGCTGGAATTGCTGGTGCGCGGTTGGCGGTACTTGACCAGTGGGAGCGTAGGAAGAATGCATAGCGGGCGCAGGGTGCTCTACCGGTGAATCATAAATGGACGTTCCCAGTTCTTGCGGATGGTCGTAGGTAGATTGGGGACGGTGGTGCACAGAGGCATACGGATCGGACGCAGGGGTTTGCTGCGGAGTCGGCTGCTGTGCAATAGGCTGCACTCCAGCAGCAAACTGGGAACGAGGATCAGGCGAATGGGATGCAGGACGATATGGCATCTTTTGTTCCGCACCATAGTATGCGTTGGGTTGTGACTGCGGGAGTTGTGTTTCTAACAGTCCGGTTAGTGATTTGCTTGCCAGGAATAAATGTTGTACAAACCTTGAGGTTGCGGGCTGAAATATCGCTGGTCTGGCTGGGGAGGGGCTTGAGGGTATCCAACAGGAGCAGCACCAGGATAACCGTATTGAGGTTGTCCAGGCCGACCATACTGAGGTTGTGTCGGATGTGCCATCGAAGCCTCTAGCAACGACTCATAATCCCGACGTGCCTTGATAAACTTCTCATTCAGTTGAGTGAACTCATCTATAGGAAAGTCAACCTTCATCCAGCACTCCAAGTGGCAAAATAATGGAATCTTACCCTTCTTCTGTGAATACTTGCCAATGAGTTCAATCAGCTTCGGTCGGATGGCAAGCGTAGAGTGGTAGAGGGTGGTGATCTCCTCGTTCTCTTGGACATTGAGATCCGAGCTTCGAGTGCTGAGAAGTGTCAGAAGCTTCTCAACATTTTTAATCTGGCCAAACACTTCTCCCTCCATCTGCAGCTCGCGCTGTAGCTCTTCCACAGTTGGGTCAGGGAGCTTTTCCACATAGTTGAGCGGGAAAATGCCTGTCTGGCCACGGAGAGAACCTTTCCACCAATCTTTGTAGACCGACTCCAAGACAGCAATAGTATCTCCTTTACGAAACAGAAGCTCTCCGGGCTCGGAAGGCTGAAAGTCAAATAAGGCTCGAACTCGAGACACTGTGACTGCCGATGTGCCTGATGGAACAGGTTGAGAAGCACCAAGCTCTCCTTGAGGAGCCGCAATCGGAGTAGATGCAGTCGCTGCCGCGGCCGCGGAAGATTCGCCTTGAGAGGTAGGCCCGGTGGAGCTTTTGTCCTTGATGGAAAGTGCAAGTGCCATCTGTAATTCTTCCTCCTCCTTCTGGCGGTCGACAGCTGTGATCGCACTTTTGACAGGCTTCGATGGCGGCTGCAGGTTCGGATCTAAAACGCAAGAAGCAATTAGTCACTGCCAATGAGCCCTATCACAGTGATTCAAATAGTCATTACTTTGAGTTTTAAGTTTCATATACGCTTGTTCCATGATACCAAAATCCGGGTTGGAGGAGAACATCTCTGTCCATTCCTCCATCCGCTCAAGGATCTTCGATTTCACTTGTTGATGCGTATTCTAGTCAACCCGGAAGATGTTAGAAGGACTCTGCCCCTTCGATATTTAAATCAGGCATGCTCACACGGTCGGCTGCCAGACGCAGCAGTGCATCAGTAAAGCTCCTTGAAGCTAACTCGCGATGAATTTTCGGTCCACAGTTCTGCGCCAGAGAGTTTCCAAGCTAAAGATCCAGGTTAAAGACCTTAATCAGCTATTTGAGGCGCTTCGAGTAAGCTAGGAGTAAGTTGCGAACCTCCAGAGTATAAAGCTGCACGTTGGCGTTTCGATGAGCCAACCGCTTGATCATGGCCGCGACTGCTTCCTTCGCGCTATAGAACAAACATAATCAGCGACCGATTCACCCAGGTATCTAATCATCCATTTTCCTTTCTCAAACAAGGAGAAATAGGATCCACGTACCCAGATTCTTCCGCGCCAACTTTGTCACAGACATCCTGCAGGATAAAAACAAATCAAATCAGTTCTTAAGGCCCCCGGAGCCTCTTCGGCCCAGCACAAGTGGATCGCGGCATGGGGGAAGCGCACCAGGATATACTCCCAATTTTCGGAGGTCAGGTTCTCGTCCGTTGCCTTGGCTGTGTAGATGGTTGTCTATATTAGCAAACGCTTTCGACTTTCAGGATCTCCTGCGCCATGATTCAACCCCAGCCCACAAGCGGAGTTGCGAACAGCTGGAAGAGCAAGCCCAAGGACAACGATAGTCCAATATTACTCACCGACGGCATCGTCGAATGCGTTCTGTTGCGCGCGAAACATTGCCACGGTAATTTCCAGCGGAAGACCGAGCAGTCACGGGTTGACCGGGAGAGTAGGTCGTCGGGGGAATCAGGCACCGTTCGTCGGCCTGACACTGTGGATCGGTCACTTTTCCCGTAGCCAACGTCCACTGAATGGATATGTACGATGTGTTCAGTCGACTCAAGCCGAATCCTCCAATCCAAGGTCCCAGAGCTGCGTCGCTGGTCGGCGGTCGTAGTTCAGCACCAAATGCGGGGAGCAGGTTGGGAGACCAGGATGCGGGCGATGTTTGGGGTTGTCGGCAGACCGCTGAAATAAGTTTATGGCGATGAAATGCGGTATATGAACGAGGGCAGAAGTGAGTGTCTGGAGCTCTCGTTGCTCTTGTTGTTGAATAGGAGGAGTGTTGGCGATGACCTGGGAAGCAGGACTGCTGGTGTTCTTGAAGTGTCGGGCGGACGCCTGAGTCAGCAGGGGCAATGACGACGGTGGGTGAAGAAGAGCTTGCGACAAGCTCCGATATTCTTAGCTCGCCCCATGATTATCTGGCTGCCTTGAGGATTGAAATCCCTTCGGGGGGATTACGTGTGAGGAAGTGCACATTTCCTCTGCCCGTGTTTAGGCTTCTATATTTGCCATTTTACCCAATCGTCAGTTACTTTCGCTGGCTCCATTAACTCTTCTCGACATTTTACTCCTCCGCACCGCAATATATATGTATTGATCCTGCCAACATCATGAATCTCTTTGGGCACGTGGAGCTATAGACAGAATGAACAATCCAAAAGGCCATCCAATGTAAAATGTATTTGATATAATGTAATCAAAATGAAATAAATGTACTATCACACGAAATAAGAAGACCTGGTCAGAAAGGACCTCTTGCGATCCCAAACGCCGAATGCGACGAACAGCGCACTCTAAATCCCCGAAGCGAGGTCGGTCAAGTAATATAACGCACAAGGGCGGCGAGACGACCATCCACCCCAAACACCACTTGAGACCACTTTCAAATCACGCAGAGAAGATGCTGAGGGAAGGGAGAGGGGGGGGGGGGGGGATAGGACTACATGGATGCTACACAGGTGATCCCATTGCTCCGGGACCGGCAAGGGGATAGAAAAAGAAAGAGAAGAAAAGAGGCCGGTGCAGTAGGTAAACAGACAGGCCCAGGCCCCCAAACACAGGCGTATGGGATCAGATCATTTTTCATCACGAAAATAAAATGTGAGGTGTTCATCAGGAAAATAGGAGGATAAACAGGAATAAAATAATCAATACAAGATGGGACTCCCACGGCATGGAGATGCGAAATAATGGCATGCCGAGGATCTAGAAGAAATATCGGGAGTGATGGGGTATCTGAACGAGACGGGAAGAGTGATAAAACAAGAGACGAGAGAAAAACCGAAACAGATCATTGAACAAAGGGGAATCGGGTCATCTAAGCACCACCTTTCTGTGCCTTCTCCTGGGCTCGGCTCTGCCGAGCAGCCTTGACCAGAGGGGCAAGGTGTGTGAGTGGAGAGCAAAGGCCCATAAAAGGATGCTATAAAAGAGCGAATTAGCACTCAAATCCAGGAATACATTGGGAAGGAGAACTTGGAGCGGAACTAACCTTTAACAAGTCATGAGCGGACGCTCGCTTCTCCGGATCGACCCTGAGTGCCAAGTGGAGGAAATCACGGAAGATGTGCGACAATTGATGCTCATCCTTGATAGTGGGAGTACCGTTGGTGGCGATCAGATAAAGAGCGCGGAGCGGGGATTCTGTCAAATATGGTGGCTCGCCCTCGATCATCTCAATTGCCATGATTCCCAGACTCCAGATATCGACCTTGCGGCCATACTCCTTACGAGTGACCACCTCGGGAGCCATCCAGTATGGAGTACCGACCATCGTATTACGCTTGTTATGCGAGTCATTGATTTGAGCACAGAAACCAAAATCGGCTGAAGAATGGTCAGACTTGCCAATTGCGCTTGCACGGGATGAAAGAATGGAATCGAGAAATGCTTACTTAGCTTGATGTTGCCTTCCAATGACAGAAGGATGTTATCAGATTTGATATCACGATGAATAACACCCTTCGAGTGAAGGTGTTGAAGACCACCCAGAGTCTAGAAGAAGCGAAAGAAGGAGATGTCAGAAAAGGGGTCCCACCAAGAGAATTTGGAGAAGTTGAGAAAATTGAGAACGTACCTCTCGGCAAACGGCGGCGATTTGCCCTTCGCTCATGATGTTGAAGGTAACGACATCCGTAAGGCTGCCACCTTCCATATACTCCATCACAACCCACAGATCCAAACCGTGGAGATAACTATCGAGGAAGTTGACAATATTCCTGTGCTTGCTATCCTTCATCACCAGGATCTCATTGATAATTAAATCTTTCTTCGGCTGAAGGTCAAGGTTCATCTGCTTGATGGCCACACAGTTGTTGGTGCCAGTCTCATAGGCGGTGAAGACACCACCAGAAGCACCTTGTCCAATCTTGTTGAGGTTGTAATATATTTGAGTAGGGTCGCCTGGGCGACAGATTGCCAGCAGGCGCTGTCGAACGTCCATCGCATTGCTCTGACGCTGACGCTGGCGAGGCCGAGCAGCAGGGGGCGCGCGGCTGCCCTGGGGTGGTGGCGAAACAGGCGAAGAATCCGCGGGGGAAGGACCGGTATTGGTGGCCAAGGTGAGAGGTTGTTGTTGTTGCGGCTGCTTTGCTTGCTGGCGTTGGCTGGTACTCCGATCCAGCTGTTTCGATGCAATGGCTTGCTGGGCAGCGGCCATCACTTGCTCCTGGTGCTGTTGATATTGGGTCGGAGAGGCGATTACGTTGGGAGTCTTGTGCGCTGGCACTCCATTCCGGGAGTTCGAGCGGCTTGGCTTGGGGGACGCTGCTAGAGGAGCGGCCTCGGGGATAGGTGGGGTGGAGAAGGGAGAGCTGTACGGGTCCTGAGGGCGCTGCACAGCACCGCCAGTGTATGATTGTGATACGGGAGGTTGTGGAGGAGGCCGAGCTGGTATCATGCCTGTCGGCGGCTTGGGAGGGGCACGATGCGGGACCAGGCCACCCAGCGGGGGAGACATAGACGCGGTCGCAGCAGCCGGCGGTAGGGTAGCTGGAGGGCCGCGAGGAATTGGCGGCGGCGACCGGGGATTTTCAAAGCTGCTTTCATGATTCTGTGGGAAACGTGGGCTTCCGGGCGGCGACGGCGGCGAGGTGCTGGTTGTATTCTTGTTCATCGTACTCGTGGTCATGCTGTGGGCATTATCGAACTTGTGCCATACTTCATCGTCATCTCCGCGGGTGTTCTTTTCATAGAATCGCATGATATCCATCATGGTCTGCGGGTGTTCCTCCTGTTCCTTCTTGGAGATTCCATTTTCCTGTAGTAAGCGCTGCCACTCCTTTGGGAGACCCGTGAATTGTCCAGTCTGATTGTCGTATCCAACATGGGTGACATGCACCGGGTTTTCGGGGGCGGAGATCTTGATGTTGCTGCGTGGGGAGCCCAGCATGCTATTGACAAAACTCGAGAAGCTGGCCTTCTTGCTTCTCCCGGTCCGGGCGGGCGGCGTGCTGTTGCCCTCGTCGGAGTAACGCTTCGATTGAGGAGGCCGTTCGGTCTCGCGATGGGCAAAGGGATCCATGCGGTTCGGGAGGGTGGTGAAGCTGGCTGATTGTCGAAGAGGTTGCCGCCCGCGTGAATCGGGACTGCTCTGGTGCGATCGCAACTCCGACGGCTGCGGCTGCGGCTGATGTAAAGGGAACGGTTCCGTTTCCGCGCTGTTCTCATCCAAGGCCCCGAGCATGCCCCGGGTCTCAAAGGAAGAGGTCGCTAATTCATCCGAGCTGTGGTCATAGGAGAAGCGATTGGAACTGCGAGTGCGGGAACGGCCGAAACTGGGAAAGTACGAGGAGCGTTCTTCGTTTGCAGGCGACGGACCGCCGCTGGTCTGGTCCAGTGAGGAGGAGGAGGAGGAACCGAAGGCTGCGTTAGATCGCGAGCGAACGTGCTCGCGACTGCCGCTGGGGGAAGAGCGTGGGTAAACGGGGGCGGAGGGATGGCGTTTCAATGAAGTGGTGCTTTGATGGCTCCGAAGAATGCGCGATCCGAAGCTAGGGGGGTCCTTGTGAAGTTTGCTGGATGGACGGCGGAATTTCAACGAGAAATTGTCTTGACTCATGGCGGGCAGACCCTGTCTCTACACGAGACAAGATTGGAATTGGGCCGAGGAGAGGGGTCAGGAGAATTTTCCAAGGCCGATTCGGGATGCGGGCTGCGTCGACCAGAGGCGGGAGGAGATTGAGGGAGAGAAACCGTCTCGGGCGGTCGGAGATGGCAGGGGTGGCAAAAGCCAAATCCTGGTCGAAAGGATGATGACGGATAAGGTGGTGGTGGTTGATGATGGTGATGGGAGGAAGTGTCGAGGGAGGTGGGATGGGGGGGGGGGGGGATATAATTAGGAGGGAGAAGGGGAAGCAAAAACCTGGCGTCCAATTAGCACGTGGAGAGCGGAGCGAAAAAGGAGTTTTGGTGGCTGGGGAGGTTTGGGCGGTTTGGGCGGTTTGGCGGGTTTGGGAGGGTTTGGACGGGTTTGGACGGGGGCGATGACGCGGGGACCCGACAGTGCAGCAGGAGGTGGACGAGCCCGTTGACTAGGGGGCTCGCGCACTAGAGGACACGAGAGACGGCACGAACGGGCTTGGACCGGTGGAGATGACGAGATGACGAGAGGACGCCCCTCGGAGAATATTCTCCCTCGCCAGGTCTTATAAACCCACGCCCGTCCGTTCCCTCGGACCCAGGATGCTACATCACCCTCGTAGGGAATCGCCATCAACAGGCGACGACTCTGTATAGGTCGATGACCTGTCAGGCTGCTGGACACAACCGAGGATTCAATCAATCCCTCGTGAATTCCGATCGCGGTCACGAGAGAGAAAGAGATGCTTTGAAATTGCCTCGCGATCATTCCCCTACAACATCACGTCTATCCGCCAACACAGGGGATCATCAGGACCTCCTCACGATGGAGAGAGCCATAACATGATATCTCGAGGCATAGAAACGAGTCCATCCCCGAAGAGGCTCTGATGTACCCAATTCTCGTTCTCCGTACTTGAGCACCCTGTCGCATGATACTAGTGAATACTGTCGCCCAAATTTTCCAGGGATATAGATTGGACCCATCGTGTAGTCTCCATTCTGATATAGAGAAGTACTGTCAACCTCGAACCTAGGTCCCATGAATCGGTATCTCACCTCCATGATGTATTCATACTGTGAAGAGCACCAGAGAATGATCTCAAGTATCGATGAATGAGAAGGATCTATGTTCCGGAATTGGTTTCAATGTGGTTTCTTCTTTCCTCTCCCCCCAAACCCCTCTGTGAATATATGTCTCTGTGTATGTGTCAGAACCGCCATTATTCTAGATTTCTAAACTTGGCCCCGCTCATTTTACTTTGTTGCCAGTGAGTGGACAGTGCGGGAAGAAAAGTGGAGACCAGTTAAGCCCAGCACTTTAACCGGACCAGAATAGCCCACCGAGTCACAGCCCGACAGGCACACGGGGTGGGCAGGTAATCTATATGGTAATTTATGACAGAGCTTGTACTGGCCCCCCACAGCGTAAGATGGGTATGACAATCATGCGCATGGGCAATTGTGTGGAATGACGCTCTCTCCCTACCTGTCCTCGAAGTATAGCCGTAGAACTCGGAGGTGAGGAGGATATCGACCTCCAATAGGTGTCTCGAATGTGCCAGGGGAGCCTGAAAATACTATAGTACCACGCCAGAGGGGGCAACCTGGAACGTTTATCTGATGTTATCAGACTTCATAGAGCATCCTTTGATTCCTGGCCCCCCGAGTTCCCTGGTCTCTTTTCACCACCCACTACCAATTGATCGTTTTCTGGGGGCCTGTGTCCCTATTTGAACAAGATAACCCAACATTTATCTCGCGAGGTTTATGCTCTTCGATTCCCACCAACAAGACAATCGTTGAAAGACGTTTATCAAACAGTGGACACTAGACCCGCCCGTCTGGTCATCTGGGCCCCCACCAACGACGATCTTACCCCTGCAAATTAATTGGCACGCCGACCTGTCGATGCATTCCGAGGTACCTGCTAGATAATTGACTTGACTGACTCCTCTTATACAAACTAGTATGCGGTCGACTGCGCTGACTCGGGGATGGGGCCAGGCTCAGCTTCGTAAGCATAAAGCACGTGAGTGTCGCCCCCCCAAAATGGCCCCCATTCGACCACATATCAGCCTTGCGCAAGCCCGCTTTTCTCTCTGACGACTTCGTGCAGAAGATCTCAAAAGACTTCCTTCGTCTTGCTGGAGTTCTAAAGATGAATGTCGAGAATCAGGACCTGGGCCTGTCTCTAGAACTGCTGACTACCAAACGGACTCGGGCCAGTAAGCCGAAAGTGCGCACTGGCTGTTTTACCTGCAAGTCAGTTTCATTACTTCCTCCCTGACTCGGCCTTAATTAAAGATAGACCTCTGAATTGGGGCCACTCAATGTTTCTACAGGGCTCGACGAGTGAAATGTGACGAAGCAAAACCTGCCTGTGCTCGGTAGATTGATCTTTTTTTTTTTCATTTGTCTTGGCTTTCCCACTTGAGCCACCCACAGCCAAGCCCTTCTCTCAGACAAGGACCGAACTAATGTTACCTGACCTGGTCCCAATAGATGCACCAGGACTGGGCGACAATGCGATGGCTATTGGTCGCGTAGTTCAACCAGCCTGTGGCCCAGAGCTTTGGCCCCAGCCCCCGCCGTCGACTCGCCCCTGGAACCACGAGCACTAGAGTTCTTCTTTATCAAGACGGCACCACAGTTGGCCGGCTTCTTTGCCGGAAACTTTTTCCAAGGCAGTGTGCTCCAGCTAAGTCTCGCCGAGCCGGCCATTCGCCAGGCCATCGCCGCCATCGGCGTGCTGCACGAACGCGCGGCAATGGGCACAGCCGTTACCAGAGACCAATCTAATAATGTTCATTTGCAATTGTACAATCGAGCCATCCGGGCTGTTCTTGAGAAGGCCAAGACGGCTGGGCCAAGGGCTTTCCCTCTCCTAGCAATGACTAATGTGCTATTTACCTGCTTGGAAATCTTTCAAGGGAACGTCACTGCGGCCTCGGTGCATATCCAAAGCGGAATTAATCTGGTGCAGGCGTGGCGTGAAGAGAATGGAAAACCAAGAAACCCCTGGGGCCGCAAATATAAGACCTTCGAATCGCGTTTTATGGAGACGGAAATTGCGCCTATTCTCAGCTTATTTAATACCAATGCAATCGAGTGCGGCGGCGGCAAGCGTACGAAATTTCTGATGAATCCACTCGATGAACATGGTAGCCTCCTCCTAGCAGATCGCTTCGAGACTCTCATCGAAGCCCGGGTCGGACTAATAGACATGATCACCGACGCGACGTCACGTTGCGTGAGATCAAATGAGAATCTCATGCACAGGCCTTCAGCTGACATTGATGTCTTCATGGTGTCTCAAAATGTCCAACGCAATCTTGAACAGTGGCAGAATAACGTTGATGACCTGTGTCGTCGGGAGTATGTCACCTGGAACAAGACCGAGCAGCAAGTAGCCAACGTTATCAAGATTATCAAGCTAAGCACAACGTTCGGTATCCGGTCTTATCAAGTGACTACAGAATCCGAATGGGATCCCCACCGTTCTGAGTACGAGGAGATCATTCGGCGCATTAAGGTGGTTATTTCTGACACAGCCCGTTTCCCCGATGACCTTTCCAGAACCCTGAGTCTCGACTGCGGCATGATATTCCCGCTCCACGCAGCAGCTTGGAAATGCCGTTGGCCGAAGGTTCGCCGCCAGGGTCTCGACCTGCTACTTCGAGTTCCGAAGCGGGAATGGCTCTTCGAAGCTCAGCACTATCATACCATCTTTCACCGCATCATGGAACTCGAAGAAGAGCACCTGAACCTGCCTTCTGGTGCAGCGCCCGACGAGAACTGGTTACCTCCAGAACATGTGCGGATCCGTGATTTCATCGTAACTGCGGACCTGGTATCGCCAGAAGAGCCTCCCACCTATAATGTGACATTTATTAGCAATCCACAGGGCCCGCAGGGCCCACTGAAATGGTTCACTGAGCCCATACGATTGCCATCTTCCCAGCCTCAGAAGGCAGCAATTCCGACCAATATGATTGGCCGCAAGCTCGAGTGGCCTGCACTAAGCTCGCTTTCCACACAGGCACTGAATAGATGCCCTTGTACTCGATAGAGAGAGAGAAAGAGATATGAGCAGGTAGAAATCAATCTCATCTTAATTATAAATACTCGAGCTGCCAGAATCCGCATGGCCCGCTTTCTTTTCATTTTGAATCTGTTGAAAAAGCCATGAAGGGCTTTGCTGGGGACGTTAACTTCACTTGTCTCTACTCTCCATGAATGATCGCCATGTGAGTTTATCGGCTTTTCCCTCGGGTATGTTTGATCTTATAAGTGTTTGTTCTAATAAGACCATTTTCCTTTTTGGTGTTGCTCTCGTGTCTTCCATCAAAGCCTCTCTATCTCTCTTTGGAGATAGAAACTGTCCTCTTTTTGAGTGCTGTTTGAAATCTTGTCCCTCTTCATTCACCTCGATCTCAATAATGGAATCGCAATGTCATGAAGACACAAAATTTAGAATTTCTACGACTCTTCCTTTTGGGATAGCTCGCGCGAAAACCAACTATTTCATTCCCTTCCATCAAGCACATAAGCATCCTAATTACTTGAAATATGGCATACTTGGCCAAGATGGAGGCAACAGTACCACCAGGTTCTGCTCAGCCTGAACCGTCGAAGACAACCCTCCATATCTTCATGACATTTGAACCATCCATGACTTAATCGGATACATATTACTTGGGTATTGAAGAGGCGTGGTTAGTCTATCCGACGTTTTCCCTTGTTCCCTCAACTGTTGCAATTTTACGATTTTATGCTTGGCTGCTCATGCTATTTTTAAAAGCTGCCACGAGCTCCTTGTTAAAGGTTAAGAATCTATGTAGATAAATGACCACCATCCACGCCAATCTATGGAATATTCCACAGACTATAACTTAGAGATGGATACTAGGAATATAAGGGTGTCAGATGGTTTCATGTATTGATTGAGCTGCCTGGGGATCGTAAGCTTTTTGATTCTTACCTTCATGCTTCACCACCCTGGAAGACTGGTCAGTCAAGACTTCGTAATCGCTAGGATCGTGAATTTTTGAGAGAAAATAATTCAAATAGATGAGTATTCCGATTGCCTCAAGACTTACGAGTGAGATTGAGCGTTCGAGGCGCGCTTTTTTACGACGCTGCAGGAACAGACTACTTGATATTTAGAAAGTCAGCCGTAGGAACGGAGTAGGAAGGAACCCATTTTCCATTTTATTCAAATATTAGCAAGTTGTCCGCGCAGTTGGCCGTTTGATACATGATTTGATTGGGTTCGATATCAGCATAAACTACTCCACTGCTGCAACTGTTACCAGAGGAACTCGGATTTTGACTAAAATGCCCCGATCCCCACCTGAATATTGCAGGCATCGCAATATCGATATAACTTCAATAATTGAAAGATAAGGCAACCTTCGGTTTCTCATGGATAATATTCGAGTTCACTTCTAATCCCCGATGCTTACATGGATGGAGATAAGGCAGTGACACCAATTTCTGGTCTAGTTCTATAAAGGGTTATTTATTCCAAAATATCACGCCGAGGGAAATTATGATACGTCCAGCATTGCATTTGATGATCTGCAAATCACGAATACCCATCCACGTCTTCTCCTAATTTCCTTGATTGCAATCGTTGAGCTAAGCTCTGTCGATCTGCAACTCGTCGATAGTTCTCCTGGTGGCTGACGGATCCTGGGGCCAGGACGCGTCAACCCGATCGCCCTGCGTTGCATGTTACACGGCCACGCGTTACTCTCCGGGTTCCCCTGGATTCAGGTCCATTAGGATCTATTAAGTCCCCAGTTTTAGGTATCTTGGTGGCACTTCGGGATATTTTGGGTTGGGGGAAGGAGGGGAGTGGATAAGGGGCTCGCTCCGCTCATATCTGCCCCTGATCCTAAGCGCCCCAATCCGCAGGGATTGCCCTTCTATAGATCGTCTTGATCGGGGAGAATTACTTAGGACGACAGTTTATTTGGGTGAAGTTTTTTGACAGCCCATGTTGGAATGCATCGTTCGCCCCCGTGAAATAAGTTTACAGCAAGTACGTCCAATTGAAAACGGCCTTCAGGGGTTTGTATTGCATGCTCGCCTGGATTCGACTTCAGAATGCTCCCCTGTACACCTCTTCCACCTCACCAGTCCCAGCACAGCCAATTCAACAGCTACTCACGGTCGATCCGGCCAGATCCGTCCGTTCCCCAGCCAAGTCGTGCGGCAGTGTATGCCGAGTTGACATCCAAAGCTCGCGTTCATTTCTTCATGGAAGAATCTCGGGCAATTGGCCCAGGAGTGGATCTTGGTTTGCCGATCCCAGTAGTTCTCGGCCATCACTGGAGACTTCAAGACACAATTCAACAGTATTAGTTGGACGGAACATCTTGAGTGTATCCACTGCGATAATTTACATTGAATTTGCCTGACCTTGTGCCCTGAAGCGGGGCCTGCCGGGCTCGTTCTGTTCCTGCAGCCCAGGATGCTTCATGCAAATCCTTCCCCTCCGCTTGCTTGAAGATAATCAGCGGAGCTCTAACCATAACGTCACGATGTTGAGCGTCGCCTCCGCAGGCCTGCAGGCTAATACCTCCAATATTCCTTCCGCATTTAGCGTCTATAACAAGGATTTTCTCAACATCCTCGGCTCCGCGCCGAGACTGGAGCTCCTAGTTGAGAACCATGATTATCCATTCGCCCACGAGGCGAGCGTCTACATCCCATCAGAGGATGCGCTGTTCATGAGCAGCAATATCTTCACCGACCCCGTCACCAACGAATCCACCATCCAAGTCTCCCGGGTCAATGTCAGCGCGCATCCTGCCACCGCCGAGATCATCAACACCACCATCCCCATGGCCAACGGCGGTGTCAACCACGCTGGTGGCATTCTCTGGTGTGGCCAGGGCACGTTGAACCAGTCCGGGGGCTTGTACCAGATGTCCGCACAGGCGCCGTACAAGACGGAGCGGCTGGCCAGCGGCTACCACAGGCGCCCATTCAACTCGATCAACGACGTGGTTGTGGCCCGCGACGGCGCCTTCTGGTTCACGGATCCGATCTACGGCTCGCTCCAGGGCATCCGCCCAGCGCCAAAACTGCCCAACCACGTGTACCGCTATGACCCGGCGACCCAGGATATCCGCGTCGTGGCCGATGGCCTGGGCCGCCCCAATGGCATCTCCTTCTCGCCGGACGAGCAGACCCTGTACATCACCGATACGGCGGAGACCGTAGGCGACGGGACCGAGGACGTGCTGCGACCGGCGACTATGTAAGTTCTCTATCCACTCGCGAGACAGACGCGCGTACACGCGGGGATGATCTCTTGTTCTGTCCTTTTTTTTCTCCTTGTCGGTTGAGTCGGCGAAAGAGGAAGGAATGCAGGACGCTGTGTCCCGGTATACTAATCCATTGGCTACAGCTATGCATTCGACGTCACCACCATTCACGGGCAGCCCTTCCTGACCAACCGCCGCGTGTTCGCCATGCCGGGCGATGGTATCCCTGACGGTATCAAGGTAGATCAGGATGGCAATGTGTATGCTGGCTGCAAGGACGGAGTCAACGTCTGGTCGCCTGGGGGTGTTCTTCTGGGCAAGATCCTCATTGAGGACGGCACCTCGAACTTTTCGTTTGGTCAGAACGGGACCATGTTCATTCTCAATGAGAACAAGCTGTGGAAGGCGCGGTTGAACCACAGCGTTCACGGCACGCTGCTGACGAATTGATAAAACCCAGTTATGATTTTGATGGCCTACATTTTCGAATGAATGATAGACGGATTTAAGTGATATTCTTTCCTCACAGCGAGCGATGAGTTTGTGATTGTATATAATTACATCTAGCAACCTCGATATACGTATATTAGACGGGGATTGAGTAACGACTGTCGTAGCATACATTTACAATGGTAATGGCCGTTCTTTCTATTTTCTCCAAATACCGCCGCTGGCAGCTCTCTATTTTCGCCTTGTTGATATTTTAATGTCAATGCTATATTGAACCTGGAATCCTGGCGGAGAACGGTGGTCGATGGGCGGTGGCCAAATCAAGCCCCACGAGACCGCCCAGTGAGTGCCCCTGACGCGTCATCACCGGGAGCCCTTTTCTCGAAACAAGCTTAATTAGAATGCGTGAGGAATGTGTCGTAAACGTGGAGCGTGATGCCTGCATTTGCCGATCACAAGTATACATACATATATCCTGAATGTGAATGAAGATATGGGTTTCTAGCTGTCTCCTCCAATATTTTGCTTAGGGTAAGGGTTTTTATATAGATCCCGCACTAGGCTTACCACAGAGATCGACCCACTGCTAGTCGTAAAGCCAGCCAGACTAAGAAAAAAAAAACCAAGTGATCGCCGTGGGCACGAAAAAGTATACGTTAACATCGCTGGAGCGGGCTGTCGGGGTAGGTGGGGGGTTTAGTCTAAGCATGACATCGCTGGTCATCTCGATGTCATCTTCGGGGCACTCGCGCACCTCATCACCCACCAACCTCAAGCGTTAATCGCCTATCGCCTGTCGCCAGTCGGGCCTCTGCTGTCTCCACGGGTCCCGCATCTCCGCATTTCCCGTGAGTTGAGTCTCTTTTAGTCTTGGGGCTTTTCTGATGTCAGACTTGGCACAGGCAGCACGGGAAAAGGCGCACTTGACGAACGCCGGTTACAATATACATCCCGAGTCAGGATGGCAAGATTCAGAGGGGTCTTGCGTTCCGCTGGAGGAGGGGGAGAGTGGCATTTCTTGACGAGACTCTTGAGATCCCCAGGAAAATACATGAGGATCCAGTAGAAGACCGACATCCCGCGGACCGAGCACGCCATGTGCCTCGTGTGGCTCCTCATCCCGCTCTGCCGATGACCGATGATGGCATCGCGACATGAATGCTTGGCTCGACTAATTTGACCTGCTCCAACCGGGCGTGATATCACGGCTTTAGGTGGGGAGAAAACACCCCATTTGGAACCGACCATGCATCGAGAACCTCATGACGCGAGCTCACAATGTCCCACGTCTCCTCTCCAAAATATGTACCTACCAGCTCTGCCTATCGATGTCATCGGCCAGCAGAGTCGCTGTCGGGAAGCCCGATCCAGCCAACGACCGTTCCGGACTCACTCTGCGCCGACGCAGTTCAAATGCTGCATGACGAGGGCCAAGGGTTGCGCTGGTAGCCGAGGATTTTCCGTTCGTATTCCTGTATGACTTTTCGCTACGACATGGGGGTCTTCCGCCCGAGTTGGCCTCGAGCGTCTTATGTCCAGATGTCGGTGAGCCTCGCAATCGAGGCCCTGTTCTCGGGGACCAACGAGCTCCGTCGCATTGCCGTAGCAATTACAACTCGGCAAACATGTCCCTTCTATGCAGGTCTCGCTCAGCTCGGATGTGCTTCCCGCTTGAGTAAGAAGATCGAGAGGGTGTTCTAATCTCCCCGGAGTTGCCTAGACATGCCTAGATATGCCTAGATGGTCTTCCTTGCCAGATCCCTCGACTCCCAGATGTGCTTGGTCACAGACCCTCTTTCGATGGAGCCCAGGTACGTGGACACCTGTTCTGCGTTCTCCTCGAAGTTGGCCCGATGTTCTTGCCCCCAATCCGCCTTACAGGTCTGGTTAGCCCTACTGAATCCAACATCCACCCACCACCCCCTTTCCCGCCTAACCATGTGACATCGGGTCAAGACTTTTTCATTCACAGGGAGGTTTGGCTTTCGGCCCTCTAACGCGGGGGAGTATATTGTGCCCATCACCATCTCTGGCGCCAAGGCTGATCCCCTTGACGCCTTTCCTATCGGAGCTGTTGACCCCACACCTTCTTCATTCTCCTCTCGCTCAAATGGAACTCGGGAAGCAGTCACGCTGAATGGGCGATCGCTCTGGAAAGGCCATTCAACCGGCTTGTGCGACCGAGCACTGTTCAGCTGGCGATCCTTGGAGCCTCCGCCAGGCCCTGATTGGTTTTGGTAGTGCCGGAAGCTTCCCCACATGAGGCCGATCATCAGCCTCCCCGGACGGGGCGGAGCACAAGAAATCGCGCCCAATGCCAACTGGACGCCCCCAAGAAAGTCAGAAAGTAAGCAAGTAAAAGCCAAAAAAATACCCGAAAGTGTAGATGCCTGAGAAACAAAGAAAAGCATACAGATGCGCCTCCTAGTCGCAGCAACTATATCACGCTAAGAATCGAATATCGACCCCAACAGAACAGGGCTGTGCGGTTGGGGGCTCTGGCGGTTAGCATAGTAAAGAGCTCAGTGGATCAAGGATGAAGGATAAAGGCACAGCCTCGAGGTAAGCGACATTCAACGCAGGAACTACACCGTACTGATCGATTTCTGGAGTACGGAGTACATGCATGGAAAGCCGCTCCCTCTTAACCCGTAGAACCTTTTTTTCGAGATGAAGAACAAAATAAATGAAATATCCGAAAAGAAAACAAAGAACCAAATCCCAGAATTCAAACAGGAAAATCGCTAGTGTAACTATGACCCGAAGATCCCTTGCTGACCTCGTCCCCAATCGTATGTCCGGGGAATGTGGGCCTATGCGACGCACTTGCTTCCTTATTGCGAATCATGCACGATTACCAAAACCTCGTCCTTTCTGCCCCCTGTGCCTGTGGGCTGTGGGTACCGAAGTCTCGACATGATCTAACTGTCCTGATCTTGGAGGTATGCGTCGTTTAGCGCATCGCTCTAGCGCACCATTTGCACCCATCTGGACCGTGAGGGCGACGGCCTTCTATTTCCTGATTCTTTTGCCTTTGTTTTCTCTTCCTTTCCTTTCCTTTTTCTATTTTGTATTTTTGTTTTTATTTTATTTTTATTTTCTCTCTATCGAGATCCCATTTCTGTGCACTGGGTTGGTTCCTTGGGTGGGGGGTTCAGGGCCTACATTGCAGATGCGAGACATCACAAAAGGGATAGCTCGGCCCTGGCCGTCTGATCTCTCTCATTTTCAATCAGAGTTTCTTATGATCTGGTCATACTTTCACTAGGACTAGTTTAATTAGCCATTATTTGGGATTCTGGTTATTAATACACCCCTCGGTGATAACTGTCGGGGCGTTTGAATTTCCGGCTCATACTTCGAATAGTGGTGCATCGCCATGCCGCCCATGCAGTGGCCGAGTACGACATCCAACTCCACTCATCCCCCTCCCAGCGGGTCTATTTGGAAATTACTCGGACGGGCAAAGATTCACCTGCACAACCTCGTAGTTCCAATTTTCTAAGCCCTTCCTATGGCTCCTTTAGACCCATCGGCCCTTTCGTTGTATCCCTACTGTGGCGTTCGAGCCACGTCGGGGGGCCAGCCTGATTACTGACATGTGCCTTACATTCATAGGATAGATATGCACAGGGGACGAGGCTGTGATTGGCGTGCCCTGGTCCCAAGACCTCCATCAAGACGAAAGACGCATCCGCAAAGGCGTTATCTGCATGACCCTCCTATGAGCATGGCGCCCTAGCACACTACCAAGGGGCAGCCGCCGAAGAAAGATGAAGAAGCAAAAACTAAACATAAATAACGCCTTTCCCGCCCCCTCTCCATTCGTCTTTCTAGAAAAACTATAGCAGTTCTTCCCAGCATTCTTCGCTGTTGATCTCCCTCTTCCCCCTCCCTCCTCCTACTCCTATCCTCTCCATTACCCTGCCATCATGCGTCTCTTTGCGGTTGTATCCTTGTTCACCGCGCTAGTGAGCGCGTACCCAGCTCGTGGGCCTTGCACAGGAGACTGTTGGACTCATGATCCTGCCATGATTCGCCGTGAATCAGATGGCAAATACTTCCGCTTCTCCACGGGTACTGGTGTCAACACTATGACCTCCAGCGCCCTGAAGGGCCCCTGGACGGATGTTGGCGCGGCCTTGCCCGATGGCTCTATTATCACTGTGGAGGGAGTGGATAGCACTAACATCTGGGTACGTTGAACAGCTCTGCATACCCACTGGAAAATGTTTAGAAAGCAAAATTTTAACATGCCACAGGCCCCCGATGTCCACTACTCTGGTGGCACCTACTATATGTATTATGTTCTCTCAGAATTGGGCACTCAGAACTCGCGAATTGGCGTGGCCACCTCCACGACCATGGAGCCTGGCTCTTGGACCGACCATGGTGGCATTGGCCTTCCCGCTAATAGCAACTACAACAAAATCGACCCCAATTGGATTGAAATTGATGGCAAGCAATATCTTCAGTTTGGTTCCTACTGGCAGGATCTCTACCAAGTCCAAATGGAGACTGCACTGAAGGTTGGCTCTCACACGCCTTACCAGCTGGCCTACAATGCCAGCTTGAACCACCGCGAGGAGGCCTCGTTCCTTTACAAACACGGCGCCTACTACTATCTCTTCTTCAGTGACGGTATTGCCGGCAAATACACTGCTACTTATCCTGCTGCGGGTGAGGAATATCATATTTCGGTCTGTCGATCGAGCACCGGAACTGGTAACTTCGTAAGTGCGCCCCAATTGCATATTTTATGGCATATTTGATTGCAATAAAAAAAATAAACCGAAAGTGTCGCTAATATATTCCGGCATAGGTTGACAAGGCTGGCACTTCTTGCAAGGAATCTGGCGGTACCATCATTCTAGCCAGCCACAACCAGGTCTACGGACCCGGTGGACAGTATGTGACCCTCTCCTTACAGTTTTGGCACTGTTGAAATCGGACTAACAATCCTCCTAGGGGTGTTCTTACCGATCCAAACCTCGGCCCGGTTCTGTACTACCACTACTATCCGCTGGCCACCAAGAACGCCGGTGGCGACGGGAACGCCGGGTACAGGTACGGCTGGAACCTCCTCGAATTCACCAATGGCTGGCCGGTCGTGACTGCTGTCTAAGCGCCGCCAATTTCGGGACGTTTGCATTTTTTTCGTCTTTATTTGGGAACCTCATTTATACATATCGCATAGGGCGCGTGCAGGTTGCGCGGCCGCCGCGCCCATTACTTTCTTTTCTTACTGTCAATGGTTGGGATCTATACTTCTACCTTCTGAGTACCTTGCGCACTCGTTTGTTCGATACCCATGGATACCTGCGGCCACTCTGGCCGCCCTTTTCCCATTTATGTAATCTGCTGTGGCACGCTTGTGTGTCCGACAGATACTGATACTAATCATATAATGTTATGCCTTCTTCCGTACTGAAGACCCCAAGTGCGGATTGCTCTTGGAGAGTACGATGCGCGGTAGTCCCAGTGTCGAGAATTGGAACAAATGCACAGTTTATATACCTCTTTCTGGCATAATCGCGTGTTCTATAAAGACCATAATAGATACATCGTTCGTTAACTCTTAATAATAGTGGAATTAAACTTTTCATGCATGCAAAACATCATCCCGCCCGTGCTAGTACCATGTCTGAAATATGAGACGTGTTACAGAATTAAAGTGTTTGAAGAGAGGACCATCCAATCATTTTCCACGCAGGTATACGAGGTATACAGGATGACCCGGCCCGCATGCCATTCCTGGTTCGCGGCCTCCTCTCGCCACCCCCTAACAACTAGCAGTCTATCGGCCCACGTACTTGAGCTCCAGGCTGCGTAGGGGCAGGTACGACACGGCAGTAAAGACAAGAGCCAGCTCATTAGCAATGTCGCCGCCGTCGGCCCCGATCTTCCTGGCCAGCGCGCCGACATAGTAGGTCTCCACCATTCCGACGATCCAGCCGGCGGCACCGCACAGGAATGCTGTCAGCCCGGCGTATCCGATTGGCATTTTGGACGGTGTATTCCAGGCGTCGAGGTCATAGTTGGCCAGGCTGCCCTTGCGGAAGTAGTAGTGTTCGATGAAGAGGATGGCGAAAAAGGACGTATTCCAGTAGCCCAGGAGGGAGAGGAAATTTTCCAGTACGTCGAGCAAATGGTCGCGACCGGCAATACCGATGGCCAGAATGCCGGCGAAGACGAGGAAGGACCAGATCACACGTGGGACTTTGGCGAAGGGTGCCGCGAAGAGCTGCGCAGATAGAGCCCCGGAGTAGATGGCAATACAGTTCACACCGACTGTCAGAAGATGGTTAATTGGGAGAAGAATGAGTGTGGAGATGGATTCGGGAGGTTGGAAGAACATACTGCCAGACAGAACTAACAACACGAGGAGGAACTTCGCAAATCCACTAGGATAGATGATTGTCTTCAAGATTTCGCCAATACCGGAATCATACGCCGCCGCCCACTCTGGGTTTGTACTGAGCGCTGAGCTGATACAGGCACCCAGTAGCATGCCAATGCATGTGGGGATCGTAATGCCGAATGTCGTATATAGGAACACCTTGATCTTGGGTGTGTCGACTGGGTAGTGCACATAGAAATCCGAGACAATTGAGCTCCACGACGCGCTGGATCCGTAAATGACACCAATCAGGCTGAGTACGTTGCCGGAGCGAGTCATGCCCGAGACCGTCGGCGGGTCGGCGAGATTGGCGTGGTGCGCTGCTTCACCGTAGATGATCATGAAAATAATGAAAAACATAATCCAAGCATACTTTTCATACAGCAAGACACCGCGCAGCCCGACAAAGCTGAACAGCAGGCTGACACACGCGACAATGACGACACCCCATGCGATGGAGACTCGTCCGTCCGAAACCGCGCTGAGCGCAAGTCCACCGGTGATACAGTTCACGGACGCCCAGCCCAGCTGCTCGATGACGTTCAGCAGCGCAATGATCGACGAAGGGTAGAAGCCGAGCGAGTAGCGAGAGATGGCGACTTGGCGTAGACCCGTGCCTGGACCCATGGTGGCGCACCAGCCCTAACTCAAGCGCCAAACGCTAACATGTCAGTCTCTATGTGTGTCGGATGGAGTCCGCAACCGATCCTTCCACCGAGCTCAGAGCAGGAAGGAAAGGGAAGGAAGAGAAGGGTAATGCGCACCGTCACCGCGGCACCGAGAAGAGTCGCAAAGATCACAATGGGAATTGTCTGCCCCAAGGACAACCCAAACTCGCGGCCAAGGAAACCTGTACTGAAGCAGCTGATGTTCATCGTGGCTGATGCCCACATGAAGGCCATGACTAGCGGACTCGGCGAATGACGGTTCTCTGGGTGCACGCGATCCAGACTATGCGCCTCAATGCCCATCTTGCGGTCGAGGACCTCCTCATAGTAGCGAAATTTGGCGAAGAGACCGCGCGGTGGTTGGGTGAGTTTGGCGGGCTCATCGATTGGGGTGATGGCCAGCTGGGGCTGCGCTTTTTTCTCGAGGTCGTCGTGGTCGAGGGTCGCCATTTTGCTGGGTGGTCGCAGCTACCCGCGCGGCGTGTTAGGGCTGGATTTGAGGAAGACAGAGAAGCGCAGCGGCGAAGGCAGGGGAGGAGGAGAGGTGGAAGGGCGTTGCTTTCTGCTTCTCAATTTTGTATGAAGAGAGAAAGATGAGAGAAAATCCAGAGAAAAGAACCCTCCGCACGCGACTTGAGAAAAACCTGGGGCTAGCGGCTTCTTTTACTCAATTTGTTCGAATTTGGTTCGGCGCATGCTCCTCGTCGGGTTGGCCCTTACCTTTTGTGGGTCGACGGGAGTATGGAGGGTTTTTTTCTTCTCTTATTTTTTTGGTGCTAGTTTGTTTTGCCACATCAAGACTCAGAGATCGGGGGTAATCACCTCTACATATCGATTAAAAAGCATTAATTGTGAAGACTATGTGCCATATCCCTCATACTCTGCACCCATGTTTGTCTGTCGAGTTCTAGGGTGAGTGCGCTTAACGGCGTTGCTAGGGATCAGCCATAGGACATGGGGAGTGATAAGCTTTCGACGGTCCAACGAGGATTCGAAAATTCTTAAAGTCGAGGTGGGGTCGGATGTGGCCGAGCACCGCTGATTCGATTGATTCTCCGCCAGTGGTTTCTTCTGGCCGCTCGGCTAGATCTGCATGTGCAATCTTCAAGGGTTGGACAACAATCATGCAAAAGCTTCACCACAGTTTCAATTGATGTGTGGTAGTCTCTTTTCTAGTGGCAAGGTGGTGACCTGGCTATTTTGCCACCTACTGGAGAGTCGCTATGTTCTCCTAATTCCCCGATAGGCTCGCATCGTAGGCGCTTTGGTTTAAAGCATCCTATCGGGAAGATTGATCACCCCCTGTTCCTGTTCATCTAACGACCCTTTCAATTCAGATTTCTGAGGATGTATACAGAAGTGGGAAGAGGGGAGATGGAAAAGATTGATTAGATCAATAGAGCGACCAAGGCAAAAAAGTTTAAAGCGAATAATCATAATTTTGCTCGCGGCGGAGGCACGTGGTTTGACGTCTAAGCGTGCGAGATCGACGTGAAGCGTCACGTTCAGGCAAATGACGCTGCAATGCCTCTGGAATATGGTTTGGTGATCTACGCCTCTGGATGTTCTGGATAGATACGAAGGGCGAATGAGAGAAAAGGGGGGAGAAAGTGCCATCAATCGGTAGAACGGCCGAACGGGGGACAAGACCAGTCCAGTCAATGGGGCTGTTTGCCCGTGGGGATGTGACACACCACCCGTTGCCTTCGAACAGGACCCTGGAAAAGAGCCAATGGGAGACTCAGGGGGGTGACAGCATCAAACTTCGACATTCATTGTCCAATGACCTTGTGAAAGGGTCTCGAGGCCAAGCAAAAGAAGTGAAGTGGTCGAGTTCGCGTGGCCCAGTCGAGTCGGCCTCGGAGAAAACTTCCCCGGAGCCTCGAGCTGGCCTTTTCTGTGACTTTGTGTACTTCTGGGGATCTCGACTTCACCTCTTCTTCCACCTCCTCCTTCCCACCCCCCTCCACCCACCTCACTCTCCCTTCCCTTTTCTCTCGCCTCCCTCACATTTTTTTTCGTGGGGTCCTGCCTTCGGGCTGTATATTTTTCTGGGCGCTTGGCTAGTCTTGATCCCCCCTCCCCTCCGTATATTTCGGATTCCGCTATTGCCCCCTCTATCTCCTCCGGGGAATTGACCTCAGCCAATCTTACAAATCGAGCATTGGATTCCATCCCCCCAGTTCTGTACGAGTATCTTTCGATCTGTGAGTCCCTATGCGATTTGCCTTTCTTTGCCGGTCTCCCTTTCCGATAGGCCTGCGTTTGTGATCTCTTTCCAACTGACAGTTCATCCTTGGCCGACTAAGATCCGATTGCCCTCACGTTAATTGCACAGTCCCATCGCTTTATCTCGCTTTATCAACCATCCTTCCTTCCATTGCTCAGCTCTCAGATTCCATCCATTCGACATGGCCGCCGAAATGTCGTCTGCGACCAATGGTGGCGCCTCTAAGTCTCTTGCCGCAATGCTGGAAGAGCAACATGCCCGCGACGAGGCTCACAAAGCCACAGTGGAAGAGGTAGTGGATGAGGAGGACCTCAAGCACCCTCCTCCAACAGTGGCTAGCAACGATCCGCCGGTCCCCGTCCTTGTCCCCGCCTCGGAATCCTCAACCCCCGCGGAGGCAGCAGCCCCATCACCTGCCCCTAAGCCAGCCGCAAAGAAGGCCCCGGCCTTCGATGTACAATCTGAAGAGTTGTTCCCGGCGCTCGGCAGCGGCCCGAAACCTGCTGCGCCTGCCGCTGCTACATGGGGTGCGAAAAAACCCTCCGCTGCTGCGGCTGTAGCCAATGGTTTACCCGCTCAACCAATGGGTATGCGACTTTCGCCAAAACCTCTCGGGTATGATGGAAAACTTTGCTGACTTTGGAAAATATAGATGTCCCCCGTGTGATGTCTTTGCCAGGAAAACACATGGAGCAGCTTCGCTTGGCCCCTTCCCAGATGCTCCCTCGTGGACAGTTGAAGAAGCCCCTTCGAGATATTCTCCGGGATATCTCAAGGAGATCCAAGGCTATCGTTGACATGCGTGGCGGCCCCGGTGGTTCGATCATCTTTGAAGGAAAGGGTTCTCAGGACGCCGTTCGCCAGGCTCTAAAGGAAGTGGCGCAGCAGGTTGGATCGAAGGTACGTATATCGAAACAGTGTATGCCTGGATTATCGCAACTAATTCGGCCTGTTTCACTCAAAACAGCAATCCGTCCGGGTTCCCATTCCTGCCTCCGCCCGTCCCCATATTATTGGCCGCCAGGGTGCGGTGGTTCTGGATATCCAAGGTCGTACCGGTGCCCGTGTCCAGGTCCCCCGCGCCGACGATAATGCCGCTCCGGTCCACGACGATGACAGCGAAACCATTGACGTTCTGATTGAGGGTGATGCGGTGGCCGCGGAGATGGCGCGTCGGGAAATTGAGGCGATCGTGAAAGAGCGTGGCTCAAGCATGAACTTGCGCCTGAAGACCATTCCTCCTGAGTTCTTCCCCTTCATTGCTGGTGCGCACAACTCTACCCTGCGGGAGATTGAGGAGCGCACCAAGGCGCAGGTTCATGTACCGCGATACGACACCTGGTCCAGCCAGCCTCTCCCCCAGGAGGCCAACCCAGGCCAGGTTCAGTTTGTGCCCTGCACTGACAGGCACATCCTTATTTCGGGCGAGCGCGCTGCTGCCCAGGAGGCCCGTGCTGAGATTGAGCAGATGGCTGCTGATCTTCAGCGCAAGCTGACTTTGCGCCAGCTCGCCATCAACCGCGGCCAACACCAGTTTATTCTCGGAGACGAGGCTGATGCTTTGCATCAGTTCCTTGCTCAGACCGGATGTGGCATTGTTCTGCCTCCTGCCTCCGATGAGAGCGAGTTCCTGACCATCACCGGTCCCCTGGACCAGATCGAAGCCGGTATCAATCATGCCATGGACCTTGCCACTAGCATGCAGATGGCCAGTATCGACCTGTCTCGCCAACATCCCAATGCCGCCGCCGGCCCGCATGCCCACGCTCGCGCTCTTACTCAATACCTCCGCCGTCGTCAGATCATCAAGCAACTTGAGTCCGCGTACGATGCTCGCATTGCCCTTCCTCCGAGCGTTGACGGACCTGTAACCTGGGAGGTTTACTCTCGCGATGGCAAGAACACCATCCGTGCTCGTTCGGACATCATGAACTTGGTTCAGGCTCACCCTCCTTCCCGCCTGCGTCATGTGTCGGTCGACCCATACTTCCAGCCCTACCTTCGCTCCCGAGGTGCTACTAAGCTGCAGGATGATTATGGTGTCCATCTCCTAGTCCCTGATGATGTCAACAGTCCCGAGGTTGTCCTCGTGTATGAGGGTCCTTCGGCCACTGCATCTAACTTTGAGGTCCCGAGACAGCGCCCTTCCCCGGCAGAGATCGCAGCATTTGAGAAGTCTCTGCAAGAGGCTCAGGATTTCCTGCTCAGTACCCTTGGAAACCAGCAGGAGATCGTTGCTAAGTCGGTTACCGTTCCAGCTAAGTACCAAGAGAAGGTACGCAAGTTCATCCTTCGTGAGCAGGATATCAAGGGCGAGGACAGCATTCCTGTTCGTGCTATCATCGGTGATGCTCAGGCTGGTAAATGCGAGATTTCCCTCCGCGGTCCCTCGGCTTTGGTCGCCGATCTTGCCACCAAGCTGGATGCATTCGTTGTGGAGCAGGAGAAGGATGATCTGGAACGCGGATACACGACCTCCTTTGACTTCCCCCAGAAATACGCCAACTTCCTGATTGGGAAACGTGGTGAAAACATCAACAAGCTTCGCGAAGAGTTCGATGTTGACATCAAGGTGGAGAATGGCAAGGTCGAGGTCAAGGGACCGAAGGCCAAGGCTGATGCCGCTCGCATGCGTATCATCAATATGGGTAAGAAGCTGGAAGATGAGACTACCCACATCCTGAAGATTCCTGCCCAGTACCACCGTGAGTTGATCGGACAGCGTGGCAACCAGGTGAACCGTCTTCAGGATCGCTACTCCGTGCGTGTTCAGTTCCCTCGTGCCAATGTCCCCGCTGATGACGCGTCTGTCACTGAGAGTGGCAGTGATGCTGGTGCTCGCAACAGCCGCCCCCAGCAGGCCTCGGATGAGGTTCTGGTGAAGGGTCCGAGCAAGGGCGCTGATTCGGCCCGTGACGAGATTTTGAGCCTGCTCCAATGGGTTATTGACCACTCTAACTCTGCTACCATTTCTGTTGCCCAAAGCCAGGTTGCGTCGTTGATTGGCCAACGTGGTCGTGAGATGGACAAGCTTCGTGCCGATACTGGCGCTCAGATTGACGTTCCCAGCGCGAACGATGCGCCGGATGCTTCTGGCCGTGTGCAGATTCGCGTCAAGGGTACCAAGCAACAGGTTGCCGAGGCCAAGAAGATTCTACAGCAACGCGCCAGCGAGTTCGACGCCACAGTGACCAAGTCTATTGAAGTGGACAAGAAGTACCATAAGGCCCTCATTGGTGGTGGTGGTACGTTTTTCCAGTCTTGATGATGACACTTTCTCATTTTTTTGTACATTGATCTTGCTAACTTGCATTAGGTGCGAACATCCGCAAGATTGTTGTTGATGCCGGTGGTCCCAACGATGGCAGTGCTGCTCGTATGGTCCGTTTCCCCCGTCCTGATAGCACTGAGTCAACCATTCGCCTCGAGGGCAATGGCAAGATCGTCGACAACATTGTCGCTGCTATTGAGCAATTTGTCAAGGAGCGTGAGGATCAGGTGTCTGAGACCCTGGATGTCCCCACTGCTCAGCATCGCCTGTTGATCGGTCGCGGTGGTGATACCCGCCGTGGCATCGAGTCTAAGTTCAACGTCACTCTGGACATTCCCAAGCAGGGCTCTGGTCGCACCGATGTCAAGCTTAAGGGTCCTAGCAGCGCTGTTGCAGATGCCAAACAGCACGTCCAGGCCATGCTGAAGGAGCAGCACGCCGAGACTGTTGATGTTCCTCGCCACCTGCACCACGTCGTTGCCGATAACGGTACTATCTTCCGCCGTCTGCGCAATGACCACCAGGTCACCGTCGACCACGCTGGTCAATCCGTCCCTGCTAACCGCAGCTCCGAGGAAACCCGTAGCGCGTCTAATGGCACCTCTCTTCCCCTGATCACTGATGACCCTAGCGCCGCCACTGAAGCGCACTCATGGAACGTGGTTGACAGCAGTGTCCCCGCCGATGCTGACACCACGCCCTTCCCGTGGGTGCTCACTGGCTCCCCTGAGAATGTTGCCAAGGCCCGTGCTACCATTGAAAAGTCCATTGCATCTGCCTCGCAACAGTCCGCCATTGGTTACCTGATCCTTCCTGACCCGAAGACCTACCGCTTCGTCGTCGGCCAAGGTGGTAGCCAAATCAATGCCATCCGAAAGAAGACCGGTTGCCGCATCAATGTGCCCAAGGACCAAGCTCGCGGTGAGGCCATCGAGATCCGCGGCAGCACAGCTGGCTTGGAGGAGGCTCGCGATATGATCCTTGAAGCTGTGCAGAATGGTCTGAATGGCTCCGCCCGGTGATCATAGTTTCTTTTTTTAATTTTGGGGTGTATGCAAAGACCAGTGAGTGCGCCATAGGAAGGACGTGAGCGACAGGACATATTTGCACCAGACATATACACCATTTTCCTGTTTGATTTTTGGAGAGGCCTTGCAAGTTTGGATGCAGGGACATTCTTGTTTTTAATTTTTGACTTGGTTTTCTTTTGCCTCACGCTTTTACATTTACTATGGTATTTAGTGTATCTCCCTTCCTATCTAAAAGAATGTTTCTATTCTCTTTTTTTTTTTTTTCATATCCTTTTATAAAGCGTGCCTGGCGAGCATCGCGAATGTTCTCCAGATCTGGGGACACCTGAGTTGTACAAGTTTCTATTTCCTTCTGGATTCACATATATCATTACTGGTATTGTTCACTGCTTTTGCGTAGCTGTTTGTATTGAGCAAACAGAAGGAGAGTAAAGGGCAAGGATTCAAGAAATAGGAATTTCATTACGACTGCTTGATCTCGCCGTCATGAGTGTGAACGTATTCAGCCCAACGGCATGAGGAAATCCTCAACTCGGGATTCTAACCCAACACCCAGGCCTTAGTTCAGCCAGGTCAAACACAGAATCTAGCAGTGTACATTGCACAGGTCGCCAAAGAGCGGCCCCATAATACTAGATGGACCAGTATCGATCATCGAGGGATGTCCATTTAGCCAAGCCAACGGAGTGTACTAGGCAGATTACAGAGAATAATCACTGTCTTATAAAGGGGGATTCGAACTTCAACGTGGTAAGTACGAAGACTACTTGTGCGTTCTCCAGGTTGCGTTTTTTTTTTTTTTTTTTTTTTTTTTTAACGATGGACAGCAAACCAAACCTTCATATATTTAGATAACTGTGTACAGTTTGAAACTTGATTTGACTGACTGTCCCTACACTGCTTGTTCGTTTGAGATAATGTTGAGCTGAGCATCAAAAATGCTACTCGACGCCAGTTTAAGTGTCTTTTACATCATACGACTAAACATTCAACTTTTTTCCAAGGGAAGAATCTATCATTGTCTTCTGAAGAGCACAACAGCTCAGTAGCAGATCCATGCTTTCCCCCTTCCCGTTAGGAAACAATAGACACTCGACAACATTGATTAGATTACAGTGGTTTTTATATCAAACTTCCTCGATTGACATTCTTTGCTGAATGGTAAATAAATAGACTTGATCAAGCAACCTATTCGATAAAAGTCTCGGTGTATATTTGGTATTGTATAAATCTATATTATTAAAGCCCCATGGCATCTTTGGCCTCACGAAGCATGCGAATGTCGCCGGTCCATCTGCAACCCCAATGTAATGAATGCTCCAAAACTCCCCGCCGTCATCAGAACGGGCCCCCAGAATGCAGGCACAAATTGACCCTGCAACAAATACCGTCTCATGGACCAATACCGGAAGAACCCGTAGCCTAGGGACCACAGCCCGAGCACCTGGCAGAGTCGGGCCGCTGAAAAGCCCCCGGCAAGCACTGTCGGGTTCATCCTCTGCGTCGGGGTCGCCCTGGTGCCTGCCTGGGGTTGTGACTGTTCTACTTGCGGCTGTGGCTGGGCCTGTGATTGCGAGCGCCCGGGCTGCTCGTCACTTGGGTGGTGCGCCAGCGCCCCAAGGCCCAGTTTGATCGAGAGCACGCGGTCAATTGCATCGAGACGATCGAGGGCCAGCGCCATGGCCGCGAAGCCCAGGCCGGCACGGGTCCACGAGAGAAACGTGCGCTCGTTGGCGTGGTGGTCACGCTGTTGAGAGCCAGTATTGGGGATGCGCGCGGGTATGACGCGCCGGAAGAAGGAGGCCATCTTCTTCGAGGCTTTGACCTAGTCAAGACTTGAGTCTTAGGTCTTTTCAGAGGATTGTAGCTGGAAGAATTGGGTAGTCATATAAATGGAAGGTTACTCTGTTGAAGGTGAAGGTGTGGCTGAGGGGGCTCGCAACCCGGTGGTCGCAGAAGGGGATCGGAGCGGCACGTGAAGACTCCATACATCTATCGGGGACTCACTGACCGTCCGTCGGGGAACAGCCATTGGATATTCTTCAGCTATTTACTCCGTACTCCGTGCATCGGATCAGATGTTCTGCCGAGGATTCCTTTTACGCAATACCATAAACAGTACCACCTTGTCTGGCGCGGCCATGGCTCTGCGGCTCCGCTTCGCTTCTTGATTGGCCGCTCCGACTCCACCTAGACTATACTCTCAGACCCGAGCCAGGCACTAACACTAACACTCAGGTTTTCGATATAAAAATACTCCAGCAGCCAGGCACCCCCTTCTCATCTATCTTGCTACACTGAAATCGAAGTCACTATCTGTTGTTGTGGTCTCCTGCCGAATCCCTCGGGTCTAGGAGGGCAACTCGGACGAGAAACCCGCCGCTCGGGCGAGAAGGACTCGACTCGGGCGAGAGGCGATGGCATCATCGCCGCCAGACGTGTATTGTTACTGTCGCTCTTTCTCCGAAAATACCAGTGAAACGATGTGAGAATACAGTGTACAAAGCATCAATAAGAGATGGAGAGGCGTCCATTTTTTTTTAAAAAAAAAAAAAAATACAAAACTCCATGAAAAGATTGATATGCTCTAGAACAATATGTATAACAATACAGCGCATGTCACACCGGGCGAATCGGGGGTAGTTACATCCAAGCTCCACCGGAACCGGAGCTCTACACCCAAACATTGAACAAACTCGACATTCTACAGACGCTACCAATCTATCCCGTTCAACTTCATGGGCAGATGAAGCATGCGGTGCCCAGACTCCATCGGCCTCGGAAGCCGACCAGCGCGGATATTTACCTGTAGCGAGGGATGTAGCAGTCGTGGTGCGTTCAGGCTCTTGTCGCGCTCTGTCCGCATCGCCACGAAGTCTGCCTCGGTAATTGAATCGCGGAGGTGCTTATTTTGCGTGCGATGATCACCGACACTCATCCATGCAATCGGAGTTCGGCCTTCAGGAGGGTAGTCGTGGCCGGGCCAGATCTTGATATGGTCGGGGCGGTCGAGCAATTTGCGACCAGATTGAAAGAGGTTATGCGCATCGCCACCGGGGAAGTCGCAGCGAGCGGTGCCGATGTCTGCGTGGAAGAGGGAGTCACCGCAGAAGATGTTGTCTGGTCGTGGCGAGGTCAATGAAATGCGCGTCGCAGTGAGAGGGGGGGATGAGCCGAGATACCTATTTCCTGGCTCAGGTTGGATTCAACTTACCCCCGATCTGATATCCTAGGTGGTCAGGCGTGTGCCCAGGCAGATGGATGGCTGTGACAGTCATTTCACCCACAGTGAAAGTCTCGTCATCCTCGAACAGCTGGTCGAAGACACCGAGGTATTCGTTCTTGGCGAGTCCGTATCGTTGGCCGAAGAGCTTCTGCACTTGCTCGATGCGCTTGCCAATGCCAATCGGCGGCTTATGGCCCTGAATCTGGGCAAACTGCTTCTGCAAATATGATGATGCGGTCAAATGGTCAGCGTGGGCATGTGTCTCTAGAATTCTGTCGACCCGATAGCCTTGTTCTTTCACGAGCGCGAGCAAAGCGTCGGCGGAATGGGTTGTGATGGCTTGAGTAGCGGGATCGTAGTCCAAGACTGGATCAATAATCACCGATGCACATGTGGCGGGGTCAACAACTACATATTGCCAGGTCCCAGTAGCAGATTCAAAGACGTTGTGGATTATTGGCTCTTTGGCCATGGTGGCACTGGTGCTATGTAATGCGCTCCCCAAGACCTGACTCCGGGAGTCCTTGCCTCGAGGTTGTGGCTGCCGGTAGAAAGGGCTTATAGTGCTGTGTTGACGGATCCTTTGGGGAGAACTTTGAGCTGAGTATGTGGCTCGATTGCCTTGCTGGTACAATAACTTGAAGCGCTGGCCGCTGACGGTGGCTGTTGAAGGGATGGTCGTGGAACTCGACAAGCAGCGCAGGCCTCCTAAAGATAGCCAGTTTCTGGAGCTCGCAAGATGAAGAGACTTCATAGTGAAATCTTTAGTCGTTTTGAATAAATAGGAAGATGGATAGACAAGCTGTCGAGGTCCCCGAGGTCGAGGGAAGTATAAAATAGCATTAAGCTTATAGACGCCGGGACAACGGGTCGGGATCCTCAATTTGCCCCCCCTTGATCGCCGATTGCCACCGAATCGGCGATTGAGGAAGCAAATGTCCCCGGCAGAGCGGAGACATGTTTCGAGCCTCAATTGCTCCATCGGGTCGCCTTGTTGTCCCCGGATCCTGTCCATGACCGCAAGCAGTGGACCCCGTAAGCGCGGCGTATTGTAAACTTACGGGGCGGTCGATCACGGCCGAGACAATTCCCGACCTCATTCCACTCGTCCTAATAAGCTGTGAAATCCGCTCTTTCGCTCCCTCTTTCTCCCCCTGACTTCTACATAATTAATCTCACTTTCCTCCCCTTTCCAAATTCCAAAAAGTACACCTTAAAAGAGTACCGAGATGTTCGGCAGTCGCGTGACATCTACTGCCCGTGCGGCTGGCCGCACTGCGCACGGCCTCCGTTCTTTCGCGACGGCAGCGCCGACGACCACCACCGGTCGCAACCACAAGGTCGTGGTTGTGGGCGGCGGCTCCGCTGGTATGGCCATTAGCCACCAGCTGCTGCAATCCGGCAAGTTTACCCAAGACGAGATCGCTATCGTGGACCCTGCGGAGTGGCACCACTTCCAACCCGGCTGGACGCTGGTTGGCGGCGGCCTGAAGAATAAGGAAGAGCTGCGCCGGCCGCTTAAGAGCCTGGTCGACCCCAAACTGAAGCTCTACACTGAGAGCGTATCCACCTTCTCCCCTGAAAACAACTTCGTCACGCTTGGCAATGGCGACAAAGTCAACTATGAACAGCTCATTGTCGCTCCCGGCCTAACCCTCAACTGGGGCAACATCAAGGGCCTGCAGGAGGCCCTGGCCGACCCAAGGGCCCCAGTCTCTTCGATCTACGGCTACGACTCCGTCAGCAAGGTGTTCGGTACAATCCAGAAGCTGGAGAAGGGCAATGCCATATTCACCCAACCTGCCGGCGTTATCAAGTGCGCCGGTGCTCCGCAGAAGATCATGTGGCTGGCGCTGGACCACTGGAAACGCCGCGGCTTGTACGATCCGCGAGACGCCGCCAGCTCGCCCATCCAAATTAACTTCGCGACTGGCTTACCGGTTATGTTCGGCGTGCCGAAGTACAACGCCGCTCTGACAAAGATGCAGCAGGAACGCGGCGTGCACGCCCTGTTCCAGCACGACCTGGTTTCGATCGAGGGTAACACGGCAACATTCGCGCGGCCGGATGGCGCCGCCCCGGTGCAGAAGGCTTTCGACCTACTGCACGTCGCACCGAAGATGGGCGCGCCGGCTTTCGTCAAGAACAGCGTGCTTGCGAACGAAGCCGGTTTCGTCGACGTCGACGACAGCACCACCCAGCACAAGAAGTTCGCCAACGTCTGGTCCGCCGGCGACGCCTCTAGTCTGCCCACTTCCAAGACCATGGCTGCAATCACCTCGCAGTCCCCCGTGCTCGTACACAACCTCCTCGCGACGATGGAGGGCAAGACTGCGGACGCCGTGTACGACGGATACACCTCGTGCCCGCTCCTCACCGAATATGGCAAGGTGCTCCTCGCAGAATTCAAGTATGGCGGCCAGCCGAAGGAGACTTTTGGCGAGTTGTTTGGTATCGACCAGGCCACGCCGCGCCGGGCGTTCTATCACCTCAAGAAGGACTTCTTCCCGTGGGTGTACTACAATGCGATGGTTAAGGGCAACTGGGCTGGACCTAAGGGGTGGATTAACTAGACGCGATTGACTTTTATTCGTTCTTATTCCCTGTATTGTATAAAGATTTGAAGAAATAGATGGCTCTGGCTTTAGCGACTAAACCCGTACAATGTATTCATCGGGAGACCTGATGATACTTCTCATTGAAAAGATCATACATATTTCTTGGCTTAGACTTGTGTCTGGGGTGATCATCAAAAACGAGATCCTTTGTCTGACAGGCGCCAATGCAAATAACCATTATCACATTCCAGGTTGAAAGGAGAGATCAGGTCTATCCATTTGGAGGGGCCCATCAACTTCTCTAACCATGATCCAAGAACTGCGAAAGGACCATCACCGTGACAATGGTATTCTCGGATCCAAGTCCCCGTACTGCTCTTTGTTTATCCGACATTATTCCTTGCTCTCACGATGTGAACAATGAGAAGGTTCTTTGTTTTGGGTGGTCTCTCTAGTATTTTGATCTATATAAGGGCCTCGAATCTTTTTCGTGGTAAGTACTTGAACATCTTTTTGGACTGGTCTTCTCTGAAAGCTGTTGCATAATTATCTAAACTATTGTCTTTATGATGAGATCCAGAGATTTCAACATCGCCGAGATCGAGGCGCGTGGGAAAGACTATCGCCAGTGGATGGATGATCCCGCATATGCTTCTGCCCGTGGTAGAAACTGTCCTCAACCATGCAAAATCACACTTGATAGTCTGACAACCGGGCCGTGGAATGTGAACCAAGTAGAAGCGCCGCTCCCCAGTCCTAGTATACTTTACACTCTCGAAGTCCTATTTCTTACTCAGCCTACGTTTAAAAAGATCGATGTCAAGTCCTGGAAGGATGGCCCCTTCCCCGACTATGCCAACTGGGTTCAAGCATATGTTACCTCTGGAGCCATTGTGCTTCCAGTAGTATGGCGATCCTTTGGACCGCATCTCTCTGAGATCGTAGTTGCCATTTATCGCGCTCATTACCCTGATGTTTCCTTGAAGCAGGTGTTCTTCACCACGATCACCAACGCCCAGACTGTCGATTCTATAAGAGAGCAGCTCTACGAGGAAAACGACATGGAGTTTGGCATCCATGATCACCAGGCGTACTGGGATCATGGAACGCGGGAGTACGACATTGCTCTCGGGACGCCTATAGGTTCTATTGTTGGAGCGATCGTGCTTGGATTGTTCCCACGCGGGACCCACCACATTCGGAAGATCTTGACGTGGACCAAGGAAGACAATCGTATCTTTTTTGATATGGGATTTAGCATCAAGCCCATGGATGCCCCGAATACTCCCATCGATTCGCCCCTGACGAGTGTTCCTCCCACCGAGGAGGAGAATGAGCTTACTCCCTTTCCAGGTATACCTGTCGCTCCGTTTCCTGCAGATGTTTCTGATACTTCTACCCTCTCTAATGCCGATAGTAACCCTTCAACTCCGAAGAGCTAGGACTGAGACCATAAATGTGCCATATCCTCTTATGGATGCTTCTCAGGCAAATTGATATTCCGTTTTTTTACCTAGAAATCTATGTCTTAAATCAAATATTTTTTACAGTAATGATAGATACAATGTGTTCCTCTTTTGAGAATCCCATCCTTATGGAAGATGGCAGGCTGTCTAGGTCATAATATGTAGAACTCAAGAAGCACAAAAGGTAGTGCGGGGGGAATTACTCAATTTGGAAATCCCCCCCCCCCCCCCTCTCCGGGGCCACGTGGAAAGAATAGAAGCGGTGGGTAAGAGGGGACTCGAATTGGTGGCAACTAGGGTATATAAGGTTTGCGGAAATAATCGACTCAAACCACAACGCTACGAAGATCCGACTTAGAGCCGCGTTCAATACATATGCTGTAGAGGAATTTTATTCCGCGAGTAAATTTGCTGTTCGCAGATTCTTGATGAGAATACCCCGCGTAGATGACGATGCAATGTGGGATTCGCTTGTACCTAGGGACAGCCATCGATCTAGATTGGCAGGGCCCTTGAGAAGCTTGAGCAAGTTTGTCCCTCATTGTCTGTTTGACGCCAAATTCGTCAATAAATATACTCTCTAAGCGCAGGAGAATTCAGCTCTCTGTCTGTAGATGTTACTATATAAAGGACCTTTCTTTCCCTCGGATTTTGAACTCCAGAAATTCCTCTCTGTATTATAACCCCCAAACCATCACCTCATCATATCACCCATGATGCTAGGGCTTCTTCTCTTTGCCGGGACTGCCTTGGCAGCTACCATTTACATCTTCGTTCTCCCAATCATCAATTATTTTCGTGATTCCAAAGGCCTCAGAAAATACCCGGGATTTTCACCACTGTCAGGATTTACTGATCTTCGTCACTGTTATCTGGCAGCATGTGGATATCGCTCTAAATATCTCCATGAGGCACATCAGAGCGCGCCGATTTTACGTACTGGGCCCAACGCCCTCTCCTTCGGAGACGTTCGTGCTATTAAAGATATATATGGACATGGCACGAAGTGCGTCAAAGACATGAACTACACCCTTACGAGTGGCTCGCACACCAATCTCTTCGACGTTGTCCATAAAGAGCACCATGCCAGTAAGCGCAAGCTACTATCCGCCGCGTTCGCAATCAAAAACTTAGAACGATGGGAGCACAAAGTGGCCTATACCACCCAACGGCTTCTCAACTCAATCGACTCCCGTTGTACCCTCCCTTTGCCCACCGGCCAAGTTATCCCCGATCCTCGAGACCTCACTGTCGACTTTGGCAGCCTAGTATACCTTTTCACCATTGAGGCAATCAACTTCCTCGCGCTGTCTTCCCAGATGGATCTTTTAGACAAAGGCGCAGATATTGTCACTGCTGAGAAGCCCGATGGTACTATCTACAAAGCCAGCTATCGAGACTCACAGAGCCATGCTGCGCTGGCTCCTTCAGTATTCGTGTGGGACCATCAACACTTCCCTCTTCTAAAGAAGCTTTCTAAGCTGAGTCCAAAATGGCGCGATGTTTGGAAAAGGGGCGAGCCTTGGGGAGATATCGTCTACCATCAGGCAGCTACACGCCTCCGGCGTTATATGGCCGGTGAAAGGCTGGATGATTTCTTCGAGTCATTGATGGAGGACAAGAAGCACAATCCCAACAACCTTGAGTGGGGTGAGATCATGGCTGAAGTCGGTGGTCTTATCAATGCTGGGGCCGATACCACATCGATCGCCCTGACGAATGTGCTGGAGCTGCTTCTTCACAGCCCGCAAACTCTTCAAAAACTGCGAGAAGAGATTGATGAGGTTCTCGACGAAGACGAGGTCGTCGCTTCCTACGAAAAGATCAAGAACCTCCCTTTCCTCAAAGCCTGTATCGATGAGAGCCTCCACATAAGCCCCCCTACATCCGCTGGACTTCCGAGACGTACCCCTCCAGAGGGAGCGGAAATCTTGAATCAGTTTATCCCTGGCGACACAACAGTATACATGACCATCTATGGGACCCATCGGGATCCCGAGATCTTCCCTAACCCTGATGAATACAGGCCAGAGAGGTGGATGGATCTTGAAGAAAGGAAGCGGATGGAGCCGTATTTCATACCTTTTTCCACTGGTTCGCGGGGATGCTTGGGGCGAAACATCTCATATCTTGAACAGATGGTTGTCCTTGCTTCGATAGTCCACAGATACGAATTTGCGCTGCCTAGCCCGGACTTCCAGCTTGATCGCCAGGAAGCCTTCAATCTTCTTGTTGGGGAGTTGCCGTTGAAAGTTTGGTACCGCAAGGGGTCACAATGATCGCTATATATCCAGGCGAAGGGTTGTGGTGCACTCTTCGCCTCGAAGCTGCCCGCGGCCCTGTTGACCACAATAGTCTATAATTGGCCTGGTATTCTATCCTTTTATCTCTATTGAATAAATTCATAAAGAGAAGAAGAGAGATGTGGTTCAAAAAATAGGGTTAGAAAGACCCAAACAGTCGATGAAGGGTTGACATATCTCGCGTTCGACAAATATTCTTTTTTGAGTGAAATATATCTGGTGTTCTACATCAACAAGATCACTAGGGATATCTTTCCATTCTGACTATTTTACGAAAATATACCCAATTAGACTCCGGGTAGAACCGTATCAATAGAAACAACAGCGGTCTTATAGGCCTTGTACGAATTTGAAGCGGGGAAAAAGGGAAGGGAAGAAAAGAGGGGTCGGTGGGCAACATGGTAGTACTGACGCGAAGTCTGCGAGGAAGTCAGGAAAGATATGGTCTAAGCCCAGCCCTGCAATTGATAACCCAATTCGTATCGATCTATTAATATGTGCATAGAACCAAAAAGAAACAGCTTCTATCTGCAATCCTCCCTTTCCCCCCACTTCTTCCCCGCCGCACGGGAAGAGAGTACCGCGCATGGTGTAAATCTGACCCCCACCCAAAGTTGAGACGGGAATCAACGCCCAAAAGAGGAATAAATACCGCGACACCTTAACAGTCTCGCACCGGAGGATTCGTTGGCAACTGGTCCACTCTGCCCGAGAAGGTTCCAGGATTTCATCGGCTCCTGGTGACCTAGCACGCAGGGGTCAAGCGAATCATAGTAAGTGCAAGGCAATTCGCAGAGGAAAGCAAGTACTCAAGATAGCCGACCAGGGCAAGAAAGGATCCATGGAAAGCAGAGATGGATCATCAGCCAACGAGAGGGGAAACACAGGTGTGAAAAAAAAGGACACAACTTTAAGATAGAACGAGAAATAAAAAAAAGATGAATAACCCGGGACCCCGAAAATCAGTTGGTGACTCCAGCGAGACTGTCTGCAAAACCCCCCACCGTGCCAATTCCGAATCCACTGTTGGGGTCGGCGCCCCCCTCACCGATTGTCCGGTGACAATTGTCTCCAAATTCGGTGTTCTTTTGATCTTCTCCTCATGCAAAACCCCACTTTGCTCCTCCCAGACGGATCATCCGTAGAGATGTTTACTGTTGCTGGGCCTGCTGAGCCTGGAGGTAGTTGTAAGCACCGTAGGCGATGGCACCACCAATAAGGATGACGGCGTAGAGGCCGACACCGAAGCCACCGGAAGAAGAGGAAGAGGCGGAGGCGGCGCTGGCAGAGTGTTGGGGCTTGGGCTCAGGGTCACCGGGCTGAAGACAAAATGGTCAGCACTTTGCGGGAGGAAGAGCGAGGAAAACAAGGGAGAAAATGGGCACAGCCGACATACCATGCGCTTCACAGAGCCAACAAGCAGGCCGTCGAGGATCTCGCGCGCCTCATCGGAGTGACCGACATCCTCAAACGCCTCGGAGCCGTCCTGGCCGGCAACGTCCAAGAGAACTTCCTCACCACCGCTGCAAGGAACCGATTAGCCTGAACCCGGGGACTCCAATAAAATTGTTGGGGATGCCAGGATGAACGAGTAGATTGCGATAAGGGGGGTTGGTTGTGGCTGGGTTTTATTTTCTTGGGCATCTTCGGGCTTTCGCGACAGCTGGAAGGGCCCCTTCGACGCGCAATCACTCTGGGAGAGGAAGGGGAGGAGGCAGTGTACATACGGGTGCTCATCGACGAAGCTGGTGCAGTCGTAGACCTTGTCGTGAATGACCATGTACAGGTCCTTCTTGGTGTTGTGGCCAGCGACCTCCTTGAGGGTGAACTCCTTGGAATCAGACATGGTGAACGATGGAATAGCCTAGAATAGAGCAAACCGCCAACACTCGTTAGTCAAGGAAGTCTCACCCCGTGCCATTGGAGATGGGACTGTCGGGGCCGGGGGGTGGAAGGGGAGTGACCAGGCTCGTCGGAGGAAAAGCCACTGTCGGAGGCGTTCGAGGCCACGAAAAAGATCCGATAGGAGCGAACGAGGCAGAAAGGGGAGAAGTGCCGCGAGGGGAGCCCCAAAAGAATACTCACGTTGAGAGAAAAAGACGAAAAGCGACTGGCAGAGGGGGAATATGTGCAGGAATGAAAAGCGTCTAAGAAGTAGAAAGAAGGAGGAAGTCGGAGAGAGTTTAGGGAGAAGGCCAGGCGGAGAGCAACAAACGGGGGCACTAAGAAAGGGACCAGGACCAGACTCCCGTGAATGCCACCCGGTGAGGACGCTTAACCGGGGTAATGGGGGTTTTTTTTCTCGCCTCTCGGGTTCGGCTGATTACATGAGATTCCCAAACATTCCCAGAACTGTCAAGAGACGCTCACTCGACGTACGATCCCCCGATGCGTCCGGGGGGTGTTGACTGCGAAAGGTCGAGAATTGACCGATGTGGGCGAATCAGCGGCTGCTTATTCGGCGAGCCTCGGTGTCTCTGAGGAACAGCAGGCGATCGTCACGGGCGTGTGAACGTTGCGCGCCCGGATCCCCGGCCGCACTTGTGTCGGAGTATCGAGGTCGACGGGATGCTACTATGTTGGCGATTGGCATCGACGAGACCGGTGCTCTTTCTCGCGGTCTCCCATTGCGCCGTATTGTTCTAGATTACGCTGGTTGTCATGATTCTGGGGGGTTTCTTGACAACCAATTTCCTCGCCTGCTACGGCAGTGATGTATTATAAGCCCTCGACATAACGATGAGTCTCGATATGTCTCGATGTGTCTCGATATGTCGCGAAGTGTCTTGCTATGTCCGTGTATGTCTGCATCCCGGACAGGATCCCAGGACGAGCCCGGAAGTCGTCCTCACGGCCGGCGGTCGGGAATTGACGCTGCCCCTCACGGGCCTCAGGCTGGCGATGCCCGTCCACCGCCCCAAACCCTCGGCCTATTCCCATCGGGAAATGGGCCCGGGAGTAGTGCTGCGATCTCCGCGCTCTCCTCGTTGCCCCCCCCCTCATTCCCATCTTTCTGCTGGCGTCTCCGCATTTCGCTGGAGCGTGCCTTGAAAGTCTGGCAAACCACTCGGACGGTGACTGCTACTTCTCTTACTACTACTACTCTTACCGCTACTCTTATTACTACTACTACTACTACTACTACTACTACTACTACTACTACTACTACTGTACTACTGGACTACTGGACTAGTGGACTAGGGGCCGTCTGACTAAACCCTATCCTTTCCAATCCTTTCCAATACGGCGATCGACCGGGTCCTGCCATCCTGTCCGTGGGCCTCTCCGTGTTCCGCAGACGCGGAATTACATGGCATCGCTCCACTCAGCCCATGCGGCCATTCCCGCATCCCATGTATACACGGTAAACCGGCCTCCTCTGTAGCACGGGAATCCGCCCATTCACCCGCTGAATCCCACGAGTAGTCCTCGTTGTGTTTTCTCTCGAGGCCGATCAAGCCACGGTGCATAAAATTGGATGCGTTGTATGTATTCAATACGTCCAAACTGATCTCGCATCCTAGAAGGGAGAAGAGTGAGAACAGGGGGAATGCAGGTTCCCTGTCATGAAGGCGTCCAGACATCCGGACATCCGATCATCCGAGACCCCGGGCTTTGACGACGTATTGACTGAGATCATCTCCTACAGGGCTCCACCGAAATTGCGGAGTGACGGGATGGCAGGGGAGTGTCTTGGTCCCTTCTCGAGTATCAATCAGTCTCCCATTGTACGTAGTACGATTACCGGGGATAGATCATAGAAGACGATGGAAGTATGTTTCACACACACTTTCTCTCTTTCGCTTCTCTTGCTCTCCGCCAGACGGATCCCATCCCACAATGCTGGATAGTAGAATGAGGCGAAAATTACAGTTATTCTATATCTTGAACCGTGCACCAGAAGTAGACAGACGGGTTGCCATTGCAGCACGACCCTACAGTATGAGTATGAGCAGGAGTATATAAACCCAGAAGGTTCCCAGGCGCCATCTCTATCCAATCGTGGTTATCGTGACATGCAAAACAGAAAATACACAAGGGATGTCCAAGAAGAGAAGGTCCAAAGCAGAACGAACCAGGATTCTGAAAGACAAAAACAAAAGACCAAAGGCAATGGCAAAGGCAATGGCAATGACAATGACAATGAAAAAGCTAGATAGGGCAGAGAGAGAGAGGGGAAAAAAAAGAAAAAAAAGCAGAGAATCGCTCATTTCGCTGGAACTCGCTCATAAAACACAATATACGCTTGCTCGTTCTGTAACTGGTCGCGGCCCCACAAGGAGCGCGGGTTGAAATCGGTTATGCGGTCGTCATCAAACTTCCGCCAGCACTGGCGCTCGGCGTCGCGCACGAGCGAGATATAATGCCCGCTGCCCATGGACGAGCCAATGTGTCGCAGCACGGCAAAGGCGTCGTAGTTGAACGGCGGCACGGCAGCATCCGTGGGCGCCGGGAACTCCGCGCCCGACGGTGGCGCGGAGGCCGACGATGCAAACACGAAGTCGTCCATGCGGAGTCCATGCAAGGGGAAGTCGATCGGGGTATGGATCTTCCGCGCGCTTTGTGTTTTAGAGGCGGAGAAGCGCTTGAAGTGGATGACCAGGATCTGCGGGGCCCGCGTGATGATGATCTGCTTCGTGGCCATGCGCTTGCACTTGCAGTGCGGACACTTCCACACCTCGTCGCCGCTCAGCATCTCCTCTTTGCAGTAACTCTGGAGGCACTGGTAGATGTCGCCGGTCCCCGTGGGCGGAATCTCGACGCTGATGCTGTAGAACGCCTCGTAGGTGGTAGAGGTCTTTTTGCATGTGGTGCAGCGCAGTCGGCTAGCATGTTGCCCGGCGAAGAGGGAGGAGATAAACGATTCCTCCCGATGACAATATCGATCCCATTCAATACGGGACACCTTCGACACCGGCATTTTCTCACGACACATCTCCTGGTCGAAGGTCAAGGGTCGCAAGGGAGTACGCTGCCAGTTGACGTTCAGATCCTCGTGCAAGCAATCCACGACAAAATCGAAAAACTCTTTTGCATCTTGCTGCCGGTCAATGGCCCACTCCCGATTCAATCGGCCGCAGAAGTTACGGAATGAGCTGGGTTTGATGATCTCAACATCTCCCTTCCATAAAGATCTGATCAGGTTCGCGAACAGCCCAGGCATAATGCCCTGTGATCCCTTCCAATTTTTCTGAACATAGTATCTGAATCGATCGTCGATGAAAAACTTGCTCATAATGACAGTTGCACTGAGGCATTGCACCGTCGAATTCATATAGCAAGTGACTCCAAAATTGTAGAGCCCTGTCCGTGGGAGCTTCAATCGACTGAGTCGTGAGTTCGGCGTATACAAGGCGGTGCGACTGGCCGAGTTCTGCCGTTCAAGATAAAGTTGATTATGCCGTCCATCGGCGACGCCACTGTAGCTCGGACGAGCAACTGCCGGTGGCGGTCGTGATGGGGCAACCGGGACGGAGGCTGCATAATTTGGCGCCGCAGGAGCAGGTGGCAGCTTCTCGGGATGCATCATAGACTGTTGCTGAACGTGATACGGTTCTGGGAAACGTCGCAAGAAGTCCTCGTAAGAGTGGACAAACGGAGTTGTAGGCTCGGAGTCAGTAGCCTCCTCCTGGGGTTCTTCAGTGAGTAGTTCATCATCTAGATAAGGGCTGGTGTCGATTTCTTCGTTCTTCGACCGTTCCATCCATGCAGATAACTCTTCTGAGTTAAGCGGTGTAAACTCGCGAAGTCTTCGCTTGCGCACTTCGAGACTCGAATTAGCGCTGGCCATAGTAGGTACCCGGCCTAGGGGTCGACCAGGTCGGGGGACTGGCTTTTTGGCCTGCAATGATCCCATAATTGCGGCGGTCGAGGATGTCGCAAGCGACTGCTGCCCAATCAAATCAATCCATGCATCCAAACCGCCAAGGAGAAGGGCCGGAGGGCGTCCCGCCTTGAGCGGCTTATATTCATTGAATTCATAGAGGGTGTCATAGAGAGCTCGAAGATGTGGCGCTGATGTCCCCACTGGTGAGCCTGCGAGGTAGCTGACCGAAGCTGCATTTTGGTCATAGTAGACGACGAGATCAAATTCGTTTCGCCGCTCAAACAAGGTTTGTTCATGCTCCGGGGAAACAATCAGGCGCTCCTCAAGTTCTTCGGCGGAGACGTTTTCTCTCAAAGCCACAGGCTCTATGCAAATTATTGACTTTGCGTAGATATGACCACTGTCGTATTGGTCTCGAGGACGGACATCGATTATCAGAACGTTAAATCGTCGCAAATAGTCGAGAAGATTTTGAGCTGTAATAGCAGAGTTATATGGTAGGTCTGGCGAATTACTCCGAGTTTCACGTGCAGGATTGACGCCATTCGGTGTACGCGCTCGATACGGATTTTCATCAAAACCGCGGCTGGGACTGCCACGAGGGGAATTTGTAAAGTGGGAATATCGCTGATTGAATGATCGCGTGCTCTCAGTAGATGTCCGAGGAGGGTTTGAAGGGGGCTGCGAGGGCACAGTGAAGATTGGGCTGTAGGTGGGGTCGGGAGCACGCGGGAGAGAAGTGGTGAGAGGCACCTTTGGAGGCACGGATGGTACTGATGGAGCATAGGATGAAGAGCCCATGCTTCGAGGCCCCAAAGGCTTCCTGGAAGGCGAACCAACCGCCGGGCTATAATTTCCCGGGGAACTGTTGGTCGTATAGCTGGGTTGTGTAGAAGCGTTCACCGGGGTCGAGTCTTGTTCGCGGGATTGTGAGGTTTTCAGTCGTGCAAACCGTTGGGCTAAAATATCATCGGATGGGGTGGATAATCGTTTCGGTTGAGTCTGAGAATCTGATATCCGGTGAAACTGGGTTGGACTCGGCATTCGAACCATAGTTTTTCCTGGATCATGGTTTTCTCGCCCACTGTAAGCGATAGAGGCTTCTTTCCCAGGCGAGGTCGCAGAAAAAGCACCTGTGGATGGTATATTGCTGCTTAAGTTGTCCTCAATGATTTCCTGCTTGATCGCGTCCATGGTTCCTTGCTTGGTCCGCACCGCCTATTTCCAACGTATAAGGTCAGCTTTGTACATGACTCGCGAGTGTATGAATTGGTGGGTATTGTCGGCATTGGAGTCTCGAAGACACCGAAGAACAAACAACGCACCATCATCAAAGCTGCGAACTCCTTGTACCATCCAGGGCGCTGGGTGATGTATGTCCGATAGTCTGGGTGGTGGGGGATGATGTTGACGGTGATTTCCGAAGCGCGAAGATACTGGACATAGGCCTGATCGGATTCGTTCTCGTCTGCGAGGTTCTTGGCTTTCTCTATTGCGTCGGCGGCGGTTCTCAGTAGAACCTCCAGCTAAAAACGTAACACATGAGCCAGTTGTCCTCCCCGCCACGTTCATTATCTTCTACTTACGGGCGTACTCTCGTTCACCATCAACAGTGCGGCCTGATCCTGCAAGTCTTTGATGTTGGGAAATCGGGGTCGTGGTGCTGGAAAGGCGCCATTCTGATAGGAGCCGGGGCTGGTGACCTGGCCGTTGGAATGCATGTTGCCCCCCACCGAGTAAGGACGCCTTCCGTCCTTCCACGGCGGTATGCCTGGTGGAGAGGGTAAAGCCGCCGCATCGGGGGGCATGATCAAGGCAGGAAGATTGGGACCTTTAGCGCATGGTTTGAGCGTGTGAAGAGAGTGAAATCAAACCAAGGCACCAACAATAACGAGTGACGACGTAAAGGACAAGTCCAAGTGATCCAGGAACCGCAGCGGGTCTGGGGTAACGAGAGTGACAATACCTCTCACCGCCCCCGCGCCTATGACGCCAGGAGCTTAGTCACGGCGGGCTGCCTGGAGCTCCATCTCATCCTTGATTCACACGGCGCGTGTTACTTCTACTTTCCTGTAATAAGCTTCTCGTTTCGAAGACTGCGCACACTGCTGGCGTGGTGATCTCGCCGATTTCTAATCATGTCCGGATGGTTCTCCTCCACGTCGCCCCTCGACGAGCAGATCGAGCGGGCGACCGGTTCCTCTCTGTACGTTGTCGCCTACCTCCATCTGATGCCTAATAATGACGCTGTGTCAATTCGGGACCTTGGGAGAACCAGTAAATACGCGAAACTAACCAATTTTCCAGGGAAGATATTGCTCTCAACTTGGAGATCTCTGACATGGTCCGATCGAAGAGTGTTCAGCCCAAAGATGCCATGAGGTCTTTGAAACGACGACTGGAGAATCGGAACCCCAATATTCAACTTGCAACATTAAAGGTATGTTACTCAGATGTCAAATGGCAGAGGCTCTGTATAAAAGATACTGATCAACGTGCTTGTCTACTAGTTGACCGATACATGCGTCAAGAACGGAGGCACTCACTTCCTTGCCGAGATTGCGTCTCGCGAATTTATGGATAACCTGGTATCGCTGCTCAAGTCTGAAGGGGCGCCATTGAATCCTGATGTTCAACGAAAGGTGTTGGAACTCATCCAGAACTGGGCCATGGCTGCTCAAGGTCGGATGGATCTGATGTATGTTGGGGAGACTTATCGCAAGCTTCAGAATGAGGGGTTACATTTCCCCCCAAAGACCGAAATGAGCGGTAGTATGTTGGAAAGCAACGCAGTAAGTGTTCCGTGATCAAGTAATTCGATTCAGTGAAAACGATGGATATGCTAACCTTATGGATCAGCCCCCAGAATGGATCGACTCCGATGTTTGTATGCGATGCCGCACCGCCTTCAGCTTCATGAATCGCAAGCACCACTGTCGGAACTGCGGAAATGTTTTTGATCAACAGTGTTCCAGCAAGACCCTTCCGCTTCCGCATCTTGGAATTCTGCAGCCTGTTAGAGTCGACGATGGATGCCATACCAAGTTGACTTCGAAGTCATTTACGCCCGCTGGCATCTCTGATCGCTCTGCGTTTAAGAACAATTCTATCACAAAGTCTAGCTCGATGGAACCTCGCGGCGCCAAGGCTGACACCAGCTTTGATGATGATTTGCGCAGAGCTTTGCAGATGAGTCTTGAAGAGGCCGAAGGCAGGGGTCCTACGGGATTTGTACCGCAAACCGGCGATGCTCCTGAGCCCACTAAGCCAGCTCCAGGCCCTGCCAATGTGGAGGAGGAAGATGCAGATCTTAAGGCCGCTATCGAAGCATCTCTTCGGGACATGGAAGAGCACAAACAGAAACATGCGGCTGCATTGAAAAGCAGCGCCCACCCCAGTAGCACATTGCGCGATTCATCAAGCACGCCCACCCCACTGCCTAAGAATCCTTACGAACTCAGTGCCGTGGAGGCTGAGAACATCCATCTCTTCTCTACATTGGTCGATCGGTTGCAGCACCAGCCCCCAGGTACCATTCTTCGGGAGCCACAGATCCAAGAGCTTTATGAGAGTATTGGTGCGCTCAGACCTAAATTGGCACGGAGCTATGGAGAGACAATGAGCAAACATGGTGAGCTGATTTTATAGACCCGAGGCATGTCCTGTTTTTCAGACTAACCATTTTGATACCCTCCACAGATACCCTCCTCGACCTCCATTCGAAATTATCAACAGTCGTTCGCTATTATGACAGAATGCTAGAAGAACGTTTGTCGAGCGCATACTCGCAGCAGACACTTGGCTATGGAGCTATCCCGGGCGCCCCTCAATATCCTACCATGTCTGGTTTGGCTTCTCAACCTGCTGACCTCAATTCCGGCACCGAGAACTTCTATTATGGCAATGCTCCCGACATGTCTCGCCCTTCCACCACCGTATATGCCCCTCAGATCAACGGTCAAGCGCATGGATACGAGGCACAGGGTGCGGCTGTAACCGGTCCCGGTTACTCGCAACAAGCCCGGAATGGACACTCTGCAGCCGAGACATACAATAATGCGTGGCAGCAAAACCCGTACCCGTCCTTGAGCTCGCCCCCGCATTCTAATAGCACAATACCCAGCAACCATCCTGGCTCCGCTTCCGGAAATGTTGCCCAATATTACACGCCACAACCTGAGCAAGACCCATCCAAGCCGCAATTCGCAGAAGCCTCATACCAACGTGCCTCGCCGATCGCGAGACGAGATTCGCAGTACCAAAATGCTGCACCGTCAGGTGTTCCGGCTCCATCTGCACCCGAGTCACATCCTTCTCCCCAACATGTGCAATCCCCGACCTACTCCGCGGTGCCCCTGGCTGGACCTCCCGTCCAACAGCAGCCGACTGGACCTCCACCTCAGTCATACTATTATCAACCCAATACTGTGCCATCTGGGTACCCACCGATGACAACTGGCCAACCGGGTGCATACTCGGAGCCCGCACAACCGCAGCCTTCCACATCTCATCAACCACCTCGACCGGTGGAGGAGAGCTTGATTGAGCTGTAGCTTATTTAGTTGCATTTCCATCCATGGCGTTCAATCTTTTTGTTTTTTCTTTTTATCCTCAAGTTGGTTCTTTGTGTACTCCATGATACCTGACAGTTTCTCCCTGAATTTGCCTTGCTCCTTATTTCTCTTTGCAGAATGTATCTAGATGTGGTCTATTGTATTGTTGCTTGACATTGGAGATGTTTAGCTGCAAATGTCATGCATAGAATCTAAACAAGTGAAGCCTCCACCATAGTGGCTGGGTTGAAAAAAAAAACTCAATCGATTTGTCTGTAGTGTGGTATAACCTATACGTGATGCCTAGTGTCCTGCCGCACCAGGAAACTGAGACCAACTCGAAGCCGCACTGGTTCCCCACAGTAAATGGCCCGCCCCCTCCGTACCGTATTTTTACCCGAGTGGTCCCCCATCGCCGAAGACAGCGAGATCGAACCTCCATCCTCTTCTCTCCACCCTTCTCACCACCCCCCAGCTTTTCCCAAGCTCCTTCACCAGCTCTAACTCATCACAGACGGTTGTGTCCGCAGCCTCTGGGCTCGAGAGGGGCGGTGTAGACGCCTTCCTGCACTCGAATTATTACACCTCATTGCTTTTTCGCCTGCACGTCCCCAGCTGCCGTGAGACTCGCTGCCTCGGCCAATCCCCTTCCATGACCCCGGTACATCGCTGATTTACCCGCCGCTCCCTGGGCTGCTTTTACCGCCATGCCTAACAGCACGTCTTCGCCCGTCAAGCGCCCCGGTCTCGCCCGCCGTGCTGTTTCTTCACATGCAGTCGTCACGAGGACGACAGCCAACCCCAACGAGCTGTCGCAGTCTCATTCTTCCAAGGGCCCCCTTCATCATAAAGCACATCGCGCCCATGTTGTTGGCGGTGGCCACCGCCATCACCATCGAAATCCCTCCTTCGGAAAGAATTTGAACAAACTACAACGCTTCCAGCTAGGGCCCGAGACCACCGGGCGACATCATCAACGCAAGAAGTCCGCTCCGGCAACCCCCATCGGTAGTCCTAAGGGTACGGCACATGTACGCTGGGACGGAGCGCTGGACGATCATCCGAAGAATACGTCGATGAAGAGAAACAACTCGACGCCTGCGCTACGACGAAATACCTCAGGTATTGGGAAGAAATCCCTAGTGACGGAGCGGCCGCACTCAAGCTCCGAGAAGAAGAAGACGGTCGGATTTGAATTGGGTGATGACGAGAACGACGACGCCGAGTGGGAGGATACCACGCAATCACCCGAAAGTACAAGACGCAATTCTGTCGCGCCATCCAACCAAAGCCTGGAGAACACCCAAGTCCTAGTCGATCCTCTAACTTTTGTGAAGCGCCCCTATCCGCAGATGCCTCGAGCGACTAGTTTGCCTGACTCGATCACCAACAAGTTTGTACGAGAGGACCCCGAGCAATCCGAAGAAGACCAAGAGGAGGAGGAAGAAGAGTCAGACGAAACACAGGACGCCAACCAGCAGTCTGACCAGGGGGACATTGCGAACCGTCTCCTCAGCCCTTCGCACTCCGCCAAAGCCCCACCGGCCATGTCTTCTATTTCTGCGATGGCCAAGCCCTCAGAAACCGCGTCACGCAGTGCCTCTTTCACTCTGGCTGCTGGCCAGGAGGGTGCGCGGAGGACGTTCTCGACTTCCAACCTTGTGATGGCTCAACTTCCCGGCAGTCATACCCAAGCTACTTCCTCGTCTATGGAAGGCGGCGTTTCGAGATTCATCATGAGCAATAAATCCGGGGTCCAGGCTTCTTCACGGACCGACTCCGATCCGAATACCCCCTCCTCCTTTCTCCCCCATTATCATCCCCAAACGCCGCCATCCCCTGGCCGAGGGGCCAGCAAGTCCACTGCATCTCCCGCGCGACCCCGAGGCACCGACCTGCCGTCTAGAACGCAGCAAAAGCTCTGGCTTCAACGCACCGCTGCCCTCAACAATTCTCCACCCGAATCCCACGGTATCTCCACGACAGCCTCTCCCTCCAGCATCGACCCAACCTTCATAGCAGGCGGACATTCCCGTACGGGCTCGAGTGCCTTTGATGTTAGCCGCGGCATCAATGGAGTTGGGCGACCCGGGGCTTCTGGCCATGAAAACGAAGCTCGACACATTCGAAAAGCATACGAAAAGACAGCTCTCGAGTTGATGGTTGTCCGACGTTTTCAATCACCAACGGCCGACAGCTTCACCCGATTACGTTCTGTTCCCCGAGCCTCTCAAGCCCTTACTGTGAATGCGGAGCAAAGATCGGCGCTGGGCAAGCCGGTCAAGTCGGCGCCTTCTTTAACGCTCCTTCAACATGGAAGACGCCCCAATCGGTTGGCCTCAAGCTCCGAGTCGAAATCACAGTTGCCTGATCCCCACTCTGCCTCCGAAGACCCAGCGACTCACAGCGAGTCCACCGACACCGCTCAGGCATCGAAGTCATCTCATCCGTCCCATCGGATTCTATCCACTTCCGACGAGGCCGCGCATGGCTTGGCTAGCGATCAGGATTCGGATGACTTTTCGGCTGTGAACGAGACCGATATGATGGTCCGCCGTATGTGGGAAAGCCGCGAGGTGGCTACTTCGGGCTGATCATGCCTACTTCTGGCTGCTCCTAGCTACTTCTTTACGTTGATGTTGATGACATGTTGCAATTCCCTGGCGCTGGTGGACTATCCCTTTTCTTAACCCTAATGGCTTGAATACTTCGCTTCTGATATGTTATTTTTTTCATTTCGTTTCTCTCTGTGGATATATAGCTTGTCTAGAGCCTCTCATGTTAATGTAGTAACTTCCAAGCATCTCGAAGTAACCTCAAATTCGCGAGGTTTTGACCCCCTTCCCCCTAGCTTGGCGCTCGGCGAGGCAGGTTCCCGGGGACATTGAATGGCGTGACCAACGAGCCCTACCAACCAGCAAACGCAGGCACTGGGAGTCAGCGCATAGTTAAGCACATAGTTCCACATTTACCGGTAGATCGCATCCTGATGATGAATCCCTTTCCTCTGATTTGACCTAACCCCCTCCCCATCTGGTGGCCCTATATAACTTGACACCGGGCATCAATACTGGAAAGCGAGACCGATCTTTCTCTACGCGCGAGACCAGACCAATATGGATTCCCTGCCTCAACTGGTTACGGGCCAAATAATCCGCATCTCGTGTTATGCCGCAGCCCTCGTCTTGATCTCAGTGGGTTTGAATGTCATCCATCAGCTCGTTTTTTATAAACGAAATGAACCACCAGTGGTATTCCATTGGTTTCCCATCATGGGCAGTACCATCAGGTACGGCATGGATCCTTACAAGTTCTTCTTCGAGTGCCGGGAAAAGGTCAGTGCTCTTGAAATTCACTTCATTCTCTGCTCCAGTAACTCGCAGTGCTGATTGGCACCCCAGTACGGTGATATTTACACATTCATCCTGCTCGGTAGGAAGATTACGGTCTACCTGGGCACGGAGGGAAATGAGTTCATCCTGAATGGCAAATTGAGAGATGTCAATGCCGAGGAGGTGTACGGTAAATTGACGACGCCCATCTTTGGCTCAGGTATTATCTATGACTGCCCCAATTCGAAGCTCATGGAGCAAAAAAAGGTAAGTTGAACCCCATTCAATTACACCAATCCTCTCTTTTGACGGTATCAATGCTAACACTATGTGTTGTTCAAAGTTCGTTAAATTCGGCCTCAGTCAAGAAGCCCTAGAATCCTACGTCCCCCTTATTGAAGAAGAAGTGAACCAATACATCAAGACCTCCGGGAAGTTCAAAGGGTCATCAGGCACGATCGACCTCGCGGTGGCCATGGCCGAGATCACAATCTTCACTGCTGGCCGTACCCTACAGGGTGAGGAAGTCCGTGCTAAGCTCACTTCAGAGTTTGCCGATCTCTATCATGACCTTGATCTAGGGTTTTCACCCATCAACTTCTTGCTTCCTTGGGCACCGCTCCCCCGCAATCGCAAGCGTGATGCGGCCCACGTCCGAATGCGTGAGATATACTTGGACATTATCCGAGAGCGATCCAAGGCTGGTGCCACTGGGGGCCCGCGCGCCAAGGACATGATTGAGAACCTGATGCAATGCCTCTATCGCGATGGAACCCCAATCCCGGACAAGGAGATTGCCCATATGATGATCACGCTGCTCATGGCAGGTCAGCACTCGTCCTCTGCGATCAGCTGCTGGATCATGCTGCGACTTGCCTCCCGGCCAGAGATGGCTGAGAAACTATACCAAGAACAAACAGCCGTGTTAGGTGCAGATCTCCCTCCTTTGAAATACAGTGACCTTGCAAATCTTCCTCTGCACCAGAACGTGGTCAAGGAGACACTGCGCATCAATAATTCCATCCACACCCTCATGCGCAAGGTCAAGAATCCATTGCCGGTCCCTGGAACTTCATATGTCATCCCTAAAAGCCATACGCTTCTTTCCTCGCCGGGCGTGACTGCTCGTGACGAGAAGCACTTCCGCAATCCAATGGAATGGGATCCACATCGGTGGGAGACTCGGGTTGAGGTTGAGGCCGAGACTGATATTGTTGACTATGGGTACGGTGCTGTCTCGAAGGGTACGCAGAGCCCATACCTGCCGTTCGGCGCGGGACGGCATCGATGCATTGGAGAAAAGTTTGCGTACCTGAATCTGGTTGTTATCGTTGCCACCCTGGTGCGGAACTTTCGCTTCTATAACCCAGAGGATCGCGATGGAGTGCCAGAGACAGATTACTCGGTTTGTGTGCCCTCGTATTGTAATAGCAATTTTCTTGGAAGTGGTGCTAACCCTCATTCTCTCGACAGTCTCTCTTCTCTCGGCCGATGCATCCCGCGACAGCTCTATGGGAACGGCGCGAAGACTGAAATGGCAACGATGGGTAATGTACATGATGCTCCCGGAGGGTTTTGACCTGACTGGTAATGGGTCTAGATAATCACAAATGCCGTGTCTCGAAAACAATTTCCAATTATTCTAATAATAATACCTCTAAAAATTATACAAAATCAATTTTCTACGCGCGGTAGCTAATATCATTCAAGCTCTCATATTTCCAATATATCACAACCCACTCTTCATGGCAGAGCCCAATGGCTTGCTCGTTTTGTTAATAACCGCGCAGCCGCTACCACGTTGAGCAAAGAGTGGTCAGTTTCCCCTGTAAAGGAACAGCCAAGCCGAATTTCTCCTCCATACGAGGGGGGATAGGTGCCGATGAGGTTGCTTACTTCGTTGAAGATCATAATTATTCTCTTGCCAAAAAAAAATGGAACAAGTCCAAACGTACTCTCGTCATGTAATATAATCAAGATCTTAAATATGCCGTCTATCCAATCTCTCCACAAATGAGGGTTGACATTTCATCAAAACGCCTGCTCATTGACATAATTCTAAATCGTTCTAAAGATGACCTCATGAAATAAGTCCAATAACCACGAAATCAATTAACAGAAAAATGATGGAGGGGCGGGGTATTGGCATTAAATAAAGAGTCCATTGAGGACAAGGGGATTAATAATGAGATATCCCAAACGTGGGAAAAGTCGCCAAGACTAGAAAGTAGTACTCCTGGATACTCAGATATCAAGCCAAAGAGACATCAAAAGAGAGTAGATGAGTTCTGAAGCCGCCTAGTTGCGGTCTTTCCCTTTACCACGCGGTCCGGCATGTCCTCCCCGGCGGGTATTCTTCCCAGGTGCTGGGCTGGATGTATTGGGTCCAGTTTGATTTTGTCTCTGAACTGGGATAGAGCCATTTGTGTTCTTCTTGGGTGTTGTTGGAGAGTGCGATACGGCAGTTTGCTGTTTCTGGCCTTGGAAGCCAGAACCTTCAGAGGCTATATTCTTGTTGCCACGGCGCTTGCGCGAGCTTCCTGCACCAAGCGCCTTTCCGCTTCGTCCGCCTCTGCTGCCCCGTTGCTCGTTAGGTTCCGGCTCAAGAAGTCCCTGCACACGCTTGCTCTCTTGGTCCCACCATTGCTGGAATTCTTGCTCAGCTTGGATTTCTTCTAAGTTGTGCTTGGCAGTGGCGGCTTCGCGGATCTCATCCTTCTCAGATTGTTGTTGAAGAAGGATCGTTGCAAGAGAGAGCGAACCGTGAGACGGGGAGCGAGAATCAAGCGTATATGGATCTGGGCGAGGAATGTGACGGATAGATTGGATGGCTGGCTGTGGAGACTTCGGAAGACTTTGCTGTGACGGGGTTGGGGGACCAGGAGGTGAAGGCTTGGATTTGGAGGGGGACTGGACTTGTGTTGATGACACACTGCGGCTTTGTGATGGGATTGGAGTGGCCACTGGCTTCGACCGAGGGGGAGGTGTGCCAGCTACTGTTTGTCGGAGAGTCATAGCAGGCTTTTGGGAGACATTTCCAGATTCTGAGACCGGTGTACTAGAACCACTACTAGGGACTGTAATGGGGACCTTGCCGGGTGTGGTTGGAGTGGTAGTCGGCGTGGCTGGCGAGGGTAACTGCCAGGGATTTTTCCGTGCATCTGCCGCCTGCTGCTCGGCAGCAAGCTTATCCTGCATCTGTTGTTGCTGCATCTTCTTGCGCTCCTTTTGTGACATCTTGGGAGCAAAGCTGCTGCTGTTCTCACGTCGCACTTCTGACATCTCCAAGGTTAGGTTGGACACACGGGACTGTGCGGTCTCTCCCATAATGTCCTTGAGGTCTTTCTTGTTGCTTGAGATAACCGAGGAGCCCCAAGGAGCGGATAAAGAGTCGAGCGGCGATCCGATGACGCGCTTCGAATGCAATGCTGTCGCTCGAGACTCAGTCGGGGACTCGGCGAGCAACCTCTCTCGAGGAGAGGATATTATCTCGTCCAATGATCTTCCATAATTCGGTGATCCGGCCTCTGGAATACTAGCTGCCAGTGTAGGTGAATCAGGGTATGACCTGTTCTCGATACCAAGCCCGCGCATCGCCATTTTGCCCTTAATTGAATCGCCAGGGGAGAGCAAGGCCTCTTCATCCATTTGGAACATGAGATCGCCGGTAGATTGTCTCGGTTTGAGTATCGGGGTGTTTGAAGAACTAGTTTCATCCCTTGTAATACTGCCCTTTGCCTTACGCGCCAGTGGAGATGCATTAGCCATGTCATTCTGCGGAGGACGTGGTCGTACATCGTATGACTCCACTTGACTCAGGCGGGACTGTAATGCCATCGCATCAATACGTCTTCGCCTGTCCATCTCAACTGAGCTGATTATCTCAGGGTATTTTTCAAGAAGATATTCCTCTGAATTGCGACCACGCGAGACTGGGAAGCATGTAGTCTGATTCTCGTGGCAAACAGTGTCAAGAAGACCGAGAAGATCCTCATCGAGGTCCTCTAGGTATCGGTTTGCAAGCATATCCTCTAGGTTGAGACAGATGTACTCCAGAGCAGCCTCTTTGAATTCCGTGACATAGATCGGGGCTACCGAGTTGAGGAGGTAGGAAATGCTACGAGTGTTGACGAAACGACCAAGCATCTTCTGACAGATCTGTGAAAGTCTATCAATCATCAACTCGTTGGCCACGTACATCACATCCAAGAGCAAATCGATAAGACCGTCGAGAGTCTTTGTTCGTACTTGATCGAACAGTGGTTCATCGGTGTCGGCGTACATATATTGGAGAACAAAGTCAAACGTTGACCTATCAATATGTTCAAGGTTGACCTCAACCTTCTCTGAAGATTCTTGTCGACGGGAGGCAAGCCATCTACCACCAGAACGACCATGAAACAGAGCATCGAAGAATGGACATCGCTGACACGCCACTTGGCTGTGGATTTTGAGATTCTCACCATTGAGTCGCACTATCACATCCGCATCATCGAAAAAAGAAGGATGATTCAGAGCATGCGCCATATCGGTGTTCAGACTCTTCGTTGGCTCCACCATCAACCTTGCAGCACGCTCCAGTGTTGGGAGGCTAAGATGGGTAGCAACCTTCATCACCTCAGTTCGTACCTGGCGGAAGCGAGCTGCATTTTCAGGCGAGCTTCTTGCTTGATGCCACACGTCGAGAATATTATCGGTATAAAGGAAAAATACGATATTCATGACTGTCAGAAAGTCAACACCCAAAAGGCGGACTTGAGCAATTCCATCCTTGCCATAGCCAATGTCAAAGACGTCAGGCATAGATGCATAATATGATCCATGAAATTCTTGCAGCGCGTTTCGTAAAATTGGACTGCGACCCGCTAGAAGGAATTCATGAACCGGCATTCGTTGATCAGAAAGCGAGCTAGTGATCCAAATAGTGCCGTCAGAGCGCGCAGCTAGGAAATGGGTTTCGATTTCGGATGAGAGTAACAACGCTTTCTTCATGGCAATGACAGGGGAGAGTGGAACAATGTCTTGCGTTTCGTCGCTAAGAATCGTGTCCACATCCTCAATTCCAGGTGTCAAAAATGGCGAGAGCGGTAGAAGATCATCCCAAAGAGTACTTTGATCGATATGGATTTGCTCTTTGGTCACATCACAGTCGCGCTGGGCAACAGCATATGCCCCAAAGGCATTACTACGCACAGCCACAGCCCTGGAAAGACCTGGAATGCGAGCAAACTTATACTCCTTTGCAGCACCCTCTTTGTTCTTGGTACGCTTTTCCTTTCTCCAAGCCGATCCCGAGGTTGTGCAAATGATGATGGATCCATCTTGCCCGACGTCAACATCATTGGCCGCCATGTGGGATTTCTTGACAGACCAAGCCCGCACAGGAGTGGCGAGAGAATTACGAATCTTCGCCGGATTTGTTGTCGATGTCTGTGCAGAAGGGTCATCGGATTTGTTGACTTGCACGGTGAAAACTTCGCCAGAGCTAGACAGAGCACAGATGGTGTTGCCTCCGGAAGCTAATTTGATGATTCGGTTCGCAGATGTATCGTATCGAGTAGCCATGAAGCTGTCACGAATGAATTTCGAGCTCGCTTCCAGCGGGAACGAAATCTTTGAGTAGCCATATTGCGAGAATACCCACACTTCATGGTTCTGCAAGAGCACAGAGGTGGCACGATCGATGGCAGAGACTGTTTGAATCGGAGACTTGAAAAGAGACGCACCGACTCGTCGGGGCGTAACTTGCACCTCTAACGAGCGGGCATCAGAATCGACCAGGCCCAGCTGTCCTTCGTTCTTGCCAAAGGTGTATAGACCCGAGGTGCTGAAGACAACCGAATGAATTGAGGACGCTGCGGCACCAATAATTATTTCTTTCTTGAATGGATTGAAAATCTGACGGGGGGTTGTCTGAATGGGGACATCATTGCGGTTATTTGTTCGCGGTAAGCTGTATCCAAGTTGTCCAAACTTGTTGCTTCCCCAGCTGAAGATCTCGCCAAACTCAGTGATGGCAAGGCTGTGGTCTTGGCCTAGGGCAACCGACATGACCTTTTTGCCTGCCAACCCGCCCGTCTCAATGCAAACAAAGCTGAAACGTGTAGACTCATCGCCAGTCCCCAAGCGTCCACCAGGTCCGAAGCCACAGATGAAAAGGTTGGCTTCGGGATCATCTGTAATAATGGCAGTATGCAGCTTCGACATGACGATATTCTGATATTTGATGGGCTTATTGGTGATTAGAGTTGGCAAGTCCGAGAATGTTGAGTCGATGGTGTCCTCCAGCCCCAACTTCTCGATATCCTCTCCATACTCACGATAGAATCGATGGAGAAGATGATCTGGCCGTTTCAGAGTAATGCGCTCTGGAAATTGCCGGTCATCCTGATCACCAAGTCCGAGGTTTAAATTTTTATTGCTGCCGAGGGTGAAAACTTCATCAGCGGAGAAGTTGGTGTGCGTCTTCAGGGCCACTCGGGCAACATAAAGATCATCGTCACCCTCCTCTCCTTCGTTTGATGGTGCATTGGAGACGATGTCACTATCGATGACGTCGGGGGATGTGGAGCCTGGCCATTTGACAGAAGAAGCCACCTGCTTGATATCCCGGGATGTGATCGTCGCTCCATAGACATCAAAAGGGCTGTAGCCCTCGCGGTCTTTCATCTTGATAAGACTACCACTCGGATGGCTTGTATTTCCAATTTTGCTAAAATCAGTCACATCTCGCATGTCGCGGGCCATCAGTGCCCGTGCAATGGTGGCATTCCCGGCGTATAGGGCCCTATGCAGAGCCGTCCACCCACTCTCCCAGTCTTGTGCATATATATCCAGGAAAGGGATCTGGAGTAAGGCGTGTGCGAAGCTAGCTGCCGAGGGCTTTGGTGAGGAGGCGACATGATGAAGAAGCGTTCGACCGTAATGGTCGCGGGCGTTCACATCGGCTCGCGACAAAGCGGTTCCAGCGCGAGGGAGGGCCGGTCGATCGGGGGCAGAGGTGCTTGGAGATGCGACTGAGGTTTTTCTTTGTTTTGGAGGATTCGGCGACGCAGCAATCATGGACCCAGGGCTTCCAGTCTTGGATGATAAGTTCGCCGCCACTACGGCTGCGGTTCCTAGGCTTCCTCCGGTTCGCGGTCCCGCGAACGTCGCGTTCGACAGGAGTCGCTGGAAGCTCTCCACATCGTCTTGAATGAAATATTGCCAAAGATTGCAACTCATGTGCCCGGAGTGGTCGGATTGCAGAATCTCTTATCACGCCCAAGCTGGGGCGTCGCGGTCACCGCAATCGGGCTGACTGCGACGGAGCTCGGTGATAAGAGGATTCTGAGGCGAAAGGAAGAAGGTCAAGTCGATTCGAGAAGAAGCGACGCGTCTTTGTGCTGTAAAAATCGAGCTATGTTTCAAGAATCGCGATCACAAAATGGAATTGTGGGTTTCGCGGGGCTCCGTCGCGGTGGTGGCGATGCGTGGCCTTTTGAGGTGCGCGCGCCGCGAGAAGTCGGGTTTGCCAAAGCGAAAAGGTGATCGAAAGCGCTGTACGCGCAGATTCGGAGCCGAGGTGTCGAGTATGATCGATGAGAGAGAGGGGGAGAGGGGGTCGTGGCCTTCGAGGGAATGCATTATCGCGGCGACTCCGTCATCTTCCACGGATCGTGGAACCTCGCACTGACCAATCGTGGGCCGCACGTCCCTCCATGCCCCCGAGCGAGAGGTGAGCATCCGCTCCGTTCCTGTCGACCATTTGACGCTCGTGGCGGCGGCCTGCGCTGTTGCTGGCTGGTGCTGGCTGCGGGTCGTCCAAATCTGCGTGACATTCTTGATCTACGAGGATCTTCTCCCGCTTTTGAATGCTCCCCGCACTTAACGTGTTGATGCATTGCGAGCTGCTTCTGCACTCTATACGGCTTACATTGGGGCATTCCCCAGCTACTGGTGTTTGAACTGAATGCAACTCAGAGGCCATCTCGCCCTGCGAGCAGTCCCTTTTCAATTGTATTTAATCTTAAAACTCCAGATATCTATTACCGATGTCCTTTCAACCGTGAGCCTAGCTGGGCGAGCAGCCCTGACATATTAACGGACAACCAAAGTAAAGAAGAATTCATACTGAAAGCGTAACTTGAATGTTCAGAAATCGTTGCCCATATTCAATCAAGCCACAACGCCGAATTCGCGGGCTCGTGCGCAATTAGGTCGGCTCAACACTATCACCCAGATTTCGTGCTATTCTTGATGGCTTTTTGTCTGATTTATTGCCAATAAATCAGGAAATAAGCTGTAAATACGTACGATACTATTCCGACAGCCGATACTGCATCAGCGAACATTTTCACTATGATCACTCCTAGTAGGCTGAAAGTAGTCAGAATATATGAGCAGCTCACTTTGAGCGATGGAATTTATAGTGTTACAGCGAATGAAGTCCGAGGAACAGCGGACTATTGTACATCATGTTTGCATGGCAAGTTTGAGTGCCGCTTGCCTGTATATGACTCCCACGATGGTTGCCGGGTAATTCTCGGCAAGCGTCATTTGGTCTGGAGATATTATGAGTTGAAATGCATGAGATGCCGCTTTGTACGAAAGGATCAATTTGCCATACAGATTGGATAGATAAAGAAATTTTGGAGCCTCCTTTTAGATATGCTGAACTGCTGCATACATACCCCCTGGACCAGAGTCGTAGGATCCTCCATAGTCCTCCTTACACGTTTGTTACTTCTCTAATTTGGTGGCTATTGTATGCTACCTGTGGAATTTTTCAGGTCTTCAAAGCCCTCATTAATTACTCAAGATCTTATATCTTGGTGCTTCTAGTATTGTGCGATTGGAATAAGAATTAGAGCAAGGGGAGTCGCGCTAACAACCTCTCAAAGTTAAGGAGACTGGCTAAGAGCGTAGAGCGCGGACTAGTCACGCTGCTATCCCGCCTTTAAAATTCAAGGGTTGATCCACAATAACCGTTTCAACTTCTTCATCAGTACTTTCCTGCGAAGTGACAATGGCTGCTTTTCGAATTTCGCTGGAAAAAGGCATTAGTTTGATTTCTGTAGCAATGTCCAAGAATCTTCTTACCGTCGATGAATAATGATCGAGGATACAAAGCCGGCCCACAGTAGGAAATAGAATGCAAAGGCCACAGGCCATCCCCTTTTCCATCTCGGGGCACCATATGGTCCGGAAGTCGGATACGCAAGCAGAGGAACCCAAATGTTGAATGAATATCCAAAGGTCATCATTGAGCCCTAGCCGTATGTTGTCAGTCCTTGAGCGCTAGTCGAACAAAGAATGAAGGGAAGTCAGGGCATACCATGATGAGCGCACGTTCTTCAGAATCATCTTTGACAATGGTATTGACTGTCGAATATAGTATTGGACTGAGGCAACCAGAAATACCAAACAAGTACCATGCCACAAATCTGTCGGATCTGGTGATTAGTGCAACCCCGTAAAAGATATCTTGGGAGAGTAACTTGCTCACTTTAAGCCTGTAGGAATATTCCAAATGATCATACAGAGCGCAGAGAAGAGGCAGCATGCCGATGCAAGAGTATAGATAATCCAGCTAGGGTAAATTGAAGCAAGACTGGATCCTAACCAAGAGGCAACAATTTGAATTGCGTAAGCGACTGTTGGAAGCTGGTTAATTTGTGACACTGAGTAACCCTCCGCTTTGAGCCATAGGTTCATGTAAGCCATCGGGTAGGAGGAAATGATCATACATCTAGATATTGAGAGTGAGAATACTTCTTGATTGCTTTAAAGTGAGGGAAATCTGCCATTGACTTACGCGTAGCATGTAATGAAAACCCAGATATGCCACCGCTTCAAACTCCGCTTGAAGACATCCAATCCAAGTTTGCCCGGGCGACGAATCTGTGCTCTGCTAGCTCTCTCCTTTGCCAGTGCAGTGTCACTTTCCGATAGAAAAAAGGGTCGGGGTGAGTCCGGAATGCCTGGGAATATCCAAAATCCAATCAAAGCTACGGGGATAGTGAAGATGCCATCAATGATGAACAACCATCGCCAGCCAGGCATTCCTCCCACGCCTGAGAGATTCGTGTAGGCGGCAGATTGAAGATACCCACTGATCATGGTGCCCAGGGGATTGCAGATAAACCAGGTGCCCGCACGCTTGAAGAGCTCTGGTCCGGAATACCACGATCCTTAGCCACGAATAGTTAGCATCAGTGCCCTGCCATCAAGTCTTTACACCAATTTTTAAAGTCCCATACCAAGAATAAAGTGGGTTCCAGCAAACACTGGCGCTTCAAGCATACCAACTATAAAGCGGAGTGCGTACAATTGGTTTACATTCGTAACTCGACTCTGTGCAAATGTGCATATACCCCAAAAAATCTCTAGCCCAGGGAGCAGCCATCGAGCACTATTGATAATGAGCAAATATTCCGACATATGGTACACAAGGGGCATATTGACGTACATTTTCGGTCGAGACATCAAAAGGAGGCCTGGAACTTGGAAGACCACATATGCCGTGTAGTAACAGACATTAAAATAGTTTAACTCATTGCCATAGAGACCAAAATCTTCTTTCAGGCCGCTAACATAGGCATTGCTGATATTCGTTTGATCTAAAATTCTGAATTGAGTGTCTTGTTCCTCAGGCGACCGCTTCGATTGTCTTACCTAGATATTTGACGAAAACTTGCATCCTTTGAGCTATTCGATCATATCCAATCCGGAGAATTAAACTTACAGCATAGACATGCGAAAACCAGAATTGAAACATCGAGTTTGAATAATAATCTAAATAATATCAATACATGCTCGGCTAGAGATCTCGCATAGTTACATTACCTCCTCTCTGCGGAAGGATATGAAGAAGGATACCAATTGAATATCTCCTTGAGCAATCCCAGAAGGGAGTTCGGGGATGTAGACTTTATTTCGGACATGGCTAGTAGACCATTCCCTCAGTTTAGATGCTGCTGGCCGACGAAAAATCTCAGCCTTGAAGCTCGCGAGAGTTTTCTTTCTGGTATGAATGAGTAAAATGCCCTTCACATACTTACTATATATATTTGAGCTCAGGACACAATGAACAGCTTTTGGAAGCAACCCATTGCAGCATTGCAATTCCCCCACTCCTTGTCGTCATCGGAACCTGTCCGGGTGAGACTTTCACATCTGGCGGGCCAAAATTAGCAAGAGATACCAGAGGAAGTGAAAAATAAGGCACTAAGTGGCAGAGAGATGCACTGTTCCCTGCAGACCGCGACATGCTGTCGAGCGATGGCGTGCCCGGGCCTTGTATTAATTATTTGTTTGGACCGATGTTTAGCCGCTATCGCATAACGCACGACACGCTGGGATGGCGTGCTTAATGAATCTGGTTTACCAATAAACATGACTCGAGTAGGTCGAGATGTGCGGGGTTGAATTCGGACTTGATGCCGGTGCTTGGTTTTATAGGCGGTCCCTCGCCACTCGCACTTACAGATGGGGAGTATTGTAGGATTGTTAAATCAACCCAAGTTGAACAAACGAAAGGTTTCTCCATCCTGATAAGAGCTCTTTTTAATCTCAATATGCCCGGCAAAGTTCTTGACAGATATGATCATGTCCCAGTGACTAAAGCAGATCGTTTGTCTCCCAATTTAGAGTGCGAGTGCTTTATCTGATCTTGCTAACCCAACCTAGTGGACTGGGCGGAGCTGGTCACTCTGGACCTCAGCAAGTATGAGCAGCCTGGCGGCAAGCAAGAGCTTGTTCAGCAGTTGGATCATGCTGTACGACATGTCGGTGAGTATACGAATATGCACACCCCAATTCGGTTTGTTGTCGTTTATCGTTGCTTGCCAAGACTAATAGACTATGCTTGCGTACTCTAGGCTTTTTCTATGTGAAGAACTTCAACATCAGCCAGGAAGAAGTCGACCGCCAGTTTGCCCTTGGCCGCGAATTTTACACCCTGCCCTTGGAAGAGAAACTAAAGTTTCATAACGCGGATGATCTTGCCAATGGGGAATACAATGGATACAGACCCGCCGGCCACCGCATGTATGACGACCCAATTTACACTGATGCTTGAGAGCTAAGGACTAATACCAGTAGACTCGGAAATGGTATCAAAGACAATGTACAGGTTTATAATATTCCCAAATTTGATGGATACCATCAACGACAACAACCGCCCGTCCTTTCCGATCATATTGCTGAGATCGAGGACTTCAGTCGGGTACGGTCCCCAATGCTCCTTTTTTTCAGTTTTTCTCTCTTTTTCTCTTCCTAGCTGTCCTCAATTCAAATTCTGATCATGACAAAATCCAGAAATGCCATACCGAAGTGGTAGAGAAGCTGCTCCGACTATTTGCAATCCTCCTCGAGCTGCCCGATGAGGATCAACTCGTCCGCGACCACCAGTACGACGTGCAGGGCGAGGATCATCTCCGCTATATGCACTATGCCGCTCGCAGTGCTGAAGAAAATGAGAAAGTTGGTAGCCTGTATAGCCCCGGTCATACCGATCTTGGGTCTGTTACTTTACTATTCCGCCAGCCGGTGGCTGCCCTTCAGATCTTGAATTCTGATGGCGAGTGGAAATGGGTTCGGCCCCAGGATGGCACCATCACGATCAATACCTGTGATGCTCTGACGGCTCTGACCGGAGGCTTGATTAAATCCAGCATCCACCGTGTTCACGCTCCGCCGGCGGATCAGGCACACGTGGATCGCCTGGGTGTTTTATATTTCGCCCGGTGAGTCTAATCATTCTTTTGATTCGAACATGCAGGGAGAACTTTTTTTTAACCGACTCGAGTAGACCCAACAATCATGTGGTTCTAGACCCTATCACCAACAGCCCACTGCTAAAGAGACTGGGGTTGACTGAGAATGAATTCACGAAATTAGGGCAACATCTGACAATGGAGCAGTGGGTCAAGGTACGACAGACACAGCAACAGCGTCGGAACAAGAATGTCAAAGTCTCTTCCGATGGCAAGTATACCTATGGAGCAAAGGATCTTCAGATTCTCCCTGGCCTCGATGCCAAGATCTATAACTAGGTCCATTTGTAGGAAAATTTAACATGCTCAGTGTCGCAGAGTCTTCTTTCTTCTATCCACCGGAATATCGACTCGATAGACCTCATTCGGCCATGTAGTAATAGGCAAGCTGAGACAGTGGTTGAAGGCCATGCAATAATTCTTCTCGGGGATCAATAATCAAACTCTGTACAGAATATCACCTGTCAAATTCATGTAAGGTGGGGGGGGGGATTCAGGAACCGCATGTGAGACTGCCCAGCTAAGATGTTGTCATTGGGTTCTAAAGCCCACTGTGACATGGACCCATTTCCAGTTCCTGCAAAGAATGCCTGATTTACCGATTATCCAGCAGAAATGGAAATACGTATGAGGGGCCTGATGCGTCCGACATTCCGCCAATTGGCTATGACCTTCTGCTTGCACTCTGCAAACTCAAACCCTACGTTGCACATGCAGGCACAGAGCAATCAAATATAGCGCAGCGTCGGAGCTGTTGTTGCGCCGACGAGACCCTCTCCCTCATCGTATATCATCGTATCGCCGAGTTCCGTCTCCGGTAGTGCTGACGATGCCCTTAGCCTCCCGTTAGTCTTGTCGATCTTCGTCCTGGGAAGCATGTTGTGCGGGGTCACCGCTCATCTCCCCAGTGGTTTGTTCCGGGGTTCCCCCAGAATGCCCCCTCTCAGACAGAGATGCAGGGTTAATCAAGCTGTTTGGGACCTGGAAAAGTTGGTCCGGAAAATATCGGTCCTGTCGGATGACACCCTCCATGATCTATAGTGTTCCCACCACGGAACCGTCGCCAAGATGGATTGGCTTCTGCTGGTTGAGCTCTGCAGGAACGGGGCTCAGGGAAAAAGTGGATCATCGCTGAAAAACTAGGCTACCTCGGTAGGGAGCCATCATCACATTCACAGAATCTATCAAGACGGTGGATATTTATGTCCTCGTCCGCCGGTGGCTGCTGGGCTTCTCTGGCGTGGGATTCACCCAAGATATCACCGGCGCCAACCTTGGGTATATACGACGGCTCCCAATGGCCTCTTTTATTGGATCAACCGCGCGGCAGGCCATGATAGCCTTCGTGCTATTCATGCTGGCAATTGCCTCTGCTCGTCCCGCTGGGATGCGGACGGTTCGGCGAAGCGTTCAAGAACCGAGCAACGATCCCTTCTATCAGCCTCCTGCGGGCTTCGAGTCCGAAGCGCCGGGTACAATTCTGCGCAATCGGAGTGTCAGTGTTGCCTTCTTGGGGCTGATTCCTGACCCTGTGGAGGCATACCAGCTGTTATATCGCACGACGGCTATCAATGGCTCGGCCATTGCCACCGTTACTACTATCTTCAAGCCCACCAACCCGAAGAAGGATCGATTTGTCTCGTTCCATACGGCGTATGATAGTTCCGCCACCATCTGCGATCCTAGCTATAATTACCAGCTTGGGGCCGCGCAGACGGATATCATCTCCTCGGCGGAACAGTTGATTCTACAAGCCTACTTGCTTCTGGGCTATATCGTTGCCTCCCCCGACTACGAAGGCCCAGAGGCGGCCTTCGGGCCGGGGCATCTGGCTGGCATGGGAGTGCTGGATAACATGCGCGCCGTGTCGAATTTCGGAACCCTCGGCCTGTCCAGCACGACGCCGATGATTGTTGGAACGGGCTACTCCGGCGGTGCCATCGCGACGGGCTGGGCGGCGTCCCTGCAGCCCACCTATGCCCCTGAACTGGACATTAAGGGCTGGGCCCAGGGCGGCACACCGTCCAATTTGACCGGCACCTTGGTCTTCATCGACGACACCCTGTTCAGCGGCTTCATCCCTGCCGCGGTCGTGGGTCTGTCCAAGCCCAGCGCGTACGGGGCCGAGCTGTCGCCCGTTCTCAACCGCGTTCTCACCTCGGAAGGCCAGGCGAAGATCGACTTCGCAAGCACCAACTGCGCGGTGGGCGACCTGCTCAACTTCGCGGAGCAGTCGATATTCTCTACAGACATCCAGACGCTCGGGACTGGCCTGCTCTACGAGTCAACGATCCAGTCAGTGCTGAGTAAGAACATGCTCGGCGTGAATGTGGCGGAGACCCCGACCGCGCCGATGTTCGTCTACCACGCGACGCAGGATGAGATCATCCCGTATGCGAATGCATCGGCGATGGTAGACTCGTGGTGCAATAACGGCGCGAGTGTTAAGTTCACGACGTATGGGAACGGCGGTCACGCGACAACCGAGATCATCGGGTTGCCGGACACGATCAGTTTCGTCCAGTCGGCGTTTGCGGGGACAACGGCGAGTGGCTGTTCGAAAAATACCGAGCTGCTCAGTATCCTCAACCCGATTGCATTGGGGGTCGAGTTGGAGCCGATCTTGATCAAGCTGATCGAGGTGCTGGCGAACCTAGGCAAGACGGATTCCAATGTGCAGCAGAACTTGAGTGTGTTACAGGATGTGGTGACCTGGTAGACGTGAGCGTTGTTTCGGCTACTGTGCAGGTTGAAGGACCGGGTGAGCTGGTCATGATGATTTGGTTTCAGGGGCAGACGGGAGCCCGGCCACTGTACTTTCAAATCCCGGTCTATAATATACCGTAACGACTAACTTAATTGGCTTTGATGACGAATACTCTATCCTCAGATGTCTAGGATTGATGACTCTCTGGCATGCTTCTTTTCTTTTCTTTTCTTTTTTTTTTTGGGAGTAAATGTCGCAAAAAGAATGGTAGGCAAAATTGGGTTGGAACCTATCCCACTCGCTGTGGAAAAGGGTAATAGGGAGGGGGTGGTATAGAGCAGGGAGATTCGGTCGAAGTAGGGCGATTACGAGGAGCAACTACATGAAGTCATTCTCTCGATATTTTAAAGAAGCGAGAGCGCCAGAGAAAGGGAGGGGCAGTCAGCACAATGAACAACATGGGAAGAGAGAGAACGAGTAACCAGATCGAAATAGAGCACAAGGTATTGGAACACAAGTAACTATTGACAATATTCTACCTGAAGGAACTGCGCATTGGCCTATGAGCTAATCGCCTGATACTCTCAAACCTGCTTTTCATTAGTACAACTTGACTACGTGCCCTGTACATTCCATTCTATGCCCACACCTGAACCCATGATCTTTGCCGGGAAGACGGGCCAAACGCAATCTCAACCCCCGTGAATCGCCCTCCTTACTGTTCTCTCAGGTGAGAGACGACGAGACGAGGGAAGGGGGTCGCACTAGACAGGGAGCGTCACGCCTTCTGTCACTCGCAGAGAGTAAACCAAAAATACCATCACTCTTACCTTGGCCCGAATTGTTGCATTTCCATCCCACAATGGTGCATTGTATGTAGCGTGCCGCCTCGATTTTTGCGAGGCACGTAGTCGCGGCACGCGCCATACATCTATGTAGAAAAACACCAGTGATAAGAGACAAGAGTGACAAGATGGCGGAACGCAAAGCGTCGAATTGGAGCCTAGTTTCTAGAAGAAGGCGACACAAGAAGTGATATTTTCTCCGACTTGGCTCTCGGCGTTCATCCGTTGCTACCTATCGATTTCCACTTGCGTGATCCTCATTCCGTGCTCGCTTGCGTCATTGTTTTGTCGCGGCTCTGCTGAGCAGTGCTTCCCGGCGGTCTGCCTCGCTACGGTAACCGTGCCTCAGCACCCTGAGCGCCCTGAGCACCCGGGGCATCGCGGGGCGTCTGCATTCGACTGGAGAACCGATAGGACAGGAGGCCACCACCCCTGGTTGACTGGAGTGAATGAAGATGCCTCCAGCTAGGCACCGGCAGCAGGGTGATTGCATTTCGCCCTTTCCTGCCTGCTCAAGTCGGAAAGATAGCACGGCCACAGTGGCACCTCAGCATAAGGCGTCAGCGGGAGGGTTCGTGCATGTCGATCACCTGCTTTAGGAGCCCGGGATCAGCTGCATTTCTTATCTTTGCGGGTATTCGGCGGGAGCAAGGGCGGAGTCGGGGCGGAGGATCTGCTGGTTCCAAGAACGATGCACCGCATTGAGAGCTGGGCGTGGAGTTCACAACAGAAGATGATATGACTGGTACTTGGGCTGGTACTTGGGCTAATATTTGACCGGTATATGGCTGGTATATGCTCGGTCTATGGCCAGTATATGGTTGATTGGCATGTTGCGAGACGCCAGGCTCTTTAGTCGCACGGCGTTCTTTGTTCGTAGTGGACGGGCCCGGATCGCGACCGGAAATACCTGGTGATATATGGCGAGTGACCGAGTGACCGAGAGACCGAGAGAATCACCCTGTTCAGAGACATTCCGAGTCCTGTCGAGTAGAGACGATGCAGGCTGCCAAACGCCATGATCCATGACTAAATCCAGGATCAGCTGTGGCGTTCCAGGCTGACTGGCTCGCGACCTGTCGAGTCACCGGGTGTGCGTCACAGACACACTCTCCGCTTCTGCACCGTCAACCGTCGCCAACCACCAACCACCAACCGCCAACCGCCAACCGCTACGAAGCCACATCCAACCTCCTCTCCTTCCCCTTTCCTCTTCTATAGACTCCCTTCAACTATACCCAAATCCTTCTCCACGATGGCCTTCATAATCCCATAGGCTCCACCAATACACTGTCAACCCTGACTGGTGGATGCGGAGAAGCTCGCTGCTCCGAAGGTCCGCAACCTCTTAGACCCTTTGGCCCCTTCAACTCTTCCAAACAACGAACCGTGGCCCTTTGAATCCACCGGTCCCCTCATCCTTTTAGATATTCTCCCGTGGAAAACGTTCCTCCTTTCTTTGCGCACCTTGGGGAACCGGTTAGCATGGCCGGCTGCACTAGCTCCGCCGTTACGCTCTCCTGATAACACCGCTCCACTGCTGATAGCACCTCATTTTCCCCGACCCCAGCACACGGGGTAAGCCTGATCGTGACGGAAGTGCACTGTTTGGCCCTGACCGACCGTTTAATAGTCCTCTGTCATGCATCAGCACCCTCGGTCGCCGGCGGTATCATCGTCGGCGCCCAGGCAACCCTCCCAGCCCGCCTCCGCTCGCAATGACCTCAGAGGCATGGAATCCAACCCATCCTCCTCCTCTGCCGACACGAGATCCCGCTCTACCAAAGGCCTGGGTATCGATGCTGGTCAAGAATCCACGGCAGAGAATCCTAGGGAGGCCATCGGGCCTGGGAAAGAGGTTATGGCCAAGCTGAACCAGATCATATCGGTACGTGGGGACGAGGGCCCAGATCACCCCGCCAGATTCACTGACCATCGTTATCGCCATCGGCCCATAGAACTACCACACCAAGGCAGCCTTGATCATTCTCGACTCGCGTGTCGAGCTCCCACCCGTCTATGCCAAGAATTCCGATAAGCCCAAGGTCAACCGTTGGGTAGGTAACACCCGACTCCTCAATGGAGCTCTCCTTTGCGAACCGGGATACTGACGTGAGGTGTGTGACAATCAAACAGTTCAATGTCGAGCTCGAAGAGACCGATGCCCTACGCGAACAGCTGTGGACCTGGCGCACCTGTGATGCCATCGACCACCGACCCCCGCCCCTCATCATCGAGACCTACTTGGACGGCCGAGGTCTGACCAACAACCAAAGCCTGGTGATCTTGGATGAGAACGGAAAGCGATGGGACGTGCGAGAATCTCTGGCCGGAGCGCGAGGCCCCAATGCCAATCCCCAACAGGCTGATGCAGATGAGATTATTCTGGAGCGGTGGACAATCGAACTGGGAGAGGCTGCCGGTGATCTTCCAGTGGATCTGGGTGCCCTGTTGCCGACTGTGTACAAAAAGAGCATCATTTTGTTCCGCTCCCTTTTCACGTACAGCAAGTTCTTGCCGGCGTGGAAGTTCTCGCAGCGCGGCACTAAGTTGAGACGCAGTCCGGCGTTGCAGATTCGATACCGCGTGATAGATGGGAGCCGGCCGCGGAGCGGCCGATCTCCAGATTCTCTGACAGTGCCGTTGTATGAGGGACATGGCAAGGTCGTGGATACGTACCGCTTTGGGGTCACAGAGTCGCCCGCCGGTCCGTTCAGCGTTTCAGTTGCTTACCGGACGAACTGTGATTTCCGAGTGGACGATTCGGAAGCGCTATTGAGCTCGCGTTTCATGGGCGCCGACGACGACATCTTCCGCCCCTCGTTACCATCGGAGGATGCTCCGAGGCTAAACCCAGAAGTGGGATCGGTGCCTGTCGAGAAAAGGACGGTCGAGAGTCCGGACTGTTCCCGTGCATATGGTAGTCTCTCAACTTTCCACCAGGTTGGTCCGACCACAGGCGCAAGTCCGATTTCTGCCTTGCGTGCGGCCAGAGATTCGGCCGTGGGATCGTCGTCTCCGTCAGATTCACCATCGAAGAAATTGCTCCCGGCTGCAAAGATTGCGCCGCCAGGACGTGCGGCGCAGCTTGCGGGAGAAGGTGACAGCTCGAACTTCGCGCGTCGCCCCTCCGTCTCCTTCCAGGCCTTCAAAGCTCCTCCGCTATCTGCCTCACCGGTTGTGATGGAGCCCGCTCTAGGCGTTTCGCCACGAACTTCATCTACCCGCGTGTCGACGGGCACATCTGCTGAATCACGGGTGATGCCCCCACCATCAACGGCCGCTTCCGCGCGCAGAACCGCTGCACTCGCTTCAGAGCAGGCCATTGCCTCGTCTAATTCCGCTTCTCCCAAAACTGCCCCCCTCTCCCGATACAGTAGTTCATTCAGCCATCGTCGAGGCCGACCATCTTCTGGAGGCACGCCGAAAATAGATGATGATAACTCCAGTGGTAGAGCCAGTGCCGCTTCATCTAACGTTCAACCTAGCTCTGGTCTTTTCGCAGAGGCTGCGGGTACCAGCGCCGAGTCAATACATGCAGATGATGAGAATATCTCAGAGTTCCTGAAAATGCTTGATACAGGGAAGGATCTCATGAATCCATCTAGGTCTACGAGCATCCAATCCAGCCAGCGGAAACCCACAGCAACTTCCGCAGCCCTCGCCCGATTTCGAGGGATGAGGGAGTCAAATGCTGCACTTTCTGACTCTATATCATCCTCTATGCACATGCACCGCTCGTCAGCATCATCGAGCAAACACCTGTCCGGTGTACCACCGATGGTAGCTGGGACCTCCATATCTACCGCCTCATCTCCTGGGAAGCCTATATCTCCCCACACGCCGCATACGCCTGCCATCCGCTCGCGTTTGAGTTCAAATAGTGTCGCTGATGATATAGCCATCGAGCACGACCGTCGAGTGACGCATGTGGAGCATGACTCGCCTCTCGAAGAAAACCCCAACCTGGAGAACTCCCAGTCCGCTGCGCTCATTGCCGCTGCTATCGATATTCCAACTTCCCCGCGAGTATTTGCGCCTGCGTATCGTCGCTCTAGCAGTGCTGCGCAGCGTAGGCGGCCCACGACAAGTGATGACGAGGAAATGTTTCCCTTTGTACTTCGAAGCATGAGCCTAGGTGCCGAGGACACGCCTCATTTGGGCCCAACCCAGCAGCAGCAGACCGACTACGAGAATTCAGATGTCGACCCCACGGTCGGACGCCGATCATCTTCGGCAGACGATCCTTCATCTTCTGCTGCCGCCGCCACCGGGACCATCACGGGTCGTTCTCAACCCGTCCCCGGCCCATCAGCAACTTCATCCTCGTCTAACGTCTACCAGCCGCGTTTCGCTAGCTCACGCGGTCGAGGATTCTCTGGCGGCCACTCGTTGAGCTCTGCATCGAGCAGCCTGGCCCGGGGCGCGATTATCCCATCTCACCTTGCTGAGCGTGACGACCGTGACGGTAGCGGTAGCAACAGCGGCAACTCGACAATGGAGCTCCGTCGTGGCTCCGGTCAACGTCCTAGCATCGGCCGGGGGCCACCCTCGCAGACCCCCTTCGAAGATGACGAGCCTCTTCTTTTTGCCATGAGCGATTTTGGCGCCTCGCGTCGCAGTCTAGAGGAGAATCGTCATGGGAATCATGGCGGGACGGACTCCAACGGTGGTTCTAGACGTGGTAGCGGCCGCCGCGGAGCTGGACTCCCGGGCTTCCATAACTGGTCGTAGCCTCTTGGATTGTGCTTTTCCTGGGGCTGAGCTGCATCCGACGAGGAGAAGTGAGCAGAATGATTTTATCCAATTTCCGATCCGTTTTCCCATTTGCAAATACCCTCTACCTTGTTTGCGCTTTTTTTATCTTGATTTTACCTTTTTCATTCTGCCTTTCTCCTCAGATTTAAAATATCCTTCTTATTTCTTGCTTCGTGGTCGAGTTGGCGGGCTGCTTTCATAGACTGGACTTTTTTCTTTTCTTTTTTACCAAGCAGTTGAACCCGTTTTGTGCATAGAAATTGGGCCTGGATGTGGTGTTCGACTTTTTTTGATCATATTCCTGTCATTTTGTCTTCTCTTTGTCTTTCAGCAGAACGTTACATCTTATGTTGGCGGACGTTTCTTGCTTCGTTTCACATGATCGACATGAAATCATGGTACTTTTCCCCTTGCGAGTTTCATCACTTTGCTTATCAAGTCGCAAGGCTTTAGCTTTTGAAGTCTCATCTTTTTGTATCTCATCATCATACGATTTGTCGCGATCTTGGCGGTATTGACACCGAAATTTAGTCTTGATTCGAAGATTACCTTCCGGTGCACGTTGGACCATCCGCCAAGGCTTTGTTTCTAGAGTAGACAATTTAATCCTCATTCTGCATGGAACTTTCTCAATTAAAGCAGCGTCTTGAAATCCCTAGTTTAATTAAAGCTCGTCATTCAGTCACTATGTATTCTGTATTCGGGAGTGGCTTTTTAATGTGTCACAATACTGCATTCACAGAATTGTTTCCGCTTTTCTGAACATCTCAAGCTCTCTAGGGACTCTTGCAGTTGATTCTCCTTTATGTGAAATCTGATTTTCTTCAATTTTTCAGGGCTTAGCTGTCGGTCAAATATCAACCAATAGCTGACTCTATCTAGCTGCCAACTGCCTGCGCCAACTCCTGCACTGGTGGCATTAACGCACCCATGTTCCGCAAAAGTTCTCTTATACTCGGACTACATACTTCCCGTTTATGTGAGACCGAATCAGTTGCGGAAGCTCACCGACGTTCAGCGCATTATTCTGGGTTATCTAGTCTCCGTCGGGGCCCACGCCAATTAGTCCAAGCCATCTCGACAACTCACTCAACAGTTCGCGATAAGTACAAGGCCTCTCCTTGTCCGCATTATAAGCGACTGCCCATTTTAGCGTTTCTCCGGATGCATATATCATGCAGACCCAGGTAGTAAATATGAGTGATACTTTCGCCACTTTTTATGGCTTTTCTCATCGACGTGGTAAAAGTGAACCGGTCCCCTGGCCGTAAGAAAATACCCGAAGCGAGCTTTTGCGGGCTAATGTAATTTAGAAAGATCGAGAAAATGATTGGTAAATGCGGTAATCTTGGCAAATTGTGCCGAGATGGGGATACGGTCGTAGAAGCTGATCACTTCGGGCCCATGGGACTAAACCAGGTGCACCGTAGATGACAGCGTGTTTTAGGCTTTCAATCATTCTTGAGGAAGCCTTTGATTGTGATAATTTTCGCTCACCTGTGCCGTAGAAAGGTGGTTGGTCATCAAATAGGAATCTGGCTCTCGAAGAAGTAGGGAATCGGAGACTTGTCATGCAAGGTCATCGCGCACTCCAAATAGGTAGCCCGAGAGTCATGGTGAGCCACAGATGTAGAATTTGCGAGATTAAAGGAAGTGGACCTAGTATCATGGCTCAGAGTACAAATAAGTCTTGTTGTAATTTCCCATAATATAGGTCCGAACGTCATTTCCCAAATCTTGAACTATATATTTTCGTGTCAATTATGTGTGACGCACTGAAAGGATTACTTTTCATCAGACCAAATGAACTCGGATGTGACTGGAGATGTGAAAATGAAAGAAATCAAATTAATTATTATCTATCTCTCTTTATAAATCCAATCTTGAAAGCCGTAGCTCCTCCTATCATGCAATGATTCTGGAAGAAAACTCATCATCCTTAGCAATATGTCTGGTTGGAAGCAGCCTTCGTGATCACACCGGCGTCGATAAGACGCTCATATGACCAGTAGTCCCTCTGAGTACCCTGGCCACTGACCACAGCGCTGCTGTTGTGCTTAATGTTCCAGAAGGATCCACCCTGAACATAGTAGCTCCAGGCATAGCGCTGAGTATCGAATAGAGTCTTGCGGTTGGCATAGCTGTTGCTGTACAGAGTCTGCAGAGCCCATTCACCGACGTACACGGGGAATTTGCCATCGCCACCAAGCTGGGATGCCTGGCCACAGATTGCGCCGGTAGCCCACTGGGAGTAGACACCAGAGGCTGCGAAATAGTAGACGTGCATATCGATGACGAGATTGGTGCCATTCGCGAAGTATGGAGACCAGTGCTCTTCGCCAACGAAGCAGTCCTGTAGCATGAGAGGGATGCGTTTGTCAACATTAGCGATGCGGTTCAGGACACCGTTGGTGTACTTGACAATCCAGTTAGTCCCGTTGGTAGTCAAGGTATTGGTGCCGGCGAAGTCATCTGGGTTGTCGGAGGCTTCATTGATGGCGGAAAGGGTAAAGCCCCAGGGATATCCTGTTTCGACGAAGAAGTTCAGAATCTGATCAACCGCCTGGTAGGAATATTGCAAGTTGGTGTTGTTGAAGAACCAGCTATCGTGTCCAACAGCCTCGCCAATGTCCAAGTTGTTGACGCCGCCGGGGAGGGAGTGCAGGCCAACGATCACGCGCATGTTATATTTCTCGATGGCATAGACAGCGATCTTCTTCAGATAATCCTTCTGGTTACCGTGGTAGAGAGCAGATCCAGGGATCTTGATCCAGGCAGCATAGGTGGTAGGGATGCGGAGAGTATTGACACCTGGATTAAGTTATTAGTACTAGAATGTTGAAAGATAGATTCTTGAATGTAAGCCTACCAACAGCAGCCATCTTGTCGATATCAGCAGTAGTAACGAAGGTGGCATATCGCTCTTCGAGAACAGGACCACACTGGGAGCCGAGGGTCTCGCAGAATGTCCACTCATCATCAGCGTCGGGGGCATACTGGTCCCACCAATACTGGTTAAAAACACGCTCCTGCTCGAGCCATCCACCAAGGTTGACACCGTTGGCCTTGTACTTGGTCCAATCAACATACTCACCGGCAGCAATGGTAGCAGTGGCAGAGGCAACAGTGGTGGTGTATGTCTTGGTAGTAGTAGTACCATGGTGAGTAGCGGTCTTCACGATGGTACGGACATCAGTATGGGATACAGGTCTGGTGTTCAACTGGGTATTGAAGCCAGAGCCAACGGCAGAGCCACCTGCAACGGGACCCGAGCCATGAGTGTGGACAGTGTGGTGACTATAAATGGTTAAATAACAACATTCTCAGGGGTTGGTCTATTATAGATGAACTTCACATACGGCTTCGCAGCGTTGGTCTTGGTCGCAATCTCAGTGAGGACAGTACGGCTGTTGCCATTGGAGGCTGCAGCAGCAGTCTCGGCCACGCTGACGCCAGCAGTAGCAACAGAGATAGTCTTGGTGACAGTGCTGGTCTCAGTAGCATACACAGTGGTGTGGAGGTGGGTGGGCGCATTGGTGCAATCAATCAGGATGGTGTTATCAATAGTGATCACGGCGTTGTCCTCCAGCACAACATCGACGATGACTGGATATTCGATGATATTGACCGAAAGATGAAGAACTTCACCAGTGTTAACAATATTGGAGCAGCTTTCCTCATTGGTAGATTTGGCCTGGATAACTCCAGCAGCGGCGACCCCAAGAGAGGCCGCCGCTGTCAGGACAGCGAGGAAACGCATGGAATGCAATTAATCGAACGAATGACTGGGGTAGGTTGGAGACGAAAGGAAAGGAGAGGATGCGCGAGGGACAGGAAAAGAGTGTCGAAATTCCCTGATTATCACATTCCTGGCGCATTCGATGATTTTATACTCCTAGGCATGGACATCCAACATTTTAATGCACTTTGGTGCCTATGCCTTTAGGGCATAGTTTCTTCCCAGAAACCGGATACCTTACCGCAATCCACTTAGTTGGTACAGGATCCGTGGAATGGCGGGTTTAGTATACGAACCGATCGGAGCTTTGGTCTCAAGCGCAACCAAATTTGAGTTTACGAATTCGATACAGGCAAGACAGACTGCGAGCAGCATAGCAAATTGCCAATTTCGACGAGAGCGAGAGCTTAGGGCTGCCGTCACATATCTTCGTCCGCTGCGGTGGCACTTCAAGTTTTGAGGTCAATGAAGAGGCCGTGATATACGGAGCGATATTGAAATTTCAATAGTGGTCATATCGGACCGAGCGACCCAGTCGTTGCCTTAATACCGAGCTGAACCTCTGTGGATCGAGGCCTAGCGGATCGGAGTCCACATGTGGCTGAAAGTGGGTGCTTGTACTAATAGAATTCTCAAGAAGCCGAGGAACAGAATAATGTCAGCAGCGCTTGACTACCATTGGTGAAGCTTGTTTATCTAACTCGGTCATCGTGGGCCGATCAGGTATCTACAAACAATCCACGGCAACGGACCCTGAATCGTAGAATTATGGATGCTTTCAGGGCTTGCTTTGTATGAACTAGTACTCAACCACGGCGTTTCAGGGGCTGGCTCTGGTCAGCGCCCAAAATCAGGCCTGGAAGCGGGTTCAGGGTGCAAATGGTCCGATAAGCAAGAATTCAATCTCGAGGGAAAGGGTGCCGAGGACCCACCGTTCTCGCCGGTTCACTAATTCGGACCCTTCGGGTGCTAATGTTGAGCCGAATGCCACCAATTCCCCCCGAGTGCAATGTTGCCGTCCGGGATATCCGAAGGCTCCTACTTTCCCGAAGGGCCCGATACCCCGACACCAACCGTAGACCATAGGCCGCTTATCTGTAAATAGTAATCTTACAATTTCAAAATTTCTTTTTTGGCTACCCAAGAAAGGATGAAATGAAATCTTGACCGGCTACGCGTTCAACAATTTCTTGTAGAGATGAAGACGAAATGGCAACGGACTTTGCTAAAACAGTTGATGTCAAATTCTGTCAACGGTGCCGATCCAAAAGCCCATCGTATGTAAGTACCGGATTCCACGTGGTGGATCTATGGCTGTGGAGCACTGAAGCTTCATTACAGACCTATTTCCATTATTAGGGCACTTCGCTTCCTCCTTTGGGCCATTGCCCCCATTACTCGAGTTCCAGCCGAATATTTACCGGGCCAGAAAAACAAGGCTAGCTATCTTTGGACAGATCAAATTTACGTTTTAAAGCTTTATTATCAAGCTATGACAACCAATTAGGCCAAATTTTTGTTGATCACAACGGTAAATCCGGAACATAAGAAACGAGGAAACCTCGGGTTATCATTATCGCGAAGCTGATTTGGTCCTACTGGCCAGACTAATCTATTTTAAAAAGATCCAAAAACGGGTTATTTTCAGCGAGAGCAAGCTTTTCCATGTCCTAAGCAAGAATTAATTTCATCCTAATACTGGCACAAGCAACGAGAGGCTTTCCGTAGCGTCCAGTACGGGTATAACCTTGGCGAATGGCAATTCCAGGTCGGATTGAAGTGGCCATTGGCGATATGCTTTGAATTTTACGCTGTATCGAAAGATGTATCTTTAAATACATGCTGAGAACAAGGAACGTGGTGGGTTGGTCATTAATATTTGCTGTATTTCAGATCACAATACTTTTTCCAAGGCAGACGGTTGGTGGATGTCTTCGGGCGTACTTTTGGTATTCCGCGCTCAAGAGTAATAGGTCATTCAGGAATATCGTTAAATAAAACAACAAAGATACACATAATGAGCAAAGCTATTCAAGTCCTACTTTGAATCCAGTTTGAGTAGATGTAAAGACAGAAAATTTTTCAAAGAATCCAGTCTAAAATGATTAACTTTCGGCTCTTCAGACATGCGAGTGAAGAATATTAGAGATCAGAAAGAACAACGCACTTAGGTTACATAAGGTGTATCGCAGATTTGATTAGATTTGGATCCCTTCAGATTGCAGCTCTCGCCAATTGAGATTTCTTCCGATCAAGTATCGGTTGGATTTGGCCTATTTAAAGAAAGATAGTACTCACGGTAACCAAATCCATATGACATCAATTATGGATCAGACAGGATTTCCGTATCTGGGCCTTCCTACACAATGCGGCCGAACTCTCTCTCAAAGTTGCATGTCCTTTTTCGTATAAGACAGGCTGAAATCACATTAAGAAAGTCGCTAATACTAAAAGAGAATGAGACAAGATTAGTCCTGAAATGCATAATGAAAATCATGTCTATGATCCGTGTTTTAGCAAAGGAATAGAGTTTGAGAGAAATCAAGGATAATTTGACAGCGGTGGTATATGAAATTTTTGCAGGCGCCCAGGGAATGGAAACGATTAAATCACCGTTTCGCTAATTGGCAGCTGGAGAGGAAGAACAATACGATAAAGGGAGCAGACACTTTTTCGAAGAAAATCGAGGTCACCTGTTTCAGCTCATTGATGCAATGTGCTAGAATTTTGAGAAAGCGCATCTTGCGTAGAGTCTAGGCTGCTCATTTGACCTAACATGTACTTTTTACTCGAAAGACGCAACCTTTCTCAGCCTCTCCATGAGTTCTGGAACGAAAGCTAGGTTTACTTCACACAAAGGCTGGGTTATTATCAAGCAGTCAGATAATTTCGAAGACTGAAAAAGGCATATCAGGCATTTTCTGGCCACAATCTAAGTTGGACAATCCGTAGGGACTTCTTTGGTTTGGCAGTCTTTGGATTCTGACCTTGCTGCCTTACAGTTGATTCTTATATGGAGCCACATTAGCCGGAAGGCAGGTAGAACGGCGGAAGATTGCTTGTAAAACAAAACCACTTTTTGGTGCTTATTGAGGTATATAACAAAAATCGACTCTGAAAATGCTAGGTTGACAGCGTCATGCAACATGTCCATGATAAGAGTACACGTATCAAGCCGTGAGGATTCCGGGTTGATTAATAAAAAACAGTCGTTCAACGCCAAAAAGAAGCCCATTGGTCTAGAAAAATCAAGAAATCACATCTTGCGGAAAGTGTTGCCGGAAGCACTTCGGCGCTCCTTGGACCGGAACTCAGTCTTATCGTATTGAACCTCGGGCACCTTGGACCTCGACTTCGAAGCCGGCATGAAGCTAACTTCCTTCTCGCCAACAACACCGCTTTGACGCGCTGGTCGCTGCCTGGACTTCATATTCTGAGCACGGGAGCCGAATGATCGATCGCGAGCAGAGTTGGTCCGTGTTGAGGATGAGATTTGCATGCGAGGAGGAGCACGCTTGGTACGCTTGTAATCAGCTGATGAAATTTTTCCGGACTTCTTGGCGACCGGTCTCTCGGGTTCACTTTCAGAATCATCGTCACTAGATCCAGGAACGTCGTCCACGGCTTCTTCTTCGACTGCGGTAAGCCCACGTTCTTTACGTGCAGGCACATCCGGAACAGTGCTCGGGTTGATAGCACGGAACTCATGGGAAGTTTCATCAACCGCAAACTCTTCATCCTCGAACAGCTTGTTGAAACGCGAGTCTTTAAGAACACCCTTGCTAGTGGACCCAGCCTCGGTAACAGCGGCGTCGACCATCTCTTCATCGCCACCACGCTCCAGGACTTGCTTGGCTCTCCGACGCTCATTCTTCTCCTCGGCAAGAAGCAGCCTCTCGGCCAACTTCTTGTTGACCTTGACAGCGGCCTTCTTCTTGCCGCGAATGCGACTCTCGCGTTCTTTGTCAATCTTCTCCTTGACTCGCTTCGCACGCTCCTCTTCCCAGATATACGGATTAGTGATCAATCTGGCCTCCTCATACAAACGTTGAGCCACAAAGTAACCGTGCATGTATGGCCGTAGGAGGTTTGTGCGGCCAATGAGGTGCTCTAGATTGAGACTGCGAAGTTGTGGCACTGTCAAGAACTTGTAGTTGTCATAGACAGAACCGGCTTGCGCGCTGGTAAACGCATTCGGGTCGTTGGGGTCTTCGGCCATCTCCTCAACCAAGTTATCCAAGAAGGAGCACCATTTGGGGGCCGGACCGAGCTGAGGAATGAAGAAGGAGTGTTGTTGGCGGCCTTCGTTAGCAGTCAACAGCATTCCGCTGTCCTTGCACCAAGCGACCGAGTTGATATCCACAGCTGGTTCCACAGACGTCCACGGGCTACCATCACGAGGATCCCAAATCTTGATGATGCGCTTATCCGCAGACATAATCTTTGGCTCCAATGTCGCCTCACGGGTCGCCGATGACGGTTGGAGGAACTTGAGAGTGTGAATAGGGAAGCCGTATCCTTGATCCTTCTTAAGAAGAGGGACAGGAGAACGAAGATCGTAAAGATGAATGAGACCATTCGAGGAACCGGTGCCCAGAGTCAACCCCGAACGTTGAAACTCCAATGCCGTAATTTCAGATCGCGCCTCATCAGACCCAGTTTGTGCTGGTGGCAGGAGGATGCCCGCCCGACCCTTGGCTCTAGGATCCCAAAGCTCCACAGTACCAATGCTTGTGCCAAAGGCCATCAGGCCGTGGCTGTCTTCCGCGATGGCACCTGTGTTTACCGCGCCGGTGTTAATGCCACCCTGCAGCGTGCCGCCACCAGCGGAGGTAAAATCATCACCTCCAACATCAACTTCGAAAGACCGCATGTATCTTCCCATCTCCAAATTTAAACGGAACACTTCACCAAGGCCGTCTTGGTTAACACCAACTGCAGGGATCAGCGCTTCGGTCGACTGGCGGTCATAGATAAGATCACGGCCATATCTAGGAAGTCGAGTGGTGTAGTGGCATCCCTGCGGGGTGTGAAATTCAAGAGAACGGTCGGATTGGAGATGTAGGGATTTTGAGTAGTCGGAAGATAGAAGAAGAAAGGTTGTGTTGAGGGCTACTGTATGCCGAGCCCAGGAAAGAGACAGTTGTGGGAGGTAGTGAGTATGGATTTGGGGTTTGTAGGTTCCTAGCGAGGAATTAAGTCAGTTGAAGTACGGCAGAAAGACGAAATGATCCATACCAGTACTCATAACCCATTCACCATCGTCGCTGACTCGCACACATTGACTCGCTTCCTCGAACTCGAAGTCTTGTAAGAGCTCGACACGATTGGCATACTCCGGGTCATCTTTCAAGCTGCGCTTTCGCCGTCGAGCCAGCCACTCAGGTAAAGGCCGAGCAGTGTTTGATCCCGAGATGGTGTACACCGGTACCTCGGATTGGTTGGACAACTTCATGACGACAGGAAGCGACGAAGTTCCACGCTTGAGTCTCGACCGATAGAAAAAAAATGCACGGCGATAAAAAAAAGATAGCGATAGGGACCACGTGACGTGGCCGGTGCGGATCCCGATGATTGGCCCGAGCGTCACTCGAACTCCCCCGGAATTGCGCAGCGCGGCGCTGTTTTGCGTTTGCGACAAAAGTCGTCTTAGGTCGCGTCTTTTGCTACATTGGAGATGGCTATGCGAACCTTATGAGTCTGACCTTCCTGCTGTGCGTGTGTGGTCCTTGCCGTGGAAATTCTCACCACTGGAGATGACTCCTCGAAAACGCCTTGATCACCGTCTCGCTATTTGTGCATGCTTCCCGGGGCTGTCCGCGACAGTTGAACCATGGACTTTCCCGGATGCGCTACCACTAACATACATCTAATTGTAAGAATCCTCGCCCGATAAAAGGACCTGGATACTGATTGGGAGATAGGATGGCTTCTCCACGATCTATTGGAGAATCTACACAGAAGAGCCTGGCATTGCGAGCCATCCACCAGATGGTCCGGCTAATGGCTACACCATTTTAAAGCATCTTGGTCGTCTGAAAGAGCTAGAAGCTCGTTTGAGGAGTTTTAACTGTTTAGCGTCATGTCCCAGACGTCTCGGGCTCTGGGTTTTTTCCCCACCCCGACGTTCGAGAGCCTAGGGCCCTTGTACATCAAAGAAGGAGAAGTTGAAACGACCAAGATTCTTGTGGACAGTACCACTCTAAAAGGTATATAAAACCTTTTTCTACCGCTCCGAAAATTTCATCAAGAACATGCTAACATTCGGTACAGCATCAGCGTCGGGCAGTATCGCGTCACAGGATTTGATACAAGGCCTCTCCTCTGACAACCAGGGCCAGCAGGGAGGAGGCCATTCAACTAGCTCCCAGAGGTTCCAACAAAATCAGCCCTCAGCCCGCCGGTCCGACGGGTATAGCAATTCGGCTGCCATATATTCGTCTTTTATCTCTGCCGTGACAGGTTCACTGAGCCTTCTTTTAGTACGACAACATGGTGCTTTACCCCTAGGGTCTCGCACCTTATTCACACCAATCGATAAGATTGGATATGAAAGCCCCCGGATTGACAACGAAAGTGTGCTTTCTACGTCCTACTTGACAACACTGAATGTTCAGCTACACGCAACTGGAACTTTGACAGTCTTCCCAACCACTGTTTCCCAAGTCGGCATCACACGGCTATGCAGTCCCCGCGATGATATTTCCGATGTATTGCGGGTTCAGCCAGGAACTGACCTCTGGCTATGTCCCAACGGGGCCATCTCGAGACTTGTCACTGCCAATATCGAATCTCCAACTGTCCCTTCCCCGGGATTTTCGACCTCTGGAGATTTAGCAGCCAAAAGAATGCAATGGAAATTGGATGTCCTGCGATGGCTAGCAAACTTTGGCTTACATATTGAGTCTATTGATGAGGAACCTTGGGTTGAAGTCGAGGTTTGGGAGCCCTTTTTCGCACGCCTAGCTGGAGAGGCATGGCGGCAAAGTGATGAACCACAGTCTGTCCTTCCATTGAAGCGTATGCTTTGGCCTGCGCGATTCTGTTTTAAGCGATATGGTTCATCGATTCAATCTTCTTCGCTCGAAAATGCGCTTGGTGATCCGCTGAAATTTGCAGAGAGCTGGTCATCCAACGTCAGCTCTCTAGCTGAGTCTAATCATGATACCCGAGGCGTTCCTGTTTTGGAAGAGCCTCAACCAAAAGACAATGACATGTCGTCTCCTAAGTTTGACAGCTTGGAAAACTTCGAGAGTTTATCCCGAATGGCGCAGTATCCTGACCTCCAGAATACTAACCTTGTCTATCCAACTCCACCAGACGGGGCCACTTCCATGACAATGAACAACCTTGTACCTTCAGATGCCTATCCTGAGGACCCGGACTTCAATCTATCTCCAGCCATTCTGGCCGAACAGAAATCTCTTCCAAACCTTGAGCTAGCTGTTGGCACAGGTCGATATGATGCTAGCGATGACGAAGATCTATTTGGAGAGATGAATGACAAAGACTTTGGATCCAAAGGGATCACTGATGCCGACTTCAGCTTTTTTGATGATCCGACTTTGGATGATATGCTTGATGACACCCCCGCCAATCATATCCAGGAACCCGCCAAAGCTCCCTTGAGTTCAAACATGGATGAGCAGGCGGATTCCGGTGATCTAGACCTATCCGAAAGCACTCCTTTAGGGCTGACATCAGTTGATGATATTGTTAAAGAAGAGACACCTTCATCTCAGACTCCTAAGATTTTGGCCAATGTCACTGAGGAGCAAATGCAGACCCAAGACACACTCCAATTATCCTCAGATCCATCCATTCAAACAGTCAGTCCTCCATTGAGCCCCGTGGAAATCAAGAAGATCCTTTTTTCGGGGTCTCAGAGGCAGAAAGATGAGCACTTTGGACAAGTTGGCAGCCACCAGGGACACTACCATCCTGTTACTTTCGAAAAGAAAGTGGTCGATTGGGATCAGAAATATGGGTCTCAGGGCAAATTCTGGTTCTCGGATCGCCCTACTGGAAACCCCACCGATGATACCTCCAGCTTCATCCCCACCATCGGGGTTCCCAATCGAGGCCGTACCCGTGGTTCTGCGCCGATCTTCACACCATCTGCCCTCCCAAATCCGTCGGCAGTGGCAGCTGGCAGCTGTGAGCGATCGTCGTCAGTTTCGAGTAGCGGCAGTAGTGATGCCAGCGATGACGCTCATTTAGAGCAATCCTCCACATCAATTTCACTTCCTACGTTGAAGAGAAAACGGGTTTTTTCAGAAAGTGATATCCAATCGGCTACATCTCCAGCTAAGTCTTCTATCGCAGTCGAAGGGAGTGCCGGACTGAAAATCGAGAACACAACCTTTCTGGGAAATTTTTTCGCCAATTTCTCTGACTGGAGTTTCACTGGTTACTTTTCTGCGTTGCAGATTCAACAGCTTCCGGTTCTCTTCCGGCGAGAAGACCAGATTTCAATAGCCCAGCTCCTAGTTGATCAAATCACTCAGTCCTCTTTAGATCATTCTTTGGGCGGGCAGATCAAATTGTTTGGACTAGAGACTGAAAATCTGACCTTGCAGAATTGCTTTGACGATGCAACCTTCTTGGGAGATATTTCGAAGCTCGATCTCAGGGGGTATACCACACTATACGAAGACACAACAAGTTCACTGCAACAGACCAAAGATTGCACCGGAAGAGGTCTGATTTCAAAAGTGTCGGCGCCCCACCTCCGCGTTCGCCGTGGAAAGGAGTACTTGGAAGCGCTTCCTCCAGCTGTGTCATTCTGGGAAACATTTGGTCTTGAGCCTGCTCATGGCTCTAAAGACATTTCAGCATACTGCATCCACCCCCCATCCGCAGTGGATGCTGCAGATTCATTTCTGAATCGATTTGGAATTCTATACCAGAGTTGCAATCTTGGAAAACATACCCGCGGTGACAAATCAACGTCATTTACCAAAGGGCTACGATCTTGGAATTCTGAGTCTACCGGCTATACCTCTATGATGCAATCTCTCAAGGGGATTTGCGAGGAATTAGCCAACGCATTATCCCAGTCCGCATCCACTACAGATAACTGCGTTGTCTATATTATTAACCCGTTTCCTCATGCGGCTGCGCTTGCTGATATTTGCGTAGCTTTTTGGTGCTTGTTTAAAGAATTGGCTGCCAGTTCCGAACGTGGACAATCGAAAGAAGTAAAGGAAGTTGCTTTGCAGATTATTCCAATGGATTTCATCATTTCTGGAGAGTCAATGGTTGTCCCTGCTCAGACGGACTACCTCAACCTGGCTCTGGAAGTGTATCACCGATGTCGTCCCAAGGATGAAAATTCCGACCCGCTGTTTTGTGCCCCGGCGATTCTCTTGGCCGATCCCCTTCCAAAGAGTATCAGCTTCCGATTAAATGCGGAGAAAGGATGTCCGCTACAGGACGGTCGGACTCTACATATTGCATGCTCCAAAAGCTCGGATCAACGATGGATATCTGCCGCCTGGTCCGATGGAACAGGCAATCTTCAGACTAGTCTGTCTTACTGTCTACGGTATCGCCATAGAGGTACCATCAGAACAATTACCGAGGTTCGCAACGAGATTTGGGCTACAACAAAACGTATCATGGAAAAGTTCCAGGCCAGATGGAAGGTTGTTCTGGTGAACACAGATCCGATCGATCTCGATGAGGTTGAATGTAAGTACATGGTGAAATTAATTGGGCCCAAAGATGATATCTCTAACTATGGACAGGCTGGAATAATCTGGCAGAGCAACAAAACAAGATCCGGCCGGGGTCGCTGGAACTAAATATTGTGACTGTTAACTGCATTCCCGATCTGATACTCCAGTCTTTGGCCTCCCCAATGGCTGCCAGCGTCCTCAATCCCCACTTTTCATCCACACCCGTTTCAACACCAAACCCAAGTGCCAGCGTCGCCTCTCCCGAACAATCCGGTAACGCTCCCACGCCAAGTGCAGTATATAATGCGTCGACACCAACCGAGCCCTCCCTTGAGCCGGACTCAGATGTTGTTCTTGTTGATGTTTGCGATGAGTCATGGACAGTCATCCTATCACATCGCCTGAGCATCTCTCCGCATATTACGGAACTCCGCCCTGCGCTGAGCAGTGGGTATCTTCTTCGGCGTAAAGGTGCGGCCGACAGCGATGGTGTTTTCACTATGAACGCCAACCTCATATATACACAGCGCCCATCCTCGTCTCCTGAAAGCGTTCTCAAAGAAATTCTAGGAATGTATCGAGATCTAGCTTGTCTTGCTCGCGCAAAAGGAATCCGCAGCGTTCAGGCCAATACATTACCCTGGCATATCGCAACGGCTCTGCGAGCCCAGGAGCTCTTGAGCTATGTCTTCTGAAGAAAGTTCATACTGAAGAATGTTCATAAAGTTGTTTGTTTTTCCCTTGTTTCATTCCTTCTTGGCGGCGTTCAGGTTTTCATGTTTCTATCCAAAAGGACCTTTGGATGCATTGTATAGGATCATTGTTTATGTCTAGGATTCGTGGGGATACCATTGGTGGCATGAATTTGATTTGGGGGAGTCGCATGGCATATTGTACTTTGCATTCTCACATTCTTTGTTCCTTTCGACTCGCATGTTTTATTGTCTACACATTATTTGCCATCATCATTTGCTACAACTATCTTATTTTTTCGTATCTCAGGTAGGTCTACGGATGTACTTGGCTCGCATTGTTGGATTTTGTTCGAGTTTTAGATTTTTTTCTCATCGACCTTACCATTGGAAGGTGTCTTGAATAGTACATATAAATGGACTCCAGCAGCCAGATAGTGCATATCATTGTTTGATTCTGGGTTCTTTCGCTAAATATAGATACTTTGGTGGTCTACCACGGTTTACAGAGAGATTTTTAGTCTTTGGGTCTCACTTTATATTATCAATGGCATGGCATATCTGTTCAGCCAACCGGTTTCATTCGTCAATTCAAATCATATATTCCATCATTTAAACAGGTCAACCATGTTCATGGAAAAAGGTATGAATAGTACATATGGGGGAAAAATAAGACATAGAAGTAAGGATCAAAACAACGCCATCAACTCCTGGAAGAATATCGGGCTGACATGGAACATGTTTGGCCAATGCGCGCAGGTTCGTACAAAATAGGGCATAAATATTTCATTCACACAAACAGGGTATTTGTGTTAAAGTGTTCGTCACGGCAATTGAGTAGAGGTGCGGATGCAGGTAGGGTATCGTGTGAAGGTCGTTTGCAGAGGTATTATGTTATGCATGTTGGAAAAAGGCAAAGGCGGCAAGGCGTAGTGCGTCGTGCTAGGTTTCGTTTACCTCGCCAGGTATCTCGATCAGTGGATGCCACTCATTATCCATCCCCGCCATTTTCTTCGTCGTCACGCCTCTGGCCGAACAAGCCAAGATGCTTGTGAGAGGCAAAGACAGCGACTCCTGCTGCCACAAGGAGAATGAAAAGAATAATAATGATGATGGCAATCACAATATTGCGCTTCACCATCTTGAATGACAATGCCCTCGGTGAGTTCTGCGATTGGCTTTCGGATGGCCAAGGCGTTCAGAAGGATGGGTATTGTGGTGAGTCTTATGGCTCTTAAATTGATTGACTTAGATGGCAAGTCAGATGGATGTGAGTGAGATCTGACAATGAAATAAGGGTAGAAAAAAGGCTGGCAGAATCTCTTGTCTGTTGCGATGCCCAATTCTTTGCTGGGCTGAATGGGCTGTAGACTTTGAAGTATGCAACGTGGGTAGGTTTCAACCCTCCCTTACTCCAGAAAATGTCCAGAGGAGATAGAAAAAGGTAAGAAGTTAGCAGCCACAAGTGCACTGCACAATGATACTAAAGAAGAAAAAAATAGCATCCGTCGGAATGTGAATGGGGGTTTTAAAGAAAATCTAATACTCCCAGCCATGTGTATTTCGCGATCGGGGGCTGGGGATGGACTGCGTGGGGCGCGGTCAATTGCGTGGGACGCTAACCCGCTTTGGGGCTCCGTTAAGGCCTTCCGTTCAACGTGGCCGGTCGGCGGGAAACCCCCTGTTTCAATTGGAGCCTAGCCCAGGACATCGTCTTCTCGCTCCATATTCCTGAAACATAGGCATTGTCGGTAAATTAGCACTAGACAGAATATTTGCAAGGCTCTTTTCTGTTATCGTAAGCCAAAAGTTCTGGCGATGCTGATGCAACGATACTTAGCGAACGTCGGTCGAAGTCTAGTACTTTGTCCGGGATTCAGGAACAACTAGACAGCCATGTTAAGTCACATAAGAGTGCAAGATAGATACACCACTAGATACCACGTATTCCTACAATGCAGTTGTCTTATATGACCTGTCAATCTGGGTTTTATCTCAAGAGGTAGGAGAGCAGAATTTGATGAAGACGAATTTGGAGAAATGAATGGATGTGGTCAGAATGACAGATATATAAGGGCGTATGCAGGTAGCCAATGGATGGCCAGTAAACAATTGGAAGTAAAGCAAGCAATAACAAAATTTCACAACACATAAAGACCTCATTACATTCTTCGCCCAAATGAAATCGCATAGGCGTACGCTAAATATCCCGCAGTACATTTCATTGAGTCTTAGACCCTAGATCTCCTCCAGACCTTTAAAGGCATTGGCCCAGGGCTCAGATTAGTGGTCTCTCGAACGGGAGGGTCCCAGTCCGGCGATGGTAAGGCAAAATCGAAACGGTGGACTAACGACGCGACTAGAACTGTTTGCTCCAAGTAGCTAATATTGCGACCGATACAACCTCTTGCACCAGTGCTGAATGGGACAAAATAGGGCTGCAGAGCCTTTCCATCTTCACCCAACCAACGCTCTGGCTTGTATGCATCATGGTCCCTGAAGATTGATTCTTGATGATGGATCACGTAGGCTGACATACTGACCGAGGTGTCTCCAGAGATATAGTCATCAAGAATAGAGGTACCCTCGAGAGGGGTGCGACGTGGAAGGCCAAAAATCACTGGTGGAAGCATGCGCAAACTTTCGTCGATACAGGCGCGGAGATATGGTAAGTGCTTCACTTTCCCATAGGGAGCAACAATATCGTCCTCATCAAGGGTCTGGTCAAGCTCTTCGCGGAGCTTTTGCATGCAGTGTGGGTTTTTCAAAAGAAAGAAAAGAGAGTTGCGAAGAGAGATCGCTGTCGTATCGTGGCCGGCATTCATCATAATGTTAATCTCTGCGACAATCTCACCCCATTCCAAGTTGTGTGGAGATCCATGTTTATCCTCCATCATGGCACTGAAGAAGTCGTCAAGCTTTTCTCCAGCCAAGTACCGCTTCAGACGAGTCGTTGCACGGTTGTAAACTATCCCGCCCCAATCATCATCCAACTTCCACATTCGACAATACTCGGAAGAAATCGACTTGCTGACTCTTTTCAAGGTCTTGAACCAGTCGTAAGCCCACACCAGCTGGTACGAGACTCGACCAGTGGCTGCATGGCATTCTCGGAATGAAACCTCCTTGACGGTACCGTCTTTGCTTTCAGAAGGGACCTTATCAGATCCTTCGTTGAGGAAACCCAGATCTTCACTGAGTCCAATGTTTGCAATTGCTGTCGAGGCAAATAGGACCGTCCAGTTCCTATAGTCAACTGTAAGGTCTTGCTTCTTAGGCACATGACTTGGCGGAAGAGGATCCGTGCATCGAGCATCGAAGGCCTTGATAAGTTTGCCAGTAACGTCGGCGACCTTGAACTCCCATTCCTCTAAATTCTTCAATGCATAGGCACTAGACAATATTTTTCTCTTCCTGGCATGATCGCTTTTGTCCACAACATCGGCGAGGTGAGAATGAGTTCCTGCAGTCTCGGAATAGAACCTGTCCTTGATGCAGGAGGTGCCATGACCGTAAATATCCTTGATAGCTCGTGGGTCTGCGTAAGATAGGGCATTTGGACCGATGCGTAGAACAGGATGCTTTTTATGAGCTTCAAAGAGATTCCGGGATCTGAAGCCTTTGTGCGACTCATAGAGGAAAGGTAAATCGGATATACCAGACAAGAAGTAAAAGTTGGGATACTTTCTCAGGCCTTTTGCATCATAGAAATAGACAATGACAGGCTTTACGATAAAGTAGCCTAGTACGAATAATGCCAACGCGAAAGCGTACATTTTATTTGATCATGTATATTCGAATGTAAAAGAGCCATTCTTGCAGTCGCACCTCGATACTTAATCTTCATCAGAATGTTGATATTCATCAAATGACGAGGCCATTATTGGTTCATGCGGGGTAACGCAGCAATAATCGCCGAATTTCGAACAATGAGGTTAGTGTAACGAAAATTTTTTGACAACGAAGGGACCGGCGCATCAAATTGAAAATCCTCCACAGTTGAACTAATCACATTTTGCTCTTAAGATTTCTATTTTGGAAAATCAACGAGGCTTGATCAATATTTATCGGTTATGAACGTCCTTGGTTACCGTTTCAGTGATCATTCTCGGTAGTAGAACTCAGCTTGGTTTGTACATTGGCATATTCTTATGTTGAGGGCTAGCTCGGAATAATGTATGTCTTTCAAATAGGTGATCTACATTAGAAAAAAAGAAAATTTAAATCCAAACAAAAGTTATCGGCAGTTGATGATTCAGTTGGAGTGCCAACGATGCATTCAAAACGTGCTCAATCCGGCTTGGTGTTCTCCGCAGAGTCCGAAATTGGAGCAACTCGGCGAACTGGTTACTAAATAGGATTAGTCTGTGGGAACCCTGCTCGAATACATAGTTTCATCACCGGGATTTTGCTCAGCAGTACAGCAATATTCTTAGGTATAAATCTCATAGCTATTGCAGGGCCAGAACGTGCAAATTCTTCCGCTTATCTACAGCCCGCATCGGCATGGGGCCCATGAGGTGTACTCGGCGATGGAAAGCAGATGAATATGTACCTGAAATGGATAATCCTAGTGTATACCACGTTTAGCCGAGGAGGTGTATGTTTTCAACTCCTGAACTCTTGAAAATAATACCAAGCACTGAGATAGAACAGGGGGAGAGATTAAAAGGAAAGAGGAAAGAAATAGAACCACATGTTCCTTAATGCAAGGAAATGTCACATGACCACATTAATTGTTTTACTAAACTCGAATCATTGTTTTTTGATGCTGTGATTCAAAAATCACCCTCTATTATATTGACGCCTTAGTGGCTGCCCTAATGCAGTGCATAGTTGCCATATGAGCCCAACCCTAGACGACTATGCAACTTGCTATATATGTTCGAACCACAGTATAAAACTTAAATAGACTTGTCTTCAGTCTCGAACAAAGAAGCTTTTCTTCATTCAGACTTTATTCATTGACTTAAAAAAGTGCAACGAAGTATGGATTATGTACTTCAAGTCTTCAGAATTGCTCCGCCCCTGACCTCTGGACCCCAGGGCCCAAATGAGACTGTATTTGAGTAAATCTGGGCAAGCTGGGCACACAATTTGAATCGCTTATGCCCTCAAATAGATCACTCTCTGAAGAGTCTTCCTTTTTGTTATTGATTTATACGTAGCCTCTGTTCATATAATGAAGTTAGGTTAAATAGTTGCTAAGTGCGTACGATCAGCTCTTTGGAATAATTAAACTCAATTCGACAGCCAAGCATTTTCCTTCTCATTTGAATCGGATGCGGGAAGATCGGGCACTTCGATAGCACTAATTTGCGGTTCAACTATTATTCTACGGCTGCTGCTAGCGTCTATGTCCGTTGCTCTCGGCGCAAAATCCCACTCAATCACCAAACGTCGATAAATAACTCCGAGCGAGACTATGTTAAGGCTATATATATATCAGGTTAAAGAGACGTGGGCGACGGCAGAGCAGTAAAATGATGACATTGTATGCTTTGCCTGGATTCGCTCTCGAGAGTGAATAACTAAGCATATATTTTTTGCAATTCAATGCTTCGATTAAGAAAGGGCGGAGAAATGGCAGTATTATCATTAAAGAATGCCTTTCTAATCGCTTTTCTAGCGTTATCTAAGAGTACTGCGCAATATAGTACTTTCAAGGGGCATAACGACTGTGTCATATAATAGTATCTCGAATTATTGAGTTCGCAGAATTTATGAACCATTTGGGACGTGCAAAACAACCCTTGTCGAGGGCTATTCTATGACAGTTTGAAACGCAGTTCATGAAAAAAATAATCGGAGTTATCTCGGTATAGTGCCATCGCTAGTGAATTTTAGTGACCTTGAATGAGTTATGTCAGTCAACAGAATCCGTGTGCAACCCCTGTTCTCCGGATCCATTCGGTGCTTACCAAGAAATCCATTGAAAGCCATGGCTTTATTCTCCGCACACCAAAAGGATCGTCGGTCTCCTTTTATCCAGCTACGGCCATCCCTATCGCGAATGGTAGTTCATCCGAAAGTTCACTAAGGGGCAGTGGATCCCGGTTCATGGCGATCTTAACGCAAAGGGCGCGGGCTCCTGATCGCCTGGGGGCTGGGTACACAAACAGGGCGAAGTGGAGGCTCACCAGTGCTCTAGTGATCATGGCGTCTCTACAATCCATGCTAATCTAAGACTAATTGAGAGCGTGTACTCTGTCCGGAAAATCGGAAGAATGCCATATGTGGTCCCGAGTCTGCGGGAACCGTGCGCGCGACGGCATCGCCGGGTGAGCGGAGAAGAGAGAGACGGGACAACCTGGCGATCGACATCATGACACGACGGATAACGCCTCGGGTATGATGTTATGATCCCGCGAAGTTATTTCTGCTGTCATGAGAGCACTGCGGAGTCATGGGGCGCCAGTGGGCGGGAATAGTCCCCATGAGACTGAAATTAGAGTCGTTATTAGGGCAAAAGCAGTGCTAGGCTTTTGGAGCTATGGAAATGTTTAAGTTCGATACACATGGGGAGTAGAGATCTTGATGCCAGTTTCTCAGCCACTCCGGTATTTCTGGCACTATTGAAATTTTGTAACCAGCTACCGCATCCTTTGAGGAGCCGCCTTGGGGGTTTGGACGGGAATGACAGGGACTAACCATGGTCCCGGGTAAACAGACGGGTGGTTGCCAATGTTCGCTTTTAGCGAGGGGGGCCATGGAGTCGAGCTAACGCTGCTAGTTGCCCCAAATGTCCTGCAGCGCCTGGGCAAAGGGGTTCCCGGGATCCAGGGCCTACGACGCCCGGCCTCGATCTCGGATTACGCTAACCAGGTTGGCTAGACTGCGAACTCGTTAGTTAATTGATCCTGTTCAAGGTCTTGAAGACTTACCACATCTTGAGGACCCATGGCTACGCTCTTATTGCGAAACGCAGACAAGATAGCCCGAATATTGCCTCAGAAGAGCTGCTTAACACGAAACACACTGCTGAAGCTCTAAATGCGGTTCGTCGAGGATTTGCCAATCATAGCAATGGGAAAAATTATCCATGGACTCGGCCTGGACTCGGCCAACCGGGTTCCATGGATGGGATACGGTATGGAAATGACAGCCGTGCTCGTGAGCGGCACCACAGACGCTAAGTCTCCACTTCAAGAGTCCACGTACACCGGGACTTCGATTCCTAGGTTCTGATGCCATTGGTAGTTCTAGTAGTGTACGGCAGCACAGCGCTCGAACAGGCCCGCGCATATCCTCCCCTGGTGGATCGAGAACGGACTAGCATGCGCGCCTCGTGGTTCATCTATGTCCAATGCCAAATTTCATGATGCTTCGAATCTCCACCTTGAGTCAAGATTTTCCCCTAAGCAACGCGACAAAGACCGCGGTCGATCTGATAGGCTTGCTACTTTGGCCACCCGATCGTCGACCGTGACAATTCTCCGCAGTTTCCACGCCTTCCCGCGACTGTCAAACTCTCTCGGGGCATTTGCCTGTGTCGTCGATGAAAATGGAGCCTGTAAATGCTTCATAGATGACTGATTGACGATGGCAACTTGTTCCGTAGTGTACTGGTGTTCAAAGTTCCCGCTGGGTTCCAATAGCGCTAGTCTTGTCCCTAAGCTTCTGTTCGATAGCCCCTCCGTGGCTGCTCGACAATTTGGATACTGGGGTCTATGCACATCAACTAATCCGTTTCCGTATTCCCCCAATCCACTAGATCATTTTAATTCTCTTTCAGTTGCCCGAAGAGGGTCGGTCAAGCCTGACCCCACGATTGTGGTTCTCTTCCATACCCCCGGAAGTCAGATATTAAAAAGAAGTGGCCCTGGCTCGGTCTCTGATCTCCTTCCTCCACCTAAATTTCAGTTCCACTTTCCAGGCACCATCGGGTCCTCTGCAGACTCTTGATCATAATCAAGAAAACACCACAGTCTTTACCGTTCTATATACAATAATGACAACTCTCTCAACATCACGTGGGCGCTCGGCTCTCGCTGTGAGCGCCGTCTTCACATCTTTGGCGACATTGATTGTTCTCGTTCGCGTGTATACAAGAGCAGTAATAGTGAAGCAGATGGGATCCGATGACTATACAATCCTAGTCTCCTTGGTAGGGTGCCTTAACGAATCTTGCATTATCGATAGAGACTGACTCTCGGTCGCACACAATAGGCCTTCTCCTGGGGATTCTTTGGATTGTTTGTTGGTGGTAAGTAGCATCTACTTCGATCGACGCCTTTCTGTTGGAACTATCTAATGCCATGGCAGAGGTCTACCACGGCATGGGTGAACACTACGCAATCATCCCACACGCTGTGTATGTCACGCAGATGATTGTAAGTCGCAAGTACTGGGTAGAGATTTGTATATTTGGAAGTTTTAGTAGCTAACAAATATGTTGCTCTATCATAGTGCTTCTGGGCATCGGTACCGATCTACCAAACGAGTCTCATCAGCACCAAAATGTCAATTCTATTGCAATATCGTCGAGTTTTCTCAACGCCACGAATGCGCCTAGCCTGTATGCTTCTCATTGGCTTCCTCGGTGTCTATGGAACCTGGACCGTCATCAGTGCCTGGGCCAATTGTGTTCCTCTCGCCAAGTTCTGGGACCCAAGCAGACCTGGTTTTTGTTTCGATAAAAAGGCACTCTGGTTCTCAAACTCGGCTATTCACATTCTCACCGATCTTTTGATCCTGATCTACCCTATGCCCGTGCTTAGGTCCTTGCACTTGCCAACCAGACAGAAATTTGCGCTCATGGGTGTTTTTGCGCTTGGTGGATTGTATGGTTTTCTTATGAATTTCCCATTCCTCGTCAATCAGATACTAATCCTTCGCTGTAGTGTGATGATCACGAGCATTCTTCGATTAAAGAGTCTCATGGTGATTTCTAACTCCGATGATCCGACTTGTAAGTGATTCGCGGCCAAGCCTTATCGGTTCATCTCAACAATGATCTCTCTTCTAACATTTTCTCACAGACGACAATGTCGGCGCCGCCTCCTGGTCTGCCGTGGAGTGTAATGTCGCAATCATTTGCGCCTCCCTGCCCAGCACTCGTGCGTTCCTCTCTCGACTGCTTCCCCACGTTTTCTCCACCGGCAGCAACGGCTATCGCAGCAAGACAACTAGGCCCTCACGCACCGGCCGCAGTGCCATTACCGGCACAAACACCCAAGTGCAAGCGTCTGTGATTGGTGGTCACGATCCTAGCAGAGCTTACGATCTGGATGACCTCTCGCCAACAGGCTCCCTCCACAGCTTTGAGAAGGATCAAGAGGCAAAATCTGGGTTCACCGGTATCAAGGTTACGACTTTTGTCACACAGGAGTCCACTTCACACCTTGTCTCTCAGAATGATGAGACGGGGAGTACGAAGGACCTTGTCCAAAAGCACAGCTTTTGATGCACCTTTACGATTTCGATGTCTTCGTTCTTTTTATGGTCGATCTTTCATTATGGCTTTCCTTTAATGTCTCTATATACCACTTCCTAATTTATACCTTTTCTCCAACTCCGATGGAAAATCTTGAGTGTTGAGTTCGCCTGTATATCCCTACCAGGTACAATAATGATGTTTTGTTTGGCACAGACATACGTATACAGAAAATTGGTGGCACGTGGGTTTTATTACATACTATGGATATATGTATAAAGAAATGAAGAGGAACCCTACTGTACAACGACCAACATATATACAAGGTCTTTCAAATGGACCCAGCGAAGCAAAGTATGCGCGTATCGGTGCTCAAGTGTAACGGGGAAAGGATGGAACTAGCCCAATTTTTGGGAATTGCAAGACAAATGTACATGCTAAGAGGACGTTTATCAATACCGAGGGAAGCGACGATTCGAATACCAACACCAGTATGTGCAGTGCTACCACTGATGCAAAGCAAGAAGAATGGACGCAATTTCAAATTAATATCTCGTATTTCCATCTATCGAAATGAAACTCTTTACTCCCAAACGTTGGAGAAAAGGTCGTCCGATCCGCCAAACCCGCCTGCCGGCTTGGTGGAGTTGGTTGTGCTTGTAGTTCCTGAAGCGACAGGAGCAGCGCTGGTCCAGCCACCGAAGTCCTCATCCGCTGCAACTGTGGGAGTTGGCTTGGGAGGGGGGCGGGGCGCCCCAACCACTGCCAAAATCATTGGCAGTCAGGGTATCGGGCACCTTCATTGTAGAACTGGTCTGGGTGGGAGGTGCGGGCCTCGGCTCCGGTGCAGGTTCCGGAGTACTCCAAGCATTTCCTCCCCAAGCATCCATGCTAGACGACATGATCCCGGCGGCGGCGGCAGTGGCAACCGGCACAGCTGGTTTGGGTGGCAGTGATGGTTGAATAGGAAGGCTCGAGAGATTGAATGCGGAGTTCATTTCTTGCTGAGGCGAAACTGCGGCAGGCTTGGGCGGTGCTGCGGGTGCTGCGGGTGCTGCGGGTGCTGCAAGCGCAGGGGGTGGCGAAGACAGACCGAACAAGTCATTGGAGAGGGACGAAGGTGGCGGGTTGGGCTTTGCAGAGGCAGAGGCGGGAGAAGAGAAGCCTCCGAAACCGAAATCCTGGCTACTCGAGATTGATGTGTTCCGTGACTGGGGCTTGGTAGCAGACAATGTAGGAGAGGTCAAACTACCGAAAAGATCACCGCTGGCGGAGCCAACAGGCGAGGTAACCTTCGGCGCAGCAGGTGTCGATTTCATGTTTGAGAAGTTGGTAAGGCCAGCAAATGGAGACGGCTTTTCTGCCGGCTTAGCTGGTGGAGGGGAAGTAGTAGCGGGGAAGCTCAGGCCGCTGAAAGCGTCGGTTAGACCGCCCATGTTTGAGGATATAGCAGGGGGCTGCGGTGAGGCCATATCGCCAAAGGAGCTGTTTCGCTCATGCTGGATAGGAGCTGGTTGAGGCTTTGAGTATAACGACAAGATGGATTGCTTGAGATCTGGACGAGACATGCCACTTGGTGCCGCAGGTGTAGATGCGGTGCTAGTTGGACGACTTCCGGCAGGCGGTTGGGCACTGCCGAAGAAATCGAGACCTAGCAATGAATCGCCAGGCTTCTGGACCTTCGCTTGAACAGGTTGTGCTTGTCTGGGAGGAGCGCGCGGAGTTGGTTCAGTGGTGCTTGGGCGAGGCGGGGCAGAGATCATATCGTCATCACCAAAGAGATCGATTGCTGGTTGGCGTTGTACTGGAGGTTGGCTTGGGGCAGCGACTCGTTGAGAAACAGATCGCTCGATAGTAGCCCTTTCCTTCACGACAGCAAGAGGCTATTAGGTCAGTATGCGCCATTCGATGCTGCCGGACGCGTTGCGTTCTTGGTCACTCACCACATCGTCATCACCACCCAGAGTCGAGGGATCCGGCATGCCCCCATCCATGACCCAGCGTTTTGCCTCGTATTTGGTGCGGATAAAGTTCTCGATCTTCCTATAAATGCATGTGATCAGTAAACGGCGATGGTGTAATCAATGTTGTAGACTTACGCTTCGGAGGGGACGTGGCCGGGTGCCAGCTTATCCTCCCAGTACCTATCTGAGATCAACACACGGCTCGCATGGTCAGGTGTGGGGGAAGTACTTGTTGGCTCTTCCATTGCCCCATCTCAGAACGCTCTGGAGTTGCTCGTCGGTCCAGGCATCCAGATCAACGGACTTGACCCGACTGATGTGGGTACCCATTCCTCGATGGATACCGGAACAGCGAATGCAGATGAAAATACCCAGATTCCATGATGCCCATCGCGGGTCTATACAAATTGCATGTTAGGATATGGGAAGACTCGAGTGACAGTGGAACCAGCCCGCATGAGCGGACCATTGGCTGGAGAGGGGGATAAGTAGACACTCACGCTTATTGCGTTTACAATCCGCACAAATCTTGTTAGGCTCGAGTTTCAGCAGACTTTTGATAATCTGCTGATTCTGGGCAGCCTGGCCCGGCGTAGCTCGTCGAGACATAATCTGTAACAGGCGACACAAAGGACACGGTGAAGTGGGAAAGGAGAAACAATGGAACCTCGCCCGTATGCGCAGGTGGCGGTCGGCAAAGCGGCCTTAGGCTGCCGGAGCAATTACGGAGGGCGGTGAGCGCCGGCCACGCAGTTTGATGTAAATTGGGCGGTAGGGGATTGTCATCAGGAACGTGAAAGTGGTTCTGCATACTGTGACAAGGGATATGCAGTCTGAATTACTGGAAATGTTCTAGGCTGGGGTAGAAACATGATGTGTTTGGATCTGCTTGGTAGCTTTATGTATTTTGAGGACCTTGGACCCGCGCATGATGGCGCTTACAGCCTTGTTTTCTGGAATACTTTAAATGTTTTTATTTACCTACATCCAATCATACCTTGGCCTTTTCACTTGACTCCTTTGATACCGTGCTATCATCATCGCTAAATCGCAGGCTGATACTGTTCACACAATGTCTCTCATCTGTGGGCGTTGGGTACCCTTCTCCTTCGAAAACATGCCCGAGATGGCCTCCGCAGTTGCTGCAGACAATCTCAGTCCGCTTCATGCCAAAGGTGTTATCCACATGCCTCTTCACTGCTCCCGGAACCGAGTCAAAGTACGCAGGCCATCCACACCCAGACTTGAACTTGTGGTCCGCTTTATACAGAGGAGCATCGCACCCCGCACAGTTATATACACCCTGCGATGGGTAGTGGGAATCGTATTCACCAGTTCCGGCACGTTCTGTGCCCTTTTCACGGAGTATACGAAATTGTTCTGGCAGTAGTCATTCCTAAGTCAGCAATGGGAACGTAGTGACGAACTTGAAACAGATAATTAGTTGAAACAGACCTGGGCTAAGAACAGCTTTCCACTGGTCATCACTTCGCTGGTCAGGATAAGACATCTCCCTAGGTATGCCTTCGCCGCCTTTAGAACCGAAGAACGCGCCAAAAAATGGGATTGTCGGTGCCAATTTGAAGGCTTTGACTCCAGGGGTTACACGCCTACGATTACGCGTGAAGGTGGAGTGAAGGCGGACGGCGGAAGGGAGTTGGATACCGATGCGGGTACCGATAGGAGCGAATGTGCGGATTGCTGGAGTTCGCATGGAGAGATGAGTTGGATCCAAGTGGTGAGATTAAGGTAGTCATCGACTTTGGAGGGGAAGTTCGGGGTCAAGCCCTTTTACGTCATCATGCGGGGAGCTACGGTGGAACTTACTGTTACCCGGAACTCATGGAACGATATGTCCTGTTCTTGGACATGGCCTTCGCAGGTTATATTTGAATTGTGCCAGTAGCAAAAATGAGAATAAATCGAAAGAGACAAAGACACCTTTGCTTGATGTGAAAATACCAGGAAATTAAATGCAAAAACTCCGTTAATCTATGCAGTAAAGGGGTATATCGAACGAAGTTAAAAACATAGCAAAGGAGATACCATCAAATGCTTCAATCCACAATGCCAAGATCAAGCAGAAATGAAAAGAAGAGAAAATAAAAGACACACGTATACAGGCGCTGAGTTGGGATCAAGGCAAGTTCATCCTCGCTCCACTCCGATGACAGTAATGAAGCCTCTCCCAATCTCCACTCTCCAGCCTGCACTGATCAATGCCCTACTAACAGCAGGGCCAAGGCGCGAAGTGCCATCACGACTATGAAGTCCAACACCCGTAATGATCTTATAACCACCGTGGACATGTTTGCCACCACCGCGGATATGCTTGGTATCACCCAGACTATCCCACCAGGCCTCGACACGATCGTGGGCGATGCGAACCGCCTGGGGAACTGTACATCCGTGTAGATCAAGATCCCCGTTCAAGGAATTTTGATCCACAAGTCGATCCGACGCGGCAGCTTGATGTCGCATTGCAAGGTCACGTTCTTCCTGAGCCCGCTGCCGGTAGACTGCTGAAGCACCGCCATATAAGGGGTTGGATTTGGCTTTGCGAGCGGCTTGGGCTGCCTGTGCGTTCGCAGCCATTCTCCTGGCAAAATGAATGTTCGCGGCGGCAGTTTCTTCCTCAAATCCGCGAGTGCTCGGGATGCTCCCGTGGCCTCGACTTCGGGATCCAGCAACCTGATCAACCTCATTGTCCAGGTTCAATGCAGGTGCTTGGATTGTCACAATTTCAGAGATATTGATTAATGATGGTTGACGAACCATCTCTGCTGCCAATTCAGTTGCTGCAGAGATGAGATTCTGGGTGATTCTGAGCAATCCTGCAAGTGTGGCCGTGGGAATATTGGAATAATCTCGAGCAAGCTCATTGACCTGTTGCCGTAGGACAATATCTCCGTCGATCTCGGCATTTTCATTTGGGGCTTCAGCCAAAGCCAGGGCTTTAATGGTTGCGGAGAGGGATCTTTGGTTTGCCGTGTAGGCAGATGCTACTTTTGGTCTGGTAAGGCCCGGAGTACGTGAGCAAATAAACTCGATATCGGTCTGCCCAGTTTCCCATTTGTTGACGGGTGGGCCATCATCCGATGGCGAGGGAGCGCCATGGAGCTTTTGATTTTTGTTGCGTTTTTTTTTTTGCCTTTCTGACGGCCAATATCAGGGATCTCATCGACAAATCCGTCAAGTCCTTTAGGTACAACAACATGATCTTCAGCTGTCTGGGTCTCATCGAAGAAAGATTGGTTCAATAAGACGTCCATGGATTTCTCCATGTCTCCATTACTTTTCTTCAAAACCTGACTAACGTCGAACACGGAAATGCCTGGAAACATCTCTTTGAGTAAGGCGAGCTTGCTTTCCTCTGTCCCCCCTGAAAGCTGAACGGACCCATCAGCTGCAATGGTATATGTGGTGCCCGATGTGGATCGAAACTTGAAGCTGTTGTCATTACTCCCGCCTCCAAAACAGTGTGATGTCTGACTGGTAGCATCGGTCATGGTCCGAAGTTCATCTTGACCCAGATTCGATAAATCAAAGTCAGAGGAGTGTCCCCCCACCTCGGTAGCGTCGACCTGGTCGTTGGCTGTTCCTGATGGATCGAAGGGGAGATCCTCTTGCTGCACTGCCAGTTCCTTTATCGAATCCAGGGTCTGGCGCATTGTTTGGACATCTTCGGATTTGGCGAGGTCATAATCTGCGACGATTGCGGCGAACAAGGCGGAGTCTACCGGTGGGCAGTAAAATTTCTCGAGCTCCTGTGGAATAAGCCATTGAACACCAATGACTCCGAGCTTCTAGAGACCAAAATTCAACTTACACTTTTCACATCATCGTCATGGTCTCCCATCTTGACTGACGGGGGAGGTGCATGTAATGATGCGGGGTACGATGAGCATGCCTCGTTTTGAGAGCGCACAAGTCTCCAGACTGATAAGAGCTTGTAAAGTTTTTGAGTCTTTGCAAGATAGGGCAGACAATTTTCATGGATACAGCCACAAAACACAGCCAGTGCGACGTGCCGGAGAAGCTTCAGGATAGTGTCAAGGCGACCTTGGCGGGGGTACCCGCAGCTGTTTTTCTGCCAGCGCGTGGGAACCGCCTTAGCCTCGTGATTCAAAGTTGACCGCCTTTGAATAACGACACCTTCAATGAAGCGGTCCTTCATTGTTCAATACCGTGCATATAATGAGTTGCATATCAGTGTATATTTGGCTCTATCTAGGCAAGATGATCCAATCTTGTTGGTAATATACCTCTTTTGACTAGGCTTGATCAGGCCCCCTAAGAACCAACGAGACAATGGATAGTCTTGTTTCTGTATCATCTATAAACGTTAAGATCCTCCAATATAGTCGCCTTGACTGCTTGATAAAATGAAGTCATATAGGTTGGCCAGCAATATCATGGCACGAGTGGTGCATAAAGGTAAGAAGTGCACATATGATATCAATGCGCGGATACGAGAGTGAACAGAGAATATGCATACAAAAAAACAACAATGATATGTGGAGCTCATGATGCATTGCCCTACTTTTATTAACTTCTTTCAGCAAACGACACCTGACTCCATCCGTTGGTTTTATATCTCCCTTTTGGATCCCTGCCTCCCCCCTCTATATCAACTCTCTCCTATTCTCCACTTCTCCAACACCTTCCACTTTCCCTCAAATTCCCACGTCCTCAAAATGGCCCCGGTTCTGGAATCCCATGCGGAGGTAGCAAAACACGTGGAGTTTCTCAACCTAGATGATACCAATGACATTCAATCTGAAAACAGGAGGCATGTGCTACCAGAGGAAATCATTACAACCCCATTATTTTCTTTGCCATCTCGGTTAGTGCTCGCTGCGAGATACCCCGGGAACGGCAATGAGGGGAATCATATATTTCCTCAGTATGGTCTTATCGGTCACAGGGCCCAGGACTCCTCCAATTCGATCTCTGGGAACTCTCTGGTGTACATGAATTCAGCCGCCCCATGGTCGACATTCATATGTGGAAGCCAAGGTAGTGGGAAAAGTCATACCCTGTCTTGTCTGCTGGAGAATTATCTCTTTCCGTCGTCTCCCGTTGGTCATCTAACTGCACCGCTCTCTGGCGTCATTTTTCACTATGACAGGTTCACAGGCTTTTCCAACACCCAAATATGTGAGGCAGCCTATTTATGCTCGTCTCAAATTCCAGTTCGAGTGTTTGTTTCTCCAACAAACTTTCTGGCCATGAAGAAAGCATACACCAATCTTCCAGGTCTCGGTGACGTGTCAGAAAAGCTGACGGTTGAGCCCATGTATTTGCCAGTTAAGGGTCTCAACATTAGCATGATGAAGACCTTAATGGGTATTGAAAGCATGGCAGGTCAACCATTATACGTTGAGGTGATTTCCCGATCCAGCAATACTTTTGAATGATTCTGTGCTGATCTATCAAACTTTTTAGATGGTCATGAAGATCCTACGTGATATGGCTATCACAAACCAAGGACGTGACACGTTCGATTACGCATTGTTCAAATGCATTCTGGAAGAAGAGGAATTCATGAAAACGCAACAGACCCCTCTTCGAATGCGGCTGGACGGTTTGGAATCTTTTTTTGAACCGGGCTCTGTGCCTGGAGCCAAAAAAAACATGAAGGCCTCAGCTCGAGCAGAAACCCAGTGGACTTTTGCCAAGGGCTCGCTGACAATCATCGATCTGAGCTCGCCCTTTATTGGACCTGATGATGCATGTGCGTTGTTCAACATTTGCATTTCCCTTTTCCTTGGAGATCAACATCAGTCTGGCCGTATTCTCGCATTTGATGAGGCTCATAAGGTACTTCACTTAATGAAACCACTGTTTCGAATAATCACCTAACATTAACCCCATCTTGTAGTTCCTCACATCAACATCATCAGAGGCTTTAGATCTTACAGAAACTCTTCTCTCGATTGTTCGTCAACAACGCCACCTCGGGACACGAGTTGTGATCGCCACCCAGGAACCTACAATTGCGCCATCACTCCTCGATCTTTGCAATATGACCATCATACACCGTTTCACATCTCCGGCATGGTTTCAATCCATTAAAGCCCATCTCGCGGGCGCGGATGCTGACAAATCATACACAAAAGATATTGTTGAACGTGACCTGTTTCGACGTATTGTTCAGCTCTCTACTGGAGAAGCACTCCTATTTTGCCCAACTGCCTTGTTGGATGTTATACGGGGTAATGTGGAGCTTGGAATGCAGTCAAAGCTCCATGGCTCAAATAGCATGATTGACAACGAGGAAATCACAGCGGACAGTCATCGACCAATTCAGCTGGGTACCAACTATGCTCACATTCGAATTCGGAAACGCGTGACTGCTGATGGTGGGCGAAGTCTCATCGCACAGTGAGGTGGAACAGATATTCAATGTCGATCAAATTCATCTCCATCATTGTTTTAGTATCTACAGATATTGTGTCGTTAGGGGAGAACTGATGTGCCATGTGAAGTGATGTTGAATCAGGTGGCGATTGTTTCGAGATCATTATGACATGCATGGTGTAGCGCCAACTGATAGACAACCATACATCAATTTAAGGACTTGATATCCATTGAATTAACCATTTGGCACTGGAATTTGGCAGATTTCGAAATACATCGTAAAACCATGTCCTATCATTATCTATTCACCTAGATTTTAGGTGTGGATCTGATTTCAAACCTTGCACTACCATTTATGTTCTTCTGGAATGACTCCAAAGACTTTAAGGATAATTCTCAATCTGATATTCCCCTGAGATAAAGAGACCACTCTTCAAGCTGATCAGACCTTCCAGTTCTACCGCCGTGACCGCTTGGGGAGGGAGCACAGATATGCGTCAGAGCCTGACGACGCCTTGTTTACGTAGACAACTAGCTCAGGGATCCAGAGGTGCAACCAGACTAGTGACTTGAAATATTTTGATACGTCCCAGGTTGCTGTCCAATCAATACCCTTCCGAAGTCACACAGGAACCTACTGGCCATGAACTATACCAAACAACGCATTGATATAGTCACATATTTCTCAGAATATACTCTGGAAAGACTATATCTTTGAAGGAAAAATACCCTTATTTTGCGTATACCAACTTCTGACTTTGCGATTCGAGGATTTTGAGCTTCGAAAATGAAAAGGTCGAGTTGGAAATACACTTGAACCCGGCTTTTGGATTTGTCCTACCTAAGACCATGGTCGTCATCCGAGACTATGTGTAAGGTTATCCAGCTGTTCCGATGCTCCAGGGCACTCGGATTCGTTGTATTACATTCGGGTTGTTTATGGTCCCTCTTTGATAAACAGCCAACCTGCATCATATGTCCTAAATTGAGCTCACTGTCATTCCTTGGCATGAGGCTGTGGATCTTGGAGCTTAAAGTCCACGTCATCAGAATGATTTTGAAGACCGCTTTCTATTATTATATCCTATTATCGGCTAGCTTTGAGGTCAAGTATGGCACTCCATGAGATTCTTTAGGACTATCTCATTGCATCTACGACTCGATACACTCCCGCCACTAAGCGGGCTACAGCGGTTATCCTAGAGAAGGAGTAACGGAACCAATTATCTCGATGCGATCGGTATCAAAGCGCCGCTAGACACGCTCACTTGAAATATGGACAGGCACTAAACAGGAACCATGACACGCGGCCGGTTGGGAATCACATAGGCTGTGCAGCATAGGATTGCCGGTTAACCATTCCAGTCTGGGCTAAGAGTGGTGTTTTCTGAAGCTACTGCGATCCCAATCATTGCTTCAACGAATGTTCGACTTGATTACCCCTAGATACTGATCCAGCTTTGCTATCCCTTCTTGTCCTCTTGTACTCCACGGAGGCTGGGAGTACGGGACATGGCGCATTAAACCATCATGAGTACCCCAGTCCAGAAATAAAGCTGGGCATGTAACTAAGGGACAGACCCCAGTGACGAAAAGGGTCGTTTCGTAACCGTATAAAGCGGGTAACATATTGCTCCTCACTCTCGCTGTCTCTTGACCTCCTTTTCTCTCAGCTTCACTTTCTTCATTCTTTTTGCTTTACCCCTTCCTGATCGAACCGTGAATTTGGAATATCTCTAGTCTCTATCTCTTGCTTAATCAAGTGGCCAGCTTCACCAAACATAATGCGTATTGCTATTGTGTCATCCCTAGTGGCATTTACTGCCACTGCTGCAGGCATGCAAGATGAGCTTCCCAATATTTAAAAATATCTTTTTTTAACATTGCAACAGGTTTATATGTTACTTCTCCTGCTAAGGGTGAGAAGATCAACTGGGATCAGCCTGTCACTATAAAATGGAAATATGTTCAGTTCGTAGACCTATTTTATGACAGGCCCACGCTGCTTGGGTGTTACTTACCACTGGCAGAACCGATCCTGCCACATTTTCCATTTACCTGGTGAATCAGAATGTCTATCCAAACACGGAAACCCTTGTCGCCTCCGACGTGGATTCCTCAAAAGGCTCCTACACAATCAAAGGCAATGATAAGGATTTGAAGGGGACCGACACTGGGTGGGTGCAATTCCGTGCAGCAAAGAAACCCTCGCTTCGCTACTCGCTTACTGAAATACAAACTATGCTGCAGTGGTGGCTATCAAATCAATTTTATCTCTGATGCCGACAATGGCATTCTTGCTCAGTCTCAGCAGTTTAAAGTGACTGACCAAAAAGTTGCATCTGCTTCAGACTCTAGCTCTGGTAAGGAGTCCAGCACTGCTAGTGAATCTATGTCTACTTCTGCTTCGACATCCATGCTTTCTACTTCCACTTCAGCGTCAACCACTGCCAGTACTTCTTCGACTTCTGCTTCTTCTACTCCTTCTTCGACTGCTTCTTCTACTTCTGCGACTACTACTCACACCTCCACCAGTGCGTCTTCCCATACCACCTCTCATTCCTCTACTTCTTCACCTACTTCATCTTCTATGACGGCCTCTTCTACAAGTGCGTCTACCACCCCTTCTCCCACTCCTTCATCTTCCACTCTTATTACCTCTTCTTCCTTGAGCTCCGTCTCGAGTAGTTTCACTTCCTTAAGCACTTCTGTTATTAGCTCTTCCTCTACTCGTGCAACGACTCATTCATCTACTTCTTCAGCCCTCACGTCTACTTCTACTCCTGCTTCTGCCTCTACCTTTTCTTCTCATACCAAGACCAAAACCAAAACTCTTTCTTCTACTTCTCGTTCCACAAGCACCAGTACTCCGGGTGAGTATATGGTGCGACGTTTTTTGGTTTCCAATTTTTTTCGTCTTGTTCTATCGATTTTGCCACCAACATATCTCTACATATCAAATAACTAACTTCATCCTCCTGCACAGAGACTTCTTCGACTACGTCTTCTTCGACAACAAAGTCGACCGTCAGCACAACCACCACCAAGCATACCAAGACCATGGAATCTACCTCCACCGCAGCAGCTTCCACCACCTCCAATGCGGCCGGAGTGCTGATGCCCCCCAACCAAGCCGGCAGTTTGCTTCTGGGTCTCGTTGCCCTTGCTCTTTAATGGATTTCAATCAGCTCGCCAGTGGCAATATGTAGTGCTGAACCTGAGCAGCTGCTTCAGATGTGAAAATGAGATACTTTTGGTAGGCTAGCGCGGCGGATCCCCGATATATCCGGCCTGTAAAAGGCAAACTATATTTCTCGGTTCGGGCTTGCCCTTTGTTATAATTGGATTTGATGTTAGTGTGTTTTATGAATCGGGATTTATGACATGTCCATCCCCTTAATGCAAATGCAATAATATCCTGCCTCTTTCTATATTTCTGGGAACTCGTTCCACCTCCGATTTTACCTCGACCAATGATAAATGATCTCCCGTAGCCAGTAGACCTCGGCATTGCTTTTGCCGATCCAACAGCTTCTCCGCAGAACTACGTATGATTTATAGAATTGGATTTCTCCCCCTTCCCATTCGTCTCGTCCCACTCCTATGGTTCATATTGATACAATAATATAGCGCTTCGTGCAAAACCCCACGGTCCACCACAATGCCGGTCGCAACGCTCCATCTTCTCGCTCTCACCCAGGGAACAGATCCAGTATCCCTCGTTCAACAACTCAAGCAATCGCCAAATACCCAAGTTCTCGTGGCTTCCCGCCCAAGACACATTGTAATCCACCCAACCATCCTTGACAACAATCCCCTCGCCACGACACCCTGGGACCTCCTGGTCCTCCTCCAAACCACACCCCCAACACCCGATCCCATCCCACCTTACCTCCGGCCCCGCATCCACGCCGAATACAAACTTACCACAGGCATCCCCTCCGCCCTCCTCTCCTCCTACCCCCAGCGCGACTCCACCCTCAAAAGTGCCCCCCACCAGCCTCTCACAGGCTCCCTCGCCGCCCTTCAGCAGGCCGGCGGCACCTCAAGCTCCCAGAACCTGGAAGTCTCGCCGCCGCTCCTGCGCTTCATGGACAGTCTGTCCACAACGCACCCCGGTCCTGTCACAATGCTGAACCTGCTGCACTTTCACCCAGAGGGTAAACAGAGCTACTACCAATACGGTCAGGCCTTCATTCCTGTCGCAGGCCGGCGCGGCGGTAACGCGAAATTGGTCGGCAATGTGGTGCCGCCGCAGGAGGGGAGCGATTCGCGCGGGGCCCGTGGCAATCCGCAGGAGTGGTGGAATGAGATCTCGATCGTTCATTACCCGTCGATTCGGCATTTCTGTGATATGCTAGCTGGTGAAGATTACCAGGCTATTAATGAGAAGTATCGGCTGTCGGTAAGTAGCAATGACATCTGGAGAGGGAGCTGTGGGCTATCTGCGGGTACGAGTCGAGCTAATGAGCCTAGGCACTTCGGGATACGTTTCTGCTGTGCACGACGGAGTTCGATGTTGAAGGGATGGGGGGTTCGAAGCTGTGATTGCAATAGGATGGGGCGGGTTTCTTGCGTTGTGGGAAATGATATGGATTGTTTTGGTGGGAGCTTGATCGATTGGGTATCTGGAAATAACTATGATAATGAAACATTCGACCGCCCGCCTGCAACGCTGAGAAAATCCATCATACAAAAGACTTGAGAAGATTAACCTGAACGGGAGTAGACCTGCCATGGCATGTTGAAGAACGACTTCAGTGAGATTGATCCCTTCCGTCAAATCACAGGCGGTGGTCGTGATGGACCACGCTGTCACTGGGTCGATCCCAGGTTCGGATATGCCCTGGAGTTGAAAAGTTAGCAAAGAGGGTATGACCTATACGTCCGTGGGGAGGAGGGGAAGGGGGGTGCCAACCTTCAAGAGAAGATGTCATGATACAATCCTTTTGAAACCCAAGCCAGCAGATAGGATCTTCACCAACGATCTTAGACTGATTGACAGCGTAAGCCTTGCGTCAGGGTACCAAATAAGTGTCGGGAACAATGCTTACCATGATCGGCGGCAGAAGAGCTGTTCGCGCGCGCGGCTCAACTGGGTGGCTAGCCATCGGGTCAAAGTCTCCGTCATACTTCTCCGTTCGATCGGAGTCAGATCTTAACCGATTGCCACCACTATCAGCCCGATGCCGGTTGGATGTTTGCGTGCCCGGCATAACGAGACTAGAGCGATGCCGAGCGGAAACTTGATGGTGCTATTACATCTTGTTAGAGGGGCTCTGACGGAATTGATTCCAGTAATAGAGGGAGATACTAACCGCCCTGGGACGGTGCAACATGCCGACGCTGAAATCCCACAGCAGCAGCCGGCAGTCATCACCAACACTGCCAAATCGGTAGGTTTTCTGGTCACAGCGCCAAGGATCAAAGGCCACGGCAGACACCCAGGAATTGTGACCCTGGCAGCGCGCAACTATCTTGCGCTCGGGGAAGGACCAGATAGTTAACAGATCATCCTGGCCGCCAGTCACAATATACTTGCCGTCAGGCGACCAGCAGACACAGATCAAGCCGCCGTAATAGCTACGGAAAATATCAAGGACCCTGGATTGTTGGTTAGCCCCCCGCTGAGAACAAAGACGAATGGGCAGATATACGACATACTCTTCTTTCAGATAATCCATGATTCGAAGTGATCCATCCTCGAGAACGATAGCCAGGTGCCGCTGGTCCGGAGAAAAGGAGAAATGAGATATCTTCTGGTTCGCCAGCTTCCACAGCGACACCGGGTTCGTCTTCTGGTTTTTGGAGTGGACGGACTTCAAAACTTCAAGGGGGAACCGGCTGGAATCGGACTGGCCCGTGGCTTCGGGGGTGAAGAGCGCATCATCTTTCTCCTTATCGTAGACAACCAAGACACCGTTTGCATGCGACGCCATGAACAGGTTCTCTGAGCCCGGTAACCACTTGATGTTTGTGACAGGGGAGTTGTTGATGACTCCGTTCTTATTGATGCGCGCATACTTCTGCGACATGGGCTCATACCAGATGATGTCGCCGGCGGAAGAGCCCATCACAATATCCAGGTGCGACGCCGTCTTGGTCACTTCGTTGATATCATGGCACAGCATGTGCGCCTTGGTGAAGAGAACCTTGGTGAGGTGCTCCTCCTTCTGTGCCGAATTGAGATCCAACCACTGGAAAGCTCGGTTGATATTCGCAAAGGCAAAAACACCATTTGGGTCGCGGTCATTTAGTCGCTTCGCTGACGTTTCGTGCGTTATGACTCGCGAGACGAACGAGGAACTGCTCTTGATGATGTTGTTCTTTGGCTTCCGCTTCTTGGAGGCATCCTTGGCCTGTGGCGTAGGCGGTGTTAGGGCCGCGTTCCCATCGCCGAATTGGGGTGCTGCCACGGCGGTCTTCAAGAAAGTTGGCGGCTTCTTGCGCGGGTCCAGGCTCACTAGTGAGACCTTGACGCCTGCTGTCGGAGGCGACGGGACTGTTGCTAGCGGGTTGGGATTGATAATTGGCGCTTCTGACGGATGAGGCGGCGGTGTTGCCAGTAGTAGGTCATCCTTCAGTGTGTAGGTACCTGGCGGGGTGGGAAGAGGATTCCAATTAGCCTCATTGTGGAACCGGTAGGCCCTCCGAGGGTGCTCATGTCGATCTACGAGGCCGACCGATCACTTACCTTCTCCGACTTGTAATGGGCATCCGCTGTCCGGGTGAGTGATTGTGTTGTTCGTTTCGACCACCGGGACAGCCATGCCATTGGCAGCCCCTGCCGCATACGCGACAGGGATGGTATAGCGAGGGGGAGGTGGCGGTAAGACACTGTTTGAGCGAGTCAGTCACAGCTGGTTGAAAAGGCGATTCTCGAAATAGCCAGGAGAGGAGAAGGAGGAGTCGTTCGGGAGCCGAAGATGGCGTGCTCCGAAGTGGTCTGATGTATGGAGTGGAGCTTGGAGACATGACGTTGTGGGAGAGTCCTCGAACAGACACATCCCCGCCCAAAAGAGGAGTCGGACGAAGAGGAGGTCTTACAACATGGTGACTAGGGTAGTCCGCTTATACTTTCGATTTCGACCAAGATGGAATCGGGCGTCACACAACAGTCAGATCACAGGGTCGTCTGCAGCCAAACAACCAAGGGTCTAAGGAGGAATGGTCCAAGTTCCGTCGGCGTCTTTCTAGAGTTTTGATATCCAAGAGCCCCCAATCGGGCTTCCAATCGGGCTGATCTCAAGTCCCGGGACACGCCAGAGAACCTAAGACACGGCCACGGGAGGAGGGGAAGCAAAGCGTCGGACGAGAGGTTGGCGGAAATCGGGAAGGATTGAGGCAGGCGTGTAATATAGACGGCTCAGAGTGCGAGTCTGAAGGAGAACAGGAAGAGCGTCACAGCGTCGGAGGGTCGGAGGGTCGGAGAGACGGGTTGGCAGGTTGGGGAGTTGGGGGAGTTGGGATCAGCGAAACGTCCGGGGTAAAGGCGCGCGGAGGCAAGTCTCGTGCCTGGCGGGGCTCCGGGCGAACTCCGGGCGAGCCGAGTTTGGCGCCGGCACATCGACAACGTCGACCACCGAGCTACTCCGTGCATGTCGACACATCGATACATTCACACATCTACAGGGCAGTCCATGGAGAGAGAGCGAGAGGCAGGGACAGAGACAGAGGAATGGGTATTATTCAAACAAAATCATGATCTACGCAAAAGAGTGCCTACGCAACAGAGTGCCTACTGTCCACTGCCACTAACGCGCCGCCAAATCATCACGGCGGCCGCCCCCGCGCAAACTACCGCCCCCAAGGCAATGCCCCACGACATCCATTTCCCTTCCACGTCCTCCTCGCTGCGGGGGAACGCAGTGCTGGGCTCCATCGCCGCTTCTGCAATGTGTACAAAAACCTCTTGAATGGAAGTCCAAGTGACACTCACGTGAAGAGGCGTACTGGGCATGTTCAACAAGGCCGTGTATTCATGGGGCTGGTGCTCCGCCCGTTGGGTTGTTCGGTCCAAATCCGCCTTGAGCGCGATGAAGACACTCGGCAAGTCCTCCAGATGTGGATACTTGGCGCGGAGAGCGAGGATGTAAGCAAAAGAGTCGGGGTCGGAGGAGTCGTACGTGTATGCAATCACATCACATTGGTCGAGTAGTTTGGCCTGGTTCTCAAGGATTGCGGGTTCCAGTTCCCCCAGTTCATCCATGATTAAATAGCACTGCTTACCACCAGGCAGCTCAACGGTGTTGACAGCTGTACGAGGTTGGATGGTGGGGTGGTACGTGGTACTGAATCCACGCGAGAGCAGCGCATCAAGGAGGGCGGATTTGCCAGATCCGGACGCTCCAAGAACATGGCACTGGACAACATTGCGACCGACACGCCCAGGACGCCGCCGTCTCTTGCGAGGCCGGGTGACCTTTAACGCGGCAGTCGTAGAGGGATTGCTGCGGTCGGACGACTCGAAGCCCAGGTAGGCTAAGTATTCGAGCGTAGTTTTCGGGGACATGAATGTGGTCATGCTCCACTGGGCCAGCCAACCCTGAAGGGTCACATGGCCGGCCTCATTGCGGACCGTAGAGGACGGGAATGAGCCATCGGCCCAGGACGCAGGAAGACCAGGAGTCGGAGCGAACAGTGATGCGAGCTCGGTATCATTCAATCCGCCATCATTGTCCTTGTCGGAGAGCAGGAAGAGGTTCACAAAAAAGCGATAACCTTCTGGAGAAAGCTCCGCAGATGCAAAGGGAGGTACTTCAAATCGGGGGTGCAAGAAATTCTCTTGCAGAGAGAGGTTATCGGTGTACTGAAATGCACGGAGGATGATCCAAACTGTTTCATGGCGCCCTTTCTCCGCATATAACTTATTCAAATGGATGAATCCGCAGCAGTCAATGCCTGACTCGGTCACGGACTCCGGGTAGTTCTTCTGGATCGTGTCCTTGATATGTGCTAGATCCTCCTCGCTCAAGGACTTGCCAAAGCACCGAGTTTGAAACTCGGATATTTCCTTATCGGAGAGATACCCATCTCGGTCCTTGTCGCTCAGGTAAAAGATGCGTTGGAGGGCGGCCACGGCCGCGGGTTTCAGGGAGGCCTCCTTGGAGTCGAACAGGGGCGCGATTGGATGGGTGACTGCTTTTTGGCAAACGAAGAAGGCCTCATTGACATTGCGATGCTCCCGAGCGCTGGTCCGAATGCACGAATCGATCTCCTTGAACTCCGACATCAAAGGTAGCATCTCCTCCTCGACCACCTGCGCCTCGCTATGATCGGCCGCTAGGTCTGACTTATTGGCGCACAGGACGACGGGTACATTGACTCCAAGGGATCTGAAATATGGGAGCCAAAAGAGCGCGACACGTTCGTAGCTATAGTGGTCGGAGTACACGAGAAGGATCACATTGGACTTCCGGATCTCGCGCGCGAGGTTGTTGCGCTCCTGCGGAACGGCCGAGGTATCGACGACGGTTGTGGTGGTGACATTTTCAGGGGTTCCGATGGTGGGAGGAATAGTAATCTGGGGGAGTACAGGCTGAATCTTATTGGTGACGAAGACACCTTTCACCAACGAGGTGATGAGGCTGGACTTGCCGGTGCCCTCGTCGCCGCAGACACAGATCCGAACTTGGGCATGTTAGTGACCCGGTAGGATTCCGCATGTCATGATCCCCTTACCGGTAGCCATCGGCGCATTGAAAGAGAATCCAGCTGCAACTATAATCTGTTCATGGTCGTGACGCCAAAACCTGGGGGTTCCTCGGGTGTAGGGATGAGCGATGCGCGTGGACTCAAGTCGCGGATGGCCAACGCCAAGCCGAGATGTGGACCCGCTTCTGCATTTCGGCATCTCTTTCTGCACGCTGCACACTACGCAAATGTATCGTCGTCTGAAATTGCACGGAATCTTGTTGCTGTGTACTGCAAAGTCTCGGTTGGTCAGATTGACTGTAATTTAATGATCTCACCGCGAATTTTTGAGGCTTTCTTTCTTCTGAAAAAAAAAAAGCATTAGAAGTGGCGGATAATGGTTCTTCGAGTCAAGTCGATCAATATTAATGTAGGAAGCTTTCATCCAGTGAACGAGAAGAGTGGTAGTAATTATTCTCTAAGCCAAAATGATCTCACAAATGAAGGTGAAGATTCAATATATTGATGACATAAATATGTGGCTTTAACGGAAGTCTGGCCAGCGATTTACGAGTCGGTATATAGTTATAGCATCCTTCAACTTAATCAGCCGAGTCTGATGGTGGTTCAGATAGCTAAATAGACACGACACTAGTAATATATGTAAGATAGAAACACGGCATAATCAAAGATTAGTAAAATGAGGTTGTAGGCTTCTTGCCAAAGCCAGGAGCAAGCTTGGGCTTGATAGATTTTTCTGACTTCATACCCTCAAGGACCAGATCGAAAGAGCCTTGATGAACGAAAAGTCTACGCATGGTAGGTGATATATATGGATACATGCAGTGAAGAGTAAAGCTACAATTTCCTTCGTCATGTTGCTCTTTTGGGTGCCATTGTTCTGTTCCATAGTATTATTCTTGGCCATCATCTATCTTCGGCTAGGATTGGCCAGTGAGGCTGTATCGCTGTTGCTGCGCCACAATATATGATAGTGCATATGAGCTTTTGCGGAGTCAGACTGCACGGCAAAAGCCCCGAGTCGAACAAGTGTCTTGTTCTCTTGGGCCCCAGACGAAGACAAAGCCATTCCAAGATCCTGCAATCTTGCCCTTCTCCTGCACGGCGAACCCACGTCCGCCCTAACGGCCTCCACGAACCGCTGTCCCGCGTCGCTCGTCATAGGCCCACTTCCGCCCCATCTACTGACTAACCTGCCCGACCTTTCGAGTCCAACAGCCTCCTTCTTCGGCCCCTACCTCTTGCGTTCTTCGTGCTCATTCGTCTTCTCTCCCTGCTTGAATACCACCGTGAAGATGCCTCTCGGGATCCATAACCCGCTGCCGGCGTCTTTGAGCAGTACGTACCTTGTTGATGGCTCCCCTCCCTGCTTCCCCGCAATCGGTTCGCGGCATGTCACGGCTAACCCCCCGTTGTGGTGTAAATAGGTGAATGCAAGAAGGCGGCCAAGATCTTGACCTCCTTCGTGGACCCCAAGCAGGCTTTTGGTCCAGACAAGGTTATTCCGCCGGAAATTCTGGCGGGGGCAAAGGTGAGAGACTACCACAAGCGGGGTACCTAACGGGCACGAGTCATCATACTGACGGTCAAGTCACTTCCAGGGCCTTGCAATTCTCACCGTGCTGAAAGCGGGATTTATTGGCTCCGGTCGATTCGGCTCCGGTATCGTCGTCGCCCGTCTCGCAGATGGCTCCTGGTCGGCCCCCTCCGCAATTATGACCGCCGGCGCCGGCGTGGGTGGACAGATTGGTTTCGAGCTGACAGATTTCGTTTTCATTCTCAACGACGCTGCTGCCGTCCGCACATTCTCACAATTCGGAACCCTTACATTGGGTGGAAATGTCTCACTCGCCGCGGGTCCAGTCGGCCGCAATGCAGAGGCGGCAGGTGCGGCTAGCACAAAAGGCGTGGCTGCTATCTTCTCCTACTCGAAGACCAAGGGTCTCTTTGCTGGTGTCAGTTTGGAAGGTAGTATGTTGGTTGAGCGCAAGGATGCCAATGAGAAGATGTATCAAAGCCGCATCAGCGCGAACCAGCTTCTCAGCGGTACAGTACGACCACCACCGTCCACCGACGCGCTGATGCGCGTCCTGAACTCTCGCGCCTTCCACGGAACCGCGGGCAGCCCATATTCGGGCGATTCCATGTACAATGATATGCCTGTCTACGACGATAGCCATGACAATGTGGTTTGGGAGGGACGAACGGGCGATGCTTATGGCGAAGGCGTGCGGAACTCCCGTAGCCGCGCCAACACCGCTGATGACTATGAATACCGTGACAAGCCCCGTCGCGCAAATACCTGGGCTGACGATGTATATGATCGGCCCGCCGGGGGTCTTGGGCGTTCGGCAACTACGCGCGCCCCTCCGACCGACTACGAGCTTGGACGCAACCGGAGCAATACTTTGGATGCGGATGATTATTCCTACTCCGATCGTCGACCGACCCGCCCGTCCGCACCTAAGCCGGTCTTTGGGCAACGGACAGGTCAGGGTGCTGGTCTTCGATCGGACCAGGCAATAGCACTGTATACGTTTGATGCGGACCAAGAAGGAGACTTGGGGTTCAAGAAGGGTGAAGTGATCACGATCATTAAGCGAACGGAGAAGGCGGAAGATTGGTGGACTGGCCGAATTGGAGACCGCGTCGGCATTTTTCCTAGGTGAGTTCTGAGCCACAGCTCGTCCAGGCGCAAGGCGATATAGATTATGAGCTAACTATGGAGTTCCAGCAACTACGTTGACTCTTCTTGAGTTTATTGGCTGTGTAGTAGGCCTTCTACCAGCTATATCGTTCGAAGCAAACCGGTGACTCTCTCTTTTTTCCATCCGTGAACATACAGGACTGGCTCGTTTGGTTGGTTTGAATATATCTTTGGGCGTTGGATTTACGATTCCCTCTTCTCACCGATTTCGTGTTCGCTCCAATCTCCTTCAGCGCTGCAGTTTCTCATTCTCATTGATGGTCCCTCTCTCCCTCACGAGGTATCTGGAACATTTTTCATTTGATCGCTGGCGTGTGGCGTTTGCGCACAGTGGAGAGCTTCTGTCAGCAGGACGATCCTCAGCACGATCCTAGAGAGACTCGAATCTGCACCGTTTTGTTTCCTTGTTATTTTGATTGCAGATAACCTTTCTTTCTTTCTTTTTTTTTTTTGTTTTCCTTCATCGAGTGTTCACTTCAGCCCTAAAGCCAGCCCAGCCCATCAGCTTGGGTGATACCAAATCAATTTTTTTCTTTTCCTTTTGGATCTGGCGCTCGGGACATTTGATGGCTTACGCCAACACTTGCACAACGGCACCCCTCCTCCTTCCCGCTCCCCGTAGTCGAGTGACACCGCAGGCCCATGATCAGATCACGATTGGGAATCAACATTCCAGCGTGGCTCCCGGAAAGTCGAAGACCCTGGTCGAGGGCTCAGAACCAGGGCTAGGAATTTGATGGCATGTTGCGATGCATGCCAATTTTTTTATAGCTCCGATACCCCTTATGGGGCGACAAAATGGGAACCACAGCTGCATGCGTGGGCTGAATTTGACAAAGGTAGTGTGCGAAAGAGGTCAGCACTCTCTGAGCCTCGAGGTGCAGGGACGCCTGTTTTAACAGACGAGTCAGACTGATGATGCCAGCGCTCGCCGCGCTCACGGTCGTACTTGTATACTTCACCTCCGGCAGAGTTGAAATCTGAACCGAAGTGAACCACCGCCCGTGGTGAATGGATTTGAAATATGAACCGAGGGTGGTGAAGCCAGATCAACGAAGGATAGTAGAACCGAGCAGAGCAGGAGATCAAGCTCTTGAAGGAGGGTCGCGTGTTGAGTGTCTCGATGTAACGAGGATCCTAGCCGCGATCGTCATGGAGAACAATGGAGACCCGGCACGTCCATGGACCGGCCAGGCCTCCTCCCGATTGTCCGATTGTCCGACTGTCCTTGGGTCAAGCGCAAGCCAAGTGGAGCCCAGGCACCGAGGGCCTCGTGCATGTACGAAGTAATAGCAGCCGTGAGATATGATGAACCGTGCAAAGCTGGACGAACTGGTCTTTCAGCCGTAGCAAATAGATGTAAATGTCGAGGCATTGGCAAGCAGCAAAACGGTCTCCTCGATTGGATGTCAGAAGAACGTCGAGCGCGACGATGTCAGGTGCTTTGCTGCGACCGAAAGCGTTCTGGCTCTCCGCCCGCCAATTCTCAAACCTCACTCACCCTCTCAAACCTTCCATCCACCACCTGAACCGCCAAAACACTCTCGACTTTTCTCCCTGTGCGCATTCGTATCTGGTGTGAATCTTTGCATCGTGCCCAACTGGTTCCCCGCCGTCCGTCCCCCAAATGACTGCCCGGCCACGGTAGCTACCGGATAGCCCACCCCACGACTCTTTCTTTCCGTTTCCCCCGCTTCGATGATCGTTCATCCTCTGCCCCAGGTGGTAGTACATTGACTCCCACTCGCCTCCCTCCCCTCCCTCCTGGCTGTGGCCGCCCTTCGGTCTTCAGGGTTCTTTTGGGCTTTTTTGGTTCCTGTATAGCTGGTTCCCATGCAGGTGCGTCCTTGAATCAATTTCCACCTCCCTTGCGGACTGATTTCGTCTGAATCCCGAGCTGCCGTCTCGCGGCCTTCTTGCGATTCCAGATTTTCCTCCCTTTCCTGCCGAGGGTGCTTCATGCGATGCCTTAGCGCCCTGGTCTTGAACCCACTGGGCATCAAGAGGGTGGTAGACATTTCCGTGGGGTTGAAGCTAACAAATTTTCTTTCCGCTAGGCTTCCACGACTGCCCCTGAGGCTGGTGGAGGACATTCGACGCGGCGAGGCCATGCAACCCATTTGTCGATTAGTGACCCGAGTCACCATGTCACCGAGGCCATCGGGCATATGTACGACGATGACTACGATCGCAACGATCCCCGCCGTCTTAGTTATATAACATCACCGCTCGGGGAGTCAATAACGACCATCCCGCGAAACGCCGCAGCATCCGAATCCTCTCCCTCGTCCTCGACACCTCTACCCCCCTTCGCCTGGTGACGGACATCTCAAACCAAGTAATGGACACTTACGGCCACCTCTTATTGCGCACCGGTCCTTCGATCGAGACAGCGACCCTGGATCGCCAGAGTCAACGCGAACCCCCTCCGAGACCGCCACGTCTTCTTTCCCTCTCAACGATATCGACTATGAGTCCGACCCTGCGGCTGTGGTTCAGGAGTTGAACAATTTGGCTGCCATTCGGCGCATGTCGATGGATGTTGCAGCAGCTGGCGATCCGGATCTCCCTTCTTTTGGCAGCAACTTCTCTATTCCGTCCCTCCCCCCTTCTCCGTCAGCCGATGAAAATGATGCGTCACGATTATTTTGGGTGCCGGCAAGTTTACACCCGGAGCTGGCGCCGAAGGAGTTCAAGTCATTTCTCGAGAGCAAAGCCGATGTCATTAAACGCAAATCTGGCGACTTTTCGTCCCTTGGTCCCGAACGCCAAACGTCTGGGAGCGGACTTCGTCGCAAACGGTCCATGTTGTCTAAGCAAATAGATGACTCATCTGGATATAAGGATGGCGCAGAACGGCTGGAGCGACAACGCTCTCAGTCAAGTCGGCGGGATGGCATGCTGAGTCCGAATCTACAAGAGCTCGAGACACTGGTAGATGACAGCCAATCTGGCACAAAGGATGCGCTTGTACGAGGAATGCAAAATGCAAGCATTGCAGCGAGTGAGGATAAGCCGATTTTACCACCAGCACCACCGGGCCACAGCCTACGCCGATCAACTCGTACCCAGTACAAGAAGGGAAGTCTGAAGAAAGGAGAGAAGCCACCCTACTCCAAACGAGTTGGTAGAGCCCTCTCGGAATCAACTCATTCGGGTTCCCCAGTTGCATCCTTATCAGACGATGCCGCCAGTCCAATTCTGGGCAGCACTCGCGTGTCTCCTACCTCTACGGCTGCATCAACAGGCCGAGCAACCCCACCAGGTCGCTCGCCATCCAACTCGTCGCGCAGCACGGCCTATGCTCCAGGTGTGACATCTACTTCCACGTTCGATTCTATTCTCGATGATCCACACGCCGAACAACATGAAGAAAGATCCGTATCGCCCGGCCACCAGGCGGATAGTACTCTTGACGACAAAAACGTAACATCATATGCACGACATTGGCAATCTCGCATAAGCTCAAATGGCCGATCTACGTTGAACATACCTCCGCTGGACCAGAAGGTCCCTTCAATCATAGAAACCCCGCCAAACGACTCCAGTCACACGTCGCCTTCACCCGTTTCTCAACCAAATCGTTCCCCCGATCGCGATGCGCCGTCGGCTTATTCTCCTAGGTCACCAACCCATGATACGAGCTCTAGCAAACGACCTGGGCTGAGTCGCCAACCCAAGGACACCACGACGACGCTCAACGATTTTGCCAATCAACCTCAGATGGTTCCCGGTAACAGTACCCGGACAGACAGCCTTTCTTTTATTCCAACGATGTCCGAGGAGCGTAAACCCGAGGAACGCAAACTCGAAGGTAAAAAGTCAAAGAAGGATTCCGAGGGCCGGAAGTCCAGTTGGCACTGGCTGCTGGGAAGCGATGAAAAGGAAAAGAAAAAAGAGAAGGATAGTGACTCCAGAAGGGCGAAATCGAAAACTACCGATAAAATTCATACCAACGCGCGGATGGATACGCTCCAGCCATCCACAGAACCTCCTCCGAAAGGGCGAGAAAGTCTTATTATCGATCGCCTTGACCCGAAGTTGGAGGAAGAGCGTCGGAAGGATAGTGCGCGAAGGGCTTCTGGGGAATCTAAAAAGGAAAAGGACGGCATTTTTTCGTCAATCTTCGGAGGCGGGCGTAAGAAGCATGGAGGAGAAGGCCACCACCGGAAAAATTCGTCACGCAACTTGTCTCCCGACCCCCCAATGCGAGAACTCAGGGCTGATGTGGACTATCCCTGGACACGATTTTCAATTTTGGAAGAACGGGCCATTTATCGCATGGCGCACATTAAACTTGCAAACCCTCGCCGAGCTCTATACTCGCAGGTGTTGCTGAGCAATTTCATGTACTCATACTTGGAGAAGGTGCAGCAGATGCACCCCCAGATGATGGTGGCCTCTGGATCTCAGAGGTCATCTAAGTCTCGGGACCAGCCGGATGAGTATCTCCAATATCAGCGATACCAAGAAGTAAGTAGATCGTCAGCATCAACCGAGGAGCCGTGGCACTAACGGCTTCGTTTTTTTCCAGGCACAAGAGCAACAGCAATATGGAGACAGCGCATACGATGATCCTTCAATGTACGATTATGACGATGATCCGCATGATCGGTACCAGACCCATGGGGGAAATAGTAAGCATGGCTATGAGAACGGCAATGCTTACAATTCGGGACACTATCAGTATGAACACTCATCCTTTGGAGACGATGTCCAGCTGGATGATGACGATGACGATGATATGTGGTGAATTGGGAGCTGGCGTCTTCGCTAGAATACTCCTTAGCCTACCTTTCTACCTGCGCATCTTTTCACTTCCATTTGACTTTTCTGCGTTCACGGAAATACCCTTGCGTTTGTCTGTCCTGGTTGTTTTTAGAACCTGTACACAAGCCTTGCCCTACGCCTCATTTTATCTCTTCCTATTGCCTTGCAAGATGGATTCTTTCATCGCGTTCTGTTCAAGTTCTAACTACCCACGGACTTTTTTTTCTCCCCAAATAATATCCTTATGCATGAGTTGATTCTGATTTTGATCATGAATCACTCCCACCACAGGCTTCGGAGACCAAGTCGTTCTCACTTCCATCCTTGTGTTTTCCTTTCCTACTTGGCCCATTCCAGTATCAGTGCCCTGACCCAAGCGGTCGTGGCTTGTGCATTGCCATATAGTTTGCTCCCTCACATGGTCTGATTTCTCTCTTCGCATAGCGTCTGGGGTTTTGTTCTTTCTTGTTCCTCTCGAGTTTTCCCTTTCCACCTTTTGGTCCAACTTTGAGTCCGCACAGCGGGGCCGGTCCTGTATTTCTTCTTCTCTTTTCCCCTCCATTCTGAATTATTACCTTTCATCCCACCGAGCAAAGATTCATTCTCGTATTATGTTAATTTATAACGGCTGCCAATGAAAGCTACCTTCGGAGGGATCAAGTCTGCTCTACTGCATTCCCATAGACTGAACAACTTCCATACTACCTCGATGTGATGTTGAACTTCAGATAACTGTAAATTGCCAAAATATGTAAGATTGAATCGAGAAAAAGCCACTTCATGGTATATTCATTATTCATCAGTCGTCCGCCTATCACATAACGGTAATGTACTATACTGCTATATCGGTCCTTTGACCATACTCAATGCTATTATTCTCAAACGGAGTCCCCAGGTGAATATGCTCCGCTGTCCAGTCCAGCTCCGCCATCATATGTGCCGGATCGCGTACCTTGAAATCATCATGATAGTCCTTCAACGTTGTGAGAAGCCTCGACCTCAATTCCGGATCGGAGTTCGCCGCCCATGCAACAGATAGGCATATAATCAAATACCCAGCCCCGATAGGTCTGAACACATGAGAAAGCCTGGCGAGTACCAGTGTTTCTTCGGCAAAGTACACTGCATCGACCTGGACCGAATCCCGGTGGATATCAAGAGACTGCAACATGCAGTTGAAAAAGAGCGTAATGCATAATCCAATACCGTATGCACGCTCAAAAAAGGCTAGAATAAATCTCTTTGTATCTTCCCAATCAGTGCCCCGCAGCTCGGTGACAATGTCACTAAGGTCCTTCTCGATATTCCGCTTCTGAAGCTGATTTAAGTTGAGCTTGCAGGTTTGATAGATGGACCACAGCTCGTCCCGCACTCCGGTGGAGTCGACACCAGTGTGGAGCAGGTTGCGGGCTCGTCGGACAATGCGTGGGCCGCGAGCGAGACAACGTAGCATGCGGCCATCTGGAGTTTCGGAATCTAGTTCGTTGACAATGAGTTCATTCCATTCCTCAGGAGCAAGGTTGATTCGCTCGTTGAAAAGACCTTCGAATAACTAAAGTATTGTCAGTATGGTTCTGGACTGATCAATGTGCCGGGGTTTAGGGCTAGGAATCGTAGAAGGGTAAATTCTGCAAGAAAAACAAAAAAGATAAAAAATGGGGATGGGGAGTTTGGGAAGAAGAAGAAAAAATAAAAAGAAGAAGAAGAAAAAAAAGGAAACTCACAACGCTCCCTCTCAATGACAAGAACAATTTCGTCTCAAACTTATCGCGCGGGCCAAACTGCCCCCGTGCTCTGAGGATCTGCGCTGCCCCCTCGGCATGCCCAGACCACATCTGATTCGAGTAACCCAGAAACGTCTGACAAATTAGCAAGACCATGACTGCTGCTAGAGTATTGGACTCCTGTGCATGGACCTTGTCATCGAGATATACGCGAAGGGTGCGCAGGGCAGCAGAGTACTTTGTTAGCGCCTGAACGGACCCTTGCTGGCGCATGCAGAAGTCCCCGTGTGCGGTCACAACCGCTTCTATGGCGCGGTCCAGCGCTTCATTAGTGCCGAGTCGCCGTGGCACATCCTCCAGAAACAGACCGAAGCTCCACCCGAGGTTGTAGCGGAGATCGGTGGAACGCTTGATGGTTCTCACGAAGGCGTCGGCCAATTGCGTGAGCTCGTTACTAGGTTTTACTAGGAGCATCTCCGACGGAATGGGAACATTAAGGGCTTGGCCGTATTTCCGGGGCATGACTATACGTTTTGACGGATTCAAGGCATGGCTGGGTGGAGATCGGGTTGGTTTCTCGGAGGTCTGAAAAAGAAATTCTTCATTGCCGTGGCTCTTGATCTGGGCCTTGGCCCGTTGGAATTTATGCTCTTGCTGGAATTTGAATCTTTGCATGCCGGATCCCACGCACTCGATCTTGAGGCGCAAACAGCGCCCGCATGTCGGCTGCTTCTCGTCGCACTAGGGGGTTTTCATTAATAAAGTTGCTTCCTCTTGCGGGAACTATATAAGCCTTAATTGGTGTAGCGCTAGTGCACATACCTTCTTTTTTGTTTCCGACATCCCTCGCAAGCCCGGCCTGATGGAACTCCCGGCATGGTGTTTAGTGGACCCTGACCAATCTGACGTCAAATAGTCTGGGTATAGGGTCGAGGCGATTTAGATTTACTAGAAGAGACAGACCTTGGAAGGGACTGTCCTTAGGAACCAAGAAAGCTCAAATGGAGTCCAGCACGAAGCGAATCTGGCTGTTTTGAGTGCGACGAGCCGCTCCCCGACGCGTTGAGGTTGATCATAAGGCAAGTCGACAATCAGACGGGGCTGAAGACACCGCCCATCCGTCTGCGACTAACCGCTTCTGGTCCAATGTGCCGCTGGGCTGAGCATTGGCCCTGGCTGTTGATTGGTCCATCGGGATGTATGTGGCCACTCAGGCTGGGGGCGCTTTCAGGGTCTTTGGGGCATTCTCCGACATGAAGACTTGGCACCCTGGAAGTTGTCATTTTGTGACCTTTTCTTAGAAAAAAAAAGTCAAGTGGGGGCTTCGACGTATTTTAGTAGCCACCATGGAGATGGCTGTCCAGAATGAGTTTGAACTAGTCGGCCCGTCCGCTGATTTGAGGCAGTTGACGTTTGGCTGGACACTGATAATTATATATGGAATTTGCATTAACGCCCACAGGGCAATAGATTCTTGCCTATCTCGGAGCTATGTAGCGCTTCATTCAAAATACAATGTTGTTTGATAGAATAGACAATGTCCATTGAGAGAATATTTAAGATGGCGTGTTCCCCTCACGATTCCCTTACAGAGTCGATTCCCATCCTAACCACATCATGACTTCCGACGAGAAAATAGTGAATTATTACAAGTATCAACCAAGCCACGTACTACCGGCAATCTTTGCCGCGGTGGTAGGTGTGTCGTTCCTATTGCATATTTGGCAGAATTTGTTCGTTATGCTTCTCTGTATCTTCAATTTCAGGGGATTAAAATCACCTGAGACTAACATCAGGGCAAATATAGTCGCTATCGATTCTGGAGAGTCACCTTTTTCGTGGCTTGGGGCGGCCTTCTGTTCACGATTGGTTGGATCCTTCGATGCTTTTCAAGCTATCATCCGGGTAACAAGAACCTCTTTATTGCTCAAACCGTCTTCATTTACCTCGCTCCACCGGTTTATTCTGCATCGGCATATAACATTGTCGGTCGATTGATGAACTACCTACCTATGCACGCCCCTCTGAATCCTAACCGTGTTTTGATGGTCTTTGTATATGCGGGAGCCGTTGTTGAGGGTATCACGGTAGCTGGCGCGGCAAAGATTGCGGCTGCCGGGTCAGATCTCGATGAATATAAGAGGGGCGGCGTCTTGGTTACAGCCGGTCTCATATTACAGGCCGTGGTGGAAACCTTGGTAATTATGCTTGTCGCAATTGTCCACAAGCGAACGGCAAAAGCCCGGACTATTCCGCGCAATGTGAAGATTCTTTGCATGACTTTGTACGGGACATCGACTTTTGTACTGATGCGGTGCATCTTCCGCGCCGTCGAAGGCTTCGAAATGTTCGATAACGTTGGCTGTCGGGAGAATTGTGGTCCCATCTTGAGCAACGAATGGTATTTGTATGCATTTGAGCTGGGTCCGATGCTGATTTTCACTTACTGGCTCAACCTCCTTCACCCTGGTCGATACTTGCCCCGTGATAAATTCCGCTACCTTGGAACTGACGGCCACATTGAGCGAGAGGGTCCCGGCTGGACTGATAACAGAGATACATGGGCAACCTTTATGGACCCTTTGGACTTTGAAGGTCTGATCAAGGGAAAGGCTTCGCATGACCAATTTTGGTTGAAACCCGAGGAGTGGCCAGCCTGCCAAGATGGCAGCTTTGCAGAAGGCTCTGCTTCTAACATACGGTTGGTACGACCTAACAAGGAGAATATTGTATTTGCCTCTGAAGCCTAGATACTGTGACTCTGTCATACCCCGGCAAGAATCTAGCATTTAATCCCTTGTTGGTTCATGTGCTTTGCAGTTTCCCGATTGTCGCTTGCATGTTTTCTTTTGTTTATTTTATATAGACTATATCAGCAAGGTCCTTTTTTAGTATCAAATGTACTATTAGAAACCCAGCCTGCGTCAAAGTAAATTGAGCACATGAAGCTCTTTTGATTTGTTTCAGCGCTTTTTCTTAGTTCAATGGTTGGGTAGCCATAAGAATATCTTTTTTTATACGGCTTCTCAATTTATTCAAAATTGTGTGCATTCTTTCGTTAATTACACTGGAAATAGCGACCCTAGGGGCGCGCGGGATTGCGTGTTTATACAGCACAAAAGGTCAATAGAGAAAAGCGACGAAAATGTACAGTAATACAATTCAAGGGATGGAAATATATATATACCCGAGAAAATGGTGGATCGGCGTGGGGCTCACTGCTGACCTCGCCTAAGATACAAAGGAATTAATGAAGTTCACTGAGCGACTTGATCGTCCAATTATTCAGATGGCGTCAGGACTTAATCATTATCCTGGGAGTCAACAATGAATCCTCAAGCTTTGAGCAGTTTGTGCCGACGGAGCTTGATTGCAACCCTCCGGATCGCACATCACTGGAATGGAGATGGCTGTCCAAGCATAAAGTCTGCGATTTTTCAAGCGGTGTGCCATTTGCTGAGACGGATGTGGCCACTGAACGATCAGTCTGCCCATCAGCCTCTGTACTAAGGCTCTCAGAGATTGTGGCCAAAGAACTTTCAATCGGCGTGTCAACAATAGGATCTGCAGAACGACGGATTGTTCGGATCCCGGTCTTCAGCTGTTCATCAAGCTCATCCACGTAGGCATACGCCCCCTCTCCAGCTATTGCTAAGCGTTCATAGCAATCCACACCACCCAGTTTCCATTCAGGCAGAATTGTACCCGAGTTACCGATTTCGTATACGAACATTGGGTTTCCCTCACTGTCGAGGATCTTCTGCCGTTCGAATTTGAGATTTGCATCGATGGGTCTGTAAATGTCATTCTTACTATCTTGTTGGTGCAATGCCGCAAAGTGCTTCATTCTGAAGTTGACAACCGGATGAATGGACTCAAATGTACTGCCAAGAGTCTTGCCGGCTTCGAGAGCATACTGGCCCGGGGTTCGCTTCTTGGATCCGTTGGCCCAATACATCGGCGTATAACTGCTGATAAAATGCCCAATCCCCCAGCCAAAGACTCGGATTCCCTTGAATGCAGGCTCTTTACCCGGCGTCAGCCGATGCACAAGCGCAGATAAAGTGGCCTTCGCATGACGCCAGGGCCAGCCTTTCCAGGATTTAATATTTGGGGGATTCACTGCAGCATCCCATTTCTCGAGCTTCAGGTTAATTTCATCTAGGTGCCTCTCCCGGTCTTTTTGTTCGTCGGCAATATACTGGTTGTCGATCGATAGATATTCCTTTATCTGATCCAGCATCCAAGAGAATGTGATATTGGCCATTTCTTCCATGTCACCCTCATTGTTCAATGTGTCGCTCGACCCTCCGCCTATATTGACGTGACAACCTGGAAACCACACCTGTTTCAGATCCGGGTGTAGCTCTAGTCGATTTTGGTATTTGACTCGTTTTCGGGTGGCCTTGTTCCACGCCTTCGCAGCTAGATTGACATTTCGGGCTGCTGCATTGACCTGCTCATCGGTCGCCTTGCCGCCTGCCTTGAGAGCCTTTGCATTCTCTAGCACGGCCCAGAAATTCTTTTCGGCCTGAATTTCTTCTTCTTTACGAGCTTCAACATCCTCCTGTGTAGCTGTTTTATCCGACAGATACCACAATGTCGGCGAAAATGCCTTGCGACGCTCGTCAAGAGCCAAAGCATGGAATGCGTGCTTGATGTCTGAGGAATTTTCCACATGAGTATATATTGGGTGAGCGCAAAATAAAGGTGACATTATCTTACTCGGCGAGAGTCCGACGTTATACCAGCCCTCCTTTGACGGAAGCTTAACGCCCAATACCTCTGGCATGCCCAGAGCTCCAACGGTGTCATAAACTCCTACCACCTCCACATTTCGCGATCCTTCCTGAGCCCAGTCGCCTTGCGGGGGCTTCTCGTAAACAAATTCACGGTGGTTTTCATCACCCGCACCTTGGTGTTCATCTGCCTTACCCCATATCCAGTCATACCATAGGTCGCTTCGATGGAAACGCTTTCCATGCGGAACTTTCTTATAGATCGCCCATAGATCGGGAAATTCGTTCAGGTCGCTCTTGGAGCAGATACCAATATCGGAAATCAAACCAGCGATCGTGCGGGCCGTGTATGCACCACGCGAGAAACCAAAACACATGATTTGATCGCCGGGATGGTAGTTCAACACGCAAAAATTATAGGCTGCGACGACATTGCCCTCCAGGCCTTCTCCGGTCGCGCCTTGAATGACCTCCCCCAGTCCGACAGACTCAGTGCCAATGCCAGAGTCGTACCAGACCACTTGCTGCCATTCCTTCCCGTCTTTGTCAACGCCAACACGATTGAGAGCGCGACAGAGCCGGGTTACATTGGATGGAACATTCTTTTGCCCCGAAACCGAAGATTGCCAGGTGCCGTCACAGCATATAATGATTCGTTTCGGCATTGGTGAAGGTGAAGTGTTTGGTGTCTTCTGGGAGGTCAGAATCTTCACCTGGGCCTCATAAACAGCCGCAGCAGCCATACTGGCAAGCGGAAGAGAGAATCACGGTTTTCGTATGAGAAGTGGATGTCAGTCGGATTTCGCTGACGACGATACATTTATACTTTTCCCGTCTTGACACTTTGGACCCCCTTTCTGCTGTGTAACACGACTCCGTCGTTCTGTGATTGATCGGTTGAGTAGATCGTATTGATGGGGCTGTGGAGGGTGCTAACCCTCTTCAGAGGACGAGAGCGGACGAACGCCAGATGGACAGTGTTAGCTGCAGATTCGGACCCGCGCTTGACCTATTCAGGGCTATTCAGCTCGCCCCGCTTATGGGGTTTTTCTTCTTCAGCTGCGCAAACTTGGACGCCTCCTGAGATCAGCCCGGCTTACATGAACCAACGTGCGCAGAATGACTGGTTGACATACCCCGGATTCCAGCATTCTCATACTATTCATAGTGTAGCACCATACCCGCCCGCACATGGCGCTTTCCGTGCATGTGAAGTACCTCGTATATGTCAATCCATGATGACGGTAGGGCTGCAAGGGTCATCATGGACATGGACTCGAGCCTACAAAACCAAAGTCAAAAGGAGCGCCCGAGGCCGAACCGCCCCACGAGTACGCCCCAAAAAAGCCTCTAGGAAAGTTTCAGATGAACAATTCGTTTGTCATTCTGCCCTATCGTTCTTCGACTACTTGTACAAAGGTCTTTTTCACGGTCACCCCGGCGTGTCCGTTGTGAGATGTTACCGGCCGGAGTTCTGGATATAAGGCCTCCTGGCTGCTGTTCCCGTCTGTAAAGTCGTGCGACCGGGGCGAGGAAACGGTATTGTTGATCACTCCCTTGCCACTGTCGCGGTCGATGTCAGGCCGCCAATAGCTTGGATCATTGCTACCTTTCAACCGATCGCTTTTGAGACTAGAGAGGGGGTAGTTGCCAGAGCTCTTGCCGGGGCTTCGTGCATTCCGACCGTAGGACATGCTTCCATCCAGCAGCCAACGGAATAAGGGACGAAGTGTAATAAGACTGCCCGCCGCAATTCCAAGACCTGTTTCAATAATAGACCAAATGGCAATTTGATAGGTGGAGTCTTCAATAAAGGAGATTAGCATGAAATCTTCTCTGATGTCAGCCAACGGGGATGGAAATTGGCCCTTGGGCTGTGCAGCCTTTGGGAATTGACTTACACAGGAAATCGGAGTCTGCATAATATCGTAAAAATGGCAGTCGGATCACCACAGCCACACTCGCACTGACAATGATCAGCCGCATGTTCTTTATGTTATTAGGACCGGGCCAAAAAAAAAACACTCACACTGCCCCCATGCTAAGAATGCCACCAACTGCAATCTTTGTCCTACGATTCATCTGCAGATTCCAGACCAGGATAATAGGCAGAATACCCAGTGTAAAATCGCAAATAATCGTCAAGCAGCTGTAAAGATAGGCGATACCAAGTAAAACGTCGACGGCTAGACATGTCCCTGAGGCCGTTGGATCCACCCGATCCCAGAAGTAAGAGATCGGTTGGCAGTCGAGAAGCAAAATGAGCCAGAACATAAGACCAATTACAATCACAAGACCAATTATTCCCCAAAGAATCATGCGATGGATCCTTTTAACTGTCAACCGAAGTAATGCAAGAGCAATAGATATTTTCGCGACAGCGGATGCCCATAGGTACAGCATTTGACCCAGCCACCACCACTATGAAGGTTCGAGTGAGAATGATTTCTTGCAATGGGAGAAGGAGCACTACGGAAGCATGACATACAGTAAGTGCCTTCTTATATACTTCCAGACTTTTGAAATCGCGTTGCGAATGGCCAATGCCATTCATCGAGCCAATCAAACAGCATGTTCCCAATGTGAGGAAGAGAACCTGGTAGTGGATCAGTTAAAAGGAGGAAAAAGGTTCCAGTTTCATCTCCCACAAGCCTACCAATGCTGCGACCATCAAAGTGTCATCCCAACCAAACGCCCGTACGATATATGCGCGCACGAAAGTTCTCAGGGAGACTGTGATGAAAGACACGACCATCATCACGACTGAAACGACAAAAATTGCCAAACTTCGCCCCTCGAGGGGCATCGGAGAACCCATCGCGGAGTCTCAGGAATCTTTTTTCCACGTCTAGCTCTATTAATTATTGCTCCGGGGGTGCTCTCCTGGCGAGTCGTTGCCAATTCGTCAAATTCAGGGGCACATGGTCGATTCGTAAAAAGAAACACCGTGCTTGACGGGAATGGAAAGAAAAGAGGCACACTCTCCTTGCTGGAAGAAAACTCCGAGATGAGAAACCCCCCAACTTATCTTGAGGCCAAGACATAAGCGCCGCAGGTCGGCAAAGTGCCCAGGGGCCGCGAAGCGAGAGCAAGCATGAGGCTGCAAGTGGAGATTCAAATCCCCGCTTCAGCATGTTTGGTGATCGATTAAGTTATCGAAGGCGATGGACGGAACAGATTCATAACATCTTTTCCGATCCCAGGCAAATGTCCGCGCACTAAGTCTGGCTGAGTTCCGCTTTATGGAGTCAATCTTTGGCCCTGTGTGGACTGATAGGGCAGGGCCAAATCCACTCGGTCAAAACACCGTGGCTTCCCCACTTTGTAGAAACTATTGGGGCCAGTATCCGCAAAGCCGAGCTACAGTGTCATTTGTACCGGAAGAGAACGGCATTTGGGGTTTGAATCAATCCTCCCGAGATCTAGACCAATACCGGATGAGCAACTATCACTTAAGAAGAATGGTCAGCAGCGATGTCCCGAGACTAGCAATCCTTCGAGGGCACGGACAACTGTTGACCAGGGCCAGGGTGAAACAACCCCCTTCTGTCAAAAGCCGGGAGCCAAACTTGGAATAGACCATGCTGCCTTCGATGCGATGCTGTATTGTCCTACCTAACTATTGTTTTGAACGCTTGAAGAACTTGACTATCGAGGGGCGGGTTGCAATTCCACCGAAGACGATTGAGGTAAGTGATTCATTGAAAACAAATAGATGGAGTAGTCACCGATCGGCCTTAGAGATCGCAAGATGGCCTTTTTAGTCGGCAGAATGAGCTCAACTCGAGAGGCTGACTTTATTCCCCGATATTGTGGCGGCCCCAGCCGGTCTGTACTCATGCGCTCGCCCTTGGACTTACCCGATTAGGCTGGACAGTATTGTTCTGCTGAGAAATCTCGGCCACTTGAACGAGATCCGTGCTCTATGAAAGTGGAACATTTTTTATTTGAAAGGATTCTCTGGTTCCTGATAGTCACAGAGTTGATAAAACCTACCGCGTTTGGCAGATCTGCTCAAATCAATTGATTTTAATATATTATCAAACGAGGCTTAGTTTAATGTTATGTTGTAGATGCTTTTTATAAATGCGTCTAGCCTGCGTAGCCACATGAAACCCCTGAGATCCGTCAAAAGATCAATCATGATCGGATTCGATCAGGGGATTTCGAAGCTCCGACCTATAGAGATCTTGAAAGGCCCTGCGCTAGAGGAAGGTGAGCTATGCATGTGAAGACCAATTAAGAGAGTTAACACATTGCTCTTCTCTCTGAGTTGCTATTACAATTTGCCTCCAAGATCATAAGAGACATGGTGAGCTTGGTCTGTCACGAACAATTTGTGAACCCTCGACCGGCAATTGCTCATCAGTTTTTTCCGGCACGACCCACATCGCCCCACGCCTTTTCTTCGCCGATCCTGCCCTATAACACTTCACGCGTCGATGCGTTTCAGAAGTCAGCCGATGTTTGATGTTGCCCAGAGTTGCAGGGCTTGTCATGCACCATTGATTGATTTGACGGGAAATTGTTGGGTCTGTTAAGGTATTCCCTTCGTACAAAGGGCCCACATGGCCCAGGCCAGAGAGGAGAGGCCGGCGAAGCGGGCTCGTCAGGCCTGCGAAACATGCCGGTAAGAATACGCTGTGAAGGTTTGCCTGTCGCGAATAATGTACTCAGTACTTTTCCAGTCGCAAGAAAACCAAATGCCCCGGAGAAAAGCCCGTGTGCTCCTTCTGTGAACGACTTGGCCAGCGATGCGTATATGCCGGAGCTGACACTGCGGAGGATCAGTCAGATTTTGCAAGAAACATGGTTTGTTGATGATCGAAGTCTTTTGAGCCTTTGGAATAACTTGTAATACTGACCCGCCATTGTAGGTGGATCGCGTTTCGCGAATTGAGGGCAAGCTAGAACAGCTCGTTGAATACATCGCGTGAGAATTATTTTGGCCCCAAATTTGACAACCTGATTTGTTCTAACCTCTAGGACCCCAGAAAACGACCAATTGAAACCGTAGACACGACTCCAGCAATAAGCCATGGTATTCCGGAGCTGACACAACCAAGTACCGCGCAGTCCTCTCCAGCCCATGTAGAGCAATCTACTACACCATCAGTTGCCGAACTGTTTCTCACATTCTGCAACTTTCAGCCTCTTCCACTATTTTCGCAAAATATTTCGCTTCAATCTCTTCATCAAAGAGACACGGAACTTCTGCTGGCTATGGAAGCTCACTGCATTCGGTTCCGTGAGCAGGGTATCAAAAACATTGAAATTGAGTTCGAAATCAAGAGTAAGACAGAGCGAGCATGTCAGATGGTAATGGCACGTTTGGCAGACGGAAATGTGGAACTATCAACTATCCAGACACTATGCCTTCTAAGCATATTGGAATTCACAGGTAAATATTCTACGTCTGCTTCTGTTTGTGATTGTACTAACATTCAGAGCTTCAGCTGGCCATCTGATGCGAGCTGGCTTTTATCTCCAATCTGCGAGCTATTTTATTAGCTGCATCCGTACGGGAGATCTGGAATCTTTGATCAATGAGCTAGATTCAGAGAAAGATGAACGGAGATTATGTCAAGCTAGTGTGATAATGCTGCAGAACCTGCAAGGGCCTTCACAATCGTGGAATTCTAGGTCCTCTTTTGAAAAGTCCGGCATTACTACCTCCATGGCCATAACCTCCGAAACATCAATTTGGAAAGGATTTACGCAACGTGATGGAGGTGATTCGAAGCTAGAAGTCGGCATCAATTCGGCGAATATGTACACCAGCGAACTATGGGCTCTTGGGTGCAAGTACGCCATGGATCATCGCAGTATCGATACCTATCCCCCCTGGCATCCGCAATCGGATTATTCTATGATTACCTATTGGCATACCCAACATGAGAGTTGCATGCCACTGAAGTTTAGGCTTCATGCTAGTCGGTTCTCAGAACACTCTCCGGGCGACCTCAAGGCGAATCGGAGCTATTGGGGACCTTGGCTATTCTTTCAAATAGTATGGCATGCCGTGCCATGCCTCTTAAACCACCCTTTCCTTCTCTCCTTACGCCTGAGGAACTTCGGAAGGACGATGCCTCAGTCATTCTTACGGAATTCCTTCGAGCAACTAACCCTGCATTCCGGATGGATTGTACATTTCCTTGAGCTTATTGAAGCAAAAGATTTTGAGGTGTCCGATCCAACAATTGGCCATTGTGTCAGCATCGTGGGAACAATTTATCTTCAACATAGCTTCGCTGAGGACCAAATTTTCCGCAAAAAAGCTCAGACGGGCTTCGAGAAATGTCTACGGTTTTTGCGCAAAATGGGATGTCGGTGGCCTCATATCGATCGCCAGGTTAGTTATCCGGGAACGAGATGATCAGAAACTTAATACTAATCTCACATTCAAGGCTCGAGATCTTGAACAGCTCCGCGCTAGCATTTCGCCTGGAGGCGGTCTAGTCCATACTACGGGAACATCCGGTACATCAAATTCGCGCCAGCGATGGTCCGTGAATCTACAATTATTGTGGAAGATCCTAGTCTATTCCCATGCTAGCAAATCATCAACTCCAGCGAGTGATATTTTCGGCCCAAATTTGGCTCGTGACAGCTTAGGAAACTCCGGGTTGCCATCAACAAGCATCATCGCTGAGCGTGATTTTGCTCTCATTGGATCAGCTGGTATTTCAGGCCATAAAACAGTGGTCTCTGAGTGTGTCACATATCCACCAGAACAGACTGAACACTCCAATCAGCTGCAACAAGAACTGGGCCAAACACCCAGTTTAGATATGGCAGACTTGGTTCAAGATCCGAATTTGGATTTCACTGGGGGTGACGCGTTACTTTTGCAGATGCAGGATTATGGCCGGGCCTTTGAAGACTGGCTAAGTCTCAATCCTGTATAAAATAGAACACCAACTACTGCCCAGCAAGTCGTCCGTTCGGCAACTCAGTCTCGGATGCCGGGCTGGGCTATCCACCCGGCCACCGGCCCGTTTCCGGGTTTTCCGGGGCACCTGAGTGCCAAGACCCGGCATGGAACCGCGTTTCCCCGTGTCACCACCCCTCGCCTCACACTTTTTTTTATGACTGGCAGGTTGAGGCGGACTCCGGACTATCAGACCGCTTCACATTGATCATGATGCCAGTATCAAAGAACGAGTCCATTATCATCGTCGGGGCCGGTGTGTTCGGTCTATCCACCGCGCTCGAGCTTAAGCAGCGCGGGTACACCGACATCACTGTTCTAGATCGATACGCACCGCCGGCCGTGGATGGAAGCAGTGTGGATATCTCACGCATTATCAGAATAGATTATGCAGACCCAGTCTATTGTCAAATGGCCGCTGAGGCCTACAAGGGCTGGACAACTGAGTTCAAGGATCAGTACTTCGAATCGGGATTCGCACTGCTCTCGGAGACTCCTCACAATGACTGGATTGAGAAATCGGCGGCAACCGTTCGGGCCAATGGTCGCAACGTGGAAGACCTGCCGGATGCTACAGCACTACTCAAATCTTATCCCAACATTCAATCTAACCTTTCGGGCATGAACGGATATCTCAACCGTCTTGGTGGATGGGCCGACGCTGCCGGGAGCATTCAGAAACTTGCGTCCAAATGCAGCGTAGCAGGCATTTCAATAATCAGCGGACCTCGCGGTAGTGTCACGTCACTGTTGCGAGAGGGCTCGCGCGTCGTTGGTGTGAACCTGGTTAGCGGTGGCTCCTTGCGCGCCTCGCATGTTATTCTGAGTACGGGCGCCTGGACGAATCGACTTATTGATGTAGCCCATGCTGCTTCATCATCGGGACAGCCTGTAGGCTTCATTCAACTCAATGAGGAAGAAGCTCGATCTCTCGAAAACACGCCAGTGATGATCAATATGACCACGGGTGTATTTGTTTTCCCTCCAACCCCAGGGAGCAACATTCTCAAACTTGCGCGACATGGATATGGATATTCCAATGAAACGACTATTAATACTAATGGATCCAACCGAACCATTTCATCTCCCAAATTCGACAGTAGCAACTCTCAGACGGGATACATTCCCGGTGATGCCGATGCAGACCTGCGCAATGGCCTGCGCCAGTTCTTCCCGAAGTTTGCCGACCGCCCGTGGATGAATCGCCGTCTCTGCTGGTATACCGATACTCCCAAGGGCGACTTTATCATCGATAATCACCCGACACTGCAAGGTCTCTTTGTGGCCACTGGTGGTGCTGGACAGTAAGATATCCCCGATCCGTTTCCATTTTCCCCTTTGAAGGTACTTTCACCGCTATCTGAACCTCTCACTTACCGACTATCCAGTGGATTCAAGTTTCTCCCCATTCTGGGCAAGTACATCGCGGATTGCTTCGAGAACAAAGCACCTGAGGAGCTACGGCAGAAGTGGAGGCTGAATGCGCCTCCTTCTGGTGGCTCCACCGGATATGGAATGAAAGGAGACGGCAGTAGAGCTGGGCCTCCACTGAGGAACCTTACGTCAGCAGAAAAGGCCAAGCTGTAGGATATATCTCGGGACATTTTCTCATGATATTCAAATATGTGACGGTGGACTTTCTTCGGTCTAATCATTCACTCGCATTTTAGTTGTGGTGGTAGTGATCATGCCACATTGGGAGCCACATTGATGTGGGGGTTGATGATTGCCACCCCACTCAATAGCGCAAAGTTGCGATTCTGGAGGGATTCTGAATAAGAAGGCTTTACTGCAATGTGCATTATGCAGAATTTTCCTAATGTCATAAGTTCCCATGCTGCTGACGCACATGGTGACGAACAGTACTTAGTTTCTAGTTCGTTATTGGTCAGCCATTAAACTATTGAACCAGTCATTTAGGCTATTATTTTCTAGATTCAAGCACAATACCGAATTACTATCTAGCTTGTTCATTGATCAGACGAATTATACCAATGTATTCGGGACTTTACATTTTACCTGTACTCTGAATTGATAGACGCCTCTTCCATCTTCAGCCGCCAAACAACTTTACTCGGCGATGACCCTGTCTCGCTGCCGAGCAATTACCATCAAAGGCATGGCTAAATCACTGATACCTACGCTAATAAGGTCGGGAATCTCCCCGCAGAAGCCATTTTCCTTCGCAATCGCGCGCTTCGTCTCATCGGCCAGGTCAAACTCAAACTCACTCAGTAGAGTGCTCATCAACTTGTAGATATTTGTCATGGCTACGGTTTTACCAATGCACTGTCTTCCCCCGAGACCAAAGTGCATCAGCAGTCGCGATTTCTCCGCAATCTCTGGGCTATCCCAGCGTGATGGATCGTAGACATTGTGCTCAGGCCCCCAGACAGCAGGATTATGATGGAATACATGATTACACACGGCAATTGAGGTCTGTTTGGGGGTTTCAAATAACAGTTAACTCCTTTCACTGTCCTGGAAAACAACGAGTTTGATGTGATTAATACGAGTGAACTTACTGCGTGGGGAATATGCTTTCCTGCGACTGTCAGACCGTCTGGCATAAGTACACGTCTCGCAAGAGGCATTGTAAAGACCGGTGTAAGGCGGAAATTCTCTTTCACGCAATTCTTCAAATAAGGTAGAGAACTTTCCACTAATGTGACAGAGTATGCTTTTTCATTTTTGTCGAGTACTGGCAAGTTTTTCGTAATTTCGGCCACGCAGTTAGCCATGACATCTGGATTGTGTAAAAGGTGATAAAATAGTAACGTGGTGGTTGCACTTGTCGTGTGAGTTCCAGCAATACTAATACTTCCCGTTAGCACGAAGGATGAAGGGCTTAAAAAGAGGTAGTTGAGCATCAAAACCTACATAAATCCAAATGCTTCTGTTTCAAGTTCCGTTTTTGTCATCTTTTCACCGGTTTCTGGGTGCTTAGCAAGAATGAGATTAGTGAGGATGTCTTTCCGTTCTGATATGACTTCATTAGATTGGCTTGTGTCTGCCATCCGAATCGCTCTTAACCGTACGTCCACGCATCTCGATGCAAGATCCGCACAAGCTTTACGACCCTTGAAAAGGGCCTGAAGTCCCTTATGGGGAATAAATGGAAGCCATCGCTTCAGTTGCGCTGTCATCATGGGCCAGGCGCCTGTCACTGCTGCCAGGAGACTATGTTCAATCACTGGTGGAACCTGGCTCTGATCGTTGGACATTTGAAGACCAAATGTTTGGCTGAAGGCTAATTCCCCGAGAATATCGATGACATAGTAATGCAAGAATTTCTTGAGATCAAATGCTTCGCCATTTGAAGCGCGAGATGCTATCTTCTTTCGAAGGATCTCGATATTCGCATCGAGATGCTCTTCCATTTCCTTCACATAGCTCATCGAAAAGCTGTGAGACATATGGCGCCGACGGATAGAGTGAGCCTGTTGAAACAGTTAGGAAGATACGAAGATCCATGGTATATCAGCATAAGGACTAACTGTTTCATCCCGCATGCCGAAAATATTAGGATGTGCTGCCCCATATGCATCATAGAACTCCGTTTTTGGCATGTACCGTGCACCTGTTTGATATATTGCTTTGATGGCTTCTTCGTCGGCAATGCTCAGCTTGTCTGGACCGTATCGAACTATTGATCCATATTTTTCATGGAGCTTTGTCAGAGTGTAAGGCTGCTTAAGTGTCATGAATTGATGGACTTGCCACAAGTCTGTCAAGCATGCCATAAACGGCCCAGGAAACTTTGCCAAGGGATGGAAGAAACGTTGGTAAAGAACATAAAAACTTATGTAGAAAGATATGGCCCCTAAAATTAGTTCCAATGGGTGATACAAAAGTTTAATGATACCCATGGTGTAAGTTCTCGTAGCAGGCAAGACTAGTAGTGTGCTCTCTCGGACTGAGTCTGGAGGAAATCTTTCTTCAGGGAGGCGTGGCTGTATATATAGTTGGACATCGGCCTCGTGCAGTGACATGTGGCCAGTCTGCGAATCCCCACAACAAGTCGAAACCCGAGCTAAGATGCCACAAGATACTAGGTTATGCATTGAATTCAAAGCCACTTCCATTGAATTGTTGTTTATTGAATATGTATAGAGGACTCTGTTTCCCCGCGGTTGACCCATGTTGAGCATAATGACGAGTGTGGGGAAGCCTTGTAACCCCACATGAAAGATGTGCATCCGCGTGTACGCCGCCGAAATTTCTTTTGGAGTATCGACTAATGTGAATGCATACCGAAATATATATCATGGAAAAAGATGGGACATTAAGAGGAATGAAACCATTCAAGAAATGAGATATCTCATATTTACTTGTATAGTTCAATCTGTATGCTTATTAGCTTTCCATTCAAGTTCTGATTACCTGGCTTTATCCAGATTTCAACCATAAGGTCATTATCAGCGCCCAATAGTAATACTGGTTCCTTAGTAAAACCACATCATAGGAGATTTCATGTTTAATCATGTGGTTACAAATAAATACAGCATGTACCGCTCTAAAACCTCAGGGATGGATAGCTGAACATGACGCTATCCCTATATTGGTATGCGAGACTCAGAAAACTTGAATTTACAAATAATTTCAAGGGAATAAACCATCAAGTTGATGGAATACAAACTTGTCATGACTCAGGATTTCCTTCCCCTTTAAAATTAATCTTGGCAACTTTGGCGCCTTATATATTAGGCAAAACAACCACTAGCTTAACAAATTGAACCCCGCAAACAACCCCGCAAAAATTAACTTGCAGTGCGTGGATTCAATGTCAAAGTTTGACCTCGCTCATCGCTGCAAAGATTTTGCCAGTATGAGGCAAAGACGTGGAAAAATCGAACGTAGAATTCCCTGCGCACAATGCGAAAAAACGTTCTCAAAGACGGAGCATCTAAATCGCCATCAGCTTGCTCGTGTGTAATTCCTGATATGTCAACTTCAGACGAAACTGTCACTCCGTGCCACCATTAATACTAATTTATATCATTATTCATGCCACAGATACCGGAGAACGTCCATATAAATGCTCTGTATGCGCTAAAAGTTTTGGGCGAAGGTGATTCATTCTAAACATGACCATATTTTTGGTGAGAGGATGCTTATGTGTTGACACTTCAGAGACGTGCTCCTTCGTCATCGTCGGAATCACTCTTCACAGGATAGTCTCGAGTCTCATGTTGGTTTTATCTGTAAAGTGGTATGATAAAATGCCACCTGGCTAATGCTGAACCTAGGACATGGAGATCATTCCAACCGACGACCCATTCGAGCAGGTATCTCCTGAAGAGGCTTGTAAGGTCCCAAACGACCATACCAATGAAATCCCGATACCATTGAGAGAAACAGAAAACACCATTTTCTCAGACTTGATACAGTCATTAAGTACAGTGGATGAAACAGAGGTGCAAAGCTCCAGCAATGATTTTTTGAACATGCTTTTCAATTCGACTGTTGAAGATTCAGAGGCACTCACATCCCTAGTGAGCACATCTCCTACGGCACCTAATCAAAATGTGACATTTCATCAGCATCAAGTCCATGATGTTCATAGTGGTTGTTTAGAAACGTGTCCCAGTGACAACAGCAGTCTTGGGACAAGAATTCGCCGACTTTGGCCAACAAGCGCCCAGAATACAATATTTCCTCAAATTTGGCATGAAATTGCCTTTGGCTCCTTGGAGAATATATTTTCAAGCTATAACATGAGTGCAGGGTTGACAGGGCTTAAAGAGACGAGTGGCAGTAACATTTCACACGAAATAAGTCTCACTCATGATGCCAAAAAACGCTTGCGTGAGCTGAAAAGGAAAATTCTTACTTGCCAGTGTAACAATATGATTAATGACCAGTTGAGTTGTGGCCGAAGATATCTCTGTGTCAACACCACTGAAGTATTCGACCGAGGGGTTTACCTCTACGCGCAAAAGTACCAGCCGTCGTATCCGGTCCTTCATATTCCGACGTTCGATTCGGAAACAGTGTCCGAACTCCTCTTGTTCGTTATGTGTATGATTGGTATCTCTTTTGTCAAGACGGAAGACAGTGTGGTCTTCATTCAAAACTCATATCCGGTATGGCATGGATCTCACTGTAGATATAACGGTACTTTGACCAACTAAGTGATAAAAGGCTATTCTCAGTGAAGTATTTTCTCAGTTTATTTTTGCGACAACAAACTCTCAAAGCCCCATGGACATTTTAAACCATCTTGTACTCTCACATCATATGCTTTTTTTATTCATTTCTACCGGGGTCAGTTGTTCATCTCTCTCCAAACCCTTTCTCTCATTTTTCTTCAATGCTGACTATTTGTGAAGGCCAATTTTTGCTCGGAAAAGTCTCGAAGTCTATATCTTCACACACTCACGGTAGATATATTCCGACAATAAACCATGCAAAGACGCTGTAATTGATTACTCTACAGACTGCACAGCAATGTGGTATTTTCTGCACAAAGCCAGATGCAACTTATAATACATTCCTTCCTCCACATTTGGAAGATAGTGTGCAATGGAGGGCGTGGAGTAGAGTTGAATCAACTAAAAAGTATCCCATTTAATCAGTCAGCCAGCAATCTTTGTGTACAATATGGTAACAATTTTATTTAGTTTGATCCTTGGATTACTTCTGCATGACGCCTGGCTTTCTGAGAGATTCTGCATGGAGCCAATTATTAGACCTGACAACATCCATATCAGTCTTCCTGCTGATATCAACCTCTACCAAGCTTCTTCACTAGAATGGTCTCAGCAATTCAAAGATTCGCCAAACTATGAGCTCGAATTGTATCCTCAAAGCTTCTTTTTGCCGGAGTTATGCGGCCCAGTCCACGCGTTTTCGCTGTATGGATTGATGTGCACGGTACTTTTGCGCATCTCTGCGGATATTTGCCGATTAGTCGTCAATTCCGATCTGGCAGACGTGGACAAGCATCAATACGTGCCTTGGAAAATCTGTCAACTCGACAAAAGGGCGAGTATCGCTGTGCCCATTCTGATGCATGCTATTCAATCGTACAACAAAACCTTTAAAGAGTCCAACCCCAACGGGATTGTAATCTGGCATAGCATGTGCATCATTCTGACTGTTGATATAAATCTCTTGGCCCGCGCTGGTGGCCGTGATGGCACTCAAAGCATGAAGCGTGCCCGCCAATCTCTGACTACATGGGTTCATACACCGGCTGCGCGACGAGCCTGTGTCCATGCAGCCCAGACTTTTCAGACACTATCCCATCGCAAACCGGCTGACGGAACAGCATTTCAGTCGGTTCGAGCACTGTTCATGTCTGCTCTTGTACTTGGGCTATACATTTTGAAGAGCGAAAGATCGCATGACGCACGATCTTCCCATGATGCCGGTCCATTCGATTTGGCTAAAACACCTATTGATTGGCCTGCCATTGCCAACGTGGGGATTTCGGACGACATATCACAATGTTCGCATCATCCAAGCGGAGCAACTAGTGCCTTAATAAACTTCATACAATTTGGTGGCCCTATAATCATTAATGGAAGGACATATAAGTCAGGCGCTCGCCATGCCCAGCGCATTGTTCTGGAATTTGCGAGCTTGCTAGACGAAGTGGGGACGCATTGGATGGCGGGTTATGCACAGGTTTTGTATATGATTCATGATACGATGGAGGAGACCGCTGTTATTGAATAGAATCGAGACGAGCCACTACCAAACGGGTGGCAAGTTGTTTTCTCAATGTATTGCAGTCCTTCTGAACAATAGACCCGAGGCCGAGACCGAACGGAGTGGATCACATGACCTGTCGGGACGGGCCACAGGCCCCATTAACCCCGGCTCAGCCACCGTCTGCTGGTCGACTTGGTCTTGTTTTGCCTCAGTCACTTCACCCTTCGTGGCCATTACCAAGGAAGTTGTCAAATATTTCCTCCGTTTTCAATATGAGCGACGCCTACGAACGCGAGCAGTAAGTCCTCCCTTGAGTTACTGGATATACGCGCCTCTTGGAGCTCCACCCCTTCTCGTCAGCATCTCTGAAGTACCTCTAACTGGCTATTCACTCCAGGCAGAACAATGCGCTCCTTAATGGCCTTTCATCTAAAGTTTCTGCTCTTCGGTCTGTGACCATCGACATCCATGACAATGCACGCGACCAGGACACTATCGACCGTACCGTGCGTTCTTCCCCCCGCAGGTGACGGTGATTCGACAAAACAGTATGAAGGAAGGCTGGCCTTAACCAGAGACTAACATGCACTTCCATGGGCAGAGTGAGGTCTTCTCCTCCTTTTCAACAAACCTCAAAGGTAGCGCGAGCCGGTTGACCAGGATGGCCAAGCAAGGCGACACCGTCGCAGTACTCAAAGTTGCGGGTATCTGCATCGGAGCTGGCATTCTTCTTTATATGATTCTCAGCTGGATTTTTTGAAGTAACCCACTATTCTTGAGCTTAATCGCCTTCGTTTTCTCGTCGACTCTTATCCTTACGCCATGGATGATGGATGTTCTTGCTGGCTCAAGATTCAACCTCCTTCATTCGTTCTTTATCTCCCATCCGAATCGCCCACTCTCACCTTTCACATGGTTCCTCTAATACTTGCTCGCCTCTTCCGATCTTCTTTTTTTCTTTATTCCGATATTGATCCCGATTGGTGGACAGATGGACATAGAACGTTATGACGAGCAAGACTCGCGGCAGCTTACATCGATGTTATGTCTACTAGATTGACGGTTTTATGATTTTTCCGGATCAGTTTCAATGGAGTTTCCTTTCAAAAAGGCAAGTGTTGTCTAGTTGTATCCCGAGTTGAGAGCGTCCTCGAATTTCTTTAGCCCCAGTCTGTCTTATTAATATGTGACTACTACGGAGTACCAGTGAACATAATTTCCGTCATGTCTTTCTGTCCGATTGAACTATTTCATCGGCCCCCATTTCATAATATACTGCATTGATTAATTGTCTCTTTATTCCATGTCCGTATCGCTTCTTTTAAGGGTTTCCGTTTTCGGTAACAACTCCATTGGAATGCTATTACCACATGCGGAGACCGAAAGCCCTGAATGGATAAATATGACAAATTCCCACCGAAATCCATGTAACTAGCATTTTGAAATTATAATTTGAACTGCCTATATCATACTCGCAATGTTAATATCGATATGACCTAGGTAGTTCGATGGAGCAGATCTCTTGTTGATCTTCAGCCTAGCGATACAACACGGATCACCGCCAAACGCTTAGCAAATCTAGACCAACAAGCAAACTGGAGTCTTTTTGGGGGTTTAAACGTGTTCTCGGTCGGAATCGGGTTTGATCTTGGATTGTCGCGATGATGGCACGGTCCCACCGTGATCAATTTTTGATAGTCGGAGCGGCCCTGGCCCTGGGTTTGTTGCTCCTCACGTTGCGGATTTCTCGGCGACCGACTCATGATGGAATGGCAATATTCAAAGGAAATCCACCACCAGTTCCAGAATATGATGCACAAAGGCCCAAGCCGAAGGGACTATACGACTCCGGTATGAGCTACCCGCCAGCTCTCTCCTCGACCTCTATGGGCATACCAGCAGCCACCAGCCCCTCAACCACATCGTCACCGCATTGGGATCCAGCCTGGGATGATAAGAAACTATGGCCCAACTGGTCTAAGCCCTCTTCGACGCCCATGCTGAAGAAATTCGGCTCTCCTGGCAAATCGCATTTCACACGCGGAGGTCCATAAAACATGCGCTCGATGTCAAACTTCGAAAACGACCCGCGCTTTGATTCGTGGCAAATTTCATATCCGATGAAAACTGGTTCTCGATACAGTTCTTGCATATCCCAAGCCAGGGCAGCGAATAACTTTGGTCCTTTGTCGTATTGGACTAGGATGAATCGAAAAAGATGATATCACAATTGATATTGTCAAAGCTACTCATTCCCTCCGGCCGGCACACTTCACCACTTCGGGATGCTGACCGCAGTGATGTTTCATGTCGAAGGGATAGATATCCACTTATATTTCTCGAGCACTCGGATTAGCCCGATGGGAGAAGGTAAAGACCGAATCCAGACCCTGGCTGAGCTGCGTCGCAGGGCACTCGGGCCACTCGAAAGTCAAAGCAGTATCGTGTCCAACGAATGGTCTCGTGGGCGTATATTTACCAGAACCGGTCATCAGTTTTATCGATGAGATTGTATTGGAACTACTATCTCCGCATGTCATCCACCATGCGCATATGACTTGCACTTTTGATTGGATCATGAATGTCTCGGTTCATTGGTCGGGGATACGCTAATTGACATCCTGTATGACACCTCATGGGCCAATAGCTAGGATCTTTAAGAGTGGAGAATTTCATGTAGGTGAATCCACGTTGCTGGTCAAAGATCCATACTGGCATGGCCACAGGAAGTTCCCGGTTATGCCAGCTGTCAACCTTAGTTAGCTGAATGAAGAGGCCATGAATACGAGAGAGTTGCAAGGTTATATGCATGGCCATGTCAATGTGTAAAGATCTCTGTTGGCTGCGCGAAGACTGTTAGTTGGTAGGTGACAGATATCGCCTACAGATGGTTGACTGTCATTGAATCTTTGATCAGCCGGAGTTGGCTTGAGCCGACATGATCGGTCGTTACGTTGATAGATAGACATATAGGCAGGCATGCTCTGCGCTCTGAATGTTGTGGATCCTCATAATCCATCTGTCATTCGTTCTGCATCGAAATAACTGCCGATGTCGAACAGTCTCTTCTTACATAACAGGAAATCGGTTTGCTTCAACTATCTAGTGTTGCAGGTATAGAGAAGGGGATAAGTATACAACCTCTGAGACTACTATTCAATGACTGCGCAGAACAAACACCATATATTTGTTTCTTCCCGATCTGCTATGGCACATGGATACTTTGAACCCCGGACTGCCGAAACAAGACCCTGAGAACCATGCGGCGGCGCGACTGAGTCACACGATTGGCGTCGCAACGCCAAAAGATTTATCCCGCTTGGCACCCGGTCGATCTATTAGCGCCCAGCTCGGCTCCTACTCCAGGCTTTCACTGTCGATCATAAAAAATTAACCGCACAAGAACGTCAGATGTTCTTAAGTTCGGCATGTTATCTACCGATGGAACACCTTTTTTTTTTTTTCTTCACCGGAACTGGATCCTGCAATATGCAGGATCCCTTCACGGAGATGAAGGGCTACGGAGCGCTGATATCGCCGGGTATGTGTTGCCCCTGAAAGCGCCGATTTTCGCCCGCCGGTTCTTCCCATGAAAAAACCCTGGGCCTCGACGACCTTCAGTGGGGCAGATGCTCCTGCTAAGCGTGCCGCATCTCTGAGCGGCAATTGGTACTGTGAACCCTTGTGGTCCCACTGGCTGTGGCCATCACGGTCCTTGGAATTATCTATCGATAGAGACTCGGAGAATATCAACCGAGCTGATAAGGCTGGCCGGTCCAGCCAAGGCCGTGTTTTCCCTGGTCTGAATGGCGATTTCCCGTCATTCACGGCTTTTCCGAGCCGCCTTAGCTTATTCCTGGCGGAAACCTGCCACCCCTTAGGGAGTGGGTATTGGCGCCATAGAATGCATCTTTTAGAAGGTTACTGTCACCATGAAACCCTACGGAGGATGCTGGTGCTCTTGCAGGGCTAGGGCAAAATGAATTGATCGTCCTGTGCTCAAAAAACAGACAGAAAAAGTCTGGCGATCCACATTATTAACTTCGATGACTGGGATGATGTGATAGTACCCGCTCCGATGGAAAACAAGATCTGCTGCGGGAACCCGTCCACACCGGTTTCTGGATAAAGCTGTTTCTAAGAATGGTCTGGCCAGGAAATACTTTGATGTTGCAAAATTTCACCGTCAATGATCTACTTGTCCAACGTGGGTCCGACGGGCTAGCCAGACAAAAGTGTCTCTGATGAGAGCCTGACCTTGGAACAGGGAGAGTAGGATCTGGCATCATCAAAAATAGCAATAGCAAGCCCACAACAACTGCCATTCACTTGAAGTAAAGCAAAAATATTCTCAGAGTTTTCTTGACGTCATCCTGAAAGTGCTGCCAGCAATCCACGATTGTAAGACACAAACGAGAATACCATGACAACCTCGACAACCAACATCTACGCATGAATCAACCCTCAAGGGATAAAGGGTATTATGAAACAATCCTGTTTGTTCCGATCATCACTAGGAGCAAATCCGATGGCGAGCTGGACGCGCAATGCCATCGGGCAGAGAAGCCGGGACGTGGTCGGGATTCCGGTGGAGCGGGAATGCCCGAGCCCACATGTAAAGACATCCCGACCTGGACCCCCCGTGGCCGACGGGCAAGCCGAGATGAGGCCCTGCACCCAAAGTGGGCAGTGCATTGCATGGTGGCATTTCCAGGAGCTTGGGCTGGCCTCTCGTTCACACCACCCACCAATCTCTTTGGACGCCGGGGAGGAGTTGGAACCGGGCGAAACGCCACCTTCAGGGCGGCCCCATGCGACAAGCGCTCCGGGATCCATACACGGCCCAAGACCTTATCTCTCGGGGCTCTTTGTTCCAGCTGGGCATGGATCCTGGAAGCAGAAGCACTCACGTCAGAGCTGGCAAATTTGTCAAATCTCATCCATGGAAACAGCTTCGATTCTGGCCTGGCCGGTGAGCAGTTTGACACTTTGGGAGTGGAGACCTGAGCGGATCGACGCCGCAAAGGCCCTTCCCGCCATTACCACACCAGCTTAAGAGAGAAAACGGGTGAATGAGGGTAGCGGGTAGCTCCGAAGGTGAGCCGGAAAGTGGAGAGCTTGGGCTATAGGACACACGCCCAGCAGCATCTTGGAAAGCAGCCCAACAACAGCATTACATTAACCCGGGGAGGGGAAGCAAGCTGTATCAGAGAACGAGTGCGCACATTCAGTCCCCATAGCTCCCACCCAACTTCGCAATTAGGACCTCAAGGCCAGCAACGGTGAGCGGGCATGGTGATTGCTATAAGCAATACGCTTCGGCCACCAAATGATCTATAACTCGGGAAGCTGACAATCATCGGGTGACACAGCTCGTTATGGGTGGACTAGCTTGTCAACTGCAGCTGAATGCTCGCTCGGTTGTTCGCACTTCATTCCGAAGTACCCCTGGCGCTTTGTGGCACCATCGCCTATGATCAGCACGGGCCTAGAATCGGCGGATGAAAGGCACTCTGCTTCATGCAGCACTTGATGGGCTGCACGAACGCATGTCGCTGGGTGGGGGTACCTGTTTCAAATCGAACCGACACCAACGAGGTCGTGCTATCCGTGCAGGTGGGACTTGCATATTCCCGCAAGCAGTGTGGGGGAAAAAGTGTAGGCGATTGATCTGTCGCAGAAAAAGCTCCTACCTGAAGGCCAAAGTGATAAGGTCGTGTAACCTGTACTCCGTGCTGGATGTTCTGCAGCGGATCGCCAGCAAACGGGGTTAATCGAGACCAATGCGGGAAGGGCGATCCCGAGGGATGGCGTGATGGAGTGTGGAAGTCACTAGTCCGTGAGGGATAAACGAAGGCCCCGGTCATCGGGAGAGAGAGAGTAGACGGGAGGGAAGAATGTTTTGATGCCGGGAGACATCGCCCCAGGCCATAATGGAGAGATCTAACCCAGCATCGGGAATTCCCTTTCTCCAGAAAACCGCCTGGAAGTGTCTGCTCTGCTGGGTTGGCTTGGATATAGATCGTATAGATCGGAACTTCCGTTCCAAAGGTCAATGTGGGTGGAAAACGGGATCCCAGATCCAAATAAACCAAACCCAAAAATAGAAATAAAAGGACTAGGAGTTGCAAGGGATGTAAAACAAAGAGATGACCAGCAGTCCAGAGTCTAGAGAAGCATGCTACATCCAAGTGCCGTGGGCCTCGTCTTCATATGATCCCATCCGGCTGACGTAAAAACTCATCGTGCCAGATCGACGTCAACGGGCAACCCCTCTGATTTCCCCCATTTGGCCTTGACTCATCTCCTCTTATTTCTATTCTCCTTCTCCCATCCTCTCACCTCGTTTCTCATTTTGCTGCTCATCGGAGACACTTCACACGGACTCTGGCCCTATTTCCCCCCCCCCCCCCCCACCAGCCCACTCCTCTTATCTCGGGCCATTCCACCAGCTTAGTCAACCGCCTCGCAGCATCTCCGTTCCTATCGCCACCCAAAAATTCACCACCGAAAACGGCACACTCCACAGCTTGGTGGGACCCGTTTGGTCGGACCGGATTGCGATTCTGGACATGTTCCGGTAGATCAGCGATAGAGGAAAAAACGCAAAAAACGACTGTGTCATACCTTACCCGGTGGTTTATTTTTTTTCGCCTCGACATTTTTCCTCGTCTTCCCCATCTCTTCGACTCTCACACGACCTCGCTCGCTTCCCTGGGCACTATACGTTCCTTCATTCTATTCTTCTCGGCGGCCCCGTCGCAGCTGTGGGCAAACTTCACAGATGGCTCTCAGCTTCTTCAGTGGCGCGGGAAGCGCAAGCAACGCCAAGTACTTTGACATTCGGTGAGTGGGGGGAATGCGGCGACTTCATGCGGCTTTTACGAACCTCATGTCTAACATACCTCAGATTGAACGACGACTATATCGTGTTCCGTGGCGACGAACACGGGGCAGCCAGCGCCCATTTGAAGGGTACCTTGGTGCTCTGCTTGTCCGAGCCTCTCACTATCAAACATATCCGATTACAACTGACTGGCATGTCGCGTGTGTGGTATGTGCTGCCCGTCCCGTCCCTGGGCAAGAGACGCAGAAGGGGGAAAGCAAAACTAACAAAATTGGTACCTGCAGCTGGCACCTGCCTTCTAGCTCCACCGCCGGCGGCCGCAAATCATGGAGAGAACGAGTGTTCTACGACAAGACGTGGAGATTTCGGGATCCGGGCAAAGGCAAGACAGAAATTTTGCCAGCAGGCAATTATGAATACCCATTCGATGTGGTGCTTGAAGGCTCAATGCCAGAGAGCGTGGAGGGGTTGTCGGAGACTTGGGTCATGTACCGTTTCAAAGCCGAGATCGGGCGCAAGTACGCCAAGGATATTGTTGCACGGAAGCCCTTGCGCATCATCCGAACTTTAGATCCCAGCGCTCTGGAACTGTCCCACGCCATGGTAAGTTTCACGATCGACAGGCCGACTTGCAGGGCGAGGTAAACATGCTAACAACTTACGGCAGTCGGTCGACAACATTTGGCCGAACAAGATTGAATACTCTATCAGCACCCCGACCAAGGCTGTCATTTTCGGCACGTCAATTCGGGTGGATTTCAAGTTGATCCCTTTGCTAAAGGGGTTGCGCATCGGCCAGATTACGTCACAGTTAATTGAAAGCCACGACTTGACCCTCAACCCGGAAGATCCCGATTCAATACGCAATACCTACAAAATTACCCGTACGATCTTGACCGACGAGCATGAGTTACCAGAGGACGATGTCGAAATTATCGACGAGGCCGCCGAGGGATACCAATCGACCCGCTACTTGGATATGCCGCAAACTTTGGCACGGTGCTTGCAGGATACAGACACCAAGGGCATCAAAATCCGCCACAAGTTGAAGTTCCGTATTCAGCTCCACAACCCGGATGGTCACATCAGTGAGGTAAGTTCCAGTTGGCGATCGCAACGAAGAGTTGACATCAGGCCGGAACTAATTGCGATTCTCTAGCTTCGTGCAACACTGCCCGTCTCCATCTTCATTTCCCCCAATATTCCTATTGATGACAACAACAACCTGCTCAGCCAAACTCCCGTTGCAACTCGCCGAGCAGCGGATGATTTCGCAAACCAGGCTCCTCCCCTCTACACCGAGCACCAATTCGACCAGCTGTACAGCGAAGTGGACCCCAATGGGTACCGAACCCCAGGACCTGGTAGTGGAGGACCGGGAACGCCGTTTGGCGCGCTTAGCCGCAACATTTCGGCAGAGAACCTCGCCTCAATGAATGCCCTCACGAATACCGACATCTCCGCATCCGCTCTGCATAGCCGTCTGACCAACCTAAGTGCCAACCGATTTGGGCAGCCGTCCCCAAGCGACCCTCACCACGATTCCCCGACTGAGAGTCACCCCAACTCACGACAGCTCAATGTTCATTTTGACTACTTTGGTCCCTCTTCCGGTTCCAACTCACACAGTCCTGCCAGCCCTGAGCTGTCCCGGAGAGCCTCTGACGAAGTCGAGCATGAGCCGATCCCGTCTGGGATGGCCACGCCCTTCCACCCACAGTACGCTGAGGTCGAGACTCTCAGCCGGGTACCCAGTTACTCTACTGCGGTGCGCGCTGCTGTTGGCCCTTGTGACTCGAACCTTCCTGACTACAATGCGGTGATGGCGAGCTCGCTGCCCACCCCACCAGTCCTTCAGTCTCCGCAGCAGGCCTATTTGCGTAGCGGTCGCAGCAGCGGGTTCTCTACCCCCTTGGAGGTTAATCGTCCCGGACAATTCCACTCGAGCGGCAACAATGCTGACGACGTGGAACGCAGGCTTCGCTTGGCACAAGCCCGCGCTAGAGCGTGACGGTCGCCATGAGGTGCTTTTCAAACGAACGCCTTCACCTTTTCTTCATTATTCATACCTTGCCCTGTCCTTCCTCCTCTCCAATCTCAAAAGTCCCACCGAAGCCAGTGCTGGTCACTGGCCTCACCATCCGTTGCCATTCACTTCTTCGATCCTTCATGGACCCTGTACTCCAGGCATCGCCCACACAAGGGAGCGGTGCACCAGGGTCCAGGTAACGGATGTCCTCCTCCACATCGTCTTACGAATAGAAGTCGACTCCTCTTGTTTTCTTTTCTCGGCGTTCGGCAATCATAGACGGGATGGGGATATCTCATAGACATGATCATTTGCTTATTCTGTTGTTTTTTATCTTTCTCTTATGGGAACACGAACTAGCTAGACAGGAGAACCAGCCTCCTACAGCATGAGCCATGGATTGTCGTTTTGTCTCGCATGTACTTTAATTCCCCGGTGTCTTCTGGGTCTTATTTTCTATCGAATCATATTTATGATCTTTTCTCCCTCGAATCATCTCCCATCTCTGTACAGTGTCGAGCACGGTCCATGAATGCACGGAATTAGGCGATCTGGCAAATCCATTAGCGATCTCTCGCTGGTCTCGTTTGCTGCGTCCGGTCAATAGCATTGTAGTATAGAATGCAACGCGATCCGCATTCGAAGCCGGGTGGCTCCACCTGCTGTGGCGTCGAGCCCCAACAACTCGGTACGCGGAGCTAGCGCGGAGAGCTACGTATACTTCTGGACAGCTAAGTCACAAACTGATTATCCAGTCGAGTGTCAAGTCAATGTCTTCAGCGAACTCGAAAAATCGAGGATGTGCAGTGTGACCCAATTACCAGTTCCTGGCGAGTGGTGAAAGGTTGGGACGCCACAGCTGCAGGCCATGACCTCATCGGCGTTTTCCCACCATCGATCGGCACAGGGCGAGGAATGCCCATCCCACCTTCTCCCACCGTGCCCTCCTCCCTACACCTCGACTCCCACGACCCACTCGCCCGCCGTTCCCTCTTACAAGAGGACGCTTGGTCTACGACTAGTCCGCTCGCAGAATAGCGCTCGCTCGGCGATCCAAGTTTTTGCACTCAAGCCACAGGTCCTACAAACTCCATCCAAGAGCCCGAGGCCGATCTCAATCCCACTTTCATTCTCTTTATTCTTCCTTAGGTCTGGTGACGGTGTGAATGAGGCCATATCCTCGACTAACTTGACCGCCCATCACTCTTGTGCACCCCTGTCTACAAATCCGAACGTCCCTCTCCCCTCCTTTTCCGGGCTTCCGCTTCCCCGCCGCTCGTCGCCATGTCGACCCCAGTGAGCCCATCGGATATCAAGCTCCCGCAGCGGTCGGTGACTGTCAGCAGCAGTATGACCCGCCGGACGTCTATGAGTGACGATGAGGCTATTCCTCAGACCGATAGCAGCGAGGTATGTGCGCAGGAACAACTGGAGGGAGAATCCCAGGCTCGCGGACACCTGGCAATGCGGAGCCCCGCAGTGGACAACGAAGGGAACTGACAATTTGTCCCGAACAGACTACCAACCTACTGATGGAGCGACTCCGAGCATGGAAGCACATGTGTGGTTACCTCGAGGACTATGTGTCGACGACTGCTAAGGTGGCCAAGTCTCAGTCAAAGGACCATGAGAAGATCTTGAAGGTCAGTGTCTACTTAGAGTTCTGTCAATGTATTAGTACTGACTATTCTCTCCCATAATGTAGACCGTTAGTGATCCTTTGAAGGAGAGCCATCATTTCAGCTCTAGCGCTGGCGGTATTGCTGGCTTGGTCGAGAACATGCGGAACAACTCTCAGGTACGAACTAGCATCCTACAATCGAAATGTTCAATCTAACGAATAGCTGTGTGATATAGGGGTTGGTGAACATGTATCTGGAGACCGAGCAGAACTTGAAGGGCAGTGTCCTTCCGATACTAGAACGACTTCACAAGGAAATCAAAAATAAATCCAAAGAACTTCAATCGGGAGCGGCCAAAGGAGCTAAAGCTGTGGAGAAGGCCCGCAATTTGACACAGAAGCATATCGAGCTTCTGGGCCACCACTCGGCATCATACGACGCTGTGGCGGGAAACAAAATCGATCCGCCGCATGATCCTTATGTCCTCAAGCGTGGCATCAATCACCGATTGAACAAGCAAGTCACTGAAGAGAACAACCACCGTAATGATGTGTTGGCCGTGCAGAACTCCTTCCAGCAATTCGAAGCCCATGTGTTGCAGACTGTCCAAATGGCCCTGGACCAATTCTTCCAGCTTATGGGAAGTCAGCTGGATCGTCAACGCGCCATGTTCGCCGATATCCTGGGCACGGCGCAGCGCATCCCACCCGAGTTTGAGTGGATGAACTTCTGCGTGCAAAATGACGCTACTCTGGTCAACCCAGATTCCCCTCCACGCTCATTTGCAAGCATCACCTTCCCCAACATGGACCACCGTTCGACCCAGCCGCTGATCGAAGGCTCCTTGGAGCGCCGTTCACGGGCCGTCATCAAGGGATACAGCACTGGCTACTACGTCGTGACACCCGCCCGCTACCTGCACGAGTTCAAGGACACCGATGATTTCCGTCGCGACCCAACCCCCGATCTCTCTTTGTACCTCCCCGACTGCACTGTCGGCGCCATTGACGGTGTCAAGTTCAATGTCAAGGGCAAAGATGTGTCCAACGGCAAGGTTGGCAACGCCTTCCACGCCACTACCGAACTGAGCTTCAAGGCGCACACCTCCAGCCATGCCGAGAAGTGGTGGGGCGTCATCAAGGATTGCACTCGTGGTCCTACGCTCACTACGGCGACCGCCACCTCGCCCGCGGCCACATCGCCCACAAGCCCGGCACCCGTCAGCCCTGCCGACAGCACATCGCAGGCCCAGCCTCCCACCTATGCCGAGAAGGAGAAGGGCAAGGAGAATGTCTCTCCGTCTGCGTCTGCAGCAACCTCCCCCGCTGTGGAGAAGAGCCAGGCTGCCGCCTCTGCCCCCAGTCCGACACAGGGTCTAAGCCGGACCGCCAGCACAGCGAGCCACTTCCACATGTCCCCCGGTGGTACAGCCGTGCAGGAGAAGTCGTAGTGTGTGTTCTATCTGTGATCCATACGTCCCCATTGATCATTTTTTCGTTTCTTGATACTCTGGGGGAGGTTTTATCACATACGCAGGGGATTCCCCAGGTGCGTAATTCTTGGTTCTTGAGACGCTGCTTTTTCTTTCGATATGTTTTCTATACGCTGCTCATGAGATACATCTGAGCTTGCCTGGCCAGTGTGGTGCTTCTTCCATGGGCCGCCCTTTTCGCAGGCAGTTGTTGGACATGCCCTGTTTCTGCTTCTTATATATTTGGTTAATATCTCGCAAATACTCTGAAATCCAGGAGCTATCTATATTCCAGTTACAGCTACGAGTAATGCAATGCGTCGATGAGGTGATTATCTAAGTCCAACATGGGGATTTTCTACAGCTGGAAGCGGATTCCCATATAGACTAAGCTGATACATCATGCCTATAAGTAAAGGTTCTAGCACGGATCAGGTCTCCGTACGCTCACGAGGGAAGTCATCGGGTATAAAAGTGGCAAAAGGGATGAGTCACATCGTCCGTTTGTAGATCCATCATCACATATGTATTTAATACACTCAAGGTCTTTTGTTGCCTAATCATAAGCAAAGAAAATCCAACATACCACCCCCGCAGGAGAAGCCAACGCTGCCAAATGAACACGGGTCGCTAGTAAAAACGTAAAAATGTGGCATCTCGGCGATCAAAAATCCTCCGGGCTCTCTAAGTCATTCAGCTTCTGGCCCAGGAACCGGCCTAGCGCGGCACACTTCGATTCCAGCGCAAGGAGCACGGAGGGCGAAGCAGACAGGTTTAAGCTGGCTAGTCGCGCCAGGTCGGCGCTCCGGTCGATCTCATGCTGGGCGTCGAGGTTCCCGTTCTGGGGAAGCGGGTTGGGAGAGGGAGGAGCTGCTGTTGGTGTGCGGTGGCCGTCGCCCTGTGACTCATCTGATGTGGCACCGTTGCCTGTTATTAGGTCCCCCACACCATCCACGCCGAGGTGGGAGGGATCGGCGCCGTTTGTTGCATCCGTGTTGGGTTTGGACGGGCCTACTGCGGCCAAGAGGACTTTGTCGGCAATGCGGGTAACGACGGCGACGGAGTCATCCAGCTCGAAGACGATCGAGCCGACGTCGCCTAACGACATCGACTGCGCCGTCACGTAGGACGATGGGTGACTGGCAGGGTTCACGCCTGTAAGGTTTCCACTCGAGGCGTTTTTCGCGTAGCATGTGTACGCAGCGCCGTATGTCGCGCTCAGGTTGCGGAGCTGGCGCGATGAAAGGGATGAGGCGTAGGCGAACACGGCGCCGTTGGTTGCAAACACACTGTAAGTAACAAAGAATTGGTTAGCTCTTGCCCCGCAGATGAGCACCCACGGCATCTGATCATACATCATTGTGGTGATCTCCGGCGGGGAGAGGTTATCCTCGAGCAAGTCACCCAGAGCCTCCGAGTCCAGCATCTTGATATCTGGTAGACCTGGAATCATATTGTCGGTGACGACGGTGATGTCGACCGGGGGGTTGCTTCCACCTGGGTCTCAGACACGTTCTTCGCGGGCAAACAGTGCGCCTCGACAACCCAATCCTTAGGCGGTGTCCACGAGCAGTCCTCGGGGAAAAAGAAGCAATTGTCGCTGTAGTCCTCGTCGTCGTGATCGTATTCGATGGGCTCGTCGGAGCAGTCGAGCAGGTTCTGGGCGTACTGGGTGCGGCAGCGGGCCCAGTAGGGGAGGAACGGGGCGTCGGAGTGGGTCGCGGGATCGTACTTCGTGGAGAAGTACTCGGAGGAGACTGGGAGCAGTTCAAATTCAGCCATCTTTAGACCCATGGCCAGAGAGCAACACCGGTGGCAGAGAACCGGTGGCGCCTTTTTCCTTCCAAGAAAATTTGAGTAGCAGCAGGCAGGAGGGCAGTGTTTTCATATCGGGCTTAGGGATTCAAAGGGAGAATGATTGGGGGCAAGCAGACTATGCAGAGCCTCGAAATCCGTGTATGTCAGCAAGTAAGGACTGTTGAGCCCAGGCCAGGTGACAAGTCACGATAATTCCATCCACGCCCGGTGGCACACGAGCATATTCTCGGAGCAGAAGGGAGTGCTTTATAAGGCCTGTGCTTCTGGTGGGCAGGGTAGGACCACTGTAATCAGACGACCGCCGCCGCGAGGCTCCGCGGTTGAAGCGCCACGACCATCTTGCAAGAAAAGGAAAAACGTGTACAAAAGGGCCATGGTGGTTGGTGGAGCAAGAGATGGGGCAATACAAAAGGATTGGGAAGCAGGACGCGTGAGCGCGAACAGTGCTAAGCGCGGGTGTGCAGGAAATGGGAGCAAAGAAAAAGAAAAGGGCCCTAGGCCCCCATCCAAGCTGCCAGCGAACGTCAGACACAGCGCCTTCGGGGCAAATGGCGAGGCACTGGGGCACTTGGATCGGAGGCGTAGGCCAATGACAGGGAATGATCAGCCGGTAGTGCGGGGGAGTTGCAGGGACTGTGGAGGGGGTCAAGAAGCGAGAAAAACGGCAGACGAACCTGGCCTGTGCGAAGAGCAAACTGATTGGATGGGAGGGGAGCTGGAGAACCGGCGGAGAAGGGTGATTGAATCCAAGTGCAAGGGTATAGAGGGAGGGGAGAAGAAGTAAGGAGGAAAAGAAAGCGGGAGGGGTGAAGTTGGAGGTTGACGGGTGTTCCCGTGGGGTCCGCAATTAATACGCCCTCGGAACAGCTGCAAGCACTACGTGGACAGTCCAGTGATCGAGAGGATTGATTCTTATTGATTATCATCACCGAACCCAATATTTCCCTCAGTACACACGTCCTCTGCCCTCCTGGTTTGGCTGGGTAGAAAACCGAAGCAAACTAATATATTCTGATGTATGTATTCATATAATGCACACATGCGAGGACTGCCCAGCTGACACCACATAGATCTATTAAATGCGCGCCATATACTAGGTCACTTTTAGCCCCCGTCCTATCTAGATTGCCTAGGTTGGAAAAAGTTCAGAGCTACATTACTAGAAAAAGTGAGTCATAGATGGATGCCTCAGATATGCCTAGTGTGGTGGGGAAATGGCCTACAATGGGTCATCTCTGGTTGAAGGATATATTTCACGGTACAGAGTCAAGACAGATATACGTAGCTTCACATTTTCCGATTGAGAAATATCATTTCTACACTCTTTCACTCAATCATCTGTTTCTCCTTTGGGAGGCCTTCCTCCATTGTGAAGGGTAGAAAAGTGGGGTCGGTAAATACTTTTGAACTGATATGTACCTGTAGAGCGGAGCCGACGCGGAAATCGTCAGCCGATTTACAAATCATGCGAGGGATAATCCTAGCACTGTTGAGGATTCGTTGAAGGAAAGACGATAGTTCACGATAAATTATTCGGGCCTGTGGCTACAATATACCGGTTCAGTACGGATGATGACGGGCTGAGGAAGGCTCATGACACATAATATGGCCTGATAGCAGAATTCTTCACGGATAATGTATGTACCGCAAACTAGGTGGCGCTGGCCTTAAGCCGGGGGGTGTGACACCCAACAGTTACCGGCCAACCTGCCTTTCATTGGCGCAAGGAGGAGTTCGTTTGAGAAGGACTTAGTTGAGGAGACGCTAGACGGCGGGACTACGATCAAGACGATCAGGCACTGGATTTTTGAGGGCAGCTCTAGTAAGTTCAGAGTTATGCAACAAGGGCTATGCATGGTTTAGAAATATCATATGAACTGGGTAAATTGCGGGACATGAGTACATCTGCTTCAACGGTTGGAAGTGTTTTGTAGAATGATCCAGTAGACCTGTAAGATATTTCGGAGCTTAAATCAAATTAATCTTCAAACTGAGAAAAGAATTGCAAAGAGTTCTATTACGACACCTCCTTCATCAACTCAGATTGGCTAGGGAAATTTAAAAATGAGACTAGACAAGTCGATTATAAAGAGATAAGATATCCTCATAACACATGGTAATGGTATAAAGACTCAAACTGATAGCAGAATAACGATTGATTTTGAGATTTAGCAGGTGTTGGAATATCTGCGGCGTGGCGTGGTCAACTTTGTCGAGCAGAAATGGGCTCATTCATTAGTGACATGAAATTGGCATAAATCCTGGATATCGCCAATCCTCTTCCTCCTATTCAATGCACCGTTGATACGCGCCCTCAAGGTGAAAGGGCGTCACCAAAAGAGAAGCCTCTAAGTAGATATAGGACGGTAGTAGTCTGGGAATCCTACCATGAAAACATAAAAGTCCCGGGAGGGTTATGGAACAGGCAACTATCTGGGCAAGGCGCCACGCCACCAATAAACGAAATCATCTATTTTATGAACCTACGGGAAGCCCAGGAAGAGGAATCTAATACTAATGACACAGAGCCTAGCGCTTTCGACATATCAACCGCCTTCCTATTAAGGACATCCCTAGATACCACTGCCTATACTGACGATATATAGTAATAAATAATTATAGTTCGACTAATTAGTTAAAGTAAAAATTTTCGCAATCTAGCTCCACGAATACCTTGATCTTAATATACGTATATAGGCAGAAGCTACTTGCTAAGGCTAATAGGAGCTTAGAGGCTCTGTATAGTAATCGTTCAGCGGGTAGATCTTAGCTTCCTACACTCCTGAATAGAATAGAATTTTCAGTGCCACAAGTATGCTTACTAGATGATTTACGGTAGCGTCATCCAGAAACTGGGAAGACGGATTAATTCCATTCAGTTAATTTCAATTTTTGGCACTCATTCCCCCCAAATCTTTGGCTAAGGCTTCTGAGAATTGGAGCCCAGCTGTCCACCTAATGACTTGATTAATCCAACCAATCACTCATAATTCCGCAATGATGAAATTTAGAATGGTCAAAGTATTCGAGTACCCTCGTTCTCCTAGCCTTGCAACCGGGTAGACTGCCATCAGAGAAATCAACCACCACCCTCATCTCGACATTGTAAATTCAGCATGACAGCTTCTACGCTCCCCTCTTCTTGATCTCAGACGACCGAGTTCTACGAACTCGAACACCGAGCCGTGTTCTCAAAGCTCTGGCTGATTGTCTCGCACAAGTCACAATTCGGCCTGCCAGGTCAGTACGCCCGCTATGAAGTTGTGGGGTATCCCTTTCTTATATCATCAGCGACCGTCAAGACAACATAAATGCTTTTCTCAACGTCTGCCATCATAGAGCATTTCTCACTGTCCGTGGGGAAAGCGGCATGAGGAAAGCGGCAAGACAAAAATACTAGCCTGAAAGTATCACGGTGTGTCATTGCTGACTAGGGTAGGGTGGAGCTATGGCTCAAAGGGAAACATCGCCAAGGCACCTCGGTTTGACACGGTGATGGAGGGTCAGTTCAAAAAGGAGGAGCTCTCACTGTAAAAGGTTCATCTTCATATCGATCAGCTCGGGTTCGTCTGGGTCAATCTAGATTCATCCGAGAAACCCAGTGTTAAGTGCGAAGAGCAATTCGAGAACATTGACACTAAAGCAAGAATCACTGAGGTCTACAATATGGATGACTACGAATTTGATCATACTTGGTCTCTTGATGGTTGTAACTTCAAATGGAAGACACTGGTTGAGAATTATAATGAGGTAAGCTCAAGCGGGTGAGGTTGGACTTCGAGGAAAATACTGACCGGCGCCCTTGAGAGCGTTATCATTGTTCTACGGCGCACCCAGGAATTGCGCCTCACATTCAGAAGGATATCAAATTTGATGTTGATCCAAAACTATGCTACATTCGTCACCTTGGTGAAGATATGGAAGTCGGCAATATTGTTGCTAGCCCAACATACATGTTCCCCAACTCCTCCGTCACCATGTCACGGCATTTTGTCGCCGTGTATGTGAGGCAGTCAAGATTAACAGAGCGACTACTTCGACATGGTAGATGCATTGAACAGCCTTCAACCGTTACTACCAATAAAACTTGGGATTGTTTTGGCTTTAGCTAGTAATGCAATTAAGAACTTAATGATGCACCAAACGAATAGTGCTTCTCCGAAGCTGGTTATGATTTCTTGTCAATCTGGAAGGTGGTATGTTACGATTATTCGTGCCCTTTGGCATATGAATGTAAAGAGTAAATTAGGAAGAAGCTATTTGATCTCAAAATATATAGCAGGCGTCCTAGAGATACGGATATACTCGCTTTTCCGCATCTCGGTGAAGTCATCCGGGTCCCACCAGTCGGAGTTTCCCCTCACGCGCTGACAAACCCTCTCTTCTCAAAATCGCCGAGCGTGAAGCGTCATGTTCGCTCGAATTTCCCGTTGTTTCCCCCGGGTCCTCAAACCATTCCCTAACTCTGGTGAGATCAGGCCAGCCCCCTTTGCCTTTGAACCAATCGCTAACGAAGCCAAACCCTGCTAGCCAGCCGATCCTTCACCATGGCCACCGATACCTCTAGCTATAAGCTTAACCGTTCGTACCCCGCCCGACCGAAGCCCCTACCCCTCGCTCTGCATACCATTGAAAACCAGAAGACAATACGAATGGACTGAGAGGCCTGAGCTAGACATGGATGCTGATAATTATATCGGTCAATAGACACGATGATGCGGGTCAAGGACCCTAAGCGATCATTAGAATTCTATCAGTTCCTGGGCCTCAGTTTGGTCAACAAGCTGGACTTCCCTGAGTGGAAATTCTGCAACTATTTTCTCGCATACAACGGCCCTGCTTCGCTCCAGGGTGGTGACCGCCACTGGACTGATCGCAATGCTGTGCTCGAGCTCACCCACAATTATGGCACGGAGGACGACCCCAATTACAGCGTTGTCAACGGCAACACCGAACCCTACCGCGGATTCGGACACATCGCCATCTCGGTCGACAATATCGAGGCGGCCTGCAAGCGCATCGAGGATGCGGGCTATCCCTTCCAAAAGAAACTGACCGAGGGTCGCATGCGACACATTGCCTTTGCCAAGGATCCCGATGGGTACTGGGTTGAAATCATTCGTCGTGCCGACGAGGATCTGTCGACCACCACCGACCCGGGGTCCTATCGCCTGAACCACACCATGCTGCGCGTCAAGGACGCCGAGGCCAGTTTGAAATTTTATCAGGAATCCATGGGCATGACCCTGGTGCGCACCATTGAGAACCCGGATAACAAGTTTAACCTGTACTTTCTGGGATATCCCGCTTCAAACCCCAAGATCCAGGAAGGCGCGAAGAATGGCGTGGCAGAATGGGAAGGGCTGCTGGAGCTGACCTGGAATTACGGCACGGAGAAGGAGGAGGGTCCAGTCTATCACAACGGTAACACTGAGCCGCAAGGATTCGGACATATCTGTAAGTTTCACTGTACCACCTTCGAAGTCTCATCTCCAGTTTCACTCACACCTAATCCGCTTGACAGGCATTTCGGTGGATAACCTCCAGGCGGCCTGCGACCGCTTCGACTCCCTCAAGGTCAACTTCAAGAAGCGCCTTACTGACGGCCGAATGAACTACCTGGCTTTCGTCTTGGATCCCGATGGATACTGGATCGAGGTGGTGCAGAATGAGGCCCTCAAGCGCATTTCCAACGTTTAAGGGAACGAAGAATTGTGGGATGTTGTAGAAAGACCTTTATCAGAAAAAAAACTCTACATATGCAGACGCTTTCCCAGAATCCAGGTCCTTTGTATAGATCACACCTTCATCAGCACGTATAAATCATCCGTGTCGAGGCATGGATCATGGCTTACCTGATTTCCATGTCGTGAACTACGTGGTGCATCCTTGAATTCACTATTCTTTGATTACCCTCTCCCTTGTCCCATTCTTCATTCGAATCGGACTCCAACCAGACTCCAGCAAGCCTATGGGGCCCAGCTTATTGTCCATCTTCTTATAGGTGGGAGCGGTGGATCCTCTTCCCCCGCCCCCCAGACAAACATTTTGCGCCGGCCTAAATCTGCACTTCTCGTCCCCGGATTGATCGTACAGACTTCATGGACATCTAGCATCCAAGGGAATATGGCTGCGATCGGTTCCACCGACGTGGGTTGACCTGACACGCTGCCCAGCGTGACTTTGCTGCTTGCGATCTGACCTCCGCACAATTGGAGCGCCACCCCCACAGCAGAACCAGCACCCGGATTTCGTGAGATTCCACACTAGGAACCCTGAAAAAACCGACGTCTCCTGGCGCTTCTCTCTTCTGCCACCATCATGTCACCTGAGCCGGAGAAGCCCAAGAAGGCCCCGAGAAAACACGTCACGACGGCTTGTGTGCCGTGTCGTGAAAGCAAGATCAGGGTATGTATCCTGCCTCTCCCCCACGCCCAGAGATCGGCGGGAGCATCTAATTCGGCCCGGTCTACCTTCAGTGTGACGGATCGACCCCCCATTGTCAAAATTGTCAGCGGAAGGGTAAGGATTGTAAATACCAACATGGCGACGATAAGCGGAAGTAAGTACTCTCTCTTGGTCAGCTTTCGTTGCGCGAGCCGAAGCGATCGTTTTCTCGGGCCGTAACGCGGGCGGCACTTGGTCGTCCTCGGGATCTCGCCGATGAAAATTCGAAGCCCTTGTGATAGCCGGCTAATGCCAGTTTCAGGGTATCGCTTCGAGCAGCAACAGAGCTGTTCTCGGCACGTATCGATCAGCTTATCCAGTTTATCCATTGTCAAGGATTGGAGCCCCCACCGATGAAGCCCGATGATGAGGCGGGGATGAATCGGGTGCTAGATACCCTCCAGATTCCTCGTGGATTTGCCAGAAATACAAGCCCCTTGGATGAGAACCAGAAGCAGAAAGTAGGCATCATGAACACCGGAGCGGTAGTTACACCTCCTGTTCAGAGCCCGCCCACAATTACCCCCCCGGCTCAGTCGCAGCAGACAGCCGAGACACCGACACGTCCAGAAGTCTCACCTTCTCACAGCATGATTCCCAACCAGCAATTACCCTCGGCCGTGGAACCTTGGAATCCATTTGGGATGGTGCGGGGTGTTCCCGAAAACCAGAACTTTGTACACTGGGGGTTTACTCTTCCCACCGCGGAAAGCCTTGATAACCTCTACGCCAATATCAATGGTGGGCCCGGACTGCCACTGAACACGGGATTGAGCCCAGATAGCTTCCAGCTTGGGATGGATATGGCGCAGCAGCCCGGTGTGCTGCTCAGTCAAATTTCCAATAACCAGGACCACGAATCTGAGTCCGGCGAGGAAAACGAAGCTGAGAGTGATGTCATTGAGCAGCTGTCTCACAGAATTGGAACCCTGAAGATTGCTGGAGATGGCCATTTGCGATTCTATGGTGCCACATCAAATTTGAACCTAGTCGATGTGTCAGCAACACAGCAACGACAGCGTCCAGATGCACGCACTGTGCGCCATGATGGACAGGATATCCTGAATCATCTCCGTGTCGGTCAAGCTGTGGACCAGGCTCTGGAGGACCACCTCGTGGAGCTCTACTTTACGTGGCAAAACCCCAGCATTTATGTTGTGGACAAAGACATGTATATGACTGCCCGTGCTAAATGGCGGAACGAGTTCGATGATACTCCCTTCTACTCCGAGGTTCTCACCAATGCCATGTGCGCGATTGGAAGTGCTTTCGAGGCCCGATATCATCCAACGTTCATAACCTTTCCCAAATCGCTTGCCGAATTCTTTGCAGATCGAGCCAAAGCGCTACTGGAGATTGAGCTAGATTCCCCGTGCGTGGCAACAGTCCAGGCACTTGTACTTATGAGCTGCCACGAGGGTGCTTCGAACCGTGACGCTCGGGGTTGGCTATATAGTGGGATGTCCATGCGGCTTGCTTTCGACCTGGGTCTGCATTTGGACATGACGTCGTATGTCAAGCAGGGTGATATTAGCTCACATGAAGCGGATGTTCGACGGGCGGCGTTCTGGGGTAGCTATGTTGCAGACCATTTCTGGGGCTTCTATCTGGGCCGTCCGTTCCGCATGAATGCTGGAGATGTCAGTGTTCCTAAACCCGCTTCCACGCTCGGGGTGGAGAAAGAAGGGATTTGGCATCCGTATGGACTCCAGTCCGCCCCGAAGCTGTTGGAGAGTGGACTCAAGAATCCTACTGAACTCATTTGTCGACAATTCGTTGTTTTATGGGAGATGATTTCTCCCGTGGGCCACATATTGTACGGCTGTTCTGATATTTCTCGACATGACTTGCAAAGACTGTGCTTCCAGGTGACCGAAGACCTATTCGCCTGGAAAGCGAACTTGCCTTCAGCGCTGGAAATCGACTTGAACGATGACACGACGCCACGACTACCACATTTACTCATTCTGCACATGCAATATCATCAGATTATCATTTTCTTCCACCGACCATGGGTGTCCAAGAGCTATATCCAACCACGCAGTCCTCGTCAAGGACCTGGATATCTCCACGCACGACGGATGTGCGTCGAGTCTGCAACTGCGGTTGCACGTCTCCTGTGTATATATGAGAAACACTTCACTTTCCGTCGCATGAACAATCAGGTTGTCGCGATCATCTTCAGCGCGGCACTCATGCTACTCTTTGTTACAGTCTCCAGTTCTCCACTGATGCCGACTAAAGCTGGTGAGAGCATCGCCACGCATCCACGTAATGCTGAGATGGTCGCATATTTGAATCTTTGCTTCCGCGCACTTGATGAACTTGGCCAGTCCTTTGAAAACGCTAAGCGCACACGCGACTACCTTGTGACCCTACAGCGACGCTGGCAAGCACATATGCGGCGCGCCGGGCCGGGCGCTAAACGGCAAATTAGTAGCGCGAACCTGTCGACTCTTTCCTCGCAGCAACCCGCTACATCCTTGCAGGCAAACCGTACTACCCAGGGACCCGATGCTTCTCGGAAGAAGTCTCGCCTCGTCGAGCCTGGTACAATATCCTCTCGTCCACGGCACAACTCTTCGAACTCAGTTGATACTCAGCTCCCTTCCAACCATGCCCAATCCTACCAAGGCTCTACACCTATTCAACCTCAACTTTCACACAGGAAGCCCTCACAGTCATATCAGCTTCAGCCCCAGTCCTTTCCCAATCAACCTGGCGATCTTAACTGGATCCGCGACTCAGACCTGAATCTCCTTTCGAACGGCCACGTCAACGGAAGTGGGGATAATCCCTTAAATTCACTTCCAGTATCACATTTCAGCAATGATACAAATATGTTGCCAGATTTGGGAGATATCGAAGGGTGGTGGAGTCCAACTGGGAATTCATGACTTGATGGGACCTCTCTATAGTTCTCGATGTCATCTAGACAACGAGGGAGTACATGTATTTTTGACAGACGAATCATGAATATACCAGCTTCTTTCATTGGCGCAATATCGTAGTCTACAAATATGGGTTGCACAACCTTAAATTATCGGGTCAGCTCTCAGCTGTGTTATTAATTTCATAGAAACATGTAGTTAAGACACTGTTCTTAGAGAATCATAGGGATTTAAGTGTCCTCTTCCAAGGATTTGACAGTCAACCAGAAGCAAATGTAGTATCTGAGGTGACAAAGTAACTAACTAGTTAGTTATGGTATTTGATCTTATGTAATCTTATCATGTTGCAATTTTAAAGAAAAGATTCGAGTTACCTTATGATACATTTAGAGAGATACTAGGGGACACGGTATCTCAAACATACAGCCTCTTGTCCAATAAACGCATCGACAACAGAAGTGAAGTTTCCAACAGTGAGCTTTCACATTTCTCTCGAGTTTAGCGTTTCTACTAAGATACAGCCCTAGGTAAACTTGATTTAATTTCAGAGCAAACCACGCGTTCACAGGAGCTGGAAGTCATTCGCAATGGTATCTAACGCCCCCCAATCAGGTGGTCAAGGTATGACTGGATTTACAGGGAAGGGGATTGTGGTGACGACAGCATTTCTGGTTGTATGTCAGATTCTGGTTGATCTGTTGCGTCTTTTTGTCCGAAAACCAAAATATCATTCGGTCTCGGTGAGCTCACTGAATCATAGTACTGGCTGCGATAATGATTGGCATTTTATTCTGTCCTCTTATTTGTCAATAGAGGCATGATTACTAGTATGGAGCGATCTATCATCTATTGTATTTAAAATAAACACATTTCTGGGCTAGAGAATTCGCGAATCATACGCTGGGACTCTCACGGGGTCTTGAGATGTGTTTACTTCGCCAGTCTACTCATCTTGTAATGATCCATCAAAGATACGCCCAATCCAGCAACATATTTCCTCGTCTGGGTACTGGGTGACTCGACAGAGAGTCGCTCTTCTTTCGCCAAATCCTTTTTCACGACCCCAAAAGCAGGCTCGACGCATCATAGAAACCATTTCTTCGCCTTGTTTGGCTAGGACAGTGGAGATGCTCTCACTCTCTTTGGACACAACGGAAGATTCTGATGAAGGTTCTACACCACGCGACAATCTACCAATGTAGTCACTCACAAAGACTTGTGTCCATGGTAGGGTGATCTGTAGGCGACCAATCTCTTGACCTGGCCGGGACCTGCTGCCGCCACTGAGGCCGTAGTCAAGTCCGTAAGGAGGCCAGCGAGAGATGGCTTTCCGACGGCGAACACTATTAGAAGATTCTTTTCCCTCGGATTCAGCAGCTGGGTACATGTCCTGCTCCCATACTGAACTATCCGGGGCACATTGATGTTCCAGAGAGCCGTCTATCCTGGCATCCTTGAGAACAGGAACTGGATCATCCGGACCAGTGAGATACTTGGGGAATGCTTGAGGCACATCACGGCCAGCAGAGCGAAGGAAGAGGATAGGCGAAGCAAATGAATCGAAATATCGCTCAGGAGAGGCAAAGAACCGCTCCCGAGCCTCTAGGAGGGGAACAAGGTCCGGAGGGGCCCTCATTGGAGAGATTTTCTTCTTAGATATCCGCCGTCTTTTTATTTTAGATGGGAGTAAGCCACGGTCGTTTGCATTGTCGATACCCCTGTCTTTGCCGAGCCCTTTGGAGATACAGTACTCGTCTAACCCAGGCCAGTCACAGATAGGTTCAAGAGCCGCGACGGCATGAACTGATTGTGGCTCTGTCAGTGCTAGCATCAGAGCCAGGGACCCGCCGATATGGGAGCCAAAAACCCCTATCCGAGCGGGTCGAAGATTCGCCTGAATCCAGTCGAATCCTGCGAGCGTGTCGTGCACTGGCGTTGGATACCTGTAGATTCTTTCTCTAGAATACCCGGCGGAATCGCATTGTTCTAATTCTGGCTTGGCATCTGAGGTATCTGGGATGGCACTTCCCTCCGAAACTGAAACTCCTTGATGGGTGCCCAGCCGGTAGTTTACAGTGACTACCGTGGCCGAAGTCGCAGTCGCCAAGGCATGTTGGGGCGTTTGGGCCATGTACTCCTCGGTTTGTTGCTTCCAAATCAGAAGCTCTCTGGCCTGGGCATCAGAGCACACCTTTTTCTCGGACACACCTGATAGTATTCCCTGAAACAATGGCCCCGAAGGAAGAAAGAGAATCACATTTAAATTGTTGGAACCAACTTGATTGTCAAGCAACAGGTTTGCTCTAGGTGGGTGTGTCACTCTGCCATTGGATCAGCATCGAAACTTCAATGAAGCGAAGGTATTTGGATTTTTACTTCAATGATATCAAACCGTTATTTCCAACAGGCAGCGAGATAGTCTCATCAACACAGCCGGGCGCCGTCGATAGAAAGCGCGCCTGGAGGGATAGAACAGAGGCAAATCCGTTTTTTCGGGATCTATATATCACCAAGGGATAATATTTGTTTATTAGCGGCCGCATAGCGCCATCGGGAGGTGATGGTTGTTCTGGACAGTTGCCGATTGATTGAGGCTGGATCCATGGATGAGACCAGGGTTGCTCCCGCGTCGATTTTGTCGGCCCCTTGCCGTTTGGGGATGTTCCGCCCGCCGCTCTTTGACTACAAGGATGATACGTACACTTGCCGCGGCGAATTCCGCTTTCCCTGTATGGTTGTAACGATGTAGTGCAAGGCAAAAAGTGGCAAAGTCGAGAAATTGAGAGCTCCGAGAAACATATATTTTTTAGTATATTCTCAAAAAAAAGTCCCAGTCTACTCCTGCGCTATAGTAATACATAAACATGATCTATGCTGACTTAAAGCATGCAAGACCTGCATAATTACTTCAATGTTAACCTAAATATGACTGCTCCAAAAGCTTTTCTCAAGTGTCGCCGAAGCCGCAGGATCATCTCGATCAAGAGCAGCCTCTGTGTCGTCGTCTGGCAGGGGGTGCATCACCTGCAAGCTGAGCTTGGGATCTTTAGAATAAACTCGAAGCCCAACAACACACACCGCATTCCAGGGGTCGTCTGCAGGCCCCTCCAGGTCGGAAAATGGTCTCTGGTTCTTATGATCAGCCTCATCAGGGGGCATGTCTAGGTCACTATCGAATTCGAACCCGTCCAGCAACTCCAGATCACTGATGTCCAGAGCCCCCGTAGCCAGGCGAGTATTCAGACTCGGACGTGGGGACTCAGTCCGTCGATAGGTAGAGCCGGTTGTAGAGCTGCTGGAGTTTCTGGCGTGGATTCCATTGAACTGAATGGTTGGGACCTGGCCATTGGCTGTGGGTTTTCGGTCACTCGTATCACTAGAGAGGCTGCAAACCTCGGTGGGTGATTGGGTTGCTTTGCTGTCATTCAATATCTGCATGGAAACGGGACTACGCTCAGGGCTTCGCTCGTAAACTCTGCCATTGGGCATTTTTCCTTGCCGGTGGACAGCCTGGCGCTGCTGTCGAGCAGCCAGCTTGCGCTCTCGAATCCATTCTTTCTGCAACCTGCATTTAGTCTCGTCCCGTAGCTTCTTCCGTTCAGCGGCCTTGCGTCTTTCCTGCTCGCATCTTTCCTGCTCTGTCTCTGCAATGAGACCCTTGGCATGTGCTAAATCGTATGAAAGCCCGACCTGAACAAGCTTCTCACGCCTGGTTGCTGCCAGGCGGCGAACGGTCTCCTCAGTCGACTCCTTGTCTTCGCGGAAAGCGGTGATTTTCATCAAGACGTGATAACGGCCCGGGTCGAGGTCGATCTCAGCATTCACGGACCGACTCATGAAGTGGCTGCTGTGGCTGCGCACCATATAGTCTTCTTCGCCCTCTTTCTGGACTCGGAACTTGAGCACAAATTTGTACTCGCCAACCAGACCTTTGAAATAGCGGTGATCAAGCTGGAGCTGTTAGCGGGAGAATTCATCACTGAGCGATCATAGTGTACAAACCTGTGATAAAATAATGACAGTCGGGCCAGGCTTGGTAACATTCATAATAAACTTGGCACTGTGGTAATCGGCAGACCAGGGCACATTCAAGGTCGTCCACTGTTGGGTAATGGTCCATTCATTGCCAAACAGACGAGTCCGGTCGAAATGTTGGTAGTTCTTTAATAGGTCATCGTAGGAAATCCAGAAGAACTGCCTAGGTTAGAAACGAGGCCGAGAAGATATAGATTAGCTTCACGTACCCCGTCGTCGCCGAACTTGTGACCCAGCAGCTCCATCCACTCTACCGTCCACTCCTTCGACCCGTCACCCCAGGCACCCCGCCATTCTCTCTTACCCCAGGGGTTTCTGAATGCTGTTAGTCCACCTAGCTGCCTAAAAAACGTTGAAGTCTGACATACCTCAATCGAAGCAGACGTTTTCCCTTGACTTCCCGAGCTTCCATGATTGAGTAAGAGTGGTTCTCCGAGATGCCCTTTCGGTCTCGAACCGGGGCCTTGAGATCTAACCAGTTGGAGAAGAGACCAGTGCCACAGCCAAACAAGAATTCCTCGTTGACTTTCATGAGCTCGTCCTTCCAGAAGCGATCCTTGTCTAAGATATTGCTAGACAGCACCTCGGATGTGACACCGCCCGTCAGATCTTCAATGGCTTCGCCAACAAACCCCCCCTCAATGGCAGAATAGTCGCCGTGAGCTTTGGCAAACGCCTTTTCCAGTAATGGAAGCCACGTCTCGTTGGGATCCACGCATTGTGCAAAGTACAGTGCTCGCGATCCGGTCTGCCATACGCGGCGGTACTCTTCTTCGGTGTCATTGCGATTGATATCGTCCCAAGTCATGCGCTCCTCGACCGACTCATCATAATTAGCGGCACGGAGGTACAATTTATCATCTACAATGCACTGCTGCCATTCACCATCTGAGATCCCAAATCAGTCTTTGGATAATAGGCCAAATTGCAATGAGTTGAACCTACCGCGATAGAACACGAAGCCATAGATGCCGACCTTTTCATCACGGGCGACACAGATCTTTTCGATGAGGCCGGCCTTGTTTCCCATCGTACAGAGTGCTGCCATCAGCCAGCAATCGCCATCATAGCCTTGGCGCACATCTGAGGCCGTTGGTCCGTTCACATAAAATTGAGGATTCTCGAATATTTCCTTCATTCCTCGTTAGTTGGTGGCTCGCATGCTTTAGTGATGTCGCACAGCATACCGTTACTCTCTTAACGCCGCGAGGTTTCATGAAGTCATTGACCTTGTCTAACTCGTCCAGATAATGTCTTCGGTTGGACTTGAGATCCAACTCGATATCAAAGTGTGGATCGGTATACTTTTGGTTTACTCGTCGGCACTCCTTGACAATGCGATCCACAGATGTCTGACACTCGTGCCGTGCCTGCTCGTATGACTTGACGGCCTCATGTCCCTGAATCACTCCGTTGGGGACCCTCTTGGCTCGCGTGCGCGCATAGGGGTTATCTGGCAGCACTGTATACACCTTGCCAGGATACTTGGTGTTAAACTGCTCCCAAAATTGCTTCACTGACTCCTGCGGAGGTTGGCACCGAGCACGAGGTGGCGGCCTACTGTTAGAGCGAGACGACGGCGGGGGCGCCGACCCGCCACAAACCATGTCGTCGTCGAATTCCATCACGGATAGTTACCCAGCAAGACCTTATTGGGAAGACAGAAAAAAAATGCGCAGTCGTCAAGCGGGGGCAGCTTCGCTTTTTGGTTTCTCTTCTGGTTATATTCGCACTGACCACATGCAGTAGCGACGATCGCATCGAAAGGGAAAAAAGACGAGCGTGCGTTCGGGGTTAAATAAGACGACAATACTCTAGCTATAATTCGCATCTGCGCCAATGATGTCCCATTCCGCCCACTGCACGGCCTCGCTGCCACGGCCAGCCCCGGCGCCGCCGAGCCCTTTTCGCCCAGTTTACACCCCCATCGTCAGCTGTCTCCAGTTTCGCAGTTTCGCAGTTTCAGGACTCCGTACCCAGTACTCTAGGGTGTTCGTCATAAGGCTGCAGAAGCATGCGTTAGTTTCGCTGGTGGATAGCGAAAGAATTGGCCCGTCGACCTGGCCCAAAATTGTTTACGGCCCCCAACTACTCTTCAGCTCACAACAAAAACGGCCCCCGAGAACCCGATCCATACCCCATAATATATAATAATCCAAAAAAAGGGGGCCGAAGCAGCTTGTTTCCTGCAGAAACCGGGTATGAGAGTGTTCCCAGCAAATGCACGCTGAATTATTGTCGGGTCAGTGGTTCCAATAATAAAAGGGCAACCGTCACCTGTTTCGCCAGGGTTGCTCGCACCGACCACAACGTGGGGCCCACAATTCAGCGCTGACACGAGCCGGGGCGCTTTTCTCGTCTGTTGCAAGTCACACTTCCATTGGTGGAGGGTTCGTGGCTGTGGAGGACTCAGGCATTCGGGACCCAGTGTAACATTCTAGATTCGGATCTCGTACTCTGGCCATGACTGGCGCCCCTGCGCCCTGGAATTGATTGAGGCTGACATCGGCTGAGAAATTGGAGAAAAGTAAGACGCACGAGGAATACTTGGAATGGATTTGTCCACCGGAAGGGGTATGTACGCCTTGCATTTAACTAAAAGCACCTGATAACAGAGGAGAACCGGACCTCCTAGCCATTCCCCCAGAAACGCCAAATACAGAAAGAAGAAAAGAAAAGACATCACAAGTTCCGGGGCATCGGCATGTATGCGATCCTCCGACGTCAATAAGGTTACACGAATAAATCAGAAACGAGATCGTCCATCAGTGATAACCGTTACGGGCTGTATCAGTACGGCCTGAGTAATAAGAGCTACCATTCCGGAAGTATGGATGCATGCAAGCCTGCTTGGCGGAGAGCCGGTGCGCAGGGTCGTACTCTAAGAGAGCCTCTAGAAGCTCCTGACCAGCCTCCTCCAGTCCAGGAACAAGTGGAGTATCAGGCCGCTTCCACTTGGGGAACGTGGCCTTGTAATCAGGGAATGATGTAACACCGGGCCAAAGCTCTTCGTCGGGAGTACCAAGAACACTTCAGAACGAGAGGAATTAGTCGGAGGAGCTTGACACGACATTTGATACAGGACGTCAAAAAAAGTACGTACCGGAAGATTTTGAAGATCTCGTCGATCTCCGAGTCGCCAGGGAAGAGTGGCTTGCGAGTGCACATTTCGGCGAAAATGGCACCAATGGACCACATATCCACTCCAGTGGAATATTGGCGGCCCCCTAGAAGAATCTCTGGAGAGCGATACCACAGAGTAACGACCTAGGAGAGAGTAGAGTTCAGCAAAGCGGCCCAGTTGCTCCTTCAAAACACACACAGCAGCTTGGTGCGTACCTCATGGGTATAGGTGCGAAGCGGCACACCGAAGGCTCTCGCAAGGCCGAAATCGGCCAGCTTCAGATTACCCTCACGATTGATCAGCAAGTTCTGGGGCTTCAAATCACGGTGCAGAATACGGTGGCTGTGGCAGTAGCGAATACCCTCAACCAGCTGTGCCATGAACTTCTTGACCATAGCATCACCCAGGCCTGGGTTACCAGCCGGCATTGTTCCATCAGGCAGAGCCTTGCCACGACCGCCCTCGCTTACGGGCAGGGCCTCCATGTATTTCTTCAGGTCGCAGTCAAGGAATTCGAAGACGAGGTATAGCTTGTGGCCATCCGCATGAACAATATTCAGCAATTGGACGATATTAGGGTCCTGCATTTCCTTGAGAAGCGAGATCTCGCGGATAGCTGTACTAGGAACGCCTTCATCCTCGGCTTCTAGGCGAATTTTCTTCAAAGCAACAATTCGGTTGGGGTGGTTGAGCTCGCGGGCTTTGTAGACGACACCGTACGTTCCTACACAGTGCATCAACGCGTGAGCTGAGGGTTTGGAGCAACCGGGGGCAAACAGCTGTGCTAACAAAGCGTACCTTCCCCAATTTTCTCGATCTTCTGATAGTTCTCCATGATGACTGCAACGAAGGATCCTAATTTGCTCTCAAGCGTATTAGAAATGTGACAGAGGCAGAGAAAGTGGGAGTCACACAAATTGGAAAGATGGGGGGTTGAAGGAACGAGGCGAAAAGGAAGGAGGGGGAGGGAAAATCGGTCCAATGATACGAACCAAGTTGAGTCTGTAGATGGAGGTCGATCTTTGAGACAGCCGGAAGTAATCACTCCAGGTCCCTACAGCAGAAACTCGGTCGGCGTTCGGTTAGTGAAGATATTCGCAGGGGATGTTGCGTGGTGGGCGGCCACAAAAACAAACAACCCCCGCGCCTGCAGGGCGGTGAGCGCGTACTTTTTCTCTCGCCGCTCGCGATCATCGCCATGACGACTTTGCGCCATGGCACAGATCAAAGGGCTCAATGCCCATGAGCGGCCTCCTGATACTGTCAGGCAATGCTACAAGAAATATTCAAAGATCGCTCTGTCCGAAATAGACCATGATCCTGATATCTTGGACCTGCAGCGGATAGACGCCGACCAATTGCCCGACGGTATTTCACTGGCCCAATACATGTCCAGCCAAGACCTCCGACTAGCATTTGACGACTTCATTCGTGGAAGCCATCCTTTCGACAAGGAAGATGCTCCTTTGGCAGAGAATATACCAGTTTTCACCCACAATTCAGTTTCCGGTTAGCATTGACTTGCCTTGAAAGCCCCACTAATCCCGTCAGAATTAGAGTGCAACACTCTAACCCGGGGCAGGTCTTCTTATGATCCCTTCCCTCTTCCCACCTACGGTTCAGATCGAATTGTTATCGCGTCTTTTCCATCGGGATTTGCCCAATCCTGAACATAAGACCAACCTGCACCTGCATTACGATGTTACATACCCCGAACGTTCCCAAAACCCCACTATACCTCAATCCTTCTTCGCAGACGATCCAACCCGGTTGATACAGCCCAAAGATCCAAACATTCATAAACCTCTGAGCGTTCAAAAGGTCCTGGAAAAGAAACTCCGCTGGGTCACCTTAGGCGGACAGTACAACTGGACTGACAAGATGTACCCCGCCGAAACTCCGCCGCCATTTCCGGAAGATGTTGTGAAGTTGCTGAAGGCTGCGTTTCCTGAAACTGAAGCTCAAGCAGCTATTCTGAATCTGTACTCGGCCGGAGATACCCTCTCCGCCCATCGTGACGTGAGCGAGACTTGTGACGTGGGGCTGATCAGCGTGAGCTTCGGCTGCGATGGTCTATTTCTTGTGAGCCATGACGATGGAAGTGGTGCCGAGATCATTCGCCTTCGATCTGGCGATACCGTTTACATGAACGGCACATCACGATTTGCCTGGCACGGGGTACCAAAGATCTTGCCGTCGACCTGCCCCAACTGGCTGGCAGACTGGCCATGTATTGGACCCGATGACCGGGATTCTCCAAATGACTCCTACCATATGTGGAAGGGCTGGATGTCTGGAAAACGTATTAATCTAAATGTTCGCCAGATGACCAGCCTCCCTGTTCGTTGAAACAAACAAGAGGAGATCGTTTTACAATTCGGAGACACTTCGAAAATTGTTCCCCCTTCACTGCGGTTGCTGCGGCTGCAGTCAGCTCCTCAAACTAGCCTATTTATGTTAGCTTAGGCTTCTCCAAAAGCCATTGAGGGCTGGCTTGATGGATGCCTGTCACCAGACGCCTCCAAAGCAAGCTGGCGGATCGTGACGATAGGGAGTGTCTCATCTAGACTCTTCAAAGCCCAGCCATGACCTACGAGCTTGTACAAAAGATCTATTGGCTGTAGTGACTACTGTACATGTTTTTGAAGATTGTAGAAGCAATGAAGTGGGTGACAAGGTCGGAGGGGGAGCGAAATCCTGTGTAATCTAGATACAACTTGATATCCGGGCGCGGAATCTAAGATTCCGCTAATTCGCCCCACCATATCAGTAAACATAGACCATTTCATGTACGAAGACTCTACCCCGAATACGAGGTCGGCCTCTTCTTATCTTCCCACCAAGACCCCGATTATTTGTTGGTCGAGTCGCTGTTGATAACGCCTCTCTCCAAACGACCCCAACAGCCCCGCCCCCGCAAGATAAAGACTAAGGAGTCTCCAGGTGGAGATAAATTGAACTGGAATATCAGTAGCAGCCAAAGGTCGGAAATTACCCGCAACACAGCGCCTTGTTGAATTTCATGATGACAACCGATCTTGACTGGCGCTCTCGGGGTGAAGCAAAGCGTTTATCAATCCTCAGCGCGATTCCTGAGAGATGGCGATTCGCGGAACCAATCCCCCCAGCTGAGAAGCAGCGCGATGTCACTGGGAGGTATATCCAGCAATTCCTGACCGCGCGTGAAATCGAAATCACTGAGTCCGATGCTGTGGACATCGCTGCACAAACAACTACGGGCCGTTGGTCGGCTGTCGAGGTGACTGAGGCCTTCTGCCATCGTGCTGCTTTAGCTCATCAGTTGGTATATCACAGCAGAACGATGTCTCTAGTGTTTATGTCTTAGAAGCTCATCAAGGGTGCATAGGTAAATTGTCTACATGAAATATTCTTCGACGCGGCTATCGAGGATGCAAAGAGACTCGATGCCTATCTTGCAGAGCACAAAGTCCCTATCGGCCCTCTGCATGGCCTTCCCATCAGTCTGAAGGACCAATTCCACGTCAAGGGAGTAGAAACCACTATGGGCTATGTTGGCTGGGCTGGTACATTTGAAGGCCAGAAGGATGACTCCCGCCGGGGCATATATGAAAGCGAGCTTGTGCGCGAGCTGCGCGACCTCGGCGCCGTGCTGTACTGTAAAACCAGCGTCCCTGCTACACTCATGGCTGGTGAGACAGTCAACAACATCATTGGATATACGTGGAACCCAAGGAATCGGTTGCTCTCTTGTGGTGGCAGCTCTGGTGGCGAAGGTGCGCTGATTGCACTTCGAGGGTCGCCTGCTGGCTTTGGAACTGACATTGGAGGGAGTGTGCGTATTCCGGCCGGCTTTAATTTCCTGTATGGGCTACGTCCGTCGTCTGGCAGGATGCCTTATCAGGGTGCCGCCAACTCTATGGATGGTCAGAATACTATACTGTCTGTTATTGGACCACTTGCACCGACGGCGAGGTCTTTGACGCTGTTATTCAAGAGCATTCTTAGCCAAGAGCCCTGGTACCACGATCCGCTCGTGCTAGAGTTACCATGGCGGGATACTGTTGTCGAACAGACCAGGTCTTTGATTGAAAAGTCCAAAGCAGGCGCGCCGGCGCTTGCCTTTGCCATCATGCCTTGGGATGGCATAGCCCGCATCGACCCACCCATTGCTCGAGGCTTGAAGCTCGCTGAGCAAACCTTGAAAAGACTAGGCCACAAAGTGATAGCATGGAACCCTCCATCTCATGGCACGGCAAATATGCTCGGTGTAAGTTCGGCATCCTGTCTATGGAGCTATAGTGGGGGCATGTTCTAAGTTCATGTGCAGGGCAAAGCGTTCAATATGGACGGCGGTGCCGATATGCGCCATCATTTTGGCTTATCTGGTGAGAGAAAGCCCCCACAGATCATTACCACGGAAGATGGCCCACAACTCTCTGCGACAGAGATTGCAGCACTTAATATTTCCAAGCGTGAGTACCAGAAGGAATATATGGAGTACTGGAACAACACTGCAGAGATCACAGGTACCGGTCGTCCAGTAGATGGAGTATTATGTCCTCTGGCGCAACATGCTGCGGTGAAACCAAATGAGTACGGGGCTGTGGGATATACCTCATTTGTCAATATTCTAGACTACACCAGTGTATCAATTCCTGTTACGTTTGCAGACCAGAGTGTCGATATACGTCCATCAGGGGCAACTCCAGCTGACCTGGAACCGCATATTGATTGGGACTGTAAGTTCCTTTATCATTCCCGAATACCCTGCGATGCCAAAGTGTTTAACCTATCAACTTTACAGATGATGCGAACAGTTATGATGGAGCTCCAGTTGGGATTCAATTGTTGGGTCGCAGATTGCAAGAAGAGAAAATCCTGACCCTGGCCGAGTATCTTGGAGAGGAGATTGCTTTTGATGCAGGACATTAGTGAATGATTATCCCGTACAGGTTCCGGGAACGAATGTTTTTTTTTTCTGTCTATCAGAGCACAGAGTATCAGTCAAGAATTGATCATTTTACAAATTCAAAGCGTAATACGCGGCTCTTGAGTAGAAATGGTTTCCTAGTTAAGTTAAGAAATCAAATAAAATAATCAAGCTATGGACAGGGTATTGGTATACAAGCCAGCATCAAACAATGAAACATTCGGCTTTTGAATATCTGAATATATATGTACGTATATAGAAAGGTATAACGGGACTGATAGCCACCGACGTATGGTACTAGCCTCGAGAGGAACCCGGGGGAGTATGCCCAGACGGCGCTGCAAGGTTAGACAAAATCGGAGTGGATGAAGGCCATAGACTAGGACCAAGTGGTTTGCCAACTGCAGAGGGATCGGCAACCGAAGAACTATCTGATCCATTCATCAGCCGTGGACGCTTCGCCTGCGAGCCTGCTCCAGCACCACCCGGCGGGCTGCGAGTATCGGCATGTGAGTATGGAGAGGCGTAATGAATGGAGGAAGCTGGTGTAGAGGCTGCGGCGGGATCTGGGCTCATTGTAGCGGTGTTTTGTAGAGGACGCAAGCGATTGGGATGAGACGAGGTATCCTCGCCTGGACGGGGAGGGCGGAGGTCAGGGCTGTCGCGTTGTTGAAGGCTATCAAATTCTCCGGAGGTGTTCGTATTGGCATGGCCTACGCCAATACGCCCCATACTTTTATCGTGCATGACAACACGTTTCCACTTGGCCACCACATTGTCATAGTCCCAGCGGGACGAGTTGGGGCTAATGTGACTCTCCTTCGTGTCCAACTCCCGCGCAACGTCTCGGGAAATTGGAAGCGTGTCAGGAGGAAACAAGGCAAATTCGCGCGGCCATTGACATGATCCCAATCGCTCAACTTGTGCCCGGAGTTGGTTTGCTTCCTGCTGCACTCGGGCGAGCTGTTCATCCACGGATTTTCGTTTCTCAACTTCGCGAGCAAATGCACGTGTGGTCTCCAGCTGCCATAATTCGCATCTAGTGTCGGAAGAGAGTCTATTCCAATGATCGAATGCTAGCTCCATATGTCGGAGAGCCATTTCTTCATGTTGTTGCGCGGTGCGATAGATGAAAGAGTGGTCCAGATTACCGCCAACGGGTCTTGAGTGAGCCAAAGACTCCGCTGCAATTTGGTCCGACTGCCACTGTGAAATTTTTGAACGGAGAGCCTGTCGGACAATATCAAGATGTTCGGAACCAGGGGGTTGGAGCGGGAAGGAAGTCGGAGAGGGGAATGGATGTGCCGCGAACAAGCTCGGCGGGGGAGGCAGCAGCTGTAGACAGAGGGAAGGGAACGACTGGGACTGTATGTCGAAATCAAATGGAGACATCGGGGGCCGGAATCGAGAGCTTGGGCAATACTGTTAATTCGCATTCTTCAAAGGGAGATTGGCCTGAACGTACGTTGCAGCCTTTATGTTGTCAAGCACTTCTCGCAGTGCCAGCTCTAGTGCCTTCATTGTGTCGGGATTGTTCGCGGTGGATCCTCGACTAGCGAAATCTGGCAGCTGCGACGGTCCGGATCGCGATTGAGACGAGGCAAGTCGTGGTCCGTCCATCGTGCGGTTCGGGTTAGGGATGTCATTGATGACCCCGGTTGCGTGCCAAGTGGGCGTATTGAACATCATGCGCACTGGAGCGTCGCGCGATTTGGAGGCCGAATCTACTGAGGTATATGAATCGCCATGGCCCTTCTTCGAGGCGCGTTCGGGGCTGCCATCTCGCTTGCCAGAGGTTGTGCGAGCCTGGCGACGAGTGATCCCACTGCGGATACGCCGAATCTCCTCAACGTCGTGGACCCCGTCGGGCTTCTTCTTGAACAGGAACTGGTCAAGGTGGCGGCCCAGAGACGACGACGTGAACGCCTGATGGCAGTATTGACATTTTCGATCCTTCGCTGCCTGATTGGCGGCGGACTTCGAGGCCGAGTGTTGGTTGTCGTCGCCGCGCGTGTCTTCGGGTGTCTCTCTAGGGGTCTCTTCTTCCGCCATAGTCGCCGGCGTAGCAGAGGATTGGTTCCGAGAGGAGGGGAAAGACCTAGAGACTTTCAGAGAGGAGAGAATGAGCACGGTCAGCTTATACAACCATGACCAGGCGATGCGCTACAGGCACGGGGAACCTGGACGAGGAGGAATTGGGGGCGAGTCGGCGAAGCAAGGATCCGAGATGCCAAGCTTCGGCGCGGAGGGTCTGAGAAGCCCCCACGAAGGCCAAGCCTTCCGAGGGTCTACGCCAGGCACGGAGTATACAATGGGCCTTGAGCCATCGCCAATCTCAACGAATGAAGGCGAGATTATTCGGTCATATCTATATGTACGCCATTCAATCACGTGCTCCAGGCCGTGAATCGGATTATCCAAGATATTGTACTATTGTACTGGTAGTTTGAATACCCCAGTGGATCTCCACATGTAAAGTGAGAGTCCCAGGATATGTCCGTGTCTATTTCTGCTGGGGGCCGAGCAGCGGTAGCTTGATAGGAAATCTACATAAAATATCTTGGATTAAGAACTAACTTCAAAAATTGAATTGGTTAGAGAGCCCGGTAAGTACAACAATTTGTTAAGCTGTAGCTCGTTGAGTCTTTCTTGTCTTGCGCTCACTGAGCCAACGCTTGAAACCACGAACTCCATGGAGGTAGAGCCAAGAGAAAAAGAAAACAGCTAAGAAATTGAAAATGACAAAAGCCCAAAATATACCCTGGAGGACATGGTCAACTTGAAAAACTTTTAATTTATCATCGTGATATATCGTGGTAGGGTCAATGACTCACGTAATCTCTCCATTTGTGCGAATAGAAGGAATTGAAGCTGGCAGCCTGGCAGTATCCAAGTCATTGAGTGTGAGTCACCATCCAGATATGCACGAGAAGTAGTGAAGAAACTGGGCCGCTCGGTACTCACAAATTGATCACCAGTGGAATATTGACAGAATGCACAGAGACCGTTGTCGGCATCTCGAACATAACCACCAGACTGCTGTACGTATGACCCGGCATATTCTTGGCAAGTCATACCAGGCGGCGGGCTGAAATGAGACTCTTCTCGTTCGACACATCGAACGGGGACTTTATGAGTGACAACACCGAGAAACCCTTCGAGTAGATAATGGAATGGTGTGAGCCAGTACATCCAAGATTGCCAAAAGTGAGGTAACGCCGCATAGGGCACCACTACACCACAGAAAGAAACAACGAATGTAAAGAAGGATGGAACAAGTAAGGAGGCAAAGAGCTCATTCGGCGCAAAAGCTGCAATGAATTGTCCGAATCCGATGTAGTAGCATTCGAAAACCATGAGCAACATCCAAGTGTAGCCCGAGCTAAATGAATCGCGAGGAAACCAAACCCCCCAGTACCTATACTTGGTGAGAATCAAAGGCCAATTGTTGAAGTTTGTTCGCTTACCAGCAATTAAAGTAAACAGAGCCAGCAACAATCGAGTATGGAAGCTCTGGAAGGATTGTGCTTACAACGAAAGCAAGCCAGGAATAAATCTTCGAGTTGGATTCGCGCGACTCATAAATGCCTCGAAAATGAAGATACTTTGGCTGCAATTGCTGAATGAGCGGGGGAGATATAGTGAGCGTCATGAACACAGAGAATAGTCTAGATTGCATATCAATGAGACTGTTTCCAAGGTGCCAGAATGTAAATGTGTTAAAAAGGCCTGTGAAAATATGAAGCATGAATTTTCCCTAGTAGATTAAGTGTTAGTCGCATCACCCTCTATTGATAATGGAGCCGAATTGTTAACGAACTAAAATGTAATCCGGAAGTCTCCAATAAGCCACAAACGCCCTCTTGGTTACTGCCACAATCTGAATATAAAGAGGCATGGCAAATTCACGATCGTCTCTGACTAATTCGTTTGTCTGCATCCCAGAACGAGAATCGACGATGCTCTCAATCTCTTCAGAAAGCTGCTTGGATTCTGGTGATTTGGCCCACACATCTCCCCAGTCTTGGCCCTTATAATCAGGGTTGCCGGCACCAATTACCTCCAGCATGTACTAGATGAAAAGGTTAGATCAAGCCTCGAAATATAAGAATTAATTGAGACACAAACCTCTGCTGGATTTGCATTTGGCGGGCATTGTTTACCTCCATTCCCCTGGAAATAGTCAATTAGTGTTCTCGAGTCTGGGCCTAAGGCGCCATTGTAAACTACGCGACCGCCGCTCTTTAAGAGCAGCAGTTCATCGAATTGCTCAAAAAGAACGGCAGACGGCTGGTGGATTGTGCAAAGAACTGCTTGTCCCGCATCTGCCAGTCTTCGAAGAAAACGAACAATATTGAACGCTGCCAGCGAGTCAAGACCAGACGTTGGTTCATCCAGAAAGAGAAGTAATTCTGGCTTGCTTGCCAGCTCGACTGCAATGGTGAGTCTTTTGCGCTGCTCTTGGTTGAGACCCGAGCCATGAGATCCAACTGTAGCACCAGCGATTGACCGCATTTCGAGTAAGTCAAGAACCTTCTCACAGTATTCGTATTTTTCCTGTACAGGGACTTCCTTTGGTTGCCGTAACAGAGCCGAGAATCTTAATGATTCTCGGACCGTTGCTGTAGGCTCATGGATATCCATTTGCTCCGCAAATCCTGTTGCCCTTTGGAAGCTCCTCGGAAGTGGCCTAGAACTGTCAGTTTATAAACGCTCAATGGGAAATAAAACCTACTTTCCATCAACCAAAAATCTACCAGTGACAACACCAAAGTTAATTCGCTGAGCTAGAGCATTGAGAAGCGTCGTTTTTCTGACAGAAGATTAATATTGAGCGACAGAGTAGAGAGAAATCAGAGCCTTACCCTGCCCCAGAAGCACCCATCAATGCTGTAAGTCGACCAGGCTTGACATAGCCATGAACATTCTGTAGTAATTGCCGCTGTCCACCTTTGAAAGGAATTGTGTAGTTGACATTTTGCCAGGTGAAAATTGACGTATTTTTGGCAATGCCTTGCACCGATTTTTCAGCTCCGTCATCTGTCAAGCTGGAGAAATTCTCCTTCTCGGCAGATTCCACATCCAATGGAGGGCCAGTACGTTCAATTGCATTTTCCACTGCTTTTGGTGCCTCTCCTCTCTTGAAAATGGTAACAGAGCTTCCCCCTTTATTGGGCTTCTGGATTTCCATTCCAAGCGCTGTGAGAAAAACGAAGAAAAGAAACCAACCAATGATGATTCCAAAGTTTCGCCATAGATGGGCTCGAGAATACGTAAATGCAGCTTCAATATAGTCGGAGCCTTGGACAACTAAACTATCTGGGCTGCTCCCTTGGATGGCACAACTTTGATGCGAGGAAGATGTGGTGGGGCCATCGGGAACAATGTACGGCGGTTCGCATTGTATTTGAAGGTTGTAAAATTCATTAGCCATCAATGCTTCAAATGCGTATTGAACTGGATTGATCCAGATCAGCCATTTTAGCCACGGGTGCATTTTCCAAGGAGGTATCAAATATCCTAATATTTACGTTAGCCAGGGAACTCCCATGATCTTGATGTTTCTTACCAGTATACACAATCAGTGCTTGAATCGCAACCCCAGTCAAACGAGTAGCTTTGAACGAATGAGTGACCAAAAGCATGTAATTTTCGTTGATTATCATGTACTCACCGATATCTAATGATGCACACAATGCTCCAAGAGAGCGGAAAAAAGAATACATTGTCATGGTGAGTATGAAGATAAAGAGGAGGTTGATGAAAAATTGCGAAGCCGTTCTTGCAAGATTTGACATGCTGTATTGGTTGAGTAATAGAACTGCGAAGTGCTCTGGGATGGAACATACAAGTATACGACAAGGTCAAATAACACAACCTGGATAAACACCAAAGGTACATCAACGACAACCTGTGCCAGAGCATATGCCGCAGGACGGTAGAAAGAACTGTGTTTCTTTGTTAGAGAAAAAAGAAAAATTTATAGGATTTACCTACAAGCTCTTGTGTTTCATCAGAATGGGCCGACTCTCAAAGGCAGCTGTGAGCTCTGCAAGTGCAAGTAAGGCGTTGAATAAAAGTATAAAAAACATCACACCGCCTCGTGTGAAAACCCCAGAGCTGCGTGAAATGGTGAGCCATGGTGATAGAAAATGATTGCCAGAGGACCACACACCTCGTGTTGGGAAGATCGAAGAACAAACTTCCCACAATTAGAGCTTGGAAAATGATAACGCCCCATTTCCCGGTGAGGGCTGCTCTGTCTCCGAACATAACAAGGAATTGTCGATGTGTAAGAATCATAACTTGCTTCCAAAATGAGACTGTGTAGTTTTTTTTGGTCATTTGTTTTCTAGCCGTTTCTTTCTCATGCTCCTGAGTCTTGATCTCATTCTCAAAATCGTCAATATCAGCAAGATTTGCTTTAAAAACCTCACTTTGTCGATATACATTTTGAAATTCATCCGCAGTGCGTGGAATCCGATTTTCCCATCCTGGTTTTATCTTTCTCGCATTTGGATCGCTGACAGACGTGAGAAAATCGGGAGTTGTCCATCGTGGAGGGCACTCGAAGCCCAGGTTTTCAAAATAGGCTTTGGCATCTTCAGAGCGACCAAAGAATGCACATTTACCATCTTCGATCAGAATTACCTTGTCAAAAAGGTTGAACAAATTTTCAGATGCTTGATATAAAGCAACCAGGGTCGACACATGGGCTGTATTTGTCAAGCTTCTCAGGCTCTGGACATATTCCAGAGCAGTACTTGCATCAAGGCCTCTGGTCGAGTTATCCCAGCACTGCGTGCTTGCTTTTGTGACCATTGCCTCGCCAATTGAGACTCTTTTTTTCTCTCTGTCCAAGGGAGTACATCAATATATATTATTAAGAGCTGCTATTCGGTACGTTTCACACTTACCCTCCAGATATCCCCCGAATAAGCTCATTACCAACTCTTGTTCCCAAGGCATGTTCGATCCAGAATAACTTGGCAATTGCAGTTAAAAATGTCTGTTGATAATCCTTCCGAGTTTCACCGGGCACGCGGGACGACTTGTCTGGAGTTCTCGTTTTCAGAGCAAATAGCAGAGTATCTTTCACGGTCAATGTGGCGTAGTGAAGATCATCCTCAGGATTATAAGATACTATAAAACTCAGCTCTCTGATTTTCAAAAGCGCTATTTGAAGAAACACCTACCTTCGGAGCGATAATTCTTGGCCATTGTCACTGAATCGGTCCCCCCATAGCGGACGTCACCATCAATGCTTTCATAACCATATCTCTGGTTACCCACAACCTTTAAAAATGTAGAACAGCCCGATCCAGGACGACCTAATACCAGGAGCATTTCTCCTGGACGAACACAACCCTTCAGTAATATGTCAGCAAAACGATCTTTTGTGGGCCAAGAACGTAAAATTATGTACCGTGAAGTCGCTCAAAATGGTTCGAAGGTCAGGTTTCCCGGCTCCAATTCCTTTTCGACCACGAGTCAAGAGTTTTTTGATAAGCCTAGGCAGGCCAAGGAAGATATCACCATTTGTAGATTGAAGAGCTGCCCCCAGGCCTAAGCCTTTCACGGTAAGGTTCTTCCAAACAACGCCAACATGCCGCGTCTTCTCTTCCTCGGAATTGGCCTTTCGCTCATGACCGAACATACGTGAGATGAGCCTTTCTATCTGCGTCCACTCCTCTCCTTCATGGCCCGATGCATAACTGCGACGCCGAGATAAAGTTTTTGCGAGTTGATCATCATTTAATTGGGTCTCGCCAGTATATTTATTCGGGTCGTTTGAACCGGCGCTGTGGATTGGAGCAAATCCTTCTGAATCGCCCGAATGAAGAGATGGGCTGTGACTGATGGGGATAGACTCAGATGAAGTATCCATAATCTGCTGAGGGCCTAGAGTAGCCTCGCTATTGGGAGATTCATCTTTGTTCATGATAACCTCCGAGAGAATCAGAAAACCAAATATGAACCTGGGATTCCTTTCGCACTGTGATGCTTTGTCCCAGAAAACGCAGTTCAGCAGAAGACAGAATGCCCCTCAGATGAAAGATGGGAGCAAATAGAAAAAAGTATTCGGAAATCCCATGAGTCGCGATTATGATCATCGAAAGAAAGGGTTAGAAAATGCGATCCATAACAATGTGCAGTAATTACGTCAAATCGTACTCGGGCTCGGGACGTCAAATCTGCCGACAAGTGTTTCTTAACGCCGACTCGATCCGCTTATCGGGAATTAATGCTTTAGAAATGACGAGTACCAGATATTAATGATGATTATGTGAGCTGCATGTCCCGATCTGACCAGTGCGACCGTGTAGGCTGCTCCCTGATTCAGACATCGCGGAAGACGGAGTTTATGCCCCCGTGAGATCATGAGGTCATCGATTTAATCCTACGGCAAAGGGTAGATGTACGTAGAGACAACAAAACAAGAATGAGATTCATAAAAATAAGACTGTCAGTGGATGTTGCAATTTGGCCAACAACGACGGTGTCGGTCTCCAAAGGTAAATTCAATTCCCCTGCCTACAGTAGTTTTCTAAATCAGTTATACTTCCATTCTCATGCGACTTTCCCGAAAAATAAGTCCTAAGTACGCTAATCTGCTTTTAAGATACCGTCGTTGCATCCTGGCAGAATGTTACCTGTCATGGCAGTACCAAGCTGTAATAATCAAATGAGCCATCGTTATAATACCGTAACGCCTCATGGACTCTCATAGAATCGATTTGCAGTTCTTGTGATCTTGCATGATCGCCCTGTCATATCTTCATTCTTGGATGAAATGACCACAGGGCCTGAGCTCTTGAAATCTTTCTATCATTGGCACTGCCACTAGAATGCCATCTCAGAACATACATACTTTTCTGACATTAGATGAGAGCGGAAATTTTGTATTTGATATGTAACTTCTATACCTGTCAGACCTCTCAGGCATCCTTGCTTCCAATTCTTTCAGAGCTAAGCTTTCGTCCGTGGTTACGATCCACCTTATACGGCTTTTTGAGAGTCAACCTTCATTGACTCCCAGCCTCTTGAGATTCGTGTAGGAGCCAGTTTTACAGCAATGAGCCTGCCATCCTTGTCACACCAAAGCAAAAGTCCATTTCGCTTCTCAAGACTCATAGACGAGGTGGTTGTTATTCAATCAATATCGTTTGACAACTATCTTCCCTCCCGCATTCCCCGAGTCTAGAATTTCGTGGGCTTGGCGGATGTCCTGAGAATCAAAAACATGTGTCGGCTGGGCATCCCATTCCCCATTTTCAATTTGATGGACGATTCGTTGCAATGGGATCTCTGAGAAAGGAAAGTCGGGGCTCCCCAGAACTTTGCTATGGAAAAGACTGAAATGTACCCCAGATTTCATCTGCACCATTGGATTAAAGTCTGAAACCGGGTCCAACCCTCCCAGCCAGCCCGCTTGAAGCATACGGCCGCCACTTTTAGTCAAATTGATCGATTCCAACAGTGCTCGATTTCCAATAAGATTTAGCACTTTGTCGAATTCGGCAGCATAAGCACGGTCCAGCCCGGCCTGCTCGATGATGGTTTCTGTGGCGCCCATTCGTTGAAGTAACTCAAATCGTTCCTGGCGACGGCTGGTTGCGGTAACTCGTGCGCCTGCACTCACGGCCAAGTTCACAGCGGCTTGGCCCAGAGTAGATGTTGCACCACGAATTAGAATACTTTCGCCTTTCTGGAGGCCAAGAACGGTGAAAAGGCACGACCATGCAGTGATATATGTTTCCGGAATTGCAGCCAGTTCATGCCAGGGCAAGCTTGTTTGCACAGCGATAACGTTGGTGACAGGCACAGCCGCAAATTCGCCGTAACCCCCCGGCCGGTTTCTTCCCAGCCCACCCATCACGCCCACGACTGTCTCACCGAGTCTGAATTCTCCACCGGGGCAGGCCTCCACAACTCCGACACACTCCAATCCAGTGACGGGGTTCCACTCATCCCATTCACCCTTGCGCATGTGCATTTCGGCATGATTCAGGCCAAAAGCTTTCACAGCAACGAGAACTTCTCCGGTACATACTGTCGGCTTTGCAACGATTTGATGCTCGAGGACTTCGGGGCCGCCAAATTTTGTTATAACAATGGCATTCATTGAGTCTAACATTTTCGAGCACGTTCGATACTTGCGTGGAGTGTGACCCGTGTGGAAGGTATTTTATAATAAGCCGCTGTGATGGAGAGATAGATATAAATATTGGAGTTTCAGTGGCACCGGGAGATACTGGTGAGAATAATAAGCAGAACACGTAATGCTATAATGTGTTATCCTGGTTTGTTATGCTGAATAATGCTCACTAACCCTTCGTCGAGGTTAGTTCGCAGAGAAAGAACTAGACTCGTCCGAATTTGGTGAATGAGTTTAAAAGGAGTAAGTGCTGTGTCATGGAAGTAATTCGCTGTTGAGCGGTGATTTCGGGAAAGACGGCCTGTCTGTCATCGAACTAAACCTCTCTTGGTCTTATTGACTTCATCGAGACTAGTGAACCAGGTCACTGGAAGCTAAAAAGCCAGATGGCTTACTGAGCCAACTAGAGAGGACCGGCTGTACCGGTCGATGTTTCAGAGGTCCAGACTGTTCTTGCTAGGCGGGATGTCACATGGAACCCCACCCATGCAGGTGAAAGTATGGATCTCCTCACTGACTGATGAAATTGAACATTACAAATTGTCATCCAGTTGTTAAAAAGGAAATTGAATCAATTTCTTTTGGTTGCTCTGGCCTTCATACAATTTATGAACTTGTATTTTTCTTCTCTTTCATCACACAAAACCTTCACATCTTCAAGTAACATCGCAGTCTATTGTCACTTACAGAGCTGTTTGAATCTGCCTTAACAAGCCTCAACAATGGGTGTCCACAAGTGCAAATCAGTCAAGCTTCCTTCTGGGGTGAAGATATTTTACCGTGAGGCAATACCTGAGAAAGAGACAGATTCTCCAGCCATACTCCTCCTCCATGGCTTTCCCTCGTCATCTCACCAGTTTCGGAATCTGATCCCCCTTCTTGCGACAACACATCGTGTAATTTCTCCAGATTTACCAGGCTTCGGATTCACTGAGATGCCACCGGATTTTGTCTATACCTTCACCAGCTTGACAGATGCAATTGAAGAATTCGTGGATGAGCTCTGTATACTGAAATTCTCCATTTACGTCTTTGACTACGGTGCGCCTGTCGGCCTGAGGCTGGCACTTCGTCGGCCAGAGGCAGTTCAAGCTATCATCTCTCAGAATGGAAACGCTTATAAGGATGGGTTTGGTGATGTATGGGATCCTATCAAGGATTTCTGGGCTAGTGAGAATACCGCAGATGATCGAGCAAAAGTTTGTGCGACAATGCTCAGTTTTGACATGACCAAATTCCAATATGAAAACGGTACACCTGATATCGGAACCATCGCGCCAGAATCATATCACCTCGACTATGCTCTCATGCAGCGTCCAGGTAACAAGAAGGCTCAAATTGATCTCTTGAAGGATTATGAGTGCAATATATCATTCTATCCCAAATTCCACCGCTACTTTCAAGAGAGCCAGGTGCCCCTTCTTGCAATCTGGGGCCAGAATGACGTGTTCTTCATTCCCGCCGGGGCCAATGCATTCAGAAGAGATTTGCCAAAAGCTGAGATTAAGCTTCTTGATGCTGGCCATTTTGCTGTGGAAAGCCATACTGATCTAATTGCTTATCATATGCTGGCTTTCTTGAATAAGCATAAACTGTAGTGAGGCGGTTCGTCAAAAATCATCGAAATGAATTCCCCATATATGCTTATTACCGCACTAAGCTAAATGCGATAATTGTACCAACACTGATATCATTCTGCTTCATAGGTTTCACGCTATGGATCACAATATCGAGAAATCTCTTGGAACTGATTAGTTGCTGCAACATTCCTTACTGGCCATAGGATCTCAACTCGGAGAGACTTCGGGATGTTATCGGGCTATTGTCGAGAGTATGCACAATGTGGAACTTTTTCTCAATATTTTAGTCTCATTGGCAGTTTTTTCTTGGCTAAAATAGCTACTAAATAACAAAAGATTTCTCCCAGATATTCTTGAAAGACTGCCGTCCCTGGAGCGGAGTAACGAAATATCTGTTCAAACTTGTGTTCACTTGCGACCAGTCACTCAGCTTCATTTCAACTAGTATACTTGAGATATATGCCAGATAGAAGGCTTCATCCGGTTGGCCCTCACATATATCTGCGCCCTGAAATGACACCCATAGAAGAGCCTCTAGGTCGTCATATCCAGCTGAATACCTGTAAACCTTTTGCACAAGGGATCTGAGTCTTGATGCTAAGGTTCTTAATAGCAATGCTGCAGGATCCCTTTTGAATGTCCCAATATAGGAATATATCAGGAGCGCAAGAGCCACCATTTGCTCCAGCGTGTTATTGGATCCATGTAGTGATTGAGGTAGAAGAGAAAGGAGAGAAGCTTGAGTGGAGTAATACCCCATGCAGAATGCCTCGGCTTCCTGATCTGACAACTTTCCCTCTGTTCGTCTATGGTGACTCTTCTGGAACTGGGAAAGCAGCCGTAAATTGTCAATGGCCGATAGCAGAGTTTGCCCGATACACTTGTTAATAAAAAGTCTGTGGAAGCCAATCCCGGCTTGTTTGAAGCTAATCGCGGCTTCATTTTTCGTCAAAACTTCTCCCTCCCAAGGGGGAAATTCAACTGGATTAGATAAATCAACCACAGTGGCACTCATATGCCATGCTCTATAGTTTGATCAGTTGCCGACCCGGTGCGATTATGTAGGGTCATCTTACCGGATGATAAGATCCATGATAGCAGCAGGTATCCCCTGGAAGCCACCTCGGATAGATACAATGGTTTTAAGCCCTTGGAGATTCGTGGCGATGGCCTCTTTGTCCCCATTTAACATCTATGTGAAATTAAATAAAATCCAGCGCCTAAAGGAAAGAAAAAAGAGGTATTGACAAACCTCGATAGCTAAAACGCATGCCACACCATAGATAGTGGTGATAGACAAAGCGTCTTCCGGATTTGAGACTTTCTCACTGAGGTATCTGATAGCTTTCACTTTGAATGCAACATGCCAGTAGCTTGCAGTGCGTGGACCCTACACATTTAGTAATTAGCGGGTTATAAAAATCGATCACAATCCTAGGACAACCAACGATCATATTTTGATTTCCAGGTCCCTTTTCAGAATCTAGCAAAGCAGCCGAGTAGCTAATGAGGCCTAGCAAGCAAGCGGGTTCCAGGGTTGCCTGCGTTAAAATCCACTCTTCGTGATGGCGGCTGAGGCACTGGATTGGAAACACATCGGTATTTCTTGTCTGAAGGACTAGAATCATTAGTCTATACATCCCCATCAAAGCCCCAATTGAATGAAGATTATAGAAAGCGATTGTCTCAAAGCTCACAGTAGTCCAAGAGTAACAACTCCGTCTGTGTCAATTTTTGAAATGACATTGTTCCTATTTGAACTGCGGGGTTCGACAGACCAAACCTCGCTAAGGGACCATGTTAACAACTTCGTTATTCAAACATGTTGGGTTTAGTCTACTGAACAATCGGACTATGAACACTCACCGTCATCTGGCGGGGCTTAGACACAAGATATCATCTGATTAGAATAAGCAAGGTTTAGACGCACAGTGTCTACGGTTATTTATTTCGTAACCCGCCTCTATACCGCCCAAGGTATCTTGATGCACTTCCTCTGATGAGCGAACTTTGATGGTATCGTGTAATGTGAGTGGTAAGCGAGATTTGGCGAAACGACGAACTTGAGAGCGCTTGGCCTGATCAAAGGCGTTTGCAGGACGATCTTCATCAAACATATATAGGAACAAATGATCTGCCATACATTTCAATTTAGGTCACGTTCTCACCATTTGCTTTTGTCAAAGACTTACGCCCAGGACTAAGCTTTTCATCCGGTCGTTCTTGGATAAACTTCATCTTGTAAAATTCTGGTTTCGCGCGCCGTGGGAGTAATCGTACCAACTAGTTGATACAAGGAAGAATTTTTGGTTGATTGAGTGAGGGATACTAGCTGCCGAAGAACAAGAGCGGGGCAGAAAGGTCGGTTGTGTACATGAGTTACGTGTAAAATACGAATATCCAGGTTACGTCTCTGTAATGCGAGAAAAGAGATGTATATATAAGGCGGTATACACGAGCGGCTTAAACATCCAATCGGATTTCTTCCTTTGCGGCTATATTATCCGGGAAAGGACTCGCAGGTTTCTCGCGCTATAGCTGATTTCGAATACTACTATAACCCTCGGCAGCAGTCGGTGGGTATCTTGTTTCTGTTTATAATAAGGTCAAGGTGCTTAATACATCGCGAATTTTATATTATTAGTCACTTAATTTGGATAGGCATTGGTCATAGGTTCCACGTATCAATACAAACAAAGTACATTGTTCGATTTGAGATGGTGTCGAGGTCGTCGTCACTCGGCCATTGCGAGGCTTGGTCATATATCAGTCACCTCAGGCTTAGCGATGAGCTCTTCTGAAATTGATACATTTCTGAATACCTATTTCCTTCCCACCATTCGAATTTGGTCTTGATTTTAAAGTGCTCTATCAAATATTAAACACAAGATGCGATCACATGAGCCCGATAACCTAGGAAATCGCTAGTCTATCACAAATACGACAAAGGCAGCGGTGATGTCTTCAATCCATCATCACCCACGACGCCATTGTTACCACATCGATCTCCTGCCTCTACTAACAGCGAGAACTGATTTAATTGTAGGGGTATCTTCCGTGAGGTTCTGAATTAAACCTTCATAATTAGATTACAATCATAACACCGCCTCTCAATGCAGCTCAAGGTCCGACAACGGCGCAGCCTGATTCGAAAGATCTTGCGAATGTTCCACGTGCCTTCTCTACAGTCGAAATCATCAAGTATCATTACATTAACCAAGTAAGAACCAATTACCCATCCAAAGTAAGATAACACTAACGTCCCTTCCAGCAAAAAGCAGGTGTCGGTAGCATCTGATTTCAAGAACGACAACTTCAAGTCCCAAGGACACAATGACAATATTTTCACCACTGAATATGTGGACATGTCTCCCAGATATAGCTCCGATACAAGCCCTGTACGAATTGCACCATCCCGCAGGGAGCTAGAGGAACGCATCGTGCAACTTTGGAAAAAAGTATGGTTTGGATTATATGAAATAGAGGACAGCGAACAGCGTCTTCATATATCTCGATTGCAAGCGCTCTATTTTGGAGCGGGATTCACTGCCTATTTAGGCAGACTTGAAATTTTGCGTCGACAAAGTTATAGGGGTATCAGCGCTAATGAAGGAATTCTCTCGCTGAAAGTGTTCGACGGTTTATCTGTTGCGACGCTGGAGTCCGTACTCGAGATTTTGAGAGCCTACGAAAATGAAATCCCAAATCTGGACCGCCTATACGCAATTCTCAGAAGAGGTCAAAGACCAATCCATCGATCTAAATTACCCGCGCCAACAGAAGGACTACGTCGAGAGTATCTGGCAGTGGCAGAGCCCATGGAAAAGAGGATCAAACAGTATGATATTTGGATGAATGTCTTGAATCATGATATACGGGACGAGGCGATGATAATGAGTGACCTGAACTCTCGACCGAGAGGAGGATTTGTTTATTACATGGCATTCCCAGGTCGTTAATAAAGGACATTCTAATCTTCGTTGCTGCGCAGTACGCTTGGAATTGGAAATTGCCGAGGGGCTCTCGGTTTTCCTGCAAATTTTAGCCGAGCAGCACGATGTAATAGAATGCAGTCATACCATTGAAGGTGGACAAAACGCCGATAGTATTGCTTTGGCGGTTCATAGATTTGTCTATCTTCTTCTTACATCTGAATATCTAATAAAGTCCCTATTTATATTCTTCTCTAAAGACCATAATCCTTTCGACTTCCTCTCCATTTTGCTCATCAATCCACGCCCGCCACATTCCACCACAGTTGAAGTCCCAAACCACTTGGCCACGCCGTAGCTCTCCAGAAGCAGGGCTGCATGCGTATTCCTGTGTAGCTTCAATTCCAATAATCCCCCCTTCGCCTTCACCAGTGACAGACCATCGACCACCGGCCAAATGTTGTAGTTGACCACCACGACCGGCGATCTCTTCAACAGCATTGTGGAGACTATAATGTGTTCCACATTGCTTGGCAAGAGCCCCAATTGTGCGTGCAGCAGCGAGGCGAAGGAACGAATCACCATCTCCCGTTCCTGACACGGCGATAGCACGTCTGACAGACCTTGGATGTTTACTAAATCTGTCAAACGACAAACCCTGATTCTCAAAGACCGAGCCGGAATTCGCAAAATTTGAGTTTATTGGATGGGGTGAATATGGTGGAGGGTCGAGAGCTTTGGGGGTAAGCGGAGACATGTTGCCAGACTACGACCAAATTCTGTCACATAGCCTCCCGCCCGCTTGAGGATGCCTTCTTTTGAAAGCGTAATTGGAGAATTGTGGGCCGATAAACACGCAATATCGGAGAATGTAGTGGGTGCACTCAAAAGCTCATCCCAGGCTTCGGCCCAGAATCCCGCGCCGAGTGTTGGAGTGTCGCCAACACGGCCGGGGAGTTTGTTAGTCTTGCCGCCGGTGCTAGTTGCAACAGCTAGGTTGCCCCATTGATCAAGACATACACACCCGACAGTGCCTTGACTCAGAGAAAGAGGCTCTGCTTCTCCACTGAGTCCACGGCGATGCTCATCCCACCGACGCTGCGTCCAAAACCACTCATCTGGTTTGATCTCCAAACCCCACTCACGGGCCAGAGTCTCCACATGAGGCCCGGCCAGCTGTGCATGCATGTTCCCTCCATCATAGTTCGGCTTGCCATCTGGGGCGCAACCAGTACGTAGAAGATGCTCACGAGCTAGATAGATCGGATGGCGCACATTCCGAACACCGATTACACCAACACCTCGTTTCATTTCTCCGGGTCGGCTCGGATCCGGGTCTTGAATGGAAGTCACCATCACGGAAGCTTCCATTTCGATCGTCCCAGCAGTGGTGAATACGCTCCCACGGCCGCAATTGAACAGCTCATCGTCTTCCATCAAGGACACCGCATGAACGGCCGCATCAAGGGCGGTAGATCCATTTTTGAGGAGTGCATAGGTTGCGCGGAGATAGGCCTGAAGAGAAGCGTAATGTTTGGCGTAGAAATCCGGCGGCAAGGTTTCTCGTTTGATGTTGCCAGCACCCCCATGGAGGATCAGCGTAGGCTTAAAGGTGACTGTATTCGAAGACATTATCGGAAGTCACAGAGGTTGAAAGGAGGTTTTTGGGGGTGCGGGGAAGGAGGAAGCGGAGATATGTGCGCAACCCCATTTGATTTGCATATCGTTGGTCACCCCCAGCTGTTAATGTTAGTCTGTCGGCGGGAAGCCTTCTCTCCATTCAGTGTGGGTATACCGCAGTCGGTACTTCAATTAATTGGTCAGACACGCTCTTGATGTTGGAGACTCCATATTCACGATTGTATTATGCCTGATCGAAATCAGTTCATGTACACACAGGGCTTATCTCTAACACTAGCAAGTAGGGGCTATTTCTTCACATGCATCTCAGAGGTGCGGCTATATAACTCATAAGATCATAGCAGTAAAATTGTGGATCTCAAGAGTGCGATTTTGGATTGCAGATCAACATAATATCTGAGAGCTAATCATACTCATGGACATCGTGGAAGAAAGGCACTAGTTAATATATAAATACACCACTTTTCTGGAATTTACACAGAAGAACCGGTAGAAGCAGAATTATGAAGCGCTTTTTGCAGATGAGCAGAATAATTCTTTTGGCAAGCTTTCTCCTCGGCCACGAAAATATAAACGCCGGTCACGGGAGTCAGCCATAAAATGAGCCACACGGTGCACACAAAATTCAATGCTCCGAAAGCCAAAGACTGTCCAGGAAGTATGAGAAGCACCAGGCCAAAAACAAAGCAAAATCTTCTATGCGATGTCGTTGTAAAAATAAGGAATTGAAAAACAAACACCTGAGAAGAGAGACTCCATGCGGGGAATATGTTATGAATACAGAGATCGAAGTCGGACGTTAGTTGTCAGCCACCGAAGGTATGATTCGATCGCGAAGGTGGTATGATGTGTCTTTATGCAAGGGCCTTTTGGTCGGAGGGAGGAGGAGGGGGGAGCTATTGATGAAAAATATATCAGCATATGGCCCCAATGTAGCAACGAGGACTGTCTTATAAGAAGGCACGCATACCTCCAATTTGGTGTTGTCCGCCATCATTCGCTGAAAGCCGATGCCAACACCCTCAATCACACCAAGGAAGACGGCGCACATGATAGCGGAGTTACGTGCTGCCTTTACACCACCACGAACGGCCAGCGCGCCGCCAGTGAAGAAGCCCGCAATGATCGAGTTGAAAGGGTCCTCCTTCTTGCTTTGAGGAGTCAGCATGGTATTCCAATCCACAGCTTCAGAGAGCAGCCAAAACCCACCGAATACCCTTGATGGCGCAATCAAATGTACTGAAGAGTCCTCCCCATACGCCAAAGTTTCCACCGAGCACAGGAGCGCGAGCCTTGATAGCAGTGAGAGCGCCGATCCGGCGCTCGCCATAGGGGCTGTTCCGGAAGCCCTTGACGCCGTGCCAGACAGCGCCACCAATGGCGCCCATACAGAAAGCTCCTCCAAAGTCGCTCAGAGCGACCCAGGGACAGGGATCTCTCGAGTGATCCATTGTGTATGTGATTGATGGAGGGGAAGAGCGATCAAGGGAGAAGGGGTGGAGTCACGGTCGGCGAGATCGGGTGGTCGCGAATAACCGGCAGTAGAGTGAAAGGAAGTCGCGTTGTAACAATCAAGTCAAAATTCTGCGTCAAATTGTAATTGTAATTATGGAGCCCAAGAGCTCAAGGGCGACAGTCTGCAGGAAAGCCGAGGTGAATCGATAAAGTCGGGGGTGCGGGTCGAGGACTTTTTCTTGGGGGTTTCGCGGAACGTGATCTCCAGCGATCTCCAGTGATGATAGGCCGAGTCGCCACCGGGCAATCGGAAGCTTCAGAAGCAGTTGGACTTCCTCATCCGGGGGAGGCAAGTAAAAAACCCGGGCCAACCATGATTACATCGTTCTTTTGGGCAGTGCCACCATATACCGTTCCCTGCTGGGCCCCGGGAATCTTATTCCATATTTCAAACGAAAATCCATTCTATGGGACCGGGTATCCAGCTATCGATGGTGAACAACTATTTAGAACTAACAGTATCTATGAAGGCAAGTTCCAGATAAAGTCTAGGGCTCCTCCTTCATACATTGGAAATTGTCCACCGGCACTCATTCCAAACGGTGCCATCGATGGATCAAAGGGCAGCGAGAGCCAGTCGTCGGACACATCGTTCAATGAAGGCATGAACCCCGTTTCTGATGTTAGATCCTGTGGCACGGGTTTGTTGATTGGATTGACCCGGTCACCATTTTCCGGCCAGGGAGGAGGGCCAATTGACGGCCGCCGCGTAGCACCTCGATTGTTATTCTTCACATTTTTTGAGGACGCGAGCAGATTTCGGCGTAGACGTGAGACATGCATGTCCAACAGCGTAGCGTATCGAGTGCTCAGATGAACATCGTCCAAAGCATTCGATTTGAGAGCACTGATACTTTTCTCGAGTACTTCTAAGGATTCTCGGAGGGTGGCTGGCCGGGTCCCCAAGCTCAGTGCTTTCATCAGGAAGATTGAAGCACTAGTAATGCGCAGAACGATGCGGACAGGAGAGAAGCGCAGCGCGCCCACCTCGGCAAGATGTGTAACTTTTTGCAGTATCTGGCAGCAGCCATCTATCACTTCCTGAATGTACTCATAATCTGTCGGATCGATGGTTGTCGGCCGCACATCATCAGGGTTATTAGGATCAGCATCCGCCAGGGCACGCTCCACAACCGCCTGCATCCCCACAGAGTGGGTATATACGCGAACAAAGTGATACTCAATGAATAGATCATTATAGAAAGCTGTGGCAAGATTGTGAGGCTGGAGATATCTGTCTTTCCACTGGTTGAGTAGGGGCCTGAAATGCTCGAGAAGTCCCACATAACGTCCACTATGAAGTTGTTGGCGAGCAAATCTGGCGGACGGAAAAAACATATCCGTGACCGATTGCGCCAGCTTGGTAAGCTCAATCCAGGAATCCATAAATATCAGCCAGGTGCTGCCGGGCTGGCTTAAACCGCGGGGCTTTCGCCCACCAAGAACGGCATGATTCAGTGATTGGGGTATAGGGGACATGCATCCAATACGCCATGCGAGTTGGTTGATATACACGTATAGCAAGCGTTGAACTCTTTGTCTGCGAAGTGCCATTTGTTCTTTCCATTGTCGGTCTTCGCCTGAAGAGTCGCTTTCCTCTGTCTCAAAGATCCCAAGCTCATGGGCAAGAGAAAGGGCACAGCCCAGCAGCATCCAGGACATTTGATCTGACCGCCTTGATGGCTCAATCATATCTTCAATCCACCTTTCGGCAGATGCACTGTTTGAGTCGGCATGTTCGGAAGATTTTGGAACCGTCGAGATTAGATCATCATCCCACCCATCTGTCTCAGGGGGAAAATGTAAAGAACGAGGGTGCCATTCAGCCATGAGTAGGAGTGCCTCCACTGTGCCAAGGCTCCTGATTTTGGACTTGGTCGACTTTTCCTGTCCGAAGATCAACCGCATCGTTAATTGCTGACAATGTTGCCAGAGACGGTGGTGAATGAAGAAATTTCTTGACTCGCCTCCAGCTCCAGGCAGTACATGATAACGAGAAGATACCATGAGAATTGTAGAGCATAATACAGGCTCCCGGGTGATAAGCAAAATATGATTTTGATGACTCGAATAGAAGTCAGTCAGGATTGGAGACAGACAAGACATATTTTGGAAGAATCTGCTTCCCACTTCCCAATCAGCTTATATTACATTAAGGGGATGGATCAGGAGTCTGGTGCAAACCCACAAATCTATGAAAGTGACCGCCTCTTTAGCAGAGAACCAACCCATCTTCACAAACCGACAGGCTTCCCAGACATGCAGCGTCTCCGGCGACACGTTTGAGATGTCAACGGGATGTACAACTCGAGAGTTGGTTTCGAAAGCAACCGGGCTTTCAAAGTTTCTTGAAGTAGGTCGCCCTTTTGTATTAGAGTCACTGTCTTTCGACCCCATGCCTCGTTGTGGACTCTCGTCACTAGGTGCATTGTCCTCTTGGTCATGGGCAGTTGCCGCCTCAAACAGGATGTTGAGTGCATCATTTCCACTCGCGACGACTGTGCGCATCATCGAATTTGCGAGAGTAGAGCTGGATCGGTGTCGACTATCTTCATAAAGATGAGCTGGTGAACTTTGCGCATGCATAGAGCCATCTGCTGTCGAATGAGGACTGACGCCGACAAACGAGTGATGCTCATTCTGGGGAGACATCTGAGGTCGGGCAAACGCCCATCCCTGCTGAAATGGACTCGTGGAGTCCTGGTACTGAACAGGCTGCTGGCCCGGAGGGAAATGCCTTTTGATCTCTTTTGGTGAAGCAATGAGTGTACTCTGCGTTGCGTGGGGTGGCTGGTCGCCGTTATTTTCGAACGAACGCGCTGAGAGATGGGGCCGATTAGGAATCCGAACAAGGGCATTTGCGGGCAGCTCACCTACCACGTTTGCGGGACCTCTCCCACGCCCTTTTCTCAGGAAGCACACACTCTCGCATCTCTCTGCGGCATCGTGCACATGGTGGGCCGATCGGCAATCCGTCTGGTCCGGTCCCTAGGTCGCATTTCGCCTTGCGTTGCCGACAAGCGTTGCAGGCTTTGTAGGTGCGTTGGTAGGGCCGGTCCGGGCGGGATGGCCTGGCCCCGTCCATCATTAACCGATCGCCCGGTCTGAACCCAGTCCGGATGAATCAGGGAAGGGCGATTACCTATGAATATGTTGTGAGTAATTAGTGTGATGTATGGATGTTTTGGAGGGTGAACTGAGGAGACACGCGGGTCAAGAAGAGCGGCCCCGGGGAGCCGACGTTTTCCGCCGGCCCCGCTGCTCGTCGCGAGGATCGCGAACGTCGCATTGAAGCACCAAGATCGTGGAAGTATTCAAAGCCGGTAGCAACATTCTTACTGCTACTTTGCATTTGAAAAAGACGAGGGTAGCGCAATGATGGTTAGACTCTAGATGCCACCACATAGCATATATAGAAGATTACATTGCGACCACCAAATCATCAGCCAGGAATCCAAGGGCGCGTACTGCGGCGTGCGAGGGTGGGGGATTTGTTGGATTTGTACTCCGTTCTCCACGCATGTTTGGACTCCTGAAAACGGCTAGGGCCACATACAGTCTAGCCGCCTATTGAGTGAAGATAGGAGAATAATTATAAATAGTAGCAATCAAATGATTCCCGCACAAAATGGGGCCCATGGAGACCAGTCATCTTCAAGTGTTTAAAAAAACTACTTTAAATCGATTTTAAGTTCACCAGGTGGTCAGCGAAGAGCAAGGAGTCTCATGCATAGCTATAGGATCAAAATATTTAAATCGATCAAATCGGTCAAGAAATTTTAAGGAAAGGAATGGAAGGAGATTCTATCTAAAGTGAGAATCTAGCTGTCTACGAACGCCGCCGATTTCTCTCTGCATTTGAGGAGATATAATAGTGCATGAAAATATGAGTTTCAGAAAATGTGGCGCAATAGATTTAATCTTGAATTTTCAATAAGCTCAAGTTTTAAAGAGTGAATAACTATGATTTTTGGTTGGAGTTTGATATACACTACGATCCTATATGCGTACTAATTAAGAAACCTACGTATATTCGGCCAAAAATAGAGCGCAGTATTACACTGTGCCTTTCTACTAACATTCTACCATCCATCGAATAGGTAGGTCACTTGCTGTGCTTAGTGTTTTATTTCTATTTTTAAACGTCAGGGTGGATAACTATATCTAACTCGTAAGTTCTTAAGGTGAGGTCTCGCCAGGATGCATTAGATATCATATAATCTCGAAAGTACCCTGCTTGAATCAATTTTTCAACCACATCCTGATCAATCAAAGACTATCATACCATAAAGGTAGAAGCAAAGCAAAACAACTTCCAAGACCCCCACAAAACAAGATGTCATTTGACAAAGCTGCTTATATTAGATAACAACATGCGGTCATGAGTAAGCTTTTTCCGCTTGAGGCAAACGAGATTGATTACGGAAAACTTGGCGACCAGATGGCATTACAAGTGGACCAAGGTCACGTTCCATCTGAAGAGGGTGAATGGGCAGCGCTTGAAGAGTTTTTAAAGCAGCAAGCAAATGATGCGAAACGCAGCAAAAGTGACATGGATAAAATGACTAAGATGCTCTCAGAGGTTTCTTTGACCCGCCAGAAGAGGAAGAACTATAATAAGAAAGGGCAATTTGAGTGCTCAGAATGTCACAATATATATACCCGGCCGGCAGATGTCGAACGACATCGAAAGACATACCACAATAAGCAGAATGCTATACCTTGCCCTGACTGTGGTGCCCAAGTTTCTCGCAAGGATGCTCTACGGCGACACCAAAGAGAACACTGCCCAAAAAGACCTGAATAAGTGAAAAAATCTTCTTAGGATCCACCTATTCTCAGATTTCTATAGAGAAATCTAGATCTCATGTCTTTGCTCTGAATCATGAATGTTTTCAACAGCTTTCCATCCATTCTGACAATTTTTTCGTATCTTCTATTGCGTATATCAATTAAATTAAACAAATTATAGGGAAGCGATCAGCAGAGTAGTACATATTAGCGGAAGATGACCTGTGTAAAGCCCAGCGCTAAAGAAGAGTGCATGCAGTAGTGAGCATACTCTTACCCGACTAGTCAATCATACTGTAATATTTCTGATCTCTTCTGAGAAGAAGCTGTGATCTTTAGATCTAACTGTAGAAGATAAGGTAGAAATTGGGAAGAGGAGCCCTTTTGTTAGGAGGATTTGTATACATACTCGAGACCCATAACTCTTTGAATGGAAGTGTCCCAAATCTAGCTCCCTCGACCCGACGAAGCGATTTCGGTGACTTGATTGCAATTTTCGAATAGACAGTTCCCGAAACGTCCTGGTGACGAGAAGCAGCCCCGCGGCAAACAGTTGACCAGAGGGGCGGCAGAGAGCGAATTGGTGTCAAAGTAGAACCTGGCGGGATGGAGAACTATTTCACATAAGTAGTTACAGGGGATTTGCGCATTCTTATGAGCAGCTCAAGACATAATATTCTTCTCTACTGCTCTTTTCTAGTAGTTCTGACACTGATATCCTGTTCGAGTAGAGACTGAACGCTTCTTTTATTCATTCAAATGATGTATGAGATGCCAAGTGAGAAGATAATAATGTGCGGGTCCAGCGCAACTCCACATCCGCGGAAAGCGACGGCACTGGATAATGAGCAGGCGGAATTTCCGCGCGCTCGGCGATCAAGCCAGCGCCGGTTTAGATGGTTGAATGAGGGTAAACGCAATTGCACGAGACCCCTTACCCGCTTATTAGATTCAAATGAAGTTCAAGTAGCGTTTTATCCTCCCCATCTTAATAATGCAAACTATCTGCGCCATTTCTGGTTTCTATATTCCACTCGGATATCAAGATGTCGGCCACAGTCACTCTCTACACTTACTTCCGCTCCTCCTGCTCAGCCCGTCTCCGCATCGCGTTGCACCTCAAGGGAATTCCATTCACTCCGGTATTCGTCAATTTGCTTAAGGATGAGCAATCTTCGCCGGCTCATCGAGCCATCAACCCTTCCGGCACGGTGCCAGCCCTCATCATCCAGCGCGATTCAAGTACTCCTGTAACCATCACACAGTCATTAGCAGCACTGGAATATCTCCAGGAGGCCTTCTTAGACATGGGGCCGAGTCTGCTTCCTCAGGATCCCGAAGAGCGTGCACTGGTTCGTACGCTGGCTTCGATCATTGCCTGCGATGTTCAGCCCGTGACGAACCTCAGGATTCTCAAGCGAGTGGCGCCGCTCGGGGCAGACCGGGCTGCGTGGTCAAAGGAGTTGATCGAGGACGGACTGCGCGCGTATGAGACGATTGTGGCCAGCTCGGCAGGAAAATTCAGTGTTGGCGACCAAATTACCATCGCGGATATTTGCCTGATTCCCGCAGCGTGGGGGGCCGAGCGGGTCGGCGTGGATTTGAAGGCGTTCCCGATCACCAGCAAGATTGTGCAGAACCTGGAGCAGGAAGAGGCTGTTCGGAAGGGACACTGGCAGACGCAGCCTGACACACCTGAAGACCTGCGAGCCAAATAAGGGGAGGTTTAATCCTCGAATGACATGATACAACTTGGGACGACCATGATGGGAGAGTTTGGATTACGAGATTTTGTAGCCTTCGAAACAAGATTCATTCATGCATATCAATCGTACTTTCTAGTGAATAAATATAATTTTCATTGGAAGCCGAAATCCATCAGAAGCCCCCCTCCCCCCTTTTCCTTTACAGCTAAAACTGGATAGCAGGCAGGATGGTACCGGTGCAGTCGCCGAACCCAACATAATTGCCTTCAGTACCAGCCTTACCGCGCAGGATGATAGTGTCACCATCCTCGAGGAACAGACGCTCAGAGCCATCAGCAAGCTTGAGCGGGGTCTTTCCATTAGTCTGCTCCAAGAGACTGCCCTGGGTCTTGGGCTCAGTGCCGGAGATGGTGCCGGAGCCGAGCAAATCACCGGTATTCAGGTTGCAACCAGTAATGGTGTGGTGTGCGACCATCTGAGGGAATGAGTAAAGCAGGTTGCGAGCGTTGCTGTTGGAAATCACGGTCGGCTGGCCACCCTTGTTGGTGATCTCAACCTCGAGAGGAATCTCATAAGCGTTCTCGGCACGCTTCTCGCGCAAATAAGGAAGGAGGCCGTCACGGTTCCCGGGCTCTAGGCCTGCAGCACGGAAAGGCTCGAGAGCATCAATCAACACAACCCATGGAGTGATAGTGGTGCCGAAGTTCTTGGCGTTGAAGGGACCTAAGGGGATATACTCCCAGGCCTGGATATCGCGTGCGGACCAGTCATTCATGAGCACCAAGCCAAAGATGTGGTCCTCAGCCTGGTCAATGGGGACGGGCTTGCCAAGATCATTAGGGGTGCTGATGAAGGCCGCCAGTTCCAACTCGATATCCAGTCGCTTGCAAGGAGAAAAGGTCGGCACCTTGGGGTCTGCGGCCGGATTCGCCAGGATCTGACCGTTCGGGCGGTGCAAAGGCGTTCCAGATGCCACAACTGAGGAAGCACGGCCGTGGTAGGCCACCGGGAGGTGTCGATAGTTGGGCTGCAGCGCATTCTCCGGCCCGCGGAACAGCACTCCAACGTTGTAGGCGTGGTTCAGACCGGCGTAGAAGTCAGTGTAGTCGCCGATCTGCATAGGAACATGGTTGGTTACTTGCGACAGTGGCACCAAGGCAGATTTCTGCAACGCCGCATTATCCTTCAGAACCTGGGGGTACTGGGTGTCGGCACGGAAGACGTTCTGTAAGTACTCGCGAACCTGGCGATGCACGGGCCGACCAAGAGCAGCGAATGCATTGAGAGTGGACTGGTTGAAAACACTGAGATTTTCTTGGATGGAAGGCAATTGGGAGAAGCCTCCAGAAGAGGCGAACGTATTCAGGTTCAACGCATAGTCACCGATAGCGATAGCAGGCACGCGTGAAGCGGACTGGGCTGAGATGATGCCGAATGGGATATTTGCCAACGAAAACGGCGAGTTCTTGGGGATCTGGAGCCAGGAAGCCATTGTGAATAATAGATAGCAGCAGGAATGAACGATGAAGGGAAATAAAACACCGCGCGGTGCAACAACTTAATTGATTCTGGGACGAGCAAACTCTCGGGCGGCTGTTCCGGGGCAGCGGAATTATGCCGCCCCCCGCTTTCAAGCGCCGCGGAAAAAGGCGGGGATAATCGCGGATGTGTAGCTTGCAAGTGCCGCGGGTGACGTTCAATACGCAAGACGAGACCGACTGCGGGTTGCACCAACTGGCATGGCAGACGTCCTCGGGAGTCGGGTTTCCCTCGGTCGCGGTGAATACAAAGACTTGCAGACGTGCTTCTGAACACCGTGCATCTTCCACCCCTTCACAGACTCGCCATCATGCCTGTCACTGAATTCTCCCACCCAGACCCTTACTCGTACCAGACTGGTTTCGACTCGTATCATGAGTAAGTTAGTCAGAGAACCTGTGATCACTTGGATCGCCCAGTTGGAAAGCTAATTCCGCGGACAGGACCGAAGCTATCGAGGGAGCTCTCCCCGTCGGCCATAATTCACCTCAAAAGGCTCCATACGGTCTCTACGCAGAAAAGCTCTCGGGAACTGCTTTTACTGCACCCCGCCATGAGAATAAGCAGACCTGGGTCTACCGCATTTTGCCCTCGGCGGCTCATGAGAAATTCGTCGTAGAGGATGCGGACTCCTACCACACTCGCATGACCACAGAGACGCACAAATTACACCATATCCCGAACCAGCTCCGTTGGAACCCATTTGATTTAGATGAGAAGGTGGATTGGGTCCATGGCCTCCATCTAATCGCCGCATCGGGAGATCCAACTCTCAAACAAGGACTGGGGATCATGATGTACGCCGCTGGCAAGGATATGGGCAAGGAAGCCTTCTACTCTGCGGACGGTGACTTCTTGATTGTCCCGCAGCACGGTGTTCTGGATATCCAGACAGAACTAGGCCGCATTATTTTACGCCCAAATGAAATCGCAGTTATTCCACGAGGCGTTCGGTTAGTTTCACACTCTTCTTGGAGAACGCATAGTCGGTGTCTTTCACTAAAGCTCATAGATACCGCGTAACTTTGCCTTCCGGCCCAGTTCGAGGATATATCTGTGAGCTGTACCAAGGTCACTACCAACTACCTGAGTTGGGTCCTATCGGGTCAAACGGTTTGGCCAATGCCCGCGACTTCCAGGCCCCCGTCGCTGCGTTTGACGATGAAGAAGAGCCCAGTGAATATAGGCTACTCAGCAAGTTCAACAACACCTTGTTCGCCGCTCGACAGAATCATACGCCGTTTGATATTGTTGCTTGGCATGGAAACTACTACCCTTATAAGTACGACCTTGGCCGATTCAACACCATTGGATCCGTCTCATTCGATCACCCCGATCCTTCCATCTACACCGTTCTGACTGGTCCCTCGGACCATGTGGGCACGGCCATCGCCGATTTTGTCATCTTCCCTCCACGCTGGCTCGTTGCCGAGGACACTTTCCGACCCCCGTGGTACCATCGGAACACCATGTCCGAGTTCATGGGCTTAATTTGTGGTAACTACGACGCAAAGACCGGGGGTGGCTTTCAACCCGCAGGCGCTAGTCTGCACAACGTCATGAGTGCCCATGGCCCGGATTCCGATGCATTTGAGGGTGCGAGCAACGCCGAGTTGAAACCAAGCAAGGTTGGTGCCGGAAGTATGGCTTTTATGTTCGAAAGGTGTGTCAATATATTCGTCGCTATGATGAAGGTGTTTACAGTACTAATTTTCCCTAGCTCTCTGATGGTTGGTGTTTCGGAATGGGGCTTGAAGACCTGCGAGAAAGTGCAGGAGGAATACAACGAGCATAGTTGGCAGCCTCTGAAGCGCCACTTCAAGAACCCCAACAAAACCTGAAATGGAAAGCACGATATTTATGTGTAGATAACAAACTTGCTTTAGCATGGAGTGATTCGATGATAAATGGGTTGATGGAGAATGATCAAGTTGCCTTTCGGATTAATTGCCAACCTCTACATTCACCGTGATGTTTAGTCACAAGTATCTTCTGAATATTCTATACCAAGAGATATCAAATTCTAGTCTAAAATATCCCAACGAGGTCTGCTATTCAACTCTCTTCCCTCATAGAAACTTTTGCTGGATAACTCAGGATATGGGTGGATAATCGTACTGTTGTGTTTTATCTTTTGTCGTTTACATCGGATGGCGTGTGGATGGTCCCACAGAAATACCTGCTCATAGTCTAACACCCAAGGCTTGATTGACGATCGAGGACTTGGCGTTCTTTTTGATTGTAAGCAAAACTTTATCTCAACAAAGTTTCATGAGGATTAAGCGGGGTAGGGAGCGCATTAATATCGTAGGAATCTAACTTGGCACGTTGGTGCGAAACTACACGTCCGTCACCATCACATTTCACTTTTTTTCTGCATATAGTAAGATAGGGGTATATCAGCGCAGTTAATCCACAGGCTAGATCAGTCTCCTTAGAGTATGAGTCTGCCATTTAAATTTATCAAAGAAGCTATGCACCCATTGAAGACAGCAACGTGTCAAAAATTTGAACAATTTCCTTTTGCTCCTCCGGAGACAGTTGCATTCTGTTTGCATGCGTATATCCTTCTCTGAGCCGTGCTGTCACGATCGCCTTTGGGGTTTTGGTTCTGAAGGTAGCCTCTATGCTTTTGGAAATACCATGGAACGGATAAGCTATTAATCCAATTCCAGCTTCATGTGCATCTGAGATTAGCAATCGCGTTAAGAGGAAGGAAGTTTGGAACCTCACTCACCGGAAGGCATTTTTGTAGCCATTCCAAGGGCGCCTCTAGCCAGACCTTTAACAGCACCCGCCGATCCCTCGTCGATTGCCCCTTTCATGGGATGCGTGAACATGCCCGTTACGCCGCTGGTCATGCCACCAACGAAATTCTTCCCACCAACCTTGAATCCTGATTTCCAATCCTGAACCGTTCCATAGTCTTTCGGCTTTTCACCATAGAGCTGAGGTGCCCTTCGAAAGCCCTCTGCTGCAGCATGAGGAATATCCACGATAACACCCCTGAGATAGGTAGCGGAAAATTTGCCGAAGCCCTGCAATGTCGCTCCTACCATATTTCCTGCAGTTTGGAATCCATCCTGTTCTCGGGAACTCTGGGATCGATTCATAGGTGGTCGACCACTCTTTTCTAAGTGCGAGCCTTTATTTGACATCGTTCCGGAAGTTATAGATCCCGATCCTGTGGAACTTGAAGATCGAGGTGTATCATTCGTGCTTCTCTGGGTAGAATCTTTGGCACGGCCTCGTTTAAATTCCTTATATGGATTATAAAACATTTCGCCTGTCGATTGTAGCATATTGGAGCCAGTGGCTGTGGCAGCGGACAGGACCCCGGTCAATGGATCCCATCGACGGTTCTCAATCAGTATAGGGTTAATGGGGTAGCTGTCATTTCACAAGGACAAAAGTCAGCATACTCCAACGTGAGATAGTTTATTCAGAGCTTACCATTTGATGTGCTTAGCTTCAATTCTGTTGTGTTCAATCAAAATGTTCACAGCTGCCTTAGACAAATGCAGTGGCTTCTTTCCCTTAGTATATGTCCATACCGCTATTTGTTCGGGAATGATGCTGCATCGCATTCTATCGAGAGGCAAATTACGATGGAACGAGTCCACAGCAGCTGCGACTCCGCATTCGCTCTGCATCTTGATTGAAATCTCATGTGCGGCTGCGGCAGCAGCTGGCGTAAGGCAGAATTGAATTGCAGCAGCCAGCGTTTCGGGTTCAAGCGTGGCATGTGGGATCGGGTATGAACCAGCCCCGGCTTCTGCGACCATATTACCCCAGAATGGTTGACTATGGTCATAATTGATCAGTATGATATCACTTGGAATCACGCAGGTTTCAAAAAGAAAAGCGAAGGTAGTAGGCATACTCGCCAAAGAACGGCACTATCGCAGTAGGCCGCCCGTTTAATAGACCACAAGCGGTCGTTCCAGCTCCTCCATGGTGAACCACAGCAGCTACATGTTGAAAAAGCCACGAATGTGGACAGTCACCGAGATAAAGGATGTTGTCATTTTGAGGGCCTGCCAGCTCACTCCAGCCCTTTGAAACAATTGCTCTTACGCCAGACAGGGTGACTGCTTCTATCACAGTATTAATCAGTCTTTGAGGATCATCGACAACAATGCTGCCGAAGCCAATGTATATTGGAGGCGGTCCCGCCTCTAGAAATTCCGCTAGCTCTGGTGGTGGGGTATATGAAGACGGTTCTGTGAAGAAAAACCCGCAAACATCTATAAAATGAGCCTCCCCAGTCTGCATGCCATGGGAATAGTAGCAGAATACATACCAATATGGGCTGGCCAATCCCGTGGTCTTGGGACTAAGGCGGGCGACCAACAATAAGTAAACGGGATCTCCAAGGCTTCTGCAAGACACGGTCCCTCAGTCCTTGGAACGGGTGCTAGGTCGATCGAAGACCTCCACCGGTTGATAACATCTCCCAAGCTGTCGAAACAAGTGAGCCATTTTCCCTTTGCATTTGATCGGAGAAACCTACCCTTGCCATGTTAGCCATTCGACCACTCCGTACGATACCCAGTTGGCTTGGCTTGCATCCATAGTCTCAGAGTGAAGATTCGCCAGGGGATGAGGAAAGGCCTTGGTACTGCTCCAAGGCATAGTGAACATCAAGTGAACAGGGATGCCCAAAGCCTGTGCGCAATGAATATGCGCAAAGCTAGGTGGATTGGCAATAATTGCATCTGCCACAAATGGCTCCAGAGTATCAGTATCGTCCTCAATACATGATCTCCAACATCCATCGAGCATTTCTGCTACCATGCGTTGCTTCTTTTTGATCTCCCCGTCACGGAGGGTTTTAATCTGCGGAATTAGACCCGGATTTTTGACCATATAGGCCATGAGCTGTGCTGGGTCACCACCGATTGAAAAGAATTCCAAGTAAGACTCCTTAACAAAGTTCTCGAAGACTCCGTGGGTGGCGATACGAACACGATGGCCATGCTTTTGCAGTGCGTTTCCTAATGCAATAAAGGGCTGCACATCCCCACGGCTACCCACAATCTGGATCACTATATTTAGTTTCAAATCACAGGGAAATGATCCCGGGATATCAGCACCAAGATTCTCTAGCAGTGGAGGATATGTATCTTGCTGCTGGTCGGCAATTTGAGCGAGCGATTTCGCAAGCTTGGATTCTAGATTGACGTCAATGCGGCCATCGGCTGCGGATAGAACAAACCAGTTGTCAGCCCTCTATTGTTCAAATCAGTGCTTCAACTTCCATATTACATACTATAGACATCGGCCGACTCCGTTGTCAGCTCAGGATCGATGTATGGAGAATATGGTGGGGGTGATTGCTTCGACTCCAGCTCACGGTCGGGGCTTGAAGGGGCTCCCATGTTGACGATGGGTCTGAGCCTTGATGCAGGGAGAACCCCCCGTTGAAACGACTCCCAAGGGAAAGAAAAGTTCGGTTGTTTGAAATAGACCAAGATGGGGGATAATCAAGATTTCGGGGAAATTCTCGTCCAACCTAACATATCAAGCGCCTCGAAAGGTACATAACTTACCCAAGCGGCAAGCTGGGCTTAGTCAACCCAGTAAACAGTTGAAGATGCGGAGTAATCTTGGAGGGGTCCACGGCCGCAGAGATAGCTTTGCTCCCCTCTTTATTTTTGTTTATCACCACTTATCATCACTCTCGCTCATTTTCAACCAATCTATGCGGACTACGACAAATCCCCAGTGTTTCGAGTGTGCAGGCATCAGGGTTAATAAGCCCCTATTGCGGTGGCAAACGGGCCGTGCAGAGTCAATCCCCGCCAATTTACGTCGTGGCTGTGCTCAACAATCGAAACCTGTTTTGCTACATCAACCGTCCTTCTCTTGTTTGTTGATTGAGCATATTGTTTCGCCTGAGTCTGTGTATCAATGGAGGGTGAGCTCCGCGAGTATGCCAATGGCCCTTTGTCCAGCCTATCACTGCCTCAACCAGGAGGATACCAGGATACGACTCGGCGGAGGTTGCTGTTGATCTACATCCATGGCTTCATGGGCTCGGAAGCCAGCTTTCATAATCTTCCAGCACATGTCCATGACGCTCTGACAGGATTACTGTCTGAGTCGCATGTGGTATACACCCGCATCTATCCTCGATACAAGTCTCACGGTGAGCTCCAAGCGGCCGTAAATCAATTCAGTTCCTGGTATGTTGTTTTGGAGACCATGAAGCCGTGTAACAGTGCTGGCAAGGAGAAAGGGAGTCAAACACATCGATGAACCTGACATTGTGCAGGTTATCGCCGCATGAGGCAAAAGATCTAGATGTCGTTCTGCTAGGCCATAGTTTAGGCGGAATTCTGGCTGCCGATGTTGCTCTTCTCCAGCTCAATGGGCAACCAAAACATCGGATATTGGGACTCGTAAACTATGATGTCCCCTTTCTAGGCTTACATCCGCGTGTTATACCCACTGGAATCACCAGCTCAATCCCAAAAAAAGATATCGCAGCCGAAGATCAATTAGCCGGGGAGCAAGAATCCCTTGGCTTAACTCCGGCCTACAAGGCCGCGACTCCCAGTCCCAATTTCGATCCTCCATTTCGAAACGATGTACGCATTGTTGAACGAGGCTTTTTAAAAGGGATAATGCACTTCGTGAACAAAAATACGGACAACCTATCGCGATCAATATTTGACCGCCTCGTATCGCCAATGAAGTTTGCTGGCTGCGTCAACAACTACTCTGAACTTCGCCAACGACACAAATGTTTGATAGATTTAGAATCTGCAGAGTATAGCCCCGATAGAGTACGGTTTGTTAATTACTATACAACAAGTACAGGCCGACCAGCACGGAAACCCAAAGCAAGTCCCACAAAGGAGCAAGAAGACATCGACGACTCGAAAGGAATATTATCGGGTCCTTCTCTGGAAAATTTACAGACATTAAAAACTGATTCAGAGCCGAGCGATACTACCTTTACAGAAAATCTCACGCTGGAAGAAGAGAGTGTCAAATCTATTGCTTCGGGCTCTACCTTGACGGTCGAAGGCGTGAATTCTGATAAAGAACGGCCATCTACGGATACAACTAATTCCAAATCCGCAAGTACCGAGTTTCCTTCCTCGGCTGACGACAGGGAAAGTCAACATCTATCAGAGCCTGTTTCTCTCGCAACTTCAGAATCCGATCTCAGTTCAGAGACGTCTAAACAGAAACTTCGCAAGTTCATACTGCTGCCATCCCATCATTGGAAGTACAATGATAACGCCCACTGGATGCCAATTTTGATGGAAGACATGGATGAGGTCACTGCACACCAATCGATGTTTATGCCACAGAGTACACATTACAGCTACCTTGTTGGCGATACGGTCGCCCTTATTGAGCAATGGGTCCAGACTGACCTCAGTCGACGGTTACTCCAGGAGAGCCTTGACTAAAGGATTCCCAAATCAGTCTCGACTATGGTCGAGGCTGAGATTTGTCTTATACTGAAATTCTTCCCCTAATAGCACATAAACTATTCTTCGCCAATAGGAAGCTTGTCTTATAGACGGTGGATCTGTGGATTACAATACGGTTAGTTTTGCCGTTCCTCACCTAGTGCCCAAGTATGCTGCCCTGTACCCCCTTCCCTCAATCGCCCCGACATAAGAGACCCCGACCTCGCCCTCTCGACCTTGTCCATTTTCCTCCCCTCCCTCCAGCTCCTCTACGTACCTACAATCTATTCCAAATTGCCTATAGACACCAATTCGAATCAAAACGGCCATAGGTGTTGCCTGGTCATTCTTTATCTTCGTCTACAGGGACGCTTGGGTCTCTCTCAATATTTATATTATTTCATCCATTTCTTCATTCAGACATGACAACGCATTCAATTGTAAAATCACACAGATTTATTTATCCCTCGACCTCCTTCCTCATCGCCTCTTTCACAATCGCACCACACATCTTGGCGTATGGGTTTGTTTGTACTGCAAGTTGCTGCCCGACTTTATTCCCATATCTGCCTCCCAAGAAGAAGTCCCGGCTGGCCATTTCCTCTAGCTGATCGGCATTCAGTCCTTGCAAGCGCTCCGGGCCGACCGGTTGCAGATTGTGCTGCTCCAACCGATTCTTCTTTACTCGCGCCGCTTTCAGTAATAGATAACCCCGATGGGTATGCGCATCTGCCAATAGCCGGGCTTGCACCGATGAAACGGGGTCTGCGGGAGAAGCCGGCGTAGCAAACTTTATTGCTTGTCCAAGATCTGCGAATACGCAAGATGATAGCTCTGCCGCTTCGGGGGTGAATAGCGCATCGTCTCTCTCGGCCTCTATGCTGTGAGGATGTTTCTCATTGTACGCGTGGTCAACCAAGATACGCAACACCTGGGCACGATTTGTATAGGCCGGAGGGTAGGTGGAAAATTCGTTTACAAGAGAGTTGAATGCTTCCAACGTTGAATCGATCAACTCTCTGTCGGGGGTTGTCACTCTTTGTAGCCTCCGTACGATATCTGTCTCCTGAATCTTGAGGCTAGAAAGGTCTTCTTGCGAGATAGTCACGGACGGGGGCCATGAAGGGAGAGACTGATCAACGGTGATCCCAGATGAAGGTGAGGATTCGGCGTCAAAAAGTGCCTGGAGGACAGATGCATCATTTTGGGTCAGCGACGGCAGTGATTTTGCGATCGTCGCCATTGTCGCGATTCGTGACGACACAGTCTGGCTGCGGCTTCGAGGTTCGTATTGAAAATAGGAAGTCGGAGAGTGAATGAGATCGACGGTTTCTGTCTATGTTTTGAAGTTTTCTAAAAGGAAGTCTGAGAGATACGATCGAGGAAAGCGACTGGCGCATTTCCAACAATGATGTTATCGACGCGGCCCGGCTGCTGGCGGCTAAGTCCGGCTGGCTCAGGATGCGGAAACAGCCGTGCCTGTCCAACTGCTCCACGATGACCGAATTCTCGAGATATCCGACGCGGTTAATAGAGGGCGCTTGGAGTGGTTGGAGCCTTATAAAATAATATTGGAGGCGCGGTACCATTCATATCTTGCCATATCTTGGAATTCATCAACCATCTTCCTTGCCTTTCATCCTCCACCGTGTTTCTCCATCTGAGGATATTCAACCCTAAAAAGACTCTATTCACGAAGAAAGGTATTCTATCAAACGGAAAAAAATCTGCAAATGGCTCCCTCAGCTATCTCCAACAGCCCGCCCCCTTCGGCTAACGGGGAAGCCTCCATCGCCAGCTACCGCGGTTATGACCATGTCCACTGGTATGTCGGTAACGCCAAGCAGGCCGCCAGCTACTATATCACCCGGATGGGCTTCAAGCGCATTGCCTATCGCGGCTTGGAGACTGGTAGCCGTGGTATTTGCTCTCATGTCATTCGCAACGGCGATATCACTTTCATCCTGACCTCGCCGCTCCGCGCCTTGGACCAACTCGAACGCTTCACTGCTGATGAGCAAGAGCAATTACGAGAGGTCCATAGTCACCTTGAGAAGCACGGCGATGGTGTTAAAGATGTCTCATTTGAGGTTGATGATGTTGACGCTGTTTTCTTCGCCGCTTTGAAGAACGGCGCCAAGGTCGTATCCAAGCCTCGCATCCTCAAAGACAACCATGGTCACGTCAAAGTTGCTACTATCCAAACATATGGTGAGACTACACACACTCTCATCGAGCGCAATCAATATCGTGGTGTCTTTTTACCGGGATATCGCGTCGAAGAAGCAAACGAGGACCCTATTTCCAAGTTCCTGCCCGGGGTAGATCTCAAGAGGATTGACCATTGCGTTGGAAACCAGGATTGGAATGAGATGGACAAAATCTGCGAATAGTAAGTTCTCAAGTTCTGCCATTTGGGCCAGATTGTGATCCAGTGACTAACTCCCGTTTAGTTACGAAAATGCCCTTGGATTCCACCGGTTCTGGTCCGTTGATGACAGCCAAATCTGCACGTAAGTTGATCTCACTGCCTGTGATACGATAACAACGAGGCTAATGTTTCCTAGTGAATTTTCCGCCTTGAAGAGTATCGTCATGGCGTCTCCCAACGAGATTGTGAAGATGCCTATCAACGAGCCTGCAAAGGGCAAGAAGCAGTCGCAGATTGAAGAATATGTGGACTTTTACAACGGCGCCGGCGTTCAGCACATTGCTCTCCTTACGGACGACATCATCCGTGATATCACCAACCTGAAGGCCCGTGGAGTGGAGTTCATTAAGGTTCCCGAAACATACTACACTGACATGCAGGAACGTTTGAAGGAGTCGGGCTTGGTGCTCAAGGAGGATTTTGATACTATCCGGAGCTTGGACATTTTGATTGACTTCGACGAGGGTGGTTATCTTCTCCAACTCTTCACCAAGGTATGACAACTTGACTCAGCGTTTTCTCTTGGTAGAAAGATACTAATGCGTAATTATAGCACTTGATGGACCGCCCAACCGTTTTCATTGAAATCATTCAGCGCCACAACTTCTCTGGCTTTGGAGCAGGAAACTTCAAGTCGCTCTTCGAGGCCATTGAGCGGGAACAAGAACTCCGTGGGAACCTTGTCTAAGAGCGGAGGACTTGCCAAACAAAATTGCATATTGGGTTTATTTTTGCATCCTTTTTGATACCGCTTCGCATCGATGGCACTAGTCATTTGACTCAATTTTGGATATATTCAATCACTTCTCATAATCGCAGTGCTATCCTTTGAATATTGTTAAGGATGGGAAGTTCTTCGGTGCCACTAGAGAGGCAGGGTGCGGCATCGTTGGTTCTTCCATTCGTAATCCTTCATCGGTTCCCTCCTATCTTGATCATATTTCTTTACATCGATTTTATTTACGTCTTTGTCAATTGACCAGCAGGAAATATCCTAGCATTTAGGTAGAACGATAATGGAGTCATCTGTTGACATATCTATGCGTGCGCTGATGGTTTGCTTTTCGTTGTATTTTTGTACATAAATTGAAGACAACACTGAAATCATCAACAGACACACACCCAGTTAATGACTTTATACATAAGAATAGAGATACAGATGCAGTCATAAGTATAGCGAGGATATGTTATCACGATGCAGCACGCAATGCAATGCATAAGCTTCTTTCACTCAAAAATCCCAAGAAATTCAAGAAACAAGACATTCTTTACTTTTTTTTCGACGAACTTGATCCGCCAGGTACAGTTCCTCCGCGTCGTTTATATTTGCGAGGATCTGGCTTATTATTAGCGAGAGGGAAGTTGTCATAATAGATAGATATCACAATACCTTTTCGGCTCATCAAGGCGCGGTTTCGTGTTCCCTTTCCTCCCTCCCAGAATCCGCTGCCAGCTTTGCCAACAAGTACAGCCTTGCAGACTCCGCAGTTGTCAGGTCTGTATATTTGCTCCCTGGAACAAAAGCCGCTATGAACTGTGTTAAAAATTGATCCGTCTCTGCCTGGTGAATTCTAGGGTTCTTGGATTACATACCAGATCATACGATTTGCATGCTCGTTGGGGTGATCTGTTTCAGCATCGTGACATCTGGTGCTGTTAGATCATCGATTTGACGAAGCTTGGGGAGATCTGGAGTCACATACTTATCGCACGGAAATACTTTCTGGCAACAACTGAACCTAAACCAGCGATGACTCTTACTATAGTGCTGGCAGCGACCGCGCCGAGGGAGTTCCTGTCCGGCAACGATGCCTAGAACCTCTCTAGGCCTCCGCTTCAGCGGCAGCGCTGCGCGAGAAGATAGTGCCGCAGACCCAACAAGCAAGAACTTGACTTCGGGGATCTTGAAGACCATTTTTCGGTGACAGTGACGGCAAATAGCCATTGCGCTTTCTCCGCGGACTGCAGATACCCCGGGTGCATGATATGTAGTTGAGCACTCGGCACAAGTGGGAATGAAGTTACTGGGTAGGAGATCCACAATGGTGCAGCCATATAAATCGAGATATCCGGCACGGTTTGCGTGCGAATGCATCAGCTGTTTCCGGAACCCAATGCTCATGGAGTTTGCACATTTCTTGCAAGGTTCAACTTTCGGTGATTCTTTCGGGTCAGAGATCTGGGGAACATTCTTGATATCCACCGACTCCTTGCACCGTTCGCATTTGACAGTGATTGCGAGGTGCACGACCTCAAGCAGCTCGATCCCATAAAGTTCCAGGAAGGGGAATGAAAGAGCAACGCCTCGTCCTGGGGTATCCGCAACTGCAGGAACAGGTGCGCCGCCCTCTTCCTCGTCTTCTTCTCCATCCGCCTCAGAATCCTCATCGAAGCTAGTTTCATCAGTAATATCACTGCCGCTGTGATTTTCTGGCACGGACCACTCAGGAGGTCGCGGAATTACATGCAAATGAGGTCGATCGCCGACTTTATCGACTGGTACGCCATCTTCAGGTTGGCTCGAGGCTTCGTCCTCAGCTTGAATGTGTTGATGCTGAGCTTGCTCAGCAATCTCAGGCAAGGGAGTCTTGGCAAAGTTGTGCATGTTACTTGCCAGATAGTTGATCTGTGAGACTATGTTCATCTGGGAATTATTCTCAACCCATTGCGAGAATCCAGTTTCCACAGACCTGGCCTCTGCGCTATCGACCTCCTGGATGTCGATCGCGCTGTGCTCTAGAGGATATAGGTAAGGAATCAAAAGCTTCACAGTTTTCACCGATTGAAGCGACCTGGGTAATTGATCCTGCTTATTAGGCCGAATGGGTATGATGAAGGCGGTCTCTGTCCGTTTATGGAACCCTGGTAGACGGCCAAGGCGAGCTTCGAGCTGTTTTGCCTCCATTGACCTCCGCTTCTCAGCCTGGGCCTTTTGTTCGAACGTGTAGACTGGGCCTCTGGGTATAGCCTTTTGTGCTGGTGCTTGTAAAGCATGGGTAGGCGCAGGTTTAGATCGAATCTCTGCTGGTGGGTTTGCCACAGCATTCGAATTTTGTGATGGCTCCGACTTCGCGGGGCCATTGCCAAGATTAGCGACAAACTTCAGCTTAGGGCCTCTCTCCAAGGTTGTGAGCAGGCGCTCTAGCTGCCTATCAAGGGTGTTCATCCAATTGAGCAAAGTTCCCCGGGCATTCGTGCGAATTGCAAAGTCAACAATGTCATCAAACCCCCTAGCAACATTCGCCTGAAACGCAGATTCCATCTCAGGATTGGTCACTGTAAGGGCAGGTCTGTCTTGTCCAGGGTAGGAATTTGGGACGTAAAGTACACATTGCAAAGCATCCAACTCAAAGGGAAAATCGGGGTCAGAAGGAGTCATTCCAAAGCTCAATGTTGAGCCATTCTCGTTTGTCTGCTCCTGCGGGTGAAAACGTCGCCTTAGCTGGTTGATTTGGAACTCTCTGGGATCATTCTTTTCGGTCTTAGAAACAGGTCTTTGCGGCAGGGTATTTTTTGATGTTGGTGTGGTTTCTTTTGCCTGTGGCGTGTCAATGTTCAAATCCTGGACCCTAGTAGTTAGACGGCTGTCTGGGTCTTTAGCTGTCTCCGCCTGTGCTTGTGACTCGGGTGTTTGAACCGGCCGGGCACGTCTTTGTTCGAAAACAGATTGATCATGGATGAATGGGCATTCTGCACCCGCACGGCAACCTGGATTTTGACGACATTAGTGTGAAATTCATGCATGTATCATCACGCATTTATCCGAGTGGGCAACGAATATCAAGTCTTTGAAATACATCATTTACGTTTCACATCTCATCGGTCTACTAACTCCATTTGGGGGCATCGAGCATATAGTCCCAAGCTGTCGATGAGACGGTTGGGTACGCCTGTAAAGCCTAAGCCCCCCGGCCAAAACGAATACCTACATATTCGATCCCCATATTGGAGCAGCCAAACAAAAGAAAGCATGACAGTAAAGAGCTGTCTCTTTGAAACAGCAGAAACTCAGAACAGAACGAACGTACCCTTCTTGGTCGCGAAATAGCGACATTTAGCCCGTTTTCGGGTCGATGATTGGCGAGGTGCATTCGCCTCCTGTGAGGAGATAACGCCATGCGCCGACGCTGGGGCTGACAACTCATCACCAACATGACCTGAGGCCATGGAAGGCGACTGTTCTGTGCCTGCGGAGAAACGATTATAGTGAGCGTGTGATCAAAAAGGTTGCGGGCCGTTGTATCCGCCCCTCCTTCCCTCCCGAGGAGAATAGATAGTGAGCGGGCAAAGTAGAGCGCAAAGCAGGTCCTGAGCGCCATTGAAGGCACCTGCAGGGTTGGTGACCGGCTTGTGGCGGGTGCATGGGTGATGGTGCATGGGGAGGGGGGGGTGGATGGGGCATGGTTTGGACAAGGCGCTACCCCCCAGGATTGTGGAGGGCTCGATATGACGGGAGTCGGATACGACGCGCCCTTGGTGATGATTTGCTTCACGGCAGGCGAGCCACGCCATGTATCCTGGGGCCAATGGAGACAAGGCTGGAACTCACGATGGGCCTGGGGCTCTGGACCCGCCGGGCTGTCAGTTGACCGGTTTTCCATGGTCAACGCCATGTTGGGGCCGGTTAGACAAGAGCCGATGGGGGCGAAGGGGAGCCCGTCTTGGATGATTGCTTGGAATGAAGGTTGGAGATGCCAACGCAGAGATCGGGTGACCAGCGACCAGCTCGGAGATCGACAGGACCAGATCTGCAGTGCGCACAAAGGGTAAGCCGCAACGAGAGGCGGGGTTGGCGGCCAGTTGGTCAAAGCAAACGAGTAACTGAAGACGATCTAAGACTAAATGCAGAGGCCAAGAATAGTAACCCGAGAGAATCGAGATGGTTTGATCAGATATGATAGAGATGATGGAGATGATGGAGGTTATGAAGTTAGGAGTTATAGATGTTGACGGGTCGGGCGGTGCCAAGCCTTCAGGGAATTCCACGGTGAAGTCACCGCGTTCCACTGTGATTCAATCTGACTCACGACCCGTCGACTCGCGGCTGCCATCATGATTTTTGACTCACAGTGGACCAAGAATGGATACGAATCCACTGTCCCAGCAAAGAGTCTAAAGAGTGCAATCACACTCAAGGTGCCTCTCGGTGTTGGAGAAGTGTTTGAATTCGTCCTCGCCAAGGTCACCGATCCCCGACCGAGGTGCAATGCATAATACTGTATATTAGACTCTCCTCCCGAGAGGTTCCAACCCCTCGACAATGCCAACTGAGATCAGGAAGGAGGGGGGCATACAGAACAAAGTGAAATGTCATTCTACGTTTTTGTTTTGATAACAATGGAATTTTGTGATTTCACAGAAGAGGCTTTTCAAGAAAAGCCACACGGTGTATACCCCCAGAAGATATGGTACGCGATAGATTCGATGGACAGACCGATACATACTTACTAACCAGACACCGACAATATACTGCAGATGGAGATGTATGTAGACCACCCTCGACTGGATGATTGAATCAATACCTGTATGTTTTATGTCAGTAGATCTAGGGGTTTGTTCGGAATGTAATAGTAAGAGTTGTATCATGATAAACCGAAGCCTCAGGAAACAATATATATCTATCACTTTCTAATATAGTATATCTTTGCCCCATTCTTCTAATCTTCAAAACTGCATCTCAACAATTCCACCGTTATGCAATTATAGTTCCACACTAATGGAAAATTATTCCCCTTTACAGCATGAACCGGATCGCCTCCCCCGGCCCCCGATCATCGCAGAACCATTTCCAATCCAGCACGCACGCCTCTCCGTCAGGCTGCGCGACCATAAAACCCCGCCACGGATAATAAGGTCGCGCGTTACGCGGAGAAGAATGAGGGGGCGAGCTTCCAGAACTTCGCCTCCCTGCGCGCTAGCGACGCCGCCTGGTCCAGGGTTATGCGTTTAGCCCCCGGCGATGCAACATCGGCCCAAAAAGAATGGCCGGGGGTGGCAACGTCTCCCAATCGAGCACCCAGCGGAACGCAACCAGGCTAGTGCTTGATGGGAGGCGGTTGGTTTGACCTGGTACATCTATTGTTTACTGAGTTCATGCAGGGACAGACAATATTTGCCAAGGACTGATAATAGAAGCAGCTCATTATCTGATATTCCCAATAGAGGGGCGCGCATAGAACGAGTGCGACTGTGCTACTTTCATGCGATCGGATCTAGAACTGATAAGCTTCCCCTCTTTCTCGGTGTAGAGCAGTCCGGGGGACCGTTTCCCTCGTCGATACACTTCTTTCTAAGCGACTCGGGGTGAGCGATAGCAGTAAGCCGAACTCTACGTTTAAATTAAAAGCAAGCCACGCAATCCAGGGGGTTGAAATATATATGTAAATAAAAGAAATAAACAATAAAGAGATAAAAAAACAACAGCAAACAAGAACGTGGTCGTGCCATCTGACATCTGACACCACGACACCCCATCTGTCAAATCAATTCTATATACACCGGCTTCGGCCGATATCTCTGTCCCCGCGTTTAAAGTAACAAGGAGGGCACGCACCGGCAGGATCAAACGGCAAAGTAAAAATAGAGCGGCATCTGAACGCTTCAATCCAACGCGTCCGGCATCGGTCAAGCACCCTCACCCCCGGTCAATACCCGGTTCGGTGGCTTTTATAGACTCTGGTAGTTGCAGCGGTCGGGAATCCCAGCGCGAGGGGAGGCTAGTACGGGTTGTCCGCAACCGATGTTAGCCTTGCTTGGGGAGTGCGAAATGTGCACCGGGCCCCTTGGTTTCATCTTTTCCTTTTCTTGGGTGGATAGTGCATTCAGATGAATCAAGGCTTGGTTCGGTATAGGCATAGATATTGCTTCTTTCGCCATCATCATTGCACCTTCTTTGGTGAAGGGCGTAGTCGGGACTACTGTTCTTAGCTCGGAACGTATCAAAACACCATCGTGTATTACACAATACCGGACAGCCGTTCGCGGTTCAGTACACCCGATTGGGAACCTTACCTAATATGCCATTCGGTACGTTCATCATACACGACGTGTATGGATCTGAAATCTGTATGGGCCTAGGATATTTTTGGACTAGCGTGGTTATAGGAACTTTGCGCACCAACCGGAACCTCCTTCCAGAAACCTTCCAGAACTCCTTCGCCAAATGACCATGGGTTTGGTTTGTTCACCAACCACGGGAGATGAGCTAAAACATTGCACTTTTTGCGGCCATTTGAGTCATTGGAAATGACATCGCCAGGGCTCACGAGTTGACGGGCCTCGTCATCATGTCCTCCCCCCGACAGTCATCACGTGCAGGTGTCGCTGGGGAATTCTCCGCCGCGGTGATTCGCCGGAGGACTGCGCTCCCCGATTCCTTCACGTGAGGGTCCACACGGAGCCCGATGCAGCTGGACCAATTAACCAATCATCTCTCGTGCAATTTTACTTGTCGGATATCGGATAGAATAGTCTGCGGTTCACCCTGTTACGCCGTGTGGTCAGCGCAAGTGGGATCGAGCTCGGGCGGCGGAATCCCGACTGGTGCCCAACTTCTCGGTATCACAGTATCCTGAAGGGCCCGGCATGGTCGGCATTCGGGAGGGCAACTTGCACAAAGTCTCCCCTGCTCCGCACGGACGCTGTTCCAGCACTTGTGAATAAATGACTCTGCGACCCACGGAGGGCGCTCGATTGTGTTATTAACAGGCGTCATCAGCCCACAAGGAAGAAGAAATTGGCCTCTTTTCCAGGCGAAATGTCAGAAAAATGGAGATGGACACCGGGAGTACATACTCCGCAGAAAGCAAGGCATTTGACGAGTTTCAACGACGTTTCCCCGTGCAGTGGAGAGGCACAGGATCAAGCTCGGATCGGTTCTAGAGCTCAATCGACCAGAATGGCAACCGAACCGATCGCACCGCACAGGAGCTGCGTCGATCAGTCCACCGAGAACACCAAAGCTTGATCGACAAGTCACACTTATACACGATGTCAATGCCTGCATGTACCCCTTACTACGCGATATCTATACATCAAATTTTGGCCATATCTCGCTGCAAATACAGCACTTGGCTTCGCCAAGTGCAAGGTGCTGCACGTCAGATGCCATGCTGCAAGAAATTGCCCGACTCTGCATCGTTGCCGATAAAAGATGGAGCATGTCGCGCAAAAGCATCGGTTTGCCGGTATCCCAACACAGCGCACCGACTACATAATAACCCTGGCGGCAACCAAGAAGAGTCCGTTATACGCATGGCTCTGCTTTATTATGAATCCCTCAATCGTTATGTATCTTTGTGGTGACGTGAAAAAGACCCAGAACACTGGTGTCGGGACCACTCCGGACAATACCCATACTAATTTGCACCTTTACCACAACGGGGCCCAATGAGGCAAGTTTTTGTCTGCTTTTGTCTGTATATAGTCAGTATGGAGAACACCACTCGGTCACCCCAAAACACTGCGCCGGTGAGACCCAGCTCGGGACGAGCGAGGATTCCCCCTACGAATCACCGCAGTCCCCGGCGTATGGGTGACTCCACCACGAAAATACACCCCCACTCCGTGCCGGACCATGAGCAGCTGAGATCGAAGTTATGACTGACCAAACGGTCTGGTGGGTTTTTTACCCCCTCCTTCGCGCCGCGCGAGTCGGGGATCCTCTCTGCCCGTCTGGCGAGTCAGAAGACTGGGAGTCTTGCGGTGCGTTGATGGGGTCTGGAGGTGGCTGGACCTCCGGACCGCACTGGCACTAACCTGTGAAAAGTGAAAATACGTGTATGGAGTACTCTGTACTGTAGGAGGGAAAGGGTGTCTATGCCATTCGGTCTAGACCCGCGACCCGTCGTTCGGCGGGGGAAGCGCTGAGTGCGTCAGTCGAAGGTATCTCTGCTTGTGAACGCCGTGAAGGTGTTGGGATTGTTGTTCAATGTCTTGAGCCCCATTTTCTGGATACCCAATGCATGTGTCCCTGGATCTCTCATTTTTCAAGTCCCCTGAGGGCTTTGTTTTTTTCTTGTTGCCCCACGAAATTCGGGGATGGTCGGAGCTGTGGCCAGTCAGCGGTCGTCTGCGAGCTTGGACTGGGGAAAGGGAGGCTGAATGGGGAAGGCAGGCGTCGGGCGATTTAGGAATGGCCGTGTGGGGTGGAAGGAGAGAGGTTGGAGAGGTTCTGGAGGAGGTTCCACTTGGTCTTTTTTTCGGTCTTTTTGCTTGGCCTGGCCTGTGTGGGTTTGCAGGCTGTTTTTCCCGGCACCAAAACGCCTTTCTATTTGTTGGGTGGGTATTGAAAGACGATGCAACCTCCGAAAGAGATCCCAGAGGCTATGGTTGCGTCATGGGGAAGGTTTGACGGCCTCTGGCACCGGGGAGTAGAAAGCTTGGGTGTAGTGCTCCGGGTCATATCCTGCGTTGTGAGTTAACCCGTAGTCTGGAAGATGAAGTCCTTGGAAAAAGGTCTCGTCCTTCCCCGGAGTCTCGGAGTCATGTGCTGCCGTATCGCCGCTCCACTCTGCCAAACCACATGACCCAACCTGGGATGACATCAATTGCGCCCTGGAAGTCCCAGACTATCAAGACTATCCTCTGTACGGACTATACCGACTATAGCACCGAGTATTATTGACCCGAAACCAAGATGAAGGGACCTGCAACGGTGCCTGGCGTCCAGTCACAAACGCCCTTCGAAGCTTGCTAGCTTTGCCATCTTCGCCCACTCCGATGATGAAAACATGTTATCATCCCTGGTCATGATGAGTCTACACCCCTGGAGGTAACAAGGCTAGACTGTTCCCTGTCTCTGTTCCACTTTACTGCCTCTCAACATCTCATACCTTCCGGGGCTAGAACTTCCTACCCAATCGTCACGTTCAGTTCCGTCGATAATGGTGGCCAGAGAGCCCGGGAGACGTGGTGCAGGGTTCCCAACGTCCAGGGATGCCTTGCTAAGGACCTGAGCGCTTATCTTCCCGCCATGTCGCATCAGAGTCCACCACCGTCCAGAATCTCGGCGACTACCATCTAGCGTCCATGGCCCTGCTCAACGGGGAGTATCTTGCCCATGCTGGTGCAGGAGCTAATGTACAGCAGATGTCATAGTTCCGCATGTGAAGCGACCAAAGCACCACTGGGTGAGATTGGGGATCTGGCGGATCTGGATTCGAGACCAAATCATCTGCATAGCACCGTTTTGACCTACCGACTCGGCCTCCTCCGTGCAGAGGACATGCACCTCCCCCTCAGAGCTTCGAACTACCTGCCGGAACAGACCCCCAATCTCACCCGGCGGTACTTTTGCCCGCCTCTGATATCCCTCCACGGGCTTCGCCTATGGGAAGCCCGGCATATCGCAATTTAAATTAAAGAGCAGAAATCTCGAACACAGGGAACATAGAGACAAAGCGGACCGACCTGGGTACTGTCGTACAGAAGGCACTAAGTTGGCCCCGTTCCTTCATCCTGCTCCTTCACCTGACAACTCTTCAGGCCGCCCCCTTCCATCGGCACCGGTCCAGTGGGAAGGGCCAAAAAAGATCTTCGAGTCCCAGCCTGTCGGGGCCACGAAGCCGCCCGTCGATACCCACCAAGCCAGGTAGTATATCTCCGGCGAAAGGGAGGAGTGGACTGTACTCGTCCGCTAATATCCCCCAGCGCCTCCGTAGGATTGAGGATCGACTAGTATTATAGTATTGTAGTAGTTTGTATGTACCACAGTAACAACCGATCAACTATACCGTTCATTCCTTCTTCACGAACCCAACCCCTTTCCAAACGAGAGCCTCTTCATGTAACCACATTCCCTACCCTGCCCCCCCAACCCAACCCCGAGCGACAGGCCCAGGTCCTTTCCCCCTCCGACGTGTCAGCGCCACCACAAGCCCCCCCTCCCTTCCCAACGCCTGCGCTTCCCACATGATAATTATCTGGCGCCAGTATAGCAAGGATCCCGCCCTGGGGGCAGGGAAACCTTTTGCGGACCTCTACACCATCCGGCAGGGATCTGTCCTCCCCCTCCATGCGCTGGTCTCGACCTGTTACCTGTGCGAGGTTCATGTTCTGCAGCGATGAGGCAGAGCTCGACGCCGCAATCGTTCCAGACCGCCAATTCAGCAATGCATGTCTGTTGCCAGACGTGATCCGTGATTCTGGTTTTCTGGGCTTCTTGCTTAGCAGCCAGCTTTTGCGTTGAGAGGAGCTCTGACCACGTAAATACGGAGATAAGACATTTTACACGAGTACAAGGACAGCGAGGATGGGTCAGATGCGTAGTGTTAGTACAAAGCAAGGTGGGTTGGGTTGCCTGTTCTAGTTTACGAGGTCTGATCTACGAAGAGAAAATGCATACAGGAAAGCCTTTCTGTATTTCTCTTGAGATAGTTGGTTTCATTCAATGTGAGCTTTTTTTTAACGTAGTTGTCCTTTCAAAACAATGCGCTGGGGAAAAAGAAAGAAATTCATGAATAGCGTACACGGGACAACACGTCCTTGGCCTGGAGCTGTGGAAAGGGCCCTGCAGGCGCGAAGGGCCCGAGGACTAGAAGTAGGGCAGAATAAGAAAGGAGAAGGTATCTGGTATCGAGGGAAGAACAAGGTGAAAAATAAAGAGGGGGCCGGGAGAAAAAAAAAAAAAAACAGGAATCCCCCGTTCCCCCCTCCAGGCAGGAAACCATAAGATGAATTTTGTTGTTTTTTTTTCTTTGCTACACGTCCGCGTTCGCGAGACAGTGCAGTATGCAACAGCGCTGATGGGGAACCCGGATGTTTTTGTCAAGTTTTGCAAGAACAAGAAGCAGTATTTGGTCTCGGTAGATGATGGGAGCGGGATTAATGGAAAAATAATTCTTGTAAGGAAGCAGGGACTCAGGTCCGCGCCCGAATTTTTTTGTCCGGTATTATTGACCCGTTTCTCGAGCGCCCGAAAAGGAGAAGAGAAGAAGAAGAGAGAATTTGAGTGGGATATGAAGCTGTACATGATTATCAAGTTTCGTAAGGGACAAGATGGCCCCTCGTGGGGGGATTGGAAAACAAAGAACCAGGTCGTCCAGGAGGAGAATCCAAGTCGGGACAACGCCCGGAATGCTGTGTATTCGGGTGAACACCCCGAAACCCCAGAAAGCCGATGATGAACACAAAGAACCCCCTTTCCCTTTCGTGAATCGAATAAAAAAATCAAATCCATAGAATGCGCCTAGATGCAATGCATGATCATAATCGTACGTGTCGAAGAAAAACAAATGACTCGCTCTCGCTGCGAGACGAGAAATAAGCATGATGATGGAATGAGATGAGAAGATTTGTAGCAGGGACGTGCGAGCAGGAATCTCCATTGATTTCGAGGATCGTTTACCAGCCCTTGACGTGGTACTCCCATGGACCGTAATCCGTTGCGTAGTTAGTCCAGGAGCCGTTCTTCGACAGGTCCTTATCCCGCGAAAGATTGCCAGTCTGGTTATCGTTGGGAGCGGATGGACCCGCGCCCGGAGCCCGATGGGGGCCTCGCGGACCAGGGTACTCTTGAAGATTCTTCATATCGTGGGCGGTGTGGCGTCGCTTGAGGAAAGCATTGGCGGTCGCGCTCTTCTGCTGGCGCTCCCACAGAAGGTGTCGGCGGAGAGACTCGGTCAACTCGGTCGCCAGCATGTTGCGACGGGTAGTGCGCGGCGAATGGGCGACCGACTGTGGTGGCGGGGGCTTCATGATGATGGGCTTCGATCGAGGAACGTCCGGGCCGCGCATGGTCAGGCTTTCTTCGTCATTCTCGGGAGGTGAGGCGGGGATGGAGGGGCCATTGGGTGATGTCAGACGGGACCGTTGGAGTGCAGGACTGGACCGGAAAGCATTTCCTTGCATTCTACCCGGTTGGTGCATCATCATTGTGAGAAGAGAACGCCGCGAGACCAGGTTGGGTCGCGAATCAACACGTTGGAACAGCTCTGGCCGTTCGTCGACGCTTGATTTGCCGCTCTCTGTGACGGAATCCTCCCAGTCGGAATCTTCATCATCTTCAATGGCACTCTCGGAAACCTCATCATCCGTTTCAATGGCGTCCTCATCTAAACCTAGAGGACTCTTCGAGGGGCGGATTGTGGCAACGTGATCGCTGAAGGAGGCAACCTTCTTTGAGGGGCTGGGGTTGCTGGTAGGTTTCATCAAGCCACCTTCCGTAGCGCTCTCCTGGGCGACCTTGGGAGCCATGCGGTCCTCAAAGGAGCTCTCATCGTCATCGCCAGAAGACCCACCAAGCGTAAACATGCCCCCCTTCTTCTTCAAAGGTGATGGCTTGAGTTGAGTAGTTGCGCGGGAGGGACTCGGCTCGACAGCCAACCTCGGTTGCGACCGGAATGAGGATGAAATGTGGGATGGCGAGAATCCTCGAACAATACTGGGGGACTTCATCAATTCACTCGCTGTAGGGAGTACTCCTGACGAAGAAACACTAGTATCAGAGCCATCAACATTAGCCGAATCGGAGTCATTGCCCTCGGGGGCGGTCGTCGAGCAGGATTCGGTCGACTCATGGGGTTGCGGGCATGGCCGGGGGAAGGCCGGAACCTGTCGAGCAGTAGAGACAGAAGGGGGGTGGGAGTCGGAGTTGATGGCCGGGGGGTAATATCGACGACTGGAGCAGCCGGCTCGACCATGGGGGCCAACGGTTCCAAGTTCTTCTTCTCTTTAATATTCAAGACCATTCGCTCGAGGTCCAGCGAGGTGATGTGCTTCTCCTTGCCTCGGCCCAGACTAGCGAGCGAGTCCTCGCGGACGACGGCAGGCCGGTAGTCTGAGAACTGAGGGCGTTTGATATGAGCTTCGATACGTTCGGCTTGGTCGGACGCGGCCGACTCAACACTGGCGGAGAGCTCCGGAAGATCAGCAGTCTCCGAGCGTAGTTTCGGCAGGGCCGAAGAAAGGTTTGACCTCTCCGGCTCCACGCAAAAGGTTTCGCGAGTCCAAAGACGCCAGCTCAAGTTCTCGAGGCGACGACCCTGGTCCATATAGTCGGCACATTTAGAGAAAACCATCCACATTCCATGGAGGGACTGAGCATTTGCGGTGTCCACTTTGTGGATATTATCAGCGTCCACCGTCAAAACCGGCGTTGTTAGAGGCATTGTAACGGCGCCACAGTTACGATTGACGGGAAGGCGGGCGGGGATGAAGGGGGATAATTGGTGTTCCGGGGTCGCCGTCTTCCCCGAGAGTGATCGTACGGCGGTTGGAAACCGGTGAGAAGGGTTCACGAGGGGTTCTGCGGTCAGAAAGAGGGCGTGGAAAATTCGAGTCTGGGCCCTGCAGAGTGCTGCAGAGGGACGATCAATCGAGGAATGAGCACCACACGCGAAATCAGAAGTGGGTGCACTGAATCCTGCTGGTCACCGATGAGGTGAGAAACGGAATCGGGAGGGCGAGAAGAATCGAAAATCGACGGGTCGTGAGTTCGTCAAAAGTTCCGTCAGGGCGCCGCCGAGCCGAGATGTGGAGATCTTGCGAGTTGGGCTGGAATGAGATCGGGGTGTGTACAACGCGTCAAGAGAGGGATTGATCGTGAGGTTTCCCCAGTGGTGGGAAGGGATGGTGTGGGGGAAGAGAGGTGAAGTTGGTGAGGGTGAAGGATGGGGGGAAAAGAGGAGAGAAGAGGCCGTCGGAACGATAATAAGAATGACGGGGGCGGCACTTTTGGGTGGAGTGGAGTGCACAGTGGAAAAGAGAGGGGGAAGTCGAAAAGGGTAAATATTTTATTAAAAAAAAAAAAAAAAGAAAATGGAAAAACGAAAAAAAAATGGATGAGGAAAAAAGAAAAAGAAAAAAATTCGGTAAGGCTGTGACGGTACGAGACTTACAAGGGGAGGAGACTCCAAAAAGGTAAATTCCAGGAAATTAAAAGCCCCCCAAAGGCCGAAAGCGCGGTGAAGAAAATTCAGTCGCATCACGGGGCCTGGATTGATTACGTACCTTTGGTACTTTGGTCTGGTAATCGGTCGTACCCCGGTATCGCCCCTGTACTTCCCGTACTTTTCCCCTCAGCAGGACGCATCCCCTGCTCGTTCCGAGGCCCAGGTAACGGTGAAATGAGTTGGTATTGTGGGTGCGATGGGGCTGCTCGTACCAGTCCGTTTCCACGATCGCAAACCGAACACCAAAAGCATCGTATCGTAGCATGCTGTGAAAGTGGTTCGAACTCTTCGTGGTATTTTATGGACTTCATTTTCCTGACGATCAATGCATTCGATGAGGTCCTTCTCACTTTAACGGCCTTCAGATCACAATCCAGGCCACAATCCAGACCACATAGGAGGACAACCCATCGACAGGCCCGAGCGGACGACGCAAAGCACTGGGAGGACCGGTGACCTGTCGAGAATTCTACAAAACATCACTTCCGACAAAACAAAAAGGAAAATAGAAATCGATAGATGACGAGATTGAACCTCCCAACTCAAATAAGTAAAACTGAAAGGAAAGAAACCCGGGGTCTACAAGTCTTACAAGTCCTGTACATTGTACCGAAGTCGAACTAGGAGTATAACATCCAATTCGTCTCCTAGAATCTCAATCCCGTTATCCCATTCCTTTCCCCATCTTCAATCAATACGTGCCCCCATGTCGCGGGATTCGTACATAGTGACCTGCCGGCAAACGTTCTGGCCCCGGGGCTCTTGGGCTCTTGGTCCACCCTGATGAGCCCCGATCATGGTCGTTTGAACAAGCCCTCGCCACTTGCCACTTGCCCATTTCCCTTGTCGACGACTGACTGATGAACTGTCGCACCGCCGACCATTGGCCGCCCAACGGCCTCCAAGTCCGGCTGACTCGCCAACAACAAAAAGGGTGTCGCGGTTAAACTATTTTCGTCACGGACGGGGGAGGGGGAGAATTGGGGGGAAGGGGGCTGACTAGGCTCTTTTGCGATGTACATCTCGTGGGATCTCTCTTCTTACCATCTCCTTTTATTGCTCTGGGCGTTTGTCGACCGCATGGAAAAGATCGCCTTGTTGCCGCCCTTTCTTAACCCGGTAAGCCCCACGATTTCCGCGCCGTTGGTGGTCTGTTGGCAGTCCGTGTGGGCGGCGCCAGGAGACAGGAACAGCTGATTGTCCCCGGAAGAGGTCCCTCTCCTGGGGGGGCGAAACGGCTCAGCCCCGGATTGTTTAGTCGAGTTATTATTATCCTATTATCTTATTGCTCTTCTATCCAACCAACCATCTATACGGAGGACTCTGGACTGTGGTAGGTAATATAACCACGACAGATAACAAACCCCAGGGTCTTAGTTCCAACAGCGATCTGGTTATCCTTGTTAGATGGTCGATATTTCCAGCAGCTCGAGGCTGGCGTTGAGGAGGGGAATGCCGGCTGAACTGCGGGTTCCCCCAAGCTATCCTGCAGTAATTATCCGGCAAGAAGGGATGGCCGATCGGTTGATTTCCAGGCGGGCTACATGCCGGGGAATCCGCACGATACTTCCGTAGACTGCATTTACCCTCATCTTTTTAGTTTGTGGTTTCATTTCTCGAGCATTTGTTTTTGGGGGGGGGGTTTTTTCGCTGATTTTTGGCCTTTGATGAGCGACCTTTTGGATCGGGTTGAATGGTACATGCAGATGACATGGCATTAACAAAATAGAGAACTATTAAATCAAAAAAAAAGAAAGGACCACTGGTATCCTTGAATGATCATTTCAGTCTAATATCAATCCTTGCTATCGTTATACACCTGCTGTGCTCGTTCAAGGTTTTCCTAAGCGAGGCGTAGGTGTGTTTCTCTTCCCCCTGAGGCACGCGTCAGGTGGAATGGCAGAGTCAGCGAGTCTGTCCTGGCGTCTGGGGATGACTTGAGATGCCGTAGGAATATATCCCTGGCCACCCTTTACCGCCCCTTTGCACCTGTTCCGAGATGCCACATCCTGGTCATTTCGCTCCCTTGGGCGTCCTAGGCGCAACACCGCAAAGTGTCACAGCTCCGGCGTCACGAGCCTGCCAGCTGGCATTGATTTTGCTAGGAGGCTTGACTTGCTTTACGATACTACGGATGTATCGAATTCTCTTTTTGGTTTTCTTTTTCGATTTTCTTTTTTCTTTTCTCCCCTTTTTTGGAGCGACAAGATCAACGTCCCGACACGATCAGGAAGAACCGGATGGGGCCCAATATGGAAACGGAAGAGTCGTGTTGTGAAGCGGGAGAAATAGAAACTCCCGTTTCGCATGCCCATACGCTCTCTCTGTGTCTGTCTCCTCGTGTCGCGTGTGGCAGTTGATTTGTGTGTATTCAGACTGGTGGAAAAGCAGTTGGCAATATCCCCGGAGTATAGCCCGTTTAGAGCCTAGAAAATCCCACCAAAAAAGATCCCGACATACATTTGAACCCCCACAAAATACCGAAAAGGCATACAATATAATAACACCAATATCATAAACACCCCCTTCCTAGGCCCTTGGCCCTAATCCCGGGGATTGGGAGGCACTACGGAGCCGACTATTCTCGGACGCGCCGGGGTGCGCAGTCACACAAAGACGCACGTTTCATCCACCATGTGATATTCCACGTCGAACGAGAGGGCGCTTCTGCGGTGGAGTCTTTCGCATTGTTGCGTTGATCATCTGGGGCGGGAAAAGGGGGGCAAAGATTGTGGGGAGACGCAAACAGTCGGTCTACTATCTGGCTGGCCCTGCCCTTAACCCCCTAAAAGCTCCGCCCAAGAATCCGGGCCACACACACACACTCTCTCTCTCTCTTCCCTTGAACGCCGGCCCCACCTGGTCCCGACAGGCTGGCGCGGAGCGGTTGAAGGGCATCTGAATCTTGTGCCTTTTGTCCCACCGGGGGAAGGGAAGCTCTAGAGGCAAAAGGCATTATTTTTACGCCTCTTACCCGACCTGGCCTGATTCGCTCGTCAGGCTCCCCGCAAGTAGATCGATGGATTCGCGTACACGTACGGAGGGCAACTCTGTACGTCGTTAAGGGGACTCCAGCATGATGACCTACAGCCTGCAAAACATTGGGGGCGAGTCGTGCAGCGGCCCAGCTGCTGACCATGTCCTCGATGGGTTGACAGTTCTGACAGAGTTATAGAGTAAAATAGGCATAGATTATAGTTTCTGGGCCATGACAACCAGGGCATCCACGAAGGGCCCTGTCATCCTCTCCCCGGTCAACGTCTCCTTCAGTTTGGCTTCCCCCCCTCCCCCTCATCCCAGTCCGTTGATGACCTCAGAGTGCGCTGAGGGCGGCCAATCTACTGAGCAACTCGTCCAGAAGTCGAAGTCTCACGGTCTCTCCACTCGGGTGGTACCGAAAGGTGGCAAGCGGAAAGTCTGCAGACAGGGTAATCTCATTGACCGGGCAGCCACCGAATGACTTGCTCCTTAGGGAAGGCAGCCAGTAATGCCTCCAGCATCAAGGGTCATCTTTAGCGGCGCTGACAGGCTTAGATGGAATTCCGGGGTACAAGGTATTCGTGCCAGAACTGCAAGAGGTCACAGGTCACGCTCCGCGCCGGCAACTACGTACGGCACTGTGGACCACAGGGGGGTAAACATTACGATCGCGGCGGAAAATAGGCTTCAATACCGAGGTTCGCTCTACGGTGGTGCCGGGTGGTCATTCACGGCTGCCGAGGCGAGATGGTCAAGCACGGCGTGATGGGGTGGGAAATTTGGCCGTGGACCGGGGTGGTGGGCAGAGCCGCCCAATGCCCGGCGTGTCGCCCGCACAAGCCACCAGAAGCACGCCGTGGATCAGAAGATGGGAAGGGGGGGGGGAGGCAGGACAGGTGACCAGGGCAGTGGCCGAGGAGCGCGCTTCGGATCGTCGATCACGGAGCTGGGCATCCTGCTGGCAGGGGATCTGATGTGGCGGATCGATTTGGAGGAGGCGAGAGGCCGTGAGGGGGAAGTCAGTGGAGGCGGGCAACGGGAAACGGGAAACGCGAAACAGTGGCAAGGTCACGAGCAGGTCACGGGGCGTCACCTGATGCGACAGGGGAACAGGAAAATGACGTTTTGCTGGGCCGGTCCCATCGGGGCGCAGTTTTGACCACCGAGGGCGATTGAACGAGTATTCCACATGTCTGCAGAACGACTGGATGCACTTCCAAATAGGCTGCCTCGGACTTCAGAGTCACTCCTCCGTAGTAGTAACTGGGTGTCCCCTCCCCCGATGGCAGAGACCGGTCGGGCCCAACGAGGTGGATGAGAGTGGACCGGCTTCCCCAGGTCACCTGGCCATCCATTTGGACCCATTTTGGACCCATCTTTTGGGCCAGTTTGATATTTCCCGGAAATTTCGCAGATGCAGCAGCAGAGGTATCTTTCAGGGAGGGGGTTCCCGCGTGGTCTCGGGCAACCCCGATTGTCATACCAACGATCCACTCAGGGATCAGTATCAGTACCTTACCGATAATGGGCCGTCACACGGGTTAAAGGTTCTGTATGAAGTCAGTCATCGAAGATACTGGTAGTTACTCCCTAACCGCGGACTGCCCGACGTCGGCGGAGAGCTATCTGCAAAGTACATACTTTGTCGGGCAACCAAACCATCCGGTGACTTCGGTAAGCTGGATACTAAGAAGCCTGGTCTGGACTCTGAGAGCAGGATGGCGTTGTTTGCTCCGAACTATTGAGCATTTGGAAAATCTAGACTTCTCAACGATGCATCTGCACCAACAGGCCTAGCCAACCAACAGCGCTGATCTGGATCTGACAGCTGCCAAAGCGACTGGCGCGACGCCGATTACGCCAATATCGCGCCCCCTCCACCAAACAGAGGACAATCCAGACATCGGCGTGATGGTGATGCCGAGACAGTCCAGAACATAAAATACCAAAAAGAAACGAGCAGCTCGGAGTCGTCCTATTCGCTATCTCGTGCTGTATTTCGACGGCGAACGAAGATCCTTCCATGGCAGTTTGCGCGTCGAGGATCGTCGAGCGACACAGAAAGACGGCAAATCAGGTACTTTCAAGCCCTTCTTTGTATCACACCGAGACGAGGCGACAAATCACATTTCGAGGGGTAGCCGCCCTCTTCTTTTTTTCGGCCCGTCACCTCCAGTCAGCCCTTCAGCCACCATGTGTTGCTGAACAACAGAGTAGGTGGACGAGGCGGAAACCTCCTATTGAGGACTTTTTGGGGTAAATTTTCTCGTCTCGTCTTCCCAATATTCACCGTTGGCTCGAAATTCGCGGAGACCAAAAGTCCCATTCAGACGCCGCTGATTTGTTGACGCAAGGGATGTTTGTCCGGGGAGCGCGGGAGTAGGTTCCGGCATAGTTTTGTCGACCCACGGGTCAGGTGAGCCGTTGATCTTGCACAAAAGTCAATCTGAATGCATTCATTCCAATAAGGCCCTGCTCAGGTCCCGATCGTAAAGACCCTGTCGTCATCACCCTGATAAGGCAAGAAGAAAAGCCATGTATCATGTCAGAGCCCTGTTCGGCCACGAGCGCCTTGGTTGACGACCTCGTTCTCGCATATTGACTCTTTCGCCCTTTTTGATTGTGTTGCCTCTACAGTTCCAAGGGGCTGGGGCATCTAGACTATCGACGACATGCTAAACCGTGACGGCCCGCTCGTCTGCAGTGGATCTTGTGAAGTGGGCCTGGATGAAACGGCGATGGGGGTTCCCCGGGCTCTACCAGCCGGAAGCAGGACATGCATATCCCAGGACGATCAGTTGGGATTTATTTTACATTCGCACCGTAATAGTGGAAGGGACTTCTAGGACCGGGACTTTTGTGATGCTGGTTCTCTTCATCTTGAGGTAGCTTCGGCTTTTTTTTTCGTTTCTTTTTCGCAACAGAAAGAACGTCTTAGGATTAACCCCCACGTAGTACCAATTGCATCATGTTCAACTGTGAATGACCTAGGGACCAGTTACTGCGATGGTCAGCCCGGCACGTCGTGACAGCTCACATCCTTTCCCCTTCGTTACCTTGAATATACCGAGACTGACACGGTCTGTGTTGAACCCAAATTAAGAGCGTATACACAGTGGCGTATTCAACAATGCCGGATATATTTCCCCGTTGCTCATACGACCACAGGCCCTTCAAACAGGCCTACGTTCATCTCCGTAGGGGGGCCCGTAACCCATACAGGTTAAAGAGTCTGTTCTCCGTCTGGAGGCCAGGTGTTCGATGTCCGCCCTTGTTTCGCATGCGAACGACCGATATGTGAGTTAATCGACCGTCCCCTTCCGTCCTGCAGATCAAGCACCCGGGTATTTGGGATCCCTGGCATGCCTCTACGCCCATTCTCCGAATCTTGTGGGTCCACAATTCTGGACCAGAGTTCTTTCAGTCTGGCCTGTTTCTTTTCTCGATCTGTCTGAATACCGTTGATATCGATACCTCTCGTAGCCACCTCGTCATAGCCAATATTTGTGGCCGACGCGAGGGGACGGTGGCTTTGTTTGAGAAGCATACCCTCGCCTTCTACCAGTTGGGTTCTGTTCTGTACGATGATCCAGTATTTGCCAGAACGAAAGGGATCGGACTCCTTCAAAACAGCCACCATTTGACAACTCCTGATTCAGTCGTGTTAGACTGGACCCCTGGTTGACGTGAGTCTCAAATGGGGGTGAATGTTGTATTGGCATTCAGCAACCCGCATTAAGGCACAGTGCTTCTTACACATTACTTTTGCTGACCACCAAGTTAAATTAACAACTAGTTAGGTATTGAGCCCGTAAGTCAGTTAGGGAGTTAGAAGGTCTAGGCCGCTGCCGGGGCCGGCTCGAAATGCGACGGTTTCAGCTTTTCTTCTCAGGATTAAGCGTCTGACTCGGACCTTCCGGGGCCCTACTATTCTTGTGCCATTCTTGAGCCCTCGTGGTTTTCTATTACCTTCTCTATGATATTCTATCTATATTCGGCGTATAACGATGAGCTCATGAAACCTAGCGCCAACTGATATATCCAAACAACAGCCGACCAATAACGCGTTGCGGTCAAGAAACTTGACTGCATTCGGCCATGTGCAGTGGTCGGCCTCGTTGGGGGCGGCTATCTTCTGACAGGTCGTGTTGCTTTTTGTTCCTCGGACTGGACGGCTGCAGCGGCTCGCAATCAAAGAGATTTTGATTCCTGCGCGATGCGCCGGTGTGATCGTGGCTGGACTCTGTGTTGGACTCTGGGTGATGGCGCTTTGTTTTGCTGATCCCAATGCTTGTTGCAGGTCATGAGGTTTTCCAGAGCCCACGATCTGGACCGCTTCTCCCCCTCCCCTGAAAGACCCAAACTGGGGCGGTTAGGGGAAGCCAGCAAGACGGAATAAAGTCAACGGCGCCACAAGCAGCACCCATACCTTCTTCATTTTTCGGGCTCTCTGGCATTGCCCATTTAGGGCTGTTCGCAGGAGCCTTTCCCTTCGGCTCCACAACGGTTGCTTGGAGAAGCTTGGGATCTCGCCAGAACGAGATTTCGGGATACCAGGATTAATGGTTGCCTTGAGCGCCCGGGATCAAATTTTGGAAAGATTGAAAGGATTCATCTTGACAACGCTCGTTGTCTGCGGAGTAGATTATCCGGTCTCTATCTCTCATTTTCCCGCCAACCACCGGATGATATTTCGGTCAGGGGGTCATTCAACACCATCCTTGGCTTTTGGCTTGGTGGCTCATTACATTATTCCGGCGTGCTTATTGGGTGCTCGAGTCAAACGCGATTAAATATGCTAAACACGGTTGAGGGAAATATACGAAATACTAGAGTAGGGGTCAGTAGCAAAGACTCATGGCGAGTTCTATATTTTTCCGGGACAAGGAACACGATGATGGTCATTTTGGCATCTCGCTCAACCTCGCGCCGCGACTCCAAACTGTGCTCGATCGTCCATGGATCTCTTATTTGTCAAGAGTGGAGACCACAATCCGGGGAAGAAGAAAGCATAATGGGGCGTCATGGAGGGCAACCCCGATAGGCTCCAGGCCGCATCCAGTTGTTTCGCGAAATCGGTTGCCGTCTGCGACCAGAGCTATTGGAACATCTGACAGATGAAATCACCCCTCGTCACATTCGAGAAAATGGACTGGCTAGTCCGAATCGATTCGTTATCGAAGTATAGTTCTGGAAATTAAGAGGAAAATATGATTATGCAGCGAATACCCATTACGTTACAGACCGTTCCTCGCAAACATATACCTTGTACCGAAGTATAGAATATTGTCGTCATAGGGAGCCCTATGGGCCTATGGATGTGACCGTGAGAGGCAACAAGATGTCATGATCAACGATGTCCTGATTGCGACTCGATCGAATCGCCCGATGATGTGTTAATAGTTGACGGGTCGTCGTGTGACGGCCCTAACAATACCCTCAAGGGAAGAGATGACCCTGAAGTTATCAAAGGTATGGTAGAGGGCCTGACGCGATCGGAGCGACCGAGAAGCATGTCCCGGCTTCATTGTCACAAGCACGCACACACCCGACGCCGCCACGAACAGATTCTAGCCACGTCAATCGGCCTTGTCCATGTGAACAGAGGGGGTTTGTTGGCAGCGGCTGCAATGAGGCTGATGACCTGATGCCCCCAAACAACATATTGGGCTCGCAAACACGGGCTTCGATGTATTTCCTGGACACTAGGACTTACCAAATACTGTCTTGTTTCTGGCTTCCTTCTATCTTTCTGTCTCACCTGGCGCTGGATTTACACGACATCAGGTCATCTGACCGGGGCTTGTGTTGCCCTGACAAAAGAAAAAAAATAAATATCGGCCAAGCGCGGCTAATGTCGATTATTTAGAGCATGAAATTAGAAATCAGCAGAGAAATTTGAAGCCCAGAATCCGCTTATAGTGTGGTCTTATTTGAAATGCAAACTGCAGCAGCTGGGCAGCTAGTCGGCCAAGCCTGCTTCGCTCTAGAACCACCGGAGACATCCGTTCCCAGCCTGGGACATGAGACTATCAGGAAACCAGGTCTTACGGATTGCAATTTCGCCCTGTCAACGAAAAGGCTCACCAGATCAGATTTACCCTGTACCTGTCAGTGTTGTTACACCGTAGAGGTTTGCATCTAGACCGATGCCGGAGCTTCAACCCAAACCATAAATGTAGAAAGGCGGAAAAGCAGAAAGGTTGAAGCTGACATCCTGTGGTGGCGGCGCCCCATGGAAGTCCTGCAAGGCCAGTCTGCCGGCCCTGATGCAGGGAGGTCAGTATTGCTACGAGATCTGCTCCCCCTCCTCTGGATCCATGATAACTGCAGTTTTCTAAGTTTAGATTCGGATTTCGCTCACCGATCAGCGTGCTTTACGAGATCAAAATTCCTCACGCTACTGGATAACCCAATGAAGACCAGCAAGCGACTTTTGTTATTGTAATCATGCTGCATGAAAAGTAAGCTTGACCAATGCTCAGTATCGTGTGTTTCTAGATACGAGAAAAGGAAAGCCAAAAAAAAGCCTCAGCGTGCCGTGCCTTCTGCAGACTGGGAGGCTTTGGGGGTCCACCGAAGATCAGCCGACCACAAGCAGATCTAGACCGGGCTCAAGAACCAACAATGAGATATGGGGTACCTCTTACTGGAATAGCATCAAGCAAAATATGCACTTGGCTAATACAAGCAGCATCTCTATCTATATTCTGATGATTTATCCCGTGAGGCCTGTTTCACCGGTCGCCATATCGACCTTCACATGCCGTCTCCAAGGGCTAGGAGTCCTCAAAAACAAGATGGAACCTAGCCTGTATCGGCCCCAATCGAGCCGCAGTGGATCGCAAAGTTTTGAACTCTGTGAACCACGAGTCGCGGGGAACTGGATTCACGCTTCCACGCGCTGTGAAACCCAAGCCGACCAAGATCCAACCGAGATTCCCTGCTCGGCCTGGACCGTCCCGTTGCAAGAACAGAAGGAAAATAGACCTCTTCCTATCTGTTAGGGGGTACCTTTTCGAAACCGATGAGATTGGCTGGTAGAGAATCTCGAGATAGTGTGAAACAATACCAACGCAGCTCACAGACCGTGATATTGCGATCCGGCCTTCCTGGTCAACAGACATTTATGGTTATACCATCCCATGATCTTCCACAGGCTCCCATAGGCCCAGGAGCGAATTCTCTAGGCATCCCCTCGGATGGCACTGCTGTACAAGAAGATCAAGCTTCTCCTTCTACTTCCGATTTCGGCGAGCAACTCATATTGGACAAAGCGACTCTCTGAAGATATGGTCTGCACGCTCCCACGATTGTACCCCCGGGCCGTTTCGGGCTTGAAAATCGTCTTCTTCAGCATGAGCCCTTACGAAACCGCGGTAGCACAAGCTACCGCATATGGGCTCTTTATGGGGAATGAAAATTGTACGGCTACTCCCGCGGTTCAGAAGCAGGTACCCCTTTGCGGTAAAGGCCTTTCACAGGGAGCCTGTCTAAGCAATGATTTTCAGGACGAGCCCATGTGAGATCTGCAGATGGGCGCTTAGCCAGGCAGGCATGGGAAAACAATATGCCATGAAGAGGGTGGATGATCATCGAAGTCAGCGACACTGCATACTTTCGTATCGGAGTAACCCACCAGCAGTGGCACTCTCATGGGACCAGCAGGCAACATAATCCAGACATCTGAGATGCATGATGACAGCAACTGGTTCGCTAAGATAGAGTAGATAATGTGCCAAGGCACTTTGGTAGACGGGTGAAAAAGGCATAGAGTCGGGATGGGACTCGATTTCAGTTCTTCCTCGGTAGTTTACGGCGGATCCTGTGAATGCCGGGGCGCATGCATAGAGATCTGCCGGCGCGAGGCACGAGTTCGCGCACGACGACCCTCATCACTCGGACATCCTCGGCACGCGAAATATATCCACTTTGGAAATAGATGGGGCACGAGGTTACCAAGTCTGTGACTTACTAGGAATGGGTGAAGCAAGCGGCAGAGTCGAACACTATTGTAGAAAATACGGATCTACAAGCACAACAACTAGTTTCCAGAATGGCTAAGCCTCTCTCTCTATATGCATCTGAATACAATGCCGGAAAAGCATATGTCCGATTTACAAACAATTGTAGAAATATTGACGGCAGAGATACCTGGGTGAATATGGCCTTTTTGACTCGAGAACTATTCCACCAAAAGGCATAGTGAGCGATCATAAATCTTTGACTCGTAGCAACTCCGTCATATTCTATGTAAGGGTCCATGTTTTACATAGGAGTCCAACCAGGATCATGAAAAGTTTTTTTCCAGCCGATGCACCAGACAATTCGATCTAGTACTGTTTCAGGAGGCATTAGAAATATGTGCGGGTAACTTAAAATTCAGCATCCTCATCGCCGGAGATGATCACGTTGTTGATCTGAATATTTGTTAGTATGAGGACAAGAAAGAACTTGATAGGATAAACAGAAATACCTTGAGAACCATGCGGCAAAGCTGAGTGGCAAGCAGAAGCTGCTGGCGCTTTCCGATGAGAGGGTCAATAGCAAAGTGGTCCCGCATATCTAGACAAAACATTGGTTAGCATTTGTAGTGGCGAGATGGGAAAACAAACGGCATAGCGTACCGTTGCTGCCAGTCAGCATGCAGTCAACACCAAGACGAGAGTTCTTCTCCTTGACTTGACGAGACTTGATGGAGGCGAGAGTCTCAATGGGGCTGAGGCCGGAGTTCTCAGAGAGCGCCAATGGCACAGCATCGAGAGCGTCGGCGAAGGCGCGCATGGCATACTGCTCAATACCGGGGCTCTATATTTTGCAACAGTTGTTAGTCTTGGTATGGGTATATGGAGAATAGACAGATTGCGTACCTTGACGGCGGCATCCTCCACGGCCAGAGAGCAAGCAATCTCGGCAGCACCACCACCATACACCACGCGGTTATCACGGACAAGGTTGCGGACCACGCACAGAGCATCGTGTAGTGAGCGCTTGGCCTCATCGATAATCTGCAAATCTTGTTAGAGAGCAAGCACTGGGTCAACATAAAATCTTGAGCGCCTACCATCTTGTTGCTACCGCGGATGAAAACAGTAACCGCCCGGCTGTTGGCGCACTCCTCAATGACCAGCATCTTCTCTCGTGTGGTACCAAAGGTCATCTCGCGGACACGACCGGCAGTGCCCAGCTTGTCGGCAGTCAGGTCCTCAAAACGTGGCACAATACGGCCGTTTGTAGCGATGGCAATCAGCTCGATCTCAGGGCCACCAACCCATCGGACTGCGGGCAGCTTGTTCTGAAGAAGCAAGTGGTTGGCTTCATCATCGAAACCCCATTGGCAGATGACCAGGTTGGCACCTGAATCTTTAAGTTTCTGAATCATCTCGGTGAATTTCTCCTGCTCATACTCCTGGAGCTTTTTGAATTCCTCGACGGAAGTGATATCAAGCTTGTGCTTGGTCTTGGGCTTCGGGGGCTCAAAGGGACAGGTCAAAATAGCCAGTTTGGCGTCCTGAACCTCGTCAGGCATCTGAGGGTGGGAGAAATCCTTGTCGACAATAACACCATTGACAAGCAGAGAGTCCTCAAGGGCACCTCCAACCTTGCCATCCACCTTGATCAACTCGAAGTCGACATCCTTGCGCTCGAGGTCGGCCACTGAGAGCACAGCATCGACAGCAATCTTCGCAAACTGATCGTGAGACTTAGAAACACTGGAGTAAAAAGCAAAAAGGGTTAGCTAGAGGAAAGGAAGCGCACCAAAAAGGGCTCAAACATACATCTTGCTGCCCAAACTGGTCTTAGCCACCTTAAGAAGGTTGCTAGTATCTTCGCGTGAAAAGGGGATCTCGTCGCTAATCTTATCTAGCTCTGCAATGGCGATCTCACAGGCCTGGTCGTATCCGTCGGCTATCCGGATGGGGTGTATGCCCTTGTCAATCAAATCTGAAGCTTGCTCCAGCATGGCAGCTGCCAACACCACGACACCAGTTGTTCCGTCACCTATTTCCTCATCCTGCGACTTGGAGAGCTCAACAAGCAACTTCGCAACATTGTTGGTTATTTCCATCTAAATGTCCACACATATCAGTGTCGGTCCAACTGTGATCTTCCGATCGAGTATGAAAAGGGGGATTGTCGAACCTGGCCGAGAATGGTTGCGCCGTCGTTGGTAACAGTGATATCGCCATCCGGGGAAATCAAGATCTTGTCCAAACCACGAGGGCCCTAGAACGAGCTGTTAGATAGTGCCAGGGTTATATATTGCGGGTTTTATATTGCGGGGAAGCATACCAGAGAGGTCTTGACGATGTTGGCCACCGTCTTGGCGGCGACAATGTGCGACTTCACAGCCTCAGTGCCATGTTGTCTCTTCTTCCTTCCCTGGCTGTTGAGATCAAAATCCACCGGTAAGCGTCGACCTTCTTTGCTATCATGTTGTGTGTCTGTCGATGCACGTACTCTCGAACAACGATAAAGGGACGACCCTGTTCATCCTTCATCACCGAGGCTGGTAGGTGTGTTAGGCTGTTTGATCCAATCCGTTGGAAAAGAGAGCTTCTGGTTACCTTGAGAAAGATCAAGCTCTGTAGAAATCCATGATCACAGTTAGCAAAAAGCACTTGGGGGGGAAATTGATGAGGGGCATCGGGGGAAGGATAAGATGCTACGTACGCATCGCCATGTTGACGGTGGAGTGCCACCTGGCAGTATGTTAAACAGCGAGCGAGAAATGAGAGAAAAGAAAGAGAAAAGCGAATCAGTTCGACAAGGCCTTTCCCACTGCAGCGATGCGGAGGGGTGAAGCTCTCGGGCGTGCCGCAAATTAAATTCTAGCCGCCCAATTGGGTATAGCGTTAGCTCTTCCGCCTTCCAGCTTCCTGTGGAAGCGCGACTCCGCCTTCGACATGCGACTGCTCACTCAATTGCCCCGACACTTGTTTATTTCTACGAATTCTCGAGGTTTGCGCCTCCAATACCGGCAAGCTGTTTTCCAAACTACTAAATCTCGCCTCGCCATTTCACAGAACCATGCCGCGTGAGTGAATGCGCCTTGTTGACATGTTAAGCACGAGCTGAGCTAACTAAGCTATCGACACATAGCGCCTATTGAAGACGTGTCAGATGAAGAATCTGGCGACATTCCCTTCAATGACAATGAGAAAGCGAAAAACGACCCGAACGATAACGAAGATGAGGACGAGGACGACGAGGACGACGAGGAAGACGAGGATGAAGAGGGACTGTAAGTTGTGCAGCTTGCGCGTACTAGATCACACGACTTCTCGGGCAAATTGTCTCACACTGATCCTAGATATGTCGTGGAATTGATCAAAGAGCACAATTTTCTGGCCGACGTACGTTCGAGTGGCTTGTCAATCCCCTGTTATAATCTAGCGCAGACTAACAGCTTCTCAGGGCTCGCTCCGGCTATTCGTGAAATGGAAAGGTTACGACGACCTCGCCGACCACACCTGGGAGCCAGAAGAAAATTTGAAGTTTGTCTGACAAGATTGATCATTGTTCCGGTGTATTGACTTACGTTTGCTGTTTAGGGAGGGTGCTATGGACATACTGAGTGAATACTATAGGAAAATTGGCGGCCGACCACAGAAGCCCGCAGCCAAATCAGGGCATGGGCGGAAGCGCAAATCCATGGGACAAACCCAGTCGACCACTGCTGCCTCCGAGACAACCGAACCTAAGAGACGACGGAAGTCTGTTGCCTCCAAAGCCGAAGAGACAAAAGCTGAAACCTCGGACGAGGCCTCAGAGGCCGCTGCCGAGACACCTGCCGAGAGCGATGGCGAGATTTCTAGCTGGGTGCCGAAAACAAAGAGCTGGGAGAAGGAAGTGGCTAGTGTTGATACGATCATTCGAGACCAGGACACCGGTAAACTCTTCGCGTTCCTCCTATGGAAGAATGGGAAGCGGTCTCGGGTTGCGATTGAGAAGTGTTATGACTCATGCCCCAGACATGTACGTGCTAAATTATGATCGTATGTACTGATCTCTACCCAAACGCTGACTGTTCAACAGATGCTGGGATTTTACGAGAGCCATCTGTATGTTGCTCCGCCATTCTATTGTTCCCGGCCTACTAACCTTTTTTCAGTGTCTTTAAGGAAGGTTGAGACCTATTAATCTAATTTGGATGACACAAATTCCAGGGTTGAGGATAATTTTTTTTCAACTTATTATGATTTTACCAAGGGGTGCTGAGGAGTTGGTCTGCTTTCTTTTGCGCTGAAATTCCCACTGTAGGGTACGAAAAGGATCAATGGACAGCTTTTCTTTAACCATGACTGAAAATTTTATATAATTGGTTGCTTAGCGTTGATCTCTTGACTTTCAGACACGACTCAGCTAGAAGGGCAGCCCTGTGAATCCCTCTTCTTTTCTATAAGATTCAGGTATTCAAGGGAAAGCTTTCCAGTGGCAAGATATCTGAGTAGCGTAATTATCAAAGAAGACCTCTCTCCCGGGCCATGCTAAGATACTCCCATCTCGCGTTACACGCAGATTGCCCATGCTTGGTGAGTACTCGCTCTATGCCCCGGGCATCCGGGCCTTCTAAGCACTCGTCATCTTCACCTGTCCATACACCCTGAATGTTGTTGGGTATGTCGTTACCATCACGTAATATTTCTATCAGTTTCTTGGCTGTGACCCTTTTCATGCTAGAGGCACGTAGGGCATTGAGCACGATCGACGTCTCTGAGCCTCGATCGACTTGTGCTTTGATCCACTGGTTTAAGCTTAAATACTCGGTTGAGTCACTGTCGACTGCATCGTCCTCATCTTCTGGCTCAGAAGATGACGGTAGAAACGGCATTTCAAGAAATGTCGGGTTCACTAGTCCTTGAAGCTGTTCTTCCAGGACAGTCATTGTGCCTTGTTCTTGGGATGCTTTCACAGGAGGCGGTGACTCAGAGCTGTGAAATGAGGACGATGGTATTGCCCGTTCAGGCAACTGAGGCTCGTTTGATATAGAAGAAAGAGGGAGCGAAGGACCATGAGTCCTTTGCTTCTTTGCAGTAGGATTCTCCTCATGAGAACCCATTGGCGATGATTCAGCGGATATATCGTGTTCTTGTCCTGCGTCAGGAACACTGCGCTTGATTCTAGTGCTTGAGCTTGATATTGTCTGAGAAGCATCTGGGGATGTGGAGGTTGCTTTCTGTGACAGTATCGCCGGGGCAGATTCACCATGCGGCTCTTCCTCGGAAATCTTAGAAATTAATTCAGGTCTCGGCGTACCACCTCCTGGTCGTGGCTTTCCTCGTAGTATTTTCAAGTAGCGAGTTCGCCAGGATTGCCATGTATGTTGTGGGAACTACGTAGTGATGTTAGTATGAGTAGATCCAGGGAACAAGTGACAGAGTGATGATTACTCTTTCTTCTAGCTTCTCATAGATTTTTCGGCCATTTGTTGGAGCACGTGGATCTTTCTCAAACGGTACAAGCCAGTCAAAGACAATCTGATCATCTTGCAGCGAGAAGGGTCTTCTTGTGCCCTTTTTGGGGATATTGGAAGCACCCATTGGGCGCGGTGCAGAAGGACCAGCTCTGTGAGACTCGAGGTTTTCGAGACGACCACGAAGAACTGACCGTTCGACGTATTGATAGGAAAATCTTGGGAGCTGTCAGTACTGGACTTTTCACGGATGTGCCAAACGTACGTGTCGGAAGGCAGATTCTTCCTTGTGTGATCGACTAGTCTTACGTCGGCATCTTTTTCTAACAGCACAACACAACCTCCATGATGCTATTTCATGGTCAGTTCAAAGAGAATATATCGTAATCGAGGTATGGGGTTGTACTGTGATCATCTCTTTGAATCTTGTTCGTTGGGGGACGTTCTGGGAGATCCAGAAACGTGTGCCGCCAAAGAGACTGGCTCTCTCTTCGTCGAGACCGGAGCCTGTCATATCGAGGGCATTATAACACAATGTTGAGAAGTTGGAACCTGCCTTTCTTAGTGTTGTTGATGCCAGCCCGGTTTGCCCAGAACTCAAAGCGACGCGGTATCACGTGTCGGCGTGTCGCAGGGGCATTATAATGTGGAAGGACGAGGCTTCTGGCTTGGAGTATTGAGTAGGCTATGCAGTATAGCCTGTCTAAATTTGACACCCGAGATACCTTGAATATCCAAGGTGTTGAAGTTCTTCTAGAAAGAAGACACTGGGGCGTGTCCCAACCTGAATGCTGGCACGTGGCACGTGACGCGGTGATAACATGGCACGCCGGGCAAGCGCTGACAAGCCACTACTTCCAAGGGAGTACAGGCCAGGGCTTGACGAGATGACAGTCGTGGAATGACCTCGGACCTTTTGATTTTTTTGTCTTGGTCATCCTCGGTAGCATCAAGCTAAGCGTCGGAATAGAACTTATTCCCCATCTTTGACGATGGGCATCCTCCGGAGTGCCGCTCTCGTGATTTTGGGCATTTCGACCTTTGTTTTCATCGCACTTTTTGGCAAATTACCAATCCTTAGGTAAAGATTCTGTCTATATTACTGATTATATTGACTGACCCGACAAAGAAAAACCCCAGTCGGCTTTCTCTACCGACTTCTGTGGGTCTATATTCCAAATGGAATCGACTACATCGACTCTAGCCTCTTCGGAGGACGAGTGGTCGCGGCCTGGAGTCGCTCTGGGAGCTATATGTTGTATGAAAATCATCCATTAGTTCTGGTCAGTCCTGTCGGGTTCCTTCCAAGATGGCAATCTTCTGACATGCCCCTCTAGATCTTTTTTGTGGGACTACTTGCCATTGGCGAATGTGTCTTCCTCCCAGTTGCATGGCCCAGGATGTCCAGTGTCCACCATTTTTGGGTCCCGGGAGTCGTCCTTTTGCCGTACTTTCTGCTGTATAAGTGTGTTGTGACAAAATCGTTCATCACCGAGGAGAATCATGATCAAGAGATGAAGCGATACCCGTATGACCGTGTCCTTTTCCACCCAGGGAATCACTGCCGCACCTGTGAATTCTTGAAACCTGCACGAAGCAAGCACTGTACGTTCTGCAGAGCTTGTGTTTCTCGACATGACCACCACTGTGTATGGCTGATGAATTGCGTTGGGGCTCACAACTATGTTTACTTTCTGTCTTTGCTGCTCTCATTGTCAATTTTGTTGATTTATGGCGCTTTGCTTGGCCATTCCCTCCTCTACCAGACCCTTGAGCAATTGGTGCCAACTCAGCTGCAAGATAAGATGAAGGAATGGTCAATGTACTTCCACATCTGGTCGGTTGTGATCATTCGTGATCCACGAATCGGGACAGTCTCTCTGCTGATGCTGATGACAGCTCCTCTGGCAGTTGCCTTCTTAGCATACCATACATATCTCATCTGGGCTGGTACAACTACGAACGAAAGTGCTAAATGGTCTGACTGGAGTGAAGACGTCGCAGATGGATATGTGTTCAAGGCAAAACGAAGTCAAATCGAAGATGCGCCACCGTACATAGATCTCTCTGATCGTCGATGGCCAGTGGAGAGTGATCAGATTCTGATAATGGATGAAGAACTTCCGATGGAAGGTTACATGCTTGATGATACTTCCAACCACATCCAATACCGTGGCGAGCCTAATGGTTCGGTTGATCCTCGATGGACCGAGCTCCACACCTTGAGAGATCTTGAAAATATCTACGATTTGGGATTTTGGGACAACCTCAAAGATGCGCTTGGGATGTCGGTACGGCGAAAACAATGTAAATAATTACCTACCATACCTAGATGCTGGACATGTGCACACTGAACGGATATCAAATCGATGCTTTCCACGAAGTAGTGTTCATAATTAACAAGTATTTTCCGCTGGTCAGTTTCTAACTCCAAGACTTTTTTGCGTATCATCCTCGTCATGACTGTCACAATTCGACCTAGGGTTGTATTCTGAATAAGCATCGACTTTATAGTGTGTGAATTCTTTAGTTGCAATGCGAGCGGCAAACATGAGGTCCAATTCCTCGAACGTACGGCCCTTAGTTTCAGGGAGTCTAAAATAACTCCAGATGAAAGTTAAGAAGGCCATTCCAAACCAGAAGAGGCCAGTGAACCCACGCCAGTTCCATGATGTCGGATTGAGCATATATGGTTCAATCACCTCGGCAGCCACGATCACAATATAGTATGTATTGCGGGCTAAAACAACTGTCTTAGAGCGCAAACGGGTGGATGATACTTCTGGTGGAATTACCCAGGCGATTGGGCCGATGGTCATCGCATAGACGAAAACCCACACCAGACATAGAACTGGCTGTGCCCATAAGACTGCCTTGCTTCGTGTTGCGGCAGGGGTTATGCACCCAATAATAAGAAGACAGGCACTCAAAAGGCCCATGCCTCCCACGTACATATTGCGACGACCGAAATAACACATGGCAAGAGCAGAGAGAGACGTGCCTATGAAGGCAAGGGCTGCACCAGCTAGTCCTAGCTTATATGAATTAGAAGCACTTAGGCCAGCCTGTTCAAAAAAGTAGGTTGGCGAGTATGCGAAAGGGAGGCCCGCTAGAACCTGGCCCGCTAAGGCCATGCAGGCAATTTCTGTACGACGACAATTTGGCCCTTTGAAGCAGTCCATATAAGAAGAACCTTGCTCGGTGGTTTTTTCCATATTGTTTGTATGTATCATCATAGCGATCGATTGCTGGGCCATTTCCGGATCTGGCTTTGACTGAAGACGATTCACGATATGCACTGCCTCGCTGTACTGGCCTCTTCGAACATGCCACCAAGGGGATTCAGGCATGAAGCAACCTAGAAGCAAAAGAGGCACTGGCCATACCCACTGTATTGCGAATGGAATTCGATATGACCACTGATCCCCTAAATTCATAAGACCTTGTAACACTCCTGCAACGATGAATTGTCCAATAACGAAGAATAGGTTAACTGCTCCAGTCAAGTAAGGACGGAGTGCCATAGGACAAAGCTCTGACGAATATGCAGGACCAAGAGTAGCAAATATTCCCCAAGGAATTCTGGTTCCATACTCTGAGTTATTATGCAACCAGGAGAAACATCTCATTGTGTTGGTTTTTGACTCACCCACATAATATCTGACCAGCCACCTGAAGACCAACCGAATCACCAAAGAAAGAGACGAAAATAAAGGCACACATCAATATTTGACCAAAAATAAAGACCTTCTTGAATCCCCAATAATTGATCAAATACCCATTCATCCACGCACCAAAAAGGGCACCTATATCACCACCGGCTCCGAGAGCGGACTGCCAAGGGCCGCTGACTTGATACCCCTTGCCAGCATAATATTGGCCAAACTGAACCTGGAAAGGGGGATAGGCGAAAAAATTGTTGATAAGAGCACTGTCGTATCCCTCCATAACGATTGCCATGGATGGAACCAGTGACCAAATGATTGCCCAAGGAAATAGTTTCAAGGCTTCAGAAGCAGTCATCGCATGCTCTCTGGAGTTGGCTTTTCGTGCCGCATCCAGTGACGACTCCCAATAATTGTTCTCTTTATCTCCCGTAGGAGAGGTTTGGTCATAGTTGGATATGTTTCTAAGCCGGTCAGTGATCATAAAGTGCTTGATTCCTGGCATGAGCGTCAAAGAAACTATTAGATAGGAGTTGTGGATATATATGGGAAAATATCAAATAAGACCAAGCAGAAAAATCGAGATAGTGGTAGATCACCAAGAAAGGTTTAGATTAATGGCCCTTAGGGGTTATAGCAATATATATATTAAAACCTGATAAACAATAACAAAACCACTGGAATGTTATTAAGGCGATGATGCCGCTCGGGAAAAAGAACCCTCTTTCAAATTCTGCTTTGCTGCTATCCATCGAAATGTCGATACAATTTTCATAGCTTGCAATGAAACCTTTGCCCTGACATTGCAGTGAGCAAATGGTTAATGCTAGCATCGTATTCATATCTTAGTATACGTATCCTCTCGCTCCTTACTCTGGTCTAGGTCGTGGGTGTAGATCTGGTCCCTCCCTATGCTTGGCCTCTGTCATTGAGTCTTCGACGTCTCTCAGTCTACCATATTCGCAGCCGTAATGGCAATTTATTAGTGACAGAAATATGAACTAACAATAAGGCTTGTTGATGATAAGCTTTCCATTATTAGCCAAACATGAAACCAGGAAGCTTCACGACAATGGAATCACTTTCATGAGGTCCGATTTTGATATTCTGTCCGAGAAACATTATGAGGCATGTGCATTTATAGACCTTATTTGAACAAAAAGATTAAACGTGGCCACATGAAGCATGGCGCAATGAATGTGTATGCAATTCATGGAGTTGGGAGAGTGAAATCTTGTATAAAGTCACATCAGACCCTGTCCTCAACGATGAACTCCTTGGATTTTTGGCTTCTTTCAATTTAATTGGCCAGAAATAAATATCTCAATTCATGACCCTAGATCGGAAACAGTTCGCAGTTTTGCTACGACGCGTATTCCAGATGGAAATTACTGGAAGGAATGTTGAATAAACGGCAAATTTCCACATCCAGGAGCCAAAAAAGGAAGAGCAGACCAGATAATTTATCGAAACACTGGAATCTCTCGGGATGTAAGCACCAATGAGAGCTGTGAACAAGAAGGAAAGTGGAATTTGGCAAAAAGGTAGGCCGGTTTTCCTAATCGGGAAAGCAATGCCCTCAGTGAAATGCCGTAGGCGGTATACAGGGCGGTACGTTTTTAATGCCGCCGTACCTCATTTTGCCCGCCGTCAATTCTAATTTCATCCCACCGCGAGTCCTAGTCCTTTGTTAGCCTGTTTCACCAACAATCCCAGCCGCGAAGATGGCGGACAAGAAGCCGCTTTGCACCCCAGCAGAGCTTATGCTGAAGGTTATTCTCGCCGGAACTTTGAGTCATTATGAGACTCGGGGAATGATTGACGAAAAACGCCTTGAGCATATGCTTGAAGCGGGAAAGCAGATCCTCTATAAAACGCACCAGGAGAGCGAAGTCCGGTATGACGGCCTGCGCATCACATATGCTTAACCTCTTTCCTGCTAACTTTTTAATTCCAGCCACAACCTGGGCATGTCTCCGGACATTTGGCAAGGGCTCACTGATGTTCTTACCAAGGCGATACCAGTTCTCGAGTCGCAATCCTTCGCGTGGAAAAGCCCCTCTGCGAGCTACGAACACTCTTCCTCGAACCTTATTGCTCTGAACTATTTTTCGTTAGTCAAGGACATTGAGCGGCTGAATGACCTCTGCACCATCGCCCGTAATTTGCTCGCAACCACCAAGAAAGCACAAAATCTGGCCGCTGAGAAGGGATTTGACCAGCGAATCTTGGCTCTTGTGGATACATGTGTGCGAGTTACTGCTAGAGGGTTTGATGGCGAGACCAATGCTCGAAATGAAGAGCGCTGGCAGAAAGTGGTCAACTTATACAAACGTCTTCTGATTACCTGCCTCCAATATCTCCATAACTTTATCATGCACAATGAGCACCGGAAAATGGTTCTCTGGCTCGATCTTTTTGGGTACCACTCTACCGCCGATACGAATATCATCAAGCCTACAAATGCATTGGACCCAACTGCCCGCGTCGAAGGCGTGTCGCCAATTGTGAGAACCGGCGAGCGCGTGATCAACCCTCCGATTCGGGCCTTATATGATCAGACCGCTGAAGACCTACTTCTGGAGACCATTGCAAAATTTCCACGTGAACCTTCTACCATCAAAGAGGAGGCCGCGATGTTGCTTTTGGCCAACATCAAGGACCACATGGAAAAGATCCTAGGGCGCGATCTGACCGATATCCAGGAAATGGGTCGGGATCCCGAGCAGGTCAAGTATATCCGGGCAGCTTTGACCTCAATACTAGGTGCAAAAGTGGATGGATGGTCTGATCTTCAAGACCGGGCCCGGGAACTGCCGCCGGCACTTCCAGAAGAAGAAGAGCAGGAACCGACTAAGAAGAAGACCATTCTCACGATAGACCGCAGCATGACGGCTGGATTTCCCCGTCTGTGCTGGGCTGATATGCCCGAAGTCAATGACTATTCTATTGATGTCCCAGTAACAGATGATGACACAAGCATGCCGCGGTCTGCCCAGTCCGCGGCGGAGACGCTGCAAGAAGCCAAGGACGAATTGATGGCTCGGCTGCAGGATACATCACAGATCGGTGAAGGCGATGCTGATTATGACACTGGTGATGCTGGGACTGTTGGTGAGGATGACGTACATAGCCTGGAAGGCCATGCTGATGGAAGCATGGACGGTGATGATGAAGATGACGAGGACGAGGATGATGACCGGGGAGATGATACTGGAGAGGTCGACGACGAAGAAGAAGATGATGATGACTATCGCGGTCGCCCCGGTGATCAACAGCGTGGGCTATTGACTGATATTCCCCTAGTTTTGGGACCTGCCGAAATCGAAGCCCTTCCTATGATTGTCCAAGCAGGTATCGTGGACAGCTTCGGCTTGAAGGGCGGAGAGCGTAATGGTTCGCGGAACATGCAAGCTCTGAGATGCCATATTCTTTTGACCCAAGAAACTGGGCGCAATTTGCTTCGCGAACTCCTGATTTTTATTGCAGCATGGGACCTTCCTGACGACGAGCTCTACTTCAAGATGATGGTACAGATCATGGAAGCCGTGCTTCGAAATGGCTTGATGTCACACGCATACTCCGATTTCGGCCAGCCAAAGGACATTATCTCCCCTGCTCAAGCGGTGGTTATTAAAATCCTCACACACATCTTCCGTGCCAAATACTCACCAGCTTCCATTACTGGATCCACACAACCTAGTGTTCCTCGGACCCCCGCATCTCTCAGCCGCGTCGACATCCTTACTGTTCGATACATCTTCACCATCTTCCGTGGCAACATTATTCCGGAGACATGTGCTCTTATTTACCTCCAGGGACAAATACGCGCCGAGCGCGCGTTGCCTGAGGACTTCCCTCTGAATCTGTGGGATATGGAGCGAGTCTACGAGGGCGTGTATCAGTTCCTGGAATTCTTTGCCGTTCTCACCGAGAACAATGACTGGAAGAATCTTCTTGTGAAATGGGAGATTGTCTATGATTTGGTCACATTGATTAAGGAGCTGGAGGCCAGCATTCCTAAGGGCCAGTTGAACTCTCTTTCTTTCGGATCTGTACCCCCTCCGCCACCTCCGCCACCCCGAAGCACCTCTCCGGGCGATAGCTCGAAGCCTTCGTCTCCCGCTCCAGTCGCCGTCGAGCGTCCCTATGACCCCGGTGACATTGACAGCGGTGCCAGCGTCGACTCTCGCCCAGAATCACCCCCGATCACTGAGGACCCGTCTGAATTTGAATGGCGCAATCTCAAGAAGCTGGTTGTCCTGGTTCTCTCATCGCTGGTCTGGAAGTGTCCTGAAGTCCAGGAACAGATTCGCCGGTATGGTGGTGTAGAAGCAATTCTTTGCTGCACAGCGTTCGATGCTCATAACCCCTATATCAAAGAGCACGCTGTGATGTGTCTGAAATTCCTACTGGAAGGAAACCGTGAAAATCAGCGTCTGGTCGAAGAGCTTGAGGCTCGAGAGGTTGTTAAAGACGACAACGGCATTTTGGAGAGAAGTGGATTTGAGGCCATGATTGATAAGGCTGGTAAACTTGCTATTCGGTCGAAGGATGCTAATGAACCAACTTCATCTTGAGTTTCATGTTTGCCGTTTAGCAATCCATCTGCCATTGCCAGATTCTGTCACTACATACAATGTACAAACAAATAGCAGCCATGCCATGAAATAAAAACACCCCTCATGACATGAATATGCATATATCTTTACTCCCACGTTCGATTCACATCCTGACCATTTTTTGCAATCATGCAGTGTGTAATGTTGATGTATGAGTGGATAGACATATCTGGCGCAACGTTTGTTTAGCTCATGAGGATCGTGGGGATGTTCCATGGTATTGATTCATGTGACTTGTCGAACTTCTTCGCTAATGATATCTTCTCGTAAATGCATGTATCCATGTCTCAACGCTATAAAAGCCCTATCCTTTGAGATTCGGGAGGGCAGCTTCAGCCATACATTCCGTCCCACTCTTCCTCCTCATCCTCTTCGACCAGCTTCTTCCTTGCCTCGTCCTTCTCTCTCTGCTGCTTGGCAAAATCAATGCGATCTAGTGGGCATGTACCGCGCAGACGGAGCCAGGGGCGCACGCACTCGAGGTCAAATAGGTGCGTTGGGTGACAGGGAAGTTGGACGACAAGAGGGTACTGGTCTTCCAGAAAGGGGTTGTTACAGATTGGGCAGGTTTGAGAGGGACTCAGAGCAGACTTCGGGACGCGGTCAAGCACTATTTATCAGGAATATGTCAGTGAATCTTGGCCTGCGCAGAGAGAGTAGGGTGCAACACTGGATTCCTGCCAAAGGGCGACTTACTGTCGCAGAACTCCTCGCTCACACCCTCCACCTCCCGGGGTGGAGTATCTGCATCGCTTAGAAGCGTTTGAATCATACGAGTCAAGAGCTCATCGCTTGTTGTATTGTCGTCCCCATTGTGGCCCTCTTCTCCCTCCGGGGCTACGGCTGCCCTGGCGTCTCGGCGCATAACCTCAAACGCCTCGGCGAGCGAGTAGAAAGCGGCACTCACATCACCTGGCACTGGAACTGCGTGTGGACGGTGGTCGGGGCCGGGTGTGATCTCGGAAAGGGTTGCGAAGAAGGTCGATAGATCGGGGCGGCGCCGGCGTTGGCTCCGAGTCTCGGCCGCAGGGTCGGTTGTGTTGTGCTCAACTGACAAAAAGCTAGTTAATTCGATGGTTCATGTCTATGCTTATAGGTTATTCATATCTCCGTACTCTCATAAGTCGACATCTTAATCAATATTTGTAGATCTGGTCAACTTCGAAATTGAGGGGACGTAGAAGGGAAGGACGAAGATTGCGGTTCGTGGGAAACCTCCGGTTATCGTCTGTGCCACCTGGCTGTTTGCTTGTCGCACTCGAAGGTACAATATGAAGTACTCACGGCAAAGCTGTGTGAGTGAGGGGAAGCGCAATTGAAAGTTGCCGTGGGATGAAATTGCAAATGAAAAAATGCGGTTCAAGCTGTGGAAGGCAACAGAGCGATAACGCGGCGCGGGGAATTCGGCGATTGGACCGTGCACGGGATCAGCCGAGCTTCCTGTTGAGGTTTGAAGGTCCATCTACTTGTCGACCGCCCCTTTGCACTTGAGAATTAGGGGTTGGACGTACTTTTGTAGAACGAAATTTTGGATTAAAATTCATCTGAAAGATGAAATACGGAGTAATCATGTACTACCATTGTTCTATCCGCGAATAGCAATGGTGTGGTCAAGGACAAACTGCTGGGCATCAAATCAGCTGGAGGGGGGTACGAAACCTATATCATCTGTACATTTGATTGCTACTACCACAAGAGATACAATCTCTTCGAATCAGGCTTGAATTCGAGGAATTGGAGAATCATCAAAGACCCCATCGCGCCATTCGGCATCCAACAGCCTCGCCCCGGATTTCAGCTCTTTCTCCCAAACAAACGGCTCAAACCAAGGATAGGGAGAATGATACTGAAGATACTGTGAGATACTGTACGTTTCCAGGGGTTGGGGAATGTACTGAATGGCACCATCATCACCTAGACACGATGCCGGCAGCCGGAAACCATTAGTGGTCTCTTTCCAAAACTGACCCTCGGCTACAGATCGAACGACAAAAAAGCGCGAGATAATATCCTCTGGGAGTCCACCCTGTCCAGGCATACGCATAACAGTACTGAATATAGAATCGTCTCCACAATCATCGAATGGGATAGCCAAAGTAGTGTTTTTCTTGATATCACGTCGGAAGAAAGTATCCCACGACCACTCGGAGCCCAGCACAGAATCGAAAAGACATATGCAGCTCTGTGCAGGTGTCTGGCTTGCAAATGCTTGTAAATTCTCCGTAATTTCAGAGTAGGGTAGTTCATTGGTCGTATGTTCTTGTTCTGCTTGACAGGTTCTTTGCAGTGGCCCATAAACTACGGCAGGATCGACAGCCCGAGACACACGGGATATGATCAAAGATTCTAAAAACGGAGCCTTCGTCATCAAGTATCCTGGAAAGTCCGCGATATCGGCCGACTCATTGCGTACATGAGCTTTTCCAAACAAGGCCGGACATATGGAGAGTATTCCGAGTCGTAAATGTTTGAGTTTCGGGAGCCTCTGTCTGATGAGATCGCAGATATGCACAGAATCACTTGAATCAATTTCCGACACTGGCCAGTAACGCTCGAGCCCATTCAATTCGAGTTCTAGATTTGTGCACTCCCTTGGAAGAGCATCGAGTAAAGTGGCCAAAACCCTGGGAGGCATGCAAAAGCCCATGCGTGGGATTTGGGGCGCAATCACGAGGGAGAATGTTCGTAAGTTTGCCATTTGAGTGATCTTGTTTGGAAGAAGCTGCAGACTAGCCAGTAGGTTTCCCAGAACTGGCTTGACTATCTCTTCGGCCGTGTCGTTGGCTTGAGATGGTGAAACCTTCCATGACGAGCCTTCTCTCGGCTCGGATACATGAAGTTTCAGTGTCAGGGACTTAACTAATGGCAGCCTCGACTCTGGAACGAAAGAAACGAATTTTTCCAGATTTGAACATGTAAGATAGATATCGTGGTAAAGCAATGGGAGCATAGCTGAATGCCATTTTCGACAAACTTCAAGGGAGTGGGTTAATGTCGTCGTGGTTGAATCATTTCTGAGATGAAGAAAGATAAGCAACAATAGTTCATCGGGTAACCTGTTCCCCATATCAACACCAGCCATATTCAAATGCGATATAACGAAAGCGGGACAAGAATGAGAATATTTTCAGGGATGAGGTTTCGATTTTCAAATCGCGAGCCTGGCCCCTGACCACGTAGAGCTGGCCCCCGCGGTGGGGGCCTGATACGAGTCCCGAAATAATGATTCTTAGAAATCATAAGCTGCGGCTGAATCATTTAAATAAATTTAAGTCACGATCGACTAAGCGGTACGTAATGATCATTGAAATAAGGGTTTTTTGGTCTTCTGTAAGAAATGACGGATGCTGTGCCTCTGGATGCATATCATATCCTATTTGATTGGATCTTCCTGTTGCCCTTGAAGCGAGGAGCGCGCGTGCATGGTAAATAAGATGGTCTTATCTAGATTCTGTCATCATATACTAACTAACCACAATATACTGTATGTATTTTGCAATCCCATTGGTCAACTATTCACGGACTCCCCGGGAGACTAAGGTTACATGCTTTCCCCGCCTCCGTCATCAACCAATAGTTCGCTGGATTTCACCGAATGTTATATTGATAGAACCATGAGTCACTTCTGAGGAATTTCTTATCAATCCAACTCCAATCACCTCCTAGTAAAAATCTTGAATAATATATAATTTCTAAATAACAATATAGAATTGCTGTGGCACAGCGGGTTTCAACTTGGACCCATTAGTGTATACATATAACCACTAACCAACACATGAGCTATATGATAATGACTCTGTAAAAAATCAGCGAATAATACAAGAGATTGATAGTTTACGTTAAAGTTCAAGGAAGCACTGGCAAAATTAGAAAAGAGATGTTTAATACTAAATATGAACTTCAATTTTGAGTTGAAATATTTAAGCTGGTAGCTAATATGCTTCTTGAGCTTTGTTCTTCATTCTTTTTTTCATCGCCTGCATATTATCTCCTGAACCAACAATAACATCGCGTAGTCCGAAACCTGATTTCTCAGATCTCTCATTTTTCATTATGCCTGGAAGACCCCTGAATTCTGGAGGACGAACGGGAAGGTCTTCGAGTCAGCCTCGTGATAGCATGAATTTTCAAAGATCACCTTCCCACGAAAGAGATGTACAAATAGGCAGAGAATCTCGCGAGAGGACCGCACGGGAAATCGCTGGAAAGTCTGTCGCGGAGCTTCGCACTCTTCAAACACAGGTGGATACTCAGCTTTTGAGAGTCCTGGCAGTTCCAGATTCGCGTTTTGATCGAGATCTAGCTACCGAGCTTCAGGGGAAACTGAGCGCAATCCGCGAAGCAATTGGTGATCCTATTGGACCCACTCGCTAGGCATGCTGTGTGGTATTTCGAAAATCTCATCTGTTGAGGCTTTACTTCTCCTGTTCAGTCCTTTTCTTGCTTGGAGTTTCTTGAATATGCTAGAACTAGCAGTCTAATATTTCCGAACATCATTTTATCACTCTAAAGCCTTGTAGAGTCATGTATCTAGGATCTTCAACTTATGACTAGTGCATTTCAAATGCTGATTGCTCCGGGTGAATTTTGAATCCCATAGAAAACAACACCCCCTAGTGAGCTCTGTATACCTCTAATGGAACTGATTCAGATGCTTGAAGGGATTCTTCATCGCTCTTGGTATCGAAAATATGCTAGACAATGCCTCAATCATCCATCGAAGGAGGGTGCAGGATCATAATAATCTCGGCATCTATGTATCGTAGTAATCAAATTTAGATATCAAAGACGCAGCCTTAATTGCCTGATGTCTCTCTTGTTTATTCCAATGACCAGGCCTCCCCCATTTACCAATCAACAGCGATATCTCGGAGGATATCTTATTGTTCCTGGGACTAGGCACTTTAGCCCAGCCTCTTCACTCGAAAAATTGATGATATAGTTGCTAGTACTTTAGACGCGAATTATGCTTTCACATTTGGGTTTGTATTATATGGTAAGATGTTGGGTATTCAATAAACACTGCCCCCAGTCGGTGGCCGTGCAAGAGCGGAACACTGAAACACTGCCTGGGCCGCGCCGCAGGAGATAAAAATAGCTCCCGTGACGCACTCCCCAACGTGTCAAGTGGAGCGTCGATCATGTTTACCTGCTACAAAACAATCCAAGGGTTGACATTCTTCTTTCTCAACACCTCTCTCCCCTCTACACAATGCGGTCCAAGGCTACTTCCGTAAAGCCATCCGCATACCCGGCCCTGCCGTTCCACGGCATCCGCTTCGTGACCTTCTTGTCAGCGGCCGTCGTTGGTATAATCCTCGCCGTGTTTATCTACCATCTCCATGCCGACGGGTACAAATTGCCGTTCGCCTTTCTGATTGTAAGGCCGCCCTCCACCCTATCACCCGCATTAGAATCTCAACAAAAGAGAGATACGCCATAAATATGTCACTTGAAATTCAACAGAACAAAAGACTAACAGTCAGCTACCACCTAGCTCCTTCTCGCCGCCGTCCTCTCCATCCTCAATAATATCCTCACCGCCGTCATCAACTGCGCCTGCGGCCTCTCCACCAAGCTCTCCATCGCACTGAACATTCTCCTCCTAATTCTTTGGGCGCTCTCACTCGCCCTCCTCAGCTACAACATGTCCGGCACTATCCTCACTAAGTGCACCACCACCTACTGGGCTACCTCGACCGCCCTCTCTGTCTGTCGCTGCTACAAGGCCCTCTTTGCCTTCACCGTCGTCGGCGTCGCCTCCTACATCGCCGCTCTTTGGCTGGATTTCGTCGTTCGCCGCCGTCATAACCGCCTCGGCGCCTACAATCCCATGGGTAGCACCCCCGGCCTCGGCGACGACGCCTTCGACGTCAAGCTCGCGGACCGTCACGACCCCGTCGCCGGCGCGCACTACGACAACATACCCGGAACAAATCATGTAGATCCGTATGCGCACGCAGGCGAAGCGCAGCAGTATTATGATGCGGCGCCACCGCGGACGCGTGGCCCGGGTCATGTTCGCTTCGATTCGTATGCATCGGAGCATACGGCCTACGATCCGGCTGGACATCGTTGATTGGGACTACCTAATTTTCTCCTGGTTAGGCTGCATGGACTGTGCATTGCCGTTTTTATTGAGATTTTTGGGCTTCAGCAAAAGGGCTCTCATGATAAATGTCTCTTTTCTTTTCGTTGCTTTTGGCTCTGGATTGAAGTAATCCATGGTCTGTGCTGCTCATAGTTCTCATGGACTGCTGCATGGGCATGGCGGTGTTAAATGGTGTCTTTGTTTGGAGGTTTTCGTTTCCCTCTCTCTTGTCACGATCTGATATGAAAAATTGGATGTTTATGTAGTAAAGCCGGTAGATAGGTTAGATTTCTTTTTTTTTTCTAGTACGTCTTGAAGATGGGCATTCTAGTTGCGCAGCAAAGGATGAGGGGAAGTAAGAAGAAAATTCAAATCAAATGACCATCCAATGGCAACTGGAACAAGATTATGACGCTCGATATTGACAATACGGGAGTGGTATTTTTAAGGGCAGGATTCAGTGGTGCAATAGATGGCCATTTTACATGATGACCTCGTTGGCGACGTCCTAGAAACAAATGTTAGGATGAAGTATCGGAGAGGCGAAGTGGAAAAGGGGAGAATGGGGGATTTGACGTACGCGCTTGAGCTCCTTATACGGCAGGCAGACACAGTTCTGCACGCGGACCTCGTCGCCGACGCCACATTCCTTGCCCAGAATGGTGATGCTCTGGACCTTGACGCCCTGCTTGACGATGCTGGTCGAGTGGCTGCCGATAGGGATCGGGGTGCCCTCCACACGGGCCCAGGCGCCGACGCGGCTGCTCCAGCCAATGATGGAGTGCATGACGCAGGCGTCGTGGCGGATCTCGGCGTCCTCAAGCACAATCGCATCTTTGATACGGGCACCGGCTCCAACAACGACACGGGGGCCAATGGAGACGTTGGGACCCAGCTTGGCAGTCGGGTCAACGGTGGCAGTAGGGTGGATAAAGACGGGGGGCACAATGGTGGCGGAGGGAGGGGTCAGTTCTTCGGATTGGGCCTGGAAGGCCTTCTGAAGGTACAGCGCGTTGGCGGGCACAGCGGAGCCAGCGGTTTTGATCTGGCGCCAGAAGTCCTTGGTCTCGTGAACAAAGAAGCGGTTGCTATCAGCCAGATCGGAGAGAATATCCTGCTCCAGGCGAATGACCTCGCTCTGTTCGGAGTCCTCGTCCTCACCAGTACCAGCAATGAAGGATGACTCGAGGTTATCGGAGGATGGGTAAGAGAGAAGGCGCGGGCGGGTGGTACGGCGCTTGATGGCGCTGCGGATGGCAGGGAATATGCACTCGGTGGCAAACAGGTAGACGCCGCAGTTGATGAGGTTGGAGATGTGGGACTCGGGCTTCTCGACGTAGTGCAGCACACGCTTGGTGTGCGAGTCGGACACGATGCAGCCGAAGTTGGTGGCCGCCTCGTTTCCTACCCGGGTTCCCAGAATCACAGCCTCCGCATCCTTCTCCTCGAACAGACGCAGCATCTCACCCAATGGGAATGAGCAGCAGACATCAGCATTCAGCACAAGCAAGCGCTCCGGTTTGCCTTTGAGGATCGCATCGCGGAAGTGGTACAGGCCACCTGCAGTGCCCAATGCTGTGTACTCCCGCAAATACTGGATGCGGAACTGGGGGAATTCCTTCGCGGCATCCTTAATGAAATCCCGGAAGACTGTCTCGTCGTAGTATCCGATCAAAATAACCTCGCGCACATCGGGGACCTTTGCGATCGCCTTGAGACAGTGGTTGATGATGGGGTGGCCGGCGACTTCGAACAGGGGCTAGATTGCGGGGCATTTCTGTCAGAAACCAGGTCTGGTGCAGTGCCCCTTGCTGGAGCAACACGAGCAATCGAACAAAAAGGACAGCACGTTACCTTGGGAACATCGAGCGACAATGGGCGAAATCGTGTACCTCTGGATGGACCTCCGACCTGTTGTTGACATTCGTTAGCTATGTACTGGTCGGGCAGATCATTGCGTCACCTACCAAGATCACAGCCTTGGTAGAGGAGGGCTGGTGAGAGTGATCCCGGACTGGTACGTGGAGCATGATGGTGTGTAAAAGGAGAGATTAGGGAGTGGAGGCGAAAAGCAGCGGTTTCGAGAAACAAAAGGTGGCCGGAATCAGCGTCGAGAGCTTCGGGCCGCCAAGACGACGCTTGCGGTGGGGAGGCGTTGCTCACCTGACAAGAGCCACTCGGGAAGTATACAACACGTTGCGTCGGCGACTAAATGGGCGGGAAATCCGCCCCCAAGGGCGGAATATAACATGGGTATTTACGGGGCTGCTCGAGACTAAACATGAAGTGTAATGATGTTTTTGGCCCGTAGGAAAAGGGTGCTAGGATGATACTCGACGAAATACAAAGGCGAAAACCCGCAAACAAGTCGATCTGTAGATCAATTTCAAGTCAGGATGTAGTCAGTATTTTTAGCTTGCAGGTGAACAGCAAGATGATAAGTGGAATAAATCTCTGGGCGATCAACAACTAGTTTGAATATATCTGATTCGGAATGGTTCCTCGTATGCAAGTTTTTCACTCCGCTACATGAGAATTTTTTTGTTCCTATTGGCCTCCGCGCTTGCTCCGCCTGTGACGGCAATAACCAATTTACTGGAATTAACCATCTGACATAGGATCGGATTCGTCATAGCGCTGTTGATAAGTTTATCTTATGTTGGCCATCGTCTAAAAATAGCGACAGACAGCTAAGTTACGGCCGCTAGATCATGAGGACCGAGAAGCTATGATTAGAAGTATTTTGAATCCGAAACATGTTGGATAACCAACTCAATATTTTCTCATCCCCGCAATGCTCGTTTGGATACATGTATGGTCAAGGCAGCGTTTACGCCACTGAGAAAGAGCTTCTAGCCAGTCATGTTGAAGACTAACTTTTTATCACAAGTGTTGAGACAAGCAACAACTTCTCTGACCACGGATCGTCATCAATCATTCAAATTCAACCTTTCCAAGCAACCATTTCCTCAAGAAAAATTTTCACAAAATCCGCAGAATGATCAGATATCTTCCTCTTTGCACTCATTCCTTGTCGGCGATGCATCACATATGGTCTGATCTGGAGAATCTACCACATCGTCATCATCCGCCTGGTGGCAGATCGTCGCCAGCCACTCTTGGGCTTTGGTCAGCTTTGCCCGTTCTTTGGTCAACAAGTTTCTGCGAGCTTGACGCTCAGGATCTTCGGCCATTAACTCCATACAACGCTCAGTCGCTTAGAATCATAGTCAGTGAGTCTCGTTGCCGTTGTACCAAGATCTCAGGAACTACGTACTATTTGCATCCAGACCAACGTCGATCGCCGTGATCAGATCGTCGCGGCACTTCAGAAACAGCTTGTCGTAGGCCTTTTGGCAAATTACATCAACAAATCGCGAACTGGCAATCTCGTAGTACCCGCGCGAATTCTGCGACATTTAGCAAAGTAACAGAATTCTGGTTGACAGATGTACCCACTGCCATCATACTCATCTCCAAATCATACGGTTCGGGCCCAAGATATTCCTTGATTACCTTCGCCACATTTCCTTCGTCAGTGTGGTCAGCTCCATGGCTTCGAAGGAAAGCACGGGCTCGGGACTTTTGTCGTCCGTTGCAGAGCTGAGCAAGGGCCTGCTGCATAGCTTGCCTGTGACGATCTTCGGCCATCGTAAAAGGCTTTTCAAACTCAATTTTGTATTGAGCGATAGCATCAGTTAGATACCTGGCTCCAAGTTGCATAACAAAGGCGTCTGTGATGCGCTTCAGTTCGCGGTACAGCCCTGTTTGATGATATTCCGAGGCAATGACCTCGTCCAGAGTCTCGGACAGAATTCTCATTACCAGGCTGTGAGTGGCCACAACAAATTTCTTCGTAATTTCATCCCAGTGCTTTACACTTTGCTTTTCGAGAGCTTCGATTGCACTCGAGTCAATCTGATTGGGGATACCAGCACGATGTGATTGCTCCCTGATATTCCGGATTTCATCTAAGGAGAACCGTCGGCTGGGCCCTTTCCAACGCTGGAATTCCTCCGAGTGATAGACCGACTCTTTGAAATTTGCAGAATGAGCAAGCTCCTCGGATGACGGTTTCGTCTCCGTGGTAGGGGCTTTTCGCTTCAGCCGGGATGGGGACGGGGAAACTATCTCACAGTCGGAATCAATTCTTTCCGCAAAGACTTCCCGGTCCGATTCGGCAACCGTGATCAGAGTGGGCTTTGTAATAGCTAGTGCCATCTGAAAGTCCTTGATGAGATTTCCCCATGAACTGTGAAGAACACTGCTCAAAAGGCCTTTGTCATCAAAGACCTCTCGAAACTTCAAACCCAGTATGGTTACCTTTTCTGTGAGAACACGTTGAACATTTTCAGCCGGAGGATCTGGCAGAGTCTTCAATTCCCTGTCTACGCTGGCTGCCTTTTCATTGATCTTGCAAATGATTGATGGCAAACATTTTTGAATCTGCTCCATCAGGACGGCAGAGAGAGCGGTCTGGAGTCGTCGAACACCAAAACGGTGTTGGAAGGTAACCATCATGCCTGACCAAAAGGGATCGGAAAAGAAGGCTTCCTCTTCCTCTCTGGCCTTTCTATGGTCTACATTGGGGTCGGGGTTGTTCCGGACAACGTAATAACCATGTCCGAGTTTGAAAGTTTTGCCTTGCAAGATGTCCTCCCATTGAGCAAAGGGCTCATTTGCAGAAACGCGGTCAGGCTTCGTCAAAACACCGAGAGTACGTGACTTGGCAGATTTGATGTTGCTGATGATACGAGCGGCACTGGAGTTCGTTGCGTCGTCTGTCATTGCCATAGTCAAGAGCAAGATACAATTCTCCTGTGAAGCATATTGCTTCACCAATCTCTCAACAAGTCCAACAAGATACGTCTCATCTTCTTGCTCAGGGACATTTATCACACCGGGGAGGTCGTAGAAAGACAAATTTGCGAATCCGGGGGCGGAGATATCGAGGCGTACCACGTTGGGTGAGAATTTCTCCTTGGTGGCACCGCTGACGTGGTGATTCTTTCCAGGAACAAAGTTTTGAGGATTTTCTTCGGGGTTTAAAATGGCGATCTGAGCCCATTTTATGGCTTCCTTGACTTTAGATCTGTCTGTCAGAGTAACAAACATTTCATCGTCTTGGCCGTTGAATGGAAGCCAGGGTCCAAGGTACTTGGTCTGTGACGAGGGGTCACGCATCCGCTTTGCTGGATCGTAGCAGTATCGCCGGGACACGTACACGACACACTTCCACGACTCTCCAGGTTCGCTCTCATAGAGGTTAATCTCCATGGGACAGCGAGTGCATGTATTGGAATCTCGGGGGACTTTGATCTCAGAGATCCCCTCGATGAGGGAACTCTTCCCAGCACTTTGATCACCAACCACACAGATCTTAGGCAAAGTGATGGTTTGGTCCTCGATACCCAGGTGACTGAGAGCTTGGATCTTCTTCACCAAGGGCTTCATGTCCATGGTAAGGAGGTCAAGGGTTGAAGGCATATTCGTCAGTGGGGTCGACGTCGCGGGTACAAAAAGAGAATCCGGCATTGTGAAAGCTGTAGGCTCGTCAGCTATCGACTGTAATGATTATTTAAGAGATGAACGATGAATATACTCTCAGCCTTTGGCCTTGCTGACATGGCCCCAGATGCAAGTGAAAGACGAGTCATGAATGAGAGCGGATCGTGCAAAGCAAAGAAACAACAAGGATCATTCAAGAGGAGAGGATGGAGATGAAGGCAGGGTTAAGAAAAGAGAAGGTTTTGACGGGAGTTGGAATATGAGGAAGACTAACAAGCGACCCAGGTATGCCTTATCTCTCAGCCCGGCTTGAGAGTTTGAAAGACGCAGCAACACCCGGAGCAGTCACTCTGCCAGCTGTCGATTCAGATATGCAGATAAAATATCAAGCGAAGATGGAAGAGAACGAAAAGCAAGGCAGCGAGGGGGAGTGAGAAGCATGGATATGAAGTAGCGGAGAAAGAGAATGATGGAGAAACAAGGAAGAAGGGAAGGATGAAGAAGGGAGGTCAATAAATGGAAGGCCACCAGCTCGGTCGGAATTGAATTCAGAGATTGCGTTTGATAGCAATTCACTTCACCCCTGAATCTCGCCTGACACTGACTCGGTCCCAGAGTCTTCGATGTACATACGTTACATAAGTATACACAACAATCGCCGACAGCTCAACTTTCCAAGCGACGTCCATTTGCTAGCATAGAGTGTACCACAAGCTTCGAAACCAATGCTAAGCTCGGCAGAAATCCCAGATGAACCTTGAAACCTGTCATTCCAGTGACATTTTACATGGATCTATTCCCACAACTGTGGTAGCTGGATCCCTTGACAAGCTTGGTGATCTAGTGTTGCAGCTCCAACCGCAAGCCGAGCACCATTCCCATTTCCTTTGCTGGCCATTTGAAATGCTCTTGTGCTCCCAGATGAAAACCGTGAGGTGCGAAATAAGGTGGATGAGTTCTTGAAAGATGCCGCAGAAGATCTATTCGAAATCGCGATTGATAAGAATAAGATCATCTGCTCCGCATGTTAGGTAATCCAGTACGGATCAAGGTTAACCAGGCTATACTTCATTCTTGTGTTCACTTCGCCAGCATACTAAATAATTTTCATAGACACTAGATCTTCGGTCAAGCAAAACACACAGTCTCTTTTGCATCGGTTGCTATCCGCTTGCGCCTATTTAGAGTGGTTGTACTATATTCTTTGTCCTGAGAGCGCGGATAAGCTTTGAACCATGTCACTTAGTGAGACCGTTTTGATACCTGTAATAACCCAGTGATATTTTCTATGCGTGCATGGCAACATGGCCAATACGATGTCTGCATCGACGATCCGAACGACATAAGGACCTGCGCGGCCTGTATACTTCTTTGGTGGCACCCGCGATTACCCAAAACGGCAAAGAGGGGAAGCCCCACACGCATGCCCTAGGCCCTAAGACCCCAATACAGCAATAACCTCGTTCTGACCCTTATTGACTGGGGTAGAGGGAACGGCCATATGGCGACGTTAAACAACTTCCGTAGTGGTAGGCGACATTCATCTCAGCAAATAAATCCAGCAAAGGGTCCGTTTCCAGATCATCAGTGAGTCATCGCAGGAGTGTTGCGGATGTCTTGTAGTTGAGCTGGGCCCAATCAAACCCCGCCGCGGTGACTCCCGCCCGAAATTTCGTGTGCCCCTCCAACTTCATCCCACCATCGACTCTCCGATCCCAACTTTGACTACCCACACATCATGGCGGATCCCAATGCTGTCCAAGAGGCTGAGGCCTCCATGGCCAACCTTCAACTCGACACTGTCACCGGCGAGATGGTGTCCAAGAGTGAATTGAAGAAGCGTCTGAAGATGCGCGAGAGAGATGCCAAGAAGAAGGAGAAGGCGGCGGCGGCTCCTCCCAAGGCTGAGAAGAAGACCTCCGAGGAGGATGAGGAGGCTAACCTGACTCCCAACGTATGAGCAAGATCCACTGCTGCTGGGTGATGCCCTAGCTAACCATTGTCTTCTTTGTCGTACAGCAATACTTCGAGATCCGCAGCAAGAAGATCCAGAAGCTGAACGAGACCCAGCAGCCGAATCCTTATCCCCACAAGTTCCAGGTGACAAACGATCTGCGTGTTTTCCTCAAGGACTATGAGAGCCTCCAGAAGGGCGAGCAGAAGCCCGAGACGATCGTTCGCATCGCTGGTCGTATCTACACCAAGCGTAGCTCCGGCAACAAGCTGATCTTCTACGATATCCGCGCCGAGGGCGTCAAAGTCCAGGTCATGTGCCAGGCCCAGAATGCTACCGGCAGCGTTCCGTTTGACCAACAGCATGAGCACCTGCGCAGAGGTGATGTCATTGGTATTGTGGGATTCCCCGGTCGTACTGCGCCCAAGAACCGCCCCGACGGTGAATTGTCCATCTTCGCAACTGAGGTCGTTTTGTTGGCCCCCTGCCTGCACGCCATTCCCTCCGAGCACTACGGTTTCCAAGACAAGGAACAACGTTTCAGACAGCGCTACCTGGACTTGATTGTCAATGATCGAAGCCGCGAAATCTTCCGCACTCGATCTAAGATCGTTACATACATCCGCAACTTCTTTGATGCGCGTGATTTCACTGAGGTGGAAACGCCAATGATGAACGCGATCGCTGGCGGAGCCACCGCGAAGCCTTTCATCACTCACCACAATGATTTGAATCAGGATATGTTCATGAGAATCGCACCGGAACTGTACCTGAAGATGCTGATTGTCGGTGGTCTAGAGCGGTAAGTTGGAATTGGCCCTACCACCCTCAACCCCCCTCTACCTAATTTTTGATTTGAATTGTCATAACTAACCCCTAACAAGAGTTTTTGAATTGGGCCGCGTGATGCGCAATGAGTCGATCGATCTGACCCACAATCCGGAGTTCACGACATGCGAGTTCTATTGGGCCTATGCAGACTACCATGATCTTATCGTTCTGACTGAGGAGCTTATCTCCGGTCTTGTGAAGCACCTGACTGGTGGTTATGAGACTACCTACCACACTCAGTCCGGTGAGGAGTACACCATCAACTGGAAGGCTCCTTGGCGTCGGGTGAATATGATTCCGGCGTTGGAAGAAGCCTGCGGTGAGAAGTTCCCTCCGGGAGACCAGCTTCACACTCAGGAGAGCAATGAATTCCTCAAGAGAGTTCTTAAGAAGATGAATGTGGAATGTTCCGCGCCTCAAACGAACGCGCGTATGCTGGACAAGCTGGTCGGCGAGTTCATCGAGAGCACCTGTATCAACCCCACCTTCATTTGCGAGCATCCTCAGCTCATGTCGCCTCTTGCGAAGCATCATCGCGAGAAGCCCGGCTTGTGTGAGCGTTTCGAGGCCTTTGTCGCCACTAAGGAGATTTGCAACGCCTATACCGAGTTGAACGACCCCGTCCAGCAGCGTCTGCGCTTTGAAGAGCAGGCCAACCAGAAGGACCAGGGTGATGATGAGGCCCAGCTCATTGATGAGAACTTCTGTACTTCGCTTGAGTACGGTCTGCCTCCGACCGGTGGTTGGGGCTTGGGCATTGACCGCCTGGTGATGTTCTTGACCGATAACTACAGCATCAAGGAGGTTCTGACCTTCCCCATGATGAAGGAGGATAAGACCGCTGCTGAGGGCAAGTCTGCTGCCGAGATTGTTGGCGCTAAGCCCATCCCCGATTCTGTTGAAGGAATTCGTATGTTACTAATATCCTGTAATTTCCATGAACCGGTGTCACTAACTATGAATCTACAGCCCACAAATAATTGAAATAAAGGTCTTTGAATCGGTGGAGTTAAGTGATGTGGTATTGAGTCCTTTGTTTTCAATGTAAGCCGTTGAAAATGGAACATTTAGAGAACTGCACAAAACGATTTCCAAACAACAGAATAGTCATGAGTCTCCCAGTAGTTTCCTATAGATGTTGAAGCAGGACGTGAAAGAGTGGCTGAGGGGTTGTGTGATATTGCGGTCCAACTAGTTTTGCTGTAATCTCAATTAAGGTACATGTCCATAATTCTGGCATTCAAGTTCAGCATATTGATCAAAAGTCGGCTAGTCGCCTTCAACATTACAGGGGTCTTGAAAAACAGCAAGACCATGATTTGCTGATGCATTACTATGTACGGATATTAAACCGATGATAAACGGAATCAGAAGGTCTAAGCTGTCTATAAAGGACTACTCATTAGAATAATTGACAAAGGAACTACTATATATGAAGGAACTACTATTCATGAATAGGGGCGAAAGCTGCCGAATACCGTATAGAGACATGTTTAGAAATAGGTACGACGATTGCGTTTATAGAAACGTCGGGTCTATATTCTCGCTGAGATACAAGATTATACCAGCAATCTATTCTTCAAGGTATTATTGACCCTTTCGCTTTCTCTCAAAATGAATCTATCTATCATTATGCAAACTAGATTCAATAGAACTCGAGACCCAGTCTAACTGGAGGCACGGGCACAAGGTAGTGCCTTCCCTCGCATCTGTGATCAAACCCGAGGGTAGGAAAGATATAGAAAGGATACCATGCATCATGCAAGCCAGCATCAGGCTCCTCGCGAAAATGGGTTTGTCGGCTCAGGGCAATATATGGGATTCTCTGTTTGTCTTCTCTGAACCATCCCATCATCGTCCTTTAAAAAGAGCTCACTTGTGTTGTCAACTCTTCTTTCTCAACACCACGCCCTTTACCATCTTTCCCCTTCAGCCACAAAATCCAGGTCTCGATTAATATTTCCTATTTTCATCCATCAGGTCAGCGGATGGACAGGAGCAAGTCCATGCTAGGGGAGCCCCGGCCCCAAACTGGGTCACTCCCCATTAAATCCCCTTTACACGACGTGAGCGGACAGCCAATGAGTCAAGATGCCTCTCGCCCCGGTAGCGTGCAAGATATTGTGTTTTTACCTCCCGTTGACCCTTTTTTCCAGCCTGAGGGCCCTGCTCAAAATGTGAGTTGGATCCAGTTCCAGGCATGAAGGCATCCCCGAATCTACATGTTCCTGATGCTCAGATATCGAGTAGGCACATCAACTTCTGGGGAATCCTTTCGCGAAGGTAAACATCCTTCCAAGACCTAATGTTTTTATCTTTACTGAACTGTGCAGTCTTCCTATGAATTGCGCCTCGAGTTGCAAAGATCACTGCCTGTGTTGACATCACGAACGCGAATACCATCACTGCGAGATCTGCCCGCTGTCCCAGCAGCCAACAGAGCTCCTTCTCCTGAGCCTCCAGAGCGGCTTCCAGGTAAATATTTGAGAATCGACAGTCAGGTATTAACAAAAAGAAATGTTCTGATAACGCTCTCTACCGATCAGAAAGTGTCGCTCAGTCACCCGAAGCACATCTGGAGGCTCGCTGTTTACAAGCGCCTCCCAAAGGCCCCTCTCCATTCATTTCGTCTACTTCCAGAGATACAAGGAAACCTCTCAAGGTCCAGACAACTCATCGGCCTATGGAAATAGTATTTGTCAAATTCATGGAAGTGGCCGCCCACACGGCGAAATGCGACTTATGCGACGAACGAAACAGAGACGGCATGTCTCGCTGCCAAACATGCGGCTGGCAGTGCTGTCGCCGGTGCTACGGCGACAGGGGCGGAAATTGCTCTCACCAGTCCTTCAAGAGCATCCATGCTTCCGAAGAATCGTATCGCACTTCCAGCTTGGGCGCGAACCCCGGCACCCCGACCAGCAACGCGACCCCGAGAGAACAGTCCTCGTCGTTTCTCAGCAGCCCGCCGCCAAGCGAAGAACAGCAAGCTGCGGAGGCTCTGATGAACATGAGCTCTAGTCCGCCTGGAGCTAAGTGCGAGACCTCCCCTAGAGGTGGACAGCGCACTGAGCGGTCGGAGAGTATGATTGCGCAGCGGGGAGATTTTAGCGACAGCGAGAACGAGACAATTTCCATGCCAGATAGCGATATCACAGGGGGAGATCTTGATCTGCCGGAATCGATGGTCAACGTTCGACGGAACCCATCACGCAAGGCCCGGCCTGCAGACTTATCCGAGAATCAGGAGTAAAGGGAGCAAGAGACTGGAGGCACGAGATTGAACCAGGTACAAACATCATCACAACATTCCAAGGAGTCTAGATTGAGGATTGCTCAGATAATACATTGTTTTTTTTGAATTCGAACTGTTGTTTACAAACGAGTATATGAAACGATAATACTTATACACTGAGGGCCCCTGGCGAAGTGCCAGGTGTAGCAGAGGAATGGAGATGGTATCAGAACAGCAAGACTGTAGATCATAGAAATCTACCTTGATCAACATATTCATACATCAGCTGTGGTTCTCTAACTCACAGTCTTTTCACGGCAGAGGCAGTCGAGCTAGAGAGTTGCTGGCTGCGAGCCTTGGCGGCTATCTGCAGAAGCCTCGCAGTTCGCGATGGGTTCCACACCCGGCTGCCCAGGACTAGAACCCAAGTCAAGAGAAGCAAACTTCCGGCCTGATGGGCAGATGCAAGCGGAGTGGGGACAAGGTAGAGCAAGGTGGAGATACCAAGACCAACTTGCATGAAGGCAAATCCAACGACGCCGTGGACACCCTTGCGAGCAGCAGGGGGGAGGATGCGCTTGAGAGTGGGCGAGCGACGGCTGTAGGCCCAAAGAGCCATGATGGAGGTGAAAGTAGTCATGGCGAGAATGCGGTGGTCAAGCTGGACAAGAGAGGGGTTCTCCAGCATGTTGCGCCACCAAAGATCAGAGCGGTCCTCGTGCCGGGAATAGTGAGCATCCCAGAGCTCAGAGCTGGGAGGAGCGAGACCTTTGCCCATGTACGGGAACTCATTGTAGATAAGACCAGCATCCAAACCGGCCACCAGACCACCAGACATAGCGGTGGTGAAGACCAACAAAGCAAGACCAGCAACCGAGCGGCGGAAGATAGCAAGGCGAGGATCCCGAAGGGCCTCAAGCTGCTTCAAGCCCGATGCGGCGTCCTTCATCAGCTTGTGGGATCGGAGGATCGCCAGACCGTTCCACAGCATGGCGACATAACAAGTAAATGCAGCACCCAAGTGGGCAGTAAGACGGTACTGGCTCACGCGGGGGTGGCTGCCCGGGGCGAACAGATCATCCTTCAGGCCAGACTTGACCATCCACCAACCCAGGAAACCTTGGAATCCAATCAAACCAGCAATTCCCGCCAGACGCCATGCCATGGGAGTAGAGACCTTCTTCCGGGCAACGAAGTAAACGGCAGGCAGGACAAAGGAGAGGCCCACGAATCGGCCCCAAAGACGGTGGATCCATTCCATGTAGTAAATCGACTTGAAGTCGTCCAGATTCATATGTGAGTTGAGTTGTTTGAACTCCGGGGATGCGCGGTACTTTGCAAACTCGGACTCCCAGTCGTCTGCATTCATCGGTGGGAGGGAGCCGGTGACGGGGCGCCATTCAGTGATACTCAATCTGTTTCCCGCGGATGTTCCATTAGCTTTCAATGTTCTACTCTCCGTTTCTCTCTCAACAGGACAGTGCTAGAACGAACCCAGATTCCGTGAGACGGGTTAATCCGCCAAAAACCACAATACCGAAAACACTAGCAGCACTGCCCAGCAGCCAGTATGCCACAGACTTGTGGCTGATCTTGGGCATGCTGGACTTTGCCTTGGTAGCCCCTTCTTCGACCACACTTTCAACAGCGGGAGCAGCCACAGACTGTCTCAGGCTAGAGGTGAAGAATTGGCGGTTCTTGTCCGTGAAGAGGGAGGACCGAATCTTGCTGGTCTGAGGAGACGGCATCGCGGCGAAACGACGGACAGATTTGGCAGCGTAGCCCTTATTGCGAAGGCATTGACGACATGTGAAGAGCTCCTTGGACATACGGGGCCCGAGGCCCCGCCATAATGGCAGATATGTACCCAGAGAAGCCATAACAACTGGGTGGTGGGAGCAGCTGCTCTTGACGGAGGAAAAAGAAGAACTGGCGATTTCGCGGATCGTAAGATGTCGCGCGGGATGCCGAGCACCAATCAACGGCCGGGGATTTGAGCGGGTTCAACAATGGCAGCGCACATGGCTTTTGGCATAATTTGGTTTGTATCGACTCTTCCTCTTTGCCTTCTTTCAAAGGTTAATAAGTCACATGAATTGATTCGCTCTCTCTAATCAAAGCTCCATTCACAGGACATTTTCCAGTCCTTTCAAGTGGGACAGCTTAGAGATTAGTGCCTGAGGCAGAAACGCGCCCTCAACCTGCGGCCGCGGCTCGTCGCTGTATCTGCTTACCGCGCAACTGCGTCAACAACTCATACGCATACGCCTCGCACTGCGGTATCGACATGTCGTACGCTGTTGAGTCCAAGAAACGCAAATTTCACCGGGTTTTGGAGTCTATCTCCAAGCCTCTGGCGACCGACGGGGCATCAAAGCTCGCCGCCGCAACGAGCGCGACGGCTACCCAAGACCGAGCCCCCGCGAACCCTTCGATCAAGAAAGTCCGCTTAAGCACCAACGACACATCTGAATTCACAAGCGTACGGAACTCGATCCTTAAGCCCTCCCGAACGAAAACCAGGACAACATCTGGGGCCTCAGCTGAGCGACCGACTTTCGTTCCTTGGGACCGGGAACGCTTCCTTGAGCGGCTGGAGACCTTTCGTCGCGTCGATCGATGGACATCAAAACCTTCCCCTATCAATGAAGTTCAATGGGCAAAGCGTGGCTGGATCTGTACAGATGTAATGCGCGTGAGCTGTGTTAGTGGTTGTGGCGGCTCGGTGGTCGTCAAGCTTCCTGAGGAGATTGACGAGCTCGATGGATACGACGCAGAGAAGGTCCAAGAGCGAAAGGAAGTCCGTAAGTATTCATATTCCCACTTAATATTGCGGCTCTGGGTTTGATCTCAAGGTGCTGATCGGGCTGGGTGACAGGTGCAAAGTTAGTAGATGAATACGAGAAGCGATTAAGCGAAGGGCACGGCGAGAGTTGTCCATGGCGCAACAAGGCCTGTGATGGTGTGTTTTCAAACCTTCTGCTTTAGATATGCTCTTCTGACGCTCTTACAGCTACCATTCAACATCTAGCGTTGACAAACACCGACGCTGCTATCTCTGGTCTCCAAAGTCGCTATTCCAATCTCACTAATATGGGTGACAAATTACCTGCTGCTCACAGTATACAAACACCGGAAGACTTTGAATTGGGCGAACTCATTCAAAATCTCCCTGAAAGCTGGCCTTCAGACTCGCATGTGGGTCGAGAGGCAGAGGGTCCGGTGGACGGCGACAACCAAGAATTAAATGCCCAACCCGGAGCGGGGTCTTCGCCGACAATCAACCATGCGGCACTCACAATGGCATTCTTTGGTTGGGATTCAGAAGCCGATGGTGCTGCTGGTCTAGTTGGATGCAAAGCTTGTTTTCGCCGCCTAGGTCTTTGGATGTACAAACCTCGAGAAAATGGCGATGTTACCGTGTACAGTTCTCTCGATGTGGCCACCGAGCATATGGATTACTGCCCTTGGATCGATCGATTGGCTCAGAGTGGATCCGGCAAACCGAACGAAAAGCTCGACAGCCTACGCAGTGGATGGGAAGTTGTTGCTGAAGCCATCCGGGTGAAGCACCGTCGGCAGAAACGATCTACAAAAACTGTGGACACCGTCCGTGCCGAGTCGAACACACCCCCAGCTCAGGCCCACCGCGATGCGATCGAAGAGAATGATGAAACTAAAAAGAAAGCTGACCGAGAGTGGTGGGCTAAGATCAGGCGTATGAGACAGGTTTTGACTACCAAGTCCCCACGGCAGAAATCAACCAACCCGAAATGATCAATCTCGTTTCTTCTTTCACGAACTACTTGACTCCAATTTTTTATGTTTCATAATATATCATTGTCATATGCCCGGCGTTTCGGGGAGGTGAAGCATACATTCTCAGTCTATATAGCTTTTATTTATCCTTTACACCGCATCAATTCAAACATTCTCCATTCTTGGCCTCGCGCCTAGTTGAGACCAATATAATCATCTTCCAGTCATAAATTGCCCATATTTTCTTTATATTTTGACTCCATCCATTGCTTCTGCTCCTCTCGGCACTCCTACTATCCTTCCCACTATCGCTCCCACCACGAGGTACTACTCCTACTATCGCCCCTTCACTTGTTCTCTCACACCTTTGAGACCCTAGTCTCTAGCCAAACTCACTAGATTCAAAGGCCATTCTCAAATTTCAGAGCTATCTGCATTTAACGAAAACCAACGATCAGAACTGCTTCACTTCCTTTTCAGCATGTCGACTCCAGAACATACCCAAACTGCCATGATTTCGGATACCACCGAACAGGCTACCGTGAAGCTACCCAAGGGCCGGGAGCCTGTGGAGGGACAGTTCTTACCCAAGGAAAAGGTTATCGACCATGAAATCTCCGTTTCTAAAGCAATCTTACCGAATTCCCCCCTTTCCCCTTTTTCTGACATCGAAACCGTGGATCTCAGCTGTTTTGAACCTCCACACTCTACTCCTGTGACATACAAAGAGACTGCTCACAAGACGGTCACGTCTGATACTGATGCCATTATGAGCTTGGATTCAGAAAAGAAAACGAGCACTCCGACAGCCACCTCGCCCACAAATACATTGAGGGATACCATTGGTGATATCACAGTGCAAGAAGCTCCAACTGCTACAACACCACAAGCTCATGCCACCTCCGAAAGTCCAATTGCAGAGAGTGTGAGCCGCATTGATAACGCCGTCAGCGGTGACCCATTCGTGGGGAGATCGCAGGCTACCAAATCAACCAAAGTCAAGGCCTCTCCTTTCAAAGGAGATCCAACTATCAACATCGATAGCCTGCCGAAGCCTGAGGAGGAACTGAATGATGCTCAGATTTCCATTCTGTGCACTCAATCAAAAGAGATTCGCAAGAAGTATGGCAAGTATTTCTGCAGCACTGGCATCATACGCTCTGCCTACTATGGAATCATCTTTGCGAGAAAAGAAGATGGCACTCTACAGCACTCAGAAGATGTCCTTAATTCCAACGTACCAAGGTGGGAATCGCGTCTTCTTTACCACGAAGATCCCCGCACGTGGACTAGCAAAGGAGAACCGCGCCAAAGGTCCCATGGCTCCCCAGCAAAACGGAAAGTCATGGTGGAAACCTTGGATCAGGGGGAAAGCAAAAAGGTCCGTTTTACACAGAATCTTGCGGATAACCCGGAACCCTCGGCGGCAGCGGCAACAGGAAGCCGACCCTGTCCAGTGCATCTGGCAGAATCTCCAGCTGGCCAACAGAGCAACAACAGGATTGCCCCAGGAGATCCAAATTATCTCCTTAGGTTTGTCTCATGGCTAGGCTATGAGATTTTCAAACTGAATCACTATATTATGGACACCGCAACCATGACAAAAGATATAGATTACCAAAATGGCCTCATTGAGGTGTTGATCAGGTCACAAAAGTTGCGGTCAGCTTGCATCAGCCTCCAGGGCCATTTGAGGAAAAATCAACAGGTGGAAGAATGAGCAAGACTTCGTTTCGTTAACTTTTACTCGCCAATACATGGTTATATGGTCAAGTGGGGAATCTTTTTGCGATATGCTATTCTATCATGACAGCATCTTCTTATTTCTTGATTTGCCTTGCTGCACAGAATGAGATTCTACATTATCAAGTTAGTCTGCTGCTTGAAGAAATATATATTTTATGTTTGCGATGGAAGTGAGAACAAAGCACTGCAAAGAGCGCGCAAAGTTAGACATACAGAAACACCGAGCATCGGATAAATCAAGCTCCTAGATGGCCATAAATAGGCTCTGGTTGTCGAGCTATCGAGTTCAGAGGTGGCAGTCTTGAAGCAGTTGTGATTACGGCAGGGTTGGCCGAGTGCAAGACCCACTTTGACCGAAGCTCCCTTCTTCCGCGAGTCACTTTTGCCCGGCTCTTTGACCTCACAAGTTCGGTCTCAGGCCACGAACTCACGACAACCCCCCGGAGTTCTTTGTTTTTGCCTGAGTCGAAAATATTTAATCTACTACCTCTTTCCATCGAATCGCTAGAGCCTCCAGTCCCAATATATCTCACAGGCATATCTGAAGAACACCTCACAACCACTCGCCTTTAACAGAAACACATAACTCCGAGCAAAATGGCATCCACACCAGACTTGGGTGCTCCCAGATTCCCGAATACCGCGCCAGCTACCGCAGACAAGGATGGTGGACGATCACCATCCGGGCCTAGAGCAGAGCACAATGGATCCCGCGATGACAATTCAGCAGACCGGCAACCTTTCCAACCCGCACCAGCATCCAAGCGCCGCCGAGTGCAAGAACGACACCAAGCCCGCAAGCGCGGCCGCACACCACCCTCAGTATTCTCCCGACGCAACCGCTCTCGCAGTCCCGCCAACGCCGCATCCAGGGATGACCACTCACGACGTTCTCGCTCCCCCCTGCAGCCGCGCTCTCCGGAGCCGGAAGAACAGCCGCGGCAGCGCAAGCGGCCTGGTGGTGGTGCACGCATGGGTCTGATGAATAGTGAGACGATGCGGCGGCGCCAGGAAGAGCGCGAGCGCGCGCTGGAGGCGGACGCGATGCAGGCATCCCGGGACCGGGGCGTGTCGGACGTCGTGCGGCAGCACTACAACGCGGTTCCGGAGCGCGGGCGTGAGTGGCGCAAGACCGAGAGCAAAATCAAGGGCCTGCGCAGCTTCAACAATTGGGTCAAGAGCACGCTGATCCAGAAGTTCTCGCCGGACGAAGAGTTCACCGCGCGCTTCGAAGATACGAAGGACTGGGCGGATGACGGAGCAGGCCCGCCTCCAGTGGATGACAAACGGCTGTTGGTGCTGGATCTCGGGTGCGGTAAGGGCGGTGATCTAGGGAAGTGGCAGCTTGCGCCGCAGAAGGTCGATCTCTATGTTGGACTGGACCCAGCCAATATTTCCATTGAACAGGCGCGGGATCGATATGTTCAGATGAAGTCGCGGGGAGGCCAGCGGGGACGTCGACCACCGCCGCCGCTATTCCATGCTGAGTTCCGCCCGAAGGACTGCTTTGGTGAGTGGCTTGGCGATGTGGATATTGTGCAGCAGGTCGGCATTGATGCGAATGCCGGACCCGGTGGATCTCTGATGGCTGCGCGATGGGGTGGCGGTGGCTTTGATGTTGTTACTTCTATGTTTGCAATTCACTACGCTTTCGAGAGTGAGGAGAAGGCACGCCAAATGCTCACCAATGTAGCTGGATGCTTGAAGAAGGGCGGCCGTTTTATTGGCGTGTGCCCCAACTCGGATGTGATCACTAGCAAAGTTTCCGCATTCCACAAGCAGCGCAAAGAGCGCGAGGCAGCCAAGGATGCCAATGCCGAGCCGGAGAGTCGCGAAGATGGCGAAGTCGAAGAGGAGGAGCGCTGCGAATGGGGCAACGACATCTATCGTGTCCGCTTCCCCGGTGATACTCCCGAGGATGGTATATTCCGCCCGCCATTCGGGTGGAGGTATACATACTTCATGCGCGAGGCCGTGGAGGAAGTGCCCGAGTACGTTGTTCCTTGGGAGGCATTCCGAGCGTAAGGATTTCACTTTAAAGCACTCTGGTTTACTTGTTATTTACTGATGATGGATTCTAGCCTGACGGAGGACTACAACCTCGAATTAAGCTATCGAAGACCATTCTTGGAGATCTGGGAAGACGAGAAGAATCATCGCGAACTGGGTCCCCTTAGCGAGCGCATGGGCGTTCGAGATCGGGCCACTGGCGCCTTGACAATGACGGAGGAGGAGAAGGACGCCGTCAGTAAGTGTTTTCAGAGACAGCACGCCTTAAGCATTCTTCCGCTAACCATCTTTCCAGGCTTCTACCATGCATTTTGTTTCTACAAAGTCTAAACCTGGACTTAAATCTGTGTTATACTTATTTCGTTTATGCATAGCTGCCGCAGTTGCAAACATTGGATAGCAAAACGTAGACAAAGACAAAGAAATCAATCAAATAGCGTTTGGAATATACTCAAACGAAATGCACTACAAGTGATTTGCGGACCTCCTGTACTATGAATATCTTTGAACAGTGAATTGACATGCCTGGTATCTGTCGCGGATGAACTATAAGCTTATCGCTGCACTGTAACCCAAACGGGACTAGCGCCGTCGCGACGCGTTTGGATTCGGGCGATTTGATGCCATTTGAACGCATCGATATCCCCAATCCTACTGCTAGAACACCATCGATGAAGTAGATGCGCTCTCATCCTTCTTTCTGATAACAATTTTGGTATTGTGATCATTCAATAATGCTCTCCACAACGCCAGCGCGGCAGCGCTCGCGACTCTCCCAGTCTCGCCCACCGGCCAGCGCCCGCTCACGAACAGCACCACGTACCGAAGCTCCCGAGCTGCCGCCCTATGAAACCCCTCACGCACCTCTCTCGGCCGATGCGCAGCGCCAACTCGCGACACTCCTGCAATCGTCACAACTGCGCAACGTCAAAGTCCACTTGCAACATGCGACAGAAAAGCTCACCGACTCCGCGGGCGAAATCAACGAGCGGCTCAGCGATGCGCGGGTGCGGTATGAGAAAATGAAAGAGCGGCGGCGACAGGCGCAGGTGGATGGTGAGGAGGAACAGGACGCGGATAATGAGGAGTACCAGCGGCTTGCGGAGACGGAGACGCTGGTGGATTCAGTGACGGGCCGGATGGAGGAGAAGATGCGGCGAATGATCGATGCTGAGCAGAAATTGCGCACGTTGACGGATTCTTTGACGAATATTGAGAAAGAGGAAGCTCCCGCTGAATCGACAACGCGAGCTTCGCGAGTCAGTGGGCGGCTGAGGCCACGGCGGGGAGCGGATGACGACGATGAAGAGGAAAGTGATGACGATGAGCAAGATGCGGACTACGAGGACGCCGAGGAGCGCGAGGCTCGGGAGCGCAATGCGCTGAATCCGCCGAGCGGGAAGTTAGATGGCTCGCTGGTCGAGGGGACTGATAAATGGAACCAGTTGACGTTGACTGAGCGGTATGGCATCTATTGTTTTTGTTTTCAGTTCCTCTCTTTTGCTCTTCTCTCTACTACTGGTTCCTCAAGCTCTAACCATGCCAATATAGCTACGCCGGGCACAATTCCTACGTCGGGTTCTACCGTATCGTGCACGATTCCAAATTTCCTGGCGATGAGGTGCCGCCGCTCCCCCACTCCTCAACCTGGTTCTCGCATCTGGAAGACCCCAATGCGCGCACCAGCGACTCTACCACAGATAATCTCCGCCGCACCCGCAACCAACGCGAACCATCGCCCGCTGAATCCGATGACATCGCCATTGAGCGCGAGCGCATCTCTATACGATGCCCACTTACCCTGCGGCCCTTCCAGGACCCGGTCACTAGCATCTCATGCCGACACAGCTTTGAGCGGGAGGCTATCCTGAACATGCTATCGCAAGCGCCCGCGACTGGGCGCGGCGCGGCGCGTCGCAAGACCATCAAGTGTCCCGTTTGCAAGGCCCCGCTGACGGCGGAAGATCTACCCCGCGACCCGGTCCTATTGCGGCGGGTGCGGCGCATAGAGGCACGGGAGGCGGAGGAGGATCATGACGAAGAGGGCGCGCGTCTGCGCGATCAGCGCGACCGGGTGACGCTGGCGAGCGACGCGGTCGAGGACGACGACGCGATGGATGTGGATATGTCTGACTCAGCCCACACGCAAATCAAGTCAGAACCTGTGCGAATCAAGGCAGAGCGACAGACGACAGCGCTGGAAACTAGCAGTGAAGACGACTCCAACTCCGTCGAGACATCTGACGACGACGACGACGACGAGGAGGAGGATGAGGATTGAGTTCTGAGTAAACGCGATGATCGTCATGATGGGCCTGAAATGCGATATGAATAGAACCGGATATGCATGCGGACGATGATAAGACGATCAGGCGATCCCACGCAGATTGGCGATAAACCGATTGGCATTTGGCCCGCTGAGTGGTGGAGATAACGGGCGCCTGTGAGACCTTGCTGATAGCCTCGCCAATGCGACTGGTTGTGTCTGGGATCATGATACGGTGTCCTGCCTCGGGCCTTGAGGTGGCTCGCCACCCTCGTAAATCGAGCGCAGTCCATATACTAATGAAGCTATTCCACTGTCCTTGGGCCTCATGAGACATGTATACTGTTGTAGTCCATGCTTTGCCGAGACTGTAAGGGAGTCATGTGCATGCGAGCTGTGAGTTCGGCTGGTTCACCTCCCCCCCCCCCGGCGATAGCACTAGCCCGGATGGGGTTAAAGGCGGCCCCTGTTCTGGTTAAAGCGACCAGCAGCCCAACCAGCCCCCGGCGCCCCCCCCAAATTCCCCACACGCTCTAAACCTGAAACGGCACTAGACTCGGTGCCCGTCGCTCTGCTTATCCTCTTGTTCCTTCCGTTAAGGGGCCGCTAAGGGCTCGTTCTTTGCGCTGCACGCAGTAGCCACACGCTCCTCCCTCCAATCTCTTCCGAAGGTTCGGGGTTCAGAAGAAGAAACGCCAAAAGTACAAGCCACCAACCGCCCCATGCAACGGCAGTCCGGCAGGGTCACAGATCCTATCGATCCCACGCCGATAGTGCAGATACCACATCGTTTAGCGGGCTGTCACGCGAGTACGGACCCGCGGGTCTGAGATTTAGGGTATTGGGTGTTCTTGTTGGGGGGCATTGGGCGGGGTGAATTATGGATCATGAAGACTTGGTGGTTGTTGACCGAAGAATCGGGAGTATAGCGAGTGACGGAATCGGCCAGGAGATGTCTGAGAAGGGTCTACGATCCCGGCTCTTCCCCGTCACTCCCTGATCATGCACCAGGAGTCATCGTCCAGAAGCGTCAAATGTCCGAATTCATAGCTCGAGACGGTTACTCATCAATGTCTTGGGTCACGGGAGCCAGACTTATCCGGGTGTATACCTCCCGGGGGAAAGAGGAAATTATGATGTAGCAGCGATTTGTCTTGGAGTCGCAGTCATAGTTGTGGTATCCATCGTAGCGATTGTCGTAACAACTCATCGATCCAGCGATGCATCACGATCGAAACAGCCGACGGGAAGAACGAGCCATGTCCAACCCTCGAACGATGCAAGCCGAGCACGACAGGGCGCTTCCATGTCTGATCGGAGGATCAGAGTAACGTGCGCCATGATCCAGGATCCAACCCGGGGATGGACCGCTTGAAACGAGGATCCGAGAAACGGGGATGCTCGCGTTTCTCCCCAGATTCTGAGATTCTGGGGGCGAGATTGGGGGGGAGGAATGGTTGCCATGCTTTCGCTGGTCTCTGGCTCATGTTCCACGTTCCATGCTCCATCCTCCATGTTCCATCCAGGTGTAACTCTGCTATCAAAGCGGCCCTCTCCGCCCACTTCCCCCCCCCCAATCATGGGGCCGCACCCCGCAACTCCACGGTTCCATACTTCCAGACTGACCGGCCACAGAATGGGAGGCATTGGAGGTATTCGAGGCATTGGGGCCCATCATGAGGAGCCATGCAGGCAACTTGAGCGGTCTGGAGCTCTATACCAAGGCGAGTGCCGGGTCCCACCGATCGCATAGGGTTTCGGGGTTTCTGATGGAGTCGTCAGGGTCCACGGCCATCGACTGAATTGGCGGCGTTTTAGGGGGAAACTGGTGAAGAGGAGCTGAGGGGGGCCTGATGTTACCTTGCCTCGTGGTCGTATTTTAGTTGAGTCGTTTGGCAGTTTAGGATTTGGCGATTTTGATCTTGGGCGGGTTTAGTGCTGGTCCGTTTAGTCTTTTTAGTCTTAAATCTTTTTTTCTTTATCGGGTTGGCTTCCAGACAGCTCGTCTGGATTTTTCTCGCGAGACAAGCTGCCCATAAATTATCAACCGCTGGCTTCCTCTTTCTCTCTTCCCTTTTCCCCTTTTCCGTGTCTCTCTCTCCACGAGCCGTTCACCTCCTCCTTCCTCTATCTCCGTCTGAGCTGTTGACCTGTTCGCCTGTTCCCCTTCCCCTTTTCGTCTCCCCACTCCTGAACCCCGGCTTTCCCCCCAAGGACAGCGCACTCCCCCAGATCGGCATCAATCGTCCTTGTTGATCGCCAGACAGCTGCAAAGAACCGCTCCGGGCGTGCTCACTCGGCCTGCGCATTGCCCGTCATGGCAGAGATCGAATCCAAATCCGCCACGCACGTCGGGACCGAGTCCAGATCGGTCCCCGAATACTCGCTCCCCGACTATGCCACAACTGGCGAGGTCCCGCGCCCCGCCGGTTGGATGTACAAGACCATCGGCTTCGGCAAGTTGAATCTGGGCTGGTACGCCTCGCCCAAGTTCCAGCTGGGCATGGTCGCCTTTGTCTGTTTCCTGTGTCCTGGCATGTTCAATGCCCTCAGCGGTCTTGGTGGAGGTGGTAAGTCGGACGCCACATTGGCCGATGATATGGTACGTGATGCTTTCTGGGTTATCTGCTAAACTCTCTCTCCCCTGGTCGCGCCAGCGTCTCCACTCATTCCCTGCCTCGCTGTCTCTTGCTCTTGCTCTCACTCTCCTCCTTTGCGTCTGTCTCTTCTATTTTGATTGGTGATTTTTTGAATTGTTTTTGCTATTTTTGAATTTGTTTGTTGCATGTCATAACCAAATTCCCCACACAATGTCACAGCTGCATCGCAGCCTTAGCGCGCCAGATTCCTCGACTAATGCATCGCTTGGGCATGACAGAACACTGCGCTCTACAGTACTTTCGCCGTGATCGGTTTCTTCGCGGGTACCTTCGTCAACCGGGTCGGTGTGCGTGCCGCCCTGGCCTTTGGTGGCACCGGTTACTGCCTGTACTCGATTAGTCTACTCGTCTCCGTCCACAAATATGTCCCTGGCTTCAACATCTTCGCCGGTGCCTACCTCGGTGTCTGCGCTGGTCTATTGTGGGCCGCGCAGGGTACCATCATGATGTCCTACCCGCCTGAGCAGTCCAAGGGTCGCTACTTTGCCTGGTTCTGGGGTATCTTCAACGTCGGCGCCTGTATTGGCAGTCTGGTAAGCTGCCCATGCCCTACATCTTCTGTCCTGGAGCCAGAAGTGGTCAAATGACTATGCTATTGTCATTGCAAATATTCTTTTTGCCTCTCTCTCTCTCTCTTGATGTCTATACTAATCTGAAGTGTGCTTTCGCCGAATATAGATTCCCCTTGGTCAGAATATCAACGTGAAGACCAACACCACTGTCACCGATGGCACCTACATCGCCTTCATTGTCCTCATGTTCTTCGGCGCCTGTCTGGCCCTTTTCATCTGCGATGCCGACAAGATTGTTCGCAGGGACGGCTCCCGTGTCATTCTCATGAAGAGCCCCAGCTGGAAGACCGAGATTGTGGGTCTCTGGGAAACCATTCAGGCCGAGCCCTATATTATTCTGCTGTTCCCCATGTTCTGGTCCTCCAACTGGTTCTACACCTATCAGCAGAACGGTATCAACGGCGCTTACTTTAACACCCGCACCAAGTCCCTGAACGGATTCCTCTATTGGTTCGCCCAGATCGTTGCTGCCGTGATCATTGGCCCTCTTCTGGATGTCGACGGTGTGCGTCGCAGCCTACGCGCCAAGATTGCTTTTGTTGTTCTGTTCACCTTGACTATGGTCATTTGGGGCGGTGGTTATGCCTGGCAGAAACACTATACCCGCGAATCTGTTGGTACAGATGCCATCAAGGCGGGCACCTTCACTCCGTGGGATTGGACCACCTCTGGCTACCTGGGCCCGATGTTTTTGTACTTCTTCTACGGCCTGTACGATGCTGTCTGGCAAGGCACTGTTTACTGGTATGTCTTACTCCTGTAGCCCGGCAAATTCCCGCCTCACCCGCTCTCTTCACATGTTTTTTTTCTTTCTCTTTTTGCCTTCATATCTGGCTAACAATACCCCCTTTACACACAGGTTCATGGGCGCGCTTGGTAACTCCGGTCGCCGTCTGGCTAACTTGGCCGGTTTCTACAAGGGTCTGCAGTCCGCTGGCTCCGCCGTCATGTGGTCTCTGGATTCTAAGAAGACTCCTTTCATGAACGAGCTCGCCTCCAACTGGGGCATCCTGGCCGGCTCCCTCATCTTCGCCCTTCCCGTCGTCTTCATGCGTATCAAGGACACCGTTCCCGTCGAGGAAGACCTCAAGGGCACCGGCGAGACCATCGAGGACATCCTGCCCCCTGGCACCATCGAGACCAAGCGTCAGGGCGCCGAGAACATCTAAGCGCCTCCCTTTTGGGCCCCCGCGGCGCAAATTTCTGTCCATATTCTCCGTTTCTCAGTTTTTGCCCTGGGCCGATTAGATCCACGCGCGTGCGGGGGAGGGAACATGTCCCTGGATATGATCCTCTGGATTTATTACCAGCTTGGATGCATGTTTGCGCCCGGCGCGCTGGGACCGAGCATTGTCCGCGATGGAAGGGTATGAGGTTGTGAACTCCCAAATTTCTTTTTTTAATCCCTTTTTCTAATCCTGTGTGCATTGCGCTTTCTCCTGTTCTTTAATCTTACATACCCGATACGAATGAATGGAAAAGCGCCCATGAGACCCATGCATTGGTTCCTTTTAAGCCTTCTTCTGTCTCTGCCTACTCCCCTCCTGGCTTGTGTTTCTTCTTTCGGTTTTATTTTTCTCTCCTCGTAGAATATCCCCGTTCCACTATCTCTATCGTCCATTAATGCTCAGCTGTCCAGGTCATAGAGTACGTTGCCTCGTGGGCTTGGCTTGGGGCTTGGGGTTATAGGAACCAACCGTAGCGAAAAAGGACCATCGCTACCTCGAGGAGTGGGATGTCAAGATGGACAATTGAAAGAGGAGATGGTGGATTATGTAAAGACCTCTTCAAAGTTGCAGATCTGCTACGCTGTCGATGGAAGAAGTACGTGCTTTGGACTACAGGATTTGGCGATACATAACAGGACGGTCCCACGCGTGCCATGTTCAAACCACGAACCGAACCGAGAGAGGTGGACACGGAATAGCAGGCAAGGAGAAGAAGGATAGTATAGTTGCGATGAAAACGCGAAAATGGGGGGTCAGACAAGTGGATTTCGGAACTGGGGGTATTCGCTTGTCAAGAAATGAGGAAACTTTGTGAGAGGACGGGGCAAAGGCAAAGATGGAGAGAAGAGAAAAGAGCTGAGACTACCGCACTGTCTACCAGGATCATGAAACCGAAGAAGCCCTCGAAAACAAGACAAATGAGAAAATGCATCGAATGATCATCTCGCAAAACTAAGCTAGAGTAGACGATGCAGAAACACCGTGTGTATCTGGATGCTACCCGGGGCCCCAATCCCTTCCCGCGGGGAATGCCGAGGAGGGCGATGCCCGTGTCCGACGCAAACCGCGCCGTGGTTTAGCCGTGTGGACATTTGCCAGAAGGGTGTGCAGCAGCATCGGAAAGGAGGGACATGGGAATAAAAATATGCCGATTTTGTGTCTCCAAACATTGCATCCTCGGAGCACAGCGAGCAGACCGGTCAAAAAGAATACTCGAGGGCAGGGTTTCTGGTGGAACCCCTTTGGCTGTGAGACGCTCGGGGCGTTATGCAAGATGGCAAATAACTGAGCAACGGAAAACCTCTGCCATGGCGTCATTCTTCTTTATGCTTTTCTCTCCTTGACAAATTGCTTGGAGCTCAGATCGTGTGTCATTAGGATGCAGTAGGTTCAATAGTGATGGTAGAGGTGTTCGGAAGGGAAGTAGACTCGAGGGAGGCGGGTCGTGGGGAGTTTTACATTCGGCAGGGCGTGCGTGGAGAATGAATCAAATATTCAGATGTGGCACCGACTTGCGGGCACCGCCACATCGTGGACAAGGGCAAAGGAAAAGAGGCATGGATACAGAGGACTCGGCACGTTTGGCACGGCGGAACATGGACTCAGTTCAGGGAGGCTGCGGGCCTCCTACACATTCACAAACGGGTCACGTCGAAACATTACTTGGTAATGAGGTTGAGATAGTCGGCCACAATCAGCGTGACCATGCTGTCGATCAGTCAGTATATTTTTCGTTCAGAATGATTCCCGGAGTGGGTCGCTGCCAAAAGCAAAGAGGCGGGGGGAAGAGGGGGCAAAAAGTGGGGGCAACTAACGCATGAGGTGCGATCCGCACATAGTATGTTCCAAAGCCCCGGTAGAAGCGCAACCAACCCTCCTCAGCAACCACCTTGCGCGCGCAGTCCAGCACACCCCGATACGGCAACTTGCCCGTCGCGGGATCCTTCTGCTGCTTTTGAAGACGGGTCTTGATGAAATCGAAGGGGAGAGAAAGGAAAGAGGCGAAGAAACCCGCGATCGCCGACGCCGCAAAGGTCTGGTTCTGTGTGCTCAGGGTGGTGTGCTGCTTCAGCTGAGCTTTACTTTCCGCGAAGAATGTCAACTGGCCCATGTTGAGGGCCATTGCACGGATGACGGTGGGTAGGGCGCCGGCCCAAAGTGCCGCTAAGCCTTCCTGGCGGGGAATGCGGACGAGAGCATCGAAGACGGAACGGTAGTTGGCACGGTGCTCAGGGGCTTTTAAACCATCGGATTGCATGCGCACGAGAGCAAGGTCAGCTGGGTTACCGATCATAGCAGCGATACCGCCAGCCGAGAGACCAGCAGCGGCCCGTTCACCGAAGGTGACCTTGCGCTCGGCGGCCTCGGCGCGCGCATTCAGCTTTTTGATGAACGTGTCAAAGAAGCCGAGACGGGCGGTGGTGTAGACGGCCTGGCGCAGAATACCGGCAGACAGGCCCGTGTAGAGGTCGAGCACTTTCCCGGAGGCGATGATGTCTTTTGTGATACCGAGCGCAGATGGCTTGGGACCGGTGCGGGCACCCTCACCGGCGAGCTGCAGACGCACCTTGACCATGTCGACGGGCTGGATGACGACCGTCGCTGTCATACCGGCGAGGCCACCGTTGATGAAGGGTAGAGCGGCGCGCATATACGGGTGGTGTAGAATCTCAGAGGTGGTTTGCTTGGGGTTCTCAATGGCGGCCTGGGTCGCCTGCTGAGCGGAGGCCGCCGCGCTACTGGCGGACTCCTTGACCGAATTGGATGCCATAGTTGCAAGAGAACGGGATACGCAAACCAGATCTAGCGATGGAGAAAATCCAGGGCAAGTTAGCGAGGGTTGGGAGGTTTTCAGATCATCAAGGATTTGCGAAAAGGGCTCAGAAAAGACAGAATCACGGTCGAGTTGGGTTGGTGTTGGCGTAGGAATCAGGAAGCGCGTGGGATGACAACTCACCGGGGTCAACGTTCAGGATGTTTCAGCTTAACGCAACAACGCCAACAGGAAAACGCGACGGCGAAGGTCAAAGTTTCTTCTTTTAAGGCTTTAGCCGCTGAGCACGTTTTCTTTGGCGGATTTAGAAGCCACGGCGAGGCAGTGCGAGGGACCATGGAAACTCACCGATGACGTATCCAGCGGGACAATGGAACGCGTTGGTTGGAGATTCACGGTGGGAGGCGCTTGTATGATCGCGATCAATTTCCAGTAGATGAGGAGGAAGAGGAGAAGAAGAAAAAGAAGAAGGAAGATGAGGCGGAGAGAATGAGGGGAGTCAGGGTCGAGGATGAGCCTGTGCGGGGGGACGGTCCAGTGACGAGGACAGCAAAGTATAGAAGGGTCGGGGTTTCACGGGAGGCCTGTGCTGGTTTAAGAGACGAGAAAGGCACCAATCCTGTATACCCCGGTACCTAGTCGGATGGACGAGTCTGAGAGATGGCTGGGTCGTCCGTGTATGTTGCGAAGAAAGGGTCAAGGCCAACTATGATACTAAAGATAGCGTGGAGGATTTACAGGACAACTCGTGCGACCCGGCGTTACTTGTATCTATAGAAGGCCTCGCTCTGCTACAGCCTTGACCGCGAACAACCGAAGGCCAGTTCCGAGCGTCCAGCTATCAGCCCGGATGAGACGGCTGCTGTCCCTTTGACCGAATCGTTAGCCGCGGGGGATCGTGGACAAGGTGGTGGGACCGGTGGAGTGTGTCTCGAGGCCCCCAGCGCAGCCCTGGGCCCATACGGAGGAGTGTTGACCATACTTTTGACGACTTCGCTTCTTACGAGCCAGACTGGCGAAAATCGCAGTTGTAGCAACACGTCTCCACCCCCTGCAAGCCAATGATGGGGCAGACAAGGATATTAGCAAGCTGCGAACGTCCCGCTGGCGAAATGCGGGGGTCTGGGAAGCTTGATGTCACGGGAGATCGGACCGGTACTTGCGCATTATTGCGGCGACAAGTAGTCATTCCAGGTACTCCAAGGTACTGGCATGCGACTCCTCTACTTGCACGACTGAAACCCCTCTCTTCACGGGTCACGGGGCTGCCTTTTTCCCGGTGGTTCTCGTTCTTCCTCTCTCTCTCTTGCTTTTCCATCCCTTTTCCTGCACAGCGCGCTCTGCCCCGAACGAGTTGTTGAAACCCCTTACATCCACCCATGCTCCACGTCATGACGGCCGCTCTCCCCAATACTTCAGCTCTCCACCCCACCAGTAACCGCATTAGTGCCACGAGCTAAACTCGGAACCCCACTGGCGCCGCTAAGCCCCTTTTGGGATCCCCACGAGAACTGCTCGGGAACCCGCCTCAGCCCGAGCCCATGTCCGCATCCCGCCGCCCGAGGAAAACCTGCTGGAACGGAGGATGCCTGAGCTTAATGGACATGGGTAGGGAGGGACTATGGGCGAATGAATTCGTGCATTTTCCGGCGTCTTCCCAACCAACAAAAAAAAAAAAACAACAATCATCACCACCACCACCACTAGATCGGCCATGATCCACTGGCCAGTGATCAGAGATGTTGGGAACCGTCGCAGTCATTACTACTGACTGCCCACCGCCCCATCTGCCATCCCCACCAGCGTCTCGGTGCGATGGGGTAGCCGGATAATCTAGATCGGCTATTCCACCCCTTCACTCAATAATATTCTCCCGTTCCCGCGACCCGGGGCCCCTTATCCGAGGCAGAGTGATCAAGGCCACTTGCAGACGATCCCCTAGGCGGGCTAGGGCCAGGCACCGCCCAGTGTGGGTGGGCCCAACAGCGTCAACTTGGCCTCTTGTCGATTATGGTTGCTGCTGTTGCCAGGTCCCTATCGCCTCGAATCCACTTATCCACGCGGCCAATGATGCCACCGGGAATGCCAACCGCGGCCTACCATTGGAGACGCCGGCCCCCGGTTTGTTGAGGCGGCCTGAGGGTGAATAGGTCCCGCCCGACTGGTCTGGAATCCTCCGATCTCTATCTTCATCATGATGGCTTTTCGCCGATGACCGGCACTTCAGGGGCCAACAAAACTATTCGGCGATGGATGTCGTCACAGCGGCTTGTGGGGGATGTCTGTCCTGTGCGGCCAATTTGATCGTCGATTGGCCGGGCTTTGATTGTCCTTGACCCGGGGCATGGCATCTCATCATCGCAGACATGGCATTGATGCCGCTCGCCGGAGGTCACGGACGACAGCAGTCCGGGAAGGATTATGAGCTTCATCTATTACCGGGCAATGGGAGTTACCACCGTGCTCCCCGGCCTGGAATACGTTAAGATTGAGACTGGCACAGCGATGTCCCTGCGGCGCCTCACACGGGATGGCTCTGCTACGTACTCGATAGTCAGACACTTTGTGGTAAACGAGATTATGGTCTATCACCACTCCCCACGGGATGGAAACTATAACAACAGATCGGTTGGGGCTAGCCCCAGACCGAAGCACCCACAGAATGCGCTGGTGAGGTCTGGTTCTACGGTGTAGACATCGTCCTGGACCCTGATGTGCAGAGTAGATTCGAGACCCTTCTCCGACGATAGCCACGCCTGGATCGACGGAGTCTCGATGCCGGCCGCTCAAAGTAGGACCCTGCCGGCTCCGAAATCCATGAGACAGGGTCATCATTTCCCATGGAGAATTCCCAACGATTAGCACTGTCTTCGAGCACGCCGTCAACACAAAGCCCAACCATCTCGAGCCCACCCCGTGCTCTCCCACTAAATCACCCCACCACTCTCTATACCCACCCCGACTACTAGGGGGCGCTATGTAACTAGTAAACCAGTAATTCACCATCCAATCCCCGTCATCTCTACCCAAAACAAAGCTCGAGCGGAATCCACCCGTTCCCCTAGCCGCCGAAGCAATTCCAACCCCTAGCCAAGTTAGACCCAGCTTCTCCTTCCGCGGAAAGCTCTCTCGGCATTTCGGGAGGCATGAGAGGGCTATCCCGAACGGGGCCCGGCATGCAGTGTCGGGAGCGGAGGGTATTCCGGCGGTAAAGTGGGCTGCGGGTGTCTGTCCGGAGCGGGGAGCGGCTGTCGGTGACGGGATGGGTGGGGGGTGGTTCGGCAATGGGAGTGGTAGATGAGCATCTGGTGGGCCTGGTTTATACCATCGGACACAGGACTAACGAACACTATCGATCGAGATCATTGTCTTCTTATTGAGCTTCATGGGAGAGGTATCCATAAAATTGGAACTATGTGCCCCCAAAAATCGATATGCCCTCTTGGCGCACAAAGGGAATCTGTCCCACGGATTCTCTCCACCCCTGCTTCTGAGAAGTCGCTCAAAATGACAGAAGTTCTGCAAGTCTCCTCTATGTAGCTCAATTGAAACTCGCAATTCTCGCATAAATCGGCAACTCTACTCCAAAAATTGCCACTGAGAGTGTTTTCATACTATGCTGCCCTTGGCGCTTTCTTTTTCTTTTTATTGTTCACATCAAGCCCGCTATATATGTGTTGTATTAACATAGCTTGTTGCGGCAATGAGATAGAGAGTCGCTTACCACCATTGGCCGCACATTGCTGTCAAGGGCAGGTAGAAGTCACGCTTCGTTGCTCCCTGCGAAGCAGTGCCAGGCGTCGAAATGAACAAGCCGAGCAGATCTATCGGGCTTCAGTAGGGGATAAGGTCGCTCTTCTTTCTCGATGTGTAAACGAGATCGGTATTCATGACCAAGGTGAGTGGCCGCTTGTTCTAGCCGTAACTCCATTCGTCCGACAAGGTCCTTGATATCCTTGCTATTACGAGGCTTTGGTTAATCAGCAGGGCTCCGCATCTGAAGCTGGAGCTGTCCGGGGGCGTCTTCATCTGATGCGCCGACGGCTTCAGGTGGCACTAAGGCGCCACCAACGAAGAGGACGTTGGTAGAGCGGTATTTACGGTCGACGAGGTAGGTCGCGAGGCTCTAGCTACCATAAAGGATACACAAGGCCTTGTGCACTGGGAACCACGCAATGTTTATTGCTTTCTAAGTTTGAAATTAGGATTCTGCCTTCCATTCGGGTCAACGCCCTGACATAGTCAGCTGTATAGTACGAGTTAGTCGCCTAATAGGAACATAGTGTGCTTCCCGACTCTGAGGCCAATCAGAGTCCTCTATGTGGGGCTATCATCTATCCAGCTGCAAGTTAGGCAGTCTCAACCTTCGAAGTGCTCCAGACGGCTCTTTCCTTTCTTCATCTTAAAGTTGCTTATTGTGCTGAACCGCACATAGCTTTTGCACATATGGGCCCTTTTTATCTCTTGCGTTTCGCACTTGTAATAAGTACATGATTTGGGTTCAACTTGAATAAATCAATATTTGAAGCAAACCATGGATCAATGGGACAGTATTCAAACACCTGAGCAAGACACATGTGCATGATCATATCACTCAAGATATTTTTCAAGCGCTGGTATGTCAGTTGAACTAGGTGAATATTTCTGATGACCCCAGGCAACTGCAACGATGAAAGCAACAGCAACACATGTCAAAATGAAACCACCAAGAAATGATACTAAACAAAGAGTACTTTCATTTCGCTCATAGGTCATTGTGAAGCCAATTTCCAAGTTTGATTCACGGAATGACGTTGATGGAGATTCCGGAGATGTGGTGAATGAGCCGGCAGCTGCTCTTTCTTTGTCAATGGCTTGCATGCAGCCTGAAACAAAGCCAGCTTCGCAGAGAGCTACGAGGGCTTCGTGATCATCGCCTCCGTACGCGTTGAAGTTCCTTTTCCGGTTATCAATCAGAGATATTCTGCCCGAATTGAGTTTCGAAATTTCTGAGTATTGGGGAATGACATGCTCGGTCGGGTCCCTGCGTTCAGGTTGGATAGCGTTCGATTTCGGTACGGCAACTGTTGACCCGAGAGTTGTAATGGAAAATAGCGAGTATAGCATCATAAAGAGATGCATGCTCGCGAAATGATGGAATTTGATCCGCAAATTGGTAAATAATGATCGCCAAGGCTTCAGAATGCAATGCGCACTTTGAGGGCCCAAATTGTTTTAGTTTCTTTGTCGAAGTGAACGAATGCGGATCCCAGTGAGATGAATCGAAGAATCAATAAACTTGAGGAGAAGTGTCAGTGAGATGTATGATATCGCAAGTGAAATCATGGCATGGCCTGGGGTTTCATTTATACGAAGATAACGTTGGAAGGAATCTTGGAAGCCTTGCGAATTGCACTGATTAGAGTTCAGCCAAGGCCGTGGCAGTATCGCCCTCCAAGAGTCTATTCCAAAAGTTCAGATGCCAAGAAAATTGATGACAAGTTGATTGTGATTGATCAAGTTCTATGGAATGTGGATCCCTCATCGATCAATACAGGGGGAGGGAAATAGGAAGGATTGTCGAAGTAAAAACTATTGTGAACAAGTTGTCCTGTTTAACACTGGTGTTTCGTCTGATTTGAACGAGACCCAGATGCTGGATCTATAACCGTTCTGAAATTACTTACGGGAAGCGAATGACAACTTTGTGCTCCAAGTGCTCGCTGTAGCGTCGGTAGTACTCAGGGGCTTCTTCAATATCAATGATGCTGCTGACCACAAAGCTTGGGCTGGCTCTGTTACTGGCAACCAGATCAACGAGGGGCTGAGCATGTTCAAGAGGTAGAACAATTCCGCTTCCTACAGTCAACGCTTTACTCCAAAGGTGGCTGACAGAGACCGGGACCATAGCAGGGACGGTGCCAGCATTCGGGGCGCCTCTGGTGCTGTTTTCTCCGCCGGTGTAAACACCGGCGATAGCGATACCTCCCAGATCGGCAGCAACAGAGATCAAGTGGCTGGGTACAATTCCATCAGCGCGCTCGCCGGCGGCATCCACGGCCTCGAAGCCGACACAATCCAGAGCTCTCGTGACTCCATTTGGCTCCCGAGCCAAGATCTGCTGAACGGGGTCCGAGGCGTTGAACTGAATAGGGATTGAACCAATAGATGCTGCGAGAGTCAACCGGTCAGGCACTTGGTCCACGGAATAGACTCGTGAAGCACCACGAAGCAAGGCAGAGTACGCCGCTAGAATCCCCACGGGTCCAGCACCAAAGACGGCAACGGTGTCGCCTGGCTTAAAGCCACTGTAAGTCAGGGCTTGCTAGCCAGTGGTGAAGACATCGGAAACCATCAGATAATCCAGCTCTTTAGTCACATTGTTTGTTTGATTATTGAACGGAATCGGAATGAGAGAGAGGTCGGCAAAGGGAACGCGGGCGTACTCGGCTATATTCAGAACTCGAGTTAGCGTGTCAATAATTGGATAAGAAGCCGTCAGTATTTACATGCCTTGAAGACCGCCATAGTCTGGGGATCCAGATCCAAACGAGAGTGGGTGTTCTTGGCCGTAATGGCCGTTGTGAGCGTTGTCAGGGATAATGACATACTCGCCCACGGTAAGGGAAGAGACAGCACTTCCAACCTCTTCGATGTATCCAACCGCCTCATGTCCGAGGTTCCAAGGGATATCATCGGCACCTGTGTAGCCATGATAAAAATGAAGATCAGAGCCACAGATCGCACTTGAGGTAATCCGAACAATTGCATCGGTTTCGTGAACTATGGTAGGGACAGGAACATCAATGACGGAGACATTGTTTACCTGGCCGAACCAGGCCACTGCTCGCATTGTGGCGGCAATTGTTAAATTCAAAGGCATTTTGCCGTATAAGGATCGAAGAAGGTCTGTTGATTCAATGCGTTGATTCACAACCATGGCCTAGAAGACGTCTGCTCCTTTTATATCTAATGATCGCTTTCATTTTCAAGCAAATGTATGCTCAATCCAGCTATGATCTACAGATTTGCAGGATACCTATGGCATATGATGATCGAAGTATCGATTTTTCTGCAAGCGTGTAGATTACATGCGCATGTACTCCGTAACTCCGCATGTAACCTTGGAATACCTCATTGGTCCCTAGGAGGTCGGTTTTGAAACCTGATATAGAAATGGACTCGTCAGCCTTTGGCTGCACTAGGTAATAGATGAAAATCCACTATCTGATTATCTATCATTGAAGCCTAATTATGGCATTATCTGTTGATGGGTCCAGCAGTATCTGAAGTTGTCTCCACCATTTCATAATCATGAAGCACTCAACGTAACCAAGAAGAGACTGAAGCTTCCCGGCTCCAAGGCCCAAGTTCATAGGCTTGGTAATGTTAGCCTAACAATGATTTGAATGAGAGCACTTATTTCTGTGCATTTTTATTCAGTGTTGGTACTCAGCTGATCCGTATGAACCGCTAAACTCCGAAATACTTTTAAATCCGAAGATTTCTTCTTAGCATGTCATTATGCCAACCTTGAAATGTGTGTAAATTTCAAACAGGACACTAGCCCATAAGCACACGCGCGGTGGGCAGGTCGGTAGATTGAGACCCACCCTTAGCGTGTCATCAATGTGGGTCGTCTAACAAACAATGGACTGAGAACCCTTAAATGTCTACCCTAACCATGTGGCAAACAAGTTAATTTCCGGAAGATTGAACTTCCTTACTTTCTAAATCCTAGGCAACTGCCGTTGCTTCACGGATTTCGGATTTCGTTGATCGTAGACACGTGTTCAGCCATGATCTCATACTCCACAACTTGACAATCAATGGGACAACAGTATTCTGATAGCCAATATTGGCAGCACGATTGGATGTCCGAGCACGCGATGGATAGCTTACACTGGGATAGCCACTGATTGCACTTTCACTGCGAGCTTCGACTCGACTGATTCCGCTCACCGATACATCGCGAATATAATCAATACCCGTGTCTGTGATCTTGGAGAGCAGCTTCAATATCTCTCTGGGCACACGCAATTTGGATATCAGTGACACTGAATGTCCAACCAGTGGTTTGGGGTTGACTGCATGGAGCGCTCCATGCTCGCGAGGGGATCCGAATCGCCTTCAGACTTTCTCTCAATGGAGGAGCTCTCTTGACGATAGTAATGCCTACTGGACCTCATTGACCGGGTGTTCGGTTTCCGTGGGGGAAATCGGAGTATCATGGGCTGGAGCCCTCTGCGCCTCGGAGGGTGGCTATACCGGAGCCAGTGCCAATGTCGTCGCTCTAACCCAGACTGAGTGGCAGGTCTTTGCGTAAGCTCTTGTTATTTTACCGAGAATGGGGAAGAATGGTATCAACTACATAATTGGAATATAGCCACGATTAAGGTCATATTCGAGCAATCCATGATTTTACCGCAGATACATGTCGATCCCAGCCACCACAGTGTGGTCCAGTGTCATCAAATATCTGCAATGCCGGGGGGCAGTACATCGTGAGCCCTGTATTTGAATCGTCTATGACACGATCCTCATCTTGCATCATTGGAAATGTTTGTTCCTAACTGGGACCTGGCCTGGTCGACGGGTCCTGTTTGATGGAGGCACAGATGGGACATAGTACTGAACCGTGTGGGAATGGTATTGAATCCGGTGAGTCATGCGATTGTGGAAATGATGCTTGCGGTGAGCTGGAGGCCCAATGTTGCGACCCGGTCTCATGCCAGTATAGGCAAGTAGATCGGTGCAATCGGTCAAATACTGGATATAACGGAAGCACGAACAACGGGGACAGCCAAGGAAGCGAGTCTTCATCATCATGGGCGCGACGCGATCTATCAATCATAGACCATGATTCCCAAAAATGCCAGTCCTTCAACACCTTGATACCACCCTCTGTCTTCCTGGTAGACAAGAGGGAAAGCAGCAAACATCATGAAAAGTGCACCGTAGATGATAGCGATGTAGAGCGACATAATTAGAACGATTGGTTCTCGGAACAAAAGGATCCACGGCCGTAGTAAAGAAAAGCCGAGCATACGCCTGACTGAAATCCGTTGATGCTCCAAGTCGATATCCATTTTTGTTCGGTGAATGTTCCCCGTCATCTGGGTTAATCGTGCCGCTCGTCGCCGTAGAAGAACCGGGGCATAGGTTTCTGGAACAAGCAAAATAATCACGAATCACATCACTCCGGCGAAGATAGCGAGTACTCCTTCGATCCATCTCCAGCCAACTGTCATCCCCACAAAGCCACCAATAATCGGCCCAACCACAGGTCCCATGAATGAAGCGGCTGCAAAGAGACTGAGGGCCAGGCCGCGATGATGGGCCTCGAACATATCACTAATCACTCCACCGGGCATTGGTTAATGGCGCTGACCCAAACGCACCGGCAAGAAACCATGGAATAATCAATGTCCAGATATTGTGTGCGCCAGCACATCCGGCGAAGAGAGCAGCCAAGCCGCCAAAGGAAGCCCAGAATGGATATTTTCGACCGCTGAACTCGCTAAGGGGGGGCCCATACCATCGGACCCAATGCGAAGCCAACAACATAGAGCGAGAGGCCTAAGGTCGCAACTTCGGAGCCGATGTTGAAATGATCTTCTATTTGGTCGACACCTCCAGAATAGTCTGACGATCCAAGGCCCACTGCCAGAGCTGCAGTCGACACAGCTATCGTGATACCGATCTTCTTTCCCATATCATAGCGCTGAGGATTGGAGGGATCGTCGGGAATCCAAGTCACAACAAATGGGTCCTGCTCTGTTCCTGATCCGATATACTTCTGCTGAAGAACGTGTTTCGTGATGGTACCCTGATCGACGATTTGGCGCCAGAAGGGAATGGCTTCCCGTCACTAAGCGATGGGGCCCCATCAAGCTGACACTCTAGATCGTTGTCCACCATGTTCGCAATGTAAGGAACGGTGAGTGCCGCGCACAGGCGTCGGTTGGTAAAGAGAAGAATGGCAAGAATCTAAATTTTGTCAGTCCGGCTGATGCTAAACATCATAAATACTGCAGGCTTTGCCAATTTACCGAACGACTCCTCCACTTGCACTTTCCTGCCCGAGCTCGCCCCGCACGCTTATCTTTTTATTAGTGGTGGTGAATCGGTCCCTCTTCTACGCCAAATTCTAGATGTCACGTCAGTACGGAGTGCATAATTGCGTTATGTATGACCTGGAAGTCATTGTCAACGTTGTGAAGATGGCACATGGGGGTTCCATTTTCTTAGATTTCAGTATTTTAACTTGGGCAACTACCAGGAAAACCAAATTTAAATAGTGTGGGATAATCTCTTGTTCCACTATCCAAAATGACGTCTAAAACGAAGCTGAGGAGGGTAACTCAGTAACTGTTGCGTAATATAGGATTGGTAAAGCTGTGTTCAATCTTGTCGTAGTACCACGACGGAGAATGTTACGGAGTTAGGCAAGCGCTATCCGTGGTGACAACTGCATGGAAGTTAACCCCGCCACGAGCGCCAGTCGCACCAGGCTTGGATTGACCATTCAAACCATTGCGAGACTGGAAGCAATTTGGACCCATTTTTAAGGTTGTACGAGCCATTCAGCAATAATAAAAGGGTCCCGTAGGTTGACCACATCTTGGTGAAACTTGCAACATCATTGGTGGATACCTGGATTAGCCAATTGGTTAACGGTTGTTATCTAATTGCATAACCAAACACATGCATAAGGGTATTGAGCAAGGGAGACGCATTCGAGCAGCAGATTCTTGGTCTATTTTAGAAGAATCTGCAATAATTGGATTTTGTATTTCTGGAACCAGTTGTTGCAGATCATTCCCCAAGGCGATCCAAGAAGAAATTGGTGGAGCACTGTATGTTCTTGGCAAGCAGTTTAATGAGTTGTTCGATATCATTGGTCAGTGGTATCGAGAATGGGGAAATACCGGAAATTTTCCGCACCTCTGAGTAATGGGGATGTCCATCCCATCGCATAATTTAACCGGCCGCTCTGTCCTAGCTCTCGGTTGAAAAACCGATTCTTATTTAGCTCTGCGTATATTGCCCACCCTTTCCTGCCGTTGGAGCCAACTCGTAAGCGAGGGTATTATCGATGATATAATGCAGGGTCTGTTGACCCCTAGGCAGCGCGTCAGGGGTCGGGATCTGTTGATCATCAGAGAAAAGGATAAATGGGAAGAACCTAGCTCTTGCGAAGTCCCGGACAGGAGAATTTGAATAGTTCAGCTTTTTTGGCCCTTCCTGCATCAATTAAAGTAGGAGTTGATATATCGCATGGCGAATCACCGTGAGTGGTAGGAGCGGCTGGATTTGGTCATATTCAAATCAATTCTGAGTCTAGATTCCGGTTTCTATATTAAAGACCTATTGGCGGTCATGGGCAGCCCATTGACCTCAAATTTCCGTTCAACATACTTGCCAGTTCCGGAAATAGATTGAGCTGAAGACTTTTACTGAAAACTGATTAGTTATGTCGCTAATGAGATTTCTATCCAAGAAATTGTTATTTTCGATTTCAATCACGTAGAGGTCACAGATGTGGATATGTCAAGCCACCATTAGCAGAAAATGATGCCAATTAGGTTAGAAGGCGGATCGGCTTATGGGACATCCTAACACCATGACAAGGATATCGCCTTTCGGGCTGAGCTAAACACTGAAAAATATCATAATGGAACTTCGCACGGTTTGATTGATACGGAATCCGAGTATTCTAAACCCCGGTCTTCTTGAAGGTTCTTCGGTTGCGTAATCAACTTCCGGAAGAGCAGTGTGTACGGGATTACCTTTGCCGAAAAAAATTATCGGGGCGAAGTGGAGTGGAATTCATCGCAACGAGAATATGAAAAGCGGAAAACTACTGGGCCTAGGACGACGCTGGGTTAAACGATCCAGACATCAGATTCAATCAGCCAAATACTACTTGAATGGTTTATTTGATACCATTAATTCTGATACAGATCCTGTATTTCTCTCGTCATTCGAAAATTTGCGTGGACTTGCGTACAGAATCATTGAGACACAATCTGGCCGATAATACAAAGAACCCTATTATGTATGCCTAGAGATTCAATTTGAGCTACACATTTGTCAAACATTGGTCAGATTAACCGAAAGCAAGTAAAGCCGTATAACTCCGAATAAAGCCGGTAGATTCTTAGATTAATCAGCACCTTTATTGTTAACTATTACTTAGCTTTGTAATTCTCTTTGAGGCATTATTCTTTAGTCCAATATGAATGCTGTGTACGTGTGTGCGTGGATTATTTTTCTTCTTCTTCTTCTTCTTCTCCTCCTTTTTTTGCTTTCAGTTTTATCAACGAAATAACAGATACACCGCAATGGCTCCCAAGATTGCAATCGTTTTTGTATGTTCTTTGAAGAAAATGACACTAGACTATCACATTGACTATCAGCTAACTTTTGATCAATATTTTCTGTATATAGTACTCGATGTATGGTCACGTCAAGCAGCTGGCGGAGGCTGAGATGAAAGGTATCGAGGCAGCAGGCGGCACAGCCGACATCTTCCAGTATGGAGCTCTATTCCAAGTAATCACTTTGGGAAGTTGTGGAAAGTCGTGAACTGAAATCTAGCTAGAATTGCAGAGACTCTCCCTGAGGACGTTCTGAGCAAGATGTATGCTCCTCCCAAGTCTAGCTACCCTATAGCGGAGCCTACAGATCTGTTGGAATATGATGCTATTCTTTTCGGTATCCCCACACGTTTCGGTAACTTCCCTGCTCAGTGGAAGGGTTTTTGGGACAAGTCCGGTTCGATCTGGGCATCTGGTGGCTACTGGGGCAAGTATGCTGGCCTCTTCATCTCCACTAGCGGCCAAGGTGGTGGTCAGGAGTCGACTGCTATTGCCTCAATGAGTACCCTCGCTCACCATGGCCTAATCTATGTTCCCCTGGGCTACAAGTATACCTTCTCGCAGTTGACCGACCTTGAAGAAGTCCACGGCGGTAGCCCCTGGGGCGCCGGTACTTTCTCTGTAACTTACCCACATATGACTTGATGTGAAATGACCTGGATGCTAACCACTCTTCGCAGGGAGGTGACGGCTCACGCCAACCTAGTAAGCTTGAGCTAGATATAGCTGAAGCTCAGGGAAAAGCCTTCTATGAGACTGTCTCTAATGCTACTTGACTACATGGTAGAACCGAGTCAAAGCTTGAAGATTTGACATCTAACCTCACGGCAGGTGCATCGAATTCATCTATGCGCTTACAAAGACAACGGGATATCAACAAGAAAGACTTCTACGAGGGACCGTGTGGCTTGCCCGGAAAGTGTACAGTTCTCTAATTGGGCCATCTGCAAGGGCCGTTTTCTCAAAGAAAAGCAAATGAAAATAAAAAGAAATCTTCCTGGTGGTTTAATTTTTAAATTGACTTCTCAAAACCAACCCTCTCTCCGAGTCACAGGTCCACGGTCGGGTCAATTTGGATATTTGGATCTTCGGATGTAAATCTTGGACGGCCTCAATTAACTCAACATCTTTTGGTTAAAAGAAAACTTGAAAAGAAGAAAACCCTAGATATTGATATCATGACCATAATGAATGATGAAAATGACAACGGCGCAAAAGCCCCTTCTTCTATGTAGCACTCACTGAGGTTGTGAGTATTAAAGGATCTAAACATTCGTGTAATTTGCCTATTTTTCTACAGCCATATCACGCATTTTAACATATCCCAGGGGAAGGGAACCTGTAGGCTCTTCCCACGAATCTCTAGCGAGTGCGATGAAGTGTAGCACAGTTCCATATTCCACTACGTTGCTAGCAGCATTCCAGCGCACCTGATGGATTCTACTCAAGTACTTTAGTATTCGTCACGTCCGTACCGACATTGAGATAATTGAAGTTTCCGCCACCGTGGATTGCTGACGCCTGAAGTCTCATTGGTCGACGCCCCAGCGGGTTGAAGAGGCTGCATGCCAAAGGATGACAAAACGCACCCGATTGGTTACTTAGTTGAAATGTCCTTAGCAATCCCGCGTTCTTTGTCCAAAGAACGCGGGAAATAACCCTCGGCTCGGACTTTAGCTCTCAAGTCCGAGCTTCATTGCATTCGTCGGTAGAGTTGGCAAGGATCTTCTTATATATGTCGATGTGAAAAAGGACTAGATTTGCTCTAAACTCTCGTCATCTCCCCGCACCTTAAACTGGTGGGTTTGGATAGGCTGAGAGACTAGTCGTAAAGTGTCGAGAAGAAGTGGAGTCTTTCATTACAGTTACCTAGGATTGGCCCAAGTTGATGCCACCTTAACTACATAGCTCTCGGAGATACGGAGATTGAAAATATAGATAAAGGTGGATGACCATCCGTTCCTTGAACTTCAAATCCAAGTTTTGCATTTTTCTATTTGCCTACCTTTCTCCAGAAGCTTCGTACAAAATGAAATATGTGCAACTCGGAAACAGCGGTCTTCGCATTGCCCCAATTGGTGTCGGATGCATGAGTTTTGGGGATCCCCAGGGCCGTCACAAATGGTCTATCCCGGAAGAGCGAGCATTGCCAGTGCTCAATCATTGCTACGAATCCGGTCTTAACTTCTTTGACACAGCAAACACCTATTCCAACGGCATGTCTGAGGAAATTCTTGGCAAGGCGATCAAGAAGTACGGATGGCGCCGGGAAAGTATTGTGATCGCAACCAAGGTGTGGGCAGGCGTTGGCCGCGGTTCCGACCAGCCACTGGCTATGACAGAGGATGAAAAGGATAATGCCGGTTACCTGAATCAATATGGATTGAGTCGGAAGCATATATTTGAGAGCATCGATGCCAGCCTGCAAAGACTCGACCTACCTTACGTCGATCTGCTGCAGATCCACCGCTTCGACCCCCGAACCCCCGCTAGGGAAACAATGGAGGCATTGCATGATATTGTCAAGTCCGGCAAAGTACGGTATATCGGGGCTTCATCAATGTGGGCTCATCAGCTCATGGAGTACCAGTACACCGCTCGCGTGCATGGCTGGACAGAGTTCATTTCAATGCAAAATCTTTACAACGCTACATACAGAGAGGAAGAGAGAGAGATGTACCCAGCGTGTGCAAAATTCGGAATGGGTGGGATTCCATGGAGCCCAATTGCAATGGGCTTCTTGGCCAGACCCTGGAGTGACTTCTCGAAAACCACACGTGGAGAAACCCAGGGCGTTGGGTTTCTCGGCCAAGCTGCTACGGACGCAGACAAGAAAATCAACGAGCAGATTGAGAAGATTGCCAAGCAACATGGCATGTCAATGGCGACTGTGGCAATTGCTTGGACCCTTTCTAAAACATTTATTTCGGCACCGATTTTGGGGATGAGCAAGGAGGAAAGAGTGGATGAGGCAATTCAGGCCATTTTTTTGGAGCTCAGTCCTGCTGAGCTGCAGAGCATTGATGATTTATATGAGCCCAAGAAGGTCATCGGTCACACGTAAGGTCTAAACCACGAATTTTCCAGCTAGCGGAATGTTGTCACGCCTATTGAACTTATAACATCAATGAATTTGTTATATAAAGCCCAATCGATCGCGAGATTATTCCAGCCAGCCACCTCTCACAAGTATCACTTGATTTTGATTCGTCTGTAGACACTTTTCCTCGGTGGAGTAGCATCATACGTACTCGATGATATTATGGATCGATATAGTTGGGTATTAAAAAGGCATACGTTGGTTCCCACATTAGGCGCGCTATTACTAATAAGGACTTGGACCATTGGGAGAGGGTGGGTTTGCTCTCTTCAAGTTATCCCTGTCCTGCCGGCCAAACGAACGATCTTCAGCCAGGCCTCCTCACTTTCGTTAGAGATTGCATAACAGTCTTCTACAATACAGACACATTGCCTCCCTTCAAGGGAACGCGGACGAGGCCCATCTGACGGTACGGTCTAAGACCGCAGCGACAGGTGACCCGTTGCGGCCAAACTACACTCTTCTTGCTCCTCTTGACTGCGTCAGGTCACCAATAAAATGCCTTTTTGCGCAGCTCCACTTTGCTCCTGGAAGCCCTTTGATCAGTGATCCCGATTGGTCACACGTAACTCCTACAGGTGTCGTCTTTCTTGCGGGTTTGGTTGGTTGTCTTTGCTCCCCGCAGACTGCTGGCGGTCTGTCTCGTAACACCTTGCCATGAAGACCTGTCGATTCCGAAGAAAAGTGTACGCCTAGTACGAAAATGGAGCACTGATTCCTTGAACTGTACTTGGGATTTGAAACAAATACAAGATGATGTGCAAATTGAGGGGGGTGAGTGTGCCGATTCAGCAGCTTATGCCTTCAGAATTAGGACAACATGGACGTTGAATAAAAATGATGACGCTAGTAAAATTGACTTCCTTTTTCTCTGACAACATCTTCCGAGTCCCGGTCCTACAGTTGCGAATCGCGAAGCTGATAAATCATCATGTCAAATTGTTCCATTTTTCGCCCTTTATCTATATGTTCTTTATCTTCCCATCCCTCATTTCTAAGCCAATGGCGGAATGGGGCCGCACTCACGCCACTGCGCTTCCTAATTGGTTGACGTCACAACTCTGCCTCCGTTCATTGTATAGAAGGTGCCCGTAAAATTTCCATAGCTATAAGAACTACGATTCCTACAAGTTTAGACAACAATCTCAGGGGTATCGATTTGGATCATTAGGTCGCCGAAACTCATATCTCTTCCGTCAAAATGGCTGCCACAAAAGTTGCACTGGTCGGAGTATGATACATACCCAGTCCCAATTATGAACTCTGCTAATCCATGTACCTATTTAGGCCGCCGGAAATCTTGGTCCAGCGATACTATCTGCACTATTGGATGCAGGGTTTAGAGTTACTGTCCTTACAAGACACGACAGCAAAAGTACATTTGATGCTAGAGCTCATGTCGCAAGGGTCGACTACGACTCTCTCGATTCACTCATTGCTGCTTTTGAAGGCAATGAGGTCGTGGTGAATACACTCGGGGTGGGAGCCATACCCCGTGCCATTCACATACGCCTTGTCGACGCCGCAGTTGCTGCCTCCGTCAAGCGCTTTATTCCGTCAGAATTCGGATCTGATACAACTCATCTGGCTACTGCGAAGCTCCCCGTCTTTGCCGACAAGGTTTATGTTCAACAATATCTGCGACAAATCTCCCAGCAGTCCAGTCTCACCTACACTCTCTTGGTTAATGGGCCGTTTCTCGACTGGGGCCTGAGAACCGGCTTTCTCCTAGACCTGTCCAGCCCCGTCACGACTTTGTACGACGGTGGCGATCGGAAATTTAGTACTACCACTCTAAAAGGGGTTGGTAAAGCTATCGTTGGAATTGTTAACCACCCTGAAGAGACGAAAAACACTGCGACCTTTGTTAGTGAGGCTTGTCTGTCCCAAAAAGACCTTCTCAGTCTGATCGGTAAGAGTCCTCAGACACAGAGTGTCTCAACAGTCGACGCAGAAAAAGAATCCTACGCAGAGCTTGCAAAGCCATCGCCAAACTTTCATGCTGCCGCGGTTGGATTCCTCCGTAGGGGGATCTTCGGTGATGGATTTGGAAGTCTTTTCAACCAGGACAAGCTTTCCAACGAGCTATTTGGTATAGAGATGTTGTCTCAGGAGGAATTGCAGAAGATTGCTGCCGAGTCTTGTCCTTGACTATACCTTTTGAAAAAGACCTTACAGAAAACAAGAGCGACCCACCATCATCTTCCCCATACAATATTATATGTTAGATGAATTGAGTTGAGGCACTTCACCAGATTGTTATATTACTACGACCTTCGTAGAAAAAGACGGCCCATTTACTCTTAAGTTAAAGATGATCATTAAAGATTAGGAGCGCAGAAATCACTTCCGACGTTGCGGCAGTGTTCCTGAGCAGCAAGTGCCCGGTGTCACAACAGTCTGCCCTTCTACATAAAACTAATCTGGTAAGACGTATTTAAAGTCTAGAGTAACACCGAGTTGATCCATAAGAGCTTCGTTTTTATCAGCTTCCGAACTTACCAACAGTTTTAATATATTGGACAGAGAAGTCTATCTAGAAGAGGTCTTATATGATACCGGTAAAACTGAGAATTTTGATGGGGCGACGCGAGATGCCCACGGTCGCACCACGGACTCAAGACTGCCAGAGCACGCACACCGGGCCAACCATTTTCATCCTGCAGATTTGAATTATCAGATGGCGGGATTTTAATCTCTTGGGCCTCTTCGTCCTCGTCTCTGAGGTCAATCAGAGGCGCAGGCTGGCGTTAATTTGATCGATTCTTACCGTTCGACCGGGGTTCAGCTAGTCGTTTCTTACATAGCAAGGAGCGCGTATATAGCAGTTACGCAATATCGGGGCTTCATGAAGTTCGACGCGGTTATCGCCATGATCAATTGAAGGATAAAATCGAGACAGGGAATGACCACCTGTGCCTTGTCCACGAGTAAATTCAAAAGATGCCATCTATCCGAGTCACAAGATCGGGTGATGCATACGTAGCTAATCTGAATACAAAAAGCGTGACTTCGTACGCTTCAAGATTCACTGACAGCGGTGCTTAGGGCAATTTCTCTCATCTCTTCCAGATCACTCTTCAACTTTTCCACCTTGGTCAGCATACGTGGAAAACAATCAGTGCCAAGAGGCAGCCGAAGCAACTCTTCCTTGCCCTGTCCCATCCCCTGCAATTGAATCACATCCAAGATTCGCTGTATCGCTTTCATGGGATCTCCAGGCTGTTTCCCGGCGAAGCTCTCGAAAAATCCCATAGCAGCACCGAGAGGTGTTCCCTCATAATCCTTGGTCATTCCAGCAGCTGGGACCTTGTGAGATCCAATGAAGTTCGTACGGAACGCACCCGGTTCAACAAGCAAGACCCGAATATTAAAAGGCTTTAGCTCAGCAAATAAGGATTCCGAAAGTGCTATATTTAACCAAGTCAGAATGTGACGCTTGGGGAGAAGTATTTTAGACTTATACTGACCTTCAACGGCAAACTTGGACATAGAATAGGCTGCAGTAGAAGGACCAGCAGCAAATCCAGCAATACTGCTGAAGTTGACGATTGTGCCGCTGCGCTGGGCTCTCATGAAGGGGAGGGCGGCTTTAATCACGCGAACTGTGCCGTAGATATTTGTCTGGAATTGAAGATCAAGTTCCTCCTCACTGAAATTGGGGTTAGATTGAAATGGCCTGAAAACAGTGTAGCTTGATGGTCGTACCTAATGTCCTCAATACTTCCGAGTAGTCCGTATCCGGCGTTGTTGATGATGACATCAATTTTTCCACCGTTCTTCTGAATCGCTTGAGTTACTTGCATGCTTGTGTCCCTGCTCGTTACATCTAACCGAACCCACTGTCCGCCAAGTGATGCGACTTGCGGGTGTTCTTGAGCGGCCTTGGCTGGGTTTCGTGCTGTAGCAAGGACGCGATGGCCCGCTTTGAGGGCATTTTCGGCTATAAGTGATCCGAAGCCAGAGGAGGCTCCAGTGACTAGCCAAAGTTGAGACGCCATTGTCTGTGAAAGGGATGGGGTAATGGATGAAGTGAAAATCTTATGGATGTATTAAGGACTCACATGCACTGGCAGTTTTATTTATACCTTTTGGAACCAGCCGGCAACCAATTCATTCTTCGAATTTTCGGTCAAGTACCTTCAAGTTTCTGACGAGATGAGACCATGAATAGTTGCTTCGGTAGTGCGAAGATGACAGCTATTGCCACGGATGACGGTTTTCAGCTAATGGGATGGATAGCCCGACCCGAAAGTGCAGTAGCGGACATTGCGGTGGATATGGAAAGGCCCACTTTTAGCGCGTCATCACCATCGGACTTTGCCGGACCTATGCGGATTATATTGTTGGCCAAAGGTTAACTTTCCTGTCATTAAATATGTCCAGTCCTACCATATTCGTTCCATTTTAGAAATTTGAAATATCGGAAATAGGCCTTTTCCCTATTACTCGCAAGTATTTGACATCCACATCACGATAGTTTATAAGTACAATGAAGGCTATCTTCGGAACGAGATTCTCTTGCAGATTTGTATCGGAAGGAACAAGAATGGACGGGAGAAGTATCTATATGTCGACTAGTCGATCAAAATACATATGAGCTTCTTTTAGTATTCGAGTCTGCCGCTTATCGAAGTTATATCGGAAACCCAAGGGTCGACCATATACTAACCCTTGTTAAATTGAATGTTTTTCGTGCTTTTGAGCGCAATATCTCCGCTCTTGGATATACTCGGTCATGGATGACAGATGACGCTATTTCGCGGTTCAGCATTTATGGGCCAGCTCAGAATGATCTACCACAATCTTTACCGGCCAGCCTTCAGCCAACAGCTCTTCAGAAAAGTTGTGCTCATCACCCTTGGCTGGATTTCTTCCCTTTCGCGCATATGAGAGATGAACTAATTCGGAATGAGGAAAGTCTTGATGATTCTCAGTTGTGCCGGGATTTGATGGGATTCTGGACTATGCCCACAGAGGGTGAGAACTGCATGATTGTCTGGGGAGACCCGTGGGAACCAATGAACTGGGAAATCACAGAAACCTTTCTGCAGAAATGGTCATTTCTTGTGAAATCGTGCCCGGAAATTATCTGGTCATCGAATCATTGGCGACAGCGGAGAGGGGAGCCGAAGTTGAAATGGAAGATTTCCTTCAAGAGAAACGCCGCGTAAATGCACGTGCACGTGTTGCATGCCTCACTCCAAGCAGAAGTATTGAGTTCGAACTTTTCAGCTTGACATACTGCTGAAAAGGACAAAGGAATCGATGCATGGACATGAGAAACGATGGAAGCGGAAGCAAGGCCCGAGAACAAGTGAAAGCGAGATCTGGAGCCATGGAGGTCACCGCCTTCGACGCATCCATATGTTAATTTATTTGCATGGATGAATGCATATAGTATTATACAGACATCAAAATATCGATGTCATCCAAATATTTCTCATAATGTCTACAAATAGCGAGATTCCAACAAAGTTCAGATATTTCTCAAAAATCACCCTCTGCTAGGACATATAATTACCATGGGTTCAAAGTTTTAATCCTATTTTACCAAGACTTCCAGTAGTTGAAGGCTGCAAAATCACCAAAATTAACATATCGAGGTGCTGTATCCATCCGATTGTTTCAAAAAGTTGGGTGACACTGCTCCCGAGGCCCACATGGGTAAATATAGGTATGTAAACGCATGTGCGTGATATGTAATCGCACACTGCTGGGGATCCTAAACTTTGAATTTTTGAAGTTGATGCGACCTTGGTCTTTACCTATTTGAATGTTTCGCTTAAACTTCGGTATTCTAGTTGCGATATCGGTACGGCCGCATGTGTGCGGGCCCAACGGATCTCGACGGTAATACGGCCGAGTTTTAGGGTCACTCAACCACTGGTATCAAATGGGGCTTGTTGTTGCTGACCAACTATTAACTCGTATAGTTAGTTAGATTAGGCACGATGATTCAGGTGTTCTTTTTGGGCCACCCCCAGGTCGCCGCGTATTATTATTTTTCCTGACCTTGTCATTGAGATGGTTCAATGGTCTGTGGATATTACAATGCACCTGCCATCGTGCTATAACTCCTCTTGTTGCACGTGGTAAAGCTCTGAGTCCTCTATGGGCAATGGCATTTGTTGGATATGTGGATTTATTCATACACACTGACTGGCCTCTGCGGTTCACTGTGCCAATGGATATGCGCCAAGTAACCGGAAGGCAACCGCAAAGGCCATAAACTCACCGCAAACTAACTGCAAACTAATCATATGCTACTTTAACCGATGATAAAAACTCATCCATGTACCTCTATTTTTTATAGCATTTTACTCAATTAAAAATCATTGAGAACTTAATTTTGGCTTACTCTATATTATATCTATGCTAGATTATCTATATAGTAATATTATTATAAAAATAGTGGTAACATGCAAAGTTGGCGTGTGTAAAGATGATGTCTTTATTCCCTCAGAGGAGGTCATAATAAGCTAAAGTAGGTGAAAATCTCAGAAGCAGATGATACGGAAGAGTGACTGGCTAGCTGAAAGAAGAAGACTGACCAGCCAGTCCCTGAGGGAAAAAGGAAGGCACCGAAACGTGGTCCGCAGGATGAAGGGGATTGTGACCAAGTCTAGCGGCTGGCATTCCGACTTGTGCACAAGTCGTCACGTCGTGTCGGATTGTAGACCATCATATACTTCAGTCAAGGGCAGTCGAGGTATCTAGTCAATCTGAGGACAAGAAACTTGCCATTAGTGTTGGAACAGTCCGTATGAAGCTTGGTGGGTTTATCCTCCGAGGTGGTCAAAACCTTGTGTCTGAGAGCCGGCCGTTCATTAGTTGCTAGTGTAGCCAAACAGTGTTGCCCATATCACAATCACCTTATGTGCAATGGAATTATGTGAGGAAAGAGAGTTAAGAGACAAATCTACAATAGAGGGACAGGCTTTCATAAGATATCTGATTTCATTGGCTATTCTGAGGTTTAATCCATCGAACAACTCCGGTTCAGCCAGTCGTCACACATTTCCATCAATAAGAGACATGGAATCGAGATACAAGGAAAAAGAAAAAGGAACAAAAAGGAAAATTTATAAAAAAGCAAACCCATATCGGGAGAACAAGGGGGAATAAATCCTCACGCTCGTCCCGACCCAAGCGCGAGGGCGGAGATCCAGGAAAAGCAGATCATCACGACCAAAGTAAACGCAGCACGCCATGCAAATGACTCATTGTCTGAAACAAGATAACAAATATGCCAATTTTGAGAAAATACTTCCCGACGCAGACATCTACTGCTGGGTCTGAGGAGCGGCGGCCAAAACCTCGGGGGTGGCCTCGTCGGAGTACTTCTTGAAGTTCTCGTTGAAGAGGTTGCCGAGCTTGTTGACCTCGTCCTTGAAGGAGGTGGAGGCAGTCCAGCTGTTCTTGGGGTTGAGCAGCTCGTCGGGGACACCAGGGCAGGCCTTGGGGACGGGCAGGTTGAAGACATCATAGGTCTCGTACTCGGCGTTGGCGAGCTCGCCGCTGTGGATGGCGTCCAGGATGGCACGGGTGTACTTGAGGGGGCAACGCTTGCCACCGGTGGTAGCACCGGCACCAACCCAGCCGGTGTTGAGGAGCCAGGCATTGGCCTTGTGTTCCTTGATCTTCTCGGCAAGCATGGAGGCATAGCGCATGGGGTGCAGGGCAAGGAAGGGCTGGGCGAAGCAGGAGGAGAAGGTAGCCTGGGGCTCGGTGACACCGTCCTCAGTACCGGCCATCTTGGAGGTGTAACCAGAGATGAAGTGGAACATTGTCTGCTCAGGGGTGAGCTTGGAGATCGGGGGGAGGACACCGCGAGCATCGCAAGTCAGCAGGATAATGTTGGTGGGGTGGTTGTCGCTCGTGCAGGGGATCTTGGCGTTCTCGATGTACTCGATGGGGTAGGCGCAGCGGGTGTTCTCGGTCAGGGAGGAGTCATCGTAGTCGACAACACGGGTGATAGGGTCGAAGACAACGTTCTCGAGGACAGAGCCGAAGCGGATAGCGTTGAAAATATCGGGCTCCTTCTCGGCAGAGAGACCAATGCACTTGGCGTAGCAGCCACCCTCAATGTTGAAGACACCCTTGTCGGTCCAGCAGTGCTCGTCATCACCAATCAGCTTACGCTTGGGGTCAGCAGACAGTGTGGTCTTGCCGGTACCGGACAGACCGAAGAAGACAGTGACATCACCGTTCTCACCCTCGTTGGCAGAGGAGTGGAGAGTCAGGACGTTGTGCTTGACGGGCATCTCGTAAAAGAGGACGGTGAAAACACCCTTCTTCATCTCACCGGCGTACTCAGTACCCAGGATGATCATCTCCTTCTCGGCAAAGTTGATGGCGACAGAGGTGGCAGAGGTCATACCCTCGGTGAAGCGGTTGGCAGGGAAGGAACCGGCGTTGTAGATGACATAGTCGGGGTGGAAGTGCTCGAGCTCCTCGCGAGTTGGGCGGATCAGCATGTTGCGCATGAACAGGGCGTGGTAGGCACGGGCGCAAACAACACGAACGCTGATGCGGTAGCGCTCGTCCCAGCCGGCGTAGCCATCGATGACATAGATGCGGTTGCGGGTGTTGAGGTAGTCGACAGCACGCTCACGGTTGATACGCCAGACCTGGATGAGGCTCGTTAGTAAATGACGTCATGCACGTGAAAAGCCTCGGTCCCGCGGGGAATACGAAATGCCGAGCCAAGTGTGAAATGTGAGGGGTCGAAAGAGCGGGAAACGACAGGAATCGCGAGACTCGAGATATGCGATGGAAAGTCGGATCGCAGGCAATAGAAAAGGGTGGCACCCGATACAGGCTGCCAGAAAAGCTTGACCTCTCCCAAATGCATATGCAAGGGATCCTTGGTGGAGCCCGACTGGAGTATCTGCAAGGGCAACCCCTCCACGCCATGCAGTCCAGACAAATATGTAACGAGACATCGGATGGCCAAAAAAAAAATCACGCATAGAAACAGTGACACTGGGTAATAGCAAGCAACTTACATCAGGGCTCATGGGCTTGTTAACAGGACCCCACCAGACCTGGTTCTCTGAGGACTCCTCCTTGACAATACGCTTGTCTGAGGGGGAACGACCAGTCTTAGCGCCGGAGTAAGCGCTCAAGGCGCCGCTAGAGGTGATGGCAGTGCCGGTCTCGTAGACGAGAGCATCTTCGTAAAGAGCAGGGACAGAGGGGTTGGCGATCTGTAGGGCAGAGAGATAGTTAGTGACTGAGAACTTGATCGCCAGCGACCATGGTCGAGTCTCAAGCGTAAGGGCCAAGCAGCGGGGTCTTCCTTACAATTGCGACTCGGTCATAGTCAATGTGCGCAGTCTCGTGAAGCTCCTCCTCGAGCTCAGTGTGACCCTTGCCAGGCCTAGATGGGGGAAGGATGAGGTTAGCGACGGCGAGGTGGAGAGGGGGAGGCGGGTTGATGAAGGAGAGATAGTGAGGGCAACGTACTGAACACCACCAGGGTGCAGGGCAGTGCGATTCACTGAAGTAGCGACCATTGTTCTGAGTGAAGTAGAGTGATAGTTATTGTTGCGTTGTTTCGCGACTTGCTGTTGGAAGAAATCAGAAGCCAGAGGACCAGGAGAAGCCGGGCGACCTGGGGGTATATAATTCTTTCCAGCAGGGGCCATCTCGGCGATTCCAGATGGTATGAAGGAGGTTCTTGTCCACTTTGCCCCTGCGCTACTCCACAGTTCCACGGGTGATGTCGGGGCGGAGGGCCGAGCTGAAGCGGTTGGCGATGAGGAAGCGTTGCCGTGGGTTGCAACTGGGGAGGCGTCCGAGTTGACCCGAGCGGGTGGTGGACAAGATGGACACGAATTCAAGCCGGAACGGCGACGGTGCCGGGAACGCAGGTAAAACCGCAGGTAAGGGATATTCCCCGTACGCAGTCTGTACCAAGTGGGGAAGTGCAGAGCGAAAAAAAAGCCGCAGTGCTAATTATGGGAATGCGGAATGGCTGAGTCCTAAAGTCGGCGGTTACGAATGATGCCTGACGATGGATTTGGATTTGGGGGCGACTCGAGGCAACTTTTATCTTTCTACGACACAATAGAAACTTTGAAATAGAATTAGCTCTCGAGTCTCCTCCCTCAACCTAGGCTCTACGACTATCTCTACTCGTCAATCATCTTGTGAAAATGCCCGGCCCGGCCATCTGTCTGGTTGTTCTCGTCAGCCACGGACGGAGGAAATGACGCACAATGACTTCACCAGTGAGCCGATCCAAACCCGTAATTTGGTAGTTACGTACTTGGGCAACTCTCTCGAGTACAAGTAGGAGTATCGCTAGTACCGCCAATACTCGGGGAAGACCACTAGCCCGGGTTGCCACCATGTCCTGAGTCCGGAGTCCTTAGGACGTGGTTCCCTGCTGCGGTTTCATAGTTCGGGCTGAATCGCGGGGGGCTGACATAAGCCGTCGATCCCGTGCGCTTTTCGGGACTTCTTCATTTGCGCCGTACGCGTCTCGGCTTCCCTCGCCCCGATTTCATGTCGGATGCCGCGACACATCGTGAGTCTGGAAGAGGTTTTTTTCTTTTCGTGCCCGAATGACGAAAAAAAAAAAGCGATTCCCGGCGGTCACAGGTCGGAACCATGTCTGGACACTACAGGATCCTCCCGCCGAGCACCCTACTCCAATAACGGCGTTTAGCCAGCCGAGGATGATGCATCTGCGACATCGATCGCGGCGGCACGGACCAATCAGAACCCGTATATTTCCACTTCGCCCACTTCCTAGGCATGTTCGGGTGGGCAGAAGATATTGCCGCTGGGTCCTGCCGTCGTTTTCGCTGACTAGCACGAGAATACACATGCCTGGCGGCGTCAGAGAGCAATGAGATCGAGGCCCGTCGCCCGACCGTACCTGGACCGCCCGAGCCACTGACTTCAGTAACCCCAGCGACTCCATCCCATGCAGAAGCAACTCATACATCTTACGTGCCATCTTTGGTCTCGGCCCAGTTGAAGAGTATGAGCCAGTCGTTGGGTCTGCGACTTTATCTCTTCCTCTTTCGCTCTTTTTGGTGTATCACAACACCAGCCGGGTCTCAATCTAGATCATCTGGTCTATGGACAAAGAACAAGCGGTCTGCAGGGCTGAGACCCGGGATTTCTCGTGGCATTCCCGTCGCTTTGCCACGGCTTTCTTTGTCAAGGGCCCATGTTCTCGATCACTGACCCCAGATCCTCTTTCCCGGTGGTTAGCGGCGGATCCCGACCCGGCTGCGGCCTCGGGAAGGCGAGCCTCTCATTTTCTTGCTTTTCTTTCCCCCTTGTGCATTTTACATTTTCTGGTGCTCGAAGATCCCACACATGCCATTCGTGCGCGAAACCGATCGCCCTTGTTTTGCGCTATTTGTTTACAAACGCTTACGTAGGGGCTTCTATTCCCGGCATTCACCTGATCAGAGTGTGACTCTCGACTTTTTCTGCCCTTCCGCGTGACTCGGTTGCCGAGCGAGCAACCGGAGTCTCGAACCACGAAGGCGTTGTCGTCAATCCCGATCGAGGAAGGCCGGGTGGAGAAGGGGTTCGCCCCCTGGTCCCTCCGCAAAATGACCACGACCTCTAGGCCATCAGGGGCAAGAGAGCAAGAGGGTCTCATGGGTTTGGGACTGGCTTTCCCCGGAAAAGCCTTCCAATCGGTCAGGATCTCCTTGTTGGCACGAAGCGGCAGGTACACAATACCTCCGAAACACGGGTGACCTTGTCCACTTGACTCCATCAGCAGCACCCGAGTAAGCCCTGAGAAATGAATCCGTTTTGCCCACCCCGCGCACCCGGAATTTTCTCCGTTATCTGGCCCCGGGTCAACATTCATCAACATTGGGCCTGATCCGTCGGCCCCCCGTCAACTCTCTGAATCGGTTGCCAATCACGTCAGCCTTTCGGCTTCCTAATTCACCCGTGATATGATTCTTGTTTTTCATTCGAGTCTCGACCTATCAGACTTGCGGTCTGCCCAACCAGCAAGCGTTGTTTCAAAACGGCCTGGGCCGAAGCGCGGGAAAAGCGACGACTGATCGTCTCTTCTCCTAATTTCCCCGAACCCCCGGGCAGCCTCACGTCATGGCTGACGGGCAATCTAACACCCCTGCACGGCAATCCAAGTCGGGCCCGCATCCCGATTATTTCCTCCCCACGCCGTATCTCACCTCTCTCGTCCCTCCGAAAATTCCTGGCTAGCCCTCGCTAGGAAATGTCCCGAGTTCCCGGGCCTCTCAGGCAAAGCCCTTTTGGCGTCTTGGCTGTCTGGGGAAGCTGTCGCGTGGCTCTCGCGGATGCGGGGTATAGCGTGGAGGGGTTCCTCCACTGGGCTGCTTGCAGCTGCTCCAGTTGCGTCCGTGACCTATTTTCGGCTATCATGGTCAACTGGAGGAGCTCCTCGGTTAACCGCCTCCCCTTGGAAGACCAAAGCTATCACGTAGTGGCGATAGCTTTAGTCCGTAGACAACCGTAGTAACAAAAATTGGACTAACCACAGCTGAAGGAAAGGATCATTAGCCCTGTCAGGTCAGTGACAGTTTTCGCGTCACAAAAATAGTATTCAAAATTGGTGGCAATATCGTATTCCCACGCCTGAAAAAAAAATGGATAGTGTATTCATCCTGCGAATTGAATCGCCAGTTTCGACTCGGTACTCTGGCCGACTTCTATAAATAGATACCCAAGGTTGTTGGAGATGATGAAGCATGGTATGGAAGCAGATCAATATGGTCATGGAAGTAGTTCGGAGACATCAGTCATACTTCTTACACTCTCTTAGCCTGTTTTCATCTAATTAGAAGAAGCTTTTAAGGACCTGCGTACTACCCTATGTTGAAGTTTGCTCAACTGGCCTACCCGGGAAGGCGGAATGCCTACGGATTGTTTTAACCTTATTTCTATATATTTAGCGTTGTGTTAGTCTTCCGGGTAGAATTTCTTTAGTAAAAAAGGAATCTTTTGTTCAGTCAGTCACAATGGCGTTTTTTATTGTATAGCCAGGTTATATGAGATTAGCTCCCGAAATATATATTACCTCAATATATGGTGCGCAAGGACACCTGATTCGTTTCTCAGCACTCACATTTACAAGGCTAGTGGACTGAAATCGGATCCTTCAAAGCTAAAGAGTTTGCCATTAGGCAACACAACCTTTAAATATCCGAGTCATCTATTTCCCTAACAGCATTTGGAAACAAGCAGCTGATACCTAGATCATGAATACTCAAGGTAGTATACTGCAATCTTATAATCTCAACGTACCAGTGCCATTCATCCTTTGAAGATTCGTAGTTTGAACTCCCAATGATAATAAATCACCAAAGGAGCACCTCGTCTCGCACCCCACCATTCTTTTTCCAGGTATCAAGTATATCTCTCGCGTCCTTTGCCGCTGCCTGGGCGTACCCCGGTCCTGGGGTCAGTGCTGCTGGCCGCTTCTCGGGGTCGCCCATGAGCCAGACCACCGGATCTTTGTTGCTCCCTTCACTTATTTTGCGGAGCTCGTCCACGTCTGCATTATCGTACCCCCGGCCGAAAACAACGGCCCGAGCAGGGTTGGCGTAATTACGGGTACCGATCCCGCTGTCATCAGGAGATTGAGGCTCCTGCCCCGCCAGCAGACGAGGGAGGTCTGTCGTGGCTGTTGTTGCGGACGAAAAGAAATGAATCACTGAAGGTTGAAACTCGTATGAGATCTTTTGGTGATAGGTGGTAAATCATTGCTCCAGAAGAATGAGTTACCTTCATACCTGGGTGCGAGCCCTTCTTGCACGACCTTTCCGATTTGGGCACTCCGGCCAAAGATAATGATGGGCAGCGGATTGAGAAGAGGTGACATGCTGGATTATGGGATGGAAATTGGTATAGTAGATATTTTTGATGATACCGAGTTGATGGTAGAATCTACGTATCTTCAAGGGCGAGAGTTGATTCTATGTAGCAAAAGCGGAGAAGCTGAGCTTGGTTATGTCATGATATTTTTAGCTTCACGCTTATGGAAGGATTTCTCTTAACAGCAGCCCCCCTCCCTAAAGATGAATCACTGATTGCGCTTACAATTATGAAGTCACTCATCTCGGTATTCGGAGTTAGGATTTTGAATTCATCGTTTGCCCCACATTGACATTTGCGGGGCGAATCTCGCGCAGACGGACGTTTTGAACAGCGAGATGCTCTTGGATAGAGTAAGCCCACGAAACTCGCTATCGTCACTGTTGCTTTTGATTTACTCTGATACTGCGACCCTCATGTCTTCGGAAGCTCGGATCATATCGTTCACTTCTGGGGCTCTAAACAGGGACTCACGCATCCAAAGCCGAGCTAATCATCTCGGCACCCAGTAACCGGATTGAGGATTTACTAGGAATATTCCCCCTGATATCTTCTAGATAAATATGAAGGACGGCAGGATAAATGGTATCCAAAAGATAATTACGCTCCAAAACTTGCGTATAGGTCGCAACATCTTGAACGAGGCAACATCGGGATGCTCTTGAATTTTGCTCCTGGCTTTGAACAGAGAAACCTGCTCACGGGGAGAAATCCACCGTGAGTGAGCCTGATGTTGCTTGGAGTCATCTTCGGCTGTCATATTAGAGAGCTTGCATAACATTAGGCGCTTGCTCATGTTCATTAGTTGCTTTGCAATCAAAATCATCGAAGTCGCTCTTTCGCACAGCAGTCCAGTTACATAGCGATTGATGATAGAATTACTAGCCAGGTTTGCGCCAATCTGCATGCACGCCAGACTGCCTATTGATAAGCCAGCCCTATAGGAGATTGACCGCTGAGGCATCATAATTTACCAATTTCTCGCCATTATCAGGTGCTATATAAGGTTCTCGCTGCATTTTCATTTGTCTAGAAGCTATGGAGGTCGTACATGGCGAAAATATCACTGTCAGCGATGGAAGCAAAGTCTCGCACGGCGAGTGGTCAGTCAAGCATCTTGAGAGAAATTAGAGATTGTACTGACTGGTAAGGGCACAGAATATGCTAAACAGCGCGTTAGCGATGAAGAGGAAGGTACCTTTTCACAGAGTAAAAATTTAGGATTTACACACAGTTTTTCATGGGATTTTGTACCTGGGGGAGAGGCTTGAACTTCCGGCTTGCTCTTCTTAAAAATAGCGGACATATTTAGTAGCCTATATTGATTGAAGGAGATAGCTCTTCAAGAAGGAGGTGTATTCTTGACAGCGAAATCCTGTCCAATAACTATCATCTGAAAAATCCTAAAACCCCGCCCGAATTCATCGCTTCAACCACAACGACTGTAATCATGGCAAAGAAATCCCGCTTCCACCTGTGTCACTTAATCCGAGACATTCTCTCCACTGGTGCTGCTTTAGCCCAAGTGAAGGATTTAAACAGGGCAGGTCTAGATCGTGTTAGGGCCAGGGGACCTTGGGGGAATCTGAATTCAACGAACCGCGCCGCAGGAGCCGCAGCTCTTACCGGCCCCGTCGATGGCAGAACCGCACTTGGGGCAGCTTGGGTGTCCAGACATATTGTTTATCGGATAGGATGCTTTGGTTGATCTGTCGAGAGCCGTTAGCTACACCAAAACTACTCAGCTGGCGTTGGTGGTCCGTAGGGCTGGTATCGAGGACCTCCGATCGGAGACCACAACTAAGAGAGACGGGATCATACCTGAAGATCGAGTTGTTATTGATAGAAACGAAGAAGAGGATGAGAAGGATTTGATCGAGAAAAAGGTCAGCACAAGAAAACCAGCGCCTGGGTTTTTCTACCCCGCCGAGCCCCGCTTCGGGCACTCGTGTTTACTTTCCGATGTCCGTGATTCGGCAGGGCGCATCCCGATCCTATGCTAACCATATTGGATATGAAGATCAACTACATCAACATAGAATTCAGCTTGCACGGAGACCATGAGGTCCCAGCTGATGATATCCAGATGACGTTTCAATATCAACAGCCACGCAAGAAAAGTGAAACAAAAACATCTCTATTCTGAACGAGAGGAGGAATGGGACGACAACAGCGCCCCCTCCCTCCACATAATGTCTAGCTGCGCAACCGCATCGCCATACATCTGGTCTCGCTTCCGATTGCCCAGACAAAACGACGGCTTCTTGTCGAATCCATGAATCGTCCCCTCCATAGTCATACCGCCGACATGGCCACCGCCCTCCTCGTCCTCCCCGCCCCGCAGCTGGCGCAGCCGTTCCCGGAACGCATTCCCCTCTGCGAGGAGTTGGTCCCAGCCACACGTGTATATTGCCACATTCGCCGGACACGAGGCTTCTAGCAGACACGCCGTCGCTAGGCCCGGCGATAGATACGGATGCGCCATATCGATCTCCTCGGAGCCGGGCTTCTTGGGCAGGGCCTTGGGCAGTAGATACGACTCATCGAAGAAGGCGTACAAGCTCGGTGAGATCATGCTCTTCTGCGGCGCGATCGGATTTGTCGCGTCACGCTCGCTGCGTGTCCGCGACCAGTCTGTGCTCGGATAGAATGCGACGATACCGGCCAGTCCGATGGCGACCGCCTTGCCTTGCCGCTGTGCGCGGTTGGTCAGCTCTTCATGCAGGCGCAGCGGCACAGTGAAGGCCAGGTTACCGCCGGCGCTGGCGCCACTGAGCGCGAAGCGCGCTCGGTCCAGGCTGTACTGAGCCGCATGTTCCCACAGCCACATCACGGCGTCGACCCCGTCTTCAATTGGTACGGGGAATGGGTGCTCCGGGGCGAGACGGTAGTCGACGCTGATGACGACAGCGTCAGGGTGAGCTTTGAGCACGGCGCCAATCCAACGGGCATCGTCTAGGGCGTGGCCGATGGAGAATCCGCCGCCGTGAAAGTTGATGAGAACGGGACGTAAGGGTTCGGGCTGTTCTTCGTCGACTCGGTAGAGCGGCCGGTTGGATGCGGTGAAGAAGTAAAGTGGGATGGAGCCAGGGATGCGACTAACGGTGGACGGGATGAACAACTCGAATAAAGGTTGCGGTGGCAGTGGCCACGATAGGTAACGGTCGAGCCAGGAGAGGATGGCTGCGAAAGTCCGGTAGCGACTGGCGGTTTTGGCGAGATCGGATCGGGATGCAGTGGCTGGGGAGGACGCCATGGCAGAAGCTGGCAACTGATCTATTCATGAATGTCAATGGATACCAGGGCTCTAGGAGGTTAGGATGGCTTGGAATGAGGTGTTGTTATTATGGATGGTGGTCCCGACGAGCTTCTGGTTCTGAATGACGTATGGAGGTTGTCAGGTTCATGGACTTTTTGGGTCTCTCAACTTCTCAACCTCTTAAACCGCGGTGCCATCGGCGCCTGGTTCGGGATAGATGGAGATGAGTAGATGGGGCCAGCTTTCTTGATCAAACGGATCGGACGTTCACGAAAGTCTGAACTTCAGCGTCGAAAGTAATGAAATCCGCCCGCTTTTGGAAGAAAGTCGTCCCGATACTGGCTCATAGCCCGGAATTAAAGTGTATATAGGTTCAGAAGTTAATTCAAAAGCGTCGTGGAGTTGAAGTCATAAAGCCATTAAGTTGTGGGGGCATCTAACTCTGTGCCTGAAGACGAGTTACTGGAATGATAGTGTAGGCAGGATTCTAATATACTAGTTTAGTTCAATATTTTTTGTAGCAGTGTGTTTGATTAATGGTTTTGCCACGTTTTGTATTGGAGTTTGATCCTGACAAGAATAATTGTTTCTTTTCCATACGACTCATTAGCCCTTTTTATATCTGGCTTGGCCCGCGTACGGATCCTTGTTGCACCAGAATCAAATCCAATAATTGCTCTAACACCTCAATCTTGCCTTTAGTCGGGGCTTCAATCTTGTTGCCGCGAATGACCTCAAGAAGCTGCAGCCTTGTGAGGACCATCTTGAAGTCTGGAGGGTTTTCCTCCGCATCTTGGATCTGGCAGGGACTTTCTAGAAGTCATCGTGTCAGAACGCCGTTGCTCACGATCAACCTCCACTTTTGGTTCAGATCAGTGACATCGAAATCAATAGTAAAGAAGGACTCGGCAGCCTTCTCTCCATCAAGTTGCACAGACATGATCTCGAACCATTGATCGATACTCAACTTCTCGCCCAACGGTGTTCGTCCACCCGCAGCCATGCCTGGTTTCGTACCAGTCCGCAGTTCCTGCGCATTTGTGAGATAAAAGTTGCGCCATGTTGCATTCTCGGCTCCAAACCCGAGAGCCTCGTAGGCCGAAGCAAGAAGCAGTTTCGCCCGTTTGTTCTCTGGGTTGGCATCTGAAGCGACAGCGTGCGCCAATAACGTTGCTGCAAAGCAATTATTTCCTTTCTTGATAAACGTCTCTGCTTTATCTCAGAGTCCATTCACGCCGCCGAAACATTCGACGTAACGCTGGCCCTCCTCAGTGGGCGGGTACTGCCACAGATGCTCGGGGCGGCCATCGAACGAAGTCATATACTTCTGGTAAATGCCCTGCACAGATTGATGTGAGCCTCATATTCCTCTTTGTTTCATTCCGGGATTTCAAAAGGTTTGATCGAAAACTTTCTACAGTGGGAATATGCTCACCTTGACATTATGGCTCAACGACCCATAAAACCCCTGACAATGCCAATGCCACGCTCTCGCAATCGCCGGCGGCAGCTGCATTGTCTCCGCGATCTCAATCCCCGTCATACCCGAATTCATCATCCTCACGGTCTGATCATGCAAATACCCATAGAGATCTCTCTGCTCCGCCAGTCGAGTCACCAGCTCCTTCGTTCCCCGTGTCGGCCAATTATGACTCCCAAACAATACATCTGAGCCCCGCCCAAACAGGACGATTGCCTCGTCCAGATATCCTGACCACGCCTTGGCATCACGCACCTGCGCTCCTCGTAGCGTCACAATATTATGCATGCAGTTTGTCACCGTCTCCGGTATATACAGTGCCCGGATATCGGGTAGATGAAAGTTCATCTCGGCTGGTGCCTCTGTGCCAGGCACCACCTGGAAAACGAAGCGCACCCCGTCAATGGTGTGCTCCTCGCCGTTGTGCTGCACCAGCACTTTCGGTGGGATCAGGCTCGTCGAGCCCACGCTCGAGCCCATCTCCAGCCCCCTGCCGAGTTGACCTGTTACACAACGCGCCAGAGCATTACCGTACATCGCCGCGCCACCATTTGTAGTGTCTTGACACCCCTGTCCGTCAGAATTATCAAGCTTCATGTGATTGTAAACGATTCGTTGCCAGCGACCTTTAATATTTCTTTGGGCGCAAGTTCCGTAGCATATATATTAAATAGCTTATTTATTTTCTAGGGCCAACGGATTTTTAATTAGGACCAAATATTTTAATTCTGAAATCAAAATACAAAACTCAAATTATTTGTGAGGCTATATTGGAACAGCATAGCTAACCGATCCATGAAGTCAAATCTGGAAATCAGATCAAGCTATTGATCCAATCTTTGTTTCACGAATTTGCCCTATAATAACCCATAATCGTTTTGAAATCAGAATCATGGAGGAGATCTTGAATTCTTATGCGGTTTGCGGGGACAAAATGAAAGATTCGAGACATAATGCGAAGCATCGAACTATTAATCGGTGCTGGATGTTCTGTGCGACATTCAGCGAGTCTTTCCTTGAATCTTTGGCTAAGCCCCTGTAAAACACTAGTCTTTTCAGGCTCCGAATCTAACCGCTTGACTGAAGCTGAAGAGTTCTGTAGATTGTGATTACACGGATTTAGTTTGCATTCAGCCTTCCACGATTTAGGAAATGGCCCTAGGCAATCAGTGATATCCTTTATCATACTCCCCTGCTTGAAAAGAGGCTTATCCAAGTAAAGAAATGTGAAAATAACCATAAAACTCCACATATCGCAGGCTTTCGTTCTCCCTCTACCATGAAAACGGTCAGGGGAACAGTATGGCGGAGGCGGATAGCCCTCATTTGTTGGAATCTGGCCACCTTCTATTGAAAGACCGAAGTCTGAAAGATAGACGTCTAGTGTGCGCCAGTTTTGGGGGATATGTAGAGGCTTCACAAGTTCTCCATAGTCAAAAAATGGACATTCTTCTTCTCCGATTTCGGCTTCTTCTCGGGGGTATGTAAGAGGCTGCCTAAGTGGTTCGCCGAGTATTTTATATTTTTGCTCCCTAGAGGTCCTAGTAGGAAAACTTTTCATTCCAAGTAGGCAATTACCAGGACTTACATCTATTAAACTCATATTTAAGTATAGAAACTAGTAGAATATTATCGAAGGTCATTTCAACTTACCTCCATGTATAATGTTAATACTATGTAATGTATTAAGGGCTTTTGCAAGGTTGTAAACAATGCGCATACGATAAGCCATGCTCATCGGGTCAGAGTTTCTCGGGAAAAGAGTAAAATAATCAAGATCCGGGCCTACTAGAGAAAACACTAGAACCTCATGATTACCTCGATACCCTTCGAGAGAAAAGTTGTGCTGAAAGAGTAATAGCCCGGATCTTTGACGTATCCTCTTTTGGGCTAGATACTCCTTGATCTTTTTTTGGATGTCGATTTCACTATGATCTGTCTTCATGATCTTAAGTGCCACATCTTTCCGCGTATTTTTGTCGTAGGCCATCCAAACAGTGGAATATGAACCATAGCCAACCTTATGCTCGATCAAGTATCGACCGCCATCAAGAGTTTTTCCAGGGAAGGCAGGATAGTAGTTTGGTAGCTCAGATAGGTCATACTGCATCCAGTCTTCGACATCGCCACAGAACACGTGACCATTGACCTTTCGGCCGAAGTGGGAATCGGCCTCCATTTTGGGAGGTTTTTGACTCATCGTTGTTGCCATTTTAGTCTTTCAAGTACGATATAATAAATTTATGATGAAACAGAGAATGATTCGTTGGACCACACAGAAAAATCTGCACTGTGCAAGATCGGTGGCCCCGGGGAAAGACAAGAAGTCCTAGAAGGAGTTTGGAAAATGGCTCTGATTTGCCTCGATCATGAATCTCCTGAGCAGCTTGATATCGGATAATTTGAGGGAGCTCTTGGATATTTAGACTAACAGAGGCATGTCGGTCTTTGAGTAACACTGAGCGGGGTTGGATGTTGGGTTGGGACTTTACCAGTGTGACATGTTACATCCCTGCTGGATACGTCAAGGAGCCCGTCTGGCAAGGACGAATTTTCAAAGTAACGAATGGGCTCCAAAAATTGCCGGCGGATTTTGGTGATGGCGCGACACACTGTGACGTTGGTGAGGGTTGGAGGAAGTAGGCGTTTATGGACCGGACAAAACTGCCTTGTCACCGCTGAGTTGTAAGGTCAGGTGATGTTGGCTGGCAGGTTTGGATAGGCCAACAAGCGCTACGGATAAACAGTTCTTCCTGGATTATAAGAGCAGCACAACAGTAGTATCTTTGTTTTTCAGCAACTGGATCTTTTTCTGGCCAACATGTAATTGTTGGAAGGCGCAGCCACGTTGGGTGGTTTGGTTTACAATCCCTGTCGATCTGATCACTCTGCCAGACTAGAAACGTTGACAACTTCCCGGTTTAATTATAGCTAGAAGCGTTCACATACCGTACCGCTGTGCCGGCACATGCTGACAAATAAGCTCTTTTTGTCCTACGAGGACAGGTTTGCGTCAATCTCACCCAGTGGAGTATTCCCGCCGTACGCCGCCTCGGCTCCACTTCTCCTATTTATGCGCACGACACTCGTGCCCCTGTCTCAAGGCGAATTTTGGATGTTGAGTTATATTTGGTCTTGTTTGGTGCACGTGTAGGATATAGCAGGCAGCTACAGGCTGGATATTGAGCAACACAAGCGCATAACATATACAATGGAACATATAGGGCAATATAAGAATCTCATTTTATCTATTTTCAGTATCATTAAGCCCACTTAGAATCCAAAATGGCAATTAAATTGGATACCGATCAATATCGTACCGAAAATATAACTCCAAATTTATGTCCACATTAATAATGCTATATAGAAGCAAGCTATTGATGTCACGAACTTGTCGCGTTAGCATCCTGTGGTTTCAGTTTTTGAGCTATAGTGTAAACGCCCAAATGACACAACATAATAGTACGTTTTGGAATCCATCCACTAGGGTACCAATCGAGTCACGCAAGTTCCAGTTGCATCATAACCAGCGAGCCCTTCAAGAGCTGCTTTGCTATAATAGAAGGACATTCTCCCATTCAACCTAGGTATTCTCTCAAGTACCATTCTTCCGAAGACTTCCAAGACCACTGTAAAGGAGCTTTGGTTCTTTGATATTCCTACAATCTTAACCTTACCTGCAACTATGGTTCCTAAGCAGACTCAAAATACCGCCCAAGACCGAGGCAGGGGCAGAGGCGGAGGCAGAGGCGGAGGCAGAGGCGGAGGCAGAGGCGGAGGCAGAGGCGGAGGCAGAGGCGGAGCCGCAGGTGGAGCCGCAGGTAGCCAAAGCGTATCAGCAAGAGCCTAAAGAAAAAGCCTCTGTTCTCATTATGTAAAGTCACCTTCCTCGGAACGCTAATCTATTTTACTGACAATATTATAGGTCAGCCATGAAACAGGGTACTTATAAGAGATTGACGGGTGGGCGTGTAGAATACAACCCCGACGACCCAACACACATTACAGTTGCATTTATGAGCAAGTTTACTGCCCATATTTATATCAATGAGAATGATGGGCGCACTGTCGAGAGTGTAAGGATAGTGGTAGGAAGCAAAACGATACCAGCACTCTCCTATCCTTGAACTCCTTAGGATTGAAAAGAAGGAGAGCCAAAATAGACCCCGGCGCTATCTCCTTTGACATTGTCCATATATTGACAATAACAATATATATCAGAGCATCGCAAGCCCGGTACCTGTTAGATAGGTCAAATCTCCCCAACTCATACCTAATACCATCATCGCTCTCTGCTCTCTATTTTCCTTGCTTCGTGTAAAAGTACAACTTGACAGCGTGGTAGGCTGTCGGTTAGGTAAGGAAACAACAACAACAACAATGAATCAGTTATAAAGATGTAGTAGGTCCGGTATTGAACAGACTGAACCTTGGAGATTCGGAAGATGAAATCTCGGATCCTAGACTAAATACACCAATTTCGCTTAGGAATGATATAGGAAATGTGACAGGTCAAGCGGGGTGGGAAGGGTAAGGTATTAAGGCCGCCATGGAAGTATGCCATGCGGAATCCTTTACAGATTCATAGTGTAGTGGGGAAATAGCCAACACTAGGGAGATCTCTGATTGGAGGATATCGCTCCTAGTACACAGTCTTTACAGGATATAAATTCGCATCTCCGATAGGGAGAGAATCAACTTTCACACTCTCTTCGCTTCATCTGCTTCTGCTTTCCCTTTTGGGAGGCATCCTCTATCGTGGTGTGTGGTGGTTTGTTGGTAAGTTCGCCGACCTATCTCATCCTGCCTGCATTCTCAAGCTTGCCGCAGAGCGCCCTGGTTCAAGAGTTATATTATTAATACTTACTATAAGAACTAAATATACCTCATTTGTAACTATAGAGTTTTAACGTATTTCACAACCGAGCTGCGCACCCCACCAAAAACGCGTCTCCCATTTTCTACCTACCATCTTCCATCCACACTATGCCACCAAACGTTCTACACAACGCTCAAAATCGCCAGAGAGGGATGGTAGGATACTACTCGCTATTAAAGCAATTCAAAATGATTCAACCCTATCTATACACAAAGCAGCAGCGGTTTATAGTGTGCTAGACAGCACGCTTCAAACGCGTATAAAGGGGTTTTCAAATCGCTAGGAAACTCGCGCAAATGGGCACCCCTCCAGTGAAAAATATGAATATTTTCGCCTTTAGACAAGGATGAATCATCGCCTTTATACTACGCAGCCTTCTTGGGTCCAGATAATGTCGCGGATTCTCTCAAAGATATTTCGTTAGATATAGACTACGCAGGTGATAATCTCAATTCCAAGGGTGGATTATTCGGCAATGCTATCAATGCCGCATCATATAATGGCCGCGAAAATATCGTGCAGAATCTTCTTGTCGAGGGCGCCGATGTCAATGCTCAAGATGGACTTCATGGCAGCGCACTCCAAGTCGCCTCATGTAGCGGCCACGAGCAAACTGTGTATATAATACTCGATCAAGGTGCCAATTTCAATAAGCAAGGTAGACTAATGGCACCGCAGTCGAGGCCCCATCGCTCAGTGGCCATGAGAAGATTTTTCGGATACTAATTTGCCAGGGTGCCGATATCAACATTCAAGATGGACAATTCAGTACCGCACTTGACGCCGCATCAGAAAAGAAAGTAGTCACGAGAATATTGTGCGGATGCTCCTTAATCAAGGTGCTCTCATTAATTCTCAAAGAATTTTCTGCGACAATGCACTGGATCTCACATCAGTGCCTTCAGATTGGAGGGTACAGGTAGCTATTTTTCAAGGTACGGTGAAAATATTCCCGAAATTCTATGACCGCGGTCTTCAGCCGCATTATACAAGGGCTATGAAAAATCGTGCAGATGCTCCTGAGCAAGGTGCGGATGTTAATGCTCGAGGCGATCTACAGTACTCCACTCCAGGTTGCATCACTACAAGGCTATGAAACGATGGCGAAATTGCTCCTCGATAAAGATGCTGATTTGGATAAAAAGACGGCAAAGATGTTGATGATCAACGTGCGAACTTCGGTGGTAACGTGCTGCGTCATCTCAAGGCGCGAGAAGACCTCAATGATACGCTTTGTTCAAAACACCAATACCTATGAAGTGGACGATTTCTGCAGCCACATGCCCAATATTTCATGGAATAATACAGATGTTGCTCTATGGATACGCTCCAATCACGGCACTGTCCAATGGGAAATTCCCTGGTCCAACGAAACCATCACATGGTCGTTAGACCGAGATATTACTTCTGCGACTCTGCGGATAGATCGTAATTATGGTACTATAATTATGAAATTCTCGTTTTATGGCGATGCGATCCAAGCTGGATCAACTCGAGGCCATGAAAAGATCGTTCAGATGCTACTTGATCGAGGTGTCAATGTTCATGCCGAAGGTGGAATATTCGGTACCGCGCTCCAGACCGCATACATTGGAGGCAACAAAAAGATCATACAAATATTGCTTGATCAAGGTGCCTGCCAAAATGCTCGGGAAGCTGACGGAATCAACGTCTGAATATTCTCTTGTATTATACGCTGTCTAAACTCAGGTGTATTTCCATTGGAATCAGACAGTGCGTGAGTATCGCGGCACAGATTTCAACTTGAGAGTACATCCTTTGCTCTTAACAGATAATAGTTCTATATATTGTACACTAGTTATCATACATAGTATGTGCAACCCTGTTGGACAGCCCTTTTTAGGTGCAGTGTATCATAGACCTAGTTTAAAAGAAGCAAGCGCCGAGCAATGCCTGTGCAGCAATAAGTGATCCCTGAGTAGTTGTTAGGCAGTTTCTAAGGGATAATAAAGTATTAGTTGTCAATTACCTGATTAAACTAATATAATTCCCGAGCCATTAGGCATGCTAAGATCTACTCAGTGAGTCTGAGCCGGAGCGCTCTCATAAAAGCAGCGGCAGCCGGGATAGGAATGCTTTACCCGCCAGACATTATCCTGTCTATATAGTTACATGCACATATGCCTGGGTCTTACAGGAATACCCGATTTCCTACTTATTTCGTAAAGGATCCCAGGTGTAATCGAAAACAAGCGTCGTAACTCGCTAGTCAGTAAGAGGGAATATTCAACACACCCTACTAGAAACTCAGGTGGTTACGCGTCATTCTATAAATCATCGCATATCACTTGATCCCATCTTTTAGACCGTATAGCTTCCGACCACATGGAAGTTAGGAGAACTACGTATGATGAAAATGAAGTAACAAGGCAAAATTTACCATAAAACCAGCAAGTTGGCCGCCACCGCTTTTTCAGCCAGATTTGGTGTGCGGCAAGCCGGGCGGTCTGGCATGGGATCCTCCCGTTGTTGGATAGTTGGTGGGGTTACTGGTTTAAAGTCAATCTGTCAACTCCGAGAACACGGCCAAGATCAGCCCACACACCACAATGCCTTCTTCTACAACGGACACGCTACGCTCGTGCCTGGCATACACGCCCGAGCCACTCAATTTCGGGACCAGCGGTCGTCGGGGCTTGGTGGTCCACTTGACTCAGCTCGAAATATACACGAATGTCCGGGCTGAAATTCGTTACCTTCAATCTCTCGATCCCTCCGAAGGTGGCATTCGTGCCGGTGACGATTTCTACTATGCGCATGATCTCCGGCCCAGTTCTACCGGGATACAGAATGGTCGTGGCGGCCTCTGCGATGCAGTCAGGAAGGCTGTAGAGGACGGCGGCATGCATCCCATTAATCTCGGCGCCATCCCGACACCTGCACTGACCTATTTTGCGCTGAAGCACGGCAAGGGTAGTATTATGGTCACGGGCAGTCACATACCCTTCGACCGCAATGGCTACAAGCTGAATACTTCGAAAGGCGAGCTGTTGAAAAAGGACGAGCAGCCCATTAACAACGCCGTCGCAATCACCCGTGAAGAACTCCTGAACCAACCCTACGCCGAGTCGCTTTTTGACAATCAGGGTATGTTCCGCAACGGCTATACTGATAGCCTACCGGTTCTGCCCGAAGGCAAGACGACCTACCTCCGGCGCTACCTGGATTTCTTCGAGGGCCAAACACTCGAAGGCATGAAGCTCCTTGTCTACCAGCATTCCGCTGTTGGCCGAGATCTTGTGGTTGAATTGCTACAGCTACTCGGTGCGCAAGTCACTCCTATCGGTCGCAGCGAAACCTTCGTGCCGATTGATACAGAAGCCATCGATGATGCCCAGCTTAGCACCATCTCGAATCTGTGCAGCAACGCCGGTCAAGCATTTGACGCGGTACTGTCGACTGACGGTGACAGCGATCGTCCACTTCTCCTCGCACCGGAGGGAGAGACACTCCGCTTCTTTAGCGGTGACCTGCTAGGCATGATTGTTGCCGACTACCTGCATGCGGACGCCGTTGTCGTCCCAATCAGTACCAACGATGGCATTGACCGTGGTCCTCTAGCCCACATGACGGAGCCGAAGACGAAGATTGGCAGTCCCTATGTCATCGCCGGTATGCAGAATGCTGTTGCTAAACAACGTCAAACTATCTGCGGATGGGAAGCCAATGGTGGATTTCTCACTGGATCCGATATCGAACGGAACGGCAAGATTCTCCACGCCCTTCCTACGCGCGACGCAGTTCTCCCTCTCCTCTGTGCTTTGTTTGCGGCACGTACCAAGCAAGTCACGTTGCCCGAACTTTTTAGCACGCTGCCTGGCCGTCACAGCCGCGCCGCGGTGATTCGCAATTTCCCTCGTCCGACGAGTATGAAAATCATTGGGCGCTATTCACCCTCTGAAGCCACCATGCGGGATATCTTCTACAAGGCCGACGCCATCATCGCCCACGATCCCGACAACGTCGCGTTGCAAGTATCGGAGGCTCAGGCCCAACAACTTGATAAGGTCCGCCGCGAATTGGAGAATGTATTTTCTCCTGAGGCTGGTTTCCTTCAATCTCCCGAATCAACTACACCGACGGCGTCCGCATTATCTTTGCGAATGGTGATGTCGCTCATATCCGTCCGTCTGGCAACGCAGATGAGCTTCGCATCTATTCGGTCTCTGATACTCAGGAGCGTGTCGAAGCCATCATCCGCCTGGGAATTGCGGAGCCGGATGGTCTTCTTAGACGTTTGGAACGCACAGTTTAAGTCACTGATAGACTTCTTACGATCATGAAAGAGTGCTAGAACCATTTCTCGATTAGCCCGATTATCTAATTTTCACGCCAGCAAGAAAAAGCATCATCCATCATCCATCATTCTCATTTGCACAAATCAAACCGAATTTGCAGGACTTGCTTCCTTGTTCTCTCCCCAGCGCATATATTGCTATATAGTCACCCTAGTTGCATGAGGTATTTATTTGGTCTACAATACTTTTTGCTGGTCAAAATGGAGAAGTAGCTCTACACTAGTATTCCCCCAATTGGACGTATATCAAGTCACTACATGTACATTCGCTTAAGTATCGGTCGTAGGGAGTCAATTATAAAAATATGTGCTTTCGAATCATGTTCAACATAAAAGGACTAGATCAACACAAGACAAAAAGAAAAAATTGCCCGGATCCTCCCCTCCGCATCCCCAGTCCACCGGCCAAGGGGTTTCGTAGTTATAATGGCCACACAGACTGGACTTTACGCCTGTTCTGTTTCTTTTCTAGCCTCGAGAGCGGCCCAACAACAAGCGTCAATCTCTCAGGGTCGCAGATCGTAAATGTAAGAGACTCTCCACTTGCCAATATGGGACCCCAGTTCTCCTTATCAGCGTACATCTAACGCAACCTCTTCGCCCTCTCCAGGCCCCACGTATGCACAGCGCACGGAGCTCCATCTCAGGATGTCTCCCCTCGCATCTATGCGGTCTTGCGCCACTGCGACCAGACACCAATCAAACTGCTCAGAGTACCGGCCAGGCCGACGAGGCCGTCGTCGAGCTGGGCCACGCCCAGGGCAGCAGCGGGGACAGTCAGATCGCACAGGTCGGAGAGAAGCTGTATCCGGGCGGCAGCGCGCTCCCTAGTGAGGACGGTTAGTACATAACGGCATATAACACGCAGGGTTCCGGGGAATTTTCAGAGAGAAAACAAAAAGAGACTGAAAGGAAAGTTGCAAGAAGACGGATCCGTCAGACGTACTTCTCAATCTTCTTCGCCTCGACTACACCCTCGCCCTCTTTCCGGTCAACGGTCTTCTCCTGCTCGCGCAGCCGGAAGAGGGTGTACACGCCAGCGACCGCGCTGCACAGCAGACCGGCCGCCCACGCACGGTAGGCACTCTCTTGGAGGCGCTTGGCGGACGCCAGCTTGCGGTAGCCGATGGCGTCAACGACGGTGACGGTGTCCAGGGTCAGGTAGCCGGCATAGCCAAGCTGGCGGCCGACGGCGAGATAGCGCAAGACGGGGTCGACGGGGTTCTTATTGTCGAGGGCGACGGAGGCGGCCTTGAGGTGCTCGGCGAACTTGCCGACACGCATGATCTTGCGGGTTGTGCCGAATTGCTTCTTCACGGCGTTGTAGGGGTCGATCGCGGACTGCGGCTTATTCGTGCGGTACAGGTACCAGGCGTAGAAGCGAGAGAAGTATTGGAGTGTGCGGAGGAGCTTATCGCGGCCGACTGGGTTGGAAGAACCATGTTAGTAGTCAGTCTTGGTGATTTTGGCTGGAGAGTGGCGTGTCTGTATATGATGGTGGGAAATGGAAAGTCTGGGGTTTGGAGGGAGGAAGGGCGTTCGGGTGTTTGCGTGTTTGGTGGAGGATGCTGAGAAGGGATGGGCTCCATCGGAGTTCGTGAAAGGATGGATTTAGGATTGATGATGAGTTTCAGGGTAAGAGACACGCACCAGTAGTCGCAACGAAGCGCAGCCAGTGCGCCAGCGCTGGGTGATAGACGAGAGCGTCGGCGACCATGATTGCTTCAATTCCCGATCACACGACGGAGTTGGATGTGTCTGGTTTGGGGTGGGAGATTCGGGGTCAGGGCTTCAACAAGGTCGAAGAACGTAGAAGAGAAGAGTGAGAGTGTGGATCACTGAGGGTGGTATTCGGTTTAAAGACGGTAGACAAGGAGGTTGAAGATAGGGAGTCGGTAATTGAACGGCGTCTGGAGCCGCGGGTGAGCAACCTCGGCTGATCTGGGCCGGTGGAGCCCCGACTTTTGCGCGCCCTCGACCTGGGGAACCTGGGAACATGTGAAGTCCTGGGGATTTATAGTCGCGATGTTCGCGCTCTCTTTGTCGAGAATCTACATGACTTTCAATCTGCATAGAGAGGAAATGAGAGGCTTTCTCTCTTTCGCTGTTTGCTCCTGCATTATGTCCGTCATGCAATGGACTTGCCCAACGTCCCGGCCAGTTTTCGTCCCGATTTGCTTTACGGGGATTTCGTCATCGCCTCTTCCCCAGATGGAGTAGTACTACCGGAAAAGGATAGTAGGGGAAAAAACAGCTCATTAAATATATTGCATACGATTTCTTCGTGGATAGAGTGCCTTAGACTACTATCATCCACCTCTGATTAACTACTAAGGCGGACTCTTATACAGCCTTGCACCAGCAAGCAATTAAAGCAAAACGGGATTCCCGCATCGGAAATGCACCACCGAGTCAGACCACCTAGATTAGCACGGAACAATGCTCGCCATCGGGCCAAGCAGTAGATCAAAAGGAGAATCATCAGGTCGTGTTCTTCGTCGCAAGGGGCTTCGTCAAAAGGCCATGGTCGGATCGTCGCAGGGCGTTATTAGCCATCATCCACGCGGGCGAAAAGGAAAAGGGGAAGTCTAGCCGGATGTTGTCGCGTAAGGGAAACAATCCGTCTTGAAAGCCATTTATAGTAGCAAATACGGTCAGTAGGTAATTTAGATGGCAGAATATGAGGGGCAAAGATGGCGACGAAAGTCGATAGACGGTTTCGGGTGGGTGTTGCTGTGTTCGTGAGCATCTATGCCTCTTCGGCGCGCTCCTGACGAGTGACCTGGGCGGAGTTGCCCATGGTCGAGGTATCATAGCCATGCTGAGTCAAGTACTCACGGAACTTGGCATCCTCGAGAGTGATAGTATCCTGCGACAAATGTGAGTCTCTCTAGCCACCACCTGGTCATATGAGGCATAGTTCACGACAATGTGTAAGACATACCTGGTTGATCTGCGGAAGCAGGAAGAAGGCCAGGAAGGCGCTGAAGATGCACAGCGAGCTGGAGACAAAGAAAGGATCCTGGCCCTCGCGGACCTTGTTCGGGGCATTCTTCTGGACAATCGGCAGGACGTAGGTGCCTACGAAAGCACCGACTTTTCCAATGGCAGCCGCATACGAATAGTATTGGCCTCGGATGGCGGTTGCGCTAGTCTTGGCTGCGACCAGCCCCAGGTTGTCACCAGGGCCGAACTCACCCAAGGCAAGGAAGATACTGTTCCATGTGAGAAAAAGAGCTAGAAAGTCAAGATTGGCCAAACATACCCATAAACCACGACGAAGCCAGCCACGTTTGCAGATGTTGCGAGGTACTTGTAGCATCCCGACATGATAAAGCCAACAATGCCTTGAAGGAGGACACCGATGGCAAGGGTCTTGCGGGGACCGATCCAGTCACTCACAAATGCACCCAGGGTGCAACCGGGGAGGTAGAAGCAATAGGTCAGAGTGGTCCAACCAAAAGTCTTCCACATGGGTGCATTATCGCCGGTGATGATCTCAATCCAGGCCGAGGAATAGAGGCCAAACGAGTAGGATGAAAAGTCGTAAATGAACCAGATAAGCGAAACAACAGCCTGTGATTCGATTAGCAGGGGAGCTTTCTTTTTTGTCGATTTACATTTCAGAAAGGGCCGTCGTGCATACCAGGCGAAACCAGTAGTACCTAGAAACGTGCGGATTAGTTTTCGGTTTCGAATGGCATCGGACAACAAAACTCACTTGATAATCAATACGACCGGGAACTTATGCATCCGCTCGCGGTTGAATTCTTCGGGCTCGTTCAGCTTGAGACGAAGGTACAGCAAACTCAAGGGCGGGATGACACCGAGGCCGAGCGAGACACGCCAGGCCGCGCGCAAGTGATCCTCAGTGAAAATCAAGAGCAGGATCATGGGCACAAACGCCGAGATAACGAAGGCAAAGTCGATCTGGAAGTTGGTGAACATGATGAACCAGCGGTTTCGATGGCCCTCCTTCAGCTCGCCAGTATTCTCGGCTGCGGCGACCGATCCTGCCGGGTATTCGCCTCCAATACCAATGCCAATGAAGAAACGATATGCGGTCAGGGCTGCAAACAGACCACTCTGGCTACCATGGTAGCCGTAAGAGCCCGCACACAGCGCCGCAAAGATGAAAAGGATGATGGTTGAGATCATTAGCGACCACTTGCGTGAATAGTGATCACTAGTATAGCCAAAAAGCAGCATGCCCACCACTGTGCCGGCAAAGGCAATGGCCGACACGTTCTGGCTGGCTGGCGAGTTGGCGTAGGTCTCTGGGTAGATCTTCTTGAGCATGGTGTTGACTTGACCGATCACCTATGACGGGTTGTGTTAGCCTAAATTTTCGTCCCGTTTTCTTAGATGAATTTCTCAATCGGCGCCAGGGCATGGGGACAATGCGACTCGAGGCGAGGAGCGTGGTCCCATGTGCGCCAGCAGCGTTGGGATTCAGGATCATGCATGATCTGGGAATTTGGGGACGGAGGACGGGGGAGCACGCACTCCGTTCAGGTATCCATCTGAGAATAATCCAGCACCACAGGCGATGGTAGGCCAGCTGCGCTCCCAGCGACCTTTCTGCAACTGGTCCAGTGGCACGACGTCCAGAGGAGTCTCATCCACCGGTGCGTGGCCCTTCTCGGGGAGTGTCTGGGGGTCACTTTCGGCGCTCATGATGGGAGATTGCCGGCAATAATAACAAGCAGTCAGGGAAGGCTTTTTCCCGCGTGAGGCTTCGCGACTGCGAAACACAACAGAGGGACCGAGGGGGCAGTGCGGGGGAGAAATGATACGCAAGCCCGAGATGCGGAGCGTGGTCGCGTGTTTACGATAACCAGGGGTATTGTACCACCCGATATCAACTGCAACTCAAGTAAGCGGCAGGGAGAGCGTGATTCGAAGGAGGCGAGGCGAGAGAAAAGAAGGCCGAGCAGCGAGGCGAATTAAGTATTTGTTCCTATCAGGCTAGGACAGAAAAAAAAAAAACCAAGTCAAAGTACAGGATGGCCAACTACCTGGACTAGCCGAGGATGGCAAGTGGAAGCAGGACATCGACATGCTTCTCAAGTGTCCAGTCGCCTATACTTAGCCTTTACCTAGTCTGTCCGCGGCCGCTACCCAACCAGTACGTGCGCGGCCTTACCAGATTAGCGGGCGGGCCAAGTACCCATGAGGTAACGATGTCGCATGGTCTGGTGTTCAGAGTAGAATTGGCGGCCCCACCGTGTCTCCAGTTGCCCCGAACGAGGCCCCATAGGGTTAAGCGGGGGACGTCTTCAGCAGCAGGATTCTGCTGAGGCCAATCAGATCGGTGGGTTCTATCACGTCCCCCGAGCTTTGCTCGGGGGAGACCGCGATCGAGAATCTGGCAATCGCCTGGATTCTCGGGTCGATTGAGGCAACTGGAAAGGGACGGCCGAGTTGATCGGTCGGCGAGTCGAATAGTCTTGGGGTCTACAATCTAAACGGCCCATAATCTGATATCGGTTCGCGCAAGCCAAGGCCGCCGAGGCGCCCGGATCGAACCCAATCCCGATTCGCGTCGGGAGCCCGCTCGGCCCTCCTCTTAATACAAACGACAGCAGCACGTGCGGTTTGCAGTCGCCACGATGCATTTCGCCATGAACTGGGGCCCCATAGGGCCGACGCCGAGTCGCATCTCTCGGGCTGGTCTTCACCCCTGCAATCGCCGAATGGGTCCGCAAACATGACTCGGCAACGCGGCAACGCGGCAACCCCGAGCCAGGTCCCAAGGCCGGCGTTCAGGAACCATCACACCAGTTGCACCTCATATTCAATAGCAAAAATGACTCAGTGGATCAATGTGCGAAAGACTCGAACAGTCACCCAACGGGACAGCAGAACCGTCGAATGAGCGAAGAGGTTAGCAACACGAGCAGACAATGGTAAACGAGGAAAGCGCTTCACGTCCTAACGAATATCTTCAAATATGTAAATCGCTATACTAACTAGCATACCCTTTACTCGAGCCTAGAAACTGTTTGAGACTGGATAGGGAGTAAAATACGTTGAATATAAACGATTTGAAAGGGAAAAAAAGTCCGCATACGTCTAGTACGCAAGCTATAGGTCAAAAATAAAACTAGAACTACCTAATATAGTAGAAGATGTACGTAACTAGAAAGAATAAGAGAATAAGTCTTGAATTAATAAGTTCACTAATTTTCGACTTTCGGTAGCGGTACCAGCTAAATTCGTACTCGGTCATAGTGACTGTAGGTAGATAGTGATGTAGAATGAATATGTACAGGAAAGATAGTATAGCGACCTCAGCCGTAAATAGAAACACTTTAATTCAGGAATATAATTAATTGGGATGCTATATCTTTCATACAGCACGTGATTCTTAGCGTAAGGATCCTACTGAGCTTTTTTTTAACACCCTACTGGGCAGTGAGTAGGGTCCTACTGAGCCGTGGTCACGGGGTAGACAAACAACAGAAATGTGGCCTGCAGGGTAAGGCATCCAGGGCGAGCCCGGCTCGGAGAAACATTCCGCCAGCTGAGCTTGGATCCAGCTACGTGATGCATCGGCAGTCATCTCAACCCCATCCTCCATCGAAACACCACTCCCTGCTTCCTCCCCCTAGCCTCCTCTCAGCACGAATCCTACTCTCGGCCTTCCCTTTCTCCTCATCAGTGCCCCCTACCCACCACCATGGGGTCTGATCCGCAGTACATCAAGTTCCCCGACCTTCTCATCGCCCAACATGTCTTCAACCTCTCCAACCCAGCCTGTGCTCCGGTCACCCGGCAGGCATCATTGAAGAAGCTGCAAGATGCCATCATCGAGCGCAAGATGGCCCCCTTCTACCGCCACCTCGCCCATCCGGTGGAGGGCATCCTGAACAATTCCGGCGAAGGCGCCACGCAACACCCGCACCCTCACGGCGCCGGGACGGCGAAACCGCTCATTACCTCCAACATGCTTGCCTCGCACAAATCACCACAGAAGATCGACTTCCCCTGGGATGAGCAACTGTATCAGTCTTTGGTGGAGGATAACAAAAAGGAGCTGGAGAGCTTCCAGAAAGAAGAGGATGAGGCAGAGGAAGCCGCGGGTGAGACCGAGGTACAGGCTGCGCGCGGTAAAAGGGCCGAGTTCTGGGCTCGTGTAGGAGATAAGGTAAGGACTTGAGCGAAGAGTGCTCCTCTCCCCCTTCTCCTTCTCCCAAAAATGATAGTGAGAGAGGGACCATCGGGATGGATATTGCTGACCTGGGCAACCAAACTCGATAGGATAAAGCCATCGAATCGCACGAGGCTCTCCTCGAAAAGACCGGCTTTCTGGGCACCAAGATTGACCTGGTGCTCGCGATGATCCGAATCGGACTTTTCTTCGGAGACCGGGTCTTCGTCAAGAAGATCATCGAGCGTGCGGAGACCTTGGTGGAGAGCGGTGGTGACTGGGACCGAAGGAATCGTCTAAAGGCCTACAAGGGCATGCACCTCCTCACCATCCGCTCCTACAGTATTGCCGCGCCTCTCCTTCTCGACAGTCTGTCGACATTCACAAGCTATGAGCTATGCAGCTACTCCTCCTTGGTGATCTACTCGGTGCTTGCGGGTTCCCTGTCCCTCAAGCGCGTGGACTTTAAGGCGAAGGTGGTGGATGCGCCAGAAATCAAGGCCATCCTGGGTGCTGGGGAGGATCAATTGGCGGCCCTGAGCGGCGAGATCTCGTCTGGCCCGGGGGCTCGTGATGAGGAGATGACAGATGCCACAGTATCAAAGTCGACCCCGTCGGGTGCTACCACTGCCGTCAACCTGACCACCCTCGCTGCTGGCTCCTCCGCTCAAGCAGAGACCGAAGCCCCCGTGGATTTCTCGCCCTTGGCCAACTTGGTCAACAGTCTATATAATGGTAACTTCCGCTCATTCTTCGTGGCTCTTGCGGCCGTCGAGGACCACTTCCTGACCCAGGATCGGTACTTGCACGAGCACCGAGCATGGTTCGTCCGTGAAATGCGGCTTCGCGCCTACCAACAGCTGCTGCAGAGCTATCGAGTGGTGGGTCTGAACAGCATGGCCAATGACTTCGGAGTGACCGTGGACTTCCTGGATCGGTAAGTTTTTCTAAATTCTTTTTACGTTTTTCTTGTGATTTCCCCTTTAATATTACGTTGATTCTCGCTGGTCATCCCTTGGGTCGTATTGCCAAGCAAGATTCATTGACTAACGCGGTTACCGTCGGCTAGGGACCTTGCCAAGTTCATTTCCAGCAATCGCATTGCTTGCACCATTGACCGCGTCAACGGTATTATCGAGACGAACCGGCCCGATGACAAGAACAAGCAATATTCGGATGTTGTGAAGCACGGTGATGCTCTGATCACCAAACTCCAGAAGTACGGCCAGGCTGTTCGTCTTCGGGGCAGTGAGCGGAGTTAAGCGGGCTTGGATGAAGGGGGGACGGAACTCTAGAGATGTCTGACCCAGTGGTCAACATCAGTGTCATGCCTGAATGCAGAAATACTACCTAGCATGCTACCCTGTTTAATCTTTTTTTGGTTCGAAAATAGTTGCCTTTCCAGCCACCCTTTCGGTCCTTGGAATCAGGTCATGACCCAGACTTCCGTGGATTTTGTATACTTCTCGACTTTCGATCCCCTCCCTGTCCCCCCGCATGTCGGGCGGCTCCGGAGTGGCTCCGGCCAGGCGCCGGTGTCGTCCCGGCGCCCACTCGTCGGGCAACGGGAGGCTTCCCGAGGAGAGATCGCGGCTCGGCCGCACCAACCGCGATAGCCAGCCCCCCGTCATCATCATTCGACCTTGCGTAGCCACTGTACTTAGACTGGGAGGCCGGTGGGCATCGAAACGATGGTGACCATGCTCTTCTGACCTCTGCCCTCTCGCCCGATACATGCCTCCGCACCGTGCCTGGATCAATTGTGGAGAAGAAGCCTCGCCAGCCCTGGAAACCCTCGATACACTCACGATAAACCATGCTGAGTCACAAATCTCACCGCCCCAATCGGCCCTGGATCTTTTCCTCTGTTCCCTTCCAACCGCCGTGAAAAATCCACTCTGAGCCCAGCCAGGATCCCCTCAATCCCAATTGATCCGTGATCATCCACTCGTCACGATGTCCTGGCAATTTAAGCTCGCTTCCAGCGCGCGGGCGTCTCCGCTGCGGGCTTGCGTGACCCGGCCGACTAAGGGCCTCCTACTTCGCCCGACCGCACGCGGCCCTGCGGGGGGATTCTCCGCTTCCTCAGGTACGTGGGATGATTTGCGTTTATATATAGATGGCGTTCGTGTTCCCCTCCCCCGCCCTCCCACTGGGATCATACATCATACATCATACCGCACTCATCGTATGACCGCATTGCGTGGTTGCTTCCCTTAGTGGCCTTCACACCTGCCCAAATATCTACCAAGAGTCCCCAAATTGCCCGACGTCAACATTACCGGGTCTACTCTGTTTACTTCTACCCGATATTCCCTATAGTCTCTTCTGACTCACGCCCTATTTTGCATATCACTAACACCGACCTGGGGTCATCGCAGCGCCCACCATGACTCAGACTACCGTCTCTTATGCCACGCGGACCCTATCCACCACCGCAAACTCCAAATGCCTCAACATTGATAACATGAACCCTTACATCAAGGCGGCCAAGTACGCTGTGCGTGGAGAACTTGCCGTCAAGGCCGAGGAGTACCGCCAGCGGTTGGCCGATGGCGACAAGTCGTTGCCCTTCGACAGTGTCATCTTTGCCAATATCGGAAACCCCCAGCAGCTGGACCAGAAGCCCATCACCTTCTTCCGCCAGGTGCTCAGTCTCGTCGAGAACCCTTTATTGTTGGAGAATCCCGAGGCTTTGAAGACCTCATTCGGATATAAGCAGGATGTGATCGACCGCGCGCAGACCCTGCTGGCCAGCGTGCAGAGCGTCGGTGCCTACAGTCATAGCCAGGGTGCTCCGGGCATCCGCAACAGCGTCGCCAAGTTTATTGAGGAGCGCGATGGCTTCTCCGCCAACCCGCAAGACCTGTTCCTCACTGCCGGTGCCTCGTCCGGTGTGAGCTCTCTGCTCAATGTCATCTGCAATGGCCCCAATGCAGGTGTCCTGGTTCCCATTCCCCAGTACCCGCTGTACACTGCCACCCTGGCCCTTCTTAACGCACAGTGTGTTCCCTACCAGCTCGATGAGCAGAAGGCGTGGGGAACCGACGTCAACGTCATCTACCAGTCCATCAAGGACGCCAAGGCTGCTGGCACCGATGTCCGCGCCGTTGTTGTGATCAACCCTGGTAATCCCACTGGTGCCTCCCTGAGCCCGGATGACATTAAGAAAGTGATCGATGTCGCCGCAGAGGAGAAGTTGGTCATCATGGCCGACGAGGTATACCAGACCAATGTCTTTGAGGGCGAGTTCATCTCGTTCAAGAAGCGCCTGCGCCAATTGCAGCAGGAGCAGCCCGGCAAGTACGACAATGTGGAGCTGGTCTCCTTCCACAGTACCTCCAAGGGTATGGTCGGTGAATGCGGCCACCGTGGTGGTTACTTCGAGTTGGTTGGATTCGACCCCCTGGTCCAGGAGCAGATCTACAAGCTCGTCAGCATTGGCTTGTGCCCGCCGGTCGTTGCGCAATGCCTCCTTGAGACTATGGTCAACCCGCCCCGACCCGGTGAGCCCAGCTACGAGCTTTACCAGAAGGAATACAACGGTATTCGGGATGGTTTGCACAAGCGTGCTCTTGCTCTGTACGATGCCTTCCGGCGCATGGAGGGTGTTGAGTGCCAGAAGCCCCAGGTAAGTTTCATTACCCAAATGAATCCCAGGAAAATGTTTACTAATTTTTCATAGGGTGCTATGTACCTCTTCCCCACCATCAATCTCCCCTCTAAGGCCATCGAGGCCGCCAAGGCCGAAGGTCGCCCCGCTGACGAGTTCTACTGTCTGCGCTTGCTCGATGCCACTGGTGTCTGCGCCGTTCCGGGCTCCGGTTTCGGCCAGAAGGAGAATACCTTCCACTTCCGCACTACCTTCCTCGCCCCCGGCACTGACTGGGTCGAGCGCATCGTGAAGTTCCACACGGAGTTCATGGAGCAGTATCGGTGAGCCGGGTTTCAAGAATATATCAGACAAAGAGAGTAACGCTAGACAATTTTGTGCTTGGATTCTCTATGATTATTCTTGTTCTGCTTCTTCCACTCAGTTCATGTTCCTTATGGCATTATGCGAAATGACGCTTCTTTTCCTCGAGCGCTTTCTGCTCCGGTTCTTGGGCTCGTGCTGGTCACTGGATGGCGGGCGTGGCGATACGCTTCGGTCTGCCTTTCCCTTTGTTTGATACCATTACATAGACTATGCATTTTTTTCATACCGTACTTCTTCTTGGTCTTCTGCTGTTTGATTCTATGTTCTCGTCAATATTGATATCTTGCAGAGTAACAGACACCTATAAAGGCCGGAACCCCTGAACATCGCGAAGATACGTTTAAAATTTAGATGCAGAATACCCTACCTTTAATCTTTCAGATAATCCACCCAATCTACCTATCCTTAGTTTCGCTTTCCAGTCCGGCTTATCACACCCCTCGAGACCTCGGAGGGCAAGGACCTGGGGTCTATCATTTCTTTGGTGTAGCAAGCTATTTCCAAGGCTCCGGGGATTGTTTATTGATACGAAACTTACAGGATTAGTTCAATCCTGTGGACCTTCTTAGATAATAACTCTCACAATGCTAGGCCTCGAGCCCGATTTTCTAGCCGACTTTAGATTACTGCGCTGTGAATCCTGACAGCCTTAATAATAAGGCTTATAATTGTCCGTATCCTATATAGCTCTGACGCTATATCAATGCCAGGAGGATGGAAGGGGGGAGGTTTCTCTGACTAGTTGCATATGCAGTGAAGAACCCCCAAGTTATGCGAACAAACGGTTGTTTGCCCGAGCGACCCCGCACTGCAGGGCAAGGATCTATGCCGAGCGTCTCCCGGTTTGTCATTCGTAGTGAAATCGGGTCAATATCTTCCGAGTTCCTTGGAGATATCCATCTTTTACAATGAATGAGGACTAGGCAGTGTTCACTTCGCTTGATAGCGCGGCGCTAAGCTCATGGTTTCTGGCAATTCTTCCGCCAATCCTAAATGCCAATGTTGATAAAGATTACCCCACATAATCGCCTCCCCTGGAATTGAATCTTCTACCCTGTCGATGGTATGCCTAGGAGACCTCTCAGGTGTTTCCAAAAATCTTCGTCAATGGACCTTGGAGCTCTTTGAACGTTAAAGATCTTGGCATGGGAAAGTAATCTTCAAGCAAGACAGAATGACCTGTCATCCAACAGAGAGACTACGAACAAGGGATATATCGCTTAAAGGGCAATCTTTAAAGGAAATCTATAGCCCGTCAGATGGCCTCACTCTATGGCCAGCATATATCTTTTCAATGCTAAGTTTAAAGTGGAGAGCTTTCGTAATTGTCTTGTTGGCGAACATTTAAGAAGCATGCCTTCAATGTGGAGCCTGCGGAGTCAGATTGCGGAGAAGCGGAGAGAAGCCACACTAGGGAAATTCTCAAAAGAATTGCGGGGGATTCAACACATTACTGGAATAGGTATCCTAGCGTCAAATTTCTCGGGATTTATAGAACCGAATCATGTTGGCCCAGGCATCTCTGTCGTGGTATATGAATGAGCATTAGAGCCTGATCATCCCTATGTTTTCTCTTGATAAACTTAGGGCAACCCTTTTCATTGGGACCTGCTGGACATAATGAAAGGATCACTTCTTGCCGCGATATCTCTGCTCTTTCCCACTATAAATGCTCTGCCTTCTAAGAGTGCCACTGGGCCATTCTTAACGCAAGTCGACAACACGACATGGGTCCTCGGAAATGAAATCTGGAATGTCACTCAGGAGCAGATCTATGGAGTTAAGCTCATGTATAAGGAGAAGGACTGTGTCGGAGAGGCAGTTGGCCATTATGTTAGCTACAGTATGTCCAGCCTGTCCTCAACTAGAGGGTTTATATTCATTTCCTGCGAGAACTAATACTTATCACAGACGGTGCAGCATCTAACCTGAACTGGACCTCTGCTTCCATTACCAAACAAGGGACCTACAAAGGCAAGCAATATATTGATGTCTCCTTCACTGCTGCGGAGGGAGACATGCATTGGGTCATTTTCTCCGGTCTGTCCGGTGCCTATCAATATTTTGTGAACCATGCACTGCCTACTCTCGGTGAATTTCGGACACTCTGGCGGTTGGATAACACGACATTTACAAAGGGCCGAACTAATATCAAAGACGAGGAGCTGCCCCCTCTAAGCGAATATCTGTCCCAGAACAAGGTTCAAGATGAGACGTGGTTGAAGCCCGATGGAAGCGGGTATATCACGAAGTATGATTTCACTGCGTGGTCCAGAAACCAGGATTACTTTGGTGTGTATGGAGATGGATTTGGTAGCTGGTACATTAACCCTGGGAAGGACTATTACAATGGTGACCATCTCAAGCAAGAGTTGATGGTATGTTCTACAAAATTCCAACCATTTTCAATTTCCGGGGATGAGAGCGGCTTACTGTATTCAGGTCCATCGAGAATCTTCTACTGGAGACGCCGTACAGCTAAACATGATCCACGGTACCCACTTCATGGCCTCCTCGTCCGACGTGTTCCCAGATGGCAAGATGTGGGGACCTTGGCTCTGGTATCTCGTATGAATTCCATTTTTGCGCTTCATCCGTACTCATCTACTCACATGCCCTACAGAACGATGGTGATAAACATGATGCAGCCAAGAAATCCGCTGAAGAATTCCAATCTTGGCCGTATGCCTGGCTCGATGACGAAGATTACCAGAGCCGCGGTGTCGTGAAGGGCAAAATCGTCCTCTCCGACGGCCGTCCTGCCAGCAATGCTGCCGTTTTCCTAGGCGACAACAACCCAGATAAAACCGGTCTTGATATGGGCTCCACATACTACTACACTGCGTACGCCGATAAACATGGAGAGTTCGAGTTCTCCAACGTGCGTGCTGCCACATACGGCCTACAGGCCTGGTCCAATGGAAGCTCCATTGCAGATGTCACGACCTCTTTCCTCCAGAACGATGTCATCGTGAAGAAGGCAGCAAAGACCAATCTCGGCAGCCTCACTTGGAAAGTATCTTCGAAGGAGCAAGTGTTCCAGGTCGGTGACTTCGATCGCTACAGTTATGGCTTCTTGCACGGCGGGGCCCCCAACCAGCATGCTCTAGTTGCTTCTTGTCCGGTCAATCTAGAATACACAATTGGCAAGTCAGAGACAAGCGACTGGTGTTTCGGCCAAACGTACCAGGGTAATTGGACCATCCGCTTCAAGGCACAGACTGTCCCCAAGGCGGCGGCCCCGAATCTGATAGTCTCGCTGGCCGGTTATTCCTCGGGTGCTAGCTCCAACATTCTTGCTAATGGAGTCCAAATCGGCAATATGACTAGTGGGTCCTCGTTGCTGCCCTCTGACCCATGCTTATACCGCTCTGCAACGGGGGCGGGCGAGTGGCATTTGCTTGAGTACTCGTTCGACAAGAATTTGCTGAAAGAAGGTTGGAATGATATTACTTTTGACATGGTCAGGAACACTACTTGGCATGGATTCATGTGGGATAGTATTGTCTTGGAGTGGTAGCGCATAAGTCCCGTCCAATTTTTGTCGGAATTAAGAGTCAAGCTTATGATAGACATACGAGTTCAGCATTTGAAGGCAACGTACCATCAACTTATCTCTTATTTAGACTTCACATTGATGAAAAGTTCAGAGCTGGCTTTGACCAGCAGCTTGTTGAACCGGGAAAGAGTAAAATGACTACCCATATCGTCAGCCAATAACAAGTGATGGAATTTGTGTAAGGTACAACAAGTATCTGTCACAGTTTGACGCAGACCTTAGAGATGATTGTTTACGATATCTAAATCAGGGTTCTCTCTCCTTGTTTTCCCATGGATACGTAGCATCTACGTAAAGTAAATATCATGCGAACGATACAGGTGCACCCAGCGGACCATAATGATCTCCTCGTGCATATCTTGGACCCATCTCATGCACTTGTACACGCACGCAGGACATACAACATCCAATCGGTCCGGCAGCGACTTCCGACAAAAAGGAATCGAGTACATAATTTTGTTTCACAAGCATTGTAGCGGTGTAAGTCCGCGCCGAGCTCCTGTCCTCGAATGGGAGAGCATTTCAGAACTCTCTGACGAGATTCTCGTATCCCCAGAAAGCAGGTTTTGCGCCCATCTGCAGGGTTCGCTGGATCTCCAAACCTTGGAGATCTCCGATCTGTCAATGGGCGTTTTTTTTCCTTTTCAAAACGGGACCCATTGTGATCTATGGATCGCGGTTAGTCAGAGATCATACTGTAATGCCTATTTACCTCTTTCTTGACTACTCTCTGGGACTTTCAAATAACTAGCCTACGACAAGTGCCGATAACATCTCAATGATTCCATCTCAATCCAAGACAAGAATCAACTCTGATCCGGGCGGGACTCTGGAAAAACGCCTCTTTCAACGCGCTTTAACCCCCTAATCCAATACTGTAGTAGTTCTTAGCCGAATCAAGTATACTTTGTTTTCTTCCCAAGCTTGCAATAAATATAGTCATTAAATACACCATACTGGCCCCCGATCCCAGCAAATTACAAGACGCCTCCAACCTTCTCTGTTCACGTGTCCACCCCCGGAAGACGAAGAGTAGCGGTGAAGCGTCCAAACGCCCCGAGAGCACCCCCGGTCCAGCGTGCCCCGCGACCAAAAGCTCCATTCAATAAAAAAGCCAGGAAATCCGAAAATGGAGAACATACCCGTCCATTCCAGTCCCGCCTGGTCGTATAGGCGGGCCACGGCCCCGAGCTCAATCCGCCATGCAAAGGCCTGTCTTGCATACCATACCAGGATAACCCCGTGCCACGCTTCCGCCTATCCTGTCGGGAGAGGGCCGGGTAATGCCCATGTTTTCTGTACGGGACAAGGGAAATGTGGGACGCACATTCCACGCGTGCCGCCGCCTTGCGAGACAAGCCTTGTCTGCATGGCCTTGGCTAATGCTTAGCGCTGCACAGTCGGGGGCATGCAGGGAGCCCTAGGGACGAGGGATCAGGATTCGGATCGGTAAGAGCGGAGATCTAGGTGCGTTCTGCAGGCTGGGGCTCGTGTATCTCGTTCTGACCATTGATGATGTTATGCATCGCGGATGTTGTGGGCCATGGAGTGTGATTTTTCTCTGTTCTTTTTCATTTATGGGAGAGGGAGGTGGGTACGGAGCTGTAACTGTGTACGCTGGCTGTCTGACGTCGATTGTCTCGAAAAATTCTGATTGCGTCGACTGGGGTCGTAGTTGATGCAAGGGAGGGCGAGGGGGACGGGGTCCAGCTGGGAATTCTGAACGTTTCTCAAGCTGCAGGATGGATGGAGATTCCTGCCATTTGAATCTCGGATCACGCGGCATCTAAGCATACCAGGTATCACAGTAACGAATCCTGGTGATGGTGCTGGGACTTCGGTGTATATCAGAAAGGCACTAGGATGCGTAGTGGCCGGACCCGACGGACTGGATGTGCCGGGCAGGAGCTGACAGGGTCTAGGATCAAGCGCCAGGTGCATAACTTGACTACCTGGCTGTGAGACACTCCAGACCTCCGGAAATAGGACCTGTGGATTGTCATTTGAGGCGCGGTGCCGGGCGTTGCTCAACCAAGTGGACCAGAAAGTAGGTATTATATGACAGCGGAAAGATCGATGTACATAGCTTACGAAGGAGTGGAGACCGAAGAGCCTTAGTCAAGGTTGGGTTTGGATTGTTAGTATCTCAAGCTGGCCTGGGTGATAGTCATAGCGCACATAGGGCAGGGCATGATTCGGGACGGTTGCCCATTTGGCAATTCGAAGTACAAAAGCCGCCCGGCAAAAAGAAACGAGTGTATGTAAAAAGCACAAGTCGTGTACAATGACAAAAACCCATATCGCAGAACCCCTCTCTAGATTGAATGCTATCGTGGAAGAGATCTAGGACTGGCTAGTAAACAAAACACACAAGTATATAAGAAACAAAAGAATCGAGGCATTTATCATCATCTCTCATCAAGGTCATAAAGACGGTGTGGAGGTGGTGGAAGAGGAAGTCCTCGCAACGCAGCAAAGCGCTCACGAGAACCGCCTGGAGAGGAAAGAAAGTTTTTTGGGGGAGGTCAAGAAGCGACAGGGAAGATGAGTACAACTCACCCATCTTCCTCGCCACCCCGCTCACTATTGGGCCCAGGACTGGCGGAAGTAGTTCTCGTCCATGGGTGGGGTGGTTGCATCGTCAAAGAGGCCGGCCGGCCAGATGGGAACCGCATCCTGGGCCTGCGACAAGGCGTACATCTCTGGCGCCGGTACAGTCTTCGGCTCAAGGCCCATGCCGGCTTGCAGTTGATGCTCGAGCGCGGCAGTGGATTCGTTGGCGGACTTGAGGAAGTCGTCGATGCTGATCGACTCCAGATCATTGGACGACAGGAGCTGCGTTTGAGGCAGACCCACCAATGAGGAAGCAGAGCTGACGCGGAGGTGGTCCATGTCCGACGCTTCGCTGACGCTATGCAGATCGTGCATGTCATTGCCTGCGTGTCCAAGGCCGGGCAGCGGTCCAAACTCATCGACCTCAGAGATGTCTCCCGAGGATGACGGAGGGGGGAGTCCCGTGGGGTAGGAGTAATCGAAGCTAGCATAGGAAGGAGTCTGTGTGCTAGTCGACGTCGGCGCATTCGAATACAGCGGAAAATGAGACCAGTCAACAGATGGCGCGCCCAACCCAGCGGATCCCAAAGGCACCTCTGAGTCGGGGGATGCGAAGTACGGATCGTGGTAAGGATCCTGGAAGGCCAGGCAGGTGATCGGAGAGTTGGTGGTCGTAGTCTGGTAATTGGTGAAGGTCGAGACATCGAGAGGCGGTGGAATGCTGGTCATGATCTGCTCAAGAGGGAACTTGTCCATCGAGGCCGGGGTAGATGTCGGGTTTGATGTGGTCCCGTCAGTGGGGTTCTCCAAAGCAGTCGTGGATGGGAGAACGGAAGCAGCAAACGCGTCCAGAAACGATGGGTCCAGAGAAGCAGTCGTGACCTCCTCCGTGCCCGCAGACGGGACGCTATCGGGGGAACTCTGTTGTGACTGCGACTGCGACCGGGGATCGAGAGTGAGGCTAAGAGGTTCTTGAATGAAGGGTTGAGCCAAAGGAAGGTGGTCCACCGAACGACGGGGCATATCGGACGGGTGGTGGATGGTATGTGAACGTGGGATTGTGTATGGCAATCCACACTTGTGGGCCATGTCATTATGCTTGTGGGCGGGTTTGTGATGACCGTCGCGGAAGATTGTCAGCGTCGACTCGGACTTGGTCGACGTCAGGTGGGGTTTCCGGGGAAGTTCAGCGGGAACCGTAGGCTGAGAGATGGGCAGGCCCGTCTCCGGTACCGGATCAAGATGGGGTTCCTTCTTCAGCGCACAGGTGCAGCGCTGGCCATGGTGGCAGCCACAGCGGTGCAGGGCATCCTCTGTAAATTGAGATCAGAATGGATGAACAGATAAGAATTAGCGCCCGAAAGACATCATATGCTCACGCTTGAGATCACGCTTGTCACCATGGCTGTCAGACGAATCATGTTTCTTTTTCTTGTCGCCGCACTCGCACTTGACATGGGTTGTTCGAGACTTGCGTAGGCCACGGCAATGAGGACATTGAGAGACTGGGCGGCCTTTCTTGTTGATATGGGTCAACGGGCGGTCTAGGGCGGGCAGCCGAAGAATGGGACAATGGTCAGCAATTGCCAGGTTTTTGGAGGCACGGGTATTGTCGCAATCCCACCTCCCACGAGAACGGAAGCTCGAGCGGTGTTGCAGGCAGACAATCCACATCTGGGGAAATCAAGGAAGAGACTCAAACATACCGCTGTGGTGACAGCTGCTGACCCGGTGACCCCGAACGCAAGCTTCACAAGCCCACTTCTCACCATCAATAAGCATCGCGATGGTTACCGAGTTGGACACATGCGATGAATCGCGAAGTGGGTCAAATGGGTGGTAAAGGGGAAATGGAAGAAGACAACGGTCGCAAAGGCAACCGAGCAGCCGTCAAGGCCAGAAGAAGATCGAATCGGAGAGTTAATATCGCCGAATTGGATTGAAACGAACAAATGGGTATCTTAGAAGTAGAGGTTAGGGTTCATAGAACGCTGGCCCAGGAGTAATACACGGAAGCTGGTGGGAATTGTCGAGACGAATCAGGATCCTGCCGTAACTGGAATCACTGGTGTGCGGTTCAGAGAAGATCCGAGTCTGGATCAATGAACCAAAAAGAAGAACAATCTTAAAGTAAGTCGAGAAAATCGAGGCTGTCGAAGAGGGAGGGGGAGGAGAAGGATCCAGGTTCTTTTAAGAGTAGGCGCGCGGAGAGGAGAAGAGAGAAGGTAAGTCGAGGGGGACCAAGCCTACGCACCGTTTGGCGCCGGCCGTGAGACAGGACACCAAGAACCGGTAGTGGCGGCCAAGATAAAAGCGTTCGATATCAGGAGTCGAAAGAACGCCCTATAGAAAAGAGAAGGGAAGAGGAAGAGGGAGGAGAAGGGAGGCGAAGCCCGTTCATATGGGCGTTGGTTTAATACCGGTAACGAGGATTTTCACCGTACCGTCTGGTGGTCTCGCTGGGCGGCGCTCCGTCGGGTCAATACGCATAGGTACCAGACAGGAACACGGCAGGGACAAGGCACGGCACAGGGTTTCTCGAGGGGTTTGGGAGGGTTTGGAGCGTTTGGGGCGTATGTGGTATTGTAAATACGTGGCGATGACACCGGTGGCCCGGTTTCTTTGCGGGCGCTTGCTGAGTCGACCGGCGTACGGGGCGGTATGACTTCATACACTGACGATACATAGTACCCATACCTGGTGTTTCGTAACGGACCCGTGACCCCTCTCGTCGCCGCATATCCATTATTCATAGGCTATTCTTGGAGGACTTCAAAGGTCATCTTGCTGTGTCCACTGTTGGATTCAGGATTCCTCGATCCCTTGACTGCAATGCAAGCTTGTGTGTGACTCAGCCCTCGACCTAGGGGCCTGGGACCTGGTCCTGACCTCCATCTTCCCCCCTTTCTTCGTGCGAAACCCAGACAACCCGTCAACCCGTCTCCACATGCGGTCGAGTCTCAGGACGTGGCCGGTCCCACCAGGAACCAGGACTCGTTGTACGCCGGCGACTTAGGGTTCGCTGGGGTCATTTAGAATACCGATGGGCCAAAGTGCGAGTACTGCAGAGAACAGACAACATACGATTCTGACATGGTCACAGACGCCATTAGCGACCGCGGATTCAATAGGTTACAGCCCCCTGTCCGGTTTTATCAATTTAACCTGTGAATTATAGCCCCGGCATGGCTCATCCAGTTCACTGTGCCTCAGTCAACCAACTTCTCCGGGTTTGCCATTCCCCATTCAACCAGACCGCTGTTGCTGCGCAATTTTCGAACAAGAGCCGCCTTGCGTAGCCATGCAAAGTGACAGTATCCCATCGCTCTTGGGTCATTCTTGCATGACTCCACGAGGATCACGAGAATTATGCCAGGGGGCGCAGCAGAGCGAAATTATATTCGCACTTTAAACATTATTCTGCTCTGATATTGTGCTTCAAAAATACACTGTCTTCTACGGAATATCCCGACGGTGAGCCCTCTCAGCACTCGCAACGTACCCAAAACTTTTACTTGCAAGACTGGTCTCTGTAGACAATCGTTTCCTTCATGACCCTGGATGATGTCCTCCCACTGTCTGGCGGCGGAGCACCCAAAGCACGGTCGTTTTTTCTCTTATATTTTTCTCGGTCCACACCCTTCGCACGAACATAAACCCCACCAGCCGATGGATCTCGCTAGTAAAACCTGGGGCCGCAGCTCCCACAGCTTTAACATTCGTCCGAGCTTGGAATTCCGCGCTCTCATATAGTACATATTGATATGGACTCTCCCTCGATAGGATTGGCGGTCGCCCTGGTGTTGCACATGATTCCAGGGGATCTCAACAACTAGAGAAAATGATACGACGACTACGCATATTTTAATTTTGACTTCAGGTCAGGTACCAGTTAGTCCGATCCAAGGAACTTTCCATGATCCCTGCAAGGCGCGCCCACGAGCGCCCACGAGGGGGCGGGAGATCATTGGCAGCAGTCATGGCCCTGCCCTTGGCGCTGTCAGCGAAGGTGAGAATCACCGATGCTTTCAAGGGGAAAGAAGGGAGATCATTATTAGCTGTAATGCAACAAACAACGCAGTCAGGAAGCAGATAATCTCGTGGCCCGCACGAACCTACACGACACATGCAGGCCGAGCCGGTCGGTGGTTGCAAAGACCCGGATCGATCATTAGGTTCGCGACAATACACACTTACCGCTCTGTGACAATACCCCATGGCGCAGTTCGCACGCAGGGCGATGGCGTCACTGTGCCTGTTTCGGGCGCCCTGCAGAGGGTTTTCGACCGCTGGCGGGTGGGCCCTGATCTGCGCATGCAACAGTGTGCAGTAGAGGCCGCGGATGGCCAATCGCTGCCCGCATGGGTGTGGATTCCGGTTTGCCCTTACCATACACGTACCTAGACACCCAGGGTCGTCGTACAGGACAGGTAAATCCCGTACGCACAGGTCTCAGAATGCTCGTGCCGGGCGACCTGCAAATCACATTACCTTGCAGGCAAACCCACGATCGGGATCAACCTGACAAATAGAGTTAGACTGCTCAAGTTGGCCGGGAGATCAAGTACCCATACAAAGTCCATACAAATTCAAAAGAGCAGCACACTGTCCCAGTTGACCAGCGCTTTGGTACGATCTAGACTATGTAAGTGGGTAGAAGGATCTAGAGATATACTTTGGTCATTTTAATGTCACCGTCTATACCCTATACATAGAATGGACCCGAATTTTATTCGGGAGACCCATCGCAAGATATGTTTAATGTATATTTGATAGTCTCGGTACGAAAATAAATATATCCATTCACAACGTGTTTCACCAGCCTCAGATGCTACTATAAACCAGACCATTTCTCCACCCCCTTCCACAGCTATCTATAATAAAAGGCGACTCCATCCACCACTATTCCTGTCGGTTCCACTCGACAGGAACGCTCCTCATTTGAACCCCTAGACCCGCCCAGTTAGAACGTAGTTACACTAGCGAAGTAGGGTCCTTTCCACAAAGCGAAAAAGCTCTTGCAAATATACCCAACGGGAGTGGCGTAGGAGATCCTAGACAGGTAGGACTTCTTCCCTCTCTCATCGAGATGCCCTGCGAAATTGAGGGATCACGACTCGAGTGAATAAGGAGATGGCTTGGCGACCAGAAAATTTGAATGATGCCAGTATCAAGCAGGCGTTTCCCGAAACGAGCCGGTGGTGGCGTTGATTTCAAGTTGACTCATCTTGAAAATCGTTCCTCGTATAGCTCTTCCTGTGCCTGTCTCCTAACAACTATAATCAATATTGGCCAACAGGTGGTCGGTAGTAGTCTAGTATTGAGGAACTTTTTATAGTGCTTTTTAGCATTCTCACGACAGAATTTACTCAGCCTCTTCCTCCTTTGGGCTGCGACATCTTCCAACCAAGCATCCCCCGAATCTACATGGAGACTTGATGTTCCCTAGGCGTAACAATTCAATTAGTCGAGGTTTAGATACTTGAAGGGAGGAGATGATGCGTTCTTGACGACCTGTTATGGGAAAACTTTTATGTCTTCAGTAATACATGGCATGGGTATCGATTGATTTTTCATCACATTACTGTTATTTCGATCAGGAAATGGTTTAAAATTTTGAAGTGTTGGCCATAAGCACCGTACTTATGGTGGAGATCGAGATGTTGGTTTCGATACTTATTTATATCCCTCCCAGATTGTGGCTCAGATATTATCCTGAAGGATCGAAAATTGGTCTCTCACATAGCCTCTTTCTTCCTGTGCTATTTCTGAACCAGCGTGATGACACTTGAGTGATTGATCATTGACCATAGCGAGGCTTTGGCGGACTTTGCTATCTTGATTCACATGCATTTACTCGAGCCTCGTCTCAGTCAATGGCTCTATCCGGCCGGCGAGAGTCGACCGTTAGGGCTCAATTTCAAATTCTGTAAATATGGAGAGGGATAACCATCCTTCATTCGCTGGAATTGATTCAGATCAGTCAACTATTCCAGAGAATAGAGTCCATTGTTCTGTGAGCCAGATAGTACTTCCGAAAGCCGAAAACACGATCGGACAAACTCGCCATCCGACCGGGAGCAGGAGATGGGAAATAGTATTAATCCGCTGGAACACGCAGAAACAAAAGGCCGTCCTCCGCGCGATCATCCCGGGTCAAGAACTATACCAAGTAAAGAAAAACATTGGATAAAGCGCGATCTAACACACTCAGCTTCCATCGCATCATGTTGGTGTTGCTCAATGCGGCGGCACTAGCCCCTGTCAAATTCCCTGGCCGCCAAAAAATTAGCCTGTAGTGAAAAAAAACCCTTCCCTCTCGCCTGCGCGTCCTTCCACCTCCCCCTCCCATCTCTCGGAAGCTCGCTCTACTCTCAACCCATCACTTTTTGTGTAATTCTGGGTATAATCTCGCGCGATGAATCCTCGCGAGCAGCCTGATATGCCTCCGGCGCCCTCTTACCCATCTCCAAATGGCGCGCAGATGGCTCAGGGCGCGATGCCGTACTACAGCAACCGCCAACTGACAACCGACGAACTGCTGTCCGCTGAGCTGTCGCGTGAAGCTTCTGGGCCTGGATTAGGTGACGGTTCAAGCAATGGCGTGCATCATGGCCAAGGAATGGTGTTGGGCTCGTCGAACGCCGGCGACATCGGTCGCCACTCCTCTGAGGACCAACACCAACACCAGCATATGCTCCAGTTCCCTCCGAGCCAGCAGGTGGGCGTCGACCCAAATCACGATCTGAGTTACGGTGAACAAAGTGCACGCAAGCGATCGAAAATCTCTAGAGCCTGCGACGAGTGTCGGCGGAAAAAGGTCGGTCGCGACATCCCCCTCCCATCCCGCAGGAAGACGCGCCAGCTACTCCGATAGCTAACCATAACATTCTCGATTAATAGGTACGATGTGACGCAAGCTCGGAAACTGGTCTTGAGACATGCTCCAATTGTCGCCGCCTGGGAGTCGTCTGCCAGTTCAGTCGCGTGCCCATGAAACGTGGACCTAGCAAAGGGTAAGATGACGACACGCGTGCAGATGTCCAGACCGCAAGCACTGACAGAATCGTGAACATAGCTATATCAAGGAGCTCGCCGAACGACTTCATACCCTTGAGAGCCAGATGCAGCCTGGAATCGTCCAGCCCGACGTGCCATACCAGTCCATGAACGAGGTCAACTTGTCTCGTGGCTATCAAGACTTCACATCGCCGGTGGACCCTGGCTCAGCAAGTCGCAAGAGAACATACTCAGTGTTTGAAGGTCTACCGAGCTCCTCTTTCGCTCAGCCACCGTTTAATGGCCGCGGCACGAATGCCTTCGACGCCCCCGATGCAACCGCAGACCCATACAACCCCACTGTTGCGAGCGGCAGTGCGCCGAAGCCTGGCAATCTCTTCTGGAACCCGACCGGGAATGAGCAGGATCTCCCCGGTGGTCTTGAGATGGCAGATCTGCCCAAGCATGAAGGCGATGATGACATGTCTCCTGTCAATCTTGATGAAGGGGCGCTGGAAGCGTATGTGCCATTCAAAAATGTCCTCTTACCGAATATTGAGATCTTACCATGTGCAGTTACTACCAGAAGGTCCACACCCTGTTGCCGGTCCTTCCACATACGCGAGATCGGACACTGGAGCTTCTTCACCAGTGCAACCGTGAAACCCAGGAAATATTCTGTTACGCACTGTATTCGGTCACTCGGACGGACTTGTCTCGCGTCGTAGGCAACTTTGAGAAAGTTACGTCGTTTGACAATGCTCAGGACCTTCTCCTATATCATACTCGCCAGCCCTTGATTGTCCAATCGACAGCAGTGAACTTAATTTGGTTACAGACCCTGCTTCTGATGATCATCGATTGTGATACTCGTGGACCGGACAATTTCGTCCTCAAAGATGGCATTCCCAAGCACACTCTGGTTCAGGCAGCCAGCAAACTTGGCTACGACTTGGCCAAGAGCCAAGGCCAGCTAAGAAACAAGCGGTCCTCTGACCTAGATGTCGACTCGGATGCCAATCTCACTCGTCGCAACTGGGTGGCTTTGATTATCCTGACTCGGTGGTACGCTATTAGTGTGGCCGATGCTACTGTCATCGGAGGACAGGAGATTGGTGGCCGTGAAGATGAACGGATCGTTGGACCGATTACCACAGGCATTGCATGTAAGTCTAATTATCCTTGGACTGCCCTGAACACCAATTAACCTGGCATCATTAGCTTTCTCGACATTCCTCTCGGAGATGGTTACTCTGGCCACTGTTGAGCACAACGTCTGTCAGACTAATACTGGTCTCGGGCGGATGGTGGGCGCCAACCTGGTTGCTTCTCTTGAGCGCTTGGGCGAAATGGAAGACGTGTTTAAGGTACAGGAGCTGCCAGAGAACACCGTTACTCGGCCTCTCTTTGAGAGCCTTCAATCCCAACTCTACTGGACAGTCCGCCTCTTAATCAAGCGCCATGTCTTCGTCTACAGCCCATACGAGATCATATACTGTGCCCAAGAAGTCATCAACGAGCTCCACAAAGCGACTGTGCAAAGCCGTCTGCCTACCCCATTCGACCTGCACAGTCTTGCGCTTGCTTCAATGACTCTTCTGGAGGCTAGCGTTCTTCCCGAGCACAGCAGCGAGTGCTGGGACTCGCTACAGAAAGTCGAGGAGATACTCGACCTCCGGTCAAAGCGGTCTGCTATGGCCGGCGAGTTTGATAACATCTTCGGCACGCCCGGCTGGGACGCGAAGATCCGCGTCTTTCTCGAATGGCGCCGCGCAAAGTCGCAGGAGAGCCAACTGCAGGAGGCTGCCATCGGCGCTGTTCGGAGCGACAATATTACTGGATCCGGATCTCAGCCTCCAGTTATGGGCCCCAACGAGCAGCGCTCGCTCCAGCACCTGGCTGACCTGGCCGTTGGTGCGGAGGGCTCAGTAGGCCAGAATGCGTCCACACCTCCGCCGGGTCTGTCTGCCGAGCACGGTGAGACTTCGCCGAACTTGGCGCCGCAGTTGGCCCAGGCTCACGGCGGGAACGGTCGTGTTGTGGTGGATTTCACAATGCTCACCAAGGAGGGCTATTTGAATGTCTTCTCTGGGCTAATCTACCGTCGCACTCGCTGAGATTTCTCCATACCCTAATGCTAATGGCCTTGTGGGTTTTCTGCCTGTTTCACTTCGTGTAAGCAAAAATTTGTCCCTCACGCCTGCCTGTTCCGGATCTTATATATCCCTTCTCTCCACTTTTTGATCTCTTCACTTTTCCCTTTCTTCCATTAATCCTTCTATTGTTATTGGATACAGTTGGCTACCCGGAGAAAGGTTTAATGTAAGCTTTTACTGTCTTTTCTGGCCTTGTTATGTTTCTTGGTTGAGCTGGTGTATGGTTGGCATGCATGCTTTGAATATGTTTGTATCCTATCTGTCACTATAAAATCCAATGGATCAAATTAATTCTTATAAATTACCTAATTTAAACTATACCCGGTGCTTTAAGATATACAAAGCTGTCCTAGTAAAAATCAATATAAAGTGTCACGTTAACAAAAGCATCACCTTCCCCCCTATTTTGGTTAATCCTTTAAAGACTGGAAGTGGACGACTAATGCTTGATACCGAAAGCAAAGCGTTTCCAGGTTCCCTCAACATCCTGGCACAGTGTCATAAACTGTTCGTCTTCGATCAATTCGCACATCCAGTTCTCCAGAAATGCGATTCGCTCTTCTGTTGGCGAAGCAAGATAAAGTGAAAGCTGATCCTCGACTGAAATATCTGCTGTATGTTCTGTAGACTGCTGGGCTTGTGAACTGTGAATGGCTTCATTGTATGACAAACCAGTCTGGCTGGCAGGTACTAGAAGCTCGGGAGCTACCTGGGTGCTTGTTGCATTAGAGAAAGGAAAAGGCTGAGTACCTTGCAGGTCTGGAGCGAAGACATCTGTCTGCGTTGTCTCTGGGTATGGCTGTGTTGATGTTAGGGGTGCGGAGGAAAAGTCTGACATGAGCGAATCGTGACGTTCAACTGCAGGCTGCTCTGCTATTGAAGACTCCAGAACTTTCTGCTGCGAAGAGTTTTGACTAAGACTATCTGCTCTGGTCTTCTGGTTGGGCTTGAGGAAAGGTAAGTCCCTTTTGGGGGCAGCATCTGATTGAGCTGTTGATCATGGAAAACTGGTGCAGCTGTAGTACGAGAACTGGAAGGTTGTGGTCTAGAATATTCAGACTGATGCTTTTCCATTGTAGGGCTATGTGAGTATTTTGGCCCTTGATCTTGACTTGGAGGAAGTTGAGCCTTTCCCGATGCCGAATTGTGGAGATTGCCCGTGGCCGACGAAAGGGTACTAGGGACTAAATGAATTAAAGCATCAGAAATATATTTCAAGCTGAAAGAAGCCGCCTTTATTCCAAGGTTGTACCATGCACATACTGCGCTCCACGTCAGACGTGGTTCGAGATATTGAGTAAAAAGGTCCTGGTACATTGCTGTCCGAAGTGATCGTGCTGCCTTCCTCTCTTGACGCAATAGTGGATAAATGCACCGAAGGTACCGAGGCCAAGGATGAAGACGAAGGCAGTCGTCTCACAGCCCGAGGAGAAGAAATGCTGCTTTCAGTCAATGGACAGTTAATTCCGCTGAGAATGGAGAGGGCCGTATAATAGTCTTGATCTTGAGCAAACTTGAGTTGGAACCGCCTGACCTGAGGACAGCCCAGAATGGGCATGTTAAAGCCTGCAAATTTGGATAATACAGATAAGAGGAAGTGTACGAACCTGATTTTCACCTTGGGGGTACTTCACAGCCAAACATGGGGCTTTCACCACAACAGCAAAGGCCGATGGCTTTGAAGGCGATGTACTCTGTACTAAGGCCTGCTGCATGTTGATGCTTCGAATAAAGTGCTCAATATCAATTTGTTCCTGGGTGTTGTCGACGGTCATTAGCTCTTCTGCAGCTATCCATAGAACGAACAGACCGAACAGGAGTACGGTACCAGAACTGCACGGCGTTGAATCACTTTCAGTATCAGCTTCGACGATGCCATGTCTCCCGAATACTTCTCAAAGATGCAAGCCATGTTTTCATCTCCTTTGATATGAGTCCAGACCAATGGGCCATTTTGGGCCAGAGGAGTGGTGGAGTGGGAGAACTTGGACAACGGCAGACGAGTTTCCAAGGGTCGTTGATTCAGAGAGACTTGGGGCATCGTGATTGAACCAAGTGGCTTGAGAAATCTAAAGAGATAATATTATTCCTTAGAGAGACATAAAGGTGGGAGTGCAGAGTGAAAGATTCAAAAGAAGGAGACAGCACAGCAACGTAGTTGAAACTTCTGGAAGTTGAACCCTCCATTCACTTAGTCACCGAGGTAGCCGACTCCCGCGGGCCCAACTCCCAACTAGCAACTCTTTTTTACTGCTCATCTACAAGTTTACGGTACTTATTTTAAAAGCTATGAGGCAGTCTGAATTCTTAAGCCATACTTTACCCGGTGTTATTGTCTGAATAGCAACGAAATGAATGAGATGAACGGAAACCATGCAAATCAGAAACAGAGGCCCCGGCGAGGAATGGGTACTCTATTCTTAACCCTTACCACCTCAGATACCTTGTGAGATTGAAATTCTCCTTGGCTGATTTCCCGAAGTCAGATTGCTCTAATGGATCCTTTAATTGCGAGTGTTGAACTGGACAGGCTATAGATGTGATATTAGAGGCCTTAGGCAATAACTTTCCAAAACAGGAATAGCCCCATCACATCACTCGGAGTAGGAACAACATTAGCCCGGCAAACGCGCCCTGGCGAGAGCGCGGACTTTTGGCTGATCAGGTCCGTTGATCGCAAAAGCCCAGCCACTCCCACTGCCCCCAAGGGCTACGCACAACGCATTGACGGTTATTCACCCTGTGGCATCGGTCGCCTGGGTTTGTGACACATCTGCCATTCACCACGTCCTCGGAAGCCCCACGGCCCTCCTGACTCGACGTGTTCGTGTTCGTCAACTCGCTGCGCAACCCCCCCAAAGCCTTCAGCCTCGAACGCGCCCGATATCTCCACCTGGTCGCGAACCACCATTGCTAGCAGAGCCAGTGTCGACTTGTGAGGCCAGCTGTTTGAATCAAATTCAGCGATTCTCTTTCAACGAAGCCTGAAAGAGCAATCTGGTGGTCATTCCACCCTGCCATCCATCACACTCAAGGGCAACTTGATTCTCTCGCAAATACAACCACAAAAGTGAAGAGCTTTCTTGGGAATACCATATTTAATTTTCCATTGCGTGGTGACGAAGGTGGTGTATCTTCATTGTCGCTAACTTACCCTCGAACGCTCGCAAGGGAGAGCTTGCGCGGCGCAGACGTCCCACTCTGTGACTGCCACCCACTTTTCATTACTAGGGGTTGAATTGTCCTCTACCAACAGCCAAAATGTCTGGATCGACACCGCAACGGACATCTCTGCGACGTAAGAACTCGTATCCATTCAGATAAAACGACGGGCTGATCTAATACCATATGCACAGAGGGTCTGCGCCAGGCGCCGAAAGTCAATCAACCCTTTATCCCAGACACGACCCCTTCGCGACGTTCACACCACCAGAACTTCGATTCTCCTCAACCGCAGATGACCTCCCATATGCACATGAACCCTGCCGCCAATCCCCAAAGTGCGCATTTCTCAGTCGAGAGCTGGGAAGGCAAGGGCCAAACGCAGCTCCCCATGTCAACGCGCGAAGTTCCCACACCCGGAAACAGGCCGGCATTATTTGCTAGTCTCTATGACAGGACTAAGATGGCGAAACAGCCAGACTTCTATGATCCATACTTTCCTTTGAGATTTCTTGAAGTTCCACGAAGTAAGTGGAGCCCCATTGGACCCCTCTCCACGGACGAAGAGCTAAATTGTAGTTTGGCCCCAGCGGATCACATTTACAAACGGGCGCACTATGGCCTCCAGTCTGGCATTGCAGATGAGGTCGATTTTGCATTATATCATTTGGTTCAGATCTCTAACCAAAGGTGGGACAAATTCAAGTTCGAAGGTTTCCCGTTGCTTGCGGAAAATTTGATGCAAAAAGCGTTGGACATTACCTACCTGTGTACTGGTGTGCGATGGGAATTTGAGTACGATCCTCGACAACCAACTGACCGGGTCAATGTATTGAATTCTTTGCATGGGACCCGGGATATTCTGGACAAGATTCGCCGGATCCCCACAAATATCCCAACCGATACACTTGAGACACACGAGTTCAACCATCAACTCCGAAATATCAAGGAAGCCACTTTAGTTCTTCGAAACATGGTGTTGTTGAAGGAAAATGCTTACTATGTGTCACGATATGCAAGCGGCCTTCTCAGGGATTTCCTTGTCATTCTTATGAACACACCAAACCAGCCCCGCCTAAACGAAATCAAGAATGATGCTCTCGACATCGCCGAAGAAGTGACCAAGTTTATGAGGACTGATCCTCGGGATCCTCTCTGGATCTCTTTAGTTAACTGCCTGGATTCGCCTGATCGCGCCCACATCATGAGGGCGCTTTGGGCCTTAACGCACTTCTCCACTGAGTTGAATGATGCGGATTGCAACCAAGCCATGGAGAGCCTATCAAAGTCGACTCTCCAGCAGCTATACTACCACACGCTTCTGGATCTCGATAAAGATATTTTGAGTGGCGCATTGGACTTCTGGTACCAATATACCCTCAACCCCGAAAATATCGAGACCCTCATGGATGTTATCAGCTTCCCGACCGTCTTTGTTCCGCGCATGATTGCTCTTCTCACGTATGAGGCACGGCCCACCAAGAAAGAAACAGTCCTCCAAGAGGAGAAAGTTGCACCGCCGCCGTCCGATATTCCTCGCGTACCTCCAGAGCTATTAGAGAAGCTGATGGGACTAACGGAGCCGGAGCGCAGCTCACAGTGGCTTCGATGTTGCTTTGTTGAGGATGCGGAATGTGAAATCACACAAATTGCCTTGTGGCAAGCCTACCAAAGCCGCTTCGCAGACCCGCGCGTCCATGGCGGAGGCGTCCTTCCCGCTGCGGAGTTCATCAAGAACGTTAGCAACACCTTCACAAATGCGCAAGCTCAAGTCATCAATGGCCCTGGCACTGCAACCAAATTCATTATTAAAGGTATTCGACCATTAGAAACCGCTCATACTTTTGAGGGCTTCCCATACTTGTATTGCAAATGGGCCGACAACTCCAAGCCGTCTCAAATGTGCCAACGTGCATTCATATCTCCCACTGATCTGCGCAATCACGTGTTTATCGATCATATGAACCTAGAGGCTGCAGAGACGTCTGGTCAATTCAAGATGGAAGCGGCTGAAACGCCGATCCACACCTGCCAGTGGGATGGCTGTACACGATTCAAGGCTTCTGGTCCTAGCACAAACACTGCGATGGTTGCTGGCCATATTTCATCGCACCTTCCCGAAGATCGACCGGCTGATGCAGCACCTCCTAGCACCAAGCGTGCTGTTCTTCAGGAGCGAATTGTGCGTAAGTGGTACTATATGGACACGCCGATTAACGAGAAAGGTGAGCCTATCGGTGTAGCCTATAAGGCTGCCTTGGTGCTGCGTAACATCGCCAGAGGCCTTCCCCACCGGGCTTCTACAAGATACGGCGGTGTTTCCTGGAAGAAGGCTTGCTTTACAAGCCAGCGTCCTAAGATTGTTGAGGTCTGGGACCGGAACCGCGCATTGCGCAAAGAGCTGACTGAATTGATCATGGTGATTGAGAAGGAGGATGACTATTGACATCCCTCTTAACAAGAACCCCCTTGGTGGGCGTTTTTATCATATCCATGTTTTGTATAACTAATACCCTGTTCGCCCTACCTTTACACTTCTATTCATGGTGATGGCCAGTTGCTGGTATTCACCTCGGCAGACGCAGTCGCGAGCTGTTTAAGCGGGGGTGTTCTGTCTTGAATTATGCTTGGCCGTCCTGAACACGGCCAGCCTTGCACGCAAAAGTACAGCGGAGTTCTTCCTACGGGATTGGGGGTCGGCGATCTCATCTTTCTGGCGTCTCTGGTTGAGGAAGATAGAAACATGACCCCAGTGTTTCTGTATTCTGTCGTCGTTTTTGATTTCCTCTCGGCTTCCTTTCTGTCCTGTTACTGCTTGATGTCTTTGCGACGATGTATGTATACCATAGGTATGGAGTAGGGGGGTTCTGGTTCTATGAGGACCCGGAAATGTAGTTCAGATTTCATTCAATATTGGCTCTCTATGGTGTAATATGGCTTGGAACTATCAGACTCTTTTTATTTTCCCATCCGTCACTATTTCTTTTGTCAGACACGTTTTCCTGTCTCTAGCCTGCGTGGCACATGATCGATTGTAGTTGAAGAAGCGGAGGGTTTCCGCAGTGTGAGAGATGGCAATCGAGACATAAGGGTGAACAATGAAATCAACCTCAGCAATATCTGGTTAGAATATCGATGACTATAGGCCTTAGAAGGGGTAAAATTGAATGGCTTTACGCGGACAGTTAGGCTCAACCGAAGAGTTCATTTGTTTGATAATATCTGCTTGCACTCCAAGGCGATATCAACCCTGAAAGCATTGAAATACTCAAATAAAGAAAAGAAATATCAGAAGGAAACAAGAAAAGAGCCCCAACAACATTCGCTAGGTGATGACAATCAATCAATTGAAACAAACATATGGCCTTCAAACCCATATTTCCTCCTCAAACGTCGACCCATATTTCTGATTACGTTGAAAGGATGCTTCTTTTCTGGATGTGGCTCATGAAAGGTCATGGATCCCTTATCCCGCTGGGATTCTGGGGGTGTAAAATGCCAGTTCGAGCCTCGCATTCGGCCGTGATACCAATATTCTGCATTGCGTAGAGAAAATCATTCCAGAATACTCCCCCAGGTGTAGAGGAGTAAGTTGGCTGCCAGGACAAAGTGCTGAGTACTTTGAAGGCACGAGCATCAACTTCGTACACAGTCTGTTCCTGGGCCTGTTCAGCCGGTGCTGCCGTTTCCGGTTCTTGCAATGCTGCTCGTGCAGGGCCCGGCGTGCCTCGAGTTCTCACCTTTTTCCTTGGTCGTTCTGGTGAGAATTTTGGAGCTTCTGTTCCTTGCTCTGAAAAAATGAAGGTCTCTGAATAGGACCGTTTCGGTGCCGCTTTTGCAGATTTGGGTGGCTCTACCCAGTCCGCAGTTCGCTTGAGAGTATAATTTCCCGAAACAAGAAAAGCGCTTTCAAATTGTAGCCGGGTTTCCTCAGTAAATCCAAGTTCTGGGGTATTAATCACTTTCTTTTCTACCTCGTCAGCTTGATTCCAAAACTTGTCGAGTACAGCTTCGGCTTCTTGAATCAGGCGAATATTGGTTTCTGTTTTCGAATAGCGAGTTTGTCTTTTCGGCTGCGCATTGCAGTCTCCTTGAACTCGAGAGCACTGAGGAGTATTATTGGCTTTGGCCTTTGTGTCATTCATATTTGACATCTACTGGAGTGAGTTTTCACATAACATGTGTGCCCATATTTCCTTCGATCAACAAGGGATTGGCGTACCATCCCAAGAAAGTATGAGTACTTACTTATGTTATCCAATCATATGCATAGCGAGAGAAGAAAGCCTCTTTAGTTTCTTTCCATGGGAGAACAGGATTTGTATATGATCGCGTTCTCTTGTCTTATTACGGCGATCCAGACTTTGGGTCACCCCAAAGACAAAGACTGCGCCAAAGAGGGCGTGTGCTTGGCCACAACGATTCCTCGTGCAAAGCTATTTGGGAATATTTGGTCAAAGTCTTTCATTTTCTGGTTAAAGAAGAAAACCAAAGCAATTGAGTATCCTGAAAGCTGAATGAAAGTACATAACTTCAAAAATTTATCATGGTGGGTTGGATGTCCTTATTGCTCTTCACGGCCTTCTTCACGGCGGCGCCAGCTTTGACGTACAACTAAAATTACCGGCCAAGCAACTCTATCAATTACCGGACAACATGATGTACAGGACTAGTGACAGAAGACTGAGACTGATATTTAATCTACCGCCAACAAGTTGATCTGGTTGTGTTTACTGAAGGTGTGCGAGGCGTTACAGGATGTATATAGTAGATGAAACAATCGTGTTTATCAAATATCAAATGATCCTCATATTTTTTTGGGACTCTTCTCCATTTTCCTTCCTTGCTAGAGGCAAATGGCAAGGTAGGCCGTGGGACCGGATTCATTAGACATTCAAGCACCAAAGCAGTCTCATCCTTTCCATCTCATTGTTTCGACTCAGCGATCAACTCCTCCAAAACTCGCATTGCATCCTCCGCCCGACCGGCCTGTACATAAATATGGTCATGGAAGTATCCACTGACAACATTGGTGCTGATTGCATGGTCCTTGAGACGATTGGTGATTGCTGCAATCAACCCGATCGCATCCAGACTGGAGTGGACTGTGAGTGAGATTTTCTTGCATGGAAAGATCCCTTCGAAGCCATGAGTTGCAGCCAACTCCTCACTTGTGACGATGGTAGTACCCTCGGCCTCACAGGCGATCAACTGAGGCTGAAGAGTCGCCAGCGGCAGGGAATGCAGAGCCTTCTTGGTGGTGATGAACAAGTAGACTGTGGGGTCCAGGCTAGGCTCCATTGTGGATAGTAAGACCGAAAGGTCCTTTTCGCCGCTAGCCATTTTTAGGTATATTCGGGGTGTGGTGTGCTTGAATGATCTTGCTTTATATAGAACTTTGGCAGTCAAAGGAGGAGGATTGGGTGAGGTGATCAATGATATTCGTGGGAGGACCGGATGCAAAATGGGGGTTTCGACTTCGGTTTTCAATGGTGGGCGGATGTCATCCACAGGGCGCCACGGCAGCTTCAGTCAAAAGGAACAGCCCCGTCACAGTCCCGGTAGAAGGACATAGAGTGGGTTACAAATTGAATAAAATCTCTGGAATGGTTTTTTTACATTTTTTTTATCTGCTATCCATTTCAGTGAGATGCTCTGAGATGCTCTGAGATGCTCTAAAATCTACTAAATACTCCAGAGAAGCTCGCAACTGCTCCACTGACGTCCTTAGATCAACTACCAAACTATTGGGCCTCATTACGCCCGGAGTCAGACCACAATCTGGAAATCAGAGGCTTGTCTGCGAAAGGAGTGGAAAGCGTGCTATTTAGACTATCTAGCAAAAGAATGCCTGGAGCGACCGTGCACCAGACCCAACCAAAATATCAAATTCGTGCACCCTACTTTAAACAGCAGGTGATGTCCTCACTACAACATAGTTGGCTCCGGTTGAATAACAAATCAAAGACAAGAAAAAAACACGAGAATCAAGACTAATAATCTCCCGTAGGCAATCCTACAGTAGGAACATGCTGCCCATGGAATCCGAAGCCAACAGCTCCATTGACGTTCGCCCTACCAAGTTCAGTCAAGTCCCGAGCGTCAAGACATAAAAGATAGCTGTTGCCCGTAGTGCCGTCGAGAACAACACTCAGTAGAACGCCATCATCCTCACTAACACCTTCTGGATTGGCGACAAAGATGGGCTCACCAGGGGAGTGACTGTGACAGGCCCAGAGGCCGGCCTCTTTGGTCTCGCAGTCGAATTTGACAATCCCGTCTGTAAGGGTTGCTTCTCCTCGGAATGTAGTCGCGTAGGTATATCGATATTTTTGGGTGACAAAGTTGGGGTTCATGGTCGGCAGCTCCGGAGAGAACGATTTGCATGCAGACCACTCAACGCTTGCCTTGATAATATCAGAGCAAGGGGATGATGGCAGAGAAGGAAGGCGGAAGCGAGTAAATGTTGAGCGCAATGCATCGGCTCTTTTTGAGGCAAATTCCTTTGCACTGGGCCGCGAGGAAATCATATTATCGTAATAGAGGAGATTGAGAAAATCGACACTGTCCATTCGTACCAAGTCTGCAACAACATCAATCTTTGTTGGATCTTCTTTTCGCGGCTCCTGCCAGGCGTTGATAGTGTGGAAGCAGAAGAACGCAGGGCTTTCATAAGTCGCAACTAAGCCTTGACCACCTTTGCGATCGACGACGTACCATGTCGCCGTCTGGGTCGGATCAGTTGGTATGATTGCATCCATAACGGAGCCGTCGCGGAGCGCCAATGGGTTCAGATGCGAATTCCACACACAGAGAACAACATAGTCTTCCGTGATGAGCAAAGAATGCAAATAGGCAGGCACACCGGGGAATGTCGCCAGGATAGTGGTTTTGCCCGTCGAAGCAGAGACGCCGAATACGCGATATGTAGAGCTTTCCCCCAGAGAAAGGTTAAAGTTGAATACGTCTCCAGTCTTAGGATCAGAGCGAGCATGAGACGCGGTAAGTTGTCCATTCAATTCAGGGTGGAATGATTGTTGTGAATCCAGGCCAAGAGGCTCCAAGGTCTCTGGGTCGAGCTTCTTGAAGCCATTGTAATCCGTCTTCGCGTGCAGGGTGCGGATACCTTGCGAACTGGACCAGCGCTCGGTTGACTCGTTATCCGACTGGCCGCCGAGACCAGGCATATTGACTGATAGTGTAACGCCAATGTTTACCGCGTTTGCGCCCTCGGGAACCGGGACATATTCACTTTGCATCTTACCGAACATGGCCTTGCACGGATCACGCTTCTGACCAAAACTCGTTCTCTCCATAGAGCCTGTCTTACGGACATGTTCTATCAAAGCATCGGTTGAGAATCGAGAGTTGTAGAGAACTCGAGTAGATGTATTTGAGTCGATGATTTGAAAGCGATGAGTTTGGCTGAATCCATCGAACCAGTGGGACAGCTGGAAGACCTGATCTCCCTCGCACTGCACTTGGCTTTTTCCAGGGCCAGTTCGATATAGAATTCCAGCCGCGTAGGAAGGGATCCTTCCCGTCACTACCAGCTCCACGGGCGTGCGCTCCTCATACTCCGGGTCAAACTATGATTCGTTTTAGAGCGGGAGGTGTTGAGCAAAGTGACGAAGACTTACACCCTTGGCATTTGGCCAGTTGTTCCAATGTTCCTCAGAACTTTGAGAGACATCGACGACTGCCGGGTCGACGTCGCCTGCAAGAGAGGGCATTATATTGAATTGAAAAGTCGAAGCTGTGCAAGATGAAGCTGATGAACTGCTCGTTGAGAGATTTCAAGCTCCGAAGGTCGAGGTCACACTGGCTTTATATTCGGGGATTGACCTGATCCCAAAAAGGACCATCCTCGTGAGTCCATCTCGTTACCTCTGGGTCGAGGTGGCAGTGGCTCTTCGACCGAGCAATGAAAGTGGGGGAATCGCGACGGCGGATTGGCGGTGGATCGGCGAGACCCAAACTATCCGACTTTCTCGACTCTCCAACTGCTCGACTCCTCCACTCTGTTACTCTGCGACTCTGTTACTTCGTTATCTTGCGAACGTGTTACTCGGGTACGCACGCTGGAATTCCGGTACAGTGTGACTCGGTTACTCGGCACTCCATTCAGCCCCTGTTCGGGGATTTTCCATGCCGGTGTGCATCCTGCCCATGCCAATCCTGGGGCAGTGTTTACAACCCGCTCCCTCTCAGTTCAGGGACCATGCTGCGTGTGGCTCAGCAGTTGCCATCTGTCACTTGTGCTGTGTCGCTAGCGCGGGCCCCTGAAACCGACTGATCTGGTTAGTATCTCGTCTTGCATTTCCTGTCCCGTGGTGCATAAGCGATGCCGACGGCCCCGCGGCTTGCTGGGCGGGATTCACCCACCTTCTAGAACAACAACTGCCCGAGTCGCGCTAGAAAGCACAAAAGTCTGGACTTTAATTTGCCTCCCGACGAATCAGATCAAAGGAATTTTAATTCCCAGCCTCGTTGACTTCCAGTCTCGCCTGCTATTCCCAAAAGCGGATTAGCAGCGGCATGGAAGATTCACCGCCGTCGACAGCCGTACCAGTGGACAAACAGTGGAGATGTGACCAGTGCGCGGCCACCTTCACCCGACTGGATCACTTGAAACGTCATAACACAACCCGTAGGTACCACCGACCCTGATCGCAGAGATCACTATCGTCGTTGACTGTTTCACTGCAGATACTGCCCAGAGAAGCCACGTCTGCCATTTCTGCGGTGCGCAGTTTAGTCGAGGGTATGTGCCCGCACGTAGTATATTCCAAAGCCTCCGCTCCCTTCACCTGAATTTTGAGAAGCACAAGGCAGTTCATCCTAACAGAATTTGGCAGAGATGTACTCCGGCGACATTGGAAGTCATGCAAGACACGATTAGAGAATGGTGTTGAGATCCCCAAGGGTCTCCGAGGGGGAAAGCACAAGCGGGCCTGTGATAGCTGTGCCAGCATTAGGAAGGCCTGCAACGGGGAATCTCCCTGCTCTGAATGCAGCCACCGCGAACGGACATGCACATATCAGCGGCTCTATGATGTCGTTGATGGCACGATCTCCAGCGCCCAGCCAGACGTAGACAGGGACGTCGACACAGACCTGCTTGCGCGAGACCAGGCGTCCCAGAAGAACCTCGACATGGCCGAGAACGATGTGCCTTGGGATCTCGGGCTTCAAAATTTTTATCCATCTGGCATGGTATCGAAAGTTTACTCTCGCCATCATTTCGGGACTTGAGAGCTTCTCGGGAAGCTATATCGCCATATAGAACGCGAAAAGCATTTTCATTCTATGAACAACAAACAAGAGGTATCTCCGACCAAATCACTTACCAAGAAAGACAGTTTCATTTTTCGAATCATGTATAAGAAGAGACAAGGCAACATGATATCTTTTGCTAAAATAATCACACTGGTCTCGGTTTATTTTTTAGCATGTGGTGACTTCTCCAGCGTCTTGAAGTATCCATATAATTCCACAAATGAATTCAACCCCTTATTCTTCTCTTGCGTCAAGAGGCGTCTGGTAATTTTGTCGGCGACAGAGTTCATGCACGAGACAATATGGGCCGTGCGACTGCTGTGACAGATCCAGAGTCCACTTCAAAAAATCTGGATTATTGGACAAAGAGCAAGCTCGAAGCAGCTGAGCAGCCTGCCGCATGAACTCCTTTTTTTGCCGAATGTAAGACGAGCCAGAGTTCATCGAGCTGACTAACCGTCGTGCACGATCCCATGTACACATATGTTAACATGTCTCTTACGGAGGAAGAAGATGCAGAGTTCGAAGTGCCTTACGGACGGGCCCACTTTTGAAGAAGAAGTAGATGATGGGCTCGCTCATCAGTGTGCCAGCAGAGTGCGATGTTTAGTAACAGAGTTATCGCCTCAGTGGAATCATCTAATTTTGAGAGACCAGTTTATCGGGTTCTAAAAATGCTGGCAGTAATTGAAGAGCTTCAGGAAAAAATGGGTACTAGCCACAGTAACTTAGCCTGAGACCTAGAAGAAAGTGTCGGTAGACAGTATGCATAGTATTGACCTACTCTGATTTCTTCAATTTGACGGAAACTGATAACGGGAGATTTTACAGAATGATCTGGTTCGCTCTTTCGAGCGAGCTAGATTGTGTCGAAATCTAAAAATTAATTGATTTATACACGGTCACTTGCAGTGTCATTACCATGATGAATGAATGATCCTCTCTTACATGATTTCGGTTTTGCGTGTCTTTTACGAGAGGAGCATAGATGGAACATAGTATTTATAAGTTTTTAAGCAAAAAGTTGTTTCATGAATCGCTACTGTCTCTAGCTAGCTAGCCTTAAAAAAATTAAACCAGTGACAAGCTTGAAAGTAGATAAAATATAAACATAACTCTGAAATAGACCACATAGCGCAATTCTCATATTTCAATTATTCTTAGGTAGAAGGATTTGACCATCCTTATCAAGGATCTGTGCCAACTCTTGGGGCGAAGTATGATCCCGCGTCGTAGTCATTCGATGACACCAAGTTACCACCTTCGAGCCCCCCTCTTCGCTTGCTTCGAACAAGAAATCACCACCAACCTGCCGATGATCTCCTGCTTTGGTCACGAGTCCAGTCGTCAAGTTCCTTGCGGCCTGGTAGGCCGACTCGGCGACGATGCGTACCATGCTCTTCTGGAAGTACTCCGGGCGCGGGCCCAGGGCTAGCGTCGAGATCATTTGCAGGTCATCAAAGAGCTTAGTCGTGGGATCCGCGAAAATCGGAAACTCGCAGCCTGTTTCTTTCGCGTAGAAGTCGATCAGGCCCGGGTCGCCACAGCCGATGAAGGCAAAGGACGTCGGGACGGGTAGCTGCAGTAGATCGGCCGGCTTGAAGGACTCGGATAGAGCGCGGACATATTCTTGGCAGCTCTTTTGAGTTGGCTATATGTTAGAAATTCGTTCTTGGTCTCTGTTGACTCTTCCGTCGCACTCATTCCATTGTTTCACGACCTGGAAGCGTCTCGGGGGGTATATCAAAATCAACAGACGGGAACTTACCCCACAGAAAAAGTGCCGGATGAAGATCACCAGCACTCGACGAGGAGAGTCGGGTCCATCGTAAATACTTTTAAAAGAATGCTGGTTGCCTTTGTTGTCAAAAACCGGATAGTCTTCCACTTTGCGACAGGTCTCCACGGACGGTGGAATATCATTTACGGGCGCAGTGTTGGTTGTGACGTCCGCTGCTTTGACACCATCGGCCACGGGAGGTGATGCGGGGTTGGTATTCGCATCATCATTTGATGGCTCGACTGGCTTTGTGACAGATGCAATTCCTGCCTCGGTCGACATGGCAAGCAAATCTACCTTGTTATTTTGATTATGAAAAGAGGTTGAGATTTCGAGGTAAAAGGAAAGAGAACATGAACGGCGGTGGGGGGCTAAAGTAGCGCTCTGACCACCTCAGCCTTCTCCCGTCCGGTTGGGGCTTTTCCTCTTAAAAAGGCTATCTCTCGTCGATCCCTACGAAGTATTTGGGGGCAAAAAAAAGAAAGAAAGAAAGAAACGGGAAGCCAGAAGCCTGGAAGAGAAAAGAATAAGAATTATGTATAGTTAATTATCTCCGATATGTTCATTCATCATCTTCTCTCAGGATGAGAGGGCAACTCCGACGGGGCACTGGTCGAGGACAGCTCGGCTGGCAAGTTGTTATATCCACCACTTGCAGACTCGGGATATTTATGGACATAGTCATTTGTTCCTACCCCAGTCAAGCCTGGGACCCCTTCTGGTCCCGTCGGTACTTGGCTATATGCCGGTTGACCGTATGCGTACTGACTATAGGGCGGTTGATTATAGGGTCCAGCGGGACCATATGCCGGACTAGCAGCAGGCTGTTCTTGCGGGTTGTTTCGCCTTTTCCTCAACAGGAACCACACGGCAGCTCCCAGGAGAGCGATGCCCACCACGCCGCCTACTACGCCGCCCGCTATGGCGCCGACTGGGGTGCTACTCTTCTTAGAAGAACTGTTCCCGTTCCCAGTGTTGGTGCTGACAGGTCCGGTGGTCGTGGCCGAGTGTGACACAGTCGAAACAGCCGAACTGGAGGAGTCCGTCGTCGTGCTTTGGGTAGTTGTACTAGTCCCGACGACCGCAGCATCGACGTACGAATTGGTTGCCACAGCGACAGTAACCGTTCCGTCGCTGGAGGTATAAGTAGCTGTGGTATAGATCGTGTGGACGGTGTTGGTGGATTCGCACGCAAAATACGAGGCGCCCCCCAGTTCGGGCCAGTTGAACGACTTGCACCCAGGCGACGCGGTCTCCGAGCAAAGCAAGACGTGTGGATCCGTAAATAACGAGATAAGAGAGGACTCCTGAATCTCGTTATAGTCGTAGCACGTGGTTCGGAATGAGCAATCATAAGAACCCGAGTTCGGACAGCAGCCGAGCAGCGCATTATAGTAGGAATCCGAGGTGTGCAAGGCACAGTGATAATCAGTATTACCACAGGTAAACGGTATGTCTGTTGTGTTACAAAAGTTAGAGCTGGACTTTGAAGATGCAGCCTTTTTCGACTAAGAGCACCATCGTACCTATGTCGTTGTCACGATAGCCACAGACAGTAGCCGATGCTGTGATTGTTCGAGTGTAGTCACGTTGGTTGATTTGATGTGCCTTGCCAACTGGCACACCGGCTGTGGGCAGTGCCGGAAACTGCTCATTCTCGCCGGCTGTAGCTAGGGGAGTCTGAAAAGCGATGGCATGGACGGATGATACAGCATATAGGGCTACTATCAGGGCCCGGAAGAACCCGTGTACTGGAGGGTTTGGCGAAACGGCCATTATGTACAATTGCACGACACGGCGTGACCCTATAGGGAAGGAGAAGAAAGGAAAAACCAGGGAGATTATTTATTTATACGAACTGCCCCCAAAGCCAAGACGACACGAGATCCAACTGCCCTAAGGGTCTGACCCCGCCCAACGCCAAGAAAATGGCGAAGCAGGTCGAAGGATTGAGCCGCATATCGTCCCGTGTCGAATGGTCTGGTCTAAGCCTGCTAAGGCCCAATCCTTCGGGCAATCCCCGACAGCCAAAGCCGAACAGCCTCGCTGCTCACTCTTTTTGAGCTGTCCATGATCATCTCCAGAAAATTGAATCAACACACTTTCCACCCCCGACCTCATTCTCCCATTATGCTTCTTGAGTTCAATATCACTGTCCACCAAGCATTCGAGACGGGCTACCCCCATGAACTAAAGTCCACGCAAGAGAAGTTATGGTACAGAAGATGACATCCCAGCTAACACTGCTTTGTGCGGGATGTTCATAGATCACACCCGGTAAGTCTCGAGCCACAGAGATATAAGATATGGCCTGGAAGCCCGCACCGCTGTCTTGCAGCATCACATACGTCCATTGAGCATGTAGAACAATGCAAGCCGCGATGATCCACTGGAAGAAAACGATGTATCTCCGAGTGGTTCGGTCTGCTTCGACTTGTCCCTGGACTTGAGGTTTGGTGTTGCCTGAGGAGCGGCTCGGGTGCAGCGTCGCAGGGATAAAAAGCAGTAAATGAGGAATCAGGAGGATCGGCATGAAATGTTTTGAATGCACAACAGATGGTACAAACACTGCGCCAAGAAGTGAGATCGCGACCGGCAAAACCTCTGCGTAGACAGGTGGGCACCAAGCAAATAATGCCTGGCCATCATCCTCATTGCTTTTCTTCCCCTTGCTCTGTTTGGACCACGAGGGCTGAGACACCAAAACAGTAGCAAACACTAAGATGGCAGCGAAAGAGATAGCCACCAGCTGGCCTAGAAGCATATAGGTCCAGATATGAGGAATACGATACCTCCGAGCTGACGATTCAATTTTCATTAGCCGCGATTGTTGTCCGGAAATTACCCCCCCTCCTCCCCCTTTTTTGTATAATTCAGTCTCATTTTGAATCTCACGTACCAAGAACTCCAAGGAGAACGCTCCATCCGGTGCACCACCAGAAGATCTGCCCGCTCCACCACAGGCGAGGCGATGTTTCGACCACGGTCGCCCAAGCCTCTTCAAAGAGCTTCGTCTTTTGCAGCCACAGTTCCAGCTTGACGAGAGATGGTAGCTCCACACCCGTATACTCGACCAGGTACCGGGTTTGTTCCCAATTGCGGTAAGAGTGGACGAAGAACGCGATCATGTGGAACCACGTCACTCCGAGACACAGGGGTGCGAGCACGGCGAATACGAAGAAGTGCCCCCGCCGGTGTGGACTACCCCAGTCATTGCTCTTCTGGCGCTCTTGGTAGCGTGAATAGATGACCCTGCACGCATTCAGCGCCAGACCTGCGCACAAGACAAGATAGCCGATCAAAATAGGGAGCGAGCGATAGGTCAGCTCGGCGGGCTGATTGGACGTGGTAGCAGGATCGTGGGCAGACATCTTTCCGTCGACCACTGACTCCACACACTTCCAGTCAAGCTTTTGGTCGTTTTGTCGCGGCGTTGTCCTCAGTATTTGGGGGACGAAGTTAATGGCCACTGAGATGAGGTGGTAACAAGAAATAAAAAAAGAGGGTTGTTAAGCTCGTCGCTCCCCGCCGGGTTTGCCAAGAGCCTCGGTTGTGGGGCTTCGAGGCAGTTGATGGCTCTGCTGATGCGGGAAGACAGAAGCAAAAACCAATAAAGGCGTCCGGACTTCGTTTTATTTCGTGACTCAGGAAAAGGCAAATCAAGATTGAGCCCCTTTGTTTAATATAATGTCTCGTTTGCCCTCGGTATACCGAATTCGGTCCGACTGAGGTACCTGTTGTCGATCCATATGAAGGACATAGTACGCAAGTTCCACCCGAGGCATGCATCAAGGTACAGGGACTGCGCCCTACAGGAGCATCACCAACGCAAAGTCCTATAGGTGAATCGATCACTCTACACAATGATGATAATCTACACATCCTACCTTTGACCCAAATTCCCCTACTGAAATATAGCAGACCAGGGTCTTGAAACTCTTTGATGACGTCGGTCTACTCCACATTCAAGAGCCCCATGGGGGCCGAAGTCAACAGAGTCCCTGTGGCGATGTCGGACCAGCTTCTTTGAAACTCATTGTCGTCCCTTGCAGAACACACCGAAGTCAATGCATATCAAGAGTTCAAAAGCTACGGCAGAGCGTAGTGCGCCGTCCAGCATATCAAGGCCGCAGCAAGCACCAGGTACTCACTAAAACATACACGCCGTGACCTGCCCGCAAAAGCGAGGATACAGAGCTACATCAAACCTGTAGACCCAAATGGACGGCGCAACTCGTCCTAGGGGTATAGAAGCCGTCACATCTGGGGGCACGTGAAGCAATCTTCACATAACCCTCCTGATCCCGATCTCAATCTCCCTCGCGCAACCATGGCGCCCAGCCAATTCCACATTACGGAAGAATCTTGGGGCAACCACTACCGCGTGGCGACGACCAACAGCGGCGGCTCGACACAACACTTCTTCGTCGAGAATTGGCCTTTCGATCCACACCGGCCTGACCTTGCAATCCACGCCGGGCCTGACCCGAGCAGCCCCGTGCTCGCGCTCTCCAAGTTCCGACGGTTCTCGGCAGATTGCGAAGTAGCAGTGCTGGCAGACGCCGGCGCGGAGCCGGAGTGGATGCGGCTGGCCAAGGAGGGGCTCATGTCGCCGAGATATGGGTTTGATGGTGACGGGGGGCAGTTTGTGTGGAAGAAGACGCGGTCAATGGGGAGCCATGCGACTCCGCTGGGGAACATGAAGTTGGTGGAGGCGCGGAATTTGGATGTGCGGGCGGTGTTCTCGTCAAATTCGTATACGCTAGTGACGGGGTCGCTGGAGATGTATGGTGAGTAAGGCGAGTGGTTTGACCGGATGGCGCTGCTGACGGGGATGTCGGTGCGCGAGAAGCAGCGGCGAGGGCAGAAGAGGGCTGTTCGACAGGGACGGAACTTTGTGCCGACGATGGGAGCAGCAGGGGCTGGGATGGGTGGTGGTGGTGCTTGTTGAATGGAGAGTTTTGGGAACGAGTGGAGAGAGACAGAGAATGAAGTGGAAATGGGTTTATATTATTATGGTTCACTATCGACAGGCCTGAATTCCAGGAATATCCACGTGGCCATTGGATAAGTCTAGAGAGCTTACAGAATGTCACACCGTTCAATCTAGCTCCCAGATCTCCCAACTGACCTCCAGCATTTATCCCTGCCGTGGGAGGAACACACATTCAACGCTGTCATAGACATCGCCAATGAAACTTTCATAATTGAGCCATGCGTTATCATCAGTGGCAGCTTGTATACCTGGTGTGTCAAAGTCCATCTCGCTCCATACATTGGGCCATGCTTCGAGTGTGAAAGGCGAGGGTGCGATGGGTAAAGTCGGATTGATTTGCTGGCCAGCAGCAGCAATGGTGGGGTTGTCCATCCCCAAGGAATAGCCGGTGGTTGTTTGAGAGGGGAATAATTCAGCAATAGGAACGGTCACAGGCGGAATAACGGCAGCAGGGGCAGTGATAATGTTCGGTTGCGTCAGTTGCTCCTGGGCAGCGTCTATGCAAACTGCACCCGAAGTCAGTGCACGGATGGCATCAGCAGGAGCCTGGCGACCCTCCAACTGTGCCTTATGGGCACGAGCTTGGTTCATGAGCTTTTGCAGCGGTTTCCAGAGCATGCCATGTTGAGAATCCGCAATCAAGAGACTTGAATGGTGGTACACTTGCTCGACGATGGGCCAGTGCTTGGATATGGCTTCTGGGTCCCGACAAACACAAAGCTCAGCCAGAGCGACGGCCAGGCCATGCCAAGGAACCCACATTGACCCGAACCATGACCATGAAACCATGGAAGGGTCACGGAATGAGATGATCTTTTGAAGGTTATCAGAAGCAAGCGAGAGCAGCACATCGTTCTGAACCACAGGTGGAGTGAAGCTACGGCTTCGTTGGATGGGCCGTGCACTGCCGAGCTGCAGCCAGCCATAGATGACTGAAGCCACTTGCTGGACATAGAGGTGGTAGGAAGAGAGATCGGGCTTGCATCCAGCCAATAGGCTATTCACGGTGCGTTCGAAGTCGCGCAGCATCTGCTGACGTGCACCCCATGTCTTCGCGGAGGGCTCAATGAAATCAGTGAATCCAATCGACCGGGCTACGGTTTGGGCCGAGGCGATGATCAATGTGTGGGTCATGTCAGTGAAAGCGCCCGCCGGGGGCTTTTGAAACGGCACGTCCATATTAAACCAGATATCTTCGTCATTAATGTTTGCGGGTAGATGCGAATCCAACCACGCGGACTGCATCATTGGCTCGGAGGCCCGATCTAGCGAGGCTGCTAGGTCAAGTACCCCGATAGCTTGCCAAGTGCGCCTTCGCAGTTGTTGTTCGAAAGGGCTCACACGGAATGGCGGGTCGGGCATATGAAGACATAACGCTTGACCTACTCTGAGAGCCATGGCCAGCATAGTCCATACACGTCGGCTTTGATCTTGGCATCGAGCCGCAAGCTAGTTATTGTCAGTTAGAATCTTATGTCGTAATCGAAAAACATGAAATGAATTAAGTCAACCCCGCCGCCACCATCTTGCTTTTCTTTAATGGGGAGCGGTTTTCCAAAGACGTACCAAGGAGAGTACATATGCTTGCAAGACTGTCAGTTCGTTGGTCGTAACGAACTCAGAATTCACCAAAGCAGCTTCAGTTTCCCTCTGCAGCTCGGCGGCTATCGTCTTTTTATCCGACCCGAATATCAATTGACATTGTGCATCGTCAATAGTACAAACAGCGGCGGAGTAGACCGCCAGCGCGAGTGTGTTTGGGGCGTGGTGATCTGGCTCATAGTCCAGGTAGGGTTTTCCATCACACAGGAAAGCGCGCAAGGATGGCCGATGTAAGATCTTGAAAATTGGGTCGACATTCTTCAGATAAATCTCGCACAGCTGACGGCGTGTTTGAAGGGGATAGCTGATTCCCTTGTAGGACTGTGGAGAGTTGGACACGCTTTCCGAGGTCTCTGAGCTGATAATGGAGGTACCAAAGCCCATGGGCTGTTTCAATTCCTCCTCTTCCTCATATTCCAATCGGTCATCGAGGACCGTTCGAAGATCTTGCGTCTAGCATGGGGATGTTAGTGCTTGGCTTTGTTTGGAAAACAAGACATGCCATAATCAAGTGATCCTAAGGCGCATAGAGGGCTAACCTGCTGCATGATGTCTTCCCAGAACGAACTACCCAGGTACGAAGTCGCGGGGCGTGGCCGATGGGTTAGGGTCAATGTAGTCCCTGCGCCGGGCTGCGCATGTTGGTCTCTCCACGTTTCGACATCAGCCATTTTGTTGTCGAGGCTACGTTCAGTATTCGCCTCTGCGGCATATGACGGTGGCTCTACCTGCGGCCTGGAATCCCGTTCGGCAGCGACTTGTTTCAATAGCTGTTCGAGCTTGGCAACTCGGTCGACCAATTCTTTGTCGCTACTGCCCGCCCGCTCGGGGGCCTTCCTGGTCCGCCCGCGCGGTAGACGAGCTCGCTCAACTGGGACGCATACAAAGCCCAGGCGCGTACAGCTGGTACAGGGGCTCTGTTTATCACATTTCACTTTGCGCTGGCGGCACGCCTCGCAACTCAGCCGAACCCGCGGGGCGGGGAATCGAGGTTGAATCGCAGGGGGCGCTTCAGTCAATCGATCAGACTCGATCGCGGGGTCCACCCGGTCCCCCATCTTGGCACATTCAACGGGCAAGGTCAAGATATGGAGATGTGGAAAACAGGGGGTCGGTGATGATGATGAGGGGTCTGGATGGAAGCGATGATAGGCGGAGCAGAATTCCCGTCAGGCTCAATGGGTACCTCCAGAACCCCACGAACAAGGGCTAGCTTTACTTGAAGAGAGAAGGGGTGACACCCCGCGAGTTTTGGAGAGAGAGAGAGAGAGAGCCTCGGGGTCACTCATGAAGTTGTTTAGGTAGTTTCTTCCCTCCTTCAGCCTCAAACTTATCACTAGTCTGGGTTGGGCTCGGCCCCGCCACAAGAAAAGCACGGCTTGGCCCCCACATGGGAAGGCTTGACTAAAAAGTAAGTCCTCGAGTAGTTCTAACGGAGTCGCTACGAAGGATACGAAACAATCAACTACACTATATCCAGATCCAAGCGTCATGCGCAGTGAGCCTCTGAGCCGTATTCATGGCAAACAATCGTATTTCATCTTCATCGTATTTGGAAACGCGCCATGATGGTGAACTACATCCCCCCCCGGGTTTGCTGCAGGGGGACCAGGATTGCATGTCGTACAGAGTTAGTTGCGTCCATCCTGGTTAGCCTAAAATTTTAAGTCCCCCCTTGGTCTTGCCCGGTTTCTTCACCCCGTCCTGCTTCACTTTGCCACCAGGCGGGCCTCCACGAGAACCGCCATTCTTCTTCTGGTTCTTGTTGCTCGAGACCGGGCGAACCTCGGTTTGCGCGCGTCGCAGGAGCACTGGGTGAGACCCGATATACTTGCCCTGCATCTCTCGAGCGGCTTTGAAGTAGTCATCACCATCGCTAAAACTGATGAACCCATACCCTTTACTTTTCTGGGTGCGCTTCTCTCGGATCACTCGTGCCTTCTGGACGGATGAATAGCGAGCGAAAGCCTTCAATAGTGAATCGTCGGTGACTTCGCCTGCGAGGTTACCCACGAAGAGCCGAAAATGGGCGGGATCCCATTCCAGGAGACTCGAATCGTTCCAGGTCTGTCCGCCGCCCGACCGCACCACGGTGGATTGCGGCTCTGGTTGGGGAACCGGGGTGCCCGTACCAGCCGGTCCAGTCGATGGGGTCACCACGCTTGGCCCTTCTCGCCCTGGTTTGCCCGATGACTCCTCGCTCGGAGTCGCATATGCGCTTTGCCACTGGGCAATCTGGGCTTCGGTGTCCGGGTCAAGGCCCGAGCTCGGTCCCGGCCGGGGGCCATACGCCTGGTTGGGTCCGAAGGGATTTTGAATCTGGGGGACAGTCGATCCATATGTATTTTCGGGATATTGGCCTCCCTGAGCTCCCTGGGTGCCGCGGGCTCCGTAGTAGGAAGGTCCGCTCTGGTAAGATTGTGGTTGTTGATAGTAATTGGTGTAAGTGTTGGCCGGGGTCGCATAGCCTGCTGCCGTGGTCGGTGGGGCAGAGACCACAGGGCTGTGGGTGCGATACGGCTGCGGCTGGGGTTGACTCGACGCTACGGAGCGTGGCTGGAAGGCCGTAAAGGCGCCGTAGGATGCGGGCCGCGCATTTCCCCCGCATTGGTGGACGGTGGGGGTCGCGGCGGAAGAGATGAAGGAGTCTGTTTTAGACCTGGAGGAGGGGGAAAGGACATGATGAACGGAGAGTCCGGCAGGAGGTTGGAGCTGTGGTGCAGAGTAGCAGCTGCAACGTACCTTCAGGGCCTGGTCAATGGGTCAGACGTCACACCTGAGGTCCTCACACCCTGCGCAAGTTTGGGCACGAGCAAGAATTCCCAGCACCAAGATGTGCCTGGAAAGAAAGGAGCCCTCGAAATTTCGATAGCGAATGAAGGTGGGGAGAGGCGCGGATAATTGGGTTGATGGGTACTTGCAGAAGGGACAGTCGAGATTCGCGATGCGCCTCCACCGCCCCAAGAAAATCGGATGGCTACGCGAATGGTACCTATGAACGGCCGGAGTATCGGGCGGTAGCCATTGTGGCAGCCATCAGTCATCAGTCACCAGTCCACTCCATCTCTAACTATCATGTGATCTGGATCCAGAACCTGCCCAGTGAGTCAGCATGATCAGTGGGTAGCTGACTCATCACGAGCACAGCTGTCAGGTGACTCGATCGTCGGGTGCCCCCACCCTAGTCCGGAAGCAGCCTAGCGCAGTCCCGGTGATGGTCGAGTCGGCAAGTGAAGAGGTTTCTCCGTCACCGTCTACGCCAGAACAGTTCACCGATACGTGGATATCCCGTGGGTTGGAAGGAAACATTTCCGGATCTTGACCTGCATCGTTACCGGTGTCTCTTCAGGGCGAACCCCCATTGTCTTGCCCCGAGGCCGAATTCGTCCTACACACGCCTCCGATGGAAACTACCTACCCCTCCATGCCCCGCGCGGCGCAGAACGGGGATCCCAAATGGGGCTCGTCTCTGATGTCTTGTAGAAATGGACTAGTAGAACCAATATGAATATATGGAATCCTGAATATCACAGACCTCAGAAGCCCGCTCGGGAATCAGCAACTATAAGAGGGGGGACTCCCAGGGAGAACGCGGTAATCGCGAGCTACGGCAGTCGGGTCGGATATTGCTTTTCCATCCAAGAGAAGCCGAGTGGGATGACCCTCTTTTCGGACGACTCTGCTCCTGGCCCGGAAGCCAGTCCTCCTAGACGCAGCCCTTTGGCTGTTCTCGGGCTCGACGGTTGCTGGGAGCAGCAGCAACGAGCATGTCCACTCATAGGCCAGCAGCTGCCGGACCGCCAAGTCGTCCCTCTCTTGCGTCCCACCATATGACGGAAGAGTTGCTCCGTCAGCCGGTTGGGGACCTCTGACATCTTCTCCTGCCACCCTTCATCTTCTCTCCTTCTCCTCCTTCTTCTGTAGATACCCCCCGCTACTCTCCAATCCTCCTCCCATCTCCAATTCACATTCATTATGGCTGACCAGGCTGTGTAAGTCCATTCTTCTCTCATCCTCCTTCCTCTCCCCTTCTCTAAACCCTCCGCCGGATCATGCACCGGCTGCCCCTCCCCCACCATTTCCTATTCACCCTAACCCGGTCTATCCCCCCTCTCTCCCCCTCCTCATCCTATTCGCGACCCTTCGTCGGAAACCCCTCGCGCGTGCAATCTCCTTCGCTGGTCATGTCTGATGCGTCCCGTCATTGGGTCAATTCCGATTGATTTCCCAAGCGCATGGCGCGGCTGGGCTAAAAGCACTCGCAAGGGCTTCCCTCGGAAACGCACGGGCTGTCCATCTCCTATTACCCTTCATCCTTTCTTTACGTTTACCCGGCTATTGACAAGAGAACCCGGTCGCTGACGATAGCGCCCGTCTCGCCGGCATCAATGTCGGCGCTCCGGTGCATCCTGCTCCCAGTGCTGATTTCGGCCTCATCGGTCTGGCCGTCATGGGCCAGAACCTAATCCTCAACGTTGCGGATCACGGTTTCACCGTCTGTGCCTACAACCGTACCACCTCCAAAGTGGACCGCTTCCTGAACAACGAGGCCAAGGGTAAGTTCCCCGAGAAAGAAACCCTTCAACAAAAGTAACGCGCACTCGAGATGGAATTGATCGAAACTAATGTATATCCATCACAGGCAAGACCATCGTCGGCGCTCACTCCATTGAAGAGTTCTGCTCCAAGCTCAAGCGCCCTCGCCGCATCATGCTGCTCGTCATGGCTGGCAAGCCCGTCGATGACTTCATCGAGTCCCTCCTGCCCTTCCTTGAGAAGGGTGATATCATCATTGACGGTGGTAACTCCCACTTCCCCGACAGCAACCGCCGCACTCAGTACCTCAAGCAGAAGGGCATCAGCTTTGTCGGCAGCGGTGTCTCCGGTGGTGAGGAGGGTGCTCGCTACGGCCCCTCCCTCATGCCCGGTGGTAACGAGGAGGCTTGGCCCCACATCAAGGACATCTTCCAGAGCATCGCCGCCAAGAGCGACGGTGAGGCCTGCTGTGACTGGGTCGGTGACGAGGGTGCCGGTCACTACGTCAAGATGGTCCACAACGGTATCGAGTACGGTGATATGCAGCTGATTTGCGAGGTAAGTTCCCTTTTGTGCGCATTGGCTTGATTTTCCTGGGAAATTCAAGTCCCCAGACTCTCTGATATTCTAATTGGTTTCTCCATCAGGCCTACGACATTATGAAGCGCGGCCTCGGCATGACCTGCAAGGAGATTGGTGATGTTTTCGCCAAGTGGAACACCGGTGTTCTGGACTCCTTCCTCATTGAAATCACCCGCGATGTTCTCTACTACAACGACAACGACGGCACTCCTCTCGTCGAGAAGATCCTTGACAAGGCTGGCCAGAAGGGTACCGGCAAGTGGACCGCCATCAACGCCCTGGACCTGGGCATGCCTGTCACTCTGATCGGTGAGGCTGTCTTCGCCCGCTGCCTGTCTGCTCTGAAGGACGAGCGTGGCCGTGCCGCCACCATCCTGGAGGGCCCCACTCCCAAGTTCGAGGGCGACCGCGCCGCCTTCATTGATGATCTCGAGCAGGCTCTGTATGCCTCCAAGATCATCTCCTATGCCCAGGGCTTCATGCTCATCCAGAACGCCGCCAAGGAGTACAACTGGAAGCTGAACAAGCCCTCCATTGCCCTGATGTGGCGTGGTGGCTGCATCATCCGCTCTGTCTTCCTGAAGGATATCACCAACGCCTACCGTAACAACCCCGAGCTCGAGAACCTGCTGTTCGACGATTTCTTCACCAAGGCCATCCACAACGCCCAGAGCGGCTGGCGCAACGTTGTCAGCAAGTCTGCTCTGTGGGGTATCCCTCTTCCCGCCTTCAGCACCGCCCTCAGCTTCTACGACGGCTACCGCACCAAGGACCTGCCCGCCAACCTGCTGCAGGCCCAGCGTGACTACTTCGGTGCCCACACCTTCCGCATCAAGCCCGAGTTCGCCAACGAGACCTTCCCTGAGGGCAAGGACATCCACGTCAACTGGACCGGCCGTGGTGGCGATGTGTCGGCCTCGACTTACATCGCATAAGCGCCAGGCCAGTGTCGGTAGAAGGGTAAAAAATTGGGTTCAATGTATCTAGATGTCTCCACGAATGGAATGGAACGTAACGAATTATTTTCTATCTTCTTTTTTCAAGTAGCAGAGTATCAATGCATCGTAGAACCCCCCCACCCCCCCTCTGCCCCAAAACACATTGATAGTATCATTTACACCGTGGAAAACCTGCGTTTGAGATACGACAAGACTAGTAGAATTGCTCTTATAGTTTAAAAACAAACTTAGTTCGTACTCTCGCTATTTCTATAACTCTGTTCTTCGTCCAAAGCTTGAAGAACATGCTGTTGCTAATGCTGCATATGCCAAAGAACGAGGTGAAATGGATGGCTCCAACTAAATGTGGGGCGCTCGCAATATTTTAAACTCCCGTTTTGTCTTTCCAATATATCAATGATCGAAAATTCCACTAACTAGACATTTGTCAATTTTCAAAATTATTAAACTTGGTTTGTATTTTTTTTTCTAACTTGTAGATGGAGTTGCAAGGCTGTTTCGAAGAAGTGCCGAAGTCCACATCAATCTTGCTTGAGGTCAATGCTGATATTGAAGCAAATTATCCTCATTGAACTTCTCCACTTTCATCTTTTTCATATGTAGCTAAGGACACCAGCCAGTGGCAAAATGCTGCCAGATACGAATGCAAGTGTTGACAGCGAGAATAAGTTTGGCAATTCCCTTCCTGTGCAGCAGCAAATAGGCATGGTGCAGCCATGAACCTGCTGCTGGAGCCAAAGTCCGATAATTTGTCCAGGAAGATCTGGGGGCTCATATCCATTATTATCTAAACCAATAACCGGGCACAAAGCTGTGGTGAATGCGTTACTAAATAAGGATGTCTTTGTCAGCCCTGTGGATGATAGTAGCACAATACCGCTGATAACAGCAGCCAAAGGCAAGATGAAGAAGTGGTAAATATGTTGCTAGATAAATGTGCCAGCCCTGAGTCGGTGATTTTTGATACAAGAACCCACTCTCAAAATCAGCCAGGAATGGGCATCACGCGGTGGTCAATTTGCTGCTGGATTACAATGCCAATATTGAATCTTAGAATCGGCATGACCAGTTCCCACTCTCGGTGGGACTGTTATGGGTCATGAATTAACAATGAATCTGCCCCTAGATCAAAATCTTCATGTTACATCTGGGGATATCAAAGGTAGAATCCCATTCATGCGGGCATTTCAATGGGTGACATGGAGAGATGCCCTGCAGACCTTCTGTTGAGTGATAATCCGGAGACAGGGCGCAGCTGATAGACTGCCTACAGGGTATGAGTGCTGATTCAAAATTCCAGATAAGGGCGTAGACTTTGCCATGGTAACTATCTTGATTATGATGGTGAAGATGACTCCGGGGATAATTCTCGGGATGATTCCATAAGGGCAACGAGAGATGGCCCTGTAGATAACTACAAGATTCATTCTTTCTGGGCGCGCTTGGCAGAACTGCGTTTTATGATCTATGTTCTTCGTTTGCTTGCAAGGATGGAGGATGCATTTCTTCTGGTGCCTAGCTTTATACCCAGGATTTTATAGATCGGATCTTGAATATTATTGATGCCCCAGGCATTCATGAGGTAATCGAACAACGCTAAACCCCATTGGGTGCAATCGAGCAACGTCGCTCCTGCCATCTTATCGCACCTCCCCTCTCCTTCCGTCAACATTCTTGGGGACGTGGTGCTTCTCGGTTCTGTCTTTTCCTTCTTCCTCCGCCCTCCCCTCCCCCCCCACTTCTTTCTTCGCTACGACTTCCCCGAAAACCGAGGAATTGGGGACGCCTCCTTCCCGCCGCGGACAGTTAGGACCACGTTCCTATATACTGCATCCCCAGTGAACACTCCAAGTGGATCGGGCCGCGACCAATTGACCTTCTGCCTCCTTCCAATGTCCTGAGGTACCTACTCGGACTCAATCAGCATAAACGGCAGACTCGGCTCTCTTCCCCCACAAGGTTTCGGGCCTGCTTGTGGACGTGTGAAGCACACCGCCTCGGAGGTTGTCACACGCCGCATGGCGGAGAATAAGCGCCAGAGTTCGGGCGCAAAGGGATCCCAGGGTTCATCTGGTAGTGCGACAGGAGCAAGTATGGCGACGAGTATGGTTCCTTTGGAGGCTGCGCTGAGCAGCGCGATCGGTTCTCGGTGAGTTGAACCCCTCCATTGACTTCCAAAAATAAACTACCCTATTAGGGACCCGCAGTAGAGGAGACTGAGTCGCTAATGACTGATATTCTGGTTCTGGTTCTAGTGTTCGCATCACCACCGCCGCGCCCAATGCGTCTACCTTTGAAGGCTTGCTGTTCACTGCATGCCCCATCACCAACCTTGTCGCTATCAACACCTCACCTACGCCTCCCTCGGGGGATTCGAAGCAGGCTCAGAGCGGAGACTACGAGGTGGTTCCAGTGTCGCGCATCCAGTCCTTCCAACTAATCACCCTCCCGTCATCCAATTCTTCTGAGTCGCCCTCTTTCACCGATGCACAGCCTGCGATTCAGGCACTCGATACCCGGGCCCTGAAGGCACGTGAGGCCAAGGCGATTGGCGAGGCTCTTGACCGCGAGGCGCGTCGTGGCAAGGGCGTTACCCGTGAGGCTCAGGACATCTTCGACGCCTTCAGTCGGACCATGCCTGCCCATTGGAATGGGCAAAATATTGTGGTCGCGGATGCGGTGACCATTGCCCCTCCCTACCGCGTTGACGATTGTCGCCCCTTGGTTGAGGGTGACACCGCTGCGCTTGCTCGGGTCCGCAAGGTGGTAAGTTGTCAGCCCGGTATGAATTGTTGCAAGCTGTCTTCTGACTAATGATTTCGGATGCAGCTCGAAATGGAGCGAAAGAAGATCGAGCTTCGCAACGCCAGTGCTACGATCGGATCGACAAGTACGTTCTCTCGTAACGCGGGTGATCAGCGCAAGGGTGGATAAGCAACTTTCTTTGGCACTTTTCGCATTCCGGATAGAGAGACTCCGCGATGTGGTGCAGCAGTGTTTGGTCGGGTCTCTCACGCAATTCCAGGCGATGCGGCATGTGACTGCCATGAGACGTTCGATGTACACTTGATGGAGATACCCCTCGAGTGATGGGACGTGTAGGTTGCGCAGATGGACCAACATAGTGAATTGATGCCTCCCTGGATGCCGGTTGTCCTAGTGCTCGGGACATTCGAGCCGGGTGGTGTCGGTGGATTCCGGGAATGGATCCTAATGGATCAAAATTCTTCTTAAATGGTTACGATGGCTTTTCATGGCTGTCCGGTGGACTTCTTCCTAACTTAACTGCATGAGCAGCGATGCATGCAGTTGGTGTTGTGGATTCAGATAGACTGGATTCCATGACGCCAGGATAAGGCTGGCTTCTTTTTCGGCGTAGTGCTGTCCTCTGTAGAGGATTTTACAGAATAGCAAAACAAGCCAATTGCTTTGAACCCATTTCATGATAATCCCATGCACTCGACACTCCGGGCTCCGTTTGTATGTATCACTGGTAGATCATATTTGAGGCATGTACAATGTATAACTGCAGAGAACACCTGCCTTTTGCCAGAACTTTCCATTTCCTCATCTGGGGTTAATGCAAGGAAATTGTAATTAAGTTATAATTTGTCTCATCGGAATGATATAAATATATATTCATGAAAGGAATGGCATGTGGAAAGTGCAGGAACATCAGTAAATGTAGATCGTCAATTATCGTAACGTCTATATCTAGATGCACAAAAAACAGACTGTTATAAACATGCTCCGGGGGAAAGAATCAAAAAACAAAAAAAAAAAAACAATTCTCGCCAATGCAATATATGTCAACAAGCTAAAATTTCATTCACATCTCCGCCTTTTCAAGTCTCGCTCTTGCTCCCACCAACCATCCCAGGAATGACCTCGCATACCCTTCCCACAAACCCCTCCAACCCAGACATCGATACCGGCCCGAATGCAGGATCAGCAGAGACATCAGCATTTCCGGATGCAGGCGCCACGGCAACCCCAGACGAGCCTGTTATCGATATACCCGGCATAACAAGTACCTGAGACCCTAACTCGACCCACTCCACGGATGTCGCGAGAGCAAACGTGATTTTCACATCTTCTTTGAGCGACTCTGCAGTCGAATCCGTTGCAGAAAGCCCCGGTCTGAGAGATGTATTCAACCCATTAAAAGATCGTTCACACTCAGGTGAACCTTGGACGTCGCCGTCGAAGCTGAAAAATTCCGGCTCTGTCGGTGAAGGTGATGGTGACGGAGACGCGGGTTCGTCGTCTGTATCTGCGAGCGTCATGCACACTACTCGGACCGTTGTCCGGATGTTCGCGATGTAGGCAATGGCATTGCTCCCGAGTAAGAGGGGAGGTGAGTTCGGCGCCGAGAACTCCGAGGCCGAGAATGTGGCCGTGAAACCGTTGTGGAAAGGCAAAGAAAGTGTTGATGACAGTGAAGTTGTTGGTTCCAGTGATGTGTGCAGGTCTGTCAAGACCATGCCCTTTCGAACACGATTGAAACGAGGGAGTCGGCTCTTGTCGGGAGAGACAATGAGCTGGATTCCGATTGTGCCCACTTGGTCTCGTTTCAGGCGGCGGACTGGGAGTCGGAGATTGCGAACGCTGACGACACGGACACGCTGCCATTTCGCTTGAGTCGAGGTCGCGTCTTTCCCTGATAGAATGCCTTGCAGAAAGGACGCCGGGAACTCGTGTGAGGGTCCTGGCCCGCTGCTACGAGAGAGCAGGCTCAACGGAGCCGGGTCGTTACCGCTGTCAGTGGAGGTGTCCACTAGAATTGGCCCAATTGCCAATTCATCCCCAATGGCAATGTTGCCGTGACGAACAAGGCCGCACAGAACCATGCCACGTCTCTCGCGGCTCTCCTTGTCATCTGACATAGAGTATACTTTGGACGGTGGAATAGCGAAGACCTCGTCCACATTGAAAACATTCGCCGGGATATGATCGCTCTGATTGATGGATTTCGGGATCTTCAGATCCATTTGGGGTAGGCGCGGAGGAATGGGCAAGTATCGCAAAAAGCCATGTAGCTTGCCGATGCCCGTTCCATCGACAGCACTAGAGAGAATAATGGGAACTGCATGAGACAATTTCCCCTGGGCGGCCGTGATGACGGTTTGTACTTCAGTGCCATCAGAGGCACTTATTTGTTGAAGATCAAGCGACTTGTCCCCTGTCGCAGGCAGCATTGCAGGTGTGCGGCCAGCTGCCTTGAGTGCCGACAGGACTTTCGCAAGATTCTCTCGCAATCCTCCTCGCGAAGCCACATCAAGTTTAGTAATGGTGATCAGAACCGGCACTTCCAGTTTCAGGCAAAGGTCCAGATACGCCAAACAAAGATCGATTTCAGCAGGATGCTCAGCACCTACTTCGGCCTCTGACATCTCATCGCCACAATTGGCGGGAATGCAAAGCAAAACATAATGTGGAGCCCAACTAATGAGGCCTCGGAGGGTAGATTTCAGATATCGAACAGAGCCTGGGAGATCCGACACGAAGGCCAAGCGACCCCCACGCGACGTGGCATGAATATCATCCCATGCCGCCACATTTCCAGAGGCATAGTTGACGACTGTGGGAGGCAGATCAGCAGTATAGCCAATCAGTTCTTGTGCGACAGAGCTGGTGATCCCGGACGAAATCTCGTGTCGATGTTTAAGAAGGCTCAGTCTGCTCTTGCCTCGGCCGTTATCAAGCGATGAAGAAGTCAGAGCGCCCAGCAAAGAGGATTTTCCAGCAGTACTTGGACCGGTAATTGAGATTCGTATTTGCTCTGTTTGAGACGAATCTTCTTCTGATTCGGGACCGTTGCCTATGTCTTCCTGTGAGTCGTCACCGACACTCTGCTTGGTTCGGGATGGCGAAAGATTATAGTAATCCAAGTCTGGAGATACCAGAGCCTCTGCGACCCACAGACTTTCAGATTGGCATTTGCTTTGGTCTGGCTGTGCTGGTACGGTGAAGTTCTCGGTCCATTCGCATTTGCCAACTATGACCCGACGAAGAATCTCAACTTTGCACCCCAAACTCGCGGCCATAGCCTGGAGATTGGTGACACTTTCATCGAGTTCATCTTGGGTGAGTCCTACAAATGTACCATCGTCAGACACGCCAATTTCGTACAGGGCGCCTTGACTTTCTTCCAGGCCAGGGAGCAGCCGTACGGGTTTCGGAGGCACACCCAATTGAGGGGCTGTATCGGGAAGCACAGGGACAACTAGACTCGCCGTCGTTGAGGAATGAAATGGTGATGACTGCTGCAAGCGCCACAGCAGTTGCGTAGTCAGTCCTTGCAGCCGTTGCTGGCGGCTCTGCAAGGATTTCGCCTGCATCGGCTTCGGGGTTGCGTCCTGGGGATTCGTTGGCGAGTACGATGCCGAAGTCATGCCTGCACGGGAGTGATACGACCCAGCGACTACATGGCCAGTTGACATGGAAAGATAAGGGCGGCGCGGGCGAAGTAGCAGGTGCACCTTGTACTCTGTCGGCCCCTCCTGGGGCTCCGGCTCGAGCTTGGTAATGCCATAGTCGGACAAGAAGTCTGGGTCAGCACGATCAGCACGATCAAGAGCTGAGTTCGGGTGCATCCGATTCACCAGGCCACTCTTGCCACTCGGGGTAATTTGAGGAGTCGAGGATCCCGAGGTTGACCACGGAGACGAAACCCGTGGCGGGTCCGGGTCATAGGTAAAGATAGATGCCATAGTCGCGGCTAACAAATAATTTTTACACAATTCACACCGATATTAGAGGTATTCGGTAGGACGAAGATTTCCAGCTCAAACGTAAAGCAAGAGAAACGAACGCAGGCATTCTTGCACCGAGCAGGTTGCGATAGTTGACTATGCTGTATTCGGGGATTCGCGTGGACTTGAGTCACAAGTCTCGGGCGCGCCTGAGGCATCACGTGGGAGTCACCCCACGTGGGAAACCAGAAACCCTATATGAACAGAATAATAGAAGGATTGAATAGCAGGATTCAGCGATTATTCTCCGCATGTCGCTAGAGAATGCTCTATTTATAGAAGAGGAAAAGGAAAAGGGAACGACCAGGGAGTATACAAAGAAAACGGAGAAAGAAAACACACTAAACACCCGGATATCCTCCTTATATGCACCAGAACCCTTTTCATTCCACAGATGACTCTCGACCTGTGCCTTTGCATTTCCCCTGTGCAACGTGAATATTGCGCGCTGTCGTCCGAGTAAACACCGCTCCACATATAGGGCACTCTGCCTTGGCAACCACTCCAGATTTCTCCCGCTGGTGTCTCAATAGGTTACTGAATGTGGAGAACTCGCGTCCGTTGCATCCGTGGTCCCAGCACTGGGGTCGTGGTCGTGAACTAATTACGCGCGATGGACCTTCTGTGTGAGATACTGAGTCTGGTTGGGGAAATACAGGTTCAGTGACCATTGAAGGGGCAGGGGAGCTGAGGGAGGATGGATGAGAAGATCTGCAGTTCATGTCAATGATGGATTTTTGCGAGCTGTAAAATCGTCCTGTAAACTCACGGAATAGGAGGTGCTTCTGGAAGATAATATGCTGGCGGGTTCATCATGTAAGGTGAGCTACAAGGCACTAGTATTAGCTACTTTTGCTTCGAAGCTGGTCTATTATTTCACAGGAGTAGGGAATACTCACGAATTCATAAGAGGCTGCTCAGGGAGAGCACCAGGGCCAGATTGTGGGTGATAGTTACGGCCTATTGGTGGACTAAGATGCAAGTGCTGAGTTAGAAATCCGTATTAACGCATCTTCTGGATTCAGGGTCCTTGCATACATACCTGCGAGATACATTATGGCGTGGAGCGCTTCCAGGCGCTCCAGGTAAGTATGATGGCGTGACCGATGACTCATGGTTATAGCTGGGTAGTGGCCCACCATGCTGGCCGTTGTATCCAACGGGATACCCTGAAGACGGGTATGAGTGTGAGGGTGAAAACTGCTGGTTCAAATGACCCGACGGGGGTTGCAGTGGTTGAAAGGGGCGGTTCGCCCAAGTATACGCTTCTTGCTGTTAGCAGAGCATTTCATCATTATACAGTGCGAGCATCTTTACATTGAGAGTTTGGCTGCATCGGGCCAGCGAAGTATGCGCCTGATGCTACTGACATAGGGTATGATGTGATATCAAGGCTGGGGAGCTTCGGTTAGCGCTACGGCCAATTTACTGGGTGTTTCAAAGGACGAAGGGTTAACTAGGTACTTACTCGACTTGTTCTCTTGTCAACTGTTCCTTACAATTGACACCGTCAAAAGGTGATTCAGTATCGTGTCCCGGAAGTGGCAAGTCCGGATTCACAATAGAACCGGAAGGAGTGGCGCGTCGACTTAATGAAATAGAAGAGGAACTATTGGGGTGAAGAGAGTCTGGAAAAGTTGTTTCAGACTGGGGCTCGTTTTGCAGACTTAACACAGGACTCGGAAGGGACCCAGAAGATGTTGAAAATGGAAAGATTTCCTGCCGAAAATATGATTCCTGTACAGACTCGATCTCTGAAGGTAGGCACTCAAGGTCGGGGAAAGAGGCTGGACCTTTGGATGGATCGGCGTAATTCCTGGGGTGAGAAGAAGGATACTGTGAGCTTCTTTTCCTGGGAGACATCTCCAATTTGACTTCTAGGTCAAATGGACCTAGCGTCGGACTACACTAGGATAGTGGAAGGGGGCCGGAGGGGCCAGTGATCATAGGGGGAGGGGCGGCAATAGTGAAAAAACGTGAACGGGCAAACATACAGAGAATAGCCTTCTCGAAGCAAGGATCCAACATTAACAGAAGAGGGGGTTGATTTCCAGGAAATAGCATTCGAACTACGCGACGGGCGCAACGAAGTTTTTTTTAAAACGACTGTTCAAACCGGATGAGCAGGGCGTTACCCAGATTCAAGCCCCCGCAATCATGGATCGAAAGACCGGCGTACCCAACGCTGGTAATGGCCCACTGGAAGGCCAGCAAGGCGAGCTTCTAGAACTTCGCTGCCAATGGGGTTAAGGCGGTTTGCGGGCAACTCAGAAGTAGGCGAGTTAGTCGTCTGAAACGCACTTGTGTTGGTCACGGTCATTTACCCTTTCAATCGCAGTGTCTTTACTACAAAGGATATGCTGTAACCATTACCTATCTCATTCGACTTGAATAACTAAGGGAACAACGTAAGATCTTATGACCTTCTTCAATGAGTGGGCCAAACAGTAGAACTAACACACGAAGGAAAAGGCAGTCTGACGGGGTTTTGTGCTGGACCCCCACAACTGACACCAAAATGTCCGTTCCTAAGTCGAAGCCTATTTTGGGGCATTCGCTCGTACCAGGGGAATTCGGTCTGGGGGGCAGGACGTATTGATCCTGAACGGCATAGATGAGCTTTCGGGTCTGGGCAGAGTGGGCTTTTAGCCCCATAGAGCAAATGGGGCAGACCGGACGATTGGGGGCCATGACGCCGGCGTCGCTGGGTGGCTGGCAAGCAGTTCAGTAAATTCCGTTAAGACCTAGTCCCCATCACTTCGCGCCGGGATGTGATACGGCCGCTAAAGAAAATAATATTAATTAATCAACATTAGGAAAAGGAAAAAAGTCTGACGGGGGATGTTTCCGGCCCTAGACCTCTTTGCTTTGATTTGCTTTTTTGGCTTCTGTTTCGGCCCCCACAAACGAACCGTTGGAAAAAAAGATGTCCAGATCATCAGGTCGTATATTTGGTGTACGGATCCAGGAGAAGCCTGGGAGATTCTTTGAAATCTAATAAGAGAGACATGGAGAATATGCTTGTGAACAACGTTCTCTGGAATCAGAATCCCCCTGTAGGGACTTGATGATCCTCAAGGTATAAATTTCCATACTCAATAAACGTACATGAACAAATGACGGTGAACGATGAGATTATTACCCTAAATGATTTTCATGCCAGGATTCCGAATGTAGAATACCGAGAATGGTCATTGAACAGGGATTGCAGCTTTAACATCCTGGGGAGGAAAGCCACAAATCGGTTTTTCTTTCCGGTATATTGGGCCGCCTGTGTTGTTGCGACGACCCGTCGGACGCTAAAGTGGAGCCGACATGGTAAGGGTCAACCGACGACCGTGCTGAGTGCGAGTCAAGGGCTTAACGAGAAAGCCATTCTTAGGGTTCATGATTCTCAAAAATGAATAATAATAGAGAGGGGGAGGGAGGTATGCCGCACCGCACAACCATAGAAAGAGATCCGACATCGCGGCGCCTCCGAGACTCCTTCGCGAGTCACCGGATCGACAAATCTCCACACTCAGGGCGTCCCGGGATCCGCAATCATTTCGGCCATATGCCATGTGTCTCTGCATTTGGGTGCATTGCAAATCTTACCCTCTCAAGGCTCCATGGAATCTAATTGGATCGCTCGTGAACGGTTCTTCCCGACTCATGCAAAGTCAATCGGACCGCGCACGGTTAGCTCACGCTGACTTTGTCTCTCCACTGAGCCTTGTGTCTTTTAAGAAAGCCACGCCATATCAAGCCCACAAGAATGAGACTTTATTGGGCTTCCATCGGGCTTCCGGCTTTTGAAGGGCCTTGCTTATCTCACTATGAAGACCTTAGTCAAGCTGATGCACGTCCTAACTTTTAAGGACTTACAAAGTAGGAAAGGCACTCTAAGCTCGTACAAGGATGGTAGATTTCTAGTGGTTGTGCTGAGCCCATAAACCTGGAAAGCGTCGTGATTGGAGGCCCAAGGGCTCTGGACGCAATGATGCGTCAGTAGGGACGGGCCAGCCTAGATGACCATTCATTCATTCGCCTGAAATCACCTAGTGGGGCAGAGACTACAGCAGGACTGTTGGTGCTCTGACTTCACTTTTTCTGCGTCACTCAAGGCAGAGGTGTACTTAATAAATCCGACTCAACTCGTCTAACCGAGCAGCTGTCCGTACATATATATTCTAGTGGAGCATTCTGGGCCCAGAAAGCTACCGACAGCATTTCTATGAGACCATATAGATTTGTTAGTAGCAAGATAAAAGAGGTGGTCAGCTACCGAATATCTCCGATGATGTCTTGCGTGGCCCCTTGGTTTCCCTTATAGAACATCTTGGCTAGAAATATATTATTGTGCCGGGTCTTAGTCAATACCTGGAGTATAACTAATGGAGAACCAATTATTAATGACCAATGATAACAGACACTAATATTGCCAATATTAGCAATTGGAATCTTTACAGTCATTAACAGCGCAAATGGTAGATGTCAAAAGAGTGCAACGAGAGCGTCTCCTGAGGCTTGTGCTTGATGGCCTTGTTTCAGCAAGATCACGTGCTAGAAATTACATCGTCGGATCACATGACCTATGTCAACTCTGCACTGTAATCCGACAGCATCATCATCCGCGTCTGCCCACGGACTTCCCCCCACCAAACCTGGCCACGATTGGATCTGAACCCGACAATTCCGCATAATTTCGCACCTAAAGTGGAATCGCCCATCATGAAGCTTGTCCGGTAAGCATCGCCCCAAAGTTGTGCGGCCAGCAGCCAGCAGCGACACGCGCCATCAAGGAACGAGAAATGTCTTTTTAGAGCTACCAACTGACTTATTCATCAGGTTTTTAATGAAATGCGCCAACGAGACAGTGACCATTGAGCTCAAAAATGGTAAGTATAGCTGATCAAGCTCCTTTCGTCCCCCCTTTCACCGCCAAACTGCCTGGTCTCCGGATGCGCCCAACAATACCGGATCCAACATTGAGCCTGACACTAATTGTTCACTTCACAGGCACAATTCTCCATGGAACTATCACCTCTGTCTCTCCGCAGATGAACACCTCTCTCCGAACCGTCAAGATGACCCCCAAGGGCCGTGACCCCATTTCGCTCGATACCATTAATATTCGTGGCTCCACCATCCGCTATTACATCCTGCCGGACAGCTTGCCGCTGGATACTCTTCTTGTCGACGACGCCCCCAAGCCAAAGAACAAAGCCCGCAAGGAGGCGGATCGTGGGCGGGGTGGCCGTGGTGGCCCCCGGGGTCGTGGTCGTGGTGGCCGTGGTGGCCGTGGGCGGGGCCGTGGATTCTAAACTTCTTTTTTCTCCCTTTCTTTCTGAGAGTACAGACTGGCGTTTTTATCTGTCTTCCGAAATATCTGGTTTCTTTTTCACTTTGCATGATCATGGGATCTCTCAAATACCGTTACCCTGGGGCTCTTTCATATTTTGGAAGGTGAAAGAAAAGCAATGTCCATTTTTTTCTCTTCTTCGATTTCCTGGTTATCTCCGTGTCTTGTCTTTCCTTGATCTAGTCTGGCGTAGGCGAGATTTGTAACAGCTTTATGCCAGATCTCTGTTGAAACATCGCGCCAAATAGATTGCCTAGATCTGAAGGACCAGCAAATCATGCTTGTTCGTGATTCTCAGTTCTTCAGATGGATAGAACGGATGGCTTTTGGATAGCAGATCCATAAATACCGTAGTCATAATTCCATATTTTCCAGTCAAGTATCGATGAGACTACTCGGCACCGGTCCAACCAGTTACTTCTAAACTTGGAACCATTGATGTGGCTAGAGCACGTGATGGCAAGCATACGGTGTGCATCTTGCCCTAATTAGCCTTCCTAATTAGCAGTCCAGGTATGCTAACGGCCTGAGAGGGGTTACCAAATGTTTGCGATGGAGACCCTCGATCACGGAGCATGCATATGTTGGAGTTGCAAGATTTGGACCCCTGCATTATGCCGCCACGTGTGACCGGTGCTGGGGGCAGATCAAACACCGATGTTGTTGACTGTACGGGATCGACGCCGGCTTCTCCGAGAACCCTATGAGAATGGTCTCGAAAACGCGAACGCCGAGTGCTGCCCCCTCCCTGCTGTTTCTATTCTGCATTTGTTCACACGGAGTAACCTAGACCAATACCGAAGGGGTCACACAGCCACTCCCAGCCAACTTCAGTCTTCCTTGAATGTCCCATCAACCAGTTAAACAATCGACCCTACTCGCCCCGGGGGCTTCAAGAGTTGCCCTATGGGACACATCCCTGTAACCGCCCACCCTGCCTATTGGATGTAGGCTTGCGAGGCGCTTTGGCGAAAGCGAATTCTTTACGTACTTTCGGCTAACTGCGTGGTTGTCCAGCTCCTTTTACCCTAACGGTAAATATTAGTTGCCTTTTCGACGATCTGCTTTCCGATCCTGGGGTTGGACCCGGCCCCTCTTGGTATCGACCCGCCTGCGGTGATCCCGGCGGGTATGAGATAATGCACTGATAAAACTCGAATCGAGATATAAGCACGTACTTTGATTTTGCAGGCATAAAGCTACCATGGAAGAGATTATCGACTACCCTTACGTCTATATTAAATGCTTATCTTCCCGCTAGTCTCTTCGTTTCACTGAACAAGATTTTCTACTCCCTCAATATGGTGGAGACCTGTGCTACCGACCTTCCGTCGATGTAGATCGAACGACCCCAAATTATACTAATACTATTCTGGAGAAAAGAGCGTCCCTGCTTAATTGGTACGATTGTGGACTGCAGAGAATTGAAGAATCCACTTGCCACCGTTTCCTCGGAGGGCCGGCGTCTTCATAGTCCCAAGGCCCCGGGGGCCACAACCAACTAACCAGCCAACTAACCAACACGCTCGCTAGCTCAATAATGCGTCTCACACATGTTGCCTTATCCACGAAACGGGTATATTTTTGAGATCCAACGCTCCATTTAATAAGTCTAATTCAATGTTTCTTATTATCCTTGTCAAATCTGGTCGTGCCGGGATGGGGGCCCGCTTAATTCCCCAACGCCCCAAGCCGAGATCGACCTCGCACTCGCATCCTGAAAAGAGCAAGGCTTGACAGTCGCTAGCGAATCCTGGTCTTATTCGGGGTCCATGCATCGTTGGGTGTGTTCTTGGCACAGGTGTTGTATTAATTACAATTACCGAAGACCGCCATTCGGAGCAATCGACCGTCGATTTTGCAGGCCCACACCGAGACGAGCGCTGGAGAACGCTGGATTTCATGGGATATCATGATGAAAATTGCAGTCATTTGCGATGCAATTTTTTATGCCTTCATTCAAAAGCTCGATATTCTCCCTTTTATTGATATTTTGACAAAAACAACGGGGAGGGCGGAGAACAGTGATGACCTTGGCCCAAGGCAACAAGGTGGATACGAGCCGTAGCCCTTCACTATTCTTCCCTTCAGATATGAATAGTTCGCCCTTCTGGCATTTTGACAGAAATAGTTTCACGACATATGTACCTTCAATCTTTGCTTTACGCAAAGAAAAACCGGATCAATAAGCGTTCGGGAGCCTACCACTTCCAGCTAGCAAGTCCGAGAGCCTTTAGATACCCCAGTTAGGTCTCTGAAGATCATATTCCTGGTCAAGTTTTCTATTTCCATTTCAATTTGGACACGTCTACTTGGCATACGCCCCAAATAATATAAGGCCGAATCGAGGAGCAGGTTTCAAAGGGTTTCATACTCGGTTGCTGCTGACGCACGTGTCGATCGCAGTTTGCAAAAACCTCCTGTGAGCCGGTCCTCATAGGCCACTTCATTCCATCATTCTCAGCTTCTTCTCCAAGCTCTGAAAGTCATTGGCGCGAGTCAAAACGAGCCATTTAAATTCCTTTGTGCGCCTGTGCTGACAGGGGTTGGTACCGAACAAGATTGATCACGGCACTTGGCCAAATAACCATGTTGTTCCAACGAACGAAGTCTAATGGACCGCTGTAGATTGATCTTCAAACCTTGGGAAGACCCAGAAGATCCGTTTCCCGGGTGCCTAGCGTAATACTATGCACGCGAGGAGGATGATGTCGCGCGAGTCATGACCGGCAGAATTGGAATGGTTTAGACAGAGGGCTCGGGGTAGCCCTGGCCTGACTTGTCGACGCAACAACGTCCACAATACTCCGAACCTAGAGTGCCCAATGCCACCTCATGCGGGGGCTAAGCTAACTACGCCATGCAGACTGGTCTCGTTCCTGTACACGGCATCTATGGGGCACCCTACGGGCGCGGGTCCGGATGCCGAAAGACCGAAACAAAGGGGCCAGAAGCCAAAAAAACCTCTAAAAATTCCAATAGCGAATGCTTGAGGCAATAAAATTAATTTTCCTATTTACCTTACCATTTTCTCGACTGTTCCTGGCAATATAGATCTACATCTAATACCAACACTTAGGTGGCGAAGCCGTCTCCACTCGACCAGTCCTATCATATTGATATTCACGATAGGAGTGTTGGATTTTTAATTTAAATGATGACATTTCTGGTTTGTGCCTTGTCATTGTTCTCGGGCGAAGGATTCTTCAAGAGGATGATCCATGTGTTGATCCAGGAGAAGTAATATTCCAAATGCGCCCACCTGTACTCCGTATGGAATCCTTCATCCCTTGGAGCGTTCACGGTGAAGGTCCCCACAAAGGGGCCCATTGTATATACACAGTATGACTAGTGGTAAAAAGATGGGGGGAAGGGAACTTGTTTCATGATACACTATTTGGGGTTGTGGCATTCGGGGGTCCAGGTCATGGTCGGGTGTCAGGGAACGTATCTTGAATGGGCAAGCAAATAGGAATAATGCCGCTGCCCAGCGCAAAAAAAAAAAAAAAAAACTCGTGTGACGTTGGGGCAATTGGGGCTGCCAATCTCGGTCTCCCCGATAGGATGAGAGAAAGCCATGCCGTCCGATGAGACGCAGGTTACAGAACCATGTCTCTTCCGAAACACGAAGTCTTCAGCGATTGCACCAGTATGCGTTTTCCTTCGCCACCGGCCGCGAGTCTATTCGACCTTCGCCTCTTCTTGACTAGATACTGAAATAACTCATTATTTCAACCTCTAGTTTGATTTTCTCAGTAGTACTTGGGGTATGGGAGATGTTCAACTCCGGGATCCGGCATGTGGATGATGTATCCAGGTCAACCTTGCACGGAATTTCAACTTAGTCGCCAACCCAGAAGTGAAAATATGGAATTTCAATAGCATAAGATTCAAAAAATCCGCCTCTCAGTTGGTATCGTTTCTCCAGATGCGAATGATGACCAACTTCTCCCAGCCTGCCTGCATTCCACTCGAGCCAACGGTCTCGGCGTTCCATCCGCCCCAGGCACGGATCCGCTCCTTCACTTCGTCGGGCCGGTTTTGCTTGCAGAGCAGTACATAGGCAGCTCCACGGGGAGATAGTATATCAGGGATAGCATCTAGTAACCGGTTGGTTGTCTCCATACCATCGGCGCCACCAGCATATGTGAGTGACAGGAAGTACGAATCACTCTCAAACTTCGCCGACCGAGACAGAGCTTGTGTTTCTGCAGGATCATTCTCTGCCGCCGTTGGTAAACGTGGCAAGTCCTCAGTTGGGACGTAAGGAGGATTGAAAAGGAGGACGTCAACACTGCCTGGGCGCAACGCCGTGCAGAGATCACCAGCTAGCGAGGAGATATAGACACTTTTCGCGTTGGTGATATCTTTGTTGGAGGATGGCTGACTTTGTTGTTGTAATTTTATTGCGCTTGTGACAGTTTCACGGGTGGCTAGGCAAGCATTGCGGTTCACATCGGTCCCTAATGTGAGAATATCACGGCGCCCAAAGATCTCTTGTGATTGCGCTGCCACGAATCCGAGAACCACGCCAGACCCTGTCCCAGCCTCCACAACCAATGGTACAGGATCAGGATTCAGTTCCGGCGATGTGAGACTGCCTTTTTTGAATCTTTCTGACAGCCATTTTGATTCTGATGGTGAAGAGAGGGTATCCAGAAACAGATATGAGTCCTCCGATGGCTCGTAGATGGTGTCAAAGGAGACATGCGAAGTATCGGGTGTAGGCAGCATCTCATAGGCTTTCTTTTCGGATGCAAAAAGAGTCTTTGGTTTTTTTGTCTCTTCCTATTGTTGTATATTTTCCCCCACGAAGCAAAAAAGAGGCTGCAGTTGATATCTTGACCCTCGGAGAGGCTGCGCAAGTATGGACTGCCGATATATTCTTATCACAAGAGAGATGGAGCTTGAGAACCTCAATGTCAAATGTAAAACACCTTCCAGACCTAATCATGTATCTCAGCGATTCCAGTACCAAAGTTGCGGCGTCGTGAGCGGGAAAAGGGCAAAAGCTCCCCTCCCGAAATAAGCCGATCCGCTGATTCGCTCCGCTGACTCGCCGCCTTTCGGCATTTCCAGAAATGCCTTCGGAAATTATGTCATTTCGTTCTGATCTCTGACCTTTGATTACCGCGAATCCCAGCAACAATGCGTCTTGCCCACCGTCTGCTCATGGCCACGCCGGCCTCAATCGGCTCGAAATCTAGCTTGAGCGAAGCCCTCGCCCTTCTCCCCCGCTGCAGCTGTACCGCCGCGTCCTGCGCGTCCATCGCAAACTTGACCCGGAAATGCGCGTCCTCGGCGATTCATACGTGAAGAAGGAATTTCGGGCACACCGGAATGCGGAAAACCCATTGCATATCGTAGGTCTTTGGTCATATCTTAGGAGATTGAGCTGGCGAGCCAAAAAAAGATGAAAGGGGTGGCTGGGGGGAAAAATCACAGCTGTAGATGGAATGGACATGACTGATGCGAACAAATGACAGATTGGATTCTTGACTGAGTGGCAGCTGTATGCGCAGAAACTGGAAGGCGATAATTGGGCTGGAGAGAAGCTTGACAAGTCTAAAATAGACAAGCTGAGTGGTATGGGTCTCATCCCCCAAGTGAACCCGTTGGAAATACTGACTTGGAATTTCATCAGACCAGCAAATTGGTCAGCTTTTTGAGCTGATGCAGGCTATTCGGAACCCCGAGGCTGGGGGTGATGGTGAAGGCGAAGGCCAGAAATAATGAAGAAAAAAAAGGGGAATAGAATTGCTGTTTCGAAGGCGGAAGTTTGTGGTTTCCCTGGCGTGATGGCAACGTATTCCTCTGGGCTATGGAGGTGACGACCCACCAATTACTGGCCAAAATCCTGACATGGTGAAAGTGATCAGGCCCTTCTTGATTTCTTCAATCGAAAATTGAGGTACAGTGGTTGGGAGATGCGGGCATCTCTCGATGCTTGCCAGGCCTCTCTGTATATATACTAAGTTACTGCAAAATACAAGGCATTGTGCTTCTGGTTGCACTAATCTTTTTTTTTATCTGCCAATTCTCATACCAGAGTTCATAAAACACCCTTCTCGGCGGAGTTATTGTCAATATAGGATTTCTACTTTCTAAATTTGGCCTTACCATGACAGCAGAGCAGCAGACAGGTGAGCCGGTTAATGGGATGTCATGCCCTCATCACACTTGACACGCCCAAATTGAATGGTAGCTTTCAATCTTAAAGTGGTCCTGTTCTTCCCATGCAACAAAGTACTATCGCTTCCCCTCGGAGCTTGTGCGAGAGATTCTTGGCTTTGGAATCAAGCGGCCGTGCACCGGTGATGAAGCTGGCCCTGAGAAATATGCTATTTCTGCACCCTGTTAAAAATATAGATAGCTGTATTTGAGTTGTTTCAAGTACTGCCAGTCCAGAGTTGGTGGTATTTGACAAGATATATAAGAATTTTCTGAATTTGGCTCCAGCTGGCAGTTTCCGAGCATTGAGAAAACTTGTTTGCTAAACATTCGGTTTACTCATGCTTGCAACTTCTCAAGACTCTTCTATGCTCGATTTTGGAATGTACAGTTTCTTCTACTTATCTCGACTGTGAAATAAATCAACCCAGATTTATAACCACCCAAGGGTATATTTGTCAGAATGAAAATCAGACGAAGCCATCGTACGAAGGACTTAGAATACTTCCTCAATTTAACAAGGTATCTTACAAGTAGTACAAGGATTGAAGCTAAGTATCTGAATTCAGACTCCCTAACATAATATCATAGTCCTCATTTGACTCAACGGTTAGCCTTCGAATTCAAGTTGTCATACAATAGGATTACCTGTCAATATAGTAGGATACGGTATCGGCTAGGAAAGCTAGGATCCAATGGAACGAGATGCTCAATATAGTGATGTATTGGGTGACTGAACTATCTAAGTGTATGGGCGGGGGAATGTTGAATATCCCCTACCTCGCTGTCTAGCGTGTTACGGCGCTGGGTTCCGAGTATACCCGGGATACCATACAAAACACGTAGCAAATCGAGTATCCCTGTAATATCCTGACGCGCATGGAGATATGTGGGTCTCGCCCGTATTATGCAGTCTTCCTTCTCGACACACCCCCTAGGGATAGGCGATTTCACAATCTTCCAAATCTTCGATTTCCGGCGTCTCCACGAATCAACCTCTATTTCCTATTTAGGAAATCTCCAACAGCGTTTCAATGTCTTCCATCCCGAGCTGGTTGACGAATGCTTTATGTCGCTGCCGGGGAAGGCTCTTAGTGAGGCTATCAGCAATCATGTCCTTCGACTCGACCTATCTAACGGCAACACGTTGTGCCTGAACCTCCTGCCTTAACTAGTGCTGATGAATATCAACATGTCGGAGCTTGGTCTTTAGGAGAGGCGTCTCCTTCGTTAATAGTCCGAGCGTCTGCTAGTTATCACAAGTGATAGTGAGTGGATGTTGAGGATCGAATCTAATTGCTTTGTATAGGCGCTTCTATATCGCAATTGAACGAGCGGCTTCCGATATAGCAAGTAGTTCTGCTTCGGTAGTGCTAGTTGTTACCGTCTTTTGCTTGCTAGCCTTCTAGTTAACCGGTCCTCTAAATATTGTCCCGATATACCCCTGCGAGCTCTTGCGATCCTGTGTGTCGGCGAATGATATATCGCTAGCGAAGCTTACAGCTTCCGAGTTAGCGTCGTTGCGTAGCCGGTATGCAATAGCGAGAGAGCGAGTATGATAGAGGTATGTAATAACTTGGTTTATAGCGGCGAGGTGTTCTAGTCCGGGGTTCTTAAGGAATTAAGCGAGTGTAGCTGTCGCTTTAGCGGTATCTAGTCTAGATATTGTTGTCGCGTATTAGGCGCTTCCTACCTTCTCTTAGTATTCTTTGACTCTGTGATAATTAGCTGTTCCTATATATTTAGTAAGCGTTTATATAGGTAGTGGTACAGCAGGCTTCCTGCCGTCGGTAAGATAATATCGGGTAGCTATAGCGGAGATATAGGAATCTTAACAGAGCCAGAGTGCCTTCTGTGATCTATCTCGAATGATCCTAATCCTAAGGAACTATGAAGCTTCTCCTATATTACGCAGCTCCTATTAACGGTGGAGTGCCTAGTACACTCTCTTTACCTGTTCGCGCTGTAAAGGGTGGTTCACGATAATTATGTCGTTAACATAGAAGATAATGATAATGCCGTCGTCGACGAGCATATAAAGGTTATCCTATACGACTTCAAATCTATATTGTCTTATTCCACGACTTGCTTCCTTCTGCTATAGTCGAGGAGATTTACGTAGCCCGTAAAGTGCTTTCTTAAGCTTCCAACTAAGCCCTGCGCGGCCGAAGCCTTCCGGTAACTTAGTATAGACTTCCTTATCGAGTAGACTATTCAAGAATACGTTAACGGCGTTAAATTGCCGAGTATTAAGGTTAAATACTACAATAAGAGAGAGTACTGCCCTAGCGGTTCGAATAGCTAGTGTAGCTAAGTACTTCTCCTCGGTAGTTATAGTTTGAAGGTCTCCACGGACATAGATCCGAGCCTTCAGCTTCTTAAGATATCTATCGCTGTTGTATTTGTATATAAACACCTATTTCAATAGAAGAATCTGCTTCCTAGTGTTACTCGGACGTCGTACGATCTCGTACGTTCCTTTATCTTCCAGCATCTTGATTTTATTATTTGCAGCTTACAAGAAGCCGTCTCTAAATAGATAGTTTATTATCTCTTTCTATCCTCGAGGCTCTAGCAATAGCTTATCTCGGTAGTATCTTGGTTGGTCGATCCGGCTTTGATAAAGAGCTATAGCGAATACAGCTAGTGTCTAAGGTGTATCTCTATCGTTACTATCATCGTTAACAGCTAGATAAGTAACAAAGTTATCCTCGAAGCGTACTCTTCGCTTCCTGCTTCCTTTACACGACGTTTTCTGAGGTTATATCTCCCACGATGTCTCTTAGAGCTCGCTCGGTATCGTTCTTAGTCGATTCTGGCTCGTTTTCGATCGGGGAAAATGCTCCTAGTATTGTTTGCGGTGGTTCTGGTGATACTGATAATGTTTCTATAGCTTACTGTGATAGATTTGAAGGATTTAGAGATAGAGAAGAATAGTGGATAATAGATTAAGGTGTTAGGAGTGAGGCCGTAAGGTCGTATATAAGTTGCTCTTCTAGCGTACGCTCTCGGCCTATTTGCTACGAGCGTTTACTATAACTAAATCCTGCCTCCTAATTAGTTGAACTAGAATTAGTTTGCTTAGTTTGTATCTCCTAGATATTAGATATCTCTATTAGCTTTGATGCTTTATCCTTATCCTCTTCAGCTTTATCAATTTCTAAAATAGGAAGTCGTTCTAACATATCCACAGGCTTAACGGTATCCTGCTTCTTGTTATAGAAGACCTTCTTATTAAATACAATATCTCTCGCGTCCCGTACGAGTCCTCTTTACGGTATCTAAATACGCTAGATATTCGATACGGTATAGCTAACTATATAACTAGTCTCTATTCTCGATGCTATCTTATCACTATGCGGTATACTCTGTCTCTTGATATACGCACGGCATCCGTATAGCCTCAAATTCGCAAGGTTTAGGCGTATCTTCGATGATTCGGAGTTGATCTAGGTATAGGCCTCTTGCCACGGTATAATCCACTTCCCGTCTAGTATTTTAGTGGGCGATCTATTCAATATATAAGCTATATAACGAGCTGTTTCTGGCTATAGATCCTTCGGCAGCTTAGTATTAAGCAAGAGTGCTCTTATGCCGGTTGTTATCACCCCCCTAGAGTGTTCACTAAAAGAGTTCTATTCTAGTGTGCCTACAACACTCTATTTAATAACGAATCCTATATCCTCGAGGTGTTCCTTAACTACTCTTCCTACGGAGCGTTCATGATTATATCGAAAGGCCTTTATCGGAAGGTTCTATTGTATCTTCGCGAGTGCACAGAACTTCCTAACAGCTTCCTAGTATTCATTCTTCTTCTAATGCGTGTATATAACGTGCAATCGAATACTATCAAGATAGAAGTGTGTAATCTAGCGATCCCTATTATAACTAGGTGTGATTTAGATAAGGTCAAAGTGTACTCGGCCGAATCTGCTATACACTTTTCTATTTAGTCGTCTAGATATTTAACGCTTTACCTTTGCTTGCTAATAGACCTCGTATCGTTTAGGATTATCTTCAGATTTCGAGTCCGGTAATATCTTAACACCCTCGATAAGCTCCGGTAGCTTCTCGACTTTTCCTTAGTAAGTATGCCCTAAACGTCGATGCTAAATATCAGCTTTCGCTTCTAATACTAATAGCTTCTCGCTATAGCGCGTTACTATCGTGAGATCCTGTTGTAACGGCTTCGCAAGAGCGAATAGCCTACTATAATCTTCGAGTATCACCCTCGTCGGAATAGATCCCTTGTAATATATCACTTCCTTGCTATTATCCTATCGGAATCTAAGCTTCCTAATCTTCGAATAAGATATTAGATTCGTGTGGAATTTAGGCGAGTATTAGATATCTCTTAGACGTAGTTCAAGCTAATTCCCTTGTCTATTCTATGTTATAATAATAACGTTACCTCTTCCAAGTAGGTCCGTATAACTATTACTAGTTTTAACGGATTTATTCGTCGCCTTAAATGTTATAAACGCTTTATAATCGTTGTATATATAACACGTGCTTCCCGAGTCTAGTATCTAATAGTTTGATAAAGGATAATCGGCTTGCGGTGTATCGGAGAAGAAGGATATAGCTAGCATAGATAGCTGAGGAGTCTCTTATACCTCCGACCTTAGCTGTTCTATCCTTACTCGCTTACGGTTATTAAGCTTTAGTATCTCCGCTTCGACCTTATCAACTTCCTCTTTTTTCGGCCGAAAAGCTACGGTTCTTATAGCCGGGTTAACAAAGGGGCATTCACTATACTAGTGAACCTTCCCGTATACGTATTTAGCCGGTCTCTTCTTATTCCGATTCTGTATAGACGTTATCGTCGTCGGTGAGGCTTCTTCCTAATTATTTAATATTATAAATAATGCCTTTAAACCTCCCTTTCTAGTGCTTGCTTATACGATCGTACGTCGTCGAGTACGATATGCAGCTATGACTGTATAGAACGTAAGTAATTCTTTGTTCTCTTTAAGGTCCCTTAAGTACTGTGTAATAAACGTATCGTCCGATAACGGTAGCGTATCTAAGAAGTCTCGAATAGCATCTTGATTATCGATACAGTCCGGCACTTTAGCGGCTTTGCACTCTCTAAATAGCGCTTCCTACTTGCTAAGGACATAATCCTATACTATATCTTTTAGTAATTAGTAGAGCATTAATCTCTATACCCGTCGGAGCTCCTAGCGTCTATCAGACGTGTCCGGACGGAAGATAGCGGCGAGCTTCTAGAGCCTAAGTCTAGGTCTATCTATTCCTACTACTAAATAGCGTGCTTCTGTTGCTATTGACTTCTAGATTAGTATATCCACTCTAGCTAATGCCTTCTTTAAGCGTTGCCTTCGCGTTTCTTGTCGCTCTATATACGAGATCTCTGTATTCTATTTGCGGATCTGTACGTCGGATAGCGACGAGAATTCTCCTAGAGGATCAGGTTCCTCTAACGCCGGCGGTAAGGTCTTAATATCCTTATCTGATATATCCGGATTCAGGTAATCCCAGATATCTTCGGCAATAGCTGCTGACTAAATATAGTCTATCTAGACCCTCTACTGCGTTTCCGACCGAAGCTTCTCTTCGAGCGGTAAGACCGAGTCTATTACCTTCAAATCTTCCATATCCGAAGCCTTTCCAAATAGCCTCTGTTTCCTAATCAGGAATATGTAGTCTCGCCGTCGAGATTCGAACTATAACACTAGGCGTGGCTGGAAGGTGTACAACGTCGCTAGCGATACTCGGATGCCAACGATTCAGGGGTTCCAACCACTCTGCCGTGTTGATAAGCGCTATACAGGTGCGTAGGGATTATCTCTATTCAATCCTGACGCGTGCGGATCGGGCTCATAACTGTCAATATAGTAGGATACGGTATCGGCTAGGAAAGCTAGGATCCAATGGAACGAGATGCTCAATATAGTGATGTATTGGGTGACTGAACTATCTAAGTGTATAGGCGGGGGAATGTTGAATATCCCCTACCTCGCTGTCTAGCGTGTTACGGCGCTGGGTTCCGAGTATACCCGGGATACCATACAAAACACGTAGCAAATCGAGTATCCCTGTAATATCCTGACGCGCATGGAGATATGTGGGTCTCGCCCGTATTATGCAGTCTTCCTTCTCGACATTACCTAAGCCGCCTAAAAGGCACCCGAGCTCGGCGCAATCCCGATTTTATACACCCGCCCTTTACTTGACATCTGCCCCAGCGACCCTCAAACGGAAACTCCTGAGCCTTTGATGAATATATATAAACGCTGGAAAGCCACCGAAAAATTTCCTGACCATTCTCCCCTTCATCCTCCCACTCCATACCACCCCCAATGCCCGCCCTTCTAGAAGACCCCTCCACCCGTATTCCCCCACCACCAGCACACACCTCTGCCGCACCCACCATGCAACCGCGGTCCACTACTCTCCCCAAAGCCGCCTCAGCAGGCATGACCCTCTACCCCGTCACCGGCGGGCCCTCCAGCATCCCTCAAGATCTAATCAAGTTCCTGCACGCCGAGTTCAGTGCGGAGATCTCGCGCGGCGCGACGTATCCCATGGAGCAGCCTATGGCGCTGGAGCAATTTGCCGACTACTGGTTTGGCACGTTTGCCATCGTTGCGGTGTTAGATGAGGGCGCTGGTGCGGGTGAGGGGTTGTGCGAGGGCCGCGATTGGGCGAAGGTTTGCTTGGGGACGTTCTATATCAAGCCAAATTATCCCGGTAGGTTTTGTTTTCTTTCAATTGCTCTCTCATTTCTTCTTGATGCAAGATCAGGCTCGATCTGACTCGATCGAGAATTTCAATTCTTGAAATTTTGAAAAGAGAGAGAGAGAGAGAGAGAGAGAGAGAGCGCTATATCTGCTGACAGACTTTTGTTTTAGGCCGTTGCTCCCACATCTGCAACGCCGGCTTCATTACTACCGTTGCGGCGCGCGGCAAGGGCGTCGGATACGCCATGGGTGAAGCGTACCTAGAATTTGCACCGAAGCTGGTAAGAAGCCATGTGCCCAATGCTCGCACTAGTGTGATTATTTTCTCTAATACGCTCTGCAGGGATACACATACTCTGTGTTCAACTTAGTCTTCGCTAACAACCCAGCGTCCATCCGTATCTGGGAGAAGCTCGGATTCAGCGTGATTGGACGGGTGCCCAAGGCTGCGCGGTTGGCGAACAGCGAAGAGCTGGTCGATGCGTTGATTTTCGGACGTGAGTTGGGCAATTAAGCTGGAGCTTTTGACCTTTGGGTAGCGATTCTCGGGAAGACAGGGACGACTTCAAGAAGTATCAAATAGAGCGGCATGCTATAAGATGGCATGACAATGAATGATGGTTGTAATTATTAGATGATGAGATGACTATTTCGTTCTATATAAATGAACGACAATGACTTCAATCTAAACAATCTAACATCCATTACCGACAAGAGTAAAACTACAAGAGATAATATTCACAAGGAGGAAGAGGAAGAGGAAGAGGAGAAAAAAGGTAGAAGAAGTAGGAGAACCGCATTTTGAACCGGAATAAAGATGTAGAAGGGGGAAAGACCCAACGCTCAGACCATATCATGCAACAATGGGGATATCACGCAAAACCTGACCCTCAAGATCATGGTGCCCAGCCCGCTAGCGGGTCCGTCTCAGAACAAAAACCCGGAATCAAAGACCGCCCAAGGCGGTAGGACACAATGCACAAATACGACAAAAATAAGACAATAAGAGAGAAGGGAAAAGGGCGAGAAAGGAGGAGAAGAGGGCGAGAGGGCGAGGTGGAAGATATATGAGAGAGGTGAGGGTGTGAGAGAGAAGGGGAGTAAATCAGCGCGCGAGGGGTCTGGTAAATCAAGCCCGCCATGGTGGTCGTGCGTTGAGCTTCGTCTGCGCGGCAGTGCTGTCCATCCCAACACGAGCTTTGGGCAAGGGGAGGAGACTGGTGCGTCGGTTCGAAGAGTGACCCAAAGCAGTACCGGGGCGGGTTGACTTGCTGGGGCTTTCGAGGGGATCGGGGCCCTGAGACGAAACACTGCGGCTGAATGCCGAGCCCATCCCGGCAAAACTTTGTCGGCTGCGTGGGGTATTCGCTATACCCGAAGGCCTGCGAAGACGGCTATACGGTGGCGGGTCAAGGAGAGATGACCGTGCGGGTGTCGGGGAGGAGATATTTCGTACAGGACTGTGAGACGGGGATGCCAATCGGCTTGATATACGGCTCATCGACCGACCTGGACTGGGAGCTGGCGATACCGACATATCGCGGCGGAAGGGAAGGGTTGATGAAGGACGAGGTGTACGCGCCGGTGCGGAGGTTTTGCGGTATGTGCCGGGGGTGACGGCAGTCACGGCATTTAGATTAGTGCTGTTACTCCAGCGGGGCCGATTTGGAATCGTAGAAGGCTGCGGGACACGCGAGGTACGGCTAGCTGGTGTCGGGGTGACAGGGGCTGTGGGTTTAGGGATCGAAGACTTGCGACCCGTCAGCGTCGCTGTCACCTGTGGTAGTCCAGATAGTCGTCGGACCTTGGACATAGTAGACCGTGCTGTGGCACTTCCAACCGAACTTTCGCGGCGGCTTGAGCCCATAGGTGTTGTAGATCCTTTATAACCATTCCCAAGCACAACCGAGGAAGCCGGTGAGCTGCCTGGGGTCTCAACAGCACTGCCAGTCGCCGGGCTATCCATCGTGATGATGCTCGAGATGGAGTCCCGAAGCTGTTGGCCTTTCACAATCTGCACATCCTCAAGGGAGGCATCCATGACTTTCAGACTGGTCTTTAGGGCATTCGTCCGCGAAGTCATGTCGGACAACAGCCGCAAAACTTCGCCATTCACCGTCAACCGGTCATTGACACCCTTTTGGATGATCGATATAACGCGTTCGATAGCAGGCACATAGTGCATCTTCTTCGCCTCATAGTTCTCAATCCGCTTGGTCAGGCTTGCCGGGTTGTTTACCTGTGCATTCGACTCGAGCCCTTCTTGCAATTTGGCAATGCTGCGTTCAACTGAATCGAACATCTTCTGCGCCTGACTACCCGCATTGCGGAAAACTATAATCCACTTATCTTCTCCCAACTCTTTACGCAAGGCTTCGGCATCGGTTTCAAGCACTTTGTAGCTCTTCTCCAGTCGGCTCTTTCGGTCGTCAAGCTCCTCGCACGCGCTCGGGAAAAGCCCCTCCGCCCGAGATTGGAACATGGACAGTCGCATGGGTAAGAAATCCAAGGATGCCCGAAGAGGCTGCATGCGTGCAAACAGCGCCATCAGGTTAGAGTGGCTCGAATCGTCCTGCGGGGTCTTGATGATCGGGGTTCCGGAGGCTGCTGCCAAGATCGGTCCAATGCTGAGGCGATTCGTGGCCGGTGAGCGGCCCTTTGTCGGGGACTCTTCCACAATGGTCTCGAGCTCGTTAATGTCAAGACCACCGGTCGATTCCGTACCGTTATCCATGAGGGCCTGATGTCGCTTCTCCTCCATCTCAAAAATCATCGCGCTCAGGTTGTCGATTTCCACCCCGACATCGCCGAGTACGTTTGACCAAAGCTCCTCCCATTCCATTGCCAATTCCACCTGTTCCTTCACACCTCGCAGCTTGGACTTTATCTGTGCCCAGTTCTGCAGGATCAGCTCCATCTGGTTGACAATGGTTGTCAAGTTCTGGGTATCGACATTGGCGATGTCGTCGCGGAGCTGCACGTTCTCGATCGCTTTCACGTACACGTTGACCAGGGATTCAAAACGGGTGATGGCCCTATCTACGCCATCCAGACCCTCTCGCCCGCCGGCCGCCGCCCATTCAACGTCATCCTCTGAATCCAGACCACTAAGTACATCTGACGCCTTTCGAATCCAAATCTGAATCTGCTCGGCGGCGTTGTTCAGTGCGCGCACTGCGGCGAGAGCCGTGGAGATATTTCTTATACTGGCTTCTAGCGACGACGGCCGCGGCAGTGGTATAGACGTCAGCTGGGACAGCTGGTTACTGAACGAGGCACGGGAAAACGAGTATATTGATTCAGGGCGTTGCAGCCCCATGGGGTTGAAGTATGATTGTGAGTTGGAAGCCGAGGCGAGGGTATAGTTGGGTAGGGAGTCCTTGGGCGGGGGAGCGGATGCCGCGTCCGCTGCCTGCTCCTCGCTGCGCTTCGTGTCATCGACATACTTCTCAAAGTCGGTCCGGGTATCTTGGGGGTTGGTGTCAGATAATGACTCTGGTTCGGGGTCGGCACGCAGTGGCTCTGGCGCTGGCTCTGCAACAGACATGGATGCCGGTGAAGGACCGCTGGCGGCGGCGACGAGCACGGGGGGATCTGGGCTGTCGATGACCGCGTCGGCGTATTCTGACCCCTGCGCGAGCGCGTCTTGGATCTCTTGCTGGAGGTCGGAACTAGGGATTTCAAGTTTGTTGGACGCGCTGCGGGTAAACGTAAATGTTTGGGTGGGTGATGTTGGGGTCGGACCACTCCACGTCTGGCCTCTCCGTTCAACCTTGATCGATAGGTCCTGGTGTAGGTTGTCTAGCTCCTTGAGGTGCTCTTCGGGGATTCGGCCGACGTTGTTGGGATTCCGAGGGGCACTAGTCACCTTGTTACTACCATCAAGCAACTTCACCCGGGCCGCCAGGGCGGGAGACAGTCGACGGAAGATGTTCGGTCGGGACGTATGCTTTTCAGCGCTGGTGGGCTCCGGGGATACGGGATCGTCTTCGTGAAGGCTCTGATTGCTGCTGCCGATACTCCAGAGGGAGGATTTGGACTTCAGGCGGCGGAGAGAGGAGGAACCAGGGTCATTTGGTGAGCCGGAGACTGCGGGGGCCACCGAAGGAGGTGAGACGGACGTAGCGGACGCGACAGAAGGCGCGATGTCAGTCGCAGCAGAGGGTGGACTGTCGACCGTGGCATGCATGGGGGACAAAGCCCGGGAGGCAGTTGAGAGGAAGAGGGAACGTTAGAAGAGTCGGCAGGGATGTGGAATGTTATTTCGGTAAGAGGATTCGTTGGCTGGTCCCTGGTGGTTGAGCGTAGAATAGGATCGCTGACGAGAGCTTGCCCCCTTTTTGTTGCGCAGTTGAAGTTGTCAGGGAAGAAAGACAGCTACATGAGGGATCATGAAAGAGAGATTCGAACAGCAAATGATTGGGCAGCCGTGCTTGAGACAAGAAACGAGGGATGAAGTGGCCAGTATGGCTCCGTGGGCCGTTGGGTGTTGGTTGGTGGCTGCAGGAAACGGGTACCTCCCGTTCCGCCTACGAAACTATGGGCCGCCAGGTACCCTCGGGTCGGTACCATGCAATGCTGCTCTGTGGCTCGGTGTTTCAAGACTGGAGACCTTCACTCCTCTATATGGTTTTATATAGTCTACATTTTAAAAACATCAAGCATATAGCCTGCCCTCGGCCTGCATCCGGCTGTCCTGTGACGCTGCGGACTCCCCCTACTGCATGTCGTTTCAAGGGATCGGCAAGCACCGGCGATCAGATGAAATCATTCCCTGTCGCTCGGTACTTGGCCATATTCGAAACGAAGGAAACACAAGAGAGACACGCCAGAGGAGACATGGAGTGAAGTCAAATCAAATAGATGGGGCTAGTCCGACTTGCTGGAAACCCTAATCGTGATCCTCTTCCACGAGGCTTGTCGATCTATTGGAACTGCAGAGGACGGGTAACATTCAAGTTCAATTCAAGGGGGACGTCCGCTCGGATCGACCGCCCTGTGCCCTAGCGTCAATGGGCAACGGGCTTTTGCGGAAATGAAACCAATTCAGATCCTGGAGGAGGTTGGGGTATAGGCAATGTCTAGCTCATCAGGAAAGTAAGAGAACAAAGGGTCGTATTATTCAACATCATGATGATCCTGTTCACCTGCCATATCCTCATAGATTCTATATGCACGACCATCTGGGGTCAAACAATAGAGAACACAAAAGGCAGGTAAACCATATGCAAGGGAATTCCGAACTGGACCAAACAATCGGACAAAAAGCAAAAAGGAAAGACCAAAGTCAAATCAGACCAACACCGGATGCGGAGACGGGCAGAAGTAGTCGGAGACAATTCAGGGGTATCTAGCCAAGTGCCCATAGGGGAAAATAAGGAGAATAAAACACAATAACCGAATCGAAACAAGCAGGAAATGGAAGAAAGGAACAAGAACAACCGAGATGCATAAGAACGTCCATTCCTCCACTTCAAATCAAACCAGCGCTCGGAGGCCGACCCGGATTCGCCTCCATCCAATCGCGCACGAGTTCCTCGCGAACTGTCTTGCACCAGGCCAGCATTGCCGCATCGAATTGCCTCCATGCTACCTCACTGCTGCCCTGTACTACCCCCATGACGTCCACCTCCCGCCGCAGCTCCCACCGGAGCTCGGCCGCTTTGATCCAGAACCGCAGGTTCTCCGCTTGCCGATATGGCTTCGCAATGTCTTGATGGAAGGCCTTGATCTCACCGAAATGGCGTTTGGACTTCTTCACCGCGATGTTGTGCAACTGTACGAGGATGCGGCCGTCCCGGAAGCGCGCGAGGAACGGAGTCGGGAGAACGTCTAGCGGGGTGTCGTCAATGGCGGTCCACTCGGGCAATGCGTGTCCGCCGGGCATGAGGCTTCGCAAGAAGGACTCTTCGCGGGCTCGTTCCCGCCCGGTCCAGTCACCTCGAGCCCAGTCCCAATTCTCGCGCTCCTGGGCCTCCAAGTCTTCCAGCGCCTTCTCGCGTACCAGCATCGTCCGAACCCCCTGGATCCACCCATTGATCACGTCCCGTTCTTCGTCCCGGAGACCACTGGCGAAATGCCGCGCGGCCCAGCGTTTGAGCACGTCGAGGACATGGAAAAGATCTTTGCGAATCTCTCGCTCACTCTTGATGGATCCTAAGCGTTCGGGGTGGGGGTGGGCGGTATAGTAGATCTTTGCGGCGCGGATCGCCATGGTCACATCATCGAGAATGCACATGCCCTGCGCTTCTTCCTTGGTCTGTGGGGTCGGCGCTTTTTGAGAGGGGTCGTCTTCAAGAGATTCAGGAACATCCCCAGGCGAAAGACTGGTGCGGATGGGTTCGCGGGGTGGGGGTTCGACACCATTCTCGATAGCCTCGATGTTACTTTCGGCCCGGTCCAGCGCGACCTGCAGGTCTCGGCGCAGGGAAATCAAATCTGGGGGAGGTGGGACGTGGTGTGTTTTAATGCTGTAGGTGCTAACAGTAGGGGGCAGCATCACCTCGCCCTCCTCGTCCTCGAGATCGAGGTCCTCCTCTTCTGCGGGGTCGGTCATATCCGTCGGGCTGGTCATCATGTCGTCTATATGCCGTTCGTTCGGGGTTATCAGGACTCGAGGCACATTGTCCTTGTTCCTTTTCTTAAATTCTTTGCCGCGGCCGGTTTTCCCATCCAACAGGCCCGTGCGGGCAAAGTAGTACTGTAGGTGGGCAATGCTGCCCAAACTCATGACGCTATCGCGGTGCCGCGCCGAACTCGAGAACTCCGCTCCAAAGGCGCGAATATATCCATGGCGGCGAGAGGAAGTCGAGATGGAGGAGCGAGCGTCGGCGGAAGTCGCAGAGGAAGCCGAGTGAGAGGAGACGGAGGAGAACGTGCGGTCCGGGGAGGAGTATGAAGAGATGGCCGGCGTGGCGGGCACATCGGGTGATGGCGAGGAGGCTCGGACGGGCGGCGAGGCTATGTCAGTGTCCATGGCCTGTGGCTCGTCCATGTGTGATGTCGGAAAGATTTCTCAAACTCTGGTCGCACCAAGGGTGGCTCAAGTAGTCAATGGGGTTCGATCGACAATCGTCGGAAGTGTGCTCTCGCAATCAGTGGAATGCTACCACCAGTCCCAGATTCGACGGACTCGAGGGATTGCAATTGGGAATGGGAGTCTAATCCTTGAAGTGGAATTCAGGTCCAGACTCAGGTCGAGCCCTGCTGGTTGAGTGGTCGGACGGCCAACGGCAGGAGAGACCAGATTGAAGCGGGAGGTTTAATGAGTCGTGTAGGATCGCCGGCCGAGAAACTTCTTTGGGCGACAAAAGGCCAAAAGGGGTGGCCCGGCTAACGGGGGGGGCAGGGAAAGAAAGGGGGGGGGGAAAGCGGGTCGCAGATGCGAAATAACGACACAAATTAATTCGCCTTCAATCTGCGACAAGACCGATCCAAAGGGATGGTCATGGCTAGTCGGCCGTCTTCGCAGTCTGGATCAATGAGACTGTTGAGACCACAAAGGAACTAAAGATGTACAAGAGACTCGACGATATTGCTGAATTGCCCGGTCGGGTTTAGTCCCGTGCCCCGCGTTCCGCGTCCCAAAGGAAGACGCCGGCTGGTCCGCGCGTTTAAAGTGTTGAACGGTCTCTCGATTGGGAGGATTTGAGTCCCTCGATCGCCTCGATTGTATCAGCTGCATGGGCCTCCCTTGCGAGGCGCCAAATATCAGCTATTCCATCGACCGCTCTGGAGTACCGACGAATATTGGAAATCACTTTGTGGAAATCATTGCTGAATTGTAACCAGGCGTTCCGACTAGGAGAGATGTTGGGATTGTTTCTAAAGAATGCGATCGAATGTGCACAAAATACGATGATCTCAGTATACGTAGCCAGAAGAACATCTTTCAATTCTGCTGTGATTGGGAGTTCCTGTTCAAATTGGTGAAACCTAGGAAGTGCACAGCCTAATTCTTCCAGCATATCGAGGACTTCAGGGAGAGCTGGACGTGCAGACTAACTAAATAAGTACGACATAGCAAATGTTTCGAATCGGTACCCCTTACCTTCATGATGAGACTTATAGAGCACCATATAATAGCAGCAACCTGGCCATTCAACCCTAAAGCTAGCGTAAGAAAAGCGGCGAAATCATTCAGGCCGAAATCGCGTTGCAATATAGTAGAGTTCATAAGGCTTGTTTTAACCTGGATTGAGCAAAACGTCCGACTCTCTTGTTATCCGTGAAGCGTTGGAACTTGTTTGTGTGCTTTGAACTACAGTGTCAGCTTGATGGTCGACTCAACCAAATAAATGTCTGTACTCGTCACCTGAGCAAAGTCCGTATAGAACTATTAGTGCCTTACACCGCCCCCCAACCCTTCCGGGTTGTAGGTGCGCCACACACTAATTTCCACCCACACACTAATTTCCATTTTCCTATACCTCCCTATTTTTTGCTTCCCTATCCAACACCACTATCTAAATATGCCTAATTTCGACGAATCTCGTATGGCTGAGGCCTGCCTAGCTGCATCACGAGAGGATAAGCCGAATATAGCGCGTTTAGCCCGCGAATATAGCGTGCCTAGGCGTACGCTTGCAAACCGAGTCAAAAAGCATACAGGGCCTCGTATAGCTAGAAGCGGGGTTGGATACGCTCTAGAAGCCTATCAAGAAGAGGCCTTGATTCGCTGGATCCAATATATGAACGATTGCTATATGCCTATCACTCCTAGGATACTAGAAGCGTGGGCGAATCGTGCATGCTAACGCGTCGGCAAGCCGCCGATTAGCAAGATGTGGGCGTATCGCTTTATTAATAGGCTTCCTAAACATCTTCAATTAGGGCCTACTAAGCAGTATACGAAGGAATCAAAGCGAATCCTAGCAGAAGATCCAGCAGTATTACAACATTGGTACGATCTTTTAGCCTAAACAATCAAGAAGACTACACCAGCACGCTTAGTCTACAACTTTGATAAATGCGGCTTTCAACCAGGCGAAGGAAGATCTAGAAACGTTATATCTTCTACTACTAGTAGTAGGAAGATAGTAGATCTTCCTCAGCCAGACCAAGGCGAAAATATAACGACTATCGAGTGTATCGCTGCCGACGGGTAGCAGTTAGAACCTTGGTTTATATTCAAAGGCAACGGGATCTTTATAGAATCTTGGTTCAATCAAACAGAAGGCCTACCACCACATACTATAATCACTACATCGCTAAACGGTTGGATAACCGACGATATAGCAGTTCAGTAGCTTCGATTCTTTATAGAATCAACACGCGACCGTACGAAATCGGGTGAAAAACGTATCCTAATCTTCGACGGTCACGGTTCACATCTTACATTCGAATTCCTATACCTTTGCGAAGAGAACGATATCCTACTAATAGGATTCCTACCACATACTACACACCTTTGCCAACCGCTAGACGGTAAGCCGTTTCTAAGCTATAAGCAACACTTCCGCTTAGCGAATAACGACCACGCGTTTTAGGGTGGAAGCCCTATCGGAAGATCGGAGTTCCTTCGAATAATCGGTGATATTCGGAATAGAGCGTTTAGCCAGCGAATTATTCGTGAATCGTTCAAAGATCGTAGGATCTATCCAGTCGATAGTAGAAAGGTTATTAATAGCCTTCCTATCCAAGAAATCCCAGATCTCCTAGCGCTAGATCTACAACCGCTTCATATAACAACACCTTCACCACCACCTATATCTTCTTCTAGTATCGACCAATCGCCGCCTAGATCTATACAGGATCTAGAAAAGAATCAAAGGAAGATTGCTAGATATCAAGAGGATCTTACACCAAGGCAGCAACGTAATCTTGATCGTGTGTTTCATCATAACAAGATTGCTATAGAGAACCTAAATCTAGCGAACGATACTATTCGCAAGATTAGGGAAGCTCAACAACCACTACAGCGCCCAATCACCAAGCGCCAGGTTAAAACACCGCTTAGCAAAACAGGGGTTCTCTCTATTAGAGATGCAAATCGTTCTATTACTAAAAGAAAGGAGAAGGAAGCGGATATAGAGCGGAAGCGGGTAAGGAAGCAGTGGAAGAAAACATATGGAACATCACCACCACCAGAACCTACACAGGAAAGCCAGGCATCGTTGGATAGAGCAGAGGAAGCACGTCAGAACGGGCAGGGTTTCTATATAGATACTAGTAGGATGCAGTAGTAGATAGGGGAAATATCAAAAAATGGAAATTAGTGTGTGGGTGGAAATTAGTGTGTGGCGCACCCACAACCCGGAAGGGTTGGGGGGGGCGGTGTAAGGCACTAATAGTTGTTAATGATGCAGATGATTGGAAGAACACATTACGCTAACTAAGCTATGTAGTTGCATGTAAACCAACCAATCATATTATTTTGCTGTGGCTATGACTTACCCCATGGAAGTATCCGAGGGCAATGATCTGCCACCTATGAATGTAGTGCGCTTGTTTGCAAAACTCATCTCATTACTATTGAAGGGCACTGTGCCAAAAGCAAACTTGGTACTATTCAAATATGTCAAGTGTCGTGTCCGCCAAGGGAGTGTGGGCCAAGGCAGTGCAGGATCGGGCGAATTGCTCGAGAGCTTTCCCTACTTACGACGCGGCACCGAATCAGAGCGAACCCCGATTTGAGAGGGCGAAAATGACAGTCTCGCAGGGCCCGGGCCCAAGAAACGACAATGAATTCAATCTACCCCACCGTAGTCACAAGCCCTGGCAACAAATTCAAACTCATGATCGTTTCTGCAAGCTGGTAGGTCTGATACTAATTGATCGCCGAAGTTCCAGCACGGAGTAGGGGACATGAAATTACAATCTGCCAAAACAGGATGCATGTGACAATGCTCAATCCATAAACCATCAATGTTATTCAGGGTAGCTACTGTCGAAGAAATTCAACATGAGGGAAGGAAAAACAGGAGAAGGAGCGAAGTGAGGTATAACCCAGATCCGACATCACATGACTGCTTGATAGCGGTACATATATGTCAGATCGTGACAAATCTCACGTATGACTGGGACAATTGCGGACCTAGCTCCAGTATGGCTCATGCAACATCTTCACAATGGCCACGGCAGCCCATCCTCGCTCTTTGGGCTAGATATCGCATCTTCGAAAAGGGCAATTGCCGCTCAGATTACTTTTATCCGTAGTCCTGGTCGCGCACGCTACATATCGAGGCCTCAGCGGGAACGCTCCTCATTCATTGGAAGACATAATCAGCCCACAAGAACCATCCTGTTTCGCCTTGTCGCCATTCCCAAACATATCTTCCCGATCCATTACCGCGCGCGTAAATACATAGTTCCAGCCGTTTCTGCTCCTATTTGTATAAGCAGATGAGCATACCGTCCCTATCTATTCGAACAGCTTTCGGTTTCCAGAAAGTTTGTCAACTACCAATTCCTCCTATTTTCGAAACACAAATATTCCGGATTCCAATTTCTAAGCAGGCATTCGGCTGTCTATCAAAATGCCAACCAAGCTGTTCATTCATGGCTTCGCTGGTGATCCGCTAGACTACACTAAGTATCGCCACACGGGCCTATAGTTTAAGTTTCCGAATAGATCTACAAGTCTGTTGCATATATAGAGGTCATCTGGAACTTTCCAATTTTATCCACGCGACAATTACAGACCTGATCAGAGTGGCAGAACTTCCAGATACAATCAGTGAAGCCACTATCAGAGGCGTCGTTTCAAGAACCCCGGTGAAGAATGGACCTCAGGATATAGATTGGAATTGCTGGAATTGGGTGGGTGATGCACTTACCCGGATAGTGAACTATAGGTATTTGAATGTGTCTCAACGAGCATCGGCTATCCATGAAATGACTGATGTATGCTTGGAGGCGGAGGATGAATAACTTTATAGTATATGCTAAATCAAGCTGCAGGTGAGTAGCTCGTTTCAATATATAAGCAGGCGGTTTCGCTAACATGAAAACCTAGCCCTTTAATCTATTCAAATGATTCTTGTTAATCTTCTATTTAGGAGAAAGGAGATTTTTTATTGGTATTGAGAAATCAAAAAGACGATTATATTCTTAATTATTTGATTCGCCACTATCTTAGGTCTTTATAATATCCATAGTGTATCAGCTAGTAGCTCAAGATAAGAGCTAAGAAGGACATGCCTATATATTCTCTCTCGAATTTGTTCGAGCATATCATGATCCTCAACGTTGTCGAAGATCAGAAGGAAGGTTTTCTCTAATACGTTTAACCAATCCCTCACTTTTTGGATCCACTGATAGTCGTCTTCCACGCCTTCTGGTTTTGATAGACCAAATTTGAGTGCAAACTTCGCCAAGGCTTGTGTGAATTTAATCTGTGTTTTCGTCGGTATCCATAGCACCACATCATACAGTTTCAGGGAAGTGTTTGCATAGTGTAGTGCAAGTTGCGTCTTTCCAACACCTCCTGTTCCATAGATTGCGATAACCTTCAAATGCTCGGCGCTCACCTCGGGTCGAAGAGTCCTTTCCAAGGCCACTTTCTCTGGTGATATTCCAAAGAATTTGAGGTTAGAACCGTACAATATCATGTGACAAGGGAGATTCAGGTATAATCACGGAGAGCGACCGGACCATGAGAAATTGAAGGTCCGTTATGACTAGATACGACTATATCAACAAAGTCGGGCTAAATTATGATTCCATGGGGCAATGGGTCGGGCTTTGAACTCCATTCCGAAAAAAAAAAATAAAAATAAAAAAAGGTCAGCAATACAAGAGAAGAGATGCTATGGTATCCGTCAAACGCCATGCCTGAAACTCATGCTTGAGCCTCCATGCTGCTGTTGTTTAAAAAATGTCTTTTCTTTCCCAGCCCGTCCCCTTCAGATTTTCAATGCCCTTGCTTGGATGGTGCTGGGCCGGGTCTTGGTATTGGGTCTGGTAGGGGTTGGGATCTATGGCCTGGTCCAGATTGGACAAGGTATGGTTGACCTCACGGTGTTTGGCCTCGTCCGCCCGGATGTAGAGCAGCAGGTCCCGCATTGTGCGGTGGTCTTCTGGCATCTGCCAGTACTGTACGGCAATCTCGGGGGCCTTGAGCTCCTCCCACGCTGGGAGTTGGCCATCTTCGATTTCCTGGATGGCGCGGGTGTATGTGATGACGGCTTCCTCCTCTAGATAGCCCACAAATCGGTGGCAGATCCGTGGCGAAATTAGGTATGACAAAAAGAAGCCGTTGAAAAAGACGCCTTGTGCTCCTAAGACCATCAGGCGCATGAACCACCCTGGTTCGGCTAATTTGAGGAAGGTCAAGAGGTGCATGCGCTCGTTGAAGGCTTCCTCCAATAAGGTTTCAATCCTAGATTGTAAAATTGGATTGTCAGCACATTGAACACATTGAACACTGGCTACGAGAGTCGGTCTCGATCAAGCTTCATTTGTCTCAGTCGGTACGTACCAGCCATTGTCTCGCTTCATCCGACGAAGGCTGCGCAGATGGCGGAGCATCCCGCCGACCATGCCAGGTACCCCTGCCACGCTCTCCAAAAAGATAAAGCGGGCCATCCATTTCTTCTCCGTCATCTTGAACTTCTTGTCGGGCTCGTCGCCCGGCTTGGGATGCTTGTACCCGGTTGCAAAGTCCATGCCCCATCGAAAAATGCGGACGGTCCCCAGCGCAACCCAGTCAGACCAGTTGGTGGCTTCCCGGTGAGCGACCATGACACTTTTCATCTGGGATTCCGTGTACCTGTGCAGACTCTCCATCAGTTCCAACGTCTTCTACAGGGGGGGGGATGTGTGGAGAGGGCGTGGGCTTACACTGGATGAGTCCATGCAGTTTTCACGAGCTTCACGCCCGGGGTCTGCGGCGGTGGGAAGTACTCCTTGATCTGGGGCTGGGGCGTGGAGGAAATGAGGCGTTTTGGGGTGTAGTTGGTTGTTGCGGATTGCATGCAGGCGACTCTATATGAGTGGTTGAGGGTCGCAACCGCGAGGCCCGAGTAGGACCGCACGGCCATCTGGAGATAGGCCTGCGGCCGAACAGCCCGCATGGGGGCTGTTATGGATATAGTTGAGAGAGTAGTCATGGGAATCGTCAGGGGTAGGAATGAGAAGCAGTGTGTTGGTGAATGGTAAGGGATGAGTGATGAACGACGATTGACGTATGGAACGGAAATGACTAGGAGAGTCGTAGTGTCCTTGCTGTCTGGCTGATGATCTCAATCGGCGTCAAGGGTCTACTTCTTATACTCCCCAGGGCCTTGCCTCTGCCCCCAACGCAAAGCCCGCAGACTTTGCTTGTCTTGACTGGCCCCGATTATCCCGAGTTGGTCACCGATCCGTACGGAACGCGGCTGTGCCTGGAAAATGATGACATTCGCTGGTGCTCATTGGCGCGCCATACGATGCTGATCGCCCGTCAAGGGACCATACCGAACGCGCCCCCACTTGGTCGATCGCCCTGTCTGCGGCTCCGACGACGTCGCATCGGACCCGATGGCAGGCCAGAGTGGCCGGCATCCAATACCCACGAACAAGAAGCAGCCCCAGCGACCTTCCCATTATCGCAATGCAGCTTGATCAACCTGGCCGTAATCATAGACTTGTTTTCTGATTACGAAGTACCAAATACCGACACGGCCTGAGAGGACCGTCCGGGAGCAGGTGACCTCGGGCGGAGTCGGGATCAACCAACGCATTTTCCCTCGTTCTCTCGCGCTCTTGAAGGCGCTGACTCACAATCCGAGATTTTCTCGGACTTGAGTCGGTCTTTGCTTTCGGGATCTTCGACCAATCTCACCGGTGGCAGACTTAGGACGAAAGATTTATTGCGCTGGCCCAGGTACTCCAGGGACTCTCTCTCTTCCGATACTTCCCGGTGCTGTTTCCTCAAGCGAACTATATATACTTGGGTAAAAATAGGCTATCTATATAGTCGGTGTCGGGCTAGGGGAAACAAACGCTTGAGTACCAGAATGTGTCCTTTCCGCTTTCAATTTTCTCTGTCAGCTTTCGTCAACTAACCATGGTCTCTTCACATTGCAGGAACAGTCTGCTATGTTGAATGTCCAAGCATAATTGTCATTCTGTTCCTCCGTTGCCCATGATATATAGTCGCGAGGGTTTGAGAGTAGATTGAATGTGCGCAATATTCTCAACTAAATGAGGAAATCCTGATAAAAAAAATTCATTTGGGGGTTCATCCTTGAGAAGAGCAATTAGGAGGCAGCTACAGGAGAATGAGAAATACAATGGGCAAAACAATCAATCTTCTGAACCAAAGCGCGACTCCATAGTCCGCATCACATAGAAGTTGTCCTCGCCCTCCTGTAGATCAATCTCCCGCTTCTCCAACTTGACCACATGGGCATGCCGGGGACCTTTATCTATCTGCTGGAGCAATTTTTGCACAGTTGCCTCATCCCCCTGGGCTTCGCCCTCGACCTACGCAGAAGGCGAATGAGTGAGAAGTCACCCCAACGTCGGCCTTGCCGATGTCGAAATACACAGGCAGGGATTGACTTACTCGACCGCAGGTAGTGTTTCGGACGAAGCCGGTCAGCTCATGGCTGATAGCGCATTTCTGTGTAAAGTCTCTAGAAGATAACCCGCCACACCGCTGTCAGTTCGTGTTCGCGGTGGATATGATGTCATAGGATCTGTTGTTTGGCAGGCGGGCTCTTACCGAAAACCGACACCTAAAAAGGTATTCATGAGCACGCGAAGGCAATGTAGTATGTCACGAGTGCCAGAGAGTTTGATTGAGAGGGGCCATCAATCCTGAGTACCAATAATGGAAATGGACTTTTCCGAACTCACCTTGCACCGTGCCATGCACTTTGAATGCGATCTAGAAGGATGTCAGCCGTGTGGGGTAAAGCAGCTTGTTCAGGACAGGAAGAGGAGAATAGTAGCAGCTTGAAAGAGGGAATCTGGGAAGAGTCTATGTAAACTCATCATTGCATACCCGTTTGCTCGTCATGATAGCGGGATCGTTTGCGATCACGGCCGTGGGAGGGAAAAAATGCCGAGACAAGTTCCAGCTTCCGGTTCGATGTTGGAGTTGATGGGATGTGCCCGAATCGCCGCCCGCTGCTGATCTAATCCCGTCTGAGCAAGAGGCAGGCACTGGTTCGTCGCGTATCAACATGGAGTATAATGGGAGTTTCTAGGAAAGGGCTGGATCGGGATTTGTTGGTTCATTTCATGTACGATTATAGGCAATCGACTATAGACAGTACTATTGGAAATCACTGCTCTTAAGCGGTAAAGCACATGAGATATTATTATTTTCAGTAGAGCTTACTAAAGATGTTACTTTTGAATAGCTCAACAGCAGAGCCAAGAGAAGAACATCAAATCGATACGAAGGATCGCAATCAGTTACTCATCCACATCCCGAGGGTCATGCTCGCGCCAGTATTGCTCGTACTCTTCCGGAGTTTGGCCAGGGACAGTTTCATACTTGGTCAAGGGAGCCAAGGGAATGCCCAATTGTTCATATTTATCCAAGCGTTTTCGGGTTATCTCGCGACTCTTGTTGATGCTGTAGATCTTGATCCGATGAGCGGACGAGGTAACGTGAAGACCCCAATTCCACGCAGCCCGGACATTCAGAGGCTGGGTGTTGAGGGAGTTGTCCCAGCAGCGACAGACAATCTCAATCCATCCCTCCACATCACAGGGCAGATCGAATTCCCAGGTTCGCCAGGTCCATTTGCCCTTCTTTGACAGCTTCTCGGGTGGCACTTGATACCAGGTAAAGCCTCCATCCGCAGAGAGCTCCACACGCTCAGGCCATCGGCCGCCGCCAGAATATGCCCAGCCCTTGCAGCGGATTTTGCCCATGTGCACGACTGCCTGTTTCGTCCATGGAGACATGATCGCAGAGCTTACGGGCATCTCTTGGATCTGAATGCCGTCGGTCGGGCGCTGGTTGTACTTTCCAACTTGTTGGTTGAAGTACAGATATTCTCTGGCTTGAACTGGGGCACGCGATGGATGCTCAATGGCCTTGATGCGATACAGCCACTTCACGCTGCGAGCACCAATATATCCCAGAACCACAACCCGCAGCGGATAGCCGTGGATTTTGGGTAGAGGCTCTCCGTTCATCTCCCAGGCCAGAATAACCTCGTTGGCCTTGACCTTAGACCACGGAACGCTGACCACGTAGTTGCCAACCTCCAGGTCTTTGACGTATGTTTCGGCGCCATAGAGTTCAAGATGCTTGGCAGGCTTTATCAAGCCTCCACAATCCTTGATCAGCTTCTTTAAACTGATTCCCACATAGCGAGCCGTCCCGATGGCGCCCTCAGCCCACGGCGCCTGGGGAACCTCATCACCCTGGCCACCATATAGAGCAATTTGTTCAATGCGGCGAGTGCCAGAGCATTGGATGGTAACTGTTTTTTCCATGCGCGGAAACCTGGACTCATCCATGATGTCGTCCATGCTGTACGTCTTCGGGTGTTGCACCAATCCATCGAGTGACAACTCGAACCTGTCTTTGTCGATGATTGGGATGCCGCCATGGTTACGCACAAAATGCAGCGGATTGGGTGTGATCACCTTCGATGTGACCAGTCGCTTGGGAGGCTCGCCATTGTAGGGAAATTGCAAGAGATGGAGCATGTCGGCATGCTTCTCGCGCAGCACCGTTCTCCAAGAATCATCGGCGACAGTCGCGAGTTCCCCGCCAAGGGCAGCGTGCCACGCTTTGAAATCATCGCCAGGGAGCACAGGATTGGTACCCGGAATGGGCCCAAACATGAAGTCGGGACACCCGGGGAAGGTTTGAGAGGTCAGAATCTTGTGTGCCTTGGATTTCTTCTCTGGGTAGTTTTCCCATTCGACATATCTGATGTAACACGAGCACAATTAGTCACTTTCAGTGTTCAACAGCAAAGACCTATATTACTGTCCTTTAAGTAGGACAACAAGCAAGAATTCCATCGCTCACCCTTTCCAGCCAACTCGCTCGCGTGCAAAGAGCTTCTCGCGCTTGCCCGCGGACTTGATAGCCTCTTCATCCTTCATGATCTTGGTTGGTGGCGGAGGATAGATATTGACAGTATCACTCCCAGTTTGATCGAGGATGGGCAGCTTGTGGCCTGCCATGCCCTGTTCAATCATCCACTCATCAGGACGATTGGTGGTGTCCAATTCAACAGCGACTTCCATGATGAAGGGCGACGGGGCAAAAGTCGAGAGGGAACAGTCAGTTTGATCAGGAATAAATGAAAATACTGAATGAATAGAGCGGGATCTTCCACAGAAGCCAGCTTCGATTTGATCTTATAGCTTTCTCCTTAAGCCCATAGACTGTCGGATGCGGGTGATCGGCCCCGAGACATTCCAACGCCCCTGCCTTTGCTTATACATTGTTACACTCTTCGAGAAAGAACCTCTCCGACCAGCAGAGTTTTGAAGCGAGCCCGCATCCAGGAAATTTCGTCGAATCCATTGCTCTGGTTGCCCAGATAAACTGTTTTGTTATTAGAATGACCTCACGACTCGGGCGGACTGATACGGAGTGGCGTTTGTGTAGAAGCCAATTCATGGATTGAGCCCCCCATGGAAAGACATTCTAGCTTCTCAGTGACTACTTGAGATTGTCCCAGCTCTAGAATAATAGACATCCTCAATTGAGCTTAGGGGAAACTGTTTGTTGTTCCCTTTGTATACTGTGCTTGTGGCGAGATTTGATATTCTTTTGCCATTCTTGACAATTACCCCGTGCGTTCTCCGGCTGTGGAGAGTTAAAGCTAACCCATTCGCGGGTGGAACGCCCTTGCTCAGAATCTACATGACAGGCGAGCAATAATTTGGGTTTAGAATATACGTATATTTGGTAGGCAAATGCCGCAAATGACTAATGATAAAAGTCCCTACCGAGTTTCCGACCACCACTTGTCGCGCATGGTTCTCGACCCAGTCCCGCTTCGAGCAGTGCGGGCGTCTGTGCATTAAGGTTGGACCCTACTGGAATGCAGGGAGGGGTCTCTGCATTGTCCGAGGTGGCAGATACTGCATAAGCCGGGATAGCGCCCCTGCTATTGGAGGATTAGTTCTTCCTAATCTAGACAGCCAAGCAATCTCGCAAATTTGGAAAGCCCGAGCGACGGCCTAACAAGGGTGCTCTGACAATAAGAGGTGGCTGGCAATTGTGAGCGCTCGAGTCCTTCGGACATGCAAATACTTGTCCAAGGATCTAAAATGAACGCCCATAGCGGGATCGATCAGGATATACCCTCTGGATTCAATACATGTTAACTCGTTCATACTAATGAAAGACTCACTTTGCGCTGCGAAAGGGCTGGCTGCGGATTTTTCGCCCGGAACTTGAATCGAGCCTTGTACATTGCAACTTGCATATAGGAAAGATGGAGAACTTCGACAATGGTGACTGGGAGACTCTGGAACACTTTGGCATCAGGGTATATTGGGAGTATGGATTTTGTATCTAGGTAGGGACAAGTATTCCCAAATTACGTATAGCTCCCCTCCAGGGGTCTATAGAAATCACCAATCTATCCCCGAGGTGTCCCTCTCGAATATTGGATGCTCTAGAAACATCCCGGGATTGTCCTTCCCTTAATCCCCAGCCAAGTGTGTCTGTTCCCTTGGCATGCATTATAATACCGGCCTTTCCCTTCCCGAATCCCGTTATCTCCAAAACAAGCTCTCAGAAGTGGGTTGGGTTGCCAGAGATCAAAAGCTCGGCGTGTCTCCTGGAATATACGAAGGCGAATGCCTAGTCCTCGGTAAATGCCGATTGTATAGTACGACACCAAGCAAAAGAGCCGGGTCATCAACTCTGGCAAGAGCTGCGGGGAGCTCCGCCGCGCGAGTCGCGAGGTTGCTGGGAAACCCCCACAGATTGGGAAGGACTTGCTCGTTGTGAAGATTAGCTTTCTCTGATTTAGAAAATAATAGCATCGCGCGCAGGTTGATTTCAGATCGTGATTGATCGGAGGCTTTAGACTTAGCAGGCTCTCGTGCTAGTCGACTAGCTAGGGTGATTTGGCAGGCCGAATGCCAGCTAGTAGTAGGCCGGTACGAGAGTTGTATGGACTGGGCATTCATGCCCCGATTCCAATCATAAATGCCTGATAAGCTGAAAAATTGATGCAAGTCCGTCTTTACCTTTCTTTTCTATTCCTTTCTTTCTACTTGCAAACACTGAATGTTGGAGAGAGGGTCGCACCGCTGCGGCCAGGAAAACTCACCCGCCCATCAAGTCGACGGTTACTGGAGCTTTCTCGGCAGGCTAATTTAGCGTCCTGCAGCGAGAAGGTCGGAGGGGCGAGTCTTGTCGCTCACTTGTTTTGGTGGGTCCGAACGCCGAAATCAAGCCTTGCCTAGTCAAGCTTCCCAGACACGATGGGACCTGCCAGGAATTGGCGAGACCCTGATGGGAAGTCCAACGTCGAATATCTCTCTATTTCTCCACCAGATAACCGCGGTACCCGATGGTTTTTCTTTCTCACCTCCGAGGGTTTCGATTATCCCGTATTACACTAGCCCCATCACTCTTGACCACTCTTGACTCGAGCTCTGGATCAAGCACTGGAGATGTAGCCTATCGGCTCAATGTTCGGAAAATACGGTAGCATGCATGGTGCACATGGGCTTGTCAAAGTCAAATGGACTGTCAAATGGGCTCGTAATGAACCGGTGTCCAGCGAAACTTAGAAACTTTCTCCTACGCCAGAAAGGATCATGCATTGCAGCAGTTCCCCGCACGCGCGAGTATAGATAGAAAAAGGCCCGAGGGGCCCTGGGAACAAGGGATTCTTCTTCGATTCTTCTGCTAGAGACCTCTATTTCTGAAGATTGCCCAATCTTTTTTTCGAGATGACTCTGCTCACGGCATTCATTGCAGCCGCCTCTTTGCCTCTGGCAGATCTTGCAAGCGCAGAAAGAATCCTAGGTGCTTATATCTTCCAGCGCCATGGTGATCGCACGGCAAAGGCTCTGGCCCCAACCAAGCTGACTGATCTGGGATACAATGAGGAGTACCTGAGCGGTAGTTTCTTTAATGATCGTTATATCTCGAGCAACTCGGCATATCACATTGAAGGCATCAGCTCCCCTGTCGTCAACTTAGCTCAAATCGCCGCGAGTGCGCCGCAGGACAATGTGATTCAAACCTCTGGCCAGGCCTTCTTGCAAGGCCTTTACCCGCCTCTGGGCTCCTCGGCGAGTGAGAGACTGCGCAATGGCTCAACAATCCACTTGCCATTAAGCGGGTATCAGCTTATTCCAATGGGGGATGTGCAGTCCGGCTCTGGCAGTGAAGACAACACTTGGCTCGAAAGCACCTCGACATGCAGCAAAGCCACGCTGAGCAGCAATGCATATTACTATTCTACCTCGTATGAGGAGTTGCAATTGTCTACCAGCAAGATGTACCAATCACTCACTTCTCTGACCAACAACACCATTCCAGCTAGCCAGATGAGCTACAAGAATGCATACACTATCTGGGATCTGTTCAACGTGGCACTCATCCACAACTCCACCTTCCCCAGCTCCAGTATCCTATCAGACAACTGGCAAGAGCTGTTTGTGCTGGCCAATATCCATGAGTTTAATCTCGCGTATAACAGCTCGGACACAATCCGCGCTATCGCTGGTATGAATTTGGCCGGCGAAGTCCTCACGGCTCTCAATAAGACAATCGCCGGAGGCAAGACCAAGCTGAATATCCAATTTGGTGCGTACTCAACGTTCCTGTCCTACTTTGGTCTTTCGGGACTCAGCTCGATGAACAACTTTACTGGCATGCCTGACTACGCCTCGTCAATGGCATGGGAGCTTGTCACGAATGCCCCTGGCACTGGTATTCCTTCCAAATCAGAGATCAACGTCCGCTTCATGTTCCATAATGGAACAAGCATCACGGGCTCTACGGATCTGCAGGCCTATCCACTGTTTGCTCAGTCGGCCGTGCAGATTCCTTGGACACAGTTTGTCGACTCGACGAACAAGTTTGCGATCACCTCCCAGCAGCAATGGTGTCAGGTATGTGGCAATAGCACTGGTATCTGCGCTACTACTTCCGATACGACTACCAGTGCGTCCTCCTCTAAGGCATCTTCTGGCGGTCTGAGTCTTGCGGATGCGGGGGTGATTGGTGCGATGGTGACTCTGGGTGTCCTCGCCGGCTTGTCCGTCCTGCTGATGCTGATTTTCAATCTCCGGCTTGTGCGCAAAAGTACCCTTGCCGCCATCAATCGCGGCTCAGAGGCCTCCCTGACGCCCGCGCCCGTCAAATCTTCATCATAGTAAAAGTCACAAACGAGTACTTTCTGTTCGGGTTCAATCTCTTAGCTATTCTATTAATTGATAGGACGCAATCTGAATTTTCACTTCCCATCAAAGTCTGCCTTGGAGTAGAATACTTCTTTTATTGTGCTATATTCTTTGCTGGATGCCCGCATGACTTGAAACATAGATCGATGTGATATTCGCGGGCGGTGATTGGAGGCGGGACCGGCGCCGATCGTCAACGGCCAGTTCGTTCCAACCTCGGCCCCCTGAGTAAACATCCCAACATCTCAATCCCACGACGCTCTCTACGCCATGCTACTGCTATAAAATGACTTCCATACTTTCCTGGCTCCGGCGAATTTATTCGCTCGACACCCTTGACACTCGTTTCACCTCCTCTGCGACCACTCCGGCTACCGCAGCCGCCGACACGCGACCACCCTCCGCGAAAGATGCCCGCGCTAATGCCATTGCCCAGGGCGCGTCCGCACCGCTCTGGCGTACCCCGGAGTTCTTCATTTACTACATATTCTTCATCACCCTCGTTCCATTGATGTTCAAAACGGTGGCTGATGCCTCAAAAGGTGAGTGGATGGCCGGGAAAGTAGCGAGAGCGCAGGACGTCAAGATGCTGATTCTGGATTGAAATGACAGACACTCACCCAATCTACTCTGAATACTCCCATCTTCTATCCCCAGGCTGGATTCCAGGGCGGCTTGTGGTGAGTCTTCTGATCTGCCCGTCATCTATGACTGGAGGGGGCGCAAGCCTTAACTGACCCGTGTACATTGAACAACCTCAGGACAACTCCGACGCCCAGTATGCCAGCTTCCGTGACAACATCCCTGCCCTTGTGCTACTTCTCATTGCCCATCCCCTTGTTCGCCGAGTCTACCAGTTTTTCACAAGCCGGCCAAGGAACGAAACAAAGCCATCTCACCCATCCGCGGCCATCACAGGCGATGTCCAACTCGAACAACGGATGCGCTTTGACTTTGGATTTGGGTTGATTTTCATAACCGCCCTCCACGGAATCTCTGCGCTCAAAGTCCTACTGATTCTGTTTGTCAACTATAAGATTGGCAAAGCTCTTCCTCGATCCTATGTCCCCGCAGCAACATGGACATTCAATATCTGCATCCTGTTCGCCAATGAGTTATGCGGTGGATATCCACTGGAAGTTTTGGCGACAATTCTGGCGCCGAAAACCACAGGAAGCAAGACGTCGTTACTCGTCGAGTGGGCCAAAAGCCTGGATAACTTTGGGGGGATTATGCCGCGCTGGGAGGTTCTCTTCAAGGTTACCGTGTTGCGGCTGATCAGCTTCAACATGGACTTTTACTGGAGTATCGACTATTCTGCGGCCAGTCCCATTGAAGTATGACATTTCGCCCCCTTCCATTGAGTGTTCGACAAGCACAGCTAACAGATTTCCACAAGAAGAAGCAACTCGACCCCGCGAACCTCTCTGACCGAGACCGGGTCAAAATCCCCGCCGAGCCGGCCGCCTTCAGCATGCGTAACTTTATCGCCTACGTTCTGTACTCGCCGCTCTATCTCGCCGGCCCCATCCTGACCTTCAATGACTATGTTTCGCAGCAGCGATACACATCACCATCCTTGACACGCTCACGCTCACGCACTGTTCTCTACGGAATCCGGTTCTTTCTCACACTCCTCTGCATGGAACTCATCCTCCACTATATCTATGCAGTCGCAATCTCCAAATCCTCGCCCAATTGGTCTCTATTCACCCCAGGTCAGCTGAGCATGCTGGCCTTCTTCAACCTTCACATAATCTGGCTGAAACTCCTCATCCCATGGCGCTTCTTTCGTCTATGGGCCCTCATCGACGGCATCGACCCTCCAGAAAACATGGTCCGCTGCATGTCCAACAACTACTCCGCGTCTGGCTTCTGGCGCGGGTGGCACCGCTCCTACAATCGCTGGGTGGTCCGCTATATTTACGTCCCCTTGGGCGGCGGCGGCGGCGGCGGACAGCGTCCTGCCGGCGCTAAGCCCTCTTCAACTCCTCCCTCGGGCTTCATGGTAAAATTCCAGCGTATCCGCAACACGCTGCTGGTCTTCACATTTGTTGCTATCTGGCACGACATCAACCTGCGCCTTCTGATGTGGAGCTGGCTCATCACGCTCTTCGTTTTGCCCGAAGTCCTGGCTGGTATGCTTTTCCCCGCCAATCGGTGGCGCTCGCGCCCTACCGCATACAGGGTCCTTAGTGGCCTCGGTTCCGTGGGTAATATACTCATGATGATGATTGCAAACCTTGTTGGCTTTGCTCTTGGCCTGGATGGATTGAAGGATCTGCTGGCCAGCTTGACAGGCTCGTACTCTGGAGTCGCGTACATGATCTCGTGTTGTCTAGTGCTGTTTGTGGGAGTGCAGGTCATGTTTGAGATTCGCGAGGATGAATTGCGAGCGGGTATCAATTTGAAGTGCTGAGTTGAATGTTTTCTTTCTTCAACCTTTTTGCTTCCTCAATGATTATGCCGATGGAAACTCGAAATTATACAAGCAAGAATAGAAAAGAATTTTAATGAAAAAAATTGAATTAAGGCACGAATTGCTTGTTTGGTTATGGGTGCTAATCGTAATGTCGTAATTGGAGGCAAAAATACAAACTGCCATAAAGGTGTATCCTTGCTCCGATATTATACAATTGTGGATATATTTTATCCATCTTAAAAGAACGCTCCACATCTTGAATCCTCGTGAACCCGGTAGCAATCAAGCCCGCATGTCCTCAAGTGACAACTTTTGCATCGGATTTTGCCCCAGTATCCACACATACAGCAAAAGGAGCGCGGTGGTTGCGCCGAGAGGGGTGGCCTGGCACGAGAGGCATTGTATGACAACGCTGGCTCTGCCAACAGGCGCTGCATTATCCGGTCTGAGGGCATAGTCGGTGCGTAGGAGCGGAGGAGGGGATCGTCGTCATGTTCGGTTTTGAGAAGTTTGGGCTTTTTCTCCTCCGCATCCGTCTCGGGATCGGTAGTCATTGTCTCTGCAGCTGATGGGGCTGGTGTTGGTGTAGAAGAAGCGGCCATAGCAGCTGACGGACGTTTCCGTCGCGCGGCACTGCTGGATACCGGCGTTTCGCTTCGTCGCGCTGCAGCCACCTTTGCTTTTACCCTCGAGGGCACTGCAGCCCCGATATTCGCTGTCCCCGGGGGCACGGTGACTCCGCCACCCCCAGCAGCAATCGCTGCCTCCTCGTCGTCAAGGTGATTCCGAAAAGTCTTCTGTGACTGCAGGATACGGCGAACGTTGGAGGTTGTCTTCGTTCGAGAGGCGCGCGCGCCGGCTTCTTTTGCTGGTTTCGCCGGGACGGTAATCTGCACATCTCGGTGATTCTCACGATCGAGTTCTGCAAGATGTCGTACAATGGCATTTGCACGTCGTGAGGAGATGTCGCCGCCTTTGCCAGCGTCGCGAATTCCGCGTTTGCGGCCAAGGGACGGAGCCATGGCAGCTTTGGCAGGGTCAAACCCCCGGTCTGCGACGTATGTCCAGCCGGGGGTTGCATGTGATGAGGAGTCAGGAAGCAGTTGAACACGGAACATGGTTCCTTCTCTTGAGCCGTGATACCTGGTCACAGGGAATGTTGAGGGGACAAAGTTGTGGATGAGGAAGTCGTCCTGATAACGCGATGTTTGTCTGGTTTGCATGGAAGACGTAGCCCGTCGCGGGCCCGCGCGGGCGTCCATTTGACGGGAGCTCGGATGGTCCACTCGCCCCGGGCGTTCTTACCGCTACAATTGCCACCAAGAGCCGTCACAACGTAAGCTCAGCCCATGTTTTAATGATAATATTGTCGTTTCTAATTCTTTCAGAAATCTTCCCATCATGTCTGCCCGGACAAAGCTATTTCTGCCGCTGCGCGGACGCGTTGTCGCCCGATCTTTCTCGGTCTCCCGTCCGCGATGGGAGGCTGCCCCGCTACCTGCACGAAAGCCAGTTGGAGCGTTTCGAGGAGGGTATGTCTATTCGACCTGATCATTTTATGATGCTCTTTATCCGCTGCCCTTGCGTTCTTGGTGCGAAATCTCTAACTTCTAGCAGCGTTTTCGGCTTTCTGACCGGTGCGGTTGTTGCCGGTGCATCTGTCTACTACTACATTCTCGGGGATTATCGTGTCGCAAATGAGATGCTGTCAGATGATATCTCGGTAAGCACTCTCTTCATATCTTTCGCAACACTCGTTCACCTTCAGATACTTACTGGATGACTTCTTCTTCCCCATCCGACCTGGGGAAGATGGTGTCACTACTTAAAAGGCTCTTCAATCCGCCACGATCAAGCTTCAGTCCTATATTTCAGAACTGGAAGCTCGTGTAGACCAGTTGAAGAAAAAGAAATAATGAACTTTGTGTTCAAGTTGTTTTATTATATGTAACTACTAGTTGATTGGGTGTTCGAAGGGGTTTTGCATTGATTTTTATCCCCGACTATCTATCTTTAACTCAAATTTGTCCGAATACCATATCTGTTACTTGATTTCAGAATAAGGAAATAGGGCTTTATGCTGTCGTTTGAATCCCTTATTTGATCGTCGCGGAGTGCCATGGTTTGAGAGTCGACGGCGAAGACGTGACGTTGAGGGGGGGGAGATCCCAGTCTATAATTCCCAATTAGTTATATCCATACTCTTCCAGGCTATCGCTAGAAAGCTGGTATATGATAACATCTCTGTGGCCAACCGGGAATGATAGAAATAGATATCATGATTCCTGGCTTGTCAAAAGGGGCAATTTCCTGTCCTTCTTACACTCTCCTATCTGCCAGGACGATTTCATGCAGTGAAGGAAAATATATATTCGCACTCGTTGTCCAGGCTCTTTTTCCAAGCAAAGCCGACAACTTTGAAGTTCATGAATGCTGTTGATTACCACCATCTAAGCCCAAGCCTTTCAGATATATGAGAATATTGATATATTCCAATTATCGATGGCTAGGGGCACTATCTAGTGGCTTGCCATAGATATTTGACACAATACATGCTATATTCTAAGAAAATCCACCCCGATTGGAAATGCGGTGAACGCTAATTGGGAGCAATACAGCATTTTCAACAAAGAATAAAAATAAGGTATATATTGCAAAATGAAATTACCAAACCAAGGGGAAATCGCTGTGGCCAATACAGGGCATGCAGCTATACAGAAAGTGTGTCAGGTAACCTTTAATTCGCCATCGTACTCTCGTTGAATAGGTCTGCCAATAGATCATCAAGGCACACCGCCATATCAGCATTCTCCATACCATATGTGCTCTCAAACACATAGATGCTCAGGCGATCAAAAAAGGGCCGTAATACCCGCTCAAAAATCTCATCTTTGGCGGTTTCACGGATGCGGTCCGAGATGAGCCATGGCCGCTTGAGTCCTCCGCGTACGATAGGTTCAGAGGGCTCACCATGCACCATCGGTGAGAATACACCGCGGGGACCAAAGCTCTGAGAAACCTCATCAGCCAAGGCTACTGGCTCCCAGCGATCTGGCGGGTAAACGGCGTCAATGGTATCAGTTACAAAGAGCCATTCCATGAGCTGGAAGTCGTCCGGCGCGACAACCAGTAGGATATCGAGAAGTTTGCAGGCTTGCAGCAGCGAGTAGGAGTTGTAAAGCTCGGACTGTGGGGTTTGGGGAACGGCCGAGACAGCGTCTTGCAGTTCACCATTGATAAGCGGCCAAAATGGAGCGATGGCAGTGTTGGAAGTTTTGATCACCACCGCACGGAGCACCATATAAATCTCTGCTCGTGTCGCGGACGACGGCGAAGAAGAGCTGGTAGCGGCGAGAAGGTCTTCTAATTTTTGCAGCAGACTCGGAAGCTCGGCCACAAAATAGTCCTCATTTGCAGATAGGATGAGGAGCGCAGTGCGACGGAGATTGAGCTGCGCTTTGCGATCTGCGTCCAGTCGCGCCGCAGATGCCCCGACGCCAAACATGATTCCCGCTGCGCTGGGGGGTGGGATACGAACCAATAGTTCTGTCAGGCGATCTTTATCAACCAGCGTCCATTGTCGCAGAAGGTCCATCCAACAGTTCTTCACAAGATCCACATGCAAACCAAAAAAGCGTGGATCATTGAATGCATCTGCGATATCTTTTTTCCACAGCTTAGCTGCCGCAGGCACCTTGGCCATTTGCTGCAGAAGCGTCATGACGTTGCGGTTGAGATTGTTGGGGAATAGACGAGAACGAATAAGCGGGCCAACGACATTCGCTGAGACTCCGCTAATGGCTGTGTTGATACGGTCCGAGTCACCCAAGGTTGCGAGGAAGGAAGGCATGGAGACAGCGAGGATGCTCAACATGTCATCTGGCCCAGTATGTGATACCGCAGTACGGTCATAATCTAGTGATGACCTCGCCAAGAGGCTAGAGTCTTGATTCAGCCCCAAAGGCTTGCTTGTAAATACGGCAGTCAATAGCCGTAATACAACGTCCTAAAAACAAAAATTAGTAAAACAGTAAAATGATACGGGTTGAGAGAACGCACGCCTAACTCCTTGCGCATGCGTCGGTCTTCGCCAAAAGTCGTATTTTCCAATTTTGCACCCAGAATGGCTGCAAATTCAATCAAACGTGGTAGGATTTGTCGGTGAGGAAAAGGATTACTGAGCACATCTCGCAAAAAAGTTGTGCAGTCGGTCCAAATCTCGTCAAGGAAGTCGTCATCCAAAGAGCGGGCATAAGCAACTAGGAAGCTGGCGAGCTCGGATTCAGACAAATTGGAAGACATAGATGATTTGCGGTTATTTTCCAGCGCAGCGGGATTTGTGCGTGTATAGATCGCATTGAAAACAGCCGGAATGGCAATCTTTGGGCTTGAGCCATCAAGAGTGTGCAGAAGATTGAAAATGAGGGACGCGGTTTCAGTATCAGACTTAGTCCACATTTCAACAAGTGTCTCTAGACATTCCAGAGCTTCGGCGGTGAAAAAATGCTCCAAAATTCGGCGTGACCGGTTTCGCATTCGCAGGGACGTGTATTGAAACGACGCAATCGACTCGGAGTCTGGAGGCGGTCCGCTCCGATCTCCAGCACCCCATGCCCATATAGAGAAACAAAGACGAACAGCATCTTGGAAGCAAAGCAGAACTGTCAGTCTGTCATTGGCGGTATTGGAACGCGCCTGACTGCCATCTGAATTGAAAACACCTGATACCATATTGCCGAAAAAGCCCTGAGGCTGATCTGGGCTCTTGGCTGCTGGGGCATTTGCCTCTTCCAGAAGAAGGCGCTCGTGAGCATTGGCAATGCAGGTCTCAAGGCCAGTAAGCAGAGAAATGGTGACATGCTCCGAACGATCTTGCGGCCAGTCTTCCGTTTGCTGAAAAGCAAGCTGGAGTCTCTTGAACGATTCCCTAATTTCTCGACAAAAGCATTCTACAAGTATGAGGAGTATTTGGAAAATAGAGTGCGAATAGAGTGGGAGCACCTCGCAGAGTAAACCGATCCACTTATCCACAATCTCTCGCGACTTCGCCGAGCTGATACCTTTAAGCAGGCAGTCGAGGAGTCTTTCGGGAGGACGAGGAAGCTGAGGCATTGAGGGCCCTCTGTCGGCCTTGTCGCTGGTAAATGACAAGATGGAGGGACTAGTCAAACGCTCACGGGAAATTGCATGTTGATTTTTCGGCCGAGGAGGAACCGGCGGCAAGTAGGCTTGAGCAAAGCGTACTTTGAGGGCTGCGAGAAGCGCATCAATAATAGCACCCTGTACCATAATGCTTTTTCCTTCATCACAAGAGACTAGGAGGTGATCGACAAGGAATTCATCAATGCCTGACTCAACCAGATCCTCAGCACCAGGGCCCAAGAGAAGTTGTCGCATGAGATGAAGAGCATCCTTTTGTAGCCTTTCTCCTTCCGGTGTAGTTGATACCGAACTAGGCACTTGATCACCGACGATCTTAAGAGAGGCTTCAAAAACGGATGCATGGAGACTTTTCACATTTGCACTGCCTATTTTCAAAATATTGCGTAAGTTGTAGGATTTTGGGGATCTTACAAGAAAAGACTTACCTTCAGATGGCGTGAGATCGGCGCGCTTTTCTGGCTGGCCCGCAGTGTGGGTGAGGAGCGTAATCCATCCGTTATGAGAAAGGGTAGAAATGATGTTTGAAACAGTTCGCACAAGGTAGTTACATTCCTTGTAATCATCTGGTGAGATCGCCTGGTTATTCTCCGCATCACTGGGGCTATCGCGTTCGAACAATTCTTCAAGCTTCGAGACAACAAGAAGAAATATTCTGAAAGGGGATTAGTTTAGGGTCATGAAACGTCCAAACATTCAATGGATTGGACATTACCTATGAATGGAAGGCAGATCTTGAAGCCACTGCTGGACATTTTGGGAAATGTCACCAGGTTCTTGAGAAAGAAGGTCAAGAACTATGAAAAGGGGGCGCTCGAGAAGAGAACATTGATAAGAGAACGGGGTTCCCCCAACGTCAAGCACTTGTTTAGGGGGTTGATCATGTGTTCCATGGTGACTATGGTTCCAGAGAACGAAGAACTTCTCCGCTTGGTCTTCGGATGACAGATGGTAGGAACTGGTACCTGCAGCCTTGACCATCAATGTTGTAATGGAAGCCTCAACAAGGTGATCAACCCAAGAAATGGAATGGAGTAACCACAAGCACCGAACAGCCTCGACATGAAATTTCGGGCTCAAAGGGGACAAATACTGCCATAGTCGTTCAACCATGCTCGGGATAAGATCACTCGCATCGACATATGATACATAGAAGCCAGGACTTTGAATGAAGAATAAATTAGTCACAACAGAAGCAATAGTGCAGACGATTGCGAATGACGCTGTTGTGGGACTGTCACTTCTTGTAGCAAGTCTCTTTGATATTGCCTCGTAAAACCGCCTATCCCGAAGAATCCGGGACTTGGGAAGTTTTTGAAGCAATGTTAACAGGATGTTAAGCTTCTCGTGAAGCGACGAGGCTGATTCATCTCCTTCGAGGGCTTCAATAGATAGTTCGTGTGCCTCACGAACGATAATCTCACCGATATGTTTTGGAGCAAACGGAAGAGGCGGAAGTTCCAGACTGTTCTTGCTGCGCTCATAGAAATTATGAACCTTTTTCATAATGTCACTGTTACGAGCCTTTGTATCGGCTGCCGCAGACTTTTCGGATCCGGTCTTTCTTGAGAACACTCTTTCAGTGAGCAATGGCGTCAATGACATCAGAACTTTGTGCAATGAATCAGATACGGCTTGTCTCTGAGCGTAATTTTTGGGAGATGGTGTCTTCAGAGATGAAAGCTCGCGCATTTTAACCAGTACCGAGACTGTCAACAGAGGGATGTGAATTTGAATCATGTCTTCTTCTCGCACATTGAAATTCTCGAGAATGAACTGCGCGAGGCCAAGGCTGCGCAAGACTTGAGCATTGTCAGTATCCGCATCACTTGGGCGGAAATCAACGAGACCGAGAAGTTCAGAAAAAATAACGCTGCTTTCCACACCATCGAAGAAGGCGCTTGCACTACGGAAAACCTCATCGAAGTGATTTTTAGGCGCTTGGCTTCCAAATTCTTGAACGCTGTGCACGGTGGGGAGAAATATCGCAGGTACAATATACCCACCGATCTCCCACCGATCCATCAGCGAAAGGGCAATTCTAAATGGCTTTGTCCTTTCAGATGGAGTACTAGGAGATTGCTTGATCATGTTCAGTAGACCATTGACTAGAGGCTGTAGACCAACACGGCTGAAGTATTGAGATTGCGAGAGCTCATTTCCGTCAACAGACGACGACCGAGCTATTTCAGAAGAAGGCTTCCGACCGTCTATGGAGGCACGGTCATTTGCAGGCTCGGGACCAAGGAACCATGCCCACAATCGGCGATTCAAGCTCATGTCTCGCCGAGCGACCACCCCCACGGCGGCAATGATCAGTGTTTGAAGATCATTATTGGTAATTCGAGACTGTAAGACGGGAGAGTTCAGAGGAAGGTGGGTTACCAGTAGGTCGAGGAAATTCCGCTGGACTAGGAGCTGCTCATCAGACAAGCCCGACGCGAAGCACCGAACAAGTAGACCCGGCTCCGGAAGAATTACCGAGTCTGCTGCAGCCAGCATCTCAGGTGGGATGTCTTTTACTTCTTTGCTACCTGTCGTGCTTGGTCGGCGGTCAGCAATACCCAGCTTTGGGAGATAGCGATTCAGGTATGCGAGCACGCCAAGGCGACGGCTGGAGTTGGTAATGGAGGCAAGGAACAGGCATTGCCAGAAGTATTGACCTGATGCTTCAGCCTCGGAGGTTCGCTGTGTTTCAAGGCGGACGGAAGCGTCTCGAAGCTTGTTGATAATCCGTAACGTTGGCTCAAAATCATCGCTTGTTTCCTCCTCCAACCCGGGAAGCAGTGCTAGAAGGACTGCTTTCAGAGCGGGGCGGATGGCCCAAGGCTCCAGGTCAACAATGTACCCTTCGACCAAAGACAGAAAAAGCGGGCGAACAGTGAGCGAGGCGAAGGTCAGGGTTGGGGCAAGACCGGGCAGGTATAACGGCAAATCGTGAGAGAGACCCTCGATCTAGGTACAAGTCCATTGTATAAGTAAACATACATCACGCTTATTAGCATATGCACATACCTTAATCAACCCAAATATGTACGTGTAAACTTCAAGGGCCTTCTGATGCACGCCTGAAGGCAACGATGGATTTAAACATTGCGCAAGGCGTTTCGAGACTAACACCTTGTGGGGGACAACTGGTTGGTCGGGACGGTGGGTTTGTAATGCCTATGCAATTGTCAATGATACATCTCAATGCGATCACTCCTCCTGGTGTTTTCACCTTCAGTAGACGGCTGAGGAAGGAGATGTAGTCGGCCCATTCTTGTAGGGCATTATCGAATAGCGACAGCGCCCGTTCGACGCTGGACGCATAGCGGCGATAGTTCTTGTCTTTCTTGAGTGACCCTGTTGCTCAGAAAACGATGTCAGGATTAGGTTCTCTTGAAACGAGGGCTACATGGGGGGAGGAGGTACTGACCTTCTTTGCCTTGGAGCCGCGAGCGCGTCAAGGAGCTTTCGGAGCTTGCGGGGGAGTTCGACCTCGGAAAGGTGCTCGGATCAAGGCTCATGGTGCCAATGACGGAGAGTGAATGAATGCAAAGGCTTCAGAATGCACTCCGTCATATTTAAAACATCGAATATGACCCGGTTGGTCGGGGAAGTTGAGCGTTGATTGAAGTTGAAAGGGCCACGCAGGCGGCCACATTGGATGTTTGTCCGCCTTGGAGCTGCTCCCTCTCGCCGACTCGCCGACCCACCGATCGACGTCAGCGTCGAACAACGTTCCTGACTTTCCACCTGAAACGCGATCCAGGTCGCTCCGGGACACTTGGATTCCGTCTTCTCCTCGATGATGCAAAATTCATGAGTTAATGCCCCGCGCCCAGCGATTGCGTTCAGAAGCGCACGCCAATTGCGGGGATGAGTACTCCACCACCGACCACCAAGAGCGATACCCGCGATGAACCTCCCATCGAGAACTCGACACCTCCCTCGGACCATGACGTTTTCTATGCCGATATGAGGAGTCGTAACCCCAGTCCAGAGGGCCCGCGACCACCCTTGCCTCCGCGACCGAACACCTTGAGCCTTTTGAACGATGAAGCGTCGAATCTACAGTCAGAGGCGACCACGGCTATCTCCAGGGCAGAGATTGGTACACATTTACCAGACGGGGGAGGAAGTGCCTATTCAACACTGGCTGTCCGAGGTTTCTCGCGTGGCTTAAAGGCAAGGGCGAGTCTCAGCCACTTGGCTAGTCCAAAAGGAAGTGAGGCTGGAGACTCGGCCAGTATTCGAAGCTCAGTCCAAAACAGCGAGGCCGGTGATGTGGAGGCGCTTTTCAAAGACTTCGTTGCAACAACAGCTACGGACAATCTTGATACTGCAAGCTTACTTCACTACCCCGAATTCCCAGCCGACGATGTGGATGACGACGGGTTTTTGAATGAGTTTGAGCCGGTGGGCGAACTGGATGAAGACGCGAGTAACGAAGGTAAGAGATATAGAGAGACATCACGGCTCCATAGTAGTTTTTTTATTACAAGATGAAGCTAAGCTGATCGCTTTCATAGACTCACTTCTCCAACGGTGGAAAGCAAAGAAGAAACACTTCATGATTCTTTCTGCTGCCGGTAAGCCGATTTGGACCCGACATGGTGATGGGACCTTGATCTCGAGCTATGTGGGAGTCGTTCAAACTATCATATCATTCTACGAAGGTTCAGACGATCGATTACGAGGTTTCATGGCCGGAGACACGAAATTTGTTGTTGTGACTCGAGGTTCATTACATCTCGTTGCGATTAGTCGCATGATGGAAAGCGACAATCAACTCAGACTACAACTGGAGGCTCTGTATATGCAAATTCTTTCAACATTAACTCTGCCGTCTCTTACTCATATCTTCTCTGTTCGACCATCTACCGATTTGAAACGGCCATTACAGGGGTCGGAGACACTTCTATCATCGCTGGCCGATAGCTTCACACGCGGATCACCGTCTACACTACTGTCTGCCTTGGAGTGTCTGAAGCTTCGAAAGGTGCATCGCCAGGCTATTAATAATGCGTTGTTGAAGACCAGAGCGACCAATTTACTATATGGATTGGTCGTTGCTGGTGGACGTCTCGTGAGTGTCGTCCGGCCAAAGAAGCACTCACTACATCCGGGTGATCTACAACTTCTCTTCAACATGATATTTGAAGCCGATGGCGTCAAAGCGGGTGGTGGAGAGAGCTGGATTCCAGTTTGTCTGCCCGGCTTCAACAGTAGCGGGTATCTATATATGTACGTCAGTTTCCTAGATCTTCGCAATGACGCCGAAGAAAATGAGGAAATTTCTAAGGATGAATCGGTCGCCATCGTCCTGATAAGCCCGGATAAAGAAAGCTTTTTTTGAGATGCAAGGGATGCGAAACGCTCTCCTTGAGGTTGGTTCATCTATCGCTGGAAAAAGTCTACAGATCAAGGCTAATCAAGTAACAGCAAATGGAGAAAATTGGTAGTCTGGAAGTAATTACATCGGCTATTGACCATGGCAGACCGGTGACCACCGACATTGTGCCCGGAACCGTATTACATCATTTCATGTACAAGTCCCGGGCAAATGTTCAATTTACTGTATCATCTTTCTCGCCTGAATTCGACTCCATCTCCCGCCGGCGAAGGTCAGTACATTTCTTGATGTATTCTCGGTGGACAATACAAATTCTAACAGACTTTCCAGATTGATGTCAATATACAACAATATACATGCTAGCATTCACGCCAAAAACACTCATGTCAAGGTTCACCACTCCGTTTCACGATCAGCAAGCGCATTCGCGTGGGTGACCCCTGTATTTGAGCTTTATTGCATCGCTGAGCCCAATGCCAATCGAAATTCCTTGGTGCAGAGTGCCAATAAGATAGTACAATGGGTACAGCAAGAAGAAGAAAGACTATTCATCATTGGCGGCGCTGTACGTATTCCCTCGAAAAGGTTGCTGGGCGTGAATTAACAGCAATCATAGGTTTTCTGAACACAGTAAAGCAATCGATTGCTCTCATAGGAGACCATTCGCTTGAAACCCTTGTACATAGTTTCCTGCAAATATACCTACCATGAATGTAGATTTGTTACTATTCTTGCTATCCAAGTTTCATATTCCGCCCGCCTATGTAAGGTATTTATATCAATGGCTAGACAGAAAATGTAGATAGATACACCGAGGATAACACAATCACCCTTTAGTCGATAGAGTCGTCCCGTAGATTGAAGAGCTGGCGCATAATCTCTCCAGATTTGCTGCGGAGTCCATCGTGATACATGGTGTTGGTTATGAATTGCTTGATACCTTTGATCTTGGCAGCGGTTTTGGTGGCTAGATCGAAAGGGACATACATATCGTCCACATAGGTGGCAGCGTAGACCGGCACTTCATTCTTAGCCAGCTGCGCCTCGTCATACAAGGCAGGCCAGTCTTTGGTCGTGGCCAAGATTTCTGCTACCTCATGGATATGATTGAGCTCGTGATATGACTCAAACATATCTCTCAGGACCTGAAGGTTATCATGACATGTCAGATCCTTATAACTTGTTTAAAAGGCTATTCAGTCAATCCTCACCATCTCTCCGGTGAAATAAATCTCTGACTGCGACTCTGTAACCTGGAAGCGAGGACTTGCAGCACGACGCCTCTGTGCAGACCACCGGGATGCTTTTCTACATGAAATTGTTAGCCATGTATCTCAAGTCTGGGTAGACATGTTGTGGCTCACCCTTGGCAGTAGATCGCCTCATGCAGGACGGCGTAAATGACATTCTTGTCCATGCCGCCGTTGCTGTCAATGATAGCAAGAGTAGGAACAGTGAGAGATCCGAGGATGCGCAGATCATTCCAAGCTCGTAAAACGATTTCTCATCATAGTCAGCAACAAAGCCTGTGATTGTCGTTTCAACCGAGAACATCAAAAAAGTAATGCATACCGTGTAAAGAATCAATACCGCCTGTCGAGTATTAGTTTGAATTCTCTTAATTCATAATTTTCTCAAATGATTATGCTTTACGTACCATGAAATCCAAGCATAATGCCCAATTCTAGGAACCGAGAGGTCGTCAGCCATCCAGAAGGCAGAGCGACTCTGTTATCATCAAGGTATTTGATGATGTTCTTGACTCGCTCTGCATCCTCAGGAAACTTGGCATAATAGGCTTTGTTTCTTTCTTCCAGTTTCTCTATTCTATCTGTTATTGAGAGCACTTGTATATATCATCTTTATGAATGGACACTTGCCAAAGGTCTGCGAATAAACTGGGTCCGGGTCACTAACAAGGCCTGGCAGGCCACCGCAGATGAATGCCTCATTGAGTCCCTCAGGGCTGGTGATGAAAGTGCGTTAGTAAACGCGCATGCGGCTTATGGAATGGAGTTTTGATTGAAGAACATGATGTCTGGGGCTCACAATTTCGACAGATACGTGACCGCACAGAAGCCACCAAAGCTTTGACCGATAATACTCCATTTGCGCTGGTCCTCTGGATAGTCTTGGGTCAAGCATTTTCGGATAGCTTCACAGTCACGAACAATATTGTCTGCGCGAAAATTCTTCAGGTACTCGGCCTGTCTGACAGCATCTCCTTGGCGAGCTAGAGTCCCGGCCGTGATCGTTGAGCTCAGGCCAGTACCACGTTGGTCTAGAAAGAGAACCTAGATTCTAATGAGTTTATGTCGAAATCGCTAGAGATGCTCAAAGCACAACCCGAGATAGGTTTGTGAAGTCCAGAGGGACATACCTGGTACCCCCTATTGAGAGCCGGCTCAACCATGCCGTAATTTTGCGGGGCACCGCATCCAAAACCCGGTCCTCCCTGGAGATAGACTAGCCAGGGTAATTTAGAATCGTCTTTGGTGGGCTGGACTGGCTTATTTAGGCGAGAGACACTTCGAGCGAAGAGCCTCAGAGTGCCCTCGTTGGGCTTGTTGTAATCGATAGGGACATCGAAAAATAGCTCAGCCACGCGAAGTTTCCCTAGAATTTAGTCAACCCCATCGGAGGTATTGAGGCTAGACTACATGGGATACTTACCGGGCACATTATGGAATTGCCGATCGATCAGTTTTGCAGCCATGGTCGGAATGGGAGACTGGTTGGTCTCTTACTCTCTTTAAATGAGGATAATAATGTTGAGGGCCGGGAGGGCAAGCGGAAGAGGTCGACTGCGGTGAACTGGCGCCTTTCGGCCCGCTCGACAACCCCGAACACTTCTACTGCGTACCCAACTCTGGAATTCCCTCCGTGTTGGACAGTTCCATTTCCAACCCGTCTCGTTGATTCGGCTTATCGCCTGACGCGGCCAATTTATCTTCCTCGATCTCAGTCTTCCGAAGGTAGTCACTTCATGGCATAACTCGGTGTTACCGACAAGAATAAAATCTGTACCTAACGTGGGGCTCTTACCGTGCGGTTGCTCAATTGAAAGCGGCATGTAGGTTAACTTATTTAAACGCATCGATCTTGACTCTAGACTGCAGGTGATGGTCCATTAATCTTATTACAGCTAGCTCGAAGTGCACTGAAGTTGAAAGATTATATTGACATAATTATTGTTGGATATTGCTAAAGAAACTGCTTTCAGAAATGTTGACATCTTGGGGTCATCCTAGAGACACTTGGTTCCCTAGCATAGTGTATAGGTATATGTCAATCTTAGTGTGTTCTATAACAGGAGATAGGTAATAAGCCCCTTTCCTCTATGATGCTCCATTCTTAAATGCACCTGTGTCATTGTCATCGTCGTCGTAATTAGCTTTTCTTGAGGGCTTCAGAAAATTCGTACTCTGTCAAGGTGCGTGTGAGAGTTGGAGTAGCAGAGCACGACAAGGTGTAGGATCGTCGCACCCACATCGGAGTCGGACATTTCTGGGCAAAGGCATTCTATTTGACGGATTCGGTCTAGCTCAGACATGCGAGCATCCCATGGTTCCTATTGAGATATACTATACAATTTATGTAAAGTTCATTGAAGCGGTTTAGAGGCCGATTGTGAGGCATTTCTTGTCTTCGTGCCGCAAACTTCTGCTCAGTACAGGCCATTTTCCAGCTCTACAAGACGGATCCCCCTACATTACATTTTCCCCACCGTCATCGTGGCTCTTCCAAAGCTCCATTTGACTGCCTTGCCGGAAACCTCAGTCCGGGCCATTTCCTTACTTACTTGGGTAGATCTCTTCTAGGTGCGCCAGTGAGGTCTATCTCGATCGTGTATGCGCCGTCTATCCGAGCTCTCTGTGTACAGATCTACCGTCCGTCTAGTATTATCCGCGATGAAACATTTTCAGAGGACTTCTTACAAAATCTTGGATCCTATTCGCGCCGTCTGCTTGCTGTACCGGATGTGCGCAATTTTTGCGGATATCTTGATCTGGTGGATATCTTGACCATGTTAATATTGAAATTGTCACAACAACCGCCGTCTCTGAGGTCCTTATTCATTAACCTGGAACTGCGTCACGACCCTCCTTTTGACACTTAGGCGGTGATGGGACAGCAGTCCGACTGCAGGATTTAGGCGTGTGCTCCATCACTGCGACTCTCCGATGATACTTCTTGTGGTGCTGCCATTTTGGCGGACAATTGAATTCTTAACTTACATGCGCTCAAGCACTTCACAGCGACAATCAAGTCTTACAGTTTATGGAGACCGTGAGCGGGAATTCTGGAAGTGTACCGATCCATGCATGACGCGCAAGGGCGAGACTGAATGTTAATGTTTGCGGGCTTCATAGTGTATTCACATAAACTATCCATCAATTAATGACACGGTTTCCTTAATCGCTTCAAAATTGATTGAGTGTTGAAATAAACATTGGGGAAATGGTAACAACACCAACAGTAGAGGCAAAATCAGGCTTAATTTTTCAAGAAAGCATACAAAAAATTGATTAAATGCGCATAATCCAATACAATCATATGTGGCAAATTCATTTGACTAAAATTATTTTTAATTCTTTCCAAATTCTCCGTGATTTTGTGCAGATAACAGTTGCAGTTAACAAAAGATGCGTTGACGTTACAAATATAAGCTTATCTGCTTCGGGCAGGTCCAGACGCATTCTTTCCGCGAGCCTTGTTGATCAAATCCCGAACTCGTCTTGAGATCCCGGCCTCTACCGCAGCATAAATCGTGCCGGTTCTGGTTCGAGGAACAAGCCACACACCAAAATGCAAGAATCCAGACTTCAAGAACTGTGGGAGGTCTCACAAGGAAAATGGGAATCCACTGTTCTCCCCACAGCCGAAGATTTGGCCCGCGCCCGGGCCTCCTTGCCTACAAGCCTTCCAGAAAAAGGTTCCAGCCTTAAATATGTTCAACAGCATATCTTGAATGATATTGTGCCGGCTTTCAATGGAGGAAGTATCAGTGCCAACTATTATGGGTTCATAACTGGCGGCGCCACGCCGGCCGCAGTCTTTGCAGATCATGTTGTATCTACCTATGACCAGAATGTTCAAGTTCATTTGCCCAACCACTCTATCGTCACAGATGTCGAATTCAAGGCCCTCGGTCTCCTTGCAGATCTTTTTCGACTCGATCGGGCCACTTGGCATAATGGAACCTTCACTACCGGTGCCACTGCAAGCAACATTCTCGGTCTTGCCTGTGGACGAGAATTTGTTCTTCGCGAAGCCGCAGAAAGACAAGGCATTGCAATAAGGAGTGTAGGCGAGGAAGGCTTATTTGAAGTTCTATCTGCACTAAAGCTTTCTGGGATCCAAGTCCTTTCCACGCTACCACATTCATCATTGGTTAAAGCTGCCGGTGTTTTGGGCATTGGCCGTGCCAATGTTCGTAATGTTTGCCGTGCTGACAACCCTCTGCATTTTGACCTCGACAAACTAGAGGAGGAGCTTGCCAAATCTGAAAAAGCCAGTATCGTCGCTGTTTCTTGTGGAGAAGTTAATACAGGTCGCTTTGCAACAACTTTGGAGGATTTGAAACAGATTCGCCAGCTGTGTAACAAGTACGGAGCGTGGCTACATGCAGATGGCGCATTTGGTATCTTTGCCCGTGTCTTGGATGACAACTCAGAGTTTGCCGCAGTTAGAAATGGAGGCGATGGCATTGAATTGGTGGATTCTATCACTGGAGATGGTCACAAGCTACTGAACGTGCCCTATGACTGTGGATTCTTCTTCTGCCGTCACCCGGATCTGGCCTCCAAAGTCTTCCAGAATGCCAATGCTGCTTATCTGACTGCCGGTGCTACGGACGGCCCTACGATCCCATCGCCTTTGAATATCGGCATCGAAAACTCTCGTAGGTTCAGAGCTCTGCCGGTATACGCGTCGTTGCTTTTCTACGGGAGCGATGGGTATCGAGAGATGCTCCAGCGACAGATCCGGCTTGCTCGGGAAATCTACGAGTGGATCTTCGATCATCCATCCTACACGGCTCTTCCTGAGACAACTTCAAAGCCGAATCTTTTGAGCCAAACATTCATGTGTGTATTGTTCCGTGCTAAGGATGACGATTTGAATTGTGAGCTGGCAAGGAGGATCAATCATACTTCAAGAATGTTTGTCTCTGGTACAAGTTGGGACGGAGCCCCTGCATGTCGCATTGCAATTTCCAACTGGAGAGTTGATGTTGCAAGAGATCTTGCTTTGGTAACTAGTGTTTTGGAGCAGGTCGCCTTGAAATAGATTTTTTAGTTTTAAGTGTTAGTGAGACATAGCAGCCTGCAAATATATTAATATAGATGTCACATCCGGTGCAGATATGGCATGACCAGAGCCTTGTGATGTAATTTGCAAAATACAATCTCAAGTATATGCAGAATAATAAAACGGTATTGATTTATGAATGAATCTTAAATTCTTTTATATGCAAATCAGCGACGACGACCAGCACTTCCCATATTCTCAGTTCGATCGGCCATGCTGACCACCTCCCCAATACCGGCTGCTTCCTGCTCATCTTCAAGAGCCACGATCTCCTCACGACTATCCCACCACTTCTCTTCCGCAATATCGAATGCAGCCTTCCGTAACTCTTTGATACTCTTTTCGTCAGATTGGCCCTTTAATCTCAAATTCTCGATCAGGATCCTCTGCCACTCTTCAGAGGTTCGGCTGAAGAACTCCCTCAGACTCTCGAAGGGACGAGGCAGCGGCTTGCTGTCATCAACAGGCTGATCTGTCTCCTGTTCCTCAACGTCAAGCTGCTCCATGCCTTGAGTGACGGAGGGTACGGTGACTTCAGTAGGTGCAGGAGATGAGGCACCCAGCGACATAGCATCGCCTTCCTCATCTTCCATCTCTTCATCTTCCTCGTCATCCTCCATGTCCTCATCACTATCATCGGCTTCGTCCAGAAGATTCCAATTCTGCGGCTCGTGGTAGAAAACCTCTTTCACTCCATCCATTTTAACCAGGTCAATGGAATACATATCGTCGAATGTGAACTCACGGTCACCCTTTTCGAAGGTTCCACCGTAAATGAAGAGCATGTCGTCTTGGACCGCAAGTTGAGCATTGAATCTCCTGTGGGGCATCTCGAAGCGCACCACCACAGGTTTGGCAGGCTCATTGGACTCCTCAGACTTTGGTGTGCTCAGTTGCATGAGTTCATCGTCGTCATCATCAGTACGAATCCCACCCTTCGCCTCCAACGCCTTAAGGTTCTGAAGAAGTTCTTCCTCATTTGCCTTGCTTCGGTCACGAGATTTGATAGCCTGGTTCGCCTGCTGCTTTTTCCCTGGAGCTCGGGGACGACGAAGACTCAACGGGAAGAACCGATTTCGATCAGTGTTCCAAGCAAACAGGGTGTCGAAGAACTCGCTATCGATGCCCTCTTCAGTCAACTCAACGTCGTGGACGCCACCAAACATGATGCCACGTCCCTTGTGGTAAGCCATAGTGGTACCCACGCGGGCCGGGTTGGGGGTGTTAGCAGGCTTCTTTCTCCTCTCCCATCGAACTGTAGGACCAGTAGAGACCGGTGTGTCTGATTCGGGGGGTGTAATCCTGAGGAACCAGGTATCTTGATGGACCATGGGCCGCAGTGTCATTTTTTGAGGGCCGCCCTTGCCTTGCTTGCTGCCCGTCGCGGCAGATGCTTTAACTCGGGAGTAACCGCCGTAGAGGACTGCACCTGTCTCGTGAGGCAAGAATGAGAAAGAAGAGCGAGAGTCCGGCTTCTGCGAGGCCGTCGTCAGTGTAGGATTGAACCAAGTAAACTTGGAGCAGTCATAAATCCACAGGTCTTGTAAGTACTTTGTCTGCTGGGAGGTATCCTGGAATCCACCAAAAAGAATGATATAGTTCTAGAATTTGATTTACTGGTCAGGCTGTAACTTTACCACGCCAGGACAGGCAATATTCAGCAATTCTTCCATACCTTGTAATACGTCATTCGGTGGCCGCTCCGTGCCGGAGGCCCTTTGCCTTTAGTCTCAAGGCGAGTCCATTCCCGAGTGGCAGGATCTAGATGCCAGAAGTCATTGTAATGGTAAAAGGTGCCCTGCTTAGGTGATGAGAACTCCCCTGTCTTCTGTTAGACCGCCATAAAATCATTGCATGTCGTACAGAATATGTAAGCAAGCTCACCTCCGAACAGGTATACACCTCCAGAATTTCCTCCGCGACACCAAGCGTGACCACTTCGAGGCAATGGACTGTTAGGGCTAGTGACTTCTCTCCATTCGCCCCGGTCAATCAGGTATACGAAGAGGTTGTTGAAAAATGTTGCGTGGGTTCCGTCAAAGTACTCGCCGCCAAAGAGAAGCAGTTCGTTCCGGTTGCTCGGGGATGCTAGCACCGTGGAAGATGATCGGGGCGCTGGAGGCCCTGAAGGAACTTCTGTCACCTTCAAGAACTTGGCCTGCTCTTCGGCATACTGGGCCAGGATGGCATCCAGGTCGGCGTCTTCGGCGTCACTGTCCACATCCCTGCCTTTGGCCTTGGACTTTTTTTCCTTTTGAGCAGTCTTCTTTGATTGCTTGGCCGCGATACGTTCCTTGTGCTCCGCGGACTTCTTGTTCTTCTTGGCCATGGTGAGCTGTGGCCTTTCACGGATTTCTCTCTTTTTTTTTTCTTGAAGCTCCAAGATTCTCGGCCGCGGGGCATAAAAGGTTTTCCCCACATACACTTATCAGGACATGTTGATCATTCATCACCCCCAAAAGCATCAAATATTGGGGTTATACTAGTGACTACATGGGATTTAATGACTGCTTATGATATACCCATCCTGATTATTTATTTAATTACAATTGACTTGCATTTTATAGTCGAATTGGAGGCGAGTCAAAGTATAGCGTCTGCTTATCAGTGGCACTGACCGCTCACGTGCGGGACGCGTTGTCGAGAGTCGCGACAGCGCGAGTTGAAATGCTGCAAATGACTAGAGGCCAAGGTCATGAGCGCAATACGCCCCCATGACGAAGACCAATCTTGCCGTGCATCTTAAATGGCTCCTTGGTCAAGGCCCTTCCCTTTACCCCTCTTTGTCTGCTGAAATCCCTCCTATCGAGCCCGAGAATCGCGTCTCGTTGCAACAACCTCCCCTCCCTGACGAAGGCGAGCTATCAAATGTGATTTTGGAGGATCTAGATGATGTATCCGACGATAATATGGCAAGGTTGATGCTTGCGCCTCCATCAGGAAGCAAGCCTCGTATGCTCAGCTGTTCCGACACCCGGCCACCAAGTTCACCTTCGACTGTCAAAAAACCGTCTTCATCGAGAAGCGTGGTTCAAGGTAGAGATTGAGGAATCTTTGTATTTTGTAGGAGAATTCACTGATTGACGCTCTATTTTGCAAACAGAATCGTTTCTTGAAGCGCCACAATCCTCCTTCAAAAGTGTTTGCCCCAAAGCCACTCCTCTTCGGTCAAATCGCAAGCTTGAGAGGTCTCCATTCGGTGAGATCGAATCGATTGATTTGACCGGTGACCACGATCGCTTCATACCGTCATCATCAATAACAACTGCTGATTTTGGGGAACCACGCCGCTTGTGGACCGAGGAAGCAGCATCGCGCGAAGGGGCCCGTGAAAAACGAGGCAGGAAGCGGAAAAGCGATGAGTATTCATCAGATCTCATCTCGCCTTCAAAACATGCGACTAAAGTTCGAACACCGTCCAAGGCAAGCCTGCCTTCATCCTCGGGGAATATCACAGAACTGGCCCAGATCACGAGCCAGGTCAGCCAGGTTAGCGTGTCAAAACGGGCAGCTCAATTCAAGCGCGATCCTCCAAACATCCTGAAGAACATTCATCCGAGTGTTATTGCCGATTCTGATGAAGAAGATCCATTCGATGATAGCTGGCTGAACGATGATCAAGTTGATAATATGGTTCTGGATGCCGATGCAGGGTTGTATCCAAAACTCCCTCCAATCAGCCCTGTAGACCATGAGAAAAGCAGTTTGGGAGATTCGCATCAGGATCCAGAAATGAACGATACAATGCGTCCTCCAAGTCGCAAAGTAAAGAAGAGAATCGACCAGGACTCGATACCGCCCCCGCAACCCTCCCTGGCGCCGAAGATCCCCACTCTACAAGAAAAGGACAAGAATGTTGTCAAATTTCTGAGCTTGTCATCGCACGCTTTGGAAAAGTCCATTTCACAGCTGAAGACCACTCTTCAGGCGAATTCCGAGATTGTTTATGAGCAGGCAATGGAAGGCCGACCAGCACCTGACCTGATTGCCGCAAATAGGGATCTTGTTACCCGGATCCAGGCCATTGAATCCTTGCAAAAACATCGAAGCACGCACAGTGAATGCATCTCTCGCAAGGAAAGTCTAAAGCAGAATCTGATGTCTGCCATCTCCCAAGGTCTGGACCCAACAACCATGCCGGAGGAGCTTGCACGGAGTCGAGCTGTTGAGTCAGAGCTTGAGAAAGTTGAACGAGAAATACTCGAACTTCTTCCTCAAGCTCAGATCTTGGATTTAGCGGCAAATCCCGGGTCGGGTGATTCTGGAGACCCAATGAAGCAGTTGTGCTTTGATCCCATCCAGGCGTCTTCCAGGCGGCAATTCGAGGACTTTGCCCCAGTACGGGAAGAATCACCTCCGACCTCCCCACAGCCTATGGGCAGGGCTGAAAGACTTGGAACACAACAATCATCCTCTGCAAATTCGAAGGTGGCTCGGGATGTTTCATGGGCGCTGGATCGTAGCAGCATGGCTCGCCAAGATGCTTTTGTCTCACGGAATATGGCCTCACCTCAGCTTGCAAGTGCTGTGGATTCCGACGACTTTGATTGGAATGCTAGCGATGAGGAGATGCTCGAAGTAGCGGGGAGTTTCGATAATGGTCCCGAACCACCTGTCCAAGAAGAAGTATTCAAAGGCCGTCGAGTCTTCACAGAGACATCCGGCAATGCCTCTCGCATGCCCTCTCTGAAGAAATCACCTCCCCGGAACTCATTTTGGTCCAATCATCCCTGGTCCCAGGAAGTAAGAACTGTCCTTAAGGATAGATTCCACCTCCGTGGGTTCCGATCAAATCAACTGGAGGCGATAGATGCAACGTTGGGTGGAAAAGACACATTCATTCTGATGCCAACCGGAGGTGGAAAGTCCTTATGCTACCAGCTCCCTTCTATCGTAAATAGTGGCCATACCCGTGGTGTTACAATTGTGGTGTCCCCACTGCTTAGTCTGATGCAAGACCAAGTGGATCACTTGCGAAAACTGAATATCAAAGCTTTCTTGATCAACGGCGAATCTGACAAGACTGAGCGATCGTGGATCCTTGGCCAGCTATCCAACGCCGGCGGTGAAGGCCTAGAGTTGTTGTATATCACCCCGGAGATGATCAACAAGAACCAAACCCTTGTCAGAGCTCTCGAAAAACTCCATCACAGGAAAAGACTTGCCCGACTAGTCATTGATGAGGCTCATTGTGTCAGCCAGTGGGGCCATGACTTTCGACCCGATTATAAAGAACTGGGCGAGGTTCGGACAAAGTTACCTGGTGTACCGCTCATGGCTTTAACTGCCACCGCAACGGAGAACGTGAAAGTGGACGTCATGCATAATCTCAAGATGAAGGGATGTGAAGTATTCTTACAAAGCTTCAACCGCCCGAACTTGACCTACGAGGTGCGAATCAAGGGAAAGAATGATGAAGTGCTCGCCGGCATTGCCGACATAATCACCACCTCTTACAAGAACCAATGTGGAATTGTCTACTGTCTGTCGCGCAAGACCTGTGAGAAAGTTGCGGAGGATTTGCGAAAGAAATATCGCCTCAAGGCCCATCATTACCATGCAGCAATGAAGTCCAGCGAAAAAGCCGAAGTTCAGAATTACTGGCAGCAAGGCCGATACCATGTTATTGTTGCCACCATTGCCTTCGGCATGGGTATCGACAAGCCAGATGTGAGATTTGTGATTCATCACAGCATCCCCAAGAGTCTTGAGGGGTACTATCAGGAAACTGGACGGGCTGGTCGAGATGGCAAGCGTTCAGGTTGCTATCTATATTACGGATACAAAGATTTTGCGACATTGAAGCGTATGATTGATGATGGTGATGGCAATTATGAACAAAAGGCTCGCCAGAAACAAATGCTACGCAATGTTGTTCAATTTTGTGAGAACCGCAGTGATTGTCGACGAGTGCAAGTTCTCGCCTACTTCAACGAATACTTTCGTCGAGAAGATTGTGACGACTCGTGTGATAACTGCAAGTCGGATTCAGTTTTTGAGCTCCATGATTTTACTGAGTATGCATCGTCAGCCATTAAGATTGTCCGGCATTTCCAGAACCAAGCGTGTGATAAAGTGACCGTGCTCTATTGTGTGGACATCCTACGAGGGGATTTAAAACGAGCCAAGTCAGCTTCTCATAAGCAGCTACCTTGGTATGGCAAGGGGTCGGATCTTGAGCGAGCAGAAGCAGAACGGCTTTTCTACCGCTTACTGGGCGAAGACGCGTTAGCGGAGGACAACGTCATCAATGGAAAGGATTTCGCTGTTCAGTATATCAAACTCGGTCGACGCGCCACGGAGTACGAAACAGGCCAGCGTCAAATGAAGCTGCAGGTTCGCGTCTCTCCCAATGGCAAAGGGAGAGCGGCAGCGCGTCCTGGACAGAAGAAATCTGGAAGCCAGGCCTATCCTCAATCCACCATGGTTTCTTCTCCCATTCAATCGGCAACTGACCGTCGCCATACGCGTTCCAAACAGAAATCTGTTCATATCAATCACTCTTCAGCGGATGAGGATAGTGATGGCTTTGAGAGGATTCGAGTGGCCGGCCGAGCCCGGAATAAAAACATACGCGAAGTCAACCTTCCCATCATAACCGACCAAAAGATGGATGGCCTGGATCATCTTCACCGTGCTGTTGTGGAAGATTTCGAGGTTACGGCTAAGAGATATCTTCAAGAGGTATCATTGTTCATTGAAAATTTGATAAAGTTACCACCGAACTCACATTTTCTATAGATCGTTGCTGAAAAAGGCCCTCAATCCCAACCGTTCCCAGATTACATCCTTCGTGATATGGCCATCTCATTCCCTAAGAGTAAATTTTCTTTCTTCAGTTGCTAGTGACTATCTTGCTAATTCGCTCTAGCGGTCTCGGAGCTCTCTGCTATTCCTGGGATCGATCCAGACAAAGTAACCCGCTATGGTCGCCAGATATTGAGGCTGGTGGATAACGCCAGGCGACGTTATCATGAATTGAAAGATGATGCGGAGACAAATGGCATCGTCCCAGACCCCAACCACCACAATGTCATCAACCTTAGCAGCAGCGATGAGTACAGTGACGACGACGATCTTTTTGTTGACCAGGCGCCCAATAATGACCTCGACCGGCCCATGGCAGAGACCTCCGATAATAATATCACTAGTCGCTATTTCCCTCCTCCGCCATCGCCTGGTTTTGATCCCGATAGTGTCTTCGAATCAGGACCGGCGGCCTCTAGCTCTAAGGGTCGCAAGCGCGCTTATACGAAGCGACCACGCCGAAAAATTGGCGGCTCTACTGGTGGCTGGAAAGCCAGGGGAGCCTCGAAAGCGAGATCCAAACCTAGCACCGATCGCCCTTCAAGCCGGTCATCTGCGGCACCACGAAAGACTTCGAAAGCCAAAACCTCGAAATCTACGATTGGCATGATGCCTGTTTGAACTATGTTTTTTTCTTTACGAATTGATCATGAGTGGGCGTTTATGTGCATGATGCATTTATAGGCGTTTTCTTTCTTGTCTCTCTAAAACCTGCCTGGGGTTTCGTCTGCGCATAAAACCAAACATTGCTGGGAACAAATGGATTATTCCCGTTGGGCAACTACTCAGACTTAGGATACAAATAGACATAATCCGATTTTTTTCGTTGCAATTTCAAGTCTTTCCACGGACTATCACCAGCGACTATCTATCCGAGTGAGCGACCAAAATCAATAAGTCGTAAACGCCGGGCATCTCGTGGGTGGAATTGGGCGACCTTAGCTCGTACAAGAAACCGTGATGCTGCAGAGTCGCGTTCAAGGTCCACATACGAGGTCCCGGCCTCTAGCAAAGCATTCAGTAGATCATGCACCTCGGCCGCCGCCGTTTCTCGTCTGTTCGCAGGACTGGGTCCATCTGTCTTGCGACGCAGGAATTGGTCAATCCGTTGCTGGCCGGCGTCTTCTTGTTCTTTTGGCTCCTTCTTCTTCGGCTTACCATGGGCCGTATAGCCAGCCTGAAGGGTTGCGTCTGAGACCTCAAGTGCATCTCCCACCGTTGGACCACCAAGATCCTCCGCAGCAAGCATCGGAGCCAAGGTATGGTCAATGAATTTATCCAGAGCGTCCTTGAGGTCTACAGATGAGCGATCCAGCCCCTTGGTTTTTTTCTTTTGTTCTCGGACCACTTCCTGGGCCACTTGCGATGGCGTCTGCTCTTGTTTTCGAGCATTGAGAGTGCGAATCCTTTGTATTCTTTCGCGAAGCCCGCTCGCTAATACACGAGATTCGCGCAAATTGGCTTCCTCCACTCTCAGGCGGTCACGGTCCGTAGATAGCTTTTCAGCAATCGCAGAGACTGACAGTTTACCCTCCTTAATAAGATGGGAGGTTTCTTCGATAGCTATTAGTGAAGGTAGGACAGATTCTGTTGATGGCAATTCATCTTGTGTCTGTAGCAATGAGTTGTACGCTCGCTTTGCAAGTCGCGCCTGAGAGACGCGAGACCAGGGATCACTATCAGTATCCTGCAAGCCATGTGAACGAATCTCTCGGAGCTAGAAATAAAGACATCCATTAGCCATCGCTCGTCCAAATGCAGGAAATGATCTTTTCACCCTGTTCAATTCTTCTTCTTGTCGCCGAACCTGCTCTTGAAGTTGCTGTAATGTTCCATCTAGACGTCGCGCATAGGCATGCAGGGCCGTTGCGCTAAGAGGCTCATTCGAGGACTCTTTCTCCGCGGCTTGACGGTTGTGCTCGAATTTCTGGATCTTCTGCACGGTACTATCTGAGATCTCCATCACTGCCACTTGAAGAAACAGTCTGTTCCAGCTGAAAGGCCTACTTTCACGCGATGTTACTGAGATTGTCCAGAGCTGCCCGCTTGTGTCAACTACCAAACAACCGCGTCGCGTTGATATCACGTGGTGTCCCGATTGGGGTTTAGCGGGGAAGCGGCGGACATCACCTTGTCCACCTCGTTTCGGCTGCTTGTCCTCTTGCCTTCTCACCTTCTCCTTCTTCCACCCTCCATCATCTTTTCCCGTCCCGCGCCTTCTCTTTATTGCTTCTATCCCATTCGCCCTTCTACCCCAGCGTTTCCTTTTCGTTTCCCTCGAGTAACTAGAGGCAGCAAGTGGTTCGGGTCGCGCATTTCTGGTTTCCTACTTCGGACCCTCTCCTTACCCGTCGCATCCAGCACCCGGCTCCATTCCACTTCCCTCCATACCTTTTTCGCTTTCTTCCCTCGAGCATTTCCCCGGAGATTCATCCCGTGAAGCTTCCCTTGCTCTTCAACTGGCGAGCCCCATCATCACCACCACCACCTGATCTGCACTTTTCTCTCGGCATCAACACCACCACATCTCTCACTCCACCTCCAGCCTCTCCAAGCACCAGATCCTTCCCCGTCGATCGCCAAGCACCAGCACCTTCTGTGGGACCCTCTGGTGTACATAGACGATCATAAAAAGAAGAAAGCAGATTTCATTCTTGACATACGACCTCTTTTCACGTAAGTGAAGAACAGAACAGCAACCAAAGCCATGTCAGCCTCTCCGTCCAACCTGCAATCGACCAAGCGTCCTCTCGAGGACCCTTCTTCTCCGTCGGGCCCCAACGACCAGCCGGAAGCCAAGCGCCCGGCCCTGGACAAAGTAGCGCGCAGTGACGCCGAGGCCGAGACCGATGTCTCTAGCAACCAGATTCCGCCCGTCGATGGCTCTAAGGATACCCAGGGTGACACCGTCGTCCCCGATGCCCCCAACGGCAAGGGTCAGCCCGAACCTCAGCCCATCCAATCCACCGCATCCCACGGCGAGCGGACCGGCTCCCAATCCGATCAACAGGCTACTCAGGACGAATCGAGCTGGATCCATATCCGTGCGGTAATTTCGAGCCCCGAGGCCGCTACAGTTATTGGAAAAGGAGGTGAGAATGTGTCGCAGATCCGTCAAAGGTCCGGTGCCAAGTGCACTGTCAGCGATTATTCCCGGGGTGCCGTGGAGCGGATTTTGACCGTCAGCGGTGCCCAGGACGCAGTCGCCAAGGTAGGTTTTTTTTACCGTCGAGCTCTAGATTTCATTGGGAACACTCGTTGCTGACTATACCAGGCATTCGGTCTTATCATTCGTACCCTGAACAATGAACCCATCGACGCCCCTTCCACTGCCCAGTCCAAGACTTATCCCCTGCGTTTGCTAATCCCCCACATTCTCATTGGCTCGATCATTGGCAAGGGTGGTAGCCGCATCCGTGAGATCCAGGAAGCGTCTGGCGCTCGACTCAATGCCTCCGATACCTGCCTGCCTCTGTCGACTGAACGCTCATTGGTCATCCTTGGTGTTGCAGATGCCGTCCATATCGCGACATATTATGTTGCTGTGACTCTTGGCGAGCAGCTGACGGAGCGTTTCGGTGGTCCCGCAGCCTCGGCCTACGCCACGCGCAGCGGTGGTCCTGCCGGTGCTGTTCCTGGGGGTATGCAGGTTGTCCCCTATGTTCCCCAGCCAGCTGGGGGCCAGTATGGTCACCCTGACACCTTCAAGCGTCACCACCCTCACCCCAACCGCGGCCAGCCGGGATCTTACGGTGTCCCCTACCTTCAAGGCCAGGCTCAGCCTCCAGTTGCTCAGCCCGCCATGCCTTATGGCGCTGCCCCACACACTCCCTATGCCGGCGCTGCTCCCCACCAGCCTACCCCTTATGTGGGTGGCCCTCAGCCTACTCCTGGCCGCCCTGCTCCTCAGGCACAGCCTCCTGTGGGCGGTGCTATGCCCGGCCAGCCACTGACCCAGCAGATTTACATTCCCAACGATATGGTTGGTGCAATCATCGGCAAGGGTGGTGCTAAGATCAATGAAATACGCCACCTGTCTGGCAGCGTCATCAAGATCAACGAGCCGCAGGAGAACAGCAACGAGCGCCTAGTGACGATCACCGGTACCCAGGAATGCAACCAGATGGCCCTCTACATGCTTTACTCGCGACTTGGTGAGTGGCACTCCACATGTTCTCTTCCAAAGCAACCACTAACAATGAACCCATAGAAAGCGAGAAGCACCGAGTTTAAGTTGAGTAACAATCCCTTTTATCTCCGGAGCTCTACAAGTATTGTGCTCCAAAAGTCTATGGCGGTTTACGATGATTCTGTTTGTGTTTCCAATCTCGCACGGGTGTTCTATTCTCTTCTTGCTGTATCTTATTTGAGGCGTGTGCCTGATCCCTGCCTCCTAATTACCAATTCACCTTTTTTTCTTGCACCTTTCCATTAACCCCATGCCTTCCTCCACGTAGCCGCAGCTGCAGACCACAGATTCCATTTTCTGACGACTCCGGCTGTCTTTCAGCAATCCCAAATCTTGTTCAATAACTCACATTTGGATGTAAGCTTCCTCGCATCCCATGTTTCACTGCGAGCTTTCAAACTGTCCACTAGATCTTCTGGAAACTGACATGTTTCATCTCCAATCCAGGCACAGTGGACAGCATCTTCTCCCGAATCGGCGCGATACTTGCTACAAACTCCTTGGTATCCTTTGCCCTTTTATGTGCTTCCACGCTGTCCCATCCTACAGCTATGAAATGCACTACCGCATGGCCGCTCGGGCTCTTCACATGCTCCACCGCACTTGGTCGATCAACATGGCCCATTGTCCAAGACCGTGGACCCGCCGCCTGGGGCAACTGCTCAACCAAAGCGGTGCGAAAGCTGATCAAGTCCGCGTTCAGCTGCCGCATCTCATGCACCGTAAGGTTGCTTGCAAATGGAAGACAGCATAGCTCGGTGACCGGGTTCTTGGTCAGGGTATCTGTGCTTGAGATCGGCGGGTTCAGGGTTGTATAGAGAGCTGTGGGAGGCTGACGGGTGTCGAGCAGGAATGGTTCTAGATGCGCAGCGGTTGTAGAGCTACGGGCGTCGGTCCAGTCTGGTGATTGTAGAGTATTAGCCGGTGCTGATGGGTGTATACAGCTCTGGGTATCTGCGGAAGAAGGAGCATTTTGTCGATAGTCAAGGCATCAATTCCCGCGCAGATTGGTCCTATTGACCGACAGAACTTACCCACCACCCATACAAGCGTATTCTCGTCTTCTACCGCCCGGCCCCATGCCGAACTTTGATGGCCACTTTGTTGTTGAGTGGCGCGAAAGACCCTCAGAAGTGCCGCCCCTTCATCACTAGCGGGGTCCTCAGGCTTGACCTCAGGCTTGACCTTGAAATATATAAACTCGCTGATCGCTTGTGACATGGTTGGATTGCACGATGTGGAGAGCGAGCAGACGAATCAAATATGGGAGTAAAGATGGGTTCTTTTACGAAATCGTCCAAACAAGCATAGGCTTAATTTAAGAGTTAATTAAGGCCGATGTCATGGGAAAATGATGTCAGAGGTCCGGTCTTTCATTAACGCGACGCCGGTGCATAACACATAGACTATAACAACCCTGGGAGGGCGGAAGCAAAAGCAAAAGACAATATGTACAATGTCAACTTCCATGAACGAAAAGATCTTTTCGTATCGCTCTCCAATTCAATCCCATTAAAAGTCACGCCGAGAAACAGAAAATTCAAAATAATCAATATGGGGATGGTCAGGAGCCAATGGGGTCTCGCTAAAATCGCCCGCATACAAGATGTCAAGAATTCACTAGAGATCATCCATTCCACGTACTTTGACTTTTCGCTTCTCGAATGCGCTCTTCAGGTTGCCTACCAGGTGCTTGCGACGTTCGGTCTTAGCCTTCCATTGGGAGGTATCCTCGCGCACGACCACAGGCCCGGCGATGTCAACGGAACGCAGGCGACTGTGCTTCGCGGAGCCGGTAATGCTGGCCCGGAAATTGCCGCCGCGCGATGCAGACTCGGGAGTGTGGTAAGCACTATTGTCAATAGAGCCGCGAGAGCCGGGGGTGGTTGGGAAGCGCCCGGCATTCTTGCGGGGGGTAGTGAAGGGCGAATTTTCGCGGCTGGCAGGAACTGTCGAGGAAACGTCGACACCGAGCTTGCGCATTTGAGCCTCAAGCAAATCGATATCACTGCTCTTGCTCTCTGCCATACTCATCATAGTGGCAATGGTTGAGGTGACAGCTTCTACAGTGGGTCGCTTCCGAGAGGTACTGGCTGCTCCATCAGGGCGTGGGACATCGGCGAGCTTAGCACGCAACATTGAGACCCCTTGCTCGAGATCAGCCATCTTGGCCTGGATGGTGGTGAAGGCAGTTCGCAGATCATGTTGGAGAGTAGCCTGTTCGGCGGAAAGCGGTGCCGAGAGAATCGCTCCCGTATCAGTGTGCGCATCGAGGGTCTTTCGAATGCTGGCGCATTGACCACGTAAAGTCACGATCTCTTTTGTGAGCAGCTCACGACATTGGTCTAACTTGTCTTCGACCGATTGAAGGCGCTCTTCATTAAGAGAAAGGGAAAGGGCAGTAACAACATCTTCGAGATTGGCAATGTCCTGCAGAAACATTTCCTTATCAAGTACATCGTCAGGCTGTTCGCCCTTTAGGATGGTCACCCATTGAGTTGCATCCGATTTCTTGGGGGGCTGCTGGTAAAGGAGATATGATTCCAGAGAGCGAGCATTGACGCCAAGCGTATCAACCATGGAGTTAATATCGCGGTATAGGCGTTCAATCATGCCGGGAATTCCTGGCTTAGCAGTCTCTCCGGTGTAGTTCTGGTGCGGCAGGAATGGATCAAGTGTGGCAGCGGGCTCAGCTGGGCGAGCAAGATCGGCACGAAGTCTCTCATCCTCGTCATCATCTGACAAAGAGAGAATTTCCTCCTCCTGGCGCTGAGCGGCAACTGAGGCATGAGCTTGCTCTTGCCAGCTAGTAGAATCACTGACTTTCCGCAACTGGCCGTCACGCTGAGCAATCTGAGTCAGGGATGCCTTTCGAGAAGCCAAAGCGCTGCCAGGCTCTCGGTTTATATTGCGAGATAACATAGTGCTCTTCTGTGATTGAACACGGGTAGGACTTGGGGACCGGTAAGGCTCGCGCCCATTCCGAGCAGCTGGACCAGGAGGGGGAAGAAGAGGCTGCTTTGGAATCTCTCCAAACAATTGGCGAGGCGGCTGCCCTTGCGTTTGCTTCGGGGCAGTTTTCGAAACTCCACTGAAGATGCCTCCCGTGGAGCTTTTGTCAGAGAAGCCACCGAACGAGCTTTCCGCGGAGGGCTTGGGACTCGGAATTTTTGTTTCATCGCGCGTGATCTCCTCGCCACTATCGCTGAAATCTGACTCATCTGCATCCTGATCGGCATCAGACCCGGCATTAGATATTTCGGGAAGCGAAACAGTCTCCTCCTCGGGTTCAGACTTGATCTTTGTGATGCTTGGGTCAGGAGGCAAGGGAGCGTCTTCGATAACGGGTGGTTGGCTGTCGGTCTTTTTCGGCTTAGAGATGAAGTCTGAAGTCCGAGGAGAACCGTCAAGCTTCGGAGTGGATTGCTTCTCAATAAAGAAAGGTGAGGGAGGGGGCACATCGTCAGACTTTGGAGTAGGCTTTGTTGCAGTAGTGAAGTCTGGAGGCAAAGGTGCGTCATCGACAGAGCTCTTCGATACATTAGACGAAGCTGAGGTGTCACCAGGTGCATAACTTGCTCTGCTCATGGAATCCGGGGGCAACGGAGCCTCAAGTGAGGACAGAGTCGGTGTAGAAACAGATGGTTCCCTCTTTGGTGTCTCGGTTTTATCTGAAGGTGCTGAAAGAGGGCTTGTTACCTGATTCTGAGACGTATTGGTTTGAAAACTTGACTGAGCAGTAGAAGTCGTGGTACTGTTGCCAAAGATTGAAAAGGTTGATGGTTTACTCGTTTCGACAAAAGGTTGAGGTTGTGCTGGCTGGATTGGTTTCGAGCCGAACAAGGACGAAGTCTGAGTTGTTGACTTGATTGGCGCTCCGAAAATGGATGTTGGCTGAGTCTTCTGGGGCTGCTCGGGAGCAGGCTTATCCTCCGTGTCATCCATGGTTTCTCCGGGTGTCTCTGGCTTACTAGTGACCATTTCGTCGAACGAACCGCCAAAAAAGGCGCCCGATGATGGCTTGTCAGATTTTGGTTCATCTTTGGCTGCCGTACTGTCAGCCTTAAAAGTGGAACCCAGGGAGAACCCGCTTGCACCAGAACCAAACGGATTCTTAATTTCATTGGATTTTGGTGGCGCAAAGGCGGTTTCGGTATCGAGTTTGGATCCAAAAGGTGAAGAGGTTGATGCCTTTGTAAATGCACTTTCACCTGATGCCTTTGCAAACGGTGACTCGCCGGGCTTAGCGGCTGCAAAGCCACCGAACCCACCACCACGAGAGAAAGAGCTGAAGCCGCCTCCTGTAGTGCCAGTTCCAGGTCCCAGAAGGCTTTTTCCTGGAGTGCTAGGCTGTCCGAAGGTCGATCCCACGGCACCAAATCCGGATCCCGGCTGTGAAGGAGCTCCAAAAGCTGGGCCTGGAGTGGATGGTTTTCCAAATGAAGGAGCTGCACCGCCACCCAGAGTTGAGGGGCTTCCAAACGAGGGTGCAGAGGGCTTTCCGAATGCCGCAGCTCCCATCGGAGAGGGGCTACCAAAGGATGGGCCACCTGAGGGCTTTCCAAAGGTCGAAGAACCGAAAGGAGAAGCGCTGCCAAAGGAAGATTGGCCAAATGTGGCTTGTTGCTGAGCGGGAGCGGCAGCAAGAGCAGGGGAGGGTCCAGCCGGCTGCTGCGCAATCTGACTGCCCGAGACAAGGCCCGAGTAAGGAACGTTTTGGCGAATAGCGTCATTATAGATGAACCACCAGGAGGAAAGAATCCCATCATTATTTAGGAGAAGCAAGCCTGGCAGGGGTGTCGAGCTCTCTTGGATGTCGTCGTCGCCCACAATGGGTGCGATAACATTGCCATTGGAGCAAAAATAAGGGGCCATGCCGATCACAGAAGTTTCTCCAAGATCATCCTTTAAGGGAACTGATGCTCTTTTGATATCATCGTCAACACCTGTCGGGGCGAAATGCCCAGCAAGGCCCATGGCGGTCTCATCACTCGCCAATGGTTGTTCCGATCGCGCGATAAGACCGATATCTGAGGAGCAGGTAGAAGAGACGATCAGAACGTCTTTCATATGTGGCTTGTAGTCTCGTAGCCGCACGATAAACTGGTAGGCGGGCGAACGCTTCATGTTGAAGCCAATCGGCGAACAAATTTCCGACATTTTCTGGATTAAGAAAGGAGCCTGTTTCCGTCTTGTGATAATGTAGTAAGATGAGGCCGGGATACCATAATCGTCCTCTGGGGCATTCGGGGTATACACCATGCAAAAGATGTCATTCTCAAGCCATGCGATGGAGGAAACTGTCAAAGGGGTCAGAGAGGATATGATCACATAAAGAAACGCGGTAATACATACCATGGCACTCCCCTTCCAAGTCAGATGGGCGAGGAATATGGTCCTTTTTCGTTCCATCCGGTGTCATTTGTTCCGCTGTTCCATCGGCCATACCAGCCACGAGTTGCTTTCCCTTGTTGCTCCACCCGACAGTGCTAACGCCAGTCCTGAGAAAAGGGCCGTTGGCATTAGAGACAATATTACCACTCTTCAAGTCTGCAATGAGTAGTTCACCATTAATGGTAACCAAGGCAACAAAGGTTGAAGTAGGATCCGGGTTTGGCGCGAGAGATCGAATCGTGACGCCATTTGTTGAAACAGAAAGGGCCGGTTGCGCATTCGATTGCGAAAGGCTGTTCGTCTCAAAAATCGACAGTTGAGAACCATTTTCTGTGGCCACAATCAATGCGTCCTCGCTTGCGGTAAATGCCACATGTGTTGGGCGCGCAGGCAGAGGGATGGTGGCTTGTGGTTGGAATGGTTTGGTTTTTATTTTCTCCTCTCCCGTTGGAGCTTCGATAGCTTTTCGCACCGCTTCGGTGCTAGCGACAACGAGAGCATCGGGACCTGCACCAACAAGGACTCCTTTGCTCTGCGCGACAGCTAGGAGAGATGTGGTTGGGGAGGGGAGGGCATCTTCGGGCCAAGGGGTGGAGAGGAGACGGACGTTAGCATCGCCATGAACACCTTTGAAGCCAATATGCTATAGATTGAGTCAGAGTATCAGTATACAGATCGACCAAGCTGTTTTTTGAAGCTCTGGGCGGTCGACTTACATCCGTGAAGACTTCTGGGACCTCCGGCCCAAGCTCCATAGACGCGCTCCCTCCAGCAGGGATAGACGACCCGAAGCCGAAGGCCATTCTGAAACGGTCAAATTCGGCGGAAATTGAACGAGAATGGTCACCTAGAGGTGAGCTGGACTTGGGCGCATTGAGCGATGGAGAGGATGGCGGAGTAAGAGAGAAAGAGCGTCGGTGGAGTGTTTGCGGACTCCGGTTGAAGAGATGAAGAGTACGCGCAAAAATCTTGAAGTAGCTGCTCCCCGTAAAGAGAAGACAAGGTGACGCGGTAAAAAGGATCCAGACTGGATCGTGGTGAGAAGATGAGGAGTAAACCAGCTGCGAGGTTTGAACTTCGAAAATGTTCGCGGCAAAAACACCCAACAGCTTTCTGTGGCCTGACGGGTCAGGCTGCCATCACCAGGCTGCGGGAGCTTCGTCACTTCCAAACAGCTCGGCGCTCAACTTCACTCCTCCCATCAGCTTGTTCCTCCCCCTCCCCTCCACCTCCACCAATAACCAGTGACTCTTCGCCATCTACCTTCCTTTTGATCTCATACTCTTTGTTCTCCATTCTTGATATTCAAGTCGCACACTCCCTGCGTTGACAAGATGCCGGGCTTCGACTTCTCCAACTTCAATCGAAATGCGGCCCTTCACGCCAGGGGAGTCCCTCTCCCCAAAGCTACCAGCACTGGTACGACAATCGTCGGATGCATTTATGATAATGGCGTTGTGGTACGGTTACAAATTACCCCAAGTTCCTGAAATCAGCGTCAACAATGAAGCTGACTCTTGGTGATGATTGCAGATCGCAGCAGATACCCGAGCCACCAGTGGCCCTATAGTAGCAGACAAGGTACGCACACTTGTTTTTTTAATGGGATCATCAATGAAATGGCACTCATTCCATCCCCTTAAAATGGTCACCAGGACGCTGACAAATGTATTGGAATAGAACTGCGAGAAGCTCCACTACATTGCTCCTAAGATCTGGTGTGCCGGCGCCGGTACGGCCGCAGATACCGAGTTCACCACTGCCCTCATCAGCTCCAATGTTGAACTTCACTCTCTATCGACCGGCCGTGACCCACGAGTGATCACCTGCATGACCATGCTGAAGCAGCACCTCTTCCGATACCAGGGCCACATTGGAGCATACTTGGTAGTGGCCGGCGTGGATCCTACCGGCGTTGGGCTGTACACTGTGCACGCGCACGGATCAACAGATAAACTGCCATACGTGACGATGGGATCTGGAAGTCTGGCGGCCATGAGTGTCTTCGAGTCGATGTGGCAGCCGGACTTGGACAAGGAGGGCGCCATTGCGCTGTGCTCGGAGGCGATCAAGGCCGGTATTTTCAACGATCTCGGCTCTGGTAGCAACGTCGATGTGTGCGTCATCGAGAATGACAAGCCTACCCAGCTTCTCCGCAACTACGAGAAGCCCAATGAGCGTGGGGAGAAGGAGCGCAACTACCGCTTCCCTCGTGGCACCACCGCTTGGCTGAACCAGAAGGTTATCAGCAAGGAGGATATGAAGAAATATGTGACCATCGAGACCTTATCAGGAGATATTAATCTAGCTGCCGGGGAGACAATGGATGTTGATGCTTAGGGAGTTACTGGTCAGGACCATCGAACAGAGGCGCAGGCTAGTGGTCTTTTCTGAGGTGATTTAATATACACTTGGGCTTGAGTCTCATTATTGTACCATGGTCTTCGGACGGAGCACCTTTTCTGGAGTTTCTACTATAACTGGAGGTATGGAGCTATCAGAATAACCAAGAATTCAACCCTTCTTCATGACAAAGTATATCTGCGTACCCATCCCTCAGCGGTGGGATACGGGGGTATCTATGCAACATGATATAAGCTACGAACATGCAAAAAGTATGAATATAAGAAACACCGCCATCGCCTGCCTAACACTGAAAACTATCGCGCTACCGAGAAGTTCCCTGCCCGATCTGCGCCGGGGACCTTAGTTGGTTCGCAACATCGGGGCCTTCAAACTTGCTGACAATCCAGAGGATATACTCATACTGGGTGGGTGAGATCCGACGTCCCTCACGGCGATAACGCACAACACCGGCATGATACATAGCTTGTACTAAAGAGGGATAGACGGGGCCACCATGCCGGCGCAAATAGTCGTAGAGCCAGTGAATGAGGTGGAACGACCGGGAAGGGGTTAATTGTTGGCAGCAAGAGAACGCGACAGCAAGTTGATGGATGAATTCAACAGCAACATATGGGTCAGGACTTTGGGCATCACGAGGGCCTGGGTGATAGCGTACGAGAGCTTTCTCGCCAGGGTGAGGCAGGGGAACCCAGGCCTTGTTGAGGCAAAGCTTGAAGGGGGTATGGTTGCGCAGAAGTCTGAGAACCGACCAGACGCTTTTCGAGTCCCCACTTCGAGCCAGATGGAGACATTCTGCCACAGACTCAGGGCTTGTCAGATCTAAGCGGCGGAACATTTGCTCAAACGTGCCGTAAAAGAAGGATTGTATGCCCTTGTACGCGACTGGGTCCGCCCAAACATCTGTTAAGGTAGTCGCTGAGGTCTCCAATCGCTCAAGAGTTCGACGGGTTGCTCTTGTTGTCAATTTCCTTATCTTGAGGTCGACTGCCAAAAGTAAAAGGCTATTGTGAGGAAGATTTAGGCTTTGAATAGCACCCATGAGATCCGACAGAAAAGATCCATCCGTATATTGGGTCGCTGTTTCAAACAGGCTAAGTAGCATGTAGATGGGCTGGTCAGTGGGCCTAGAGTTTTGATTATACATAGGTCCAAGAGCTCGGCTGAGACTTCGCAAAATCCAGAGGCGAAGAATGATATGACGTTGAACTGGAGTTATCAAAGGAGACCGTACCACCTTTACGCTGTCTGTATAGGCGAGCGGAAGATCAAGCCATACTTGTGACGATGCAATAGCAGAGATGTTTGAAACCCTAAGGAGGCATTCTCGCCATCGCTCTAGCAATTGGTCCCTCGCATGGCCTTTGGGCATAGACAAGGCCAAAGTCTCAGTAACGTCAACAATGGATCTGGCCGCACAGTCCTCATTAAGTTGGCTCAACATTTGGTAAGGGTATGGAAGAGCTGTACTAGCATCAATTTCGTTGAGAGTCTTCAGTTGGGCCATAATCAAGGTTGTGGGCCAGTGGACATCAGAGTTCGCATCATGAGTTGCGACAATTATTTCTTCCGCAAAACGGAAGCTTCGTACATTCAGAAGCTGCGTAATCCACGAACTCACGACCCCTTTGTCGAGATCGCGAAAGCCAAGGATGTTGCAGCGTCCGATAGCCTTCCACATGGCTCGATAATGTTTTAGCAATGCTTTCTGGTCCCAGTTGCCCAATGTCTTGTTTCGTTCAACCAAGATATTTGGTATCGCTCTGACTATCAAGCAAAGTTCATCTGATGGGACCAATCCTAGCTCGAGCGCTTTAACAACAGAGTTGAGCACGTGGACGCGATTCGATCGTTTTGCCTTCGTTCGTATAAACATTTTCACGGCTGCAATGTAATTGCCGGACCCACGCGTATTCAAAAATGGATCGTCGAGGAATTTGATTGCCTGTCTCAGGTCTGTAGTTGACCGTTTAATGAGCTTTTCGAATATTTGCCGACTGTAGGTTGGCTCTCGTTGAAGGTCTATCCTCAGCCTGCGGGCAAAGTCCCTCACATCTTCAATGCTCCAGTTTTCCGTGTCGAGGTATTCCGCTAATATTTGAGGTCGGGACTTGTGGGCTGTCTTGTAGGGAGTCGAAGGGTTGTCACTTGAGATAGCGGAGTCTGTAGGTTCAGGGTTTTGGTGATAGAAAGGTATTTGGGTGTCGGCCATGCCTAATGTGTAACTTTCAACGTCTTTTTGGACGGTTAGGATGGCATTTGGATTGAGATGGCTTATCCATAGGCACACATACCTTGATTTTCAAAATGGGCTCTCTGCCATGGGTGGTCGGTCCATTTCATATGCTCTCTCCCATTGCGGCCGAACAAACACGCAATATCCTCAGCCGAAGCCACCCCAAAACCAGCGAGTGCCGTATTTCTGCGTCGAGCAAGGCGCCTCCGGGCCTCGAGAGGACCGGGGACGCAGCTCCCATGGCGGCGTTGGCCATTCGCAAACCGGCGGAAGGTTGAGGCGAGCAAGTCGTCGCTGATCCAAAGATGGTCAATGGTCGGTGGAGAAGGCGGCCTCAGCACATGCCGGTAGGCATGTCTACCAAAAGACATGAGTCTACAATTGCTTGCGCAGTCAATTGGTGATGATAAGGTCGAGTCGGCGAGGATCGTCAACTTTTGGCAGCTTCGGGGTTCAGGTTCTTGGTTCTTGCTGACTCATCATGTGGCTTAACTAGTTACCCATTGGCATTTCAATCTCTGGCAAATCCCAGGCCGCGAATTAGTTAGTACCTAAGACCCTCGAACAGCACTTCTTTGTAAGAAGAATGTGGATACGTTTTTCTAAATTTGTTTTCACCCTTTAGCATTAATAGTCACTACATTCATTCTACTTTATGATTCACTTTGTTTACTTTTTCTCATTGTTCATGGTGTACAACAGGATGAGCGGTTGTATCATGCCAACAACACGTCAAACCCAGTCGTGGACTTGATCAATTAGGAAACTCAAGAGTCAAATATTCAATCAAAGTAAGTACGTGGGGATTCAAATTCAAGAGAAAGATGATATTGAAAACGAAGATAAACAAATACAACTATGCGCCCATCTCATGCATGCAAAATATACCTCTCCAGTCAAATGGTATCTCATGCAAATCATCTCAATGAAAAAATTGTCAAAGTGTCAAGGGGAAGGTATCAAGGTCATCAATGGTAAAGAGAGAAAATCTCTCTTCTGGTATCTTTTCAATATATATTCTCACCTGGTAGCGGTTTGCGACCCGTCACCACATAAAAGTCCATATAAGCGTGCACACTGCGGTCCTGGAGGCTCTTCCTGACATCCACGAGGAAGACTTCAATCTCAGGTGTGGACCATCCCAGTGCAAGAAATGGCTTGTATGACCAGCCTGATAGAGCCTCGAGCCAGTTGGTCTCGCTCCACTGCCCGATGATTTTCATCTTCTCGTCGTCTGGCCAGGTGTTCAGAGGCACTTTGAAGATTCGCTGCTCGACGTCCACAAATCCTACCTCTTCCATCCAGCGCTTAATCCGATGCGCAATGCGGAATTGTCTCGAGGGCTCAACCTCTTGACTGGAGCGCATATTCAAATCAAACCAGTCATGAAGAGCATACGCGCTGTAGCCGTCCGGATTCTCTGGGGGCATCGTATTATCGTCACATTTTGGCTTCGGATCCATTTCATGACATTCGATATATGCTCCTGGTTTGAGATGTTTATAGGACTGTCGCAAAATGCGCTTGAAGGATGGCATGGCACCCGTCATATGGGCGATGTGAATGAAATCGAAATGGTCCGAATCCCACAGCCATTCGTCTTCTGTGGCATCGTCGAGTAGAAAATGCACATTGTGCGGAACTTCTGTTGGTTGAACTGGGGATAGATCGGTTCCAGTGATAGCGGTTTCGGGGAAATGTGGCGCTGCAGAAGGGAGAGAGAAAAAGCAATGAGATGGGTACCAGATCAACGTCAACTGCAGGGTCAGAAGGACCTACCCATTTCTATAGGCCAAATCCCCGACCCAGTTCCGATATCTAGAATCTGCTTGGGTTGATCGAGGGGGACATGGTATAGTTTATCGCCCATGACCATTTTGAACATGTGGTGTTGCATATCGAGGCGATCAAGCTCCTGTTCATCATTCGGGTAAGGATAGGCTATCCACACGGTCAGATAAGCTCCGTTCATGGATTGAGGAAAAGCGACAATACATACCTCCTTCATGGTATTTGTGATACCTTCTATTATTTTCAACGGGATAGTTCGTTACACTGTCAGTCAGCGACTGCGTGTCACTGTTGCGATTTGATTAGTATTGCTGAAGAGCCCCCGGAGCATGTTCATAGAATCATCGTAGCAGGTTGAAATTCCAATTGAGACCTACCATTCACTTTTTGGATCCTGCATCTGCGATGTCAATAGAGTATTTAGAAAATGGCAAACAAGTACACAAGCAGAAGACAGTATCGAACCAAAGATAAGTGACTCCCAGAATGGTGCTTCCTGATGGGAGACTGTGCAAAAAGGGGAAACGGATGAAAAAAAATTGAGATAAAGCAAAGGAATAGACCGAACTAACAGAGGATTTAGGAACCATGGTGGTTAACCTGGGTCGTTATTCAGTAGAATCGGCCGAAGCGAGTGAGATTCGCGAGCAAACCCTAACGAGGGTGGGACGGAAAAGGCAACCTTCGAAGCGGCTCCGGGTGGTTCAAATGTTCAGATACGTTGCATCCAAGAAAGTTCTGGGGGGTGACTGTGACAGAATAGTGGTTAAGACCTCGATCAATTTGATCTCCTGGACGGAAGTGGAGGTGTGGCCGGGAATTGTGACTACGGTAGTAGTGGGGGACTGGATACCTAGTGAACAGGCGATGTGAATAGTGGATTGGGCGACACTCCATTTCATGTCCCGCACTGAATCACCATTGGTCAACCAAATTACTCTAGTCTAATCGAAGAGAGGTTTGAGGAGATCAAGGTGGGCAGAAGAAGGATTGGGGACGACAGGTGATGGTGATTCAATCGCGGTCTCTCTTTGAGCCCGACGGCTCGGGTTAAGTTACAATTTGACAGGGCGGGAAGACGATCCGGACAACTATAAATTAATGAAATCAATCGCTGGTAAGCGGCTAGGGGGATCGACACTGTTCAGGTCATGAAAAGCAAATCCCGCAGGGGGTCAAGGAAGTGGAGTTACCAGTGCGTGCATGGACGGGGTACAAGGTTGAGCCAGACTATACCAAGAAGTGGGCATGGACATCAGAGTTCGGGTGTGAAATCGTCGTTTTTAGCGGGGAGTCACTGGCGACAGGCGCTACGGGCGGCGGGCGACCATGAACCCCCCAACGAGTTATCCCGCCCGAAGATTCAGTCTTGGGACGACGCTTCCTAGGGCTTCCCAAGAGGCTGGCTAATGGAAGGTATCTGCCAGTTCTCGCGGGTCGATAATTTAGTTTTCGTGAGGTGTTGCGGACAACGAAATGTCTTTTGAAACACGAAATCAGTATCCAGAATTTTCGTAGGAAGAAAAGAAGGGGAGGAGGTGGGGGGCAAAGAAACAGATGATAGATTGGTGGACCTTGGGCTCAAGTTTTATTTCATTTTATTTTATTTTTGAATTTTTGGTTCGAGGATTTCACGATCTTCAGCGGAGCTGAAATATACGGTAGGGACTCGCAGAGTACAGGGAAAGTACATAAAACGCAGCTCCCATGCTTTTCCCTGTTTGGCGCGTGGTTGAGCATCGGCGATCCAGGTCTTAGCGACGCCCGGATTGGAATCGGAGGACTTATCCTTCACCACCCCCTTCGACCCCAGTGGTTAGCCGGTCCCACGGCACCGGGATCGGGGGCACCGCGGAGTCACGGTCCCAGGAATTCATATGCTCTAAAATTCCATTCCCTGATGATGAACGCAGTCGATGGGATCCGATGCGCCCCAGAGCAAGCCGACTGCGGCTTACTCTGGTTTATTATGTTGGGAGACCCCTGGGCTAATAGTAATTAGTCACTGACTTTTGGGTGTCAAATTCTCTGCCTCCGTCACTGGGTCATAGATCTAGCCCCTCCGCCATCTCAGCGAACAAGAACGGAAATAAAGATAGGAAACATGGGAAAATGGGAAAATGGGAAAACAATAATTGAGGTGAATGTCCATAAGCAACAAGACTGATCAAAAGTATACTAGGAGTGTAAATGAAATGTAAATCATCGGTTCTACTTCATGATTTGACGAAGCTGAGGTATGGAGTACCCTGTCGACCCTCTCCAGTTCACGGTTGAGATGTTCCCTCCCCCTCGGGTACAGAGGCTGGACCCGGAGAACGAATGCCAGCCCCAGGGATGCGGCGGGTCGTGGCTGGGCTAGTTGCAAATTCCCGACTGCATGGCATGGGTAACCATTGGTCGATCTCGGCGATGATGACCGGAGTGAAGCCATTGTCAATCGGGTCTTGGGAGGACAAGATCAAATTTCAAACATGGATGCAGTGATCCTGCGTGGCCAGCTTGGTCCTGGGCAATTCCCGACTATTCGGTTCTGCCGACGGAAGGGGCCAGAAAAGGAGGAGCCGAGCCAGTTCCTCGGGAGTACTCATCACAAAGGTCATGAACGGAACGGCGTAGGAGTAAATAAGAATCGTGTTCATCATGATAAAGGGTTCACCTCGTTCACACCTGTGGCAAAACCGTTTGATGGTCATCCAGAATCATGCATGCTTCTCGCTTACTATACTAAATTGAGCAGTGGAGGAGCAGGCCGAGAACACCTTTTTCCGTGAGTGACCACCCTCTGTGAATTTTCAGCTCCGTGACGATTGGTGGGAACGGAGGCAAGACGCCATCGGGTGGAGCTGCCAGGGAAATACGTACTTACAACCCGAGCAATACCGAGCAAGAGATCGCGAGAGGCTTTGCGAATCATACATAGCATGACCGCCTCGGTCCTTCGCACCGTTAAGTGCAGATCTTATTATTACCGATGTTACCTGGGTCTCGTGCCAAGGGAAATTCATTCAAAAAATTAATTTCGGAGTCATATCTCATCTGTTCCCTTATCCTGTTCGGTGTCTTTTCTCTAAGAAACAATTTAGTGTTGTAGAGGCAAGGTCCTGACTGGTTCTGGCTGATCCGTGGAGAACTGGCCGAACCTGTACCCATGAGATAACCCCGGAGCTTTCCCACAAGGGAAAACGCAGAGTCCTGCGGACGAACACTTGGTCCTCCGCGAAACTCCGGCCTAAGAGCAAGACTCCTGCCACATTCAGAATTAGCGGTGGATAAGTCGATATGTCAGAAATAGCGTCTGATGTGGCGCGGGCTGGTGGACGCCTGGGCGTTTTGCGTTGGCTCCCTCAGTCCTCTTCCGGTCACAATTGGCTATGCGTCAAGTATGAGAGCTCCTCCAGTTCCTGCTCTTGATTTAGAGTGCAGCCCGGGGGAAGCAAATCCAGGGAAAAATTATCCCAGCGTCCATTCACGAGTAAAAGCCAGCGATCGGGGGGCGGGGAAGGGGGACAAGCCAAGGGGAGCCTGGGCCGCTCTGTAGGGCAGAAAGGAGGGGTTCCATGGTCCGGATCTGGAACTGGAACATGCGTCACGAAGCATGCTGGAAATATTCCGGGGGTCCGGGTGGTCCGATTGTCTGTCGTGCTGTACGTTCGTTTAGTTTCTTTTCGAGGGATGGTTCGATGCATTTAGGCCGACCCCACCCAGTCTACAGTAGTATTTGCATGATTCGAGAGAATTCTTCCCATAGTGAGCCGATCTTGTTGACTCAATTTTTATACGACCTGCAGAGTATTCATGCCATATTGCCGATTCCTCTGGATGAACACAGCCGCTGACTATTGTGCCCAGTTCCTGTATGGTAAAAGATGTCGATCTAAACCAGACGTCAACGGGTGAGCAATAGGCGTCCATATATGTAGGAGCTACGGGTGTGACCTATCTCACTTCTGCGTTGGTCCTATGGGTGAAAGAAATATGCTATATTTATTGTTACACCGTTACTATTCACCGTTAGAGGACTAGTACGCTTTGTCTTTTCTTGCTTCTTTTTTACCGTGTGCTCGGAGTTCTCCGAATTCAAGGGGCCAAAAAAGAAACATGCAGCGAACAAGCTGGTCGCCGAAATCGACGGGCTGAGCAAGCTCAGAAAAGAAACCTTGCATATTGGCAAATTGAAATTGCGACTCTGCGCAGGCATAGAACCCTGCAAGGATTTCCTAAAAAAGCCCTGGCTGCCATAGTGTTGGGATTCCCATTTCACCGGGACCCCGGCAGCTTCTTTATGAATTGGACGAGTCAAAACAAGTCGCCTCGACCCGACTGATGGGAAAGTCGCGGGTTCCAAAGCGTCGGTAACGCCGGCGCAGGAGCCAAAGTTTGGAGATGGGGGAGGGGTCTATCCCGAGAGAGTGGCTCGATGGTACTTAATGAAGTATATCTTGTTTAGATGGTTGCGATCGATCGATCCAAAGAACTAACAAAGAAACTGAATAAGATGGGGGTGTGCACCGATTTGCCTGGGGCGCAGGATACCTTGATTTTTTTTCTTGGTATGCAATCGGCGGCTAGCTTGATAGTTGCGACCGAGAATTTCCGTGCTGATTGGGGATGGCAGTTGTGTTTGGTGCTGGAGGGGTCTTGCTTGAGGGGCGTCCCAAGCTCTCACCCGCAAGGTTCGTTTCTGCGAGTACGGAGTTGGAAGAGCAGGAAGCAATAACCCACCGGCCGGAGAACCGGGTTTGGATTTGCCTTCAGACCGAGTGGAACCAGGCGTTCGTCGACAATAGGAGACAGAGCTTAAGCGATATTGACCAGGCTACAGGGCCGAAGGAGCCCAGAAGCTCGGCGATAACCATGCCGGATCATCAGGAAATTCCACGAATGAATTCATCTTGTCTACAAGACAATGTTCTGGGATCGCCGAAACTGATTGGGTTACACTGCAGGCTTAACCCCCAGTCAATAGCGAATGCCCTGCATATATCATAAGGAGGCTCAGAAGGAGTAGTAGGAACCTAAAGAAATGGGAATCGATATTGAACTCACCATCTCGTTCTGAATATACAGCTCAGTCCTCAATTCTAGGCACCGGAATTACGAGAGGTCCTAAAAGCCCCCAGATCTTTAGGTATAACATGTCTACAACTTCTACCAAGTATAGCGACGATGCCATGGCATAGCAATTTATCATCTATCAACCTTTTTTGACCTTTTTGTTTGGTCCTCGGGTTTGGTGGCTAAGCCCCTTACCCCTCCTCTGTTCATTCATTTAGCTCCGAGGAGAAAGGACACTCCGGCCGAACGTGCAAGCTTGTCCGTGGTCATCTCAAGCTGCGAAATCCAAGACTACAAGGCGACGTGGCTCATGCCCCAAACGCACCAGAATCCAGCCGGCCAGACCGCTTCCTAGTGACAAATACCCTTCCCCACGAAACTCTATGCGATTGGCTGAGAAATCATTCCGTCCACAGACATCCCTCCTGGGCACAATAAAAATGGGGCTAAGATAGATTAAAGGCATTCAAACTCAACACCGAAATTTAAAAATTACCGACTAAGGCGAAATTCTGGCGGTATGAAAGAAAAACAAAAACAAACCAAAAAATTAAAACCAAAACGTAGAGCACCGAATCCTAATCATGTTAGGGAAGGATGAATCTTGAAGGCGATCAGCCCAAAAAGTCCCGCCGACGCGGGACATAGCTGTCTCGGCTAATCGCACGTTCCAGTACAAGCCATAAGGCAGCAACTTGGTAGAGTCGATTCTGGCTTCTGGTAGGATGGCACGATTATTAACAAGCAAATCGTGGATAAAGAGATGGACCAAACGGCCCCCATTTTGGAGGAAAATCAAAGGTATTTGGAATTGTTCGCAATGCGGAACTCTATCACGAACGGAATTGCCCCTCAAGTGGAGGCCTAGACCAATCCGTTCCATTGAGTACGCGATTTTTAGGGCCTGCATGGATGACACGGGTCACTCGCTGCCAACTGCATGGAACCAAAAAGTGCTGTAGATCAGACGCGTCTACGCCAGTAGACAACCCATCGGGCCCGCCAATGACATCTGCTCGGTGCTCTTTTTGCAGATCAGCACAAGAACCTCCTCGAGACCCACTTGAAAAGTTGGGAGAGAGGGGCACGCGGCGGCTCTACAATGTCTTCGAACCTAATAAGGGAAAGATACGAGAGGGAGGTATTTGTCATGATTCAGCTCTAACTATTTCAATCTATATTAAGGTTGTGTTTCAAGAGCAGACCTCTAATCCTTGTATCCATCGTATCCATCGTATCCATACATTGAGAATCACTTTGGTATGATGATTTGGGGCAGACATCCTGGAAGTCATACACCATCCTCCTCGTTCCTTGGTACGGACATAACCCGGATAAATTTTTGCGTTGTAATCCGACGTATTCAGCATTCAGAAAAAAGGGCTTGTTTGGTGATGTTTTAGTTTCCTACGCGGGCCACTTGTCTAGATTTTTCATGTCTGCCTGAATGTAAGACTTGGTTGATCATCTCAACCCCTCCAGGACCAGTAGACACATACCTTGTTTGAGCACGAATATCCGTGTAAAGCGAATATGCTTCTGTTTCCAATGGGTCAAAATATGATCAATTGAGAGCAACTTAGTATCCCGGCTGCTCCTCTGTCTAGGTTGAAATTAATCAGTATAGATAAGACACGTATGTCAGAGGCGCATTCCCTTAGAGGAGGGCGTCGTGTCACTGGTTTATTCCAGAGTATCAGTTGTCTCGTTGAAGCTATTTATGTGAATCTCGCTGCCCGGAGAGAGGTCCTTGTGGGTCGGTGGGATTTTTCTACGACGAGTGAGTCATTTCTGTCGGATAGAGGAACCTGCATCAATTTTCTTCTGAATTTGAGAAACCCTTGAGATTCATTATGCATCTCTAATAACGTGTTTCATCAACAGTTCTTCCACGTCTTTGAGGAGGTTCACTTCCTGGCACATAAATGTCCTGAAACAACGTGTCCAGTCGAGTATCTGGAACAGGCATTTCCTCGGCTAGCTTCGTTTCATGACTTACAGTCGACCGCACATCCTTCTCGATTGCCTTTGCTTCCTCCTCTGTGAAGACAGCCCAGTCTAACAATGTTCTCCTTAAATTGCTGATAGGATTGTTCAATCTCTCCTTTTTCAGTTCCTCGCGGGTTCGATATGCTACTCCTGGATCAGACATAGAGTGTCCAGAATACCGATAGGTGACATATTCATGTAGAAGTGGGCCTTTTCCAGCTTTCACGTACTCTCTTCCATGTCTCACTGCAGCCAATACTGCCAGAACATCCATCCCATTGATCCTTAAGCCTGGGATATGGTGGCCACGCTTGTAGAATTCTGTCATCGCGGAAGCTCTTTCAGCAGATGTCCCCATTCCATATTTGTTATCTTGTATTACTTGTCAGTGGTATAGAAAAAAACCATAATGTCGCACATGTGCACATACTCTCGCAACCGAAAATCACAGGGAGATTCCATAAACCCGCGATATTAAAAGCCTCATGCACTTGGCCCTGGTTCGCCGCCCCGTCTCCATATAGATTGATGGTGACCCTGTTCGTATCCCAGTACTGCTGAGCAAATGCAATGCCGGCCCCCAAAGGAACACTTGCGCCAACAATGCCGTTCCCTCCGAAGAAATTCGGGGCGAACATGTGCATCGATCCGCCCTTTCCATGTGCGATGCCGTCCCGCCGACCGAGAAGCTCTCCTAGAATCGACTTGATGGTACCGCCTCGCATCAGGGTAAACCCATGAGACCGGTACGCTGTTATCAGATTATCTTCTCGGCTGATCGCATGCTCGATTCCCACTGCAACGGCCTCCTGTCCTGTGGATAGGTGACAAAAGCCCCGGATTTTTCTCTGCTTGTACAAATTATCTGCAGCAATTTCCAGACGACTAACTGTTGGTTCAGCCTGAGCTTTTTCATGATTTCACGTTCTATTGAGCTCACTTTATAGTAATCATATCTCGGTACAATTTTTTCAGCTGGCCTTTCGTAGTCTGCAGGTAGAGCGGTGGTGAATCAAGATGATAAGTCTGGAAACTTGTTTCCGGAATGGGGGCCTGTAGGGGCGCTTTTTCATCCTATTAAAGAATTTAGTCGTAGTGATTGGAGGCTCAGGAGAACACTTGTACCGTTGGTAGATCCTTTAAGCCTGTGATCTCCGCAAAACCGCGAGAGCTGTATAAGTGTTTCAGTTGAGATAAGACCTTGGGTCCTTGAAGGTTCAGGGCCATTAAACATGTCCTCATCATATCGAGTAATTCTTGAAATCTAACTAGCTTTTTTGATAAATTGAAATTCTCTCTGTGTGTCTCTTCAAATTCTTGAGGTGCCCGACTGGGTTAATTAACGTTATGACGCAACCATGAATTCATACCTTGTCGGGAGTTTATGGAATTCTTGTTATGGCTTTGACATAATTAATTCATACAACGTGGCATAGCAAAGAAACATCAAGTGGATGATATGTGCATAGTCGAAACAATCTCGAGCCCTACGTTGCTTTCGATGTACAAGTTTGTAAAGATGTATCTACAACCCGCCCGCTTGGAAAGCTGTAAAGCTTATAGGTGTGCGAGTAAAAGCTCTGGTCTCATTGATTCCTGATTCATCTGCAATCCAGATTGCAAAAAGCGCCTTGATGTAAATTGCAAATATTGCTCCTGTCTGTGTTCTGTCATAGCAGACTTGTTCGTATTCATTCATCTTCAGGCGGACCCAATAGATCCCAATTGCGGTCGGATAAACGTGATTCCGCGATGACGCACCAGGTGACCTATCAGCATGGAATTGAACCCTTCAACAAATCTCTCAGCGCAGGCTTCATAGAGTCTCATCTGCACTGTTTCGCTTAGAAACCAGAATCAGAATTCCTTCAGACACATGGGATATTCGAGTGTTTATCTTCAAAATCAGGTTACGCGTCACTTTTGACGCGCCTAGCTTTTGGTTTAATCGCGAAACAAGCTGCTACTTCCTTGATGCAACTCACATTGCTCAGGCATGACACGCCAGTCTCCTGCCCGGCCCACCCGGGGCAGAGCAGCTCATGGTCGTCAGCTCAAGCGCCAGGTGCTACAAGAAGACCGAATCCCCGAAGTCTATCAAGAGATGCTGGAAGAAGCAGAAGCTCGAGACCCTGAGCAGTTTCATTTGGAGAGGCCGATTAAGCGACGTAAAGTTGGCGAGACTAGAGGCATCAATACGAAGGCCATTCCGGTAGATCCCTCATCACTGGTACAAGACAACTCTGTTACTACAAACGCAGATGCCACTGAAAATGTGCAAACCATCTACGATTCAACTGTGTCAGAGGAATCCGATGTTGAGTGGGAGGATGTTAACATCATGCAACCTGCAGCCGGACCAGCAAGCAGCACTCTGGCCACTCAGGGAAATGAGGAAACCCTCCAAATTACCTTGGACCAAAAACCAGAGAAAACCAAAAAAACCATGCAAAGGCGCAAACCTGTCACGGTAGCAGAAAAAAATCTACGTCTAGATATCCATAAGGCTCACCTTCTTTGTCTGCTTGCACATGTGAATCTAAGGAATCGATGGTGCAATGATGATAAGCTGCAGGTAAGCTACTTAGATGTGATGTGATTGTAAATAGCTGATCTATGCCCAACAACTAACAAACAAGTAGCGTTTCTTGAAACAAATGCTTCACAAAAGAGTCGTTGCACTTTTGAACCCGGATGAGACCAAACCACAATTTACTCGTTCCACAACATTTATCGATGGTCTTAATCAAGCTGGTGATATTTTCAATCGAAGGTTCCAGGTCACAAAGCCTGGACTAAAGCGTGCTCACTGGGCTGAAGACCAGACACAGCTAAGGCAAAGGATTGTAGGCTTGCTTGATACACTCTTCAATAGTGACTTTTCTGATTTGACCCTATAGCAATCTATCATGTCGGATGCAGAAGTCTTTTTATCCAAAGAGGATTTTCTATCGCAAGCCAAGATCATGCAGGGGTCTCGAGACTTTGGAGCCATGCTTTTTTGCTCCCTACTACGTGCTGTTGCGGTTGAGGCCAGGCTTGTATGCTCCCTACAGACTCTACCGTTCTCTGGCACAGTCAAGGATATGACACCATCAAAAATGGCCCCGCAGTACATTGTTGTTTCTTCGGATGATCATGAAACATCTACCGATGAGCGGCGGAAGGCATCTGGAGCCCCATTAACTCCGACCAGAAAAAGGCGGATTGGGCGCCCACAGTTTACCACTCGGCCTGCTCAAGCATCTGTACGATTAGGTTTGTGATCCGCATAATCTCGGTCCTTGAACTTGATAGGGACTGACTCTCTAAAGGCTCCCTCCCTACACTCCGAGAATCATCGTACCCTGCCTTTTGGGTAGAGGCCTTCAATGAAGCTGTACAGAAATGGGTCCCAATTGATCCTCTAGTGACCAAATCTCTGGCAAAGCCATCTAAATTCGAACCCCCCGCAAGCGATCCATACAATAGTATGGCTTATGTGGTTGCATTCGAAGATGATGCTTCTGCGAGAGATGTCACTCGGCGCTATGCGAAGGCCTTTAATGCGAAGACCCGTAAAAGCCGTGTCGAGACAACGCGCAACGGAGAGGAATGGTGGAACAAAGCATTGAATGTCTACGAAAAACCTTTTCTTGACGATCGCGATGAAGCAGAGATCAGCGAACTCACCTCTAAATCTGCTGCTGAGCCCATGCCACGGAACATTCAAGACTTCAAAGACCACCCTGTTTATGCACTCGATAGGCATTTGCGTCGCAATGAGGTGATATTTCCGAAGCGTGTGATTGGGCATGTGGGTCTCAGTAAATCGACATCTAAGAGCGATAATCTCGACCCCGTCTATCGTCGCTCCGATGTGCATGTCGTCCGAAGTGCGGACAAGTGGTATCGTTTGGGACGGGATGTCAAGGTGGGAGAACAGCCATTGAAGCATGTCCCAGCAGCACGACCCAAAAGCGGGTTCGCGAGCGATGACGATGAGGCTGAGCCAGAACACACTGCCCTCTATGCCGAATACCAAACTGAAATATATCAACCCCCTCCAGTAGTCCAAGGAAGAATCCCAAAGAATGGATATGGGAATCTGGACATATACGTTCCCAGCATGGTCCCGCCTGGGGCAGTCCATATCAAGCGACCGGATGCATCTCGGGCCGCACGAATACTCGGAATCGATTATGCAGATGCTGTCACAGGGTTTGATTTCAAAGGCCGCCGTGGAACGGCAATTTTTGGAGGAATTGTAATTGCTCTTGAATACCAAGAAGCTCTTGAGGAGGTTTTGCAAGGAATTGCAAATGATAAGCAGCAAGCGGCGCTTGAAGCAAGGACAGCGGAAACCCTTCGGCTCTGGCGACTGTTCCTGGTTAAACTCAGGATTGCTGAAAGGGTAAAGGCGTATGCGGACGAGGATGAGGAAATGGGCGATGCAACCAATACTGAGATGATGAATGACCCACTAGAAGAATTTGAAGGTGGAGGGTTCTTTCCAGATTCAAATCAACTATCGCAAAGCTCCCGATCTGAGATTCGAGAGAGACAACAGACCGAGACCGGGGGTGAAGATGATTTTGGCGGGGGATTCATTGCAGAAGAAGGTGTTCCTATTCTGAAAGAAGGCAACGGACTTGCCTATGAGGAAAATACTAAGGAAACCTTTGTCCCAGGAGATGGAGGTGGCTTTGTTCCGGAAGAAGAAGTTATTGCCAATGACGCGACAGACCAAGGTATATCATTGACACAGACCTCTACTTCGACATCAAACAGACCATTGAAGAAGTGGAAAGATCACAACAAACCTCGCTACGAATTAGTTGTGGTGCCAAAGGAATCAAGCTCAATGACCAAGGAGCAACCAACTGACATGCAACATGCCATCAGCGAGCTAGAGGGGTCATCTGAAAAGGCTCCAATTACAATTGACTCATCAAATAATGGAGGGTCCAAAACCACCAGTGTTGGCATTGTTTCTAGACCGCCATCTCCGCAACAAGTGTCTCAAAATGTGCCGATTGTTGTGTCCGACTCTGATAGCGATCTTGAAAAAGGTTCTCTACTATCGGAGGATCCTGAGGATAAGGATGCTATCCCAGAGTGGCTAATGTAGATCGCATACATAGTTGGCAGGTTAAATTTGGGCAGCTTCACAATAAATAAAGTAGAGATAAATGAATTCTGGTTTCAAATTCTCAGACAGCCTCAACCTGGGTGGTCCTTCATGGATCTAATTAGCCACGTGACCTCGTGGTTGACCGACGCGTCGACGCGGCGCCCGAGGCACGGCTTCCTGAACGTTATGAGCTTTGTTCTCGTCAATGTCTGTCTGTCAACCTCATGCTTCTACCAGAAAAGTTGCGATGAACCACCATCGGAAGCCCATACCGTCCAAATCATCCCAAGACCTTAAAACCCCGCAAAGACCCGGCTCCTCGACGGTATCCAGAGCTTCGAAGAGTTCAACATCGAAGAAAAGAGCGTCCCCAGCATTATTGACATCTACGCGGCCATCGAAAAGAAAGTCTTTTCCAAACTCCAATCTAGCCCAGTCGACTTTAACTCAAATCGACTTTGTCACCCAAACTACTTCCCGCTCAGACGATGATCAACTTGATTATATCGAAGAGTATGGACCACTCAAAAATCCAGATGATACAATTGAACCTGTGGAAATAGACGGTGACTCCGACGACGATATCGAAAATCAGTCCTCTTTGAGGACTCGTGCAAACTTGTTGAAATCGGGAATCAATGATGACTACCCGAACCGACGGAGGAAGAGTGCTGGTTTGAACAACTCGACATCTGAGCGGGGCTGCCGTTTTAAGAAAATCCAGCCAGCGAGAGCGGCCTCGAGTGGTCGGGGGAAAAGAAAATCCACAGAGAAGTCCTCTGCGAAGCGCGACAAAACTCTGACGCAAATGGACTTTGTACGGCGTTACATAACCATTGATGATGATGATGATGATGATGATGATGATGACGTGAACATGGGATATATACTGTCGATTGCTCAAAATAAGTCTCCGGATTCTGACCAACATGTGCCGAAAGTACAGAAATTTGAGAATGAGGAAAATGATCACAAGCCTCTCCCGGTCTCCAAGTGTCATCGCACAATCTTCGAAGCCGAAGTGGATCTTTCCACAGGCGAACCGATTTCCCAGTCGGGTGATGGCCAAACTACCGGAGAAGAGCATAGTTTACATGACGGAAGAAGACTGGGTCTACTGGCGACGCCACGGAAAACCCGAAGACTCGAAATTCCTTCATCGCAGTCACCCGAAAGCCCGGGATTAGCCATCATCACATCATCCCAATTTCGCAGCGCGACACGTTCACCGCATAAGAGGGTTCTATGTGATCTGAATGAAATACCTGCAGCCTCTATCAACGAGGAGACGCCCAGATTAGAGTCAATGACTGAGAACCCACAAGAACAAGAAGATGCACATCATCAAACCCCAACGCCCAGTCGACACAGCGAACAGACCTTCACAGACCATCATCCGCCTCCGCCTAAAGAGAAGGTATCTCTACAAAGACCGGTCACTACATACACGGACACTGAAACTCCATCTGATGACAAACAAAGAAGGCCTGGACGCAAACAGAAGGAGAGAATGGTGGTGTACGAAACGGATGCAGACACGGATGACGGGGATTCAGACAATGAGTCTGGCAATGATCCAAGAACAAATGTTCAACTGCAAAAATCCCACGAAATGGACTCACAACCCGCTCATGGTGGCCCAGAAGATCCGAGTGATGACGATTCCCAAGATCTTCCGCTCCCAGCGCCAGGCGTCCTACCATCTGTAGACCTCGACTCTGGCCCTCTCTCCGAGGCGCCTATGTCAGATGCTTCGATGTTCTATCAAAGGTTACAACCGGCGACTCAATTTCCACACGAACCTATCCCGACGCTGAACACCCAAAGGCTGTCTGAGTTATTTCCTATCGAGGAAAGCACCCAATATCCGAAACCTGGATTTCCAAATCCTTCTCAACAACAAATTATATCATCACAGATACCAATGGAAACACAAGATGCGACCCAGATTGAAGTCGTACCAGAATCCTCGCCAGTTCGTGAACAAGACAACAGTCTTGAATCTAGCGAGGTTGTCTTCCAGCGACCCCGGCCCCTTGAGTCGGTGGTACAAGTCGAGTCATCTCAGCCGGTTGACCGTAGTCAGAATGCAGCCGCCAGGATTTTGTCGCGCAGCCAGCTTCTGACTTCAAGTGTGATGGAGAGCATTCCTCTACCCAATTTTTGGATGGAGACCCAAGATAGCGTGGGAGAACCCTATAGTTTACCTGACCAGTGATATCTGTGAGACGGTCCCAATAATTTTATGAACTTATGACACTAGACGAACAATATGTCATTATATGATTTTATTATCTTTTTATCTCTCAAGTCCTCTTCAGATCTTGATGCATCCTCAGATTCTCGTATGCATGGCTGTGTCGATCCTGATGTTTGTTGCGTGAATCCTGTGAAAGCACGGGACGAGCGGGGCGGTCGGGCCGTCGACGAACGCGGAGGTGTGACCTCAATTATTGTTGTTTCACTCGGAGACCTCCAACCTCCACCCTCGCCATGGATATCGCATATGATCACATCCAGGAGGAGATCCTCAACTCTAACAAGCACGAGGACTCCTCCGAATCTAATACCGAGAAATCGAACATCAACCTCAACAACGAGCTTCAAGAAACCTTCCGCGCCTTCTCCGCCAGCCCGTGGGGTACCCGAATCGGCGGACTCTGGGATAACGTTCGCAAGCAGGGTGAAAGTTACTACGAAAGTGCTCAACAAGAATATGCGGCTGCTAGCGAGGAGGCTGTGAAGGGATTCTCCGATTTGCGGGACAGCATCGTGGATCGGACGAAGGGGCTCTCTCTGAGCACAGCGACCTTGTCCGGTGGCGGCGAAGGACAAAAAGAAGAAGTCGCGACACCGACAGCATCGACTGAAGGAGAGTCTAAGGGACAGGAACAGACTGCTGGTTCCAGCGGAGAGGGATTCATTTCCCGGTTCAAGGCCGAAGCAGCCCGACGGCTCAAAGAGATCGAAAAGGCCGAGGAGGCGGCAGATGAAGCTATAATGCGGTTTGGCCTGAATATCAGTCAGAAGCTCCGCGATGCTGTCAGTATAGTGCCCCCTGAGTCTGATGAATCGGGAAAGCTTCTCTTCGAAAGTAAGGATGCTGAGGGCAAGAGAGTCATCCATGCCACCCGATTTGAAGCACAGCTCCACGTTATCCATTCCAACCTGGAGAGTTTCACCAAAGACCCCGTCAGTGAGAAGTTCCCGGATTTCAAGCAAGACTTCAATGTTGAGAGCAAAACAGACAATATTGCTTCGGATTTGGATAAGTACCCCGATCTGCGGTCGGCCAAGGAGAAACTTGTGCCGGAGAAGGTTGAGTATGCAGAGTTCTGGACCCGGTACTATTTCTTGCGCCTAGTCATTGAAACTGAAGAAATGAAGCGAAAAGAACTCCTCAAAGGTATGTTTCAACTTTCATTTTCTATGACGAATGTTCTAATGTGACTTGTGACATCAGGTGCCAATGTTGAGCAAGAGGAAGAAGTTGGCTGGGATGATGACTCTGACTCGGAGCAAGATTCTCCTTCCACTCCCCAGGTTCGCGCTCGCAACCAGGAATCTGCCCTTAGCAATGACGCCCAGAAGCCGGAACCTCGCCGATCCAATGACCAGCAATCCCAGGCGGACAGCGAATCAAGCTACGATGTCGTGAGCGGAACCGCTAGCAGGGCTCCTGGTAGCCCTAAGGAGAAGAGTTCGGCCACTGATACCAAGGCGGACGAAAGTGACGAGGACTGGGAATAAAATTTCCCACTACAAACCCAGAGAGTCTATAGAAAACTTTTCACATTGGGTTCGCTGGGTGATTCCCTGAGACTAGCCTGGTCTTGTCTTTCCAGGGCAAAAAAAATGACCGGTTGACTCGGTCGTGGTTTTTGCGTCACTTGATTTGTCGGAGTTTCTAGGCTATGCCTCCTGGTTTGTTTTGGCGTTATCGGGACTTATTCATCTCTTAAATCATTGTTTCTGCTATTTTTTATCTTGGCTTCAGCGATCGATGGCATGTCTGTATTGACTGCTCCTTTTTCTTCTTCGTGGACGTGGATTTGCACATTGTTTGCTCTTTACATATTTCTTTCGTTGAATGGACTTATTGCGAAGCCCTACCCTGAATTAAACATGATACAAAACTAGACAATGGCTAGAAGAAGTAATAGTAGACGGAATAAGATAGAGCGTGACGATATTCTCTCAAACCATGGGCCTTATCATATATGCCTTGGTAGCCAGCAATAGGTCGAACAGCCAAAGCGTGGGAACTAGGATCCGTGCGGCATTCATCAATGCTATCATCAAGAGAATCAGCCAGTCATTGGTGTCCCTTTTGAGCCCTCTGAGGTGTTCGCTTCCACCAGGACCTTAAAGGCGCAGGCGCGGGCACGGGCGGCGATTTCAGCGGCATGATGAAAGTATTCGCAAGCAAAAGTATGTATACTAAATCATCGTCTTCCAGCCTGAGTTTCAAGTCTTTCTTGATGTCTTCTTTCTCTTCTTCGGGGAGGTCAAAGCCTCGATATGTTGCACAGCACGAACACTCTGTGGTGCAATGACCCTTGCCATTTTTTCTTTTTGAAATAGATCTTTGCTTGCAACAACTACAGTATCGACTGCAACATCCAAGTTGATCTGAACAATCCTCAACCAGCTCCTGGCGCATATACCATGTAGGGATTTGTCTTAGAAGATGATAATGAGACTTCATATAAGGACCGAACATCGATACCGTGCGGTAAAATGCATATTCTTTGCGAGGCAACTGCGCTCGGATCTTCTCAAGTTCCTGAGTTGCCTCTTCAAGCCTAGAGTTCTCAAGTTCAATATTGGCGGCTTTTTGCAACCCTTTGACCTTGGTTTCCATCATCTCTTCGCGCTGTACAAGCTCTCGTAAATCATTTTCAGCGAGAAGAAAGCCAAGGAACGATTTTCGGGGACATTGATGATTATGAGAGAGGAGCACGCTCCTATCATAGGACCAAGAAAATGCTTTACCTGAATCAAAGCTCCCCATGGCTCTATTTAAACAAGTGATTTACGAGAGTAGGTTTCTAGAATATCTAGATAGACTAGATATAAGGTTTTCTTCTGAGCTTGCCGTCATTATTCATCTTACATACTGTGATCTGAGTGCCGAAAGTGAACTGTGAGGACATCATTTACATATCACCTCAGGCCGCGCCGAAATAGGAAAGCACAGTATTTAGGGTTTACCATCGGTAGATCCAACCTAAAAAACAACAATGATTAGATCAGTACAGAATCAGTGGATTGTATTCCTGCATATAGTAACTCGAGAATAACTGAGGTGATGGAAGAGGGAAATACGTGGTGCCGCGGTCGAGATTGGTTGATGAATACCCTCGGCTGCTGGTGTTGTTCTGTTCTGTCTTGTACCACCCCGGCCGCGGCACTAGCAAGAAGAGGGTTGGTTTCTTTTGTTTTTTCTTTTTCTTTTTTCTTTCTTTCTTTTGTTTTTGTTTTTGTTTTTATTTTATTTATATACCCCCGGGGATCGACCCCGCCTTGTTGTTGTTATTGTGTTTTTTTTGTTCTCTTTTTGTTCTATTTCTTTTCCCACAGAGATAATCTCCGCTCTGCTTGCGTCTTGCGTTTTGTTATTAAGTGTAGCTGTATGATTTTTTGTAGGGGTTGTAGGAGTAGTTGTAGGAGTAGTTGTAGGAGTAGTTGTAGGAGTAGTTGTAGGAGTAGTTGTAGGAGTAGTTGTAGGAGTAGTTGTAGGAGTAGTTGTTGGAGTAGTTGTAGGAGTAGTTGTAGGAGTAGTTGTAGGAGTAGTTGTAAGATTGGTTGTAGTAATGGTCATAAGAGCAGATGTAGATGAAGCAATGGGAATAAACGAAGAAAAAGAAGACAAGAGGAGTATCTCGCGAATGATCTTTCAGGGTGTTAGTGATACATATTCACACAATAAGCGCAATTTACTCTGCTGTGCCATATCTGGCATTCCTATCTTTCGAAATATCTCCGGCCTTCTTGGCCAGTGGCGAGCTCTCATCTGAATGAGGGACATCCTGATATGCGGGTGTCATATCTCGCAACCCGCTGTGTCCTCTCCTATCTGACCGGAGACCGGGAGAACTTATTCGCTCTGGGGTCACAGGTGTGCCTTCGCGAGAGCGAAGCTGGAACCCCCGGGATCCGCCGCCGGGTGTATAGAGCTCGTCATCTTCTCTCAGGAACCCTGATGGACTCCCAGGACCCCATCCGTACTGGTAATCTTCGCCACGGCGCTTGACAGGACTTTCATCATAAGGGTCCCAGCCAACACGGCGGCGTGCTTCAGAGCGGAGACGTTGGCGGTGCTGTTCATCACCGCCGGCACCAGTCGAGGAAGATTCCTCCAAGAAAAAGTTAAGAAGCTCGTCGCTGATCGAAAGGTGAGATTGTTGTTGAAATTGTTGGAGAGAGGTCAGGCGAAGAAGCATTTCGAGGAGAGAGAGAGACGTGCGAATGTTTTCAAATAATGGATTGGCTACTGTTGTTGTGTCACCAGTTGTTGCAGATGCTGATTGAGAAGCGTCTTTGCGGTGGGCTGGGGAGGGAGAAAACGACATTGTATGCCTATCCTTGAGAGACAATTCCGCTATCATACTGGGGTCGATGGATGGCTCATTTATGGGGGGTTTGGGATTCTCTGCTTCAGATTCGGTGTCTGAATCTTCGTCCTCGTTAAAGACTTCAAATGCAATCCATTCCGGGTCGAGACCAGGAGGCAACCGCCATTTTTCGGGAATCGAGTCTTCATGTAAGGAACTTGAACTTTGCTTTATGGTGGAGCCAGCGCCGTTGAGCTGTGCATCGAGCTGGGCTTGTTCCTCGTCAACCAGATCTTCTTCCTCTGCTTCAAAAGTAGATTCGTTCGAAATGTCGGCATGTTCCATCATGCGACGGGGAGGTAAAGCATTCAAGTCCCTCTTAAGCAAAAGGACCGGGTTATTTGTCTCTCCCTCTGTGCTAATGTTGAGAATTCTGCCCGTGTCGGCATAGAAAATCTTTGATATCTGATGAATGGGTAAAATGTCTCTGATACCAGCTGTCGTAACGCCTTCGAAACTGTGTGGCTGAGGCTCATTTTCCTCGAGCGTATGAACTCTTCCATCCTCCAAATCCTCGATTAGCATGACTTGGTAGGCATACTCGTCAACCCCTCTCCGGCCGGGAAGTTGAGGTGAGTTTGTTTGATCAGCTGAGTAGTAAGTTTCCATTGGAACACGTCTCAACTTCAAGCGGGCCTTGTGCATGACCTCTTTCCAAGTAGCTTCTCGAACTGATTCTTCATCATGGGGACGGAGATGACCAGCGAATAACATGTACATGGAAACTGTGAAAGTCGGCCCTATTTGAACGGCTTTCGATTGCGATATTGAATAATGGGTGTCACCAGCAGTCAAAAAGGTGCTGGCCTGTAAAAGTCGTGAAGGAGACACTGTTGATGGCAGATTGGTGGACAATTTGGCCCCAGAAGTCGTAATGGCCAGGTTCATCAGCGGAACTGCGTCTTCAATTCGTGCAAGCAATTTCTTGGTGTCCTTAATGATGTGCTTTATCTCCATCACATTATTCACACGATCCTTGGATGCTCGAGGCTTCTTTCTCAATGCTTCTTCAGCGGCAGCTGCTTTCGCCAGTCGTTGGCCAAGAGCTTGGATATCCCATCTCAGGGATTTCGTGAGAGCAACAGCAGATTCAAGGGATGTATTGCCACGTGCAGCACTATAAGGCCATCAGAGGTGCGTAAGACGCGATTGTCTTCGTGCCAACAACTTACATTAGTTCAATCATGTCAATCGACGGAGAGATGACCTGCAGACTATGTTAACAGGGGCCATCTAGCATCGGCTTCAATAAAAACAAACCTGAATCTTGCTCTCCAATCGCTGTTGCAAAGCTAAAAGCTCTTCACGGTCTTCGCCATCCACATTCTGGGCCAAGACAAAAAAGGATCAGTCTGTAGCCCCTTCAAGCTCAGCATCAGATGTTCCATACTTTGAGCAAGCGAGACGATTGTCGCATGGCATAGCTTGCTGTTATCGCAATACCAGATCTGGATTACATAGTTAGCAGGTTTTGCTTTTCAAAGCTCGAGGGAATGCTGACTTACCGGATGGCATAGTTCATCGCCTGTTGGGTAAGCTGCACGTCATGTCATGCATTAATGCTCTGTCATCAAAGAAAGACCTCGAATAATAGAACATGCTTACTCGAGTCAAGAAAACCTCCATCCTGACCAAAGTAACAATGCCGATCCTCCACGACACGTTCGGTGAATTGGGTTGATTAAACACCCCTGATGAATAACTTGAAAGTTTGGAAGTGTGCTTATCGATAACCGGCGTCGTGCCCAACGGTCATCACCATAAAGACGAGCCCAACTCTCATGACAGATCGCACACCTCAGAGAACACCACTTGATATGTGGCTGATATTCTGTAGCAGCCAGCAAGTGCAAGAAAGTCGGAATTGAAGAAAGAGAAAACAACACAAACAGCTCTCAAGAATTTCCCATATCACACGTGACTGACACCGCAATCTGCTGCGAATTTCGCGGGGTGCTGCGCTGAGTCAGCGGTGCAAAATCAAAATTGCGGACCCCTCATTGTTGAACCTCACCTTCGACTTTCGTGTCGCTTGTACCGTGTCCTTGATTGCGTCCCGGAAATTTTACCACGATGTCGAACCAAACCCCCGAGAACTGGGAGGATGAGCTCTCACGTCAGGCCGAGGGTGTCAACCTGAACGCACAAGGCCGCCCTCAGGCCCATGCGGCTTCCTTCCAGCCTGGCGCAGCTACTTTCCAGCCCGGTGCGGCCTCCTTCACTCCAGGTGCGAATTCTTTTGTGCCTGGACAGCAATACCAGCAGTATGGTGGTGGCTATCAATACTCTCAGTATGGTCAGCAATCATATGGCTACCCCCAGCAGGGCTATGCCCAGTATCAGCAGCCCGCTGGTTACAACCAGTACTACAACCAACAACCCGGTGGCTTCCAGCAGCAGCCTCGCCAGAACGCTGTCCCACAGCAGCCCGCTCAGCCTGCTCAGCCCACTCCCAACCCCGCTGCAACGACCTCTGCCGCCCCGCCGAAAGCCAAGGTCCTTTCCATTGGCGCTACCTCCTCCACTGCGGCTCCCAAGACCAAGGTTCTTTCGATTGGAACTCCCGCCGCTGCGCCAGCCAAGTCTGCGGATACTTCAACTAAAGGTGACTCGAAGGGTGCTGCTGCTGCCGAGGCCGGTGCCAAGGTGACCGCCGCAAAGGCAATTGAGAAGACCGACAAAAAGGCGGACTCCAAGGCTGCTGCCGCCGGCAAGACCTCTCCTGCCCCCTCCTCTGGCCGTTCCAGCCCTGGCCGCTCCAGCCCTGCCCGAGGCGAGGGTGCCAAGCAGGCTCGTGCTGCCGACGCTGTTGCTAAACAGCAGCAGGCCGATGTCGATGAGGCCACCCTGAAGGAAATTTATGGCGAGAGACGAGAGCACGTCAATGTTGTGTTCATCGGTCACGTCGATGCTGGAAAGTCTACTCTGGGTGGCTCTCTGCTCTACTGCACTGGCATGGTGGATGACCGGACAATGGAGAAGTATAAGAAGGAGGCCAAGGATGCTGGCCGTGAAACTTGGTACCTTTCCTGGGCCCTGGATCTCACTAACGAAGAACGATCGAAGGGTAAGACTGTGGAGGTGGGCAGGGCATTCTTCCGCGTGACAATCCCCCACCCTGATGGCCCCATTGAACGTCAATTCTCCATCCTCGACGCCCCTGGCCACAAGTCCTACGTCCCTCACATGATTGGCGGCGCTACCCAGGCAGACTTGGGTTGTCTTGTCATTTCTGCTCGCAAGGGAGAGTATGAGACTGGATTTGAGAAGGGAGGACAAACTCGTGAACACGCTCTGCTTGCGCGTAACACCGGTGTCTCAAAACTCATTTTGGCTGTTAACAAGGTTCGTGTGCTTGGATTTGCTGACCCTGCGGATTCGTTGGCCAGATGAAGAAAATGACAAGACTAATTTCTATTAGATGGATGATCCGACTGTTGAATGGAAAAAGTCCCGTTTCGATGAGTGCACAGTCAAGGTTATCAAGTTTTTGGAAGCTCTGGGTTACAAGAAGGATGACATCTTCTGCATGCCTATTTCGGCCCAAACTGCAGGAAACATCAAGGACCGTATTTCCAAGGAAGTCTGCCCTTGGTACGATGGTCCCTCTTTGCTTGAGTACCTCACGGCCTTCAAGCTTCCAGAGCGCAAAATCAACGCTCCTTTCATGATGCCTATCAGTGCCAAGTACCGTGATATGGGTACCATGGCTGAAGGCCGTATCGAATCCGGTGTTGTCAAAAAGAATGGCACTTACATTATGATGCCCAACCGAACCGAAGTCCAAGTCACGGCTCTCTATGGTGAGACAGAAGATGAGATCACTACTGCCACTTGCGGTGACCAGGTCCGTATGCGTCTTCGTGGCGTGGAGGAAGAAGACTTCTTCCCTGGCTTCGTGCTTTGCTCGCCTAAGCGTCCTGTCCACTGTGTGTCTGCTTTCGAGGCCAAGATTCGTATTCTTGATCTGAAGAGCATTCTGTCTGCTGGGTTTAATTGTGTCCTCCACGTTCACTCTGCTGTCGAGGAGGTCACTTTCGCCGCTCTGCTTCATAAGCTTGAGCCCGGCACTGGCCGTAAGAGCAAGCGTCCCCCTCCCTTCGCCAGCAGGGGCCAGACCATCATTGCCCGTCTTGAGGTCACTAGCACTGCCGGTGCTGTCTGTGTGGAAAATTTTGCCGAGTATGGACAAATGGGTCGCTTCACTTTGCGTGACCAGGTTTGTTTGATTCCATTCCGTAGATTGCCACCCCGAGTTTACTCGCTAACTGCTTTTTACAGGGACAAACCATTGCTATTGGCATGATCACCAAGCTTATTCTCCCGGAGAATGAAGCATAAAGATCGAATTAGTTAGCCCTTGGGAATATTCACCGGATTTTTGCATTACTCATGATGCGTACAAAAGAACAACAGGATACCAGCGAGGAACTTGCGGTTGTTTTCAACGTCTTGATGATACACTCAAAAGCATCCGCCTCTACCTCACGATGATGATTTCTTTTACCTCTTTCAGATAGAACTTTGCTTTTTTTTCAATACAAGAAGGCAACTATGCTGCATATTGTTTTTTATTGCCCGAGGACTCACAACCCCCCTTTTCCTAAATTCAGGAGTGTATTGAAATGGCTGGTAAACCTTGTCAAGTCATCTATCAAAATAAAAATAAATAAATTTCCGTTGCTACAGGCGCCGTCAAGACGAAAACCTTAACATGCATGGTCGTAAATAGAAACCAATTAGCACCCTCCTTTACCGCTTCTTTTTCACCATGGTGAATCCATCCTCATCAATCTCTGGCTCAGGCTTCTCCCTTGGCGCCCGCACCAGAGAAGGCGCTTCTCCCATCTCGACATCGTCACCCTCGGAGTCCTCGTCATCATCTGTCTCCTGGTCCTCATCTTGGGCCTCGACCTGTTTAAACATTTTCGCCGCACTGGACTTTTGTTGACTCTTCTTCTGCCAGTTCTCCCACATCTGTTGGATGATGGCAAATTCCCCGCGCGTCGTCTGTGCCTTGAACTCCATAATTTCCGCTGCCACATTGCCAGCACTCTCGTCATCAATCACCACGTCGAACTCGTCGTTCATCACCTGGATCAATACATCCTCCAGGTCTTCGGCATCTGTCTCAGGGCGGTCACTCAGCATATCGGATATAGCACCACACAGCCAGGCGCGCTTGTCATCGGATGTAGGACCTCCCCAATTGGATTGCACGGCAAGGGTCAGGGCCGGCCAGTTGTTCAGGGCCAGAGTGATGGCCAGATCGAGGTAGGAGTTGGCATCAGTGGCCGATCCTGTAGTATTTTGCGTGTCCATGATGAATGTGAATTCAGATCAATTCCAGTCGTCTAATGGCGATACCCCAGGGCTAGTCTTCGCTTCGGGGTTGCTGGGATTGCTTTTCGGAAAAACCCTGCGGGCTTGGTGGGGCTCTGGTAAAGCGATCGCTGATAGAGGGGGATGCGATATTGTTCAAGAGAAACGAAAGATGCTTGAACTCCCAGGGAAAATGTTGTCGGGACCCAAAGAGAGGATGGTAGATCAATTGGGGAGTGTGGTGGGGTAAAGTTGGTGTTTATCGCGATGATTCCACCATCTCCAAAAAATTTGAAGCTCCGATTAGATAGCGTGGGCGATAACGACGATCACGTGATTTACGCCACGGAAGATAGCCAGGCTTCCAAGATGAATCGTAGCTTAATGACTGAACTAAAACTTCAATTACTCAATGATTGGTTCCAGTCACAAGAGCATAAAATAGATTGTTGATTTATGTGTTGTTTTATTCGATCCAACAGAGCGTATCAACATGAAACAGGAGCGTCCAAGATGTACGGATTGTTCATGTTAAGGAGATCAGCCAACACGTCTATGGTGAAGGGGTAAGGCTGGGCCATGACTCCCGCATTACACTTCAAGATATCTAGATGCGACGCTTGCAATGTAAACTGTTCACCCGTTGCCTTGACAGAAGTGACAGATCCTAGGTCACATTGCACAAAGATGAGTTCAGTTTTTGATCCACTCACTTACATTTGTTGGATAAATGTGTCCGCGCTTCCTGCGTTACATCCACGGATCTATATATGGGCAGCACTGTGGATGGCTGATTGTGCCCCAAGAATATTCCTTCCTATGAATCTCAACAGCCGCTTCCCCAGCCCATTTTTAAACTGAGCTCACCTGCCACCAGTGACGAAGATTGATTTGCCATCAAGGTTGGGGATCTCTGTGTAAGGGTTGAATTTGAGACTAGCCATGCTGCAGGCACAATGTATACAATGTGATATTTCAATTAGCAATAGGATGTACAGGATGTAGGCACAAATAATATATAAGGTACCAAAAGGGAGATACATATTTTTGTGAAGGCACTCTCGTTTAGCATTCATCCCAGCTAGGGTCGGATAATATGTTGCACCGAGTCAGGTTGATGTTTTTTGCAACCGGGCGGATTCAGCCTCCGGCACCCGAAGTGATGCTGCTCTACGCCACGAGTTAGACTGCAGTAGGTTAATAGAATTATTGATGTATTGATACAAAAAATCAATCAGAACCCCCTGTTTTGACAGCCAAAAACAAAGCAAAACGGGGTTGTGCCAGCTGTCAATTTGAAGGGCATACCGAGTTCAGGGAAGCAAACATGCATATGTTCAGGAAAAGTTTCAAACCACCGATCATAAATGGTTACATTCAAACAACAAACAATAGTACTCTCTTGCCATAAAATATGATGTCATATCTGATCCACTCTACCAGCCTGGCAAAGGAGTGAACTTGGCCAACACACCATCCTTTGGCGCCACAGTAGCCCCCTCTCGAACCTCTAATTTTTGGTCAGGATATTTCAATTCCATGTGGAATCGACCCACTGTCGCAGCAAGCAGACAAGCTAGCTCTGCTTTGGCAAATCCCTGGCCAATACAGCTGCGTGGACCATGAAGGAAAGTCAAGAAAGCATAGTTATTTGTTGCACCACCCGTGTTTGCCTTGCCCTCGCCCATGAATCGATCTGGGTTGAATTTGTCCGCATCTGGCCCCCATAAGCTCTTTAATTTGTTTATGACCTCTGGGGCAAGAATGAGGAATGTGCCTTTGGGAATGGGTTTTCCTGCTAGGGTTGTGTCTCTGACAGCAGTCCGGATGGTAGCCGGAACAGAGGGATGAAAACGGAGGATCTCGTTGCAAACAGCGTGCAGATAGGGAAGCTGGTCGATTGTGGCAGCATACATAGGTCCTGAGTTATCGTCTGCCGGTGAAGGGAGATTGGCACGAATTTCCTCGCGCAGTCTTTTCTGAATGTCGGGATTCTTGGAGAGAGCATACACTGCCCACTGCATGGCAGAGGCTGTCGTCTCGTGGCCGGCGCCCAGGAAGGTCATCAACTGATCAACTAGATTCTCTTCATCAAATACGCCATTCTGGATTGCCACGGAAATAATGTCGACGCCAGTCATTGCGTTTGGGTCCTTCATCTTGGATTTCTTCTGTTGAATCATTTGTCGCGCAACATCGCGAATAACTTGACTGCCCTCAGTCAAGTTTTTGTTCCGTTGGGTGGGTAACTTTTGGATGACGCTAATATTTCCAAGAAGCATTCCTAGAAGAAAAAGTAGCTTGGTCAGAAGGCTTGGTGAAGTGAAGATCTTTTGGTAAGATTGATTGAGTTTGTTGGAAGGGTTGCTGAGCGAATCAAAATCATGGTCCATGCCAGCGACGCCGATAATATCCAACGTGGCACGACTTGCCCAGTTTCGCACTTGAATAGTGTTGTCGTCTGGAGATTTCCTGCTCTCAAGATCTTCCTGTATCACGGTGATCATTTCGACGCTCTTGGCCCAGAAGACTGGATAGAGATCTTTGATATGGCGGAAGGCAAACGCCGGTAGGAGGTTCTTGCGCTGGATCTGTGAAGATATGTTTAGTGTGTATCAAAGAAAGGAAGGCAACGTAGGATCATATAATTACCTTGTGCTCTTCACCTTCAGCAAGCAAAATGCCGTCTCCGACCACTCGGCGTAGGCTTTGCCTCACCGTCAATGGTTTCTCAAAATCATATACTTTGGTGACCAACAGCTCGCTCAAAGCTTTGGTGCTGGTCGGGAGAATTCGCTCCAAATTACCAACAATATAGTACCGAATAAGTGGCTCATCTGGCATGGCCTTGATCCATTCGCGCATTTGTGGGAACGGACTTTCGAGAAAGATCGACTCCGAGTTCCCGGTGAGCCAGTGTCGATTCTAAGAGTATTAGTTCTATTCATAGCACAAAGGACATCTTCTAGCTCACCGATGGTGTAGGAATCTCTTTGATTGGGGTTAAAAATGCAGGGTACAGCAGCAGTTGATATGTTAGTTTGAACAAGGTGATCATCATGAATAGGAGAATAATGGTTGCCGTTTTTGAATTGTAGATGGCATAATCCGGCTTGAAACACACTGCGATGGCGACACCAGGATAGAGCATACTGAAATTGTTGTTCAAGACCCCCATGATGGCGACTCGTTTCTGGCCAGAAATTCAAGAGGGAAATGAGATGAAGAGAGCAGCCCGTATGGATATTTATATTAACCACACCCTTGTATTTCTTTTTCTGAATGTCTGCTTGTCAAGGCAATTATGATTTTTTTAGGAGCAATTCGATGATTCAAAGAACCTTGTTATTGACCGACGTGCCCGAATTCCAAAATCGTGAAGATTGATAACCCTCGTAATATGTGGACAAAGTTCAACACCAGAATTCAGAAAAGGTCACGTGGTCAAAAATGAGACGCCGCGTCTCAGAGTGGCGGCAGGTGGGCGGATTATGTACGGCGAGAGTTGACGATCGCATGCACGCCGGAACCCAGATCAGAAATAGGTTCAGGAGAGACGGCACGGAAGCAACTCGACCTGCAAGATCTTTGACAGTGATATATGGATGGTGTCGATTAATTCATCATTAAATAGAACAACAATGGTATGACACCCTCAACAAAGAAGCATAGGCATCAGTATTTCAACCTGATGAGATGGAATGAATGCCTTGACCGTGTGTGCCGACTGCGTCGGGTCGGAGATACGTACTTCTGATGGGCTCGCAACCGCTACCGGATTCAGTCAATGCTTACCGTGTCAGCCAACCAGCGTTCACGTAAACGAATCCTTCCCTATCATCTGTGGAGGAACCTTTGCATCTGTTACCAATTCATTACTCTATTGAGCTTAGCTCCGTGAACAGCCACGGGGCAGTACTTGATATTGGGTGGCTCTTTTTTATTGGCCACGTCGTATTCGACTGTTTGCATAGTGGCTACTTAGTCCTGTGTATTCCTATCCACTCTAACGACCTGTTCGCATGATAGGAAGAACGTCTGACAACCCTTGATCCGATTGATGAGCGGGTTAGAATAAAAAAAATAAAATAGTGATTAATGATAATTGTAAAAGCCCTCATATCCAGTGATCCGCACGAACTCAGCTGCCGTGAGCCTTGTGTTTCGCATCTTCTCCATCCAGAAACTCCAGTAACTGACCGTCGATCGCTTAGTCATGACTACCCCCTTTTGCTACCGGCACTCAGCATCCTGCTTCTACGTACGATGCGTTTGTCGCAAAGAAAAGACGTTCTCTCCATACTCTTTGGCTGCAATATGTAAATTGAGTCCCACGAAGAGTAAAAATAGTAGGGCCAACTCGCGCGGGAAGCGGATTTGCTTCTCGTCCAAATACCAACTCAACAGAAATTGGGATGTCATAAAAGAAGTTCACTTTGGGTGCACGTAGGGGTAGCTCTTCGAGGGTGGTGTCTGTCAGGAATAAATTGTGACCATATATGCCGATTATTGATGGATGTCGATCATGCCGGATAGAAACGCCAGGTCATAGGAGATCTCCAGAACAGAATACTCATACCCTATTTCAGATCTCATTCAAGTTGAGTCTAAAAGACCCTTTCCTTCTTTTTCATACTCCCAGTTTTTCCTCAGTGTCTTAGATGTCAAGGTGCTGGTGTTCAAAGTAGAAACGGGAAAGGAAGAACAAGGTGGCAAGTACATGAGCGGCCATGACAGAGCTGGAGCTTATGAACTTGCCCAAAATCTATCGCCTTCTTCAAGATACCACCGTATAGTAGCTTCTAGACCCTGATCAAAACTGGTGCGTTGTTCCCACCCAAGTAGCTCCAGTTTAGATGCATCAGTCCAGTACATGCTATCATTATAGGGACGATCGTCAACCCATTCTGCCCACTCCAGCAAGTCTGCCTCATATTTATCGTTTGGTAGATGTTCAAGAATCTTTCCCGCAACCTCACAGACCTGCATATGGTGACTAGAAGATATGTTATATATCATGCCAATAGTGCCCCTATGAAATATCACATCCAGCGCCTGTGCTGCATCGGCCGCGAAAAGGAAGGAGCGGATATTTCGACCATCGCCATGGATGGGCACTTTGATACCCTTGGAAAGGAGCATTATAAACTTTGAAACAATTTCTAGTGATATTAAGTATAGTGTCAGTGTTCGTGCTAAGACTTGAAGTTGATGCATTCAGCATACTCTCGGGGTACTGGTTCGGTCCAAATACATTGTTACATCGTGTAACAATAATAGGCACCTGGAAAGATTTTTGATAGCTGCAAACAATCATCTCCGCTGCTGCTTTGCTAGCTGAGTAAGGATTTGTGGGGTAGAGCGGATGGTCCTCGGTGAATGGAAATAGTTGAGAGCTATCATTTTCGCCGTAAACCTCATCGGTGGATACATGAAGGAATAATTGTATGGAACCTATCTTTCGGCATGCTTCAAGCAAGACCTGTGTCCCGATAACATTTGTGGTCGTGAATGAGATTGGATCGTCGAATGAATTATCAACGTGGGTTCTAGCAGCTAGATGAACAATTGCATCGATGCGATATTTTTCGAGCAAGTTTTCAACATCCGATTTGTTGCAAATATCGCCTTTCACAAAATAAAAGTTCGGAAGGTGCTGGATAGTGCGAAAATTTTTGAATGAGGAACAGTATTCCAGATTATCAAGGCAAACGATCGAATATTTATCTCGATATTTTTCGATCATATGGCGGATAAACCATCCTCCTCTAAGGTCAACGAGATTACCGTGAGATTAAAACAAGACAACCTAAAGAGTTATCTCACATGAAACCTGCACCGCCGGTCACTAGTATATTTCTCATGTAGTTGGTAGATCTTGATTCTGTTTCGCCATTTTCAGAAGGCACATGGTTTTGATCACTTTTTGACTGTTCCATATTATCAGGGAGCATGATGATATGAAAAGAAGTCATTTTTGGAAAAGGTCGTCCTTGCGCTTCTATTTTAGAAGACAAAAATCCGAATAAAGACATATGAACAGGATGTTGCACATTCTGTAGCACTTGAAAATCCTTTCCGCAGTGAATGGGAATATACCTTCTTGCGGAAAAGAAGTGAAGTGTGCAATTTGATATTGAAAGCATGGAGTAAGCAGTTTATTTCGAAATTTTCATATACGTACATGCTTTGGATAAAGTCGATACTCTTTAACCTCAAGTCCGATCAGGTAGCACTTTGTCTTTCAAAGTAGATTTGAAAACGCGAAGATGCTTCACACTTTCTTGACTAACAAATCCAGGCAACTAAGAGCTATGTTAGATTCCCCAAAAACATTTCAGTCCAAATATCTTGTCTCGCAGCTCGTATATATAGCATTTAGATAAATCTGAACTTGAATCGAGCAAAAAAGAACTAAGTATTTTAGACTCTTTCTGGGTACCATCTAACGACTTGGAATCCCCCGGAGTATGCAAACTAACTATCCTTGCTCGGCGAATAAGTATTTGCCAAGATATTATCAGAGGTTTGTCCCGTTAATGCCGTCACAAATGTCTGATCAGCATCGCGTAAAATAACATGGATGTGCTCAATATTCTGTACACTCTGGCAATGAAACGGATTCCTGAACCATTGAATATTGTCCCCTGCATTCTGCCTTTTGTCCATATGGGGTCCGAATACCCTGACCAAAAAGTTCTTTATGAGCTCACGGGACTGGGAGGTTGGATATCCTTGCTCGTCAGTTTCAACGGGGGTCTTGCTCCAGACAACCAGATGCACCATCCCGGGCATTGTTGCATATGGCCAATCATTACGAAGAATTCGATAATCGGTGGCATCATGGAATGGGGTAGAGCTGGAGAATAAGAAAACAGGGTTCGATTGTGGTCTCTCCATTTTCCAGTGTAACCGAGCTTCGATAATGAAGTTGAGTACACTGCCGACCTTCAGGCGTGTCTCTCTAGTCCAAACAATATAGTTGGCGAGGTGGGTTGGGAATCGTCTCAGGAGTGACATATCACCGCCGGCTGTACAATTTCATTAGAAAGACTTTTTGGTGCTCAAGGCTCAAGTAAAATGAATACCAATTATGGTCTTGATATCATTCCAGGTATGTGGAACGAAAATTTCCTCCGGCGTTCGCAATACCAGCTTATCGCATTCACTTAGCTCGAAAGGCGGAGTGCGAATGAGCTCTTCCACGTCGATAATCTCGGCCATTTTGTCTGGGCCTGGAAAGTGTGAGAGTCTCTCTACAGAGTTTAAATGACTCATCGTTTTACTTTTCTTTTGAGAGGACTATGCTCCAGATTCACAGGTTTCCTGTGTGACGCGTCTAAATTCTGAATCCTAGCCACAGCTGCCGTGGTCGTGTAATGGTCTTGCCATCTGACACAAGCTTACCCTTGCTGTGAGACTCACTCATAGGATCTTAGATCGATGACAAACCGGACGAATGTAAGCCGGCAGCATGAATGTCATATAGTCTCGCCTGATGAAAATTCGTAAAGGCGAAAATCTCTAATATTTTACCAAGTTGCTCGTCATGGGTGAAATTTATTTGATTTCGACTCTACAGCCGTCTCCTGGAAAGGAATCAAAGGTCAATATGCCTAAAAATATGTGATTTGAACTTCATCTCAAATTAATCTTACATCAATAGCTTCGGGAAGTTTTGTGTCAGACAGTCAACCATGTCAGCCGGGTGGAGAGAGGATGTTTTACTTTTCTTCTCATGGAAAGCCAGAGTCGCGAGGGACAGCTCGAGTTTAAAGTGATCGAAAGGTAAGGAGACCCCTTGACATAGTATTACCCCGCCTGTTCGAGCTCTCATCCTGGCCCGCAATATCGGGTATACAAAGGCTGAATCATAGATGAAAATATGTAGGTGGGAGAACGCGGAAATTTTGAACCAGCACCGTGACCGAGATTGGCTACAAGAAATGTACTCGAACTTCGAGAGCCAGCATCTCCTTGAGGGAAATGAGCAGATTGAATATTTAAGCTTTGTTTCAGGGTTCGTGTCGCGTTAAGCCGAATGGAGTCGAAATGAGGTGTTAGTTGGAAGATGGGGTTCGTCGCAGTACCCAGGCTGCAAGCAACCCTAGAATTTTGAGAATGTTGGGATGGATTCTGAGAACGGAAGAGCGGAAGAGCGGAAGATATCAGGCCAGAATGAAAGCATAGGGTAAGGAAATCGGCATAAGTAGAATTTCCATCGCCCGCTGCACTAGAATCACACGTACTCTGTTGTAATCCCCCAATCACCTTCACCTGTTCACTCTGTTCGGTTTCCATCCTCCTAGTACTTCCAAAGCGAGATGGCACAGCCAAATTGGAGGTCGTCAAAGGCCTTTGTGATGTTAGTCGTCTGTGTGGCCGTTTTTACAGATATTTTTCTCTATGGCCTCATCGTTCCAGTCCTGCCATTTACCCTGGCGACGCGCGTTGGACTCGCAGCCTCGGAAATACAACGCTGGACGTCCATCCTATTAGCTTGTTACGGCGGTTCTATTCTTCTCGGATCGTGTAGGAACTAAGCATCAGAGGAACCCACTATTGAGTGCGTCCGCTAACGCATACCGTTTCTAGTGTTATTTGGTTGGATCGGCGACCAAGCAAAAAAAAGGCAATCACCTTTCCTACTAGGGCTTCTTATTCTGGGTAGCGCGACTCTCCTTTTCTCCATGACAAAGATTCTGGCGTTGATAGTTGTGGCAAGAATTCTACAAGGCCTGTCAACGGCTATTGTGTTCACAATCGGCTTTAGTATGATGCTAGACGCGGTCGGTCTCAAGGATATAGGTCGTGCAGTTGGCTTCACAAGCATGAGTCTTAGTCTCGGTCTCTTCTCAGGACCAATTGTTGGCGGATTTATCTATGATCGCGCCGGGTATTTTGCCGTGTTTGTGCCTGCATTCGTGTTGATTGGCATTGAGATCTGCCTACGCCTACTTCTCCGACCTATGGCGAGACCAATATTGGATGCATCAAGCCCTGACGAATGCTCAGCTCTTTTATCTTCACATGGAATTGTTGAGCGGTCAAAGTTTTCCTCTGCAATCCTATTTATGCTTCGAAGTCCTCGTTTCCTTGTCGCAATGGTAGGAATGTGCATGTTAAACATATTCATGACGGCTTACGAGGCTGTCATCCCTGTTTACTGCCATCGGCTTTTTGAATATAACTCCAGTCAAATTGCCATTGTATTTCTCTCCAATACCATTCCGATGATTTTTTCTCCCATCAGTGGGGCTTTGGTTGACAAACATGGTGCATTCTGGCCAGCAGTTGCGGGATTCTCGTTAGCGGTACCGGGGATGATATTGCTGGGCATCATCTCTCAAAACACATTACTTTACTCTATCCTCTTACGAGTTTTTCTGTTTCTGTTTGGTTGTGGCGTCTCACTGGCAATGCCTTCCATGATGGCCGAGATCAGCATGGCAACTGACTGGGTTGAAAAACAGCATCCAGGAATCTGTGGCCCACAGGGCGCATATTCACAATCATATGGATTAAGTAATGCAGCATTTGCTGGTGGAACCTTGCTTGGCCCATTGTATGCTGGCTTCATCAAAGAATGGGCTGGGTGGATGGTCATGTCACAAGCACTTGGCGGGCTAGGTCTCATTATGATCATGTTGGTGATTGGTTTTACAGGAGAGAGGCACCGAATTCGCCGGACCGAGAGCAACTCTCCTAGTAGTGCATAGATGAAGAAGATACTTATCAGATGTATTTCACGGAGAGCGTGTAGCTATGGACAACGCTAAGGGATACGTTGTAGACTCAATCTCTTCCGGAAATTCAAGTCCGTGACTTTGGCGAACTCTGTCCATGATCTCCATAGAAAGGATGGTGTCATCCGAAGACATCAGAGGGCACTGTAGTTTACCGTCACGTATACAAATACCCACTTCGTCGGCTTGGTATCCCAATCCATACCTTTCTTTGGGAATATGATTTTTAAATTCATGGACTCGGTTTCCTATCATCTCAAATCCCTGTTCTCGCTCGATAACATGCAAATGAGACGGGCGCCATGATGGCCCAAAAATTTGTATTTCCCCTTTGTCGCCTTGAATTCTGATCACCGGAGACTGGCCATCGTAGCTGTCTGTTGTGCGTAAACTTGCACTTACAATGCCAATCACGCCAGATTCTCCACAGCCAGAAGCGGGGAATTTCAGAATAATGGCTGTAGACTCATCCACCCCCGTCGAAGCGTGCTTTGATACAACCGAATGAACCTCTTCTGGCCGACGTAACTCTTTGGGTAAATGTTGTGTGACCCACTGGATAGAATATACCCCCACTGTTCACGTTAATCAAGAGAATGGATTATTCAAATCAGAAGTCTCATTACAACTTACAGTCTAGTAAAGCTCCACCAGCCAAATTCTTATTCACCATACGATCTTGAGGATCAAAATCTCTCAAAGGATTCATTCCTATACTATTGTCGGCAACAATCCGAGTGATCTTTCCGACTGCCTGGACATCAAGAAGTCGGCGTATTTCTGTACCGATAGGCTGGAAACGTGTCCACATGCCTTCCATAATAAACCGGTTTTTTTTCTCAGCTAAGGCAAATAAACATTTTGCTTGATCCGCATTGACGGTCAATGGTTTTTCGCAGAGCACATGTTTTCCCGAGTGCAGAGCCAACATTGCGTTTTGAAAGTGATGCGAATGCGGGGTTGCAATGTACACAATATCTATGTCCGGGTTCTTTGCCAGATCATTGTAGGTTCCATATGCAAGGCACGTGGATGGAGCATTAACTTTGTCGAGAAAGGCCTTTGCTGTGGCCAATGAAGTAGATGAGCCAACGCCGGTGAGAACGTGTACTATATCATTTACTCTTCGTTCACCGGGGCTAGCAAGAATGTCCCGAGCAAATTCTGAGGCCATCAAAACCTATCACAAGGAGAAAAAAATGATATGAGCACAACCTACTTTCAGCTATTATCCCGGTTGCTGCATAGTATTAGATGGACTTGTTCAAACTGCGCCAACGATGAAGTAAAATATAGAACTTGCCAATAATTCCCCAATGTAGTCTGAAGACCTCGCCCCGTTGTATAGCAGATGATGTCATTGTTTAACTCAACCGTGTAATTTATTTTGGCGCGTTATTGACAGATACTATCATGTCTTGCAAGCATGAAAAGCCATCTAGAAGCGCGGAGGTGTTAGTCAAGGGCTTCTTATTTGAGATCCTGATGAGGAAGGTTTGCAGGTGATCTCCACAATAGCCATCTCATGTAACGATAAAGCCACCCTGTATCTTGTGAGACTTTTATCGAGCCATCCGATCCGATAGGGCTTAAATGGAAGTCATATGCTAAATTTAAAATCGAGTATAGTCTTTGAACTCAATATGCAAGTTTGCTCGATGTCGTGGAACATTGTACGAATTTTAATTTCTCATTGGTTTGAAGGAAGAACACAATAAATTCCTTCACATGAATATCACGCCATTATCACGCCTTTTATGTCTCAGGGATATGACGAAAATTTGACTTCAAGTCTCTACAAGAAGCTCAATACGTCCGCGACAATGGTATCTTCTTCAATGCCCCACATGATTAATACCACTACTTCCACCATCGTGGGATCCGAGGTTGGTTACATCGAAGATGTGATCAAGTTGAGGTCTCTCAGTGGAAAAGGAAAATACACGAAATTGTGTGAAGAATGGCTTGAAAGGTTAATGCCGAAGGGCCGGGCATTGGTGGTCTCGTCGTGTACATCCGCCTTAGAGATGGCGGCTATTCTGGCCAACATTCAGCCTGGGGATGAGATAATCGTGCCAAGTTATACTTATGTGACTACGGTCAACTCGTTTGTGCTCCGTGGAGCTATCCCTGTATTTGTCGACATCGGGGACGCTACAATGAATATCAATGCCGCGTATATCGAAGCAGCAATTACCGCCAAAACTCGGGCAATAGTCGCCGTCCACTATGGCGGTCTTGCATGCGATATGGACCGCATCATGAAAATTGCGAAGAAACACCATTTGTTTATCTGCGAAGACGCCGCAATGGCTTGTACTTCCACGTATAAAGGTCAGATGCTGGGCACCATTGGTAATGTCGGCTGCATCAGCTTCCAAGAGAAGAAGAACTTCACTGCAGGCGGCCAGGGCGGCGCGCTTTTGATTAATGATCCTGATTTAATAAATCGAGCCGAGCATATCTATGATCATGGCACCAATCGGGCCAGCTTTATTCGTGGAGAAGCTGAGTGCTACCAATGGCTGGACTTGGGTCTCAATGCAACGCTCTCCGAAATACAAGCAGCCTTTTTGTACGCGCAGCTACAGAATGCAGATGGAATCAATAGCCGTCGAAGGCATATTTGGCACCGGTATCATGCCTGCTTAGCCGTACTGGCACAAAGGGGGCATATCATGCTGCCACACATCCCGGATAATACGACGCACAATGCGAATGTCTTTTGGATTAGGCTTGTGGATGCGACTCAGCGCGTGAGTTTGATTTCACATCTAGACCGTGCCGGGGTGCAGGCTCACCCTCAATTCATGCCGCTCCATACGTCTCCTTATGGTCGAATTCATGGTCGATTCTCGGGAATCGATCGAGTGACTTCGCTGGCTGCGGCGCAAATTCTACTCCTCCCGCTTCATACGGCTCTGTCGGACGCGCAACAGGATTTGGTGATTAGTGAGCTGTTTAGCTTTTGGGCAGAGAAACAGGTCAATGATCCTACTATTTGATCGGTAACCTATCATTATTATGATGCTAGCCAATGCAGAATCTACTCGCATAGCATGCTTTTGGTTGAGAGCCCCGATCAAGTTTATAAAGTCCATCATTGAGTAAACTTTCTCTAAATTCCTTGTGCTTCGCAGGCCGAGCAATCGAAAATCTAGGGAAGCACTGTCCATGGCCAGAGTTGGGTACTCAAATAGGCCGGAAATGCAGAATAAATGGTCCCTCACGTCGCCAGTTTTACATCTTCCCCTGTCGCTTCTTTAAGTAAACTCCGCCACCACGGCTGGAGAACCCCCAGCGAATTTGATTTGCCATCGAAATCTCGACATCAAGCTCTTCAGCCCAAGTCCAGACGAGACTAGGGTTCTTCTGGAAGCCACGCCCAACCAGGACAAAGTCCAGCCCGTTATTCTCCAGTAAACAATTGGCCAGGTAGCCCGAGCTGATCATGCCGACGGTGCCCACTTTCAGCCGATCACCAACCGCCTTTTTGACCTCAATCGCAAAGGGTGCTTGAAAGGCCGCCTTGGCATGAATGTGTTGCTTCTGGTGATTGCCTCCACTGCTGATATCCAGTACGTCGACGGTACCCGCATCGGCCAGCATTTTAGCGAAACGGACTGTGTCTTCGACCCGCCAGCTCGGCTGGTCGGGCATGGACTCTTCTAGCCAGTCGGTCGCTGATACGCGGAGGAAGACGGGCATGGCTTTAGGCACAGTGTCCCGGGTCAGCTGGGCGATCTCACAAGACAGACGAGTACGGTTCTCGAAGCTGCCGCCGTACTCGTCGGTGCGGTCGTTTGTCGCTGGGGATAGGAAGCTCATTAGCAGATAGCCGTGCGCGTTGTGAATCTCGACGAAGTCGACGCCGGCCTTGACTGCGCGCTGTGTTGCGGCCACCCAATCTCGCTTGAATTGCTCGATGTCGCTCTTCGTCATGGCCTTGGGTGTGGGGAATTTCTCGTGGAAGGGAACATTGGAAGGTCCCTTGACGTTCTCCGGCCACCCGCCGACTTTCTCAGTCGCCAAGTCGGCCATACTGAGCCACGGTGCGACGGTACTGGCTTTGCGGCCTGCGTGAGCGATCTGGATGCCGATGATCTGGTTCTGGCTATGTACAAACTCGACTACGCGGCGGAGCGGCTCAATCTGCGAGTCCTTCCAGAGGCCATGGTCTTCGGGAGTAATGCGGCCCTCCGGCTGGACGGCTGTTGCTTCGACCATGAGAAAACCGGGCCCACGCTGCGCGATCCCGCCCAGATGGGCCATATGCCAGTCTGTCATGTGTCCATCATCGGCACTGTATTGACACAGCGGGGAGAGCTGTTGCACCGTCAACAAATGTCTTTCACAATGTCAAGAACTATGGCCCGCGTACCCCGACTCGATTGTGAAAGGTCACGCCTTTCACTTGAAAGGGTTGGAAGAGCTTAGGAGGTTGCGATCCATCGGATTGGGGAATCGCGGCGGTCCCAGCGGGCAAGACCTGCGCTGGAGTGAAATAGGAGATGCCGGGCGCCGGCTTGTTGGCAATATCGGGGTGGTTGGGCTGCGACATGATCTAATAACAGTATGTAGTAGGCCGTGGGCGAAGAAGTCGGGGAAAATCCCAGTTTGCAGTCCGGCTCGATGAATGTCTGAGATAGTACAGACTAGGTGATACGACAGACCTGGTGATAAGCGATCTCGAAGGTGACGATCGAGGGAACAGATTATATAGCTGTCTATGCTTTATCACCTTATTCTCTATGCTCTCTTTGAAGCTTGCACGCGTCTAATGCCTCGGGCGTCGGTGATTTTTGATTTCTAATTGCAGGTCTGCTTATGCGCGATCTTCCCCTCGCTTTGTATTCCCGAGGGGCTACTGGTTGACGTCACCATTGGGCCCGTCGAAATCAAGTCACCAGGCCGGCCGACATCTACTGTCTCAAGGCTTCTCTGAGAGGTGTTCATGCAACAAGGTGTGGGCTTACTTGAGTGATTCTGCTGGTTAAATAAGAATGAAGCACTCAAAAAGCATAAACTTTGAACACTGTAAGCCGGGTCTAATTCAACCGCCTGGGGGGGCCAAAGTGTCGGGATCGGATCGCAAGTTCCCCAATGCCTCGGCAAGGACGGGCGAGGACAATCCTGATTTACTACCGGATTTCTCCAGTCGTCCGATGGAATGGCTGGAAATATCTGCGGCCCGACTCCTGTGTAGGGATGAGACGAGACAAGAAAACGATGACGAGGTTTGTCAGCCTCGCGCTTGACCCTGAGACCTCAGGATCTTCCGTTCCTAGGCGTCCATCTGTGTTCGGTGAGGCACTTTAAATTCTTCAAATAAATGTCCGATTTATGGTTTTGGGTGGTTGAGGGCATGAGGATCTCATAGCATTTTGCGAGCTAAGTTAGTTACTCTTGTGGAAATGGTATCACATAATCAGCAGACTCCCCGGGAACTCAAACGAACAACGGATGAATGGCACCTTATGGTGCGTTTCAGAGGGCCGATTGCGCTACAGAATACTCCACGAGGCTGATGAAGATCTCGCAACCATTGATGGCCCGGAGATAACCTTCCATCGGGCGTCAATTTATCCAAATCAGCCCGAACACAAACCCCTAGTTCACGAGTGAGAACTGCACGATTCGACAAAAATGGATGGCGTAGGGCGGCTACATGTCCCGTGTGATAATGCATGCTATCGTCAGCCAATCCGCATGCACATAGAGACTCGAGGCCGTAGACGAAACGGGATATGCTGGCTCCGGTCCGCTCGACGGGCGCTTAGCGATGGCACCTATGTAGAGCTGCAGTGGTACTGCCATCGCGACAGGGACCAGGGTGGGCCCCAAACATTCCTTGCCTGACTGTCTCACGGTCCCAAGCGAGGCTCCATCTCGTCTCAGAATTAGCAGAAACCAGAGAGACAAAAAGTGGGACGGTGGGGAAGAGTGGAGGACGACGGATAAACAAACGGATTTGCATAATATGCTCCTGGGAAGACCCAATCAGAGCCTCCAGCCACAACCTTGCAGGAAGCCAGTCGATAAGCGCCCACGTCGAAGTCAATGGATGGAAGTTCGTTTCAGAATCCGGAACACGGTGCGATAGCCAATAACCAGATGAAACACTTGAAACAAGAGAACGACACAAACACCTGGACGTGTTGACGGTCGCGTGCTGAGCATTCCGTGCCTGGCGGTGTTCAGCCCTAAGGCAGTCAGTCAGTCGCTCGAGTCCCGTGCGCGGCCCACCTCGACCTCTTGGAACCTCTTGGCCCCTGTTTCATCTGGCTTTCCCCTCCCCTTTCGGTCTTTCAACCTTCCCACCCTCTCAAACACTCTTTCTTTCGGGCTCAGCCACTCATTCATTCATTCTCCTCGCTCATTCTTGCTTGTCTCTGCAAGTCCACTCTTTCCTCCCAGTCTTCGTTGTGCACGTCGCATTCCTTCTCCGCAATCCGATCCGCATCTCAACCCGAATCCACCCCCTTTCTTGGCGCTCAGATACCAGTGCGATCATCCCACACCCACTTGGCATCGGATCGACACTCGCTCATCGGCTCGTGCATGATCTTTGGTCATTGTGAATGCGTCTTTGATTCATCAGAACATTGGTGCATGCGATTGACTGCACTGTCAGTTCCTGGAACCTCGCATCTCGTCTCCAGCCTCCCCCCTGAACCGTCACCCGTTATGCGCCATCCTCGCGGTTAAAACCAACCAACCCGCAACTCAATCTTTTTTTAAATCTACTGAGGCCCCCCCGTGTCTCACGAGGCTCTCAAGTCGTTTCTGTGTGAATCGTGTTCTCAGGTCGTGACTTCGCCCGGCTGGCCCGACGAAGTCCCCTTGTCTGGATCGTCCACTTACTCGCTCCGTCTTTCCCAATCATTCCCTGGCCGGCCCAGGCAAAACTCATACAATGGGGTGCATGGGTGACCGTGAGAAAGGAGATGTGTCGATGGAAGAAAAATGGGACTATGTGGTACGTGAAATTGGGTGCTGATCCTCATCGAGGGTGTAGTGGCCGATTATATGCCTGATATCTTGATATGCCGATCTGCAAACTGACCTTGACTCTGCTAGAACCTTGATGATTTCAAATCTGACTCTTGCTGGACCGGGTTTTCTTACTTCTGGCTCTGGGTGTTCCTGGTTGTCTCCATCGCAGTCTATGGTGTTGATACCTTCACCGCCGTCAACTTGCTCGCTTTTTCTCGTTGGTCCGGTCGTGTGGAACCCGCCATTCCCTTCAAAATATCTCGTTGGATCTATGCTGTGTGCATTCTTGTTTCATTTGCTCTCCTAATCTATCGATGGCTGCTCGCTATCCGATCCATGCGCTCCGGCAGCATTACGCGCAGCTATCTAGACCCTCTGGCCGTCCGTGTGCAAAGCGTCCGAGTGTTCACCAAGAAGGGTCGCGGATGGAAGCGATTCTTGGTCTTCGCCGAATTGACAAAAAGCAAGAAAGGCGCTGAATATGTGGCTCTGTATGCATATTTTTCATTCCAGTCCTGGCTGAACCTCGTCTTCGCCGATGGCCCACGTCAAGTCATTAATGCAATCACGCTGTGGTCTGTCATGAAGTCCGATCTCTTGCCAGGGGGAAGAATGCGGCGAAGGATGACGGTAGTTCAGATGTGTCCCAGTTTTTCAACAATGTCAAGATTCTTGCCGAGGAAAACAACCTCCAGGCAGTGGTCTTGATTGGCATGCTATTTACTTTGGTGATCTGGGTCTTGTCGATCCTGAAGCTGGCCTCGGCTATTGTCTTATACTTGATCTTCCTCTTTCACCACATTCCAGCTGAAGATGGCACACTTACAGCGTACTGTCGCCGCAAGATTAGCACGCGACTGACACGGATTGTTCGGAAGAAGGTCAACAAGGCCTTGGCGAGCGGGTTCAAATTGCAGGATCGGAAACCCACAGAGCCTATGCTGGCTGCCCAAGATACGAAGCCAACCTTGCCGTCGATTGATCTGGATAAGACCCCGGTTGTGAGCACCTTGTCTCGCACTACAACTCAAACCACCTTGCCGCCCTATACGCGATCTAACTCCGTGAAAACGGATCACAACCCAACTCTACCAAACCTGGAATTCGATAGCAAACCGCCCCTGAGCCGGACGACAACTCAAGCATCTGCTATGTCTGAGTCGGCCTCTTTGACTGGTAATGCAGCCGGCATGGGGTTTAGCCCACTCGATTATCAGAGTAATGCTCTTCCTCCACTGCCACCCCTGCCCGCTACGCTTCCTTCTACCAGGCCAGGAACATCACAGTCGCGGCCTACGCCTGGACTGCCGCTTGCCAACAACTCTGACCGCAACAGCCCGGCTCCTGCAACGCGAAACCTGACTGATCCCTATGCTCGATCGGGGACGCCAGGTGTCGCGGTTTCGGATGATTATTTCGGCCGCTCACATGCACCTGCTGCTCATTATGACCCCTACGGATCTTCCGGAGCGGACTATGAGGATGACTATGGTCATGATTACCATCATGATCGTGATCATGATGATGACTTTGATTATCGTGCAAGGACAGAAACCCCCTTCCAGGATATTCGAACCCAGCAACATTCAGGCTACCTGCCTCAGGAGGGATATCCGACCCGATCCTATTCTCCCGCCAGTACTGGTGCCATGCCTCGTGCTCCCCCTGTTGATACCCTGGGCCGATCCGTCACCCCCGCAAGCTACCGAAGTACACCTGCTCCTCGACCTGGCCAGGCCATCCCGCCTCCCCCACGGAGCTATACTACTCCGATGAGTCCACCCGATTCCACCGAATCTCAAGGGGGCGGATATACGGCTTTCAATCCCCCAACTCCATCTCAAACCCCTCAGCCTTACATGCACAGATCACCTGGACCAGCTGGCTATCAGCCCTTCAATCGCGCCAATACCGTCTCACCTGGGGCTATGAACCGCAATGGCCCACCAGCTGGATACTCATTTAATCGCGCAAACACCGATCAATTTTGAAGCGATAACCCTCATTCTCTCTATCTCGCTCGAACTCGGACCAAACATGTTTAATCTTCAATGCTCCTGAGAACTCTCTTATGACTGACTGCAGGATAGCTGGCTCTTTCTGCGATTGATGACCGGATATCTTCTTAATACCGTTCATAAACAAAGAGCAAGCCTCTTTTGACTGCGCAATGTTGTACATAACCTTACATACCCCTTCTGTTATTGCGCGACTAGTGGAGTCGCAGCTTCTTTTTTGTTCTGTTTTTCTCCAAATCTGTGAAGATCAATTTATCCCTCTGTCGAAACCTTCTCTTGTGTAGGCCTATAGTGATGCGAGCCGCCTGGGTATATAGTTTTTCGTATGTTTGAATAGAGCCGATCATTCGTAGCAATGTCTTGACAGCTGGCTTTCAGCCAGTCATTGAATCGATTTAATTGCCGATATCCTACATCAATCCGCTTGCTATAAATAGGAGGTGTTCTAGATTTTTGCGTTACTGAAATATCATGTGATAACCCATTTTTGCCTGAGGCAGAAACACGGCTGTCCTCTCCGACTTGCCAGATAACCTCCCTTATCTTTCCCCAGCTGCATGCTCCGACATCACCAATGCATGATCTCCGCGTCCACTGATCTTGCACGCGTCGCACATCCCACAATGCGTGCTGGCTGAATCATATAGTGGTATACTGCGGTTTCAAGTCTTATTCTGACTTTCTTGCGTCTTCCCTTGCTCTTGTCCGCCCACTCTACTTCGACTCTTCGCATTTCGAATTAGCCAGCCGCCCTTTCGCACCTTCTCAACCCGGGGCCGAGCCCGGACGATGCAAAGAAACATATATTTTCTCCCTGTGGCATGAATCCAAGCTTCTACAGTGGCTCATTGAGAGGGGAACTTGTCTTGAAAGCGACAATTCCGAAAGAGCGGTCAAGATGACCCCCGCGGCGGAGAGTAATGAATTTCCTCCAAGTTCTAAGTCGCAGGTGAATGGAAATGGGAATACCGAGTCGGCAGACAATCGTAAATCATGGCCATCACGTGAGGATGAGATCAACGGTTCTGGCATCTTAACGCCCTCCGAGACAGACGCCAGCCAGAGTCCCACTATTGCGGAAGATCAGACAATCGAACACGTTGGAAACGAGACTCAACCCCATGGAGAATCATCTGCGTTGTCGGAGCATGGGCTTGGAATATTGGTTGAGCTCTCGCCCGGTGGTACTAGGAAGACCGGTCGAGCATCAGTTCTCGACGGTCCGAAAGTCCACGCGGCTTTGGCTGACCTTGCTAAGGATGCCTCCCAAAGACCAGCGGATGACAAAGATAAAGTCTTGAAGCTGTCCCCGGAAAAAATCCAGGAGCTCACATCGTCGCCTGACTCGATTCCATACCGGCCTGCGGCCCCCGATACAACTTCTGGGAGAAGGACGGTGTCAGAGAATATCCACTCCAATGGAACACTTCGGCCCGAGATTCGCGCCTCGATTCTCCAATCTCTGAACGAACCAGCACTGCCCGCAGATGACATGTTGAAGGCACGTTTCACGAAAGAAGTCGCTGTCGAGGAGTCATCTCTGCCCCCAAGCCCTGCTTTTCCGCGTTCAATGAACAATGGACCCGTTCGCACCCGACCTCATCAGTCCCGCACAGTTTCAACCCCTGGTCTTTCTAGGCACTCCGTTGTACCTTCTTCCAATAATGATCGTCTGACACAGACATGGGCGTCACGATCAAAACAAGATAGGAGTGGCGCAGATCGTGATTTGAAAGCCCACCTGGCGGCATCCCCTCAGATTATTGAGTCTTCTTCATCATCTCCCCTGCCTCCATCCATCCCAATACCTCCTGTCTCGATACCCACTTACTTGCAGCTTGAGCTTGCTTCCGGTCGCCCTTCTCCGTTGTATATCCATCGACCATCCGCTAGTGACTTCCCTTACGAATCATCTAGTGCGAAGATTGAGAGGTTGGTGAACTTCTTAATTCTCCCCGGTGCGCTTGAACAAGTTCTATGCTTTGGAACCCTGGCATGTCTTGACTCGTGGCTATACTCATTCACAATTCTCCCCCTGCGCTTCATTAAGGCTATATACATACTTTGCGAGTCGTGGGCGATGAACCTTGAGGCCGAAATTCGTTTTGTCTGGAAGTTTGTTCTTAACGGAGTTGGTCGTGTTTGGCAAAGGAGGAGACACTTACCATCAGATGGACTTGGAGAAAGACGTGAAAGCGAGCCTGATGCGACCCCACGTCTACCTAATGGATCCTCTGCAGAGCAGGAAACGGCCACCGGAGATCGCGATTCCAGGCACAGACACGCGGATCCAAAGAGAAGACACCGCGCCTCTGAGTCCCGCAGGCACCATCGGCGAAAGAAGTCTATGCCATCGGCTCTTCTCCCTGATGACAAGGCTGATATCCTTACGGGCTTGCTCATGGCGGCGACCTGTTGGGCACTTATGTACTTTGATGCCAGTCGGATGTACCATTGGATTCGTGGACAGGCAGCCATCAAGCTGTACGTGATCTATAATGTGCTGGAAGTGCTTGATAGACTATTGGCTGCCATTGGACAAGATGTCCTTGAATGTCTCTTCTCACGCGAGGCTCTCGAGCGTCGCCCAGATGGTCGCAGTAAGATCCTGCGTCCATTTTGTTTATTCCTAGCAGCTCTAGTTTACACTGTGGCGCATGCGACGTCTCTGTTCTCCCAAGTTATGACGCTCAATGTCGCTGTGAACTCCTACTCCAACGCGTTGATGACACTTCTGCTATCGAATCAGTTTGTCGAGATTAAATCTACCGTCTTCCGCAAGTTCGAGAAGGAAAACTTATTCCAGCTTACGTGCGCTGATGTCGTGGAGAGATTCCAACTATGGCTCATGCTTACTATCATCGCTTCTCGCAACATTGTCGAGACGGGTGCATTCAATTTTATTTGGGATTTGGGGCTTGGATCGGGCTTCCCCGGACAGTCTTCTACTAGCACCAACAGCACTCCTCTATCTACGCCCCCGCGGACTGCATCGTCCATCCTCCCTCAGTCCTTCACGTTCTTCCCGTCGTCCATTTTATCATCTGTCAGTAGCGTCAATTCTTTCCTACCAACGCTCGGCCAGGTACTCGGTCCATTTTTGGTGGTTTTGGGATCTGAAATGCTCGTGGACTGGCTCAAACATGCATACATCAACAAGTTCAACAACTACCGACCTGCGCTATATGGCCGATATCTCGACGTACTTGCAAAGGACTACTATACCAATGCTTTCGGCGACCAAAACCTCACCCGTCGCCTGGGTCTTCCCGTCATCCCGCTATCCTGCCTGTTCTTCCGCGTCTCGGTGCAGACATACCAGATGTTCCTCGCTTCTCTCATGCCCCAACACCCTTCGTCCACTGCGTTGGAGTCGACCTCGCTTTCCTCGATCCATAACCATTACGCACCAGCTCCCCTTCCCTCACCTCCGCCCTTGACCTTACACACGATCATCCCCGCGACCGCCGCGCACATGAGCACTTTCTTCCGCACGCTCCTTGAGAACGCCATTCCCTCGCCTGCACAATCGGTGCAGATATTTACCGTCATTCTGCTCCTGACCGGATACATCGTGCTCCTAATCCTCAAGCTCCTCCTGGGAATGGGTCTGCTGGCCTTCGCCCGCTCCCGGTATCGGAAAATGAAGGGCCTGGATATGGAGCCGCGGAAGTCCTCCCACCCAGCCCCCGTCGATCTCCCGGCCCAGAAGGATGAGTTCAAGGTTGAGGGCAGTCGTCGCGCAGGTGGATGGGGTATGGTTGAGTTGGGCGAAGAGAAGCGCCGTTGGATTTATGGAGATGATCCAGAAGGCCTGCGCCGGGTGAGGGAAAAGGAGGAAAAGGATAGTAATAAAGACACGGACTTGAAGATTGATCATGTGCGGCGGTATGAGATGGTTGCGAAGAAAATCTGGTGATTTGGAAGTCGCAGTAAACCATTCTAGTGGGTTCCTTGTACATTTTTCTCTATGAAGTCTCCGAAATACTACTCAACAACGTTATGTGCCTGCTTCATTTCTACGACAAATCTCGTCATCAACTAGTTACTTTAACTTACTGGCACCTACCACGCAAGGTTCGCGGCAGCGTGTTGAACCCCCGTCGTGGGCCGAGGAGTGCTCACCTAGATGATTTTCCATAAATCAAGCAGAAAGCCATCAGTTCCTGTTCAGCGATCCATTTTCGACCTGAAATTGGACAGCACTGCAGCAATACCTGGTCACCTGCTCAGATTTCGAAACTCCGAGGACTGCGAGCTTGTGGCATGACACCTGGGTGAGGTATACATAACCATCTATCCACACGGTGAATCACTCGAACTGAGTGCTTAGTCGTGCGAAACTGCTGTTCTCAATTCCGTTGTGCTTTTCAGAAAATACTAGTTTTGAAACTTTCTTACCGTCATGAGCAAGTTACTTGCGCCACAGGATTAGGCATATCTGGCGAGCGATTATTTTGAATGAAAATGTGCCTTGACCCTGAATCATGCCCGGCTATTGTTGCAAACGAAACACAAAAAAAGCACGACGCTATGAAAGACAGAGATCGGAGTTCAAAGACGCCAGCAAAAATTCATCAATACAGATCTGGCAGCGCTCTGTCCTTCCTAAAATAGATGCAATGGCAGGCAGAAAACAAACGCGGAGAACGATTGTGCTCTTCATTCCCATGACTACGCTAACACCACAGCAGTATCATTTTTCCATGCATTAGATCTCAACTTTAATTTTTTTTTTTTTTTTTTTCCCATGTGATTTGTACACAGCACAATCTTGGTTGTCGATTCTGAGCCTCGAAACTATTTTCCTTTGAACTTAATTCCATTATCCATATCAGTCTCTGTCCTCCGTTTTGATCTCCGATAGTAGTCAAAGACAAGCGACTCCAAGAACTTATGGGCCGCCTCTAACATAATGAGCGGTGTTTTTTTTAGTACATGTGTTGCTTCGTACAGAGTAGTAATTAGCATAGCCAAGGAATTTCAACCTAGTAGCACCCTCGGAGTAATCCGGCCACGCGGATGAAGACTATCAAGCCCCTTGCATGGTGAAAATTCACGTGGCTCTGTGTATACGGCGTACACGAAGTAAAAGATTTCAGTGGCTGATCCGACCCTAGGCAGTCGTGATCTATCGTTTCCTTCAAATCCATAATTGCGGCTCGGTGACCAGTATTCCCGGCTTTGCAGGCCCTTTGCAGGCCCTTTGCTTTGCTTTTTCTCCCCCCCTTTTTCTTCAAAAAAGAGAACAATAAGGGGCAGCGCCCCTATTCCAACCTCAATCCAACTTGGCGTGAGAGAAGTCACACGAGCAAATATGGCGCTGGCGAAGGATTCACAGAGAAGCTCCTGCGATCCCCCTAGCGCGTGTGTCATAGAAACGGGCTAATAACAGGGGGGGCTAAAGGGTGATTTCTTGTGGAGCCAGGCGCTGGGAAGCGGTCCAGGGCAACCTGAATAAAATGATCACCCTATTTTCTAGGCAAACGGAGAGAAACCAAGCTGCAGCGAGAGTCTGCCAAGATGTTATGTTGTCATCCATAACAAATGTCCAATCACAGGCAGATAGTGGGTTTATGGGAAAACCCCTGTTAGATTCAAGCACGGCGGGTGGGTATTCAACGGGCCATAGGGTGAAGAACTGGTGCACCGCCCAGCAATAGATACGAGAGGTTGAAAGGCTTAGCAGTGGTGTTGAGATGCAGCTTAAGGAGTTACAGTGGATTGAGTATCGAGAAGCAGCACCTGTGCATTGGGGTCCATTGCATCCAAGTTCACTCGTAGGCGCTCTCAAAAAGTTGGACTTTGGGTAGAACCAACCGTAGGATGTGACCAACATCGAGTATACTATGAGCGCCACGCACCAGCATCGGGCGCAGAATGATCATACCGAGATCCTGCTTTGGATGGAAGAATCAGCCAAGATCAGCGGGGGCGTTCAAAATGGCGCACGCGGCGCCCCATGGCACCACTTTTTTGCTTTGGAAAATGGCGGACAAGGTCAACGATGGCGCAAGCTAAGGTCGTTTTGGGGGTTAGTGCAACCCCCAGGCCGCTTCCTCCCCAAAGTTTCCCGCTCAAGAGTCGGCAACCCCGTTCGCCGTCTTGGCCCGGCTTGTGGCTGGTTGTGGACGGCCACTAAACTTTTCCCCACGCCGCTTGGAGCGCCTTGGCCCATCCCGGACTCTTGCACTGGGGCCTCTCCGGGGTCTCTCCGGGGTCTCCTCGTTGATCAGAACGGATAACTACGGGGGTGGTTCTGTGCAGATTGGAAGATTTACGGCATAGAAGTACAGACTATAGACGACAGAGCAGGGACTCCGGAGCACGAAATATGGCTGATCTCGTCAGCGTTGAATCCCCAACGCCCAGACCATGCAGCTATCGCGTTGGTGACTAGGGGTTTAGAACCACAGGATGCATGGATCGCGTCCAAGGCGCCCTAGTGCTTACTCGCCCAGTTCTGAGCAGCCTGAGCGGCCCTCGGCACAGCCGCCGAGATTGCTAAAACTGCCAAGCTGTGTTTCGGACATGTTTGTGCTTAGTCGGTCTCCATGCGGGGGGTTTTGATCGTCCTTTATATACTGCGGAGAAGCCAGTTCCCCCACGGGGATTTCTGTTAGCATGTTTCTTTAAAAGTGGGTCGAACGTCCACAGGAAAAGCTCCTCGTGTGTGATATTTCCCAACCATCTTGAGCTTTTGACGCCCATCATGAATGAAAAGAACTCTTCCGAGGCGGCTCCTCATTCAGAGTTCGTCCAAGAGACGCCCCCGGAAGCGGCTGAGGCCACAGCGCCACGCCGGGCCGCCGCCATCAACATCATCCAGAATCCCCTGACGGTAAGCACTGAGTTTGGGCGGTGACTATCCGTCGGTCGAATACTTCGCATAATGTTCAAGAGCCCGTCATACTGACTGTGTGGGCTCCTCCAGCGTGTTTCGAAAGAACAGGCGGTCGTCGATGCCCAGGCATTTGCCGAGTCGCACAATATGTCCGAGCACGCGGATCTATTTGGCCGCGCTGCGATCGTCGCACGAGATCCCTCGGGCTTCGACGACATGCCCGAGCTGGATGAGCAAGAGCGGGCCGCACTGGCATATGAGCGGAAGCACAAATGGCATGGACCCTTCATGCTTTGGTACTCGATCGCGTTGTGTGCTGTCGGAGCCGCGACTCAAGGATGGGATCAGACTGGATCCAATGGAGCGAACTTGTCCTTCCCTGAAGAGTTCGGCATTGCAGGTACAGGCCGAGATGAGTGGATTGTGGGAATTGTCAATGCGATTATTTTCCTGACGGCCGGTTTAATGTACGTCCCTCGCGCATATCTTATAGATTCAATTGGCTTCCCTCAGAAACTCACAAGAACTGAATAGTGGTGCTTTCATCGTCGATCCTCTGAACCACTACTTTGGGCGACGTGGTGAGATCTTCATCACGGCTTGCTGTTTGACTGCGACTCCAATTGGCTCTGGATTTGCCAAGTCGTGGCAAGGCCTTTTCGCAGCGCGATTCGTGATGGGCATTGGCATCGGTGCGAAGAATGCGACAGTCCCAATCTACTCCGCCGAAATGGCTCCACACAGAATTCGTGGAGCTCTCGTCATGTTCTGGCAGCTGTGGGTTGTGGCCGGTATATCTCTCTCCTGCACAGTCTCACTCGACCATTGCTAATTGCATCACAGGTATTTTCCTCGGCTTCTGCGCCAACGTTATTGTCAAAGATACAGGCAAAATCTCCTGGCGTCTCCAGCTGGGCTCTGCATTCATCCCCTCGTTTATTCTCGGCTGCGGAATCTGGTTCTGCCCCGAATCCCCCCGTTGGCTGATGAAGCACAACCGGCATGCCGAAGGTTTCAAATCTATGGTGCGCTTGCGCGCGCATCCTATCATCGCCGCCCGAGACTTTTACTACTCCCACATCATCTACGAAGAGGAGATTAAGGAAGCGCGCGGAGCGGGATACTTCTCTCGATTGTGGGACTGCTTCGCAGTGCCCCGAATCCGACGTGCTAATTACGGTGCTTCAACGGTCATGATTGCCCAGCAAATGTGTGGCATTAACAGTGCGTCAATTCGTATTCCGCTTATTAGCCTATATCTAACATCTCTCCAGTTATCTCTTTCTACAGCTCAACTCTCTTCACCGATGTTGGCTACACAGATGTCCAAGCCTTGTATGCATCTCTTGGATATGGTGCCATTCAGGTTGTCGCAACCATCCCGACATTGTTCCTGATTGACACTAAAGGCCGCAGAACATTAACTCTGATTGTGAGTTCTCACTTGCTTGCGAGAGATCCTCTTCATTTTGCTAATCAGGAACCTTCTATTCAGACATTCCCACTCATGTGTATCTTCCTTTTGGCCGCCGGCTTGTCTTTGCTCAACACAACCGGTAGCCACGGATCACGAATCGGGCCTGTTGCGCTGTATGTTTGAGACATACTCACTCACCCCTTGATCAATCCTTCAACTAACTTCTCCCTCACTAGCTTCGTTTACTTGTTCACCATTGCCTACTCGCTAGGTGAAGGACCCGTCGCTTTCCAGTACTCGGCCGAGGTTTTCCCCACCATCCAGCGTGAGCAGGGCATGGCTTGGGCTGTCTGCATCAACAACACCTTTGGTCTGTATCCTCAATCTTCAGCAACGCGAAACCATTCCACTGACATTTTATACAGCTGGTATTCTGAGTTTGACATTCCCCCGCATGAGGACCGTCATGACGCCAACTGGCGCCTGTAAGTCATTTACCACCATGAAGCCCCCGCGCAATCTTCTAACTCGATTTCTAGTCGGATTCTATGCCGGGCTTAACCTCATCGCTTGGGTGATGATATTCTGTTTCGTGAGAGAAACCAAGCAGCTTACCCTGGAGGAGTTGGATCGTAAGCATATACTTTCATTCCCTCCAATCAGCTACACGCCAGACTTACTAATCCCTCTGTGCAGAGGTCTTCTCGGTCCCGACGAAGAAGTATATCAGCCATGAGCTGACTGTTTGGCTGCCGTGGTTCATCAAACGCCACATCTTCCGACAGAACATCCCCAAGCCTCCGGCCATCATCGCGACTGCCAATGAGGCCAACGGACTGAAGCAATCCGACTACTATCCTTCCAAAATCGCTCCAGTCGGTGGAGCTGTGATGGGCGCTCCCGCATGAGCCAAGTTGGTACGCTACAACGGATGGGTGTGCCCGCATGTGCATCTTTTTAATACAACGGATAAAGAAGGGCGTATGTAGCCATGTTGGTTAAACTTGGGCGTGTTTTCTCTCTTGGAAGTTGTTCCCGTCTAGCTATTGTCGCTATTCTCCCCATACCCCCAGTAAGCAAATTTATGGACTTCATTTCTTGTTTCCTTTATCTTCGACGACCTCAGCATCTTTGCCCTTAGCATCGTTGTCATCCTGAACGAATGCCTCGACAATCCTCTTGCCTTCATCGATATCGTCCATGTCCCAGGGCTTCAATCCGAATGAGTGCATGTACGAAGTCCAGCCACCGTAGCTTTTGACGATTGTCCGCTCGGCGGGGGTGAGGGGCGGCTCTAAAGAGGCTCAGCAAATATAGAGAAAAATATTGTGTCAGTCGAACGCATACGAAGACCATCAGTAGACGGCATGGCGCAGTCTGAGAAGAGATCACAGAAAGTGGAATAGGCTGTCTGGGTCTTGACGATCGGACAGGCTCTGTAAGGCTCTGTAAGGAACAGGGGCCGAGGAAGCTGATCGGGGGCGCAGCACCAGTATAGACGAGGGGTGGAGTCGGTGGAGTGGAGTTGTTGAGAAGACGGCGTTTCCTGAGCCGTGTGGGGAGTGGGTGCAGTCACCGCCATGGCGGCCCCCAGGTCGGCTGTAGGGGGTCCCAGATCGCTGGGATACTGCAACCGGGACATTCTCATGGTACATTCAATGGGCGTCACATTGGAATCTAATTCCGTTGTCAAATATCGGGCTACTTCAGTCGTTGGTAAAGGTAAATTAATGTTTGTCTGATGTTTGTCAAATAAATAATAAACATATTCAACGCCTTGGGAGTGAGCCGACGGGCTAGGAAGTGGCACCGCAAAGATCGGACGTAGACAACCATGAGCATGTCGAGGCTGAATAACCCACCGGCTTCGTGGATTAACATTCACGAAGGGGCTCAAGTTTCATTATAATTACATAAGAAGGTGAGTTGTTTGGAAAAGAAGCCGAGTATGTTGACAGGCATCATGCAGGACCTGTAGTTCACCGGCTACACAATGCCTCCCTAAAGCTTGAAGCCTACATGTGCCTACACATGGGGCTGAACATCTTTATATTCTTATAAAATGTTAGTTGACATGTCGTTGCAAGTACTGATTGAGACGCTGATTGGATGGTGGACAGCTCCTTATATTTCCAGGCCGAAATAAATACATCCAAATATATATAATTGGACGAGAGGGGTGGGGGAAAGCAGAACGCAGAGTCAGATTCTAGAAAAAGGTTATGCAAATTCTTTCAATGCCTGGGTACACAAGAAATGTCCTAAAGAGTAAAAATAGAAGTGTGCCAGTCACTAAAAGCCATTACTCTTTTCCCGAGTATCGGTGTTTGGTGAAATTGAGCCCGAGCCTTGTAATATCGCCCATGCAGCGTCACTAAGAGCACGATCCAAACGGTTGGGAGGCACCGAGACGCCGATACAACTGGAGCGGCTTAGTGGAAGTTGGACTGCGAGCTTGGTTATTAGTTGTTGCTGAGCATGTTCGTGCGCTGGTCTTCTAGAGCGGCCTCATGGGTAACGTTTGAGAAGGTGGGTCGTCGGTTGCACTGCTGTTTTCTTACAATCTTTTCTCTGTTCTTCTTTCTTTTTTTTAGAACTAGAGAATAAAATTATGTCGGACACAGACAACTTTACACGGATACATCGCAATCCGACCTCTACCCCTAAAAAAGCTATCCATCTGGCTCCTGTCAAGTCTGGCGTTGGCCAGAATCCCCCCCAAAATTAAATATAGGTATGGCAGTACAGACCAACAGCCACTAACACTCATACCGTGCTGCTGGATAGAAACGGCGGTCTCCACAGGTGAAGCATGGAGGATTCAGTTTATCAAGGTATTCCTCACGTTACTGGGATTCGTCAAGCACATAGTGCAGGACACCCCATCATTGCTTGGGGGTTAGTCCGGGGGGTCCTTGGGGGGTGGCACTGCCAGGCACTTGGGCCGTCGCGCTTCATGCCCTAATAGTCCTAGTGTGGCTTTTGTTGATCTGCCCGTAAACCGTACACAAACACGACCATCATAAACTTGGGATATGCTGTTTGGTACTCAATATCGATCACCGCCCCACGGCAAGGTCAATTTGCACAGCCATCGCTTGCACGAAAGGAGAAACAGGAGGCGAGAGTGAAGGCAGAGCCCGACAGCCTATGGTCTTGCGTTTGAGAAAAATGCAAAGGAGCAACACAGTTCTGGATTGCAAGGCATTCTCTGTCTAGCCAACCTGGGTAATCCAAGATAGCTTAACCGAGACAAGCTCATGGGGGAAGACCTCATGCGTCGGACAATTGCTGGGCACGAGACGTGATCATCATGACTTGCTGAATGACTATCTACCCCATCTAATCTGCTCTATTCAACCGCGATAATTTCTTCTTCTTACGAAGAGCCTCATAAAAAGAATCTATGGTCCCGTAGCTACTGGCATTGGGGTTTGTTGAGGCGTTGAGTTCATTTTCGATCTTGCTTGGCCTCCACTTTATCTGACGCTGAAGGTCCATGGGTTCGGAAATGGCCCCCACACAACAAGTTTCTCCTTTCTCGGGCTCGACGCCTCGCCGTCCAATTTTTTGAGCATGGGGCTCCTCTGATGATCAAAATCACGAAGATCGTCGATGTGGAGCTTTTTTCATTGGGGGCTTAGCATTGAGTCGGCCCCCAACCACGTTGGCGCTGAGATCACCGCGCAGCACCAGTACAGCTCTGCGGCCCCTTCAGCGCCGGTCGGGGGCCGAGTGGAGGCTCGTCTGGCGCTCTCATTGGGAGTAACGTGGACTAGTATGGGCCGGAACCACCAAATAAGCCCCAACCCCCCCGTAAAGGGCACCAAACCCCATTTGGTAGTAAGTACGCTCCGCCAATCACAGACGGCGACGGGGGGTATCAGCAACAATAAGGCTGAATTGAGTAGTCAAGATGTCGCGGCAAAAAAAACAGTGAAGCGCCAGGAGATTCTGCAGATATAAAGTTAGAGTCAGCTCGTCGTTCTTCACATCCCATCATCCATCAAGCTTCTCTTCACTCTTCTCTCCTCTCTCCTCTTCTCTTTCTCCTTGATCTTCCAATTTATACAGATCTCCTTTTCTCTTCCGGGTGGATATTCTCCTATACATCAACCTTTCAATATCTATATTTGAACCCTTTTCCTCATCATGGGCAAGGTCAACGAAAGAGATGGCATCGCCATCCTGCAACTCATCATCTTCCCCTTTATTTTCGCCGCGGCTATTTTCATCTGGAACCGGGCAGGGTGGAGAGTCGGCAGCAAGATTTGGCGCTATCCCGCTACTCTATCACTCCTGCGAATCGCCGGCAGCATCTCGACCCTCATTGCTATTGATCATTCGAGCGACAATGTTCTTCGCGCGGAGTTTGTGTGTGAGCTGATTGGTATTGCTCCCTTGCTGCTGTGCTATATCGGAATCATGCGACAGATGTAAGTTGATCCTCACAATCCATGCACGATGATGGCCGTTGGCTAACCACTTGAACCAGTGATATTGACCAGCGAATTCCTCCCCGGCCTCTCGTCTTGGTGACCGTCATGGCTATTGTAGGCTTGATTCTGGGTATTGCCGGAGTGTCCACTGCCAACGTGGACGTCGAGGTGGTGAACGGCAAAGTCAAGTACATCTACAACCCCGGGTCATTGGTCCAGGCCTCCATGGGTATCTTCATCGCAGTCTTCGTCATCACTGTCCTGATGACTGCGTGGTTGTACCTGCAGCTCAGCTCCAACCTGCGCCGCTTCCAGAAGAAGCTGTTTATGGCCTCACTCTTCTCCGCCCCCTTCTTGCTGGTTCGCTTGGTCTACTCCGCCCTGGGCGACTGGGATAGCACCGACGGCCGATTCTCCCTCTTCGGGGGTAACTCCACCATCTACCTGGTCATGTCTGTGCTGGAAGAGATCTTCGCCATGATCATCACTATGGGCCTGGCCCTGTCCGCCGTGCTCGAGTCAGATTTTGTCAGGATCACTCGCCCTGGGCAGCACGCGGTCGAGACAGAGCCCAAGTATAACGGTGTCTAATCTCCCGTACTTTGAAAATTGAGCGATAAATGCATTGAAAAGTGTTATCCCGCAGGTCTCGCTCATAACACTCTATTTTCCTTTTTTGTTGTTGTTTCTCTGTTTTTATCCCCGGAGTTTTAATGGTTCCATATGTTGAGATGAGATAAAGTCTTCAAAGGTTGGGATTTCGTATACAATGAGCGAAGTGGTCTATGGCTGAATAAGTCGTCCGAATTTAATATGAGAGCATAGCGATATTTGATTCCAATAACAAAGAGATATACGAAAGTTAAAAAATCCTGATAATGAATATTCTAAAGGACATGCGCCAATATTGAAGTAAACAGGGCATTATTTTATCTTATTTTGTAGGAAATATCGCAAGGCAAGTCCTTTCCCCCTTTTCAGTATGGTACTCCACCAATCAGCTTCCAACTGCCTGTTTCTCGGCCAATGATACCCAGCGAATTGGGTGTCACAGACAATGATGGAGGACATGATTTACAAAGGGGGTATATATACCACACAACACTACATGTAATGGGCCCTGCGACTATCAACGTGAAATAACCGTGGCTTTAATTGATCATCTGTCTTGTCTATTTTGCAAATATATGTATATCCAATGCATCGTCAAATGTACGTTTCATAAACCTTATCCAAGGTCATTCATCCGATATCTCCAAAATACCGAGGCCAAAATATGTGCTTAGAAGTAACCGGGGAATAGCCAGTTAAGCTTCTCCTTAACCTCAGGGGACCAGTTCGTCTGGGGGGTGCTGAAGCCAAACTTGATGGAGCCAGCAAGGTGCTTCGCCTGGACCAAATCCTCGTGCTCATCCGCGGCCAGCGCGTCGAGGACGGCAGTCACAAAGCGGCGAGCGTTGTCGGCGTTAGCTTTCATATGTCCCATCACCATCTCGACGGTGACATCCGCAGAGTCGTGCCAGCAGTCATAGTCGGTAGACATGCAGATCATCTGGTAGGCGATCTCGGCCTCGCGGGCCAGCTTAGCCTCGGGGAGGACGGACATGTTGATCACGCTGCCGCCCCAGGAGCGGTACATGTTGCTCTCGGCGCGGGTGGAGAACTGGGGGCCCTCTGCAGAAGAAAATCATAAATATCAGTAAAGAACACAATTATTAATTTGATCTGGAATACAGCGAGTAACGTACCCATACAGATGATGGTACCCCGGTCGTGGAGGACGACGCCATCGCCCTCAAGGCTGTGCCCGCACTCCCGAACAACCTTGGCAATGCCCTCATCAAAGGGATCACCGAAGGGGACGTGAGCGACAACACCCTTCTCGAAGTAGGTCCATGGGCGGACGCCCTTGGTACGGTCGATGATCTGGTCGGGGATAACGAAGTCACGGGGCTTGATCGCCTCCTGCAGACTGCCGACGGCGGAGAAGGCAATGATGCTTCGAACACCAATAGAGCGGAGAGCGGCAATGTTGGCACGGGCAGGGACCTCGTGGGGGGCGATCTGGTGGTGAGCGCCGTGGCGGCTCAAGAAGGCAACGGCGACAGTCTTGTTGTTGTGCTTGCACTGGTGGTGCAGGATGGTGATCGGCGAGGAAGTCTCACCCCAGGGAGTCGAGACAGACAGCGAAGCAACCTGGGTGAAGCCGGGGAGCTCGCGGAGACCAGTGCCGCCGATGACAGCAATTGGGACGGGCCCTGTACAATTTGCGACTGTCAGCTTCTACTTCTGAGGTGGGGTGAGGGGTTCACGCAGCAGAGGTCGGGCCGTTAGTCGGCGCAGCCTGGAGAGATACGCACCGTCGTAGGTGTTAGGAAGAGCTGACATTCTCTGGGCCAATTGCTTTGGAGACTCGATTCGAATGAAGGGCTTGGAAATGGAGGAAAGTTGGCGAAAACCGGCGACCCAGCGCATTTCTGGTCAAATTTCAGATGCGCTGCCCCGCTTTGATTGGGTCGGGGCCCCACGTGCCCTGACATCCTCAGGCCTCGATATTGCCTGTTTGGGACGCTTTCAGGAGGTTCGTGATCTATACACAAAATTGCGATTATGATTACTGGAAATATTTACAGAACTCTTGAGATTGGAGCGATATATTGATTCACAAAATTCTATTTGCAAAGTCCGAGAATTTCAAACATATGATTTCAAATGGATTTGTACGGATATACGAGTTACATGGAAATCCTAGTTGCATTTCAATCTGTTTTGCTCCAGGCTCGCTGTTCCAGATCACGTATAATAGTTTAAGCTCGGAGCCATTCATAATGATGAGGGCCCTTTGCAACTGGTCCAGGATCTTCCCCTGGAATGCCCGGTTTGTTATAACAGTGTGCACCGAAGTAGTCCATCTGGGCTTCCATGAACTTGGTAGGCAGCGTCATACCGCCCTCATACTTGAGATATTCCAGAGTCGCCGCGATGGATGGCATATATTGATCGGACATGGTACCTTCAATAACGATAGCCTTGAGGTCAGGGAAGTTGTGATGCAGCTCACGCGCAACTTCGTCAACAAATTTCATGTTCATCATCCGTTTGTTCGAAGTCAGGGCTGGCTGCAGCAAATCGGCGATGTAGTCGGACTGAATAATACAGCCCGCGCGCCAGATCTGGAGACAACTGGCCATATTGATATCCCAGCCTTCATCTTCAGATGCCCGCGCAATGAGCTCAAGACCCTGACAGAAGGAGGAAAGGAATGCGCAGTACACAGCACGTCGCAATTTCTCAATAACGGACTTGTAGTCCCGAGTATTCTCGATCGGTCGCGGTGTAGGCATCTGGAGCTTTTTCGCAGCTCGATCTCGTTCTGCCCGGTTTCCACTGGCAATGCGCATGTAGTGTGCTGCGCCCAGAGTGGGAGCAGAAACATGTCGAGAGGCCGACTCCTGGAGACACCACAATGGTGTGCCCTCGGTGTTATCATCGTCTTGGACAACCTTGTCGAGGACATCATCGAGAACGTATCCACCATCCTTACCGGCACCCTCGCCTTGATAGTCACCCTGGGGGGTTCGCTTGGTTTTCATGATATCGGCACCGATGCCGATCAAGAAGTTGCCTCGAAGCTCACCCTTCGAGTTCCATTGGTTGAAGACATCTCCAATCTCCTCGTACTTCATTCCCAGGCCAAAATACATGTATGACCAAGCTTCTGCGAGCGCAGATAGCATGCCACCTTCGATGCCATTATGAACCATTTTCACATAATGGCCTGATCCGCCTGGGCCAATGCGAGTGACACATGGTGTGCCTGACTTCGGATCCTTCGCTGAGTAGGTCTCTAAGAAGGGCATGACAAGCTCGATTGCTTTGGCGTCTCCACCAGGGGATAGACTTGGGCCATGGCGGGCCGATTGATATCCTCCAGAGACACCCATTCCAATCCAGCTGACACCAATTGACTCACACTCCTTTTGACGTCGTTCTGTTCGGCGGTAGTTCTCATTACCGCCGTCCAAAATAATATCACCCTTCTTCAAGTGTGGCTTTAACATGGTGAGAACTGAATCCGCGGGTTCTCCGTGGGTGATAGAGAACATGAAAAGCTTGCGATCTCCGTGACCCTCCAGGCTTTTTGTGAATTCATCGATACTAGAATAGCCTTGGATTTCACCCTTCATCGTTTTCGCTTCCTTGGTCCAATTCATCACCTTGTCGACGTTGGCTTTGTCAACATCCCACACAGAGACGTCAAGACCGAGCTCGGAGAAAGCAAAGACCATCATTGAACCCATACTTCCGGCTCCAACGACGCCAATGCGTTTGAAATTTTGTGTAGGATTGCTGGACGGCATGGTGGCTATTGCACGATATGGCAGAATCTGCTTCTATCGCATGAAAAGAACGATGGTAGTTAGCAAAATCGAAAGGCAACAACCGAAGAAACTTGGAAGGCGAACGGGACGTCTGTTGTTCTTGAACAAATACTCAGTGGCAACCGGCCTCGCAACCCGGGATATTGTCAACATGGAGTCAGTGGCAGTGGCCACGACGCCACGACCGACGAGGCGAACAAGACCTCCAACGTGCATTGCAATGCAACGAGGAACACGATTGAATAGTCAAAATAGAATGAGCTATCTTGAATCGCCTGCGGCGTTCTTGAGTTGGGATATGATGTAAGGTTGACGACAAAGGCCTTTGGAAAGACCTTTATTGCATCATTATGGGCACAAAGGAGCCAGAATTGAAAGATTGAAACCGCAAACTATCTAGGACTAAGAAACGTTACCTGCAGAGTCCTCTCAGATTCTATACCTTGATCAGGGCAGACAAAACCTCGCAATCCATATCGATGGCAGTACAATATTCCTCACTCCAAAAAATTCCCCTCGCATACGCATCATGCTCGATCGGCTGCGAAGCGAGCGACACTCTCCCTCGCAAGCTTGAAGCCATTAGTAAAGCTGGATTTATTTCGATTGAGCTTTCATTCCCAGACATTATTCAGTACGGCGCAAATTTCCTTGGCCATCCCATTGCACCGGATAATAATACTGAACTGATCACGGTCGCCACGGAGATCCGGAAATTATGCGCCGCCAATGGCTTAACAATCATGATGTTACAGCCCTTTGCCAACTTCGAAGGATGGCCCAAGGGGTCGTTAGAGCGGGAGGATGCGTTCAAAAGGGCGGAAGGCTGGATTGAAATAATGAAAGTGGTTGGGACAGATTTACTACAGGTATGTATGCTGCGCTGGGAATATATAGATTGGTCCGGTATTCTAACTAGGTTGATGGATAGGTTGGAGCGACAGATACACCGGCAAACAAGATCTCGACTGCTCGAGAGACTATTGTCTCCGACCTACGCGAGCTCGCCGATATGCTTGCGGTGCACAACTTCCGTCTTGCATACGAAAATTGGTGCTGGTCCACCCATGCCCCGGGCTGGAAAAGCGTCTGGGAGATCGTCTCCGCTGTGGACCGGCCGAATGTCGGGCTCTGTCTAGACACGTTCCAGACGGCGGGCAGTGAATGGGGCGATCCAACCGTGCCCTCCGGTCTGATTGAGAGCGTATCACCGGACGAGCTGCGAAAGAGATTCGCGGCGAGCATGGATGAACTAGCCCGCACTGTGCCCCCAAGTAAGATCTATTTACTCCAAGTATCCGATGCATACAAGGTGTCACCCCCGCTTGAGGACAAGGTTATTGGGGGGCTGCGACCGCGAGGCCGGTGGAGTCATGATTTCAGACCGATGCCGTATGATGGAGGATATCTTCCTATCGAGGACATGGCGAGGGCAGTCTTGAAGACTGGGTACAGGGGATGGTTTACAATGGAAATTTTTGACGCAGGTCCGGAAGGAAAGGGCAAGAAATACGATATGGACACCTTTGCTAAGAAAGCGATGGATAACATGCAGAAGTTCTTGAAGAACTGCGCTACGGATTCTTGAGAAGAAAATATTGAAATATAGATTGATGGGATTCAATTTCTAATAAAATACAAGAAGTCTTTTGATCCAAAACAGACCCAATGGGAGGCTAAAGCGGCTCCTGTGCACGAGAGATTGGGGAACGCCGAGGGGGGAAATGCAGAGTAGACACCGTGGTTTCATAAGGCATGCAGTATGGAAAATATGGTAATGGGCACAAGTTCATGAGTCCCCAGCTTCTTAGTTGGCGTTGCTGGGGTAAGCAACGGTGTAGGTTGGAACGAACTCCTCCTTGACGGAGCGTAGGCTCACAAAGCGAGACAGCAGGTTGGCGCTGCCAGCCTTGTCGTTGGTACCGCTGGCGCGGGCACCGCCGAAGGGCTGCTGGCCGACAACGGCACCAGTGCTCTTGCAGTTGATGTAGAAGTTGCCAGCAGCGTTGCGGAGAGCATCATCGGCAACCTGGATAGCCTCGCGGTCTTGGGCAAACACGGAGCCAGTCAGGCCGTAGGTGCCAGTGCTGTCGATCTTGTCACAGATATTGACGAAGTCGGCCTCCGTGGCATCGTTGTAGGGATGAAGGACAATGATGGGACCGAAGAGCTCACGCGACAGAAGAGGGTGATCGGGGTTAGAGGTACGATACACGGTAGGCTGGATGTACCAGCCATTAGAAGAGTCGTACGAACCACCGGCGAGTAGTTCAAGCTCGGGGTCATTCTTGGCCTCGTCAATCACACCAGCCAGCTTATTGAACGAGCCCTCGTGGATGACAGGGCCGCAGAAGTTAGAAAACTCAGATGGCTCGCCGATCTTCAGCTTGTTCACTTCAGCTACAACTCCCTCAACGAACTCTTCCGCAATAGAGGAAGCAATGTAAGCACGAGAAGTGGCGCTGCACTTCTGACCCTGGAACTCGAAGGCACCGCGGACGGTCTGGACCACGGCGTTGCGCACATCCGCCGTCTTGTGGATCAGGTGGAAGTTCTTGCCACCGGTCTCACCAACAATGCGAGGGTAGCTCCGGTATTTGCCATCCGCCACACCTTGGGAGATCTTGCCGTACAGCATGCGGAAAACATCTGTGCTACCGGTGAAATGGAGAGCAGCAAATTCCTTGTGGTTGAGGACACTGCTAGTGACCTCCTCAGCCTCGCCGGGCACGAACTGAATGACATCCTTAGGCAGACCGGCTTCAAGAAGAATCTGGTGAACAAGCCAGTTGGAGGCGATAGCTGAGGGGGAGGGCTTCCACAGCACGACATTACCCATCAAAGCGGGGGCACCAGCCAAGTTTCCACCGATCGCAGTGAAGTTGAAGGGGCTAATAGCATAGACGAAACCCTCCAAGGGGCGGTATTCCAGGCGACTGGAAGAAAGTCAGAACACTTCACAAAAAAGCAAAAAGAGTGTCTTCACAGACGTCTCACTTACTTCCACACACCAGGAGCGTGGTGAACAGGCTGCTGGGCATACAGCTCCTCGGCGTACTTAACGCCGAAACGGAAGAAGTCGACAAGCTCGGCGGCCGAGTCAATCTCAGCCTGCCAGGCGTTCTTGCCCTGGCCGTGCATGGTAAGAGCCATAATGTCGTAGCGGTACTTGGTGGAGATCAGATCAGCAGCCTTGAGAAAGATGCTGGCACGCTCGGCGAAGGGTGTGGCTGCCCACGACTTGCGAGCCGCGAGGGCAGCAGCAATGGCAGCATCAACATCGGCCTTGGAGGCGTTGGAGTAGGTCGCGACCGGCGCATGTGTAGCTGGATTGCTCTGAGTGAAAATCTGGGAGTTCTTGATCTGTTCGGTCATTAGCCACGGTATGGCCAGGCATTGGAATTAAGTGTTGTGTACCTCTTTTCCAGCGACCACCAGAGGCACGTTCAGAGGAGCCTTCTGCTTAATCGTAGCCAGAGCCTCTTCGAGGCCCTTGCGATCTGGCGAGCCAGGAGCATAGTGTTTCTAGGTAGTCCGACCATCAGCTATCGCGCACTCCTCATTTCAAAGATCGCATACTCACGTTCAGCTCATTGTTAATCTGAGGGACCTTGAAGGTCGCGTAAGTGCCGAGTGCGCGAGAGCTCGAGCTTGGAATGCGGCAGGCGAGGCGCGAGAAGGGCTGCGCACCAGCGCGGAGCAGAGACGATTGCATTCTGAATGAATTGACGATGCGGAGAAATGCAATGCACGGAAAGCCAAACGTTTTGCTATTGATTCCTCGCGAAGTCGGGGTCGAGAAGAATAAAAGAGAGAGAGTTAACGCGGGGTACCATGATCAAATGACCGGCTAACACCGGCGGCGGTTGCTGTCGCGCATGGCGAAGCTCCAAAGTACAGTGTACTCCCCACAAGGAACCCTCTTCGTCGGCCGGCGAATGATGAGCAGCCGGCAAGAATCCCGGGTGGAACCACCGGCCCGGAGAGTCAGCGACGGGTGGGCAGTGGTTGGCCGGTCAGCTATCGCCCAGTGGGGCGGGAGTGGCAGCAAAGGTATCTGGTACCCAACGAAGAAAACTCGTTCATTTTTGTACGACTGATTTAATTAGTACAGGCACCCCACAAAGAATGAAAACTCGAGATCATATTTCAATGCATGATAATTGAGAACGGCTCTAAAAGATGTAGATGGTCGATATCCGATAGGAAAGCCGGCAATCAGCATGTGTATATACAGGTAGGGGAACTTCTGTCAAGAATGTCTATCTTATCATTCTTTCGATTCTGCTCTCGACCTTGATATTATCTTCAACAATATGGAGCGATAACCAGTGTTTCCACTCTATAACTTCTATAGCCTCTATCTAGAAAGTTTATGCAATCCACCACCACACCCGCTCTAGCCAGTTGCGAGGCAGCCTTTCAATGTCCTTCTCACACATTCGGTCAATTTCGTCTTTGCCAGAAAAGATATCGATATCGCGCGCAGGTACCATCCATGGGGTCCTGTACCAGATCTTGTGGCCGAGATATAACCCAAAGAAAATAGCGAATACAATGTAGGAAACAAGAAAGCCCGAGGCCGTGAAAGAGCCCGGGAAGAAGATCTCGTAGCCATTGGTAAGCGCCAGCAATGACACAAATCCGATAGCGTAGTACGCTCCCCATGGCTGGAACGGGGTCTTATATGGTCGGGAATCGAGAAGTCCATGTAACTCAAGAGCACGGCGCCAGCGCTGCAGAATATAGTTAGCTTGGTGGGTCCAATGGAGATCTAAAGACAGATGAGAGGGGCGAGGAACAACATACCAGATAAGCGATCCCGACAAGAACCCAGGAAAGAAAGCCGCCGACTGTAGTGATGTTGGTGAACCAATAAAATACATTGGAGCCTGAGCTTGACAGGTTCAAAAACGACAGAAGACCGATAGACCAGGTGACCAGGACCGCGGCGTACGGCACACCATTCTTGGTACAGAGAGTGAAGATCTTCGGGGCTTGGCCTTCGCGAGCGAGAGAATACAAGGTCCGTGATCCAGCATAGACCCATGAGTTACCGGACGACCAGGCGGAAATGAGGATGGCAGCGTTGATAACGTGGTTCAGGCCTTTGATGCCTGCATTCTGAATGCCGATCACGAAGGGACTAGCGCCAGCGCCGGATCCGCCACTAGCAACGCCCTGCAGAAGGTTCTTATCGTTGTATGCTACAGTGACACCGATGACCAAGCTTCCTAGCACATAGAATGCAAAGAGACGATAGATAAACCGGTTGGTGGCCTTGGGAATGTTACGACGGGGCGAGACGGCCTCGCCGGCGGCGGTGGTAATCAGCTCCGGAGAAAAAATGAATGAGAATCCAGATTTGATCATAGCAGTCCAGAAGGCGAGGAAACGACCAGTGTTGACGTTTGAAGGCACAAGATACGGTTCGACGAAAGCACCGGGCTCCTGCCAATATCGGAATCCGAGTCGATCATGGTTGGGGCCGCCGCCAAAGAAAAGTACCACTCCCAGGATAATGAGGCCGATGATGGCGATGATTTTCAGAGAGGCAAACCAGAACTCTGCCTCGCCGTACCAGGAGACAGCAACGATATTGAGCAAAAGGATCACTAGTCACAAGGCACTCGTCGGTCAGATATTGTATGCGCTGTCGAGTCAGAGATCTATCTTACCGAACAACACGATCGCAATCCATACTCCAACGCTGACTGAAGACGGCCAGTATTGGATAACAAGCCCAGCCGCCGTAACTTCCGATGCCGTCAGCATTGAAAAGGAATACCAATAGTTATATCCTATTTTCTAGTCAATACTGAGTATTTGAAAACAATGGAAGACTTGTTGCATACCAATGGCGAAGCCTAGGCTGGGCTCGGTAAAACGGTTGATCAGGTATGGCACAGAGACACCGCGCACGGGGAGATAAGTAGTCATTTCACCCAGCATATTCATGACAAAATACACAACAGTTGACATGACAATGTATCCCATGAGTAACGGGGCTATAAGGATTTATAGTCAATATCTTCCAACCCTTCCCTTTCCACCGGGACCACTCCGGATTTTCAACACCAGAACATACCAGGACCAACCGTTGACAACGTCTGTCCACTTCCAACAAACAGACCAGTGCCGATACAACCACCCAGGGCCAGGAACTGGATATGTCGGGAGCTCAAACCACGATGAGTCTCCGAATTGGGCAAATTGTCGACCTCTCCTGCTGTCTTCAGGTCGTCATCATAGGGAGGGTAAGTGGCCACACCGGCTTCGAGGGCCTTTGGTGGCGGGTCCATGACGAGTATGAGTCCCTTGAGTCAAGACTGCGTTTTGGCTTAGAGAGAATGAAGGGAGAAGAACAAGAAATGATTTCAAATATGTTATCGGCGAATGAGCCGGGACGTTCAAGTCCAAGTAAATAAAACTGATGAACGGAAAGAAACTCGCAGCCGAAAGGCAACAAATATTGCAGATTGTACAGACAGGCAGGATCGAGAAAAGATTTGAGACAGGCAGGTCAGCAAGGCAAGTAGCCTCGTGCATAAAAAGGAAATCCATGCCAGACAGTTCGGTCGAGTTGCGGGGAAGCACAAGAGTCTCCGCTGGTCGGAAGAGAAAGCGTATTTGGAATGGCTCCGCGCCATTCAGAGCGGGTATTGGCTAGGAGAGGCTAGATGCCATTATCAGCAGCACCTATCTAGTCTAGAAACAGACGGAAGGATCCCAAGCATGGCGCCCGTTGTGGGGGCGCCGGTGTTCATTTCAGGATCGGCGACTCTTATCAGCCACTTTATCTGTGGGCGTAATTATAGTTTAAGATGGTGCGTTCGGGCTCCGAGCTTCTCCTATCAGGTGTCGGCCCGGCCGCGACTCAATTGATGAGGTGTACGTATGTCAAATAGGATTGATTCCGGCGACTATCTACCCTTGCTAGCTGGCTGGGCTGCGCGTTTGTTTTTGCCGCTTGGTTAACAGCGCCCAGGAAACGGTCCAAAGTTTCCCCGGTCTGCCACCGATTGGGTGCCAGGGGAACGAGTTTATTTTCGTGGATCATTTGCCCCGGAAGAAATCACGTGGATCTGGGGTAGGATGGGGTTGATAGCCATGGGAACCCATCTGGCCTGGGGAATTGAGTAATGGAAGCTCCAGGAGAATGTCATACGATGATTAATGGAAAACAGCAAAATGATGACTATCGAGGAGCCAAACGGAGACACCGCGGGTAGCCGACGTGCTTGCACAAAAGTAACCGGGCCGGTCGCCAGGTTATCGGTGGCCCGTGCTGCTCTTATCGCCTATCAAACCGGCCCGTATGACAGAGTCTTATCGTCCATCCCCTCCTCGTCGTGTTCCATTGGCGTTGGGCAGGCGCCAGGATGCTGTCAGGGAATCCAACCATGATGTAGGATGACAATTGAAAAAGAAGAGGAAATTAGAATCAGCGCGATCTTGATTTACTACTACATTCTTCGCTCAAATCCTCTCGAGACGTGATCCCGATTATCTCTCGGGCGTAAAGTGGAGTATATAGTCCCAGCCGAGCCAAAAAATCTCATCTAGCGCGCAGTCCACTCTATAGACGGCAAATTGAAAACTATGAATAATATGAATTCCCAAATGACCGCGAGCCGGTCTCCGTCCCGTAAAGCTCTATTGAACTCGAAACCATGAGGTTTCTCGCGGTAACGGGAGTGCTTGCCGGGTGGCCTGTACTAAGTCGCACTCACCGTACCGGTTGCCACCGGGCCCTTGGTCAGCTCAGGTCCCATGATGTACAGACCTATAATAGCCTCTTCTACAAGACACTAGCTTCAGCTTGCGGTCTTCGACTCTCTTTACCAACTACGCATCTTTTTTATCGACTATTGAGCTGACCTCGGACTGGTCCTCGGCTTACTCCCTTCCCCTTATCGGGATACTCAGACCTATCACTACCTTCTCATCAACACAACACTACCATCAATATCCATGAAGGCGGCACGCGCAGTGCGGGTGCCCCGCGCCCAGGGCACTCTTCGGGCCAACTCTCGACTCGTCAGCGGCACGGGCAACGCCAGGTCTTCTGTCGCTGCGAGTGCGGTCTTTCAGCCACTCTCACAGACATCGCCACCAGTTGCGCGTAAGGAGCTGACTGCACCTCTCGCAAAACTTCCCTTATCGTCAGTCCTGCGATCATTGCTGGTGCTCTCCGTATCTTCTTCGCCCCTTCTGCTCAAGCCTTGCATCTACACACTCTCTTTGTTGGCGCATCCCCGTTCGGCTCTGTGGGATGTTTCCAAAAACCCACTCTTGAACCTGCTGGTCAAGCACACTATCTATAAGCAGTTCAACGCAGGCGAAAACAAGGTCGAAGTCCAGCAGGCCATCCGCAACATCAAGGACCTTGGATGTCGTGGTGTCCTTCTTGGTTATGCTCGTGAAGTTTTGGTTGGCGAGAACCAGGAGGCCGCGATTGATGAAAAGGCCGCTTTGGCTGAGATCCAGATGTGGCTCGATGGTACTCTGCGTACCGTCGATATGGCTCAGGAGGGTGACTTTGTTGCTCTAAAGTAAGTTGATCTTCTATGAGCCCTTATCAGTGATGTGCCTCTCATTCTTTTTCTCGTTAGGTTCACTGGCATGGGAACTGATGCCCTTCGCCTGTTGCAGAAGGAAGCACCCCCTACGGAATTCATGCACACCTCAATCCAAAAAGTTTGCGACTTGGCGATCTCCCGCGGTGTTCGCCTGCTGGTTGATGCCGAGGAGCAGGCCGTGCAGCCTGGCATCGAGGCATGGATCATGAAGTACCAGAAGTATTGCAACTCTCAGACCCCCGGCCGCGCCATTTTCTACGGCACATATCAGGCCTATCTTCGTTCCACCCCCGCAACCCTCGCTCGTCACCTGGAAATTGCCCGTGCCGAAGGATACACCCTTGGCGTGAAGCTTGTCCGCGGCGCCTACATGAAGACCGAACCCCGTCAGTTGATCTGGGCCGAGAAGGAGGGAACTGATCGCTGCTACGACGAGGTCGTCGAAGCCCTCCTGACTCGGAAGTACAATGCTATGCTGCAAGCTCCTTCGAAGGAGACGCCGACGGAACTGCCGCCTGTGAATGTCATTATTGCCACCCACAACCGCGAATCAGTGCAGAAGGCCCACGCTCTCCGTCTCCAGCAAGCCGCACGCGGCGAGGATTACGGCGTCGATCTTAGCTACGCCCAGCTTCAAGGCATGGCTGACGAAGTGAGCTGCGAGCTGATCGAGGGCTTCGAGAGTGCTGAAGCCAGTGTTGGCGCCTCGCCCATGGCAGCTCCCAATGTTTTCAAGCTTTTGACCTGGGGCTCGGTTCAGGAATGCATGGGCTTCCTCCAGCGTCGCGCTGTTGAGAACACCGAGGCTGTTGGACGGACCAAAGACTCTCAGATCGCCATGTTTAATGAATTGAAACGCCGTTGCCGTGTCATCTTTGGAAAGGGCAACTAAAGTGATGATTTGGTTTGGTTAACCTCACGGCGACTGCTTTATTCAGCAATGATTCCCAATGTTCACCTTTGACTTTGTGGGGGCTTTAATGCATTACGCGTGTTTTTTATGCATTGATAGATGGCGTTAGCGTTTCATAAGTCATGGTTTTGTGGTTGATAGCGATGAATTCGAAAATAGATGACTCCCATCCTCGTTTCTTATTGGATAATTAAAAAAAGCACAGCTATCGTGTTTGTAGATAAAATTACAGGATAAAAGGCATGCCGGAATGACTTTCCATGTTCAGAGGATAGCAAATTTAGTCGGATCTGCTTGGTGTGGCCGCGAAACTGGTCCCTGATTTGCGAGTAGGAGGCCGGGCTACCCCTCTTCAGGCTGCGATTATCGGGGAGCTCATCCGAACGTCGGTTATATTGTGCAACCACATCCATGTCTCGGAGTGCTTGTCCCCACCAATTTCGCTGCTAAAACCCCCAATTTGCAATAAACCAATATTAGTCTTGAAAGATACTCATCAACCCAATATGCACATTCTCTCCGAGCCCGATGTGGCCCAAATTTTCCGTGGGTTGACCCAAGCTCAGTGCCATGAGTTCCTTGACGTTCTAGGTAAAGGCCTAGTCACGATCTCAACAGAATCAAAGTCGAGCTTTCCTGAATCCGAGAAACAGATTCATCAACCTCTCCGTACTGTTTTTGCCACCAAGGCAGACAACACATGTATCTTCATGCCAGTTTCGGATACCACGAGTACGGGCATCAAGATCGTGACGGTTGCTAGAGATGGCATCCAGGGCGTCATTAATGTCTTCTGTCCAGATGGCCGCCTACAGGGTCTCCTGGCTGCCGCCGAAGTCACGGCGTTCCGGACAGCGTTGGCCTCGATGAGTCTGTTTGTGCTGTGTCCTATGCTCAAGAAGGAGAACATCCTTGTTTTTGGATCGGGACGTCAGGCGGAGTGGCATGCCCGACTAGCCTTGCTGCTATACCCAGACCAGATCCGCCGAGTCACCTTCATTAATCGCGGGCGGGCGCGGTTGGAGGAGATGGAGCAGGGTGTTTTTAGCGATCTGCGCCAGCGATATCCCAGCTTGTCAGTGACTTCACTAGCTAAAGAAGGCACTGCAGACTACGATGAAAGACTGCTCCAGGAGCTGCAAAGTTGCGATGTGATCTTCAGCTGCACTCCCTCCGTGGAGCCCAATTTCTCGTATTCCGCACTACAGTCCGCGCCTAAGCAGCGCTTTATTTCGCTCATTGGCTCGTACAAGCCTCATATGCATGAGATTGATACAGAGACGCTTCTGTCGGGCGGTGGCAAGATCTATGTTGACTCGAAGTCCGCGTGTCTTGAGGAGTCGGGCGAGCTCATCACGGCAAAGATCGCGGAAGACCAACTGCTTGAAATGGGCGATCTTTTGGCGACTCTGGGGTCGTCGAGGGCAATTGATGTCCCGACTGGCGCCAACGTCATTTACAAGTGCGTGGGCATGGGCTTGATGGACCTTGTGGTGGGGAAGAAGGTGTTGGAACTTGGAAATCGGAGAGAACTGGGTACTCACGTCGATGGATTTTAATTCCCAGTGAGATGTTTTCCGGTGGAAAGGGTGACTTTTAATAGAATAGAGGTGGCTCATCAAGCGCTAGATCTAAAAGAGAGAGCATCCTAAGATTCTATTCCGAAGATTTGATGAGGGGGAAGAAGTCATTTAAAGAAATTGGAAAAAGGGGAAGAAAAAGATAATCACTATACAATGCACATTCGGCAGTATCGCCAAATAACCACATGGGGTCGATTCAATATGGGATGATGTAAGGGATGATGAACTCGATGCAATATGAACCAGTCGGCAATGGGGGTCTATACTGCATGGATCTAACGCGCCGCTTGCATAGGCGCTTCCTAACCCGAGGAAATCGGTAAGAGCATCCCAAATACTTTAAGTGTAGTTTAAAACAATACAATAATCCTTATCCTAATTCAAAAAGCCATCAACGCCAAGCTTCCTATCTTGTTGCTTTGCCCCTTTCTCCGCTCGGCTTGGGGGCCATCGATCACTACCGGCAGCAGTGCCGGTTGGAATTTGGGGGTTGCCGCACGCCTAAACGAAAAGAGTCCAATCCCCACATGCGGGGGATCGATAACTTAAGTCCATGATTCTATAGTCTGGATTGTAGGTAAAAGAAGAAGTCCAACGAATGCTCAAATCAGGAAGATCAAAATAGGAAACGGGCAGATAATGAGACAAATGAAGTATACGGCGCCGGAATTGGGGGAAGCGAAAGAAGAGTCTGCCAGGATGCGGGACCGCGAACCGAATTGCTTTGCTTATCGACCCGATAACTGCGACTCCCAATTTCTCCTCCACAGCCGACCAACCCCGGCATCCTCGTTCCAGCCGCTTCAACATCCCTCGGTCGCCACCCTTACCTACTGCGTCTCGGCGCCTTTGTACTTCTGATCTTCCTAGATCCTCAGACTACTTCCCCTCCGCCCGACTCCGCCGACTCCGCCACTTCTCCGCAGATCATGCCCGGGTGGCCTCGTTGACACCGCCTGTCATGGACGATTCGGCTCAGACTCCTGCACAGCAACAAAAGCGCCCTCGGGTGGCTGAAGAGAATCGCAAACGAGCTGTCCGAGCGTACGACCCTTTTTGCCCTTTCCCCTCCCTATGCTGTGGAGGCCAACGGTCTTTGACCCCGCTAACGTTCCTGGTCGCGTGCAGATGCGATGGTTGCCGCAGGGTGAAAGAGAAATGTGAAGGCGGGGTGCCATGTCGCCGGTGCCTTCGCTATCGCCGACAGTGCAATTTCACCCATATCGACCCCAGCGAAAAAACCCGGTCGACTTCGCTCTCGTAAGTTGCAGAAATGCGGGAGTGTGAGATTACGTCCCAAGCTAATGAATCAATAACGGCGATAGGTTGTTGGATAGGGCTGCTTCGCTGAGTCGGCATGAGATCCAAGAAGCAGAGCGCGTACGCTATATGGAACGCCTCTTGTCCTATTATATTCCGGACATCAAGTTCGATATCCAGTCATTACGCCAGGCTGCCGACGAGTTGAAAAGCAAACACCGGGACTCAGAGTCGGATGCCGTGTCAACCAAAGAAGATACCAACGATTTAGAGGATTTAGCCATTGATGAGGAAGATTTCACAATCAAGGCTCTACCAGACAACACCACACGTGAGTTTTATCTCCACATGTTCCTCTTGTACCACGGCATTATCTGACGCATCTGTTTGGCGGGCAGAATATTCTGGAGAGTTCTCCTACCTCAATTTCTCTATGAAGATTCGCAAGAAGATTGACGAGTGGATGAAAACAACTGCACCAGAGGTAAGTCAATGAGGGTTCTGGAATGATTGTCTGGTTTGTTAATCCTGTATCGCTGCAGGCCTCGACCGAGGTGGAGCCGTTTGAAGAGCGATGGCGAGCTACGCAACTCCAGTCTGGGTCTTCATTGGTTTCGGCATCGATCACCTGCCTTCCTCCACGTTATGTGGCCGACTTTCTTGTCCAGATATTTTTCAAATATGCACAGACCAACAACTTCTACGTTGAAGAGGACTGGCTCCGTGAGAAACTCAATATCTGTTATACCAACCCATCCAGTCTATCCCCGGATGATGCAGGCGCTGTCTGCGCTATCTTGATGGTCCTGGCCGTGGGCACCCAGTTTGCCCACATGGAATCAACAACGCCAGTGAATTGCTTACCACATGACTCTACAGCCAATCAAGACCATTTCTCGGAGGATGAGGTTGGCTTGACTTTTTATCAATTTGCTTCGAAGTTACTTCCGGATATCATCGCTACCGCATCGGTTCGGAGTGTGCAAGCCTGCCTGTTGATCGGAACGTACTTACTTCCTCTTGACACGTCGGGTCTATGCTATACATACTTCGGCTTAGCGCTGAAGCTTGCGATTCAAAATGGAATGCACCGGCGATATCATGGCGAAGGCCTTTCACCTCGAATGGTGGAAACTCGAAATCGAGTTTTCTGGACCGCCTATACGATTGAGAAACGCATCAGTATCCTTCATGGTAGACCAGCATCGTTATCGGACGCTGATGTTGACGCTCCCCTTCCAGTCGACTTCCCAGATATAATGCCGGCATCACAACCATCTAACCACACGAATATGGTGGCGTTGATCACATTGACTTTAAAATTGGGAGAAGTTTCAAACGATATTACCTCGCTCCGAACTTGTCGGAAAGGTCAACAACAGGACTGCCTTGAACGACTGCTCAGCATTCGTAAGCACTTGCTGGAATGGTGGTCGACTCTCCCAGAAGAAACAAATTGTCGGGACCTCAACCCACAAGGACCACTATTTCGCTCTAATGTCCACCTTAAGCTTGACTACTGTCTGACTCGCATTTTCATCGGGCGGCCATTCCTTTTCAGCAGCCTGAGGGGCATTCACCAGAACTCCTCGCATCCCAACGCTTTCAAAGGCCCATCGGGAGTCTCCAAGAATCGGACAACCCTAGTTACAGATTGTGTCGAGGCAGCCCTTGAAATCATTGACCTCTGTCGCCTTCTCAGAGACGAGACAGGCCTTGCACGTGCATCGTTCACTGAGTTCAGCTCGTGTCGTGCGGCCTTGCTGGTGATTCTTGCGCAAGGCTTGACCAAACGAACCGAACGTCTTGGGGCAGCTCTTGAGCAAGGAATTTCTCTTATCAAAATTATGTCGATGGGTGTTGGTTCTGCTCGCTCAGCTGTCAGTGTCATCGAAGCCCTCGAGCGCGCCATTCGCCGCCTGGAGGCCTGGAGTGAAACCCAACAAGCCCATAATAATGGTGGTAGTATTGAATCCGCTTACGACCGTTTCAAAAACTGGGAAATGCTTTGGAAAACCGGGCCCGTGTCGCCATCCACGATGGCTTGGAAGCAACAAGAAGCCTATGCCAATGACCCAGGTATCCAGCAAGGCGTGGGTTCCAATATCACAGACCCATCTACTATGAAAACCGTTGTTCCTGGATTACCTATAACTCCGCCAGTCATGTCAGCAGGTGCAAACGGATCGGGATCTGCAGTTGAAGGGCCCAGTCAGGAGATTCTAGAAGGCGATGGCCCTAGCAGTGGTCTCTCTGCCTCGGACAACTTTTCCATTTCACACCAGTCTCTATCTCAAATGCCTCACTTTGGCTTTGATCATTTTGTATCAAACTTCCCCCAGGAATTGGGCGAGTTCACTGCGATTCCTTGCTTTGAGCCGGATAATCAGGGTCATCCTTCGGGCATGGTTGGTACCGAGATGAAGACTCCAGGTAGCACGGATTCTCAATGGTTGCAGTTCATGAATGAGTAGTAGGGCACGATGTTTTTAATGTGGCGTCTTTCTTTAGCCAGCGATTTCCTCAGTCTCTCCCGTTTGGTTGCATCGGGTTATTTTTGTTTTCTCTATATACCATTCTTGCATCCCTATTTTTGATTATATCAATACTGTCAGGTTCTCACTTTTAGATTGGAAGATCTTGCGAGAGTATTGGCGCTTACTTGTGCCACTCGTAGATGAAGGTTGTGCTTTCTACATATGCCGATGAATGGAGTAGTCTGCAGATTCATTCACAATATCTTTTGACCGGTAACTAGGAAATAGAGTATCTTGTAGGCAGTAGGCAGTGGCTGATATACAACATGAGAATACTACTAATCGAAAACAACCTTCTTGCCTTGGAATGTAGCAGTAGTGGCCTGTTCCTTGAGCTTACGCTTCGCTTCCCACGAAGGATGCAGCGGTCCCTGGTCTTTGGGCGGACCCTTCGGCTTGCCATCATGGCTACTGTGTTGATTATACCGGCCAGCATTACCACCAAAGCCGCCACGACCTCGGCTGCCTCCTTGGCCTGCTCGGCCCCCTCGCGCGCTGCCATCTGTTGCTCCCTTTCGAGTGTCCCAGCCGTTGTCTCTGCTGCGTTTCTGCTTCTTCTGCTCTTCTTGAATATGCTTCGCTTGGGCGCCATACTTCTTCTCCCATAACGCTCGCCGGGCTTGCTGGCCCATTCGATTCTTGCGTTTGGGTGGGCCAGCAGCTTGCTCGTCATCCGAAGCCTCTTCTGAGCCGGACCAGTAACCACCCATCATTAGAGATGGGAGGAAGGTTGTGCTTTGTGCGGGAGCAGCAGAAGCTTTTGAGCCCTTGGATTTTTTCGGCGGTGGAGAGTTCTGTTCTTCCTCCTCCTCTTCTTCTTCCTCGTCCTGTTCGTCCTCTGAAATGTCAGGAGAGCCGCCTGACGCTGAGTCTGAAATGTCATCCAAATCGACGGTGTTCTTCCCGCCGAGATCAGCCATTTCTTCGTCATCAGCTGATTCTTCAACGTCAGACCCTGGCGCAAGACGGGAGTCAAACTGTGCCAAATCGTCGCTATCAAAGTCCATTTCCTCTGCAGAAACATTCATATCTTCGTCGGAGTCTGAGTCCAGCTCGGTATTCTCCTTCCTTTGCGCCTTTATTGACAGCTTCTCATCTTCGGAGCCAAAAATAGACTCAGACTTCTTCGCTTGTGTTGATTTCTCTTTCTTAGCGGCATCGCTCTTGGCTCCAGCCTTGCCCGACTTGCCAGCCGGCGCATCTTCAACGCCCAGCAACTTGCGAATGCCATCCAAAATATCAGGCATCACATTCTTCACGGGTGTAGATTTGAACAATCGACCCAAGACATTCGACTCCGCACTGCTCTTAGGTCCCTCCGTGGAGACATTCTTTGCCTCTGAGAATTCCTTGAAGGTCGCGGTCTCCGCAATCCGCTTCGTTTTGGATAGTTGCTTGAAGAGATATCGTTCGGCGGTGACTTGGTAGTCAAGGGCCTGTGATTTTAGCCTTGGGTTAGCTTGCAAGTCTCTTCATCGACGTTGATTATTTTCAACTCCGGTGTCAAACCTTCAATGCTTCCACTTCCTCCGCTAGTCGGGCCAGGGTCGGTCTGTTAAAGTCGGACTTTGCGGTCTTTTCTCGCCGACTCAATTTTTGCCTCTCGAAGCCACGGGCTGTCTTAAGGCCTCGGGAAATAAGTAATACGCCATGGTCGAATTTGGTTGTAAGGCGGACAGCCTTTATCGAGAGTTTGCGAGTGTCAGATCGAGCGGGGACGTTCAGCTCGGAGAGCTTTCGTTTAGGCATGGTGATAGATGGAAGCGTAAAATCAATCTAAGAGTCCAAGTTTCCAAGCTGCGACAAGGAAAATTCCGCAAAAGCCCAAGTCGTAGGGGAAGGTTCGATGTTCTATCGCGCGATTGCTAATGCGATTTGCGGATCTTTTTTTTTTTTCCCTTGGGCGGACCATTTGCCAAGCTTCTCCGCCTCGCGCCCTCCGTTACCTCTAGAGTGGAAACAGTTCAGTCTTATCTCCTACCTAGTCAATGTGAGGGTAATATTTCATAGGTTGTTATATTTAAGTTACATAAGGTTCACTCAAGCCCCATGATTTAGCTGGATATCCCTGGTTTGCTAGCCTCGGCATTTTTACTTGAATTGGGCTCTAGTGCTGGCTTAGCAGCACGAATAGCGAGATATATATTTTCAAGACGATACGTTATAGAGCATAATTTTTGGTGGAGGGCGAAGAACACCATCGATTAACGATATGTACATACAAACATGATAAAGTAAAGTAATACGCGTACAGTCTCTTTCTATTTCTTTTCCCCCTCAGTCTTCTCCTCGGGCTTGGGAGTTGGGAGCTTGAACTGTTCGGGTGAAGTTAATAAGTGTCCGTAGTGTGGAGCAAAGAATATGGCTTACCGAGTCAGGCGTCCGATTCTGGCCAGCACCGACGGGCTCCCAGGCAGTGGAGCCGCTCTCGAAGTTACGGAAGGCTTGAGTGAGCTCCAGTGGCTCAATGACAATGCGCTTCTTCTCCTCATCATACCGCACCTCAGTGTAACCGGTCAAGGGGAAGTCCTTGCGCAGGGGGTGACCGTCGAAACCGTAGTCAGTCATGATACGGCGCAGATCGGGGTGACCGGAGAAGAAAACACCGAACATGTCCCAGACCTCACGCTCGTACCACAAAGCTCCCTCAAACAGACCGGTGACACTGGGGACAGGGGTGGCCTCGTCGGCATAGGTCTTGACGCGGATACGGGAGTTGTAACGGACGCTCAGCAGGTTGTAAACGACCTCAAAGCGCTGGTCACGGGTGGGGAAATCGACACCAGTGATATCAGAGATCTGGGTGAACTCTGCAGAAGTGTGGTTCTTCAGGAAGCTCATCACGGGCACGACACCGGCCGGAGGAGTATAAACGGTAAGCTCGTCCTTCCACACGGTGAATTGCTGGATATATTTGGGAAGGCAGGACATGATGTACTGTCCGTAGGCGTGCAGGCCGTCGGCCTTCTGCTGATACTTGTCGGTAGGATTGACGATCGGAGCTCGGAGGGGACCAGAAGCTGAAGATTAAGAAGCCAATTAGTTCAATTTTCATTCTTCTATCCCATTGGCATGGTTCACGTACGAGGCCGTTGCGCCTGACGCATGTTTTCCGGCTCCGGCGAGCCCGGTTGTGTTGAGGCCTTCGCTGCATATTGCAGCGAAGAGGAGGAAAAGGCGCGCAAAGGCATGACCCTCGAGGCCGAAGCCATTGAGCGGCCAGAGCCCAAGCGCATCAGAGAGCGAGCGGATGCCATTGTGGGAGGGGGAGCAATGGCTGCGGCAGGAGGGGACGAAGGCACGTAAGGCGGATTGTGAGGATCGAGGTTGGTCGAACCTGCCAAATCATCACGTGATGCTGACATAACACCCCTGCACGCGCTAAACGCGATCGGGCAATGCCAGCAAAATGAGGCCGCGCTTCAATTTCCTTCCTTTCTTCTCCTTCGCCGTCCACCTTTACCCGATCATCACCCCGTTCTCTTCTCTTGTCCTTTATTCTCTTCGATTCTCTTTTATTTCTTGTTCCTGGCTTCGGAGTAGCGTCTTCGTGTCTTTGCTTTTTTTGCACTCCAATTTCAGAGAGTGCGGCGTTGAGATCCTCATTACGCTTTCCCCGTTCGCACAGTCTTCGCTGCGACGATGTCTAGTCGCCAACAAATTGACTCCGTCATTGATGACGATGATGAGTTCTGGTATGCTCTTATTTTTTGATGAATGCGCGATCTTGTCACTGATAGATTGAAAGCCCCCTTTGTATCGAAGAGTTCGACCTCTCCGACAAGAACTTCAAACCTTGTCCCTGTGGATACCAGGTATGTCTGAAGACACACCTTGCGATGATAACCCCTCGCCAAGCTCGCTTCCAGGCTCGCTTTACATATTCATGGGTGCTAACTGTGAGCTATCATAGATTTGTCAATTTTGCTACAACAATATCAAAACCCATAGCGAGGAAGGTCGATGCCCAAACTGTCGTCGTCCTTACGACGATAGTACCATTCAATACAAGATTCCCGATGCAGAGGAGTTAGTGATCTTTTCCCCATCACCCCAGCACACCACTGTTAGTGTCTCTAACTCGCATACTATTTAGGTTCAAAGCGGACCTGGCATTAAAGCATCGGAAAGCCGCAGCAGCAAAGAAGAAGGAAGCCGAAAAGCGCGAGATCGAAGCTTCCAGCCGGAAGAACCTAGCAGGCGTCCGTGTTGTCCAAAAGAACCTGGTCTATGTCATCGGCCTGAACCCCACGATCCGCGACGAAAACCAACTCCTCCAGACCCTCCGTGGGCGAGAATATTTCGGACAATATGGCGATATCGAGAAGATTGTGGTCAGCAAGGCCAAGCCTGGTGGCAATCCCCACCAGGGAATTGGTGTCTACGTCACTTTCTCCAGGAAACTCGATGCTGCGACATGTATTGGTGCCGTGGACGGATCTGTGAATGGCGACCGCGTTCTAAGAGCCCAATATGGCACCACGAAGTATTGTTCTTCGTTCCTCCGGAATGAGCAGTGCAATAATCGAAACTGTACATTCCTGCACGAGACTGGAGAAGATAGCGAGAGCTATAGTCGTTCTGACCTTTCCTCCATGAACACATTATCCAGCCAACGACAGAATCACCCACCTCACCCGCCTCATGCTCCCCACCCTCGTCCCTCTCAGACTATCACGCATACCATGCGTCGGCAACCAAGCAAGGACGACTCTATAAGTGGGCGTCAATCTATTCCGGATGGACCTGCGCTTCCTTCGTCTGCAAGTTGGGCAAATAAGGACACTTCCATTCGAACAAGGCGACCTAGTCTGACGGGTAGCCAGGCTTCCCAGAGCCCGAGACCCGCTAGTGTCACTGTTTCAACGACCACGGAGGAGCCTAAGCGTGTTGAGAAACCGTCGCCTGTCGCTCAGGAAGCGCAGCAGATGTCAACTCAATCCGTTCCGCATTCTCCAGTTTCTCAACCTCAGCCATGTGAGACGAAGTCGGTTCCTGAGCCACCCTCTCCGTTCGATACTCTTATTAAGGACCTGATGAATCCTAATTTCCGATTTATTTTTTCGACAACTGACCTCCCAGAGGAGGAGGTCAAGAGGATCAAGAACTATCCTTCATTTATCGATCCATATGGAGGTGTCAAGCGTCGGGCGATGCGAGAGAAGGTTGAACAAGAACGTTTGAAGCGTGAGCAGGAGCTTCTTCAATCTGCCACCGCAGAGGAAGAGAGTCGCGAAGCTGGCAGTCTCCAACTCGGCGGAGAGCCCGAGGATTCCAATCCGCCACGGGGTCGTCAGACTCGCGAATCACATGGTGCGATACAGCCGCCCTCGACCCAAGGCACAGCGGACAACTCGACTGTCGGTTCTCCAGTATCCGCTACTTCTCACCAATTCCAGGGTCTCAACCTAGCCGGCCGAAGTTTGACCCCCCTACAGCAGCAGCAGTTGATGCTTCTGAAGTCAGCTGGCAACCAGCAAGCTGGATTGCCTGACTCTCTGAGCTCTGCAGCCATGGATCAAGCGGCGCAGGTCCGCCAGGGCCTTTTGCAGAACCAGATGGCCCAATTCAATGCTCTTCAGGCCCAGAACCGCCAATCCTCGCGGTTCACCTTTGCCAACGAGGTTGGATCCAAGAACATCAGCAACGCTCGCATGCTCAGCCAGATGCAATCTGGCACCCCCAACCCTCTGTCTGCTCCTAGCCCCCAGCATGCGCTCGCTAGTGGATTCTATGCGAGTGGTGTCCAAGGTCCCCCGCCCGGACTGAAGACGGCAGGGACACCTCCCATTAGTGGCGGCGGTATGTTTGCCCAGGGCCATGGCTTTACTTCCAATGCCAATCTTGGACTGGGATCGACCATGGGAAAACAGGATGCGACACCCGAATTGATGCGTGAATTATTGCGTGGCCGCAGTGGCACGAATGTGGGAGGTGTACAGGCCCAGGAGGCCGCGAAGCGTGAGTTCATGTTCCCTTTTATTCAACAGCACCAAACCCCACCTCCCCTGACTCCCGTCAATGGCCTTCTCAGCTCCTTCTATGGGCCCCAGACAGGTACTGCACCTGATTCTGGTGGCTCACAGAAGCAGAAGAAGAAAGGGAAAAAGCACAGACACGCTAACACTTCCTCCGGTGGAGGCGGTGTAGTAGATCTTGCGGACCCAAGCATTTTGCAGGCAAGAATGCATCAAGTCGGTGCCAATGCTACTGCCGGGCAGGCGTTGTACGGGAGCCAGGGTCAAGGTGGGTACAACCCCTCGATGGTGTACGGCGGCGGCGTCAATCGCTGGTGAATGATGGTGTTTTCTTCTGTTTCCTACTGTCCCCTTGATATTATGCTCATGATTCCCTCCTGCATTTCGCTTTACACCTGCTGGTTATGATTGTTTTTTCTACCATGTGCTGTGATGGGAGTGTTTCCCTTGACATGACTTTTCTTCATTTTGCTATCTTCGCTCTGATCTGCTGCGATTGCTTCTCTGTCCATTTCAGCAATTGGACGGGTTGCTCTGGATCAAATACGATGGGTCGGTGCCTATGGCGTATTATGACGAGCCTTTCTATTCTTTTATTGCATGTTGTACCCCGGGCCCTTCTCCCGGATTCAAGGTGTTCTTCTTTCTGCATTCGTGGACATACCTGCATGTCTTTCCAGGTCTCCCGTTTTAACTTCGGCGGCTGTGTTTTATTCCCTCTACCCTTCGTTTTGTCTCTTTTTGCATTCGGACCTTCGGCTGTCTGCAGTGCGTCGAAAACCGTGGATGGTACCCCCATGGATTTAATGTACGTTAAGACCTCCCTGCCCTGATATCACAACTCGGAACAGGGTCTTATTCGAAATCAGTTGTCTCACAGCCGCTGTTCATAGACCTCTGCCCTTCTCTGTACCTGGCCTTCCGGGTCAATACCCTTTCGTGTAATTATTCAGTTTTGGCGTATCTTGCATAGTTGCCCTGCTTAGTCGTCGCCCTTCCTGCACCTTCACGCCCCGTGATGATTTTCCTCCCCTCCACCTTCGTTGGCACCCACCTCTATTCTCACTTTTTCTCTCTCCACTCGGAATGCTAATGGCGAATCAACAGTGAATGAAGAGTTCCCCCCGCTGGGTGGCCAGTTGAAAGAGGGCCAATCTGTGGATCCATTCGGCTTTCTCAAATCCCAACTATCCAGTGACTCTTCAGGCCGCGTTGGCACGCCGAGTCTCCCACCCGGCCTCCCTTTGCCTCACGCCCATCCTGCATCATCCGTCTTCCAGGACCAGTTTGATGCCTCCAAACCTTCATCTCCCGCACCGATGGTTCCTCCAGGCCTGAGCGCCAACGTATCTAGAGTCGGCACCCCCTCACAGAAGAACCAGTTGGAGTCACTAGCCATGACCCCAGAAGTCCCCTCGCGAACAACAGCATCTGTCAGAGCGAAGGACGCTTCTCAGATTTCGTTCGGGTCACCTGTCGCGAAGTCCGCTCAGAAGACTCGGATCAATACGAAGATCGACTTGTCTATGGCTTCTTACGACAAAGATGCCTCTGTTAAAGCCGATCAAAGTCCAACTGTAGGCGCGAAGGCAAGTCCCATTAGTCTGAGCATGTCCTCGACCGCTCCGGAACCTGTGTCTGCCAAATCTGAACGTGCTCTGTCTGGAACTTTCCCGCCTGCCCCTGGCTCGGTCTCTGCTATCGGTTCAAGACCCAACACCCCATTGACTGCTACCTCTCGAATCTCTGATTCGCCAGCTCCACGTCAGCCGCGCATTTTACGTGTTGTTGAGACGCCCAAACCCGAGACACCTCTTCCAGTCGGTACTGCCCCATCGGTGACCACGTCGATTACAGGCGCCGGTAAAACACGATCAAGAAGGCAGAGTTTGTCTTCTGATAGCCGACCCGACACTCCTGCAGACTTTGGCTCTGAGGCTGATCTCTTCCCTTCGACTTCTGCCTCGCGTACCAATTCACCGCCTCCCGCTGGAACCCGAATTGGATCTGCTCCTGTCCGCTCAATCACAAAAAGTCAAGCCAAGAAAGAGCGACGACAAAAAGCGAAGGAGGCTGAGGCCAAAAGTGTCGAGACCGCCCCGGCGCCTGAAGAACCAGTTCAGGCTCCCATCATTGGACGGAAGCGCAAGACTAAGAAAGCAACCACAGCAACTACAGGGGCCAACACGGCTTCTACATCAAATGTGACCGACTCGGCTAGTTCTGTCAGAGCAGCCCCGATTGATTCTCCGAAGAAACCTGACCTGAAACCTGAACCTTTGAAGAAGGCAAAGGAGTTGGAGCAGGCTCCTCGAGAAGTGAAGCCGACCCCTGTGCAAGAACAGCCAAGTGCTCTCAAGATTCCTCCAGAGGCGTGGCGCTCGCATAATACCGTTGAACAATTGACGAAGGATGCGGGAGAGTCTGGTCGCTTGATCAAGGATTTGTTGTTGGAACGAACCAAGCCTCTTCATGAAATGCTTGCACAAATGCACAAGTCAGGCGAGCTGGATCTCAACAAAAGCTCCCTCTTCAATCCCGCCAATCTCAGCCAGCGTACCGATATGAAATGCACTTCCGATGACTACGAACTTCTAAAACTACCTACTGAATTGACGGAGGAGCATCGGAAGACCTTGCTTTCTGGAAAACCTATCCGAATTGAGAGCGAGAAGCTGAAGGACCGCTGCCTGATCACTCCTCGTGGCTGTGTTCTCCGCCACCTGGAGCCCGAAGAGGAAGAGCGGTATCTTGATCTCGAGAAGAAGCGAGGTGGCGCCATCGACCCAGTTATAATTGGTGATGACTCTAGCAATATCAATGGAGGCATTGACGCGCTGTTCGCGACTCCCGAGAAGTTCAACATCTGCTGGGTGGATGATAACCCCACCCGCTTGGGCACCACTTCTGCTAGCGGCACCGTAGATGGTACTGACTCGATTGTTCCTCCAAATGTTTTATCTGCAATGGAAGCGGACAGCACTCGCAGCCACGACTGGGCCGTTGCTCACTCTGCCGAACTTCTTCAGACCACTACTGCTGCCGTGCGTTCTTTCGCCGCTGCTACCGCCAGGCAGATGCTGGGCTCTGCCAGTGTGCCTGGGGTGAACCCTAGCTTGGATGATGTTGCGGCTATGACGAACGAAGAGCTCAAAAATCTTGCCGGACGATCCCAGAAGGATTTGGAGGGTACTCGCAAGGAACTTGATGCCCTCGATAAGAAATTTGTCGCGCTGCTTCGGCGGAACAAGAAACTCCAGCAGCAAGCTCTTTCCATGGCGACGGAGTCGGGGGTCTAACGATCTGAACAGACTTGATGGATATGAAACATAAGCCGCAGTGATGGATGAGCCTCGTCCGATCTCAATAAGCGTCCACGCCGATGAACATTACCTGGTAGTCGAAGAGCAAATACACCAAACAGAAATGAACAGAGTCCTAACGACATCTCCAATTCTACGCCCGTAGACGCATGTGTGCAAAGTCCCAAGTAGATAGTACTAGCTAGTAATTGCTCGCAACTACTACACTTGTCCACGAGTCTTAACACTCCTTGTATGATGAGTGGTGACGACCCGTCGTGACCACTAGTTACTTTCCATTTACGGAATAACTCCCTGCTCGTCGTCTACTTACTCTTGATGAGCTGCTACTTGGTTGGATGCTTGTCAGGCACCAGGTACGGGGATTCGAATCCTGCGGCAGTTTTGGCCGAAAGTCCAATGACCTCTGCACGCGAGGAAAAGCAGACACCTGATTTCTCGCCGACAGAACGGCCAACCCAACCTCATCATCCCAACTTCCTCTTAGCCTCTTCGCCCCCGGGGCCGTTCATATCTCTTGCTCTACCATCAGTGAAGCGCCCATCCAAGCCAACCTCGATCGAGCGATGGCAGGAAGCGACCGCGTTCCTTCATTGGCCGGAGAGACCGAATCTGAAACAGGAATTAATTAAGGCGGATCCCAGTCTTGTGCGTGGCGCTCGCGCGAATGTGACCCGCCAACTCTCCAACCCTCGAATCGGACGATGGACGGTGGCGCTTGGGGGCCAGTCAAGCTCGTCAGTCGCGGCCCCGAGCCCGGAGACAACGGATCAACACCTGTGTCGCAACAGTATTGAACACTCTGCAGCGCCGAGAAGTTTGGCAGTTGTCACACCATGCAGTTCTTGCCTCAGGTCTCTCGCGCCAGAGCGCCCCTCGCCGGCGTTGGCGGTTTGCACGGTACATTCCTCCCTACAGTCCAGACAAATCCCCCTGGAATGGGAGCTGTTCATTCTTCCCGAATTATCAGTCTCCACCCCTTCCTGGTCTGAAGAGTCTAGCCCTGGTTTCTGGGTTGAATTTCCTGATGGATCCAGCAATCCCATCCCACGCTAGTTGGCGTTCCTGGGTCGATCCTTTCACCCTAGTCTAACACTCTCACTCGGATGAAGTCACTTTGCGGTTCCTTGAAACGCGTGGCCAGTCACTCGATTCGCCCCGTCGTGGCTGACGGAAATGAATATGTGATTCCTTCGGCACCATTTTGTGTGTGATATGGCCCCAGGGTTCTTGCTTTATGTGTAGGGTTCTGATCGAGCGAGTTCGGGCGTATAAAACGACAAAGCGCATCCAAAAACTGTTGGAGGTGCGCCTTATATCCTCAGAGTTCTCATCAGTCCTGTGGATTGCCTGTCATTCTTTTTGTTTGCTTCACTTCGCTCGTCGTCTAGATTACAGACCCTGGTGGTTAGCTGATCTCTCGCTCATTTTTACTCAACCCTCTACATTCTTTTTTTTGAACTATACCTTCTACCATGCGTACCTTCTCGTGCCTTGTGGGCTCTGCCCTGGCTATGGCCTCCGCTGTTTCGGCGACAGGTATTCTTCTGCCGCTTTACTCCTGGCCAGAAGATAACAGCACCTGGGGTCCGGTATACAATGCCGTTTATTCCTATCCGGACGTTCATTTTCAAATCATTGTCAACCCTAGCAGTGGCCCGGGTGATACGAGTAAGCGACCCATGAAAAGATTCCACTCATTCTCTATCAATTCTAAGACAGTAGAAAAATAGCATATCCCGATGAAAGCTACATTGCTGGTGTCGCGCAGTTGAATAGCTATGATAATGTTGAAGTCATCGGTTACATTCCGACCAACTACGCCGAGCGTACCAAGTCGGAGGTTGTCGCGGATATCAAGACCTATGCAGGCTGGTCATCCTACACCAAGAAGAATATCACTGTATCCGGCATCTTCTTCGACGAGGCACCTCGCACCAACGAGAACTCCAAGATCTCCTATATGAAGAGCGTGTCGGCCACGGCTAAGAAGAACAAGCTCAATACCGTCGTTTTCAACCCCGGCACCAAGCTAGTGGAGGCAGCCGCCTCTAAATATTTCGCGGCGGCAGACTTGATTGTGGAATTCGAGAACTCTTACTCCGAATGGGTACAATCTGTGCCAAAAGACTCGTTCTCATCGGCCAAGACCTACTACAAGGACGCCGCGCTCTTATATAGCGCGCCGTTGACGGCAGATTATGAGGCGATTGTTCAAGAGGCTGAGGGGATGGGCCTGGGAGCTGCTTATTTGACCAATGACGACGATTACAAGTCGGTCGAGTCGGTGAAAAAGGTTGCGGCGTCCTTTTCGAGCAGTAGTTGAAGCGAGAAGCCTTGGCGATGAGATACCTGTACGCTCGTTGGTTGCTTTTCGTACATTGATCTATATTCTGAGATTGTACCTATTGAAGGTACAATTGACTTAAATTTAACTTGGGCTTTGTGAATTAGATTTGCTTTATATTTTTCTGCGCAGATATTCAATTGTATGACTCCATCTGATTTGCATTATACTGGCTGCCTCTCTAGGCATTGGCGTGTGGCCACATTTTATACCTGCATCGGCACATACACTCATGGCTCTGATACCCTGCCTCTGGATTCACCTCGAGACGAACGCCTTGGCTTGACATTCTATAATCTCCAGCCCTCTGAATATCTCGTCAATGGTGGTATCTTAAGCGGAACATTTGATTTCCGATGTTTCATGTCTCACTGGCGCTGGACTGGCGCTGGAGACGGAAAATCACCAAGTGGGAAGGTGCTCTACCCTCCCAACCACTCATGTTTGATGATGTCCTCACCTTCTCCCTTCCACCTTTTCCGTCTTCAACCTCCTTTTTGCCTTGATGCAACTCCAAGATATCCCCTTTGATCAGCTACTTCTGAGAGCTTTTCAAATCTGACCTTCAACATGGGGAAGCTTTATGATTTGCTCACGCACCCACATTTCCCGCCGTTCATGAACACCATCTCTATCATCATCCATGATTTATGGGTCATTATTCTCCACTGATCTAGTTTCCTGAACGCGATAACTGACTCCGTGGAATGGACATAGTTCTTCCGAATCCACAAGAGACTCGCCCGAGTGGAGTCTGGGCTCGCGCTACTCGCACTGGAGGGCAAGTTGGAAGAACTGGAGGCGGTGGTTGATGCCCTGGCAAACTCATTCGAGGACCTGGTTGATTCTATCGAAGCACTTGAGGTAATGGGATGAAAAACCTGGTTTAGGGTATCATTCAGTGCTCATTCTCGGTCTTCAGAATTCGCAACCTCCTGAGAATGGTAGGCAATGTGTCTGCGTTATTTGCCAGCAAGAATTCGGCAGTTCGGACAATTTCGAGGCAAACGAAAATGAGAAGCCCACTCAACCGGAGGAGGTAGTTGATGGACAGAATGGCAAAGGTGTCCAGGAACACTCGATGAATGCTGATGTCACTAAGGGTGTGTGAAGTAACACGACCCCCTCTTCCTGGGCGATCGCTCTATTTCTTGGCCCCAGAAAGTCAGATTGAAAGTGTGTGTGAGTTGTGAGTGCATGTCTTTGGTATCTGTATGGCCTTTATCAGCTAACATGAACCTTGCAGAGCATGATCGACCAATATCTGGAATGCGGGCTTAAGGTTTATTTCCAACCCGAAGCGAAATGGCCAATCTCAAGATTCCCTCAGTACCCGTGCTTTGACTTGTCATAGTGAAATTCTTATGAGCTTTTGGCGAGTTATTTCTGTGGAGGAAAAGGAGAGCGAATATTCGTTTAGTTATACCCTAAATATTATATTAACATACTGATTATGGAAATTGTGCAAAATTGGTATCATGGATTGAGTGTAGACTTGAATGAACCATATCATGGTTTAGAATTCAACAGAAAGTGTCTAAATGAATGCGAGCTACATTTCTAATCTCTAGTCCAATCCTTTCACACCATCCTTATATGGACGGAGATCATACTCATCAGGATATGTCTCCAAGATCCGCTTCAGCTCCTTCATTTGTTCGCGAGCTTCTTCAGTGATCTCTTCATAGACATCGGTAAAGGCCTCTCTGAGAGGAGGTTTCTTCTCTCGTTCAGCCTCGCTAAACTCTCTCAACACTTCCTTACGCATTGCGTCACGCGTTTCTTTTTCTAAGTCTTCATTCCAAAGGCCCTTGTTTTCAAGCCACTTTCTTAATCGAATAATAGGATTGTCGCGGCGCTTCCAGTCCTCCACCTCCACTCGGGCACGGTATGCGAAGCTGTCATCACTAGTGCTGTGGTGTGAAACACGGTAGCTCATCGCCTCGATCAAGACGGGTCGACCGCCGTCGCTCAGGGCGCGTGAGCGGGCCTCCTTCATGGCTTCGTGGACTGCAAAAACATCATTCCCATCTACACGAATTGTATCAATGCCATACCCAACACCTCGACTGGCGATTCCATCGCCACGGTATTGTTCTAGCGTCGGCGTTGAAATAGCGTACCCGTTGTTCCGGCACAGGAACACAATTGGACATGACCGAGTGGCGGCAATGTTGAGCGCAGCATGGAAGTCACCCTCGCTAGCAGCTCCTTCACCAAAGTAACAAGCAACTATGCGGGGTGGTCGGTTGAGATCTTGAAGATCTTGCATCTTGAGAGCGTAAGCCGCTCCCGCAGCTTGGGGAATCTGTGTAGCTAATGGGGAGGAGATTGTATGCTATTGGTGGTCAACTTCAAGTCTTGCCTGGTAGATCATATTTGGTACTGACAATGCGGGGGTAGTTTTGGCCGTAGTGGACGGGCATATTGCGGCCTTTGCCAGTGTCGTTGCAATTGGCGAAGAGCTGGCCCATAAAGTTCTTCAGGCCGAATCCACGCTGCTGGAAAACACCCGCTTCCCGGTATTGTGCAAATACCACGTCGTCCGGTATGAGAGCCGCGGCCGAGCCCACTGCGATTCCTTCCTCGCCTGCGGAAACCATATAGAAACTTAACCGGCCTTGGCGTTGCGCTTCAAACATGACCACATCCATAATGCTTACTACCGCCCGTCAGCCGAGTCCCATGGGTCTGGACCCGGGCTACATACCTAGCAGCATGTTCTTGTACCATGACAGCGCTTCTTCATCGGACACCTTTGGTGGGCCCCGGGACTTATCCACCAACTCGCCGTCGGAGTCGATTACTCGATACGTGGGGATGCCTGGTAGGTCGGATGCTTTGAGGAAGGACATTTCAGTCGTGAACTTGCTATTGACAGCACCAGGAAACAAGACTCTGGCCATATCGGTTGTTAGCCTTGATAGTGCGCGGGAGGCATTCTGGAAGTATTCCTCACCGATCGGAACCTGGTCTTTGTGAGATCGAACTTCCCCATCTGCGCGCCGGGCGCATTCGTACAGGCGCCACGACTCCTGATCTGTGTGCCACCAGCCATGCCCGCTGAAGTAGACTTCTGGAAGCCATTGTGTGCGAGTTACTGTGTGAGAGTCGCCAGAGCTGGATTCATCCCAAGCGAGAGAAAGATGGAGGGGGCAGCGGCTTTCTGGGGTAATGCGGAGGGCTCGGTTGGCGTCGGCGTCGGCATCGGCGTTGGCGTCATCTGCGGCGCTAACCGACTGCCGCCGAGGAACAACCAACTGCACTCACCAACAACATCTTTGCTTCCAACCACAGGGAAGTTCAAGTCACTCAACTACCACTTTTTCGCTTATGCGCTGCACTGACTCTGTAGCGTATTTGCGGTCACGAACTTTTACTGCCGCCCATCTCTCTCCTTTACTTACTACATTCCAGATCGGCAGGATCTCATTCCGCTTGCCGATCCAACTCATAGTTCCCGAATGCTTCGGCAGAGCCGTCGCAGCGCCCTCAGCGGATATAGCTAAACTCCGTAACTCTTGCCGCACCGTAGAGTTCAGAGTACAGGAGCGAATTGATTCTCCCGACGCCGCATAGTTGCCTTTTTCTGATCTATTCCTAGGTCGCCCTCCCAGGCTCTATCGTTCAAGTCATACAGTGCGAATATTTTCGCGGTATAGTTTAGCTATTAACTTGGTCTTGATTTGGTTCAAAATCCGGTTCTACGATTATCAAGGTATTCCGCCTTGCTTCCCTCGGGAAGGTGATGCAATTCCATGTACTCTAGGTACTGTACAACAAGAAGATTGTCAAAAGTTTCAATTAAGTTAACCAAAACCTCGCTTTCAAAATGTATCAAGTCTTCAAAGAAGACAATATGTCCAATATCGGGTGCACTTTATGCTCATGCCGTTGATCTGAGGTATCCAGATTTGGGGTTGAAATTGGCATGGACTCCTTAAGACTTACTGAAAGCACAATTCCGCGTTTAAAGCTCCAGGGAATACAAATCACGACTGATGAAAATCGATCTTTGGGTGGAAAAATCTGTGCTTATGGCATTTCATATGTAGTCAATATTCATGTGAATTATGTTTCCAAAATAAAAAAGGGGTGTGGATATATATTTCATGGGAAACAGCATCTGGACCATACAATAGGACACAAATCTGGAACTTCATGAGAACCCAAGGTCGTATGACTTATTTAAATGCCTGAAATGAACATGACAAGCCTCAATAAAGACGAAGAAACGATTCAATACTATTTTTTAATTGAATCATATATTTGAAGCTCCTGGATTATACCTTTTCGGCCCATCAAGCTCAAGTTGGCAGATCCTCTCAGGTGACAGCCCAGCACCTGGCCCGAATCAAAGCCGTGAAAGGGATACCATGTTGCTAAACATGCACCATGGCAACCCTGTTGGAGCGCTAGTAGAATACCAAAACAAAATAAACTTCGACTGAATAGCTATAACTACGGAAGTATCGGAGTTTATTCACTTTGGGCAAAGCTTGGTTAACTTTCCCGGCCCTAGTGAACATGCGCCCTGATGTTGATGACTGCATGGCTGTCTGCCCTATTCTGATTCAGATATATCGCGAGAATAATGTCCGAACTAGATTGTACGGAGTATGCAGCCCCGTCCCCCCTCCCCAAAATCAAAGAATGAGTTCGTGACTGATTTTCGCTGCATAAGTCGTCATCAAGTCACCTGCAGGTGCCAACTTGGTCGCCCAATGAAATTGGCAGAATAACCTACTTGAGGGGATCAATCCCATCTGCGCAGTCGGCGAATGGTTCTGAAACAAACAGGTTTCTAGCAACTCAACATATATTTTGAAGTTTAGAGTCTCCTGTGAATAGAATCACCAACTGTTCTTGGTGTGGCTTTGAACCATGCTCATATTGAGGCAGTAAGGGATATATGCAGAAGTTCTTAGTATGCTTATATATACAGTTGAAGTGTTCTAGCAGGGTTACACACTCGAGAAGGAGAGTAAGAATCGAGACCAATAGAGCATCACAGCATATGTTCACGTTTCTAGGGGAATATCCAAACGTGAGCCTCCGTTTCACGTTAACTTTCCCAACTCCAGTCCGAGAAAGTTTAATTTCAGCAAGGGTACTGAGTATTAAACCACCATCAATTTTCCAAGAATGTGATATCAGCACTCAATTCAAATGAAATAAATCTAGATAACCGACGGCTCTATCTTAATAGAATTTTCTGACGAAGAATCAGAAACATTATGATGACTCCGCAAAGTAAAATATCTAAAAAGGTGAATAATGCATGCAAATGGGGGCATTGGAGGTGTGTCCTATACCAATGGATGAAGCCATGACTTGTACTGTTTCCTATTATGTTCGGTGACTTTTCCTATGAAAGCGAATAGGGAAATGAATATCATACCAATAAGGCAGCTCGAAGGACTCATAATTTTAGGTGTGGAATTATCTTCCATTTGTGTCAAGGGTATGTAACACAACACACCATGGGCATAACATTGATTCGCATGGGTAAGATTGGCTGGCTGCATGGTTCATCAAGACTGTCGCTAGCCAAGCTTTTAACGTCAACTGTCTTATCGCCTATTAAATATATGCATCGAACATAAGTGGTTCATACCCCTGGCTGGAATTTGCACTTTATTTCTTGTGGGTCTATTGTGGAGCTCCCAAGACTAGGGGGTTGTCAAAGGGACTGTGGTACAAGATTCGATTTTCGAATGAGATCACTGAAAATTGCCAATTCCTAGTCCCCACATATTTGTCAACGATAGACCTTCGATCGATCTGATCCCTGGAGTGTTATGGAAATTCTGTATATCTTCTGGTCATGATGCCATACGGGGCTGGAAACAGTCGAGGACGCCAATAAGGCTAGAGTTTGGACCTGGTTGATCCTCGAATATTGGTGTGCTCGCTTGGTCTATCTGAGCGAAAGTCTCGTTCCAAAGAGCAGACGAAAAATTTCAAAATGTCCTAGTTGAGCCAAAAAGCCAACATTGATTTTTTAATTATTAATTTTTGATTTTCTATTTTCTATTTTCTGAGCAATATGTGGGTTCATGCGACCCGTTAACCTGGATAGCATTGAGCCAAGAGAGCGGGAGGAAGGGTCAGGAATGTTCAGAACAGTGACCATTTTGGTTTTGCATAATCAGACAAAGTTTGATTCTGAGACATTAATCTACTTCTTCATGGACACAAAGTTTGATGCTTGTACTTTTGCAGGCAGTTGAATATGCATGTTTGGTTAGTTTGGTGGCTAGCTGTCTTCGCGGCAGTGGCATCAGCCACATCAGATGCATCTGGCACTTGCTCGAGTACAGTATATGTCACAAAAACAACTGATCCGAATTCTCCTAGTGAGTTGAATCGCGAAAAGAAGAACCAAAAAGCGGTATGCTAATGAGTGTCAATATAGCGTCTGCACCAGCAGTTACTGTTGCGCCGGATGACAGTGGTCAATTTACAGCAATTGGCGACGGTATCGAATATGCCCAGAAAAACAAAATTCCAACAGTGACGGTTCTTGCTGGCACATATCCAGCAGTAACAGTATCTGCTACCCCGGCGGTTGCAGTGATAGGCGAAACAGAAAGCCAATACGACTACTCGCAAAATAAGGTTGTGATATCCGCAGCAGGAACTGCTCTCACTGTCTTGGCAAACGTTGCTGGACTCACATTCGAAAACATCAATTTTATTAATACTGGAACTTCCGGAAGTGCTATAAACCTGAAAGGAAATGAAATTGCATTCTATCAATCGCAGATTATTTCGACCGGCAGTGCGGGTGTGACGGCCAATTCCGCAGTAGTCCTGATTGCAAACGGCTATATCGAAGCGCCGACCCGACTAATCTACGGAGATGCAAATATCTATATTTTCAACACGGCAATTGTGCCCACAGGAAACTCCGCATTGATAGTTTACAGCAAAGGGGCCAACTCCAACGACCGATCCACAGTCGTCGTCGATCGTTCGACTATTTCTCGGAAGCCCGGAGCGGACAATGTCGACGTTGATCTGGCAGCTGCATACGGAACTGGATCTGTCGCAGTATATAAAGAATCGGTTCTTGGAGACTTGATCGCGCCAAGAGGTGTCCATATCGATAGCACAACCCAGAATGACAACAATCTCTACGGGGAATACGGCACAACGGGCGCTGGCGCCTACGCTAGCAACAAAGATGCTAGATCGCCTTATGTCAAACTGTTGACCTCCTCGGACCTTTCGCCTTTCACACTGACTAGCGTTCTGACAGGAGGTGATCCTGCTGTCGCGGCATCAAGTACTGCATGGATTGAACCCAATATCTTGGCTGCGATCGATAGTGCAGACGTTATTGGTCCCTCGAAGGCTTCTACGGGCGACTCTGGCAGTAATGATGGTTCTGACTCCGACTCTGGGCCTGGTTCAGGATCTTCTTCCGCTAATGATGGATCAGGATCAGGATCTAGTGATGGTGATAGCTCAGATGATGGCTCAGGGTCGGGCAATGGAGCAGGACCTAGCGATGGATCAGGCTCGGGGTCATCTGGTAATGGTTCTGACGATGAATCGGGATCGGGATCAGCATCTGGTGACAGCGACTCAGGTCTAGGCTCGGGCACTGGATCTGACACTGGATCAGCATCTAGCGATGATGCATCTGGCTCGGGCTCAGCCACTAGCTCGGGCGATGGATCTGGAACTGGATCTGAATCAGCATCAGGCGACGGCGAATCTGGCGACAGCACTTCAGGTTCAGATTCAGGATCAGGATCAGCTTCTGGCGACGGTAGCTCAGTTTCAGGTTCAGGTTCGGGTTCAAGCTCTAGCGATGGATCTGGATCATCCGGAATTAGCTCAGATGATGGCTCTGCCTCAGGTTCAAGCTCTGGCGATGGATCGGGATCGGGATCAGCATCTAGCGACAGCGACTCAGGTTCAGGCTCGGGCGATGGATCTGGCGATGGCGATAGCGGGTCTGGAGATAGCGCAGGTGGATCCGGTAACAATGGCTCAGGTACTACTAGCTCGGGTGATGGTTCGGGGACGGGGACGGGATCGGGATCATCAAGCTCGGGGTCATCGGGGGATGGATCATCAGGAGATGGATCTGGCGATAACGGCTCAGGATCAAGCTCTAGCGATGGCTCTGGATCCAGCGATGGTTCAGGTTCAGGTTCATCAGGCTCAGGATCTGGCGATAACACCTCAGGTTCAAGCTCTGGCGATGGCTCTGGATCAAGCGGTGGTTCAGGCTCAGGCTCATCAGGAGATGGATCTAGCGATAACGGCTCAGGCTCAGGCTCGGGATCATCAGGAGACGGATCTGGCGATAACGGCTCAGGATCAAGCTCTAGCGATGGCTCTGGATCCAGCGATGGTTCAGGTTCAGGTTCATCAGGCTCAGGATCTGGCGATAACACCTCAGGTTCAAGCTCTGGCGATGGCTCCGGATCGGGTGATAATGGCTCAGGATCAAGCTCTGGCGATGGCTCTGGATCAAGCGATGGTTCAGGCTCAGGCTCATCAGGAGATGGATCTAGCGATAACGGCTCAGGCTCGGGATCAAACTCTGGCGATGGCTCTGGATCCAGCGGTGGTTCAGGCTCAGGCTCATCAGGCTCAGAATCTGGCGATAACACCTCAGGTTCAAGCTCTGGCGATGGCTCTGGATCAAGCGGTGGTTCAGGCTCAGGCTCAGGCTCATCAGGAGATGGATCTAGCGATAACGGCTCAGGCTCAGGCTCGGGATCATCAGGAGACGGATCTGGCGATAACGGCTCAGGTTCAAGCTCTGCCAACGGCTCTGGATCCAGCGATGGTTCAGGCTCAGGCTCAGGCTCAGGCTCGGGATCAAACTCTGGCGATGGCTCTGGATCCAGCGATGGTTCGGGTTCAGGCTCAGGCTCAGGATCGGGTGATAACGGCTCAGGATCAAGCTCTGGCGATGCGTCTGGATCAAGCGGTAGTTCAGGTTCGGGATCATCAGGAGATGGATCTAGCGATAACGGCTCAGGCTCAGGCTCGGGATCATCAGGAGACGGATCTGGCGATAACGGCTCAGGATCAAGCTCTAGCGATGGCTCTGGATCCAGCGATGGTTCAGGTTCAGGTTCATCAGGCTCAGGATCTGGCGATAACACCTCAGGTTCAAGCTCTGGCGATGGCTCCGGATCGGGTGATAATGGCTCAGGATCAAGCTCTGGCGATGGCTCTGGATCAAGCGATGGTTCAGGCTCAGGCTTGGGATCAAACTCTGGCGATGGCTCTGGATCCAGCGATGGTTCGGGTTCAGGCTCAGGCTCAGGATCGGGTGATAACGGCTTAGGATCAAGCTCTGGCTCAGGCTCTGGATCAAGCGGTAGTTCAGGCTCAGGCTCATCAGGAGATGGATCTAGCGATAACGGCTCAGGCTCAGGATCCGGTGACAGCGGCTCAGGATCATCAGGAGATGGATCGAGTGATAACGGATCAGGCTTAGGGGCTAGTGATGCTTCAGGATCTAGCTCGGGGGATGGTGCTGGTTCAAGCGGAGGCTCATCCTCTACCGATGTCGCTTCAGGGTCTGGTTCAAATTCAGGCTCTTCGACCAGCTCTGGTTCGGGAGCAGGATCTTCTGGAAATTCCGACTCGAGCTCAGGTACCAGTGATGGGAATGGCTCCGGCTCATCGTCGAGTGGAGCTGGGTCTGGAGATGCCAGCGGAGATGATGCTGGATCATCGTCCTCCACCGGCGGCAATGGGGAGAATGGTTCAGGTGATGGTTCAGGTGATAGCTCGGGCTCTTCATCAAGTGCAGATAATGGTTCCGGCACAAGCTCTGGCATGAACTCAGGCTCTGGCTCCTCGGGATCTGGCAATGCATCAGGTTCAGGAGACGGAAACTCAGGATCCGGCAGCTCAAATTCAGGTGGGAGCTCAAGCTCAGGCTCGGGTTCAGGTTCAGGAGAATCCGGAGATGGAAGCTCCAGTTCAGGAGATACGAGCTCAGGTTCTAGCTCAGGTTCCTCAGGGTCTGGTGATGGCAACTCAGGCTTGGCCTCTAGCGATGGTGGAACCGGGTCTGGAGGTGGTTCTGGATCTAATTCTGGTTCAAACTCTTCATCCTCCAGCGACGCCGGAAGCTCATCATCGACGTCCTCCGGGAATGGATCAGGCTCAAATGAGAGCGGATCAGGCTCCGGCTCCGGCTCCTCGTCAGCTGGTGGAGGCGAGGGGTCAGGCGATAGTGGCTCTGGCCCTGACAGCTCAGAGGGATCTGGTTCGAGCTCTGCATCATCGGGCAATGGTAATGGTGATAGCAGCGGATCTGGCTCGTCATCCTCCGGGGAGTCTGGCAACGGTGGTGATAGCGGGGCTGGGTCTGGTAGCGATAGTGCTGGTTCAGGGTCGGACTCGGCCTCGGGATCGGGACCGGGGCCGTCTTCCGGGAGCGGCTCAAGTGATGGATCAGGCTCATCCTCTACCTTCGTGGTCTCGCCAAATCCCTCCAAGGGCCAATTCAAAGACGTGAGCGCGGCCCTTGCCGCTCTGCCAAATGATGGCAAGCCCTATACTATCTCCGTACAAAGCGGCTTGTACAAGGGTCAGATCTCGGTCGCCCGCAAGGGTAAGGTCACCATACGTGGTCAAACGTCTAACATGAACGACTACGCTCAAAACACGGTGACAATCGAGTTCACTAAAGGAGTCTCCACGAGTGCGAATCAGCAACAGAAGCAGAGCACAGCAGTCATCAGCACAGAGAGTGGGGACTCAGAATCGTCTCTGGCGCTGTACAACATCAACTTTAAGAACCCCTTTGGGAAGACACCAAATTCGGTCGCGCTTGCGGCGGACTTCTCTGGAACTGTCGCCGCCTACGGTTGCGCTTTCATTGGGAACCAGGGAACTCTTTTTTTGAATAAGGGCAAGCAAGTCATTTCGAACTCTTACATCCAGGGCTCAGCCGATTTCATTTGGGGTTCGTCGACAGCCTTTTTGCATCAATCCGTCATTGCATCAAACTTCCCCGGGGGAGGCATTGTAGCACAGTCTCGCCCATCGGAAAAGGCCAGCGGTGGAATTGTGTCGGATGCATCCTTCGTGACATATACTGATTCCTACGGAAGCTCTTCGCGATTGGTGTCGCGCTTGGATGGACAGACCTACCTGGGCCGACCGGTCACCGAGTACAGTCGCGTCGTCTACATGCATTCATTCCTTGATAAACATATCAACCCGTTGGGGTGGACTGCTGGGCCCCCAGGGTCACCTAGCACAGACCATGTCCTGTTCGGTGAATACGAGAATACTGGCCAGGGCAGCTCCCTTCAAGACCGCGCTCTATTTGCTGCCAATATGACTCATTCTGAGGCTCAGGCCTATTCTCTATCTCGTTGGATTGGCAATACAGCATGGCTTGATATGAATGCATACAACTCCCCGCCATCCTTTGATCTGACAGGTGCCAGTGGACGTCCACCACTGCCTGGATCCAACAGCACACCAACGGTAACCTCGATGACCTCATACACGACAACCACGAGTGCAGGTGTAGCTTCAACGGTCATATCAACTATTACTGTGGAGGTACTTCCGGATCCAGTGACGAAGACAACGACAACAAAGTCCACTACTTCCACCACAACCACATTCACTGGTCTACCGGTCACCTCTACCAAGACTGCTATCCTCACTCTTGATCTGGGTATTTTGACCATACAGTTGGGTCCGAAAACCACTGCAAATAATATCTCAAATGCGGCTCCTTCAACGACTTCTCACCAGAATGCTACCAAAAGTCTTGGTGAAATATCTTTGGTGACAAATACTATGACTACTTACCAATCGACGGTCACTTCAACTCAGATATCTACATCAGTAAAAATTGAGACATTCCATCCCGAACCACAAAATCTCATTTCCACAGTCACAACTCTTGTCGGCATAGGTGGAACAGTCACGAAGTCAGTCGAAGATGTCACTGTTGTGTTAAGCGCCACTTCAACAAGAACGTTGACGAAGGTCACGACCACCACTCTCATGTGCACCCCCCTACCTACAGAAGCCAAAAGAGGCTTACTGAGGCCCCGGTCTACTGCCCTGGCAGCCACTGTAACTGATAAATCAATCACCACTGGCATCGTCAAGACATCAACTATAACAACTCCTATACCTACCTCATACACCACTCGCATGATCAGCAAAACAAGAACGCTTGATCCAAAAACCACTACAGTGACCGTCACCTTGTGGGTCACAAAGACATTCACAACTACAGTACCTCAATCTACAGCCCATGTTACAGTTACAAGTACTAGAACTATTGGGAAATCCGTCGATGGTCAACAATCGGGCTCAACCGAGACAGGTCCATCAAGTCCATTTGGCGCGATGCTATCTACATCTGGGGAGACACTCACTCGTACCCGCGACCTAACAATCTACGCATCCTTCTCAACAGTCATCGTCACAAGAACAGTGATTGCGACGTCTACTACCACGCAAACTGCATTGGTGACCCAAACAAGGACACCATCAGTCACAGTGACATCCCGCTCCACGTTTTCATCGACGCAATATGTGAAAACGGTTTCCATGACCATGACTATGACAATCACGAAGACACCAGCGAACGCCACCTCCTGCCCTTCATGAATCTCATTAATACGCCCTATACTTACTTTGCAATACGTCTTTAATGGTTTCGAGTAGTGTTGCTGTTTTGAGTTGTTTTGATAGACCTGCGCCTGTATTATTCCCAAGAAGGAGAAAATATTTTATGTACAGCTGGATACCCTAGAAAATGCCCCCATACTAATATCACTTGTTTCCCTGCAGTCATTTGTTATAGGCAGCATAGTCGTCACCAAATAGATCAGATATCAATGATGCTCGGTTTCTTATCAATATATGAAATTCTTTCTACAAAGGGCATTTAAGGGCATTCAAGCTAGACAAGAAAAGGGTAGATTCCAAACCAGGATTTTGAGCTCGGGTCAGACAACTTTTCCGACTCGAAAGCATGGATCACCGCATGAAATAAGCTTCGATTCTTATCGTCACCATCCAGTATTTTCAAAAGTGGGGGTGGAGAGGGCCTTCTAAAGGTCAAAGGCCGAAGGCCAACCAACCATTATTACAAAATCCGTTCGTTTGTATTAATTTATTTTTATTTTTATTTTATTTTTATTTTTGTCTTCTTTTTTTTTAAAAAAAAATTACCAAAAAAAAGCATTTCATGACTTGAAATAGGCAACCTGAATCTGCCACATGGGTCTTTCAACATACATCTTTCCGTACTAGGGGTCATCCTCGGTGTATTTGGTAGTTCTGCAAAAGTGGGGATCCTTCGACCCCAGAGCATGATAAAAGTTAGTTTCTGTCCATTTTTTTGCATTTCGAGGGCAAATACGCTGTCCTTTAAGTGCCTACTATGTCTGCACTCGACCAACGTGTCACTAAGCGCAGGCAAGTTTGTGGGGTCTCTGAGAGACCGCTCAAGAGCAGCAAAGCACGATCCTGTGAAGCATGTCGACGTTTGAAAACACGGTGCGAGATTCGCCCAGGATGTGATCGATGCCATCGTTGTGATACTCTTCGGTAGATAATTCCCAGGCCTTTGCTTTGAGACGTCAAACTGATTTTTTTTTTTTTTTTTTCAATAGTATTGCTTGTTCCTTTGTTGGTACACATCGTAACCGGACTTTAGGGGCATCGACAAGCTTGGAGGGGAAAGGGTCTCATTGCGAGTGCAGTCGCAGGTTTATCTCTTTTATTCCTTCTTCAAGCACTTAGTTAATAAAAATCCAGAATCCTGGCCATTGAGTCATCGGTCGAGAAAATCCAAGAGTCACTGGCTAAGGATAAGGCCCCGGCCCCAAGCTCAAGCCCTTCAGATGAAAAGGTTTTCCCATTCCATAGAACTAAATCTCTAGTCGGAAATTCTAACAAGACTTAGATCCAGAGAGGTTTTTCAGGCAAAGAAACAACTGCGCGTAATGCGCCTATGAATCTCATTCAAGAACTGAGAGATAATATCACGCTACATCGACAGCCGTCCGACACCCATGATTTCTCGGCAGATGTTGTCATCAAGGGAATTGTGTCAGAAAACTTAGCCCTCTCGCTTTTGAAAGGGTAATTATACATTATGTCACTGACATTGATCCGCATAATCGCTAACTCAAGTTCTGGAGACACAGGTTCTCAAAGTTGTCCAGTCGATGGCTTTTTATTAACACAAAACCCGTCGATCTCAGGAGCAAGTCCCCTCTCCTCTTCGGTACTTGTATTCTTGCTGGTCTGCATGTCAATTTATCTCTGCACGGAACTCAGATGCATCAAACACTATATAACCACGTGCATGGACTATTAGGTCAATCTCACCTCACCTCGACGCCATCTCTCGACACTATCCAAGCCATGTTAATCTTTTCGATGTGGGATCTGAGGCCAACACGGGAGCACGATCACGGGAACTCCTGGCTTTTCAGTGGAATGGCCGCAATGCAAGTCATGTTGACAACGACCTTCGATGAGCTTTCTGAAAGCGATGAACGCAATCAAGCTCGCGCACGAGAAATATTGCGCACATGGAATTTAATCTGCCTCTGTCACCTACAGTATATTTATCTCCTATCTCATATGGATTACTTTTTTCAGATCACTGTCTAATGCAACTGGCAGATTTTCCATTGGCTCTGGTCGGGGGCCCATCATCGCGCCACAGTACCTGGATCAATGTAGTAAAGTCCTCGAGCTTCCTCTGTACAGTTCTAAGGATGAGCTTGTGCTGGCAGGCATTCGTCTCTATCGAGTGCTTTGCGATTTCGCAAGTGCAACTTCCATTCTAGGCGAAACCCCTATATGGCCAGAGATAGAAAAAAATGCGCAAATCACAAGAGCGTATATACAGTATGTGAAGCTTCAATTCAAAGATCTTGCCATTACTCACTATTGTACTAGATCTTGATTCCTCTGAACCTTTGCGATTTGCGTATTCTTGTACCTACCTCATCCTATCACGGCGTACATTGCAGCATATGAACACCCACGAACAAGAGAAGCAAGTACTCTCCAAGGCACCATATGAAGATCAGAGAGCAAAAGAATTCATTGAATTTGCAATCCAGAAGAGTCTTGAAGTCTTGAGGTCATTCCTGGCCATGTCAGATTTAACGATTTGTATTCACCCGGCATACGAAAACCTCTTGTGTTCTTTTGCGATGGTAACTCTAGCCGAGTTTGTGATCCACCTGACGAACATAGATGAGACAATTGTTCTTCTGGAACGGGTCATATCCCACATTCAAAGAGGAGGTAAAGCAGAACCAGTCAGTCGTTGGGCTTTAATCGTGATCAAACAGCAAGTCTCAGGTCACGAAGTTGAAAGCCGTGCTACTTTTCGTCAGACAGAGGATCTAGGGACACATCCATTTCCGTCCGATGAAGATGCGTTAAGGCCTTGGGAGGGCAGTGAATGGATGATGGACTTCCCATCACTTGAAGATATGTTTTTCGATAGTATGATATAACGTATGGAAAAGGGGTATCGGCTGATATCGAAATAATTAAATAGCTAGCTTCACTTTCTCAACCTAATACCCGCAAAACAATCTTTTGGTTTTTTGGAAAATCCCTCATGAGATTCAATCATTGGCTGATATAATTCGAACTCATATCGATGAAATAAGGTTCCAATTATCAGCTGTAGCTCCATGATAGCCACATTCTGACCAACGCAAGCACGAGGACCATATGAGAATGGGTTAAAGCAAACTTTCTGTCGAGGTGTCAAGCTCAGCCATCGATCGGGTTTGAACTCCTCGACATCGTCACCCCAAATTTCTGACATATGATGAATCGTATAGGATGGAACAGAGAGAACAGTCCCAGGTGGGAAATGGAAACCTTCAAAATCAACACCTGAGCTACTCTCGGCAACGAGACGAGGTAATCCAATTGCCGATGTCGAGTGCAGTCGCATTCCTTCGTCAATACACCGACGCAAGAATAGTAAATCGCGAACTTGGGAATAGTGCGCAAGTTTTGCGGAGCCAATCGCTTCATCCAATTCTTTCTGCAAACGAGGTATAATTTGACTTAGGTGCGCTTCGCTCTCCGTGCAGAATCCAGTAAAAGACAGCACAGGCTGTGTTGGAGATCGTGTCCGACCCAGCAATAAGCATCGTTAGAGCTTCCGCTGTCATCTCAACACGCCCCATGGGATATCCATTGATATCTTTGGCTTGCAGGAGCCGTGAAAGAATATCATTACGATCATCGATAATTCCTTTCTCTGCAGCGTCTAGCCGCGTCGCCACGGCTGCCACAGCAATTCCAGTGAGATTCTCTACAGCAGCAACGCCTTTTGTAAAGAATGGGTCTGGCAGATAACGTGCAATCGGTCGTAGTGCGGGTAGAAGACCGAGCGTTGACGATATCTCGCCTCTTCTATTGAGCACTTCCACCGCTGGTGTGTATGAAATAGGGCCACCAATAATGAGCTGGGACTCTGTTTCATCCCTACCCTTCTCTACCATTCCAAACGGAGATCCAAATGCGAGGTCACCGATGATATCAAATGCCAAATAACTGAACCATGGCATTGTATTGAATCGAAAATATCGTTTATTCGAGTCGGGCGACACCACACAGTTCGCCATACGATCCAGCTGGTCTACCCATCGCTGTAGATTGGCCATCATATGTGGTTCGAAGGCAGCTACTGATCGAGGAGAAAACGCATGAGAGATGATTTTACGTTTCCGTGTGTGTTCAGTACGGTCACGAACATTGAACATTCCAGGTGTTTTTGCCACGAATGCTTCGTAGTAATGGCTGATTCCAGTTATCAGATCTCTGTAGAAAGTCTTTTCGAGGTCTTCACTTACTCTTTCAAGAATCCATTTCCATGGCCATATACAATATTGAGTCCGCGTTCATCCGCGATGGAGATGTGATTGAATCCAATGCGTACGACCTTTCCATACTTTCGGTGCGCCCGATCCACGGCTGCAAATTTCTGTCCTCGTCGGGCACTAAGTCCAACCCAGATATTGCTGAATTTTGCAAGAAATGGCCCTGGAACTCTAGACAGATGCTTATACGTAGTGAAGAATGGTATAGTATAATATGAAATTATCCATAGGGGTAGCGCGATGATCACAGTCACTGGGGATAGCAGGAAATTCAACAAAGCCATTGTTGACTGGAAATGTATTTGATGCGGATGTGACTAGATTCTGTGTTTCAACACTCTCCTCGTGTCCTTATTTCACCTTTCTTAAATATGCAGGCTCTGGTACTTCGTATGCATCTTGTCTTATCTGCTCTCCGACGGAGCACAGCCAGCGCCGTCGGAGAAGAGCGCATCTCCGGTGAGACATTGTCAGCCCGCGAATGGGGGTGCATAATTAGGAGTTCTTGCCAAAGTCGGGCCTTTAGTGGACATCATCCGCTGGAAGAGATGGATTCAGCATCATGGAGAGATGTCTAATTCTGATTGTTGGTTAATTTTCGGTCGGACTATTTTGCTACTTCTACTGCCTACCAAAGACACTGGATTTAAAGTCCATTCTAATATTCTATTAGGGCCGGTAGCCTTCAGCTCAAAAATCCTAAGGTAGTATTCAAAAATATCAAATATTCCAACTTTCCTGGGTCAGATCGAGGGCAGGTATTGATTATTTATTGTGTAGGTTCTTCGGTCACTTGGCGGCTGGGACGCGATCGTCAATGTCAGCAATACGAATAGGAAGATGTACATAGAAGTAGATGCTCAGCTGCTAGCCAATCAAGGTTTGACTCAGATGCGCGCCCTCTCCGACCCCGCACTGGCACACGAGTGAGGGTCGGGAACAGGGATCTTCCGCCCACACATCCCACAGTCTTACCCCATTTCCTCGATGATATAGGGATGAACTCCAATGGACCCCTTCACGAGTACACCCCTCCGCGCATGGAAGCTGGAAACAAACCATGATGCGAACGGAGACCGGCACCATCGGCTCTCAGCAGGCTCCGAATGCTGGCGGGCCGTGAGATGCTTAGGGAGCGGGTCCTTTGGAGATGTTTGGCAGGAAACCTGTTTATCAGGGCCCTCACAAAATGCGGTCCGTGCCGTGAAATGCCTTGGTAAACGCCAGGCAAAGTTCACGGAAATGTCGAGACGGGAGCTGGAGGCTCTCATCACTTTCTCTAATTCTGATATCCCCAAGGTAAAGCCGCGGAACAAACCCAAGGTCCAGAGTATAACTACATGAGAAGGCTTACCGAAACATAGTACAAGGAACACTTTGTCCAATTCCTTGGCTGGTTTGACGATACTGCGCATTTCTATCTTGCGATGGAATTCCTAGAATATGGCGACCTCCAGAAATATATAACGAAGCCTTTCCCAGAGCCTGAAGCAGCAATGATCGTCACTCAGGTGGCTCAAGCTCTGCAATATATGCACCAGAAGAATTTTGTCCATCGAGACATCAAGCCTTTGGTAAGCTCTGCACTGTCGTTTACACCCTGGAGATATTGACCAAGGCATAGAATATTCTCATCTCCCGTCCTGGTCCTAGGTGGCATGTCAAGATAGCCGACTTCGGAATTTCTAAAAATGTGGAGGGTACGGTTCTCGGAACACACCAGCTTGGTTCTCCCGGGTATATGGCACCAGAGCTATTCGGCGACTCTTCACATTCTTATACGGCGGCTGTGGATGTGTGGGCGCTCGGGGCCGTGGCTTACTGTATGAGGACAGGTTTTCCGCCACTTCGCACCACCAAACAGTTGCTCGACTACGCGCGCGACCATAGGACACAATTTCCCGTCCGGCCGCTGGGCACTTCAAGTGGATTTTGTATGAACTTCGTGTTAGGCACAATGGCTGAGGCTCCTGAACGACGCCTTACTATTGAGCAAGTCCTGGCCCATGACTGGCTTTCCATACAATTGGATACAGCTCAAGAGTAAGAGTCTATCAGCCGACTATGTTTGCCTGTTTATAGTACCTGACTGATATAAAACAGTGGCTATTTAGATGGAAGCGTAACAGCTGCTTTGACGGCCGTGAGCATATCGGCGTCTAACGCGTGGTCAAATACATATAGCAGCACTGGCAGCCAGCAATCGCAAATTTCATCGCTGACTACTCCGGCGATGACGAACTCACAAATAGTAACAGATGTTGAGCAAGGGCAATATACCGGGACTGAAAATGGTGACGAGAAGACAATTGGCGGCAACGATTCGAATATTATTCAAGGTATGGCTGATTTAGCCACGAGATATTACGATAAAAAAATGTACGGTCGTTCTGAAAAGATCGGAGAGGAGGTGGTCGATATGCGACAAGAACTACTGGGTGTCAATCATCCAGATACAGTAAAGGCCATGTTGAGTCTTGCCAGGACGTATCTAGCCCGTGAGAGATATGATAAGGCTGAGAATGTCTATGTGAAAGTGGTTGATATAAGACGAGAAATGCTTGGCGACAAACATCCTCATACACTTACTGTCATGAAGAGTCTTACCGCTACATATTACGAGCAAAAGAAGTATGATTTGGCCGAGAAAACTGAGTTGATTTTATGCAATTTGCAACGCGAAGAGCTTGGTAATCGGCACCCCGACACAATTCATTCTATGAAAAGACTTGGCATGACATACCTCAAGCAAAACAAACTGGACGAGGCCGAGGAGATCTATCTTGAGTTAGTCTTCTTGCGACGGGATATGCTTGGTAATAAACATGCGGATACCATTGATGCCATGATGGAACTTGCCATCACTTATGGTAAGCAAAAGAGATATAACAGAGCCGCCAAGTTCTTTGTGGAGGCGATCAAATTACGAGAAGAGGTACTTGGTGGGAATCATCCAGATACTATTGATGCAAAAGCAAAGCTTGTCGCGCTGCGCCAGGAACAAGGGCAGCTTGCCGAAATCAAGAAGGAAAAGAGTCTCCAGAAAAGCCGAACATTTTCAAAGCCTGTGTTTAGAGTGGCTTTGGAACGTTTGTATGATCGAGATGGGGTCGCGGTGCCGCTAGTTTTATTACAGTGCTTCCAAGCTGTTGAGCTGTTTGGTCTGGATTTGGAAGGGATTTATCGATTTTCGGGTTCAGCAAACCATCTGAACCGCCTGAAAGACCAATTTGATGTCGGTAAGTTTAGCTGCCCAAGCCCCCCAGATGAGCCTACTAAATGGCATTGGTTATCCAGATGCATCAAGGGTTGACTTGACAAATCCGGAGAATTTCTTTCACGATATCAACTCTGTTGCTGCTCTTGTGAAGGAGTTCTTTCATGATCTCCCTGAGCCAGTTTTTGTGTCGATGATTTACTCGCAGTTCATTGATGCGGCCCGTAAGTCTTTTAAAAAATAACAACGAAACGGGTTTGTAAACTAAAGACTGACTGGATTAAATTAGGTATCGACGACGATATTCAACGACGAGATTCAATACATGCCCTCATCAACACTCTTCCCGATGCCAACTATGCTACTCTCCGAGCCACCATTCTGGCAAGTGCCTGAACCTGTTTTAACCCTCCATTGATAATATGCTGACTGCTAAAAAGCACCTCAACAAAGTCCAACAACATTCCGCTATGAATCGCATGAATTCAGGCAACCTAGCCATCTGCTTTGGGTTAGATTATCTTGACCCTACAGTATGCTAGAAAGGTATCGGCTAATCTATTGACAGACCCGTGCTATTTAGAGGCAGCAGAACCGATGACTTTATAGAAAATAGTGGGTGGGAAGTACGCCTCATCGAGACGATCTTGAACAATACCTTCCAGATCTTCGATGATGACTAGGTATACGAACTTAACTCTTCCGATATCGACCCCCGGCATGTCTTTTTGATTAGTTTACTACTACTGGTTCTGGCTGCTTTCACGGCCGCCACATTTCCCTAAATACCTCAGCCGCTTTCTACTGGCGTTAGACCCATTTTCCCATCACATATTACAATAATAACTCTATACAACAAATGATGTTACTGAATCAAAACCGTATAGTCAAGCTCTTGTAAATCTTGGTGTGCATTTTGATTAATCCAGATCGCACCGCATAAATATTGACTTTCAAGTTGCCGATCAGCCTAATTCGTACTTGGTGTATATAGTTCAAGAAATTAGATCCTAATTCTCGTGATCTTGTTGGCTATTTATGGTGGTGCCTTTCCAGATACAGCGAATGAGTGTTTTTTTTTGGGTGCTGGACAGTGGTGGATCTGGCCGTTATTTGACTTGTGATGATATGGATGCCAATTTAATTCCAAGGCCAAGTTGGCCGCGCCGAAGAACTTGATTGATCCCGCGTCAATATCCTTTCAACACAAAGTGGAAACCGAAGTTAGGGTCCTCTTAAGATTTTTGCTGGGACTTTTGTGCCTTCATGGACTCCAGAACATTCTGAAGGTGTTTGTCTGCTCTGGCTATGGTGAGGTTGATCTCCATGATTGGTGGGTATTCATTGTCCAGAATCCAGGGTCTGTCCCCAGAGAAAGTTAATTTGCTGCCGAAGTATCTCGTCCTTTCCATTACAAGAACCTCCAGCCCAATCTTTGTTGCTAACAAAGCTGTCCTCAGGCCCGAGCAGCCCGAGCAGACAATTATCGCATCGAAATCTTGCCCAGTGCATTTGGTGTGGCAGATCATGTTCGAATCACATGACACCTATCACCACTACCGATGTATTCACCATAAATACAAATGTTGATTACAAAATCAGCTGGATCTGGCAAGACGGCGAGTGGAACTCGCTTTGATGTGAAAAGCGAATGTGTCCAAATCAGATCCCCTCTTCCTCAGAACCTTCGCTCGCCTCTCCCTAACCGCCACATGTCAAAGCAAAAGCAAAGAAGAGAAAAATCGCTGGTCGTAGCGGAGTAGTTTACCAAGGATGAAATTTCTGCTTGTCAGCGTACGCGATTCCACATGCCGGTAGCTGCGTAGAGGCCATCAGCGAATCATCCTTAGCACAAGTTGTTGTACTTCTTTATTTTGCGAGTTCGAAATCCCACTCTAGATTGTGGTTCACTATGTCTACCTTTGTCTCCTGCTAAGCCGGCGGTGGCCGCGGACGCTGTTCACTGTATTGCGTCGGTGGGCTCCACCTGCGAGGTCCCGATGACATAGTGCCCCGATGTATCGGGCCAACATACGATTTGATTGGTACTGGCTTCCCCAGTTACGTGAGGTGGACCCCGGCATAATCGCCCTGTTCCTGTCGAAAATAACCAGATGGGTATTATGACATAGCTTGTGAAAGAGTGGGTTCATGGTCCGAGATGCGTGAGAAGCCCTTGGAGCCCTTGGAGTCCTTGGAGCCCTTTGAATACTTGAATCTTCAGTTGATCAATATTTCTGGAGTCTTCAAGTTCCCTTTACTCTCACTGAACACATCCTGATTTCTCTCTCTCTCACACCGCGTTGCAATGATAAACCCCGATAACCTCCGTGAGGTGCTGAACACCGACATCCGCACGCCAATCCCCGAAGCCACAGTCTCCAAGATCACCTCCCTTCCTCCATTCATCACGGTGCCCGGGGTTTCTAATTTTCGAAGCTTGAGTCACGAGAATAATTTACGCCTCGGATATGTCTACCGGTCAGGAAATCTGTCGGATATCACGGATGAAGGGAAAGTGTTTCTATCTGTGGACCTAGGCATTACCACGATTTTTGACCTTCGAAATCAAGGGGAGCGGGAGCGTGCTCCAAGTCCCCAGATTCACGGGATTGAGACTATCTGGATGCCCTATGGGTCTCGGCCGGCATCACTTAACCTGCGTGACTTTGCTAGCGAGGACCAAGGCACGACAGGGTTTCTGAAGATGTATTCCGGCATCTTGGAAGCGTCGGTACCAGCCTTCAAACAAGTCTTTACCCATATTAGAGATAAACCAGACGATCCTTTTATTTTCCACTGTTCAGGTGAGCCCCTCTCCCTTCTGAGACGATTTTCCCGGCATGGTCCCTTACACGGGTATAATACGATGCCGCCACCTTGTCAACTCTCGCCGAATGAAATTTGTTCCATCTTGACTAATATGAATCACTTCTCAATAGCCGGCAAGGACCGCACAGGTGTGCTAGCTGCATTGATTCTGCTTCTGATGGGCCGCTCTCACGACGAGATCATTCACGATTATATTCTGACTCGCATCGGATTAGAAAACGTGCGAGAAAATTTGACGCACGCCTTGGCTCTTCATGCTGGCACCGACCATTTGAGCCCCGAAGCGATCGGCATGTTGGAGCTAAGCGGTGTCCGAGCGCACGCTATGGCGGCTTTTCTGAAGGCTTTTGAGAATAGCTACGAGGGTGGCGTCGAGGGGTATTTAACCGCAAAGCTTGGGTTTTTAGTGCCGGACATTCAACTCATGCGGCAGAATCTAGAAGCTTGAATGAAGCCCGTGGTTTTAGCTCTTCCCCCAATGATAAATCGGCAATAGACACAAACCTACTGTCTTGTACCATGCCTCGTCTCCGTTTCCGTTTCCGTTTCCGATCCATTTTCATATTGCTGGTACAGGATGGCCAGTGCGCCAGAATGCAGGGATTCATTCCACCATTAATAGCCACATGTCTCGATGTCGGGTGGTAGACATCCCACCACTTCTCTTTTGATTCATTCCGCGAGTCAAGATGAGACTCGAGTCTGTCCTTTTCATCGTAAGCGAATAAATAGGTGCATGATAACACCTTTTTCGTCAGCTATTTGCCCTTGTCCCCCAGGCTGCTGTTTACCCCTCTCCTAGGGTCAGAGCTCCACAGTCAAGCAACGCAGATCATCGCTTTCGCCCGCCTACCCCGGTCCTGAATTGGACATTTTCGATTGCTGCAACACCCGAGGATTAGCCCCGTCCGCAACTCAGCATTGCTACCGTTGCTTTTTCCCCGCGCGTGGGGGTTGCCTCTCGACCTGTTGAAGGCATAAAATCTGTACATTCGCAGGCAAAGAGCATGACACCACTCAGATCGTTCCACGCAAATTAATCATAGTGGCCAAGACTTCCAATCGGCCCTTCTCCACCTGATTATCTACCGGAGGTGAACTGGTGTAGGAGCCAAGACGTCGCGCAAGATAAAGTGACCGGATTGCCCCGACGCTATCAATCGGACTAGTCTTCACCTCAGCAGCCCATACTCGGTCATTACCCGGTCGGATCAGTTGGCACTATGTATCTTCGGAAAGGACTGGCATTTGCAGCACTTCCAGTGGCAGCACAAACCGTGTTAGGCCAACATGTGGTCGACCTCACGGGTGACGGCTGGACTGTCAGTAGTGACGCATTAAACATCTCCGTTCCAGGCCATTTACCTTCCCAAGTACATTTGGATCTATTCGCTGCAAAAGCAATTGGTAAGCCCTGCAGCCAAGTAAAACGAAAAAAGAATGCACCTAACAATTAACAGATGATCCGTTAGTGTCTCTCTGAAGTCTTGAACGGACCACCACTTATTTCGCGCCATCTAGGTACTACGGACTCAATGATTTTGACTTACGTTGGGTCTGCTATAATAACTGGACTTACACCAGCCACCCACTGACCACATTGTATGTCATTTTCACATTATCCGATAGTCAAAGCCTGCCAACAATTGACGATTATCAGGTCCCCGGATGCCAAGTCCTCGTGGCTTGTGTTCAATGGCCTGGATACATTCGCCACGATTGAGGTTTGCGGACAGATTGTTGGAGCTACCGATAATCAATTTCGACAGTATACATTCGATATCTCCAGTGCATTGCGTCAATGCAAGGGACATCCAGCCCTAGCTCTGAACTTTGGAAGTGCACCCAAAATCGCAGATCAAATTGCCCAGGATCCGAACTCTGAAAGTAAGTCTTTTACAAGATCATTTACGCATATTTTCTAACTCACTTTCCAATAGAATGGCCAGGAGGCTCCCAGCAAGTCTATGAGTTCACTAACCGTTGGTACATCCGCAAGGAGCAGTCTGATTTCGGATGGGACTGGGGCCCAGCTTTCGCACCCGCTGGTCCGTGGAGAGATGCTTACCTTGTGCAGTTTGAACAAAAAGAGAGTGTCTATATCTTGAACACCGATCTAGATATCTTTCGCAAGGGCCAAATCAACCATCTTTTGCCGGATCAAACTCAACCTTGGATTGTCAATGCCAGCATCGACTTCCTCGGGTCCCTGCCGCACAACCCGTCAATGACGATTGAGATCAAGGATGTGGAATCAGGAAAGATTCTCAAGTCTGGGAAACTGGAGAATGTTTCTACCTCTGATCAAACTATCACTGGAAGCTTGGAGGTTGATGCCGATGGGCCAAGCCTGTGGTGGCCGAACGGTCTGGGCAAGCAAAACCTCTATTATGCGACCATCTCGATCAACGGTGGCGGTCAAAAGCCCTTGGCTACGGTTACTAAACGCACAGGTTTCCGTACGATCTTTCTTAATCGCCTCAATATTACTGATGGACAGCTGGCTCAGGGTATTGCCCCTGGCGCTAACTGGCATTTCGAGGTCAACGGTCAAGAATTCTACGCCAAGGGTTCCAACTTTATTCCCCCGGATGCATTTTGGCCCCGCGTCACCGAGGAAAGAATGCAGCAGCTTTTTAATGCTGTCGTTGCTGGAAACCAGAATATGCTTCGAGTCTGGGCATCTGGTGCCTACCTTCCGGATTTCATCTACGATATCGCAGATGAGCAAGGAGTTCTGCTGTGGAGTGAGTTTCAATTCAGTGATGCTCTATACCCTAGCGACCCTGATTTTATGGAAAACGTGGCAGCCGAAGTTGTCTACAATGTGAGACGTGTCAACCACCATCCATCCCTAGCCTTGTGGGCTGGTGGCAATGAGATCGAGAGCTTGGAGTTACCTCTTATTCGACAGGCTGCCCCTGACAAGTACTCATTCTACGTCGGGGAATACGAAAAGCTGTGGATCACCTTGATTTTGCCGTTGGTCTATGACAATACCCGTTCAATTTCATACATGCCGAGTAGCACAAATAATGGCTTCCTCTGGGTTGATCTTTCCGCTCCTGTCCCGATGGCTGAGCGCTACGACAACACTACCGCTGGCCACTACTACTCCGATACAGATCACTACAACTATGATAGCAGTGTTGCCTTTAACTTTGCTAGCTACCCCGTGGGTCGATTCGCCAATGAATTTGGCTTCCATAGCATGCCAAGTCTACAGACCTGGCAGCAAGCCGTGAACTCCAGCCAGCTTCACTTTAACAGCAGTACTGTGATGCTTCGCAACCACCACTACCCCCCTGGCACGACAAGCACGGACAATTATAGAAACTCTTCAAGAGGAATGGGTGAGATGACAACAGCAGTGGAACGATACTATCCTATTCCTCATAAGAAAGATTCTGTGGCAAACTTCGCTGCCTGGTGTCATGCCACTCAGATCTTCCAAGCCGACATGTACAAAAATCAAATCATGTACTATCGTCGCGGTAGTGGACTTCCAGAGCGGCAGCTCGGCTCGCTATATTGGCAACTTGAAGATATCTGGCAGGCTCCTACTTGGGCAGGCATCGAATACGACGGTCGCTGGAAGGTCCTTCACTATGTCGCCCGCGACATCTACAAGCCTATTATCGTCACCCCTTTCTTGAACCATGACACAGGCGACCTTTCTGTTTACGTGATATCGGACCTTTGGGAGAAAGCTTATGGGACGGTGAACATGACTTGGGTAGACTTGTCGGGAAATCCTATTGCTGGCAATGCCGGAACTCCGCGGAGCAAGTCATTCACCGTCGGTGGTCTGAACATTACAAATGTCTACAATACAAACACCGCCAAGCTGTCTCTTCCAGATAAGACAAATGCTGTTCTTTTGCTTTCCATTACGGCACGTGGTCGCCTGCCAAATTCTAGCAATTCGACTGCTTCTCTGTTTACCCACCAAAATCAGGTCACGACTGTGTTTCCCCAAAGTCTGTCTCTTGTGGATCCTAAACTGCAAATTTCTTATGATAGAGCATCCGGCACATTTACTGTTGAGGCAAGGAGTGGCGTATCGCTTTATACTTGGCTCGACTATCCTGCTGGCGTTGTTGGCTACTTTGATGACAACTCATTTTCTTTGGTTCCAGGTGAGAAAAAGAGGGTCCATTTCACTGTCCAGAAGGATGAGACCGGTGGAAAGTGGGTGGATGGTGTCACTGTCCAGAGTCTGTGGGACCAGACCACTGCAGAGTAAGAAATACAGCCCATTTGCTAGTCTCACGTCGGGGGTTCCTTGACCTCGATTCCCATTTTCCGTTGATTTAGGACGTGCACTGTCTTACGTCTTACACAACGTGAAACTAAAACGGCTCCGCAAACATTGCTCCTGGAAATTAAATTTTGTCTAACATAACTATATCTTAAGTCTACTATCATAGTATTAGATACTAATTGCATATTTCTCCAACGTATCCATGCCCGCAATCACCATAGTTCATCTTTGATGTCAAGTTATCTTTATCTTTTGATGGACGCTTCTACATCACCGTCACTTCTTTCAATCATGACTGAGCTTTGCACGCAGTTTCCCACCAAAGATATAGAAGATGTAGGGGATGAAGACCATTCCCACCCCAATGAACGCCAGAAGCCACGAGCCCCATTGGAGCCCTAGCCGATCATACATCTGCGTCGTAAACAGAGGGAATGCAGCACCTCCTCCAGATCGAAGGAAGACCTTCGCTGCCAAAGCGGAGGCAGCGTACTTCTGGTACGAGTCGATGATGTAGTTGTTGACCGCGTAGTAGCACAAAACCATCCCAAAACCGAAAGCGATCCCCGAAGAGGCGGGCCCAACCCAAATTATGTGCTTGAAAGACGTAGCACCAAGCAAGAAAAATGAGACAGGGATGAAAGGGGCGCCAATCAGTGCCGCGAACAGTCGATCCTCGGGGGTCGGGGCGCGCGAGGCGCAAATCCGTTTGAATTGCTTTTCGATCGCCGGTGTCACGAGTAAAGAGATACCGGCACCGATTAAAATAGGAATGAACATCAAGCCTATTTGGCCGTCATTATAGTTGTACAATTTGCCAAAGATCACCGGATATGCGAAGAAAAACGCGTAGAGCATAGAGTAAATGAGCACGATATACATGCACATTAGATCAAGAACCGGTTCAGTCATGATCATCGTAATGGGGCGAATCAAGCTCGTGCGTGCAATGTCACGGAGTGTCAGTTTGCGTTGCTCTTGTTCAGTGAGAATGTTTGGATTTCCGGTTTCTTTCCGGAGCTTTGCGGCTCGTCGCTTTAGGATCACGGGTGCGTAGGTTTCCGGGATAGAGCCGACAAGGATCATGATCACACCAGCAAAAGCCATGTTGGTCCAGAAAAATAGGTCAAGCCGGCCACTACCCACATTGATCCAGCCGGTCACGATGGGGCCAACGACTGGACCACAGTAGGGCGCAGCAGCGAAGTAAGCAATAGCCATGCCGCGTTCCTCGATATTCCATATGTCGGCAATAGTTCCCCCGGCCAGGGACAGGCCAGAACTAGAGAAAACACCACACAGGAATCGGCAGACAAGCAAACCACCAATGTTTGGTGACAATGCACATGGGATGTTGAAGATAACATACAATCCCAGCGAGATGATATAAACGGGCCTTCTTCCAATAATCTCAGAGAGGGGGGACCAAAGAAGAGGACCGACGGCAAAGCCGCACACCATGATTGAACATGTTAGAATGGCAACTTCCAAAGAAACATTATATTGTTCCTCGATCAGTCCCAAGCCGCCAGTGACGATGGATGAGCCATAGGCAATACACACAACTAGAGCCGAAGCAACCAGAGTAATATACCATCGATAAGCGCGAGACCAATTGTAGGGGTGTTCTGGATCGCCAATTTTGAATGTAACGAATTCTGTCACTTTTTCAGACGCATTTTCGGGGTCCGACTGAAGATCATTTCGGCGTGTTGCGATAGTGGAACTCGAATTTTGAGATCTGACTCGTTCTAGGGTTGTTTGGGGAACAAGACCAGTGCTTGTTTCGACAACATACTCATCGGGAAATATTGGATTCTCTTTACGCCCAATATCTGGATAGTTGTAGTCAAGGGGAGGAGGGTTCTCGGTGATGCCGGCATCGCGAAGACTGGTTCGTGTTTCAACTCGAGTCAAAGGGGATTCGAAGGCTGGCTCGGGGGTTTGGGGTGAATCAGTTGATATTGAATGGGCCATCTTGAATCTGAGCGAATATCGTATCGCTGATTCAGGTATTGATACTCGAAGGAAAGAGAAGTATTGTCATATTTATAACTAACAGTAGTTCCAAAATATCAACAGAATCGGGTTGACGTACATTTTATGCCGATCGATCTCCGAGATATGCCGAGCATATCGGATTTGTATCAGCTTGTTGATATGCGATGATAGACCAACGATTATATCCCTCATTCATCAAAATAACCTGAGTTGCCGTTTACGCATAGTTCGGTGAATCCCCGTCACGGGGTCAGGGTGAAACTCGGGACAAGTTCGGTGCCGAACCATCGCCGAGGCTCAGATATACCTGATTGGTGTCATATTGCCGATCGTAGCATTGCGTCTGACAAAATCATGCTTAGCCTGGGATAAGAATCTTTCCAAAATCACCAAGAATGCGTAAAATATTTTCATTCAGTGTGATGACCTGCTTGGGGCGTCATCTATGTTTGATCATTTGTTGATAACCTAGAAGCATCTATTGACTACTGAGGTGAATCAAATCAGATAGCTGTGATGAGTTCCGACAAAAATGAAGATATGAACGGTATGCAACTTGTTTTGAATCCACAACAAACATCTGGTTTTTGTTCGGGGTAATCACCAGCTTTCGGAATATCAAGATCCGTGTCATCTAGTCAGTATTTAGCGCAAGGTCTATCGGTGGCTCCGGTGGATCTGCCGAGCTCCCCTGCCAGACTAGTTCCGATTGGAAAGCAGCTACAATGCTAGCACTACGGTAAAGACGAGACAGTTGTAGGGTTGAAGAACCATTTCGCTAGGGCTCTTAAATCTGCAGCCATCATATCGTCCATCAAACATTCAGTCAAATGAACCTAACACCCGAAAATAATGCAAGCAAAGAGTCGGAATTAACGCTTCCCAAGCAATAAAAGTGAACTCCTTTCTTTACCATTTGTTGTCAAAAATTCGACCGTTGACATGATTGACAAGATCCTTCACTGGAGGCAGATGATCCCGACCAGCGCCAAATAGCATACCTTGACGCAAGATCTTCCGATAGTTCTTCCCAGGTGCAATTTTTCCTAAAACATATTCTTCTCGAGTCTCAACACGAGTCGGAACAGGAATTGACCGACCGACAACCGCCTCCATTCCTTGCCAGGCAAAAGTGATAGCTTCTTTTGCCTCTCCTGGAATGCCAGCAGCATCCAGCATGAGAATCTTGGTGTCAGGGTAATTCTCTTGAATGAAGGCGGTGATATTGGGATTGTGAGCACCACCACCACACATGAATATCTCCGCGATGTGGAGGTCTTTCGGTGCATAGCGGCGATAATGGTCAACGATGGCTTGTGCAGTTACCCGAGTGATGGTTGCGACGACATCATCAGGCTTCAAGCCTTTGGCCTCGGCTTTTTTGATCAGTTCATGGGCCAAAGTATCACGGAATACCTCACGACCGGTAGTCTTGGGTGGCTCTAAGGAAAAGTAGGGATGGCGCAAGAATCCATCCACAAGCTCCTGGTCCACGATACCCCGGGCGCCCATTTCGCCGTCCTTATCATACTCGGACTTGCCGTTTGTATAGTAGCGCACTACAGCGTCGATGAAGACATTGCCCGGGCCTGTATCGAAATCATAACATGCATCCACGCCCCCATGCGTATCTGGGGGAATGAAACACACATTGGCAATCCCGCCGATATTCTGGCAAGCACGGAGCTTCGTTGGATGATGCAAGACAAGCGCATCGAAGAAGGCAATCAGCGGAGCTCCCTGCCGACCCGCTGCCTGGTCACTGACGCGGAAGTCGGTGACGGCGGTGATGCCCGTCCGGGAGGCCAAGAAACATCCCTCGGCCATGGTTAGCGCGCTGCGTGTCTCGCCTGGTTCCGGCATGGAGAGAAGCCAAATTGTCTGTCCATGAGAGCCAAGGACATCGATCGAGTTGATATCGACCTGGTAATCTTTGCAGAATTGGTGCACAGCAGATGCAAAGGTTTCGCCTAAGATCACATTGACTTCTGATAGCTCCGAGGGAGAAGTCCGATTGTGAAGAATCATATTCATCACTCGGTTTTTAATCATCGGTTCAAGGGGAATTTCGCCATACTATCGATAGGCAGTTAGTTGTCAACCTCTCATTCTTTCAAGGCCGACCAATATGATTCTCGATCATATGCTCAAGTTTCCGAACTGACCTTCAATAGTTCAAAATGCATGCTCGATTCAGGCGTGTCTTGAATGAACCGACATAGGGCACAGTCGATACCATCCTGATTCAGGGCGAATGAGATATATGATCTCTCCTATCTACTGCACAGTAAGAAATACGTACCATCGAGGTCCCACTATTCAACCCCAGGACTGTAATGTCCAAGGACTGAGGCGACATATCATTTTCAAGTGAGATCGAGCCCATCGTTCTCATAAAAGAATAATATCGCACGTTTTAAGTCCAAACGGCAGGACGGAGTTGAATTTCGTGGAATCGGGGGGTACAGACTTTAAAAGGGCTCTTTGCGACCAGAATCTCCACCCTTTCTTTGCAGGCCTGGCAAGCGGTGGGGGGATCGAACCAGAGATTGACCTGCAAGCTGCACTCCATCGGTATTGCTCGATCACATATCGTGTTTACTCGGTAATGCCCTCGCCCAGTTGAACCTTGTCCCCAGCACCATGCCGCCCAGACCGCCTGAGTGGATGGTCGGCAAAACGGGTATTTGCGCTCGGACGCAAACCGCTTCCAAGGCCCCAGCCAATCTAATTTCTCAAGCTGATTGATCGTGCTGGAAATTCGAGGTGGATTTGTATATTGAGTTCGTTGCCCAGATAAACATGGCCTTTGTTCCTGCTTTTCACCGAGGTAAGCTTGCGAAAACAATAACTACACCATGGCTCTAAATACACCTGGAGGAGCAAATCAGGACAATCAAGTCAATAAGTGTCCAGTCTGTTACTCGACGCTCCTGCCGAATAACGACCGAAGTTCACTAACAACTTCATGTGCTCAAGATATGTGAACTCTGAAATGATTGTGCAAACACAAAGAGGACCGAAAAAGGCATGATTTAATTCATTAGGGCAATCCTAAATAAAGACGTTGACGGGCCGCCGCCGTTCATTATCCTGCCATTCCCCAGCTTTTATTGGGATGAGAAGTAAAAATTTGGCTGTTACGGCCGTGACGGAAGTATTCATTGGCTAGTTGACATGCTGTAAGTAGGTGATTTCCAATCCTTCCTCCAGCAGCGACAAAGCGCTCGTACACATCCTGGAGGCTGTTACATGATATGCATTTGATGCCTGCGCTCGTATGAACTTGTCCGAATATATTCAATCTTGATAGAAGTCTCCATGGCGTGCGTAGAATATGAGCGCCTCCGAACCTCATTATGAGATGGCATCGAAATAAGTTTAATCCCACACTTACTGCTAGATTTCGCGGTCATAGGACACCTGAGGCACCAGTTCGGCACCACTTGGATGAATAATCAAAACGAACCAGCCAAGATCTCGGCGTTGCTAACGAGCGCTCAGGCTAAATGGTTACGCGCTTGAGCAAGGTGGTTCCCCCTCCCCGCGGTTTTCCAGAGCTCCAGACCCTCTAACCCCGGGTGATCCTCACCCCTCATTTCCATTCGTTTCGGGGTGGGCCCCATATAAGGCTTCACCGTCACGGCTAGCTGCAGCCGAAGTGGGACGCGTTGGATACAGAGAGGGCGCAAACGATGGGATACACCACGCTTTGGAAGCGGCTCTCGCCGCGCCAGCTGAACCTCACCATCCAGATCTTCTCTTTGATTTCAATATTCTTCGAGGGATATGATCAGGGCGTTATGGGTGGCGTCAATGCCTCCCCAAGCTATGTGACTGAAGTTGGGATCGGCAAGCCAGATGGGACTGTTACCGATAGAACACACCAGGGTGGCATCGTTAGCGTATATTACCTGGGGGCTATCTTCGGCTGCTTCGCTGGCGGATGGCTGGCAGACAAGATTGGCCGCATCAATGGCCTCTTGGCAGGATCATTGTTTGCTCTAGTGGGGGGTGCCCTTCAAGCGGCCTCTCAGAACTCGAACTTCATGATCTGCGCCAGAGTGGTGACGGGAATAGGCACCGGTGGTGAGTATCCCTGCTAGTGTGCTTTAGCAGGCCCCTCTTCAGCGCGAAGCGAGAGACGCGTTCTGACCCGCGATGCATGTAGCGTTGACCGGCATCACGCCCGTCCTAGTATCTGAAACGTCCTCGGCAAATCACCGCGGTGGGTTCTTAGGCTATGTCTTCATCGCGAACTGTAAGTGGCTGATACAGCAACCCTGCCGCATCTCAAAGCTGTGCAGTTAACCCCCTCCCCCCAATCCCCAGATCTAGGAATCTCATTTGCCTATTGGATCTCGTTTGGGCTTTCCTTTGTGAACAATGGCGACTCTGACGTACGATGGCGTTTCCTTCTCGCGTTTCAGTGCGTCCCCGCTCTGATGCTGGTCTTGTTTATCAAAATGCTACCAGACAGCCCCCGTTACTTGGCATCGGTAGGGCGGAAGGAAGAAGCTCGCGATCTCTTGACTCGCATCCGCAAACATCGGGCGACCTCAGACGAGATCGACCGAGAATACCTGGAGATCATCACCACGGCCAAGGATAGTAAACCTAGCTCGCCCGTGCAATTTGCCAAAATTTTGTGTGGACAAGGCGGACGTCCCGGTACCAACCTGGGTCGGAGAGCATGGTTATGCATCTGGCTCCAAATCATGGCGTCCTGGACTGGTATCACGGTAAGCCTGGAACGGTTCCTCGTGTGTTACTCCCAAGGCGGAATGGATCACTGACTGACACGGAGTGATGAAATCAGGCTGTCACGGCGTATTCCCCAATTCTTCTCGAACAAGCCGGCTACAGTTCCATCAAACAAAATGGACTGGCTGGGGGTATCAATACTATCGGAATCATTGGAACTATCATCAGTGCTCAGATCATCGATCGCCTGGGGCGTCGAGTCTGTCTGATGGGCGGGGCAATAGTGTTGTTCATAGTCAACTTGATCGTATGTCGACTTCCTCATTACGAAGATTGCAGATACTGACTTTCTGCTAGGCTGGTGCCGTGTACGAAGGATCACTCCATAATCCTGAAAAAGCAGCCCAGTATGCCCCTGGTGCGGTAACCATGCTTTTCTTGTTTAACCTTGGGTAAGTGGGAGGTCTTGTGTTTTTCCTACTTTTGATGGAAACTTACACGCCCTAGCTATGCGGCCACCTGGGGAACTGTTGCCTTTCTAGTCCCTACGGAAATCTTCCCTAGTGATTTACGGGCTCAAGGGAATGGCTTTGGAATCACAGGTTGGGCAATCGGAGTTGGCATGACTACACTTGTCAATCCGATAATGTTTGGCAGTTTGACTGTAAGATCTCCACATCCGTTTCTCATGCTTGATTCATCGATCTAACACTCGTCACTCAGAGTCGAACTTATTTCCTCTTCGCAGGTCTCAATTTACTTTGGGTCCCGATTGTTTTTCTCTGTATGTCTGCGTTGTCATTATGCCCTTCATATGCAAGGATCATTAATTTTTCTATAGTCTACCCCGAAACCCGCAATCGCTCCCTAGAGTCCATCGAGGCTCTGTTTTCCACCCCAAGCCCTTTCCACTGGAAGATGGAACAGGCCTATCAGCTCCACGGTGATGTTCTTGCTGAGCATGGCATCTCCAAGAACTCATACGATGCCGGTCGCAGTGAAGTGAGCGCGTCTGACAAACCAGAACCAGCATACGAACCTGTTTAAATTCACCTATACCTATATAATGCATTGTAATATATTATAGTACCTACATGCGGGAGCATCGACGATAAAAATTATTTTGTTTGGATATGTGATCACGATTGATTATTAGATTCTTCTCTAGAGGTTCCGGCCACTCTTAATTTTCGTTCCATGCTTCCTTCAAATTTTATTACGTACTTAACTCCAAGCGAAGGAGACTCCGTAGCTTACGTAGAATGTGAATTATACCATCAATCCAAGCATTTACTTCAACTCTCCTGTGTCAAGCTCCGAAATGGCTTGTATGTTGTACTGCCAAACATGCGACCGGCGATTCGCTCGAGTCTATGACACGCTGCTGAGTCAGCGGCGCATCCAGACTAGCGGGCTTTCTTGCCCTCTTCAAGTTGCGGACATCTTTTCCAGTGGTCAAACTATTTTAGCGATCAATACTACCGTGTTTGGCCTCGGGTAAACGCGCTTGCCTTTTTACCTTTCTTCATCTTCAGCCTAATCGCCGTCGTCGAAGAAGCGCCAAACCCACAGACCCCAGATTCCCCCGTTTCTCCATCTGCGGGCCCGGACCTTCCCAACGCTTCCGAAATCAAGCCTTTAGGCGTGTTGGCGTGAGCCCATAAATGAATGTCGCAAAAACCACGAAAGCTTCAGCGTGTCTCCAAGGCCTGTATGTTCTCTTCAATTCTCCAATCTCTCCAACTGCAACGCAGTGGCCCCGCTTGGCACGGCCATCTGTGTCTTGGCAAGCTCTCGGACCATAAAGCTGGAAGAACTCGACGTATGCGAGACTGATCTTTAATTACAGGCGACTTCTGCAATCGGCGCAGCATAAAATGTAGCCAAAGCCAAGGCCCCTTGGGCCGGTGTCAAAATTGCGCTGATTTCGATGTTCCGTGCACCTTTGATCGACCGGCTAAACGGCGCGGTGTCAAAGCCGGCACTAGGATGCATATGCGAGAGACGCCAGCTCCATGCCCGCTAGTGGACCAGGTCCCAATGGGCCGTGTAATTCTCCCGGAAAGAGCATCAGGATCATCGGCTTCTCGGAGCTCCATGCATCCTGACGCTGCCTCCCGGCCGTCGCTGACTGGAGATCCCTGGGTGTCTTTCAACACGGGCTGGTCCACTACTGAGGGCTACGATGATGATGGTGCGCTGCGTAATTCCTGGAAGGCTTTCGCGATTGCTAGTGACCAGCAGATTAGGAAACTTGTTCAAGTATACTTTGAAATTGTCTATCCCATGTATGTTCAAATTTGGGCTACCCGTCACTTTATCCCATAATGGCTAGCTAATGTGAAACTCAGCTTTCCTTTATTCCACAAGCCGTCATTTATCGCGAGGATCAATAACCAGGAACATCTGCAAAACCAAGGCTTGTTTGCCTCAACAATGGCTGTGTGTGCATTGGTTTCGGGCCGTGCACGCGACGGGGCGTTGTATACCACCCGGTGGCACCGCGAAGAGCTTCTAGAACCACCATCGGAAGCATTTTATGCAGCTGCCAAGGATTCCCTTCCCCGCGATCTAGCGCTTGCAAAAGGATTCAATTACATGCGAGCATGTGCAATTCTTGCAATCGCTAGCATCCAAAATGGCCAGATTAAGAATATGCAGAAGTACTCGGGCATGTATCATACGTTGACCACTATGGAGGGATTTCACGATGAAAAGTTGTGGCCGAAAGACATAGGTATCATTGAAACCGAGGAGCGGCGGCGATTGGTATGTGGCTGTGTGTTCAAATACGTGCTCTCTATTAATCTTGGCAACAGTTTTGGTCAATCTACACCCTCGACATATATTCAACCGTTGTTTGGGGTGGTGTCATTCGATACCGTGAAGCTCACTCGCTGGTCCGCTATCCTTGTGAAGTGGATGATGAATATATTACTCCCAACGGGTATGGCATGCCGCTCGTATCGCCGGAGTCGAGCACCTTCAGTCACGGAGAAGCTTCCGCGGTATCACATCAGCCCGTATCGTGGATGCATGGATGGAACTTCACAACCGATCTATACCGCATCCTTGAACATGTGGTGGATGGAACACGGCGTCGGTTCTCATCCGCCAACGGAACAACCGAGGTCTGGTCACTTTTTAGCCCTGCATCCATGTCCGAGCCTGCCGTAATGAAGCGAGTTCTTTCCATGTATGCTGCTCTGCCATCGCAGTTTCGAGAGACTCCTCCCACAACAGGTGACATGGGAAAGGACCTCTTTGGCTTCCAATCGGCCAATATTCAGGCGACTTTGCAACTGCTTCGGATGGTCCTGTTATCAGCCGAAGAGATTGGAGTGGATCGAAAATGCGATGTGGCTGGAGAGCTGCTGAGCGTTTTTTCAAAGGTTCCAGTGGAGTATCTCAAGGCGATCAGCTCCCCTCTGGTATGTTTCAACCGTCTGCATTCCCCATTTTACGGTACTCGGCTTTTCTGACAATCTAGTAGCTTCATCACCTCGGCGGCATTGGATATATTCTCGGTTCCGTTATGGAAGGGAGCTTGTCGGACGCATCATACCAACGAGTCCGTAATCTACTGTAAGAAAATCCCCTCGTATAACAGAATAATATTTTCGGCGACTAATATTCAGCCCATAGCCTTGAAATGGCTGATCTCCTCCACCGACTTGAAACTGGTCTTCATCGTTCGGCCGGTGCCAGCCAACGTTTGCGGTCTCAGGTGGACCGAATAGACGGGTACATGCGCACTTCACGGCTGCTAAATCTCTCTGCAGCACCGCCTCCACCCAACGGGGCGTCTACCGTGACAGCCAGTGTAAAGCAAGAACCGCTTGTACCCTCAACGGCATATCCGGGTGGCCCCCCTCCTCCCGTAGCAGCTACATCAGGAATCGGCGACCAGATGTTACAGTTCCAGCTGCCCCCTGAGCTACTCACGGACTGGCCATGGCCACTGGATAATTCGCATTCAGAAGGCTTCCTGCCTCTGGCGTTTGAGTGAATGGTTCGTAGATTAGTTCGGTCTAATTTTGTGTGGATGTATATATTGGAGTAGCAGTGGAATGTACCTAATCTTCCCTTCAAGTGCTTGAGCTACATATACTTGCATCCCGCTGCAGTGCCGGTGGTAAACCATTTTGAACCAATACAAATACCTAGATCTCAACCAGCCACATGTCGATTGGAAGAAAAGATCCACAACGCTATGTAGCAACTCTGCATATGAATGATTTTTCATTTCTTTAGCTGTGCATAGACGGGTGGAAGCGACTTCTAGACACAACACCCCTTACATAATACGTAGGTTGCTACACATGTCTGTCATATTAGGAATCCAAAGTTCAAGCCATCCATCTCTATATATATCGCCGACATACTCACCTTGAGGCCAATACGCTTTTCAGGTTACAGAAATTAGCAACAAAGGCAGATAAGCGGGGCTTTCCTTTATCAAGTATATCTTACCCGGTCCAACTCTCTTTGGGAGAACCAGAAATGGTCGGTGAAGTACGCTTTTCTAAGGCGTTCCGGGCTCGAAGCTTGGCTGCTTGGGATCGCGAACGGGATTCCCGGCATCCCTCGGCGCCCCCAGAGTCATCTGACGCCACATCGGCGCGCTAGCACCAAAGCTGCTTCTACTAATGGAACTGCCGCGTCAGCACATCGTGAAAGCCTACTTCGGCAAATGATGACCAGGCCACAATAGAACATTGAGTCTGTTGTTCAGTCGAGATAACTAAAAGAATGTAGGTTACGTGTGGTATGCTGAGATTGTAAGCTTAAAGTCTATGTTCTTTCTTAGAGTGGGAAGATGAAGTTTATTTGTGTACACGAGGCGTGGTCATCCACAAGCGCTGTATTTTGAACAAGCATATACTCTTCTCATTGGGCCATAATATTATCGCCGCCCCCATACACACAATGACTCGGGATCAAGTGCTTCGAAGCGAGGCTGCCACGACCTCCGGAACTGACCGAGTCATAAGTACAGGGTCACAGGTTGGAGCTCGTCTGGGGAGCTGGGGAGACCCTCCGACGACCCACATGCGTCTCCACGCTGTCAAATCTGGAGCCCCAGACCTTTCAGGCCCTGAAATCCTAGTAGCTTTAGGCAAAATTCCTGCGGGGGAACTAAAATCATTGAATGCTTTCCCCGAACAAATTTCCTCCATTCACAGCATGGCGATCCTTGTCATGCAAGCGCCGCGAAGATAAAAGAAAATGTACATAAAAAGATTTAGGACCCCGTATGGGCATGCTGCACTTTTTGCTGGAGTCGTGCCGCCTAAAAGGAAACGCGCTATCAGCACCAAACAGCAAACCAATCTGCCGATCGCGTCAACATCATGGCGCTGCCGCCCAAGTGGTATCAAGTTGGTTGTCATGGAGCTCCATACTGTCTCTGCAGATTCTAACTCGACCAGTTTCTTGTCTGTGTATTTGCCTCGCTAGGCTCGGTTCTGTACGGTTATGATCTCGGTGTGATTGCGGAGGCCATTGCTAGCCCCTCGCTCGTCAATGCATTCAATGTCGATTCGGTGAAGAGCGGGGCGGTTACGTCCGTGTTCACGGGGGGTGCATTCTTCGGTGCGATCTTTGCAGGTCCACTCGGCGATTATGCTGGACGTAAACGAACGATTCTTGTGGGAGCCATTATTTTCCTACTCGGAGGGTATGTAACTAAAAGCTGGTGGGGAACTTTTTTTCGCGACAGCCTACTGATCATTATTCTTAGTGGTCTTCAAACAGGCGCGCAATCCATCAACTACTTGTACGCTGGGCGAGCAATTGCCGGACTGGGGTAGGTCAATCCAAAGATCGAAGTATAAGATCTAAAGACGATCAATTTAGCTTACACTATGATCTTATTTCAGTGTCGGTATCCTAGTTATGATCGTGCCCATCTACCAGGCCGAATTGGCGCATCCCACGATCCGTGGCCGAATAACATCGCTACAACAATTCATGCTAGGGGTTGGTTCGTTAGTAGCCGCGTGGATCTCGTGGGGCACTTACATCAACTTCGCCGATGACGATTCGCGCCAGTGGCGCATCTCGCTGGGCATCCAGATGGTGCCCGCCGTGTTCTTAGCCGCACTCATCCTGTTATTCCCCGAGTCGCCGCGTTGGCTAATCGATCATGGACGCCTGGACGAGGGCCTGCAAACGCTCGCACGCCTCCATGCGCAGGGTGATATCAATGATACATGGGTGCAAGCGGAATTCGAGCAGATTCGCACCTCGATCACCCTCGAGCATGAAGCCGAGGCAAAGTCATACACTGAGCTTTTTACCGATCCATCCTGTTTCCGACGTCTCTTTTTGGCCTGCTCAATTCAGGCGGCATGCCAGATGACCGGTGTCAGTGCGATCCAATACTTCAGCACGACCATCTTCAAGCAAATCGGCATCGCCACTAATGACACCCTGAAATACCAAGGAATCAGCTCTATTCTCGCCATTATTGCGCAATTTTGTTGCCTGATGCTGATCGACAAGACTGGTCGCCGTTGGCCCCAGATTATCGGCAATTTAGTCAACTGCGTGTTTTTTGTAAGTGACAGTCCATCCATTCCCTAAAGTCTTCTTGAAGACCTTTTTCATCTCCTGTATTTCCCCGGCGCTTGATTTATCAAGCCTAAATATTCATCATTATTATGTTGTGAGTGTCCATGGCTGACCGTATAGATCATTCCGACCATCCTGATTGCCAAGTTTCCCCCGGATCCACGCACAACAACGCGGCCAGCTGGGCCTTCATTGTGATGACTTGGTGCTACAATTTCTCCTTTAGCTCTACAATTGGCCCACTCACTTGGATCATTTGTTCCGAGATTTTCGACACGAAAACGCGCTCCAAGGGTGTCTCGATTGCGACCATGACCTCCTTCGCCTTCAACACCCTGATCGGACAGGTGACCACCGTGGCCATTGACCGGATCGGTGGATGGCGCTTTTATATCCTGTTCTGCGTCTGCAACTTTACAAACGCTATCTTCTTCTGGCTGGTGCTTCCCGAGACTGCTCAACGCCCGCTCGAGGAGATGAATGACCTATTTACACATGAACCATGGATCGTGCCAGGTACACAGACCAAGAAGTTCCGCGAGCGAAGTCGTCTGGGGAATGGCCTGATTATGGTCGAGAAGGAGAAGCGCGATCACATTAGCTTGGTGCATGAGGAGGAGATGCAGGTGTAATGTGGTAAAGGTGCCAAGACACGGAGTGTAAAGATCGGATTGGAGCGCACATCTGTCTGTAGTTCTGGTTTGAATCAATACGATACAAGAATTCTTTCCGTTGGTTTAGGGCTCCCATATACTAGACTCTATTCGGGAATATGATATACGATCGTTTCATTGATATATACCTTTTTTTGAGACTGAGGCACATACACAACAAAATCACAATTGAAGTACATCATGTGCCCCTAGACAAGTACTCCGCCCCGCCTGAAACCCACCCGGGTTAAGGGTTCAGAATTATAACAATTTCAAAGCCGAGCCACTGTGGGTCGACTCTCAACGGCAAATGCTTGGTCTAATCGGCAGTAAACTACCAATTGAGCGCTGAATTCCAACAATTCCTTGGACTCAAGCCGGCATGTTTGATGCCGCTGCCCATATCCGTTTCCACCTCCATGCAGGTGAAGCGGTCAGTGCGATGAATGAGAAATTCCACTTGTACCAATAAGAGTCTTGCGACCATTGGGGGCTGACCAACGCCATATTCCTACCCCTATATGCCTATAGAGCTCTCTGGCTGTTGAAAGAGGCCTGGTCGCAGTCATCAGGTCTGCTCCCTGAGATGGTCGAGTTATTAACTGTTGGATTGAAGGATGACATGAAGCATGAGAGCCTGAAAAGCATGAGCTCGAGACCCAGAAATAGCCATGACCTAGAGGCTTATCTTATTCTTGACAGTTGGGTTGACGATCCTCAGACAATTTAAGAAAGGATAAGCCAAGGCTGAAATCACCTTTTAGATTCCGCTATTGTTGGCTCTTCAAACACCTGAGCTTCACCTGGCGGGGTTGGCACAGATTGACCACACACTGCTGAAATCTCTATCCCTGCATCTTGGAGATGCTATTTCCGCGAATTTATGTTGATTGATATCTCAAAAGGGGTTTTCTCGACTGCGGCTGACCGGCTGTTCTTTTGGCCCCCAACTGTCGACTCGGACGGTTGAGAATGGGGGAATCCGGTATTGGCCGGCTCTGGAGTCGCACACAAGGGTTATTTACTCGTCGACGCTATCATGGCATTGGGGATGGCTCGCAAGAGGATCAAGTAGAGCTTTTTGGAGCTCCCACTATTCATACTCAGCCATCAATTCTATCGTTGGCCTCATTCCGCTCGTTTTCGTCGCTCCCAACAGCCCCGCAAACAAGCCACTCGCCATTCGCAAACCCGGTCCTTGACGAAGATGAAACGCGACTTGAAGGTCGTTCAGGTCATGAACCGCGACAGGTGACAGCAGATTCCGGGTCCAAATTTCGGACCAATGATGACCCTGTATCAAGCAGGGAACAGAAGCATTGGATCGACGGTGTATACATCTGCGCCAAAGCAGGTGTTCTCGTACTGTTCATTAATTTGGTCTTCATAGCCACTTCAGCAGGCCTGGCAAGTCGATATCCGGATAACGCGAGCTATTCAAATGCCATCGTCATCTATCGGGGAAGTTGCGGAGTATCAAAACGATGGGATATTGCGTTGCACTTGATCATCAACGTGCTGAGCACGTGTATTTTGGCTGCCAGTAACTACTGCATGCAGACCCTCGTCGCTCCAACCCGTGAGGAGGTTGACCAGCAGCATGCCCAGCGAAAATGGCTCGATATTGGTAGCGCCAGTGTCAAGAATCTTTTTGTGATCGGGCGCGATCGGCTGGCATTGTGGATAGTCCTGATGCTCACGGCAACACCATTTCATTTGATGTACGTTGAGAAAACAGAGAGAAGGATACAAGGCTGGATTAATCCATGCTATATATCTAGAGCTGACTCATAACAATTATATAGGTACAATTCCATTGTTTTTGAGTCTTTGTCAACAAATGAATTCGGCGCAGTGATTGGACCAAAGGACTTGAATCCATCCAACGTGTGGGATCTCACAACTTCGACGTTGGAGTCATGTTTCCAATGCCCAGCTAAAGACGACTATATTTCTTCAGCTTTACAACCGCTGACATGGCACGAATTTGCGTCTTTCATCGCCAACGAGAGCTACTACCATATATCGGCCGCCCAATGCACGCAGACTACCAGAACAACCCAGACTGGGGTGCGGGCGATAATTGCTCTTGCAGATAACTTGACTGTCAGCGATGGAGGAAATACCTCGATCCTTTTGACAGGTGTCGCTAATTACTGGGTTGAAGACACCAGTGATTATTGGGTCCAGAACAAGCTTCGCGGATCCTCTTTCCTCAATTCAACATCCGGCTTCGGTAATGCCTCCGATTGTTTACACGCTGGTGTGATCAACCATAAGTACAACTATTACCCAACTCCGGATGGCTTAGTGAGTTTATATACCATCACAGAGTGTCTGGTGATCGAGGCTCCAGAACACTGCCAGCTGCTCTATAGTCCGCCAATATGCATCGCTATCATGATAGCTGGGGCAATCAAAGTGACCGCCATGTTTCTAGCCGCTAGAATTAGCCAGCATCGGTCACCGCCTCTTTTGACAATTGGCGACGCTGTAGCATCTTTCATGACCCGTCCAGATCCCACCACGAAGGGCATGTGCTGGATTCAGGCGTCTGATATCAAGCGAGGCAAGTGGGTGTCTTCCAGCACCCCGGGCAGCTTTTCGTCAATCCCACAACACAATCAAGATGAGGAAATTACGTATAAGCGCCTCTCAAAACATAGGTTTTGGATGACAGCATCCAGCGGCTGGCGGTGGGCAGCGACTCTGTTCATGTAGGATCTTCAGCCTCTCATAAATTCCCACAGCAGCACTAATTTCAGATTTTCTAGGTGCCTGTCATGCATCATCACGGGTGCCATTCTCTTTTCGGCATCTCTTGGGGGTGCAGTTGACCCGTCAGCAGGCTGGTTCTCCTGGAGCCAGTTTAAGGATTGGTTTAGCTCCGACGCCGATATTACGAACATCGGATTATTAGGTTCTGGTGACCTGAGTCGGACCATGTTAAGCTCTGTGGTTGTTGCCAATGTACCACAATTGATTATCACCATGAGCTACTACTGCTATAATGCCGTCTTGACAAGCATGCTGGCGGCCGGCGAGTACAGCTCCTACGGAGTTAAACGCAAAGCGCTCCGTGTGACTTGGCCTGTAAAGGGGAGTGAACAGCGATCAACCTACTGGTTGAGCGTGCCATACCGGTACAGTGCACCGATTTTGGTGATATACATGATCCTCCACTGGCTCGTATCGCAGAGCATATTCTATCTTCTCTTGATTCCCTACGACCCGCATGACAATGCAGATCAATCAGACAGAATAAGTTCGTTAGGCTACGAATCGATGCCAATTTTCTTTTCGATCATGGTTGGAGTTGTCATGATGCTCATTTTATTCTCATTGGCATTTCGCAGATTCAAATCCGTGATGCCCCTGGCAGGCTCCAATAGCGCTGTCATCAGCGCGGCATGTCACCTTCCCAAGGATGAAAACTTAGAGACGGCAGCCTTGCGTAAAGTCAGATGGGGGCAGACATTGTCACCAGCACCCTGGGCGATGGGCAATTTGCATGGCATTCAAGACCAGCAGGGGCACTGTAGCTTCACATCTCTAGATACAGTGAACCCTACCCTCACCAAATTGTATGCATAGCTAAAAACGAAATCTAATCTCTCGGTGCCTGGGGAACCGAGGAAAGTCTAGACCAGGAAGTGATGTATGGATGTGATATTGCTTTTTTTTTTTTTTTTTTTTTTTTTTTAAACTTCTACATTATTCCTAATTCTCAATTTCGAATACATGAGCACTACGCCTTCAGATACTCATCGAACCACGTCACCGCCTGATTGAAAGCCTGCTCCTTGGCAAACTTTTGACGAGACCTGGACAAGTCACAGCGCACAGTGAAGCCGTGTTCAACATCGGAAAAGAGATTGATCTGGTAGGGGAAATTTAATTTGTCCAGGATTTTCTCACTCTGGTATCGTTTCTCAGTGGTGAACACCACATCGCGCACTAAACCAAGAAACTATCAGTAAGCTTGTCTCCAAGCTAGGCCGCTCGGGTTTCTTAGAAAAGACAGAAAACTCACCGGCTGCCGCAATACTCAGTGGTCCCTTAATTCCTTCCAGCTCAGCGGCCTCGACCATTGTAGGATGGGCAATAAACCCGGTATCTAGTTGACCAGGTTTCAAGTATCGACAGACATACTTCCCACCAAAGCAATAGCCGACTCCGCCGATATGTTTACAGCCAAGGTTGTTGCGCATTTCGGTAAGAACCGTTTCAATGATAGGTTCCGTTTGGAGTGGCAAGTGATTCTGCACCCAATCCATGATCTTGAACCCCTCCGGACGATTGATTGGCACATTATCACCGTTGAAGAGATCTGGAATCAACACGAAGTAGCCTTTGGATGCAAACTGGTCGGCTATCAGCTGGACATTGATCAATCTGTGTCCGATGACGTCGGTTAGGATGAGGATCGCATTTTCGGTCGATTTGTTCTTGGGGTACACGAAGTACGTTGAGACTATTGATCCGGTGAGCCATACGTAAACCCCATGATATTCACAGGTGTCCACCAATAGTTGGAACGAGAAACCTACTGTCCCCAATGTTCTTGATCTCGCCTTTTGCTTCGCCCTCATGCAGAGATCCAATGGTGCAGCAGTGAGATAGTTGATTTGAAGTCATTTGCCGTCAATTATGGGCTTGGAACGAACTACCTATGATTGTTATTTCACGATTCAGGGTTGGACTGGAGATGCAGAGGATAGCCGGGTCTATATATATTTGATGTCGTCTACTCAAAAAGACGGAGTTAAAGCACCCACGACCGATAGCCCCTATACCTTCAGTAGATTCGTAAAGTCCGCAATCATTTACAGATATAAGCTATCCCCTCAACCTGCAGATTCAATCTTCCTTTGGACCTCTATAACTCTGTGACTGGACGCCTCGCAAACTACGGGTTGTGATTGGCTGTACTCCGGTGCACCGCAGCCGCCAAAAGTGGGTCTCCGCGATCTCGCGAGGCCGAAAAGTTCCCAGCTTCTCCTGCCAGATCTCGTCCTAGCTTTCCAATTCATTCCCTAATCCCTCGCATTCACCATGTCGACCCGTCCTGCCTGGCGAGCTCTGCACTACAGTGCTAAGCGCCGCGCTGTTCAGCCCCCTACTCCCTACCGCTGCTTCTCCTGCACCCGCCAGGCCCAGGACCAGACCAAACCTGGCAATGAACGCATGACACACTTCGGATTCACCAATGTGCCCGAGTCGGAGAAAGAGTCGCGAGGTACGCTCCTAGAAATCTAGTTTTTGAGATTCTGGTCTTTCCCAATCCCATAGATTACACTCAGCTAACACTCCACCCTCCTTCTCAACAGTCGGCGCCGTCTTCAGCTCCGTCGCTTCCTCGTACGACACCATGAACGATCTCATGTCCCTGGGCATTCATCGCCTCTGGAAAGATCACTTCGTTCGCTCTCTGAACCCTGGCACGCCCATGGCCTCCCGCCCCGCCGACGCCAAAGACCAAGGCTGGAACATCCTCGATATCGCCGGCGGGACCGGCGACATCGCCTTCCGCATGCTCGACCATGCCACCAACATCAACCACGACATGCAAACCCGCGTCACCATCAGCGACATCAACGCCGACATGCTGGCCGAGGGCCGTAAGCGCTCAGTCACCACCCCCTACTACAACACCAACCGGCTCGCCTTCGTCGAGGCCAATGCCGAGCATATGCCGCACATCCCCGACGCCTCGATTGACTTGTACACCGTCGTCTTCGGCATCCGCAACTTCACCGACAAGCAGGCTGCGCTGAACGAGGCCTTCCGCGTGCTCAAGCCCGGCGGCGTCTTCGCCTGCATGGAGTTCAGCAAGGTCGACAACCCGGTCTTCGATGCCGTCTACAAGCGCTGGAACTTCAGCGCCATCCCGCTCATCGGCCAATTGGTCGCCGGCGACCGCGACAGCTACCAGTACCTCGTTGAGAGCATCGAGCGCTTCCCCAGCCAGGAGGAGTTCCGCGGCATGATCCAGAAGGCTGGGTTTATGATCCCCGGGCGTGGCTTTGAGAACTTGACGGGCGGCATTGCTGCTATTCACAAGGGTATCAAGCCGATTGTGAAGGCGTAGATTGTCATACGGAGTATGATGGCTCGATAGGAGGGTTCGGAATGATGGGGGGGAGGTAGAGGTAAACTGGAGGCTTCTCCCCCCACTTACTGGAGAAAGCCCGGTGGGCGACGCACTTATGTATTATATATATGTATTTCTCCCGGTATTTGTTTTACGTGTCTGTTTGTTTGGCATAGTGTTTTGTATTATCATGAAGATTCTCAATCCGGGAAAAGGCAAGATATATGTTGATATCCCCGAAACAATGCAAGCCCGTGCGTAAAAAGGCGGGCGTTTTTTTGGAATTCAATGCTGCTCATTTAGATCCACATCTATACATGAGAAAGAAAAAAAAAAAAACCTCTACAGCAGAGGCACGAAAAACAAAATCGAAAATAGGCGTAACATCGTCAACCATATGCAGATAATAGGCAATGGCTATCTACAATCAAATAGAAAGAAAAAGAATATACCCGAGAAGTGACAGACAGTAAAAGAAGGGCGGAGGAAGGAAAGGCAGAGTATGTTATCCGTCCTCTGCCTTTCGACCACCCCACAGATCCTCGGCTTCCAGGACACCGATGCAACTGGCGGGATAGGTCATGTCCTTCACAACTGCAATAACGGAGACAGGATCTGGCCCGCCTCGGGATGTGGAGACAAGGCGACGTATTTCGGCGAGCGGGGTGGACTCGGGCACTAGGAACCAGTTGGCTCGGGGGACTGCGAGTGGCCGACCGGAGTCTTTGGCTACGGCTTCGGAGACCCGTAGGTCGACATTAGCATGGCGAGAGAGGAGGGAGCGGATGCGCCGTGGCGGTACGATTATCGAAGGCGAAAGGAAGACCCAGGATTTGGCGTTGGGATGCTGAATAGCTGTGAGGAGGATATCAAGGAGTCGGATGTCGTTAGGCGACTGAGAGGTAGATGTCGACACGGTGGGGATTTGGTGAAGAGGGACGAGCATGTCGAGAGGGATGCGGCGGTGTTCTGGGGGCGGTTGAAGGGTGAATGGAGGGATTGGAGCGCCGCCGGATAGTTCCTCCCACGTCAAGGAGATGGACGAGGACGGCGAGTCGAAGGCTGATGTTGACACCGCGCTTGACGGCGTGGTCAAGGGCGTGGTTGCTCCTGCGACGGCGGCGCCAATTGCACCTCCCGGGTGATAGCTTCGAAAGACTTCGGCCGGGCCTCTTCCCGGCGTAATGTGTAGTTTCCGGGCTGTAGCGATAGCCAAGGCATCGCCGAGACACAAGGCGACCGTGGTCGACGAAGTCGGGGCACTGACACCGAGTGAAATCTCTTCGTCTTCATGAACAGGCGCTGGTAAAAGGATCCCCATGCCGGAGGGACCATGCAAAGATAGTAATGGACATGCTGAAGGCTGTATATGCGAGGTAAGAGCGATAATCGTTACTGAGAGCGGGATATGAGGAAGCAAGGCCAGGAGTTCTGGTGAACGACCTGAAAACGAGATCAGGAGCATAGTATCATCCTACACAATAGGACTCAAGTCAGCAGTGACGACTTGTACGGTGATGGGGCATATTGAGGAGGGCGGGGGTGAGGGAGGGGTGAATAGGGCTGTGAATCGATTCAAAACGGGCTGCCTCGATGAGACAGTGGCCGATGGCATGTGGCTTACCGGCCGGACCAAACCCAAATCCCCATGCAACGCCTCTGTCGGGTGCAGAAAGGCGCTATAGATTCCCAGGCTGGTCATTGTGGCCTCGATTTTGCGTCCAATCTTGCCACTCTTGCCCACGCCGGAGATGACCAATTTACCGCCATCCCGCACGCTCCGCGCGATCTGGTCAACGGCCCGCGCCAGATCCTGCTGGGCCCGGGTGTCGGTCTGATAGAGGTGTTCCAGGTGTGCAAGGGCTGCGCGCTCCGTGGACATGACATGCAGGGCGGAGACGATTGAGGAGACATCTTTGGCGGCGGCGGTGGTGGTCATGGGTGGGGGATCCGAGGGATCGGGAGGAGTGAGAGGCCACGAGGGCTGCTGCTTGGCGATGGAATCTAGAGAGGCCGAGATGGACATGGCAGGGAGAGTGAAGCGATCCATCGCGGGCGCCATCTGGACGCAGAATATAAGCCCTCCCGGGGGTAAAAGCACCCAGGATGCGGCCGGGAAAATGTGGAGGGGGCCAAGATCAGATCAACCTCGATAACGGAAGATAACCGGGCGACGAGGGGATCCGGGCGATCGTCTCGGGGTTTGGCCCCCTTATGCATAACATAAACCCGCAACGTTTGGCCGGGCTTGGAGCTGAAGGGAGCTTTTTTTTTTGTTTCTTTTTTTCCCTTTGTTTCTTTCTGATTTATTTTCCGGTGGGAAGGCTTGATCTTTGTACTTGGGGGGTTACTGGTCTGCGGTTTCAGTACAACTATAGATTGTCTTTCTAATTGAGTTTGGGCCGCAGGCTTCCCCGATGGTGCCATGGCCGGTGCCGATGGTGCAGCCTGTGGATCGGGGACTCGGCGGTTGATCCGTGCTCCGAATCGCGCCAGAGAGGTCTGAGTAGATCAAGTGCCTGGTCATCGCTAGTCCCATATTAACCGTGCTCTTATTCTATCGGTTCTCTAAATCGATAGAATCTATTACGCGCTCATATGTACATAAGAGTCCCCGGGAAAGCAGGTCAAAAGATGCATTTATGTACAATTCTCGTGACTCGAGGCGAAGCCGGTGCAAACGACAGCTTCGGCAACGCCAAACGCAGATTTCCAGCCCTGTTACTGAAAAAAAAGAACTCCCAAACTCCAGCATTCATTAATCGTCTTAAACAAAACAGAAGGAGAGCTTGCTAAGTGCCAGGTTTGCTGGTGGCATAGCGAGTCAATGGCCTTCCCGGGAAAGACAGGCCACGCCCAGTATACGGTCAACAGATAAGGACTCGGTCAACTGGGGCAGCCGGGACCGGGGATGGTCGAGGTATCGCAAGATGAGCAGCAAGAACAAAGTGCAATAACCGAGGGCATTTGAAGAAGGAGCAGCACAAGAAAGGGGAGAGAGAGGAGGGGATGGGGGTATCGTATCAGGGACATGCTTCCGCTCATTGTTTTCGTTCATGGAGACCGGCAATCTTGCCAGGATCTTCCGTCAAGATTCGTCCAAGCTACGTCACCCCGACTTGCCCGCCTCCGGTCGCTCTTTGCCTTTCTCATTGCTAGTGCCGTCATCTTCGTAGAGATGGTGCTGCTCGATGTAGTGGATGACGGGAACGGGGATGAGATAGCGAACACTCATCTCACGCCGGAGAAACAGTCGGATCTTGGTGCTGCTGACATCGTTCTGGATAAGTTGCTGGATCACATGGATGTTCTCCTTCCACGGCTGCAAGCTGGCCAAGGCTTCATCAATATCAGTTCCGCTGCGTTCCACAATAAAAGACTATTAAAAGATACGAAGAAGACAAAGTTAGCTCGGGTTGTGCCACATCGAAATAGGGAAGGGGGTGGAAAGGGGGTTGTTTTTGTTTTCTTTCCACATACGCCATATTTTCCCAGAATATGATCCAAATCCTTCTGACTCCAGACGCCGGGTGTGGACATGGTGTGGATTAGATCCGCACCAGCTAGCAGGGCGATGCGCACGGGCTTTCGGATGCCCTCGCCGGCCTCCACGCCACCCCGGACAGTGTTGATCTCGTGGTCGAAGTGATCGAGCACCACCGCAGTGGGCTGGTATTCCTTCTGGATGGGCTCCCAGGTATCCACCATCAACCAGTTGGAGGTTTGGTCGACGGCCAATTGGCACATGGCGACTCTAGAGGAGGCCGGACCGGATTAGTATTTGCCACTACATACGACCACCCGACACGCAAGGGGGCGGGGGTGGGAGATCGTTTCCAGAGAAGGAGGAGAGAAGAAGGGGAGGTTTCAAGCGACTTACCGATGTTCTGCGCTTGCTAGACCAGCCTTGCGATAGGCGTCCGACACCGGCGACAGGTAGCCGCCGATGAGTTCGAAATCGGTGCTGAATTTGACATAATCGGCGGCCATCTCGAACATACGCAGATGGAGGTAGGTGATGGGAGAGAAGGAACCGCAGGCGACCAGCAGCAACGGGGTCTTCTCGGGGTCTTGCATCTTGCCTTTCAGGCGGAGTTCCGGAAAGAAGTAGTCACCCATCGGGGCTGGTGGGATATGGGCCGGCGGTTGGTGCACATCGTCACTCTGTCCTCCAACCATTTCCGTCGCCATGGCTGGGGTGTTGGACGTCGGGGTGTATGCCGTGTCGTACGGGTGAGTGTTTTCCGGGGCGATTTGTGAGTGGGCGGGTTGGGAAAAGGGAACAAGGCGAGAAGGCGAGGGGTAGGGGGAAAGTTGAGGCGGGTTTCGAGGGGCAAAAGGCGGAGGCCGGTGGATGAGGGGGCGTTCGGGGCGACAGGCAGGGCTTTCGGGGGGTGCGTTTGGGGAGGGGAAGTGGGGGGGGGGGGGGGGAGGGCGAACGAAAAAGTCTCGGCCGCTCCCGGTTGAAGAAACTGGCAGACGACAACGGGGAGGCCGGATTGGACGAGACAGGGAGAGCGCAGGGGTCCGCGAGACGAAGCGAAAGTCGCGGCGAAGTCGAGCAGGCAAGAGATTTGGTGATTTGGTGATTTGGTTGTGAGGTGGTGATTATTAAGACGGGACCGGCTTCACGTTCAAGAATCTCGGTGAGTCAATTGAGGCGTCTCCGGATTTTGGGAGCGGATCCGCTTGTTGTTCTCCGGGGTTGGAGAGGCTTGAATCGCGCAGGATCGGGGAGTCAGTATCTCGTAGCGTTGAAGAGCCCTGGACGGAGTCCTGCATGGAGACTTGGAGTAGGGTGTACGTGGTGTACTTGGTCTAGATCTCCCGTATCGTGACCGGCGACCAAGAACAAGGTATCTTCATGTATGACGCCTTGAGCACCCTTCCGGCCTCATTCAATCTACCTCAAATCTACCATGGCCAAATGGAGCAAGCACTAGCAACCCCATCAAGAGGCTCCAGGCTCGCCATGACGAGGCATCGAGACCTCAGAACCCCGTGTGCGGGATTCGGGGCAGTCGATCTGGTCGGGATGGTCTCCGACTCGGTCCTAATTTCTACATGTATACTTTGTACAACCGATCTGACGTAGCGTGTACTGCGAGTGTCTAGAATCCGCCGAAAAGCCATCGAATCCTCCCCCGGAATAGCCGAAATGGGTAAATTCCAGAATGCGAATCAACTTGCCCATCTCATCAAATCGGTAATAGACAGCCTCTGACAGCCTCTGACAGCCTCTGACATCCAATCGGACGGTCCTGACCAAGTCTCCCAACATGGATATTCGACCTCCTTCACCCCTATCCTCGCAGCCCCTACACCTCAGGCATGAGCATCCGTGCCCAACCGCTGAGTCGGACTGGACGAGATGTCAATCTGCTGGGTGACATCCCAGGCGTCCGGTGCATGAGAGGAGTCCAGGGAGTCCAGAGAGTCCGCGCCGGAGGCTTGGTTTATAACATCCGCGACCAGGGTGACCACACGAGCCAGCCAGACTTGAGGTGTTGGAAGGGCGAGAATCAGGGCCACATCCTCGAGTGAAAGGCGGCTATCTCGAGTATGAACCGACGCACATGATATTCCGTATATCGACCGGGCCGAGAAGGAGTCCTCGGAGCCTACAGAGTCCAAAGGAGTGAAGGAGGTCGGGCGGATGAACAGCGGTGGACGCCGTGGCAGATTGCACCTCCACCGCCTGACGTTCGCCGAAATCCAAGCGTCACAGAACCACGTCAAACCTCCCTCTTCTCCTCCTTCCTTCTCTTCCCCTCCCCTTTCATTCGTATCCTTCTTTTCAACTTCTCCCCAACCCTCCGCCGTCCCTCTCGATCATCGCTGCTGTATTTTCGTTTCGCATCTCGTCTATCCTCGTCGTAATCTTATAGCCTCAACGGCATTTCCGGTCGACTTGCCGCCGGTCCGAACCCTCTTGAAACATCATCCCGTCTCCACATCACTCGCCGTCCACCATCCTCCACAATCCCTCCTTCACCCGTTCTCAGTGCAGACCAGGTGTGCGGATGGCGGGTTGAATCGGTGTCGACCTCCTGCCCCGAATCGATTTCCCCTCCGACTCGGTAACTTATGGCCAGGCGAAGGCTCTCCACCCACCGTCAGGACCCTCTCGAGGATTATTCCGTTTCCCCCGCAGGAGCTGCTACCGCCTCTGCTGCCCTGAGGTAGTTACCCATCTTTCTTCTTGGCCCTTCATTCTCGCTTTCATATTTTGTCGCGTCCGCCGTTTCCTTTTCTTTTATTTGCCCTTTTGTGGTGTCCCTGGTGAGCCTCGCTGTGGCGCGTCTGCACGGCCCAATACCTTGGGAGAGTGATTCCCAAAGCTACCCCCCGTTGGTGTTTCGAGCCAACAGACAAGCTCCCAACTGGATTGCTGTCTTAGAGCAGGAGAGATTCGACCTCCGTCAGAGCCACCACACCTTTCAATACCATCCCAGTGTCTCTTTTCCTACCTATCTCTGCCTCGTCGGAGCTTCTCGACTGGCGGTCGCTCGTTGCTTGCGATCCTCTATCCCCCCCCCCCTCCCCCTCTCTCTCCCACATATCCACCCCCACTAAACAACCCCCCACAGACCACTTTCTCATGTCATCCAGAACCACTCGCTCCTCTGCGAGACTTGCTACAGACCCTCCTCCCTCCGCTGACTCCGGACCACCTTCGAATACCGCCGCTGGCACGGCTCCTTCCCGGAAACGCAAGGCCTCAAGTCGCCGGGATCGACAGATAGACGCTCCAAACCAGCCACCGGCCCCATCCTCGCCGCGACGGTCGAAGCGACAGAAGACCGCGGCGTCCCACCCAGCTCCCTCGACTGGTCCTGCTGCCGCCCCTCGTCGAGCCGCCCGCAGTCGACCAGCCATGTCACAACCGGGGTGAGTGAAGACAGCAAAGATTCGCGTGACTTGGATGTGTCGGGAATCCATGATTGGAAGCTGACTTTGGACCTTTGTACCTGTAGACCGTCTTCGCAACCCTCGGAGGAATCGAAGTCAACTACATCTCCGTCCCAACCGCGGCGGAGGTCCAACCGGAATGGTAAATTTGACCTTGCCCAACCTGGATCCATTCTGAGACTCAGTGGGAGCCTTTGACGGAAAGTAATTATACTGATTGACGTTGTTCTTCCCAGATCGCCTCGCAGCAACACAGTCCCCGCCCCCGCGACGACAGAAGAAGCGCGCCATAAAGACAAACCCTGATACAATAATGCGCGATACCGAGGAGGATTTGGTGGACCAGGAGGCAAATGAAGAGCGAGAAGAATCCCCATCGGGTGACAGCAATGACGGAACCAATCCTTCAGCCTTTGACGACGATGAGTTGGACCCCTTCCATAGCAGCCTTTTCGGAGGTCGTAGCGCCGTCGGGTTGCAAAATACCCTTCGTGCGCTCAGCGGCATGATGTCGGGCATGTCTTCACGGCTTCGCGACATTCTCTGTAATCTCAGAGCGAAAGATGACCCTTCCCTTCAATTGATTGCCCTCCAAGAGTTGTCAGATCTTCTACTCGTGTCCAACGAAGATAATCTCTCCGGCCAGTTTTCTCCTGACCCTTACGTCAAGGAGCTAGTCACCTTAATGCAGCCAAATCAATTTGGCGAGGAAAATCCCGAGATTATGCTTCTGGCCTGTCGCTGCCTAGCCAATTTAATGGAGGCCCTTCGTGGCTCGGTCGCCAATGTTGTGTATGGGGGGGCTGTGCCTATCCTCTGCCAAAAGCTCTTGGATATCCAATTCATTGACCTTGCCGAGCAAGCCCTCAGCGTGAGTCTGCTTTCTACAACATCATTTTCCATCTCGTATTGGATCGTTCCCATCCTAACATCTATATTATCCAGACCCTGGCCAAGATCTCTGTCGACTTTCCTGCCTCAATTGTGCGCGAAGGAGGTCTAACAGCTTGCTTGACCTATCTTGATTTCTTCCCAACAAGCACTCAGCGCACGGCGGTCACTACTGCTGCCAACTGCTGCCGTAACCTCCCGCATGACTCGTTTCCGGTCGTGCGGGATGTTATGGGAACTCTGCTTAACGTTTTGTCCAGCAATGATCCCAAAGTCGTTGAACAAGGGTGTCTCTGTGTCTCTCGAATCGTGGAGAGCTTTAAGCTTCGCCCCTCTAATCTCGAAGAACTGATCAAGCCGGAGATGCTCAAAGCTGTCCTTCGCCTATTGCTTCCAGGCACGACGAACCTGATCGGCCCACATATTCACACTCAGTTCCTTCGTGTTCTCGCTATTACCGCCAAAGTCAGCCCTCGACTGTCAATCGAATTACTCAAGATGGACCTTGTGGATACTCTCTACCAGATCTTAACTGGTATCTCTCCCCCTGAGGATGTGGACAACAACGCCGTAAAGATGGACAGTGTGTTGGTCATGCAGGCATTGATCCACCGTCCCCGAGAGCAGGTTTTTGAAACCCTCAATGTCATCTGCGAATTGTTGCCGGGTTTGCCAAATCGGGAGGCATCGAAGACAGATAACGTGCTCAACTCGTATTTTGATAACAGCATGTCTATCGGGCTGAGGTCGCCCAAATCTAAGGATGTACCCGGAGAGCGACGCGCATTGCTTGACACATGCAAACCAGAACTCAAACGATTCGCTATGATCCTGTTTCCTACTTTGACCGATGCTTATTCGAGCACCGTTAATCTCCTCGTTCGCCAAAAAGTTCTTATCGCGCAGCTGAAAATGCTGCATATTTTGGAACCCAGATTGATTGAGGATGCTCTTCGTACTGTGCCTTACGCCTCATTCCTCGCCGCCATTCTTTCTCAAAAGGATCATCCTTCTCTAGTGTCTCTTGCACTTCGATGTTCCGAGTTATTGTTCCAACGTCTGGAACACGTTTACCAGCATCAATTTCACCGGGAGGGAGTTATCTCTGAAATCGTCAAACTCTCAGAGATACCCCTTTCTACAGATCAAGATGGTGAGAACTCTGCAGATAAGAAGAAATCTTCCTCCGACCCCAGCGATGTCGATCCTGAAATCGAGTATGCGGACGAGGGCAACAAGAACGATGACGGGGACGAAGATGTTGATGGAGACGATTTCGATGATCAAGACGATGGTCAGGATGATGAAAATGAGGACGATTCCGAGTCTGATAGTTCCTCTGCTGATGGCCGACGGTCAATCACCAAGCTAGAAAATGCGCTCAATGATCTTGTCATACGCGATGCCAACGCGTTCCTCAAGATGTATGAGACTGGCCAGGGTGTTACCATCCGTGGAGAGGCTCTTAAGATCTTGGCGGAGTTGCAAGCCTTGGCGGCTAAGATTCGAACCCTTTATGCCACTGGGAATGCAAATGATGGCCTTCCCTTGTTCGAAAGCTTGGCATCTTACTTTGATGGGGATGCCCTGGAAAGTATCACAAGCTCGGAATTGCTTAACTCTGGTATTATCGGAGTGCTTCTGGACGTCCTCGGTGACTTTAAAGGTATGTCTTCACAGTCTCAGGCATCTGTCCTTTGCATGGCTGTCCAACGAAACTGACGTCAAAAAGCCCTTTCAATCCGCCATTCCCGCGCCGCATTTCTTCAGGCGTTCATGGGTGCAAAGATTTCAGAAAAGGCCCAAAGCCAGAGCACTGCCACAACCCCTTTCAGTGTGCTGATCAGAAAATTGCAAGACTTGCTGAGTAGGACTGAGCACTTCGAAGTGATCACTGTCAGCCATAATTCACTGGAAAATACTCGCATCAATGCTACGTATATGCTCGGGAAACAAATTCGGCTTAGACTCGTTGCAGAGAATGACTCTGAAGTTCCCCGTCCCTATAAAAATATCATGGTGTCTATTCATGCAATTGCTACTTTTAAAGCGCTCGATGACTTCCTTCAACCCCGCATTGCAATGTCTGAGCGTCCTCGCCAATCTCGCGCCCGCGACTCGATTCTCTCACAAATCGCCCAGGCTGCGCGCATTCGTGATCAGCTTACTTCCTCGAACACGAGAATATCTGGTGGAGATGCACAAGGTCATGTCGCAGGTACCCAAGGCGATGCCAATGAGTCACAAGATGAAGATCGTGATAGTCTGCCCGCTGGTCATAACCGACACCGACGAATGCAGTTCCAGGAGGACGAGGATGAGCATGACGATGAGCCGCTAGAATGCGCCGATGAAAGACAATTGAGTGAGCCCGAGGATGAGGACATTGACGAGGGTGATGAAGATGAGGAGCTTAATGCTATCGTTGATGACCTAGAGGATGAGCTTGACGAAGGTAACATCCATGACCCCACGGCCGTCAATATGGAGGTTGGGTCTTCTGGGAAAGTGACCGCTCGCAAAGAGGACGGTACTCGAGTGGGAACCCCGTCCCAGTCAACACCTGCATCCAAACCTTCCTCCTCGGCCCACAGTTCAGCTTCGTCAAATCCCACAGGCCATAACTCTATTGCTACGGCCGGACGTCCATTCTCTTCGTACGCCGCTGCAATGGCATCCATTCCTCAAGATTGGCATATCGAGTTCTGTGTGGATGGAAAGCCCATCTCTAGCGACACTACGGTCTACCGTGCTGTGCATCACAACCGGGAGCAAGTAGATGAGGCGAAGACCAAGAACGTTTGGTCTGCTGTTCACACTGTTACCTTCCGTCGTGTTCCAGGTCCCCCGCCACCAGAGCCGTCTACTTTGGCATCAAGTGGCCTGGATGCCACCTCTAATGGCGATAGTCTGGAAATCCCCACTTCTCTCAGCAAGGACTCTACCACCGCTTCGATTTTGCGTCTGCTGCGCGTACTGCACGAGATGAATGCGACAATCGAAGACATTTTGACCGAGACTCGGGACCACGCCAATATCACCCCCGAGCCCCTTGCCCAGTTCATCAACACCAAGCTCACTGCCAAAGTTAACCGTCAGCTCGAAGAGCCGCTGATAGTGGCCAGTAGCTGTCTTCCAAGCTGGAGTGAGGACCTGGCGCGGCTGTTCTCTTTCCTGTTCCCGTTTGAGACCCGCCATTTGTTCCTCCAGTCAACTGCGTTTGGCTATTCCCGTGCCATGATGAGATGGCATAATTCTCAAAGTACAGAGGATAACAGGCGTGACCTCCGTCGCGATGATAGGCCGTTCCTTGGTCGATTGCAGCGACAAAAGGTGCGTATCTCTCGCGCCCGTATTTTGGACTCTGCCATCAAAGTCATGGAGCTCTATGGGTCGTCGCCGAGTGTTCTCGAAGTTGAGTATTTCGAAGAAGTTGGAACCGGACTTGGTCCCACTTTGGAGTTCTATTCCACTGTTTCGAAGGAGTTCTCGAAGAGAAAACTGAAGATCTGGAGAGAAAACGACGGAAGCTCGGCTGCTGAGTATGCCTTCGGCAAGCGCGGGCTCTTCCCAGCCCCAATGAGCGAGGAGCAAGCATCCCAAGAATCTGGCAAGAAGCTATTGAATACGTTCAAAATTCTTGGAAAATTCGTTGCGCGCTCCATGCTTGATTCGCGCATCATTGATATTTCCTTCAACCCGGCTTTCTTTCGCATTGCCGACACTTTGTCATCCGTTGCCCCTTCCTTGGGCACAGTTAAGGCGGTGGATGAAGACCTGGCCAAGTCGCTGGTCTTGTTGAAGCGATTCGTCAAAGCAAAGGATGAGGTTCGGGAAGACAGGACCTTGTCTTCGCAACAGAAAACGCAGGCTATCGAGTACATTCGGGTCGACGATGTCCGCGTCGACGATCTGGGATTGGACTTTACCCTGCCCGGGTATCCGGATATTGATTTGATTCCAGACGGCTCGAATGTTCCATTAACTATCAAGAATGTGGACCTATATGTGGAACGTGTCATTGACATGACTCTTGGCAGCGGTGTCCGACACCAAGTGGATGCATTCCGAGCAGGGTTCTCCCAAGTGTTCCCTTTCTCTGCCCTTCGCGCATTTACTCCAAGTGAGCTTGTGATGCTCTTCGGCCAAGCTGAAGAGGATTGGTCAATCGAAACCTTGATGGACTCCATTAAAGCCGATCACGGTTTCAACATGGATAGCAAGGGTGTCCGAAACTTGCTTCAAACCATGAGCGAGCTTGACAAGCAACAACGCCGTGATTTCTTGCAGTTCGTTACCGGTAGCCCGAAACTACCCATCGGTGGTACGTATTCTGTTTTCCACTTTCCCTCCTAATACCAGGCTAATATAATGCTTTTTAGGCTTCAAGAGTCTTACGCCCATTTTCACGGTCGTATGCCGCCCAAGTGAGCCTCCATACACCCCGGACGACTACCTCCCAAGTGTTATGACTTGCGTGAATTACCTCAAGTTGCCGGACTACAGCAGCTTGGACGTTCTTAAGGAGCGACTGTCTGTTGCAATTAAAGAAGGACAAGGTGCATTCCACCTCTCCTAAACACCAGCTGTCATTCTGCGCCCAGCTTTCAGACTCAAATTTGTCTTCTGTCACCTGCTTTGGTTGGCAAACCAGCTGTGCTGGTGTGACAAAATTTTCCCCGCCGTCTCTTCCATTACGGTTTAGACGGAATGCTTTTATGATGCGATGACGTGCAACTTGCTGCTTTGAGCTCGATCCCCCCACCTCCCGATTTTCAGGTTTCCACTAGGGCTGTTTCTTTCCTTTATCTCTTTTTGCCAAGTCATCTGGGATGAGGGGCGTCAAGGCGGGGCCTTTTTTTCTCTTCTCACGATACTGATATTAGATAGCAATGGATCCCTTTTACTATCAATTTCTCGTTGTTCGTTCATGTTCACTTCACTGGGCTGATGATTTTAGTCTGATAATTCAAGAATCTAGTCTCGTAGATTGATTTGCTATTATGATAATGCATCGCATATTCTAGTTGCCTTCTTCAGAACTTGTGCTATCGATTATTACGGTCAATTAATTAATTTAGCCTTTATACATGGCACTCCATGAGACAAAGGTCCAGGGAGAATGGGGAATCTTGAGTCGATATATCCCGACATATTAATTTTTATAGATCGAAACCATCGACTAATAAACACCATTAGCAACTATTCCTAGATCCAAACACTCTTGGAGCTCCAGGGGGTCAATACTCACATCGGCGAATTTCGGCTCAATAAACAAAGCCCTAGCCTCCGAAACCATCACTGCGCCCTCACCATCCTGGTCAAGTAAAGACACATCAGACACCATGCTCTGGATATCGAGAACGGACACAGGCAGAGGTAGATAACTCATCCGTCCCTCAACCCAAGCCTTTCGCCCCTCGACCTTGACCGTCTCTGCACGCAAGACGTACAACCGATCCGGCAACGCCGGCTTGCGGTAATCTACATTCAAATTTGCCGTCATGCCCAATTGGCTCGGGAATGCGGCTGACACGCACCGCGCGAAAACCTCGTCGAACAGCACGGAAAGCAGGCCCCCATGTACGAAGCCCGGATGCCCGCACAAATCTCGGCCGATGTGGAAGACGGAGACGACACTGCTCGCACGCGCATTGCTGGTGGCGTCTCCTCCGGCTTTCCGAGACGCAGTCCACATATATGGCGCCAGCGCTAGTTTTCCGGCGCCGGCGAGACTGCCACCCACGAAGTGGTGCTGCCGGATAGCGGGTGGAATCGCGAGGTGCGGACGGGATTCTTTGTAAGCTTTTCGGGATGTGCGAAGGGACTGGACGAGGGGGATTTGGGAGATAAGGGCGTCGAGGTTGGCGTTTTCATTGGGGACGGGTGAGGAAGTAGATGGCGCGGCGGTTTGTTGAGGTCTGGATTGAGACACGAATGGAGATGTCTCTACTGGAGGGACTTGAGTTTGGCTCTGTGGAAGGGCTTGTTCATGGACAACTGCTGAGCGTGACGGACCCTGTTGATGAAGGCGAGCAACTGGAACATGGGGGAGTATGGCGGTCCTTGTAAGCGATGGCCGCAATAACCATCTTGTGGCTTGGGATACGGAGGACATATTGGTTGTAGAGACAAAAAAAACTCCACAACAAAAACAAAAGTATATGGATGAAGCTGAATGCCCGAGCAGGGTTATAGTGTTAGAGGCACCTCGTATATAATGATGCCGGAAACCGGCGACTAAATGGACATACCGAGCAACTGCCGAAAGGCTTATGCACCGCAATCTGTCGCCACGTGGAGGGATCTTCGGATCTGCTTCTGGTGAACGGCTTTCAAGATCTTGGGTATAGTAGATGCTCGGACTAGCAGTTGGGGATTTGAAGTCACAGGTACACAAATTATGACGGTGGCTAACAGGAAATTATCTCTTTTATCACGCTAATGAGATCATTCGGCAGAGAAACCCGGTACAATCCCAATTTTCAACAATTCGATTTTTTTTCGTCGGACCCTCAACAGTGGGGCACAGAAGGCCGACTTTCGGCGGGCCCTCGGAGTGATGCCGAAGCAGAGATCTCGGCATGCCGACCGAGATAAGATAATACCCAAAGGGGGTTAAGCTTGTTCCGTATTTCATCGTCTATGAATGTAGAATGTACAGTACCAGCTATTTCTAAAAGATTCGCCTAAAGCCATCCCAAATTGATCAGGGAGCATTGTAGAAGCTCTTGGATTTTTAAAATTAACAAATTAAGTCCGCGTGTCAGTCTAGTCTTCCTAATTTAGCTCTCTACTTTTTCCATATACATTTTTGATTTGTAACATTTTGGAGTTTATTGAGAGACCAGGGAAGATTGTACAAAAAAAACTATGTAAATTAACATATATATGATTCAATCGAGTATTTCCCCAATTAATACATGGCTAGAAGTTTAGGGGATCAAGATGTCCAAGGAATGCGCTATTACCCTCGCCACGGAGCAAAGCCTCGATATCAACCCGACCAGCAGTGAGATACCGCTCGCTAACACCAATGTTGACCCGCTGGGAAAGCAACTGCTTTAGTTGAGCACGGAGTCCGGCCAGTTCGCCCTTGGTCACACCGCTAGCCTGCTTCTCACGTTGGTGGCGGCCTCCTCCGCGCCCACGACCCTTACCCTGTGATTCATCAAATTCTTCACTGTCATACTCAACGCCAAGATCATCTGCCGCTGAACGGAGCCAGTTATCCTCCGCGGAAATCTTCTCCTTCGCAATATTTGAGTCGGTGATCTTCTTAGCCAGATTGATGCGCTCGCGGACTCGAGATACCACGCGACGGTCAATCTCAAGTGACTCTAGGGGCAATTTCTTGGATGTGTTGGCCTTGGACTGGGCGTGAACCTTTGCGGCAAGACGGGCCACACTGACGACTTCGTCAGGAGCACAAATTATCACACTCTTTCCGACGGCGCCAGCACGAGCGGTACGTCCAGATCGGTGAACATAAGTATCAGCTGTTCGGGGTGCGTGGTAGTGAACAACACAATCAATGCCCTTTATGTCGAGACCACGTGCAGCAACATCAGTGGCCACAAGAATAGAGCTAGGATTGGAGGTGGGCGATGAAAATCGTTCGACCGAACGAAGACGTGCCTTCTGTGCCATGGAGGAGTGCAGCGCCAGCGCCGGAAGCTGCAAGTTCTGAAGGAGCTGTGTAAGCCGACGCACAGCGGAGATAGAGTTTGTGAAGACAAGGGTCCGGTGTTTGGGGTGGTATAGAAGAAGAGAGTAAAGATAAAGATCCTGCAAGCAAGTCAGCTTCAAAACGTGCATGGCCTTATTTCGATAACAGTATTACCTTCTCCATTGCAGGGCATTCAACAATTCCCTCCTTAAGGCCCTCGGCCATTTGCTGGACAGGGTTCACATCGATGAATTTTGGTTTTTCCTCCCTGAAATTGAGTTTCTTAAGAAGATATTCCATGGATTCTTTCTTATCCATTAAATCACCTCCAGTCCAACGACCCTTCCCAGCAAGCTTCTGCTGAAGATCTCTGTGGAATGTTGCGGAGAATACAAGGGTTTGTCGAGCAGTCGGCTCCTCTTTGGACTCTTCTTCATCCATATCAGGGAAGTCACCCTGCTCCTTTCGGTCCAAAGCACCGAGAATCTCTTCAACCTCCTTGAAGTGTCCCTCGCTGAGAAGTCTATCCGCCTCATCGACAACCAGAAATTGGATTCCCTGCATCTTCCGAATCAATCCCGTACCAGTACTGAGGATTTCCCAGATTCGACCAGGTGTGCCAATTACAATGTCTGCGTTTGCAAGTTGTCTTTGCTGCTTTTGAATAGATAAACCACCAGTCAAAAGAGCGATGCGAGCATCTGTGTCGGGGGCATTCGCAGTCAGTTCCCCAATGTGCTTCCCTAATTGATGAGCCAGCTCTCGAGTGGGTGAGAGGATAAGCGCCGTGGGGCCAGGTTTAGACTTCTCAGTCTGCTTTTCCTTCCGTCCTCGCTGTTCCAGGTAGTGCTCAAGGATAGGAATGCCGAATGCCAGTGTTTTACCGGAACCTGTTGATGCCTTTCCGACAACGTCGTGCCCTTCCAGAATGGCAGGGATACAAGCCTTCTGGACCGTAGTTGGAGTTCCGAATTTCAATTTGGAGAGGCTCAACATGATCTCTGGTGAAAGACCAAGAGTATCCCACGCCGAGACATCGACTCCATCGTCCTCATCATCCTTGTCGAGCGCTGCGAAAGAAAGACCAATCTTGAGATTTGGATCCTCCACAGACTGTGATTCTTTGGGCTTGGTTTCTTTTTGCTTTTTCTCCTTTTTCTTCGGTTCTTTAGTTCCTTTCTTGTCCTTTGACTTCTTGTCCTCCATTGCTTCCTCCCCGTTCGCCGCATCGGCAGCAGGAGCCGTACTCTTCTCGGTCGATTCTCCGTCGCTAAAGCCAGACCATTCCTCGCCGTCATCATCTTCAGAGGGTGGCTTCAAAATGGACTTCTTTGGCTTGCCTGCCTTTGCCTATTGAAATGGACAAGATCAATCATTAGTAAATAGGAGATAAATTAACCATGCAATGTGCTCTCGTACCTTGAACCGAACCTCACCACCGCTTGTTGATCGAACAACATCAACTCCATCAATTTCCTCCAATCCGAAAAATCCACCAGCATCTTCTAACCGGTCGGGTAGCGCAACCTCCTTCCAATTAAGGTCATCAATACTGGCAACACCATCCCAGGCATTCTCGTCCGAAGCCTGGTCGGGCTTGGAGGCCTTCTGGCGCTTCTTAGACTCGAGAGCCTGAGCTTTCGAGTCACGACCTCTCTTCTGTCCCATCGCGTTTCTGAAACTTGGTTCGAAAGCCTGGCGTCGTGTGTTTGGGGAGCTGGGAAAAAAAGCTGATCGGAGAAGTCGCAGAGAAAAAAAGCGGCAGAAAAAGTCCGCCTTGGAAATCTTATCGGGCTCCCCACGTTGGAAATTAGCAGGCTTCCGCGCTGAACCCCACCACTCTATTCTCTCCATTGAGTTAATTCACTCGCTCGGTTCAGAATGGGCAAGTCGTCCAAAGACAAACGCGATGCCTACTACCGGCTCGCCAAGGAACAGAACTGGCGAGCCCGATCTGCCTTCAAACTCATTCAGATTGACGAGCAATTCGACCTCTTCGAATACGAAAACCCGGACAGAGTGACGAGAGTCGTGGATCTTTGCGCCGCTCCAGGGAGTTGGAGTCAAGTTTTGAGTCGTGTCTTGATCAAAGGCGAGAGCTTCGGTCGACGGGCATGGATCGACAAGAAGCGCAGGGAAAAAGAGTCATTGGATAATGCCAATTCAACCACCAGCATTGATAGTGAACATCAAACATCCTTTGGAGAGAGCGATCCTAGCGCAGAATTGAAGCCCCGGAAAAATGTCAAGATTGTTTCAATTGATTTGCAGCCGATGGCACCTCTCGAAGGCATCACGACCCTCAAAGCCGATATCACACACCCCTCTACAATTCCTTTGCTTCTACGCGCGTTGGACCCAGAAGCCTATGAATCTCCCTCAAATCCCTTCGAGACATCTTCATCTATACCTGTGGAAATAAAACAGCCTCACCCCGTCGATCTTGTCATCTCCGATGGTGCCCCGGATGTAACAGGCTTACATGACCTGGATATCTATATTCAATCACAATTGCTCTTTGCGGCTTTGAATCTGGCTATGGGCGTATTGCGCCCGGGCGGCAAATTTGTTGCGAAAATTTTCCGCGGACGTGACGTCGACCTCCTGTATGCCCAGCTACGTACCGTTTTCGAGACGGTCAGCGTTGCCAAGCCACGGAGTAGTCGCGCAAGCAGTCTGGAAGCCTTTGTGGTGTGTGAAGGATTTATCCCGCCTGTTGGCGAAGAGGGGCTTGTGGGTATGGCCGCATTAAAGAATCCTCTCTTCGGCGGAGCTATGACACCCAAGCCGGTTTCATCTGATGGGAACTTGGCTGTCGAAATGCGCGACGAACAAGAAGGCGTTCGTCAAGCCCGGGTACAATTAGCTGGAGCTGCCTCAAATAGCAGCAATTCATCTACTCACCGCACCGAAGTTCGCCATCTGCATCCTACACCGACTTCAAGAGACCTCCCACCTGCGCAAAAGGCCCCTACCAAGTTTGCTGTGGAGAATCGCTGGATTCCCTCATTCATCGCTTGTGGTGATCTTTCGGCCTGGGATTCCGATGCTTCCTATACACTTCCGCCAGACTACGTTAATCTGGATCCAGTGCAGCCTCCTACTGCTCCTCCGTACCGGAAGGCCTTAGAGTTTAGGAAACAGATGGGCGGCGCGTATGGGAAGACGAAAACTGGGGCCCTCACCAGCGCTTGATTCGCAACTCAGGTCTAAATTCACGCACGATCCGATCATGATATGCATTATAGAGAAAATGGCGTTCAAATACCAGGTCAAAGGCAAAATGAGTTTGGTCTGAGATAGATATGCATATAATCATTCTAACTATTTAAATAAATACCAAAGATAAATACAATTTCTACAGCCTGCCCAAAATTATTGAGTTCTTATAAGAATTTTCGGTCAAAAGATCTTGAATTGAAGATACATTTTGTAGTCTATGAAGATGCCAACGCGCTAGTCCAAATAAAAACGTCTAGTGTAAAGCGGTAAGGCGGGGGGAATAGCCAAAACAGACAAGGAAATGCCAATCATCAATTCATGCCGTGCCAAACGCACACGTTTAGTACACCTCCAACACATAGCGCTCCTCATCCTTAAGCTTCTCGATTTCTTTGCGGGTGTCAACCTTCTTGCCATTGTTCTTGGCCTCGGTGGCAATCGCCTCCTCCAAAACAGCGGTCACATCAGGGACGGGCCAGGTGGGACCACACAGGTAGAAAGCACCCTCCTCACGGATGTATGCCTGCATGATCTCGGGAAGGGTCTGGCGCATGCGATCCTGGATATATATCTTCTGAGGTTGGTCACGCGAGAATGCAGCGCCGAGAAGAGTGATAACGCCAGCCTCCTGGTACGCCTCCCATTCCTCACCGTAGCAGTACTCCTCGCGCTGGTGACGAGAGCCCATATACAGGAGAACAGAACCGATTTCCTTGCCCTGTGCCTTCTCGAGAGCGCGGTGCTGGACAAAGGCGCGGAAAGGAGCAAGACCGGTACCAAGACCAGCCATGATCAGAGGCTGGGTGGACTTGGGAGGCAGTTTCATAACACTGGATTTGACGCTGACGCTGACCGGAGTACCAACCTGCAGACGACTGAGGTAACGGGTGGCAAGACCGAAGCGATCGCGACCGTTGGGGCCGGTCCAGTTAACGGCGACAATCATCAGGGCAACGATGTTGGGGGTCACCTTCTGGCAAGAGGCGATAGAGTACTCGCGGCGCTTTAGAGGACCCACGATGCGAACAATCTCGTGGAAGTCAGGGTGAGCAGAGGGGTACTCAAGCAGAATATCGGCGAAGGTGACAGTATCGACCTCCGCACGACGTTTGAACTCTGTAGCACCGTCAGGACCACCAAGGGTGCGGAGGTCAGTCTTCTCTTTCTCGTCAGTGGCGAAATCAGACAGAGCCTCGTAAAAACGCTTCGGCGGGCGACCGAAGATGTCAACGTTCTGGATCAAGGCCTGGTACACGGTGCGGTTCTCGAGAACACCAGGATCCTCGCGGCTTGGAACCTCGACAATAGCATCGGGGTTCAGACCATAGAATTCGATGAACTTGGTAACATCCTCGGGGTCGTTCTCGGCGTGAACACCCAAGGCCTCACCAATGTCATAAGTGAGGCCAGAGTCACCCAGGTCAAACTCAATGTGGAAAATATTACGATCATAGGTGACAGGGGTAAGACGACGATTCTCCTTGACGTGGACAGTGAAAGTCTTGGTAGCCAAGTCGGGGCGGAGTGCGTTCTTGGTGCCGAATGCTTCCTTGAATGCCAGACCGCGTGCAGCAGTCTCCCAGTCCTTGAGAAGAGTTGCGGGCTCTGCTTCATTCTTGTCAAAGGCAGCAAAGCTGTTGACAGAGATATCCTTCGGAAGCTGGGTAGCCTCGCTCACGCCCTCGGGTTCCTTCCAAGACTCGGGAACCTCGATCCGACGAAGAACTTTCTCAAGATCCTTTGTTACGTTCTCTAGAGCCTCAGCATTGCCGACAAAGGAGGACAGTTTCTTAGTAGCCAGGCCCTCCTGGGAAGGCAGAGCGACGCGAATGAAGGAGGCTTGAATGATGAGGCCTTCTAAAGAGGAGTCCTCAGCGGCCGACACATCAATAACAAAGAGAGAAATTCCACGCTGAGAAACCTGCTGGCGAAAAGCAGCTGGCAGCTTCTTCTCGAGGTCTTCATCCTTGATACCTGGGGCGCTGACAATAACTTTAGCATTATCCTTGACGGATGCAAGAATGTCAACATCATTCAGTAGAGCAACATTGCCAACGTAAGAGACATCGGAGGCCGAGATCGCATACGGGGCATCCACAATCTTGGCGCTCTTGCGGACGTCGACGCGGATGGCACCACCCTGAACAAGGTTGTCGTGAACCTTGCTAGTGGTCACATTGCTGGCTGAATCGGCAGCAAGGGCCCGGCTAAGGTTATGAGCAGCCTCCTCAGCAGCAGAGTTATCCACATCCCAGAAGGTATACTCTTGGACAGTGGCCGGGTCGAGAAGTTGGAGCGGCACGGTCTCATTGGTGACGGTGTCAACAGGGAGAATCGGCTTATCAAAGATCCGCTGGAACGCTGCAGCTGTGGTTATCAGGTCCCATCGCTGAGAACGGGGGTACTTGATCTCAACGCAAGCCGGAGCTTGCTCACGATCCGTAGCGAAGGTGAGGGCCGCGAGAACGTCTTCGTACAGGGCGGAGTGGACGCCCTCCTCTTGAACGGCCTGCTCGCTGGCAACCTGGCCCAGAACGCCAACAGTCTTGACAGTCTTGGGCAGCACATGCAGGAACTCCTCCTCGATGAAGGGACGGTAGACACGGACGTTGACAACGCCGATGTGAACACCAGCCTTGGCGAGGGAACGAGCAACCTGAGCAGCCAGAGCAGCCTCGACAGTACCGAAGACAACGAGAACGGAAACGGGCTCCGAGTGACCGTGGTACTCAAAAGCGCTGTAGTCGGTTCCCAGTTCGTTATTGACGGTCTTCAGAAGATCAAGAACCTTGCCCTGGGCATCCAGGTGACGGTTGCGAGACTCATCAAGAGTCTTGCGAATGCTCTCATATGTACGAGTCAAGCTATCCTTGTCAAGGACGTCGATAACCCGAGTTGTCTCGCGGCCAACGCGCACGCCGTCATAGATATGGATTGAGGGCAGGACAGAAGCCATCAGAGTGGTGAAAAGAGCCATGTGCTGAGACTCGTGGGCAGAACCGCTCGAAACCAAACCAAAACCGAGATCTTCAGCCAGAGAAAGAGCCGAAGCATAGTCTGAAACGAGGCCCTCATCGCCAGCATAGTCGACAGCAGCAACATGAGCAGCAACAGGGCTGGCAACGGAGTAGAGCAAAGAGAGTTGCTCCAGAGCAGATCGCATATACGGAAGGGTCGCAGACGAAGCAACAATGCCCTGGGGGACATGGCGCTTCTTTAAGTCAAAGTCCTGGGAGAAGAGATAACCTAGGGCCATGTTTCCAGCACCCTGGCGGGTCTCGAGAGACTGGACCACAGGAGATTCGCCGCTGACATTCTTCTCCTGAGCTGAGGACCATTCACGAAGAGCAGTGTCGAGATCGAAGGACTCTGGAGAGTAGGAGAAGATCTTATCACTCAATAGGTACGCCACCTGCTGAATCAATGTCTGGGCAGTGACATATGTCGGGCCCGAGAGGGTCGATAGAGCCGGGTTAGTTTCACCCATTGTGATGATTATTCTTGCCTGGATATTGCGCGCACGGCACCAATATCTCTATTGAATGACAAGAAAGAAATCACCCCCTCAAACAGAAAGGAATAATGTGGAGAGGAAGAGGGGAATGACTGGAAACCCCCCAAGTATAGAAAAATCCCCAGGGCATTTTGCCCCATCCGGGCTAGTGGAAATCACGCAATCACGCAATTTTCTTATCTGCTTATCGATAAGGATTGATACCGGTGGCGAACGGCAGAAATTGCGGGTTTATCGTCCCTATCAATGAACCTGATCCGGACAAAATGAGTCAGCAGTTCGAGTTTGCTGACTCGGCTTTCATTATTTTGTGCCTGAGGTATTAATCATGTGATCTGCGCCGGGCTGCCCGCGCAGCAGTCACCGAGCCTCGGTCCTATGGGGCTATCCGGCCAGGGAATGCGGAGAACACCTGTGCTGATCTGTGCTGAGGAACGGGTGGGCTATATAGCGACATAGACCTCATTTTGCAACACCTTTGTACCTATAGTCCCATTACAAATTCCAGTTGACAATCCAATAATCCTAAAATGGCGGACAACTCTCCTAACCCTGTCCCTTTCTCGGAGCCGCCCTATCTTCGCGGACTACCATCCCCATACATTACTGACGCGCACCGGGAGTTCCAGAAGAAATGCCGAAAATTCGCATGGGAAAACCTCATTCAGCATGCCATGGAATGGGAGAAGGCTGGAACCGTTCCGGACCATGTCTTCGATACCTTCTGCAAGCACAACATGTTGCTCCCAAACATGCCTGCCCCCCTCCCTGTGGATTGGCTCAGGCGGCTAGGGATTCATGACATTTTGGGTGTGAAGGTAGAGGATTGGGATTACATCTATACTGGAATCTATGCCGATGAGGTGAGCCATTCTGTGAGCTTATTTGGCCTTGTCGAATTGTTGTTAACCTGACTTTGTGGACAGCTTGCTCGGTCGGGCCTGAGTGGCCCCGGCGGCTCTTTGAATGCGGGCTTCGCATTTGGCATCCCACCAATTGTCAAATTTGGCAGCAAGGAGCTACAAGAAAAATTTCTCCCGGATCTTTTAACTGGCAAGAAGCGTGCCTGTATTGCTATCACTGAGCCCGAGGCCGGCAGTGATGTTGCCAATATTGTTACCACTGCATCAAAGAGTGCCGATGGTAAGCATTATATTGTGAACGGAACTAAAAAATGGTATGTTTCAAGCTCCAACACTACTGAATAACGAACCGGTTGACAATAAATAGGATTACCAATGGCATCTGGTCCGACTATGCCACTATGGCTGTCCGAACAGGTGAACCCGGGCCAGCGGGTCTGTCTGTGCTTGTCGTGCCTCTAAAGAACTACCCTGGTGTCTCCATGCGCCGATTGAAAGTTTCTGGACAAATTACGGGTGGAACCACATATATTGAGCTTGATGATGTCAAAGTTCCTGTGTCAAACCTGGTCGGCAAGGAGGGAGACGGTATGCGCATTATCATGACCAACTTCAATCACGAGCGGCTGGTCATCTCTGTTGGCGTCACTCGCTCAGCCCGAGTGGCACTCTCTGCTGCATTCTCTTACTGCCTCAAGCGTGAAGCGTTTGGCAAGAAGCTTATGGATCAGCCTGTAGTGCGCCATCGACTCGCCAAGGCTGGCGCCGAACTCGAGACCATGTATGCGTGGGTTGAACAGATTCTCTATCAGCTGTGTCACCTTAGCAAAGAAGAGGGCGACCGCCAGTTGGGTGGTTTGACTGCTCTAGCGAAAGCAAAATCCGCAATGGTGCTGAATGAGTGTGCTCAATGTGCCGTCCTTCTGTTTGGTGGGAATGGCTTCACGCAGACCGGTCAAGGTGAACTCGTCGAAGGTGAGATCGTTACACTATTCCTCATACTCTAACAGGAGCTAATTCTTTTCCCTAGCAATTCTTCGTGATGTCCCCGGTGCACGTATTCCTGGCGGCTCTGAAGATGTGCTACTTGACTTGTCTGTGCGTCAGCTGGTCAAGATTTATCAAGCACAGGAGAAGAAGCTTTCACAGAGCTCCAAAATTTGATTGCTCCTTGAGGACTATCTGTAATTTGAAATCAGAATAGTGGCATTACTTTTAGTCGAGGAATACCATTTTGATATATAGTTTGATTGATTCAGAAGAATACTGCTCCAAGCTAGATTATGGGATGGGCGAATAACGCCGAGAAGGATCACTACTATCTGCTGAGTCAAATTTATTGCTTTCTTTTTTTTTGAAAATGGTGTCTTCCCATTTTCCAGATAAAAATCAGCTGAAGTTAAATACATCGATATATGTCACGTGGCGTGACAGCAATGGTATCCTGCATGTATATGCGCCCAAGTCCAGGCAAACCAACCTCGTCGAAGGCAGAACGACATAGAACACTTCACACTCAATCCTGTGTGGATGTATGTACCCAACTTAAATCTGAATCATAAGATATCTACAGCGTTCACGTGGCAAACAGAAGAGCAACATGTCCGATAGCTTAGTTGTCTCAAATTCGACCAATTCGAGCTCTAGCGGCGCGAGTGTCCCATTTCAGCTGACAGCAGATGGTCCAGCATCAGCTGCGAATCTAGTGGGATTTTCCGTCAATGTGTTGGAACGTTTATCTCAATCAGGAATCGATACCTTCACATATGCCGTATCGATATCAGTGGGTTGTTACATCCCATGTGGAGCCGTTGGCCTACAGCGATTCTACGACGCCTTAAAAAAAGCACCTGTGAAAGCGGGGGTCAACGCAGTGATGTGGTTTGGCTTTGGACATAAGTCACCTATTCAAATTCTTCCAGAGACTGAAACGGGATGTAAGTTCGCTGCTTTGGCAGCTTGTCTTACGGAGATATATTCTGTTAACATGGCTGGTAAAATCATGTTGGCCCTTACCGGTCGCATCCTGAAAAAATTCTCAATATTTGACGGCCAGGAAACATCAAGGATGCCCTCTCTATTTCAGATAACAGAGCTAGTGAAAAAATGTGCAGGTATTTTTGCAACCTCATCCTTCTCTCATCTGGCTGAGCACTTTATGTCCTTTGATGGAGAAAAGATTGTCGGTCTTCGAGCGTGGCCACACAATACCCGAGCGAACGGGCGTGCGCGGGTCTCTCGAGGTGTTGCAAATGAAGAAGACATTTGTAATGCCCTTTTCTCCGTTCTGGAACTTTGTCAAGGGACGGCTGAACAAATTACCCTGGTTGGTGTCGCAGATGCGGCTGGTATAGCAGCCATAGCGAAATGGCTCCTGGATTTAAAGATAATACTCTATACCACTGATAATGAGACTGTGGAGAACAGACTGTGGTATCGAAACTGCGAGGAAAAGGACGCGCAACTTATCGTTATATATACTCGGAATATTGACTCATCTGCTATCATTCAGTCCAGGAGAACAGTTCATCTCCCTGATGTGACAGTATTGTTTCGAACGGGTGCTCAGATGCGACCATCGCATGACTATGTTGTCAGTGGACGTTTAAGATGGGAGGAGGCCTTATCTGGCACCTTTCGCGATGAATTCGCTGCCCTAATAGCTTTTCCCAAGTTACTTGGAGCAGCCATTGGGAGCGCCGCTCGTGTCTTCACAGCCTTAGCTGAGGCTGATCCAAATATTCCATCAGATCAGCTCCGTCGACAAAGTGCGTACTTTCCCGAGAGTCATGGAGAAGACTTTGTGTATTTTTGCCGGGAACGTTTTCCAGAACTTCAAAAGGCCGACCTAGAAAGCGCCATGTTTCGAGCAGCTCGTATCGGAACATACGAGGAGGCTTTCAATGCTTTCAATGATACAGCATCCCAGCTAGCGCAAGCTTGCAACTGCAGCACTTGCTGCCTGGGAAAGTATCCAAGGGCTGGTCAGCATATTGCCACCCGTGAGGAGCAACGATTGAACAGGGACAGTAGCACACGGTGTCTCGTCGTGTTGATGACGACAATCATCCGTTTGGCTCGGGGTCTTTATGGAATACTCAGTATTGAAGGTCTTGGTCCCAGGCGAAAAGGTCTGGAATACGTCTACCGAGTTCAAACACAACGAATCCTCCAAGTCAATACTCGATCTTCTAAGAAAGGGCGATTTGTGACGTTTGTTGATTCACTGATCGAGTATGCCATTCCCAGTACGATTCAAACAGAGTGTTCCCTTCTTCGATTTGCCCAGTGGATTTTCCGCTCGGAGGAATTTCTCGAGGAACAGGAAGACCCTGGAATTACCGCCATTAGCGATGATGGAATATGTTTTTTTTATGATGTTCTGCGAGATCCTCAGCAAAAAGACCCTGTAATGCTCTGCCGGGTCAATGTCATTCCAGGTCATATCCAGTATCATCAAAGGGTTTTTCAAGCAGTCAATGAGAAAAGTACACACTTATTTTCAGCCGGCGGAAGCTCACTTCCATCACGACCGACTATCGCAGTCCCTGAAAAAACAATTGAAACTACTCGCAAGTGCTATGGAGCTAAAGTGAAACCTATAATAACTGAGTTTATCTCAAGAGCTTCAAATCAGTCATTAGAGGTGGGCTTCCAAATCACTAATATCAATGGAATGCCTATTACCATTGTGAGTCCTGCACTGGTGGTGCAGAACATTTTTCGCAGTGTTGGGCTTGTCAATTGTCATAATCATGGCTGTTTAAGTCAAGACAATGTCAACCTGGATCTTACCGCAGCTATACAACAAATAAAGCACCACCCAGATCCAGTTTGCTCAACAGAGATTAATGGTAGTAGAGTTGTTTCATTCAAGCCTGATTTTGTGGCCCGGCTGGTAGTGACTGCGGAGTGCTGGCAACCGATCTTGCAAAGAAAAGAATGCCTTTTGTGTTGTTTACGCACAGGATGCGAGTCCCACTGGGGGATTTCGCAATTTGTATTATGAATGCTCTATAAAATGTCAAATAAAATGTCAATCTTGCTTTTTCAATGATTTGAATGCTGACGAACAATATACAAGCTTTATACAGGAATCATTTATATTCTCTTGGATGACACAGGCAATCATGCTGATTATTATGCTCACATACTATTCCCCTTGGAATATTATCTGGCTCGTAATCACCTTTTTCTATTTCTCTCATAGTTCACAACTTGCCTAATTCGGCTTAGCACAGAAGCTTAGCTCTGTCGTAGATGACGAAAGACCCAACACCGCCCGCACTCACTCCACCAGCTTCCTTCTTGCGCCACTTCTCTACACTCTTGAAAATAATCTGAGCTTTGAAGGAATAACCATGGCAAATGTGGCGTTGATCGGTTGCACTGGCATGGTGGTAGGACAGAACTCCCTTTCTTCCCTAAAGCACCCCTTCTTTGCCGGAGTCACATAAACAATGCCCCATTCCCACTAACACCAAGTATCACCAGGGATCACATATCCTCACCAGTCTGCTATCGAACTCCGGCGTGAGTCGAGTTGATACTATATCTCGTCGAACACCTCAAGCAGCTGCCGATGCCCCACACACAAAGCTCACTACTTTCGTCTCGGACAAGACTGAGACCTGGGCAGAACAGCTTTCAGCCCTCAGCCCAACTCCAGAAATCTTCATTTCGGCGTTTGCTACCACAAGAGCCAATGCTGGTGGATTTGAGAACCAGCATAAAATTGAGCATGGCTTGAACATTGAAATGGCACGTGCTGCGCATGATGCTGGGTCCAAGGTGTATGTCCTGATTTCGAGCGCCAACGCTAGCAAGGACTCCTCCATTCCCTACAGTCGCATGAAGGGTGAGATTGAGGAGGATGTCAAATCGCTTGGATTTGAACGCACAGTCATCCTGCGCCCTGGTCTTATCTCTGGCACTCGAGAGGAGAGCCGCCCCCTGGAGGCCGGAATTCGATTTATTGCTGGGTGGGCTGGAAAGGTCCACTCCAGCTTGAAGGATGGCTGGGCACAGGATGCCGATGTTATCGCAGAAGCTGCGGTGAAGGCTGGCCTGAAGGCGCTGGAAGGCGATGTTCCTGCTGGCAGTGAGAAGGTCTGGACTCTTGATGGCAAAAACATCATCACTTTAGCCAAGGAGTGATCTATTGGCTCATCCCGAGTTTCCGGTTCTATTGTCTCTTCCATTACACTACTATGTCTGTCTATTCCCGTCCAAGATTATTCCATCAATTTCAAAATTTGACGTCAACTTGACCCAAATGACATTATCCAAAGCAAGGCGGTACATTCACATTATATCCCAGTTACTATGTTGCAACATGATCAACGCTCGGCTCTTCAACAGAAATGCCTGTAAGTCAATCGATTTACCGATCTTCCGACAATCCTACCATCTCCAATGAATCTTTCCAGAGTCTAGCTTCCTCTTCTGAGCTAAATGTATGGTCTACAGACTTCCCGTTGATGGGGTCTTCATCATACTCGCCGTAATCGGCCACCGCACAGTCATTCAAGTACAAGCCACCTTTGCCTTCCAGTTCCCTGGAAAGAGCAGCCCAAACAGTCGTTGCAGCCCCCTGCTCGATGCTTTTCTGGGCCTTCATCAGAGTCGTATTGTTCAACATTCCTTTGATTGTCTCTTCGGGAAGGTATTTACCAAGACCAGTAGCGATAAATCCAGGGTTCAGACTTGTCGCATGCAGCCCGCGAGTTCCATAACGACGCTCAATCTCGTTGGCCATGTAGATATTGGCAGTCTTCGACTGGGCATATGCAACCCAAGCCTCATATCCACCTTTCTGGAAGTGATAATTGTCAGCGGGCTCGATTCCATGCAGTCGATGCCCCGCAGATGATACCATGACCACGCGAGATTGGAATATCTGCGACGAGCCCGCCAAAAGAGCCGGCTTGAGGAGCTCGAACAGCAGGAAATGTGCGAGATGGTTAGTCACAAATTGTAGCTCATGCCCTTGGTCGGTAAGCTGGCAGTCTGGAATTGCCATAACCCCAGCATTAGCGACAAGGATGCTGATTTGGCTTGTTTTTGTGAGAATGGCGGCGGCGGCGTTTCGTACGCTATCAAGAGAGGTGTGATCCATGTGATCCAGCTCCATGAATGTGTTGTCGAAAGCATCGCCGAGAGCTGCCTTTGCTTTATCCAAGTCTCTCGCGGTCAAGTATAGTCTTGCGCCCGTCGATGCGAGGGCTTTGGTGGTTTCGATGCCAAGGCCGGAACTCACTCCAGTGATAACAGCCACTTTACCGACCAGCTTTCCTTCCATCCCCTCGTCTTTGATGATTTGTAGAGCATTAGGCCGAGCATCCTGTGGGCCTTGGGGATCTATGTGATCTGCAGCGTAACGAGACATTGTAGATATCAGAGAATAACAAATAATTGATCTGGTGGACGACTTGAATCTTTTTTGTTCTCAACTCCTATATTGCTAGAGGGAAAGCCATCTATTTATACCTTTAATTCCCTACTACCCAACAGAAGATTAGCTCACGACATATTATAATTTGACTCAAGCTGGCTGACACTTTCGCCTTTTTTGGCCAAGGCCAAAATGGTGACCTGAACTGTTGCCATACCCGCCACTTTCCTAACTTGCAGGCTGACACTTTTTGCCATTTCTGATATAGGCTGGTTTCTATTAATCGCATGTGACATCAGTGCCGCTCGATCCTGTGAATAATTTCTCTTTCAACTCTCCTTCATCTTACCCTCAACGTGTCTAGCCATAGATCAGCAATGGTGACGGTCGCCCCCAAAAGTCTTGCCCTTGCCCACCAGTCATGGCTAGATGCCGCCAAGGTTGAAGACGACCGAAGGCTTCGGAAGAAGCTCCAAAACCGGTTGAACCAAAGAGCACGGCGTTAGTCTTTATCCCAGGACCCCCTATGACTCTGTTTATCCGCATTTTAGAAGGCAAAATTTACCAATAAATCATTATAGGGCACCGTTTGCAGGCACAGAATGAACAGCAGAAATATAGACGGCGGCCCTATAGAATAAACCGGTGGCGGATCAACACCACGAATGAGTCTGAACATATAGATGCAGTATCGGTCCCGAACAGCCCGGGGTCTCATCAATACCCCATAACTCCCAAAGCAGGCCTTCGGGAACTGTATCAGGTCGACGGCGGCTCTTCTGCGACGGATCTATCGGCCTCGGGTGCAAGAATTGCCCCGACGGCTTTGCGGCATTGCCAGGCCGTAAAACTACCGTTACCTGCCGACAGCTTACTCCACCTCATCCAGTATAACGTATTTCGAGGGCTTTATCTCAACAAGATTCTACTGGGGTCTGCGACAGTTTTATGGAAGCCAGGCATCGAGCCCGAAGCATTTGACAAAAATTTCCCAGACTTCAGTGTTGTTCTACCCTTTGCCGCGGGCCTCCCAGATACCCTTGATCCCTCCGAATCTCAGATGAAACTTATTCATTCCACATGGATCAACCTGATACCTTTCGTCCATATGAGAGAAAATCTGATCCAGTGGGAAACATTATTCTATCATCTTGAATTTGTGCAAGATCTAATTGGGGAATTGCTTGATTCCGCAACTCTTCTCCCAGCCACCCGGCTCCTCTGTTGCGAAGCCAGGACGTGCGAAGATATCTGCATTGTCCCGTGGGGAATGTGAGGATGATATCACGGCAGACAGAACTGGTCTGATATTATGGGGGGAGCCATACGACGTCAATAGCTGGGAAGCCACACCAGGAGTCGTGCGAAAATGGGCATGGGCAATGCAAGGATGTGACGATTTGATCGTCTCGACCAACCGGTGGAGGAGGCTCAGAGATGAAGAATCTCTGCTGTTCTCGGTTTTATGATCATTGCAGGGAATTTCAAGTAGACATCACGGAAGCGGACAGTATATCCTCGTAGTCGGTAGTTCGTCATTTGACATATATTGTGTTATAGTCTCCTGTACATTTTCTTCATCGAAACATCCCGGCTTTCCAACACAGCACAATCTCGCTCATCGGTACGAAACATGAGTCCCATCCTCCTTAACATAGATTTTCCGATTCTTTTGCGGTGTTCCCCTTGAACTGTGGGATTCTTTATCCGCATTTCGAACGGGACCTTCCTCCTTCGGTCCTTTCCATGCGTTTATGTCCTGGTTAGCAGGACTCATGTTCAGTGATCCCTTTTTCCCGTGAACACTATGTTCCAATTCTGTTGCTTCAAGCTCTCTCTCCGGCGCCGTATTTTTCGGGTCCCATGCCGAGTCATGCTGGGCAATCTCACTGTCTGTCCCGGACTTGGTAACCTCCGATCTTTCTGGATCCAATGCCTCGCGATTCGGTCCATTGGTATGCGCGGGGTCTTTACAAAGAATAGATGCGATACCGAAGGGCCGCACCTTTGTTGTTTGAAGGAAGATCGTATCAGGGCGGAGGCGGTGAATTGATCTCGTGGCCTGGTGGCCGTTGGATATGAGGCTCTGCCACATTGTATACAGGACCAAGGTGGCAAGTAAATCGATATGATTTTTAGATAGATTGAAGAGGATATCGCATGAGAATTGGAGTATAAATGGATAAGCCAAAATAGCGAAAATGAATGATTCCACTATATGAGGATGCCAAAATTATAAAAGCAAGATTTTACGTTGGCAAGTTGGGATCGAAGGTCCTTCGGTGCCCGGTTCTGTTGTGCTGGGAACTAATCATGCTGACGTCACACCAGACCGCTAACCAAACCCGGCAATCAGCTTAGACAACTATGGTGACAACCATAAGGAGCAATGGCGGCGGCAGTAGAGACTTTTTCTCTCCATAAGGACTCGAGACTCTCAACATTCTGTGGAAAATTATGGTCAGTTGGGTTCAATCATTCATGTTTCTACTCGGCTCTCATCAGTCAACAAGAATCAGGTCTGCCACGTCAATAGAGGCGATAGGGCGTACTGTCGTGGCCCGATCTCAATAATGGGTTGCATCGAAATCAAATCGAATGATTTTTGCATATACGAGTGACAGAGTTCAAGCCGGTCTACCTGTCGGATACCAGACATGGCAAAAGCTATCCCACGGACTGGGAGCTGAATGGTGTTGATGATCACTAGTGCATCGTGGTGGCTTGCAGCACGAGTGTGCCTTGGGTATCTAAATAGAATCTGAGTAGGGGAGAGTTAAGAGATGGCTAATTCGGATCGGGGAGTCGAGATCTCATTGGCCGAAGAAGGCATCGCGCATTGGATTAAAAGAATTGAATATAGACCTCAAGCTGGAGATGATAACTCTGGCACTTGGCAGCATGCAGGTGTGAGGACCCGCCCAGTCTCAACGGACCAATGAATTATGGGGGCTTGGCCTCGCTCGGCATGGGCTTCGATGATATGCACCAGTCGCTCACGTACATCTCGGGTGGGGAAATGGATTACTAGCTGCATATGACCGGCATCCCAGCTCGGGGGTGTTATTGGACGCTGCACTCGGCTGCAACTGAGGCTTCCTCCAGCAGCCGGCCAATCTGGGCACGCTAGTTCATTCTAAAGGCGGTGACTCTCTGGCGTTCGACTCCCAAGGCTCAAAGAGCCGGCCACCATTTGTCGCCGGGCAGAGGCATGCGCGTGGAATGTGCGGGAGCCTCCGTTCACTTTGAGATCACGGGATCAGAGGAGCCCAGTAGGGTGGGAGCATGTATGCGGGCCCGAGAATCCAATTTCAACGTTGTAGTTTGGGAGCAACAATACTGTATTAACAAATTTTCTGCGGAGAGGGCATTGGCCCCGTCCCAGGTGCTCCAGAATATCTCCGGTAACTTCGCTTGTTGGGCAGTAAACACAGCTGCGGTCTTTTTTCCCTCCCTCCTCTAGTCGGATCCTTGCTCGATACAGGGCAGTTTTGCCCTATAACGGAAAGTGATCTAATTCTTTTTCCGAGGTGAGACGGGGCGAGAGGCAAAAGAGCAGGGGGGTTGAGAAGCTGATTCGAGAGAGTTTCGGCGAATGCATCCAGTTCGCCGCTCAAAAATGATCAGTCCTCGCCGAGATGACGCCCATTGAGGCTGTTCACAGGTTTCAGGGATGCCTGGCCGCCAACTCAACATTTGGTCATGGATCATCTTCCCGAATCCAGATGGCAGACGTAATGGACCATCCGTCTCCGGCGATCAGGCGTCTTAGTGATGAGTTACCACCCTCCTCAAGTGGATCGCAAGGTCGAACCAGCAGGCAGAAAAGCAGCCACTTTCATTTCGAACTCGGAGAGGCAAGTTGATGCACAATTTTGGACAACAAGGATTGAGGCCTGGGTCCGCTCGAGGGGTCTCCCGGGCCTCTTGGGGACCCAAAGACGTTGCGTTTTTCGACCCACGGTCTTCCTAGTCAGCCATCGCTACCAGGAATCAGCATACGGAGCCAGAAGCAAAGTGCCACGTCAGAGTCTCCGAGCTTTGGTGCAGCTGCATGTGGTTGAGCAGTATGTGGGAGGTGTCACGGTTCGTGTCTGCGACGAGCGCCGCACGGCTTTCCAGGCCCTATCATTTTCTCCCAAAGGAGCAAATGGAAGGAAATGAACCATACACATGAGCGGGGGCAAATGCAGAATCCTTCCTCTGCAGACGCGTGAGATCAGCTGAACGAAACTGGATCTATGCCGTCCAAGCCCCAGAGGTGAAATGGCTCGACCGAAAGAAACCCAATTCCGTGGCCCGTGTCCCTCGGGGCAGGGGGGTACCAATAATAGAGCCTCAGTGACGCGAATGTTGCCACCCGGGTGAAGGACCATTGGCTCAGAAGAACGGAGCGGAAAGATGCGGCAGGGTGTGGGACGGGCCTGAAGTCTCAATTCTGATACCCTTGCAAGCAATAGTCGACAAGGGAGCATGATATCGAGGGCAGGGGCTTGTTGTCGGGTCACAATCGTATTTCCGAGAGGCCACTACGGTTATTGCCCAACCATGGATATTGTAACAAGATCATGGTTGTCTGGCGAGCAGTGGTGTGAATGCACATGCGATCGCAGGGATAATAGCTCCAGGTGCGGTTTCCTCTAACATGACGACGTCCACAGTCAGACGGCTGCACCAGAAACCCAAGATGATTGAGATTGCGAGCCAATGGATGCTGGCTATATCAGGCCAAAAGGACGGATAGCAGGACGTCCTAAGCTGGGTGGAGTCGCGGGGGACAGTGACAGGTCCTATCGCATTCGAAAAACATAATTTCTTTTCTTTTTCTTTGGTTTTGGAACAAGGTTATCCCTGGACTAATGTGTCTGGTAACTGCATCAAGGTGACAGCTGGCAAAGGGCGAAAGCAACTCAATCATGCAGGATCGTCGGTGCAAAACGCAACGCAGTCACAAGAGTATGCCTTCATGCGAACGACATGCACACTCGAGCGGGGAAGTTCAATTGGAGGTGGCGTAGGTTGCAGTAGTTGAGACTGGGAAACGGAGGACTGGAGGACATGGATTGCGGGATTTTCCAGCTCATTCGAAATTGGAGACAAGAATTGCCACAGTAAATAGTTGCCTGCAGTCTTGAAGCAACGGTCTATTCCTTGGTGGCTTCATCCGAGAGACCTTGGGCATCTTACAGTCTCCACTATGTGGAAAAGTGCTGACAGCCAACCGGATCGATCTCAACCAGGTTGCGATGTGAAATTCGAGAAATGAGGAGACACGGACGACAAGCCGTCCCGCTCCGGTTGGCGTCGATCACAAAGTGGACAACACGAACTTGGAGATACCCGGGTGATGACATGGTAATGTTGACCGAAACATAAATAGGAGGTTCAATATCCTCTCAATGCGAAGTAGAAATCCAAACCATCCTCCCCGGGTTTCAAAATCCAAGTCTCGGACTAGAGAGTCGCATTGATAGATACTCCTCCCCATACGAAAGTTTTGTTTGTCTGCCATAGCTTGGAACTTGTTTGAATATCTTCCAAAAGTCGACGACAAGATCCACCAGTGGGAAACCCTATCAAAGTTGTCAAGCGAAGGCAGACAAGAAAGCAACGGGCCAATCGTGAACACCGATCCATATCTGAAACAGTCAACCCGATTCCAAGAACAAGTGAGTTTTATCGTAGCTTCGGATCGAGTAGCACTAATGCAATTGATAGGCATGTGCTTTTACAATCAGAAGCGTTTCTCCTGTGGAGACTGGAGCTGGACCAGCTTTGCACACCGATGCAATTACGAGTATCGCACCGGCGAAACATGCGGTATGAGGCTCGTCAACATGACGGAAAATGACAATAGCAAATGCCGCCTATGTGAGAAAATCGAGACCAAGTACCGGCGCCGAAGCGCTGAGGTTGACCGTCTCGAACGATGGAAGCGAGAGGGGGCCAATTTGGTAGCCTCTATGGACCGGTCTCAGAAGCTCATTATGGACCTGGACAAGGAGATTTGCATGTTGCAACGGGAGCGTGAGGATCGACGGAAGACCCTCCTGAGGTAGGACAGGAGTCCTGGGTCAGCAAAGGATTGGTGGTATTTTTGCAGCGAACAAGTGTATTGATCATGTTCTTTGTTTTCATGTTTCAGGGGTGTTATGATTTCTGCTCTGTTGAGTTCATCTTTTGGTGGTTTGTTCCAGGAGTTTCATGTTTTATCACGCAGCAACAAATGGGCTGTGACAGCAGGTTTCAATCGAGCTTCTGCAGTATGCCAGGCTAGATCACACCTTCTAGTAGCGTGAAGAGACTGAAGTGGGTTTCATCATTGGCTGAACTGTACAGATTCTTCTTTTCTCCATAGGCTGTCAGCGTCCAATGAATATATTGATATGGACTAGTCATGTTATAAGCGCCCTGGTCTGTTGGGTAAGCGGTTCGCTGAGACAGCTCGGGTCTCACAGGGAAAGGGGTTTCTGCTGCAGATATCCAACTGATAAGCCACGATGACCTGCTAGAAAGCATTGCGGCCATTCGATTTAGTGCCCACTCCACGTCAAGTATCAATGGTGCGAAAACAAAGGATTGCTGGCAGGTGGGATGAAACCCCTCACCCCTTGTCACGTGTGTTGAATCATGGTCATGTCTGATGATGTTGGGATCGCTTATGTAATCCCAAGGCTGAGAGTCAGGGACTCGTATACTCCAATGGAGGGGCGAAGGATTAGTTATAATATTAGATCAATTTGTTAGAAAGCTAGGGTCAGAGAAATAGAGAATATATGCATAGATGATCTATGCCTCCTCAAGGTAATTTGAGGCGGGTCTCCCGTGGACTGACCCTAAAGACGGGTAGCGTAGCGTTGATACCTTATCAACCATATTGTAGACAAGATCAGGGCCACCAACGGTCACCAAAAAGGTGATGGCTACTCATGTCAACTGCAGGATGTTTTTTATTTGGCGTATAAGCGTATAAGAAGCATAGGTGGTTGAAAGTTCCGTTTGTGTTGTATTATCTCAACCTTGGGTGGCTGAAAGTCAAGGAAGAGACCGGCAAACATGGGGAGATATATATTTTGCCGACAATTTGTGAGATCGGAGAATTTGCTCATATTGGCCCAACTTTCCAGCCCTGAAGGAACACAAACTTTTATTCACGGCGCCCCAGATTACGTGTACCAAGCTGTTTGCCTTAATTAATCAAACATTGTCAAATAGACAGCAAAACATTGTGCTCTTGCACCCAACGACTGGGTGATATACGTGCCACGTCATTGAACAAGCAACATCTACCAACGCAGTCATCAGCAGAACAAAAACACATACGTGCAATTGTCGGAAAGAGCAATGGGGTTGACACGGAGGGTGGCAGGTCTTGATTTCAAAGTATCTGAAGCACAAGGCAAGTATTATTCTATTTAATATCGCCAGCCTCGGGCTCATCGTCCACCTTGGCCAGCCCTTGATCCCGTAAGAGCGCATCAATCTCATCAGCGCTCCATAGGTGGTGATAGATCTTTCCATCCTTGGTCTTACCCACCGTTGCGAACTCGACTAAAAGGCGAAAACCCAAGGGTTAGTATCGTGGGATCCAAAGAAACAATCCCTCACAGAGAAGTTTAAGCAAATAGAATTGGAAGACTCACTCTTTTCACTGCTCAGCTTTGTCGAATCCATGGTCTTGCTCAGCACCTTCACTGCCATAGCGCAAGCTTCCTGTAGGGTCTGGCCTTCCTTGTAGTCTTGCTTTAGCAGACTCTGTGCGCTGGCATTGTTGGCACCAACGCTGGTGGCCTTCCACCCGCCATAATTTCCACTAGGGTTACTCTGGTACAGCTGGAACTGGCGTAGGTGGTCCCACCCAGCATAGATGAACGAAACACCAAAAGGACGGAGACCTCCATGTTGGGTATATCCTTGCTTCAAGTCACAGAGTCGACGCACAAGCTGTTCGCATGGGATGTCTTCGTTGTAGGTGATGAGGTAGCGCTGGGCGTTCTGACGGGCATAGTTGATCAGGATGTTGGCATCGGCGTTCATACCGGCGACGGCGCAGATCATGTTACTATAATAAAAATGAGATCAATTTCCGATCGAAGAAAACACTGAGATGGTGCTAATGCAAGAATGGGAGGCAAGCCGACATACTCGTTGATTGTGTAGAGCTTCTCGGCAGAGGTATCCTGTTCCAGTAGCTTGCTGGTCACCTTTCTCTCCGCGGCCAGCACAATTCCATCCTTGGCAAGAATTCCGAGGGCAGTGCCGGCATGAGAAATAGCCTCAAGTGCATATTCGACCTGATACAACCGACCTTCTGGGGAGAAGATGGTGGTCTATTGAGCAGCGTTATAGGTTAGCTAGAGCTGCACCGACCGGACACGGAGCGGCCCGGGGCCAAACGTACCCGTGAATCATAGCGCCGAGACATATTGTATGAAAGAAACAACGCAGCGAGACCTAGCCGAGTAGAAAATTGCGAAATCAGGGACGGGAGGAGGAGTGAGGGGGTGGTGGTTAGGCTGGTCGGAGTTGGAGTAGTTGAGCTCCAGGAAGTTCCAGGCAACTCGCCCTGGCGCGTCCTCTGTCATCCTCTGAGCTCGGACCACCTTACCACACCAAAGCTTCACTGCGGCTTCTACTCCAGCATTGAGCCACATGATATGGCCATTCGACTCGCTACAGGTGCCCTCTAAACCAGTTACTACGAATATGCTCAAATCGACTTACGCACCGCCACCCCCTCTTCCCCCAGGGTGGTCGGAGCATCGAGCACCCACTGGTTAGTCTGCGCTTGGGTTGTCTGGGGAAAGATTTGGCTAAAGGCGAATTTGCAGGTCATTTGTACTACTATAATGCTGCTACTAAGCAGTCCACATATACAAGACCTTCAAACCAAGCGGCTCAGGTTGCGCCACCTCCTCCGCAACCCTCACAACAACTCCCGTTATATTCGCCCGAAACGCTACCACCTTTTTCCTCAACACCCTATGGACCCGCGGGCTATGCGCCTGATACAACACAACGTGGCCAAGGTCGCGGTGGCTTTCGCGGCGGAAGGGGCTATCATGAGCGCGGTCGGCGTGAACCTCGCGACCGGCCGAAGTCAAAGCACCCCATCCCCGACTGTTCACCGTGGCTTCTAGTGAAAACCAAGCTTGGCAGACGTTTTGTGCATAACCCGGAAACGAACGAGAGCTTTTGGAAATTCCCTCAAGAAGTTCTCAAGGGCGTGATTGAATATGATCGCTTAGAGCGGGAGAAGAAGGAAAGAAAGGAGAGGGGTGAGAAGTCAGAAGAACCCGAGAAGCCCGAGAAGGTTGCCTCCGCAGACTTGGAAACATCGAGAGCAAATACAAACACCGATGCCGAAGGCGAGGAAGATAGTGATGAGTATGAGGAAGTCGAAGTCACCGACAGCGAGGCAGAGGAGGACGAGGGACAACCGTCTAAACGCACACGAACCGATAGCGCCGGGCCACAGGATCAACCAGTCGAGTTCACAGAGGAGGACATGGAATACCAACTGGCAGCCATGGGCGAAGAATATGGACTGGACCCGGGCGAGTATGGCGAGCCTGAGGAAGATTGGGAAGAGGGTGCGGAAGGACTTCCATTAACTGAGGCTGATGCCGAAGCGCTATTCCGTGACCTGCTGGATGACTATCACATCAGTCCGTTCACCACATGGGAGACCATCATTGATGAAGGTCGCATCATTGAAGATTCCCGATATACCGCACCTTCCAACATGAAAACGCGGCGTGAGATCTTCTCTAACTGGTGCAAAGATCGCGCCAAGGATCTCCAAGAGCGCAAGCAAAAGCAGGAAAAGGAAGATCCACGAATCAAATTCCTGGCCTTCCTTCAGGAATATGCCACTCCCAAGCTTTACTGGCCCGAATTCAAGCGCAAGTACCGAAAGGAGCCTGAGATGAGGGACTCACAATTATCGGATAAAGACCGGGAGAAGTTTTACCGTGACTATATCGCCCGACTTAAGCTTCCAGAGAGCACTCGGAAGTCGGACCTATCGACACTTCTTAAATCGGCTCCGTTGCATGCACTGAATCGTTCATCGAACGTTGAAACCCTTCCGCCTTTGATCATCACAGATCTTCGGTATATCGCTGTTCCACCTAAGACACGAAATCCTTTGATCGAGACATTTGTGTCCACGCTGCCTCCTGCCCCAGAGGAGGAGATATCTGCAGAGCAACAAGAAGAGCATGACCGAAAGCAGAGGGAGCGGAAGAGGCGAGAAAAGGCCCTTTTGGAGCGAGAGAAACGAGTCGAAGAGGATAAGAAGAGGCAGCGAGGCGATCTTCTTCGAGGCAAGCATCTCCTCAGAGAAGGTGAAGCCGAAATTGCAGAGGCCATGATAGTCAAGAAGGACGGCTTACGAAGCTACATGGATGTTGATGAAACCCCAGCGAACAAGCATGAGAAGCCGGATCAATAAGCTTGGAAGGAGTGTCAATTAATAGGATTATTCATAGAACTATAGCAGGTTCAGAAGCAATGTCTCAGTGATTTGACTTTGCGCTGGCGAAGTCGCAACATATATTGGCATTTCAATTTCGGAGGGTATCATTGTAGATGAAATGGAGCCTTTGTCGTCCTTCATGCAGGGACCGTGTATATCATTCCATACAAAATCATTTAAATCGCCAATCATCCCAATCCTCATCATCATCGTCACTGTCGCTTTCTGCCGGCTTTTGCTCTTCCAAATCTATGGACTCATCCCGAGCAGCATCGTCATCAACACGCTTTTGGCGTAACTCCTCCCGCATCTGCTTCAGTCTTCGAACGCGTTCTTCCAACTGGTCCATCTCGTCGAATTCTTCTTCCATGAAACGGGCTGCATCCTCGCGGTCGCCCTCCAACTCCGCCTCACGCGCCCGTGTCGTCAACGCTTTGTCTCGCTCTTGTTGTGCCGCAAGATCCTCGGCGGAGACAGGGGCGGCTGATATTGTGGCTTCGGCTGTGATGGCGATCGGTGCTTGTGGCATTCGGGATGGCGCGGCTACTTCTCGTTCGAATGCGGCCCATTCGTCCTCGTCAACGGCCTGTTGTGCACCTGGCGGTGGACCCGTGCCGATCGGTACGGACCCTAATGAATCGGAAAGGGCTGATGTCTCTTCATCTTCCTCAGCAGGTAGCTCGGGGCCGGCTTCGTCGGTTTCCTCCACAGGTTCCAGAACCTCATCCTCGGCAGTGGTCTCGACAGGCGGTTGAGAGTCTTGCGCATTTGCAGCAGCATGGACGGCTTCGAGATCGGTTGATCGCAGTTTTTTCCGCATCACTCCATCACCGTTATCGACCTTGCGCTTTTTGCTGATGCGGTTGCCAGTGGTATTTGGTTGCGACGCGCCCTTACGCGAAGCTAGCTCATTCCGGAGGAGCGATCGCACGTCCGCCATATTTTCACGCGGCCAAGGAAAATGTAACCGGGATTCTTTGAGGTGTGCAGAGGTGACAAGGTGGGTCGGAGAAGGACAGGTTGGAATCCAGGCCAGTTTCAGGTTGAATCGAAAGTGGATTTTGCTCTAGGTGGGGAACCTGGAGAAGCTCATCGGAACTGAAGCAATCGACGGCGCTTGTGGCTGGTGCATCACGTGATTAGATGACAAAGCCTCGGGTCCGGCAACTCCAAGCCTCCTGGCACTTCTTCATCCTTCTTGTCTCCTGATCTTTCTCCCTCCCCGCTTCACCTCTTTCTTCATCAACCGCTTCATTTCTCTTGTGCATCTACTGGTGCAGTGACCGCAGCCGAGATTGACCCCGACGATACCTCTCTGCTGTATATCTGTGCAGAGTGCTGGACCTGGAATTCTCACGCGACCCCGCTCGAGCCAAGTGTCGCGACGCGCAGCAAGGGATCGCAAAAGCGCCAAAACGCGACCAGGCGCATTTTCTGCCACCATACGTTTACCTCTGCACTGAAATTGGGGTGGCAGTTGTGGTGATCAAGTAATACCGTGGATCAGGCACTGACGTTGTTTATCAACGTCTTCTCTTGTGTATTACTTTAGCCCCCTTTGAGTCCGTAGAGAGAGACCTTTTTCGCGCTTGCTGGGTTCCCAGCGCAACTCCCCAGCACGGGAGCAATCACACAGACCCGTTATCTTCCCATTGCGCTGTAGTCCCGAGGTGTTCCCTATTTTTCCAACATGGCCGGTAAGCATCATTCGTACACCACCTTGGCAGGTCCTGCGTCTAGACTGGCCCTCCCACAGGATAGTCAGACATTGGCACTTCGCAACTGCATCTCCCCAGTCAACAGCATGCTGACCATGATCCCAGACGAACCGCGGCGATCGGGCCGAGCCACCAAAGGCCAGCACAAGAACCTCGAGCTGCCTGATGCGCCTGCAAAGAAGGGCAAAGGCAAGGGCCAAAAAGAGAAAGCCAGCAGCAAAACCTCCGCCGAACCCACCCCCGGTCCCAGCGAAGGAGAGGAAGACGACGAGGAGATCATCCGGTGCATCTGCGGCGAATACGAAGAGGAGGAAGATGTGGAACGAGACATGATCTGCTGCGACCAATGTTCTGCATGGCAACACAATGACTGCATGGGATTGACCTTCGCCAAAGGCCAGGAACCAGATGAATACTACTGCGAGCAGTGCAAGCCGGAGAACCATAAGAGTCTGCTGGATAAGATTGCAAGAGGCGAGAAGCCCTGGGAAGTGGTCGCCGAGCGTCGGCGACAGGAGGCCGAGGAAAAGAAATCGAAGAAAAAGAAAGGCAAAAAGGGTAGCCGGAAGAGCCAGGGCAAACCGGACACTGGCACTCCTGCTCGCACTGGCACTTCTGCGACGCCGGGTCCTGGTCCTTCACCTGCTACCGCGGCCTCTGAATCAGTCGAGCCGGAGAAGAATGGGCAAGGCGTGGATTCACGACGGTCGAGCACCAACAAGCGCAAACTTGACGAGAGTACCGAGGCGGATATGGTGAGTGGCTTTCTTCCTCTTGGATATGAATTGCCTAACTAACCCTCTTAACCAGGGACCACAAGTGAAACAGCAACGGGTATCCCCAGAATCGGCAATGCCAGCGGCACCGCCAGCCAAGACGGAGAACGAATCCCCTACAGAGACTACCTCAGGTGGAAGTGTGGAAGCGCTCGTAATCCCCGCTCGAAAGAGCGCGGCGACGGCTCTCATCAGGTTCTTTGTAGACCAGATCAGCACGGCGCAGAAGATTGGATCCTATTCTCTGCCTGCCGGACAACCCGCGGACGATGTTGCACGGCGGCTCGGTCTCAATATCGAGAATGCTATGTATCAGACTATCTGTGGCGGAGCAGGCGAGCCTACCGAACCATATAAGTTGCAATTACGTACGATCTTGTTCAACGTAAAGAAGAACTCTTCTCTACGGGATCGTTTGCTCGTAGGAAGTCTTTCTCCTGACTCCCTGTCTAAGATGAAACCCGAGGAGATGGCAAGTGAGGAGTTGCAGCAGAAGGACGCGGAGATCAAACGGGAAGCGGAACGGCAACACATCATTATTCAGGAACAAGGCCCCCGAATTCGACGAACACACAAGGGCGAAGAGCTGATTGAGGATGAGACTCACACTGCAGCGACAGAATCAGTCTTCTCTGCTGGACCGCGCCGCGCCACCGAGGTGGACGGTAGCCCGGGCAATCAAAGCCCAGTCACTCCAAAGGCCCAGCAGGTGAAGCTGGAGGGGCAGGGACGAGGACTCTCTCCTTCTGGTGAACATCACGATCATGTCTTCCCAGAAGTTGCTCCAAACATTCGCGAGCCTGTCCCCAGTGGCGGCCGGATCCAAGCTGACGCTGAGATCGACCAGCTGCTCCGTGATGACGAACCGGAATCGCCGCCGTATTCTCCCAAGGACTTCAGTGATGACGGCACCGTCTGGCGTGGAAAGGTTGCGATGGTCCCTGTGTCCGAGTTCATGTCTTCGGCAAAACATGTCGGGGGCGCCGATTTGAGCGGCCGAATTCCATGGAGTCAACTTGCACCCTCGACCCTACTGGTGGATGGCCGCATCGACATCCAGCTGGCCAGTAACTATCTCTGTGGATTGCGCTTCAGCGCATCGACGGACGTGTCCGTCATAGCCATAAATAGGCCGGACCTTCCCAGCGAGCGGGCCGGGTTTGACAAGCTCTTCGACTACTTCCAAGGCCGTAAGCGTTACGGAGTCATTGGAAAGCATCCCGTGCCCGCTGTCAAGGATACATATATTGTTCCTATTGAAGCTGGTACCACAACCAAGCCCGAGTTCATCGAGCTTCTCGAGAACAATTCTCTCGACGGCCCTATCAACGAGCGCATGTTACTGGTAGTTTTTGTCGTCAAGACCGGTGATTCCAACACTCCCTCGGTTCAGCCCTCATCCCATCAACCCAGCCTGGAACCGGCGTCCGGCGCAAGCCCCCTGACTACTGCAGGTGCCACACCACAGCAAGGGCACTTCATGGGGACTCCCCAGGCGGCGGCTCCCTCTACGTTCGCTGGGACTGTTCCAAACCAAGCTGCCTACACCGCCCCGCAAGCGGCTGGACAGCCCTCACAACTCCCTCCCTTTCAACAAGCCCCCCTCACCGGTATGCCGGCCGCAATCCAACTTCTCGGTGCACATGTAAACTCCCCTGCCATCCAGAAACTTCTCCAGACGGCACCCAACGCGGACATGGCGCAGTTGAATGTCGTTCGCGATATCCTGAGCCGCCAGCCTGCGGCTGCACTCAACTATGACACGTTGATGCATGCCTTGTTCGAAGCGACTCAGTCGAACGGCCATGTCCCACAGGCGAATGCGTAATGCTTGCTTTACTTTGATGACAACTGCAATCTCTGTTTATCTTTCAATCCCCCCTGTACTGTACAGCTTGTTTGTGCTTTTGTGATTTCCAATGATGCTGCTTTTCGAGGACTGCATGGCTTCCTGACGCAGTCGGTGTTTGGGACATGCAATTCCCAGGATGAATTTCTTATGAATGTGGGATACCCATGGCTGGCAGCTGTTGTTTTCTCTGCCGGCTTTCCCGCTAAAATGGTTCTGTCTTTTTTCCATTTCTACTTTCTTATTACTCATGGCATGAGTATTTCTAGCTATGCATTATCCCAGCGAGTGGACGCATGGTTTCAATTCAAAATTCAGTTTTCTTTAATTTTTTTCTTCTCTCCCGAATGTTTCATAAAAGACACGCCATTGTTTAGTTATTTTAGGCCCAGAATGTCAATTCTATGTCAAGGTTGACCCTTGAATGTAAGGTGCAATTTAGAGATTTAATTCTGTTCGAAAATGCAAGGTATAAAACGTAACAATAGAGATAAATTCGAGCGCATGGACGAGAACTCTTCGTTACCGTCGACCATCATCCACGTAGGAAACGCCTGCGCTATGCAAAAACACCCGGACCAGAGATAATAAGAGAAAAGAAAGACAAGGATCCTCGAAGCGGCCTCCCTACCATCTTCCACCTCGGCGTCGGTATCCTCCACCACCCCCACCGCCATATCGAGGACCCCGTCCCGAACGGCCTCCTCCGCTATATGGGTCGTCATCCTCGTGGTGGCGTACAGGCGGTGCCCGACCTTTCAGCTCGGAGCTAAGTTTCTTGAACGTCTTGCGCATATCTGAGTAACCCATGTGCATTTTACCGAAGAAGTGGTCCGCCAATCGTCGGTCGTTATCAAGTCGACTCAGGTAGGCACCACAGACGTCGCAGACTTGCAGTTTCTGGTGTCCAGACGGTCCAGAGGTATCCTGCAAATTCTTCAGATCCCGCTCTGCATTCTCCTTCTGGTGCTTTGCGGTCCGGATCTTATGCATTTCATTCATAGCCACTGCGACAGAGCCGGTCTCACCCAAGACGGAGACCTCGAGGAGTCCGGTGTTGATAGTGTTGCTTAGGTCGGCGATTTGTTTCAGCTAGCGGCAGTGTTAGTGCTTCTGTGAACGTCAAGATATCTTGTAATTGGGCGATGCTGAACATACAAGATTGTTCGTTTGCCGAATCTCATCCGGGGTTTTCTCCAACCGGCGCTGCGCAGTGTCGATCCTGCGGTCGCAATCATCGATGTACTTCTGCATGTCGCGCATGTAATCGAAGTCAAATCCCCATTTGGCCTTCTCCGCAGACGAAGCAGTATCGTACTCTGTTTTCAGTCCCTCGCTGTGCACCTTGGGGCAAGGACCGAGGTCTTGCTTGGTGTTCGTAAAAAGGTCGTGCGGGCAGGTCCCGACCAGGTAGGAACGGCAGACTTTGGGGTCTGTAATTGCAAGTTGGGCATTGCGACCCTGGCCACCAGTACCAATGAGCTGGTCCGCTGTCGATAACATCGTGGTTAGCTCAGGCCGGGGAACCGAAGCGAGGCTCAAGCTTTGATCTGCGGGTCATCCTGTGCCAATTAAACGTACCTCCCATGAGCTGTTCCAGCAATTTTCTCTGTTCAGCCGCCATGATGGAGACCTATGCGTCAGAAAAGGGAAAAGCGTAGCGACAAAAGAGAGGTCGAGGGCTCTTTGACAGCAAACGGCGAGGTCCTGCGGTTTTTTGATGCTGACGCTAAGGAAGGCGGTGAGGCGCGACATCAACAGACCAGATGGACCAGTTCGGGTTGACATTTGACCATTCCACTTGTGTCTGATGTCCAAGTCCCTTGGTGATTCTCTGGGCCTTTTCCGGTGACAACAAGAGCCCTAGGTCCCGGATTCCAAACTCCGCTGTTTGCCGGAACTCCCCCAATCCGAATTGAATATCGCATGGACTAGGGGCAGCGCAGACCGAGCTCCGGTATGAAGTGATGACGGTCCCCTCACTCCTTTCTCTACTGCTGGCGCTTGCTGTCACGCTATGTAGCGCATCTGCCATAGCATCTTCGGACTATCATGAAAAGCTCCTCCTTCAGCCGCTTCCCCAATCTTCTCTTCTCGCCTCGTTCAATTTCCGGGGTAATACATCTCAACAACTCTTCGATAGCCAGCACTTCCGATACTTTCCACGAGCACTGGGTCAGATTCTCCAACATGCCTACACCAAAGAGCTTCACCTTCGATTTACTACCGGACGATGGGATGCTGAAAGTTGGGGCCCACGGCCATGGAATGGGAGCAAGGAAGGAGGGACTGGAGTTGAACTCTGGGCCTGGATTGACGCGACAGATGACGAGGAGTATGTTATTTGAAGAATATTACGTTGACACAAAAGCCGATCTAAAAATCTAATCATGTACAGAGCGTTTGCAAAATGGATTACTTTGACACAATCACTCTCCGGTCTGTTCTGCGCTTCCCTGAACTTCGTGGACTCGACCCGAACCACTCGCCCAGTTGTTTCATTCAAGCCTACTGGTGATCATAAAGATGTCAATGGGCTGCATCTTCTTCATGGAACTCTCCCTGGCGAGGTGGTTTGCACGGAGAATTTAACCCCCTTCCTGAAGCTGCTTCCGTGCAAGGGTAAAGCAGGAATTTCAAGTCTTTTTGATGGCCACAAGCTTTTTGACGCCGCATGGCAAAGCATGTCCGTGGATATGCGGCCTATATGTCCTGTGGAAGACGAATGTGTCGTTCAAATCGAGCAGACTGTGGATATGGTTTTGGATATTGAGCGATCTAAGAGACCCCGTGGTAGGTTGACATTACTCGCATAGACTTGATGTCATAAATTACTGACTACTGGCAGCGAACCCAATTCCAAGACCGGTTTCCAACGAAGATTTGCTCTGTGATACATCCAAACCCTATAACTCCGAAGATACCTGTTTTCCCCTGGAAAGGGCAAATGGAGAGGCCTGGAGCTTAAAGGAGGTGTTCGGACGATCGCTGAATGGGGCATGCCCTCTTACAGAGTCTAATGGGTCAAGTGAGCAACCTATTTGTCTAAGAGTTCCTCATGAACGCGGAGTCTTTATCTCCGAGGGTGCTGTGGAGGATAAGAAGAACGATGGCTTTACACGCTGCTTTACCTTGCCATCTTCGCAGCCATTTGACCTTTCCATTCCTCAACAACCCATCCAGACCGAAGTTCCGATTGAAGAACCCGTCTTACATGCAGAGCGCACGATTGTTGGCCACGGCCAGGAGCGTGGCGGCATGCGTATAATGTTCAGTAACCCGTCCAACACGACGGCCGTCGATTTTATCTACTTCGAGTCTCTTCCGTGGTATCTCCGACCGTATATCCATACATTACAGGCCACTATCACAGGTCGTGATGATGTGCGGCGAGAAGTCCCTGCCTCAAACCTTATCAGCGAAACCTTCTACCGTCCAGCTATTGATCGTGAACGCGGAACTCAGCTCGAGTTAGCCCTGTCCGTCCCAGCAGCCTCGACAGTCACTCTGACGTACGACTTTGAAAAGGCTATCTTGCGATATACTGAATATCCGCCGGATGCTAACCGTGGATTCAATGTTGCGCCTGCCGTCATCCGCGTCTTGACTGCGGGGGATGCCGCTCCGGTCTATATTCGAACTACAAGTCTGCTTCTTCCGTTGCCGACCCCTGATTTCAGCATGCCCTACAACGTGATCATTCTCACGAGTACAGTGATTGCACTTGCGTTCGGTACTATTTTCAATATTTTGGTTCGTCGAGTAGTCTCTGCTGATGAGGCTGCTGCACTCGGAGCCCAATCTCTCAAAGGCAAGCTACAGGGCAAATTGATAGCTATCCGTGACAAGCTTCGTCCGAAGGAGACCAAAGTCGAGTAGAACCCATTACATGGTTTCATGCCTCTTCACACGTTCGAAAATTTGCTCCATGTTGTGAACGGTTGTGACAAGACCTTTGAAATTATATAACCATTTAGAACATCATAATGTTATTGTCATTTGTACAGATATACCCAAGGTCAATAGATGATATGTCGACGGAGAAATTAGCTTGGCCCTTAGGCCCTGCTTCAGTGTTGGAATAAACAAGGCCCCAGATGAAATAACAAGACTCCAAAATTACCTCCTGTCATAGCTTACCTTCCAAATATATTTTTCACAGTATCCCAACCAGGCAAAGTATCCGAGGCACCAGGCTTTGAGCCCATGAAACTGTGGTCCTCTGTATCACATGTTGGCTCGCCGTGATCGTTCATAGGTCTTACATTTGCAGCCGCAAGCTCTGCACGAGTCAGAAACTTATTCTCTGCTCGAGTCTTCTGATCCTGAAGGCCAAGGAACTGGCCAATAGTGGAGCGAGGGTTATGAGCCTAATTAAGAGGTATTGACATTAGTCCACTGCTTGATATGGGCTTCAATCTGGAAAGCACGAGCACACACAGCGACATGTCCTAGACCCTCATTCAGCAAATCTTCAGAGCCTCCTTTTCTGTAGGTCCGATCACCCCAACCAACACCGCCCTGGAGATTCTTGGCTGGGTCTGGTTTGGCGGTGCTGTCACTGGAGGACGCGGAGGTAGTTTCATGGGAGTCGGACATGTTGATGAGTAGGTTCGTACCTACTCTATTCTGTTAGTGTGAAGTTGTCCTCACCAGATTCGAAGAGGGAAAATGAAGACTATCAACGCAAATATAGGATCCAGGGGCGATATCCTCACAGTTTAAGAGGATGAGGGCTGTTGATCCGCTGGTGTTCTCTTGAAGCAACGAGTCAGGCACTCAATCAAAGATAATATGATGGAAACCATCCTTTAGTGGCAAGTTTCTTCCACGCAAACCTATATACTGAGTCCTATGATGTCAAAGTTATGGGAGGCAACTTCGAAAATGCAGCCACCACGCAATGAAGTCATTGTGAGTCTCTGGCACCATTGGGAGACCTGAGATTGCTGAGTCATTGCTGCCTTTAAGTCCGAGCGGCCCGCCACAACTTCCAAGGTTCAAGCGGTTGGCGAAGTATAGAAAGTGATGAAGATTGCCCTCAAGCTTGATTATATTCATCGGACACCGTTCTATTAGGCACCTGATTCAAAGGCTGAGTAACTCATTGTTTTATTAAAGATTTTAATGATGGGCTCTCTATATACATGAACAATGTGCGAAATAATGCAAGACGCCAGTAATGAATGCAATGCGCCGAACGAGATTGGTGGCAATTAAACATCCATGCTAGATCGTAAGGGAATCTCCTCGGGGGGTTGATTTGCGGATGCCGGTACTTGCTGATAGGAGCGTCTTTTTTGACGGCGAATTACCCACCAGAAACATGCCACAATGCCGGCAATGCCGCAAAGCAACAGAATCACGATGAATACTCCTTTCAGCATACTCAGCACAGAATATGCTAGGTAAACTGCTTTGGCGACTTCCTTCATTGCAGTGTATCGCGTAGCTGACTGGTATTCGGAGCCTGAAAGGCCATTGTTGACCATACTGGCTCCATCGCTAGGTGACGAGTCGATATGTTCTCGATGGCCTTGAAGGAGCGACGGGTCATTCGGGTGCGGACCGGAGGATTCTTCGTCGAACCCAACTGCCTTCCAATCGGGTGGTACCTCAGTGCGCTGTACACGCGAGGTCCTCAAGACATTGCCATCACGATCGAATGCGGTGGCGGAGATCCAATCCATATACCCTTCGACGATGTGCATTGTCTCGAAATTGGTCTTGTTCGCGTATCCAATGAAAACTGGATCACTGTCCTCGGTTGCTTGGGCATAGAAGCCCCACTGGGCCACATCGGTCGCGCCGTTCCAACTGACATGAATTACAGTCAAAAGATCCGTATCCGACGTGCCATACGCAAAGGCCACGACATCTGGTGGCGTGGTCGGCTGACCGATCCAGTCGAACTTATATGAGCGGTAGCTCGAGAATCGAGTTGAAGCAAAACGGGCATACATGAGAAGGTCCCCGTTCGGCGCGTGTTCACTATGGTATCCACGTTCACTCCAGCCCACAAATGTGTTACCATTCTGAAGCGGCTGAACATTGCCGCGAAGTCGCGTCAAACCGTGGTCTGGGCGTTCAATGCGCTTGATGGTGGTGGCAGTCATTGGGGTCACGGTGGTATCGAGTTCGATGAAGAAAGCCGTCGAGAAGTCCTCTTCGTTTTCTGACTCGTCCGAAGCGTTGTTAAGAAATGAAATAGTATGGTGAGTGCTATTTGAATCGACAAATTTGATATCGTGTTGTTTTGAGAACTGGAAGTCTTGCTGAAAGTCGGACTCTGACCCGCCGAGACGCCATATGATATGGCCGTCCTCGCCCGAAATCAAATAGATGGTATTGGTGAAACGCAGTGAAATGATATAGTCCCCGGCCGCATTCTTGTCGACAGAATTGATATGCACGTAGTCCACGCCGGGAAACCCGGACGGGCTATTCCAGGCATGGAACCGAATTGACTCATGCACTGCGATGTGGTCGGTGGAATCCCATTCGGCGAGGATCTCCCCCGTCTTGATATCCAGTTCGACAAAACCGCCGGTTATCATCCAGCTATTTTCATCGGGCCGATCTAGATCGGCCAGATTTATTTCCTGGGATCGGTACGTGCAAGCCAGAGCAGTCTGACCACCATCCATGATATTGAATTCATGCATATTGAAGGCATCGACGTCGTTGGTCACTCCGACCTGGTGTTCGATTTCATAGTGTTGATCCAGAATGACTCCGCTTCCCTTATTGGAGTTGTCGAATGCATGTTGCAGGATAAAGGAGAGTCGCGGCTTGTCATCGATGTTCCAGTTGGCCTTGAAGTCGAAGACATTCCGATTGTCCGTCATCGGGGACCCAGCCCAGATGAGCATCTGTTTGGAGCGACATGGTCAGAACTCAACTGCTCCAAAATCTGGATGGTACGGGTCACCTGAAACATACACCCTCATTGTCGTAAATATAAGGTCCGATTTGGAATTCTTGGTATTTTTTTGTTGGGTTCTCTGGGTCGATCTGGCCGTAGGGTGCAACGAACCAATAGCCTGGGAGCTGGCGTTCGCGGTCAAGATGGGTGACCTCGAATTTCAAGGCGCGCACTTCGGGCAACTGAAGTTAATTGAGTTAGGCCGGGGAATATTTAGCCATCGGATCCATAGGGTACTCACGGTAAAGAATGACCATAAATCAGTATCGTGGCGTTGTGCCGCAGAACTATGCAACACAAGGCAAAGGAGGACGACAAAAAACGCCAACATGGTGTTGAGGAACGTGACTAAGTGAGACTTTTATTCTTCATGGTAGAAATGGCCGATCGAGGGAGTAATAGTATTGAATCAAAAAGACTAGTGCCACTTTTCCTCGGTCAGGAGCAACGAAAGGTTTTAGCGGTCGCACCAGATCCTCAGGAGGCGCGAGGGGTAGATAATGAGATTTGAAGACAGGATCGGCAAGAAATTTGGCTTGATCATGGCGATCGTTAATTGGAGAGAGCCGGATTGCTAACATGGTATATCAATTTTCGCCATGGAGAGTCAACGTAATGGCTGATGTGGACTATGAGCTCTAAAGGGAAATGGTGCATGGCGGACACGCGGTTTGTGGAGACGGTCGGCGGCCCAAAGCCCAGCATCGGGGAACCAATCAGAGACGGGGGTTAAGACTTTGTCCCGGATACCTGGGATGCTGATGAAAATTTCCGACCATTTGACAGGGCGTAGAGATGCTTTGCGTGGATATCATATCAATCAATGATTGAGAAAAATTGACCCCCTCCCCCCACCCCCCATTTGAAATACCAAGGCAGGAAGGGAGTACTAGAATCGGTGCCAGGCCCCCATACTTCTCGAGTCCTGTATGCAGTTCATTGTGTGAATGGGCAATGACTATTGTGGACTGTCAAATATTTGAACTGATCTTTAAGCATCTGCTCATGGAATTCGTTCATGTCTTGCATTTAAAAAAATCGAGAAGAAGTACGCAATGCTAAAGTAGATACATCGACAATTTTTCTGAAGATTATCGAGGCAATGAAAGGCAGTCATCTCTCCAGAATCATTAGAGAGGTTAAAAATGGATGAATAAAGTAGGGATCTGGTCTAGATTGACATTATCTTTAGGTTTGCTCTAATCAATCGATTGGGATTTGGGCTTTGGTATTGGGCAAACCCCCATATCCTGACCAGTAATATGGCCCATTTGAAAAGTGTGGGACAAAATAGCTCTAAGTATTAATTTTGTTGATCCATGGGTATCAATCTGATGACTGACTACCAGGGAAAAAATAAGGGCGAACACAAATTCTCAGGTTTCCACCAACCCTAAAAGATTCGATCGGGCCATCTGAGCTCTCCAAAGAACATGTTCCATAGATGGGTAGCTTGGAAGTAAATTCCATGCCGCCTGCTCAAACGTGTAGAGACTTGATAGGGCTTGTAGCCTCAGGGTGCGGTCTGAAACTTTCAAGTCCAGAAGGCTTGTCTCAAGACCGCATTTGAGAATAGTCACAGTGGCTGCGGGGAGAAACAAGAGCAGGTTGAAATCGCATAACTCAACTAGCATCCTGTCAATTTCGGCTTTCAAATCTCTCCGATCTTGGGCTCGATTCGATGTCAAGTTGTCATCATCCTCTGTTTTATACAATATAGACATTGCAGTCATATATAAGAGACGAAGGAACGCCTGGTGCACCATGAAAACTCTATTCATGGGTTCCGACAGAGGGCAATCGGAAGGGTCGTATTGAGCTGATTTGGGGAGATCACGCATCCAAGCTTTCAGGAAATCCTCACAAGCATTGATCATGGTTAATGATGGGGACTTTGTAGGCATAAGAGAATAGTTATCGTTCAGAAATGAAGGTTCCCATGCACCCTGATATAAATATTCCAGCATTATCCCAATGCAGTGAGTGAGTTTGACTTGTTCTTTGAATAACGCAAATGATTTCTCTTGATTCCACTGACACAGAATTTCGGAGTTTGATCCCAGAGTCTCATGAACAAGGGCGGGATAAGTCTCATATTTTAAGTCTGCGAAGCTCAGCATGGAAATTTGCAAGGTATTGTTTTGAATTCGCAACGGCCGCTGAAATGCAAGCGAAATCATGCGATCGCGGGCGTATAGACACCACCACAGATTTTGTCTCGGAGATAGATCATCTAAATAGAGACTGGGAAGAAGACCTTTACGTTCCGCTGCAGTACATGCAAGATCTAGCCAGTAGTAAGGATCTTTGTGGTGTGAGTCAGCTTCGTACCACAGGGTCATCAGAAGCAAAGCTTGAATCTGGGAGATCAAGTTAGGTTCTGTCTCAAACTCATAAAGTAACTATCATTAGAGAAATTTAGCCACCAGTCAAACGACGGAATAAGTGTGCTGAAAAGAGCCTATTTACCTTGGTTCTCTCAAAGAGAGCTTTTCGCAACGAGTTTCGTGAATGAAATCCAGCAGTCACAATGTCGTCGTCACTGACGAAAGCGGCGCTTGCCATCATGGCAGCTTGATAAACCAGGGGACTTTCGAATTTTGTATCGTCTTCGACTATGAGGCTAGTCAAGAATCTGTTGAGATCCAAGGCTGGCAGAAGAGGATGGACATATTTGACGTATGCTACGAGCAGTGTAATCTGAAGCGATTTCGGGACAAGTTCAAAGGCCGCTTTAAAACTAAGATATTGATTGTCTTCAGCCGACAGCTTTCGGTGTTGAGCCTGAAATAACCTCCGATGTGGAATTGACTCGGTAGAGCCCACAGCAGATTCTTGTCGAGGCGCCGATGATGTCAAAAGTCGGTCAACTTCTGAAAGATAGGTATCGAGCGGATACGTCGAAGCCACATCAGTGTTCAAAGTCATGTGTCGCTTTTCAGAAATCGATTTACCATCCAGAATGACCGACTCGGAAAGGGCTGCTCACGCCAACTTAGGTTAAATGACTATTTTCTCATTCTACATAAGATGGCACATACATTGGCAATCACCGCATTTCGTTTTGAGATCACTCGAGAGATAGCCTTCATCACTAAGCTCCGCACGTTCCTCCGTCTTTCGGCTGAAGAGTGAGTCTTCTGACGATTCGCTCCGAGGCTTGCGGCACGCTCCGGAGATATGCTCTTTTTCGCGATTAAGTTTTGACTTTCTGCCAGAAGGACGTACTCGAGAGATATGTCGCGTGTCTTTAGTAACACGAGAAGGTGATTGATTTTTCATTGCATCGAAGCTTGGATGCGCTTTAATTAAGAGTGAGGATTAAGTGGAATTGCAGCCTCGGCGGTGGCTCCCTTCAAAAAGGAGATCGAAGGTGCAAGTTTGATATATTGCTGAGAACCCACCGGCACGGCGCTCTTTAAGCTGCTGGATATTCTATTGGTCATTGTGAATCAAACAGAAGGCTTGATGCAGATTTGCCAATGATCATGCCATAATATGCTACATTGCCTCGGATACCGTCGAGATCTATCTTCCACCGGAACTCAACGAGTTCCGATCACTTACTGTGACCCACTATTTAGAGCTCCTGACCAATCACAATCATCATACGATAAACATGTTCCACCGGATGTCTCAGGTTGATCGCATGGTGAGGAGCGAGTTAAAAATAAAAGAAGAACCCAAATTCACAAAAGTAACTTGAATGTATACAGTCATTTATGGCAGTGTCCGGCCCCAATTCCAGGAGCTACTGTGATCATCGGGAACAAGGTTGAACAGCACTAAAATAGCAGTCAGCGAGGACAGGACTGAGCAACAAGAGAGGAAAGAAAAGGAAATCCCACTTTCACCGAACGAGCCGAATGTATCATCGAGTTGCTGAAATATATGTGCGGAGGGAAAGTCGCTTGGGGCCATCGCCGCAGCAAAAAGGTCTTGATCCGATGTCCATGTGCGTTGGAAGTGCTCTGAGGATGATTGTGATTGAGGGTTGCCCTCCCCCGGAGCAACCATCGCACTACTAGTGGCAATAGACGCCGAAGAGTGTTGCACATTCGTGCCAAATCTCGATTGCCCATCTGTAGATAAAGAACAAGGCTGTGTAATGGATCCTATAGTTGTACTATCTCCAAGTGCGCGTGCCATTTCACGTTGCGTTGTAACCCTTAAGAGTTCTGTCAATAGTTGCTCAGTATGTCGAGCTATTCTATTATAGCACCGTTGGGACCGACTCGCATGAATGATCCTGATCACTCCTTCCTTTGCTTCGAGTGAAGCTGGGGTGAATGGTTGGCTTGTCGGCGGTATACAGAGAATAACGCCAGCCGTAAATTGCTGCAACGATGCAAAAGATGAAACATATTGTGTTCGAAGGTCGTTTATTGGAGCACGCGAGATACGGAGGGCAGCTGTAGTGGCTGCCTCCAAGGACTGGCGCAGGGTCTCAACAAATGGTGTTTGCCGAGATGAGTTGTATATTTCTTGCTCAAGGAGTGGTCTGTGTGTTTGGATAATGGCAGCATCATAGGTCAATTGTAAAACGGCGGCTTGAAAATAAACTGTTTCTACATTTCTCTTAGTACGCAGAGGGAGTGTAGACAGCTCTTGGGATATTTTTTCCCAGCGCATTTCAGACTTCCAATACTCCATATCGAACAGCTCGGGAACCTTGCTTCTCCATTGAGATAGTAGACGATCCGTTTCTTGAGTTATTTCGCATATGACTCGTAGTTTATCTTCTATGTTCTCCGCGGTCGAATGAAGATGGCGGAGTCGCGAGAGATTTCTGCGAGAGATGCCATAGAGCTCACCCTTCATCATGTGGAATGGAACGCTGGACGTCGTCCAATCTTGGATAGTCAATATTGGATTTCCAAGTAGCCAGGGGTCGATATTTAAATCTTCAGAAAGCGTCAGGGAGCGCACCCCTGCCGATGATGTATTTATCGACGGTGGCCGCCCGTAGATCACCGAGCAAAAGGTATCTCCAACTAGCATATGATTCCAGCAACGAGAGTGAATTTCATTTTCGACTGGATCCTTGCTTGTATGCTCCTTTGATTGTATATTCAAAGCATATGCCGCGCGCACCGCCATACCAGAAAGATTCCAAGCGAGGCTGGGGGAGTTGTGATAAACGTAGTAGGAGGATAATAAAGAGCAGACTTGGACACATTCTATTTGACAATCATCTAAAAGATCGATCAGATGAAGTCTTATCTCTGCAATAAACCCCTGCAAAAGAGCGCTGGGATCGATTTCATGCTCGACCAGAAGTTCACACCCTTCCCATGACGGATCGGGTATAACTGACTGTAAAGCAATGCTCGTAACTCCTAGTAGAGCCATTACAGATCCCAGATGCTTGCGTTCCCAGTGGCTTTGCGAGAGTATTTTTTCGGCCGTTGCCCGAAATGATGGCTCGTGGAATATCAGAATAAACCATTGCATTCGATGGAAATATGCATCGATGAGTGCCCTCATGACAGGAGTCGGTGGCATTTGAATCCCTTTCAAAGTCCATATTGATTCATTTGATGGGGATTTTCCCATGTCACCAGGGATGGATGCTCCGGTGAATGTGCGTCCAGTCTCTCCTTCATTGAATACACTGCGCGCAAAGTCAATTGTCGATGTGTTTGTCCGAATTTCCGAACTTTCTGAATACGGAGTTGCGATCGGAGTCAAGGGACCCTGGCCGACTGGGCCAGAAATTGTGTTTCCGCTTGCTTGAGACTGCGGAGTATTTACAGCAGGCTTGGTGGAAATGGTCGCTACCGTAGACTGCGGGCGTTTCCGTCGGCCAGGCGTCCGTAGCGAGGTCTCACATTCATTGCCAGCCCGGAGACAAAGTACACAGGGCCTTGCTTCATCGCACTAGAAATTCCATGCATCAGTCATTGGGGACTACACCTGTTGGTCATCTAGAAGGTGCCTACTTTGAGCTTTTGCCGGCGGCAGCGATCACATGCCTTCGGGGTGCGAGACCGCTGCACCCCGTTGCGGGTTTCCTTTGGCATATGGTGGGAAACAGCAATCTCAGGCCGGAAATGATTACCAGCTGAAGGGCTATGAGAATTGTCGAGACCGACGTTCTTTGGATTACCCCGGATTCTTCAGGAGGAAGATCCACCGGAAGTGAGGAGGACTGGGGAATTCCCCTGTCCGCAGTCTCCGGCTTTGTTGCCTGACTTATAAGGCTCCCAAACAGGGCCCTAGTGCAAGAGTTGGCTAACTGGTGAACCAGTAACTAATCAACCTGCCAATTATTCTAACTTCTCTTTCATCGACGTTAATGACTGAATTTCTCTCAGATAAAAGGTCGCCAAGTACCAAGGGAGGCTTTTAGATGTTGGACTTTCCGTCGCTCGGTAGTATGTGTCCAAAAACCAGACATGCCGTACAAAGAGCAGCCCAGGAAGGCATGCCTCTCAACCTCATACTTTTACACCCACAGAGAGACTTCATCCGGTACCATATCCCAACATACTCAGTCTTCTCTCAAAAACCAATCATGACCCAGATATGACATTCATGCATAACTGTTCAGGCGAGGTGAAATGGATTGTTGTTACAAAGAGCATGATTTCGAGCCTTCACCTTCACCAGAGCCAATGGGTCTACCGAGAACACCACCAACTCTGTTTTTGTGCGTCGTCTTTCCATGGGAACTTGCCTGCTCCAGGTCGATGTCAAGGCTCTTAACAGCACTGTGGTTGCTTTGGTTTCCCTAAGGAGTTCCTGCCTCGGGATGCCACTGGCACTCATGAGTTCACCTGGGAGGTGACTTGGCGGATGGCATATATGCTACTGCGGGCACGTACTCTCTCCATATTCGGGCCGGCATCGATTATGATGTTGTCGGGCCTTCGAAATTTAAGATCCAGTACCCATTTCTGCATGTGTTCTTGTTGCTTTTGACAAGCATGATATGTGAATCATATGTGAGGCTAGATGTATGATCGGGTTCTTGAATTCTGCCCTGTGATTTCCCTCCTATATTTCTTGCGTTGACATATCATTTACATAAGGTTTGTTTAAATGCAGGTTAAAAATAATAATATTGTACCTATTATGTATTGAGACAATTGATGTCCAGTCTCTAATGAGAAAAAGGCCATGTCTCGCTGCCGCTGCCCGGCACCTTACTTGCGGGGGTTGTCTCGGTCATATTTAAAAACTTGGATGGCTGGCCAGACCTGCAGAATCACGGCCCCCGTCATCACACAGCCTGCGAAGACCTGCGCATGCAAGAAATCCGCAGTGTTGAGATTGACCAGCGCGCCTGCAACAGGCGTCCCCGCCAGGGCTCCGAAGGACGAGATACCCCACATCATGCCCAGCCGCGTGCCCATATAATTTGGATTTTGGCAGAAAACCGGATGCGCAACGATAGACGTGGGCCCGGTCACTAGAACTCCGCTCAGGATACCCCAGTAGCAGGCCCACACTATGAAGCCCGGGATGTTTGACACTGCGATCCACGTGAACATCGCGATTGCAGAGGCCGCCACACAGAAGATCAAAATCGCGACGGGCTTCACATATGCAACGAGCAAGTAGGGAACAATACGACCAAACACCGACGAGCCGTTGACGATAGCCACCATATAAAACGAGAGACTTCTTGTGGTATGGATAACAGTTCGCGCGTACGAGGCGACATAGAATATGGGGACGTAGTACGCGAGCATGACACAGATGAGTGAAATGGAGAACATCATGAACGGCACTTCACAAAACGCAGCCCGGTCAATGAGACTTCGCGCGCGGGTCTTGAGAGCGGGCTGACGGCAGAGAATTCCACATGCGACAATGGCCATAAGCAGCGTTACGAAGCCAATGCAGCGGACGGCCCACGGGAAGCCGATTCTCGGCTGCAGCTGGCGAAACATGACCGGGAATATCACGGCGCCGACACTGGAGCCAATGGACGCGATGCCGATCGCAATCGGGCGCCGCGTGGTAAAACTGGTGGATACCATTGTTAGGGCTGGAATGTAGGAGATGCCACCGCCCATGCCGACGCAGAAACCTTGCGCTAGCAGAACCTATTTTTTTATTAGCAAAGGTGGGGGTCGAGAGGTGGGGGTTTTTAAGCTTTTATTGTCTATAAAAGGGAGTCCATACCTGATAGTACTCAGTGGCTAGACTTGTCATCATTAATCCTAACACTGTCAGGAAGCTCCCCGAGATCATCAGTGGGCGAAGATATCCCGAGTCCACCAGGGGCCCGGATACCAGGCCAACCATCGGGATCAATGTCGCCTGAATGCTGCCGATCCATGATATCGCCGACGGAGATTGGTCGGGCAAGAGGACGGTTGTGTAGTACTCTTGAAATGCGCCGAACGTGGTAAGAACACCCCTGCATGAAAATGTCAGTCGGAACATAAATTAGTAAGGCACATGAAGGTTAATTCGACAATCGAAAAGTATGTCCGACTCACCAGGAATTTACGAACACGCAAAACCCCGCAAGCACATTCAACCAAGCAATCAAACCTCCGTTGACTCTTGGCTTTTCAACATCGCTCTCCAGCTTTGACGCTGGGGTTCCTTCAGTGCCATTCGGGATAGTAGGAGTGCCATCGGGTTCATTTTCGGGATCGGAAAGGGTCGCCTTTTCAGTCATGTCCGGTATAGCTTCGAAAAATCCTTCCACTGGCAAAGAAACCACATCGACAACACTAAGTAGTTATAGGACCGGGGTTTACCCCGACCTGCCCCAGTGGGGAAGCTTGAGCCCATGGGGTTTTTATTAGTCACGCGAACGGGGTGCTGGCCGGCTCGACCGGCAGTCATTAGCCGAGCTCTACCGATCTCTTCATGAACACTTAGCCAGCCAAGCAACTAATGCACGGAGAACTCCGATTTAGAGGCACTTCGGTATTTCGGCCCCCGTCTCGTTTTTGGCACCGGCTCTTTCTTACAGCCCGAGCCAACAGCTACGCATGATTTCCCCAGAGCATAATATCACAATGCAAATTTCTATTGGCACCGGGTAAGGTCGAGCGGTCACAATATCTAACAAGATGTCGACAAGATCTCAACATGCAGACCGTAGGAAGAGACTCAGACTAGTACATATGAGTCACACTCTTTTCTTAATTCCATACGATATCAGAAGGGATTGGCTGATTGAAGTATCCGGGCGTGAGACCCAAACCACGCCTCCCAGAATAAACAGACATTCAAATAATTTCATCTGTGGCACATTGTCGCTCTTTTTGGGAACAGACTGAGAAAAGCTTCAAAGAGTTCATTTATTTTGCGGGTCCCTTTTTCCGCACCATATTTCTTCTAGCTGCAGTCCTCTTCTCATCAAGAAACTCACATTCCTGCTTGTGCGTGAAAAGGTTGTCATAGCCTGAGCCTCCATCCTGTTTCATATAATCCTCGACGACCCCCTTGCCGGCTTCTTTGGACAAGCTCATGTTCTCGTGTGATGTCAATGTCGCACAGAGTAGCGAAAAGCAGCGCTTTCAGCTTTCAGCCTTCGACCGGTGGTGCTTTTACCAGTCACGACAGTCACCCTCACGGCAGAAGCTGTCTTTACTTTGTCTAGAGAACAGTACTTAGCAACGCTCGTGTCTGTATAGCTGGAACGGGTTTGGTTTAGGTCTGAGGGTTTGGAAGTTTTGATAAAGACTTAGATCCCTTGATGTTCCTTTTCAACGACACGGAGGCCTCCGGATACTCCGAGGATCTGAGATTGTAACCAAGAAGCTAATATGGTCAAGATCATTCAAAATATAGATCTCTTCATCGATGACTTTTCTTTCTACTGGGTGTTCTGCACTGTGAACTACGCTCTGGATTCCAGAAAGGACGAAGTTGTCGAAGCTACTTGACCAGCCCTTGCTCGAAGGTCCCTCTGGATATACGCCCGAGACATACGCTTGAGGTGAAAAAACAATAGTCTAGATGTGCTCCCCAAAGTCTGGCCCCTCATCCGGGCATTTGAATAAAACCCCATGGGTAATTCCAGACATCCCGCCAACTATGCCCTTCCGTGAAGTATACCAAAGGAAGGGTACTGTGGAAGAGCCGATCACTTGGAGAGGAGCTTAAGTATTTATCTAGATGTGTAAGTTGGAGTTTTCAAGAGATTGTAAGATGATAGCTCCATTCGTTGGCATTACGGAGTTTATAGGTGTACGATGGATGCCTAGATGTGCAGGCAGTATATAAGGAATCCCATCTCGATCGCCGTCGAAAGTAATGCGAGGAATTAAATGAAGCCCATTAACTGGTATATACTATACTAGAAAGAAAGAACAATGGAAAACAAAACAGGGGTGGTGATCACGGTTTTTATCGGCGGCACGGCAGCAACCGTTGAAGCCAAACACGGGAATGCTCATACAAGAGAAACAGAAACAAATAGAAATTATCTTGTGCCCTAACAACAATTGAAGTGAGGCTGACTAGCCAAGAAAGCTTAGTCCAATGGTTAATTCTACTTGGAGGAAGATCCGAGTCATTTGATACATAGGCGTCCCGTTCTTTTTTCCCAAATTAGGAATTTTGATGCCTGAATTAGGCCTGGAAAAACTGACTTCAAAGGTCCGGGGATATTCCGTCCCACGTTTTGGGACATTTCTATTTCCATGTCTCCACCTGCCACGCACGCAGTTGGATCAGGTACCGTTGAAAAAATAACACCACAAGGAATGATTCCTTCTTCGTTCCTGCGCTAAGCTAAGCCCTTGGTCATCGCCATGATCCAATGATTTCATGAAAACCCACCCCACGGTCTGATCTTTGATCCTGGAGATATCGAGACCGATTTGGAGACTGCTCTTCAGCTGGGGTTCGGGTCTTCCCCAGCGACAAACTGCTTCAACTGTTTCGTCCTGGCGCTTCGACAGCAGAGTCGCGACAAGAACCACGTAATGTGGCCTCTGACAGCCATGGACAACCACTGTCGTGTTCGTAGAAGCCGTTGGCGCTCCACTCGTAACGCGTATTTGGCGCCGTGATCTGTCCCAACCAGGGCGGACCCACCCTCCCGGAATAGATCGTCCATCGATCTGAAAGGACCACCCCATCTACAGTCCAGCCCTGTGGGGTCCAGCTTTCGATCGTTGGTGGTGTTCTGGCAACACCTTCAGCGAACAGGACCCCTTGATACCAACTGGGTCCCCGTCCTACATCGTCCAACATTTGCGATTTCTCAAACAAAACCTAGGGCCAAGCCTTCCAATGATCTTCTTCTCCCGGCCTTAGCCAGACACTCCTAGGGCTCAAACATGCGTCTAGACTCTTAGGTTCAACACACCCACAGACGCTAATGCTTTTTTTGGACAGCGTTGTCTGTTTCATGGTGCTCACATCCAGCTTCAGATCTTTCTCCACCATGGATGATAAAAAGACAGAAAGCACCCATCTGCGCTTGGGCATGTCCACTGTCGTCCATTCTTTAATCAACATTGCGCGCTCTCCCTGCCGACCCCTCACTCCTTTGGGATCTAAATCTCTCCGGTGATCTAGGCTGTGCCGATCACCCAACAGTCCTTTGATATCAAGTCTTTGTCTGTAGATCAGATATTGTCGATCCTTTCCCTCTAGATTCTAGAGCTCCCGGGCCAAACAGACCATACGTTCATCGATTTTGGATCAGAAATTGAACCGAAACGATGTTGTTCTTTAGGAACCTCACTCTCCTTGCCGCCATCACAACCACGGCATTTGCTGTGCCTGTTGAAGAGCGCAGATACGACTTACCTCGTGCAGTTGATGACCACGCCGATCCTGAATTACGGACCATTGCTGCCACGGCCAATGGTCCAAGGTCCATTTCCGGTAGGAGTGGTACCTCCGGGGCGGTTGAGATCGTTAATAAGATGGATCAGCCAATCTACATATGGTCAGTTTCAGATTCCGACACAACGGGCGGCGTCATGCACACTGTACAAAAGAAGACCGGTACCTACACTGAGCAGTGGCGCGTTATGTCTGATGGCAGCGGCATATCCGTAAAAATATCAACCTCACCAAAACAGGACAGCGTTCTACAATACGAGTATACCAAAACTGGTGATAAACTTTTTTGGGATATGTCTTCCCTAAACATCAACTCCACTTCGCCGATTGTTCAGCAAGGCTTCGCTGTGACGATTAGCGACGATAGCTGTGAGACTGTGACTTGTGCAGCTGGAGATGCCACTTGTGCAGCCTCGTACCAGGACCCTAATGACAGGGATACACACGCCTGTAGGGCTAATGCCGCTTGGGTTCTAACACTTGGATAAAACTTTCTTCATTGACAATTCTTTTTGCCTTATACATCAAGTGATTGATTTTTTTTTTCTTTCAGGAGGAAGATAGGATATTTGGGAGAAAATGGAAGTAGTAATCGAAACCTCAAAAAGTAGGATCAAATTAAATATCAGAAGAAAAAAAAAGGAGTAAAAATAGATATGTACAGAGAAGCACTTTTTTCTCAATCCAATGGATATAAGCTTAAATCCATGTAGAAGGAATGCGGCCTCCTGCTCAATCAAAGCGACACGGGTACAGCGCACTATACCTATATCGTATCGACAGAAAAATAGTGCGCCAAGCGAGGTCGAACGAACTTAGTAGACGGGGACCTTGAAGGCAGGGAAATCGTAGGTCCAGCTCTCGTACGACTTCTTGTCATAGACACAATCGAAAGTAGATTTGTTGCGCCAGAGCGGACGCGACGGCCACTGACACAGCTTCTGGACCTCGCCTTCGTAGTCGCCAGAGGAGACGGTGGCGTTCAGGCGCTTGGGCTGAACGCCGTTCTCGACCCAGTCGATCATGGTCGCCATGTTATCCTCCGGGTAGGGGCCGGGCTGCAGGGAGTTGGTGCCGCAGTGCGCCGCACCAGGGATCAAGTAGAACTGGTACCAGTCCTGGAGCTCCGAGAGGCTCTCCTTGGCCGAAGCATCAGGGTACATGATCGAGCGGACGGATTGCCAGTAGTGCACTGACGAGGCGGCGGGGATACTGGGATCAGACTCGCCGTGGTAGTGCAGCAGCTTGCCACCAGAAGATTGGAAGGGGGTCAGGTCAGGCAGGGTGGTCTGCAGACTGTCCATGTAGCGCACCATAGCGGTGTTCATCCATTCAACGAGGGTATCGTAGGTGACGCCATCGAGATCCGACAGGTTGTCCAGGTCAAGAAGTTCAACAAACTTGGTGACAAATTCACCGCCGGTGGAAGGAATGTCAAGCTCCCACTTTTGAGTGCTGTTGTTCCATTCAGTCTCAGCATCAGACAACTCCGAACCGATCTGCCAAGAAAGATAGGCGCGCTCGCCCTTGGAGTTGTGGAGGCCGTCGTAGATAGCCTGTGCAACCGCAACGCCCTCGGCAGAGACAGTGCCGCTCTGAGCGGGCTGGTAGCTGGTACTGCTGCCCTCAGCACGCTTGACCTTGCTGCTGAAGCCAAAGCCTAGCGAGGTGCTAGTCTCGGCAGCACAGTAGTACTCCTCGCCAATGATGGAGGAGAGGTTGAAGTTGAGCATGCACAGATCAGTACGGGAGATGACACCGTCGGTGCGACCATCAAGAGGATCACAAGCTTTGATAGTAGCGTTCACAATCTTTGCCAGTTCACAGGGAGGGGGTAGTAATCCAGGGTCTTCTCCACTTCGGAAGAGAACACATGGTGGACTTGCTGCTGGCCGTATCGGAAGGCGGGAGCACCAGTAATGACTCCATCGTATTCCTCACCATATCGCTGAACTTGGCTCATGCCCTCACGGCCACCGTCAGAGCATCCCTCATAGTAGGTATAAACCTTGGAACTTGTCGAAAGACCATAGAACCCCTTTGTCACGTATTTACCCAGCTGGGTCATCTCGCCGAGCGCTTGGTAGCCGAACATATAAGTCGCATCCCAGTTGATGGAGCCGTTGCCGGCAAGGACCACATCGTCATAGGAAACAGAGTTGAGGGCATCGTACCCTGCCGAAGTGGCACCACCAACTGCACCATATTCAAGACCACCAGTGGAGTCGGTGTTCAGGGAGTAACCGCCACCACCGGCGACGTAGAAGCGCTTCTTGAAGTCCGAGGGCTCCGGGAAGGCGTACTTGACGACAATGTTATCGCTCTTTCCAGGGTGAACGTAGGTCAGGGTCACATTGCAGTAGCTGTAAGTCTCGCTCGAGCTGGAGCTGCTCATACCGCCCCCAGTGCTGGCATTTTCAACCACACTCGCAGTGGAAGCGGAAGGGATCAGGTTGATACCCAGCAGAGTTCCGTTGGAAGGCAGTGCAGACTTAACATTGGACAAGGTGCAGACGTCGGCCAGCGAGGTAGCACTGGCGGTAGCGGCGAAAGCCGCGACAAACGCGCCGGATTGAAGGCGCATGGTGATGATCTGGGTTCAAGAAGCAGACCAATGTTCAATAAAAGAATGGCAGAGGGGGTTGAATAGCAATGAATGGAAAATCCCCGTCTGCTGTGAAAATAAATGTTTCGAGTGAAAGCGTTATTTATCAATTTATAAGAACGACAATGCGTGGTTTGAGAACAGCCATCTTTCCGGTTAAGGGGAAGAAGGGTGGCCCTCGATAATTTGCTGATCTCCCGAATGGACTGAGCTCAGCCTATGAAACTCACCTCGCTATGGGGCTCCAGGTCCTGCTCAAGCTGCTAGAACCCAAGGAGCGTCGTCATCTTGCAATAAGACACGGCCCAGGCACCGGGCCAAGTGTTTGGGATAGAGAAAACATGAGAGCCGTTTCAACCCGTGGACGACTAATGAGATCGCGACCACCAGGGCCGCGTGGTTGTTTCTTCAAGAGCATAAGAATCTGGCGGAGGGCAAAACCGGTTGGAATTGGACACATAGAAAGGGGACTGAGCCAATGGAAAGCTTTGAACAGGTTCGAAACGGGGGCGCTTGGGTCCATGATGAAATTAAAGTGTACCTGAAAGCGTGGTGAACCCAAGTCTCAGGTGTTCCAGGGAGGTTCGAGGGCCCATCATAGAGTGAGCGGTTAAAGTTTGGTCCGGCTGGGCTGAAGATCTGCAGAGGCTAATGCGTAAGGGTTGTCCAAAACTGGGGAGACCGCGTCAGTCAGGGTGATTAAGCATGGCTCGGTGGAGCCCTGACTGCGGTCCGATGGCGGTTCATTCGTTTTGGACCCATGCTGAATATGGTCACCGGCTTCATGTCGGTGAAATTATGGGATGGATGGGAGCTGTGTTTCCTTATCAATCAACTGAGCCGACCAAAGCGGATCCATCCTGAAAGGTGGGAAGTATCACCAACTGGGAGAAGCAGCAATCCCCCGAAAACTCGCCGGTGTGTTGCGTTGACTAGAGCTATACGGATCTGGACGAGGCTGGCGAACGAAGGTAGGGAATGCGAGATGTTCTGAGCGGACGTGACATTATCCGAATTCCCGTACGCGCTACGGGCTGGCGTCGTCATCTCGAATAATGTGATCGAGCATGAACTGGACGCGACCAAGACTCTCGGGTTCCTCCACATGTTTCGCCCTCTTCCCGATACTTCGCATCCATGGTCTCCTCCCCCCTTCACGCCACAACCGAGATAAAGTGGGATATAACTGCCGATACCAGTGGATTTGGCTTTGGGGCGAGGAGGTCATTGGGAGGTGATCTGTACCCCAGATTGGTGGCTGACTGTCCTGGTGTCATCGCCTTCGCAATGTCCCCTTTAATGACCGGTTGATCTGATGCCAGCGTGAGCTGTGGAAGTACGGACAAATGGAAGCGTGGTGATCCAAGCATCGCCTATTGGTATCGGCTGAACGGCTGCATTAGTGTTACTGGGCGGCCATGAAGCGGTCTTGAGGTTGAGATCAAACATTGGCAAAAGTCGCACTGACAGGACAGTAGGCACAGTCGGCACATAACCCTGCGACGCCAGAAATTTGGATATGCATCCAATCAATAATTCCAGGGATGTTGAGCTCCCAATTCTAGGCTCCCTTTCAATTTACCATGCTGCTTTTGGGCACCATAAGGAAGCACCACAATTACAGCCGACCGTGGCCAATTAACCCTACTGACAGACATCATAGAACTTGAATTTGAAGGCGTAAACTGGTCTAGAAAGCCCTCGGTATCCAGATCAAATGTACCAAAATGATGACATGGATTAACACAGTATCTTTTAGGTAGACTAAAGGCCACCAAATACAAAAGAGGGGGGGGATATCAAATTGCAAGACGATGCGGGTAATCAAAATCTTTTCGGGTCGTAAACAATGCCAGAAAAAAAGGAAAAAAAAAAAAAAGAAAAACCCAAGAGGAGTCGTCAAAAGCTGAGAAAAGAACATGATTATACGGAAGTATCAAAGGTTGCCGATAGAGCAAGGCTACTCTTCAACCTGGTCGGCCCAAGTGCCGGTGAGAGGGGACATGGAAGATTCGAGCTTTTCCATCGAAGGCGGTGATCTGGTAGCTTTCGTTTCCAAAGTAGCCGGGGCAGTGTCTTCTGGCTTCTTACCAGCGGGAAGGGACGGGAATTCGGCTTGACTGTTGACTGCAGGTGTCGAGGCCTTGGGGCCGCCTCGCTCAGAGGGCTCGTTCGAAGCGGCCCGGTCACCTTGGGGCCCACGAGAAAGTCCACGGCCACGACCACCTCGTCCACCACGTCCACGCCCTCGACCAGTACTAGCATGGGGACCGGATTCATCAGAACGGCCTTCGTCAAAGTCCCGTCGTGCGTACCCAGTTACGCCACCATGCATGCCCCGGCGGAATTGACTACCACCACCGCGAGGGTTGTAGTCTTCTTCTTGTTTCTGCGAGTCCCACTCACGGCCGGTTTGTGCACGAAGCTTGCGCTGTCGGTTCTGCTCGCGCTCGTTGTCCATGACCTTTCGATTGGCGGCCTCCTGGCGTCGTTTTTCCGCTGCGACCTGCTCGCGTTCCAGGAACGAGGCCTGATCCGCCTCTGCGCGAGCATGAGCAGCTGCCTTCTTAGCGGCGTTCTCCTTCGCAGCCGCAATGCGCTTCGACAGTTCTTCTTCCGTGAGTTTTGGCTAGATACGCCCGTCAGTAACCAGTAACAGCATCATCGCTTGAAGAGGTTCTCAGGAGCCGGGAGCTTGCAGTACCTTTCGCACTCCCCCCGTGGCACTTCGGTCTCCTCGCACAGCCGGTACACGTTGGGGCTCAGCACCATTGGTAGGCTGCACTTCGCCCTTCGCGTCTTCCTCCTGGGCAGCTTGGTCCTTCGCTGAATCTTGTGGCTTGTCCGGTGTCACAGCTTCTGTGGCAGGCACTTTGGGCTCAATGGAGGCCTTAGGAGCCTTATTGCGTGGCGCACTCTCTGCGGGCTTCTTTTCGGCCCACTGAGACTCTTGCAACCCCCGTCCTCCTTTCCCCCGAGCGCCTCCACGGCCACGGCCGCGGCCACGATCGCCACCACGACCCCGCTGCGGTGTGTCCCCGCGTGGAAAGGGCTGTTGCTCAATGACTGGCCCTTGCGCCTGGGGTACGGGTTCTGGATCGGCTTCCGGGATCACCACCACCTCTGTCTGAGCCTGCTGCTCCTCCGCGGAGACTGGAATAATCTCATCATCGAAGAGGTCGTCAGCGCCTCGGGTTTGCGCGAATCCGTCCATGTCTGCCATTGTGAAGATTTTCTGTATGATTATTCAACAAGGGAATCTGCGAAAAGACACAACGTTCCGTCCGGCTGGATACACGGGGTTCGACGCGACTATGCTCCGAGGGGTAGCTTCGATGGGGGCGAGAAAGGGTGATCCGTGCGGGGACTAAGGAGGAACTAGAGTGGTGGGTGCCGGGCGTGATGCTAGTAGTGGATCTTGCACTTTGCGTCCTTCGTGAAGCAAGATACTGTCTTTTCTGCTGAAAGGAACAATGACGGCCCAGCAACGAGTCTAGCAAACCTGGCAAGCGTCCAACAGAACACTCCCAGGCGGTGTAGGTTTGCCTGCGGAACGGATTTGCTTTTTGCTGCCAGTTTCCGCCTCTGCTATTTTCTGCCGTGATGACGTCCTTTTTTAAACAATCCCCTTGCAGATCACAGAATCCGTGCACACCAGGCACACCAGGCACTTGAGAGCGACGCGGGTACCATTACCATACAGCCCCATGAAATTCAGAAGCTATGATATCCATGCCAGTCATTGTTCAACTACCTGATACATTCCATCTAGACTGCGTCTGTCTCCTGTGTGATTCTCGCAGTTGTCAAGACCTTTCCTTCACCTAGAGTTTCTTGAAGAGATGCATGCATTTTGTTGGCTATGGCTTCCTCGACATTGAAAGAATCATTGAAGGTCTCATATTCTGGCAAGGAATATAAGGAACTCCTGCTTAGTGCGGCGATTTGTGACCTGGATCCCCACCCTTGGCCACTAACTCGTTGCTTTAAGTCTATCAGCTTAACAATTCTAAAATATATTCCAGGGATACAAAAGCAGAATAAAGAAAGGAAATGGCGAGAAGATTTTCATTGTATATTATATGTGTATTCGTGTTTCAAGGCGTCGTGGCAGCCGGTTTCTGAGCTTGAGCGGGTCTACTTTGGTTTCATCTTTACGTCACCGAGACTGTGCCTATACCGAAAATTGTTCTGCATGTAGAGCCCCCACACACAGTCACACAGCCGCCAATGACTGATGCATAGAGCACTACCAGCCAGCGATTAACAGGACTTGCAAGACAAGGGCAAGAAAAGCCGCGGTTGTCCGCCGCGCCTAACCGTGGGCGGGAACATGTGGGACTATGAAGCTGCCAGCCACTGACGACACTCGGAACTCGCCGAGATCTAGAATTACCCCTGCCTGCAAGCCATTCCGATCGGAATCAAGACAGAAAATGAAAGTGTAAAACGTCATCAGGGTCGCTCTCATTCTGAACGGCTTGTACGAAGCTTTTCGCTTGAAATCCCGCCTGGACACTATCAGATACGAAAGGGTTGAAGTCCAAACGGACAATGGCTTTCATATTTCCTTGATTTTGGTCCAAAAACCCTGATCCGGGGAACTTTGGGTACGGAAAATAACTCCTCGTATCCCCCTTTTCAAGCCCCTGGAACATGATAGACAAGACTGGATTTCAATGACGCAATATGGTAGGATGGGGACGACTGAGGTTGTAAGATAAATGGAGCTCATTTCCCCGTCGAAGCAACCATTAAAATCGTCACCAACATTATCACATCAAATAAGTTTATTCTCCAATACTCAACCGATTATCTCTCAACAATGGAGACTGTCAAGGTATGCGGTTACAGCTTAGGACAGACTTGAGGTTCTATATGTTAATCGATTTTAGAACGCTGCCAACTATGTCGTCGAGACTGTCCAAGGTGCCGGTGCTGAGGCGTCCAAGGAGGCCAACAAGAGCGTGGCAAAAGATTCTGATGTTAGCCTGAGCACTCGTGCCAGTGCTGCTGTTGACGCTATTGGAGACAAGAAGGATGAACATGTCCACGATGCCAAGGCCGATGTTTACAAGGGTACGTCTCCGTCTTTTTTTGCCTCAAATGATCTCCTCCATATGTATATATATGTGTCTGACATACTTTGAAGAAGCTGCTAAGCACTAAACGGATAACTCGCACTTGTTGTGACAACACTGAAGGAGTTAACTGGCCATGTCAACAGAGTCACTTCCAAATAAGCTGAAGAGGTCGCATTTGGACAGCTTATATGAATCTATGATTAAATTTGATCTATACATATAATGAATAAACATTTGAGAAAAAAAAAATTAAACCTCACTCTCGAAAAGAATTTAATACATTATGGATGTTGACAATCGTCCGATTCATCCCTTAGGTCTGGTTGTTGGCAGTAATTCAGAACTTCATCTATAATCAAAGACTCCATCCTGCATGAAAGTTACAATTGGGGTTTTTGTCAAAGCTTTGGATCGTGCTTCCAGCCTTGCATATCAGCGAGATCCTTGGGCACACCACCCCGTCTAGACTTAAGGGCATCACCGCCAGGTCTCCACTTCCAAGAATCAGCAAGATCAGGGGCAAGAGAACCTTCAATCAACTCCACGACATGCTTTCCAATATTTGGCAAAATTTTGAAAGAATGCCTAGAAAAAGAAATATGTTAGTTTCCTAAATCGTACAATGTCCAATAAGTGATCGTATACAAGCTCATACCCACTGTCTCCTGTCGCGAGGAAAAAGCCTTTCCATTTGGGGTGTTCGCATATCAGGAGATTTGCATCAGCAGTGTCGGTGCACCAGCACATAGTCCGGCTGAAAAGTTTCTTGTTCTCGAAAGCAGGCATAAACCTCTTGATAGCCTTTCGAATTGTTATTTCGGAGGCATCTGGATAAGTATCCGTCGGATGCTTAGCATGTGATCGCGGAACAGATATCATTTTCGGAGAGTTAGCACCGTAGGGCTGGTGCTTTTTGAAGCGGGAGAACCCCGGGAACTCATCGCAGACTTTGATGATTCCATGCCTGTAGATTCAACCTTAGAACAGACGCATGCACATGTCTTGGAGATTTGTTTACTCATTGGGCTCGAAGAAGAAACCATAATCACAGTCATAGACCACAGGGATGCCCTTGTATTGACTCGCTTCGTGAGCCGTAAGTTGAATATGAGCGAAAACCCAAGCCTTTAGATTCCAGTCAATGACCCCAGTTAAGCCAAATAAACCTGTCTTGTTTGAGGTGTAAAAACGGTTGGGGCGGGGGTCTTACTTTGGAAACGCATTGATCTTCTAGATCAATTAATGTTGGACTCCACGCCCCGGTAGCCAAGACTATCTTATCGGCGTAATATTTCTTCCCATCCACTGTTTCAACCCCATGGCAAGTTGTTCCATCTGAGGTGAATAGGGGCCGCTTGAATGTCCCGGCGCTGGCAGTACACGTTCGTTAATGAAAGACGCAGCTCCCATGGGCTTGAAAAGGAATCACACGTACCTGCCAAATCCAAAATTGACACCCTTGTGTTTCAGGAATTGCCCAATCGCATTGATAGCTTTGGCAGCCGAAAGCCAGCCTCCGTCACTGCAAAACACACCTTTCCACCCCTGTTGGTTTTACTACAGTGAGTCCTGGATACTCGTGGTCTTTTGATGGAGAGATTTGTTACTTTAAGCTGCTCCCGCGTAAAGTTTGGTGCCTTCGCCTGAATGTCATCTTCGTTATCCAGCCAGAAGTTTGTCTTATCTAGCCCAATATTCGCATCGAGGAGTGATTGATACTTCTTCCGAAGCGCGGAGATCCCCTCATCCGATGATGAGCAGTCAATCTAGCAAGTCAATAATTATTCTATGAACGTCCAGAGACCGAATACTTACCATGCCGACATTGTGGAAGAAAGGCATAAATAATGAATCGTTTTTCCACATATCTAGCGCCTCCAGCGAAAGTTGTAAATCTGAACGGTTTCGTAACCGGATGCCCATGATCTTATTGAGATCATTTCCCGCAGACTGTGATGAAGGAATCGGATACACGTCAAGAACGGTAATATTTGACGGAGTATACCCGCACCGAACGAGATGCAATGCGGTGGAGGAACCAATAGTGCCCCCTCCACCGACGACAATAATTTTTGTGGTTGCACGTGAGTGAGTCATCTCAATCGATCAATAGCTTTTTGCAAGGGGACGATACGATGGACGTGAGAAAAGGAGCTGAAATAATTGCAACCTCAGCCTGTCTAGTTCAACGAAAGATGCCGAGTCTAATAAGCCGATAAGAGTCACCCCACGTGATTGATTCTTGGGCTAGTTGTGTTGTTTTTGTCGGGATACTCCACAGCGGCCACTTTCAGGCGTTGTGTTTCGATTTTGGGAACCAAGAACCGATATGATTAAGGCCTCTCGTTATTATTGGTGCGAGATGGCAAACTTATCGCAAGAGATTACGAGGGAATGGGACGCTAGCGCGAGGCCTTTTTCGTGTGGACCTTCCATCGTCTCTCGGGAACCCTATAGCTCGAAGGGGCATTGGAGAATGTGGGGGGTCAAACCCCTCTACCCTCTTGCCCCACCGGCCTCGGGGTCTGGAGAGATTCCGGGGGCACATACGTAGATAAGCCCTGGGCGTGGACCTTCCATCAACTCTCAGGGACCCCAATGCCCACGATAAGACCGATGGAAACGCGGAGAAAATGCAATATTTCGCATTTACGTACGCCGGAGGCCAAAACATATAGGCTTAGCGTGTATGGGTTTAAGTATATATAGTCGGAGTTTGAAGCTTCTAATTTGATCCTTTTGTCATAGTCAGTTCTATATCCCATGGCTCAACGGGTTTGTGCTACTATACCTGACACAAAGAATGCCATGTCTTGTACCAAAATCAATCTTCCCCCCGAGCAGGAAAGTCACACTAGCTTTCAGGGGATTGACATCGACCAGTACGAAGAGACTGTCCCAAGATGGAAACGACTTTGGCAGCACAGCTTAACGCAGATGATTTTACTAAGTATTCAGGCCTTCTGTGGACCAGCCATGTCAGACGCAATCACAGGTGGGTGCATCGGATATTATACCTCTCCTACCATGGTTTGCTCAACCCATCACCTCTAGGTCTTGGTGGAGGTGGTCTTGCATCTCCCCACGTGTCGAATATTGCGACCGCAATCACATATGCCCTGCTAGCTGTCGGTAAGTTCCGTGATATATTTTAGGGAAAAAAAAAAAAAAAAATCTCAGCTCTAACAGGTGACTAGTATGTTTCTTGGGCGGGCCATTAGTGAACAAAATCGGTGTCAAGTGGGCTCTGGTTCTTGGTTCAATGTCCTTTCCCATTCAAGGCTCAGCGTACTATTGTAATAGCAAGTTTGGAAACCAGTGGGTGTGTATTGACGCTTGTTCTATTCTTCCACAGAACTCAAACTAATAATATCTATCTCTCTTTAGTATCTTATTCTCAGTGGTGCAATCAGTGGAATTGGAACTGCTTGCTGGTATGTCGCGGAAGCAGGTGCAATTATGACCCTTGCACCTTCTGGTGCCCGTGGAAAATATTTAGCTCTGTGGATTGTATCGCGAAATCTTGGTCAGCTCGTGGGAGGTGCAATCAAGTGAGTATTTATTTGGAAATTGAGTTGACGAAATTTACGTATTAACGCACCGAGAAGTATCTCCAAGAACTATCAAAAAGGAGTTGAGGGCGGAGTCTCTCCAGATACCTATTTGGCATTCGTGATTATTGAATCTGTTGCGTATGTATAAAACGAAGATGAAGATGACGCTATCAATACATGGACTGATACTAATTAAATATCACCTATCAGTCTCCCATTTGCGCTGTTGATAATTCCCTTTGAACGTGTCATCCGATCTGATGGGACCAGAATCGTCATATCGAACCCTCTTTCTACCAGGATGGAATTGAAGCACATTGCGAAGACAATGAGCTCAAAGCTAATACTACTTTCAATGTTTTGGGCCTTATGGTCGTTCTTTTATAGGTAAATATTGGAATTCTTCTCAGGTTAAGATCAAACAAGCTAACCTAAGTAGTGGAACATGGAGCACCTATTTAGGAACCTATTTCTCTGTGCGCGCTCGCGCGCTCTCATCTCTCATCTCGCCATTCTTCTGCATGTAAGTACAATATATATAATAGAGCTTACAGTCCGTTAATTTCCCACTTTTTCTGTTCCTAGTGTCGGCTGTTTCGGACTTGGATTCATACTAGATATGAAGGGTGTCAGTCAGCGTCGTCGTGCCCAATTTGGTCTTTTCACTGTCGTCATTCTCAACACCGCAGTATACATTTGGTCGATAATCATGCAAGTCAAGTTCAATAAACATGACCCTGGTAACATAGATTGGGATGATGCGTTATACCCCTCATCGTTTTTGCCATACTTCTTTGTCCAGACTACTGGCCCATTGTCACAGTCATATATGTATTGGCTCCTCTCATCTTTTGCAACGGATGCCCAGGGTAAGATAATTGTTGGAACTTATTTTAATGTGAATCCGGATCTTACGTTAATTCTTTCCCAGAGAATGTAAGGAATGGTGCTGCATTTAGGTGTATCGAAGCGGTCGGCCAAGCTATTTCGTACGGAATGAATACGCAAACGACAAATAACCCACTGATTGGATTGTGAGTGACCTGAGTATCACTATGGAAATCATTTCTAAAGTATTTTCTGACTAATTTCACAGCTGTGTCTCCTTTGCTTTACTTGGGATTGCTCTGTTCCCCATGATAACCTTGGTGAACACAACACCTGACCTTATCCCAGCTGACGTAGTTGCCGAGCAGCAGAGTGCTGATCTGGGAAAGACCGAGGTCAATTAATTAGTGGAAATGTTTTTATGGCTTACATTAGATCTGGCCAGCTAGCAAAGAGGTTCATGGAAACTTGGACAAGAAATGGACGCATATGACGGACATATGTTAAACTTTGGAAAATGAATCTATATGTTCTGTCTCAAGAACGGACTGCGAGACGATTAAGTATCGGGACTGAACTCAAATACATTCCCAAGCATTCTCATCAGTGTAGTTTCCGGGACCCTTGAACACATTTCGGCGAGGGTAGCGGCAGTGCTTGCGACGGTATTCGATCTCGGATCCAGGACCATCGGTAAACTTGGCGCCACGGACAGTTTCAGGCGCCACACCTTGCTCAACCCATCTCACCATAGCCATAAGAACGTTGTCCTCCGGGTCACTACCAGCGTAGGTATCAATGCCCTGGCCAATACCATAAGCACCATCGCCATCCCCACAGTGACCCATACCGCTGATAGTAAAGAAACGGTAGAATTCATCAAGGCTAGCCGGTGGCAGATTCATCGTCTCAGCAACGTGGGAGTAATACCACTTGGAGTCATCTGAGCTGATGAGCTGGTCCTGCAGACCGTGATAGTGAAGAACCTTTCCGCCTGCCTTCTGGAAAGGCGAGAGGTCACCATCCCAGGTTTGGATATTATACGGATTCTGAGCAAGTGCGACTGCTGCATCCTTGACTGTCCAGTTCTCGCCACGCCAGGACGGGTTATTATAGACGACATATCGGTACCAATCGGTGCTATAGGAAAAGGGTTCACCAGTATACATGATTGATGAGGCTGCGATCTCTGACCCGGGTTGCATGCGGGGGTACAGCTGGGTGCCGTTGATGCCGTTAAGAGGAGAGAGGACCTGCTGCGCGGTGTGTACCTGAGTGCCAGTCAGGCAACTGGATGTATTGGAAGTATTAGGCGCGCAGATCAATGTTTCCAGAATAGGGTGGCATAGATCTGGATCTTCGATCACGCCATCCTTTGCTCCGTCAATAGTATCGCACTGGCGAAGGATCTCTTCATGAACAATCTTCCATTCAGCAGGTGAAAGATAAGTATCAGAGGATGGAGACCCGGTGATGGGGTAGAAATGAGCACTCCAGGCCAGCAAATTAATGAAGTTGATAGCAGGAGCGCCAGCAACGACGCCATCAAAATCATTGGGGTATTTCTGGATAGACTTCCAGCCCTGACGACCACCAGTAGAGCAGCCAAGGTAGTAACTCTTATTGAAACCCTCATCATAGAATTGATTGGTAAGTTCTTTGCCAATAACGACGCCGGTGTGAACCGAGCGATAAGCAAAGTCCTCAACAACCTCAGGATGACGGTAAAACGGTTTGCCAGAAGTGCCATTGTGGCCATTATTGGCACCGACCGTAGCGAATCCAAACTGAGCTGTATAAGCGAGATCGTAGTACTGAATGCCTGTCAGGGCGTCAGTATTGTACCGATATGAGATTAGTCATATTTGACACGTACATCCGGAGAGACCGCCGTTTCCTGTACTCAGGAAACGACCCTTATAATCTCGAGGGAACCAGGCCTCGAGCGTAATTTGACTGCTGGAAGAAGTCTTGACAGCCATTGCAACTCGGCACAAATCAACTGAGACTTCCTGGTAGGAGGCGCCACAGCTCGCCGCATTGTCTGGCAAAGACAGGTTTGTCCCTCCTTGGACAAATTCGGCAAAATTCACCTGCACATTCGGAATGTTGATCCTCTTGCCAAACTCGACACACTTGGTCTGAAAGGAATCTTGGCTGGCAAGGGCCACCGAGCCCAATGCGAGTAGGGGTAGTTGAAATCCTCGAGTCATGTCGAACAGTTGCAATTGTACAAAGGCCGAGCCAAATCCAGGACCAGCAGGCACCGATAGAAAGCGGCGCAGGCGTGCTCGATCCTATTTAACCTAGGGAGCTACTATGGCGATCCCTGCTTGATCTCGTCATCAAGTCCATCAAGTCCACCTGGGGAGGGAGAAGCCGAGGAGCGGCAACTAGGAGCCAAGCAGGTCCCGTCTGCTGCAGACGGGACTATGACGCGACACGGGGAAATCCCGAAGATAATCCGACCCTGGCGTGAGGAGGGTCAACTTGCGCGAGCACAGATTGGTCAAGCGACCAAGACGTGGATCGTCATGAGGAAATAAGTGGTCAATACCCGCAGCGGGACAAGAGCTTGAAATGGATCAAAGTGGGGAAGAAGGGACAATCTGGAAAATCCGGACCAACCAGATTGCCAACAGACGCCGCCACGAATCTGGGGACTCCACAAACGCGGGGGTGGTTAAACTACAACCGGAAGCATGGCTACTGAAATCGGCACTTCATAATACGCGTATCATCTTTTCCTAGGCAGAACAACACAGGCCGATGGTTATCCAGAAATACCTTTATCCCTGGTTACTAATTGGATGCGAAGAGCGCACAAGCCTGCTAGTAAGCTTGATCGAATTTGCACCCCCCCCCCCCCCGCTCCCCAATCCACCGATCAGTCAGTCAATTTTAGTCATTCCGGATATCATTGCCATTTGATCGTGCTCCTAGTGTACGAGTTGCATTACATATTTGCTGACAAGCTTTCGAGTCTCCGTTTCCCACAATCCACTAGCTGTATTCGGATTTATGCCCTAAATCGGTTTATTGGCCCACCCCTAATCAATCAATATTCTTATCCCCGATGGAGCTTCTTCTATGTATAAGACCTCTATGTATAAAATGCTATGCAAATTGTTGCGCCCATCGTGTCAGTCCGGCGCGTGCGAGAAGTTGCCAGCAAAACTAGTCCTTGCTGAGATCAGAAATTGAAACACCACGGATATACTTCCAGTTAGTCATACTTGTGTCCAAATATAATGTTTCATCAGATTTGAATTTACTCACCGAAGGATATCATTGGCCGAATGGTTTAGTGGGCTACTATGTATGATGCAGCGCCTATGGATTACTTGATGAAGATCCGCGTGCCAAGTTAGATTAGGTGTACTGTGGCCAAACCGCTCGCCTGGGTGTGTTTATAAAGTTCTCCCCATCGCCGCTTCAATGTTCCATTATATTTTCAACCTTCTTGCTGTTTCATTCTTCCCGTCTTTCAAGTACACTCCGCTTGTGAGGAGCTTTTGCCATTGAACCGTATCACCGAGCCTGTCACACTCTTTGTCGCCTGCGTGAACCAGCCAGTGCCTTGCCTTCTTTCAAGACCTCGAACGCAGATCTACGTACTTTTCCTGGCTCTACCCTTTCCCATATCAGCTATATTACCTACAATCGAAGTCAGGAGGTCTTATTTCCAATCCGAAATGTCAACTTGAAGGCCTGCGGGGTCATACCGCAATTGGTTCAGCTTGGCCCTGCGAATGGCCTGAAGTAGTCGTATGCGGCTCCATTGTTATCCTTGAGTTGGGCATATCAGCCAATCTCATGATTATTAAAGATTCTCTAGCTCTGTTTGGCTTAGCATCCAATCCTAGTATGATCCACGCGGTTTGCATTATTTTGAGATCGGATCCCGACTGGGATTACTGGGTCACCTTATTTTGACAAATCAGCCTTTATCGGCCCGTATTCAGTTTTTATAGTGTTGTATTAGTCGCAATATGCTATTGCGATATCTGACGGTGGCTATATTGCGGGTTTCACACGAAGTGTCAAATTCCGAAAAGCTGCTAGGCGATCAAGTTGGTCTAATACATGCGAGCCATTATCATCAATCTATCTTCCATGAGCCAGAAAAGCCTTCACCTTCACCCTCAATATAGGAATTATTAACGTCTTAATTGTACTTCTGTCTTTAATTTCTCTAAACTCCTCTTGTCACTTTTGCAGTCATTGAGTTTGTGCAAAATGCTGGAAAAGTGGAATAGCCAGCAGAAAAGCGTAAGTAAATGGCTACTCATTGACTAAGCTCGCTATTGACTAAGCTCATAGGGCTCAGAACCATCGTTCCTCAATCTGTTAGACGCTCTGGTCGAATTTTGTGAATCATGAACTTCACTCGTTTGCCCTGGGCTCTGGTTTCCATAATAGCCTACAAAGCTTGGATTGTGATCTAACTCATGCCAGGTATCTCGCTTGCCGCCAGAAATTTCCACTGGCCAGAATCCTCGCGTGAGAACACGAGGTCTGACATAATCTTGAGGTGGTAGAGTGTCCACAACTTTAGTTCCTTGCCGGTGACGAATCCAGAACCAAGCAACTATACCAACGATCGCAACAGCAGCGAACGCACAGCCGATACTAATCCCTACCTTAGCACCAGTAGAGAGGCTAGTGCGAGTAGATGAATTTGTAGAAGAGCTCGACGAATTCGTTCCCGAATGAGTTATAACAACATTTGAGGGGAGGGCGGTCCAGAACGATGCCCAAGTGTTTTCCCAACTGTTTTCAGTACCAGTAATGGTAGTCGTAGTGGGCTCTATGTCGACAGCGTTTTTGATGAAGCTATAGTCTGGCCCAGGGGCTTGAGACAGAAACCAACATTTCTGTGACCAGTGCACAGCATAGAAAGCTGCTTGGAGAAAAGCTCTGCCCAGAACCAGGTTGCCATCGGTGGGCATGAGTGGCAAGTATGGAGTATCAACTTTCACTAGGGGGGTGAGAGCGTGAGGTTTAGAAGAGCGAAAGGAACCTTTATGCTGATTTCTTCCGTATTGATGCCACTCTTAACGAAAGTAAAGGCCAAATAGCTAGGAGATGTGAGAACTTTAGAGTAATTCTCATTGCTTGTATCCCAAGTATAAAGACCGAGGTCGGATTGATAAGAGACGGGGAGGTTAGCAGTGATAGCATCAGCTGTGCTCTGAGGCACGTAGATATAGGGATTTGTTGCATCGATTGCAACATTCACTCCAGACGATAAGGAGGAATTAGACTTCCCTAACAAGCCTGTGATGTTAGAGGATTCCCAAACAGAGCCGCCTTGCACAACACCAATGCTAATATCAAGAAGTTCTATTGGCAGCTTCCCGCTGTCAGTTGGCTGGGTAGATATATCCCCAATCACCCGGTTCTTATCGTAGCCTCCTAGGTACAGAGACCCAGGAATCTTGAGTTTTGGAGAGCCGATATGCATTCCATATGAATAAGACGGAGTGACGCCATGCTTATATAGCCAGCTAGTGACAAAGGTTCCATTCACGGACGACCCACTAGTCTCAGTGAACGTCTGGTTAATATCTGGAGACCCTAGTGCAAGGACCCCCACATCCAGGGGAAATAAAGTCCCTCCCGGGTACGTCTGATACCCTTGTTCGATAGCAATCAAATTTGAATCTGATGTGCCTTCTCCTTCGACATCTATCGATTCAAGAGCTCGATAAGCATAGGCTTTCAGAGACACCGCATCGGTATATCCCCATTGCAAATTTGACCACTCGTTGTGGGGTTTGAGATCGATGGATGTATTGTCCCAAGTGTCCGAGGTAAGAGGGTTATAAAGGCCAGCGCTATCTCCATAGCAGTACGACGAGATGGTCTTGTTGTCGCAAAGCGTGTCAAGAAGGACGTAGCTTGCCCATGAAGCTCCTGGATACATGGCTATTTCTGTGGCCGTGCTCCCCATTTTGATAATGACAGCATGCCAAGGGCCATCGGATCCAAATGTTGAATCGGACCAGGTCATTGCCCATGCACCCTGGGCGGAGGCATGGTCAAAATACAGCAACCCAATGATGATGATCGCATAATGTGAGAAAAGTCTCATTTCTAGCTTTCCGAGAGAGGGTCAGTACTGAATCCATGGGGGTCTTCCATCGAGGTTGATATGATGTGAAAGCGCCTTAAAGCAAACTGCTGCAGTTCCGATGGATTTGGGTGGCTGACCGTACTGACCGAACGTAAAAGAACTCCCCCGAAATACGATTCAGGGGACGACCAACGGTCGGAGATGGAGATTTACCTACAATCACAAGTTCTTCACGGGTGGCAAGTGATGTAAGTGATACCGAAGCCTAGAAAACTCAAGACTGAGTCCACAGAAATCAGCGGTTAATCAATCTCTATATGGGGATCACCGATGAAACGGAGGGAGTCGAACTACATAGCTGAGATGGCAGCGTTCGCTAATCTTAGTTCACGAACTCCATGCATCTTCTGTGGGCTTAACGTCCGGTCGCAAGCTAAAGGGTGGCTCAAGCGCCCAACGGCCCCTTACGGACTCGCAGGATTCAGGTTCCTTTTCATCAAATGACTAATTATACTCGTCCGCGAATGACGGCTCGCACGTCATGAACCCTGCCCATTTTAGCTTGACAAAGTACTGTAAGAGTTGTGGAGCTCTCTCTTGCAGTGTCGCTTCGCCATGAGCACAACGGAGTCCACCATGTGCTCGGCTTGGCTCGATGACCCACCTCCTATTCTGTCATTTTTTTCCAGCCAATAAAGCTCTTCAGGTGCCCCTGCTCATTTCCCGTTCAGCACGCTCAGCAATTCTTGCATGCCATTACGGAGGAGGCATGGGTGCCATGCAGATCGCACCCGAAAGGAGCATTCGGGTGTTACCTCCCTCCGGCCGATCTAGCTGATCTCTACAAATTGCGGCTTAAGATGTAAAAGTCTTCCGACCCGCGCATTTGGGGGACCCCTGTAGTGGGTTCTTTGCCCGCTTTATGAGAGCCCGTTTCAACTACTGCAGGTCAGGGCTCGGGCCGGCAAGCTGATTCGGGTGAAAAGGGCGATGGGCGAACGAGTACAGTACAGTACTTTACAGTTTAGCGCCACAATCATTCTGCTGGTCTTTCATGTTATCTCGGAGTCAACGCGCACTAGTCGTGGGGGCCCACACTAATGACAAATAAAGAGCCACTCCATGCGCTGTGCTCTCGCCTGCCTTCTGTGTGGATTCCTGGCCCCCATCCCCTAAATTCTCAACTTGGCCGCATTTCACTGTTGTCAATCCACCGTACATTATGGTTTTCTGAACAGTTTGTGAAGTACCAGTTGAGAAAGGTTGATACCATATTTTTGCGTTGCAAATACCTAGATGGATGGAAATTAAGAAAAACCCGCCCCCGTGGCTTTATCCCATAGCAGGACTTTAAGAATGGCCCATCAGAACTTCCAGGCTATGGGGTCTAGCATTACCTACGTTATCTCCACCTTTGCTGCCCTCGCAGTGGAATATTCAAAAAAGAACTTGCAATGGAATCATGATATTCGGGTCGAGTCCCTCCTGCTAGGCTGTCATTTACCTGGGACTTAAATTGCAACCCAAAGTGTTAAAATTGCATGGAGCGAAGTCGGAAGATGAAGAGTTCTCATCGCCTAGAGAAGTCAACGATGTCACCGGACAGCATGGAGCATCTCGCTCTCCGTCGCGATTGTGCGCATATTAACTGTGTGTTATGACACGACGCTTGCTATGGTACTCCTTGGCCTAAATGATTCTTGACCAATGCAGACTGATGTTTTGCAGCCACTGACTGTGTATTCACATATCTTGCACTGTCCTATCGAGATCCACGATCGACCGCCAACCTTCCAGAACCGGGTGGCCTCAATCCACTGCCCCGATCAAATAAGCTCCAAAATTCCGTCCATTTCTCACTCTTCCTACTTGGGATACAATCTCTTTTCCTCATTTCGTACCTTTTAGAAGGCGTTCCTATCTCTGTCTTGTCTCTTTTTATCTTAGCCAAATCCTCAAGCTTTTTTTTGCTTCATCTATCCCAGAGTCATGGCCAACAGCTGTCATATCTGCGGATGACAGGCAATTGTCATTCGAGTATCTTTCATTCCCATAGAATTTCTGCGCATCAGCTCGCTGTCATCACCTTGCAATCATTGGAATTAGTAAAGTTCTATGATTTTCTACAAGGCTTCTCCGAGTAGCAGGTAAGGGCTGCGTTGTACAAACACACCTACGCACAAAACTAGAACGGTCTCGAACAAGCGGATTCAGGCTTGCAAAACCTCATTTTGAAGGACGGACATCAGTCATCCTTTTTTGGCACCATGTTTCTACGAAACGAGTCAAAAGGTGTTAGGCCAATGAAGCCATTTTATATCCCTAGATACTAGTAAATTTTCTGTCTGGTTCGGAAGCTACCAATAGGGAAATATTTTTGATAGCAAATCCGAGGGAGATCTTGACGGCCTGTATACATACCCTTTTCTCCCATATCCCTCCCTTTCCCAAGTGCCTGGTTGCACGTATTGATCAGTCACTCCCCTTCCATGTAAAATCGTCATGCACAATAGAGTGGAGACAGTCCAAATTCTTCTTCCAAATATGTCGTTCTTTCCTGACTCTTGACACCCTCGAAGTCGATCAGGCCATATCAGACTCCATTGTGACGGTGATTTTGTCGAGATTCTGATGTTGGAAGCACCTAATGGACCTGTTAAAAAGTGAGAATCTCTTGAAAGCAGTAGGGCTGGGTACATGGATGACGATCTTTGGCATTTTTCCTTTATCGCACTGGAATCTACGTATTTTAGTAAGGAAGTGGCGGTCTGCAGAATGATTCAGGATTGATGTATATAAAACTAACCCCTTCGCAGAGACAGATGATCAGACACCCTTCGTTTGTTTATATTTCTATTTCTCCTCCCCAGTACTCCTATTATCTCCGACAGATTGGAAATGGTTCGCAAACAGGTGCAGCCTTACACTATTTTAGTATGTAGAAGATCAAATCAAAGGTGCTCGGCTTATCCGTAGTGGAACGTCGGTTAGAAATTGGGGCTCGCCACACCAGCCCAGACCCAAGTACCATAGATAACTCAAAAAGCTTAATGACATGTCTTCGATACTGTCTGAGTTTTCTGAGGGTTGAGGGGGAATTTATCTAATCGGATGATTGGATGATTGCATTACGATACGAATATGATGAAAAGTTCCCCATGACTTCCACAGCCCCATTCAAGCCCACCGGGCTATGGGGCTGCTAAATTAGCTTGGCATTGAGGGACTTTTGTGGTCAGAATGATAGAGAGGGAGTCTCGTTTCACGAACCGATCAAAAATAAGAAGATCAATAAAGAAAAAACTTCAAGTTATCATTGCAACGCAAATAATCAATCTATATATACATGGACTTGTTGGTTTAACTTATGTTTTGTAAAAACCATTTATTGAGACAAGTCAAGCACCTGCGCAACGTAGATGGGAATCATGATACCGGAACATAAACACCGTCTTCGGAATCCTTGGAATCGCCTTCACTGGTCTCTTCCTAAGTGTTACAAATGACCTACTATAAGTCAGCAAACGTGATGAACGAGAAAATACAAACGAGAAAAGAAAGACGTACCTCTCGGCGATTCTTAAAATCTTGGTAAATTCCCAGCCAAATATTCAAGGCACGGCAATCGTCGTCTTTATTGGTAAGAGGATTGAAATCGCATGTGGGTTGCTTCTCGTCAATAATATGTTTCGGTGCTTGGATCCAGGGCTATTGACGAGGGACAAACAGATGAGCCTTGCACATTCGAGTTCATGGTTGCCGGTGGCTTCACATACCTTAGGCACAGGCCAATCGGAGAAATGTAGATACTTTGCCTCCGCAAGGACTTCATAGGGATCCCACTTTTCTAGTGGATTTCCGAGATAGGAAGTATGTTTCTTACTGCGAAACTCTCCAGTCAAGAGATCATAAGGGCGGTGGGGCAAGACAAATGCGCTGTCTTGATATAAGTCGTTGACAATTTCCATATCGTAGTCACTTGAACTGGCATTGTGAATCGCGTCCATGATACGCTGAAACTCAAAATCCGATGGCTGAACTAAAACGACCTGGGAGCTCAGGATACGGTCGTCAGGATTGAGCCAGTATGCTCGGGGCATCGCAACAGGAGACGGAGGAAGGAGAAATAACTCGTCCATAGTCTGGCAAAGTATTAGAGTAAGAGCAGAATGAAGAAAGTATATTGATAGAGGTACCTGAAGAATGGTGGAGTCCGAGTCCAAGCTGAGGACCCGATCGTATTGGGTTTGGTTGAAAGCAAGCAGTTTCGTGTAACTTTCAGCCCACGTTCCTGGATTCGTCATTGAATTAGTACGTGAGATAGGAGCAGCTCGGGCAAGACGATCGGCCATTCTTCCCAAGATCTGGATAGAGACGTACGGTCGCCCCCATTCCGGCTTTGAACCTTGATTGGTTGCAATTTCACATTATATTGATCGCGAGCGATGCGCAGCAACTTTGACTCTTTTGAAGTTTCACTCTCGGCAATGGACCAGTCTTCGGGATACATCATCAACCGATCTGGCTTGCTACCAAGGCGATTAAGTGACTCAAACATCATCACCGAATTGCATAGATAATCCGTATCCGTGACATACTGGGTGTAGGCAAAGCGGCTCCAATTGATCTCTTGCCCGGGATGCAAGGAGATGTCGGACTTTGGATAGCTTGATATCCTTTGGTATTTCAAGAGAGTCGTAACTGCGAAGAAGAAGGCAATAAGCCCCAGCGCCCAACGGAAGCCTTTCAACAACATAATATGCATGGAGGTCGTCAAGCTGCACGGAGAATGTGACCGGCCATCCGACTCATGAAACCCAGCAAAGGCTCTGTGATCTCGACTTATCGAAAGATGAGAAAGATGGTCGACGTTAGGTGGCTCACTAGGCTTGTCAGCGTCATTGCCAGGTGGCCATGAGGAGATAGTCAGCAAAGACAGGCGGGGAAATGAGCATTAGCCCCCCAGGACTTTTTCAAGGGCTCCATATCGAACGGGCGGTGCGTGGACGAGTTCGGGTGCACATCGATCCCAGCCTATCAAACCCGAAAACCCACCCTCAATGGATTTAAAAGTGGACCAAAATGAGCCAACTGCATGAACTAAAGATCCGCTAAAACCTTTCACGACTGGCCATTGGTGTTTCTCAGTGAGACCGAGTGTCGCTACGGAGCTGCACGCTCAGCGGAACGGGAAAAGCCTTGTTTCGATGAGTGTCTCTGATAGGATGGATGTTTCGTTTAGTGGGGTCGTCGCTTGGCCTCAGGGGGGCCAAAAATTGCCCCAATGTCGATCTTGTCCACGGGAACAAACTCAGGGACAGCGAGGGTCACAAATTGTATATTGTTATCGAGAGACCATATCGGTAGAAAAATAAAGAGTTCGGAGTCGCGGGATATCTTTGAGCACAGTGCACTCAAGCCTGTGCGAAAAGTTGAAATAGCCGGCAGCTTAGGGTTTCGGCTCCATAGCCTGTCCTCCAGCCTCAACCCCTGGGGCTCACCTGCAGTCCCCAAATCAGCCAAAGCACAATCCTTCGTCTCAAGGAGGGTCATCGAGAGATTAGCATAGCAATCCTGGTTCGATTGAGCGCCCGCGATTTGGCAACAGGTGGACCAGCTTGTCCTCATTTGGAATGGTCAAACCCTTGGAGGGGGCAGGGTGTTCTGCCGTCCCTGTCATTGCCCAAATCTTCTATTTTGGCGGCTTTTGGTCTATTCTTGGGCACGCGGCTCATGCAATGTCCTGTTAGTTTAGCTAACAAACGGCGCATCTGCGCTTTCTGTGATTCCCCTCCCTTTTCCCTCATCTATCCCCCTATCGGCACTCGAGGGCGGAGTATAATTCTTCTGCATCCCCACGCTCTCCCAAAAGAAGAGCAGGTCAACTTCTTTGCCGAACTTGGGCCACGCCTACCGGTTCTCTACTCTCCCCAAGAAGGCCGCTGGACTGCTTGGTCCATTTTGATTCCAATCTTTCAGTTTTCTGTCAAACTATTTTGTTTCCCAAATTCATGATGGGTAAGCCATCCTGCCTGATTTGAAAACCTGTGTCAGGTCATTGTGATTGAGACACCGCTCAGAAAGTTGATGTTAATAAATATTATCTCTTTAGGGACGCAGAGCCCATTCCTGCGTGGCTTCGGCCTTCTCTGGGTGTTGTGCAGTAGGGGAGTGCTTGCTAATAGTCCCTTCGGTATGACTTGGTCCTCCAAAAGCTTCGGACCCGATGGCCCTTGGCGTGCCGTGCAGATCTCAATGGGAGGAAATGACACCGTGCTCGATTTGTACCCAGGAGCCTCCTGGGAAAGCAAAATTCTGCTGACATCGATATGCGACAACACAACGGTATCATCATACTGCTACGGAGATGAGGCTGGTCTCTTTAATCCTGATGACTCGGCGACTTATGATGACTCTTCCATTTCCTTGGCACCCGACGGAGACTGGTCAAACACGCAATTCGGTGCCACTAACGCTGTTCCTGTCTATTCTGAAGCTCATAGGGCTCTAGACTCGATCGACGTTGGTGGGCAGGTTGCGGAGGATGTGGATTTGATTGCTATCAGCGACGGGTACCAAATCTACCCCAGTGGGAAGAACTATCCTCTGGAAGTAGGCACCCTTTCACTGGGAGCTCAAGATATCAACCAAACATTTACAACGTACAGCACACCGATCAATGGTACCTTCATTACAAGCTACCTCTACGAACAAAATCTTATCCCCTCGTATTCATATGGAATGCACATTGGATCGGTCTCAATGGATATCCCTAGCTCACTTTGGCTTGGAGGTTACGACAAATCCCGCCCTATTGGAGACATCTCAACCCAGCCAACTAACGGTGGAACCCTGCCTATTGAGTTGATTGACATTACTCTCGGCGTTGCGGAGGGGAGTTCGCCTTGGAGCTCATCCAACATTACCGGCCTGTTGGCGAAAGGCAACTCCTCCCTGAATGCGGGACAGACTATCAAAGTCAGTCCAGTCGACCCCTATATTTATTTAGCGTCAAGCTCGTGTCAAGCTATCGCTTCCCACCTCCCAGTCACCTACAACTCGGATACAGGCCTTTACTATTGGAATACGAAGGATTCTCAATACACGGATATTGTGACTTCGCCCAGTTATCTCGGTTTCAAATTTCAGTTGAATGGAGTAAACACCGCATACCTTACTGTCAAGGTTCCCTTTTCTCTCCTCAACCTTACTCTCACAGACCCTCTTGTTTCCGAGACGACGCAATACTTCCCTTGCATGGGCACCGATTCTGATCCAGCTCTGGGGCGTGCCTTCTTACAAGCCGCATTTGTTGGGGTTCACTGGGGTCAACGTGAATGGGTTTTATCTCAGGCACCTGGGCCGGACGCCTCTTTCATTGAGAATATTGTGAGCATAGACGAGGACTCGCTCGATGTGTCAGCATCCGGAAATAGCTGGGAGGGTACTTGGTCCAACTCATGGACGCCACTTTCTGCGAAAAGCTCATCCAATTCATCTTCTGGCTCTAGTTCAGGCTCTAGTTCAGGCTCTAGCTCAGGCTCTTCAAGCTCAAACGACGGTAGCTCTAGTGGTCTATCTACCGGAGCCAAGGCAGGGATAGGAGTTGGCTGTGCTGTCGCAGGCTTGGCCATCATTGGGTTGGCTGCCTGGCTTATACGTCGTCGCAATCATCATAATAAGGAAGCTAAGCTCGAAGGCGGTACTGGGTATGTCACAGCCTCTGCCCTTCCTCCTTCGCAGGTGGTGCCGGTAGAGATTGCAAGCAGCTCGACAGGGCCTTCTCGTGGATTGGACTACGACCAGGGCTTGAAGTATACACAAGGTTCTACGGTTGCCTCGCAAAATGGATCTTCGGTGATCCAGATGAGCTCTGAACATGGCCAATCCATTGTGGAGATGCCGGACCAAAGCCAAGTTCCTCGACATGGTGTTCATGAGCTTGGACCACGTTAGTCAGATTGTTGTTTCATCCTTTTATCAGTCCGAGTGCCCTGCATGAAATGCAGCATGCTGCTCTATCTCATGCACCGTATATTATAGTCTTTTCTGCTGCTTCTGTGATTGATATGATCTGAGTGTCTCTTTCTGAACCTTTTACCAATCCTTTCTAATATCCATTGTTTAATATGTCTATACCCACACAGTCTTCACCCAGGGAATGAAGAACCACTTCCAGTATCGGTCCGTTCGCGGCCTTGATTTTCTTCATTAGCCACTATGGGATAATATCTCAGCTTCGTGACTGTATCAGTTCTTCCTTTTTAGCGCGGGATTTGGATTTAGCCCCGGGGGGGGGGCATCGGATTCGTGAGAGTCTATTAACGAAGATCATTATCGAGGACTGTCAAGACGGACTCTAGTTTTGTCTGTTTATCCAAATTGTTGGGTTTCTTTTTTCATTCTTTGTCAAATGAAATTTAAAGGGCCTCATAGTCCAATGTCATTACATTCTCATTCAGTAGATTATCAGAAAGAAAATTGAAATATCTGTGCATAAGTGCCCGAGGAGTGTACCAACTGCAAATAGTATGATAATTTAGCTATTGGTTCTCCAGTCAAATGTTAGCAATAACTCGTAAGCAGTAGATGTATTGACGATGTAAATCCTATGCAATTTAGACACATCGGGTCGGTAGAATCAATCCAAAGTCTTAGGGATTAGAGTAGTAGCACTATCACGAAATGGGCACCACCTGTTGTACCGCTGAATCATGAGGGGGACGTCATGCTTTGTCTTTTTTGAACTACAACCTCCTGTTTTTTTGTAATCGCATTTGGTTGCATATTATTGACCAGTCCCACTGTATCTTCGCCTTCACTCTGAAAGGAGCTCACCCCTGTCTTTCCTTGGGCGGAATAGCTGCTGTGGCCCAATTCGACATCGGTATAGCCATAACCAGGGCCGAGTCTTTTGTTGGGAGGATCGCTCCCAATGGTATGTTGTGCCTCTCGAAGCTGGCCGGCACTTGGTCGTTTGTGGGATATGAGAGGCTCAACGTAGTGGCGAAGGAGAGGCGCTAGAACCGGTAGGCTCACAATGATGATACTGAGCCAAAGTTCTAAGAAGCTAACCAGGCCGATCCTAGATAATCCGTAGACAAAATCCTCCGCGGTGGAAGGATCCAAAGTGATGATCAGGCGCCATACCATGACCGCGACAACACTATAAATTGTGAGTCAATATATTCTCTTGATGGCTATGTATTGTATTGGTATAGAAGACAGAGTCAGCTTACATTAAACCCATACCAAACATCAGACCAATAGTGAGCTTGTTCCGCAAAGACATGTGCAATTTCCAAAGTGCTGGAATGGGCAACAGCGCGATCGTCGAGTCGAGAAAGATATTCAGAGTAATAGAGGCTATCTCTTGAATACTCAGAGATCGGCATCCGCCTCCGGGGACGGGATGCCATTGATAGGAGATCGGATGGCATTGTGTCAAAAATAAGGGCAAGAATGTAACAAAATACCCAAGAACTAGGCCGCTCACAACCCAAACGAGCATGCGAATGGGTCGAAAAGTACGGAACAGGCTGGTATAAAGAGACAAAATTGATAGTTTGCAGCACACCGTTCCTGTAAGCCAGGTCATACTTACACCGATGATCATCTTGAACTGGACACGGAGCTCCTCACGGGACAAAGTCATTGTGTGTCCGCCCAGCCCGTTAGCTACCGCCCAGTAATTCAGCCCAGTCATGGTACACGCACTGATCTGCCATATCATCAGCATTCGCGAAAGGTATTGTCCAACATAAAGGGGGCGAACTCCCGTACATGGGCAATAATCACGAAATAGTCATGAAGCTGGAGGCTCTTCCGAGTTATGTGAATCGCCCAAATCCGCAAGGCAATGACAGCAGATGTCAGGAGAGTAAATACGGCCATCCAAATTGATAGCCGAATGCCAGCTGGGCTCGCAGCCATTTTGCCTCTCTGATAAGCGGGCAAGCGGGCAAGCGAAGAAGTGAGCAAGCATGGAAATGGAATGAGCACATGATGAACATGATCATGTTCATTACTGTGATTTTAAGAAGAGATCCAAACTCTAAGAAGCATCAGCAGGGGGCCACGGTACACCTCAGGTACATTAAACCTACGACCAGGCTGTTACAATCAGCGCTGATGGGTGTAACACACTGCATATCGCTAGCGATCCTCCTTGGGTGAGACAGGAAGGCCGTTCATCAGCGCACCGAGCTTCAACCTGGCGGTTGGGCGGCTAGGTGTGGTCTGTCCCATCCACATATTGTGGATCTGTGACATGCATGGATCCAGATTAATTTACTATTCAACTTTGAAGAGGCAATGCAGTAGGCAAAAATTGGGGACTGGCATTGTGAGAGGTTCGGGATTCCGCGACTGCCAACAACGCAAGGTTGTCCGCCTTCCAGCTCCGCCAGGCTTGTCCTTTCTCTATTCCATTGCTTCTGCTTCTCACTTGTCTCTCAAAGTCTACAATCAACTCTGGAATCAAGGAGAATCATTACCTCTTTCTTTTTACCTACCTCATGGACCCTCCCCTTCCCTCCTTAACTTCGGTCTGGCATAACGGGGCATACCCGGCAATCTCACCGTCCCGGCCCGAGTTGAGCGCTGCAGGGAAGACGGTGATTATAACTGGCGCAGTACGTATATAGCCTGACATCTGTCCCTCTATTATTAGCTCAATCTCCGAGTCCAGCCACTGCCTTTGCGTGGCCCATGGATCTTTAGCCTCCCTTGTTCTTCTGTGTGTGAGAGTCGAGATAAGACCATTCTCATAATCTAATAATTCTTCAGGGCAGTGGAATTGGTCGCGCAGCTGCACAGGCCTTTGACAGCGCTGGGGCCGCCCGGATAGTCCTCATCGGCCGTAACAAAGAAAATCTCGAAGCAACTAAGGCCACCCTCAAATGTCATACTTCTATCCATTCAGCGGACGTCAGGGATGAGAAAGCAATCACATCTCTCGCTGCAATGACGGGAACATGGGACGTGATGATCCTTGGTGCGGCATATATCTCTGAATTAGTGTCGATCAAGGAGTCTTTTGTGGATGATTGGTGGCGGACCCTTGAGGTATGGGTCTACCATGCAAATATCCGCAGTTCACTGGACGAACCAGATGCGGGACAAATATCTCAGTAACGGAGGCTGACTCTGTACACTTATTCTAGGTGAATCTTAAAGGTATCATGATTACTTCTCATGCATTCCTTCCGACTGCAAACCCGACTCATGCCGCGATCGTCGGGTTCACAAGTGCGGCTGCCTTTACAGCAGCAAGACCGTCAAACCTCTCCTCATACGTCACATCGAAGCTGGCTATCATCAAATTTATCGAGTTTCTGGCTGTGGAGAACACAAACCTGTTCGCAGCGGCCATGCACCCCGGCTTTATTGAGACAAGCACTTTCAACGATTCAGGCGCTGACGCCAGTCAACTTCCCATGGATTCAAGTACGCACAAATATTTTCAAGTTTTGCTCAAAAATGATCTTTTTGGTGTTAATCCTATTAACTTCATCCTAGTTGAAATGCCTGCAAACTTTCTGGTCTGGCTGACTAGTCCCGAAGGTTCATTCTTGAATGGACGATCGGTTTGGGCCAATTGGGATGTGGATGAACTCAAAGCCAAGGCTGAGGATATTCAGTCCGGAAATCTCCTGACTTCCGGTGTTCATGGCTGGCCCTTTACCCCATAATTCATTTCATAGCCTCAAACCTTCTACTTTGATTCCAATGGACACAGGGTTCCCTTCTTGTATGAAATAAGTTACAAGCTAGACAGCCTTAAGCTCCACGGCGTGCAGACTACTCGACTTCCTTGGGATAGGTTCCGACACGAGCCAGTGAGTCACTGAAGGTGTATCCCTGTCTGTCGGAACTAATGCACTAAGAAAACAATTTCTAGATCTGTTGCATAGCTGCTTATGTGGTCCAGAACCCAGTCTCTTGCTGTAGACGGGTTGCACAACATTGTCAGCAGTCAACGGACAGGCACCCTTAATATGTGGATTGTGGTTGGTGGTAGCGCGTCAGCACGGCCAAATGCACCGAGCGAACAAGGATCACCCTGCACGATTCAAGTGGAGGGCGAAATCCCCCGGCTGTGAAGCCGAGAGTTTGATGGCGCTTGACTGGTTCCCAATTTGTATACTGGTCGGTCTTTGAGACATGCTATGTCATATCTCGTCTTAGTCTTAGAGTAGAGTTAAGACATATTAATCTTTTATCCAGGCCATAATCTCACGACCATGAACATAGGTAACTAGATTCTTATATTCGTTCCAAGAGGAATGATGGAACTAATGACATTGATATGTTGTACCAATCGCACGGTCGCATGGTGGAATAATCCCTCAGTCACAGACAGCAAATGTAACTCGACTTGATTCTATATCGACTGATTGTAGACACCTAATCTTTCCCGTACTTCCATTTCAGCTCATTCCTATCCATCAGATCATGCATTGCTAGTAGAACCTAATTTGCTCCCTGCACGTCCTGGATGACAAAAGAAGAATGCAATCGGAGAGAAATGGCAAGTTAAATAGACTTGAGGAAGACAACAGTTTACTTTTCACGAGATTGAAATACTAGCCGTAAGCGACCGGGATTCGAAGTAAACTGGTCTTTCAAGCCTCTAAGCACAGAGTCGCCGGTCTCGCCAGGTGGTAGACTAAAGTTGTACTTTTGCACCAAGCGCGCTGTGATCAGCCGCATGTCGTTCATGGCGAGAGCTCGTCCCAAACAGCTTGTATGACCTGAATTGTGTGAGGACTAGAATTTTTCTTTTTATGTTTGGTGTTTTCCTCCCTCATTTCGCTTACCGGTACCAAATGGTGTGAATGCAACCTTGCTGCGCACCATCTCGGGTCTTTGATACCATCGCTCAGGAATGAAGGCGGCTGCTTGTTCGAAGTTCTTTTCGCCTGGAGTGATAATGTGAGCTTTAATTCCTAAAAAAATCAAGAAATGAGACTCCTAACACCGGGAAATGCAAAACCGTGGCGCAACAATTGTTGTCTCCGGTGGAATATATATTCCTCCGATAGTCACCCCATCTAATAGAGTCTTACGGTTGCCCCCTGTTGGTAAAGCAGGGTAAAGACGAAGAGCTTCAAAAATTGCTCCTTCAAGATGTGGACATTTTTTTGCCAACTCCCGAGAGTCTTCAATATCGACCTTGTTGATTTCATCGCGAATGATGTCAGCATGGTGAGTGTGTTTTGCCAACTCAGAAAAGAGACCGATAAGAACCGCTACGGTTGGTTCGCTTCCGGCAACAATAGCCAGTATGCTATCCCCAGTTAGCCATGGAAATTGTCTGAAATCATTCCTTGCATCTCTCAGGAGATAATGTGCGACATCAGGCACAATAGATGTATTCTTAGGGGACTTTTCAGTTCTTTCGTCAGCCAGTTGAAGCTTATACGTGTGGCACTTATAAACAATTTCTTACTATTAAACGATCTAGCATTTGAGCTTCACACCATCTCACCATTCGAAACCAGTCACGCAGAATCCAGACTCGGGGAAACAGTTTAAAGGCTATATGGATCAGCCATGGCAAGGGGCTCAGGGGACCGAGGAGAGACAACGCGCGCTGGAGCAGAACAACAATATGGTGCCATTCCTGGCGTGATAACATATTAAATGTCCGACTGAAAATAAAGTCTCCCATTCGGTCAAACCCGAGCCAGTAGAGGAGGTCTGTGACTTCAGAAACTCTATTCGCCATGATATCGGCATCGATATAGGCTTCCAGCTGGTCAAGAAGTGGAAGAATACGCTCTTGGTATTGGTCCAGTGCTGTAATAGTAAGCTTTGAATATAAATTTTCTGGCTATGAAACAATCGCTGTACCTTGCGGCGTGAATCCACGATTCCACTCTCGACGCCGTGCTCCATGGACTTCCTTCACGCGTGCAGTCACCAAAGACTGTTTGGGATGGAGTATATCATACCATTCAGACTTGACACAGTTTCCCTGTGGCCCATCAATAGCCATGAATACACCTGGGTGGTATACTGTAATCTCGCTAGGCCCTTGTGAATTTGTTAGCTATTCAATACATCCGTTGAAGCAAGCAGGTCATGGACTCATTATACCAGTTCGAACGAAGTCACCGTACTCATCATGAAGCTTCGACAAAAGAAGGTAATTCTGACTATAGCGGCAATGCCAGGCGTGCCATATCTTGGTGATGCGAGCCAATCGTGGGCCTGGGAAGCTTCTGAGGCGGTGCAAGAAGATCCGGTAGATGATGATACTGGAGAACAGCCCCAGAAGATACCCCATTATGATAAAAGACGCCCTATTGACAGCCATAGCCAGTACTAAGAAATAACCGAGATGATGGAGCAGAACTGCTGGAGCCCGCACATGCCATTCACCATGAATGAACAGGCCACGGTGTAGGGCCACCCCAAGGGCTCCACCGACGAGGCTGGCAAGGAATCTATTCATGATCAGAATCTCGGAAAATAAGGAGATTTTCAGTGCAAGAGTGAAATATGAATCCGGTCTCAAAGGGTAAATGGAAGAATGAGCGAAGTCAGGAGATGGAAATCATGCCCCACGGTACACAAGCTCCCTATCCAACCCCCACGTCATATTGCACATATAAAAGCACTCTGACCAGAGACCAGCTCATGAATATTACATTATGCTGAGGAGGGTTAGACCTGCCTGCTTGACTACTCAGGCTCCCTCGGCCTGTTAAGCCTAGCCTCGCAGCGGATAGATTCATTTGTCTCCTACACATCTTTCTAAACTCGTTCCTCTCACCTCAATTGAATTATTTCACCACACCATCCTCCTGCATCCCGCGACCGCAAGTGTCCATTCCTCCAATGACTTCTAATCCTCCGGGCCTACGGCTAGCGCAGCTACCATTACTCATTTGGCAGTTTACTGAAAGCAACTTTCCCACCTTTGTGCTCCCAAACTCCAGCTTCGGGCTACTTGCAGCCTCAGCGGCACCCCTGCTGACTGATCGACCTTGTCGACTGTCTCTCGGTCTATTTCTCGTCCGAGGGCTTCAGGTTGTGCTTTTCAATTGGGCCAATGTATTTATTTTTGATCTGGCCAACCAGCGGTTGCCCGAGTCCATATGCGAAGATCGACTCAACAAACCATGGCGGCCGCTACTCACCCGGCGCATTAGCCCCGACGGGACTCGCCGATTGATGTTAGTAGCCATCCCCATGGCTTTGGCCCTCAGCGCCGCACTGCGGGTGGGGACCGAGAGTGCGCTGATTCTGGTCCTGACCTGGCTTTACAACGACCTGCACGGGGGTGACGAGATTATCCGGGACGTGATCATTTCCTTCGGGTACGGATTATATCTGACTGGTTCTCTACGAATTGCCATCGGCCCGGGCTACCATATCACGGGGCAAGGGTATCGCTGGATCACGATGGTCAGTGGTGTTGTTCTCACCACGATGCAGGTTCAAGATCTCAAAGATCAGACGGGGGACCGCGCGCGAGGCCGGAAGACTCTCCCCATCGTGCTGGGAGACACGCTCTCGCGATGGAGTATCACGAGCTTTCTCTTTTTCTGGAGCGTGCTCGGCGCCTTTTTCTGGGACATTCCACCGTGGGGGTATGCGCTGCCGGTGCTGACAGGGGCTTGGGTAGGATTCCACGTGGTAAGCAGGGCTAACGACGCGGCCGCCTGGAGATGGTGGTGCCTGTGGCAAATTGTGATATATGCTTTGCCAGGGATGGTCGCACTGCGGAACTTGCGATGAGTAGGGGCCTTGGGTCCACTGGATGGCTGACACCGTCTAGGCACCAAATAGCGACAATCTCTAAGCGGAAGATCCTACGGCACAGCAGTCGGAGTCGGGTGGTCGGGTGGCGAGTCAATTATATGAATTCGTATTCAATTTGCTCTTGAATCAAACCGAGAGTCTCGGGATTCTATTTTGAAACTCGGTGTGTGGAAGCGGAAAGTAAAGTGCCAGTAGAATGTTGTCCGACGACCTTATATAGGGTTCTTGTCGATCTGCCCACAGACGTCGCAATACGTCTTCAAGTATCTTGAAATCTCACTTTCACGTCTTCCCATAGCCCATCTCCAGGCCCTATTTTATACCATGGATCGACTATGTCTGTGGATTCTCCCTGCAGCTCTTTTCTGGTTGCAACATGCTCGAGCCACGGGAGCATTCACCTGCCGCTGCTTCCCTGGCGAACCCTGTTGGCCATCAGCGCGGCAGTGGAGCGACTTCAACGCGACTCTCAATGGCCGACTCATAGCCACTGTACCCATTAGCAGTGTGTGTCACACCAGGGGAGAGTTCGCTGCCTATGACGAGCGGGCCTGCGCTGATTTGATCTCGAATTGGCAGCGCCCTATCACTCACTATGCGACCAGCTCTTCACCCATGGCCGCCTGGTTTGCCAATTTTTCATGTAGCCCGTTCCTATCAGCAGAGACTCCCTGTACTGCGGACGCACTCCAGCGATATGCCGTCAATGTCAGTGGGGTTGAGGATGTCCAGAAGACGTTGCAATTTGCCCGGGAGCATAATATTCGCCTGGTCATTCGCAATACTGGTCATGACTATCTGGGCAAATCGACCGCACCGGGTGCACTTGCTCTGTGGACCCATCACCTGAAGGAAATCCGCCATCTCCACTATACATCCCCAAGTTACAACGGTTCTGCAATGCGGCTGGGTGCAGGCGTCCAGGGCTTCGAGGGAATGATGGCGGCCTACACGCAAGGCAAGGTGATTGTGACCGGAAACTGCGAGAGCGTTGGAGTGGTGGGTGGTTACACCCAAGGCGGGGGTCACGGTCAGCTTGCTTCGCAATTTGGGCTGGCGGCAGATCAGGTTCTGGAGTGGGAAGTGGTCACTGCAGCTGGGGAGCTGCTTATAGCCTCGTCCACCGATAATTCCGATCTATTCTGGGCTTTGTCGGGAGGTGGAGGGGGCACATTCGGGGTAGTCCTTGGTGTCACAGTCAAAACACACCCAGAAATGGCTACTGCATCAGCGACCCTGTCCTTCGGCGGACCTGGTGCAGTTCCAAGCATTTTCTGGGATATTGTGAGGACATTTGTTGTGAGCATAACTCCGCTGATCGACGCCGGCGCTGTTGGGATTTGGGAAATTATGGGATCGTCGTTCAGGTTGACTCCTATCGCATTACCCGGTGGCACCGTTCAGCAGCTACAAGATGCCCTAGCGCCTACGCTTGTCCTTTTGCAGCAATACAATCTTACCCACGGTACGCCTCCCAAGGCCTGTTTAAGTCCACGGACCGGCAGACCCTATTTTCATGCTTAACCGTCATACAGAATACCATATCAATAACTTCTCCACCTTTTGGGAAAGCTATGGTGCAATGAACCCACCCAGCAATATCACAGAGGCCCAGCTCGGCGGTCGATTGATACCTCGAAAAACTCTCGAATCCAACCCGGACGGTCTGATATCAGCACTAAAGAGCATTGCCGCCTTAGGCGTAGTAATTTCGGGTGTCTCATTGAACGTCTCTCGTGCCGCATTACCATACAATGCTGTGAATCCAGCCTGGCGTGAAGCTGCCATCTCCGTTGTGCTTGGAACGTAGGTTACGTTCTAGTATTTTCCCTATTTACGTATCATTTCTTGAGAACTGACAAGCAGAAGGACATATAACTATACCAGCCGTGAATTCGACATAGAAAAACAATCGTTAGTGACCAATGTACTAGTACCGCGGCTCAAAGAGCTGAGCCCCGAAGGCGGAGCATACCTAAATGAGGCGGACTGGAACGAGCCAGACTGGAAGTCTACTTTTTATGGAGAAAATTACGGTCTGTTAGAAGCTGTGAAGCAGAAGTATGATCCAGATCACCTTTTTTGGGCACGCACTGCCGTTTCCAGTGATCAGTGGGTGCAACAAAATGACGGACACCTATGTCAGGCTCAATAAACCCAGACTTTGGTATTCCTGCTGGCTATTTATCTTCGGTAGTAGTCGCATATATGTACATCCATTCCGCCAAATTCTAATCACTTTTCTCTGATTTCGTAATTCGTTTACCGATATAAACTGAAAGATCTACTGTAAAGGGAAGAATGTGACAGAGACTCTAAAACGTCTGTTCATAATTTCAATTAAAGGGAAAGTATTTTCCTCGAAATATTCTAGGACCCTCTTCAGTGCTTATCGAATCAAATCTGCAGCACGTTCGGCCACTGCGTAGACGGTAGCTATTGGGTTTGCATGCGGAATCAATGGGAATATACTAGCATCGACGATCCTGAGATTCCGCGTCCCATAAACTCTCAAATCTTCATCAACTACTCCACCCTTTTCTCGGGGAAGCATGGCAGCCGTCCCACAGGCATGGTGTGCTAGCTGACCGGATGCACGTATTCCTTCCTTGATTGACTCAATATCCGGTACCGTGACTGTTTCCTGGAAGAATTGATTTAGCGCCTCTGCGCGGATGAATTCGTGCAAATTCTGCATATGCCTGGCTAGAATATCTAGGTCAATTTCTTTCGAGGCAACTTGAGCGTCGATCTCGGGCGGTACGTATGGATCGGCGGATGAGATATGCACATGTCCTCGAGAAAAGGGAAAACTAAGTATTCCAGCTATGATAGCAAGCTGTGGTGAAACAAGTCCCAAAATAAATTCACTCGAAGCTTCGTGGGGGTTCTGAATGATAGACTGAATAGTCTCCTCAAAGGTGCCTTTGATCTCACTCGAATGAGCAGCGAGGATCTCATTCTGTTCATCCGAGTCGAGACTCGCCATAGATAGTGACTGAATGCCGGGTGTGATATCTTCCAAGTCGGAATGAGGCTTGAGAGGGACTGGTAAGACACTCATAAGGTGATTCTGAAGATTTGTGCCTACTGCAGGCTGATCAATAATTACTGGAATACCTAGACTTTCCAGTCGCTCTTTATCACCTACCCCAGATAGCTCTAAAACCTTGGGAGTGTGAAAGGTTCCGGCAGCCAGAATGATTTCATTGGACGCTTGGATGGTTGAGACTTGGCCGTAGTATTCAAACTCAACTCCGCTAGCAACGGCATCGAGTGAGTTGGTGTCAAACAATATCCGACGCACGGTCGCTTCAGTGACGATGCTCACATTTGGCCGAGCGGAAGCAACTGCCGCGTACTGATTATGTGACGCACTTCGCAACCCGGACACCGGATCGATTGTGGCGGCATAAGGACGAGGGCCGAGCGTCTGCTGTTCTCCAAGGATATCTGGATTGAAAGAATGCCCTCGGGCTTTGAACGCATCATTCCATGCTCCCAGAAGTGATTGGGCCGATATGTCGGTCAAGGAAGGATATGTAATCTGAATCGGACCCGTCGATGGATTGCGCTGGTTTTCTTTGATTTCCGGATGTGTCTCGGGGACGTTGAGCGTGATGCTTTTCCGCATATAGGGCGCGAGCTTCTCCCATGTCCACTTGGGATTTCCGAGGTGCGCCCAAGCATCAATGCCAGCCGGAGAGGGGGCAATATATATCATCCCGTTGATCGCCGAGGATCCCCCCAAGACCTTTCCCGCCGGGTTATCCAGTACGCGGTCATTCAAGCTAGGCTGATTTGAGAACGCTCGGTCAGTATTGCCCTTCTAGCAGCGGGTAGTCACTCATACTTGTGGCCTGTATTTGAGCTTCCAGTCAAGCTCCGAACCCTCCAGGCTCTGATAGGCGGCAGGGTCCATTACCCGCTCATCTTTGGTTCCGTCGGGACCACTCTCTAGCACGACAACATGCACGTCGGGGTTTTCTGATAGGCGGCAGGCGACCACAAGTCCGGATGTTCCGCCACCGACAATGATGTAGTCGGCTACAGGACGAAGGTCTGCAGTGGCCATGGCCGCAACTTAAGCTGGAAGTGGGTAAATGTGAGATGGATGGGTAGAGAAAGAGGGCAGGGGGAACTTTCTGCAACCCGCGAGCGTCCTTATTTACTTTTCTGGCAGGTTCTGAATCACGGGACATTCCAAGTCATGATGAAATTGCTGACCGGACAAGGCCCTGTTGCTGAATCTGGCCCCCAATCATCCTGAGTAGGGGTGCTATACATGCTCCACTACAGCCTTTCACGTCAGGATCGACTGGCCGACCAGGTCCAAATATTGGCCTCGGGCCTGGGGGCCAAGCGTATGCCCGGTATGCCCGGTATTCCCGGTATCCCCGCTCCCTTGGGCTGCACATGTTTTCCTTTATCTGAGGGCGAGGTCTAGATTCCATATACCCGGTGAATTGAGGATCAGGTCAGAATCGCAACAGTTGATTTCTCATTTGTAGTTTGTTCACTGTTCGGCACACATAAAACAAAGTATCAGACGCATGAAGGATAGATCACAGCTCAGCTTTACAAGATTCAAGCTCTTTGTAGGCGTGAACAATTCAAAGGCGTCGGTGCTACATATTGCCGTGGGAAGACCACCCACGATAGGTTGCTTCTGATTGGATGACATTTTTCATGGGACACTGTCTTTACCGATGTAGCTTCACATCTCAGAGAGAGAAAAAGATAGCTGCTACACTCTTTTGCTAAGAAAGTAGAAAGTATCTGGTTCCTCTTTGGGAGGCCGTCCTCGAACGTGGTGTGTGGTGGTTTGGTTGTTGCTTCATGTATATATCGTAATTTTTCCCTGGGGAATAGGGAGAATGCTGCCTCCCTCAGGAGAAGCAATTACCATACATCATGATGGATATGTTGCGTGACACTTATCAGTCAGTTTCAAGCCTTGATAGCTGAGCAAGATATATCAAACAAGAAGCAAATAGAAATTTCCATCCGAATAAGCACGCCACGATACATTCAGGTTCCATCATTGACATTGAGCGGGTTGGTACTTTGTTCTCCGCACCGGCTTTTCTCCGCACGGGACCGGCAGGTCCTTAGCGCGACCCAAGCTGCTGCCCCTCTCCGCTCCCGAGTCTGGTTTCTTTCTGACCACCCCAGCCGGTCGCGTTGCTGCCCCGACCCCCCCCGCAGAGGACATTCATTGTGCAGAGAGTCGACACCGCGATGTCAATTGACGAGTCGACAAGAATCCCCTCGACAGAGGAAACGCCTCTGCTCCGCGAGACCGACCCCGCCAGCTCCAGTCAGCCGGAGGGCCAGGGACCAGTGCCCGAGGAACCCAGCACCAAGGAGCTAATCGTAATCCTGAGTAGCATCTGGCTTGGGGTTTTTCTAGCTGCCCTCGGTAGATTCCTTAATTCCATCGAGGAGCTATTGCTCATTAAGGCTGAACCAATTTTTTTTACAGATACAACAATCGTTGCGACGTTATCGGCGCCTATTTCATCCTCATTCAACTCGTTTTCACTCCTGTCGTGGCTGGCAACCTCATACCTGATTTCCAATGCCGCATGTCAGCCACTCAGTGGCCGATTGACCGATATATACTCCCGCCGCTGGGGCCTCGTCTTTTCCAATGTTTTCTTCGCTCTGGGAAATTTGATATGCGGATTGGCAAAAACCCAATGGGCAATCATTCTAGGTCGTGTTGTGGCAGGTGTAGGTGGCGGTGGTCTGACTGCCATCTCGACTTTTGTCACCTCAGATCTGATTCCGCTACGGAAACGAGGGATCTGGCAGGGTATCGGGAACATCTGTTATGGAGCCGGCATGGGTCTTGGCGGCGTCTTTGGCGGATGGATCAATGACACACTGGGATGGCGGTGGGCCTTTCTGATCCAGATCCCCTTCCTTATGATTTCATGCGTGCTGGTGATATTTCAAGTCAATATCCCGGTCAAAGAAACTGACAAGGCGCGCATTAGGCGTGTCGACTTTCTCGGGGCCATTACTCTGGTGCTAACGCTCGTGACCCTCTTGCTCGGGCTGAACACTGGCGGCAACCAGGTCCCATGGACACACCCTATTGTCCTAGTATCGCTGCCACTGTCTGCAGTGTTCCTGGGCATTTTCATACACGTGGAAGCCAACGTCGCAACAGAGCCTGTGATTCCCGTGAGACTTCTTTTGGATCGAACAGTTGCATCCGCCTGCTTGACCAATTGGTTCACCACTATGACCATCTTTGGCCTGCTATTTTATCTTCCCGTCTACTTCCAGGTGCAAGGTCTCTCGGCCACCGCGGCCGGGGTACGTTTGATTCCTCAGGCGATCGGAACCTCGATTGGGTCACTGGGCAGTGGCGTCATCATGCGCTCGAGCGGGCGCTATAAGATCCTCAGTTACACTACCATGGCCTTGCTGGTGACTGCTGCGGTGTTGATGTGTACCCTAAACCTGTCAACCCCCGCCTGGCTGCCTTTCGTTTACTTGTTCTTGGGGGGAGCGGCGTACGGCAGCATGCTGACCATCACATTGGTTGCACTGATCTCGGCCGTGGATCACCAGCATCATGCAGTTGTAACGTCCGCATCGTATGCATTCCGCAGCACTGGGAGCACTATTGGCATTACAATCGCCTCGGCTGTGTTTCAAAATACCCTTAACATCGGGCTCTGGTCTCGATTTGGAGAGCGGAAGCATGCGGCAGAGCTGATCTCGCGACTGCGGGATAGCCTTGACGAGATTCACAAGCTCCCTGCTGACTGGATTCCTGGTGTGCTAGATGCTTATATGGATTCATTGCGCGCACTCTTCGTGGCTCTGCTTGGCGTGACTATCCTGGGTGCGCTGGTCAGTATTGCGATGAGAGAGCACAAGCTGCACAACAACTTGGCTCGGCGGTGAAGGGTACGGAATGCCCGTACGTTGTAAAAAAATATATTGGGGCATGAGAGTAAACAGACTCTGTTATCTAGCAGCTAGATTCATACCCTAACCTTGATAGACAAGACACGGCTGGAGCTCGTTCTAACCATTTCAATCCTATAGTTCAAGTTCCCTGTACACCTCGTCTACTGTGGAGGGAAATAGCTGCAAACCCCACCTTAGCCAGTAACCTTGACCGCCTATGTATGTGCTGCGCCAATCACGCCCCAGCGTGGCTGCACGACTGCCCGTCAGTAACCGGTCAATTTTCTCTTGAATGCGCCGTGCTGTTGTTCTGCTCTTCTGCGACTACACAATTGGCAGGTTGCTTACTGCAACTGCAGGTCTAGCTGTTTTGGCTGCTGGCAAATATCCTTTAGTGGACCGCTTCTGTCTCGAGTGCACCTCCGCAAGGCCCTTGAGTGGCGAGACGTGGCGAGTGACCCAGACTCGGGCAACTTGGTTTCAACCCAATCCCAGTCAGCGTACACCGCTCGGAACAGCGAAGCAAGCACGAGTTGCAAGGTTGTACGGCAGCCCACAAAAGTACGATACTGCAGTCGACGGGCCGACTGGTGGAGTCCCCCGTCACCGCTTGGGATTGTCTGACCTTCAAATCGTCAACCCGATCTCCCGCCGCCGGATAAGCACTTAAAGCGCAATTGATCTCTTCATTCAGGACTGCAGCATTCCTCCAACGGCTTCATATTTTCCGATTAACATCTTCCTCAAACATACTATCGTCTTGCGTCCTCTCTTTCGACTGCCGTCCCCTTATCTGGTCGCCGGACTCGCGAAACTGCCCGTCGTCGCTCTTCCACCGCATGGCAGTTGGCCTTCGATCCGATTCGACGATACCGACTCACCCAAGGAGCAGTGTTGTAAAGGGGGTACAGGCCGGTGCGATGGAGGTGGACGGTGACAGTGAGGAGACCGTGATCGGAAACAAAGAAGGCTATCGTGTTTGCTCGGACAAGTCTATGTACCATGCAGCTCCGTCGCAGGAACGTCGCCGCCGGTTGCTCCTCTCAACCGATCGAGTCTTCGCCGACACGGTCCTACCATCGCTTGTCCAACATCCAGATATTGAACTACGCTTGATCACCGACGAACCCTCCGCGCTGCTGGCAGGCACGAACAAGATACCCCATTATATGGATACAGTGGATGGCACTACCTTTGACAAGAAGACAGGGGCGCGGAAATGGCTGAAAGCAAAGACAGCCGAGCTGTGCGAATGGGCGGACATGCTCCTGGTTGCACCTATCGATGCGGGCGCCCTTGGTTCGATGCTGGCGGGGTTGACGAACACATTGACCTTAGCACTCTTGCGGGGCTGGGTCTCTTCCAAACCAGTCATCCTGATCCCGGGCATGACCGTGTCGGAATGGGATCACCCATTAAGCGCGCGTCAGCTCGATGAAATGAACCGCTTCTGGCCATGGATCCGCACCGTGAAGCCTGTACTTTGGAAGTCGAACGGCCCCGAGGATTTAACACCCTTACCTTGGGATGGTCTAGACGAGCTTCACAAACGCCTCGAAACTTCATTGAATCTACCTCCATGGGACCTATCACTAACAAAAACCCCCACGGTAAAAGGCAGCTCGAGCGCAACTAAATCCTCTTCAACCGTCGATCTTTCTTCGGGAAAAGGCTCCGCTAGCAGCAAAGCGTCTGCACTTCTTTATCTACAAACACACTGGCCGAACACCGAACACAAGGCCTGCACTCTTCCCTTGGAAATTTGGCTCAATATTTTCGAAGACCAGCTGAATGATTGGGAAGTTGCGAAGGCAGTTGGGATTCCTACGAACATCCCTGTCCCTCAAGAATGGCAGAGCCATCTTTTAAAAATGTCCACCCCCGCATCCCTTGAATATACGATTCTTCGAGGCTCTTTTGCCGCCATTAAAAAGCGAATTGACGGCTTGCCTCGCTGGAAACCCCTGTCCGACCTTGCTTGCCATCTGATTGTGAAATTTTCTCGTACGGACATCCTCACCTATCTTACTGAAAATCATCTTGATCTCCTTTGGACAACATCTCGCCTCACCAACATCCCCTATCGCGCATCTGCGATCTACGGAAACCCCACAGTTTTGACGTGGTGGCGCGACGCCCCTGCTCTACCGAACAAGGAATACATGGCCGATGCCATGGATGGCGCCTCTCGAGCTGGCTTCATTCATGTCCTCAACTGGTGGCTCAACTCTGGTCTTCCGCTCCGGTACAGTGAACGTGCACTTGAATCCGCCAGCGCCGAGGGTCGGGTTCCTGTGCTTGACTGGTGGAAGGCCGCTTCGGCTAAAGCACCGTTTTACAAACCCCTTCCTCTTAAAGTAGGCAAGTCAGTTCTTCTCGCCGCGCAATCTGGCCGCACAGCATCTCTTGCCTGGTGGGATGCTTCGGGTATTCCGTACAGCCATGCGGAAAATGTTGCCCGTATTGCTAGCACCCATGGCCATGTTCACGTGCTCGACTTCTGGTACCGGCTAAAGGGACCGAAGATGATCTTCGATAACCAGGTCCTTGTTGGTCCAACGAAGAACGGACATGATCACGTTTTGCAATGGTGGAAGGACTGTGGCCTACGCGTCGAGTTCAAGACCTGCGACATCGAAGAAGCCCTCGAGGACGCCGTCTCTGGTGCTGACGGTCGCGTTCGCAGCTGGTGGGAACGAAATGGCCTCAATCTTGGTGTTGGAACAAGAGAGTGGATGAAGCCGAAAGTGCTTTGAAAATACATAATACCATCTATGGGGTTTGAGGTGTCTCAGGTCATTTGTTTGGGAGTTTGATTGCTAGGGGTTATCGCATTTATATTGTTATTCCTCCGTCTCTGTTCGCACGTCTTTGAATCTGCTTTGGTCCTGGAACCAGATGATTATGACCCATAATACCCATTTGAATTTTCTTCAACACTGTCATTTTCATTTGCGATGGATTGTCGCTGAGCGCCGAAGGAAATATCTTTTTCTTGTATCTACGTTTCGATGCATATACAATCATTCCCACTTCTCTATCCTTACGTGCTTGATATCTGCGCCCTTCAGGGCGTTTTTGATCTTTCCAAATTCCTCAAAAGCCTCGGAGCTAGCGAAGCCAAAGTGGTCTTCGACTTTGTTCCAGCCGCTGAATAGCACGAACTCCTCATCTTCGCCTTCTTTGTCAATGCGCCAGCCCCCAGAGTAGGTAAAAGGAGTTGTGTATCTCTCAAGGTGAGGAACACCTGCTTTCATGATACTGTCGAACTCTGTTTTTCTGTTTGCTTCGACAAAGTATCTGCTGATCGCTATGACAGGCGCGTTGTACGGAATCTTCGAGTTGAATGTGGAAGGCTGCTAGGTGTAAGCCTCGCGAATTACAGGACGCCTCTCCAGGAGAATGTCCGAGGCTGAGAAGAATGTTACCCACATCAATGTCCAGGTGAAACATCCACTCAATGTCAATATCATCTTTCAATTGCCCCAGAGCCTTCTGGTTCGTCTCGGATATGATCCACTCTCCACAATGTGCCTCGACGGAATTCCATCCTCCAGAGAGATAGAAGTAGGCGGAGTCCTCAACCTGTCGATAGAATCGGACCGGGTATTTGGACCATTTTGTTTGCGCTTCTCGTGCCTCGTGCAAGCTGTTCTTCAGGGAGGCCGATGGCTCTTGAGTTTTGAGGCGTAAGAGAGCGAGCTCGGTCACCGGCATTTTGGGATATATTGGAATATATTATCACTGTCAGACCAAGGAAAGTGCACCTGGAGTGGAGAGTTTAGTTGTTTCGGGCAATCTATCAAGTGTGGAATCGGTGCCAACAGAGTCCCTTTATAGATCAATCGGAACTACCGCAGTTAAGCGTTCTCGGGGCCCGAGTCTGGTGGTCCGCATTAACTTTCGGTGGATCCGCGGAGGCAGCCGCTCCTCCGTGTCTTACTTCTCGTCACGCCTTTCCCTAAAAAGGAAGTTTGAGCTACAAATCAAGCAGGAGAAAGGTAAAAGGCGATAGGTATCAGGGAAATGCGTCAGCGCGTTGATACCATGTGCAGTCATTTCGATTTCATTTGGCCTTCTCACTTTGTCTTATATTCAGTTTCCCTACGCCTCCCTCGCCCAGTGTTTACCGTTTATCAGTCAGTACTTCGGGATACCGCCTACTCGAGCATTTGGGGAACTGGGTCTTTACAGTGTTGCCAAAGTGTTTTTCAACGCAGGGTCGTTCAACACGCGATCTTCATCTCTGTCCTACAAGTATGAATGCGTAAATGTAACCTCGAGAAAGTGAATACGAGTATCTGTCAAGGGAGAAGCTGTCGCCAAATACAGCGAAGACCCACATCGCTCGATGAGTGTGTCCGGGCGTTACAGGGAATACACGATTGCGTGCATGTTTTGTATGGTAACCTGAGTATCCGGAACACGGCATTGTAACACGCTAGTGAACGTGATAGAGGATACTCGACACGCCCGGCCAGCACCCTTAGTCCTTTCGACATCACCGGAGGGCGAAAATTCGATTTCCATTGGGTCCCGCCTGTACGGAATCCTACACGGGATTTCCATACACAATTTCCATACAGGATTCCTCTCTATTCACAGGATACCCCGGAGTCTCGACACAAGCCGGTCACGCACGACGTGATGGCCGATGGCATTAGTTTATCAACTCCACTCAATCCAACAACTGCCTCACAATGATTGTCACCTGCTTTCGCAGCTATCATGTCATCGCAATGGCAGTCAAGGCTCAATTTGGTGTTGCTTATCTTTCTCTTAAGCTTTGACTATCTCACCTACCGCGCGGCGCTACCTCGCCCCCTCCCCCGGCCATGAGGTCAGCCACGACGTTATGACTTTTAAGGGTGGGCCACGACGCTGTCCTGCACAGTGGATGGTCACCACCGAGGCTTCTTACATGTTGGCTCGCTTTGCACAGGTCTATCGACGTATTGAACCTCGCGATCCAGCTCCATACACTGCAGTTATGCGAATTGGTCCCTCCAACAAGACTGGGGTGCAGATTGCGCTTTATAAATGAGGACTACGTTTGTATGAAAGTTCTCTTTTGTGAAGTGAAGATTTTTAATGCCTTTGCTCTCCTGCTGTAAGCGGACAAATGCCTCTATTGCCAATTCACAGCCTGGGTCTTTCCGTATCGAATCGTTTCAATGGACGTAGCATCTGGAAGAGTAGTTTCAGGCCGGAAAAAAGATTGGATATACCACAAGTAGGAGCTTTTCGGTGATATTAAGTAGCCTAGACTGAAATCATGGACTGATATGTCCCTTAAGCCTTGCTAGAAGTAGATTTTCTACTCATTCTTAGAGCCACATACAATAGCGATAGGTGGATGACGTCTCGTGCAATTTTATACTCGAAATCTGCTCACACTTCACGTACACATCTCGATGACTTTTCTCGGTAGTACGGAAATTCAGGTGCAGTATGTTTAATAACAGATATTCTATGAACAAGCTGACTTGATAACATTAAAATTTGGTCTCTTAAAGTTGAAGATATTAAATAGCTTCAAAAATGAGTAACCCGATATACTGATTTTATATTTGGTTCTTATTAAGGTATTTCACCTAGGATTTAGTGTTTGGGCCCATCCGGTATGAAATCTTGATGACCAAATCGATCATGTACTTTAGGAATAGCTTTGAATATTTTCAATACGTGTGACCTGAATATTCTCAGTTCCGTCGGTGCCTAGAGAGCTTAGAGAGCATTGCTCAATGAGGACCATAGTCGTCAACTTGAACACCACATCAGCAAAATGTTTCCCTAAACAGCGCCCTGACGCAGCTCCCGTCCCGAACCGCATGAAACCGTATCGCAACTTGTCCTTTGGTACCTCAGAGAAGCGTTCTGGTCGAAAGTCGGCACCGTCTGGGCCCCATGTCACACATTCCTGATTGAGACGTCGGGCATCGATGACCACCGGTGTGTGTGCAGGAATGGAATATCCTCCGATGACCTTCGGGGTGGCCGTACACTCGGGTAGCGAGAACCCTGCCATTGTCAGAAAGCACTCGTTAATTGTAGTTCACATCAAGAGACCTACAGAATGCTGGCGAGTGTCGCATGCTTTCCACCACCGTCCGATTGAGTAGCGTATCGGATTTAGTCATATACTTGGCAAGGCCAAGATCAAGCTGGCTCTTCCATCTTTGGATCTCGCCTCGCAATGTCTGCAGAGATGGGCGGATGGATAGATGCGAGAAGAGGGTACCCAGAACTCCAGCACTTACATCGACATTGGTGAACAAAATCTCGTCCAGGGTTTGCAGAAACTAGAACAAAAAATGAGATCACTGAAACGAAAGAAATTCGGAAACTAGGAATGGATTGACTTAGGTACTTCATGCTCTTGCATATCTTGTGTCTGGTCCACACCGCGGAAGATGCGCTCAACTGGACAAGACATATTTTGCTGGCACTTGTTATCAGGAACCCACACGAATATTCGAAACACAAAAGTTCGAATTTTCCACTTACCTCTCGAGCTTCCCGAATAATCTGCCGATTAAACACGCGCCACTGCGCAATGTATGTTTGCAGCCGCCTTCGTGCAGCGGTTGGAAGGACATTCCACAACTTTGAGTCGGGGTACTTGCTGGCCAGCATATCACGAATGATGGCTTCATGGAGAACATTTAGTTCTAAGAGGCGTGTATAGAGCTAATTCGGCAATTAGCAACGGATTTGTAAATCTATTTAGCAATGTTGAATTAACCGGTTCGCTAAATGCCTCTCCATATAGATGTATCGCTAGCAATCGAAAGGTTAGAAACTGGAACGTCCGCTTGACGTGAATGACCACAGTCGGGGTTAATATTATTCTGTCCAACCATTGATGAATTTCGTGAGAGAAACGTGGCATGCTCTGCATGACCGGATGAAAGGCGAACTCCGGATCGAAATTTTGGCGCATTCTGCGCCAGGATTCCCCGTAATTGGCCCCGATAGCATTTCCCATGAGACTATGATTAGGTATTAGTAAAGGGGAGACTGCCTTTCTTTAAGAACGACAGGATCCTTACCAGCCGAAGGGCATACCCAGGTTGAAGTTCGGAGGTTTACTATGCGCTGTGTGGACCATTTAGTATCGGTATAACCCATAAGGGTCCCAAGAGCCAACCTTTGGCATCGTGTTGATAGAACTCCTGTACATGTGCTGGCTGGCTTATAACCAACTCACACGACGATCCGGAGCGGATGAGATAAAGTTCACTACCAGCCAATGTCTTTCCTTGGTGAGATAATTCTGCACTATCGACAGCACCATATCTTTAATACCAATCGTAGGAATGAAGTGAACGACTATCATCGATGGCGGAACTACCTTGCGACAAACTTAGAAAAGCGAACATCTCCTTTCAGCTCTTTTATTAGCCGTCCATGTTGATCAAGAAAACTTCCCTGGTAGATCCATAACCATTGCCTCTGGCGCCTGGAGGATATTAGCTACATACCAATTGCTTTCCTTTTAGTGTGAGCCAGGTTGCCGAAAATATCACAGTGAGAACACTACCAATCAGTGATAGCAGCCACAATTGAAAATAGTCTGAAGAAGAGACATTTTGCCTTATGGATTGAACCGAAGCAAGAACCTGGACTGGAATACTAAAGTCCTTGGATTCCATGGCCAGTCTGTGTTTGTTTTTGATTGTATGTTCAAATCTAATGAACTTTGACAAACTCTTAAAGCATTATACGAGCATGAACATCAGGGCTAAGTCAATGACACGGATGTATGGATATCTGAGTGGCAAGGCATTTGCAAAATGCCCTGCGTCCCAGTCCGGGTGATACGCTGACCGGAAAATTGAGATCACGACGGGGATTATGAATCCAGATGCAGTCAGATTACAGTCGCGGTTTCTACCTCGGAGATAAAGTCGAATTTTCCGTGTTTGTGACTGGCCCCGGGTGGAGACCGGAAAGCCGATCTACGGGAGGGCCAAAATACCATCATTTTCGGGGCTACAATGATAGTTAATCAATCGCGCGATTGATCAACTTAGAATAATACCAAAAGCAGAAGACCGGTTTCTTTGAATCGCGCCGAAGTCCTTTTACCTGATCATATCCATCGTGACGGCCACAACGGAAGCACAACAGCAAAATCATGGACGGCAGTATGACGAAGGAATTACCACCAACACATCGTGCGTTGAAGGTTCAGAGTGCTGGCCAGCTCGCCCTGATAGAGGATTGCCTACTCCCAGAGATACAGGACGGCGACATGCTGGTCCGCGTGGCTTACGTGTCCCTCAATCCAGTTGATAGCAAGTCCGCCGACATGTCTCCGAGTCCCGAAGCGACTTCAGGGTGCGACTTTTCAGGAGTCATCATCTCAATGGGATCTGTCGTCAAATCTCAAGTTGGAGTTGGAGATCGCGTATGCGGATGCGTTTTCGGCAACAATCCCATCCGGCTTGACAACGGCGCCTTCGCCGAGTATGTAGCTGTCCCTGCGCAGTTGGTGTGGAAGATTCCCGCGCAGATGTCATTTCAGACGGCTGCAACGCTGGGAATTGGCTTTGCGACAGCTGGTCTGGCTCTTTATCATGGACTCCAATTGCCTCTTCCAGTATCTGGACCGGAAGTGCCGAGCGCGGTATTGGTCTACGGAGGGGGAACCGCAACGGGAACCCTCGCGATTCAGCTTTTACGGTTGTAAGTATTACAGTGACCTCGTTCAATACAGGTAGAGACTAACCATGAAAGATCTGGTTTGACACCAATCACCACCTGTTCGCCGCGTAACTTCAACCGCGTGAAGAGGCTTGGAGCAGTGGCTGCTTTTGACTACCGCTCACCAACCTGTGGCACGGACATTCGCGAGTACACCCGGGACCGTCTAGCCCTGGCAATGGATTGCATCACTGATACCAGGTCCATGGAGCTCTGTTATACGGCTTTAGGAAGTGCCGGTGGGCGGTATCTTGCACTGGACCCGTTTCCGGTGCGCAAGCATACACGCCGCAGCGTTCAGCCAGATTGGATCTGCATGTTCACTCAGTTTGACCAGTTTATCAACTGGGAGCGACCATACAATCTGGATCCTCGGCCGGAGGATCGGCTGTTCGCTGAGCGATGGTATGCAGTGGTCCAGGGGCTGTTGGACGCTGGACAGATCGAATCTCATCCGTACAAGGAGCGACGAGGCGGACTGGCCGGGGTGGCGGAGGGAATAGACGCAGTTCGCAAAGGTGAGGTCAATGGATACAAGCTAGTGTATGGGGTCTAGAAGAATATGAGAGTCTTAAATCGTGGCGGGGTTTCCGCGGGCAGCGTATTGTACCGTGGCCGATTGGGGCCAACTTTGGGAAGTATAAGACTGATCATCTAGATTCAATGCACCAACTTCCAGGACTAGTAGTTGCAGGAGCTATGCAGTGACTAGCTGAATGGTTTATGCAAAAGAATTCCACGCTCCATTTGCTCAATCTGGATTGTCATTCTGAATGTCTTCGACACAGAATTTCCAAGCAGGTTAAGTTATTTCTCAAGCGCTGAGTGGTATTCGTCGGTGCCTATGAGCATGACGAGTTCGAAATTTTGCACGGAGTCTGTGTCTAAGATCCGAGGCGGGGAAGATTAGAACTGAACTCGATGGCAATGCATTCGACAATGCTATTTCTTTACCTCGCCGATCCATTGACAGTATGACTTTCTTCATCGCTTGATCGTATATTTGAAGAGTGGCCGCCAGCAATTGCCTTCCATATGCAAACCTCGGCGGTTTTAAATCGAGGACTATGCAGTATACTGGAGTATACTGGAGATAGCAATTTGTAGAGACGGTTAAAAGTGAACATCTTCGACAAAGAGGTCAAGACAAAGAGGAACCGAATATGATATCTCCCCATCCATTGAGATGTTCACATTTCGGCCGTGGACACTTTCAACGGTCAGCTCGGTCAGAATAATAAGCCGACATGGGCTCGGTACAACCGCCCCACTGACAGGGAATGCCCGTACCAGCGCTAGAAAAAGCCGGACTACCGATGTACGCTGGATCAATGTATAAAACCGTAAATATTCGGAACGATCGCGACCAAGCCATACAATCAGCACTCTCTACCAATTCATTTAGTTATTATTTACTGAGACGCGAAAATGGGCCTTGACAACTTGACTGTCGAAGATCATTCGGACAGCACCGTTAGTATTGTGGGCGGGGGACCTGTTGGGCTGGTTCTCGCCCTGACACTGGCATATCACGGCGTTCGTAGTGTCCTATTTGAGAAAAATGTTACCACTACGCAGTCAGTCTTTCTAACCGAAAACCAATCCTTGGAAACAGCTAACATTGATAACAGGTTTCCGAAGATGGACTTAACGCTCGCACGAACGATGGAGATTCTGCGCGTATTGGGTCTAGCTGATGGACTCCGTGCCCGAGGTGCGAACGCTTCTCCCACATTCCTTAGCTTTGGCTAACTAGCCATGTTCGGAAAGGTGTGGCCCCTGAATACCCGTTCACTGTGCGCTTTTCTAGTGGCCTTGGGGCAGAGCATCCTCTTTCGGAGTGGAGACTCCCCAGTACAGATCAATTCCGCCAGCGCATTTTGTCCCAGAATGACGGGACTATGCCTCTTGAGCCCTGGTTGCGCGTATCAGGAGACCTGTTTGAAGCATTTCTGAAGGAAAAATGTCAAAATAGCCAGCTGATCGATGTGCGCTTTGGATGGACAGTGACACATGTCATCGAGGGTCCCACCGGAGTGGAAACTCGGGTCAATAATCCTCATACAGGCGAGGAGCAAGCCATACACAGCCCTTACGCAGTCGGATGTGATGGAGCATCGAGTTCGGTCCGCAAAGGTCTAGGAATTGACCTGGATGGTGGCCCCTTGTATCTAACCCCTGAGTGTTTCATTCTTTGCTGTGTTGATTATACTGACCCTCGAGTAGGCACAGCAGCGTTGTGCTGATCCATTTCAAGTCCCGGGACCTGGCTGGTCTTCATCGTCAGGGTCAATTTTGGCATACTTTCTTTCCTAGCGATCCATCCATCAACGGAGACTCGGTGGGCGGCACGATCATCTCGCAGACCGAAGTTGATACATGGACAGTCCATGACTTTCGTGCCCCTGGATCGAAACAAAATACCAGTTCCGCCCAGGAAACGATCTACCGCGTGCTGGGAGGAATGAGAGATCCTTATCAAATTACCGTTGACGAGATTATCGCTCAGTCAACATGGACACCCAGCATCACAATCTCCAAATCTTACGGCGGACCACTGCAGCGCGTTTTCCTCGCTGGTGACGCGTGCCACCAGATGGTCCCGTCAGGTGGATATGGCATGAACATGGGTATTGCTGATGCTTTTGACTTGGGCTGGAAGCTAGCCGCGACAATTCAGGGCTGGGGGGGTCCACGGCTATTGGCATCGTATGAACAGGAACGACGTCCAGTTGCAGAGCTCATGCAACACTGGGGCAAAGTACATGCAGAGAAGCTGATAGGCCTGGCTTCTAAGGTAAACCTGGATGCGGCCATCATCGATGCGCCCGATTCACGTGGAGAGCAATTACGGCGCAAGGTCCATGAGTATGTGCAGGGTAATGACGCACACAATCAGAGTTTTGGGGTGGAATTCGGCCATCAGTATCAGTCGGAAATCACGGCGAAGAGTGTATTTATCAACCCACCGCCCTTCGATCCACGCTCATACACCCCAACCACCTATCCGGGCTTTAGGGCTCCTCATGTGTTCCTCACCGACGGCTGTGCCATCTTTGACAAATACGGAAAAGGTTTTACGCTCGTTGAGTTTGTCGATGAATTGTCCGTATCGTCACCCAGTGGGTCAGCCACATTCAGAGATGTTGCTGACGAGCATCAAACACCCGTGCAAATTGTTTCCCTGGCAAGAGAATCCCATGCTCACAAGGTCTGGGGAGCACAGATGGTACTGGTGCGCCCGGACGGCTTCGTGTCGTGGCATGGAAATGAGATTGTCTGTAAAGAGGCAGCTAGGGCAATCCTGCTGCAAGCAACAGGCTACTTCGACTCGTTTTCCATCGCTTCTAGAGAGCCAGAAATCCCCTCCTGCCTATAAGTCTGGTAGGTTCTATACTTGGTCTAGCTTTTAATTGCTATGCTACGAAATTATTACGATCTGTGGGGTATAATAGCAAATAAAGTTGGAAACGCACTTCTTCGTAGCATCAAGACAGATGGCATCTCTTGGTCTAGGTTTATTCTCCACATGCTGCAGACAATCAGAAAAGCCACATATATTATTCTCAGCCTTGATATACATGCCTAGTCAAATCACTGGAGCCCTTTCTTGTCCACAGTCCATAAATACACAATACTCGCGAAGCCCAACCATCCCGCACTCCGAAATCTCGTCTACCAGGTAAATGATGATCTCAAAGCCCTGGTCAAAGATAACCAAACCGGGAAACTGGTTTCATTTGAAGAGGCCATGAAGAGGACAGGTCCATTTGCTTTCACCAAAGCATTGATGAGCTACTTCACTGAACAGACTGGAGTCGAGCATATCGGCGACGAGCTCGGTTGGCTATCCGAGCCGCGGCTGATCAGCGACGTGCTGGTCGTGCCTCGCAAAAGCTTTGGATTCCTGGCGCCTGATGTCCTCGAAAAACGAGATTTATCCGTCCTTGTCCAACACCTCTTAATTGGCTTCTAACAGCGGGAAGGCCATCCGGGCTAATACTAAGGGTGCTTGCATTTTGCTTGGGGTTAGGGATGACTGTCTATAATTCAACTGCGACTAGTTCAGATTCAGTGGCCAAAGCTTCAATGAAAATGAAGCTTGAAGACCTATTTATCGCCATCATCATCAAGATCTGAGAGGATTTTCGGCCATTCAATTTTTGTCCAGCTTGCGTTGCTTCGAAACATCAAATGAGGACGGATAGCCGTAGGATCCTCGGAAATATGTAAACACTTTGGTGATGATAGATCAACTAGGTACTTTGAGATAAAGTCACTGAAAACAAGGCAAATCTAGCCGTTGATTCGCATTACAAGCCTGAAAAGGCTCAGTCGGTCAATGAGCCCATTGCGCATCTACGTGGAATTTGCTCATGATAATTCTAGGTAGGTTATGCATTGCTCCTCCGCACTATAAAATACAACTCCTAGTTCAAAGAAACACGGGCTCCAACGCGTATCAGGGACTTCTACACATATCCCTAATACGTATATCCCATCAAGCTAAAATTTACCAGGGGAAATAATTGTAGCTCATCGAAGTTTGTGTCTGCTTCTCCATCGAGTATTGTATGGATTATACTTCTTTCCTATGAGGAGTAAATTGTCAGTATCATTCGCATGCAACGTCAAATTTTTGACAGGCCTACCAGGTATATCCTGTAGCCTCAACAGCAGGCGTCTTGATGGCATTCCGATCTCCGAATGGATTGTCCTCATCGTCTTCTTCTTCCTCGGACTCTGTCTCGCTCTCGCTTTCAAATATTTGCCGGGAATGCTGCGACGATGAAGCAGTCGGAAGGCTGTTTCGGTTCGGGCGAGGTGGCTTGGGAGGGTTAATGCTAAGGCCACTGAAGCTTTGATTCATTTCCTCCTCGATCTCGGCCTTCGACCTCCAGTTCCCTGACAGAACGTCATCCTCACTGTCACTGTCGTAGTCCACACTCTTGTCTAGAACTTCAAACGCCATCAAGGCCGTCACTAGCTCTTCGTTGGCATGGATCAATCCTCCGAGAAACTCCTCGCTTTCTATCTGTTGGATATATCGGAGAATCTGGTGCCGAAGCTTCTTGCACATCTCAAAGCGATTGACGCATTCCGCGTCCTCGCTCACGCGAGTTGTCTCGCGGTTTACGAGCTTCAGTGCATTCAGCAGATTAGTGCTGGCGACGGAGGCGGAGGCAATGGTTTCCAGGATCTGAGGACGCTCGCGCTCCAAACTAAAATTCCTACTGCTGATCGAGAGTTTCTTGTCCCTCTTCTTATCCTTGTCCTTTGATTTTGACTTCGGTTTGGGGCTGCTGAGGTTTCTTGAGGGTCCATTCCCAGCCGATACGGAAACCGTATGTCCCATGGGTGGTTCATTACTGTTATTCCCTCCTTCACGGAGAACTTTTGCCTTGGCCTGGGATGCAGGCTGCTTGCGCTTTGGGAGCTGCTTATAAAGGGCGGTGATTTTGGCCATACCGGGCGTGTCCTTGTAAGTTGCCGCCCATTGTCCAAACATCACTTTGCATTTCTGCTTCACCAGCGGATCCGAAACTGGATCTGTTCCGGCGATACGGAGTCGTTCGAGCAACGGCTCGTCGGCAAATTCGCGCAGGAACCGATCTCCAGCATTCTGGATCAGAAAGTCAAGAATTGTGAGCGCACGCAATTGGCGATGAAGGTTGCCATATTTCCTACAGAATAATTAGCTTGGGCTGCGGTGACCATCACGCGATCAACCCACAGTTTCTTGCGCAGAGCACGGCTGGCTTCTGTCGGGCCGCTGGCTTGGATGCGAATGACCTCGACCAGGTCAACGATACCGCTCGAGTCATCGACTTCATATTGTTCGCTAGTAAGGACCTCGATCTGAACGGTCACCGCCGAATAGGGTTTCTATCATGAAAGAAGTGCAGATTAGCGTACTGATCACAACACACGCTTATCAGGGCGTAGGCCGAGGTACCGATGACTGAAACATAGCGGGCAGACTTTGGTAAAGTCTTTCTTGTTTAGAATGTACTGCTTCTTAGGAAGCCTGCTGATAGATAAACAACAGGGAGAGAGGAGATCACACGAATCTCGATCTCGTCGTTTGCAACACCCCGCGTGTTGAGGCAAGATCCTCCCGTACGAAGCCCCGCACGGCTGGGAATACTCGATGATCTGCGGGGGGATGGAGAGACAAGGCGCCAGCGACCAGACCACGCCCTATATGAGAGTAGCGAGGCAAATTAGGTTCAATGGAGGTCGTCTATTACAGCGAGTCAACGGAGTCAATGGTTTGATCTTGTCGCGTGAATGACGGTGACGTCGGAGGCCGCAGGGTGATCTTGGCGCTAGTCGGGCAGCCGATCAACGGTTGGTCGGGGATTTCGGTGGATTTCAGCGGGCTCCAGTGGACTCAGGAGAACGAGGCACCACGCCACGGGGCAGTGCATGCAGTGAGTTCTGTGTAAGATACTCGAGGAGAGAGGAATCCTTGCCCAAGCCTTGCAAAGTGCAAAAAGGCCGAAGATGGCCTGAAACAAACCTAAAACCATCTCGATCATTTGCCCGTGACTGCGGCCCAATTGGGACTAGGGCGGGGTCACGCCGAAATCGCAGAGAGCTGAACAGAGCAATCAATACGAGCCCTCTTCATACCTTTGATATCCCGTCATATCGTGCCATTGAGTAGAGTCCATTTCTCACATCTCGCGGCTTGGTCAATTCTGTCGTTCAATTATACCAATTGGGCTCTTATATGACCCCTTCTCGCACGAGCCGGACGGATTCGACCCCCTGCTCCAATTCGTTGCGTATCCTCCTGTCCCGCTTCTTGATCTGCTCCACCCTCATCCTGGCCCTCAGCGTGGCTCTCAAGACCCGCTCCCGCCTCTCACTCCTGCTCCCCTCCTTCCCCTCTTCCTCCTACCATCACCACTCTACAACCATGGCTTACCAACAAGAACGCTACATTGCCGAGCTGGCTGTCCAGCGAGCCACCCTTCTCACCCAGAAGGTCTTCTTCGAGAAGGCTAAGGGTACTGTTTCCAAGGACGACAAGTCCCCTGTTACGATTGGCGATTTCGGTGCCCAGGCCCTCATCATCCAGGCCATTCGCAAGAACTTCCCCGAGGATGAGATCGTCGCCGAGGAGGAGGCAAGTTCGCTTCGCGAGGACAAGGACTTAAGCGCCGAGATCTGGCGCCTGGTCAAGGACATTAAGCTAGAGGATGCGGAGAGCGACAATCTGCTGGGCGGTCCTCTCACTAGCGAGGAGAGCATGCTGGACATCATTGACCAAGGCAAGAGCGCTGGTGGTGGTAAGGGCCGTATCTGGGCCCTGGACCCCATCGATGGCACCAAAGGCTTCCTGCGTGGTGGTCAGTATGCTGTTTGCCTGGGCTTGATCGTCGACGGTGATGTGAAGGTCGGTGCTATTGGTACCCCGAATCTTCCCGTGGATGATGCCGCCACCATCGACGCTAGCACCGGTTCCCAGCAGACCAACAACTCCTCTAACGGAGTCCTCTTCTCTGCCATTGAAGGCCAGGGTGCTTTCAGCCGTCCTCTATCCAGTGGTGCTCTTGCTGAAAGCAAGCCCATCTCCATGCGCCCTGTCCCCGACATCGCCCAGGCGGTCTTCTGTGAGGGTGTCGAGGCTGCCCACTCCGCTCAGGGCGACAACGCTGCCGTTGCTGAGCGTCTTGGCATCACCTCCCCGAGCGTCCGTCTTGATTCGCAGGCCAAGTACTGCTCCATCGCTCGCGGTGCTGGTGATATCTACTTGCGTCTTCCTGTCAAGAAGGACTACCAGGAGAAGATCTGGGACCACGCCGCTGGAGACATCATTGTTCGTGAGGCCGGCGGCCAGGTGACGGACATCTACGGCAACCGGTTGGATTTCAGCAAGGGTAGGACCTTGGCTGCCAACAAGGGCGTCGTCGCTGCTCCCAAGGCTCTGCAAGCCCAGGTCATCGACGCTGTGAAGGTTGTGCTGAAGCTGTGATTTGTTGATCTGGCTTCTTCCCGTGCTCAGAGCTTGCTTGGTGCGCTACTATGATGCCAATTGGCTAGGACCTCATTTCAGACGTTCCATAGTACAAGTACATTTATGATACCAATATGAAGGAATTAAAGGGGGATGTTCAAAAGTACATATATAAATACGGAGATAGAGTATAAGAATACAAGGGAACCCAGAATGCAATGTTCCAAGAAATCAAGCAAGACACGCGCGCCCACCATCTATTTGATCTTTTTCGCCTTGAGCTTAATGGTCTCTCCGTTAACAAAGATACCCTTGCCCTTGTACGGTTCCGGCCTTCTCCATTCCCTGATCTCGGCGGCGAATTGGGTCACCAGACGCTTGTCAACGCTCTCGAGGAGGATACGGGTGGGTTGGGGTGTGCTGGCCTGGATTCCCTGTGGGATAGGAAGCTCGATTGGGTGCGAGAAGCCAACCTTCAACGAGACGAACTGTTGGCCAGGGAAGGAAGGATTGACGGTCGTCGCTTTGGACTCAATAGTTGCCCTGTAACCCACACCGACAAGGCTTAGAACGCAAATATGGCCTTCGGACACCCCGGTGATGTGATTCTGGAGGAGAGCGCGTGTAGTACCTGCCAGATGATCGAAATGTTAGCTTATGGCCTGACTGCGGACTATGAAAACACGTACCCCACATCGCACGCTGATGAGGCTGCTCTGGGTCGACGACTGACAAGGTGGTCTTCTGGCTAGTCGCATCTTGGTTGACGTTGAGAAATGAGGGAATGTCAAGGATCATCTCGCCTGTTCGGTCAAGCATGTTAGCGAGAGCTTCGGAACTCTCAAGACGATAACTTCATACCCTTAGGACCCTTGATATGCGCTGCAAATTTTGGCGTATCCTTTCCTCGTACCCGGACCGTTGATTTTGGGATATCAACAAGATTCAATGAGACCTCCGGGGGAACGGAGATGGCGGCGCCTCCGACTCTCGATTGCGCTGGGACCGTGGTTGAGAAGCATTGTGCACGGGGGGATGAGAATGCAGGTGTGAGAAATAGTGGTAGTGAGCCACGCTGGAATGGCTCCCGGAGGAGCTGCCGGGTACAGCGCTGGCTTAAGGACGACATCGTGTTACCGTGTTCAAACTGCCGCGCTGCGGATTCGACGATTTTGTCGGAATAAGACGTGGGCCTGATCGGGTTAGTTCACACGTGACTGGGACGTGCATTTTGATGCCTCAATAATCTGGCAGTGACATCCTTTTAAATTTGGGCTCCTTCGAGAAGTTTGAAAACAATCGATTAAGTATTTGTTGAAATTAAAATATGATTATCAATGGATTCTCATGTGGATATTATTGCATGAACTCTGGCCTGAATATTCATTCCTTCATATTATGTGTACGTGTCGGTCTAAATATATTCTCTACACGCAGTGTGTTGACGTTTATTTTGAACAGAGATTTTTTAATACAAAAACCCAGTATTTCACGCACCTATCTTTCTAAACGCAGCGTTGATAGTTTCAATAGTCGCCGCATTAATTTAAGTAGAAGAGTATCAGGAAATGAGAGGGATAAAAGGACGAAGGTTCTGTAAATTCGCTTCGTAAAACCGCTAGTGTATAAATAACCATAGCTAAATGGGCCAGGCATTCCTAGTGAAATGGACCAGAAACTAAAAGTCCTGCCCTCTGCCCTCTTTATCAATTAAATTCAGAGTTCTCCAAAAGGCAGCATTACAAATCTCTTTTGACTTTTTCACCCTGGGGGTTTGACAAATCGGCCTCTGTTTTAAATTTAGTAAAGAGATTGCTTGATCCATACCTTCTAAGGTATGGAGCTAAAGCTTTCATTAGTCTCAATAGCTACTACATACAACTTGTTCGTATCTCCAAGAAGGATACGTAGGCTCCCTTGTGGTCTTATTATTGAATCCCCTCGCATATTTCATCCGGTGCATTGGGAAAATATTTTTGAATGGTGTAGTTCAAGAAAGGGGACAATCCGAGAAGAGAGATAAAGTGATGATCCCGATAGGATTCAATTATTTTTCATCGATCATTTGAAAGAATTTGCAAATACCAGGATTGTAGTCGAAGCTCGGTAGACAAAAGTCAAACGCAGCTATTACATTATGATAGAGAGCGCTCCTTCGCCAGAATGGCAGCCTGGTCTTTGAGAAATCGCGAAGCAATGCTGGACTCGCTACCCTCCTCCAGCTTGAACTGGGGTCCGCCTGCTTTATATTCGTAAGTGATGGAACTACCGGCCGGGCAGTGCCTCACAATGCGCCAAGCTAGCAAGAAACCAGTCACATTCCATGCCGCCTCCTCTCTAGGGGAAGTAAAAGTATGACCGTAGTGATCGCCGGTTTTGTTGAGTTGCAAGGTGTATTTTTCAGTCCATATATCAACCCATTCGGCATAACACTGGGCCAGTTGGCCAGGCACAGGAGGTGTGAGGTCCTCTAAGTCCATGATGGTCACTGGCTCCTCATCTTCACTCAGGTCATTTATGTGTCGCCAAAGGAAATCTGTTCCAATCTCAGGCCGGATAATTAGGTGGCGTTTCCGCCCTTCTGGTAGAGGAGCGGTCGGCTTTGATATTTGGACAGATTCATCACCGGAAGAGGTTGAGATTTTGAAAATCAGGTCAAATGTGGTTTCCACCACTTTGACGTCCTTTTGGGAATCGGGTACGGGCTGTTCGTTCAGGGTCCGCCATGCATCGCCCACATGGGCATATTTGACATATTTGCGAGTCTCGGGCCATTGACAGAATTCCTTCAGGGGCCCGAGAGGATACTCTGTAGATGGAGAAGCCATGATTCAGGAGCGGTAGCGTGAGACGAACCGTCAAATGACGAAAGCGCCCAGAAGTGATCTACTAGAGAACATGGTAAGATTATATATGACGAGGCGGGGGTTTGGGGGGAGGGGGGTTGCGTCCCGCGGGACTTGAGCTTCACCTCCACCAACACGGCCCCCCGCCGAATCGCTGCGTTGCTTGGTTCGGCTCGTTGGTCCGCCACCATTCCCGACAACCAGCCTAGCCCCCAAATCAACCAAGTATGAGTCAAAAACACAAAAGTCTGCCTACCAAATTTGAATCATCGCACATGAGAAGATATTCAGCAGAGTAAAAGGTGCTAGGAAATTGAATCTCGCAGTCGCAACACCGCAAACTGGATGTAAACAACCAACCTGTTTGTATGAACCAAGCAAGCTAGCGACCCTGAAACGAGACGCCTAGTTTCGCAATTGCTGCAGGATATTATACTATCATCAATATTGATGCCATAGCCCCCATTGTACAGGAATACATGAAGCTGACGACGATCAATCCGTATTCCCGAAGTTCCTGCACCATCACCGATTCTTAAATGCACCGCGCATATAGGATAGAGGGGAGATTTATAGCGCTTCGCTAAATATACACAATCCGAGCCCCAGCCTCGATTTCTTGCCGCCCATACTAGAGTATACGATAATGCTTCAATCAGTAGGAAAAAAATCATTTGACAGGATCCTGGAGGGCTATTTGTGAGAGTGAGTGCCGGCGATGGGTCCTATACTCCCAGGGAACTTGAATGGTGTCCTGTAGATGTCACTTCCTCCATACTATTTCCAACCCACCGTCAGAAAAGTTGACAGTCAATGCTATGATTAGAAATACGAAGAGAAAAAGGAAACTTTTGGCCTTTGCAAGGCGCATAGCCATATACTATGGTCGAGATATCGTTCTGCATCGTGTCATCAACCCGCCCTTGGTGCTATGGAAAAGGAAACATAAATAGTGCCATCATGCCCTACGATTTTAGTCACACATACAAACAGAAATCGAATTTCATTCATCTTTCCAGCTTCATTCTCGCTCAATACTCACTGCGTGCCTGAAATTATAATGTCTGCACCACCCAACAAAGGCAAGGGCAGGGCTTCGAGCGTTGCAAGCGGTAACAGTGGCGGAGCAGGCAGCCAAAATAGTGGTAATACCAGAACTACAACTCAGACGACGAGTGATCAGTCAAAGTCAACCATTGCTGAGTTATCGGTCACGGACTCCACCAAGGTCCTGCTCCATCAACTCAAAGATCATGGCGTGAAAGCAAGCATGGATCAGGTGATGTCTATTTGGGAAAGTGCTCACAGCATGTTCAGAGGCGCTGTTTCAAAGATGGCGCCGGGAATAAAGCCTAACACAGTCGTGAAATTCTTGTAAGTCCCTGCAAATTCTTGGTTGAATCCCTTCCTTTGTCCTCATATTGTGCTATAGAGAAGTGGGGAATGATGGCACCACTGGTAGAAAGGCTGCCGGTCATGCACATGTCATACGTGATCATGGAAGCGAATTCAACGACTGGACAGATGAACAAATTGTAGAATTGCCGAGGGTTGCTGAGCATGCACTCCCAGTTGGTGAACAGCTGGCTAAGAAGAGAAAGAAGGGAGAAGGTCGGCCTTTGTTTGCACTTGTTTATTATGGAAAGCCTCTTGTCACTGCCATTCAGATTTCGAACAATGGCTTTGTCGTTTCATATAACCGAAACAGTCTTGATAAGGCTCTAGAGCAGCTGCGCAGCCCTTGTGAGGAACGGAAAGGACTCCCGATGGCCGCAGATGATGGCTCTATGAACTTCAAAGATCGAGAACAGCTTGTCAAATATCTTCAGAAATATTTCAGCTGGCCGCCTGTCCAAAGCTCAGCTTGGCCTCCTGTCGAGCTGGCGACTTGGCCGAGAATTCAAGCCACAGTTCCTCGCCCAGGTAGTTCGTCAAGTGCATCAAGTGGTGCGGACTCGGGTGCCTCGACTGTTGCTATAAAGGCAGGCACAGCCGGAAATCATCCGAGGAAGAAGTGATTCAGCGATTATGTGAAAGACACCCGTGTGTGTTTCCTGAATGAAGCCAATCATTAAGTCGCACTGAAAAAAATGCATCAATCGTAGGAAGCCAAGGTACTAGAGCCAGGTGCAAGGTTTTTATTGCGGTGGAACCAACTCGCTCTAGTCCAAAGTCGATTTACCTGGCATACTTACATACTCTCATTCTCTATCGTCTTTTGTGAATCAACATACTTGCCGCTATATAGATCATAACAGCAATAAAAACCCCCATTTGTCTCAAATTCTAGATTCCTCTGTATTTACGAACTTTTTCGCGAGATAGATGCTGATTTCCATAGATAGCAGTAATTTTCACTGATTCACCTAGTCTAAACTCCTGAAAGTGTACAAAGTAGTAGTTCGACATTTACTTGAGAGAAGGCAAGTATTCGACAAATTCACTCCAAGTCTCGACAAGATCTTACAGCGACTTTTACGTACTGCTCAGGTCAACACATTACCTCGGACCGAAATTTTGCCCAATATTCGGCCCAGGCCCTACAAGCGAAGTTATTTTCTTGGAGTTTGAAGTTCTTTATTGTTCTTTATACCGAGAATTATCAGGAATGATTAACCGCAGCAGATAGTAGTCTCTTCTACTCCTTTCAAGTCTCCCTGAACGGTTTCTAAGTCGACTCGAACTACCATCCAGTCACACAGAAACTTCCCTAATCCAGCACCAATGAAAATGCAGATGATGACATACACATTGAAATACATTGCCAACAACATGATGATATATGCACCCCCAAATGTAACTGCATGAATCACTGCTCGAACCAATTGTTGCAAGGGCGTTACTCTGAAGAGAACCGTCTGGCACAGAGCTTCTCGCTCACCCGCCCGATCGCGGTTCTTGGCAGCGGTGGTGCTCCGCGCGGCGGCTTGGCGCTGGAATTGGCGGGCCAGGAAGAGATCATATTCCTTGCCCAGTCGTCGGAACCCCTCGACCAGGATCACGAGTAAAATGACTCCAATACACGTTGCGGCAAACATGCCATTATTCTTGATGTGCCACCCGGACGAGAGAAAACAGGCATCGATAGTATGCCAGTTGAAGAGCATCTGCGTTCGGTTAGCGGGGTCAGCCAAGCCATTGTGCCTTGGCACGCACCGAAATTTGGCATTCAGCAGTGCTGTTGCTGCTCGAGCTCATGTCCATGCCTTGCATGTTGAGAGGAGGCCCCTCGAGATACAATCAGGGGAAAGAGGACAGAAATGGCCGATTCGAGAATGCGGGCAACATATCCACTGCGAGGCTATCGCAGGCTTATAAGCCCTCGCTCGACCCGCATGGCTTCGTCCGGAAAAGGCCGTTGAGTGGAGCAAAATCTCCATCGCGCCTCCGTGAAATGTGCTCAATTACGCGCAGGTTCGGGCGTCGGATTGGTCGTTTCAAAATGGAATCGTAGTTGGGTTCGACTCGCTTCCTACAAGACCGTCCAATTTTCTCCAGCAAGCGATGATCTCCTGGTTAATAGTCTCGCTCACCTAGCCATTCTGCCAAGTATGCTGAATACGCCGATTATGCTGCCAGACCGTCATTGAAAAGCGCGCGCAGTCCATTGTCATCCTGCGGTCAATCTCTTGCCTATCCACCGTTGGAACTATATTTACTCACGGCACTTGCGGGTCTCCCCGTAATGCGCTGAGACAACATGTCATTTGCCAAATCTGTCCGTCGCCATATTCAAGATCTGAGCAATGCCACAGAATTAGAGCCTCACTGGGGATATGCAGACCGGGCTGTGCCCTGTACTAATGATGCCGGCTCGTGTGCCTATCTCGACGCTGTTTATTCGGCCCATGATATTGGAATGATGTATACGGGTATCATATGGGCAACTATTGGAGGTATTCTTTTTATATGCGCCATGCTTCGACAATCCCATCGTTCGACAATCGGGTCCATATCAACCCTACCTGCTGCCGACCTATCGGGGTTCCGGAAGCTTCACGTCTCTTTTGCAGCCTTCGTCAGAAGATATCTGCTGCCTGACGCCGTCCGGTTGGTCTTTGGACGCACAAGTCGGCTGCAGGTCCTTATTCTTGCAGCATTAGCAGGATATCTTCTTATATTCAGTTTCGTTGGAATTGTCTACAATACCTGGGTCACCCCGGTGTCGGGAATGTCGGGCGTCTACAACACTCGTTCCAGCATTGGGCCCTGGGCAGACCGAGTCGGTGTTCTCGCATATGCTCTCACACCACTCTCTGTTCTGCTGAGTACTCGAGAGTCGCTCTTGTCCTTGATAACCGGTATCCCATACCAAAGCTTTAACTTCTTGCATCGCTGGTTGGGCTATATCATCTTCGTCCAAAGTTCGCTTCATACTATTGGGTGGTGCGTGGTCGAATTGAGACTGTACCAGCCCCAGCCATCTGTGGGCATTGAATGGGTCACGCAGACTTACATTGTTTGGGGGATTGTGGCCATGATTCTACTCCTGTTATTGTTTGTGCTGAGCACACCATGGGGTATTCGATTGACTGGCTATGAAACCTTCCGGAAGGCTCACTATATCCTTGCAATGGTGTTCATTGGGGCCTGTTGGGCGCACTGGAAACAGCTCAAGTGCTTTTTACTCCCATCTCTCATCTTTTGGGGCCTCGACCGCGGTGTTCGTCTTGCTCGCTCCGCGCTTTTACACTATCACCCGGGAGAACCAGGGGTCCTCGGCTTCAAATCACTCGATGCCACCATCACCCTCTTTCCAGACCCAGAGCACGGTGATGTGGTTCGTCTGGAGTTGGAGAACAACCAAGAGCCCTGGGAGATTGGCCAGCATTACTATCTCTGTTTCATGCAGGGTAGCATATGGCAATCGCATCCCTTTACGCCACTCAACGTTCCTTTTGTTGAAGAAGGCAAAGTGAGACATTCGTATATCCTTCGGGCCAAGAAAGGCGAGACCAAGAAAATAATCGACCTTGCTGTTCAAGGAGCAGTTAGCACCCCTGTGATTCTCACAGGCCCCTATGGTGAATCGATTAACCGGCATCTGACGCTAGCGACAAACGTCGTTTGCGTGGCGGGAGGCACGGGGATCACATACGTTCTTCCTGTCCTTCTCAACCTCGCGAGGCAAGCACCCTCGCCAGACCGAAAGGTCGAATTGATCTGGGTCATTAAACACGTTCAGAATACTGAATGGGTGCGAGACGAGCTGGATCTTCTGCAGAGCCTCCAGAAAGATTTGCATATCAACATTCGTATATTCGCAACAAGAGACACGAGTAGCGAGTCGTCACTGGGCACAGAGAGTCAGACCGTGGTCATATCAAGTCATGACAATCATGAGAAGACCACAGAAATCTCCCAGTCTTCATCCATATCAAAGTCAAATCGATTGCAAGGGAACATACCCGTCAAAATGGGGCATGGGTCGGGGGACTTGAGCAGGCACCCAGATCTTCGAAGCATGGTCGAAGGCTTCGTAGAGAACACTATCCAAGGACCAACTACTGTCTTCGCAAGTGGACCTGGTGGGATGTTGAGCGATCTCCGAAGTATTGTTGCCTGCTGTAATTCCGCGTCCAAGGTGTGGGCTGGCCAAGAGAGGTTTGATGTTCGTCTGGTTTGTGATGATAGATTAGAGTGGTAGAAAAATCAACTCAACTGAATCAAAGGAAGCGCTTCAAAGTAGATCCTGGAATTCACCTGTGAGCTAATGGAGATCCTTTGCCGGTTTAATTCAGGAATCTGTTGGAAGAGCCTCTATATTGCAAACCTCACAACGTTTCTGGTTGACAGTTGGGCACAACGACTCGGAGTATGATCGGTGACTAACGCCGATAGGAACGACCTCCCTCCTTATTTTTCATCCACAATTTGCACCTGCTGCACTCCGAGCTTCGGAGAATATAGACACGATGAGATGGCTTGGAGGGTCCCACGTTCTTCCCAAGTTTACCTTCCTATGTTGCGCCCTCGCCTGTGGTCTGGCAAGCCCAACAGACACAGATACTCCGAATGACGGTATGTGACTTCATGCCGATGAGTTTTTCTCATCTGCTAACAAAAAAAGGCCATTATCCTCTCCCCGTGGGTATGTCGGACCAAAATGATCCGATATCTGACCTAGCTTCGAAGCTTCGACAGCCAAATTCTATCTTTACAGAGGCGCTCCAGTTGCTAGAGTCAATGCAGTCTTCGCCGTCATGTACACGAGTCGCCGCAACAAAGCTTGTGGCATCATGCCAGAACTTCGGAGCCAATAATGATGCCAGACCCGAAATACATCCGGTTTTGGAACACATAAGATCTGTCTATGCCGCGCGACTAGCAATCTGTGAGCTTGACGGCGCCGGTGCCTCGATTCCAACTCCGTGTCTCCCAGTCTCAACACCCCTTCCAACACCATCGAAAAGTCGATTTGGATTTCTTTACTACTCAAAATCCTCCGCTTCTGAGACAGAGGCCGTTCCTAAAGCCGTCATCGAAGAGTGCCTTCGCGCACTCGAGTCGCGACCCCAATGGTGGACTTCATACAGTAACAACCGACAGAATGCATTGATAATATGCCAAGCCTCTCGGATTGAGATAGAGAAGGAGGAGCTCCTTGATCTCCATCGTTCATTAGTAAAGAGCACTGTCAAACTCGACGAGGGCCTGCAAGAGTCTCTTCGCAATGCGGTATTGCTGTCATCAGAACATCAAATTTTCTTGAAAACTGTCCGAGCTCTCAATGAAAGACTTTCTGCGGACTTGAAAAGTAGCGATTCCACGATCCGAAATTCCTTCAGCAGCCTTCTTCATGATATAGAAGCCGGCTTTGATAAGGTTATTGCTACAGTCACATCGGCTATAAATCGAGTGCAAACAAAGACATCCTTTCTTGAAGATGTGAATGATGCCAACCCCGTTTATATTCGATAGCACTGATGGTTTTATAGAAAATTCGAAATGCCTCCTCTCATACGGATTCCTTACAACGGGCTCTGCAAGCTGCTCACGCAGATACTGTCAGCAGGAATGATCAGACATTACAATTGCATCAGGAGAATGTGATGGTGTCCCAACAACTGACAACCAATCTGCATCTGTCATTGGCATCTTTAATGGAGACAGATCTAGCGAGACTTTCCCAGAGAGTGGAAAGTGTCGACATAGCATTGGTTAGGTTCACCTGGAGCCGCTTTATGTCAATTTATGCTGACCTGTGCAGGAATGGCTCACAAGCCGACTCATCGCTATACTTGAGCAGGAGAATCGAATCTCCGAAGTAAGCCATCCAAGTAACCTCAATTGGTATCAGTTTCTAATTCAACATAGCGACTTCAAAGCATAGATGCATTGATGAAACAATCAATAATGAAAGCCGATGAGCTTCATGAGGTCCAGCGATTGCATACGGAAGCCATGGCTGTACAGGCGCAAGCACAGGAATCAATGAGATTCAGCACGCAAGTCTCTCAAGCTTTACTGGACAGAGCAATTTCAGCCGCCTCCGACTTACAAGACATCATTGATGGGACAGCCGAGAAATACAAGCAAACGCCTGGCTTGCATAGGGGAGGACTTTCGGTCTGGACCTTATGTCTTCTCTTACTTATTATTATCGGGGGACAGAACATCAAAGTTGCCATTGGCCTTTTCTTTTTTATTTTCGGTATGCTCGAGAATTGCCGAGATTTTGATCTATCTATTGCTAATGGACTCACTTTAGGTCATTTAATCGCAACGTCCATCTTCCCCTTTTTCAAATTATATGAAACTTCGGTAATTCCTATTTAGTTGCCAATTCTCTGCTTCGTGCATTAGTTGGATATTTATAACGAATTCAGCAAATTTTACTAAGCATCTCAAGCATCCTTTCGGTATCTTCGGTTGTAGGCATGGAAAACGTCCACCGGCGAAAGTTCTAGATATTTTGGAATCTAGGATTCAGAAAATACACGAATTATAGCGCTCAGTGGAGACAATTTATGGTCTTGTTGCTGTCATCTTATACGCCTGGTCGCGCCATATGGAGCCTAGTATTGATTGGAAATGAAGTGCTGGATCTGTTTCACTCAAGCCACAGCGGGCTCACAGCCAGTTGCATTCTCATGGGGTATCATATTAAACATCCACAAACAGGACCAGGAACTATCGATTCCTACTCATTGTCGTCTAGAGACCCGTCATCTCCATCTGCCATTGTAACATCAACGTTTTCACCTGTTTTAGCCGCTGCAGCCTTCTGCTCGCGGGCTTTCTGTCGGCGTTTAATCTTCCGCTCCCGATTCTTCCGGTTACGCTTCTCGGCTTCCGACTCTTTTGCTGCTTGAGCAATGGCAACCTTTTTACGCAACTGAATGCGGCGCTTCTTCCCGGGCTTTTTGCGCGTAGTCGGTGATTTGGACGCTAGTTCGCCCTGGACGATGTAGATGGGCATGTCCTGTGAGGCTGGCGGTAGCTTTGTTTGATGACGTTTGAGATGAATGATCCGCCATGCAAGATTACATCCAGGCTGAAGAGTCGCATTAGTAAGGAGATTCATAAAGAACTGGCAAAAGTATGAGTAACATACCCAGGGCTGAGCCTCGGCCCAGGTAGTAATGTTTTCTCCTGTCACTGCGATTTCCTCGTACTGGCGTCGTAGCTCCGCTTGCCTTTGAATATATTCAGTGCTTTCATTGAGTCCTAGAAGAGACGGCGTGGCAAAGTAGTACTGCCATCCACGGGATGCCTTGACGAATCGGCCCTCTGAAGGGTCACCGGAGGGCGTTGGAGAGCGCAATCGAATGCGAAGCTTTTGTGTTCCTACATTCTCCTTTTTATCGAAACCTGAGGACTTCTCTTCTGTTTTGGCTCCTTGGCCTTCCTCTGGTTCTCGTTGATCTTGCGCACCTACGTCTTTAGGCTTCGTGGGGGCGCTGAATAGGCGGAACTCGAACTCCTGTTCCTCCTCCTCCTCCTCCCCAGTGACCCGAGGTTTCTTTTCCTGTTCGTTGTCCTCTCCTTCACTGGCAATGGATCCAATGATGCCATCTAGGTCTAGAAGCTTGCGCAGTCGGGCATGCGCATCTTGCAGGTCGGATTCGTCGACTGGAGATGGTTCACGAGAGGAATCCGGCGAAGCTACCTCATTGCGGCGGACCCTGTGGACATCAGTCAGCGTAGGCTCATTGAAATGGTACTTCCATAGATTACCAACCGTTTTGCATTGGGTAGATCGAACATGATGTGTGCGTAGGTCTCGAGCTCGACTATTTGCAAGATGCGGTCTTAGTGGGCGGAAACCAAAAATCTGACCGCCGCATTTCCGCGCTTCGGCCACGCACCCGCGCCTCCTGCTTATCGCATGACGCACGGACTCCCCCAGCCTTTCCGGCCTGATTTGCCTGCTCGCCTGCTCGCATCTTCTACCTCAAAACTTCTCTTCTTCTCCGCGACGCTCCCTCTACCGCGCTAGTTTTTCTTCGTTGATTCTGCATAATTCACGCTCCTTTCTTCCCGCTCCAAAGTTTTCCTGGAAAACCTGCCCGCTCCCCGGTCGAGGGGAGGGTTCCACCTCTGCATCGTCGATTGGGGTGATTAATGCCTCGTGCCTGTCCCTGCGTGCCCCTCCGTTTCTCCCAAAACAATCCCCACCCCATCCTATAAATGGGCATATGCGCTTCTTGCCTGGGCGGTAGTCGCCAGGAGTCCCCCGAGGTGAGTCTTCTACTAGCTGTCATGGCTACAATGTTTGGTGCCAATTATCTCGGGTTCGTGCGCGAGATGTGGTCTGCATATCGGCGAGAACAATGTCTTACCATCTTTTGCAAGCCTGAGTCTTCCCGTCTACTTGAAGAAGATCCCTACCAGGCAGGGTACGGCTACGGGGCTCTCAATCATGTCCAGCAACAGAACCAACCGGATCCGGAATATGTGAGGCGTGAGCGGGAAGCCCTGGATGCCATCTGCCAGCGAACATCGGAGTAAGTACTACTCCAGCAATTCAAGTGGTCTACTTGAAAGATCTCAATGGCGAATTTGTCATATGCAAAGAACTGCCCGCTAACTAGCCATCCTATGCACAGCTCTGTCATCGATATCTGGTCCCTTCAACCACAACCTCATCTGCAACCACAGGCCACCCTCCATGGTCCTACATCTACAACAAACTCACCCACTCCTGGCGAGGGACACTCTCAACTCACTGTGACCTCCGATCAGGCCTCAGAAACAAGCCGACCAGCATCTGGCTGCACCGTCCCCAAGCACTGGGGTGAAGTGGTGGTGAATCCCAATAAGAAGCGTTCCCGCCCTGATATGAAAGCCGATGCCAATGCGAGCCGTGACGTATTTGGTGTTCTTAAGGTCACCTAAAGCTCACGCCGCAGCTCAACCAACAAACTCGACATCTTCTTGCGACATCTTCTTGCATGACGGTGATGATCATGCACATGTGAAGACGGGCGAGATGAGCAGTAGAAGGGAAACAGCACTACACGACAGTACATCAACTAACACCTCCACTTGCATTTTTGACGCTCCTTGTTGTTATTGTTTTTTTCCCCCCATGGATCGCAGGCCGACTGTTGCGCACTTACATAGCCACTCATTCTATCCTCCCCTTGTTGATCTGAGAATACCCATAGCACAGGTCATTTGTTTTTCCCATCACCAGATTTCCTTTGATCTCTCTTCATTCTTTGTCGTTCCCGTTTAAATAAGTTTCCCTGTAATCGTATTATTGTGAACCAAGATATGCTACTTGTGCGGCCACTTGTTTTCCCATGTCCTCATGTTCATGTCCAGGTGCACATCCCCTGTTTCGATGTTAATGCTTTTGGCGTGCTATACAAATACAAGGTGTCTTAACAAGAAATCCGTCTTCATAGTGAAATCGTAGGGTCTATGCATTTTAGAACTTAGACAAGAGTATACAGATGTTGCTACAAAAATAAGGACGATTCATATAATTAATCCATTCAAATCCATGAACACACCGAAAGGACCGGAACTACGCCACTGGGCCTCAAAAGGAAATTGCGCATCGTTCCGATGCCAGACTCCACCGACGACCGCAGCAAATGCTCAGGTGCAACATACCTAATAGCACCATGATGTTAAAACAAAGGCAAGATAAGAGAGTGCCCACAATAAAGAGAAGGAAAAGAGGAGGGGGAGATTTGACCCCCAACCATGAACGAACGCCCGCTGGCCCAGTTCAAATGACGGAGAAAATAGGGGAACGCAGAGGGGAGATGCAATATGTAAGTGTGGATCCAATGTCAGAGAGTGGTGGAGAGTGCTAGGAAAACCGAGTCAACTAGACATCGTCCATTGCACCAGCGGGTTCTTCGCCACCAGAGTCATAGCTGCCAGCAGAGCTGAGTTCGTCCTCAGACTCGGTATCTTCGCCTGCCTCATCCACAGCCTCTTTGCTGGCGTACTTCGCGACATATTCTATGAACAGAGGTTAACTTGTGCAATGTGTTTAAGAAGGGAATAAGAATTTGCTTCTATACCTTTCACCTTGGCCTCGTACCCCTTTGGCTCCCTCATCATCAAGGCCGCAGCTTCTCCATTAAGAGGGTCGGAGGGGTTGGGATAACGGAGGAGCTGGGGCAGGAAGACCTCGAAAATGTTAATCATGTCATACATTGGCGACCATGTCTGGTTGATAACATCCAGGCACACTGAGCCGGACCTAGATCAATCCAAAATCAATAGGATGAACGAGAGCATTGATAAAGAGGCTAGATGAACTCACAGCTCATCGATGTTCGGGTGAAAGATTCGGTTCACAAATCCGATACTGGGACTCTTATAGGGGTATTGGTCAGGCAATTCCACATGGATTTTCCAGTGACCGCCGGCAAACGGTGCTAATCAAGATAAGTCATGATGCAATCACCACCCAAGATGAGGAAAATGGACATACTCTCTTCCGGTCCCTTGAAGCGGACATAGAATTCTTGCCTGCAGAAATTACGGGGATTTGAGTAAGCAGCAGTTGAAAACCTCATTCTAGCATCTCCATACATACACTGCAGATAGGTTAGCGTTTAGCTTGCACTTGAAGGAAGATGTGGGTAGGCCTGACTGTTATCGTTGACTAAGGTCACTTCATAGTCACTCATGAGCCTATTCTCCTACGTCAGCCATGGTTTCCGATCGTCCTCTGATCCAGCTGGTGCTATAGTTGGTCGACCGGATGAATGCCCGGACATAGACCCAGGACCGGAGAGGGGCTGAGGGAAGTCAAGCCTACATCCTATTCCCAAAGTTAGTTCAAGTTCATTAGCAATACACATGGGGTCAGATAGACATACTTCATGACCTATTGGTGTAACAAAAAGCTCACATTAGTGACTGTGACTGCCGGGGACCCGGGTGGCTTATCGATCTCCTGAGGCGAACTTACATCGGTTTCAATTCTCCGCTTCGGGCTGCTCATAATGGCGGTTTGGTATTTGGTAGATTTGGCACGAAAGTGAGGACGCGGATCGGGGTTTGTCGCAGCTGGTGCGGTGGCCAGTCCGACTGAGGTTGTGTAATGAGGTCACCGGGCGAGAGATTACCCAGTTCGGAGCGTCAAAGCGGGGAAGCAGACGGCGGGGACGAGTTTGGTGAGGGCGGGCACAGCAATGAGGGAAGGCGGCGCGAAGGAACAGACGGTCAAGATGCAGCAGTCCAGTCGGAGAACGAAGGCAAAAACCAGTGAAAAAGTAATGATCCAAGGAGGTAAGAGGAAAGGAAAGAGGGAGGTCACGGTGATACCGAAGGCATGATCGCCTGATGACTCAGCCGACGCCGGCTCGGGATCCATGGATCACTGGACATTCGATATCGGGCCAGTCTCGAGGATAGTCACTTCAATAGTTCTTCTGGGCTCCGCTCGTTTATTCATCCCTGGCCCCAATACTAGGCCCAGTCAGTCAGTGCCTAAATGGCCTAGCTACTCATACCCCACCATGCTACCACCGTCCAGTTTGCAGAGCAGATCGCCGATCTATGCAGCTGCATCGCGGCGAGGACTTTGCGTCGGGCCACCATGACGACCTTCAAGAGTACGCCGACAACGTGGGCCACTTTCTGGTTCAAACATTTTATTGTAAATAGAACAAAGGATGGTGCCCTTCCACCCTTGGGATCATCAATGGCCTGGCTTTGATCGCCCTTGCTGTCATGATGGTGCTGCTCCTGGTTAATTATACTCATTTACCGTCGCATAAGAACAATGTTATGGCATTTGTCCTCACTGCAGCTCTGGCTTAACCTGCACTAGGCCTCTATTTGATTGTTTAGATATTTTTTGGCTCTGGATTAAATATGCTGGAAGCTGTTTTGGCTCAGCTGTACTGGCGACGTTCATCGGGCTTGGCAACTGCATGGGCCTGTTGGAGGATCCAGAGCCCAAACCTCCTCCCCCCTTGTCAGATAAAGAGAAACAAGAGAGGGAAAAGAAAGAAATATTAATTTGACATGCACACATGGCTTTCTTGCTGAATAGTAAAGGCCACGCATTTGGCGGGCTGTCCTATACCTTGAAGTGTGCGTGTACAGAACTTAAAACTCCAACCTAAACACACTTCCAACCCATCCATGGATCTTCCTTCTTCAACGCTCTCCTTCAGCACCTCCCCCCACACACCTCTCTACAGTTGAATCCTGGCCTTTTGAGAGCGACCAGAATTTTAGATTGACCTTGCATGATGGAGCACCCACCGTCGCCCTCGGAGCGCTCCTCGCGCAACTCCCCCGCTCAGAACCCAGGTTCCAGCACGCTCGGTTATCGTGCCAGTCCAAGTCGCCCGGCACCACCGCCAGAGCCCACGTCAACAAACACGACAGACGCCCCCATTCCAGATGACGAGCATGGTGCTGACTTACCTATGAACATGACCGCGTCAGTTATGCTAACGGGTCTCCCACGGGACGCTCACCAAGCTCTGGCGGACGTGGAAGCTATCGATGCTGGCAAAGGTGGGACCTAGCGTTCCCCCTATCCCAACCTGCTCTGCGCCAGATTGCCTTTCATCCAATGTATTCAACTCGTGTTCAAAACTTATAGAGTCAGATCTCGTTCTCATGGTGCGCTTAAACTAACACCCTTCGCCAGTAACTGTCCGCTTTCAACCACTCCCATCAGCTCCGATCCTGAAAAATCGAGTCTTCAAAATCAGCGCCTCTCAGAAATTTGAAACCGTAGTCAAATTTCTGCGTAAGAAGCTCGATTGCAAAGACACAGATTCTGTCTTTTGTTACGTCAACAGCGTATTTGCGCCCGGCCTCGATGAAGGCGTTGGTGGGCTGTGGAGAGTATGTGCAAACTGTCCCCGATTTCACTTCTGCCGAGTCCAGACAAAACGTCCTTACCACACTCACTGCTACTCATACTAATTGAGCGTGGTCTTTCATGTACAGTGCTTTAAGACAGATGACCAATTAATTGTTGCATACTCAATGACGCCAGCGTTCGGCTGAGCAGGCAATCGACCCCCAGCCTAGCCGCAGCGAACGAATGAAATGAGCCTTATGTACAGCTGATGCGTAATACAGAACTTAAACAAAGAAAATGTGAGAAAATGCAAGTGAGGCGTGGGTCAGACATTATACACCATGGGGTCGTTATTTTTGATAGATCTCGTCCACTTTCTGCTGGAATTTGGCCAGCTCCTCCTTAGAGATCGGGTATGTGTACTCGGGCGAGGGGAACGCCCGACTCTTGACTTCCTCGCGGTATGCCGCAATGCCTTGCGTGGCCTCGCCCCAGACATCAGCGTACTTTTTGACAAATTTCGGGACAAACCGCCCTGGCTCGAAGTTCCCGGTCATGTCCACTTGCACCAAGACCTGGCCCGAGCAGCCGTTGCCCGCACCAATGCCGATCGTGGGTACATGCAGCTTCTGCGTGATGAGCGTCGCGACCTCGGGTGGCATGGCCTCGAGTACGAACATGAACACGCCTGCCTCCTGCATGACCAGCGCATCATGCAGCAGCTTCATGGCGCTGGTGGACGTCTTGCCCTGGACGCGAAACCCTCCCAGCGCGTTCTGCCGCTGCGGCGTGAGCCCGACGTGCCCGACAACCGGGATGCCGGCCTGCGTGATACGCTTGATGGTCGGACCGAGTTCCTCGCCGCCCTCGATCTTCACGCCATGCACGCGACCCTCCTTGACCAGCCGCAATGATGACTCCACTGCCTGCTCTGGACTGACCTCATACGAGCCCATGGGCAGATCTCCCACCTATTGCGTATTTTAGTGTGGCTCCGGGTGATTGGAAGGTAAGATCACGAGCGCGCGGTGCGACTTACGATGAAGGCGCTCTTGGCGCCGCGGGCCACGCTCCGACAGTGGAGCAGCATCTCCTCCATGATCACCTCGGTGGTGTTCTCCAGACCCATCGCCACCATGCCCAAGCTATCGCCCACCAACACCATGTCCATGCCTGCGACGTCGGCAGCATGCGCGCTAGGGAAATCGTGGGCGGTGATCATGGCGATCGGCTCACCCTTCTTGTAAAGGTTCTTCAATGTGTGCATGGTGACCTTCCTGCGTGCATTGGGGGTATTTGAAGACGGCTCAGGCGAGTTGTAAGAACTGTGTCGGATCTGGGGACATGAGGCCAACGCCATTGGCGATACGGAGGGAAGGGATGGGGATCGAAGGATGAGAGGATTCTTTCGGGGCCTGGATACGGTGCGCAGTGCTCTGGCGTTTAAGGAAGACGGCGCCGCCAAAATCGTCCGCGACAGCGGCCGCAAGGTCGCCCCCGGGTTCGCAGCCATAGCGAACGGACGAGGGAGGCAGTCTTTGAAGAACGCCGGGTCGGCGCGGAAACCTCGGGCGACGAAGTGCAGAACAAATGTCAAGCTCAATCACAGCTGGACCCAGTCAGCCATGTGTCTTCCAGTTCAAATCTCCACCGCTCAGCGTAGATCCAGGCCGTAAAATGGACGTGCTGCACAATGGCGCGGCAATGACCTCACCTTGTATCAACCACCATAAAACAGGGCGACTCGGCCCTCAGCAACACGAAAGATGAAGGTGGCAAGAGCTGATCTGTACGGCTCTTTGTGAACAACGGTATGCGTGAGACCCTTGTTTTTATTGCACTAGAGCTCCATCCGTCCGGGCGTGTGTGCTGGGATTTGCGGCGTAGACGGGAGCATCTCTGTAAAAATTGCGGCGCTGAGGGCATGGAGCGCAGGCGCCGGTACGGCAATACGCTGCCGCGGCGCTGGAGCTCGGTTGCACACGGACGCTTGGAGAGCTCGGAGATCGGCTGTATGACATCTTCACCCCACATTTTGTGTGTTTATTTTCCGGGACTTAAATAGATGATTGACGCAGACTTTTTTAGTCTATCTGGTTTGTTGTCTCTAGTTTTTCCTGGTTCTGCTTGTAATCACCTTTTACTCCATAGCAGAAGGCAATCAAGCTCTACATCGGGCGGCCGAGCAAGTGCTGTCGGTAACTCGGTGTAATTTACAGACTCACCGCCTCCCGCTTGCGCCGAGGCAGCTGCCGCCTTGGGACTAGTGCGGGGGCGTGACCCGACTAGCCGCGGAGCCTTGTAACTCGTCGCCGCCAACATGCTGGGAAGTACGGCGTATTCTTCACACGGAAGGATCAGGTTGAGAGAAAAGAACTGGGAAAATGGGGCAATAGGTGTGTTTGGGGTCCGACGCGTGTTCTCCAGATCATCACACCGTCTCTACCCGTTCCTTTCATCCGAAAGGTCTTAGCGACGGTGTGCAAGGTACGGAGTACATCCAGGTGCCCCCGCAGAGCGCAATATCGAAGGTCGAGAAACCTCCATATCTGCAACAGGTCTTGAAATAATGAAGTACCTAGAGCTTGTGTAAAGCAATGGACTGTATTTCGGTAGAGCGGTACATACGAGTACAAAGTCTAACTCGAAAATTGGACAGAGGGAGGAAAGCAAGACAATGGGTTATTCAAGGTAAGCTGAAAATAGAGCTGGATCAAACAGAAAATCACCTCGGAGAGACTCCGCCGCCGGGGGTATTGGCACCCGTGAAAAGCAAGAAAACAAGACTCCGCCGCATGAAGAGACGAGAAGATAAGGGAAATCACTAGATGGATGAAGAATGAGATGCCCGAAGGCGATCATGGACAAGATGAGATCATGTAACAGGGATGCAATGCAAGGCAATGCAATGCGACCAGAAACCTCCGCCTCGGGATAGACCTAGCGGTCGGATTATACCATCGTTATACCACACGCCATCACTCCCCAAGAAATCTTCTTGTGAATAGAAGATCTGGAGAGAGACAAAACGGATACCACCACCAGGCCGCCGGAAGAATGAATAAGTGGAAAAAAGAGAAAAAAGAAATGGAAACACGTAGGGCCATTATGGAAAGGACCTGGGCTGTCGATGCAATTGACATATAAGTGTTGGTTGAGAGAAGATGAAACGGTGTTGCTGATGCAGAAAAGTGGGATAAGAAATACATGGGAGAAAAAAAAGTAACATAAGACTGTGAAACGAGTGGACAACCTTCTTCCAAGAGGTCAAAGAATAACCGGAACTGCATGGGGGATGCAGGTTCTGATGCAGATGAGAACAAGAGTGAAAAAAAGGAACTCCACATTATGCAGATGTGACGACGCCATGGGTATGGTTTATGCGGCCCAGGAGTATCAATTCCAGAGGCAGGGCATCGTGATGACGAAATGAATGAATAAAAAAGAAAAGCGAAAAGAGAAAGAAGATCAGGATATCCGACAGCACCGGTATGCAAAGATGGCTCAAGACGGCTCGACGGAAATAATCCGAAATGTGCAAAGGCGAATCATGGTGCGAATCATAGTGCGAATCGATGGACAGCGGCAAATCACTCGTCAAATTCATATTCCTCTTTGAGCGGTCGTTGGATCTCAAACAGCAGAGCATCAAGTTCAGCCCAGTTAGACGTATTCTGGGCAAATCGGCGGTGCTTTCTAGTCATTGTGTGCTAGATCATAGTTAGCATGCCAGGTCTTTCCTAGGATTCGCCACACAATGGGTTGTTACATACCTCTTCAAAGTCATCAAACTTATCTCGGCAGTTCTCACAGTATCCAGGCTTCGGGTCCCTTCGACGCTCCGGTTTTTTCTGCTGACTGTCCACTTGTTCATCTCGTCGGCGTTTTGTGCCGGCAACATCCTGTGGTGGGGCATCCTTCTCAATGGCAATAGATTTGGCAGAGTGTGTATGGTGGCTTCCCGATCCGGTGCTAGGGCGTTGAGGAGCACCCATTGTTCCAGTCACAATAGTACCAGTGCCCTTTTCGAGGACCTTTCTTTGGAGCCCGTAAAGTTCCTTGCTGAGTCCTGCTTTTGCGCCTGGCCCAGCAGCGGTAGAGGAGATCATCTGGGAACGAATAGCAGATGTGACATTGGATGGCTGAACTCCAGATGCAGCGGGCTCCCGGCCAGTGTAGAAGGGTCCAGTCCGAGGGAAATGCAGAGGTATGAAGCTTTCTGAGCTCTTGCGTTCATGATTTTCTTCAAGCAATGGCTTTTTGAGAACCTCAGGCTGTTTACCGAGTATCAAGTCTTCTGAAAGCTTCTTTGGCTTTGACAAGTCTGTCACCAGCTGTGTGTCAATGGTTTCTTCAGTAGTTGAAGCTGTGGGTTGTTTGCCGGAAGGTTCATCCACTTTGGTCATCGCCATTTTCTTCTCTTTTTGGGTTTGACGCATACGATGTCGGTCATATTCCTTTCTACTTGGCGGCTCGTCAATGAAGGGACACTTTCCCAGAGGCGCACTTCTGAATTGTGGCCATGTTCCGTCCTGTCGTCTGGCCACTCGAGGGTACTCCCGGACCATAACCGGCTTCGTCTTCTCGTTCATGTCGTGAATGTAGATGAAGGGGCCCTTGAACATCACTATTTCCAGCGAAGAGAACGGGTCTCGGTCGGAGGGCCCGTTCAGGAGTTCATGGCGGAGCACACGCGAAAGGTCGTTATCTCCTCTACCGTGAGCAGTGCTTCCGCCTCCGACTTTGCTTCGAGAGGCACTGTCGCCCTGGCCACCAATATCGTTGTCGTTGATCGTAGTGATCATCCGCTGCAGCTTTTCTAGGGCCCAAATCTTCATCCCCATCTGCCGGGCTCGTTGCAAAATATCCATAGTTCCTTGGTCACGACGGGCATCATTCTTCAACGAGACGTGGAAGTCGGCATTCTTTTCCAACAAGGAAGGATTCACGGTTTGCATGTTGGTTTCACCATTGGCTCCATCTGCGGCAGGTGTCGACTCCTCGGTCGGGCTGGTAGTGGCAGTCTCCGGCGGAATCGGACGCGAGGTAACAACGTGAGTAACTAGACGGGAGAAAAATTTCTCCTCGCGCTGATCATGAACTCGTCAGTACAAGCCCCAATGCTTCACATCTAAGCGCAGCAGCAAGAAAAGCAAACAAATCACGATCAGCAGTGATACTCACAGCTCCAAGAGCGACAACCTGGCGAGAAAACTTTCGACGAACATCCTCAGGAATACTGTCGAAGTAGAACACGAATTGGGGGAACGCTTTGCGATAATGCCGTTGCCATTGGCGAATTGTGTCCAGAGTATCAGCTGAGGGCTTCTCCGTTTTCGTGCCCTTCAGATGTGGGTTACGCTCTTTTTCTCGTGCCGCCACCAGCTTTTTCTCGAAAGCACTCGGGTTGTTGTTGTTGGGCCGACGCGCGAACAACTTCGATTCGGTACCCTGGTATGTCGTCGATCGACTCCGCGAGGGAGACCGAGTACCCTGCTCCACAGCCTCCATCACCTGTTTCTTTGGCGGAGGCTGACCATGTGGAATCTCGATCTGGCCGGATCGGGCTCGCTTGGCCGGCACGAGTCCAGCCCTATGGGGGGAATTGGTAGCATTCGGCACGTTGGCGAGCGGGCGGCGAGTCGACATGTTCAGGGAGGGCTGGGGAGACGGCGGCACGAACACAGCAGCCATGGATAGAGCACTCTCTGCCAGTCGAACGCGTCTGTGGCCAGGGTTATGGGGAAAGAATCACAGGGTGTGGAGGGGTATTCGAGGTCGACGACGCGACGTGCTACACGTTTGAGCAGGCTCGAATCAGAAATAGAGAGCAATCATGGTAGCACAGATGACAAAGAGCTAAGGATATCGGAGCAATGGCTAGCTCTTTGAACCTCGAGGGGAAAGTGGGGGGGAGGAGGTAGAGAGAGGGCTTGGAGGTTGGAAGGGAAGAGGTCGCAGGGCAAAGTCGTGTGCAAGTGGAGCCCGCTCCGTTTGTTTTGAGCGTGCGCCGGACAACCAACGGCGTCGCGCGAAGCATGAACATCAACATTGCATTCCTCGACCCTGAGGGCGCGACAGACCATTTTGTCAAGATTCAAGATCTCGCTCTTCATTGAAATGAACTTATGGTACTGTCCACATTTATTTTCCTCGCAATGGATATATTTGTTACCGTCCCATGCAATGGCTGCGAGGTGCTCTGGCGATGTTTACCCTATGGGAAAGCCCCCAACCCCCCAAATCAGCCACCGCACGCCCCGACTCGGCAACCTTCGCAGCCTCCAATAATCACGGAAAGAAACGGCTGGTAGGAATAAGAATGAATGATGTATTATACATTGTTTTGTAACGTTTGTGAGGGTATCCAACGACTACTTTACACGCAGGAGGCGATTTTAACTACGCAGGGCCTCGATATCGTCAACCTGAGCGAGTTTGTCAGCGAATCAGACAAGAATAAGTAGACCTACAAGGGGAAGGGGAAGGTCATTAGATTTACCTCTTTGACGGCCTCGGGGGTCAGAACAATCGGATGATCATCGCCCACACATACACTGTCCTCGATGCGAATCCCGATACCCCGGAAGTGAGCGGGCCATCGCTCATCATCTGGCACATAGATACCACTGTGGCCCAGGAGTTAGCGAATGCAAGAAGACGGGGAACAATGCAAAAACATACGGCTCAATAGTGATACATTGACCTGCCTTTAGGTCATAGCCTCTAGAATACCCAGGGCAGTCATGGACATCCAGACCAATGTAATGGCCCAGGTGGTGAGGGAAAAGAGTGCTGATAGCCTACTAAGAGTCAGTAAAAGAAATATGTTCGGAACTAGACAAGTGCAATTCATACGTTTCCAGGAAGATCAAAACCAAGTTGTTTCAGTTGATCTCGCAATCCATTCTCAGCAATACCGTGAAGCTTGTCCAGAGACAGCTTTGCGCTCTCGCGGCAGAGGGACAGGCAGGTCCGGTGCACGTTCAAGACGGCGTTATACAGGTCCCGCTGCGGATCCGTAAACTTTCCATTCACAGGCCATGTCCGCGTGATGTCAGAGATGTAGCTTCCAAGCTCCTATCGTTTGGGTAAGCAACAAGGTTTGCAAAGAGTCCACGGAAAGTAGCACTTACACCACCGCCGTCCACGAGTACCATGTCGCCATCCCTAAGAATTAAACGATATCGTAAGCTATGATTCACACCATCTCCCTAACTGCCCTATACATACCGCAGCATGTCGTCATTTCGGGTATAGTGGATGCTCAGTGCATTCTGTATCTTATTAGTATAATTTCACATCAGAATCACAGAGGGAAAAAAGAGGGCGTACCTGTCCACCTGCCACAACAGGAACAAAAGCATTTCCATCGCATCCATTTCGTTTGAACTGGTACTCGAGGAAAGAAAGCAATTCTTTCTCCGTATCAAACCCCTGGCGCATGGACTCGGTAAATGCCCTGCCGGAAGCTTGGCCGAGTAGGCGCAAGTGCACGACTTCATTCTCACTCTTGAAAACCCGCATTTCGTTGAGCAGCGGCTTCAACGGCTTGACTTTTCGGTGATCGACAAATTTCTTCAACTTCTCAGATGCAACTGTTGGTCCATATAGGTAGCGGTGCAGTGTCGACCGCGAGGGATCGAATGCAGGGATGTCTGAGTAAATCTCGGTGGCGCCGGTCACAATCCTAGGAAGAATGTCTCCAATTCGTTCAATATCACCTGTCTGCGATGTTCCCATCGGTCAATTGGGCCATCCATGATAGCTTTAGAGAACGGTGACGTACCTCGTCTGCATTGAAAACGTCCTTGGCAGCCTGGGTGCCGGAGCGAGCCCCATCCCACAGCTCTGCCTTGGGGTCCTTTTCTCGTACATAGAGGTGAAAGATATGGTTGTCGCCAGATCCGTCGTTTACAATGACAGCCAGTGCATTCGGTTCGTTAAATCCTATTGACGCATAGAAAAAAGCCAAGTCAGCTTGAATCTCCTGTACCGTACTGTTCAAGCAGCCTACCGGTCAAATAGAAAAAGTTGGTCTCTTGCCGATACTCATGAAATATGCCCGGGGCTCGATACTTCACTTCTGAAGCCGCGAGTATGGCGACGGCTCCCTTGGGAAGTCTGTTGGCCAGTCGTGACCGACGTTGCGCATATTCGAGGGCAGTGATGCCAGGGGTGACTAGGGGCCACACATGTCAGTCCTTTATAGCCCAAAAAATCTGCGTCACATCTCTGCAATGCCATTCACCACATACGTTCACCTGGACCCAAGAGATGGGGATGAGTCTCGTGCAACGGCTGGCCGAATTTGAGGTCCGCGGCGGCGACGGAGGTCGCATACCTGCGAAAGGGCGAGCTCTGAGGCAGGTATTGGCGCGACGATCGTGAAAGGCGAATTGCAGGACGCAGTTGAATCGCGCACTGTCTGACGAGCGCCCTGCATGTCGCCATACTTCGCGGATGGTGAAGGTGGGACGTGATTAAGTCGGGCCCGGATTGGTGGTTGGTTTATCGCGAAGTGTCAATCGTCGGGGGCGGCCGAGTCGGCGGTGTGGGCCAATCACCTCGGCGGGGTTTGGCATCGGGATTGAGAGAGCGAACGCCTCCTCCGCACCTCCTCCGCGTCCACATTGCGAACCAGAATGAGAGATTTGGTGGTGTTCCATTGGGTCAATTAGCATGCTACCTTGCATCTCGGGCGAGTGCCTGGAGCCCCGAGCTCATCTTTGACTCACGGAAGGGCGCAACTCCTACCGCACTCAGCCAGTGCCTCGGTGGCCAATGGCGCACCGCGGGGAACCGCTGACACGGATGGACCTACTCGAAATGGTCTCGGAAAGCATGTCGCGAGTCCTTATCTTCTATTCCGAGGGCCCTGCAACATAGAAAGTAACATATATTTCGTTGGGGCGTTCTGGGTCTTGTGTCTACTCATCTAGTGCACAATATCAAGGTTGTCATTTTACCATTCTAGAGTGACTTCGTCCTTTTGCTTCTTCAGATACCCGGAGATTGACATATCAGCACCATGGGAAGAACCCTAACATACCCAAAGCGAGTGTCCAACACAGCCAACCGGTACAAGCACCGTGGTATGTGAAAATATAGGCATACGTGTGCAGTATGCAGAATGACTGAGGAGTCATGGATATAGGTTGGCCAAGCATGCATTTACTAACTGGCGTTGTTTTCAGCGACCTATGACCTCGGACCTATTCACTCCATCATCAACGCCTCCCAAGTTCTCCATGTCTCCTTCAACCCAGGCCCCGAAGACCCCTTCCCTGCCATCATCCCAATGATTGGCCAAATGGGGTCCTACGAGTTCCCCTCCGCCAGCATTGACGAGCCTCTGGATTGCTACCTCCACGGATACGTCAGCTCGCGCATTATGAACCTCGCCCGCAGCTCCGAGGGCGAAGGCCTGCCCATTTGCGTAGCTGCTAGCAAAGTGGACGGACTGATCCTGTCGCTGACGCCCAACTCGCACAGCTACAATTACCGCTCGGCCATCTTGCACGGCTACGCCATGCTCGTGACCGACGAGGACGAGAAACTCTGGGCCATGAAACTAATCACGAACTCAGTACTTACGGACCGCTGGGACAACTCACGCGTGCCGCCAGACCGCACGGAGATGCAGTCGACTGTTATTCTGAAGGTCAAGGTCGTGGATGGTAGCGGCAAAATCCGGGATGGCGGCGTGTCAGATGAGCGTAAAGACTACGGGAACGAGGAAATCACGAACCGCATCTGGACCGGGGTCGTCCCGGTCTGGGAGACATTTGGACAGCCCGTGCCCAGTGGCAATGGCAAGTTGGAGGATGTGCCTGAGCATATCACGTCCTTCATTGCAACGAAAAATGCGCAGAATCGCGCTTTGGCGGAGAGTGCGATTGAAGTCCAATTACCTTCGGAAGAGCAGCACTGAGAGAGGAATCATGTCTACTGCGCTATGAGAGAGGGGAGAGAAAGGAGGATTTCATGATGCTTGGGGGTCGGCATATTGCATATTTGGAATTCTTTTTTTTGTCTAGTTCGAATTCCAGATCAAATTGTCGGTTTTTTCTTGGCTTTTTTTGGCCAGCTAAAGTCTCCCATTGATCTCCTCCCACTTACCTCATCTGGAAAATCATCTTTGAAAATGAACTGAAAATAGGAATGCTCTTCGCTTCCTTTGCTCCTAATATCACCCATCACCGTACCATGGAACATCCAGCAAACGATTCCGAAATTCTTGGAATAGCGGCCCAGCCATTGATATAGGAATATCTAGCTGAACTTTCCGCACTCATCAATACCAGGACAATGCAAGCGGATGACCAGATCATCCATGTTGCAACCTTCATCAGAGCCTGTAGTAGATCTTTAAGATCTATGTGACCCTTACGGAACAAATTTCGGGAAGGTATATGTTAGTCTCACTGACCGAATCATCTCCATTTATTTCCCCCAACCACTTTCATACTCTGCCATTGTCCTAGAAAATATCGATACTGCTAGTACAGGAATGAGGAGTAATACTTAGAAAGACTAAGAGGGATGCCTAGTGTTAATTATAGATATACCAGGATACTATATAGCAAGTGTCGGGTTCATCAAGGAGGCTTCACTTTCTGGACAGTGAGAGTAATGCAATTAACTAGCTTGAGAAAATTGTGAGCTTGCTCGTGCGTTATCGGGAGAACAAGATCTGTAGTTCTGTCTTTCAAGTTGGCAATCAGAGTTGCCTATAATGTTGAGGTGTCCTTATTTGGATCCACATCTGCTTCTGTCTCACTGAGTTCTGGAGTTATACGGTGTTGGCTTGTGAGTTCTACCTTTTGAGCATCCGATATGCTCTCTTCCCAGTCACCCAAGTCTTCAATCTCTCATTCACTTTCGAACTCAAAGTCCGTCTCTAACGCTGTTTCTGGTGAAGCTTCCCCTTCAAGTAAACATACGTATCTCGGTCCCAGGTAAAGTTGTCTGCGACAGAGCCGAAGAATGGTCTTTTCGTTGTCTCACGTTGAGTTTCAAGCTTTGTGGATGTTTTCTGCGATATAATGTTCAATACCAGGCCCATTTCCAGGCTGGAGTGTTCAAGTAAGGGCACAATTTCTTGATCATAGGAGCAGAGGCAGATTAGTCCTCCTGGTTTGAGCCATGATCGAGGTCCTGGGAGCATTGGATGGAGGCAAAGAACCACAGATTCTTGATATGTGGAAGGTAGTCCTGTCCGCTGAGACGGATTTCCTGTAGACATTGATCAAGAACATTCGATTTACTGATTGCAACAACGGCAGTTTTCTGAGGCTCATGATCTCTAAAAGAGTATATGATGTAGGGAAGTGCTGTCACTTGTGCTTCGTCTATCATTAATATGTCGAAGTAATCGAAGCTCGGGCTGGGCTCTGGGTCACAAGCACTTTGGAGTAGCTTCTTGATATTCAACCTTTTTGCAGGCCCTTTGCCTCCTAGCAGTTCAATTTTGCCTTTCTGCATTCTACGGAATTTTTCTCAAGATAGCTCCAGATCAGGCTAAGGGGTTCTTGCCTTTTGGAAAAGTGTGATGGCCGTGCTAAGTCTCGACGAGGTCATAACTGTCACGGGAATAAACCAATTTTTGCTAGTTTCCTAGTCAGAGATGAAAATTATAAGAGGGTTCAAAAGTATTTACCGCCTCTACTTTTCTAGACACCATTATCAAATATGTATATCTTGAATACTATCTACCATACTTCCATCCTTCTGGATATATATTTTTAGTAAAAAGGGTTGAATTCGGGTAGTGTTAAGCCCGCTTAGTAGCTACTAAGATTTAGAATCGAATTTTTTTCGTTTCTATATTACTTCTGATCTTCTTCGTATTCCTCAAATTAAACTATCTATCTGTCTTTGATCCGATACTTATTATACTTCTATAATATAAAACTTAAGATGCTTTAACATCAAGTATATTAGATAGATGCCATGGAATAAATATAGGGTACTATCTGGATTATCCTCGGCCCCGAAATGGACCTGAGCCTTGTATATGACATGACATGATGAAGTAGAAGGTCTACTTTATTGTCATCATTCATCATGGATTATATCATTAATCATAGGAAGGAAAGACCCCACAATTTCCCAACCGAATCTTGAGCAGATTAAGTTATTTATATGAATATAATATATTCTTCTTGGATAATACCTATCTATTATCAATTCAATCTTGATATTTCTTTTCCTCTCACCCAATCAAAGGTTACTACCCTGCAAGTAGTACTATCACAATAGATTTAATGGGGTTTAAATTAGGTAAGTATGAAGACTACTCTTCTATCTAAATTTTTATATTTTATACTCTTATATTATGTTTACTATATAAATGTTAATATTATGTCATCAAAAGATAAATAAAGCTTAGAGCTAGATAGTAGACCTTATTGTAAAGCGTTAAAATAAGTTTTTACTCTATTTAACGATGTGACAGTTAGAAGGCAGCTAGAAATGGAAGCATCCGCCGCCGTTTTATGAGTCTTGCTAACCGTTCCAAGTCTTGGCACCGAGCAAATAATTCCACGTCCCTAGTTTATCACCACGCACACCTCGTCGTCTGACGCTAGTCGTTGCTACGCGACCCCCCATCTGCACGATGACCAGAATCTGCCAATCTGAGTGCCCGGGTTGTTGTAAAAGGCAGCCAAAAATGGCTTCCTACTCTTGGTCCACGACTTTCTATTAAATTCTGAGCCCCCCCCCCTTTCAACTGTGGCCATTCAAACCCTCTTTGACTCTCGTTATACTCTCCTGCGCCCGAATTTCTTCCTTATCTACAAGCTGTTGCACTGCACTATACTCCTAACAGCCCTCTTGATAATATCTTTTTCCTACTCAATTGGACCTATTGAGAGCCTAGATCAGAGTTAGAGCGATATAGACTCTAATATGAATACGATCTTTATAGACGACGGATCTGAAAATGAGCCTACTAGTGACTCTAAGCTCAGCAGCGAGAGCTCAGAAGATAAGAGTAACTCGGATGACGAATTTCACGCGGATAAGGATAAGGGCCAGCTACCCCCGGAACACTATATAGCCGAGGCTTCAAGCTTAGATATCTCTTAGCTTCGACAGAAACGATATAGTGATACTACACAGGGAAAGCTCGATGAAACTTCTTTATACTAGAGCAGGTAAGCTATATTTTCCAAAGTCACTTTATTAAACCTAACCGATATCTTCCTATAGGTATTGCGAGCATCTCGGCCTAGACCCTTAGAAGCACTAGATATCAATATCAGATTCTAAGGAGACCTATACGTTTCTTGTACGGGTTTTTCGGCTAGCGTTGTAATATTCGACGAGGGAAAAATAGTCGACAATGCCTAGGGATACGATACAAGAGTTTACTTAAGTTATTTTGGAAGTAGTAGCACCTTGCCCTTAAACAACGGATTACTTCGGGACTAGCTAAGGAAACGATTGTTAAAATCTAAGATATAAGAAAACTAGGTAGCGTATCTTCCCTAGACGGGAAGTAACACTTGCTAATTTATTATAGATTATTACGCTTATAGCCACGTAAAAAGGTCTAGAGCTAACCCGGCGACCGAAGAAAAATATATATATCGAAGACGTCGCTAAAGTCGCACGCGTGCTTCTAACAACTATAGAGATATCCTTTCTCTATAGCTAGCAGCGAATTCAAGTCTTGTTTTTTTTCTAACTTGTAGCTATCACCGCAAGCCGCCTGGGTACTCTTTTAGGGCTTCGGTACTATGATATTAGCCTAATATTGATCCGAGACCTAGAAGGAGGCCGCCCGAGGCTTTTCATATTTCTTACCCCGGAATTCACTAAGAAGTTTCTTAGAAAGAAGGTACTATAGGGATTCTAAATTCACATTTACTAGATTTTAGGGCAGAAAGGCTAACGTGGCGAATAGTAATAAGTTTAAAATTCTAGAGATTATCTTTAATCTAACGCTAGCGCTTAGTCTATATACATAGGGGTTCAAAAGTTTTTCCTGACCCTACTTTCTATCACTATATCAACCCCCTACCCTATTTTTTTTCTTCCTTCTATAACCTTAATATGATAGATAATCTAGTAGAATCTGCTAGAAAACGAAGAAAAAAAGGTAAGCTTACCCCTGAACAGCGTTTAGTAATAGTATATGCTACCGATAATAGTGTATCTAGAGCGTAGCTAGCACGGGATTTTGTATATAATCCGAAGACGATATATAATATAATAAAACGCTATATAGAACACTATACTATTGATTCTTTGCCTCGCTAAGGTAGGCCTAGCAAGCTTAGTGATAAAGATAGTTACTATCTCTATTTGTAAGCTCGCCGGGATCCTTTTTCTACCTATAAACGCCCATCTTCGTGTATACCTAGTAATCCTTCTAGGTCGATAATTTAACGTATTCTTCAACGATTTAACCTATTTAAACGCTTATTAAAGAAGAAGATCCCTTTATCTTATAAGACTACTTAGAAACTGTTAGAGAATAACTACTTGTACAGGGTAGAAAGCCTGTCGACTAGGTAGGAAGATAAACGTCAAGTAAGTAAAGCAAAACACTGTTTCTTGCTATCATGGATCTCTCTATAATCCTCAATTTATGTACAAGCTTCAACACTTTCCCACATGACCAAAGCGAAAACGATGGATCATATTTCAATATGCGGTCTGACGTAGCCCCCACGTAACAAAGGTAAAGCAAAGGCTACAGGGAAGAGGGGTTCACGAATCCCTAATGGAAGGGCACCGAACCCTCAGGGTCTTACAGGTCATGCATCCATGTTAGGGAGAAGTAGGGCTGTCATGACGAAGCCTGGCCGATAAGGTGTCGAATTGACACCTGAGGCGTGAAGTTGGGGAATAGCCTTATGTTGCATTATCATATGACAGAAGTATACAACTCCTAGCTTACTCACACGATATTTTTTACGAAAGCACGTGAACACCCCTTAGCTAACTAGGGGTGTATTATATAATATCTATAATAATTAGTCTGAACCGACATAACCGTAAAAAGTATTGAAGGCTTCTTCTCTCCTAAAATTACCTCACGACAGCGAGTTACTAGCCTACAAGGGCAGCTCGTCATGACTCATGCGGTCAAGTCTCAACTATGTCACTCCCACCTTCCCTCTGTATATACTATAGCATCCACAGCGCACAGACACATATCCCGTTGGGAAGAGCGTAGACGAGCCCTTTCTGACATCACAGACCAAGACCGCAGCGACAGATAAGTCATTGTGGTCGAAGCTGCGTCTCATTGTCCTCTTTGACTAGTTGAGGTCCCTAAGGCAATCATTTTTAATTTTTCGCTCTAACCCATAGTTCAACCCACTTGGTCGATCTACTACTCCATTGCTTTCACCGTTGGACATTCATCTACTTCCACCCTGTCTTTTCACCACCCTCTCTTTTCACTACTAGAAAGATTTTCTTTTTTTAAAGAGACCTATTTTATCTGGATATCTAGGGCGGTTATATCTTATAGTCATTCAAAATATAGTAACTTTCTCTATGCTTGATTTTTACTCTTCCAGACCTTTCTACCTTTAATATATTTTGATATGAGACTATATTACTTCGTTTGATTTAGTAAGAATATTGACCCATCAGCTCCCGCTGGATTTTCACTATTCGATGTTCACCACCGCTCTATCCACGGCCCGTGAGAAGAGCACTCTTTGGTTGGCGAGAGGATCGTCACTAGTCTATCACAATTTGTCCGGTGGAATCTGACATAAGGTGCTGACAGTGCGGACAAGCAAATATATCATGGTTTTTATGTCTGGTCAACAGAAGTTACTTAAATGTCATGGTGAATCATGTAACTTAAGCGGCAGAGTTACTGTAGAATAAGAAAAGGATTCTCTATCGAGTAGTATAGTTTTTATATTATTATATTGATTTTTAAGAGGGCGGTTTCGGTCACATTTTGCTCTATAGAAATCTCTAGCTACTCTAGATTTAATTCCATCCTGGTTCTAAAAATTAATTCCATCCTACTCCTGGTCTCCACTTTTCCTTGTACAATAATTGGTCTGAGAAGAAACCCCTAATTCCACTCCAGTAGGAAGGAATAACCCCTGTTGGTTAGTATGGGCTTTTTTTTTGTAAAGTTGATTTTCAAGAGGGCGGTTTCGTTCACATTTTGCTTTGTGGATTGTATGGCAAAACGCCGTTTTCCTTTGTATTCGTCATTTACTGCGTATCACAGGCGTTGGGATAGCTCTTGCTTCCGCCGGAGGAAGCGCCTACATAGCCATTGCAACGCGAGCTAGGCTGCATTAGGCTAATAGAGTTTGATTTGATTTGATTTGATACGTTTATGGGTGTTAGCTCATCCCCCTTCGCACCGTTGGCTACATTGCTCCCGCTTCGCGCCGTTGGCTACATTCCTTCTGTTTCGCGCCGTTAGTACTGTCCCACTAGTGAGCGCTCGAATAACCGCCGCCGGGCAACCAACCAACCAACCTTCCAGGGATCGCACTACACTATACTTACTTGTAGTAAGAAGTATTTTCCCTGATCGGGGCCAATGGGGGCAAAGGGTAAGCGATTTTAGTTATATCCAACACAAACACTCCTGCTACAGCGAGTGGAGTCTTTGCGACATGTGCGTATGTCGATAACACTCTGGGAACTCGCCAAGACTATTTGTATAACGATGTACTCGCAGGCAATTGCTTAAAGAAAAACCCTTGAGAAATATGTGACCCTGTGCTGTGTACGTTTCTGGCAGAAGAGGGTACATTATACTAAGAAGAGAAGGATAATAGCTTGTAGGCCAGAAGAGAGGGAAGAATCTATTCTTGGAAATACCTATCCAATCCAACGGATCTTCTATCGGACAGCTTGTAGGAGATATAATAGGGAGAGATATTACTGTATGGACGTACATAGGATGACAAAAGTCTTTTTACACTCCTTCCCGCCCCACCCTACCTAAACAACTACCTATCTTCTACTACTTCCTATATTATTATTATGCGCTCTATAAACCTCGGAATCGATGCAAATAGAAGAGTAAGAGGCGAATTAAATAAGGCAATACGCGCTACTATTATTTACGCGAGCGAAAACGGTATTCCGAAGGCTAAAATAGCGTATAATTTTAATATTAGTAGGCCTACTATTTATAATATATTAGAGCGCTTTTAAAATACAAAGAGCTTTACTTTACTTCCTTAAAAAGGGCGTCTAGAGAAGCTCTCGAATTCTACTATTCGTTATATCCTTCGTTTAACTCGGAGGTTCCTAATAATAACGTAGAAAGATCTTATTAAAGAGATCCCTTCCGATATCCGATAAGATATTTCTCTTCGTACGATTTAACGTACTTTATATAAGCAAGGGATTCGGAAATAGGCCTCGAAGAAACGCTATTAGTTAAAGAATAAGGATATAAAACGTCGATAATCCTAGGCTCGTAACTAGGAAAATTTTAATACTTAGGAAATAGTTATCTTTTCTAATAAATACTCTATCTAATAGAAGTCGAATTCGTAAATATAATTTATATTCCGATTAAAATCTAAGTAGTATAAACCTTAGTTTATTAATTTATTAAGCTAAGGAAAGTAAATTTCTTAAATAATCTAGGGTATAATATAGATTAGTAGCTACTCGGATATTATTATTATAGAAAAGGAGCCTAGTAAAGGATTTAACGCTAAATCCTATATTTAAATACTTAAAAAGGGTCTCCTTCTAATCTACGAATACGATTAAATCTTCTAGTAGGATAATATACTAATTTATTTAGCGAATATTATAAAATTATAGTTTAAAGATCGAAGGATTAGAAGGATAGAATAGCCTCTATATTCGCCTAATCTAAATCTAATTAAGATTATATAGTTTATACTAAAACGAAAACTATTTAAACTCTATCTAAATCTCGCTAAGATAGGAAGATCTAAGCTTAACTAGAATTTATTTAGGCAAGCAATTCGTGAAGCTTAGTAGGCTCTCGATCAAGAGAAGATTAATAGCTTAATCCGCTTATTACTAAAGCGAATTAAAGCGGTTAAGAAGGCAAAAGGGTGGTATACTAAATATTAATATTAAAGAAGATTATATCTTATTCTAGAAGTAATTGAATTTAATTTAGGTGAGAAATCGTTGCTAGAAAGTGGTAGGATTAGTGGTAAAATGTAGGGTGTAAAAAGACTTTTGTCACCCTATGTATTCTTATGGTTGGCTTTTTACCGCCCAGACAATAGAAGTGCCTCCTATCTCCCTCTTTCAGTACTAGAAGAATTGTTATTTATAGCATTGCAAGGATTGATTCTTCTATTTAAGAGGCCTCTAGCAACTCTCTACTGGGGTACTATTGTCACCATAACAATTCCGTTTCTCTCTCTCCATTTGCAGATCCAGTCTCTGATCTGATATAATTCATTCCGCAAAGATGGCACCCAAGAAGGCGACCTCTAATTCTTCAGCAAAGCCCAGTGGCTCAGGAAAGCCCAGTGGCTCAGGAAAGCCCCAGATAATGGCGGATGCACTTCTAAGATATAAGATATGGAAGACAAAGACGAGCGCAGGCGAAGAAGTCACCAAATACTATGACAGTCTCGGTCTCTGTATACAAAAACTTGACAGAGGACTCTTACAAAAAGCGTCATGTGGGCATCTGGATTCAGTTCAAGGGTGGATACTACAGTCTATTCCATCTCGAGATAACTGCAACTTCCCGAAAATGCGACGAGGTGGTAGCTTCTGATCCTAATTTGAGTAAAAGACTTATCGCACTAATTGAAGTCGCGGATGCGAATCAGCCAGAGGATGATATCACCACCAAAAATAAGATCAGAGCTCAGTTTGATCAAGTTCCAACGAACAATCCTGCCGAGAATTGCCAAAACTAGGTTGGACATGCTCTGCATAAACTGGTAGAGCTTAGATTTCTAACTCCTGCACAGCGGGAAATGGCTGTGAAAGCCATGATGAGTGCTGTTTACGAGGGTTCTATTGAAGCCCTCGAATAGGATAGATGATGGATGGCTGTTTCACCCAGAATGTTCCTTCAGATGTATTATCTACATGATTTCTTCCTACTATTTGACAGTTATTACCAATGAACTAAATGGCTATGTCTTGCCTCCTGAAATCATTTCCATAACAAGCCTTCTTGGCTGTAATTAACCGTACAGTAGTTAGTCAACTGTAGTGTACGAAATATTTCATTGAGATAGCTCGGGCCCTGAAATTTCATTGACAGCATACCTCTAGAGGAAATCTCTCCGTGCCCGGGACGTGCCCGCATACATTCTGGGGAATTCCGTCTATCGTTGAATGATGATAAGCGCCTACTAATTTCTAAGTTCTGAGTTTTTTGAATAGCCAATGCTGGTTGAAAAGCTATGGATTGTGTTGCTAATACTATTGCTATTATAAGCAAATGACGAGATTTATTGATTACAAGATACTTAGAGTACAATTGGCTCACTTATTGTAGGATTTTCCTTTTCAAATAAAATGAATGAGGACTCCGGGTAAATGTATCAGCGACGACAGAGACTCGCGACAAACGTCATGCCAAGAATTTCTCTCTCAAATTTAGGCGGAAGGATGGAAGAACAGAGATATTCCTTCCAACCCTTACAGTCGTCAATATTCATATGTGCTGTGAAATGTTCCCACCACGCGGGATACCAGCCAGCATATTCCCAGTCCAGGAGAGCCGTAACCCGGCAGTTTTCATCCACCAGAATATTGCGCGGCGAAAAATCCGCATGGGTGAAAATGATTTCATGACCTTCTGTCAGAGCATAGCTTGCATAATGCTTGAGTGAGGGTGATATCTGCTGGGGAATATCGTCAAGAAGCCACTGATTAAATTCGCGCTCGGAATCAAAAGGCCCTCCCGATATAACGGCGATCTTAGGGCACATAACAACCGTACCACGATCTGCAGCACCAAAATAGTCGCCTTTTAGTTGATGAAGCTGTAGAAGAAAATCCCGAAGCTGTTTGGAGACTGATTGCTTCTGATTAGGGGTTAATGTGTTCCACACATTATCGAGCGGTCTCCCGGGCATATAGTCCATCACAATAGCGATAGGTATATTGTCTTCCCAGCGAATTCCATGTACCTGAGGTACAGGGATAGTAGTATTGCTAGCAATAAACTTCAAATTTGCAACTTCGCTCAGTTGAATATTAAATGCTTTTTTTACCACCAGATGCTCGCTGATTCGAACGACTGAACGGAAGCCCATACAACTATAGAGCACTTCACCCTCATCATCTCGCTGAGCTGCAGCTTCCGCTTCAGCTTTCTTAGCTTGGACTGCGCTTGGATTCAGGATCTCATATATACGCCTTTTCTTGAGCGCCTCTTTTTCTTCGGCAGAGAGTGGCCCCTTTCGGGTAATATAATCCCTTGGATCCTGGATGATATATTCATACGCACTCTCTTCTGAGCACACCTCTTGGACCTCTGGTTCTTTGGTCTTGCTCTGCTCGGGAGTATCGTTGCCTTCCATAGTCTATATAGATCAGATTCGGTCCCGGTTCGGGCTGGTGTGTGGAGTTTCCTTACCTGTTTGGTACCGGTGTGGATAGAAAGCCCTCCAGAAAGACAGATCAGACAGCTATGGGAGATATTGGGTTGAAAGAATATTGAGCTGCGGATATTCGGCGTGAAGCTTCCTGAGGGAAAGGGGTTGGGAGAAAGAAAAAGATGCAGTTGAGGGGGCTGCTGGGGCCGCGGGCGCCGCCACTTGAGGACCCAACGGCAATGCACCGACCCAAGACGAATTTGAACTCGGCGCATTTCGCCCCCTTTCGCCTCGCCCTATTTTCGGCCCTCTTTGGGTTCGCCCTGCCATTCCTCCTCAGCTGCCAAGACTAGAGCGCGTATCACCAGTGCCAAGGATCATGGCCGAGCCTGTTGGATGGGCGTCCTAGGGACCAAATGCGTGGAGAACCAAAAACGGTCGGATCATTGCGGCCCCCAAGCGCGGGGGCTGTGCGAGAAAGCTCTTAGAGTCTGTAGGGATGTGACACAGGCCATAGGTCATAGTGTTTGGCACTACCAAGTCCAGGCTATGATTCTGTTAACTCCGAGCTGGGCGAAAGCGGTCCAGGGGAAAGCGTGCCACAGCTATTTCGCTTAATAAGATAGGAAGGGGCAGAGGGAAAGAAAGGAGGGAATCTCGTGAGAAAGATAGGAGGGGGAGTTAGGAAAGAAGTGGGAAAGGGGGAATGGAAGGTAAAGAAAGGCTTGATCTGTCTTTATGAGTCGAAGGGGGATCTCGAGCCCCTTTTATAGACGTGAGCAGCCGATATAACCGACTCCGTAAATCACAAATAATTGCCTAGGGGCCCCCTCACGTCAGGCCGGGCACAAGTGAAGATAGATCAGCAGAATGACTAGTGGTGCCTGGACCCCTTGATCGACCGATGTCCATTCGTGCCGTAGCCGCCGCAGCGGCCCTATCCTCGCTCACCCTTAGTTACCCTTCTGACGGAGGGGAGCCATTTCTGGCTCCTCCGTTAGCCGTTCTGCTTCCCCGGGGTTCTATAAATATCGACCACTATGCCCTCGACCGACAGTCCTCCCTCGCTCTCTAGTAACTCCTCTAGCCCCCGGCCTAGGTTTCCAACGGGTGACTTGCCCCTAAGCGAAAGCGTATCGGCCTCGATTAGTCTCTCGCGCTTCGACTCGTCCTCGCTCCTCCTACCCCCTCTTCGATCGCTTACTATATATAGCTACTATACCTGCGAATCCTGCTTTATCCGACAATAAGAGCGATACTAGCTTAGGCCTACCCGAGATCTTTTCGAATAACGTATCCGACTCGGATTCCTCTACTACACCTAGCGACCTAGATAGTAGCGAGTCCGAGTCCGACGATAAATCTAACGATAGGTCTGAAAATAAACTAGTACTAGAAGATAAAGAGGAGCAGCTTTTACTAGAATACTACCTCTAGAAGGCCGAAGTACTTGATATCTCCTAGCTCTGTTAGACACGCTATAGCCTGAAAACTTAAGAGAGGTTAGATAAGACGTAAGATTTTTAGGATAAGTAGGATATTACTATAGTATCCCTATATCTAGTAATCGATCAGGTCGCTAATTATTCTAGGTTCTGTAAAGATACAAAGCGCGATCCGGTAAAATATCTATTATATCTCTCCGATACTAAGGAGATAGTCCGCTTCCTTAAGGCTCTCTTTACCTAGTAGTGTAACTAGCGATAGGGTAAGGATAGACGCTATACCCTAGGGCTGAAAACTAAAAGCTTACTCGACGTATTCTAGAAGTAGTAGTATCTTATCTATAAGGCTAAGGTTAGATATAGCCTTAGTAAAGATATTCAAGTTAAGATCCGTAATATAAGATCTCGATTAAGTATAATTTTCAGTAATCGTACGCGACTAACGTTCCCTAGGTACTCGCGATAGTTATAATAGAGAAGAAACTTTCCCTTAAAAAACGCCTAAAGGCGAGTATATTTATTAAGGATATAGCTAAATTTGCCCGAGTAATCCTGTCTACGACCGAGATAACTTTCTCCTATAGCTAGTATCGGATATAGCTCCTCCTTTTCTACTAGCTAGCCGCTATCACCGGTAATCGTCTAGGGGCGCTACTAAAACCCCGTTTCCGTGTTAGAGAATAACTACTTGTATAGGGTAGAAAGCCTGTCGACTAGGTAGGAAGATAAACGTCAAGTAAGGAAAGCAAAACACTGTTTCTTGCTATCATAGATCTCCCTATAATCCTCAATTTATATACAAGCTTCAACACTTTCCTATATAACCAAGCAAAGACGATAGATCATATTACAATATACAGTCTGATGTAGCCTATATGTAATTCAGAGGTAAGCAAAAGCTACAGGGAAGAGGGGTTCACGAATCCCTAATGGAAGGGCACCGAACCCTCAGGGCCTTGTAGGTCATGCATCTATGTTAGGGAGAAGTAGGGCTATCATGACGAAGCCTAACCGACAAGGTGTCGAACTAACACCTGAGGCGTGAAGTTGGGAATAGCTTCATGTTGCAATATCATATGACATTCCGGGATCTCAAGTTAATATTGATCCGGGATCTAAATAGAGGATGTCCTCGACTTTTTATCTATCTAAGACCGGAATTTATAAAAGTATTTCTTAGTAAAAAAGAATCGTAAGAAATATCTACTCGCTAAGCTACTCCCTACGCTTGCCTTACCCGGTTTATATATATACGTCTCTACGTCCTTTTACTTATTATATTTCAACTAGAGACGCGTTTCCTATTCCGGAAATAATCTTTAATCCTATATTAGGACTAAGTCCTTACGTCTTTCTACTAGGTATTCTATTTAGAATTAGCGCTTTTAAAAGTCTATCTAACGATAGCCCTATGCTAGACTACCCTAAGAAATAATACCGTCTCCGGGTCCTATAGGGTCTCGGCGAACAGGAATTAAAGCTGAAAGACAAAATTATAGATTAGTATATATTCTACTAAGCTTTACGAGAGGCGGATAGGATTCGATTTATATTAGAAAAGCTACTTACCTAGGGCTAGCTAGGCTACAGAATAAAAAGAGGTAGTAAGATTACTAGCTTTATAGAAGTCGCGAAGCTATATTACCTCCGATACGGCGTAGTAAAAGCGTTTAACGATAGTCGTGAGTGAAACTATATTAAGAATATATTCAGAGTATCTTAGGCTAACGCTATCCTCTTAATTAGCGGACGTATCGAATAAGCTGCAGAATATTATACTATAGTACGTAAGTATTAATACTTTTATACGGCACTATAGCGTAGGTATCTACGTAGATACGTAGGCTATTATCCGAGGCTTACCTGCTAAGAAACAACTTATACGGTTTACCTACTCGATAAGTCGGTCTATTAACCCCCGTAGGCCCTACTAGCTTAAGGATTCAAGCTATATTAACGATATTCCCCGCGTGCGTGCCCTAGAAGACACGAAATAGGCAAGAAAGCGTATTCGAGACGTTAAGATACGTACCTATAAAGATATAGAGGCCGTATTTCGATAAGAGTTCGGCGGTAATCCCTAGAGTGCGACTCTTTCTAGAATAGTCCGTAAGCGGAGGAAGGCTTAGGAGAAGAGCCTAAAAAAGTTACGTCGAAAATTCGATTATACAGACGAGTAGTATAATCGCGTAGTGAAATATCTACGAAACGAGAAGAGGCGGTAAAAGCACCGCTTAATTCGTGAGAACCTAGAGTAGTATAAGAATAAGTAGCTAGTAATCGACAGCGAGTAGTAACTTTCTAGAAAGGTTATCGATAAAGAAGTAATAGGCGCGTTATAGCGAACTAGCTATATAATACTGTAGTATATAACGCTTATTGATAGTACCCTAACTATACCGGGTATAATAGTTATAAAAGAATATAAACGCTATATTACTATAATTAATATAGTAATTATAGTCTATAATACGGAAGAGGGTACTCCCTTGCGGCCTAGTACGCCGTAAAAACGCTCCGTCGATACTATTAATATACTATCTACCTCTGCCTTACCTAAGAGACAAAAGTCTCCCTCTTTAGATAAGCGTAACAATAGTTTTTCTCGAGCTATTACTTCTATTTACGTTAAATCTCGAAAAGACAGACTAAGGATATACTTTATATATCTTAGTAATACTAAATAGCTAGAAAGTAAACGCCTAAAAATATATAAAAATCCCGGGTCCCTTAGCCGATACTTCGTTAACAAATATATTAAACCGTTCCCTAATAATATATACTATAAGTATAATATTTGCAGGAAGAAGCTAATATTAAAATCGGTACTCCTAAACTATACGTAAGGGGTATATTGTCATATGATATTGCAACATGAAGCTATTCCCAACTTCACGCCTCAGGTGTTAGTTCGACACCTTACCGGTCAGGCTTCGTTATGACAGCCCTACTTCTCCCTAACATAGATGCATGACCTACAAGGCCCTGAGGGTTCGGTGCCCTTCCATTAGGGATTCGTGAACCCCTCTTCCCTGTAGCCTTTGCTTTACCTCTGTTACGTAGGGGCTACGTCAGACCGTATATTGAAATATGATCTATCGTTTTCGCTTTGGTTATATAGGAAAGTGTTAAAGCTTGTACATAAATTGAGGATTATAGAGAGATCCATGATAGCAAGAAACAGTGTTTTGCTTTACTTACTTGACGTTTATCTTCCTACCTAGTCGACAGGCTTTCTACCCTGTACAAGTAGTTATTCTCTAACATATATAGAATTATCTCCTACTTACCTTTGCCGGTTCTAGATCTACCCCGCCTATAAATACTTATTATTTCTTAGTTAATATATCTTATAAAGCGAAGCTACGCGTAAATAGTATACTAATATTTAATCGTATAAAATTCTTGATTTTGAAAAAATCTACAATAACTACTCGTAGCTAAAATATTTTATAACGACTTATAGTAAGAAAATAAAGATAATAATATAACAAACGAATTATAGCACTAGCTTCGCCGAATCTTCTTAAGATAGTAAGTATATAAATTACTACCTACTCTATCTAAGTTTTCTACGCTAGTCACGGAAGGTAAAACTCTACTTAGTAGGCTACTACGAGGCTCTTTAGGAAAGTAGTCTTTTCTTAGTAGTTTATCTAGTACTTTATACTTCTCGTAATCCTAAGAACTACCTTTATAACTCTTAAATTAATAATTAATCTCTACTATACTAGCTTCCCGCTCCTAATCGGCGTATACTCTTTAGAATCTATCGTATATATTCACTTCAAAGGTACGGCCCTTATAGCGAAACTAATCTTTAACGGTATTGTGAAAGCGTGATATTTTCTAGCTAAATAAGGATAGCTAAGTAACCTTCCCTTCTATCTATAAAGCCCTACGCTCTATCAAGGTACTTATGTTAGGAAGTATTTGTTCTATATATAATATATAATAGTACTTATTCAGTTCTATAGCTTATTAGATTCGACTAGTTTAACGGCTATTAATAGGATTATAAGGACTAACTATAGTATCGACCGGAAAGATCCTGAATATTAAAACGAAATATAGACCTAATATTAGGTTTTCTATATAACTTATATAGGACGTAGTCCTAAAAGCGATAGTAGCTACTACTACTAGGATTTTCTTATAAGATAATTACTTGTTTCTTATTAGTAAGCTTATCTTTAATACACTTTTTTTTAAACGCAATTCGCTTAATTAGATCCTATATTATTCTCTCCTACTTATCAAGATAGGCTTCCTCCGGAGAGAGGATAGCTAGTCTTTTATAAGAAGTTATACTTTTTATAATAAACCTAACCTCGGGGATATACTCGTGCTAAAAAAAAACAACTATCTCTTGGCAGAATCGAATTCTTGCGATATCTCGCTATCCAGAGGTCCTAGGATCTCCAGACCTAGTTCAAAATCAATCTAACTTCCTGCTCTATCGTTTGATACCGGCACTAACCCTGTATCAGCGATAGCAGCGGCAGGCGTGGCCGAAATGGGGATTTTGCACCCCGACCGGGCGCGGAATTTTCGCGAACCACGGAACGCACAAACTCAATTCCAACGGAACAGCAACACGCGAACTACCGACCAGCAAGCTAACCGACCGAGCCTTACTATCAACGACCGATCTTCGATAGAGGAAATCGCCTACATCGCGAGAAATATCTACTAATACGCCTAAACTAACAACTATGCCGACCCTGTCATCCGTGGCTTTATCCTTTCTATCGAGCGCTACGCGTTAAAAGCGCGCGAAAATAACACTCAGGGGATAGCTGCCGTTCTCGCAGCTATCGCTTCTATCGATAAAGGCTAGCAAGAACTTAAAAACCGAATAACCCGTATCGAATCAACTACTAGCACTATATCCTCCTCCTAGCAGTCCTCGGTAGTAGCGTAGCGTACCTTCCGCACCTAGGGCTAGTAGCGCACGGTTACTACGAACCCCCTATCGGAATAGGGCACTTAATCAGCGTGTTCATCGGTCGGTGCTTCGCCTATCGAGCTAGCAGAAGACCGCTAGGTAATTATTAAAATTAAGGATAACGCGATACGGGTACGCCTCCGGTCGAAAACGGAATAGGATATCGTGAAGCTAGCGGATAAGAAGAAGATTAAGGTCGCACGGCGTATAGATAGTAGCGCGCTTGCAGGTTATCGCCTCGTCGCTGCACGCAAGCTTCCTTCTAGTAACGTAGCTATTATAGCTAAGACTACGGCGTCTACAGAGGTACTAAGGAAGTAGGAATACTTATAGTAGCTTCGGGGCTTTAGCAAAGATACTCAGGTTTAATAGCCGACGTAGGGAATCGTTACATAGGGTATTCTAATTACCGACTTCGACCTTTCCGACTCCGCTAGGACCTTCGTAGTAGCAGAGGACCTACTTCGTCAGAACCCCGTATAGGTAGACAGCGATAGTGAACAGCTAAGGGTAGTACACCTTAGCTAGCTAACGAAGCTATATACGAAGAAGAAGGAAGGCTCGCTAGTAATAGAGCTATTATCTCCGGTCGCTGCAAACCGAGCTATTACTACCGGCACTACCTAGGGGTATCGGAGCTATTATACTACTCGTTTCTACCGAGAAGGGAGGTCGAGATTCTACCGGAAATACTAGAAACCTAGGTATATATAGGCCTACTACCCGTCGAGGATATATATCTATAGCTACTACGCGGCGGAGCACCCTACCTAGGAGTATAAGGCTACGTAGAGAGCTATTGTTACTATCAAATACGCAAACTGCAAAGGCCCTTATAGGCCTATTTCGAAGGAATACGAATTCTACTAGCGAGAGATAGAGAGAGCGCGTAGAGCACTCCTCGAAGCCTCTCCCTACTATCGGATTCTATCCTCCTTCCGTTATACCTAATAGGTTGCTTAGCAGACTACTTAACCTCCTCCGATTTAGCGAGCTTAGCGAGTACCCGCACGACGAACCTAAGCACTAAGACCCTCCTAAACCGAGGAAGTAGTAGTTTCAGATTACTAAACTCGGTCCCGAGGGCTCTAGGATTCCTAATATACTCCTAAGCTATCCTAGCCTTAGGTTGTTATCTAAAAGCCCGTACGCCGCGGCCTAGGGCGTCCCCCTAGCTCTAAAAATAAATCTAAATTATCTATAAACGCTACTACCTCTAATACAAGAATAGACTTAGTTATCGATACCGCGAGGGTTCGCTTACCTGACGCCGAGGCTAAGGCTAAGGCTAAGGCCTAATATATCCCCTATAAGAGAGCTCGCTTCGCCTATAATCCCGAGGATAATCTCGTGATAGAGGAAACTTCTTCTAGGGTACTCGCCCTAGTAAGCCTAGTAGAGATATTCGGAGAGGAAGAGAACAACGGCTATCTCTCCTACTTCCCTAATAAAGATAAAGATACACAAGCGCGAGCAGCTAGTATAGAAGCCACTACCCTCGTTCGAAGCTTAGAACGTGCCTAATCCTAGCGACTAGAGGAAGAAAACTAAGAAATCGAATTATTCAATCGCTCCCTCTTCGTTAGCATATCGACTAGCCCTCTTAGCTCCCTAGAGCTCTCGCTAGACTAGGAAGGCGATATCTTCTATAACGTATTATCGGACAGCGACCCCGACTATAACGATTAATAATATATTAAAAACCCTTCGAAATTATCTAATATAACGCGTATAGGCAGTAGGAGGTAATAGCTACCTTCCTCTGTGAGAAAGGTATTCGGGAGGCAAGTATTATTGCTATATAGGAACCCTAGACTAACGAACCTCTTAATATAACTAATCACCTAGCTATAGCGTTTCACTAGCTTCTCTAGCCTAGATACACTAAGGTAGGTAAGAGGAAGCGGACCCGCGTCTATATATTCGTTTCAAAGTGCGTAGATCCCGCTTTATAGTTACACATAGTAGTTAGCAGCGACTACTATATCTTGAAGATACGACGTTAATAGAAGGAGGGCTAGTCGGATCTCTTTATCTATAATATCTACA